ACAGGAGGCGCCATAACAGCCATAAAAATAGATAATAATTAACTTTATTAATCTATTACCAGAATCAGAAGGATTTAATACTATCACGGTTATCACTAATCACCTTATTAAGTATATCTATCTTATATTAAATAAGATAATAATAATAGTAATACAGATAGCAGAACTGTTCTTAGAAAACATTGTTATATATTATAGGATGCTAAAATACATTATATCAGATTAAGATAAGTTATTTATCTTAAAGTTCTGGAGATTACTCGTAGATCTTATAAAAATAGAAAAATAAATAATAACAACTTACCACCCGCAGACGAATGGGCAAATAAAAAGAATTAACTAGGTAATTAAGCAATACCTGAGACACTATATAAACTACTAATAGAATAATTAAGTAAACCTATTATTAATAGCACAGTTCTTATATAATAATACCAGTCACTTAATCATTAAAATCTTACTATTTTATACTAATTACAGATATCATCCAAGATTTCTGGAAATGTTATTAAAGAGACAGCAAGTTACTGATATAGCTAAGGATATTATCATATTTACAGAAAATATATATCTATAGTTATCTTAAGACATTGAGTTTATAAACTTGTATAGTAAGATATACTATAATCACAGACACGAGAGAGAGCCTGATCTTAAAAAGAGAAAGAAGATATTTCTACTCTGTAGAAATATCAAGATAAAATGATCAAGTTAGAAGCTTGACCATTACAAGCTAAGACTATTTATTATTGAAGATAAGAAGGGACCGGTCAACTATAAGTTGAGGTTATCAAAATTAATGAACAGAATTTATCCAGTATTTTATATCTTATTATTGGAACCCGTACCAAAGAATACTAGAATTATAGAAAATGTGGAGATTGATGACGACACGGAACAAGAATATGAAGTTAAAAAAATCCTGGACTATAAGAAGATTAGCAGCAGGTTAAAGTATCTGGTAAAATAGGTAAAATATGATATTTTGGAAAACACGTGGGAACTTATCAAGAACTTGACAGGCTGTCACTAGCTTGTGGAACAGTACTATTAGTAAGCAAGTTAAAGTTTGTCTAGAAAGAAGGAGAGCCAATAAGTTAAGATAAATTAAGATTAAGCTCAGACATGGCGGCTAGCTCAACACTACCTGTAATAGTACTAGCCTTAATCTCAGATATTACAGCTTATTGATCGTGCAGCCTCGCTTGTGCTTTACATTTCTTTTATTTTTACTTCTTAAACTCTTCTAGCTCTTTAATTTTCTTTATATCACGAGCTATGAAATCATTAATTTATTTTTATAATAATTGTTTTTGTTTCCGCAACTGAAGAAGTTTTGTCAGAATGACTTCTTCCTCTTCTTTAATAGAATTTTAAGCCTTGACTAAACACTTCCACTCAGCATCAGAGAAGGAAGGATCAGGTATTTTACAATAAACACTGTTTGTTTTAACATACTTACTACAGTAATCAGAATTTTTAGATTTGATATAAACCTTGTAAAGGCGAATGCAGCGCTTACAAGGAAAAACCACAAGGAAACCTTCATCCTCAATCCACTGATAAAGGCTCTTCTTGTAAACAGAAGAACTAGACAACATAATCAACAATCTAAATAAAGTTTTAGGAAATGACACCAGATACTCATCTCAGAAGAGAGGCACGGCAGATTTATGTTTTTTAAAGATAAGAAACCTTGAAAGAAGGGGAGTGGTGTTACAGACCCCTGCTAGCTAAAGAAACTAGTAAGGCGGACACGTTAAGCAGAAGGCCACGTCCGGAAAGCAAGGACTCTTATTAAGTAGAATCCCGATCAGAGCAACCTACAAACCAGGACGGTTATACAACACGTGACCATGATGGATATGTCACCGACATGCTATAACATGGCAGCACTACAACAGGACATGACAGCGCTACGACAGGACATGGCAGCGCTATAACATAACATATCAGCGACATGACATATCATGGCGACGCCATGACGAGGGATAGAATATAAGGACACTCTTTTATATACTTAGCTAGTTCTGTTCTTCGTGCTCAATTAACTTGTCTTTAAGTAACCATATGTTTTGATAAAGCTTAGCGACAACACTCGTCCGCACTTACTTACGGATAGCTGCGCGGCACTATCTGGCCTTACTTCTCTTCTTCTGTTCAAGATCAAGTCGCCTTTAGATAGTCAATAGCCTGACTACCTTTGATTCAGTTCACAAGGTACGTATCGGAACGGGAGCTAAGCTAACAGGAACAGGGAGAAGCGATCCTAGGGTTTGACACTAGAACATATTTTAAATTACTTACTTACCTTCTCTCCAGATAGAGAAAACCATCTTTATCTATTTATAATATTCTATCAGGATAGTTAAGAACCAGCCTTAAATCCTTTATACTTAAGATTCCTAAATTACTAACATCACCATATTCTGAGTCTTTTTATTATTCATTAAGTTCTTGTATACTGCACCCTGTTTTCTCATATTTAGTTAAATAACTTGAAGAGTCTTATTTATAATATAAAGGGTAGAGCTTCTAACAGTTTTTACTGTATGATTCATGAGGGTCTCTATATAGAATATACTTTAAAATTATTTAATTATAGTTACTGTGGTAATGATTCTCTATAACATATTTTATATATCTCTACATATTCTTATACTAGAATGTCTTATGCCTAATCTCTTGATAATTGTAGTATTATATTAGTTAAGATTAGTATTCAAAGATACTAATCATACCAGATTCTTCTTTAGTATGAAAGAACTTGTTAGCCAGAAACCTCTATGTATCACTATCTTTAATCAGATAAATAATTATTAACTTATAAGTCTTTATATTCTCCTTTCTACTGAACCATACAATCTTAGTAATAAGAACGTTATTCTCTTTATTAAAGACTGCTGTAGCTCCTGCTTAGATATTACTATTTTTATCAAATATTACAGTTCTGTTAATACTGTTGACTTTGATCAGATACAGTTTGTCATGAAGCACTCAGGCTCCTGTACTGATCTTGGTTTCCGCCATTTTCTTAACCAGCTAGTGTTTAATCTTATTTTAATAAGTAATTCTGATTTGGCTAATGTTTCTTATATTTATTGTAACAGTGCGACACCACCAGTTCATGTAGTTTTTCATTATCCAGATCTTGGTCTTAACTGCTATTCTAATTAGACTTGTTGATGATCTCTTATTTTCAGTATCTGTCATCTTTAAGATATCTATCATACAATATAGCGTGTCAGTAAAGATAATCAGTATCATGTTCTATAATAAGAGAGTCTATATATTGCTCGATTAGCTGGATGGGAAAGTACGGGCAATATCTACATAGGACAGGGATTCTGAAGGATTGACTGCAATGCGCAAGAATTGGATTTTGTGAAGGATCTTTTTATGGCTGTTCTGAGCGCATGGCTCGGGGTGGGGTTGCAGTGTTGAGGGTTGATTCACCAGGATCTGTAATTCATGTTAAAACTCCGCGAGGGCAGCACCAAACTCTTCTTTGACTCTGTGGAACTCCTCCTTGTATAATTCATCTCGTTGTCTGATTTCTCTCCTGAGCTTAACAATCTCTTTCACAAGTTTGGAGATGTCTGAGTCCTCGCTCTGCCGAGGAGTCGTCCGAAGTCGCCGCGTCACGTTGGGCGACTGGCTTACCCTGGTTCTTCTTCTTTCGCTGGGAGCGCGTGTTTCTCTGCTCAGTATCGATCTCTTGCTCTTGAGCATAGTGGGCTGGTGGTCTTGTCGTGTGTTTCGGCCTCACCAATCGCGGTGGCGAGTTTCCGTGTTCGTCGCGGTCGGGCGGTTCAGGGGTTCGCGTCTCAGCCCGTCCCGACATATTTCCTCCCCACGTTCAAGAAACAGTCGCAATAATCCGTTCGAGGCTCCAATGCCTCCTACTTCCGGAGTAAAATCACCCTGTACAGTTCCGGTTTTCTATTACTGTACAAAAAAAAAAACAGTGTCTCGATCATGTACAGTCCTGCCGCCTGACTAGTGTACAGGGTCGCAATGCAATCGGTATCTACATTATATTCGAGATTTTGACATATTGGTCTCATGGTTGATGTACTTTGGTAATTATTTCGCGCCGCATAGATTGGTTGGTGGCTCGTTATTTTTGAATATATGCTTGTATAAACGGTCGCGAAAATCGGTCAAATGGGACTTTCTTGTACTCGGACACGGAAATTAAACCCACCAGCATGAATGCCTACTACGCAGCTAGCCAACTCAGCCACCCGAAATTTGCCTCGGCATAGCCACCTGCGCCACACGAAGTGTATACTCTTACCGATTCACATTTTTTCCATGGGATAAAGTCCTAAACGTAAAAGAGAGGACCTGAGGAATGAAAATAGAGAACACGGAGTAGACCTGGGAGGAGAATAAAACCGTTTCAAAGTTACTTTGCAGCCTAGAGGACCTTGCTACCCCATGAGAGGCCCCTGCGCGTGCTTGTCTTCCTGACACCACTGCGGAAGCCGAGTCCCATATCCGCCTCCAATAGGAAGATCCGAATCTCCGGATGGAGATTCGATACACGTCTTAGCACGGCAGGAGGGCCGAAATCATACCAATTTCAGACTAGCTCCAGTCCTGAACCCATACTCTGGCCATGGAAATCATGGCGAGGAGAGAATCAGCCTTACTAATCAACCGCGTGGAGGGGAACGTGCGAGTGCGGCGTAGTCAAGCTGCATGCCTAGCGTGTCCTACAGGCGGGTATACCCACGGGTATGCGTAGCCCGGAACATGGAGATGGAATCCGTACTTCTACCCTCCTTTTTATATTGTCATTGAGCGGTCCAAGTCCCTAGGGCATTAGCCCTCTCGCCAGTGTACTCTCTGCATCTAACGACCGTATATTTATTCACTCTCGCTCTTGCTACTATTTAAACTCCGTTCTCTCCCACTCTACAACTATCTACTCATCTTCCCACCTCACATCTCTACCCTAAGACACAACTATAACCCCAACATCCATGTACACGATGTCCTCACCCACCCCCAAACCCCACCCCAACCACCGCTCCAAAACCCACCGCCTCCGCCTCCACAAAGCAACCCTAACCTCCACCGCCACCCAAAAGCACCCAACCCTCACCACCCCCATCAGCAAAGACGTCCTCGACCGAATCCAAAAAGCCTTCACACGCGGCAAACACCACGCGGCCAACGAATCCGAAGCCAAAGCCGCCATCTTCGTAGCCACCAAGCTCATGCGCCTGCACAACGTCACCCACGCCGACATCCTCGCCAACGACACCTCCACCAACAAAGAGAAGTACGGCGGCAGCAGTGAAGTCTCCATCACGCACACCACGCCCCTGAAACTCGTCCGGCATGAGACCTTCGTCCCGAGACTCGCCAGCGCAATGTGTACCTTCTTCGATTGCAAGTTTTATTCGACGGAGCGACGAGTGGCCATCGTGTACACGTTCTATGGAATCGCGGAGAATACGGTGGCCGCGGCGCAGGGGTTCGAAATGGCGCATAATCAGATTTTGGAGTGGGCAGGGGCGTATAAGGGGGGGTCGCCGACGTTTGGGTATCGGTTGGGGGTGGCGGATGGGCTTGTGTCGATGGCGTATAGGGAGAAGAGGAGGGAGTTGAAGGAGGTGAGGAGGAAGGAGTTGGATGTGGTTGCTTCGAGGGAGAGGGAGAGGGAGGAGAGGTTGCCCTGGAATGAGGATCCGGAGAGTGAGGAGTGGGGGTTTCCGGTTGGGGGGGTGGATATGGATTCGGATGGGGATGGGAATGGGGATGGGGATCATGAGAAAGCTGATTTCAATGAAGACGATGAGAAAATCATTGATCTTACCGGAGATGTCGATGAGAATATCAGCAAGCTGGTGAAGACGGAGGAGCCGGAGAGGTTTAACTTCGCTGATCTGCCTAGCATGACGGTGAAGGCTGAAGCCGAAGTGTCTTCGCCTGCAGCTGTCAAGAAGGAAGAGCCAGCAGCCTCTCCATGGGCATCAGAGATGCAGTTGATCAAGTTCCGGGCTTCGTCTGTGCAGGTTGCAGAGGATTATCTCAAGGAACATAACATCAAGTTGCGGCGGGGGAAATCTCGCAAGAGAGTTGTTCAAGACAGGGACACTTATCAGCAAGGTTGGAAGGATAGTAAAGAGGTCGAGTTCCGCTGACGCTCCATGATGAGGTCAATTGATCTGTACTACATTGCATTATCTAACCTGCCATCCCTGGCAAATGGAGGGTGAGTCAGCGACTGCATCTTCCCAACGGTCGGCTTCGAAATAGCTACTGGATGACTTCCCAGATGGAGGGTTTACAAAGATTGCCATGTGGCTTCGTTAATAATACGCTCATATTGCCTATCCTATTGTTCCTATCTCCGCAGATTCCTACGCTTAAACACCCGTAGCCATCTTGGCCCATACACTAGGCCCCAAAGTTTGTGTTCGTGATCAAAGCGACTTGCACAGCAGCAAACCTACTCCTGTCAGCGTACAGTTCCCAGGATATAAGGGCCTAAAGAGTGACATGGAGTAGACGAAACTCGGACAGGAAACAACAGAGACATTAAGAGAGGCAGAGAGGCAGACATAGAGAAAGAAAAGAAGAGACAGGAAGCACTAACACTGTCGCCGTCGCAAAGATATCCACTCGCCTGGCCTTCACCATGAAGCCCATGACCAGGACGAACACGATGTTGTACGTAAAAAGCGTGGCAAATCTCGCCGCCGTATTTCTCACGAAATACAACACAATCATTGACGATGCAGGCAGAAACCCGGCGACAATCAAGCTGATCATATACGTCCGGGATCGAACTTTTCGATCGTCGTAATGGTAAGTATCAGACTCGATATCGAATCGCTTCTGGGATTGCGAAGACGCTTTTGATCAGAACCGCACTCAGAGGAAGCCGAACAGATGAAATTGCGACTGAGGTTCAGAGAAAAGGCTTTACATACTGTAGTATCCTTGTGACCGCACAACCGATGAAACAAGGGGATAAGTCGGATATACACCCACCGGGTGAAGGGATCCGCCCCGTCATGCCGATTACGCAGCGACAGCAAATTCTTTTCATTGTCCCCATTCCACTGACTGGGCGGGGAAAGCGCCATTGTGCCGCTTTCTTCACCGACAAGCCAGTTCTGCAATACGCGAAGATCGCCCGTCTCAGGGTCGCTGAACCGCAGAATCTCCGCTTGCTGGATAAGAGCAGTATCTGTGAGGGTGGGTGTCGTCAATATCGTTATGTGCTCCAGGTAGACATGCTCCACGACCCAACAAACAAACAGGCAATCCCATCACAGATGGCCAAGCAGACAAATATATAAGACGTTACAAGCATTGGGATACAATGGACAATAAGGAGTAATAGGGAGGGGGGACGTACTATATTCACTTAGTAGCTGACGCACTTCGAGGATCTTCTTCCACTGAAACGGGTATTGATCCTGCTTCATATCCCACAAGTCGAACGAATACGTTTCTTTACCTTCGGAAACGCTAACCTCATGGACGATGTCGCTAAGTTCGTTCTGTAGGCAGGAAATTTCCGCTTGAAGATAGAGTAGGGTTTTTGAATTGAGTTTGGCAAACCGACGATATATCGCGGGTCCGGGATCACAGGCCATTAGAGCGGCCAGCTTATTGTAGCCTTTGCAATCGTGGCTTGCCATCTTTTCTCTGCGAAAGGAACTGAGTGAGAGACTTGTTATTCCGATAACAATGATTTGGTAGAAGGAAAGGAGTAAGGGCGAGGGGGAAAGGGACATGTTTGAATGAGATGGCCTTGACCGCTGGTTCCAGTCCCATGCGCCACTGCAAAAGACGTTTTGTTTGAGGCTACACAGAAAATTTGAGGGCGTTGTCCTGATAGGGAAGCGTTGCGCTGACGAAGTCGATTATTGGGAGAAAGGTCCACGGCGTCCTCCTACCTAGATCCGGAGATTTGAATGTAGGGCCGGGACCTTTATCCTTGAGGAGGTCAAACGGCTCGGTATGATAGGTACAAGTGTGCTCTAAATCAATCCTTGATGGTGCTAGAAAAGGAGAACAGCATCACGTCAGATCTCTAACGGAACAGCCTTCTCAAATGCTTACAGTCACATCGTTGGTCACTCTTTGGTGGCTGAGCGTACAAACGTCTCGCACTGGAGAGTGTGCAACCGAAAGTCCAAAGAGGCGAGTGATGCGTCGCTGTCTAGAAAGGTCGAGGGTGATCTGGACTATACGGTGACGATATTTGGGCACAAATGAGAGGGTTTTGAGTACTAGCGCAGAACCAGAGGGGCAAGGGCCAGGAGGCCAATCACACCACGACCCGCAGAACACGTTTGGTTATCGGTATGCCTGTGTACTGAACATCGCAACCCGACATTTGGACGTCATATGATACTGTAACATTCGGTATTCATTTTAGCTTCATATGCATGCTTCAACGGCCAAGCACCTAGAACATACCTAACAAACCTGCATGAGGAAAGACACACCTGAACGTCGAAACAACCCCTCTTTTGTTTCCCCAACTTCCTTTTTCGTTCTACCTCGCCCTGTATACCCTACCAGCTACAATGGTGGCCAGTTGCCTCGCGAGCCTACCATGCATTCTGCGCAGCTTCTGTCACCGTGGAGAAGGCATCTTCATGAGAAGATCAAAGTTGGCCTGTTCAACAACGTAGAACACAGTGTTGTGGAACCTCTCTCGTCCATAGAATGCCCACTCCAACTTGACCAACCCAATAGGAGTTTGCTCAGAGCCTCCATAAACTGGGACGGGGCCCTCATGATATGGTTCAATGTCTAGCCCGAGTCTGCGACGTGACGTGTCCAACATGAGATTGACATCCGTGTGGTAGGTGATCAACATGAGACAGAAATCAACCCCCCTTGTGGGTGAAGAAGCTCTAACATTGCCAATAAGGTCAAAGTGGTCGTAGTTGTCGCGGATTTGAGGCCACAGCGATCGGTCTGGCTGACCGAGAATGGAGCGCAGGTCTTTTAACCATTGGTATTGTGTCTCGGGGGACATAAGCTTATCACGTCGGGTCGCATGTACGCCCTTGACAGCATCGTTCTGCTCGTGGTCCTAGAAGGCCAGCAACTAGTCAGTTCTGAGGCTATAATAGTCTGGGGGCATAGTATCGATCCTGACCGGTCTTTTCCGTAAAAGTCGCCAACAGCAGGTGAATGTTCGACTTCCTTGTGCGAAAGAATCGGCTGACATGTCGAGACGCGAGAAAAAACATGCTCGGCTAGTTGGGGAATGGGGACGATGGGGTCTGCGCGGACAGGCTTGCCTGGGCACAATCGGTGCAGGAAGATCGTGCTTATATACTTACATAATTATGGCTCTGCTGTACGTTTGGGCCATCACTGATGGGCTCAGACACATGGCCAGCATCGTAAAAGTTCCCTCGGCCTGAACGCGGCTTAGAGGATGAAAGCTTGTGAGACATACCCCGCAACATCTTTCGACGGTGATTTGGAGTGCTCAAAACCAAAGGATTTATGGAAAGGGTATGACAGTGAACGATCTGATCAGCTTCAACGATGTACAGTCTGGGTAGTGGACTAGAGGCCTTTATATAGGGGCATATGTGTTCTAAACTATCGTATCCAAATAGGATTTCTCCTAGATACGAAATACTACTGAATCTACGAGGTGTAGGCATCCCCCGAATTGACGGCATCTCCTATAATCGTGATGTGGACAATGGAAAGTGCCATGTGTCAGCACTGCCGCAGGAAGCGTCAGAGGGGAAAGCCTTAGGGGTATTGCTTAGAATCATTACAATCCCCCAATAGCGTCTGGCTACTAAACCATACAGGAACACTACTAGTACTATACAGCGTTGCATTCCAACCTGACGTAATGAGGCAGTGCCGTGCGGGGTACGTAGTTCATTAGCTACAATTGGTGCAGCAGATGGTGTGGCGCAGCTCAGGCAAGCTCCCTATCGTGAGGCTACTTACCCACCCCTTTATCTCTTTCGCCCTGTAAGCTATGACTGAGTGAAGAACCAAGCCAGCGTCGTCTAGTGCTTCCCGAAAATATCCCACTGCAATGGTTAATCACAATCCCATTGACATAAGGACGGAGGTTATCTCTTCTACCTCTCTTCACGCGTAAGGCACCCAGTTATTTGCCTCGAGGTGGGATTACTCTCAAGGCGGTAAGACACTGCCAGTCCTATATGATGCTATTCCTACATAGGCATGCGGGAAGGTTCTCACCTCTACAGCTGCGGGGAAGTCAGCGATGGCATTCGATATCCGCCTTTCCATCCTGAGCTTATGATAAACCACGATGGTAGACTAAGTACTGTATATCCGACTGTACAGTGATCGGGAACTCAGGGTAGACCCCCGCCAACCAAACCTACCACAGAGTATTATCCCAGGAACCATAAATCAAATTGCGTCATAGGAACTCTCGCAAGAGTTGTCCGAGACTGAGACCCTTATCAGCAGAGTCAGAGGGATATTAAAAACGTGGAGCTTTGTGGCAAGTGTGGGAAGTTTATCGAATACGGCCAGTTCGGTTCATTCGCTATCTAGAATCTATCGTGTCTGCAGGCTGACATGCCAGTTCCGCAATGACATGCTTTTGCTAATTTCTTTCACTTTCCACCCTCCAACCCTTCATTTACACGGTCAGATGCATGATTACCTGCTCCGCAGTAAAGCTAAACATGTCAGTAAGGAGTTCAACAGCATAGCCAAGAGAGAGAACTTACGCCGTAGCAATGACAAACATCTCCACGCAACTCGCCTTCAACATCCACGTCATCGACATGACAAATATCATGTTATAGACAAGCAGAACAGCTTCTTTCCCCATCGCATCTCTCAGATGAAAGAAAAAGGATACCGACGATCCAGCCAGAGATCCCCACATAATCAATCCAAGGAGAAACGTCCACCATTCGATGGTCTTGTCATCGTAGAAGTAGGCCCCAGTTTGGGCGTCTTGCCGATTCTGCGACACGAATGAGCTCATTATATCACGAGGGTAAGAAACAAGACGCAATAAGAAAGGAAGAACATACAGTATCCTTCACTCCCCACCTCTCATGATACCACGGGATACCTTTGGTAAACACCCACCGGGTCAAAGCATCCTTTCCCTCATGGCGATTGAACAGCGCCAACAGATCGGTTTCGTTCTCTCCGCCCCACTGACAGGGGGGAGAAATACCAATCGTGTTCACTGTTTCACGATTCATCCATTCTTTGAATATCTCAAAATCGGATGGTTCAGGGTCCCTGAGCCGGAGGAGTTGTGCTTGTTGTAGGAGGGCATCGTCTGTTTTTATATTCAGTATGATTGTACATTCTCCATATATCCAATGTGTGGAGAAACGTATGGATCATAGTAGTGGAGTAAATAGAAAACATTTGTACATGCAACATACATGGAATGAGGGATAGGAGGAAATGCAGAGAAACGTACTATACTCTTTCAACAGCTTGCGCGCTTCAAGAACTTTCTTCCATTGCAAGCACTGTTCATCATTTTTCAAATCCCACAATGAAAACGGATATTCTTTCTTTTCAGGGATCTTGCCATCTTCCTCGATCAGAACGTCAAGGTCAGCTTGAACATAGGAGAGCTCAGCTTGAAGATAGAGGAGGTTTTTTGCGTTGAGCTTGGCAAACCGTCGATAGATAGCCATGCCGGGATCGCGGGCCATTAGAACGGCCAGCTTGTCGTAGCCTTGAGGCTGGGTGGACGCCATTTTACTTTTGTTATGGGGTAAGCGATAGAATGGTAGGATGAAGGTAGTATAATGGATCGAAGGAGGAAGGAGGCAGGGGAGGGATTTTATAGTTATACGGCCCTAGTGCTTAGATTTGGACGATGATATTGGTTTCGACTCTTGCATACAGTCACAAAGGATTTCTGGTGATATACCCAAGGCAGCGGAGTGTTCCGCGGGATATCTAGTGATGAAAGGAAATCACCACTGAGGCTTTCAATCCAATTATGACGATTGTCTTGTCCTCGAATGCCTTTCAACGTATATACGGAGATGATCACGTAGCTCAGGAATATGCCTGTCTAGGTTCCAGTGCAACTGGATAGCCGGGATGCAATCAAGTCGGATAATTAATTGGACTTCCTTTTTGAAGTCTTAGGCTAACATATCTGGCTACTTTCCAACACGAGACGACTCCTGTCATTAAATTTCAGTCCCTTCTCTGTCAGCCCTAACTTTAATCCAGCTTGAGCTCTGGCAAAGGCTCAGAAGACATGAGATAGCAGTAACTAGGATAACTACAACATACTAGTGAGACACCCCGCATCAGCTCACTACATCCGCAACCTTACAGTTAAGACAGGGGTCCTGAACCTACTCAAGGAGGTCCCGCCAATCACTAATAATGAATAAGCAAAAATATCGGGGAAGATGGTGAATATAGGAAAGACAATAAATATACATTCGTAGAGCCTACGGCACCACAGGCCATAATATATACAGCTACAAGAAGGATCTAGAGCAACTCAATCACGGCCAGACAGAGTCTGAAAAAGAATAACACCACGCAGGAACCGATAAAAAGAGGATCAAACAAAACTAGATACTGCTTCAGAAGGAGCTAAGCGAAGAAACAACAAGATATGATATACTTTTTAATACATCACACAAGATCCGGCTTTTGAACACAACATCTTAACAATGATATCATAATAATAACGGCCCGGATAAAGATAGGTGGTGAGTCTATGAATTCTACTACTACGACTACGACTACTAGCCCTTACTAAAACTGCCGGGTTAGATCTCAGTCAACGTGTTTCTTTATTGATGCCTAGATATTGGCTGTTTTGACAATAGTAACCACAAATTTCATTGATTGCTAAGACTTGCTCCGAAAAGATGACGGATGACGGTAAATTCAATCACGATCCTGAACGAAGAGAGATACATATGAACGTCAAATCAAGATCAACCCCCTAGCCCGTTCACCAAACTCATTCGCAGATTTCCTCCCGCCCTATATCCTCGATATTCAAAGTCTCCTCGCGAGCCTTCTAACCAATTGATGAAGCCTCGCTTAGTGCTGAGGAAGGCATCTTGAGGAGAAGATCATATTCAATCCCTTCAACAATATAGAACGTTTCCTGGTAGAGCTTTTTTCCTGTATTAAATCCCCACTCAAGCTCGGCAACTCCGATAGGGGTACAATCTCCATATCCCAATACTGGGATGAGTGGATCCTGACACAGTTTTTTATCCAGCTTTAGATCGCGGTATACCCTAGCCGACATCATATTCACAGTTGTATGAAAGCTTACCAGCATGCGATAAAAGTGTATGTCCTTTTTAGCTGCAACGGTGCTAACATTGTAAGTGAGATTAAAGGAACCATATTTATCGTTGATATCAGGCCGCATGGATGGATCACGCGCGGTAAAGAGTGAGCGCAGCTCTTCTAACCATTCTGGCTGTGTCATGGAAAAGTTCTTGTCAGCTGAGTCTGTCGCGTAGATTTCTTCGATGGTGAGTATCCACTTACTGCATTCCCTTGTCTCCTCAAGCAGTCTCTTCTACGGAAAAAGGGATGGTCTATCATATCATAATTCCGGATCGTTGGCCAACCGATTATGACATCGCACCACCCCTCCTCTCTGATCACATAAAAATCAGTTTGGTAGGCGAGGTTCTTCCCCTTGAAGGCCCACAAAACGCCTCGGGCTATACCAACTGTGTTGATAATGCAATCATCCCCTTTCGCTAGATGTGGCTGAAGAACATCTGAAGTTTTCTCTAACTCCAGACCTAGCGTTTCGAAGATGTCAAATGGCATGATGTTGACCTCAGTCCACGTGCTTAAATCCATCCTCGCTGGTTTTTGGCTCGCATTGGGGGCAATAAAAAACCCGTCCCTCCTGAATAACTCATCGGGTTCTTTCTGAGATTCGAATGGTGTAACACGGTATATAGCCATCGTGGTTGATCTGAATGAAGAAGCGCAATGAACGTGGATCGAGAAAAATGAAAGCCCTTATATAGACCTTCAGATGATCTAATACAGTGGGGGTTGAGATAGTTATCCTTCCTATTGCTCTCGTATTCTCTTATTAGATTTGATAAAACATTAAACTAAATCCGGAGTTTTCCTGACCCCCCTTGTATGATATCATTACATAGTGCTTGTGAGAAGACCACAAAGTGAATAAAAACGGCAAGTCGCATATACATCCTAGTATACTTACGTTTCATACCATTATTCCTTATGTCACCCAACTAACCACCATCCTTTACTCCGTATAGGAGATGCAAACTTGAGCAATATGCCGACGATTCGGAAAATGCGTATATCTGTCGGATCTGGTGAGAAAGGTCAATGCGAATTAGTCTATGAGAAGTATCACATGTAAACCAACTCGCAGGAGGCGTGAAGGAAGAAAGCGTTAAGTTAATGTAAGAGTTCCATGATATTAGCTTTTGTTGGGATCCCCGATAGGCTCCCACGCCGGTAGGCAACGTAGCGTCACGTGACACTCCTCCCTACACCACTAGTTAGTCCATATAGATGGCCTACGAGGTCCCTAGCTAGATCATCATCCATCTAATTCTACACGGTTGAATCGCCTTAGTAGCCACTCCAACAGCTTTCAATGTGGATAACATCGGAGGAAATGCAGGACTTGTTAATCATCAAGAATGAAAAGAGATGGGAGTATGAAACGGCCCTCTAATTACGTATACACAGAAATATCTACATAAGGATGAGCCACAACAGATCGTATGTATGTCCTGTGACAGACAGAGGGAAGAATCATGTTAGGATCCAATCTTAGTGCACTTTACAATATGGTCCTACCATTGATGCAATCGAGTTGCCAACTCAGTCATCCGGCAAAAGACTAGAATTCTAAACGCAGTAACTTAGAACGTCCATCACTTATGGGCTTACTTAGGAAGTACCAATGCAGGTAGTGATGTGAGGTGATCGATCTTCACAAATCAAGATGAAGAAAATGCTATGATTCCTCATACTTCCATCTTCAATAACTGCCAGTGACATTCTACTCATTGATATTTTCCGTTTTCCTTGCTGCCACTAGACATCAAGCATCTCCACACATTCCTTCACATTTACTTACGACTAAAAGGGAAAAGAGCAGAAGAGTATTTTGAGGAACTAAATGGATTCCAAGCTTCGTCCACTGTCCCATGGTCTCTAATCTCGAAAATCGCCTGATGCAATCCTGCAAATCTCGCATGAGCCCACAGGAATATAAATAAACATAACCACCAGATCTCCATAATAAAGCATCAACTGCTAAGATCCCTGGCCTTCTAATAGTTCCCGGGATGCTTATTGTGAAAGAACCCAGAGCATGACAGGGTTATCGTCTCGTACCCACCGGCTTCAACCACATAAAATTCAGTCCTGTACACCTGGAAGTTTGGGCAAATTTCCATGGCATCTCGGACTACCATAACGGTATCCTGATCCAAAAATCAGGAGACGGTGGTTTATGATATCCCGATTACCGATAACTACATCGAACGGATGTTCCCCGCTGACCACATAAAAGTCCGACACATAATCGGTAATTTCATCTTTCATGGCCCAACAAACACTTCGGGCTATACCAACTGGTTTGATAGATTCGCCGTTCCCTGCTGACTGTAATGGCACCAGAATATCTGCAGTTGGCTCTTTCTCCAGCCCTAGTTTCTCAAAGACATCCAGTCGCATGATGTTGGCCTTGGTCCCAGTGCTCAAACTTATCACGGCTTTTATCTGGTCATTATTGGAGGTATATAAATGCCCATGGAACGTGAAGAGGCTATTGTCAAAATCCTCGTCAGGGTAAGTGCTGAAGTATGGAAGAAAGTACGCAGCCATGGTGGATGCTATTGATGGTGAGGTACGATGAACGTAAGTAGAAGAATTACAAGAGGAATAACGCTCTTATATAGGCGTACTAATTACATAATGCAAGATGTGCTTGGACTTTTGCGATAGAATTCTTCCGGATAGTTCTTTTATCCTCAAGTGATATCAGATGAAATCTTGATATCTAATTTGAAGAATCCCGGGCTTCCATTATATGATATCATAACATACTACTTGCAACAAAGCCACAATGCATTGAATCTTGTCTCGTTCGCTGAGTACACAAAACGACAATCACAAGATGAATGAACACCGGCAAGTCGCGTATATGTCCCAGTATGCTTACGCCTCATACAAAACTAACCAGCCTGACTCCTGTATATGAGGTGCAGATCACACAGATCTAGGAAGTCTCCGAGCTGTCGGCATATTACACAGGTTTGGCAAGAAATGCCGATGCGAATTAGACGATATAATATAGGCCAACAGCCAATGTCACGTGCCCGTCCATCACGCTTCTCTGGCCTCGCAGGATATCTCCTACTCGATCGGGGACTTCCGACACTTCCTGCAATAAGTTACCTTGACAGTGTTGGGCGGCTGGTTTCGCCTTTCAGCGGTGATAGAAGAGGGGCGCGACAGCCACGCCACAACAAAGATACCTGAACAAACAACTCTATCCCGGAACAATTCTCGGAAGCAATCATTGTCATGATAATTCCTTGGCGTTAAATAACGACTTGCTATAAAGTACAGGACCGCCAAGCTTAACAGATTTACTTTTGTTTGCTGCTTCGGAATTCTGCTAAGCGGTAGGCAATTGTGCATATTCCAGTACAGGGCTTACATGCAATCCGGAAAACAAGCCTCTAGTCGCAAATAACAGATTATGCTCATTGGAGAATTATGAAGCTTGTGCATTATGGTGATTCAAGAAGGAAATAAAAGGAGTCTAAGCGAAGACATGAACCGTTTTCAATGAGCAAATGGTTTCAACTTCGGGTCCAAAGGAGCCACATCCGCCACAAAGTCTGTCCACAGGCGTTCAAGAAAGTCATTCCCTGCAGGTTGATTCAGAAACGGCGGTCCCCTTGAATGAAAAAAAGGAATTAGCAATAAGCGCTTTTCGACACGGACAAGAAAGCTCGCTAGCTACTTACGGATCAATCTTGTTGCTTTGCATGAATTTACCATGACTCTCACGTCCACTGACGGCCGTTGCATAGATAGCTGTCCAACCCGCATGCTTCAAAGGCCGGGATGACGTCCCACGGTAGACGTACATAATTATTTTCAGCCAGCGGGGAATCCCCCGATCGAAACCTGTCGTTTCGACGAGACCAGGACAGAAGTTGTTGACGATGACTTCGGAGTCCGAAACAATCCTGGCTAGACGGCGGATGAAAGCGTTCACAACAAGTTTGCTATCGGAATAGCGCTGGAGGCCATGGTAGATCTTCGTGTCGTCATAGTGGCTTAGAACATTTTCATTGTCTGCGAGGGGGGCTTTGGTCAATGTATGGTGATACTGAGTTCCGGAGCCGACAAATGTCACCCGTGATGGACTTTTGCGCTTCACTGCTGTGGCTTGCAGGAGTGGGAGCAGCTCCAGGACTATTAGGAAATGGGTATAGCAGTTGACTGTAGGAATTAAATTAGGATAAACTCATTAAGGAGATTGGAGGAGGAACTCCAAGGGCATGGCATGATTGTCAAATGTTTGGTAAAATACAACCACATACCTTGCATCACCTGCTCATGGCCGTTTTTGCTTTCCTGATAGCTCATTATATTCATACCACCATTGCACAAGAGCACATCCAGGTCAGGGACCTCTCTTTTAACTTGATCACATAGTGCCAATCCCGAGTGGTAGTCGTCGAGGTCTAGGTGGAACATCTCAATGCGGGCTGACGGGTTAGCTGCAACTACCTCGGGATCCTGACAAAGTGCAGCGACGGCATGCTGGCCCTTGGACTTGTCCCTAGCAGTGATGATGACACGGGAGGCTTTGAGTGTCAGCATCTGGCGAGCGGTCTCGAATCCAATTCCGGTATTTGCACCAGTGATAAGGCATGTCTTGCCCTCCAGGCTTGTTCTCGGCGGATTTGGTGGAATGACTGGCTGACCCATAATCGGAGGATAGAAAAGAAAGATAACCCCAAAGAAAAGAAGACTAGGACGTGGCGAGTATGTTGTGGAAATGACTACTGGTTAGTTGGATGAAGGGCATCCCGAGGATACTTATACCTTTCCGCCCAGAACATGGGCACAGCCCACCCATTGTGGATTTATCAGAGGGAAAATCAAGGAAGCGATCCAAAGATTGAGAATCCACGTTTTGCATTCTCTGCAAGCTCTCTGATACTGCATCATGGCCGAAGGATCGCGCTAGCAGGGGTCGGGGACACTAGCAAGGATCGCATGCGCTAGCAGGGGTCGGATGCACTAGCAGGGGTCGGACGCGCTAACCGAGCAGGGTCGGCCAGGGGGCCGGGATGACAAGTGACTCTTCCTGCCCTCCGTCTCATCTCCCCCACCACCACTCAACGTCCTATTTCAATGGATCTTCAATCTGCCAATACTGTCGCTGGCGCTCTGCAGGCCGCCGTCGCCTGTTCCTCCTGTAGATCACGCAAGCAGAAATGTGATAAAGCGTGGCCCACTTGCTCGCGTTGTCAGCGGTGCGTATGCTGAGCTCCCATCCCTTTCAAACTATGGTAACATATTAAACAGACTACTGCTGAAATGCCATTATTCAGCACCGATTCCATCCCCTCCCTTATCAGATTCGATGAATACGAGTCCTGGTGGATCGCCAACACTGCCTAATGATCCCGAGCGAGCACTCGCCCAGGAATTCCGCCTCCTCCCCGAGGGAAACTCATTCCATCTGGCCCAATTAACAAACCTGATTGATAAGCATAAGCAGCAGCTATTGGAAATGGCGGAGAAGTTCCTATCTTCTTGTCAAAGGTGGGTGGCAATCGTCCACAAGGCCACCTTCCGAGAGCGCTGCAGTAATCTACAGGTGCATGGTTCTCGTGATTTCCTTCTTCTGTTAGTCGCCATGGGCATGATCACGCGGCCTCTGATGAGTGGCAACGAGCCTGACTCTCTACGCGAGTCTATGTATGAAGTCCTAAAGCGACTGTTTTGGGATAAGGACACTGTCGCCCGCCCGTCGGTTGCTTTAATTCAAGCAGGGCTACTTCTATCAGTCTACGAGTACGGACACGGGCTGCTCAATGCTTCTTACGTGACCAGCAGTGTCTGCTCTAGCATGGCACAGGTCAGTGGATTCTGTGATGCTCCACAAGCCCCTCCTCTTCCGCGCCTAGGCACCCTAGCGTCCCAAGATGAAATGCTGCACACCTGGTGGGGCATTATCATCCACGAGCGGTTGGTATTCTCTCTAATAAGCGGCTCATAATGTACTGTTAAGATCTGTCTAGAATGATTAGCCTGACAGGCCGCCTTCCTATCCGGCATCTGCGTACCCGGGATCCCGGGGCCATGGAAAATGCGTCACTCGAAGCGGAGCTCCACACAATCATGCCAAAGCTTGCTATTGATAGCCACTATCCGGCATTTTATCTGCAGGCAAAAGCTGCTATCTGGTTGGACCGAGTTCTTGAAATTGTCCAAAGCCCTGTTGTGGCATCCGAAGAAGGCCTCTCACACTTTCAGGCTGTGGACCGGGGTCTAGTCCAATTTTTGAGAATTCTGGTTCAGTTAGGCATGGGAACGTGCTGCGAGGCGATTGCTATCGCGCTGAAGTGAGTTTATCTATCTACCGGTAATACGAAGCCTATTAATGCATCGCACGCTCATTATTCTCAAATAAACCCTTAAATATTCACGCCACTAATCACCTTCATCTAGTGCTTTCTTCTGCCTCCATCACTGGCGCCTTGACCCTCGTACCCCTTCGGCTTTCACTGAGCAGCAAAAAGATGAATCGTCTCAGGCAATCAGAACTGTCCTCACTATTCTCGCAGACATAGCCTCTGATCAGGTCTATTCGAGCGAGTCCATGAAGGAGCTGAACGATGGCATGGTTGAGGCTTTCCCGTATACTATTACCATGATCTACCAGCTTCTACTTGAACTGCGGGATCATTTTCCTCCTTCGGATTACCGGAGTTCAGCCGAGTCATCGCCCCAATCACTCTACGCTCTGCAGGATAAGATAAATATGATGAAGTATATCTTAGTAAAGCAAACTGTGCGATGGGAAATCTCACGTGCGTATATTCCTCGCGTTCTAATCCTTGCAGCTCTGTGTTCTGGAACACACCAACTAAGTGTAACTCCACTGACGTACTTTGTACTTAGGTCAATATGTTGACAATCTGAACAACATGTCGGGGGCTACCTTGCATATGACGGGTAAATAGGAGCCGGAATATAGTTTGATCTCAATACTCTGTCCTACTATCGATACATAAGCTCACCTGGCGACCTTGTTATGTGGTAGCACATGTCCCCTGTCTAATTTATCTATCATATGTTTACCTATTTCGTACATGTTTGTACGATCGAGTTCTAGTCCCCCCTTCACAAACCTCCGCGATATACGCCATCTTCGATATTTTGTGTCGGCGAAGTTATCATTCTTTATCGGAGGCACATATATCCGATGGACTGATATAGGCAACCCATTCCGTTTAACCCATAGTAAAACTAGCTAACGTAACCAGTACGTATTATTTGGGACCAAATACACCGTAATATATTTCCAAGCCCTAACAAATTATGTACCTCAGGTGAACAATCACAACACAAATATACATGACCAAGCGTACTCAACATTTAGTGCGATACCCATCAATAAGAACACGAAGTGGCTCAGATCGCCACTGCGCGATTCTAACTTCAAACGATTCACCTTCAATAGAGAGTAGATCGTAAGCCACATCTGGTCGAAGCCGGGGAAAAGGAATCTCGTGTTGAATGTCAATTTCGTCGTCATCGCTCTCACTGGAATCGTCGGTATCAGACTCGCTGTAGTCAGAGTCCGATGGTTGTATTGCTAGACTTTCGAACTTGGATGTTAAATCGATGTCCATTTCATCGCTGGAGTCCTCACATTCATCATATTTGTCGTCTTCTTGAGAATCATCCATCGCATCGGACTCGTCGTCTCCATGAGAATCTTCTTCCTCGGAGTCTTCCTCTTCGGAGCCTTGATTGGGTTCCTCTTCTCCTTCTCCTTCATCCTCTTCCTCCTCCTCTTCCTCTTCCTCTTCCTCTTCCTCTTCCTCTTCCTCTTCCTCTTCCTCTTCCTCTTCCTCTTCCTCTTCCTCTTCCTCTTCCTCTTCCTCTTCCTCTTCCTCTTCCTCTTCCTCTTCCTCTTCCTCTTCCTCTTCCTCTTCTTCTTCTTCTTCTTCTCCTTCTTCTTCTTCTCCTTCTTCTTCTTCTCCTTCTTCTCCACCAGAGTCCTCCATTACATCCGAGTCGTCGCTTGCATCAGAGTCACCAGTCTCCATGGATTTATCACTCTCACTTGTGTCATCCCCCTCACTGGAGCAGTCTGAAATATGATCACCACCTCCGGATCCAGACTCGGACTCCTGGTTTAGTGAAATATCTTGGACTACTGGCATCGCATCAAAGTCCATAGAACGCCCTTTCTTAGAATAACGAGTCCTGATATCATGAACTTCTTTCATGAACCTCTCCCGCCTTTTCCAATTTTTGTAGCCCGGACGGTCTGTATTGAATACGAAACTTTTGTTTCTGTACAGAATGTCTCTGTTTAGAAGATCCAAGAAGCGCTTCCTAGCTGGACACCTCTTCTCTGATTCAAAGACAGGATCAATCAAGTGCAGCGTCTGGACCTTGTTTTCTGTACACCAATTTAGTAGGAAACCGTAACCCTCCCCCGAGATTTTAAAATTCCCTAGGACTAATCTCTTCAGCTTTGAGAATGGGGCCTTAAAGATCTCCCTGTCGACAAAAGCCTCCTTATATACCCGTAGCTCGAGAGTCTGAAGATCTTCGGTGTAGAAGGCATGATACCACTTGGACCATGTTCCAGCATCAAGGGATAGGGATAGATGTCTGAGCGATCGAAGATGCTCCGAGAGACCCGCTTTCATCAGGGCAGAACACACAGGTGGTGAGAAGGCAATCCCTGGGAATGGTTCAATCGAGGGCTTTTCGTCCGTTCGATCGCAAGAGATGTGGGGTGCATCGACAGTGTATGACAGAAGGTTGATGTTCGCGCGACGGCAAGCTGTCAGCAGTAAGATTTGAGCGCGATCATGTCTATCGTGAATATTACTGAAAGCTTCCCCCCGGCAATCTATGTCCTCCGGACTATGAAGAAGTTGTGTAATATAATGGTAAATCTCGTCATCGTCCGAGTTCATTAGTGGCCGAACAGCTTCATTCCACTCCGGGGCTTTCCTCCAAGAGCGAGCCCGTGGGTTCCAGTGGCGCATAGCAGGAGATTCGACTGAGCAGATATATGGTCGCGTCGGATGTAGATGGTTGATTTGAGACTCATCCACCAAGTGGCCAAACAGTGCCGGTGCAGGACTTGTGTTGTCGCTATCCATGGTGATCCATCGAGACATAAGGCTTGTGAGGGTCGCATGTTTTATTCCTGTCAATTGGGGCAGTGCCCATGTCAGAACTCTGAAATCTCTACCGATCCAGCTTAGCCAATACAAGTCATCATCGATACCATAGAATATTGAGACATCCCAGATGAGCTCCCGCACACATGCCGCAATCCGAGGATGTTGGGAGATCCTCGCGAAAACTTTGAGGTCCTCTCGTTGTGCGGACATGTATACACGGCTGAAGAGATGCGAAAGAGGTGAAACGACCAGGTCATTGAGGCATTTGCATGTCAGACGGACGTTCTTCAGAGAATGACGAGGAAGGTTGTTAAAGATAAACCGTGCCACCTCTGGACGCCAGAAAATGGATGGGATTCCGCTTTTTGCGGATCGGACAGGTATCTGCATGCTTTCAGACATGGCGCCTCACGACAGAAATTCTTGGCTGTCAATTGATCAGAGTATGGGTTGCAGATGCTCCGCCTCACCGTTGATCAGATGAAATGTGTATATGCACGGGGCAAGTTCTACCTGATGTTAATCCGCAAGACTCGTAACAAGATTGCATCAATCTTGAGAGAAAAATGCAGGCCGGAATTAAAAAAGTATCCACATGTAGATGATAAGGGCCGTTTTATAGACATCCTGGGATCGTCCCCACAAAGCTTGAACTTTTACAGCAGGCATCTTCCGCCAATGATGATGTTTGTCTCTGATGGTGTGAAAGAAGGTTTGACAAAGAATTGGCACATCAACAAAGGGTATGAGTGAATGACCTGCCTGAGGAAACGGATTATAATCTTGATTTCTCGGACATTGAACGGATTCTCAACGGATGTCAATCCCTTGGATGTGCAGTTGACTTATGTCCCAATTTATTTTCATTCTACCACTAGGCGCCAGGTGTCAGCTTGTATCAGAAGGGCATGGTGTCTTAGAAGTGTATACTCCTGTCCACCTATTTGAAGCTCTCCTTTGTCTCTTTGTTCATTGTTCTGGCGGACAGTAATTGTCTTCATTGTGTCGTGGATCGCTAGGACTTTAGTCTTACCCTATGCTCTAATCTTTGTCTTTCCTATATAATAGAATGCTTTGTCTTTATAGGAGTTGGTCTTATTGCTAGGAACATACCTCAGCTTCGGCAATTCACATTATAGTATCGACAGGCTCCATCAAGCCCTGCGCTGGGTAGTTGTCAAGTTCTGTGAGCAGAATTTGTTTCAGACAAGGAATAAAACACATCTATGTGGGACTACGGTTTGGCGCTTGTGGTATAAAATCTCATATGATCGTAAGGGGGTCATGATGCCTCAGTTTCAGGCAGCCACGGATTGGGCGGTGAGAATTCTGCTACATGCAAGATTGTGTCTTTTTTAAAATAGCAGGCGGAGGCAGAAAAACCAGATTTTCTTGTAGACAGTAACCAAATAGGCAGGCGGTATACACGTCAAACTCCGCTAGTCCCCATTTGGCAATGTCGAGCAATCCCAATGGTGGCCCGAGGCATCAGCAACTGCGTTCGGCGATTTTTGACATTCTCGCGGCATTTTGCGGGATATTTGTCATCAATCATCGTATGACCCGATTTCAAGGCTCTTCCTCTTCTCCTCAAGTTTCCGCGCCTACTCAATCAATCAATCTCAAGGTTAAGAACACCCCTGCACTGCTCTCATATCAACATGACGTCTTCCCGCTCTCTCCAGGCCTCGGCCTTGACATTTACCACCCTCGCCATTGGACATACGGTATGTGCTGTCTGCACCACGAAACAAGATAATCTCCGACATCGCGTTCATTTGATACCCACTCCTACCTTCTTTCAAACGTTCATTGCATCGTACTGACCAATTAGCTTGGGGGGAGACAATGGACCGCTGAGCCAGTCTTCGGCACCATTGCGGGCTCGAAACCATGGGCCTGTGGTATTGTTGGCTGGTACCAGGTATTCCACCCAGCACCTGAACATGAAACAGAACTGACAATGTCTTCAGGGAAGTGCCTTTTTCTTGGCGACAGGTATGTATCTTTCTTCTCTCGCTCCATCCAATTCTAAAACAACGATAGGCCTCCTTCATTATCAGTGGTCCCATAACCCCCGGGCCCTGCAAGATCCAACTAACAAGGCCATCGCCATCATCGTCAATGCGCTGATGTGGGCAAGCTCCGCTTGGTATTTCCGCACGGGTATCAAGGAGAATGGCTGGGTGGTGGGATTCGGCGCTGCGCTGCAGGCGTGGGCGGTGGTGAGGGCCTGGGCTAAGTATTAGTGGGCTTCCGATATTCTCGGAGATCCGAATTACATCCATGGCACTTATCATAGTGTAGTTACTCAAACATATTATTTTAATATAGTATGTCAGCTCTACAGTATTCGAACCAATGATGTATCATTACCTACGGAGTTCCCCTCCGCAGAAAATGTCAGTCTCCAGGACTCAGCAGGCATCGTACCAGGCAACCACCAGTCAACCACCAGTCTTTATTACGGAGATTTATTCTTCAACATGCTTTTTGTCCCCTTCTCTCCGGTTATTCCCTCATCTACCGCTTACAATGAATCTAAAATCGTGGAGAGTTAAGTTAAAACGATCTCGGGGACGACAAAAGCAACCCCCGCCCAAGACACCGGAATTACTCACTGAACTCTGGACTGAGATAGGATCCTATCTCACACGTCATGAGCACCTTCGGCTGGTGCTGGTGAACAAACGGTTCTATGAGGTCTTTAGCCCAGTTCTCTATCGCGAAGTTGACCTCTATGTGGTTCAGTACCACCACGTGGAACATGTTGGGAGGGTTTCTATAAACGACCTTCCTCTACGCCGATTCACTCAGGCAGTCATCGAAAACCCACGCCTAGCATCGTTTTTACACTGTTTGAATCTGCGTGTCGCTCAAACTGGCTACGGCTTGCACAACAGGTCAAAGTTGGCTGTTCACCCCGAGGACTCCTACCGAGAGTCCCTCCTTCCACAAGATTCCACCGAGCAAGACCAAGAGATATATAAAAAATGGAAACTAAAGCTTTATTCTTGTTCTAATCAGGAGGAAGCCTGGCTGAGTCTTCTACTTGTTCGTCTGAAGAACTTGGAGATTCTTTGTTTCAAACCAAGTTGGTATTATGCACGAATCATCAAGAAGAGTTACTGGAGTACAAACTTCATTTCTCAAGTCCTGAAATGGGCGGCAGATCCTAGGACGGATGTCTTAAAGAAACTCAGAGATATCACGGTTGGGTCGGGCCTGTTGCAATGCGTATATAAACGTTACTGGAATCAACTGATGCCTTTCGTCAAGTTAGCGTCTCTGCGCAGGCTTTCGTTACATAACGTTGCCAGTTTTAGTGACGAAATGCTACCACCAATTATACTACTGAATTAAAAGAGGTCCACATTGATGGGGCTCATGGTCATATGCCTGAAATCCCACAATTTCTAGCTATGTGCCCCAAGCTCGAGGTTTTCAGGTGTTATCAACACCGTCCCGAATGGGACCTTTTTCGCCATTTTCCTGGACAAGCCAGGTCTATAAAAGCATCGGGCTTCTATGCGCCCCTTGATAAAGCCAGGGCTACGCTGAGACATATCGCAATCGGATATCTAGGCTTTCGTTGCGATCAAGTTCACAGATATGCCGATTGTTATGAACCAAACTTACTTGGGGATTTATCTGATTTTCCTGTTTTGGAAAGGCTCGAGATGAGAGTGAGCAATCTTGTGGTTTTGAATCCCATATTCCATACGCCTTTGGCAACTCTTTGGAAACTTCTTCCAAGATCGTTGAAATTCCTGGAGATTAAGGATTGTCTGATCCGGTCATTGAAACTGCTCTGCGATCAATTGGAAGAGCTAGCCAGTCACAAAGAGAAGGAGCTACCCAATCTGAAAGCACTAACCATACGACTCTCCCCTCATGAAGACGGACCTGACGGAAAATGTTATCGGTCTACAGAAACTTAACGGGACATAAACCATTCTCTTGGGCATGATACCTTGTGTCAGATTGATATGTTGAAAAGGAAGTTTTCCAAGTTGGGGGTGGAATGCACTTTTGTTTTTTCTGAGGATTTTCGAAGGGTGCATCCTATCTCTGCGAATTATAAAAGATTGGGGTTTCTGGACTTTATGTTTTGGAGAATTCCCGGGTGGCGATGAACAGATATCAGTGAGGCTTAATAGACAGTTATGTTATGCGCTAGAGCTTGCTATTGAACATAACTAAATCAGATAGTCAATATCCACAGTACACAGTACCTCCATTGCCCTCCAACTAGTAATCCCAATACAACCTGTCCTTCTGCTCCTTCTCGTTAAATCCTAAAACCCTATTCCGCACACATGCCAACTCATGCAACTCTCCCACATCACCCACCATCACTCACTCACCTTCAACCCATTGACCCCCAAATTTCACAGCCTGCATCCCTCCCCCACCTGCATCCCCTCTCGCCACCCGAACCGACCCCCCACCACTCAACTCAAACACCTCCCTCCTCTCCAATCCCCTATTACCAACCATCACCCCTCCAGCCTCCACAACCGGCATCCCATCTATCTCCGACACCAGATCACCATTCCCTGCATTCACATCATCCTTCCCATCTATCCCTCTCTGTAAAATACCTCCCTCCCTTATCCTCTTCCTCTTCCTCCATCTCCAACACCACAAACCACCAACCACCACAAACATCAAAAGACCACCTACCCCAACCCCAACTCCAATACCCACTTTCGCTCCCGTCGACAGCCCCGTTTCCCCAATGCCTAAATTAGGTTCCATCGGCACGGGGTTAACCATTGTTGAGAGAATCCGTGTTTCTGTTACTGTGATGAGCATCCATGGTTGGGTTGGTGTGGGGAAAGTGGCAGCGGAGGAGGACATGGAGGCGGAGGTGTAAGGGGTGGTGATGGATGTTGTTATCTCTGGGTCGAGCGGTGGGGGGTTGGGGTGTTGGGTGCTGCTGGATACTCGGGACTGGTAGATTGTTGTTACGGTGGAGTAGATTGTTAGGGTTGTGGTAGGTTCGTTGTTGTTGTCGGTGCGGGGGTGGAGGTCGGGTGGAGGTCGGGGTGGAGGGAGGATAGTGGCGTGGGTTTGGTGGGCCTAGGTTTGAAACATAGGTGCTAGATGGATTTAAATGAGTTGGCACCATGATCAGGGGATTACATTTCTGGGTGTGATGGCAGTGTACTGGTTGGTTCTTAGAAGCAGATGTTTGAGGTTGTTGAGCTTTATGTGGAGGATCAAACACGGTGATGAGAGTGGTTACTGCGGGAAGAGGTACTGGATGGAGTGTTGTAGGCTCATTGCTTGGGAGCATTCGTTTGCATTTTAGATGCTAGGTGAGCAGAATTGAAGGATTTCTGGACAGGGGAAAGAGAAGAGGGTGACCTGTGTTATCTACTTTGCTAGCTGGGTGATGTTTCCAATCGTCCTGGAATCAGGGCGGCCAATGCGAGATCTGTCTCTACTGTCCACCAAATCTGATAAATTGGAATGTACATTTTCCGTTCAAATGCGATTATTAATGTGCTCTGAGAACCATAGCCACATCTCTATAGTCCGGGGAAGTTGGTCAATTATCATCTGTTGAAAATGGGGCAAGTGGATACAGATATCGACATGGGCAAGCTGCCATTGGCACGGCACAAGGTGATGGGTCCGTGGACCATGGGCTGGTTTTAAATGCTCCAGTTTCCCCACCCACAATGCGATCAACATCATTCAACTAAACCCTCTAATTATGAGAGTCATGCCTGATACTAACCAGAACAGTCAATCTAAAAGTTCAATTCTGAAATCATGACATCAGAGAGAACATTCCTAGGCAGTCCCGGAGGAATCCCGACCTGACAACATCTCCTCCCGGACTCTCCGCGGACTCTCCGGCCCACACATCCTCTCCGGTCGCATCTACACTATAAAACATCCATCATCCCAATTCCACAACCATCAATCACAACCATCATTCCACAATCCAACCCAGCGAAGCCAAAAAAATGCCACCCCCCACCCCCCTAATAATCGGCAGCGGTATCGCGGGCCCCATCCTCGCCATCTTGCTAAAACGCAAAGGCTACCATCCTCTCGTCTTCGAAAAAGTCCCCGCCCTAGGAGACGCCGGCGCATCCCTAATGCTGATGCCGAATGGGTACCCCATCCCCATCCCTAAATTCCCCCAATTAACCACCACTAACCTCTGAACCAAACAGAATGAAAATCCTCAACCTCATAACCCCCACCACCACCTTGTTATCCACCCGCAACCCCTTAACCACCCTCTGGCACGGCACTGCCTCCGGGGACACCACTCTGGGGGAATCGAATCTACCCAGTACCTATACGGAGAGATATACCCAGCCGGCGATGGGGATTAAGCGGACGGAATTGAACCTTCATTTGAAGGAATTGCTCGTTGAGAATGGGATTCCGTTGTATGAGGGGTATAATCTTTGCAACTTTGACGAAGATGAAGAATTAAAGACAGTGATGGCGTATTTTACAAACGGGGAAAGGGTAACAGGGTCGTTTTTGGTCGGGTGTGATGGAATCAAGTCTTCCACCAGAAGAATCCTACTTTCTCGACAGGGCGTGAGCGAAGGAGACCCCGTGTTTACAGGTTTACTGCAAGTTGCGGGGATTTCGAGGGGGGATTTAGGCGGGATGTTGGGGGAGAGAGGGGTGGGAGGACTGAGTAATTGGTATGGGGAGGGGGTGCATGTTGTTGGGTATCCGGTCTCTTCTTCCTCTGGGAGTGGTGATGGGGAGATGTCCTGGGCTGTGACGTTAGCAGGCACCGAGGTGGAAGAGACATGGAAGGCTGTTTCTGATGGAGAGGAGATGGAGAGGCGAAAGGCGATGTTGAGGGAGAAGTTAGTGGGGTTTGAACCAGGGTTATTGGAGATGGTGGAGAGAGCAAATCGCATCATTTCCTATGGATTGTTTGATCGTGCCGAGGTGGCAGCCGAGCAGTGGTTTTCCTCCCGGGCAGTGTTGGTGGGTGATGCGGCGCATCCGACCAGTCCGCATTTGGGGCAGGGGGGGAATCAGGCTTTGTGAGTTTTCTTCTCCTCTTTCTTTTGTGGATGGTGATGGTGGGGTGGAGTGCTGATGTTTGCAGGGAGGATTGTTATCATTTGAGTCGATTGCTGCCGGATGTGAGTGAGGGGGCGGTGGTGGACGGCTTGGAGGACATCTTTGGGGAGTTTGCCCGGTTGAGACAGCCACATACGGCGGCGTTGGTCAAACAGGCTCGGCATTTGGGAGAGCAGCGCGTGGTGCTGGGGGGTCCGGAGCGTTGTCGAGAGCGCGATGCTGGGATTGTTGCGGCTTGGAGTGATCAGGAGGCTGTGGCTGAGGGATTGGATCGTTTGTTTAGGGAGCCGTTTTAGGGCATTCTTGGGATGGTTGAGGGCTGCGGATTTGGGGGTGTGGTATTTGAGGCGTTTGGTTTGCAGGCATGTAACAATAGACTTGCTGGAATAATTGATAGAGCTATACATGTACCTGAATGCATTATACAGATACATCATGCTGCTGCATCTATAAAACAGTCTGATACAGTCTCTCCTCATCCAGAGCAGAACTCTCCCGCTCATCCAGCCACACCCCCACAAAGCGAACCACCTCTTCATGCACGCTAATAATCTCCTTTGGTACTTCCTCCCCATTCTTGATCTCCTGTCCCGACAACCCGTTCTGATCCCAGTGATGCACCGCACCCCGAACATCATCCCAGACATCCGCTGCAGGAATATCCAGCATAATCACCGGCTCGCTATCGGTCGAGTTTCGGCTCTCCCAGTCGACACCATCCGCCAGCGGTGTCGCATCGCGCCACGGGTCTGCAAGTCCGCCGATGATCGCTACCCGCGGGTAGGAAAAGTTGAACCCGCCGTATTGATTGATCCGTTGGACGTCTGGAGGCGTGGAAATGCCGAATTGACTGGCGCAGAATGAGGAGAGGTAAGGAATGTCGAGAAGACGCGAGATCAGTGGCTTGATCGTAGCAGGAACGGAGGAACCGGTGGTAAAATAACCCCATTCAACACAGACTTGGTACGACCAGCTGGTGTCGGAGCTCTTGGTGAGGGGCTGCGGGGTGGTAAAGTCCGCCGTGCTGGACGAAGATTCCGAGGATGTGTTGGCAAACACCCCCGAGGTATTCAAGAATCCGATCCAATTCAGGAAATTCGTCACGAGGGTGGTGTTGGACGGGCTGTAGCCTGCAATCTCGATCAATTGCTTCACGGAAGTAGAGATCGGATCGGTCGTTGTGGGGTACAGCAGCTGCGAATCGGTGATGTTGTTGCAAAAGGCGCGGAAGAGAGGCGTTCCGACAGCTTTGTCCCAGTTACGAGATTGGAATGAATCAAGGCCGTAGGACAGATACGAGACAAAATTCTGGTTTTTGAGACTAGGGGCGGTGCCTCCAAAGGCGGACTTGAGCTGCACAGCCAAGCTAGTATTATCGGCGTGACTGATGAGAATCTGGTCCACGATGTCGACCGACGTCTGCAGAGCAGAGATGCATTGCGCCGGACCGTACAGTCGGATCGGCTCGTAGTATTCCCAATAATCAATAATGGCTTCGGTGACCCCGGATGACGACACCGCGCCCCAGTATACCTCGGGATACAGCTTCCGGAGGAAGGCAACAAAGGCACCGGCGTAGGAGCCGCCATAGGCGATCCACGGGGTGGTGGCTGCCGTGAGATCGAGGTCCTCGAGTCCGGGAAAGACAACGTTGGAGGCAAAGTAGGCGTAATCGGCCATTGCCTGCTCGGTAGTCAAGAAGCGGATGTTCTCGGTGGTGAGGTTAGCGAACGGGTAGCTCTCCCCGTAGTACCGGTGCTCCAGGATGAGGCCAACTCCGTGGTAGGCTGCGGCCAGCTGGGTGACCACGCCCTGCGAGAGAAAAGGAATGCGATCGTTGCCATCTGTTTCACCAGCCGCGATCACAAAAACCGGACCTCCTGGGCGGTAATGGGTGGTGTCGAGCCAGTAGCGCAGACCAAAGGTGGCATTGGTGTGCGGCTCATAGCGGGATTCATTGTGGAAGTGGTCAATAGGCACGGAAAGATTGTACACGGGGAAGGTGGCAGATTGCGCCTCGAAAGACGGTTGACTGAGCTGGCTGAGGTGGTGCAAATGTGGCAGCCGCTGCTCCAAAGGGCTGGAATCCAGGGCTACACTCGAGGCAATCAGGGTCCCCAGTAGGGACAGCGACAGGAACATGGTGGCGTGCATCGTGATGAAGAATGGGGCCCCACGATTAATTTATCTACCCTTGACCCGCGGGAAGGGAGCTTTATCTAATCCGAAATTACCAATCAGGCTGTGGCAGGCCGGCAACTCGTCCTGGCAACTCGACGGCCGATCTGCTGATCCGTCGGTCCCCGACGGGGCTGGTTAGCCGAGAGGCTGCATCACGACATGGCACATCACAGAGTCGTGATTCATGTTATTGTTATTAATCGTCATAAGTCTTCTGCTATTTTCCAACAGATCGCAATCTGTTTCATTGCAGATGTAAGGATTATGGATCCTCGAAGTGTTCCCAGGAATATATATATGGACTGCTGGTGCATTCAGTCCTCGTCATTATATACACATCACGTACACCGCTACTCAATTCCTCACCTCGGTCCTGATGCCTCATGACAGATCCACTCGAGGGCCGGTAAAGTTCTTTCGTCCATCCACCACCCACTGCACCGCGGAGATGATGACAATGATCGCAAAGGCGACAATGCAGTAGTCTACACCTATCAGCACTATCACACACCTCAATCAGGGAGTCTCACTCATGTTGTTACCCGTAACGGGTCGGTCGGGTGGGAACAGAAACAAAACAGTGGTGAGAGCGATATACGAGAGCGAAATCTACGCCGTCAGCACGTATCACATCCAGCACACCGGGATACATACGATATCGATCACCCATCCAATGGCATTAGGAATCTTCCATTTCCGATCGGGCAGAGTCCTTCGTCCCCGCAGGCAATTCACGGCGATCGGCATGGCATAGGACAGATCCAGTGCGACCACCGAGGCCGAGACGATCGCATTGAAGGCACTGCTGGATCCCAGATAGATGCATCCAAAAATGATCACCACAACGGACGTCAACATCAGCGCGTTGAGGGGCAGTCCCAGCCTGGGATGCACGCGCGCGAAAAACTTGGATGCGGGGAGACCTCCATCTCTGTGCGACATTAGCCTCGTCTATCGGAGGGTCGGACTGCATACCTGGCAAATGCAAAGATCATCCGGCTACTCGTTGTCATGACGCTGAGTGTCGCAAACAACAAACACACGAGCGGCAACCTATTTTCGTCAGCTTATCATCCAGCAGCGAGTGATAACCATACATGAGCAGACAGATTCCTCCCGCCCGGTTATTCGTCGCGTGGATGAGGATTTCCAGCAGGGGCCCGGCACTCGAGCTGACCACATCGTCCATGTTGCCCGCGACGAACAAAAGGACAATCAGGAAGATGGCGCCCGTGAAGGTGCCGATGCCGACACACACCACCATGATCTTGGGTCCTTTGATCGAGGGTTGCGGGATTTCTACATCGGTCAACATCGGATCTTATAATCCGCTCAGGGTAATACCTTCGATCATATGGGCCACCGCGTCCTGTTCAGGTCAGATGGGTACTGAATAGTTATATGGTAGGCTTACAAATGCAGTAACTCCGAGTCCTCCTTGAAGAAGCTGTATCTGTTAGCATTATCCAAAGGGAGAAGAGATGTGGCTCACCCCCAGCATCCAAGCCACTCCATCAGGCCCTGTCCGTCATTAGATGCGTCCTATTCTCAATAAGCAACAAACTTACAGCCGGTTTGGTTGACAAAATCACAAAACACAAAGCTATATGCATGGTCAGCATGGGCCGCCAAACACACGGCAGACATACTAGGCGGAGTTGAAATCCGGGGCGGCACAAGCCAACACCGTGATGCAGATAAGCACAAAACCCCCGATGGACCAGGTAACTGTCCCGGTTAATGACCCGCTCTTCTTTTTGCTGCAACAACTTACACGCTCCGCGGTAGATGATCGGCAAAACCGAGTTCATAAATGCATTGACGACAAATGCAAGCAGAGTATATCCCACGTAGATGAGAAACTCTTGCCAGCGTTGCCAAGCAAAGTCCTGTCTGTCATCAGCATCAGAACCGCTGTCGGAGGAGCAGACTCACGGGATACACAGCTGACACGATCCCTGCAATCAATTCGCAGGAAAGGAGGGCATTGGTGGCCACCAAAGCAACCTGGCTGGTTAGTAATGATCAGACTATTCTGCGGGGACATACCCATCCCGCCACATTAATCCATCCGGTCACCCAAGACAAGACGGGAACCCATTTTGGCCAGGATACTATGGATGTTAGTGTCGTCCGGGACTGGGATATTCCTACGTACTCGCTGCTGATGGTTAGTACGGCCACGCATCCAGGCTTCGGGAACATACCGGCTACCCAATGATATTGACCTCCCGCTCTGAGTCATCCGTCAATACGATGCTGCCATCCATCTCATTTGTCTCCCACTCACGTTGGATAAGCTGACAGGAACTCTGCTAGCGAGACAGCAATGCACATGTTGCAGAACCCCGCCGTCACCAACCCTGGGAGGATCAGCACCCAATCGAGAAGACAGTTCAATAGTACCCACCCCAGACAACACTAGTGCTTCCTCCGGAAGGCAAGCTGAGCGATAAACTCGCGGACAGGGCTGTCCAAGACTATCGGCATATTGTGAGCACGTGTCTCGATTGGATGTACTGCAGTACGCACGTTAAGCACCGCAAAAGCCAGCCCGAGCATGGATCTAATTTCGGGTCAATAGGGCTCCGCGGGGCAATCCGGAGCCGGACCTACAAGGTGGAAAAGTTCCGTTGCAACTCCTGCTTGTGGCCCATCTCGGCCAACTGGACGTCATCCTCGGGGCCATCTTGAGTGATTTTCTTTTCCTCCATGGTGATAATCGGAGAGGTGTAAACGGGGTATTTTTCAGAGGACTCGTTGCGACATGAGGTTGCTGGCGGGTTAAATCGCGAGAGGGGCAATCGTGGCCCGCAGTGACCGGGAGAGACTATGGATCGAAGTGGAATGTCCAACCTCATGCGGGGAAGCTTAAGCTGCGACGAGCCTGTCAACGCTCGATGAGCTGCCAAAATTGATCCATCGGGAACGGCCCCAGGCACCGGTTCATTTCGGCGGGGATGCCTTATCTCCTTATCTCCCAGGCTGCTATCTATCGGCCGCGTCCACCAATCAGCAACTGCTTCCGCCTCACCCGCCTGGACATTCCTGTCTGGTATGGTCAATGAACATCCCTTGTTGCCCGGTCTGCTTATCGCCTTTCAGATCCATTCCAAGGAGGCTCACGTGCCCCGGGCTGCTGCCAAGCCAGCCTGTCCCGATCACAAGGCGTCCGCCAGCCCTTCACCGGTCATCCCAGCCGTTCCGTGCAGACACACTATTGATTGTTGCTTTTGCCCCTTGGAACATGCCCGGCTATTTGAGCTGGCCCATGTCCGGCTGACCGTGGTCACCCAGGTCCTGTCCTGGGCTGTTTTAACCCCGTCTTCACCTGGGTGGTATTCCTACTCTTGTGAATCTACGAGCATAGCAAACAGTCCATTTAATGCAGAGAATATATATCGTCCACTTCCGCTCCTCGTAGACCGAGCACCATGCATACGCATTCTCCCGCCTTCTCATTATACGCCCTTTTAGCAACCATCTTCCTTTGCTCATGCTCCGCTTATGTTGCCCAGACACCACTTAGCGATGACAGATGTACCGATACCACCGTGGCCATCTTGTAGGGTCCCCACGATTACGCTTGATTAGGGTCTGACATTGACAGGGGGGGTGGCATGGCCGGCGTTGCGGCTGCAGTAGGTGCACCCCTGTTGCCCTAAAGCCCTAGCTCACTGCCACAGCAAGCCTTGTCCAATGCATCCATCGACGACTTCGTCATCCTCGAGTACCGCGACACCCTAGGCGGCCGGGTCTGGCATACCGACTTCGGAAAAGATAAGCACGGCAAGCCGTATGTGGTCGAGTTGGGGGCGAACTGGGTATGACACCTGCACTATCGTACTGACGTCAACCTCACCATCAACAGCTCCAAGGGCTCGGCTCTGAAGCAACTGAGAATCCGGTCTGGGCACTGGCCAAAAAGTACAACCTCCAGAATACCTACTCCAACTACAGTTCCATCCGAACCTACAATGAAACCGGCTACACCGACTTCCGTCACCTGCTGGACGTCTACGCCGAAGCATACCAGATCGCCGCCCGCGATGCCGGCCGGATCCTGACGCAGAACCTCCAAGACCAAACCGCACGCACCGGCCTCGCTCTCGCCGGCTGGCGACCGCGCAAGAATGATATGGCAGCACAAGCGGTGGAATGGTGGAGTTGGGGTATGATTTAAGAGGGGGAGACCCAACCCTTGCCTGTTCCGGAGGTCGCGCCATCCCATCAACTAACGGACGCATAGACTGGGAAGACGCCTTTACGCCCGAGACCAGCTCGCTCGTCTTTGGAATCGCCGGGGAAAACCTCACCTTCAACCAGTTCGGCAAAGCCAACCATCTGGTCCTCGATCCCCGGGGCTACAGCACCATCATCGAGAACGAAGCCGCCACTTTCCTCAACCCTGTCCACGATTCACGCCTCCGACTCAGCACACCCGTCACCAGTATCGAACACTCCGCCAACGGCGTGACCATCCACAACAAAGACGGCACTTGTATCCGAGCAGCCTATGCCATCTGCACCTTTTCCCTGGGCGTGCTTCAGAACAAAGCCGTGACCTTCCACCCCGAGCTTCCCCGGTGGAAACAGACCGCGATCGAGAAATTCAACATGGGCACCTACATCAAAATCTTCATGCAGTTCGAAGAGACCTTCTGGCCCAACGACACCCAATTCTTCCTGTATGCCTCGCCAACCACCCGCGGCTACTACCCGGTATTCCAGTCCCTCTCAACAGAGAACTTCCTCCCCGGATCCAACATCCTCTTCGCGACCGTCGTCGACGAACAAGCCTATCGTGTCGAACGGCAATCCCTCGACCAGACCAAAGACCAAATCCTCGAGGTCCTCCGTGATATGTTCCCCGACAAACGTATCCCCGAACCCACGGCCTTCACCTATCCCCGCTGGTCCGACGAGCCCTGGGCGTATGGCAGCTATTCCAACTGGCCAGCAGGAACAACTCTCGAGATGCATCAGAATCTGCGCGCCAACACGGGTCGATTGTGGTTCGCGGGGGAGGCGACAAGCGCGCCGTATTTCGGGTTCCTGCACGGCGCGTGGTTTGAGGGACGTGAGGCGGGCGAGAACGTGGCGGCGCTGCTGCAGGATCGGTGTGCGACGCTACATGGTGTGGAAACGTGCGGGGATCGGATGTTTTATGATCCGTTGAATGGGACAACGCCGCTGGATGCGTATAGTGGGTTGAATGGATGGCCGGTGAGTAGTACGCAGTTGTAGTGTGCGGCGTGGCGGGTGAGATTTTCTTTGACACATATTATAATGAAATTGCTTCATTTAATGATTAGGTTGCCAGTTTTATATCAATTGGCCTGCTGGCCCAATGGTAAGGCGCTTGACTACGGATCAAGAGATTGCAGGTTCGAATCCTGCGTAGGTCATTTTTTGATTTTTGGGGTGGTTGTTGTTGGTCTTACGTCATCGGGTGCAACACCATCATCACAGGGTTTTATATCAATTACCTCAAGCTGGATTAGATCGATCGCTGTGACCAGCATTCATTTTTTAAGAAAACATTAGACGCTTGATAACATCGGCAGCTTAACATTAAGCAAATAGAACAGTATATTCACACCAAAAATCATGGTGACGCGTTGTTGGCTTCCCCCAAGTTCCAATTAGGGCTTACAGGAGACATCGAAAAACTTCAAGCATACCCAATGGCAGCAACAAGCTACAAAACCAGCTGTTGGAAGCTCTTCTTCCCGTACTTACGCAGGTACAAAACACTGCTAGGAATCCTGCCCAGCTAACCAAGTCTAGAAACTCTTCGTCAAGCCAGGAGCTAGTTTGGGGCCGCCCCCAATTCTCACCATCCACGCGAGCTTCCATTTGCTCTTCAGCACCACCGTCCTCCAACGCAGCCACAATGCGTTTCATCTGTGTAAACAGTCGAGCAATTATTCTATGCCCCTTTATTTGCGTAACAAGGCTGATCCCCCTTACCAACATGACCAATGCAGGAACCAGATCATCCCCTGTTCACCTCTCCTGCGTTTGAAGTTCTCACATCCATCCATCTGCCACCTCTCTTCTCCTCTTCTTCACAACAAAACCTCCACTGCACGCAGCCATGGCAGCACCACGCTCCCACTCATCCATCCTCCCCATCCTCCTCCTCGCTCTCACCCTCACCCCCTTCACCACCGCCCAACTCACCCTCGACACCACCGACCCCCAAACCACCGCCTCTCCCTCCGTCGAAACCGTCTCCTTCATCGACGCCAGCGGCATCCCCATCACCACGGCCTCGGCCCTAGACAACAACGCCTGGTACATCCCTCTCACAGGCCCAGCTCCCTCCCCAACCGGCGCCTCCTGGGGCGCCCAAGTGCAATACAACGATGACCTAGCCGAAATGCTCCCCATCGCCTTTGGCACCACCTCCACCAGCAGCAGCACAGCAACAATCCTTTCCGCCAGCGGCCCAACGACCCAATCCGGATCCCTCGAACTCTCCCTCCCCCTCCCAACCTCCAACACCTTCCTCCTCGGCAAAGACACCTCCTTAACCATCACAACCACCGAATCCAACTCCACCCTCTCCACCCTCCCCGTGGGCATAAACCTCGGCTTCGCCAACCACTGGAACGGATCCCTCGTGCTAGGCGGAAATTATGACTCGAACAGAATCTACAACGAACCGCACTGGCAAACTACCCCCGAAACCTCCTCGGGAAACAGCAGCTTCATCACAACCGGAATCCAGGATATCTCGGCCGTGACGATAAACCTCTTCTCCATCCCCAACACCACCACCCCCACCACATCGTATCCATTCGGCTCTTCATCCATCGAATCAAGCACGTCCGCTATCCCAGCTATTCTCAACTTCACGTCCGAAACTATCTCCGTTCCTGACTCTACCTACTGCGGTAGAAACATCAGCATAATATTCAACCCCACGGAGGAAGCATACCCCGAATTCGACATTCCTGTTTGGGGGGACTTGATTCCGGAGGGAAGCAGATGTGAGGTGAATAGCAAAGGGAAGTTTGTGCTAGGGAGGCCGTTCTTTCAAGCGGCGTATCTGTATGTTTCCGCCGAGGGGGATGTGTATTTTAGTTCGGTTACTAGGGAGAATGTTGGTGTGAGTCCGAGGGGGTTTGATTTGCATGTTAGGTTGTCGCAGGTCGTGGAGGGGACGGATATGGGTGTTAATGGCACGGGGACGGGTGGGAATGGGACGAGTGTGGGGGGGAAGGTGAGTGGGAAGAGTGGGAAGGGGGTGTGACTTCGGGGGCGGGGGTGGGTGCTGAGAGAGGGGTCTGGGGGTCGTGATGGCGGTGGTTGGGGCTGGGTTGGTGGTTAGTGGGTTGTGAGGGGGTGAATGGATAGATAGGGATATTTTTGTATTATACTTCGATTCTTGGGATCTGCTGTTGTGGTGGGTTCTGGTGTTTTTATACTGGGTATGGTTTGGTTTGGTTTGACTATACCCGTGTTTATTCTTTCGATATGATATGTGTGATTAATAGTGATTTATGTTTACTCTGGGTGATCAATTCCGTGCTTTGACATGTCTATTAGAATTTAAAGCAGTATCGTATCAAGTAAGATCCAATAGTGACGGCGTGCTTAAAGTTGATTTGATGTCCGTGGTATTAGATAGAAAGAAAGTAGATCGGCATAAAGTAGAAGAAACAACTAGGGCTCAAATAGTGATGGTATCCTAATTAAGGAATATTCCGGGTTCTGTTGGAACCTACTTAGTATTCACCTTGGAATTGTTCCACTAGCCGAGGGGTATCTCTTTTGGTCTAGTTGGGAAATTCCATCAGATTCTACCTAATGGTCAATTTTAGAGTGCGGCTGATCGTAAAATTAGGCCAGCTCACCAATTAGGTAAAGCTCACAGCCTGATGTTGATAGATAACTCTGGATTATCAAAGCCAAATCTACCCCCCTCCCGGAAAAAATTGAGTTATTATCTCACTTTACGTCGTTATGTTGATGGACCCTACATGTTGCCGGGCTGGATCAGTGCTGACTTGGAGGTAAATTAAGCTGACTACTCCCCGTAAATTAACTAATTAACGTTATCTTTGTATTTGCTTAGAAATAAACCCTTTGCTTGATAATCCACCGAGACGCCCCCCCGGATCGACAGGTCCCCTCCAACCCCCTCCAACCCCAAAGCCACAACACCCACTGCCCAAACCCCCTCACATCCAAGCTATAATTAACCACCCGACAAGGCTACGCACACACACAGCCATGCCCTCCACAAGGCTAGCTGAAAACAATCCTACCACCGCTGACACCGAATCCTGAGGTTCATCCGCAGCCCCACACCCCAACCAACCAGGATCGTTAGCAGTTATTATCTACGCGAGCCAGCCAATCAGCACCCCCCGCCCCATGACCCTGATCAGAGCCATGTGGATCGGAATCAAGCCTTCAAAGTGACAGCCACCACCCTAGTCTCGCACTAGAAGATACATCCCTGCTAGTAGGAAAGATGCGTGAGGCTGAGAGTGTCAGCACACAATGATACCAAGTGTTAAAAAGGTGAGTTGCTCCTCTAAACTGATTTTTCACTGTCATTGTCTTGTGCTTCAACTAGGGTTTGATTTCATCCACCTTTCAATATGCGTGTCTGGCGTACCCTGCTTTTAGCGGGGTGTGTATCGGCGATTGAGTTCAATATCACCAAAACGGGTATTTCCCCCCCTAGTACCTCCCCCACATAATCAAGAAAGGGCTTGGATGCTAACAGTATACCCCACAGACACAATCAAAACCGCCGCAACCACCGAACTCACCAACCTCCTCACTGACGCCAACTTCAACGGCACCATCAACCCAATCTACTCTACCGGCTACCCAGAGGGCATGCTCTACACATCGCTAATCTCCTACTGGAACGCCACCGGCAACACCACCTACAACGACAAGATCATCGAGCGCATGCACAACCAATCCGAAGGCATCTACAGCGGCGTCTGGGTGGAGATCGAAGTCCTGACCAGCGACTTCGTCTCCTGGGGTCTGGCTGCCATCGCTGCCGCGGAGGTGGATTTCCCAGGGAGTCCGACGAACTCGTCGTGGTTGGCCTGGGCGAAGAAAGTCGCGTATACGCTTGATCTGATGATTGATCAAGGCTCCGTGTGCAATGGGGGGTTGTATGATGATGAGAGCGACGAACATGGAACGCAATTCGATTGGTTTGATAACGGGGCGTATTTTCAGCTTGCGGCGAGGATTGCCGCCGCTAGCTCGGGGTCGGATCAGGGTACGTATGCGGAGTATGCGGCTAGTGCGTGGTCGTGGAGTGAGAAGAATGGGATGGTGAATACGACGGATTGGTCGGTTAGTGAGCTGGTGTCGAATCGGACGGCGAATGCGAGTTGTGTGGCTGTCGATACGTCGCGGTGGTCTTGGGCGTATGGCTTGTATTTGAGTGGGGCGGCGCATATGTATCATGCTGTGAGTATTCCATCCCGTTATTATATGGGGTGGGGGAGATGGCTAATGGAAGCAGACCAAGTCGGATGTGTGGATGACCCGGACCGAGGGGTTACTTAACAGCACTCTGGACACATTCTTCATCAACAACATCATGGTCGAAGTGGGCTTTGACAGTTCCAGTCTGGGAACGGCAGAGCAATCCACGCTGTCTGCCTACCCTTTCAAGGGATTCCTGGCGTTGTGCCTTGCGTCCGTGGCAAACCTAATGCCGGACTTGGCGGACCGCATTGTGCCCTTACTGCAGGACACGGCCGTGGCTGTGGCGGAGCAATGCGATGGCACGAGTAACCACACTGTCTGTGGATCGGATTGGGGGAGTAGCACGTATAACAACGATTCATCGTTTGAGAATACCTGGAATGCGGCCAATATTTTCACCTCCAAGCTGCTGGCCCCGGAGACGAGCAAATCCGGGAATACCACCAGCAGCAGCGGGAACTCGAAGAGTGGCGATGCTTCGAAAAAGACCAAGAGTGAGAAGGGCATTTCAAAGGCTGTTATCGCTGGTGCCGTGGTTGCGGCCGCGGCGGGCGTGGCGTTGATCCTTGCAGGCATTCTCTTTGCCTTGAAGAGGAATCAAAGGAGGATTCCGGTTCCGACGAGGGAGCCGTATGAGCCGTATTATTCGGCTCAAGGACGAGGTCCGGTCGAGATGGCGCAGGGGAGATATGTTCCTGAGATGGGTAATGGGATGACGACGGAACTTCCGGGCCAGGTTAGGTATGATCCTCATGAGATGGAGTCGGTTGCGGTGTCGGAGGTGGGAGGCTATGGCCGTGGGTCGCGATATGAGATGGGATGATAAATGCTTTTGATTGATGGTTTATAGTGTGGTATTAGATTATGTCGTGAGAAATAGTACATGCGCCTTCCTAACACCGCAAGCAGATAAATACAAGTATTGGATATTATAACATGAGTAGCCCTATTCCACATTTCTGACTTTTATCATCTAAGTCTACCTCCCCTTTTTTTCTCTACCATTAATTAAACACTGTATATCAGCTAAGGTCAAATATTCTGACTATCAAATGTATCAGCGGATACTCGCAAACTAGGAAGGAAATCTCGGTCCAACGGTAGGACAAAGCACCAAGACTGAGAGGACATACTCCAGCTCTTCGAGAAAGTTGAAAATTGCGTGACAGTGAGCAGAGTCTGTTGACTCGAACGCCTCAAAGCCGGTAAGGTAAGTCGAGGGTAATGGTTCGATTGTCTGCTGTGTGTGCATTGCATCCATGCGGACCGCGGTGTGCTCCAAGAGATAAGGGCTGTAGCTTCGAATCCATCGCTCGTCACGAGCAAACTGGCACTGTTGGACCTGCTCTTCGAAGTGTACTCGGCATTTTCTTTTCTTGTTCCACGGCTGAGGAGAATTGAGGAGAATCTAGTAAAGAGATTAATTAGCGTTGGTTCGGGAAGATGGGCGTGGTTAACTCACGCTGGGGACTGATTGGATGGTTATATTCCACACTCGGCCGAGCAGCGACTGATGCTTCGTAAATGCGTCCGGTATTGTGGGGAAATCTTGCATCTCCCATGTGCTCGGCTTTCTCTTCAAGGATGGCTTTCTGGGGCTCTGCGTCGATGGCGAACCGCAGGGTGTGGTGTTGTTGCTGCTGGACTTCAACGGACCGTAAAACCAGGTAATGTCACTATCCTTGTCCCTGCGCTTGGTCAGAGCTGCAACCACATTATCAACCGGGGGACTTACCAAGCGATGATGCCGCTGGTGTCCGTACGGACCGGCTTGATGACAACCACGCCCTCCAGAGAGCATTTTCGAATCGACATCTGACAAGACTTCGCTGGTCGATCTTACGGACGTGTTTCCTGGTAGCCCACATGTCCTCGTATGTCCAAGCATGTGCGAGATAATCCACATTGACTTTGGCATCTTCCTCGATGACGATATCATCACGAACAGCTGATTGTGGGCGGATCATTGTCGCGTCTGACAAGAGTAAGACTGGAATGGCAGTGGCAATTGAACGACAGTCAGCGATCACCGCAATGGAATTCGTCAAAGCGATCAGAAATCATCAGGCAACTGAATCCCTATTATACGGCACGAATTCAAAACATCCGAGGCTTCCTTCTAGATGGCAAAGTCGAGATACCTCATCACTATATGAATCCGCACAACTGATAGACACCTCGACCTGTCATACCGACAGCCCCCTCAGAATACGGGCTATTCCCCACGCGTGATATAACAACCCTCACTGATTGGAGAACCACAACTAGATAGACCCCGATCGAGACAGCTCCCCGGTTGCGGAGCGGTGGATTCATGGTGCACGCAGTGGGTTACAGTGGCCCAGCCGCCCGGGACGGCCGAGTTACCGAGATGGGGAAAACGACATGACAGCTGCTCGCCACCGGGGCCAACGAGCGTGTGAATCGAGGGGCTGCAACCATGGGGTGACATCTGCCATGTATAAGGGCACGCGTTCGGCTGCGAAGGTTTCCCAGCCAACCAGCGGGCGCCCTGGGTGGCCGGAAAAGTCAGCCGCCCAATCAGCAACCCGGCCTCACATACTACAGCAGCCACACGTTGGAATATGCTCGGCTGCCAGACGTCCGGCCGGTGGAGAAGCTCGGGCTTTGCACAGGAGGATTCTAGACCGATCGGAAATTCCCGATGTCTTTACTACGAGGTCGGCCCCTCTCCCTGTCAACCAGAACCACTGTTTCGGGCTGGCCGCTACCAAACATTCCCTATCTCCCCATGAATCATGAGTCTTCTTGGAATGCTTGGCATTGAGGAACTCCTGTGGCTGTAAGCCCATCCATTATTGTCGAGGCGGTTCATGGCTCGAGGGTTTTTCTCGTGGAATGTTCCCCGTTTGTAAACAGCGAGGGCTATATGAAGCAAGGCATGGGGCCAAATCCCGGTGCTCAAGCCTTCGTGTCTTCTATCTATTCCTCAAAATGCCTTGGTCGCTGAAGAAATCTCTGAACTTGATTGGTCGTGGCCAGGAGCCGCTTTCATTCTCTCTTGCTTCTAGCCCTATTCTTTGCAAAAGTACATCGTGTGTGACAGATCTCAATACCAAATTCATCTTGTCAGATCGCACCGAAGAAGAAGCTCGTTGGTTTCAATTTGAGCATGATCGCAATTCGGAAGAGTGTATGAAGGAGCAGGCTGAGTTGTGTCTTCCGTGCTGCCACCATACACAAGACAACCACCCCGGAATGAATGATGGTCCTTTGGACGAAAAGGCCCGGCATGCTCTGGAAGCATATTCAAACCCTTTTGATGAATATCGTTTCCTAAAACGGAGGTTGTCGACGTTGACGCATTCTCCGCGAAGTGATGAGGCTGCATAGCTCTATTCCTTCCTCGACAGGCGCTGTTTTGAGAACGAACTCGACGGTGATGGGGTGGTCTCTACAACTATGCACAGGATCTCTGGAGGTGGATGACAAGGAGGTTTGAAGAGAAGCATGTGAGGAGGATATTATACATACTGAAAATTCTTGCATACTATACCTACATGAAAGCATCAGTGTCACTTCTTTCTTGTTGTCGCATTCATGCAAGGAGTTTGGGATATGAAAGGTCGAGCACAGTAGAGGCGCAGGGGAAATATTAGACATGCTTTGAAGGCGGGTTCATGGGTCTGCGGAATACATGCCATGCAAATAACCCTTCTTTACCAATAATTGCTCCTATGATCACTCTAATTTGCGATGGTAGTAACTTGATTCTTTTCTCTTAAACCATAGCCACCTCTACACAATCAGCTTTGACAGAATTCTCCCCATGCTAACCAGGACTCGGCCGATAAAAGGTCTCAAGATACCATTAATAATCCTACACAGCAAGCCTGAATCTCACCACGGCCGTAAATCTCTCACTAAACGGGGACTGGAAATGAATGCAACCTAAAGCTTACTCTCAAGAGAAGGGTAGCAGTGGCGAATCCCAGCCTTCGTATACGGACCACGGCTACCTCAACCCATGACAGGTCCTCTTACAGCTAGCTTTCATCTTAGTCAGACGCATGGATTCTCGGTATTTCCATGGTTGGTATAGTCTCAACACGAGTCTCTCGTCGTGTTGAAGTTTTCATGCGCGGTCATTATGATGGCTGTGCTGCGAATACCTATAGGTCATACAAACGGTCTGCTTTATTCCTTTATTCCACTAACATAATGTATTGACATTGTCTTTATCACGGGATTCCGATATACCATTACAGTGAAGTCTTGATTCCTAATAATTCTCTAGATATTTCTTTCTTCGCTGTATTTTGACTTTCAGACTCTCTTATACTCAAGCAGTCCTCCTCTACGAAGCCAACCACTTCCACCTCCGACCCCTGCACCACATAAACACATACACTTTTAGTCTCATGCACCAGATTAACCGAGATCGCAGCTTCGCAGGCTTCCTCATCCGCACCTCCACATCCCCTCTTCCATCCGGGACTGAATATCATCGCTGACGAGAACATCTATCTCATCGCTTATCCGTCGGGACAGCCTACGATGGCCCCGTCTTGGGGGAATTGTCAGCCGGAATAGATGCGGAGTATTATGCACAAGGGAGTGGATAATGGAGGTGTATGTATAATTCGGGGATTCGGAATTGGGGATCTTATTGTTGTGCGGTGGGGTTGGAGATGGGTTTGAGAGATAACTGCGGTGGTTTGGTATACGGCGTGGTTGAACGTTAGGGCTGAGCTGAATGTGGCTATCTGAGGTTTGTGTGTGTGATGTTTGATATTGCGGGGGAGATGTTTGGAGTTCTGAATAGGATGGTGAGGAGGGTATGGATGGAGGTTAGGGTTAATGTAGCGGGTTTGGTGTGGGATTTACACGGATATAAAGGTGAGGATCAATTGTGGTGAGAAATGTGATTAAATTCATAGAGAGAGATACCCAATTTATTTGAATCAAGTTCAAAAACCAAGAACAGAGATAACAACCACAGGCCAAGATTGATCAATATTGCAACTATTCCTCTGCAAGTTCCAAGAAATGTACATACCCCGATGCTGTTCCACATGCAATGGTACGATTATGAACCGCATAAGCGTTACCATTGCGAGGATAATACTCAGGAGGAAGCCACATAATCTTGTCCCTGCTCTTGGTCTTGACTATGCAGTTATGCTCGATCTCGAACTCCGCTATGGTTGGCAAGTTTTCCAGCGAGGCCAACTCGGGAACGATTGTAGCGTTATCCAACGAGGGAATAATCAGGCCATCCTTAACGAAGAACAAGAGCTCACTTCGAACTGACGGCTGCATGCGGACTTCCTTCTCCAATATTCCTGTCTGTGTGTTCCAAGCCTTAATATTATTTTTTGATGCCCATGATACAAGCCACCGACCGTCTGGGGAGAATAGAAGGTCCCGAGTCGGAGCCGCAGTGGTTTGAAAATGGTATCGTTCTGTGCCTTTTTCTGCATCCCACATAACAATGCGTCCACTCCAATCGCGCGATGCGACATACCGACCACCCGGGCTAAATACTACTCTATCCACGATGTCTTTATGTGGTCGTTCTCTTTTCTCTGGTTTTCCTTGCCGTATCCCCAGCCTAGTGTCCCATAGCTTGACCGTTCCATCATGACTTGAGTAGGCGAGGATCTGTTCGGCTGGGGAGAATGACAGTTTAACTGGCCCATACACTTGGTACAGAACTAGTTGCCGGTGAGTGCTTGTTGCTGCCTCCCAGATATCGACGGTATCCCCTGAGTTATATCCTTCCATTAAAAGGTCATCGTGCCCCAATGACATCCCAAAATTAAAATCCTGGGTAACCTTATCAATATGCGACACAGGGGTCCATGTCTCAGTATTCCAAACTTGGATGCCTTCAGCCATACGGAAGGCGCCCATAATCTTCCCACTCGAGGAAAATCTGATGCGGACATTATCACAGTGCATAGTATGCACATCGCGTACAAAATCACCTGTCTTCGACTGTCGTAAGTAAATTGCCCCGCCAGATGTGAATGCAAGAAGGTTCTTGCCTGGGCAGAAGGCAACAGAAGGCGCCGTCGTCCCACTTCGTGCGGACCACACTGCCGCTTTCTTGGTTATGTCGTATACCTTTACACAGTTCCAGGATGCCACAGCTAGTAATTGTCCATTTTGTGAGACTGCAATTGAAGAAACGTAGTCTGCGTGCTTCACAGTGTACCTTTTCTCCCACCGTGCTGTATCCCATAGAACCACCGTGTGCTCGCCACCTACGGCTAAGAAAGGTTGTTCTTGAGAGAATGCAACACATCTCACATAGGAAGTATGCTCAAGCGATCTGCTTGGGTTCCACGTGGATGTTTCCCAGATACAGACCGTGTTTTCCCATGAAGTTGCAAGCCACTGTCCGTCGGAAGAGAATGCTAGAGCATTGTAACTACATCTGCTCAGTGTTCGCAAGAGCCCACCCCAGCTACTCTCGGGTTCTGGTAACCGCACGATCCAGGGAGGGAGAGAGCGGTGGAACGTAGTTCGCACGATGCTCGCCTTGGGGGCAAAAAACAATGCAGAAGTATATAGCTGGAGTGGTGCAGAGCTGGCAATTGTCATGTTCTTCAAGATGAATCTTTTCCCGTCGGTTAGAAAACCTGGCAGTTTGGAGACCTCACCCACCTATATCCCAAAGTATTAGTTATCTTCCCCTGAACTGATCATGATCAGACACTTACCTTGAGAAGTAGCCGCTGTAGTGCGTCGATGATTCCTATAGTACTCGATATCATGCCTAAGAAAGCCATCGCCTCCAACCAGTGAAGGAAGTGTCGGGTAACAAATTCATATACCAAGCTTGTATCGAACTTGTCTAAGCCTCCCTGTTCTAAATGATAGACCCAGTATCGACATGAGTAACGAACCGCGCCAAGGGGATCTTGCATCGGTGTCCGAAACTCTTCCAATGAAATACAGTCTTTGGCTAAGTTGTAGACATTTTGTCTCAATGTCTCTCTCATGCATTTCAAAGATTGACGGAAGAGCTTATGGTGGGCTTCTTTGGGGGGTGCGTTTTGGAGGTCTTCATAGTGGTCCTTTAGAAACTCCAGAGCTGTCTGGTGGATAGGGTATACCGTATCATTCTGAATCGCCAGGAACGATCTGCAGTCCTGCACAACAGACAATGTGCGATAGTCGGGCCATCCAGCCAGCAGACTCATTTCGCTCAAGCGCAATGGTCGACGTGTGAGTATGACAAGACATAGAGCATCTCTGCAGTAGCGGAATCGGGTCTTGATGTGGTTTTCTCCCAACCTCTTGAGGAGAAAGTTGTAGAGGTCTGTCAGATCCTTCGGGACAGCTTTAAGAATGTCATCCCACGAGTGATTGGGTGACCGCCCGAGCTCTTTGCAGATCAGCGAGTCCCAGATAAATGTATTTCCCGATTTATCTTCTAGTTGCTTTCTCAAGTTATCCATGGGGACCCGGGTTCCGTCGTGTGTCAGCTGCCGAACGCGGTGGCCAATATAAGTATTGATTTGTTCGCTCAAGGAGTAGTTGTCCAGTCTCAAGACAGTGCCATGTCTAACACTTTTGAACCTATTTTCGAGCTCCCACGATGGTCGACCAGAAACAAGGACCTTGATCTCAGAACGCGCTTTATGTTCAGGTAATAGCCCTTGTAAAAAGGCTATGACCCGTTCTTGGTCATTATCATGGCATTCGTCAAGGGCATCAGCCACGAGTACAACGCGCCCAAGATCGGGATCCTGAAGCATGTTCTTCAGAATAGGAGACAAGCTCTGGAATGCAAATTTGTCATCGAAGAGCTTTTCCCCGGAAACGGCATATTCACTGCTGATATGTTGAAGGAGCCTTGGACATTGCCGAAGAAGGAGCCACATAAAAGCTCTAAGCAGTGCCGCGCCATGATCTAGCTGAGTGTCTTTGTTCTGAAAAAAGAAGTACAGAATTTCCGGTGCTTCCGGTCGACGTATCTGGGTCGTGAGTTCCTGAATTATTCCAATCAATAGCATTGTCTTTCCGGTGCCGGCTTGGCCGTTGATCCATAGCAGATTCTCTGCTGAGGGACTGTCCCAGTCCAGGAATTTCTTATATTCGTGGGTGTCAAGGGCCCATTTGGACACATCCCGGATTATTCTGTCTTTCCGATCTTCAATGTTCTTCATTTCCGACCGTGGATCAATTCCCCGCAAGGCTGACATGATTTCATGATATTCTTTGACTTTCGTGTCATCCTGTGTATTCAGCATTAGCCTCTCGACCTGGGCAATTAACTGCTCTGGTTTGTATTGTGCCAGCCGTTTCTGGAACGATTCCTCGCGTGTTGAAATTCTCTTCAAATCCCCCTCCCAATCATCAAGTTTCAACGATGTGCGGAATATGACTTTGTATTGGGGCTGATAGTAGAAGCAGACGCTCTTTATCTGGTAAAATAGGAGGGACTCTTAGATGCCTAGAAGATCTTTCTTCAGCATCTCACGGCTTTGTTTGAGTGGGTCGTGGCTCTCGCTGAGAAGCTGGCCGGAAATGTGCGAGTACCAATCGATCTTCGAAACGACCCCTTTGACTCCAGCGTAGAAGGCATTCAAGGATTTTGCAGATTGAATAAGGATCTATGTTCCACTGGCAGGTTATCATGTGGACGTTCGTCAAGGGTTAGATCGTAGCCTACTTCCAGACTTGAGGAAACGACAGCCCATGGTAATGCAGTTTGTGAGACATTCTTCAGAGGAATCCCGATCAGAGCCTCGACCCTCTCAATGATATCAACCACATTGTTGAGCTTGTCACTTGCTTGTTTGCTCGATTTGACATTTTGCAAACCCTTGTCGACCAGATATCTTAGTCTCGAATCTCCCAACGACGTGCCATCGATGAGGCTGGGGGGTGCATCTTTGCCACGGGAATCCTCAGAAAAGACCATCGAAATGATTTCTTCATACTTTGCCACATACACTCCCTTTTTGTCATCACTTCTGAGGTTGTCATAGGCCGTTCTCCAAATGACGTCGTGGGTAAACGGTAAGGAAATCGATGCATTGGCTGTGCATTCATGGACCACCCCTGTTACTAGCATCAGAAGCATAATCCATCGTCTAGCTGGAGAAAAACCCACCGACTTCTTCACTAGAAGTGCAGAATTTGTCAGTAATAGGCTGGGTGAAGCTTGCCCCCTGTGGCACAGCTGCTGCCTGATTGGCACCACCATCGTGGTTCCTTTCGCTTTCCTCTTTTGCATGAGACCTCAACCGTTCCTTCAACCGGCTTGACCTCTTCTCGAGCCATGCGTGGAAAGGCATTTTCGCCCATAAGTTTAGTAGTTTCCCGAGATGATGTTGTCACGGATAAGTGAAGAAGTCTTGTTTCGGACCCCGCAGCTTGGGCTGCTGCTTGTGCGGCTGAAGTGCAGGGTTGACGTGGAAAGCTGACATTCAAAGCTGCTTTCCTGTGGGGTGCTCGGGGACATCAGCCAATCCAGCATAGGTACTTGGCGCTATTCATGCACAACCGGTCACACGTGATGGATACATCAAAATCATCTCTGTGTTCTTTCGATGCTTTAGATACATTGGGGCTCGGATTTTGTGGTCAGCCAACGTCTAGAACGGAAGCTTATCCGGAGTTGATCTAGACTCGCAGTGGGTTTCTTCTGTTATAAAGTTAATTTTAGTGGTGTAACTGAACTGTTCCTGCAAGTTACCCGATACAGGTGCCACGTCGGTAGCCCTACTTGTTGGTTGAGACTTACAGCGAGCGCACCCTGCTATTTATATGCTTCCATGTCTGTGTAAAGTAGTTGTTTGATTGTTGGCAAGCCAATCATTTGTTGCCAGGTACTTCTGGACTCGGCAGACCCTCCGGCAATCATATAATCGGGTGGGTCGGGATTTATGCATAATCCAAGGCTAACCCAGAGGCTGCTAGGAGTGAGACAGATGTGAATGCCGTAAAGGTACTCCGTATGGTCGGGCCACTCTTTTAACTTTGGCCCACTTCAGAATCTTCGGCCCGCTTTTGCCCTCGTATTCGCTTGCCTGTTCGGGATAATCCCATTTTTAGATTGCTGCTTTTTGGCCAGATCCGCTACATAATGTCATACCAGTTCCCAATTGTGTTGATTGGGGCATAAAAGGTCCTTTTTTCATGCCTAATGGTTTTATATCACCCCTCTTTTAACTCTTTCTTCTCTACCATCCATAATTTCCCCATCTTTACTTCCCTTACGAGACAACCAGACAGATGAGTCTTTCCAAAGCAGACAAGACGGTTATGACCCCCGGCTGGGTGGCCACAACCCAAGCGTTTCTACGCTGGGTCTTCACCCCACTGGGATTCTTCATCACGATCTATGGGCTGAACGTGATTGCCTGGGGCGGAATGCTCTTTTTATTACTGTGCAATGCAGCCCCAGCGATGTGCCATCCCAGCTGTAACAGCCCCAACTCATCGCGTCGCATCTGGATCGAGATCGATTCCCAAATTCTTAATGCACTGTTCTGTGTTACTGGCTTTGGATTAGCTCCATGGCGCATTCGTGACCTGTGCCAGTGGTGCCGTTGGAGATTAGCTCGCTCTCCCCGCACTCGCCAACGAGGGCTGGCCCATCTAGCGGAGATCCATGCCAAATGGTTCCTCCCAGAGGCACAAGACGGGGTCCTGCCAAGTACCACCGACGCCGCAAGTGGCTTGAGACTGCCCACCCCGCTGTGGAAGATGGACGCGGTAGTCTGGGGAAACATGTTAAACTCCATCTTTCAAGTCTGTTTGGCTGTCTGCATGTGGGCCATGAACCGATTCAACCGACCCAGTTGGACCACGGGCCTCTTTGTGTGTCTGGCTTGCCTGGTTGCCGCGGGCGCTGGGATCATCATGTGGCTGGAGAAGAAACGCATCAACAAAGCTAGTGAGCATCCAGGCGCTCTGTTGCTGGTGCCTCATGCCAACCCCTCTGCCCGCTCTGATACACTTGGACAGGGATACCTGCACGTGAACCAGGCAGACTCATCTTAAATCTCAAAGCAAGAGGCCAGATGTGTTGCTGTTTCTCCTTGGATTCCTTCTTAGGATCATTCTTTTATCTGAATAAAACCTACCGTCGACTGCCTGACAATTCCTTCACGCGAACTATCACTACGTGAGTCCAATTCAACAGAGGGTTTGACTGGCTACATATTCAGCGGCCTGACAGAAACACTGTTTCTAGTCCTACCTTATATCATCAATCATAACTTGGTCACTACTACATCCTCAAGATGCGAAATATCGCATGCGATAGAGGTGTACAATTCCCGCCATCAAATTATCTGCCCTCGCTCCGAATATGAGTGAAGCCGTTAATTCAGGGTCGAAGGGAGGCTGGGGGATCTGATCAACCAATCACACGCTGCCAATCAGGCAGCAACCGTACCCTTTCCCAAACGGGTAATCTATACGAAACCCACTGCCTCTCATCTGTTCCATGACATGCAAAACAATGGACCAACCATCAAACTTCCATGCGGATGACTATTTTAAAGCTTTTCTTGCTGTGCTGGATCGAATACACTAAGATGGCTGGAGAGCATAGAAAGATCAGTAGACCCGCCGTATTCCAGCCTCGAACAATTCATCCTAATCAGAACCCATTCCACTCCTCACAACTCACAGAGTTCAACTACATGATATACCTCCATTGTCCACCTGCATTATCACAGCAAACCAGATCAATTATGATCGACTTCACGAAATTCCTCGACACGGCCGACCGTCCACTCTTCAAGCGTCGTCTACACATCCTCATCGCATCTCTCATCTGCTTGACTTTTCTTCTCATTATCGTGCGACTAGCTATCCCAAGAACACCAGCAACACGCACCAATATTTGGGGAATTGCAGTGGTATGCTTGTTACTCGCAAAGTCCTCGCAGGCATGATCTAACCATATACGTCCTCCAGTGCATCAAAGCGGCTGTCTTCCTGACCTACCAAGTCTTGACGACCTACAAGGACCGCTTCAAGCGGTGGGCCAGTCCCAAAGCCAACATGATCCTTGATATAATCGATACCGTGTTTTGGTTTGCGTTGTTCATCATCAGTATTCTTGGTGGAAGCGGGGGGCATAGTGCTGGTAGTAAGGCGTTGGGTGCCATCGTGGCTATCCTGGCGTTGGTGTTGTGGTGAGTTTATCCCATCTTGGCTTGCGTTTTATGAGGTTGATGCTGATGATGGACTGCAGTGGTGTTGTGGGCTTTTTGTCATTTATATGCGTGCAAGACTATCGGTATTTCAAGGTTCATGGGGTTGTTCCGGGGAAGGAGAAGTCTGCTGGTGAAGGCGAGGTGGTCTAGGATTGTCGTGGTTATGAATTGATGACTTGATGAATGAAGGACTTTAGATGCGCATATGTCGCAGTCGAGGCACGATACATAGACTGTTTATTGTTTGCAGCTACTTAGTTCAGTAAACCATTGTCCAATGTATCAGGCTTACTGTTTCAATACAGCATTTTATGGGATGTTTCTTCGAAACACTGCTCAATGTAAGATACAAATACCGGCGAATGTGGGTCGATGGACCATCATGCTTCAGCCCTGTCGGGTATGACATTTCCATCAGCGCGGTGTCACCAAAAATACCTCCGCCCCAATGAAACGTTTGCCAAGAGCTCTGGGCTAGGCAGTTCCATTTCCATCTCCGGAGTCGAGTTGGCATCGATGGCTGTGGTGGCTAGGAAGAGAGTCGAGACTCGAGGGAATGAATGATCGCCCGCTTCCCCCTTTCGTACTCGTATCCTTGCCCTAACTCGGTAGTCGGTGGTTCAGCGTTTCTGTGCCAATAGTCCAGAAAATATCGCCAGCCTGGCCAGTGAAGCTGTAGCGCCTCCTAAGCGCAGATACAGCGAACTGACTAGTCAAGATACAAAGCTTGCTCTTCTCCCATGTCCTTGAGTCTTTGCTTTTCCCGCAATTCGATTTCTGCAATTCCGTGTCCATCGCGATCCTCATCATGTCAAGTAGCTACAAACTCTACGACTATGATCCCTCCACCAGTGCGGCCATCATTCTCGCCGGACTATTCGCCGCAACCACCGTGCTGCATCTCATCCAGATGTTCCGCACGCGGACATGGTATTTTGTACCGTTCATCATCGGCGGCTTGTGTAAGTCTCCTCTCTCCCTACTCTAAGACTCCAACCTCCCTAACATTTCCAACCCTCTAGTCGAAGCATTCGGCTACATAATCCGGTACTTCAGTGCCAAACAAACCCCGAACTGGACCGTGATGCCCTACGTCGGACAACAGCTACTGCTCCTCCTCGCTCCGTCTCTCTTCTCCGCCTCCATCTACATGATCCTAGGACGGATCATCCGCCTCGTCCACGGCGATTCACGCTCCCTTATCCGACCATCCTGGCTAACCAAGGTCTTCGTGACGGGCGACGTGCTTTCATTCTTCATCCAGAGTGGTGGTGGTGGCATGATGGCTAGTGCCAAAACCCCTAGCAGTGTGTCTTTGGGTAATAGGGTCATCGTGATCGGTCTCATTGTCCAGTTGGTCTTTTTCGGGTTCTTTATCGTTGTTTCTATGGTCTTTCATCTGCGGATGAGATCCTCGCCAACCCCAGTGTCTCTGTCGATCAGTCCACCGTGGTATACCTATATGCGGGTGTTGTACGTTGCCAGTGTGCTTGTTATGGTTCGGTCTGTTTATCGTGTGGTGGAGTATGTTCAAGGTACTAGTGGGGTTTTGCAACAGCATGAGGTATATCTCTATATATTTGATACTGTGCTGATGTTGTTGTGTTGTCTGTTGTTTAATGTTATGCATCCGAGTCGTATTCTCTCGGATCGACAACCTTATGATAAGGTGGATGCGGATCAGGTTGAGATGTTGGGTTCGGAGCGGTGATTGTTTTTTTCTTGTTTTACCTCGGTTTTTTATTTTTTGGTGCAGTGCATTACTTTATTATTTCCTTTGTGAGATAGACTTGAGTTTGTATATAGAAATTTCATTTCTCTAATTTTTGGTTTCTTTTTTAATTCATTTTTCGAAGAAATGAGGCTTCATCACCATAACCACTAACAACGCAGTCCAATCCAGCATTACCTCCCTAATCGGAAGCCCAGAGCACATTATCAACAAAATCATCGTCGACACGACTACCGTTCACCCGGATACATCGCCCTGGACCCAGAAACGTCTCGGGGAATTTGAGGGTAGTTATAAGGGATTATCATCCTTCGGTGCGAGCCATATTTCTGAGGAACGGGAAATTGCTTTCTGTTATTGGTGAGGGGAAGGGTGTGTGGGGTTAATACTCGTTGTGAGGGTCATGGGTAGGAGAATGGTGAGGGTAGGGATCGCGGGACCGGGATAAATGGAAGTAAAAAAAAAAAAAAAAACAGAAAAAGATCGTCAGCGACAGGACTCGAACCTGTGCGGGCGAACCCAATAGATTTCTAGTCTATCGCCTTAACCACTCGGCCACACTGACTAATTGATGGAAATTTACCCTTGGTTTAATATTATCAGCCATTGCCTGTATTCCTATTCATCCAAGAATGAGGAACCTACCAAAATGGAGACATGTATTGTGAGATTTTTATCCCTCTGGATGACTCCAAACGAGCTGTATTTGACTTGATACTGTGATAATCTTCCTTCCTAAGCATCTCATTTACCCTACGGCTTCCTTATCAGATAATATACATCCCTCATCCTTTAATGCTCAACCTCTACCCATATCCCATTAATATATATAACCGGTTCCGTCGGTATCACCAACATCCAAAACAAAAAATGAATCCATTAACACTCATCATATCCAAGATCATTAAGATTTACAATAATTACTCAGCCTCATCCAATCAAACATCCCACTCACCCCGAACACAGAACATCAATCACTCATCCGGATGAAGCAAATCTTCCTCAGCACCTACCCCCCCGTCAGCTTCTACCCCATTAAACACTAGGAAACAGAACAAACCTTTATTCTCCTGATACAGCCTAAATGACTGATTCCTATCCGGCGCGCGATGACTCCCAGTTCCCTGCTGTCCCGCCGAAGCCGACTGCTCGGTTGCCTGATGCGCCCGACGGTTCAAATCCTCCCACTGGCCCGTGGATCCCAGATCATCGATTGACTCGACGATGTCGGAGCCTGTGAGGTGGTATTGACCGGATGCTTTGCGGGGTTGGGCGGACATTTTGGTTCTCTCTTTCTTCACTGGATTGCTTGGTGGGTGATTGGATTTGTGTGTATTGAGATTGAAGTTTAGCAAATAAAGCAGAGGAATAGGGACTGAATAAGGGATTAAATAGCTGATTGCGCGGGGGTATGACATGACGGATGAGGGGGCGGGAAGATCGAACCGTGGTTGTGGCGATCGATCGGGGAGATGTCATTGGGTGAGGGACATCGGGTGACACCATGGGGAGGTGAGGAGCCAATTAGACGGGAGGGTTGTTACGCGGTGATTGCATCAGGGTTTCCAGTTGACTTCCATTGTTGGTTGGATGGCGATTATCTGATCAGATGATTTGCGGGGTTGGGTCGTATGATGGGTTCGTGGTGAATAGTTTGTGGATTGCTATTGTGAGATCGTGGTGCTTAAACTAAGAGGGTTGAAGTGGAGTTTGTAGGTTGTTTTAGATTCCAGCTGTAAAGTGGAATTGAATTGGTTATTGATAGGATTATCCACATGGACATGCCGCCATCGCAGACAGGATGGAATGTATGGTGTATTCTCACCGAGGTAGAAACAGTCCTCGCTATTTCTCTAGGGGTTTGAACAGTTAGCGCCACTGCAGAACTTCCGGTGAAATGTACCAAGTCTATATGAGATGTCCAATTGCCGTAATTTTCGAAGAAAAGGGTCATATCGCCATTACGTGGTTGAATTGAATTCGCTGGAAATATTGCACAGTCCTGGCGGAGGCAGATACAATGAGGGCAGTAGACCTCAATACCTCAATACCGAGAGAGACACGATCATCTCGTCAGGTTGTAAAACTGACACAAGATGTATCGAGTTTAGAGTGGCTTCAACAACGGTCTTATAAGATGCCTCCCGACACAAAAAGCCGAACCATGCATGCTCTCTGAGCTGAGTATCTCAACATTCGGCAAAAGGTATAAAGTTTAAAAGATAAGGGAAGATAAACAAAATAAAAGGAAATAAAACATACAACAGAAGGGATTCGCTGGTGGTCACCCACCCAACTACTAACCTCCCGGCGTGTGGCTTAAGTACGGCTGAGCGGACGGGAAGCCCTGTTCTCCACACCCTGTGGTCGTATGTACCAACCAAAATACAGAACTACTCTATATCCCAGATTCCCGTCATTTATGGTATTATCGTCTCTGCATGGGTTAGTCTGGCCGGACAAACTCTACCTAATCTCTCAATCACGTGAAAAGCCCTTAGGTGTCAGGTATACTGAACCCATCGCACTGACTCCTTCGAAGCCGAGACCCTTGCGGCTAGATGCATCTACGCGCTCGGCACTCTCTACCCATGGCGGGGGTAAGATTACGCCATGTGACTCTCGACATGTCAGCCTGGCGCGGCTGAGCGCTATCTTTGTCTCCACGCCAGCGAGTTCCTATCCCAGCTGGGTCAACTTTCAACCATGGCGAGAACAGAACTAGTGAATGATATGAAACTGAACGCCCAGATCCACCCAGATGGCAGTACCTCCCAGTACGCCTTTCACCCCGCCTACGGCCAGGGAACCGCTGGCAGATGGCCAAAGACAGAGACTTGGAAGCGGGGGAAGATACTCGGATCGGGATCATTCGGGGTAGTCTGGGTTGAACAATGTGTTAGGAGTCAAGGGCCGGCCCGGCTGCGAGCTGTGAAGATGATTAAGAAGGAGCACGATCCTTCCAAACAGGTCTACTGCGATCAAGAGCTTGAAGCTGTGGCGAAGTTTTCTCAACCGAAGGTAGCTATGCACTATACTCGGATCTGTTTATTGTGTGGGTCCGTGGATTTTGATAATGGGTAGTACTCACATCTATTTGTGACATCGTTCGGGTGGTTCGAGAACTCAGAAGCTATCTTCATTACCATGGAACATATCGATTTGAGGGACCTTCAAAGACACCTGAAGGGCCCAATCCCGGAACCTGAAGTACAGCAAATCTGCTTTCAACTTTTGCAGGGGATTCAATGTCTGCATGATAATAGATTTGTCTATCGAGATCTCAAACCTCAGGTAGGTAGGTCACCTGAGATGGACAGAAGCAAACTTACTGACTATACAAGAACGTCTTTGTAAAATCCAGAGGACCTAGATGGCACGTCAAAATCGGCGATTTCGGAATCAGCAAACGATACAACGAAAGTGGTGCTTTGCAAACGAAGGCCGGAACGAATCTTTACCTCGCACCTGAAGTACTTCGGATGTATCCTCCAGATCGGAAGCCGCATCCCTATACAAATCGTGTGGATATTTGGTCCCTGGGCGTGATGTTGTTCTATCTTCTTTCCTGCCATTATCCTTTCCCGAACAACAAAAGCCTCTCGTCGTATGTTCGGAATGCTCACTTTCCGTCATTGAGTCTGCTGCAGTCGGTTACCCATGAGGGGCAGAACTTTGTAAAACATCTCTTGGCTGTAGATGCAACGGTGCGGTTGTCTGCTAAAGAAGCCCTCGCGGAGGAGTGGCTAAGACAACCCGCCAGTCCGGTCTCAGGAATATCGCGGTTGGCAGTTTCCGAAAAGTTGACCCCAGCTGTTTCAAACCTAACGGACTCTACCTACAAAGCTTCGAGAGGCTGGGATAATGAGGATGCTTCTTCCGCAATGATTGACGAGCTAACGATTAGGGCTGTAAAGGGGCCACAGAGCAGATCGTCAGCCCGACGAAAATCCACATCTGTCAAACAGGCTTCGAGATCCGGTCCACTGGACAACTCAAACACACCTCATAATAAAGGACTGTCGTTACTGAACCAAAAGCAGTACGGAGAGGCTGAGAGGATGTTCCGACAGGCCTTCGAGATGCGCAAACATGCTCTTGGTACCAATCACGAAGACACCTTGGCTTCTCTTAGCTCGTTATGCGACGCTCTTTTCGACCAGGAGAAGTACGCTGAAGCTGAAGAGGTATACCAGGATGTATGGGTGAGAAGAAAGCGAGTCCTTGGGGAGAGTCACCCCGATACCTTGAAGACATTATACAACCTAGGTAATATTGTCTACGGCAAAGAAGAGTTTGCCAAAGCCGAAGGCATGTATAGGATTGCCTGGGAAGGTCAGAGGCGGGTTCTTGGGGAATATTGTGAAGATACGTTGGATTCCCTCGACGCCTTGGGTGATGCTCTCTCCGGTCAAGACAAGTATGTCGAAGCCGAAGAGGTGTACCGGAACGCCTGGGAAGGCCGCAGGCGGGTCTTTGGGGAATATTCTAAACCTACGCTGCAATCTCTTAGTGATCTAGGAGATGCTATTTCCTACCAAGAGAGGTATGTCGAAGCCGAAGCCGTACACCGTCAAGCATGGGAAGGTTGGAAGCAAGTTTTTGGGGAGGGTTGCAGCAAGACGTTGACTTCTCTTGACTCATTGGCCGAGGCTCTTTGGCTCCAAGGCAAGCTTACCGAAGCCGAGAAAATATACCGAACAGTTTGCAAGAAACGCAAGGCAGTGCTCGGAACACACAACATGACTGCACTTTGGACTCTTGTTGCCCTGGGCCAGGTTCTGCAATCCCAGGAAAAGTACAACGTAGCTGAATCAGTTTATCGACAGGCGTGGAGGGGGCTTAAAGAAGCGTTTGGGGCAAACGACGAGTCCACACTTACCTCTCTTCTCAAGTTAGCCCAGGCCATTGAAGGCCAGGAGAATTACCCCAAAGCTGAAGCAGTCTATCGAGAGGTTTGGGAGGGCCGTAAAGAACTACATGGGGCAAATCACGAGGATACGTTTCAGTCTCTTGAGTGCATAATCTTTTGTCTCTTTCAGCAGGACAGTTACGCCAATGCTGAAAGACTACAACGTCAGCTTTATGAGAGTCGCCGGGAAGTCCTTGGATCAAGACACGAGGACACCCTTACCTCTCTTCATGCCCTAGGCCTATTTCTAGAGTTTCAGGGAAAGTATACCGAGGCTGAAACTGCATTCCGGGAAGCTTGGAAAGGGCGCAGTGAGAATTTGGGTGCAAATCACAAAGACACTCAAGAATCTCTTCGGTGCTTGCGTGACACGCTTCATGAAACCTCACCATTGCCAAAATCGACAGACAAGAGTAAGGGCAAGAGTAAGCGCAGCTTATGGAAACGTCTGAGCTCATTTTGGGGATAATGCAGACCATATTGTTTGATGTGAGGACGAGCCTACGTAGGTGGATGACACGGTGAGATGGGATGTGTAGCGTGGAGTATATAGTATCAGTTGAGTCAATACAGTGCTGATCACCATTTCTAAACATTTCGAGAACCGAGAATCAACTGGGACGGCTATTGGTGGATAATCATGCACACACCTCGTACATCGCGCCATGTGACCCTCGACGTGTCAAGTGCGGCTAAATCAGGGCGCTGTCTTTCTCCTAACTCCAGTCCCCTCTCGAACTGAAGATACACGAGTACGACTTACATTCAATTAGTATACCATGAGCGGCCTAGACATCGCCCTTGCTTTGCCCGGTGTCATCGACCTATGCCTGAAGTACGTGTCAACCACCACGAATACCCTCATTCCCCCACGCTAACCCCCCACCCCACAGATACGGAAAAATCATCATAACCGCATACAAAGACCTCAAAAACGCCAACCAAGCCATCGAAGAGCGCAAACTTACCATCGAGACCTCCTGGATCAAAACCTCCCAACAATTAACCTTTCTCCGTCGTATATGGGACAGTCTAGGTGAGGAATACCAAGACCTCCAGGGCCGTATTCTCCGCGTCTTCGAACAAAAGCTCGAAGCCGCCGTGATCCAGCTCAGCAAACTGGAAAAACAAACCATCATAAGCGGGAACGGATTGCCCGACAAGTTCAAAGCAGCGAAATATGCCTTATTGAAAAAGGAATCACTCGAAAAAGCCATCCAGGACCTCCAATCCTGGCAGAATGAGTTCGACACAACATGGTTCCTCGTTATGCGACTAGCAGATCACACGATCCTAAAAGACGAGTTGGTCAAGCGCAAAGGAACCGAGAAGTTATCCGTTGCTAGACATGTACTTGATGCGTTGCAGATGGAGCCGGATCAAGCGGTCTCGCCGTTTCTTTCCCAAGATAAGATTCACTCGGCCACGCGGACGGATATTCCGCGTTCGACGTCAAAGATCATTGAGATTGCGGGCTTGGGGGAGTTTATCTTGGATTCTGCGGACTGTTCGACCAGAAACGACGCTCAGATATTTGCGAAGAATGTGCGGCATCTGGCGATGAGGCTTCATCAGGTCGATGCCAACGGGTTTCATCTCCTTAAATGCCATGGTGTGGCTCGGATTACGGACCCATATACCAAGCAACTTCGCTCGTTTGATTTCATTTTCAATTTCCCTGATGGCTGTCATAAGCCGCGGAGCCTTCGGAGTCTTCTTTTAGAGGGAGGGGCTCATTCTCTCAGTGATAGGGTTGGTCTTGCTAAACAGCTTGCTACGGCGATTAATTATATCCATGTGCTTGACTTCGTGCATAAGAATATTCGTCCAGAGACTGTGTTGGTGTTTGAAGGGAGTGGGGCTCATCTAGGCCCGTTGTATCTCTTGGGATTCAGGGCTTTTCGGTTGGCTGATAACAAGACATTACGATTGGGGAACTCGGTTTGGTCGGAGAATGCTTATGAGCATCCGGATCGACAGGGGAGTAGTCCTGAGGCGGACTATGTTATGCAGCATGATATTTATAGTCTTGGGGTATGTCTGCTTGAAATTGGGCTTTGGGAGTCGTTTGTGAGTGGTGAGGGTCATGCGAATGCTTTGTTAGCTGGGTTTGAGGGTGGTTCTTCGGTGGACAGATCGATCAAGGATTACTTTATGATGCTGGCGAAGAAACGACTACCGAGTAGGATGGGTGAGATGTATACTCAGGTGGTTGTGAACTGTTTGTCATGTATGGATGAGATGAATGAAGAGTTTGGTGATCAGAGTGAGTTTGAGGATGATGATGGGATTTTGATTGGGGTTAAGTATGTTGAGAAGGTATGTTGATAGTATAGTGAGAGAAAGCAGAGCTAACAGATACGCAGGTTCTTCTTTTGCTTAACGAGATAACAGTCTGATGAGTCAGATTTATTCACTAAATTATCTTTTTTTTTTTGCCAGAAATGATCAGCACCATCTGGACTGAAAGCGGTTCGATATCTGGGAATTGCTTTGAGTTCGGATGTAGATGGCATGGCTTAGTGCATCGTGCATCAGGCATTAGATCCTAGGATGGGGATGACAGCATAACAATTCGGGGTTGATCGCTTCGGAATATTCCTTCAGAGGTTCAACTTGCCGGTGGATTGGGTTGAATAACCCGCCGGGTAACCCACCGGGTAGGGTTGAACCCCCGACCCAACCCGACCCGACCCAACAGGTTGAACTGGATATTTCATAGGAGCGGCCTCACTCTCAATCGGATAGTGTACATGTTAGGGACATGAACACAATTTAATCACAAAGACAGCGATCAACTATGGGCGATATAATCCAGAAGGTCTATCTTGCTTGAAGAGGTTGACAGCTGTTGGTACTTCGTGAACCCCGAACAAGGAAATGTACCGAAGGGGAATGAGAGTGCAAAAATGCCACTCTCATTTCTTTCAATCGTGGCACTGATTGTTCCGAATCGTCTGAAGAGCTTCCAATAAGGTCAGTAGTCGATAGGAGTGAAACCGTGGACTATCTGCCAATTGCCGGTGATAGGATCACGCTCGTTCCGGAGAAAGTGCATAAAGCTTTGATCACGGTATGGGCTCCACTTTGCAATGTCTTCCTCTGTCGTTCCCGGAGGAAAGCCATCCTGGACCCGAAAAATGTTGATTGGTTTTATGCGTGCCTCTTCTGGGATGAGGTCTTCAGCTGTCGGTTCGCTTCCCAATTCCGTGCCCAACGAATATGGACTCGAGGCGAAGTCCAAGTCGGGTGTGGCGGGAAGGCTTCCGAGGTCAAATCTGAATATATCACTACTGCTTCCTCGGCGATGTGGTTCATCGAGCTCATTCATTAATGCCGATATCTGAGGACTTGTCATCCCTTGGGCTGCCTTGATTTCCCTTCCATACATCTCTTCTATTGCAATGAGCGTTTCGAGCAACCTTATTCCAGAGGCGGTCTTGTAGAACCCCTGCACCGGAGGCGCTCGGCCTGTCAGGGTTAGCGCTGCGCGTCGGAGTCGGGGTTCCCGACATTTAAGACTGGTGATCCAAAGTGGTATGGCAACACTGAGTTCAATTGTAAGCGGCGGTTGTGACCCGTCGGATCGAACCGAAGCATCTAGAGCGATGCTAGCCTGCTCAACGATATTTTGGAATTGTGGTAGGTAACTGTCGTTTGCCGTCTCTAAAAGCGATGAGGAAGTCGCAGCCATTACATATAGCATTTCGTGCTGAGTGAGGAGAAGGGCGCCGGTGCCAATCTCCTGGGGTGATAAAGCATCTGTTGAGCGTAGGGATTTCATCAAATTGACAAAGGCTTCATGCCAGCTCTTGAGCCTAGCCAGGAGGTCCATCTGTTGACATGATAGTTCCCAAGTTAATTGAGAAGGATGAGACATCACTAGGTGCTGCAAGCAGGTGCGGTGGAAGAGCTGAATCTCTGCGGCCAAGAGAACGATGCCCTCGCGAGCGGATCTGAGTGAGGCGAACCCTTGTGTCAATGCATGTTCAGCGTCAGGTAGTAAGGCGCCGACCGGAACTGCGGAAAAGTTCAGCGCCATTGCTCCCAGACGGACGAATATGGGGACGATATTGTTCTCCAACAGGGCGGCTTTGGATGGCTCCACAGCTCCGCAGGCAATTTGAGCGCGCAGATTCATAATTAGTTGGACACCTTGCGTATAAAGTCGCGTCGCCTGTGGCACACCTCCCTGGAGCGCTTCAATGCACATGAATAGCACGCAGCTCACCAGTCCGACAGAGATGTCTCCATCACCGCGATCCAGGCGCTGACGCACTGAAGACATCGAGCGGGAATACCAGCCCAACGCATCTCGGTGGTTCTGGTTTAGAATACGGAGATCTTTCTCGCGTAAGAAAGCAATATCTGGACATGGCTCAGGACTCTCAAACAGTGCACTGAGGGAGATGATGGCATCCCACACAGCCGGTTCACTCCGGGACACTTGCGGGACGATGGTGCTCCAGAAGTCGGTTTCTAGCCCACCCCCGACAAATAGAGCGGTGTGTTGGAAATAATAGGCAAAGGCGCGGCGTTCTCGCCAGACGGTATTCGGGGATGATGAAAGAGGGTTGTCTAGGATGGAGTCGGTGGCAGGTGCGGAGGAAAATGTGCCGAAAGTGGTACCTTCGTACTGGCACTGGCGACCTGTCTTGGTGCATCGGACACAGGCCGGCTTCTCCTCTCCGCATTTGACCCGTCGACTTCTGTATTTACTTAGTGTTATGCTGTCTGCATGGAAGAAAAGGCCGCACCTACTTGCAAGTTTTGCACCCCCGCCTCGATCTCAGGGGGCGAATTGGACTCCCCGTCACACTGGTCGGCGGGCTGACAGACATGTCGCCAGCATTATCGGTGGAATAAATGGACAGAAGACTATGGGGTCTCGGCAACAGGAGTGGAGTGTGGAAGGCCGAGATGTTTCGGTGGCTGTATGAGATGGGAGGGTGTCAGAGGAGATAATCCCCTCCGGGTGTGATTGGTGGGGACATGGGGTAGTCACGTGTGCAGAATAGGGGAGACGCTACCACCACCCCACGCAGGCCAACTCAGTGCCACCCCGTCTTCTATCTCCTCGGTCAGCGTACCTGTTTGTTTGTGAGTTGAACTATGGCCGGTAGAGGATAATAAGAGCCGGCAAGTGATTAAAGCGACGAGTCATTGTAGCCTGGAGGGGCTCTCCACTGCAGGATTGCGGATGGCCAATCATAGTCGCCGTATTCCCATCAGCTCCGCGGAACCCCGGTTCGATCTCGGAACCGGGAATTTGATTTTCCCTGGTCATTATCCCCGTTACTTGCATTACTCCGTAACATGCACCTCGCTTTTTCATCCCCATGTGCCTTCTTCTCGCCTAAAACACGTCTTATTAGGTGACAAGACCATACGAACTGCGGATTCAAGATAGGGGCCAGGAAAGTGATGATGCTCGATGATCTTAACGCCTCATGTACACGCGTACATAGAAAACAGGAAGACGGGCAGATCAGCAAACAGATCAAAACATGACACGATCACATGACTACAAAGGCACCATCTCGGGGCTGCTCAGTATGTGCAATACATGCCTAGGGCGCGAGGTATTGCTCGAATAGTTCTATCGAATATGTTTGAACCTGCCCCGACCTATAACCGTTGAACAGGATGTACCGACAAGGGCTCAAATAGGTCCAGGTCCAAATGCTAAATTATCCATGAGAAGCCTAGCATGCCAGAACAGGATACTATCACCGTGGTGCTTGTCCACTGACACACAAGGTCTGTGTGATGACCTCACTAAATGGACTAGTTTACAGCAAAAAGGCAATATTGCCCGCCTATATGAAACAAGCAACTTTTCCCGCAATTTCGCATTGGATCAACCTCCATGTAGGATCTGTCATGCAGACACTGCCGACCAATCAGCCTGCGGGATGGGCGGCCCCGAATGCGGGGAACTCCGGGGTAGATCCAGTCCGGGGAGGATAACCCTCAACAGACCCAGCAGATCGGCAATTGTATCTCCATAGCCGCAGCACGAGTCGGCAATTCTCTCCGGTATAAATAAGGCCTTCTACATTGGGGAAAATAGTCACTACTTACCCACATTAGCCCATGAATCAACGGTAGTCCACTTCCACCATGACAGACAGTTCCAAAGGCGATCAATCGCCCAAACTCCACAAAGACCTCGCAACTGCCGAGCACGATGAAACAGTCGGCACCATCGAGAACACCGAAGTGTCCTACGGTGTGGGCGGGATCAACGGTCTCTTCCGCTCATGGTATGTCTTCGGATCGGCGGCGCTGGCATCCCTCGGGGGTTTCTCCATGGGATATGACATGGGAGTGATTTCTATCGTCAACGTGATGGATCAATTCCATCAGGTATTTCCTCGCTCTGAATCAGCCTTCGGAAAGGGTCTCATGACCGGTATGATGCTGTTGGGCGCCTTCGTGGGCTGTCTCTTCATGTCGTACCTGGCGGACCGGATCTCCCGAAAATGGGCCTTGACTGTCGTCGTGGTGATCTTTGATATCGGAGCCATACTACAAACCTCCGCCACAAACTACGACATGCTCGTTGCCGGTCGATTCATCGGCGGCATTGGCGTGGGTACTCTCGCCATGGTACGTCCCTTCCCCCCCCATCCACCCCCAAAACTCATACTAACCTACCCATCTGGAGGGCGCCCCCCTGTACATCTCCGAAGTCTCCCCCCCAGAACTCCGCGGCACCCTTCTCGTCCTCGAATCCATCTCCATCACCCTCGGCGTCGCAATCGCCTACTGGATCACCTACGTCACGCGCTTCATCCCCAGCGAAGCCAGCTTCCGCCTCCCCTTCGGCCTCCAAATGCTCACCGCGACAATTCTCGGCGCAGGCATCCACCTCTTCCCATACTCCCCTCGCTGGCTCGCCCTCGTCGACCGCCAAGACGACTGTCTCGCTAGTCTCTCCAAGCTCCGCGGCCTCCCACCCACCGATCCCCGCATTCAAACCGAATTCCACACCATCTTGTCTGAAATCACCTACCAGCGTCTTGTCCAACAGCGTCGCCACCTCGGAGCAACAGGCCTCAAGCTCGAGCTCGTCTCCTGGCTTGATCTCTTCTCTCGGGGGATGTGGAAGCGTGTAGCCGTGGGCTGTGGAGTCGCTTTCTTTCAACAGTTTTCTGGTATTAACGCTTTTATATACTACGCGCCTACTTTGTTTGAATCCTTGGGCCAATCGGACGATATGTCGAAGATCCTCTCCGGAGTATTCGATATCATCCAGGTGATCGCAGCTGTGATCTGCGCATTTATCATCGAGGGCGTTGGTCGGCGAGCACTCGCTATCTACGGCGCATTCGGCATGGCCATCGCGTACATCATCATCGCCGTTCTATCCGGCCTGTACTCAGATGACTGGGAGGGCCATGTCGCGGCGGGCTGGGGCTGCGTGGCCATGGCATTCGTGTTTATTTTGATATACGGGGTGTCGTATTCCCCATTAGGATGGGCGTTACCGGCGGAGGTGTTCCCCAATGCGTGTCGGTCGAAGGGCGTGGCATTGGCGACGTGCACGATCTGGTTGGCGGATTTTGTGGTGGGCATTGTCACCCCGTCCATGTTGGCGGATATCGGGTATAGGACGTATGTGTTCTTTGCGGTGATGTGTACGGCTGCTGGGGTGTGGGCGGTGGTGTTGGTACCGGAGACGAGTGGGAAGACTCTAGAGGAGATTGATGGGTTGTTTGGGGATAGGGGGGCTAGGGAGGAGAGGGAGATTGTGAGGGAGGCGATGGTGGCGGCGGGGGATAGGGGGGTGGTTTAGGGTTGGATTCCCATTGAGGACTTGGATGAAAGGCTGGCTCATTGCCGGTGTATGTACTCCATGAGGTTAAGTTGGGCATCGCTCCATCAGAAATAATATACTGCTTCCTGTGGCTGTACACGTCTGCATCATACGTCCTATATATCGTACGGCTTTCCGTTGCACCTCTCCATGAACCTGAGAAACTTCAAACGCCCGAGTCATCTTGAAACCGCCCAGTCGGATTCGCATGATTGCTCCAGTCACCATACCAGGATTTCCAGCTATTGCATCCCTCTTGAAGTTGTTCAGATGCATCCGAGGCTGGACTGCCGATGATGCCCGGAGACAGCTGCTCCTTGTCTTCCAGAATCTGCAATGCCAGACCTCCAGAGGCATGCCAGGCAATATGGCAATGAAGTAGCCAAGCGCCAGGGTTATCGACCTTGAAGGCAATCACAATATACCCATTACGGGGCAACAAGACGACATCGCGACGCGCTGGATTGTCCAGTGTGAGGGTGTCTATAAAGCTGTTCATCTTCGTCTCGTTACTGATGATAGCATGATTGAATGGGTCATATGACTGCTTTAGTAGAGCAAAGTCATGGCCGTGGAGATGTATCTAAGGTGAGTATTTGCATTAGCTTGATTTAATGTACAGCAACAGGAAAATGGAGGTTCAAGGCTTACTGGGTGTGCGGCAGGGATCACAGAATCCCCAGGCTTCTTCGGTTTCTCCTCTTTTTGATGTCCACCATCTATCAACATGTATGCCCAATCTCCATAGACCGTTTCGTTTACTTCAAAGAGGGCAGCGGTTGGGGGCCAATCACCCTCGGATCTGTCAGTGTGGTTGACTGTCGGGTCTGTGTAGTCCACCCAGGCAGGATCATCCATGATCTTCCAGACCGAGATATTTGGCCCAGCAACAATGCCGCCCTCGGGTTCTGGTGGGAGTGTAAAGTTTGCTTCTCTCTTTACCTCGAAAAGAAATCTTATCCTCTTCAACTGTTCAGGACTAGGCCTTGGTACTTGCCATTTAAGTACTGGCTTTATGTCTGTATGGTTTTCGTCCTGGCACATGGGGTCATAGTAGTGTTTGCCAGTTGTAGGATCGTGAGCCACGTTATCATCGTACAGGAGGATGCCCTGCCTCTCGTTTGGTTCGCAGGCAAAATTCTCACAGTGTTGTGCTGGTTCAGTCCGAATCCAATAGCTCGGTTCATGTGCGTTCTCGGGTTTGGTTCGTAGTATGACATGGTACCGCTGACCTGGTCACTGTTAGAAGCAGTAATCTGGATGTTTGAAGAACTAACCAATTCCAATGAATAGATGTGTCTTGTTGTATGGATGGACTGGCACCAAATCGGCACCAATGACTTCCAGCTCGTGGTCATCGATGCTGAAAATATAAGCCGTGTCCGTTGACGCATTAATGAGTCTCAGAAGGATTCGCTTGTTCTGTAGTATTATCAGAGTGTGTTGGCGCTGTCAGAACGATATTCGACCTACTGGCTCTACCCTTTGTCTGTATCGGTTTTTGGGGTATCTGCCCTGGTAGCTCCCTGTGATGTTTTAGTATCATTGATTGATGATGAATTTTTGGAGGTCTGCTTACCGTTTCCGTTGATTGTAATGCTTTCCATATTGATTGGCCCTTGTACCTTGCCTTCGACGGTTGCCCAACTCCAATCCTCAAAGGCGCTCCTATTGTTGTGGTCGGCTATCATAAGAGGGTAAATGACGTCGTCATAGCTGTCAACAGATGCCGGCCCGTGGATAGTCAATGGGCCAAGCAAGCCATCGGTGTATTGAAGGCTGTAATGACTATGATACCAGGTTGTGCCATATTGGACCGCGCGAAACTTGTAGGTGAAGCTATCGCCCGGCGCAATTGGACACTGGCTGACACCTGGCACGCCATCTGCAAGGCTGTCGTTGAACATGCGAATCCCATGCATGTGGATGGCAGTTCCATTATGTTCCAGGTTGTTGGTGACATGAACATCTGGTCCTCATTAGCATGGGTATGAGCACCAGAGTCCGGACCGGGAGTACTTGCGGATGGTATCGCCCCAACAGGCCTCTAAAAACATACGTTAGCAACTGTCTGGATTCTCTACAAGGGGGATTCTCACCAATATAGGGGCCAGGGTATGAATTGTTGAAATATTTCCCTTGACGATAATCACGGCCATCGGGCGTTTTGGGATCCGCCTCGTCCATTCCAACATCCACAGAATACTATAGGCTCTCTTCTCAGCATGTACCAAGAGGACATATGATATTGCATCACTTACATGTCTGTCTATGCCCTGGGGAATATACTCCTCATAATCTGTGTCAATAGTAATGGACTTGTCCTGACTTTCATTTTTGCTCTGGAGCCAAACACTCCAATTCCCATGAGCATCAGGACCCATGTAGTATCTACCGAGTCCTGTATAATTGCACCTAATCAATGAACCGATAGGGCTGAATAATAAATTATCCGAATCAGCCGGCGCGACTCCATGAGGTGGCAGTGGCTGTTGCTGGAATGGTAAAAAGGATGAGAAGCCTAAGAAATTGACAATGGCCGTGAGGCAATTTTCCAAAAGCATACTGCGTTAGATTCTTGCCGGATTCTTCACAACCCAAGACACAATGGATTGTCATAATGCCATCCTGACGAGTTATCCGGTCGAGATGAGCAGGGACTAAAATAGGCACATTATTCAGCACTTGAGCTTCTGGTAACAAAAGTGAAAACGCCAGTCTTACGTTAAGGACTTGAATGACTTATCATCACAAATCGTATATTGTGGAGAAAATAGAACTCAGGAGCCATGGGTATGCTACTCGGTGGAGGAAATCCGTGTTCAGCGGGCTGTTAAGTTGAAGTATGCGGTTTCGCGGAGATGCATGCGGCTTGCCCACTCTATTTCCCCAAATTTACAGCTTTGTTGGTTAGGAATGTCCTTATCGACTTGCTGGATGCGATAATGGAGGGCAGCTGAGCCAGGTCACTTCGGCCGATCGCAATTGTGCTTGTGTCTGTACAATAATTATGTGGGATCTGGCATTGTTTATTACCAGATAGTGAACTATCGATATGTCCCGCATTAGGTGGAAGATTGGTTGCAGAGAATGGGGTGGATATAATCTGGGAAGGTAAGATGACGACTGCGTGGATATGCGAGGGATCCGCAGTGCAGATCTCCGAACTGATCTGGGTTTCCACGGGCAGGGCTGGAATCTGGATAAACGATCTGCCAACAAATGGGATTCCACATTCCAACTGACAGATGGGGCCGCGCAAGGGGTTCCGTGGTAGGGCATGTAACACAACATGACAGCCGAGCTCTGGGCCCCAGACAATAGAAGGGAGGTTGCATTGACGGGAAGCTGATTTCGCTGCATGACGTTAAGACTTCATGCATGGGGAAATTCGCGGCATTAACTGCGAATCAGCGTGTACACCAGCATGCCACTAGACTTCATCGAGAAAGCCTATAACATATCACAAGGCATGCGCAATGAGTTGCAAAGCGCTTCTTTCACTGCCTACCTCCAGAAATATAATGAGTTCAGTAGTCCATAGCGTCAGAAAACCGATTATTCAATTCCCAGCACGTATCTCCAAGGATATCATGCAACGTTATGGCCTTATAGGCTGTTGACGGGCGGACATGCGCTTCACAGAGGGAATTAGACGGTGGCTGGTATGGGCTAGATCGGTTCAAGATGTGACAAAAGCTTTAGAGGTCATATGTCGAAGGAACAACGACTCGTAGTGTCTAGGACATCGATCTAGAAATGCGTTCATGGATCAAGGCCGCTGCCCTGATAAGTACCGCAACCGGGAGAGGATGAGTCTCGGAATAGATGGGTAATCGCGCGCGCAACATGAAGCTTCAGGGTACCGCCCTTGATCCCTGGCAGAAGACAGGAGAGAGTGAAGACACCCCTCAAAATGTGCGGGATCGGAAAAAGGAGCGACAATGCATGCATTGTCACATGTTGGCAGCAGACTTTTCACGACAACTTCTCCACAGCATGCAGAGGATGAAAGGAAGACCGTCAAAAGTGATTAGGCAGGCTAGCGGAGCCTGCAAGAGTAGCCTGACATTAGTGACAATGTTGGCTTACGCGTGTGGCGGATGTACGTAAGGCATGTGGGTGGGGATGGACTTGCGGTTGGCTTGGACGGCCCACTGGGTGACTCGGGAGGCCCGATTGGGGGTAATGAGACGACATATGTAATTAAAGCGTCCAGCCAAATAAGATGCTGATTATCGGATCCTACTGCGGTGGCCCGCAGCCAGGTGCGAGTCGCAGGGCTCTAGGTGAAGCTGGTCTAACTGGATGGGGAGGTCAGTCAATATTCGGGCGTCCAGCGTCCAACAAACGACCTGATCTGGAAGATCCACTGGTGGATCAGATGCAGGGTACACCTGTAGAAGCCTAGACGGTTCGTCGGAGAGGATTCCGGAGGTTTCGTGATGGGATGGTTTGATGCTGCCGGGGGAGCCGTTGAGCAGATGCAGTGCATGGTGATGTGGTAAAAGTTTTCAGGGCCAAGCCCGAGGCTCCGAACCCATGAGGATAAGATTGACATAGGTGGACATGACATCAGGTCTCATGCCGAAAGCAATTTATTTGATGAAAGGAACATGAACGACCTGATAACTTGGGAGACTCCAGAGTCCTTGAGGGTAGGATCTATTGTTAGAGAGCGTGCGATTTGTAAAGAGTGTAGGGTACACTTACCACCTCTGCACCAACAGATGAATTACAAGATCTGAAAGGATGCAGACTGAAAATGGTTCATGCCATGAGGAGCGGTAGGTTCATTGGAAGTGAACTAACTGGATACGAGCACCGTAGGGGCCGCTTGGCGGGTGCACGTGCTCTCGCCGGTGTCATGAATCATGAGCCCCATGATTGGCTGGATCTCGGCCAATGGCGGGCGCTCCGGCGCTGCGTGAGACCCATGGCGGTTTGGAGTCGACGGAAAACAGCGACGGTGATGGGCACGAGGGACCCGATCTGGGACGGGAGTGGACCAGGGGTCACGGAGGTCTGACCACCACGAGAGTAATTTCCGATGCGAGTTCCTGGACAGACAAGCCGGGACAAGACCGGACAAGCAACAACAGCCAGGCAAACAAGACAAACCGGGCGAGGCCAGACGGCAAGGGGGCACGTGGTGCCAAGAAAGCTTGGCCTCTCGTTGTCCGCAACAGCAGCACGTGCCCCCGTCCGGGCCTCTCATTAATCGACGGCCAAACCCCATCCCTGAGCTTGCATTGCGCCTGCATGGCTCCTTCCCCTCTCCCAAACCATGCTGCCGCCCAATCCCCTTGGCCTCCCGGACCATGCCGACGGCTGTGTCCGCCTTGACGTTACACCGGCCACGCTTCCACTATTCTAGAAAAAAAAAAAAAAAAAAAAATCTCAACTACGGAGCACAGTCAAAGTAATTTCCGGCCTACCATCTGCATCACGCAGCCATGGATGAACCTCGGGCTGGAAACGTGCTGCTTTGGGGGCTGCCATATTGTTGTATGGCTTATCGAGGGACAACCACCCCAATTTGCGACCCGTAGTTCAGCTGGAGGCTGCCCCCACCCCCCAAGGCATTACCACAACTAGGCTGCTGGCTGCTAGCAGCTGTAGTGGCATGTTAGCCTCGACTAGGGCTGTCGCGTGTGAGACTCCGCGACAGCTCTCGCCAACCACGTGTGGCGAGACGGACCCCGCTGGCCAACCACAGCCGATATCTGCGCAACGTGCTGACGGCTATATGAGATGCATGAATCGGTTAGCTGACAGCCTGACATCGCAACAGCTGTGCTGGATGGACTTTTAGATTCCTCCCTGATACTTAAATCGAGGGATCGCCATTGTCCTGGCTGACCCTGCGTGCTTGTCATCTGCAACCCGAATCCACCACCCTCATCTTCGTTGCCAGTCCTTCCCTCTCGTGCAGCCTCCCAGCCAGAGGATCTCTTCACAATGGCGGACTTTGGCCCTCGTGCTCCTCACGGGCCTGACATGACCGGAACCCAGGACTTCTCCGAGATGAACCCTTCCGAAAAAGAGGGCTTCGACCGCCTCCTCCGCCCCGACGACAGCTATACGCCCGAAGGCGTCTACTGGGCCGACCTTCCCCTCGGCCAACGGATCAAATTCGTCTCCTCGGTCGAAGCTAAGGAGCGTGGCCGTGAGTGGTCTGCGCTCTGGGCCGAGATCAAGGCGGATCCTCTTTCTCCCATCATGGGTTACATCCGCAACACCATCATCCCCGGTGCTGGTATCGGTCTCGAAGGGTAGGCTGCTCTTCCTATGCATGTGTGTATAGCTCTAACAGTAATAGTTACGTCCTTCTCTCCATCGGTAACATCTCCACTATGTTCGGAAAGTCCTTTGAATCGTGTTGGGGTACATACGAGATTTGTAACAAGCAGTGGATTAACGCCATCACATACCTGGAAATCGTTGGTATCATCATTGGTCAGGTCTTGGTTGGTGTCATTGGTGACTGGGTGGGCCGTCGCTACGGTCTGCTTCAGGATGCCTGGATCATGTTTCTCGGTCTGGTCATGCTGACCTGCGCCTGGGGTGTCACCCAAAATGGCTGGGTGATTTGCTATGCCTGGTCTCTCTTCATCTACGGCATTGGTGTTGGTGAGTCCCGTCAACCTTTTGGCGGCCGTGTTTATGAATCGATTGACTCATGCTTCTCTCAGGTGGTGAGTACCCCATGACTGCCACCAGCGGTATGGAGAACGCGGTTGGCTCCGGCAAGCTGTCCACCCGTGAGGATCGTCTTCACCGTGGTTCCAAGGTTGTTGGCGTTTTCTCCATGCAAGGCTGGGGTCAGGTCCTCAACCAGGGCTTGCTTATGATCTTGCTTCTCATCTTCAATGCCGGCAGCGGACAGGAGCCCATCAGCCAGAAGAACGCCCAGTGGACCTACCGCATCTCCTTTGTCATTCCCATGATCGGTACCTTCTGGCTCATCTATTACCGTGCCTACCACATGAAGGCTGCCAGTAAGCAGCTTGCCGCCACCAAGAAGAAGGCCTCGGTCACTGGCTATGACACTGAGTCTCTCCGCCTGACATTCAAGTACTTCACCCCTCGTATCCTGGCCACTGCTGGTGGATGGTTTGCCAACGACGTTTTCTTCTATGGCGCCAAGCTGTTCTCCGGTGATTTTATCAAGGTCATCAGCCCCGGTACCAAGGACATCTTTGTTACATGGGAGTGGAGTTTCATCAACTGTGTCGTCACCCTGGCGGGATACTATGCTGCTATCATCTTCGTGGACAACAAGCTCTATGGCCGCAAGTGGATGCAGATTATGGGCTTCTTGCTCTGCTTCATCGTGTATGTGGTGCCTGCCTTCCACTACAAGTACTATACCGAACCCGCCCACATCCACTCCTTCCAGGCTATGTACTTCCTGGGCAGTTTCTTCAACCAGTTCGGTCCCAACTGCGTGACCTTCCTGGTCGCTGGTGAGGTCTTCCCCACTCCCATTCGCGCCACTGCCCACGGTATCTCGGCTGCCTGTGGAAAGCTGGGAGCTCTGTTGGCCGGTATCCTCTTCAACTACATCGACACCCAGACCAAGTTCTACTTTGTGCCCTGGTGGGGTCTGTTCGGCATGGCCTTGACCTACCTCTTCCTCCCCGACACCACCGGTCTTGATCTCAAGGAGCAGGAGCGCCGCTGGCGATTCATCCGTGAGGGCCGTGAACACGAGTACCACGGTGTCGCTGTCAACCACAAGCACTTGTCTGTGTGGGAACGCTTCCGTGGTGCTGGCAAGTACTACGACCCCGAGCTCGACTACCAACAGCGTGTCGAGGAGTACCGCCAGGAGTGGGAGAACATCATGGCTCGTCGCAGCGAGGAGACCAAGAACGACGAGGACGTCGACCTGGCCTTGGTTGAGGATGAACTTCTTGAGGGTTCAATTCACAACTACTTCCACCGCACCAGCTCTTTGAGCAAGAACCACAGCGTCGAGAAGGTCACTGAGGCCGACTCCTCGAACTAAAACTGCACTTGGTTTGCACTATGCCCCGGCATGAAAAGGTTATACCCATTATATACCCGTCGCTCGCGACTCACTGGCCGCTTGATAGAGGCTGTCCCTAATTCCTTGTTTATAAATTCGATGTCTGGATGGTTGAATGTGGGCTGAGACATGAATCGTTGTGTGCTTATTTTATTTTGTACCTAATTAAATACGACTCGGCTCTATTTTTGTATGATGTTTATGAATCAGTCAATCCCTTTGTCTATACCATGTACAATCGGTATCGATTAGCCAACAGTTCCAGAAACAATTATCCTCGTACCAATTCGTTTTCGCCTTTGAAAGACCACCAGTGCGAAAGATCAGTATCATGTTGGATCCCACCCGTCGTAGGCCCAAACAGCACCCAAACAATTATCAATATTGTTTTCGACCCAGATGGATGACTGACATGAGATAGTGAACAGGTTATTCTCGGTAGGATTCCAATACGCATTCCGAGAATACATGTTGATCTCCAGCTCTTCACCCGCACGTGGCTTGACTCCTATGCCAATGCTTGGCTCACAGAATCCGTGTTTTGGGAGAACTCAATCGAATGAACCAAGCCTTGGCCAGATTAAGCCCCTCCTTTCCGACTAAGCTTTGGCGTTTGGAATAAGCCTTTGTAACTACTAACTGTGGATGCATGGTCTCTCGGTGCCAGGGTGAGTGTATTTCCCACTCAGTCTCCGCAGAAAAATATATAAGTAGAGGTTACCCCAACATCTTCGGATATCTGTGAAGTACTGCTGATTCATATAACCCACCAAATAGAGAAATATACTTTTCCTCATCCGGACTGTGTTATAAGAGATTGGTGAATGGATACCAAGGAATTAATGTGGTGGAGGCCTCACGGCTTGACTGCTCACCTCAGGCATCAGTGTATGCCCCAGGCAGAAAGGCCAATACACCATGCCTCTTTTGGCAGTAAAGGCTTCCCGCGGGGGTTATTTCCTTTTCCGGCCACGCCCGGCCTGGAGTCGAGACTCGCCATTCATGTTCATCATCGACGATCTCCTTTTCCCTATTATCGCGATGGAGTTCCATCCCGAGTGTTGTTACATTGGCTCCAATCCAGAGACCGACATTTGACGGCGACGCAACCACCACCTCGCTTCAGTACACACCGGTGTACAACCTCCTTATTGCGATGGAATATTCCGACGGGTTGTTGGAGCACTCCTACTGGATTGAATATTCAGGACGTTGCGCCTTATATAAGGATGCTTGAGTCTACCGTTAGCCGGTGGTTTCTCCCATCTCGTCATCATCAACTCATCAGTTTCACCCAAGTCATCAAACTGCGTCAGTATTCCATCGAACTGCGCAAACATGGTTAGGCGAAACTTTTCCACTACGGCCCTGGAGGTACTTTGCACTCCAGAGCGCCTGGAGCTCATCGACCACATTGACTCTCTTCGACTTCGAGGCATCAGCCACTATATCTCCCTGCCTCAGATCATAGTCTGTGGCGACCAGTCTTCAGGCAAAAGCTCTGTTCTGGAGGCCATCTCTGGTGTGCCCTTCCCGGTTCGAAGCAATCTTTGCACCCGATTTCCCACCGAGGTTGTTCTACGCAAGGCTGCTCAGGCTGGGGTGACCGTGTCTATTGTTCCTCATCAGTCGCGAGGCTCTTTCGAGCAAGTGAAGCTCTCCGCTTTCCACGAAACGCTCGATAATTTTGAAGATCTGCCCCCACTGATCGAGAAGGCAAAGGCGGCTATGGGCTTGCATGCTCAGGGCAAGGCTTTTTCCAATGACTTGCTTCGCGTGGAAATATCGGGCCCGGACCGGCCTCATCTCACCATCGTCGATCTCCCCGGTCCCACCCACTCGGAAACCCAACAGCAGTCGGCCAGGGATGTCAGCCTTGTTCAAGACGTTGTCAAGATGTATATGCGAGAATCAAGGAGTATTATTTTGGCTGTGGTTTCAGCAAAGAACGACTTCGCCAATCAGATAGTTCTCCGGCTTGCCCGAGAGGCAGATCCGTCCGGGACTCGCACGGTGGGTGTCATCACAAAGCCGGATACCTTGGTTCGGGGGTCGGACAGTGAGTTTCAGTTTCTGTCGCTTGCTAGAAACCAAGAAGTCAATTTCAACCTTGGCTGGCATGTCCTCAAGAACATGGACACCGAGAAGGGGACATCCAGCCTTGCCACCCGGAACAGAGAGGAATCCGAGTTCTTGTCCAAGGGTGCTTGGGCAAGGTTGCCGCGGTCCTATGTCGGTATCGATACTCTACGAACACGCCTAAGCAAATTGCTGCTGGAGCAAATAGTTGCTGAACTACCCGACCTGATGGAAGAGGTCAAGACCAAGATGGAAGACTGTCAGCAGCAGCTTGACGGGCTCGGCCAGCCACGCGAGACAGTGACTGAGCAACGATCCTACCTGCTCCAGATCAGTGAATCCTTTCAGAGCATCGTGCGAGCTGGTGTGGATGGTACCTATGGTGGCACCTTCTCCGGGCGCGTTGATGCTGTCAAGCAGTATCCAAATCGAATCCGTGGAGTAGTGCAAAATCTAAATGAAAAGTTCGCAAAATACATCAGCGAGCAAGGACACTACCGACACATATCCCACAGCCAGAATGATGCGAGAGATGTGACTTCAGGGCAAACAGTCGTGACCCGCAAAAAATACATTGAACATATCGAGCTGCTTCTCCGGGAATCTCGGGGTCGAGAACTTCCCGGAACATTCAATCCCATGATCATCACTGATTTGTTCCAAGAGCAGTCCCAGCTCTGGCAGAAAATTGCGGAGAACCACATAGATGAAGTCTGGGCAGCAACACAGGCATTCATCATTGCTGTGGTCCGTGGCGTCAGTGATGAAGCGACAACAGTCACACTACTGCATGATATCACGGCTCCCGCATTGGATGACCGTTTACAGGCAATGAAGCGGAAGCTGACCGAAGTACTAGAGCGATACCGAAGCGGTCACCCAATTACTTACAGTCGCGAATTCGTGGAGATCATACAGAAGGTCCACCGGGAGAGATTCAAGGCTGTATTGTCTAATGGGCTTGAGGAATTCATCGAGCAGCAAAACAAATTGCGTCACTTCTATGTGAATCCAAGCGAGATTGGCAATGTTTTGGATAGAATCCTCGCGTCCAGTGAAGTGGGCTCGGCCAGCTTTGCCGCTGCAGAGGCTCTAGATATTTCAATGACCTACTACGAGGTTAGTGATAGTCATTGTAACATTCTTATGGATGGCAGGTGCTAACTAGAACCAGGTTTCCCTTGAACGATTCATTGATTGTGTGGCTATTGGTGTCGTGGAGATAACCCTGATGCAGCATCTCGGGAATATTCTATCACCTATAGTGATAGATGTTATGTCTGACACACAAGTCTCTCGTATTGCGGAAGAAACCGTCGGACATTGCTGCTTGCGCAACGAGCTTCTCACGAAACTCGAAGTCCTTCGAAAGGGGTCGGAAATCTGTAGAAAGTTCGTCAAGGTTCCAAAGCCAGGTAAGTACCACGCCCAGTCCTATCGTTCAGAAGCTGAGAAATGGTAGCCGAGATCGACCGAGATATTCAGACAGTAAGAATGTCCACGGTGCCCTAGTGTGAACTCGACCACCAACGCAGCAGCCTACAATCAGGAATTTGGCCAAGTCTATGAATCTGGCATCCCGTCCGGAATATCAAAGACCGACCCACTTGAAATCCCAGCCTTTCTCCATTTAAAAGGTGACGTTACCCAGGGTGCTATCCGGAAAATTGTTGAACATTGCTATCTGGATTACATGTTCAATTGTTCTGTCAAATGGATTTACGCAATCTTGGCAAACTAAAGAGAACTCGCAGTAGTTGAGATCGCAGAGCACCTAATCTAAGAAATCAGGAAAACGGACAGAATCGGACAAATAGATAACGCTACTTGATGAGCACAGAAGATTTACTTTCATTATTGCTAATTTATAGAAAGTTCAATAACCTGCCTTGCCTAAAGACAAAGTGTGTTGACTCACTGAATGCGAAAAGACCTTTCTAAGCTCAGGTCGAACCGAGCTGAACAAGCCTAACATACCCTGGAATCATCCTAATATATCGCTAGATCCCTATATCTCGTAGGAACACCCCCACGGAACCAAGCGACATCAATCCAGTCCCCAATATATAAAGCCGACCGAACCTGCATTCTCAACCCTCTCAATCCACTCATATCAACCAGAGCACTTCCCAGCATGATCACGATTACCTAATTGTCCCCCTCGTGATGACGCCCTCGACGCACGATTCCCATATACAATCGGCTATAAAATCCCAGAGCAGCACACCAAAAGCAGTAACCAAACACAGGTGCATGATGCATTCAGCACCCTTTTCCCCGGCGAGAAAATATATATTCGACATCCCTCTTACGGTCCAGCAGCCCAGCGGCCCAGTTGTGGCAAGCAATGTGGTTGTTCGCTTGAGGCGTCTGCAAATCCAGAGCACATCGAAATGACAAACTGTTATCCACCGGAGCTCTCAGTATCCTTTATATATAAATCCCCGCTTTCTCAACACATAAGTTCCTCCTTCTCAAGAATATGGCAATTACCAAGGAACAAGTTGGCCAGTGGACACTATTGAACTGATCTGCGGCTGTGGCTGGGGCGGTTGGGATAGATTCATCGCCATCATGCTAAATTGGTCAGAGGATTTCAGTGTCAGGCCAGGTTTTTTGTCATTGTTGTCCATGGAACCGAGATAATGGGAATGAGAGGAGTACAGATTGGAAGAAAGCTGGGACTCAGGGGAGTTTGAAAGGAGGGTGACTACGAATCTGTATTGGTCACTGGGTTCACTGCTTAACTGGCTGGAATTCGAAGCCATGTAGGTTGGGATGGCTTGCTTGCTTGCTTGCAGCTGGGCTTGAACTGATCGCCAGATGCATATACATGGTGGGTGAGTGGGCGGTAAGGACACCTGTTAATTGCCCCGGCGAGATGTTATTAGGACGATACCAAGAGACAGTGCACTGGGTGGTTGGGATGTTTCACTGCAAGAGGATATCCCTTCACAATGCACAAACTTTGCAAGTCAGATGGTAGAGTTCCACTGATAGCGGAGACCCATTCACAACAGGAAAAGTTTGCATGTCAGGTGGTGAACTCAGCTTAATCCTGGTATTTATATCCCTGTCGGTATCTTCCGCCAACTCTTTCCATCCAAACCTCTACTCCATCCTTCCTGTCTCTATCTGGGTCCGCACACATACACATCCCAATCACAAGTCATCACAATGAGCCCCTCTGAAGAAGCCCAGAGTGTGACATCCAGTGATGAGTCTCCCTCATCCAACTCCTCCACCCCACCCCCCTCCACCTCCGTATTCCACGAACCCACGATCAAATACCACATGAGCCTGCTCCCCTCCACACATATCAGCGCAACAACCGAGGGTTACGAACATGCCCCAATCATCTCCAGCCACGTTCTCCACGAAGACCAAAAACATGCCAACCAAATCACCCAATACGGCCTCCTCGCAGCCTCAATCCGTCCATTGCTTTCCACCAACCCAGACGAACCCGAGAACGACCCACGCCTCTTCTTCAACGTCACCCACCCCTCAAGCACCTTCATCTGCGGCTCCCAGGGCTCCGGCAAAAGCCACACCCTGTCCTGTCTTCTGGAGAACTGCCTCATTCCTTCACAGGCCGGAAGACTCACAAACCCTCTAACCGCCGTGGTCTTCCACTACGACACGTTCACCAGCGATGAGTCGGCTTATCCGTGCGAAGCAGCGTGGATTTCCTCTCACCCCGACGTGAAAGTCCGGGTTTTTTGCGCCCCGACTAATCTATGGACGATGCAGGTTAGCTACCCTCCCAACCCCATACCCACAAGTACTCATACTAAACTCCCCAGGAAACATATTCTGAATTCAACATCCCCATCGAACCCCTCCACATCGACCAACAACACCTCACCACCAAACGCATGATGGATCTAATGGCCGTATCGCAAACCGACGGAGAAATGCCGCTATACATGCACACGGTGAAACGCATCCTCCGCGAAATGCGTATCCGTCAACAAGAGACCAAAACGGGGTTTAACTACAACGAATTCAAGAAACAAGTTCTTGGTTCGGGGTTGACTCCAGCCCAGGTAGCCCCGCTGCAACAGAGACTTGATACGTTGGAGAGTTTCATGCCCCAGGCGCAGGTTGCGAGGTGGTCGTCGAGGAATGTGCAGCAGAAGAAGGAGAAGGGGTCGTCTTGGGATGCTGTTGTGAGTTTACCCCTCCCTTTATCCAAATAGATATAATATAAACTGATAATGGATGGTGGTGGTACAGCCCGGCCAACTAACAATAGTCGACCTCTCCTGTCCGTGCATATCCCCCGAAACAGCCTGCTCGTTATTTAACATCTGTCTGGGGATATTTCTCAAGCCGGACCCCGAGGGGATAGGAAGAGTGGTGGCCCTAGACGAAGCACATAAGGTATTCCCCCTACCTTTCGCATCCATTTCCCTCACCCCAACACTAAGCAATATACTAAAAAGAAAATTAATGCAGTACATGACAACCACCCCGGAATCGCAACTCTTCACCGAAACCCTCCTCTCCACTGTGCGTCTCCAGCGGCATCTCGGAGCGAGAGTAATCATTTCTACCCAGGAACCCACTATCTCCACCACATTGTTGAATCTTTGTTCTGTTATTGTTGTGCATCGGTTTACGTCCCCGGAGTGGTTGAGGATTTTAACTAGACATGTTGCGGGGGCGGTGAGGGGGGCGTTTACATCTAGAACCAACCCTAATTGTAAACCCGTGGGTGGAGAGGAGGAGGAAGAGGTGGCTACTTCGCTGTTTGAGGATATTGTCAGACTAGGGGTTGGGGAGGCGTTGGTGTTTGCGCCGAATGCGGTTGTGGGGACAGGCATGAGGAAGTTGGGGGAGGGTGTGTTGGGGGTTAAGGTGAGAGCGAGGCTGACGGAGGATGGGGGGAGGAGTTTGCTTTCGGGGTGATGGTGATTTGCTAGGGAAGGGGATGATGAGTTCATGGTTGGTGGGAGTGGGTTTGTAATGTGGGATTAGAGATGCGGGGTATTGGTTGTGGGTGTCGTGTTGGGGAGCATATGATGATTGTTGTTTAGGTGTGGGGGGTTGTAGCTTAGGGTCTGATGTAAAAGAAGGAAAATTTGAATGCAATTAAAGTAATGAGATGCAGACGGACTGAAGTATTGATCATCACCGTGGCGATAGACATGTTATGAAATGCCCAGTGACCAAAAGCTATAATCCCAATGATGGTTTAATAATGGCTGTAAGAGTCCCTAGCGAATAAGCTCCAACAACCCCGAGGAGCCCTTGACATGTCTCAAGATTTCCTCTGGTGTGATGCTCTCTATATGAGAAGCACTTTCAGACAACATCCCAAACAACACCGGCCTCAATACCCCCCAAACGGCATTGCCGAATGCACGAAGACTGTCTCCCTGGGATGCCTCAAGCAGGGAGATAAACGAACTAAACGCTTTATCAATAGGTTTCAACAACCTACATACGTTAGCTATGAGTTACCTTCAAGAAGTACACCTACATAGTATCCGAAACTGGTATATCAAGTCCCCCACTCGAAGTCTGTCCCACTAGCAGGCCAAGAACCCCTTTTCCAAACTTTTCAATCAATGCGTGTAGCCGTTGTCCGAGCTTTCTCAATCTTTTGATTCTTCGCATGTGCTTCTTGTATTCTTCTGAGCTAGGCTCAATATCTGGGAATATATCTTTCATCATACTTTCGGAGATTTTGGCGTCGTCGTGATGCACTGGATTCCCAAGATATTTCTGACCCATGAAGAATGTGGCTGGGGTGATGTTGGCGTATCCACTGCTGGAGACTGTGTTGGGGCCACCACAGTGGCGGAACAATTCCCAAATATGATACCAGCGCATGAGTCCAATGGTGCTGGCGCTGTCTTCCAGTTTCTCGATGAGCATAAACCTGTTCGCTTGTGAGAGACCGTCTTGAAGGCGGTAGGAATGGAAGCTGGGCTGTGCTCTTGCGTTACGGATCATCCCGCGGAGGGAGAGGATTGCACTGGGACTAGCAATAGTTATGATGAGCGGTAGAAGGGGTTCTATAGATTCGTGGGTAGGTTTCAAAACTTCGGCTTGAATTTCCAGGGCGAAGTATGTTTCTTCTGGCGGTGGGAGATGTTGGGATACACATTTTGTTCTGTCCTCGTTCAGGAGCTGTTGGGAGGTATCGCTAATGGAAGCGTAGGGCGATGTTTTGACGCGTTTCCCTCTCATTTTAGCGCTTCCTTGGGCGTGAGTAGGCTCCGCTGGAAGGCTCCTTTGGGGCAAGTGAGTTGGAGGTATGATTGTGGAGACAGAGGTTGACTCGTGATCAGGGGCAACCTGGAAGCTTGACATATCCCAGGTAAATTGGGAACGTTGTGACTCCGTGGGTATATCCCCAGTGTAATCCAGAGTGGTAATGTCCATAGACACTGGGTAATCAAGCATGAACGTAGTAGCCAGCTCATTGTCGGCCAACTGGGCTTCAGCTTCACTAGAACCAGGAACGCCTGTTCTATGGCCGTCTGACATCTGGTCTGATTCAGGAATTGGGGGTGGCAGTAATTCCAACGGTACGTTGAAGGTCGGATTCATAATCTCATCGTCAATGCCCAGCACATCGAGCTCATCCGGTGCAGGCAGCGCAGGCATCTCGGGAGTCTGCGAATGGACAGATTCCTCCATAGCAGCTAAACCAAAACTGAATTTTTGAAGGGCCTGTTCAGTCCAAACTGCCTTTGCGATCAGCGAGACAGCCTTGTGAGTAGATGCGGAACAAAATTTCAACATCTGGGGATCGTTGCATATAAAAATCCTACAATAAGATGTATGTCAGCAGAAGCTCCAATGCAGTCGATGGACTTACCGGGCAATAACCCCGAGAGTTGTGGTAATACTCTGTGTGTCTGTATCGAGCAGAACCGCTCCTATGATGGCGTTGATCGCATAACGAAGAACGGTGGACGAATCTTCCCCGCCTTGAGAGCTATATTTGATGCATTGACTGATTCCCGTTCGCTTGGCAGCAAATTTGAAGTGATCTTTTCGGGTAAAATCGATCCTCACTTGTGCCCTGAGCACTAGAAGTGGTCATCACATAGCCCGGATCATGACACAAGCAGATACTCACCCTTGCTGGCGCCGACGCTCATCAACACGATCATCAAGAGTGTGTCAATCCAGTGAGCCCCAATGTGCGCCAGCGGTCTATTCCCCTCATGATTATCCTTTTCCGCCCCAGCCGCGGTGAGTGCCTGACGCAGATAATTACTGGATGTGAATTTATAGCCGATTATCTTTTCGGCCCTTTGCACCTGTGCCTCTGATGCCATTGTACAACTGAATGCCCTGGAATATAGTTGCTTATTTGAATTTGTGCTTTGATTATTCTGTATAGTATTTGTGTGGTATTAAAGTGTCGCATTTATGGAAGCCATTGGTGAAGAGTGGATGAGGTCGGGATCCTGGAACCGCAGTCCTTAATTCTACGTAATGATTGCGCATATCGGAGTCAACAGTGGATTGCAGATTCCACTCGTGGAGGAACCCCAACTGTTCCCATCCGATTAACCTCGTTGAGACAAGTGTGTATCCACGACCATGGAAATAAGATGACACAGTAACTCCAATGTAAATAACTCCGGGCACTCTATCTCTATCAACATACATCAAACAAGGGTCATTATACACTCGCTAATAAAGTATAAACTATACAGATTCATAACCGATTCACCACCTCATGATCCGAATGGATGAACCATCGTATATTACTTTATACACTGGGAACTCGTTTGTCCTCGACTTCTCCAGCTGCCTCACCCACGGCACCATCTTCGAGGCGTCGACCATAGCCAGACTTGGGACCATACTGGTCATCGTGTCGCTGCGACAAGAAGAGAATGACAGTGCTGCGGATTGTTAGTTTCAAACTCGCCAGACAGACATGTAGATAACGAACCTCACGACCGTAAATACCCATCCTGGCCAGGCTAGGACCGTCGACGCGATCGCCCTCGGGTTGGTATGATATTCTAGGAAGAAGTTAGTAAAAGACATCAGGCTGGGTAATCCATATACATACGCAGCGAAGGCTTCTTGGATGCCTCCTCCCAGAATGCTCGTGCGGTTGCTGGATCTGTTCCATCGATACGTGCACTGCCAGTCGCCGTGATGATCTAATCCCATCAATTAGTCTCATCCCCAACATTGAGTATTGATTATCGTACCGTCATTGTCAACGCCGAACTCAGCATCATCACCGACACAATCACGGCGCAGATCTTCCAGGCCAACCGAACCGATCGACTCTCATGGCGTTCGGGCCAGAACAGGTCGAAAAAAAAGGCACCACCAAAGATAAAAGCCACCGCGATCCCCACGAAGATATTATACGATGCCGCTCCGATAAAGTCGTTGTTGTACACGTATATCCCGGGATGACCACTTTGGATTTCGTCTTGTTGATCGAGGTAGTCTATCGAACAAAGTATATTAGCAGGGACCAATTTATTTAGCTTGAGTACCCACCAGACAAGGCCGCCGTCCCCACCGATTCGGAGCAGACACAGAGAATCATAGCCAGTTGATAAACGATCATCTTGGTGCGACGGAGATGATATTCCCTTGTGAACATGTAAGAGCCCTTGAATTTGCGCCAATGGATCTCATGGAGATCCAGACCCCAGACGACTGCCATGGCTGAGGAGTGGAGTGGAGAGTTGATGTGAGGAGGGAGAAAGTGTGAACCGCGCGAGCAGTTTTCTTATAATAAGCGCCGCGAGGAGATGGAATCATCACGTCAGGGCTGAATGTTGCCGCACGGGGAATCTTGTTTTGTCAGGGTCTCCGGGCCGGCGATCCGTGACGTCAGTCGGGCCCAGCCCCGATCCACTGCATCGCTGAAAGGTACATCATCTGCAGGCCTTATTGGCACCATAGGGAATTTACACGTGCCGGTGGCGTTCTCGGGTCTTGCTGACGCCGTTTCCTTGGGTCTGCATCCTGCTTCAAGTCTGCTGAGGTCACGTGATGCCACAGGGCTGGGCTCATGGGTGCCTGGGACACGAGGTATCAGTCAAAACCTGATGGCAACTTGAATGCTTGAAAGAACTATAAACTCCGGTGTTAAGCATTTTCTAAGAGATGGGACCAGATGATGGTGGATCGGTACCTCTTGGAGCAAACCTCCCCTTGCCCCAGGCAGGCCCCAGGAACACTTCCCAATCCGGCGTTTGATTAGATAATGGTTGTCTTTTCCCCTCTCTGAAATTTCCCCGAAAATACACAATGGGAGCGATCCATGGGAGGGAAAGACTGGATGGATACCTGCTGTTCGTAATGCTCCGGCGATGATGTCAAAGCACGACTGCATCTCCGAACACGAGCAGAACCTCGGACGCGTCAAGGCCTCCACCGTTCCCTTCGGACCTACCGACCGGTAAATCCGACATCGGAAATGCGGATAACCCTTTCCCTTTGTTCTCTCTTCATTCTTCTCCATTTGCCTCTCTTTATTTTACATTGGAAGTGATTTATGCCAACTTAACAATAGAGAATATCATTTCAATACTTTTTCTCTTCCTCGTATTTTTATTTTTCTATTTCTCTTCATTTCTCATTCTTCTCAGAAGTGTTCTCAGTCAAAGTCGGGTCACTAAACGGTGAGCCAGTTGGTCTTTTTGAATTGCAATGACGAGATGGATCAAGCATTGCACCGTAAATAAAACATTCTGCAATTCGGGTCTCCTGACAGGTCAGGTTCTGCTGCAGGACCAAATGTAGGGTTGGTGATCCGGCGGAAGGATCCGAGGGATGCCCTCTAACCGCTATACTCCCAGTAATTAATTACTTTCTAAGACATCTGATTGCTACTATAATTTGCTAAAATATGAATTAATTTTTCCTCATCTCCACCCATGGTCTCACCTGATTACCTCCCATCAACGTCTCCGCAGCCATTGGTGTTCTGTCGAAGCCCTACCTGCAGCGTGGACTGGGATAGGCCAGCACAGCCTCAGTGAAGCAATGCTAATTAAACATGGTTATCTACCACCAATCACATCACTGCCAGCCCTTAGCGCCCAATTTCCTTTCCACGCGAATCCGGGGTATAAAACAACAAATGCCGACCTTTCTATTGCCAGCATCGCCTTCTGCCGGGCTGAGCAGGCAAAATGGCAAACCCAGTCTGTGTCGCAACCAGCGACAACCAGTTTGGGCCTCGCGTGGACCCAAATTGCCGATCGTTTGACTTCACTCTTCTGTTTGAAGATGCCTTCTTCTCCATCATCCCCGCGGCTCTCTTCATCCTGCTGCTCCCTGCCCGGCTGCGAGTCCTCCGCAAAGCACCGGTCAAAGTGACCACATACCGACTGGCTGTATACAAGACGGTATGATAAAATCCATGATGAATTTCTCAGTCGCTAACTCTAACATCCAAGATCTGCCTAGTCACCCTCTTCGCACTCCAGATAGTCTACACCGTGTACCACCTCTGCACACCCGCACTGCACACTCGACTCGCAACCACCTCCGACATCCTAACCATCATCGCCACAGCCGCCGCAACATTCCTCTCCTTGATCGAGGACCAATGCTCCATCGAGCCGTCCGATATACTCGTCATCTATTTCTCCGCGCTGACTCTCCTGGACATCCCGCGACTACGCACAGTATGGCTGATCCCAGGAGTCGACATATGCAGGGGTCTCTGGACCACCATTTACGTTCTAACCGTGGTCGCTCTATTCCTCGAGTCAATGCGAAAGCTACGAATCCTAAGGACCCTTTATCAGAATGTGACCATGGAACAAGTGATCGGATTCTGGGGCCGAAGCTTCTTCGTCTGGGTCACGCCGTTGTTTCGGGTCGGGTTTTCCGATATTCTCTCGGTTGAGGATTTGCCTGAGGCGGATGAGGATCTGCGAGGGGATGCAGCGAGGAGGAAACTTAACGGGGCGTGGGAGAAGTCGAAGGGGAAGCGTCGACTGCTGAAGGCGGTTTTTCGCGCGTATTTGTGGTCTGCGCTGTCGGGGATTGTGCCGCGGATAGTGTTGAGTGCGTTTACCTTCTGTCAACCGTTTTTGATCACCTCGGCGGTGGATTACTTCGAGAAGGATTCGACGGCGGAGATTAAGCAGTATGGGCAGGCGTTGGTGGGGGCTTTTTTGTTGGTGTATTTGGGGATCGCGGTGGGTAATGGCCATTTAGGGTTGCTTGGCCTGGCTAATGGGGACAGATTTCGACGGCCGTCTATTGGCGTCAGGTGTATCGACTGATGACTACAGTGCGAGCTGGTCTGATTTCGATGATTTATCAACAGACGACGAACCTGTCGGGTAATGATGTGAAAGACACGGCTGCGCTTACGTTGATGGGTACGGATGTTGAGCGAATCGGCAATAGCTTGAGATTGCTACACGAGACATGGGCTTCGATTGTGGAAGTGGGTGTTGCTCTGTATCTCTTGGAGCGTCAGATATTCCTTGTCTGTCTTGTTCCTGCTGCTATCACGGTTGGTGGGTGATCATCATTATAACTCTGGATGTTATGAAATTAACATCCCCAGCCTGCATTCTCGGAACACATCCAATTTCCTCTCGCAGTGGAAGCGCACAAAAGGCCTGGGTCGAGAAAGTCCAAACAAGAGTTGCGGTCACATCCGCCATGCTGGGTGACATGAAAGCCGTCAAAATGCTTGGATTGGCCGATGTTCTCTTTGATTTGGTGACGAAGTTGCGAAAGGCCGAGTTGGAGGCATCTTCCCGTTTCCGCAAGTTGTTCATCTTCATGGTGGTACTATGTAAGAAAATCCGTTTGATATGTGGATGAAAGCTTACTTTGCAGCCAATATCCCACTTGACTTTGCCCCATACGCTACATTTGCCGTGTATGCCATCATCTCGGTGGTGAGGAATGATCGATCCCTTCTTGCTTCCCAAGCTTTTACTTCGCTATCGTTGATCTCGCTTTTGACGTCGCCGTTGGTTACCTTTGTTCGAGCTGTTCCTCAATTGGCCCAGTGTGGGGGGAGCTTCGAGCGGATTGAGGCATACTTGGAGAGAGAGCCGGCTGCGAAGGGTCATCAGACAGAATCATTAATCTCTCTCACCCTGCCCGATCTCGAGAACGAGGATGTCGAGCTTACGAAACGTGCGACGGGACAGTCTGCGGACTCATTGGTCTCTTTCACTGGGGTGGATATCGCATGGACACATACCACCGAGCTCGTATTCCGAAATCTTCATCTGGACATCAAACCGGGAATCACGATGATCATTGGTCCTGTCGGCTCCGGAAAATCCGTCCTTATTGAGAGCATCCTGGGAGAGACGATCATCAAAAATGGAACTACAAATGCACCACTTTCGAACATTGCATACTGTCCCCAGAAGCCGTGGATTGTTAACAACACGTTCCGCCACAACATTACCGGTGGAACAGAGTTTGATTCGAAATGGTATGGCTTCTGTGTTTCCGCCAGTGGTCTGGAAGATGATCTGGCGAGTATCCCGGGTGGTGATTTGCACATGGCCGGTAGTGACGGGGTTTCTCTTAGTGGAGGCCAGAAGCAACGAGTGGTATGTTTCCTGAAATTAATTTGGTTACTGATGGGCTAAGATTTGGTAGGCTCTCGCTCGAGCACTTTACTCGAGACATCCAATCATCTTGCTCGATGATGTTTTCAGCGGATTGGATTCCAAGAGCATCAGCCATATATTCTCAACGCTCTTTGCTAAGGATGGGTTCCTTCGTGAAGCAGGGAGATCGGTCATTCTTGCAACACATACTCGTAAGCACTCTAGTTCCTCATCAAACGATTCTTCTCTGACATTTGCCAGAATCCCTACTCCCCTACGCCGATGAGATTATTGCACTGGACAAGGGCACTGTTGCTGCCAGGGGCTCCTATCAGGACGTCCTAGCCAGGACACCAGAAATCGCTGCAAACTCCCTGACCAAGCCCAAGAACCAAGAACAAGTCAGTGAGGATGATGTCCAGTCAAAACCCAAAACTGCACAGGTAACTGCGGTGGAGAATAGCCCAACAGCAAAGCCCGACTTGTCTCGACGTGATGGCACCTGGGACGTGTACCGATACTACGCCAAAAGCGCCGGTCTCCGAGTAACGTTTGGCTTTATTGCCTGCTCACTCGTTTCAACTTTCCTTAAGAACTTCTCAAGTATGTCCTCCCGTCCAATCCTTTGCCAGAATTCTAACCAGCCCAGCACTATGGATCGAATGGTGGTCTGAATCGAATGCCAGAGACCCGAATGGCCAAGTCGGGTTCTACCTCGGACTCTACACCGTCTTTGCAGTGCTAAACGCATCTGGCCTGGCTGTCGCCTGCTAGTAAGTCAACCCTCACCACCAACTTCCCACACTAACAATATAGCCTCCTCTTCATGAAAGCCATCAACGGAACCGCCCTAGGGCTACACACCGACCTCCTCGCCTCAACCCTCAACGCCCCATTCAGCTTCTTCCAAACCACCGACACCGGAACCCTAACCAACCGCTTCAGCCAAGACATGGACCTCATCGACATGACTCTTCCCATCTGCTTAATCAACAGCTTCGGAAGTATCCTCCCCCCCCTCCCCTCACCCCCAATCAACCCCAGCTAACCCTAACCAACCCTAGACGGCTCCTCCACCATCATCAAACTAATCATCCTCTGCGCCGTGGGCAAATACATGGCCGCCACCTTCCCCATCCTCATCGCCACCTTCATTCTCATCCAATCCTACTACCTCCGCACCTCCCGCCAAGTCCGCCTCCTCGACATCGAAGCCAAATCACCCCTCTACACGCACTTTACCGAAACCATCAGGGGTATTTCCACCATCCGGGCCCTGTCCTGGCAAAGCGTGTTCCAAACCGACTTCGAACATAAACTCAATCAATCCCAACGGCCATACTACATGCTCTTCTGTATTCAGCAATGGCTTAACCTGGTTCTGAATCTAGTTGTGACTGCCATGGCAGTCATCCTCCTTGCGATTACCACCTCCATGAAAGATAAGTTCAGCGCCGGCGCTATCGGAGTCGCACTCAATATGGTTTTGTCTTTTAATCAGGAGATTGTTCGTACCGTGCAGTCGTGGACTCAATTGGAGACGTCGATTGGGGCTGTGGCCCGCGTGCAGAAATTTCAGGAGGAGACGCCCTCGGAACGGAGTGGGTTGTCGATGCCGATACCGCCTGTTTATGAGTGGCCGGTGGAAGGGAAGATCGTGTACGAGGATCTCACGGCTGGATATACGTAAGTACCCTACCCCCCAACTCCTCATTTGCATTACCATACCTAACAAAAAAGTAACACCCCCACCCCCACCCTCAACAACATATCCCTAACCATCCCCCCCGGCGAGACCCTCGCCATCTGCGGCCCCTCCGGAAGCGGAAAAACCTCCCTCATCATGTCCCTCCTCGGGATGATCGATATCCACGAAGGTCGAGTGACCATCGACGGTCGTGATCTGACCTCCTTCGACCCAAGGGACATTCGGTCCCGAGTAACTGTCATCCCCCAAGACCCGTTCTTCATGCCTGGTACGGTACGGTTTAATCTCGATCCGCACGGAAATGCATCCGATGAGGTGATTGAGTCTGCGCTTCGGAAGGTCGGACTGGTAGCTGGTTTGGATAGCGAGTTGAAGGCGGACGACTGGTCCGGGGGAGAAAGACAGTTGTTGGCGCTGGCGAGGGCGTTGGTGAACCCGAGTAGGGTTTTGGTGCTGGATGAGGCGATGAGCAGGTATGTTTGCCCTTGGGTTTAGGTGGTTGGTGGATGATGGATGGTGGGTGTTTGCTAATGTGTGTTGTGTTGGTGGTAGTGTTGATGGGGAGACTGAGCGGTTGATGCAGGAGGTTATTGAGAGGGAGTTTGCGGGGCGGACGACAGTGATAGCGGTGATGCATCGGCTGAGATATGTTGAGCGGTATGACCGTGTGGTGTTGCTGAAGCGTGGGGAGGTGGTTGAGTGTGATACTCCGAGTAGGCTTCTGGGACGGGAGTCGGAGTTTAGGAGGTTGTGTAGTTCTCTGGACAGGTTGTTGTGATGGGCTACGCTGCAACACTCTCTACGCACTCCACTCTGTCTAAGTCTTCCCACAGCAGAGCCCTAACTACAGTCACTCCTTTATCCCAATACTCGAGCTGTTGAAATCTATCCACATATTCATATCACGATTAACTACCATAGTTGATATGACACCCATCATATCCCTACAAACTAACACTACATCCACATCCCTCACAGATAACCCATCCACCAACACAACAAACCCCTCACTCAACCCCCCAAATCTTCCTCAAGGCACAACAACACCATCATCCACATCCTCCACCCTCATCTCCACCTCCACCTCACCCTTCCCAAGCACATTCCTCCCCTCACTCACATTAACATCCGAAGTCCTATGCCCATCCAACAACCCCCGACTAACCGTATTCGCATAAACCGGAAACGCCCACGCCAGGACATAAAACGCCGTCGGAATTGCCATCGCCTTATGAAAATCATTCCCTGTTGCCGTGGCAACTGCCCCCGTCATGGGCGGGATCGCAGCACCCCCTGAGATGGCGGCCACGAGCATGCTGCCGCCGCGTTTGGTGTGGCGGCCGAGACCTCGGAGGGCGAGGGTGAAGATTGTGGCGAAGCAGGCCTGGATTCTAGGTATTAGGATTGGTGTTGGTATGGGTGGGGGGAGGGGCTGGGGGTGGATAGCGTACGCTTTCAAAACACAAGACTAGGATTAACATGGCGACGCTGGTTGGACCGGTGGTTGTCACAGCAGCGACACCGAAAATGAAGCAGAGGGTTAGGTAGACGGCGAGGATGTACCGCGGTTTTACCCCCACTGTGATCATTCCGCTGGAGATGAAGCGCATGAATGTGTAGAGGCCTTGGCCGATGGCGAGGAGGTCCGCTGCATCTAAATCAGTATTCAAACCATATAAAGACGGATGGGAGGGAGGGAGGGACATACATGACCTCGATTTAGAATACCCCGCCTGTTCGGCAAAATTGATAAAATAATTCGCCACAGCGACTTGAGCCCCCGTATAGCAAAACTCACTCCACACCCCGAGGAACAAGTTGTACTGTTTCGAAAACGGCTTCGCATCCGAATTAGAGATATCCTGCTCCTGTAACCCCATATCCGCATCCGTAACCTCCGGCATCGGGGCAATATAAAACAATGGAATGAGTAGTGCCACGAAACACGCAACCCCAAGGTACACCCATTGGACGTTTTTCAGCCCCGCCTCGGTATTCACGGTATTGGCGAAGAAGACCCGTGACGCGAGAAGCGGGGCAACGAAGGTCCCCACGCCTTGGATTCCCTGGGCGAGGTTTAGTCGGATTTCAGAGTATCGAGGGGGACCGCAAATGGCGAGGAAGTTGTCGGCTCCGGTTTCGAGGGTGGATAGACCGGCTCCGACGACGAACATGCTGCCGCAGAAGCCGCCGAAGGAGGCTTTGACCCCGCTGGGCCAGAAGAGGAGGCAGCCGATTGTCATGACGGCGAGGCTTGTGGGTGGGTTAGTTGGGAGGGTACGGAAAGGGGGTGGGGTGGGGTGGGGGTGGGCTTACCCGGTCATGAAGGTGACTCGGAAGCCGAATCGGCGGAGAATCCAGCCTGAAATTGTCAAGGGGCAGAGGAAGTAGGCGCCGAAGTATGCTGCGGATAGACCGGAGGATTGTGCCGCGGTGATGTTGAGTTCATCTTGGAAATGGGAGTTTAGGGTATCGAGGAGGCCGTAGGCGAAGCCCCAGAGGAAGAAGAGGATGGTTACTGGCTATTGTTAGCTATGAATGACCTTGTAGGTGGTACATACCCAGGAAGTTTGGGAACAATGACTGCTTGAGAGTGATGCCTGAGCCATCGGTGATGGCCTTGTCATCGATCGTAATCCGGCGTCGCCACATGCTTAAAAGTTCCAAGTAAGAAAGAACCACAGAGGTGGTGGAAGGGAGTGGTAAGGCTGGAGTGCGGAGTGCCAGGACAGCGCATCTTTATCAAACATTGCATCGAAGCGCAAGCTCTGGCATTTTCGGGATAATCCAGTCCGAAAAAAGCCATGTGCTCGACCAAGGCTCGAGACCTGCTGGAGGAACGCCAATGGAGTGGCCCAAGCTATGGCCAGGCCAAATGTTCTCGGCTGTTGGCTACAGAACGCCACCAATGGGACGGGGGACGGATCGCTAGACCAGCCGCGTGGCTCTGAGCTGCGCATCTCGATTGGCTGGTTGGATGTCTGGGGTAGAAGCGAGAATTAGATATTTATTTAGGTTTGCGGGGGAACACATGACCTACCGATGATTCCTGCGTGGTTTTCAGAAAGCTCCGGTGCCAGTTTCTACCCTAGCGTCAGGTTGAGGGGAGATCCATAGCATGTCAAATTTTATATATACTCTAGACAGCTAGAACAGGTTGTATGTATAAGCCAGGTCACTTTCTAACGATCTGGACATCGGCACATGATCCTCCAGATACTCTAACTCCAAAATTGTCACCTGCTGTTGTCTCCCCATTTACTGTATACGATTCAACCGCAAATGGCAAACTCACAATACCCGTAGTATTGTTCGGCCCACACACGTTCAGCTGCACCGTATCATTATGCCCTAATTGCCAGCTTGCCCGGATCGGTCCGTTGGGAGTTGGCACTCTCCCCCGCGCCCACGACACGTTCACATCCAGGATCGCCGGGCGGAAAGCCCACTCGGAAAACCCGGCTGAGGTGGCTTGGATGCCAAGCACGTATTCAGTGAGAACATATGTCGGAGCCGCTGCCCAGGGATGCGCATGTGATGTGTAGAGGTCGAGTCCTGGACGGCCATCAGGGTAAACATATTCCCACGCTCCACCCGTATAGTACTCGTCTTGAGTCACCATCGCAGCCCACAGCTGGTCGAGGAGTACGCTTATGGCGGTCACTCTCGCTTGGCTTGCACTCGGGCTATTGCGACTGGCCTGGAGGATTGCCTCGAGGAGGAAGCCGGAAAGGAAGGGTGCCAGGTCGGTGGTGGACGCGTTAGAAACAGAGGTGGAAGTTTTGTAGCCAATGCCAAGACGGAGTGACGAGAGTGTCGCAATGGACGATTCCGCTTGGGTGCTGTTCGACACGCCGGAAAGGATGGCCCAGGCGGTGCCTGTGATAGACTGCTCGGTCAGATCGCTCAGATCAGCAGCGTAAGCCCCAAGGTGCGAGTTCCAGAGTTGGTCGCGGATCGCGTCTTTGATTGAATCGGCTGAACGGGTCCATCTCGACGCAACATCCGTCTCATCCACCACAGAAGCAATCTCTGCCACTCGACTCAGTGTGTGAGCCAGAAGAGCCGATACTGCAGTGCCATTGCTGGACCCCGAGAAAAATGCTCCAATGTCCGTAGCGACCGCGAGTCCGGATTGCTCATCAATCAACGATAGAACAGCTTCAACGCCTTTTTTAATCTGCTTCCAATGTTGAAGCACAAAATTATTGTCCCCGGAATTCCGATAGTAACCGGCAAATGCGTCAAGAAAGAACAGCTGATAGTCCAAAAGTCCAAAAGAGTCGTACGTGTTGACATATTTTGCCGATTGCCCCATGGCGGGTGACATGCTGAAGTAGCCACGGTATTCCGAGGAATCTAGAGCTTGCCGATCAAGCCAATATTTCAAGGACCCGGTTACAAAGTCCGAGCGACCTGTGCTGGATTGAATCACACGGTAAGTGTGCACAAAATCGCCTGACCAGACCAGACGGTCCCTTTTGGCCCCATCCAGACAGATGGAGTGGTTACTAGTCATCACCCCGAATTCTTCCAAGACGGAGCTGGATGTCATTGGGTTATTATATATGAGTGTACCGTTCTGTGCATGGACCTCAACATCCTTTACCAGCGCAATCTGATCTTGGTAGGGTCCGAACCCCCAGGTTCCGCCCGTGAGACTCCCCGATGACCCGGTAGATCCGGATACAATTTGCAAGTCATTGAACGCAACGAAGATGTCGGTTCCATTAACGGTAACGCCGTATCCAGTTGCATTGATAGTAGTTGAGATTCCGTACCAGTGACCCTCTTTGATATCAAATGGCAAAGGATAGTGGTTGACTTTTCCGGTGGTGAGCGAGGTCTGGTTGACCAGGTTCCAGCCGTAGCCCACAGCGAGTGTGTTGGGCGGCACGATCGTACGATTGATATTGACAAATGTTGACCCAGAGGGATATTCACTGGCCAGAACGAAGTACGGACCGAATCCACCAACTCCTGCGGCAACCTTCCAACCGGTACCTCCACGAACAATCTTGGTATGGAAGTCCATGGTGTAGTTAGCAAAGGACGCCCCGATCACCGACTGCGCAGGTTGCTGTCCACGTAGATAGACTCCGTCACTGGTGACCTCCCATGTTGACGGGGCAGTGTTCGACGCAATGCATGCTTGCTGGACTGTCCGCGGCCCCAAGGCCCAGATCTCGTTGTACAGATTGTTGGAGCTTTCGAAGAAGCCGGGTAGCTCGTTCACAGGAGTGCGATCATTTCCCGATCTGATGCCTGCTTGACATATTCGCACACTGCCCTCTGTCAGGAGCAAGAGATTCTGCCAGCGAAGGCCGCCTTGGATGAAGAAGGATTCCACCTTTCCGGTGGATGTTACATTGAAAGTCTCAACACGGAAGGTGTTGGATAGACCGTTGGTGAACGTCCAGGGACCGTCGCCGAAAGGGGCCTCGAGACCAGGCTCGGTTTCGGTGTACTTGGCCTCAATCTGGACCGCACTGGACAGAGACTCTACATCGAAGAAGGGAAAGCCTCCAACCTCAGTCCCGTAGTCCAGGGTGATTAGTGGCCTGTTTTGATCAAGCGTGAAGCAGGCTGCATTTCCATGGCTGGTATAATTTGCAAAGCTAGAATCTGCCTTGTATTTTGTAGGAAGCACGGTAATGTCGCTAGCAGAAGGGTTCGTCAGTGATGGTCAAGCCGCAGGTTGGGTTCTTGTACGTGCCTCGCGCCAGTGAGCGATAACAGTAAGCTACTGCAAGTGAATATGGCCAGCTGTCTTGCGGACATCTTGACACGGGAAGCCACGGGGAGAGATGTCAGGGGTCAACTTTGCCGTTGACCACATTGGTCTCGCTTGGAGAATCCCTGCAAATAAGAACTGGTCAAGAGAAGCACCGCAGTGACTCGATTGAGAGGCATTCAATCGGTCGGCTTGTGGGCACCAATCATGTCTGCTCCCGGGGCCGATCCCGGGCCATCGTTTCCCCGCATTTTCCCATCGCAACCAATTCCGGGTTAATGCCTCCCGAATCTGCGCCGGGTTGGGATTCCCTCTGGCATGTTTCTGCGGTCATTCTTGGAGAAGCATGTGCAGAAAATGATGGGTATACAATCTGCGTAGCTGCGAGGACAGGGGACCTAGAAGACCAGGTGACGATGGTGTTGTTTGATGAAATGGATGGGAAGAGGGGAAGACAGGTTGGGCCACCGGGACTCGACTCAAAGCACGGGCAGATCACCTGACCCGCAGTATCCCTGCCGATCAGGTGATCCAGACCTGTCACCGAGATCTGCCGCGGTCGCTCTCTCTCTTCCCGTCTTCCGCTTTCCTCTCTCCTTCATCACCATGAGACTTGAGACATCATCTTGAACCAACAAGATCTTGCATCTCATCAACCAGCTGATATCTATCTAGGATTCAATGACTCTCACCAACCCGCGCCTTTCTCGACCGCCATCATATCCCCCCGCTCGCGGGTCATCCGGGCCTCGCTCGGCAGTCTCCCGTGGCCCGCCAGGCGCCCACATTCAGAACCGCGCCCGTACCTTCGGCTTATGCACCAGCGTGACGTCTCCGCGGCGAAACCTTGTCGCTCCAGGACCCATGGAGTCCACAAAACAGCACACAGTTCGTGCTGGTGGCAGCTGCCAATGAAGATCAGAGGAGGACAATCCCTACACAGTTGTTCAGAGCGGCCGGTTGGTCCACTAGCCAGTGGGACTGGGTTGAAGATTGCGATTCTCCGCACTTTCTTGATGCATCAAGTCCATCGATCGGGAATTAGTGTCTCCGCATTACTCATGGAGACCTGAACATAGTCGCCACCGCGTCTCTGCGGTTCGAGCTGCTATATTCCACCTGGCTTACGCTAGTCGTGCTCCGCCATCATGTCTTCCACTGCGATGGCTTCATTGACAGTAGCTGGTTGTCCTTTTACCACGCATATTTGAGTCTGGCAGAGGTCGAGCATTGGCACATGAGCAGTCATGACTTGCATCCCCAATAAGGACTACGCTTCCAAGGATAGGTGAGGAGTCGGTGTTGCAGGGCGCGACCGTGGAGGCCATACGGGCCGCTTCAGACGGTGCGCCGGAGCCGTTCAAAACCCTGGGGGGTTGGTAGGGCGTAGGAATATTGTAGAAACCATGTTAGAAATATCGCGAAGATTGTAAGCGGTCCTGTCCAGGCTTTCTGGGGCGATGACCGGCCAAGGTAGTCGCGATTGCGTCGGGAAGCATGACCGTCCATAACCCGATCCCTTTGGCATATGTGTATCGGTCGGAAAGGGATTGCACCCTAGTTCCTTGACATTTTCAAGGCCTGGCAATTCTTGTGCTGTTCTGACACAGCCCGACAAGGCGGCTACGCAAGAATGCCCAACGAGGGTCAGGGATTGGTGTGAATGGCCATGTCCAGCGGCTAAGATGAAGCACCGTTACTTTGCTGCGCCTCATGAGCCCCAGCATACATATAATGGAAAATATCTGGCGGCTCTGGACTGGCTTCTGTCGCCCACTTTTCTGGCTTTTCAGATACAGGCATACCCATCGCCGACTAGATCCCGTGGGATATGGAGTCCGTCGACTTAACCCCAGGAGTGCTAGCATCCGGTACACTCGATGCCTGTCTCAAGCTCGAGGACGATCCCAGTGGCGGACTGCGCCAGTCACCGGCTCAAGTTGAATCCCCCATCGAAATCAGCTTGGCTGAAGAGAACCGCCTTCTCAAGATAAGGATCGTGGAGCTGGAGAGACAAGCGGCTGCAGATAACTCTTTCCGCCCCAGTCGAGGGCATGGACCTGGGCTAGAGAGAGTCTGCCAAACTGCCCCGATTGAGGAGGAGACTGACCACCAAGGGTGGGATAGCCGTCTATATCAAAATCCGAAGGACTGGGAAAGCAGACGCCGATACCACGATGCAGCCGGTAACAGATACGGCCCATGGGCTGATAACTGGTACTCTCGAGACGAACGCGAGTATCACCGACCCGATGTATTAGACCCGTCCATTGGCTACGAGAACCGCCGGCTACGACTACGTCAAAGCTTCGAGTGGAAGATGGATCGATTGTATCTAACGGAGGAGGCGGAGAATCGGCGACAGCAGCGGGTGCCCACCCCAAGTGATGAAGGGCTCATCACCACGCCAAAACAGCCAGGAAAAGAAACTGTTGCTCTACCTACCAGATCCGGGCCTTGACTGAACCGAGTCGACTGAGCGACATTTTGCCGTTTTTCTACAACCTCCCCAGAGGAGGAATGTGTCATGGATATCCTAATCGGGGAGCCTATTGTACATGATGGCCTCCCTTACCATTATGGCGATTCGGTCCGCGGTGCACGGCAAAGCAAAGGCGCAAAGAGCCAGAGAGTCTCAGCGTTATCGCCTGTTGAGCGGCCTTTGCCAGAGCGAATCCGGATCCATTCCACGTTGCTGTTGAGCATCATGGCAAGGATTCTAGGGCCGGATGCAGATGCGCTCGCCGACATGGAGGGCGGATCGGTCGTTTTCCTTCGGCCCTTCAGAGCGCTGGTCCATTGTGAGCAATCGCTCCGAGATTGGTGCCGTGCAGTGGAGGAGAGCTTACCGATCACATCGTCTCCGGAAAGGGTTCCAACAGAGGGCAGCGCTCGGAGCACCCGAGACAAGGATAATTCTACCGAGGAGCCCATACCGGAGGGGGGCACGAAAAACGAGCGGGAAGAGGACGAGGATGCCATGATCAAATCACCCACGGCCCTCAAACACCTAAAATGCGCCCTCGAGTTCATCGATACGGAGGTCCTCCCCAGGATCCCCCATGCCCTCAATTCTCCGTGCCGCAAGGTGCTCTTCTCCGACCTCTGGCATCTGTTTAGGCCCGGAACCGAAGTCATCGGTAGCGATGGTAAGCAGGCCTATCGGGTTCTGCAAGTCAACAGCCCACCGCACCGCGTAGTTCCTGCCTGACAGCACTACAGCATCGCACAGAACAAGGCCCCGTTGAGTGTTACCTGTGTTTACATTGATTTTGATGGCAAGTCCCTCGGACCAGTTTCACGGGTGTTTGATATCCAACCCTTCAAGGGCCCCCGGGACGTGACGGCCCTTGAAATCTATCCCCTAGAGCTATACCCCCCAAAACGGGCCGACTATACTGACACGGAGTGGAAGAATATCGAGACCCTTTCGCCAGCCGACCGTAGTGAGTGGTATCGGCAGCGGCTGATTACCAGAGGCCGCCGATTCCTCGCTGTGACAGGTACCAAGCATATGTTTTACGCAGGACCCTCACTAAATATGGGCGCCAAGGTCGAGAGCCAGGTGATTGTAGATTTTGAAGCCGCCTTTGCTGTCGAAGGTCCCGAGCAGCAAGCCTGGAAACCTTCCCTGGAGGCGTTCATCGGCGCCTCGCCAGCCATAGAAGACGATGACGATTACCATGAGAGTTGCCAGGCGAGCTGCTGTCGAAACGATCTTGTTCATGATGACACCTATGTTGACCAGAAGGAACGGTTCGATTTTATAAACAGCCTTCTACCCAAGACTCAGAATGGAGAGGATCAGCCATCGATGATCATCCTGCCCCGCTCACTCAGGGAGCTCCGAAGTAGTGCCCAGGAGGCTGTATCGCCCGACGAACTTTTAATCATGTCGTATCGTGTCATTGGCTTTGTTATGCGATCGCGGATATGGGGTAAGCCTGTCCGCGCACGACCGATGATTGTTGCAGGGGCTAACCAAAACATCCTCTCCGCTCATCTTTGTAGCCCAGCTGGATCTCACCTATCTCAGCGATGTCTACTCTCATACGTCCCTACCCGAGGGGGACCAAGGGATCACACATGACAGGGATCAAGATGGGACCGGAACAGTCTTCGACCGCCTAGTGCTTGATAAGAAACACAAACACATGATTGAGTCATTCGTCGCCCAGCACTTTCGAGACAAGAAGTCGATCACAGATCACAGCGACCAGGTGGACATCGTCCGCGGCAAAGGTCAATCTGCCCTGCACCTCTTTCTATCTTCTATCACTAATCGTCATGATCACAGGCGAGGGCCTCATTATGCTCCTACATGGAGCCCCTGGTGCCGGCCGAACGTCAACCGTCGGTAAGCAATAGTCTCCTTAACGCTTCAAGGCTACTAAGTTTGACATCTCATGGTGAATTAGAGGGAATTGCCGAGCTCTTCCGAAAGCCATTGTTTCAGATCACGTGTGGTGGGCTACTCCATAAGGACCTTTTATAACGTATTTGCTAACACATGACTAGGAGATATCGGGACTACTCCCAAGGAGGTTGAGAAAGCGCTGGAAACGACCTTTACCCTGGCTAGCCGATGGGACTGTATCCTTCTTCTCGATGAGGCGGATGTCTTCCTGGCGCAGCGAACCAAAGAGGACTTCCAGCGGAATGCACTTGTGGCAGGTGAGCAACCCAACCCCCTGGAAATATATCAACAGCTCTAATACTCACACAGTCTTCCTTCGCGCAATGGACTACTACGCGGGGGTTCTTTTTCTGACCACCAATCGCGTAGGCGACTTTGACGAGGCCTTCACATCGCGCATCCATGTCTGCCTTTACTACCCCGAGCTGAGCCATGAAATGACCGTAGCAGTCTTCGAGCTGAATCTAAATTTGATCGAGGAACGATTCCGCCTAAAAGGCCAAGCGATCAACATCGAACGCATGCAAATCGCGAGCTTTGCCTCGCAGCATTATGCACAACACCCCGACGCACGATGGAACGGCCGCCAGATCCGGAATGCGTGTCAGAATGCGTTAGCCCTGGCCGGGTTCGAAGCCCAGGGGAACGATCGACACCGAGTCCTAAAACCCGACGCCGTTGTTACCCTCTCCGCGAAGCACTTTGAAACCCTCCGTGACGGGCATGTGGAGTTCACCAAGTATATGAACAAATTGTACGGGACGAATTCAGCGCGACGCGCTCACGAGGACCGGCTCCGAGCCCTCTTGCAGAACCCAGAGGACCGTAATCCAGGTCCAGTCTCGCCCAGCCTCACCCAACGCGCAGCCTTTGCCCGCGCAGCTCAACCACCGGCAGATGTCCCTGTCGGGGGATATGCGTCTTCCTTGCACCGGTCAGCACCACACACGATACCGTCGTTACAACGCCCATATTACCAGTCTGTGGCAAGGGTCCCGCCAGGCGTGCATGCCACTCGATACTCAGACCGGGAGCTCAACCCCGCGCCTCTACCTGAAGTCACCCAGGGGGCGTCTCCTTCAGCGCAGTCTTTCCCGGATGACCGGACATGGGCGAACCAACAAATGCCTACCATGTACAATGACGGGAGTCCCCAAGGATACCTGCATCCGCGGCCATCGGCCCCGGGAAGAGCGGAATTACCGACCCGCAGCGGAGGGGCTGGGCAAACCATGCCCCCCAGCCAGTGGCAAGATGTATCTGATGGTAGACACTGACGAAAGCGATTGGTTTGGTTTATATAGTAGCGCATAACTGCACTGATTCTCGAATGAGAGGGGAGTACGGATAATCCGATCCAATGTCCCGGTTGTTTAGAATTCGTCTTTGTAGATAATTGATTGATTGATTAATTGATTCGTTCTTTAACCTAATGGAGCCGCTTTTATGCGTTAGCAGCTATGTAGGTGATGCGCCCTGCCTGGCATCAAGATCTCTTATTAAACGCCCAAATTCAGACCCGAACGAGTGGCAGCTGATAAACATTATCAAAGAGATCTATATAGATAGATATACATAATTTCCTTCGTGTTAATGATTCAATATATGGACTAGACACCTCTAGAACCCAAATCTGTGTTTGTTGTCTCTACTCCACAGTTAATCGCATACATATAATTTATTATACAGGGATTAATCTCAAAGCTTCGCCTGGGTTTTACTAACTATACAGGATATATTAGAATTATACTGAGACTGTGTTTCCCTCTCACCTTTTATGGTAAATATATTCTATCCAGAGTCCAACATCCAGATTCTAGAGGAGTTAACTTTCTCTAGACTTTCTTTGTTGGGTGTCTTCAGGTAGAGTAGGTGCCCGCAACGGGAATTGAACCTGTAGCCCTTAACTGCTCGGAAGAGGTCCCCCTACCTCTTCTTTGCAATTAAGGCCTTTCCTTGTGGTGTTCTACCATTACATTACTGCAGGCCGTCTTTGTAGATATAAGCGATTGGAAATGCCATTCTTACATCTATTCCTCCGGATTACCATCACTATGAATAGCAGAAATCCACCTCTGCTATATTTAGACACCATCTCCCACTCACCCCTAGCATACTACTTACTCCCTTGTACCTACCCCACTGCATTTCTAATAATCCAGAATAGTAATTCGACCGACCCTAGTAAACTTCACCAATCTACTCGCCCACAATCAACACTCCGTCAACACTCAACTCACAAATAACCCCCAAAACACCAATCCAGGCACCAACCGTCGATCATCGGAACGCCTTACATCCCCTTTCGGAAAGATCTTCACCAACCATGCAGGTGTCGTACTCAGTTACAGAAATCAAGCAAACGCAGACTGGAGAAGTGTGACTACCTATTGTAGCTCAGAATAAGCAATATGCCTGGCGCTAAGCAGACTCCACTCCGTCTCATGCTTAGAGCCTCGTTAACTTTCTTCGGCGATGGAACATCTGTATCGCGTTCATTCGTGTCCTCAACTAAGGATCAACAGTTAATTGGGAATGGGGCTTTGACAGATCACATTTCCCATCCAGCTAAAATAAGACAGAATATTGCCGCTGACGTGAGCCGCCTGCACCGCAAATATCATGCATGCATATATGCATGTATACAACCAGCCGAGGAGTCGGTGAGGATACTCCCAGCCCCAGCCTCAATCCGGGGAACTGCATCCCAGCCAATGGGTGGTTGGGTGTCGGGTCCATTTTTTATCCCAATGGTTCGCTTCCGTAAAGCTTGGGAGTGGTGGCTATGATTTGGTTTTATCCCAGCCGCGCTGTATGTAGGTACGTCTGTATGTTTGCTTAACGCGTCCCAGCCTCCGACTCAGCCTTCTTCATGAAATGCCTCACTTGGGGTAGGGGATACTCTCGGCACCGGTAGGGCAATGCCCAGGTCCCAACCGCGTCCCTCCTTAGAGTTATAAATATCTCGTTCATCACCCTCCTTTGATCCGACACAGCTACTATCCTTATTCTCCATATCATCGACACAAAACCATCTCAATCCACACTTAACGCCTCCAACAACAAAACCGTCACAATGCAGATCCAAACCCTTGCCATCACCCTCCTCACCACCTTGGTTGCGTCCGTCCAAGCAACCGTCACCCTCGGGTCCGGCTGCAGCGGCAGCGGATACGATTGCACCTCTACCTTCAACGACATCGCTGTGTGCAACGGCGCGCAGTGGGTGCTTGCGGCTAAATGTGGGAGTGGATGCTGTTCTTGGCCGGCGGGGGCTCAGGCGCCGGCGTGTAGATGCTAGATGCATGACAAATGAGGTGAGTGTGACGTGGTTGATTGGGTGGGAGTGGTGTGCTGATTTTCTGTAGTTCTGGAATGGGGTATGGGAATTGACGGGTGATTGGGTGTTTTCAGGGGTTTGGGACAGGTGGTGGATGGAGGTTGATTGAACGTCGGTGCTGTTGTGGCTGATGTGATGTGACGAGTGGTATGAGTGGATGTGTGATGTCTTGTGCTGCGATGTTTTATGATTCTTGCCCCAAGTGTATGACAATGAAAGGGAAAGAAAGACAAACCTTCGTATATCTGTCCAACTTAGGACCGTGACTTGATGCCATAGAAGCCAGCAGATCAACGAATCCTCTTAGTCTGACATGCACTTCTTGTTCTATCCCCGTCCGACTTGTCTACGTCCGGTAACTGTAATATTACCGCAGCCAGCCATGGCGATGACAGAAGAGATCAAGGACGCCGTGGACGACGTCTACGCCCCATTATCTATGGCCCGAATGCAATTACAGGGGGCTAGCCTACGCAATACCGCAGCATCTCTGTCATCGAAGAGCTGAGCCGAACCAATTCAGCATACATGGTGCGATAAACATCATCGCGGCGACTTCCGATTACTGTGTGAATATGCTCGCGTTCGATGCGAATATCATCCTCATCAGTGACAAAGTTCGAAAAACAGTCGTCAAGCGTTAGTATTGACGAGATGAAAAACCTGGGTGGCTTTTGAGATCGGAGGACATGCTGGCGATGAGTCATGTGAGTGAGTCGGAAGAGGTTGCGGGGACCCCATCGGGAAACGGTCGGAGACGTTGTTATCCAACCCTTGATATTTATGACTGAGTCAACCCCGAGTGGGTTCAGAGTACACTTATGACGGAGTACCGTTGTTAGCCTGACTGAGTATCGTCCACATCGCTGAAAATATCGAGACGCGAAGATCGCTTATCACAGAAAGGCATTCACTAATGCTGCTCCTAGACCTCTCCCCCAACCAGCTGTCGTAGTGTCGCGATAGAAATGCTGCCACCAGATTGTTTCTTCACCCTGAGACACACATTGAACACTTCTCGTATCGCAGCGTCGGTTATATTTTTCCCTACCCAATCCCAGTGTATGGGATCGTTCGTCTCGAGTCCTAATATTAGTAGCGACCATTGGAACCGCTCTAGAAGCTGAACGGAGCCTCGTGAAATTGTGCGGTGTGCGGTAGTGATGAGGCCGGTCAGGGCTGTTTGAACCTCGGGGGGAACAGGTTGTTCGCCCAGGGCGGGGGATCGACTGCGACAGAGATATATGCACACAGCATAGAACAATGACACAGTCACCAGCTCTATCAGGGATGGAGAATGTCCGTCATCCCCAAGGGTCGCAACTTGCTGGAAAAGCGACGATCGTTCCTAATATCAAAGCTGATCAGTTTGACTCGATAATATTCGGTTGATTTCTTCACCTTTCGCAGCTGATCCAACTGTCTCTGAATCGGCATCGCTTCGTTTTCTATAGAGCTCTTCTGGCTATAGGAGTTGATCCTATGGTGAATACGGATCAATTCAAAGTAAACCTGCAAGACTGCCGCCTCCTCAACCTCGGGGGTTGCATTTAGATCAAAGCATATACTGTCACGAGGAAAACATAAGAAAGCAGTCCGCGAAAGCCTCCAGATCTTTCGGCTTGCTTCTGGATTCTCGTGGACATAGCTGGCAAATGATCCACCACAGTTGAAGAAGCTGCAAAACCCGTCCCGATCGTACAAGTAGATGAACACCCGGGAAAGTAGGACCTTGTCTGGTACCGCGTTGACATTTTGCGGGGCGGAAACTATCTCTTCATCCGTGCAGAGTCCATCCAGGCCATACAGCCTCACGTAAGCCAAAACCGTAGAACTCAACGCGCTGAGCCTCGACGGCGCTAGCCGATCGCGCCGCATCCAAAACATGTATATGTACAAAAAAGACAGCATCACCTCGAAATGATCAGACAGAGTCACCGGATTCCATACCTGGACCAGGAGCTCTACCCCCTTTTGCAAGTGGAAGCGTGACTCAGCAGTCGGGCGGGCTCCTTGGCCCTGGTAGATGGCTATCTCACTATGAGACACGGCGAGAAGGAAGTGCAAAGCGATTCGCTTGTCCCACGCGTGGCGGAGGAAGAGTGCGTGTGCGGACAACGGCGGCGACCGTGTAGATTTCAGAGGAGCGAGCACTGACTGGTGGAAAGAGACAGCCTGCCCATCATTGCTGCCCAGCGAGGGACCTTCGTCTGTGGCGTCCACGAGAAAGAGGGGTGTGACAGCCGTGAGCCAGATAGGGGCAATAAAATCCAACGATGCAAGGTTCTGGGGACTGGCAATTGACCTGTCTAGTGCGGAAGGTGGCAGACACCCAGTGGCGGATAGGTCCCATTTGAAACCCGACCTCAACGGTGAGGTTGTGCAGGACGATGAGAGGCTCGAAAGCCCTGGCGACCCCTCATCTTCGCCCGTGTGTGTAACGCCATCTCTCACATTTTCCATAAACTTTGGCAGAATGGGCTTGGGGGTCCAATGGTTGGCTTGACGATACTTTATCGGGCCGAAACCGCGCCTTCTGGTCGCCAGAGACGGTCTGGGCCGGACCCATTCGCAGGCAGAACCCAGACGAGTGCATCGGCTGCAACAGGGGTGTTTTTCATCGCATTTGACGCGCTTAGCGACACAACTTTGGCATCCTGGCAAGGCAATGACTCAGTGAGAGTAGTTTCAAGTAAAAAGGTGGAACGGGCTCACCAACCATTCCGCGACCGGCCTCGTTCCACTCGAGGGCGCCGCTGAGCCAGGACACCGTTTGCTGGCTCCATGCAAAACCCGGCAGGTCAACGAGGATGCCTGGTTATTGACAGGGATTGGATCCGATCTGACGGATAACCTTTGTGGATCCGGAGTTTAGCAAGAAGTGGAGTGACAGGTGAAGAGGAGAAAAGCAGAAGACGAGGTGGAGGACACGGCAGCTTCCATACTAAGCCCAGTTGTCTCTAGTGCCCGCCGTTTGTTGCCTTTGCTTACGGGCGATCCAGACCGGTCCATCATCGTCCCATCATCTCCCCTCTGACATCCACCACCACCACAGCAGAATACATAGATCGGAGGGGATACTCGCAAAATACAAAGTACCCTTTAAGCTTTTTACTCTCGCTCGCCAGCTGCCTATTCAAAAAGTACGCAGTCGGGTGCCAAATGCGGGATCTTCACCTCCCAGCCCTGAGACACCCCGTTGGTAGTGTAACATCTGACCCCGGAAGACAAACAGGTCGATTCCGAATTCTCTCCTCAGCTTTATCTCCATCGCAGATTTTTCCATCATCATGTTCTCTCAAATCTTTTTGCGACCGTTGTCTTCGGACTACTCGCTCCAACGCAGAGATGGCGACCTCTCTCTCCAATGGCTGTGGCCACTGCGGCCAGACCAAAAACCTTCGGCGATGCAGTGGCTGTCAGCTCATGTTCTACTGCAGCAAGGACCATCAGAAGGCCCAGCATTCTGCCCACAAAACTGCCTGCCATGCCGTTTCCCGAGCTCGTGTATTCCACAATCGCGCCGCGGCCCCCATCATTCACACCTGCGGAGGCCCCGTCACCCTCACTAGCATTCCTCAAGTCGTCCGGGACAATCGAGAAGTGTTCCAGGGCTGGATGCACGACTACCTGTTCTCCAAATACCTCCTCACCGAGGTGATGGACAAGATCAATACCCGGCACGCCGTCCAAGAGCGGCTCGATCTCCTCCTGTCCCTCGTGCACGTCTTTCGAGCCGACGAGGTCGGCACCCGATGGAAGATCCCCGCCCTCCTGATTCGCCTCAAGCGAGACCAAGAATCCTACGACTTTATGAAGTGGTTCTGTTTGGCGAAAAAGCCAGATCCGATCGACGAAATGAACCCGGCCTTGCCGTTTCTGGATCTCAAGAACGCCGACGCCTTGGAGAATGTCACCCCATTCATTACCGACTGGGAAGTGACTCCCTTGGTGGAAAGAGTCCACACCATGCTGGCTTTGACGCTTCTGAAAGTCCGGCTGGTGTTGGATCTTCGGATGGTCGAAACCGTCGGCACCGCGATCGGCGGGGCCATCCTACCGGAAATCCTCATTCACATCCAAGCGCATGTCGTGGAGTCGTCCGTTATCTCCAAAGACCGAGCTCTCCTTGCACGGTGGGATCACGCAGCGACCATTACCGAGCTGGAGAAACAGATCCGGGTCTTGATGGAGACGGTCCAACGATTCAACCAACACCTCTGGTCAACTTTGGCGGACGGCCAATCTCCGATGGCCATCGTCTACACGTCTGGAAGCCCAGAGGAGGCGGCCAGTATTGTGACTCAGTGCCATGCGGCTTGGAGTGAGTCACCAGGGGCGATTGCCTTCATCAAGGAACGCTTGGCTGATGTGGAAGGAGTCAAGGGAGAAAGGGAGGATCCGACGATCCGGATCGTCCAGGTTGACCAGGCTTTTTCCAGTACTATGTAGACCGCTCTGATGCATGATGCATGATATTCTGTATGGGCACCTCAAGAATGACAATCTTGTAGAATGATTAACTTTCGGCTGTGAGTTCTGTTGACCGGTTTCGGTTCGTTTACCCCATCCCACAATAAGCACACGTAGCGAGATAAGCATAAATCCTGCTGTGGAGTACACTGACAGCTGCTCCACTTTGACTGGGTCGGGCGGCAATGCATAGGACCGCTGAAGAAGCACCCTGCTGCCGGATACCTTGCGTCATCCGTCTGCTCGGCGCCTAGCATCCGGTGAGGCTTGATGAATGCCAACATCCCACGACCCCAGCATGAGATATCTCATTTATCAGAAGCCAGCCTAAGTATCAAGAAGGAATGGTTACGATGATAGCATACACAGTAAGAAAGCTTACTAGATTATTTCTTCTCTTGATACAATTGGATTCTTCAAATCGATGCGTCTGAATATATATTTTTCCCGCCTCAACTGGGATGGTGACCGAGGGTGGCAATGTTTTCCTTCATGGAAAGCTTTGTTTGTCCGTCATATATCAATAAAGCCAGTATGCTCCAGTATATTCACAGTAATGCTGATTCTCCATTGTTGTCTACGCTTCTAAGTTGATCTACACATTCTGACCTGCCACGGCGAAATTTACTGGAGGCTTATTTGACCTTCAGCCGTTGTTCCAATAGTTACCATGTACCGTCCCAGATCAAAATTCCCGAGACATTGTGAGCAATGAGCAAAAGGTGCCGCCTCATCAGACGGCCAGCCCTACACTCGTAAGAATAGTACCACACGGGAGACAGAACGTAACATAGTTTCCCACTGAAATTGAAAGGTTTATGATAGCCGAGACTTCAGAGTATTTTGTTGAGATGTCGGAATACATGTTTTGCTGGTTGACGTTGGAATACAAGCAGGCGGAGATGACGCGTATTCCCGATTTGGGGGGAGTTTGCGAGGCCCGCGCGGGCCTCGGGCGAATCCACCCAATCCACTCGGAATTTCGGGTCAGGGTTAAGCCCCGCTGCCAAATCAGGATGCCCAGGCCGACCCCGTTGCGGGAGGGTCGGCCGCGCTTGCCGGAAGGAGTAGCCACACGTGACGATCATTTGGCGGGGATCAACTCCTCTCTTCAACTCTTCTCTTCACTCTTCAGAGATACCCCCAGATTGCAACGCGCGGCCAAGGTGGACCCCAAAAAAGGAACCCAAGGCGCCGACTATGGATGATGCCATGGCCCACCTCGTTATCAATCTTCATGCTGCCACCCTGCCACCCTGCCACCCTCCCACTCTGAGGACTGCTTCAGTCAGCAGGGAGCCGGCAGGGTCAGCGTCAACAGTGTATCTTGATCCTGCCATGACTCTATCTTACTGAGCCCTCTGGGGATGCAGAACGGAACGGATCAAGTCTGCACAGAGCATAACAACGCTTGGTTAGCATGATCGACAGGGGTGCGGATGTTGCTTTGCCTCGGCCTCGGCTCCCCATGTATCTGAGACGGCCATGCCACTTCTTCGCGTCTTCCACGCTTGGTCGTCATCGTCTGTCGTAGTAAACCCGAGCCCCCACATCCGTTACATCCCGTGCAGATTGCGGACTTCGCAGGCCCTCAAGCCACCCTCGGACTACCCACGGGAATACCCTCTCTGCCGGTTTGCATCGTTCACCGGCCATTAAGCTCTTCCCATATCTTCTGGCAGTGGGGCGCTGTTCCCGTCCGTGACCGTCGCCTATCTCAGAGGCACCGGCGACCAATCTATATATACCGCGTTGATCCTCTCTCAGTTCTCATTTTTTCTCCCATCATCTTCTTCCCTTCAATAGCCCTCTATCCCCATTTCCCGGCATGCCCTCAGTCCTTTCCAAGGGCCTCGCTTCCGTGGCTCTGGGCGCTGCAGTCGCCCAAGCCCAGCTCTGGGACCAGGTCATCCAGACAAGCTACGGTCCTGTGAAAGGCTACAAGTACTTCACCAACGAGACCGCCCTCGAAAAGTACTTCGGCACCTCCGAGTCCAACGTTACTGCTTTCCTCGGTATCCCCTTCGCCGCTGATACTGGCTACCAGAATCGCTGGAAGGCGCCCCAGCCTCGTGAGCCATGGAACGAAACCTTGAACGCCACGTCCTTCGGCCCTGCTTGCCCCAGTAACTACGCAACCGAAATCAGTGAGGACTGTCTCAGCTTGAACATCTGGACCAACGCTGGCTCGGCCGATGCTAAGCTCCCGGTCATGGTTTGGAACCAGGGCTCCGATGAAACCAGCGATGATGCCTGGTGGTATGGTGGCGGTATGGCTATGAAGGACGTCATTCTCATCTCCTTCAATCGTCGTGACGATGCATTTGGCTACCTCGCCACCCCGGAGCTCAATGCGGAGGGTCTCGCAACCACTGGCCACAACACATCCGGCAACTACGGTGTCCTTGACCAGCTGGAAGTTCTGAAGTGGGTGCAAAAGAACATTGCCAACTTTGGTGGTGATCCTGACCGCGTGACTGTTGCCGGGCAGTCTTTTGGTTCCTCTCAGGTGTACCACGCTGTCAACAGCCCCCTCTTCACGGGTTACTTCCACGGAGCCATCTCCGAGTCTGGCATCAGATATCCCTACGATCCCTTGTTGGCTGGTCTTGCCACCTCTTATGTTAACATGTCCACGGCCATCACTCATAGCGAGGCTTACATCGCTGAGCACAACGTCTCTACCATCGCTGAGATGCGTGAGCTTTCCATGGAGGATCTTCTCGTCGGTTCCCAGGATCGTGTCAACGGCACTTGGATCTGGTGGGTGACCGCCCTCTCGGCAGGCTACCCTCTCATCTTCAAGCCGGTTCTGGATGACTACGTTCTCCCTTCCACCTACCTTGAGACTCTCCAGAACGGACCTGCCAACGATGTCCCCGTCATCACCGGTAACACCAAGGACGAATCTGGTGCGTCGACCACCACCGACTACACTGTTCATGAATATCTGAACTACACTTCTCTCAAGTACGGCGATTTGTTCGACCGCTACATCAAGCTCTACCCCGTCAACGACAACGCCACTACCGGTGACCGCTCCTGGAACGCTGCCGCCCGTGACGCCTCTCTCGTCGGTTCCTGGGCTTACGCTACCGACTGGTACAAGGCCGCCGAGTCGCCCTTCTTCACTTACTACTGGACCCACGCTCCTCCCGGTCAGAGCGCGGGTGCTTTCCACCAGTCTGAAATTATGTATGCGCTGAACGCCCTTTACGCCAACGCGGACACCTACCCCTTCACCGAGGTCGACTACGAGATTGGAGAGAAGATGTCTGCCTACTGGGCCAACTTCGCCAAGACCCTCAACCCTAACCTGGGTGATTCCTACACTGGTAAGGGCAGCCTGCCCCGCTGGACCCCGAACAGCCCCAATGGCACCCAAGTCGTCATGGAGCTGGGTAACTACTTCGGCAACGTGCCCATTGCCCACCCCAACCAGGTGGAGCTCCTCATGGACTGGTTCCACGAGCAGATTCCTTACTAGTGCCGCTGCGTGGTACTCGTGCCGCATTACAGCATGCGGCTCCTTGGAGACATGCTCTCAATGATGGATTGGTAGATCCGACCTGCCACTGTACCTTGACATTCTCTTACTGTATTCACTTCTTGTGTGTTGAGAGTTGTGACAATATACATTGTATATCTATCGAGAAACTTCCCTTTCTGAGTCAACTTGTAATTTGTTACCTAGTCAGACATACAACCAACCAGACACACCCATATTCCATCTCAACCCCCTCCCATTAGAGACTCCCAACAAAGTACACTTCATCAATTACGCAGACTTCAATATCAGCATATAAAACTGTCGCCTTGCTTGTATTGTGATCCACTCCCAAGACCCACCACCTAATAGAAAAAAGTCCCCGAATCCGCAAGTCTTCTTCTAGTTACGGAGTAAAAGACTGTCTATTTTATATTCTCCAATTCCGGACCGACCAACCCAACCAACAAACAATCACTTCTCAAAGCCCCTCATTTCCTGCCCTCTTTAATTCTCACTACCAACATTACCTTACCTTATCAAGATAAACCCTCTCCTACCAAGCACCTAACTCCTACAACGAACCAAGGACTAATACCGAACCCAAGCTAACTCATCCTCCCCGATTTGCCCGAACAGTTCATCTAGTGATAAATGTTCCAGATTGTGAGCGTCGGGGAGGAATATACCCGGGGAATTGGTCCCCGCGGTACTGGGGATAAGATATGGTGGGGGGTCATCTTCGACAAGTGGATGGACGAATTGAGTTGTGACGCGCATTCTGGCGCCGGGGGTGGTGGGGCCCGTCGGTGGTTGGGTCGGGCAGATTTCGGGATCGAGTAAGTCCCAGAAGACAGTTGGTTGGAAGGATATGGTTGTAAGTAAGGTGGGGAGGGTGGTTGTGGTGGATTGGAGAGATAGGAGGGTTTGGAGCTGTTTATTGATTAGCTTAGCTTGGGATTGATGGTGCGGGTGTCGGGATGGGGGTGTACCTTATGAGAGATATGTGGCCAGGTAGTCGCCATACGAGTCAATAGTGTTTCAGCGACAGCGAGGTGTTCCCGTGCATTATCGGCGATTTTCTTATCCTTTGCGAACTGGAAAATCCACGAGATGGTGGCTGTTGCTGCAACCAAGTGTGCAATAAGAGGGTCATGGATTGGGAAAGTGAGTGTTTCGCATGCTTGAATGAGACGAAATACCCATCCGGAATGAAACAAGGCGTGGTCGACTGCTTGTTGAAGGAAGAATCGGGGTTGAGAGACGTTGCGATTTCCGCGGAGGGCGACTAGGTGGATGAATGGGTGGTTGAGAATTGCAATGGATGCGTGGGTGATAATTTGCATTGAGATCCAGGGCGTCCAGTATTCGTGATGCTCGAGGATCTCGGTCCGGGAACGTTTGGTGAATGCGACGTTGCGGAGGAGGTGGCATTCTGCGAGTTGGAATTCGTATTCATTTCGTTTGTAGTTGAGCTTGGTATAGGTTGAGTCCGGGGACCAGGGAGATTCGGTGTAGCCTGATCGTATGTTGTGTAGGTAGAGGGCGGTTTCGCCCCAGAGGGATATTAGTTGGATGTAGTATGCGTTGATGCCGAGGTCGTTGGGGGAGGTTTCTGAGTCGGAGAGATCGGGGTCGGTGGGGAGGGAAGGCGGTAGGGGTGCGCTAGGGGGGTATTCCGGAGTTGTGCGGCTCGTTGGACGGGGTGAGAGCTGGGGGCAGAAGATGTTCTCGAGGATGCAGACGCTCCAGTGACATCGGGAGCCCATGGAGTCTCCGTCTTCTGATGAATGGTTGCGGAGTAGGGTGCGGAATGCCTGCAGACGGGAAGTCATCCCTATCGTCATACACGCTTGGGCTTCTTTGCCTTCTGTTTGGTTGTTAGGGGTTCTTTGTTGGTTAAACTGAATGGTAGATACCTTTGATGTGTCTTAGAGCAAGCAAGCATAATGATTGGATGACCTCGACTCTGGGTATGTCTTCGATGGCCATTTTGAGAACGGCCTCTTCTGCAGACTGTGTATAGAATTTCCTGGCCTCTGATTCTTTATTTTGGTAGAATTCATGGCTCGAGAACGTCAGAGCGAGGGCTAGGAAGCTCCAAAGAAGGAATTCGGGTGCTCTAGTCAGGTGAGTCCGGAGGGTATCAATGTTGAATAACGGTAGTGGCTGCAGGTGCAACGTTCTCCGATACACATATATGAGATGCTCCAGCGTTTGTGTGGGTGGATATGGGCTTTATGGGGTTAACCAAAGGACCAAATATTGATAGGAACGAGCAACTTGCTTTGCTGCTGAGAAAGAGGGAAAATTACTTGAAGCCCCTCGCATCGGGGCCTGCATATCTATATCATCCGGGGGATCTCGATTTCTCTCAGGGGACCCTGATGGGTCACCAATCCGACTTGGGGCTGAGCTTGAACCAATGCCATAAGTCCCACAGGAATGGGTGTGAGAATGGAATGATGTACATACTAGAGAACATCATATAGATCATGGACCTGGGACTCGAGCATCCGTAGCCGGTCCTTGGTGGCTCTTCTAACTCGATGTTAGACTGGCATGCTAACTACAGGGTGACGAGAATCTGCATACGGTTTCTTGACTTTTCTAGCAGGGCTGGAAAGTGCTGTCTGCTCCCTGGGTAGATAGACACATTGCTGATCTAGTCGTTGGCACATGGAACACACGGGCCTCTCGGCCGGACATTTGGTCTTTTTACGACTGCCACGATTAGTCCGGATGCCTAACACTGCCAGAAGAGGCCTCACCGGCACGGATCACAGGCGTGCCGACTCCGTCCGCGGGATTCTGAAGAAGTGTTCATTTTCATGGATGAGAATTGAATGGGGACACAGAGTATCGGACCACGGAGAACGAAAAGTGCCCTGGGAGCACGTGACCGGGATCAGCCATGTTCGTCTTTCCCGGCACTAACCTCCTTCAGACTAGCTTAGCCCAGCCTCGTCTTCCTCTTCATCGGAAAGAGTAAAACATCGCATCCATTGGCTAAACTTGAACTCGTTATCCGTGTCAACGGGTTTACAATTTGGCCCTCTCACCAGCCTCCAACTCCCGTCTAGCAGGTCCTCCACGACTCCCATCGCCCAAAAACACATCGTCCCGATTCTGATAGTCCGTCCGGAACCGCCACTTCTGGGCCAGGTGGGGTGGCAGGCTCTTCTTAAATGCAAGCGACATGTATTCACCAAGCACCGGCAAGAATTTGAACCCACTATACAACTTCATTAGTGTCCGATTGCATCACAGTCAACAGAGGTCTTACTGTCCGCTTCCCCCCCCTCCAATCAATAGATTCTTGAAATCGGGATGAAAGTCCATGATGAAATCGCCCGTCGGGGTATCCGTATACCAGCAGAGAGCTACCCTCTCAAATGCCCGATCGGCCAGTTCGGGCAGAATTTCGCGCAATCCTTCTCTCAGTCGGACCTCGCCATCTGCGGGGGCGAAGTTGCGACGTTCACGAGGTGGAATCAAGGGAGGCATTGAAGGATTGGTCTTCACGGCGGTGGATTCACCCTTCGCCGGTGTCCGGGTATAGCCCCAACCGTGGACCGCCATCTTCAGCAGTCCAGTGTCTTCGTGAGGTGGAAAGTTGAACCATCCCGTCGAGAAGTTGATGTATACTGGCAACTCTCTGTACTTTTCCACTTCCTCCGGAGTCAGACGCATGTATCCCAAAACTTGGCCTGTTGTTAGGGTGGAGTTGTACATCGGGACGAGACTGGATCCCCATGCGCCGGCTGCCAGTACAAAGTGATCACCTTCCACGGGACCACTGGTCAGGGTTCGCACTGCCTTGATAGCATTGTTAGAGTCGGTATCAAATCCGACCACCATGCCTCTGCGGCCACAGATGAACGAAACGCCAAGCTCGAGACAGTCATCTCGAAGCTGACTGATGGCTTTGTTGGCGTCTGCCCAACCAGCTTGCTTGTTCTCATAACCAGTGAACGGAGGCGCTGCTAGCTCGCCAGTCAGATTTGGATATAACCGCTTCGCTGCGGCGGCGTCTTGGACCTTGGCCCATGGGAGTTGGTGGTTGGTCAGAGCTGCAGTGGCCTTGGCGATCCAAGCTTGTCCGTGGGTAGTTGAACTTCCGGTAAAGATGAAGGGGGTCGGATAGAAGATGCCCTGGTACTTGGGCTGCTGCCATTTCAGATAAGCGGCATGCGCAAGCTGTAGATAATCGTCATCGGCATAGTCGAATCGGATAAGCCGGGATATATCTGAGCTGGATCCATCGGTAACCTAGCACTGTCAGTTATATTGCGTTGGATAAACACTCCGGGACAGCCGGAACACACCGGTGGCATGTGTCGGTCGAGGACGGTGATGTCCCGGTAACCCTCGGAGGCGAGCTGGTACGCCGTGGAAAGGCCGAATACACCCGCACCAATGATGACGATACGGCTGTCTTTGTCCATTATTCAATGCTCGCGGGATAACTGCTAGAGAAGAGGTAGGACTAAGAACGAAATCAAACAAAGTTCAGGGTTCCCTCATATAAGGCCGGGCGGAACAGCAAAAAGATCTCCGCTTCCGCTCACGTGGTCGGCTTCGGGGTGAAGATGATGGGCGGCATTCCGTACGATGACATGTTATAGCACTGCGCGTGAACTTCAAAGGCTGTCAGCTAGATTAATCCTGCTCGTTGCAACACTAGTGGAGGTGAGACTTCTCCTTTGCGTTCGCATCCAAGATCACCATCAAAATCTCCAACTTGAAGAGTGGTGTGGCCCCAGAAATATATTCCTGTCTGCTTCAATCCAATGGAGAAATGTGATTCTTGCTGGGAAAACTTGCCTTAGTTTGACACAGAGTACCAGGCTAGACAGTTGACGTGCTACATTATCCAAGATCTATAGCGAATAGAAAGGAGAGCGTATTCATTAGAGGAGTGTATCCTCAAGTCAGGTGACCACTAGAATCTGCTGTTGTTTACTTTTCCTCCCCCGCATCTTCATCTATCCGAGTCAACCACAAGCCATCTTTATCATCGTCTTCCATCAAGTCCCGGGACTCTCCGGAGTCTACACGTTTCGATTCTGCATTTACATCTCCGTTAATCGAATGGACAGATATTCTCCACAACCTCACGCCTGTCATCGCACCTGGAAAGGATCGTCGCGACCGACCTCATTGCTGCAAGAAGTAGACTCCAACAACACCCATTGGACGAAAGGCTTAGGGTGTATGCAGGCCTTTGTCTGCATGCCAGTGGATAAATAAGACGACCTCCCCGCTTCTCAGAAGACAATTCCTTGCAGTTTCAGTTGCAGGGACGGTACCTACCTTTGAGCTTTCCATGCAACTACACACCAACGGTTAAAAACCCACACCTTGTGCTGCCAGGAGCGAGTTGTCCCACCTGGACAAGTTCGTCCCCCTGTGCGTTCTTCTCTGTGGGAATCACATCACTGCTCACGACGCCAGATGATCGACCTGGGAGAGTTCTCCTGTACGACCTACATATTCAGTGGCTAGTCGCGATCTGGAATTCGGGATTTCCGATTATTTACTTGAGCTGACCGACATTCAACGTGCATTGAACGTGGTCACGTCCGCGTGGGTATGCCGTAGGATGCACGTGCTTAGTGGATCCATTATCAACAGATACTCAAGGGTTTATAATAGGTTCAGGGGCCCTAAACTGGCTTTACGTCATCTCCTACAGTCATTTGAACCGAACCATGTGGATCACTGCGGCTGAAGGGTTTGATGGGGATGCGGATAACGCGCTCCTCTGTGGATTCGGATTGTCCCTGAGCTGGACCTAGATTGAACCCCTACAACCTTTATTTGGATGGGAGGTCAAGAAATCTCCCTCGCTGCGCAAAAAGGTTACAATTAATTATCATTCAGTGCTCATTTTAATTCCTGGGATTTGCCAAAGATCCGTGGATTGAAAAGCTTCGCTGATTAAAGTTTTCAGAAAGTCACCATGCATGTATGGCTCAGCGCTAGACACCGTATCCAGGTACGTAATACGCAAAAACAGGAGCTCAGTCCGGAGAATACCGAACCGTGTGGGTATGAAGGGTTTCGTCCACCATTGGTTGCAGGAAAGCTGTGTTGCCTCCAATCGGCCCCCCCGGACGGATGAGTCCATGCTGACCATCTGCACAAGCTTCTCGCATCATGCGGTACAAATAAGCCAGAAGGATCTGCCCAGTTAGGATGAGTCGAGTTGCAGAGATGCTGGCTGCAGTTTGCAGCTTGCAGGACTTACGCGTCACATTCGCGCTACACCACTTGGCAAATTTCTACGACTGACACAAGGGTGACCATAACCACAACAGTAGATTAGATCGATAACCAGGCATCATTCCGACAATCAGATGTTTTGGGTCCGAAAAATGGGCTAGCAGATTTTTCCACGTCCAAGCTTTGAATGCGGATGCCGGTGTTGCATCACGGGGAGTGAAATTTTTTCTAGCGCAGAGGCCAAATTCTCATCACGTTTACCGGCCAATCGAGCCGACCGCAGAAAGGCAACTAGGCCAATCCGAGGGATTGGGATCCGCCTAACTGTCTAGATCAATGAAGTGTGGCTCCATGGCTGCCACAATTGGCTGATTTGGATCATCCCACCCGGCATCGGCCGGTCTGCTCCCACGCTGATTGGTCGGCTGACCCCGTCAGTGATTATCTGATCCATTGTGTCGATTATCTGATTGCGCTTATCGCCGCCCCCATTTTATCCACGCACTCGAACCCTGGCTTCTCACTTCTGCGGACGCGCTTTTGGCCTGGCCGTCCGCGACCGGCTAGTTGCCACGGCCGTGATGAAAAAACATTCGGGGCCCAGAATTCCGTCTCCACCTGCGCCATATAGAAAAATTGTTCATGTTGGCGCTAGCATGAAACTAAGCAATCAAAGGAATGGGTGACAGGAGGAAGACGAGAAAATCGGGCCGACTATATATTCACCGTGTGATCGGCCAGCCCTTCTCTTCTCCTTGCTCTCCTTTCCGTCCCCACTGATATTCCCAGCGGTCATCTCTAGCCATCATGGGTGCCGTCGACCGACTCAGGGGTCGCAAGACCAACCACGTCGTGGATGACCTCCAGCCGGTGGAAAATGATAATTCCGAGAATCGCCAGACGAAGGAACCTACTGATAACGTCGGTGAGAAGGAGGCCGCGGCCCAGGAGCGTCCTGAGGAGGTTTCCCGCGAAGCTCCGATTGGTGTGCAGAAGGCAGAGGCTGCAGCCCTTGTCTGGAGCAAGAAGGCCATCTACGGCACTTATGCTTGGTAAGACAGGCGCATGGAGAGGTAAACCCAGTGCTAACGGCTTTTTAGGATCTGGGTCTGCTACTTTATGCTCGCACTCCATGAATATATCAGTACCAACGTCCTCTACTATGCCTACTCAAATTTCAGCAATGCCTCCCAAGTCACGACCGCCTATATCCTTGCGACCATCATCGGTGGTGTTCTCAAGCTGCCAATCGGCAAACTACTTGGGATCTGGGGACGCGCTGAAGGGCTGATCGTCTTCGTCGGCGTCTATGTCATCGGGTTGATCATCCTTGCTGCCTGCAACGGCCCGAATTCCTTCGCAGCGGGCTACGTCTTCTACTGGATCGGATACGATGCAATCTACCTGATTCTCGAAATCTTCATCGCGGATACCTCCGGTCTACGCAACCGAGCCTTTGCCTTTGGATTCTCCACCACGCCCTTCATCTGCTGCGCCTTCACCGGTTCTCTCGCCGCCAACTCCTTCATCAAGACCTCTGGCTGGCGCTGGGCATACGGTGCCTTTGCCATCGTCCAGCCATTTGTCTTCGCACCTCTCATCTGCATATTCAAGTACTACGAACGAAAAGCCTACAAGACGGGCGTTCTAGTCCATCAGGACAGCGGCCGGACACGGTTCCAGTCCCTCATCCACTACATCCACGAATTCGACGGTAAGCCCAATCCACCCAACCCCCCTCCCCCAAACCATCTAACCCACCGCAGTAATCGGCGCCCTAATCCTCATGGCGGCCTTCGTCCTCTTCCTTCTCCCCTTCAGCCTCGCCAGCTACGGCCGCACCCAATACCACAACGCCGCCTTCATCGCTGAAGTAGTAATCGGCTTCTGCCTTTTCTTCGCCTTCGCCGCCTGGGAAAAATACTACGCCCGAGTCCATTTCATCCCCTACGACCTCCTCCGCGACCGCACCGTCCTCGGCGCCTGCCTCCTCGCCGCAGTCGTCTACTTCAGCTTCTACTGCTGGGACAGCTACTTCTACTATTTCATCATGGTCGTGTACAACCTCGACGTCACCAAAACGGGGTACATGACCTCGATCTACACCGTGGGATCCTGCGTCTGGTCGCCCATCTTCGGCCTCTGGATCCGCCTCGTCAAAGAATTCAAATACTCGTGCCTGTTCTTCGCCGTCCCCCTCATGTTCCTCGGCGCGGGGCTGATGATCCACTTCCGCGGCCAGGACGCAGACATCGGGTACGTGATCATGTGTCAGATTTTCATTGCCTTCTCGGGCGGTATGTTGGTGATTAGTCAGCAGATGGCGGTGATGTGTGCGAGTACGCGTGACGGAATCCCGATACTCTTGTCTATGTTGGGACTGTTTAATAGTATTGGTGGCGCGATTGGGTATGCGGTTGCGGCGGCAATTTATACGAATACCTTTCCCGAGGGGTTGAGGAGGGCGTTGGTGGAACGGGGCCAGGAGGAGGGATTGTGGGAGGGGTTGTATAAGGGGGGGTATTTGAGTCAGATGAAGTATGAGCCTGGGAGTGGGGTCAGGGAGGCGGTGGATTTTGCTTGGGGGTATACGGAGAAGTATGAGGCGATTGCGGCGACGTGTATTTTGGTTTTGATGATTCCGGCGGTGGCGATGTGGAGGAATTATGGGGTGGATCGGAAGCAGAATAAGGGGACGATGATTTAGGGGTGCAGTGGGGGGTGCACTGGGGGTTGCAGTTGGGGGGGGGGGGGGGTAATGGTAAATTATAGTAATGTTTATTAGGTTGTTCTTGTTCTACTTTCAACTTCATGGTACCTGTATGCAAGACCTTATTTAGCAATGTCAATAGTTGAAGGTTTGAGAATCGTGAATGATTATGTACATGACCTCACAAAGAATACTATCCCAGAATCCTATACCAGGCTTTGCAAGAAGCTTCATACAGACATCTTAATAGTGTACATTAAGAAGGGAATGTCCAAAGTTCCTAACATAACAAAGAGCGATATCTTCCGACTAGGGAAACACCTTCAAAGATGGATAGACATACATCGAAAAACAAAATCCTAGTTCAAGACAGGTACGTACCAGAACCTGAAGTATAAATCAAATTGAAGTCTCCGACATATACTGCCAAGTGTTCAATATCCTACTACTTATATATAATAACCCTTTGTTCATATTACGGGCAGAGTAAGCAGGTGTTAGGGCTAGAATACCCCTCATATTTGCAACAAAGAACAATAGCAGATACCTGAGCAGTCTATCACTAGAAGAACCCGGCCCGTTCCGAGTATTGTCGAAACCTACCTACCACAGGCACATTCCTACAAAGAAACAGCCTTGCATCATTCACATCCAGGAACTTACCCATACCTCCCATTCAACATTCATACTCCAAGCAGTGAAGCACCTACACTCATCCTCACGTGAAAATCACCAAAGCCATAGAATAGAAAAGACAATGCTGATTGAATCAGCACAAGGGAATCCCCGAACCCCTTCCAAATATCTAACTGTCCCCATGTGACTAAAAGAGGGTTATATAATCCCCCCATTCCTAAACCCTCAACCCCAATATTCTCACCAGTTTGTACCATCAACTCCCATCATCAAAACCCACTCAACTGCATAGTAGCACTCAACTCAACACCAAAATGTTCTACTACGACCCCAACCTCAGCAGCGTCGAAAGCATCGATCATTACCACGCAGGCGGATACCACCCCGTGCACCTCGGAGACATCTTCAACGAGAAATACAAAATCGTCGGGAAGATTTCCCACGGGGTGTATTCTACCGTTTGGCTGGCACAGAATCAGCGAGAGTATGTATCCCCCCCTGCAAAATGCCCACTCAGTGTACTAATGATGCAACCAGAGGTAATCAAGAAGTGGTATTGAAGATAATCCAAGCCGCTGAATCAGATCTCACCCCCGAGCGAGAAATCCTAGACTTCCTAAATGGTGTCAGGGGAAAGCATCCGGGACATAAGCATGTCGTGAACCTCCTTGATCATTTCTATCATGAAGGAGCGAATGGAACGCACTTGTGTTTGGTTCTCCCTGTTATGGCGGGTGAGTTGCAGAGGTTGTATGTGGATGGGAAGAGACGACTACGGGCGAGGGAGCTGAGGAGGTTGGCGAAGGAGTTGTTGCAGGGGGTGGACTTTTTGCATGAGAGGGGGGTTGTTCATTGTGGTGAGTTAATATCCAGTTTTGTGATGTGTGTTGGGTGTTAAAACTGACGAATGGTTGCAGATTTACATGCAGGCAATATCATGCTCAGACGTACTGGGACGATCAATTATCATGATATGCTCAAGCCTGTGGTGACGGTGCCTGTGACGTGGGATAAGGAGGCGACGGAGGATGAGGCCAAGACTGCCCCTAGGTATTTGGTCAGGTCGCAGGTGTCTTCGCTGCGGTTGACAAAAAAGGAATTTGAAGACGTGCATGTGGTGATTGGGGATCTGGGGGCTGCGCAGTGGTCTCATGAGTGTGGAGACTTGCCGATAACGCCGTTGCCGTTGCGCGCTCCGGAGGTGATCCGATGGGGGGGGTGTCCGAGAGCGTTTGATACGAAGGCGGATATTTGGACTTTGGGGTGTTTGGTTCGTGCCCTTTCCTCTGTTATATCTAGTAGATTTAGTGGCTGATGGTGGATAGATTTTTAAACTCGCGACGGGGAAGATACTGTTTCCGGTGGATAGAAAGGAAGATATGAAAGCCGATGAGAGCCAACTTGCATTGATTGAGCAGAGAGTTGGCTCACAAGGTCGGGAGACTTTTGCAAAGTATCTTGCGACTCAACTGCCTAGGGATTTTGGAGAGGAGAACGCGAAACTCCTGGCTGAATTTTTGTTGTTGATGTTGCAGATAAACCCGCAAAAGCGGCGGTCAGCAGTCTCTTTACAGAGGACTCGTTTTATTCGGAATGAGGATTAGAGGATGGTTGTTGTGCAGCGGTTCGGATAGGTGCAGGTGGTCTTATTTTGTGTAGAATGCGTGCGTGGATGTTCAGGAGATGATGTTAAAAGAACTCCACAAATATCATAATTACGGAGTAATACTGGTAGCTTCCAAGGCTTCCAATGAGCTCTTCCATTGCGTTTCTCCCCATTTAACCCGTTCAGACAGAAGGTCTGGGAGGATGGAGACAAGAGCTGTCCCAGCACATATCTTCGAATCGTAGCTGAACAAGGCCTTCATATAGATAAGCCTTAGATTTAAATCAAGACAAGTATTTTCAGGTTCCTGATAGACCCTTGGCACGTGTCATGTAGCATCGGAGATGAATGCACACAGCCGAGGTTCGGGTTAGCCGGATCCCCGCACTCAACCAAGTAGCACATTGCCAAGTATTCTATTTGTTCCTGGAAATGAAGGCTATTTTTGTGACTGTGACTTTATCGTGGTTAAGTTGGGTCATGCCGACCCTTGATTGGATGTACGTTGCCTGTCCGGCCTGAGCATGCTCGTCCGGATATCGGTACACTGACTCACGCTGGATGAATTTTCTTGGAACTTCTAACCACGAAGTGCGCTGTCAGGATTTATGCAGAGATGTTCATCGAGTTCATGACATGCAGCTGGCAGCTACCGTTGTAGATAGCTGACATGGCAAACAATGCAATGTGACTTGTGCTAGTAGAAAGTTGCGGTGAGGACAACCTACAGACTGGACAGATAGAAAGGAGGTCTGTAGTAGCAAGGTATCCTTGCTAGACTGTATAATCGACGGGATTTCACGGGATTCCGCAGCAAACAAACCTGCGATCGGTGATGAGTGAAAACAGTTGTGTAGGGTTATGCACCATGAGAGGCACGGTTATTCAGGACAACCTGGGCGTGGGTTGGACATTTAGCTAAGAATGTAAACTCTCTTAAACACTCGCAGCATAAGATGCGAGATCACCGGGATATGTGAACGTGGCTATGGATGATGCTGGAGGCTGCAGCGGGGTAGGGTTGGGCCAGCTGACAAAGATCACGCGCGTCGGGAATGCTGCATGCCAGGATGGCAATCCATGTCCCCCGGGAATCCTCCGTTCATTGCTGGAGGGTTCTGGGGATGGCCAGGAAGACTATCTCAGAATCCCACGGTCGGAAGCTTATTGTAATAGCATGAGGGCTCATGATACCTGTCCTACACCGATTAGCACAACAATGAGCACCACAACCGGATACGTCACCCAGTGACACAGCATTGACCATGATGAATGACGTAGATCGCTAATGCAGGCAGTTCTGGAACATTTGCAAGGTTTCCCCAAGTTTGGTACATCCACTCAGGGCGCTTGGAGACCCTGTCACTCGTGCCAGGCTGGCCGATGAGTGGTGGAATACACATTTTTCGGTAGGCCGACTCGAACAAAGAACGAGGAGGGGAACAGCTGATGGAGAACAGCACAAAGAGGGGATGGAATGCATAACCGAGGATAGCTGCCAGTGTTGTGTCGGCCAGGCAGAGGAAGGATATATTGGCGCCAGTGTCCATCCATTTCCACCACACAGTCGCCAACATGCCTAACATCAACCAATACGCCGTTCCCACCACCTACTACCGCGGTGGCACCAGTAAAGCCATCTTTTTTCATGAACATGTTCTGCCTCCACCCGGCCCTCAGCGCGATCGTCTCCTCAAGCGGGCCATAGGCTCGCCGGACCCCCTTCAGCTTGACGGAATGGGCGGGTCCAAAGCTGTCACATCCAAGATCGCCATCGTCAAATCCTCGACCCGTCCCGATGCCGATGTCGATTACACCTTCGCCCAGGTTGGGGTTGCCGATGACTTTATCGGCTATGATGCCAACTGCGGTAATATCTCGGCCGCGGTCGGACCGTTTGCGATCGACGAGGGGCTGGTCAAGTATCGACCTGGGCGAAGCATGGATCCAAAGGTCAAGACGCAGGAGGTACGCATTTATAACACAGGGACGCGAAAGGTGTTGAGTGCGCATGTTCCCATCACAGAGAAGGGCTGTTTCGAGTCGGAGGGGACGCAAGCGATCGCCGGTGTGCCAGGGACTGGGAGTCCAATCTTGATGGATTATCGATCTGTATGTCTCGTCATGTCTCTCCCTCGCAGCAAATCACTGACACACTGTCTAGACCATCGGAGCCTGGCTATCAAGAGGCCTCCTCCCGACAGGAAATATAACCGACACTCTCACGGTCGCTGGAAATGACATCCAAGTCACCATCTGCGACATGGCCAATCTATGTGTCTTCGCCAACGCAAAAGACTTCAACATCACCGGCCACGAGAGTGCCGCCGATTTGACCGCCAACTCCGACTGGCAAACTAGGACGCAAGAACTGCTTGGAAAGGCAGCGGTGCTCGTTGGATTGACAAAAGACTGGCAAGCGTGGGTCGACAAGTGCTATGGCATTCCGTTGCCCATCTTCGTGGCGCCGCCCCCAGATCCCAGTAAAGGCCATGTCTCGGCGAGATTGTTCCTCGATAAAATGTGCCATGAAAGTATGGCTGGAACCGGGGCCATCTGCACAGCAGCATGTAGTCGTGTTCCTGGCAGCGTGGTGAACCAGATCATCGGCCAGGCGGCGGACCTGGAGACGTTGGAGATCAGCCATCCCATTGGGACCATGAGCGTGTGTGTTCAGACGGAAACTCCCGTGAAAGGCGAGCCGGTCTTCAATACCCTGTCCTTTGTTCGGACTGCTCGTCGCATCATGGATGGGACGATATACGTGCCGAATAGCTTCAAGCCGATTGATCAGGAAACTTTGCTAGACACTCCTGCCCGAGATGTTATGCGGACTGTCTCCAAGTCAACCTCATTAAGGGGTAATCTGTGAGTAGCGCGGTGAATCACGTATTGATGGGATGCTAACAAGTTGTCCAGGATGTACTTTGTTCTGTGTATAATATTTTTTTCGATCGTGTGTTATTCACCAGCGTCGAGGTTTTTCTGGATAGGGAAGCAAATTTGAGAGTCCATTCACTTCCGTGAATCCCAATCATTGCGGGTGAGCAATAAGCCTGGTGATCTTCGGCCCGATGCTCGTCTCCAACTGGCAAGCAACAACGTCGATAAGGGGCGGGGAAGCGATAGCCCTACCTTCCGGGCCGTTCCCCCTCCCATCGTCTGATAACAATGCAGATCTGCCGTCACAGTGCAACTTGAGTGGTCGGATGAGTCGATGGAGATAACGAGGGGGGTTGTACTCCACCTTCCCTCCACTTTTGACCGATGGGCCTGTCCGAGACTATTTAGATACCCTCATATTAGTAGACGTTTTTACCCCAGACTTGCTGCAATTGCTCATCATCATTCCTTCAACCAGTCATCATGCCCAGTGTAGCACCCCGTCAGAAGCTGCGTATCTCTATAGGTTGGTTAAAATAAGCCTCGGAAGATTCTCGGGATACTGACCCGACCGTGCAGACCGTGGCGGAACATTCACCGACTGCATCTGCAAGGTTCCCGGCAAGGAGGATATCATCGTGAAGATCCTTTCAATCGATCCTAAGAACTATGACGATGCCCCTACGGAGGCCATCCGACGCGTCTTGGAGGTCTACTGCGGCACGAGCATTCCTCGCGGAACTGGGTTGGATACAAAAGACATTGGTAGGAGCATCGAATTGAATTGGCTCCTTTCGTTAACCTCTGCTCAGAGTCTATCCGTATGGGAACGACCGTCGCGACGAATGCGTTGTTGGAGAGAAAGGGCGAGCGCACCGCTCTCTTGATCACAGCGGGTTTTAGAGATTTGCTGGAGATAGGCAATCAGTCGCGACCGTTCATGTTTGACCTCTCGATCCGGAGGCCCGAGACACTCTACTCCGATGTATTCGAGGTGGACGAGCGCGTGGCTCTCCGAAACTGCACCGATACCGATCTGCGAAGTCTGGATTTGTCCTCGCCACTGGTAGAAAGGGAGGTTGCGGGCACATCCGGGGAGACAGTGCAAATCATCAGATCGCTGGACCTCGAGTCAACCGAGCGATATCTAAGGAAGATATACGCGGACGGCTTTAGGTCGATCGCAGTGTGTCTGATGCACGCCTACACGTTCCCCGACCACGAAGTTCAAATTCGAGACCTGGCACAACAAATTGGGTTTGAGAACGTCTCGCTATCGCATGTTGTATCCCAACGAACGAAGATAGTGCCCCGAGGTAACTCGGCAGTGATTGATGGCTATCTCACGCCGACCATCGAGCGATATCTGAGGCAATTCCTGACCAGTTTCCCCGATATCCACAACTCGGACACAATGCTCGAGTTTATGCAATCAGATGGTGGACTGGTCCCAGCAAATAGACTCTCCGGACTGCATTCCATCCTTTCCGGTCCGGCTGGTGGTGTTGTAGGGTATGCACGCACCTGCTACGACGAGGTCAACAAGGCTCCTTTGATCGGGTTCGATATGGGAGGTACTAGCACAGACGTCAGTCGGTATGACGGAGCTTTGGACCATATTTTCGAGACAACCACCGCCGGGATCTCGATGCAGACACCGCAACTGAACATCAACACGATCGCCGCCGGTGGAGGCAGCATCTTGTTCTGGCGCGATGGACTCATGTCTGTCGGTCCGGAGAGCGCGTCGTCTGACCCTGGGCCTGCGTGTTATCGAAAGGGCGGGCCCTTGACTGTCACGGATGCCAATCTCGCTCTTGGGAGATTAATTCCGGAGTACTTTCCCTCCGTGTTCGGTCCAAACGAGGATGAGCCGTTGGACCGTGACATTGTGATTTCCAAATTTGAAGCGTTGACTGCAACGATGAATCAGGACACAGGCAAGTCAATGACCTGGGCCAAGGTGGCACAAGGGTAGGAAAATTCATACTATGCAATCTTGGTACAAGAATTGATGGGGTAACACGTTCCAGGTTCCTCGACGTCGCAAACTCCGCGATGTGTGGCCCTATTAGAAGCCTCACCGAGGCTCGCGGTTATGATACAACAAAGCATCATTTGGCATCCTTCGGCGGAGCGGGAGGTCAGCATGCCTGCGCCATTGCTGAGCTTCTCGGAATCAAAAAGGTCTTGATCCACAAGCACTCCTCAATTCTATCCGCCTATGGAATTGGATTAGCCGATGTCGTGCAGGAAGGTCAAAGACCTTGTGCTAAAGCCTACGACTCCGTCAATATACAGACCATCTTGACCGACCTGGAGGATCTGTCAGATTCAACCAAAGACATGCTAGGCAACGATGGGATACTCAACGTCGACGTGGAGTGTTTCCTCAACATGAGATACGACGGAAGTGAAACAACTATCATGATCGCTGTAGATCCAAGCCAGAATATGTTGCAATTATTCGTCGATGCTCATCACCAGCAATTTGGCTTCACCCCAACTAACCGGCAGGTGTTTGTTGATAGCATTCGCGTGCGTGTCGTGGGCCGAAGATCTTTCGAATCTCCTTCACCTGATGTCCCAATTCCAGTCGCAGCAAAACAGATTCTGGCGGACAGTGCAGCTCCACGGTCTACTAACAGTGTTTACTTCGACCAAATCGGATGGACTAACACCCCTGTCTACATCCTTAATTCTATTCCTTCAGGACAGAAAGTCCAAGGCCCAGCCCTCGTCGTCGACAAAACGCAAACCATCCTCGTGGGCCCCGAGTCATCAGCAACATCCGAACTCGACAAACTGATAATAGACGTCAGCAATGAAAAGGGTCGCATCGTTTCCGTAGACACTATCGACCTAGTCCAACTATCCGTCTTTCGTTATCGGTTTATGAGCGTAGTCGAACAAATGGGTCGAGTATTACAGCAGGTGAGCGTGAGTGCCAATATCAAAGAGCGCCTTGATTTTAGTTGCGCTGTATTCAGTCCCGATGGTTCCCTGGTTGCCAATGCTCCCCATGTCCCTGCGATGATTGGCAGTATGGCTTTTGCTGTGAGGGGTCAGATTGGGGTATGGAAGGGAAAGCTGAAGGCAGGAGATGTTTTACTGTCCAATGCGCCTGGTACGTACCCTCCCAAGAACATTATTTGCTCGCTAATATGTGATATGCAGAATTTGGTGGCACTCATCTCCCGGACCTCACTGTTATCACCCCTGTTTTTGATGCCCGGGGTGAGGATATAATCTTCTGGACGGCTTCAAGAGGTCATCATGCTGATGTATGTATATTATCTATCCCCCCCTTCATATTCTTTCGACTGCCCCCTTTTTTAAGAAGAAGAGCTAAACAACCAAGATCGGCGGTATCCTACCCGGTTCCATGCCACCCACCTCAAAGCACCTCAACGAAGAAGGGGCCTTATTCGAATCATTCCTCCTGATACGCGATGGCATCCTCGATGAAATTGGTCTTTCCCAACTACTCTGCGAAGAGCCCGCCAAACACCCTGGCTCCAGCGGCACCCGACGATATCAAGACAACCTAACGGACCTGAAAGCCCAAGTAGCCGCGAACCACTGTGGCATCCGTCTCATCCACCAGCTAATTCAAGAATACTCCATGGATGTCGTTCAAGTAAGCCCTGTACCACCTACCACCTACCACACCACTAATCTCCTCAGGTCTACATGAAAGCCATCCAATCCTCGGCCGAGCTCGCCATCCGCAACCTCTTCAAACGCCTCGCACGAGACTTCCACCACACCGAACTCATAGGGACCGACTACATGGACGACGGAACCCCAATCCACCTCAAAGTAACCCTCAACGAGAACGACGGTTCCGCGGTCTTCGACTTCACCGGCACCGGACCCCAAGTCTACGGTAAGCCCTCACCCCCACTCCCCACTACCCTAAGTCCTCCCTTCTAACAACCCCAGGAAACTGGAACGCTCCCATCGCCATCACCCACTCCGCCATCATCTTCTCCCTCCGCTGCATGGTCGACTCCGACATCCCACTCAACCACGGCTGCCTTGCCCCCGTCACCGTCCACATCCCCAAACCCAGTCTCCTCAACCCGGCTCCCACCTCCGCCGTCTGCGCAGGCAACGTCCTCACCTCGCAACGAATCGTCGACGTGATTTTCAAAACCCTCCGGGTCTGCGCCGCAAGTCAAGGATGCATGAATAACTTCTCTTTTGGGACTGATGACTTCGGATACTATGAGACTATCGCGGGCGGTAGCGGTGCAGGGCCAACTTGGTCCGGGACGAACGGTGTTCATACGAACATGACCAATACGCGGATTACAGACCCTGAGTCTTTGGAACGGAGATATCCGGTGTTGTTGAGGAGGTTCTGCTTCAGGGCTGGGAGTGGAGGGTGTGGAAGGTATAAGGGGGGTGATGGGGTGATTCGGGATGTGGAGTTTCGGATTCCGATGATGGCGTCGATACTGTCTGAGAGGAGAGCGTTTCGGCCGTATGGGATGAATGGTGGGGGTGATGGAGTGAGTGGGTTGAATTTGTGGATTAAAGGGGAGTCTGGGACGAGGGTGTCGATTGGGGGGAAGAACTCGGTGGCGGTTTCGGAGGGGGATCGGTTGGTGATTGAGACGCCGGGGGGCGGGGGGTATGGGAGGGTTGAAGATCGTGATACTAGAGTGGGAGATGGTGCGAAGGAGAGCAGGGGATTTATACCGATTGCGAATGGGTCGGTGGAGGCGACGAGGAGTTTGGCCGAACAGGTGTAATGAAGGCTCTGGGTGGTTGTGCCATACCCAAGGAGATGTAAATAAGAATGGCGGAGTACGAGACTGTATTGGCTGTGATCTATGAGGGCTTTGTTATTCCTTGAGACTCTCTGCAAGGGAAACTGGTCCTGTTAACCACACACCTTTTTCACTTTCGGCCTATCTCGCATGAAATTGCCAGGCAGAACTATTAGCTATTTACATTGAGCATCTTCCTAAGGTTCGGCGCAGGTTTTCCATCTAATAAGAAATACAAAAGGGCCTTATCCAGGGCCTCGGGACTTACCGAATTCCGGATGCAGCAGCCTGAGGTGCATGTTTATGACCTTAAACATTACGATGCCAAAGGCAGTGGGTTTGTGCTCGTTCTGAAAGGCGGGGGGTGAGGATTTGATTGTATCTACATGTCCATCTAATGGCCATGAAGACAGAACGAAAGGAAGATCCTCTTACAAGAAGAGGAAGATTCAAGAGAACGAAATTCACTGAGGCAAACGAGACAAAGACGAACTTGGCGATGTATTCCAGAGCAGGCTGGCATGACGACTCTCCTTCCAGGTCAAGGCGGGCGTGGGACTGAGCAACAAAGCTTCCCAGGAGGCTGTGGAAAGAAGGTATCTTGGAGCCGGACCTGGATGGCTACTAATTCCCTCAACGGCACTGATGCGGCAGATGCATGCCCGTGGGGGCGCCAGAAAGAGCGCCGCCAATCTATTCCAGGCTGCACTGTTCTAGTATGCCTTGGCGTGAGCCTTTCTACCTTGTGGTGAGGTCAGGCTGGCGGTATGGTATCAAATAGCTTGACAGCGGCCGGAACGGATGACTCGACGGGACAAGACCCACCATGTAGATACTACATAGTAGTGCTATTGTAGCCGCAGGGCCGAGCCACCAATGTGATTGGTTGCGGAAATGGATCGTGGCAGTGCCTTTCGGACATCCGGCGGCGGGAAAGATGGGATAAGCGCCCCCTAATGCAATGGCCTGTTCCCCTCTCGCCAATCCTAGACCCTTCGTTCGGTTTCATGTCTTGCCAATCCATTTTCCGGTACTGAATGTAGGGTGACGCATTCCCCAGTGGGGCTGGCAGCCCTAAGATATCGGAGGCCTAGACAAAGCCTTGCATTCGCCGCAAACTGTATCTTCCGTATCTTCCGGGTCGAGTGTTCTCTATTGGGCCACGGTCTCATGAACTCTTGTCGATCCGAAGCCCTATGCGCCAAGCCAATCTTGATTTTCAGTGCAGTCGACCCTCCCCCCGGAAGAAAACCCCCACCAGGATGTCGACCGCGGCACCGTACTATAGTGCTCAGCCTTCCTAATCGGAAACAATGCAGCTCGCTCTAGGGTGCTTTCGACCCCTCTAGCGACGACTTGAAGCGCCCATCATCTCACAGGTATCTCTCTTGATTGGATATGGCTGGTTCACGGCCAGTGGTCCTGTACGGCGCCTGTCTATGTTTAGGCCTTCGTAGCTCCATATCGGTTATATGTCGCGCCTTCACCCCACGCGGGTGATATGACAGGGACCCAACTCTCGCAGTCAGACTCGGCGCTTATGCCATGTAACACAGTTATCACGCTCGACGGCAGATCAGATGTCTATTAGGACATAGAATGACTCAACAATCCATGCTCTGCGTACACAGATACAGCTGATTTGCTGCGGTCTCTTTTGGCACCGTGCCCGACAACATGGATGCGGCTATTAATACCTCACCGTAGATGGCTGAGGCGCCTAGACTACAAGGCTGGCGAAACAAGCCGTTTTGGCCAGTCGCCTACACACTCTCGGCGATACACACCTCATGAGTGGCTACTATGTATCCCGCACTGGTTACCAATTGGATACTGTAATTCGCAGCTCCCTAGTTGATCAGAAGACTCTGCTGAACTGACTGGCTTAGAATTATGCATAGTAGGCGTATTGTATGCCATACTGGCGCGTAGAATGATTTTTTTCCACAAGGATGTTACTTGTGTCATGATGAGGTGATTTCCTGAAATTCGTACTACAATTACGTATATTATACTGTTAAAATAGCTATTTTATTGACTGATTTGATTAATAATACTAAAATATCTAATTAAATACATGTTTAAGCGTCATTATCAGCTAAGTCATATATATCATTCAACAAGGCAGGTAATGAAGAAGAGGAAGAAGACCGACCGGTAAGACAGCTAGTTAAACAACCAATCAGACAGCCAGATTGTTTAAAAATACTATAAAGACGAATCTTGAAACAGGTACTAGTTTCCTCTATAGGAATAGCAGTATTAAGAAACACTATTCCAATTACGGTTCAAAATGCGGTCCAAATCTGCAGGAATACGGTCCAAAGTGAGGCCGCCTTCCCTTCCTTTCCCCTTCTCGAGATGCTGCTAGTCACTCAATCTCCAAGGATGATTCCTTTCCATATTATGACACCACAGATCATACCTTCGAGCCAACCGCAGGAATAAACATACCATATATAGTTGTTTAAGGGAGGTTCTGGTCCTCCAGAATGTGGCGGGGCTGACGGGATCCCCGCGCGGGTCGCGTTACTCTCATTAGCTCAAGGAAAATGTCGATGCTTCCTTTGCCGATGATGTGCTCGGACCTGCTCGATCGCCCTGCAGTAACAATGACCTAGCAGGTGAATCGATCTTTGCCCCGCCTCGTGCTGGAGCGAGTTGGCTACGATATTTCAAACGCGGGCAGATTGGAGAGCCTGTACGGCTGAGCATATCGCTCGTGTCTATTTGAGCATAGCGCGAGCATATTCTTCACAATACATTGCTTGAGAGTGTGGTGTGCATGACCTTGACGGTCAGAAAATCGCGGGTCCCAGACTGCTATCCTTGGACACTCACACGGAAAAATGGCTGGTACCGTTCACGACAACAGGAGGTACCAGCATGGAAGGTTCATGTCCAGATCCAAGAGGCACTGCAAGAAAGCATATCGAACGAATCAGCACAGAATATAGGAGTGTTCAGGAAAATGAAAGAGCCCAATAAATAATCGGCCAGGTTCTGGAATTGTCTTACGCACCCGACTCGCATTGGGCCAGCCCGTGCAATCCTTCATTCACGCGCGAAGATGGCCCAGATGTGACTCACACTGCATTTAAGCTGCGCAATTGCTCCCTCCTCACCGAATGTCTTGTACAATATGGATGCGACCGTGCCAGGAATTGGACAGACAAACCCATTACCTATCGTGTGGACGTTCAGGTCACATCGGGGGATTTGAACTCATCATTCCCAACCCACCAGAAGAACTTTCAAATGGTATGCAGCAACCCGTGGAAGTCACAGAGCAATAGTGTTGACGTTAATCTACTAGGCACGGGTGGCGTCGTTGAACGAAGCTGCAAGCGACGAAATATATATTCTGGTCCACCTCTATAACATCTATGCTTCGCCGGAGATGGCAATCTTTGTAGACACCTGGAGTTTGTATACAACCGGAAGGCTCGAGTTAACAGTATCGGGCGATCATTATGTGACGAAATTGACTGACACACTTACCGATAGTCTAACCTTGTCCCTTGTGGAGGATGACTCCGCAGGCCATTATAAGTCCCGTCGCTTAGAATCACCCAGACACATCAGGTTGTTGAGATTAGGTGGTCGGAATGATGAAAGAACGCTTCACAGGAATATATCGTACATATGTTTGGACGAAAACCCATGCTTTACTGCCCTGTCATAAACTTGGGGTCCAGCATTGAAGCCGTATTCCGTCCGCACAGGCGAAGGCGACGTCGCTATCACTGCGTCGTTATACGATGCGTTGACCCGGACTCAACAGGCTGAAGGATCCATCGACATCTGGGCTGACAGTATCTCAATCAGTCAGGCTGACGCAACGGAGAAGTCACAGTAAATCAGATTGCTGCCAACGATATATAGTGAGGCCACGCAGGTTTTTGGCTGGGTTGGGGATGAAGCTAAAGAGAGTAGTCTCGCCATGAACGCCTTGCGGAGTATTACTGTCTCACCGAGCGCGGTGTCGAGGCTTGAGAAGAATATCTGGGGTGCTATCATTAAACTCTTCGCAAGGCCCTGGTTTGTCCGATCGTGGGTGATTCAAGATGTCATTCTTGCGAGAGAGCTCCATGTCGTCTGTGGCTCCGAGAAGCTGTCATGGGAAAAGCTTTACGATGCAGTACACATATGCGAGACGTATGCCGAGTCTTCGATTAAGAGCCTAAGAATTCCGGCAACTCGTAATCTCATTCCAGTACTCAGTCTAGGCCTAACACGGCAGATGTATCGAAAATAACGAGAAGTATGAGCTGTTGGATCTATTCGAACTTTTCCAGCATGCAAAGTCCACACTCAGACGCGACAGGCTGTTCACGTTGCTCAATATCGCAGCAGATGCCGAGGGGTTTAGCACGGATTTTATTGTGTTTGAGTATGCTTCGAAGTTCGCAGTTCGTGGAAAAGGGCTAGAACTACTTTCTCGTGCCCGGGGATTATCCTCTTCGCGCCGTTTTCCATCCTGGATACCGGATTGGACTGCCAACCGGTACCCTACAACGATCTCAGGATGGCCATCAGAACAGAAATACCGCGCAACAGGTGATAGTGAAGCAAGCATCTCGGTGGATCCAGACAACAAAGCGATATTGTTAGCCGGCGGGCTGATAGTCGACACTGTTGTAAGGGTGGGCAGTTGTCTTTCACAGGTCGACAAGGCGATGGATGACATCACGGATATCTTAAAACGGTTGGATTTGTCACAGCCGGGGTATCCCACCGAGGGATCGAGAGGCGTCTTGAAATTCCGCATCCCGATTGGTGAGGCATGGAGAGGCGTTCAAGGCTGAGGATGTCAAAGATCCTTCGCTTCTGCTGATGCCTGATGAGAGTAACGCATTGACTGCAAAGGTTCATTCTGATGACTTTGGATTGAAATTCTGGATAATGCGTATGCCTGCTAATTACGGACCCGGGATGTCATTGGCTGTAGATTGTATCATCGGATGACCTGCCATGGCTCTGAAATGGAACGACTGACCCAATGATTGACGTGGATTTCGGAGATCCTGGGACTGCTCTAGAACCTCGATAAGAGAGGTCAGTGCTTATCGGGCTACTCCAACGGCAGGGTCTCCAAATGAAATGCTGATCTGATCTGCTCCAACGCGATAAGGCGCAGATCGGCGCCCGATTGGTGAGGGCTGACAGGGAATGCCTTCGTTATCGACGACCCCATTCCTGTCCACCAACGGCCGGGCCAGGCATCAGATATCATCCCGAGCCATGATAAGCCCGAGTGCGGGGTTTATATCTGCGCAGCTAACCTCTCGCACAATAGAGCCATCCATACCGCAATTTTCAATTCACCATGGGTCAGGAGCTCCAGGTTCTTCCACCCGGCGCCGGCTACGGGATAGTCATTGGCATCGGGGGCATCTTTGCCTTGTTTATGCTCGGTATCTCGTGGTTACAGAATCGCTACACTCAATTTTCCACCCATCGGGCGGAGGAATTCAACACAGCATCACGGTCCGTAAAGCCGGGTCTGATTTCAGCCGGCATTGTTTCATCATGGACGTGGTCAGCGACACTTTTGACCAGCTCGACCTTCGCCTATTCCTATGGCGTGTGTGGACCCATGTGGTATGGCGCCATCGGAACCCTGCAGATCTTACTTTTTGCTCTCATCGCCGTCAAAATCAAAGCCAATGCGCCCGGTGCGCACACCATGCCGGAGATCGTCCTCACTCGACATGGCAATGTTGCCCATCTAACTTACTTGTATAATGGACTGGCAACCAATCTGTTGGTCAGCGCGTGTTTGGTCCTCGGTGGCGCACAGGTCGTCGCAGCCTTAACCGGGATGAACGTGTATGCAGCAATCTTCCTCATCCCTGCGGTTGTCGCAGCATATGTCATTGTCGGAGGATTGCGCGCCACCTTCATCGCTGATTACACCCACACCATCATCCTATTCATCGCGATCTTGGTCTTCGGCTTCTCAGTGTCCGCCACAAGTGATTTGATTGGAAGCCCAGGAAGGCTGTACGACCTGCTACAAGAAGCGTCCAAGAACATGCCCATCGATCGCAACACAGATGGATCATACCTCGCATTCCGCTCCGTCGGCGGTCTCATATTCGCCGTAGACATCTTTGTCTCTGGCTTCAGCACCGTCTGGCTCGACCAGGCCTACTGGCAACGCGCAATTGCCTCACGACCCGAATCCTCTGTTAAAGCATACATGCTCGGCGGGCTTGCATGGTACGGTAAGCATCAAACCCAACCTTCATCTCCAATAACATCCCACCAACACAGGACCAGGAATCCCGTTCGGCTTTGCCACAGCAATGGGCCTAGGTTGCGCAGCCCTAACAACCAACCCATCCTTCCCCACCTACCCCAATCCCCTCTCTGCCGAACAAATCGACGCCGGCCTGTCCGCCCCAGCCACCGCAATCACCCTCCTCGGAAAAGGCGGCGCCGTCCTAATGCTCATCCTCCTCTTCATGGCCGTAACCAGCTCCACCTCCGCCGAACTCATCGCCGTCTCCTCCCTCCTCACCTTCGACGTGTACAAAACCTACATCCGTCCCAACACCGACTCTGCCACCCTCGTCCGCGTCAGCCACTGGGGGATCGTCATCTACGCCATCATCCTGGCCGCTTTCTGTTGCATCCTCAATGCCGCAGGAGTCAGTCTCACCTGGCTCTTGACCGTGCTCGGTGTAATCGTCGGTGGAGCCGCCATTCCAGTCGGCCTGATCCTCCTCTGGGACCGCATGTCCACTGTCGCAGCCATCGCAGCACCCTGGATTGGATTCAGCCTGGGGCTGATCGTATGGTTTGTCACGTCATGGAAACGGTCAGGGGGGATTAGTGTTGCGACGACGGGCGATGCCACGAATGCAGTAGCTGGTAATCTAGCCTCGTTCGGAGTTGGAACTATTTCGGCTGTTTGTTTGAGTCTACTCTTCCCTGGCAAGCGTATCCCAGATACAGAAAAGACAGGTAGTATAACAGGCATCCCCATCCAGTCCAAAGAACCCACAACAGAGCACCCACCAAACGAGAAACAAACTACAGATATCCTCACAACCCCCGCATCAAACGACGCGCCCCCACAAAAAGCCGAACCTCAAAACGAAATCATCCAATACCTCGAAACAGACGCCATCGAACCCATGGACCCGGTTCTCGTCCGAAAGGCAGAACGAATTGCCTGGACAGCTAATGGTGTTTTCATTGGTGTTGCGGTGATTCTCGTTCCGTTTACCTTGTTCGGGACGCGGTACGTGTATACGAAAGAGTTCTTTACGGGGTGGGTAGTTGTTTCCCTCATTTGGGTGTGGATGAGTGTGATTATTTGCGTGGTTTATCCGGTGGTAAGTGTTTATTTGATTGATGATGATGACTTGGGGGGTTGATTTGCTGATGATGGTTTAGGTTGAGAGTGCGGGTGCTTTGAGGTATATTTCGAGGGGGGTTTGGGGGGATATCTGGGGAGAGAAGAAGGAACAAAGGGGAGTGGAGGAGGGTGTGTGAGGGTTGTGGTGGTAGGTTTCTCTATGTATCGTTTCTTGAAGCGATATGGTTTAGAATGTCTGGTCTATGCTGAGACTGTTGATATTGACTTGTCTTCATCTGACAAGGTGGGTTCGTCGGCGGCCACCGTAGAGGATCTTTTCTCGTCGATTAGAGATCATAGAGATGATTGATTATTAAACAACGCAAAAGATTCATTCAGATCTGGCGGGGTGCTCATCTAGCTCATCTAGCGGAAAGAATTAATCTCCATGCGGTAGAGGCAACTTGATATGCATTTCTTCAGAGTTTGAAGAACGCTCTTTGTCAGTAACTTCCTATAGGTTTCGCTGACGCAATATGTCATTTCAAAACCATAACATACTCTTTTGTCATCGATACAGTGTTGAGGGAGGTTGTGAGTCACATGCAGATGTGGGGGGCTCTGAGATAACCTTTAGCTTGCATACAGACAACCACTAAATCAATCTTTACGTTAACTGTCGTCATTGTCCTTCCGAGGGTAATTAAAGGATATTTCCTATAGCTTGCCCTAACCATTCGGGAAACATGACGTGATAGGACACGCACACAGTATACCTAGCATCCAGGAAAAAGGAGATAGATGATTAGAGTGGAGTCGGTGCTCGCAAGAATACTTTCAGTCACTTTCCTCTTTCTGTAGACCTATTTGGTAGAGCCTTAATACTTTGCGTCGATCTCGGGCTTACCCTGAAAGCCAGAGGAAATTTCCTAGGAATCTTAGGTAGCATATGGGAATACAGCGAGAGTTACAGCATGACTGGGGAGGTTGCAGCATGTGGCCATATTAGGCGGTCGTAATTGTGTAACTTGGTTTAATGTTCGATCTGGTTCCAGATCTCTGATTAATAATGTTGTTACACGAAGGGGGGAAATATCATTACTACAGCTAAGTCCTCACTGGAGACATCCAATAAGATGTGGAATGTACCGACAGCCAGCCGCGAAATACTACCTGACCCTAGCCTCACTCAAGCCCAAGACCCCAATGCTATTCCGGAGAATCCCTACATGCAAGCATTTACTCGGAAGCTATCGCCTTATTAGCCACAATGCATCCAGGAAAAAGGGATATATAAAGGCAATGTCTCCCCTCATCCTGCATCCAAACTAACACACAAAACAAAAAAGCAAAAAATCAAAAAAACAAAAATACAAAAAAGTCTCTTTTATATATATACAAACCGCTCAGCTGGCCACGAGCCAGGCCCTCTTTCATTAATTCCTCATCTCCACTCTACTCCATCCAGGTCAGCCCTCAACACAAAGGAAACACTCTTTTATCTATACAAAGCCCTCTACTGGCCACGAGCCAGGCCCTCTTTCATTAATTCCTCATCTCCACTCTACTCCAGTCCTCACGAGACAGCCTTCCATCAAGAGAGTCAGTCACACCTCCTCCTATCCTCTTCCTATCTCAACAACCACATACTCACAGGCATCCACGAATAGAGCAGATTCCTGAAGCGAAGCATCTTCCGTGCTTCTTCTAACCAAATCATGCCTCACCTCCGACGACGAGTCCGATGTACTCTGGACGCGCCACTTACCACAAATCGATTCAGACAACAAAGAAAACACGTGTTGCGTTAATCACAAGCGCGTGAAGAAGAAAGGATAATGCCACTCCGAAAAATTGAAACTCGCTGAGAAAAGTCCGAGATTTCACTCGGAATCTCCATCCTCTGTGGACATGAAGTCCGTCCCAGCTGCACACTTTCATGGTCCCGTGGTCTGACACATATCCAATCCAGGGAGTTCAAGGATATGCATACAGGGAGCGGAGGAACCCATCAGGAAACCAACCAGCGGCTCGCGGGAAGGAAAACATAATGTCGGTCCGAGAAGCGGACCATAGCTGGATGAACCTGCACTTGCAATTGAGACTTGTATTTATGTGTGTCTGTGGCGTGTATACCAATTGCCAGACAAGGGTTGGTTCTTGGGCCTGGCATGGTCCATGGGGAATAGATGAATTCTTATCGAGGATTTTGATACAGAGAACGGGAGAACCGGTGTATGTCATGCCTCGTACGGGGTAAAGCAATCATCTCAGTCTAGAAGATGGGTGATCTTACGGATGAGGATGGTCATGGATCTCATATTGGATCGGATCGGAAAGATCAGCTCGGGGAATATAGGGATTATGCCAATCCGGAGTCGACCATTTGTTAGGACGAGGATGGCCACGGATCACATATTCTATCCGTGGCTATGAAGTAAAGCCAGCACGCATTGCAGTGTGATGGTTCCTGGGTCTGCAAGGAGTTCATGTGGTAGTTGCATCGACGATGTTGGTGGCTCCGCGGTGTTGAACTTGGAAGGGAAATCCTGTGGTAGTGGTGCTTGGTCTCAGGCAGAAGCACTTTCAATTGGTATGAGAGATTGGATGCTATATGACGGCATTGGCGGCTGAGCTTTGGGGTTTGCAGCCGCCACTTTATCAGTGCCTTCGCGACCTGGAGAATGTGGTTCTGGCATTTGGCTTTGGACAACAGGAGGGAACTCATAGAGGTACACCAATTGTATCTCTGTGGCGTTTGCTGTTATGAAAACCATGAGAAGAGAAACGATATGTTACATATCAGGATTGAATTATGTTTAACAAGGTTTGGGTGGTGCAAGCTGTACCTCGAGTGTGTGGCCACTCATGGTATACCTTTCTAGGAATGGAAGATGAGGATGGTAATCATACACCTGCTTGCTGTCACGCACCAGGAGAACATGCTGAGGGGTGCAATATCTAAACTTGCATCAGAAAGACTGATTCTCGCTGCTACGAACTCGATGGGCAGAAGCCATTTCTGTTTTCGAAATTACATAAGTAAACGGACGGATCATGTTTAACAAGGTCTGGGCTTTGCAATCCGTGCTACTGGTGCTTTGGCCACTCACTACCACCGACCAACCCATCCGCTGAACTTGGCATCCAGGATTCCCTCATGAAGGGTTCACCTGGCAAGAGTGATCTTCCCAACTTGGACGGGAGAACTCTCACAATTGATGACCGCTTCCAAATCAACAGGAAGCATACGGTCTTACTCCCGGGTGCTTAAATCCGTTGTGGCATATGTCGCTGCGTCGAACCTGTCCATGAAATTGTATGTCTCTGAGAGCTAGATCTTGGCAAGAAATCCCACACAGGTATGAGAGGAGGCCTAATCCCTCTCTAACTCTCCTAGAAAGATTTCTTCCACATATATCAACTCAGCTTCATCACATTACTTCCTGGTCATCTACTGTTTCTATATTGAGGGCCCATATTGGTGCTGCCTGATGGGATCAGATGGCTGATCCATACAGGTTAGGGGAGGGTGTCCGCGAAACCCCCACGGTTCTCAAATATGCCAGCAGCCTCTACTGTATGAGGAAGATCTGAAGAGGAAGTTCAATGACATCTGGACTTAATACAAGGACATGGGAATATCGCAAGGCTGAGATCAAAGTGCGGCGTTACAGCTAACGGGCCATGGTCTGTGCTGTGTCTAACTTCCTGGTCATAGTCAACAAAGGGACAGTGGATTGGGATGATGCTCAAGGTGCTGGAGCAGGCCGCGAATGAGATCGGCCCTCGGTATTTACGACTGTACGAAGAAGATCTGAAGAGGCGAGTAGATGTGGATATCGAGGCGTGCACATCTCTCTCAACAACAAACGAGGGGGCATTTATGGACGAATGCAAGTGGATCCTCAAGAGCCTATGGAGCCCAGAGGGTATGCAGCCTATGTTGAAAGCGATGTCACGTCCAATGGGTCATTTCATGTTTATAAATCCGCTGATGATGGTCAACAAGACCGAGAGGCGGCCGAGACGAGGTTAAAGGCACTGAAGGTTGTGGATATTTCTGACTGTTTGAAGAAGATCTAAAGAGGCAGTTCATTGAGGACTATGGAACATAGATATAGATATTTGAGAAACTAGAGGGCATGCAACCTCCTTTCAAAAACCATTGACTTGATCATTACGTAACACTATGAAAAATATACATTATTCAGCCGTTAGATATATCTAACAGTAGATAAAGGAGTGGAGATTTATATTTGTTAAAAATGTCAATAATTCTTGGAATTATACAAGTGTTAGTGAAATATGCCCTGGATGAATAAACTAGATCCTTGATTTGAGACTCTTGTAAAATTCTCGTATGAGAAAACAGCAGATAGAGATGACGTTATCCTCAATATCGTGATCGGATTATAAGTCTGACCGGGAATACAACAACAAATCAACCAGGAAAGGGGATTTGCAACGTTTATAACCCTATCCAGGTGTAATAATATATAGTGCATGCTGATGACCACGGCTTTGACTTTGCTTGATAGGTAATTCGATTATCCGAAGAACCGTTGTTCTGTTGCTTGACGTCAGGAGTCATGGAAGTCACAACGACAGGCTGCTAACTCCAAAAGTATCTTTTGGATGGTTCTTGAAAGATTTATTCACGGCTCATGTGCTCTTCGGTTATATGGAATTCAAATGTGGTTGTAGTGGATGTGCAGACACGCCGGGGAAGGCACCTGCGTTTACCCGATGGCCGCAATAGCCTCTCGACGCTGTCGACGTTCAAAGAATGTCACCCATCTGTGTCTCTGAATCCTTTTCAGGATACGTAGTTATAACATTTATCCAACGAGGTATCGACTGCATGGTATCTGAACTTGTCGACAATTGAATGTCCATTCTCCGCTTATCTACCAGGATAGACAGATATAGCCTGCTCGTATCCAGTATAGCGTAGAGGATTGAAGCTTCCACAATAGGTATCTGGAGCACGACATATGCTTGAACCATGGACCGGGACTCATAACCTCGAATGTACTGTCCCCCAGAAGTATGGCTGATGAAGGCTACGAAGGACTGACGGCATCAGATACCTCGAAGACTAATCTGGAGACAGCATCTCCGTTTTACAGATTGGAGCTGAACACACCTTCTACATGGAGATATCTGCATATTTTAGCGATCATGGCGTACTGTGCCTTCACATGGGGGTGCTCGGTGGGGGTTGTTTGAGACGCGGAACCACGGAGGCAAGGTTGGCTACCGAAGGCCTGCAAGATGACGCTGTGGCGACAGAACCTGAACCCGTGGCAGCTATGACGGTTCAGGGCCCCCCTATCCCCCCAAACTCATCGATATCTTCCAACGCCTACCCACTCGTCTTCGGCACTAACAACACTGCCGACCACCCGCCACTGTATATACCACCGCAAAGATAACACGGGGACTATACCCAACACTCGAGACCTCTAGCGGCAACAAAGACACTGTCCATGATAGGTAGACGGAAATGTCGATTCGAAGAATTATTGGAGGCGCGGTCTGAGCAAGAATGTGGATTTCGAGGGGGGAGCGTCTTGAAGAGGTTGATTAACGTCCAAACTGAACCAGGAGTAGATACTAAAACCACGAGACACTGGATGTGAGTAGATAAACGATCTGCCTGGAATGATGATTAGAGGTAGACGAGTCAGGGTAGGGTGGTACGGAAGTCGTCGTGGCAGGTAGAACCATTGATGCCTTCCAGGGTCAACAGCGCAGGGGCCACGGGGGCGTGGTTGCTTGGACTGAGGGGGCGTTGCATTGAAAGGCGATGGGGAATTCAGTAGTGAAGCAATCCAGGAAGTAAGGCTTGTAAGCAGAAAAGGGGTTGGTGTATTATGAGTGGAAAGGAGAGATAGATGGTGGCAGGAAGGCCAGAGGTCGGGAAGAAAGAGGCGCAGAATGGTCAGGTGACGGGCATAGTAGTTCGGTCGTGCTAACCCCTCTCGTTGCAGGAAAGCTGCGGGCTTGCAGTCACAGGGGCCAGAGGTTGTGTGGCATCCTGATGCAGCTCCCAGCGTAGATGCAGATGTCTACCCGGGACCCAATGTGGCGTGCGAGATAGCTAGAAGGGTGCTTGGAGAGAGTGGGAGTGAAGGAAACCATCAAATTCCTACCCGGTGAGGCTGTTACGTGGGGTCCTGACTTGTGACGTCAGCGCACCAATATAGTACTGCCAGTGCTCACAGATCGATGGGGGTTGAAGGAAGGGCAGAACCCCAGATGCAGGTAGATCTAGTAGGTGTGGATCAGGCGCATAGCGGGGTATCTGGGCCAGCAGCATTGCAGGCTTTCTGCATTGCCCTGCAGGCAGAATCTGCGAATGGTCAGGAAAAGCAGGCCAGCGGCCTGACTCCAATGTGTGCCAAATGTGTGAGAACACTTCCGCTACAAGTCAGATGACATCTAACTAATTGGGCTTAGTCTGCGCCGTCCCATGGTTGAAATTCCGCCAAGCCTTCTTGTGATTCGTCCATGGATATCTAGGTCAACAATGGTCTTCATGAATCTACTCCGTACATCGCTCTGGGCGACAAGTTTTAGAGATCTCTGGAACCTCATCATGATAGCCATGGCGTTTACTCTCTGTGATATCCTTCTGCCCATACGGACATGTCATGCATTCAGTGAATTTGTCAATTATTCTACCCCGGCTCTGCCAACTACGTCCTGAACAATGGTTTCGATGCTTTCTGGTCGAAATGAATCTCATGATAAACCCCCAGACTGTCATCATCCTCATGATACGGATGGCACATGCTGACACGGTGATTGGCTGGGGTAGGTTGGAGAGTGGGTCCTGTTGGCCGTAGTTGTGAGGAACCTGCCGACAAAATATCGATATGAAGGAACTTGCCTACAAAATAAAGGCCAATTCCGATTTCATCAGAGGGAGGAGAATGGCTATATAATGGGGGGTCATTCCCCGGCTTTGTCCGGTCTGTACATCGAGTAGTTTCGGTATATTTTTGCTCATACACCATGAATCAAACTCCAAACGTTCTTGAGTGTGTTCCAGTACCTTGAAGCCAGTGACAAAGATAGCCACCCCGGCTCAGTATTATTACCAAGACCGGCATCGCTTCTTCCGCCTGCTTGTTTGGGAAAGCCGTGACCCCAAAACTGGCAGAATCCCACCGCCTTGCAGACCGCTGCCTGAAGCCACTATGCGTGTTATGCCTGGGGTATCATTGTCCCGGGCATTCTGATTGCCTGAGGCACTAATTACATCCTCAGCACATGATGTGTGTGGTCGTTCTTCTACAAGGCTTCTGCAAATAGACCAACGTGCGGTCGGGGGTTTGCCAGCCAGTCTTCCCAATGAAGGCAGCGCGGACGATGAAATAAAGCCGGGGTGGCTAGAATTCCCCCCCTGATAAGGATGCAGCGGGTTAACCAATTCACTATAGGATGAGGGCGGAGAAATGGATTAAAAGTATTCAGAACTCGCCCGAGATGAAAAAGCTGATCGGGAATTGCAAGTCCATGGAAGACTCAGATCGCCCGGGGTCACAGTTGTTGATACTGGCTACGACCCTCGCGCAACCTTCTTCGAAGATAAGGATCGGAGAAATCAGCTCGGGGAATATAGGGATTATACCAATCCGGAGTCGACCGATCCTCAGGACGAGGATGGTCACGGATCACATATTCTATCCGTGGCTATGAAGCTAGCGCCAACAGCACGCTTCCATGTTGCCCGGGTCGCGCGGTACAGGGCTGATCTGGATAGATCAGTGGAACATGTGGCTGAGGTTCGATAACTCATTTCTTATCTTTTCAAGGACTGAATTGCGACCCTTGGAGAGGTTCTTGATAAATACGAAGAGCATTCCCCGGCAACACCAGAAGATTTAATGTTCGCGAAGCAGTTAGTCGGAGTCGAAGGGGGGTTGGAGGGGATCTTGAACGGTTTGGAGTTTCTCAAGGCAGAGAAGGTCAGTGCGGAGAAGTTGGTATATCGCATATGAGGCTGGGGATCTTGTCCTCCCAACGCGCGACTAACCATGTTTGATTTCCATCTCATTCTTCGATTCCCGGAGCTGTGCTTTTTCAATGTATCTATGCTCGGTGGACACTTGGCACGACGTACAGAGGTTGATCAGTAAGGCATCCTTTCATCACAAGCCTCAAATACGTCCAGAAGAGGCAGTCAGCCCCTATCACTTCAACTGCGGGCGCATTCCACCAATTCCCCCCAGAGCATGGCTTCGGTGGCTGAGATGCTACCTAATCGACGTGAGCACCGTATGCAATCGTTCATGGTATCGTGTTCCCTGTGAGATGACCATACATCGGCGAGACTGGCTTGTCTCCCCGGCCAAGCGCCCAGTAACTTGAGCTGGACACTCTAGTCATCATCTTGTCTAGCGCGGACTCCGAGGTTTGACAATAGACTGCAAGTATTGTGGCTGCGGCACTCCATCCTTTAATTCCCTCGCTTGCGCCGGATGCATGGTTTCATACTGTCAATTTATCCCGACACCCGAGGTGCCTTGGAAACATATAGGAGTGCGTACTGCAACATGCTCAACAGCGGACAGGACTGTGCAATCCAGGATTACACGATTTACCCTACGGTCGTATGAGACTGGGATGCAGATTGCGGTGTGCCTAATACCACTCATAGTTCCAATGTTTCATGGCACATAGCTAATTGGGAAATACAGATTCCGTAATCATTCCCCATTTTCTCTGGCAATCTCCAAGTCGTTTCATCCCATCCCATCATACGCACCTACCTCGTTCCAATTCAATCCATACCAGATAGAAGCACACTTCAGAAGACCTCTTCCACATACCGGTCCCCTAGTCGCTGCTTCGCATCTCCCCCGACAATCTGGCTGAGCTTCGCCAGCACTCCCTCCGTCATAATGGCACTTCCACAAACGTAAACGTAGCCCTTCTTCTCCACCAATTTATTCCGGATTTCATCTCGCTTGTGCCAGAGGAAGTCCTGGACCCTCTTTTTCTCCTTGTTACTGGGAACAAGACATGACATATCCAGCACGCGGTGCCTCTCAGCTAGGGATGTTGTAGAACGAATGATATCCCCGTCGAGGAGCCGGAATCCGGCAAATAGACTTATCGGGGAATTTTCAAATGGGTGAGCCTTGCTGCTCTGCGCCTGGGATGTTTGTACGATGTGGATGCGGTGCTGGAGGAGACTGCGGACGGGTGCGAATCCGGAGCCAGTGGTGATGGCGATGAGAGGCGTTTGCACGGCTAGGAACCCCGCGGCGGGTGCAGTTGGGACGAGAGAGTATTTGACCTGCGCTCCAGGCTGGAGAGTGGCTAGGTAGATCTCGCTGAATCGACCGTGGCGGTGTGGTTTGATCAGGAGCTCGACCTTCTTGTCCCCGAGATATCGAGATGATGACGCAACGGAGAACGCTCGTGGTCGAAGAAGTGGCAGGTCGAGACAAATCGAGAGGCGGAGGGCTTCGGACAGTTGGGAGGGATTTTCCACTGTGGCACATCGCTCCAATGTTTCAATGACGGTTTCGTTGTCCTTTCTCGGTTGATTGGTCCAGCTTTGGGTCTTGAATCGATCCTCCAAGTCCACAAAACAAGAAAGGAACTCTTGGTACGTCCATTGTCGCAGCTTCGGGTCGGAAAACGGCACTAACTTCTGTGCATCCGCAATCCCCAGGGCGGCCATTGCCCGAGCTACCTGTGAGGAGGAATTCGTCGGTAGAAGCCGCAAGTGTTTCATCTCACCATATTCGACGCCTTTAAGAGTCATGACGATAAGTCTTTCATCCTCCCCGGTCGCGGGAGAGGACTTCGATAGAAGGGTGGCTGTGTCAAACTGGTGGAGCATGACAGCCTGCGCCATGAACTCCTCCTCGGGATTCTCCCTCAACTCGCCAACCCCCCCCGTCAAGGAAGACTCGACCGCTTCCAACCAACGATTGAACAGACGTAATGGTAGTGCCTCGGCCGCTACATCTGCCTTAACCAGCCCCCCGGCTATCTGCAAGACGCCCAGTTCCCGGAAGAAGTCGTACACGTCTATTGCCGCGGCGTTGAAGTTCGAATAGGCGCTATCTCCCACCCCAAAGACTGATACTCGAAGCTGCGAAAAGTCAGCAGTATGAGTCCGGAGCATGTGGCCCCTGGCCTTTGCAAATTCTTCTCCGTTGGATGGGAAGGCGCCGCTGCCTGTCGTCGACGCTACCACGAGTATCACGTCCGATGGATCAACTTTATGGAGGTCCAAGGCATTCAAGGACGTAAATGTAACGCGGAATCCTTTCGTACATTTCTTCTTCACACTGCGATGGAGCTTGTCGGCTAGATTACGGGCCGTTGTCCCCTTGCTGCAGTAGCAGATGCGCACGGTGTTGGATGGCCCTTGTGACAGGTGGTCTATCCCTACGCTGCCATGGCCGTTGGACCAACCAGCTGCAAAGGTACTCAAGGTCTCGGTTACCTATACCGGGGCAATCCCATCTATTAGCTGACAAATGATAGTACCTGGAGTCATTGGCTTACCCAGCGTTCCTCCTTTCGCACGAGACGGACTGGATCTGCATCGGTAGCGCTCTTCCGACGCTGCCAACACTTGACGGGGTCGTAGCGATTTCGACAGATCATCGGTTTGGGCTGGTAGTTGGGCGCGCCCCCTCGGTGCCATATTGGTACGATGGAGCCCTGGGGAGGAGAGATCCAGTAAGGGTCGGAATTCAGCCGGTAACCGTTCTTCGCAGCATAATCATCATCATATTGACACCAGTCCGATGACGCGGCGAGAGTTCCAACACAGGTGACACCCCTCTTGAGGAATGAGCACCGCACCGCGTAGTTTAGCTCTGCCTGGGCCCGGCTCAGCCAGCGAAGCTGTTCATAGTCGGGGAGATCTTCCATCGCTCGGACTTCGGAATATTCCTGCCTTTGGCGATATGAATCGATGTCGAAACCAATTACCTTGGCCACGTCCGGCAAGGAGTCGTATCGAAACGTGTCAGCAAGATTTCGGACGCCGATCTCTGCATCCATGTACCTGAATGGCATGTCAGTCAAGTTCACCATGAACGGGGAGGCAGGACTACCATCCGAGGAATGGTGCAGCAGTGTATTGGACCCCACCGATATCGAATCCCAACCGACTCAAAGCCGGAAACTGGTACCACTTGAGACCCAGTTTTCCGAAGCCTGGGTAGTCAGGATGCTCAATATCTATCAATCGACGTAGACGATCGGGTAGCTCCACCATTGCCGGTGCATCATTTTCTGCCATGGCGACGATTGGGAGTAAATCCCAGCGGGTTTTAGGGCAGGGAGGTGTCCAGCCCAGGTCGATCATATCCCTGGTCAGCTGGATATTGCTTGGATCACCGAGGACTGAGCCGTCATCGAGTTCATACTGCGTCACTGCTGGTTAGGTTTGTCTTTGGCAGAATGCGATGGGAGAGACGTACGGCAGCAAACCCTAGCACCTGCTTGTTCCAGAACATGGGTCCCTCACCATCCACGGATTTAGGCGGGAAGGCAAACACTGCAAGAAGCCTTAGTTCGACTCACTATCCCGTCCGGGCGAAAGCTGCCTACCGGTGGGCCTTATTTGGCCGTCATTAAAGGACTTGGTTATCTCCTCTAGAAGTGCAGTCACCATTTCAACACTCGTTTGGATATGTCGGAGATCGCACAACTCCAGCTCTTGATACCGCGACCGCATGATGCACTTGCGGGAATTCCTCCACGCCAGCTGCAGCCCATATCGGAGTTCCTCGGACGTTTGCATCCAGGTGGATGTTTTGCCGACTCTTTTGGCCCCTTGGATCCAGACGATTTTGTCCTTGGCCGACCGATTGATCTCCTCCATCACCTGTTCCTTTCGCTCAGAGTAGCGGTTTTCCGTGTAGATGCCATCCTGCCAGAGCTGCCACAGGAATGCCGACGCCTCGTCCCGCACAATTTCGATGGGATGGTTCTCCCCGACTTTCGGTTCATCGGTATGGACCAGTCGTCCTGCTTGACAGAACTTGTCTGTGCAGCCGGTGGGGGCCAGGATGGGGTTTCTCTCGAGGATCTTGTCGTACTCTGCGAACGGGCATCGTGATGCCGGCATAGCCTCTGCGTTTGGAGTGGATCTTGTCAAAGGCATGTCGACTCTTCTGCCCATAATCTGTTTTTGAAATTTGGCAATGTGCAAGAGGGATCAACATTGAAGAAGGCCTTGCACTCCTGTTGAAGCGACCCAATTCCCTGGGTGAGGTGCGCTTTATAGCAGTGAATTCACATGAATGTGTTGCTCGGCTGCCTAAAACTGCCGAGTCATCATGGAACCAACTGTCCTTCCCTATTTGGCAGCATGCCTCAGTGTGCCGAATGGCCCTTGAATCCGGCTTACCTGGCCCGATGTCGTGTTGAAGCCCGACCCACTGTGAGCCATCCCATGGACCATTCTCAACCAGGTTTAGCGGCGGTTCCTTCGGTTCTTGCCGACTCACCGTCGGTGACAGTGACTTTGGCATGCAGTGAATCATCAGCCATGACTTGGGAGTGTGACAACACCGAATCCTTCCCATTGACATGTATAGGATGAGCCAATCCAACACTGTGTGTTTATTCTATCCCTCACAGCGCTGGTAAGCAATCGGGGATTGGCTCAAGTCGATGATGGTCTAGGCTTGGTTCCTGGGCTTCGGACCCAGTCACTAACCAACCAGGCGCCCAACTAGGCCTCCGCGCCGTTGACGTTGAGTCCACTTGGTGGCTCACCCATGTTGCTTGTTGGTTTTAGGCCCCCCACAGTGGCATGATCCTGCGGTGTTCTGTTTCCCCTAGATATCTGGCTCTCGCGAAGGGGCCACTATTCTCGGACCCCACACATGATAAGCACTACTCGGGCGCACAACTGTCAAGGGTAAATCCTTAACCAACACCAACACTGACACCGACAGCTGACTATTCACTCTCTTTCATTGGCTCTGTTGACAATGAACCTGGCCTAGTCGAATTATCTGGCATCTTGATCACAGCAGTGAGAAGATGAAAGAGATATTTGCTATTGCACCTATCAGATAATCTGGGTGATGCCAAAGTTCAGATCGATCTATTTATAGCGCCATACGAATTACATGCCTTTTCCGGTTCTTCAGCTGGAGACCCTGTAGGGTGCCCGGCACTGTCCCATGACATCTCGGTCAATGTCTCGGCAGGGTCTTTTGATCTCTAGGTTTGGACCATGCTGATGTTCACTTGCCTAGACCTAGGTACTTTCTGAACGACCTTCTGTCCGACCGCGAACGATTCCCTGGGTCAGATGATCCTGTCTAGTGTGTCATGTCTACGTATTTTACTTGATGGACAGTGATCGAATTTCAAGGCATCTCACACCATCTCCCGGTGCTATTTGCCAAGACTATGTCTCTTTTGTTGTGGTTCCATTCTCTATGCACTGGGTTTCTCCCCTCACTATTAGCTTAGCCCGCGAAACCAACTGAGTTACTGCCGGCATCTTCGATATATTGCGGACGCTCTGTGCATCTGATGGCAAGGAACTTTATAGATCTCCAGCTCATGATTGGCTCATTCTGTCCCCAATAAGAAGTAAGATAGATATTGCCAGTTCTCATTGTATCTGAAGGAAATACTTGGATTCAAATACATATCAACAAGTAAGCCACTGACCATAGACTATTTCTCATAAAGACCAGAATATCATGCTAATTCAGCCATCAATGAACTGCTACCCATCCATAAACATATTCGTACCACAGAGGCCCCTGAAATATAAACTTATTCACTTTTCCCCGCTACAATCACCCAAATAAATTAACCAAAACACAATATTATATTAACCAACTACCTAGCCAGGACCAGTAGTACAACCGAACCCCGTAACTAATATCTAAACCAAACATCCATTCCCAATGATCATGTCTCTTGACCATACAATCTCCCCTAACCACCACGAGAAATCTTACTCAGAAGCGATGTGTACGCTGGTGTCAGCACAACACAGCCAGCACCGTGTCTACTGACCCTGACTCTCACTGTAATCAGATCCATCTGTGCCACCAATCGCAACGCACTATCACATCATAAACGTATTAGCCAAACCCCCCAACCTCCAGAATTCCCCCCCACCAAGAAAGAATCCATATAGGGAAAAAAAAAAAAAAGGAAAACTCACAGTCGACCCCTCCCCAGGACAACAAGCGATGATATTCTGACACACGGGGCCCTTATCGGTATCTTTGATCAGAGCTATTTACCCAACCCCCATCACACACACATTAGCCTTTACTCCACTTCTTTCCTCAAACCTCCCTCCTTAGAGGTACAAGTACAGGGAAGGGTAAAGGGAATACATACACAAAAGCCCCAACTCATCAATAACATCCGCCGAAGCACAGGCCGAACCCTCATTATCGACAAGAGTCTTGACGAGACCGCGGCCGAGGAGGTCGTTCAGGATGCCGTCGGTTTGTTCGCTGTTGGTCGGGTTGCAGCAGGAGATGTTCCCGGTGGTGCATTGTCTGTCGGTGGCGGAGATGAATGCGGGGGAGGAGGAGAGGGAGGTTGCGGTTGCGGTGGTGGCCGCGGCTGCGAGGAGGGGGAGGATGGTGGTGAGGAATTGCATTTTGGATTTGGGTTTTTGGATGAGGATTGGATGATGAGTGGATGGTTGTGATGATGAGGGAGGTGGTGTTGGGGGGTGGTGTTACTATAATGTGAACAACATATAACCTTTTGCCACTAATTATTCCATCTAGATAGCACAAGAAGCCCAACATCATGAGCTTCACTGTGCTACTGTTCTTGAAAATACGCCCAACCCCACATCATCTTCCCCTACATCCCGGCCACAAAGTCACAATGAAGTATACCCGTCTGCTAAACGCAAGTCATGTAGACTTCGTCGTGTCCTTGTGGATGGGAAGAAGAAAAGCGACGAGCTATTGGAGTTGGGAAGTATACCACAACTCGCAGCCCAGGGAAGCTCTGGAGAAGAAAAGAGAACAAGTAGGTATTGGTATATACCTAATTCTCCGGGTATCAGTGCTTAGACTGGGATAGGGCTTCATGCTTTCATCCCCTGAGAGAATGTGGTATTTGGTCGCGGAATAGTGTGTGATCGAGTGATAGTTCCTCTGAAGGGAGAAACAGGGACTCTCAAGAGGAGGAATGGAGGATACTGGGTTCGGGGAAGTCGCTCGGGCTTTACTTAGTGTGAATGGATGGGATGGAATGGAAGGTTTTGCTCTGGCCAGGGCAATGGGGAGGAAATTTGATCTACGTTTACCATTGCTAGAAATGGGCTATTCGAAGACAAAGAAACCTAGGGACAAGTGCCATTCACTGGGTACCAAGGAGCGTTCAATCCCTGTTCAGAAATGAAAGAACGCAAATCACAGAAGTAGCAAGGAATTGTAATTTCATATTAGCTTATCTGAGTATCAAGCTACGAAGGGGTGATCAAGCAATGCTGGTATAGCTATCTCTATAGGCCAGTTACGATGCTCCTGTAATCCGTGTACCCTGTTTACTGGACCTTGGAAATGCCTTGAAAGGGCTATCGACTTTTTCCTTGGTGAACGAGGGCAGGTATGCAAACAGAACTCTAGATTGGAGGACTCAGGTCTCATGCTGCGATTTACCATTGCAGCCAACTAAATCCGGTGGGGTAGATCATCGAAGCCCCATGTACGTGCCCACAACTTGGCCCTAAGCCTGCCGTAATGAAAGCAGGTACCCGTTAGCACTGGGTAACCCACCATCCTATAGCAAGCACAGAGAGTAGGTTCTCATATAACACACCGATTTAGACATATCTATTGATGACGGCTAAGGTTGCATGATTATCCTCGATTAGAATCAAGAGCGGTATCTTGCGGTGTCACTGAATTTTGAGAATAGAAGCTCAGCTGTTTGCGCCTAGGCATGCAAGTACATTCCCACCCAAACTCCATAGCACATAATCCTATCTTTGGGATGATCATCATCGCTTCCAAGATGCGAGCATCAGCAGAGCTGATCGTCAACAGGTGGTATGAGACGGTCAAGGAATTGTCTCAGAACAAATTCCATCGCTTGCAAGGCTGTGGAGACCTACGTAAATCAGGAACAGATTTGAACATCCAAGGAGAGGTCTAAGTCTCCACCTGAAGTTATAAAACGTCGTTCAAATCCTCTGCTTAAGATACCTTTCATCATCATCAAGAATTCACTTCATTTGAAGCATATCTCTCCATCTCAACACTCTCAATCTACAAACATTTGTTTGAAGCTTCCAACCTTTCTCAAAATGAAGTTCACCATTGCTGCTATCGTTGGCTTTGCCATGACCGCCGCCGCTGTTCCCGCGGTTGCACGCACCCAGCAGAAGCTCTCCATTGATGATGCCAAGGGTCAGTGCTCGACTGGCGATATCTACTGCTGCAACCCCACCAACACGGAGAAGACCGATGGCATCCTGAACAACCTTGCTGGAAAGAGTCTCGTCCTCAAGACCTTGATTGATGGCGAGAACACCTCCTGTGCTAGCACCTCGCTCATTAAGGACCTCGACCTCCTTTGTAAGCGTCATTCACTCCTATTACAGCCAGCAAGCAAAACTTAACAACACCTCCTACCCTTCTTCGAAAAGGGAGACGACGACAAGAGTTCCTACTGCAAGAACACCATTGCTTGCTGCCCCAACGGAAACGTGAGTGCGCCCTTGATAAAAAGCCAAGCACCTGCTAACTAAGACCTTCCAAGTGCGCGGCCCTTGACCTCAGTGACAACTAGAGTGGCTCACCTCAGTGGCCCTGGCCCCTGCCGCCAAAGCCAATGTAACACTATCGGAACGCACTCGGCCACGTTTCACGGGCTTCCACATCATCCTGCAACCATCGATGGATTTCGGCAATGACTTCAAGCCTCATGGATCTTGGTCAACAGCTGTACTTTGAGTCTTGGAGTTAGAGTAGATTTAGTTTAGAAAATTGGAACAAATGGCATTGTCTATTGTCCGCACCACACTTCCCCCAAGCTAGTTTGTGATTCTGCACAGGGCATCTCCACGCTAACCCAGATCATACTCTTATTTTGAATCATGATTCGGCAGTGATTGGTTGAAGCGCTGATGATATGACTTGGTTAGTGCGTAGCTAGCAAAGCAAGGGGGCGTCTAGCGTTGGAGGAGACTGACAGGAACACCGCAGATTGTCACCTGTCGCTTCAATAAAGTTTGAGCGTTGTGCAACTATCGGATCCCCATTCCAGGCACGGGTCTAGAAATGTCAACCGGCTCGATTTGTCAATCTATCCCTGTCAGTGTCATGACTCGTGAAAGCAGAGGCCGATATCCGAAAATACACCGGGGAAATGTGCGATGTATTTGCGGTATGGTGATATTACGCGTCTTGAGTCAACCAGGTTCAGGTCTCTTTTACCCCAATACGCCTGCGCCTTCTTTTTGTACCCTCTGTACGTTCTAGTAATTAGTTTGTGGTATCGCATTGCAGGGGTTGGTCGGGATCCTCTCCCAGCGTTACGTTTCCCAGTCCTACTCCCTACTTTGTGGGTGAGAATGAATGATCTGCGAAAAAGCCACTGGAAGCGGTTGGACCAACAGCTCTCCGGTCCTCCTCCATACACAGGCCTCCGGGAAAGAGAAATGCGCCGTCTTCCCATTAGATCGAGCGGATGAGGCGGTAACACTCCGGCGACTTCTCCAGCCAGGCCCCATAGATTCTCCAGGGAAACCCGTCCGCCGTGGACTAAGACAGGGGACCGGTCATACATCAAGGGAAACAACGACGGATCCACAAGGGGGGTATCGTGGTTTGGCTGTGATCCCAGTTGTGCCACCTCCTCTTTGATTCCCTCCAGTCCTGACACCTTGGCTTGACACAAGGTTGAGGAGCTGTCAAACACCAACAGACGCTGCGTTTTCTGCCACATCTCCACTTTGTCTCGCAGTTCCTCGAGACACCAATTCCATACAGCAGAACTGATGAGAAAGCCTTCTGGTCCTTCTGTGGCGTCCTGGTGCCACTGCGCTAGTTGGGCTTCATCGCAGTCCAGTATCGCGCGATCCCACCCAGGGTGCTCGGTGACATATTGCATCAGTCGGAGCATGGCCATCTCGCGCTTGGTCAATCGAGGTGAGTGACGATATTCGACCAATCCATGGGCAAATCGGCGCTCCTGGGGGTTTCAAAGTCCAGGGGGATGGAGCCGAAGCCAGGGACCCGAAGTGGACCGTGGCCGTCATTGCTAAAGGTTGCCATTCTCATTGCAGTCTTTTTGCGTGTTAGACTGGTGGTATTTGATATTTGATTGTTTTGTGGAGGATCCAAGGTGTTTAAATAGTCTGAGAGGAGGAGTTGAGATACTTGGCAGATGCCCTGGTTATTATTACACGGGTGGTACCCGGCCTACCCAGCATCTTTCCTTAAAATAGCGGCCTTACTATCTCATTGGATTGCCAAGCATGGATCAAAAGATCCAGCCATTACTACAGCGACTTAACGTAACGGGTCCACTGCAGTGTTTTGGGTATCTCATGTTTGACGAAGGCAAGATACCAGGGGTGAAAGATGCCGCGTGGAATAGGGTACAATCCGCGTAAATAGGCCCATCAGAAAGCCATACTAACTGTTGGAATGGCTACTAAGGCGATTCAACCGTGTAGAATGAGATGGATGATGATCTAGCTAGGGGCCTCGTAGGCCATCTATATGGACTAACTAGCGGTGTAGGGAGGAGCGTCACGTGACCCTACGTTGCCTACCGGCGTGGGAGCCCATCGGGGATCCCAACACTAACCATTACTTCACCTTCGGAAGGCAAGAACCTACGATCTCCCGAAGATCCCCAGAGGCATGTAAAAACCCCTACAGACCCATGGAACGAGCCAAGGGACTACAAATGCTTACAAATCCACTTAGACGATGATGATGAACAGGAGAGAACCTGTCTGGCTTCACTAGCCCGACATAGAGATATCTGTGCGGACAATTTGTCTTCTGTACATATCTTTCCAATCCGGATTCCTGATGCCGTAAAATCACACGTTTCTGCTCGAAGATATTTGCTGCAGTGTTGAGTATGGCCATCATTGGTACCTGGAAATAGTCGCCAAGCACTTAAAGACCAAGGGTTTCAAACTGATGATTCCGAGACTGGAAGGATAGGCGATACTATTGGGAAGTTATTGTCAGTTACAAAGCTTTAATCTGAACGTAAACTGGGTGGATCACATCATTCGGGAGAATGGCTTTTTTGAGGTTGGCGATTTCCCCAACTCCCACAAGGCTAGCGTAAATCCAACTCAATCGATCGCCATCAACCGGAGAAAAATAATACGCGCACGGATCCTGTCGTGGTTTCTCCGTTCTCCATCCCGGGCAAGTCCATCCTGTGGAGAATCCACTTTCCGAGAAACCCATGCCGAGACCTGCCAAGAATGAGATTGGCTATCGGCCAGGATAGACCCCACTTGCCTTATTTCCCACTTTGATCTTATCTATCCGATTAGATTCCTTCAAGCGTGGTAGGTGTTTCCGATGCAGTCAATACCCAAACTATATAATTAACAAGAAACTGCCAACTCCAACATCTAATTAATCCCACTGATTCTCATCGCCCCTTTATTTCAACCACAAAATGTCTTCCCGAACTGCCGTCACTACCAACGAGGCCCCAAAGGGCGGTCCCCTCCTCTCCCAAGCCATCATCTCGGGTGGACTGGTATTCACCTCTGGCTCGCTCGGCATCGACCACGAAACGGGCCAATTTGTCACTGGTGGAACATACGACCGCGCAGTCAAGGCCTTCAGAAACCTAGAAGCCGTTCTGAAGGCCGCGGGCAGCGGTTTGGAGAAAGCAGTCAAAGTCACTATTTTTTTGTCGAGCATGGAGTATTACTCGGAGCTTAATAGAGCGTATGCGGATGTTTTTGCGGATGTTGAACCTAAGCCGGTATGTCGTTTGTCTTTAGCATAGCAGTACGCGTCGGGTGTCGACTAATTCCTATTTACTATACTAGTCACGCACGTGCGTGTCGGTAGCGAAGCTGCCGCTTGATGCGGAACTTGAGGTGGAGATGGTTGCTGCGTTGTGATGAGGTGTAAGGAAGGAAATGTTTGGAGAAGATGGTTGGATGGGTCTGTGGGTTGGGCTTCTATTGTATATACTATTTTAGAGCATGTTCCTTGGGTATTGTAACCATTTCTAAGTTAGGTCTCAGTATATAGATTGTGGGGCTATGGCATTGTGCTAGTTAGTGTGTTTACTAAAAGATTGAACAGTTTCACCTAAGGATCCGCAACTGTAATGAGTAAGAGAAAGGTACCAAGATACTTGCACACTATCCTAATGTTGCATTGGCTTTAAACAAATACATGAAAGAGATATAAAAACATTATAATATACACATCCCAGAACACCCCCTTACCCAATCCACGGAACAAACAAACCCGCCCAGTAAACACTTCCACCAATCTTACACCCCAATCCAAACCCTCTCCCCCCTACTTAGTAGAAGGATTCGGCATGGTCGTATTATGCGGCCACTTGCGAAACAAATCCGCCAAATGATCAATGGGCGCAGTCAACAGCCCGATGGCAGTCTCATATGGCGGCTTATCCGGTGCACTGGGATGCGAGCGCGACGGAACGAAAATCTTCGTACGGGCAAAAGACTTCGCATAGCTTTCGCTATCCTCGGGGGAAATAGCTGCCTCAAGCTGGGGTAAATCCTCCGTTTCCTCCTCCTTGATGTGCTGAGCGAGATCGCTCATGAGGGCCTTGACGGTAGGGAGAAATTCGGGGTCGTCTGGCTTCATGTTTTGGAACTTCTTCAATTGCTCTTTGACCTGTTGATTGATTAGCTAAGAGATGGATGGGTTTGGGTGTCGGGTGAGTACCTTTTGATGTTCCTGGCGGTCTTTGTTTGCGATAACGTCACCCCCGGTGATATATCGCTCAATGGCTGGATACACGACTAGTTCTTCGGCGATGGAATGTCGGGCCAGTTCCCAGGTGAATTGGTTCTGGTAGCGGGTTTGTTCGTCGGCATTGGAAGCCTGGAGAATCTGGTTGTAGTAGGATTCGATCTCGCGGTGGTCGTGCTTGATGGTGTCGATGATTCCGGACATTGTGATGGGGGTGCGATGGAGGGCTCGTTTTGGGATTGAGGATACCAGTTGGCGGGGGATGATGGGGCGGATGTGATGGAACATGTTATATTGAGAGGTGTGTAGTGGCTTGGACTATTCCAGTTGGGTTGAAATCGTGCATTTTATACATTGGTTTCAGGGTGTGCGATACTTGGCTCATTCATCGTGACGACAGGCACGTATTATTAAAATAGGGGGTTCTATTGGATGCATCATTTATGGGGTGGAATGCGTTCCAATGGTAAGGGTATGGGTCATGATGACGCATTGCGGGAAGGGAAGTATATTCACAACTTCCCCGGAATATAGCAGAAATGCCGAAAGAGATCAAATAAACCATACATTGTAAATGGTGGATGTCATTGTGATGCAACTGAATCTAGCCCTAAAGGACAGCTTTGTGTTACTTACAATATGCAATGGCTGGTGCCAAGATTACATCAGGTGTGGTACAATCACCTGTCATACTGACCTATGGATACTATGCTTATTGTCTGCCAAGTCAATTCATTTATGGAATGAAGTCTCTCATGCCAGTCTGCCAAGTGTCAGTTCCTGTCAGCTGAGTTGAAAGCCTCAATCACACGACATACCAAACCTCGTACCCCCTTCAGCTGCAACATTATACACAACACCAGTTCCAAGATATCACAACACACCCCATCTACACCGCAGGCTCCCCATCCTCCAAAGCACTACTACCACCCCCAACAACCTCCTCAAACCTCACCCTCTCCTCCTCCCCAATCCCATACCCAAACTCCGCCCCCGGAAACACACCCCCCTTAACCTCCCTCTTGAACTCCTCACCCCCCCAACCGCCACCCCCCACACATCCGCAAACCTCTTCACAAACCTCTTCACAAACCTCGGCACAAACCTCCCCGGCAAAAAATCCCCAACATATCTACCTGGACCAACACCTGTCCCGAGCACCCATTCCCAGACCCAATGCCAATCGTCGGAACCCGAAATCGCTTCGACACAATAGCAGCAACCTCCGCCGGCATCGCCTCCACCAGAATCATAAACGCCCCGGCCTCTTGAACCGCCATAGCATCACGCAGCACTTTAACCGCCCCAGCCGCAGTTTTCCCCTGCACCCTGAATCCACCCAGAAATGCTGTCGCTGGGGTGTCAGTCCGATATGCGCCATGACAGGGATTCCGGCATCGACGATGCGTTTGATGGTTGGTGCTAGTTCGGCTCCGCCTTCGAGTTTAATAGTATTCACACGACCTTGCTTGACCATTTGGATTGTAGATTCGACTGCCTCGGACGGAGAAACCTCGTAAGACCCCATTAATAGATCTGCTATCTGTTCACGCTAAACATCAGTCTAATATATCAAATACAAAAAGCATGCAAGAAATCCAAACCCACCAAAGATGCTCTCTTAACTGCCCGACTCTCGCTCCGATAGCGCAATGACATCTCGTCCATCGTGACCATAGTCGTATCTTTCATTCCCAATGCCACCATTGATAGACTATCTCCTATCAAGACCACTTCTATCCCCGCTGCATCTGCCACGAGTCCACTCAGAAAGTCATGGGCTGTGAGAATCGTGATGGGCTCGTTTCTCCGGTATAGGTTCTGCGGCGTGTGAATGGTTACTTTTTTCCGGGTGTTGGTGTGGGTAGTAGGTTGTTGGGGGGCGGAGTGTGAACTCCACCGGATGAAGGTTTGGGGTCGGTATCGGGGTGGAGAGGGGAGGGATCGGGGTAAGACGAGGGGCATTTTGAGATGAGGGAGTGAGAGGGGGTTTTGTTGGGTTCTCGGAGGGAGGGAAGGGGGGGCTGAAAAGTTGCGTTCTGGTGTATCCTGCGTATTTTTGTGTATTACGCGCCCTGTGAGGGACAGCTGTGGGACAGTGCTTTTTGGTCACTTTCAGTAACATTATGGGCTTGAAAGGAAAGGGTTTTGGCTTAGCTATTCTGATTGGTTTGGGTGGGATGTGATTGTTGTTTTTTGGATGAATGGTGATAATATTGAGCAACGTCCAGTTGGGGGTTGTATTTGCTTTTGAAACGGACGGATCTGTTAGGGCGGATGTGAGAGCTCTATCTAAAGTATGTTTGTTTGTAATACGGTACCTGGTTTAGGTAGAGGTTGTACCTGGTGACTGGGACTGTCAAGGCATGATAACTTGGGGTGTACACCCTAATTCGAAAGTTTCCAGGCTATTATGGCACTATAATCCCAGATGCTCTGACAAAGGAATCCCATCCTTTTCACCCACCTTCCAGTCCGACGTAGATCCGGGAGATAAACAGACGGGCAGCGGGTCGGGTTGTCTTAGAGTTGGAATTAACACTGATCTCGGAGGGCTCGAGAGGGGTAAAACATGAAGTTACTAAGAATAATTCATTTGTTTCCGGGATTGTCTCAAATCTACAATACAACTGAAAATTGACTTACCAACGATTTCTTTATCTTCATGATTGTGGTATCCTCGAATTACCCAAACGATCGGGTGCAGTACTCGACAGAAGATCAAGATATATATCTCAGGAGAGGATCACGGAGATCATTGAGTGCTATAAGAATCTAAACTGACCCATCTGATGCCAGTAATCCCACTAGCACTACTCCAGGCAGATCCATCATCATTCGCAGCAAAAGACAAATACTTATACTGAGGATGAAGGCATCTGTTGACAGGCACTTGGATAGGGTCGACAGTAAAAAGTCCAGTAGCCGCAGACTAATGGGCTATCGGCGGGCTAGTGGAGCGGGCAAAAAATAGACAAGAAAAAAAGAATGACCAGACTGGGGCTCGATCCCAGGACCTTATCGGTGTTAACGATACGTGATAACCAACTACACCATCCGGCCACTTGCTATGAAAGAGATTGCAACCATAACTATAGAAGCAAAAGGATAAATCGAAGCAAGAGGATCCTCTGCATCCACCTCAAACAGACCCCGTCTGTGACCCTCCCCTCACCCCCCCATTGACATCAACATGCGATCCACGCAAAACATATCCATCCTTTTGCGCCTGGTCCCACTCCGACCGAATCAACGCCGTCCTCGCTGCATTCCGCTCCAGAATCCGCACCGTATACTGCTTCGGCACGCGAATCGCCCCCTCCATGAAGCCCTCATCCGTAATATCCAAGGGGACTTCCTCCCCCTTGTCATCTAGCGGTAGCTTGAACTCATAGGCCCAGATAAGATTGGCCACCGCCAGGAACAGTCCGTTCTCGGCGAGATGAATGCCGGGACAGATGCGTCGGCCGGCACCAAAGGTGAAGTGGTCGCGGGCTAGGATGTCCCCGCCAGCAGCATAGACGGCCGAACGATGCGGGTGGTTCAGGTACCGCTCGGGCTTGAAGTGGAACGGGTCAGGAAAGCGCTCTGGGTCCCAGTGGAGGGCGTTGAGGTTGGCGAGTAGAACGGTGCCCTTGGGGATGATATGGTCTCGGTAGTGGACGTCGCCGTCCGCCATACGGCGTAGGCCTGTCGTGGCGACGGGGCATAGGCGCAGCGTCTCCTTGATCACTGCCTTAATGTAGGGCATGTTGGGCTCGTCGGCGAGGGTGGCCATCCGGGAGTTGCCCAGCACGCGGGTGACTTCGTCGTTGGCGCGGGCCTGTGCGTCGGGAAACATGGCCAGGTAGCGGATCATGCCGTTCAGGGCGCTGGCGGTGGTTTCGGCGCCGGCTTCGGGGACGGCGCTGGCGAGCCATGAGACGGTTTCCTCTTCGAGGCCGTGGTCGCGGTAGTTGGACTCGATCAGGTCCTTGGCGAAGCAGTCCGGGGCGGTGCCGGCGGCGATGCGGGCCTTGAGGTCATTCCAGTGGCGCATTTTGTTGGAGTGCATCTTGTGGGCCATGAATTTGGCCTTGGGCCATGATGGGAAGAGGAAGCGAGGGAGCCAGTTGAGGGGTGGGAAAACATCGATCCAGAAGACTCCGGTCTTGAGGATGATGGAGAGCATGCGCATGTTTTCGTAGACGTCGCGGACCTCCTGGCAGTCCCAGTTGGGGATGCGCTGGCCGTAGGCGGAGGTCATGACGATGGAGAAGGTCATTCGGCGGATGTGCATGTAGAAGTCGGTGCTGTTTTTGCCGGCGTCAGTGCTGAGGTCGGAGAGGAGTTGCTTGATTTCGAATTCCTGGCTTGGGATAAATGCCGCGGATGCCTTGGCGTTGAGGAGCTGTTTCAAAAACGCGTGTAGTCGTTTCCATTTGGCGTTGTAGGTCATGGGCAGGATGCCGTCGCCTCGGAGGCAATAGTCTTGCGCGATGGGTAGGGGTGGTTTGCCTGAGGTGACGGCAGCCTAGGGATGGATGGCACGTCAGACTGGGTGAGGTGTGGATGAGGAATGGGGATGGTGATACCTGTCTATCGAATACTTCTTTGACAGCATCAGGGCTGTTGAAGAACACCCAGTTGTACCAGCCCACGCGGACCTTGAAGGTATCCCCGTACTGGACCGCCCATCGGTTTAACAGTTCGCGCGGCCGGCCTGGCAAATCCAAGCCAATTCCGATAAGTGGCCATCCAGAGGGACCAGGGAGATCCGCCAGTCCCTTGGTCTTTGTGCGAGAGTACTTGACTGTCCAGAGCAGGAGCTGGGAGAGTAGAAACGCACAGCCAATGCCCACCAGGACGGTTGGCTTGTGGATTGCGGAGATAAGGGTGCGGGGAAGATGAAGGTCAAAGGCGATTCCCTTGGAGAGATCCATATTGGGTAACAGATACCTGGGGCTTGAAGCAGTGGGGATGAGAGATTGATCAAGGGCAGATTATGATTCCATTGCTTCTACCCTTCTCTCTTCTTTTATGCTTGATCGAGCGGCGGGGGAGCATTGCCCATGAGCTGGCACCAGCCGACAGACTCTGGGAATGGTGCCTTCGTCAAGAGCATATGACAAGCAGAACGCACCGTCTTCGCCTAATTGAGATGTATGTCCGGTAGGAATGACTCACTTGCGCATATTGGACCTTGCCGAAGATGGGCTGACTGGTATCGTTGTTGACATTAGCCTCTCCGACGTGCAGCTTGCAAATGGGGGGCCTAGAGCAGACCCAAATGGCGTTGACTAGGATCGGAGTATGCTCCTTCAGGTAGGGACATCTGACATGAAGGTGACTTCCAGCACCATGTCGACATGGTCAAGTCAAGGTTGAATGTTGATATCCATTAGGGTTAAGTATGGTAAGGTATTGATACATGGCATGCAAGTGTATTGTAATGGTAACTCCGAGACGCATGCAATACCGAGAACCACGAAAGAAGCCCAAGAGGATAAGCACTAATGCACCTCCACTTGCTGCTCTTTGTTTGTGCCCCCCTTCAAGGAGAATGAGAAATTGTGGAAGCCGTCTGATTCCCCCTTCCCCCCCTCACTTTTCCCCACAATCAAGGCTTGTCATATCGCCAGACCGCCATCGTCGGCACTAAGAGAAAGGCTGCTCCCACGATCATCCCCACAGCACTAAACAGCTGCAGCCCCAGAAAGCCATCACTCCCTCCATGACCCTCGAGGACTCCCCCAATGGGCGCTCCGATCAGCACACCCAGACTGGTGGCAAACCACTGCATGCCCATGCGGGTGCCGATGACTGAGGGGTCGGGCGAGACCACCGGGTGGGCGATGACCAGCGGATTGGCGGAGATAAGCACGCCGGAGAAGATACCGAAAAGGACACAGAAGACGACAAAGCCCGCGACCGAGTGGATGCCCGTCCAGCCGAAGAGGAGCACGGCCGAGGCAATCACACTGCCCAGCAGGATGTGGCTGGCCCCGAGTCGATAGGTCAGCAGCGACGACCCAATGCGGCCGATGGCCGAGCCGGCGTTGAGGATCGACACCATGTAGAAACTAAGTGCCGTGGAGGTGTGCAGGGCAGTTTGGGCGAAGGTCGGCACGTAGAAGATCGGAATGAAGTACGCCATGAACATGAGGAAGTTGGCAATCCCGTAGGCGTTAAAGTGCCACTCTTTCATCGCGTGCCAGTGGATGATCTGCCGTGGGGGGCTCCGGCGTGTTTTGGTGGTGGCCATCAACAATGGCACCGCGACGCAGGAGCACGCCAGTTGAATGAAGCCCATGGTGCGAGCCGTCCAGGGAAATCCGATCCGAGGCTGAAGGCGGATGAAGATGATGGGGAAGATAACCCCGCCTGCACGCCAGAGCGCATACGGTGAGCAGGGCAGGGCAGAACAGGGAAGATGAGGGGAAAATCAATCAGGCCAACATACCAAAACTGGCCCCCGAAGTCACCAGGCCAACAGCAATGCCGCGTCGCGTGGTGAAGCGGGTGGAAACAAGCGACAGGGCGGGCACGTAGATCAGACCACTTCCCAAGCCGCAGCAGACACCCTGGGAGAGAAAGACCTGGTAGTACTCGGTGGACAGACTCAGCATCATCAGCCCTAACGTGGTCAAGAAACAGCCTGCAATCATCAGATGATGCAGGTATCCCCGATCGAACAGGGGCCCAGCTATGACCCCCGTGGAAATGAGAAAGAAGGCCTGAATGGTGCCCACCCAGGCGATCCGCGACGGGGAACTGGTGCTCAAGAGATCGGATTGATAGTAGCTTTGGAAAGCGCCAAACGCGGTGGAAAACCCCCAGGTGGTGACGAACAGAAGAAAGGAAGCAAACACGCCGGACCAGGCGGCCAGGCCACCATTGGGCGGTGTTGGAGTAGCAGAAGCAGCAGCAGAAGCCTGCTCAGCCTGCTTGGTCGCCATTGGGAGGAGAGAGAGGGAGGGAGATGGAACAAAGTCTGAATCAGCGAGAGGAAATGATCATGGAGCCATAAATATGTTGAAGAGCCCCTTTTCTCTCCCTACAAATCTGGCCTGGCTGCAATCAAGCACCTTTCGGATTATCATCACCAGAGAGACAGTGGATTTGTCATCGTGCATCATGTACCTAACCGATGTCCCTTCCCCCGGTCAATAATTGCGGTCTGTTAAGCTGACAGCTGACTGGAGACACGCAGGTCGATAATGCCACCCGGTCTCAAGCGCATTGCCACACGCACCTGGCTGCTCAACCCCGACAAACCAGTGGCCGGCCAACTGATCATCATCTGCACCTGGCTGGGGGCTTCCCCCAAGCACATCAGCAAATACATCGACATGCACCAATCGGTTGCTCCACACGCCCGCATTCTCCTGATCGAATCCGAAGTGTCGATTCTGGTAAGCAGCTACGCCCGCCAGCGTCGACTGATCCGACCGGCGGTCGACGTCGTCCTCGAAACCCTAGCAGAGACGGAGATCGGCTCCAGCAACGCCGCGGCCCGCGTGTTGTTACACACCTTCTCCAATGGGGGCACCAACACCGCCACTCAATTGCTGATCACTCTTCGGGGGATCATCTCGCACCCGTTGCCCCTGATCGGCCTGGTCCTCGACAGCACGCCCGCCAAGGGCACGTACTGGAAATCCTACAATGCCATGGTGTTTTCCCTCCCACCGGCATCGCGTCTTATGGGCTCGGTCGTCGTCCACTGTCTTTTGCTTCTCCTCTACACTTGGATCGCCTGCGGAAACGAGAACCCGGCTGCTCTCATGCGCCGCACCCTCCTGGACGAGCACACGGTCGCATCCGCGTCCCAGCGAGGGGATCACGATACGGCGGGCTATGTTTGCTACATGTATTCCAAGGAAGATCGCATGACTGACTGGACGGATGTCTGGGACCATGCTGTGGACGCTCGGGAGAAAGGCTGGTCAGTCAAGCAAGTGCTCTTTCAAGGCACAGGGCATTGTGCGCATATGCCACACGATCCCATCCGATATACCGAGGCAGTGGAGGAGGCGTGGAATGCCGTTGACCGAAAGCTAGAGTCGAAGTTATAGATAGTTCTATTGAATTGGTGTTGCCGTAGGTTCATCGGCTGATATATATTTTTGACTAGTACCCGAGGAATGTTGGAATCAACCCCCATTTCCAGTCACTCCTGGGACATTGAAGATAGCTATTATGGTCTATGTGCGAGTTTCTAATCAAACATAGGCCGTTATGACAGGATATAGCAACAAATATATCTCTTCCCTACTAGATAATGCTCCCACATAAGGCGTTGTCCAGTACACCGGCGCAAAAGCTACACACACAAGTAATAGGGTATCTTCCGAGGGTCAATAGACCTCCAGATAAACGGCATCCCCTGGGACAATCCTTGCTCATCGAAGTGCCGGGCCCGGATTTCATCGCTGATGCTCAACATCGTCTCCCGAAATTTCTTCTCTGCTAGGTGGACATCGCTCCCCGTCGGTGCCAACAACCTCGATTGCCAGAACATATGAGGAAGATTCCCTTTCTGTCCGTCCAGTAACGGCCGGTTAAACCGCACAAGGAGCGAGGCCTGCTTCAGCGCTTCGGTCTCATTATGCAACCACGGAAGTAGGGAATCGATGCTTCCCTTGGTGTCGGGGAGAGGCTGGCTAAAGGAGGATGGGTGAAGAGGAAGTACCCCCAGCGCCTCTCCGACCGTTGCGCCATTGAGGGCGTGATGCGCAATCCCCGAGAGGAACGCCATGTGGGACATGATGGCGATGAGATCTGTGCGAGCGAGCAACGGGGCCGGGAAAAAGTCAATCACCTTGGCCGCTTCGTTGACCTCTAGAATCCAGGCCTGGAGCTCGTGGTCCTCGCCCATCAGGCTGCCCTCTGGGTAGTAGGACTCTACGAACACGCGGGTGAAGTCTTCGATGGCTTTGACCATGGGCGCCACCGTGTCGTAGAACGGGAAGGACCGTAATGGAGGCCCGTATGAACAGTCCACTAACCCACGGTCCGCAAGATCCCGGTAAAAGCCCGTGGCCCGGAAGTGGCCTGCGTGCTCCCAGTAAGCATCAGTGGCGTATTTCTTGCCGGCCCAGTTTGGAAGCGCGAAGGAACTGTCGTAGAATCCTCCCTCGTTGAACAGAAATTCTTCGCCAATGGGTCGGACGGCATACGCTTGATACATTACTGGGAACTGGGTGAGCATGCTTGAGGACCAGAAGGATACAGTGGAGATCTTACAGCGGTCAATGTATCCACGGACGGGATGACGAGCACTCATGGTCCGCAAGGCAGCCTGGTGGACAGGCTCTGCCACATCGTGCGTATTTGCTAGATGGTACAGTTGCGAATGGAATAGGTCATTCATGTTGAAAGCCATCTTGGCAAAAAGCCAGTCATTGGGCTCGTCTAATGGTGTGTAGATAAGGTCACTGCCCATGTTGGTCTTGATCGCCAGTGGAAGGAAATCCCCCGAGTGAGGATGAATGAAGAAGTAAGCGGAGCAGGCGGCTGTCCAGCGGCCAGCTGTTTTGGGATATGCGGCCTGGTAGGAGTGATTGGCAAAAAAGAGACGTCCTTCTTGATGCAGGACGGCCAGGGTTCTGCCTGCTGTCAGATGCCGGGCCACCGCGTCGTCAACTCCAAATGGCAGATGATCATTGCTGGGATGAAGACGCCGGACCACATAGGGATTGATAGAGAGCCGTTCCATGGAGAACAGCAGATCCTGCGTCCAGTTGGTCAACATCCCAGCGGCGACTCCGTCTGGGAGGGTAGAGGCCCATTGGCCTTTGTAGATAACTTCATAACTAGAAAGCGATTGTATGCCTCCCGCCTAGATAGATTAGTCAAGTTCTACTTTTGGCAGTGCCAACGAACCTTTATCAATGCCGCAGCTGCCTGGTCCGATTCTGGGTACACATTGTTGGTGACATATTCCACATCTCTGAACCACTGAGCTCTGTCTCGGGCGACCATGGCATCCCCCAAAACCCCGGTAGGAAAGAAGGATGTATTTCCGAGCAAAGGAGGTCCGTATAGGTATCCCTCGCGGGCTAGCCGGACCTCTTCTACTCGTTCCCAGGGCTGTAAGTCAAACATAGGAAGGCTATACTGAAGACCATGGTCATCAGGGAGGGATGCGGAGGGGTTGAGAACTGCTTGACTGGGAATCATTGGCCATGCAGTAGCATAGGAAATTATTAAAAACATTAGGAGAACGATGCGATTAGAACAAGGAGCCATTGCGTAAAAATCTCAAATTGATTCTGAATGTGGGCAAGGAGAGGAACGAAGCATTCCCAACGATGAGTCTTCGTATCTATATACCGTTCTTATCGTGTGTACCTTACAGTCTCACCGCAGGCCTGTACCCATAATCATTCCTCGCTACGACTTGCCCGTGGCTTATCTCTAGTCGAATGCTTCGAGTGCATATGTTGGGCAGCAGGTCTTCCCTTGCCCACCTGCGATTGACATCGAAATGATACTTGGCAATCATAAGACAGATCGATATGCCTTGAGTCTAAGCTTGTAAAAAGAACAATTATCTTACGTCTCTGATCCAACCAGTTCTGTCAATCGGAACATGAATATGCATGCAACATGTCTCGCCATGGACGCAAGCCACGACCACCGATCCCCGACCCACCACACGCGGACATGATGCGAACATGCAAAGCTAGCCGACAGCAATTTCTCAATTGAGCCATTCCTCCGATAGGACAAAGCAAGGTAGTTTCCAGGATTTGAGCAATTTAAAAAAAGATTGCATACCACCCTACGGAACGACAACTCCTTCACTGGCCTTCCAGCACTCACTTCATCCCCCTCAGACTTGCACCATGAAAGTCCTCGCTATCATCTGCTTATGGCTTACCATCGTCCACTGCTACCCTGGCGGGATGGACTGGGACTATGCGGTTCGATATCACCAGCAAGTTCTCCTCGAAGATACTGACCGTGGATTTGGCTTGAACGAGCCATTCATCCCGACCCCCGCTCATATTCTCCCCGAAAAAAAGCCCTTCCTGATCAACGAGTCCGTCAACTACTACGAGAGACGCTTCAACGGTTCAGGACCAGACGGGAACTACCGTCGCTCGTCATGCCCCGCGGTAAACGCGCTGGCCAATCGGGGTTACATTAATCGAACAGGACGTAATATCAGCTATTCCGAGCTGGCGCATGCCGTTCGACGAGTCTGGAACTTTGGTGATGACAATGTGATACCCTCCTTCTCCAACAACAGACCAACCATACTAACTCTGACATGCAGAGCATGCTGGTTCTGGCTCCGACGTTCGCAATGCATGGGTGGCCTGAGACCATCGATCTGGATCAATTCAATGCATGTCCCACTCCCCCCTTCCACTCATCCCTATCCTTACCATCAACTAACATTCCCCACCAGGACGACCAAGTCCAATACGTGATCAATTGCCCCGCTGCACCAACTCGCAATGACCGTGCGGTGGGCGATAACATCAACCTCAACATGACGCTTTTCGAATCCCTCCTATCATTCTCCAAAGACGGCGAAACGCTTTCCCTTGAAGACATGGCCGAGCATCACCACTTGCGACACAACCAAAGCAAAGCCGAGAACCCGGGGTTCGTGTTTGGCAACCAAGGCGCAATCTGTTCGCTGTACGTGCGACCAATCCCCCCTCCCCACCATCTCCTGAACCCGAGATCCTAACATGTGCAGAGCCCAATACACAAACATGGTGGGGGTCCTTGGTAAGTTTGGCAAACACGGTCGAACGACTTTGTTTGTCGATGATGTCAAGACCTTCTACCTGGATGAGGATATCCCGCGGGATTATGAGCGCAGAGAAGCCCCTGTGAGTTGACCTAACTAGTGTAGGTGAGAAAGCCGTGGCTGATGGAACACAGCATTATTCGCCCGAGTCGAATGCAATGGTTGATCGCATGGCGTATCATGTCGGCTATGCGATTCAGAGACCGTTTCCTGAGGGGGATCAGGACCCTGGTCGGGATATCTGTCCAATGAAGGCTCGCTTCCAACAGCACGATTGTACCGAAGTGAGGTGAGAAAGATTTGTGGTAGCTTGCTGAATGTGTACCGGGTTTCATACGCGGTGGACATAGAAAGACAAGTACGAGAGAGGGACTAGCTGATAACAATGTACCTACTCTTATATTATAGCTGTAGGCGAGTTCTGGGTCATATTTTATGGAGACATCGGATTGTATGGTTCGTATGGTAAGATCTATACTCGACGTTGTCGTAAAGTGCTTCAAGGATTCTTCGGCTGTGACGGTAACTTCTTTGTGACACCACATTACCCACAGACGCTGGTCTGCCTTGAACCCCTGGTTTCCTGCAAAAATAGTCTGGTTCTCAATTGGACTGAATCTAGTAAGTAAAACTGTATATAACCTGATAGCTTTCAGTCCAGTACATCAAGCATGGAGAGCAGAGGCCAATCAGAATCGGAATCCAGAGACACTAGTAATTCCAATACCGACCGTGGCATTGAATAGCGCAAACCCTACCCACCCCCTTTTCTTTTAAGTACAGCACTGATCACCATCTACCTCATTGCTCCGCAGTCATTCCATCGAATTACACTGCCTGTAGATGCCGGTCGGTTCAAACAAGATCAAACCTCGGCAAGATACCCTCAGACTAAACGCAACGGATTAATGTACTGAGAGGGGTGGAAGATCTCCCACCAGATCATGAGGGGGGTTAGGCGTTCTAAGGCAACAGACCTCCCCGTGGCTGCATAAACGTAAGCAGCCGCCTACGTCTACATGGTTCAAACAAGCTCATGGTGGGTTATGAGTTGGCACCTTCCGATCTCCCTAAGGCATACCAAGAAGGCTCCACTGTCAGCTTACCCGCAGGTTTCAGGCCAATGACCACCATGTGGCAGGTCGTTCTGGATCTTGGTTTGTGTATCGCCGGCGGCTGTGCTCGGCAGTCATGCCCCGGATCATCAATCCGCAGGAACTGGTGGGGTGACAACTGTCAATGTTACGTATGTCTTGCAGGAATGCCATTGATTTCTACTCTGTGTTCACCACGACCCCCCCACTTGTGGCAATCCATGCAGAAAGCTCACTCAGCCAAACCGTGTCCTCACTCATATCTACACCCATCATACACTGATTCATTCTATCTAGAGTTTCCCTTTCGACGACTCCGCGAGACTCCGCTGAGTATGTCTATAGTGCCAGGAAGGATCGGCCAAATCTTTGCGAATGGCGTAGTTTGCTTCTGCATCCTCCAGCACCGCCAAATCCAAGGTAGCGACGCCCATGCCTTCGGCTGACGTCCCCAAACGAACCAACGGCCCGGCATAGGGGATATTGATCTGGGAAAGACCGCAGTAGTTTCTGCCCGGAGGTCCGCCTGCATTGGCAAAGACCACGGCGCAGGTATTTTCAAAAGTGCGTGCAGTGAGAATGCTGTCAAGGAACAGGGATGGCGCTGATGGGTTCTGACGATGACCTGCCTCGGAGGCTCCGTTGCGGGTCCACAAGGTCGGAACGATGATTATCTGCGCTCCCTGGGAGACTAGTTCTCTCCAGGCTTCGGGGAAGGCTAGATCCCAGCAGACCAGCAAGCCTACGGGGCCAAACGGGGTCGAGATGACTTGGTGCGGGCTGTCGCCCGAGGACCGAAGGTATGCTCGCTCGGTAGGTCCCCAGAGGTTCTTTTTCACGTAGGATCCGAGGATCTCCCCCGTGTTGGAGATGAAGAAAGCGACGTTCTCCAGGGCTGGAGCGGGTGTGTCGGTGGGTGAGGCTGATGGCTCGCGTGGTGATGCCGATACAGGGCGCACGATGGACCCGGGGACGATACAGATGTTGCATTCCTTGGCTAGAGCCTGATATCGATGCACATAGCTCTCCCAGTCATCACATAGACGCGCAAATCTCGGGTCGGTCGGAATCCAGTTGGTCAAATGGAACTCGGGCAGTACGGCCAGGTCGCAGCCCTGGGCAGCGGCCTCGCGGATGAATTGCACTGCCCGGGCGAAGTTATCAGCCGGTTTGAGGGGCTAGAAGTCCAAGGGTTAGACATGTCTATGACCCCTCCGGCTCGGACAGGGGTTAGGGTGGAGATGGGGGCTCTAGTTGGTGCATGACATTCGAGACACGCTTACCTTGACGTACAGCTGGATGACAGCAATCTTGCAGTACGGAGGCATGATGGAGGTCTAGGCGGGGTTACGTTGGGGGCCTGATAGCGATAGGATCGGAACGTGGCGATGGCCATCGTTTTATGTCGGATCTTCGGCCTGTAGATTGGCATCCCTGGCCTTGCTATTGGCTGTCTGGGTTGGGACGCGTTCATCCAGCAGGGATTATGCTTAGGGCACTGGGAGTGGCCGAGGAATCAACCTCGGCTGCTGGCGGGTAATGCGGTCGGCATCCACCACCGCGAGACCGTACTGTACCGTACCGTCTCGTCGATCCGTCCGGTCAGGTATCATAACGATGGTACATACCAGCGAGACTCCTTACCAAGTGATATGTCTGAGGGTCCGAGTGTTATAGGGTTTGGAGAAAGAACATGCTTGGGGTACGGCTGCATCAGTTGCTGTTTATGGTTGTACCCCCGAGCTTCATACCGTAGAGGGTGCTGTTGGAGGACCCCGGTGCCCCCCCGTCATGAATAGTATGCTCATTAACAGCTCATTCCTTTGTAGCTACTCAAGAAAGGATCCAAGATGATTGGAGACCTGAAAAGCCTTTGTCGTCTTTGCTGTATCGCATCGAGAACTTATATTTATACGCAATACATGGCCAGTGGACTCAGGCATCCACACAAAGTTTCCCATCAGGACTCGCATACCCATTCAAGAAGTCAGCGAAGCTAATAATCATGGCATCCATTCGAATTGCCCTACATTGTTTCCTAACCAAATCGTCCCCGAAGGCAACAAGGAAACTCCATGCGAAGAACACTACCATTCCCCACAAGCAACAGATATTCCATATCTCCGAGCTGCCCGGGTGGATGCAATGGGATCCATACATCCAGCACGGATACCGGACTCAGTTGAACAGTTTTAGGCAGTGCTTCTGGTCTCTGTTCTACATGCACAATGAATCCATCAACACCTGGTCCCATATACTTCCCGGGATTTATTTTCTGATGATACTCCTCGCCATCGACTATTGGATTGCGCAGTTGCCCTTCAAAGTACCACTATCAGACATGCTGGCTATTCAAACATACGTTGCCGGCACAGCAGGATGTCTAGTCTTCTCGGTCTGCCCCGTCCCCTCCTCCCCTTCATCCCTCACTAACTTCTCCCTACCATCACAGGCTACCTTTCACGCCACCAATGCCCATTCACCCCAGGTCGCCCGCGCCTTCCTGAAACTAGACTACCTCGGAATCGTCCTGACCATCTCGACAACCTGTATCTCGGTAGCTTATTTCGCCGTGCACAACAACCCAACTCTACAATTCGTCTACATTCTCTTCATTGTCCTCTGCGCCGCCATGGTCTTTCACATCACACTCGATGTTGCCATGGACGGCGCTCATGCAAGTCCACAGAGGTAGGCTCTCATCATTCAACACACCCTGTCATTTTCCAATTTCTACCCCGCTTACATCCCCCAGAGCAACAGTGTTTCTCCTCCTCGCTGCAAGCGGCCTAGCCCCCATCTTCCATGTCGCCTGGAGTGAAGGCAAATGTGGACTTCTTCGCATCCCACTCCATAGTCTTACAGTCACTTGCTCGTCATATGCCATCGGCACCGTGGCGTATGTCACCCGGTTTCCGGAGAGATATTGGCCTGCTCGTTTTGATCTGGTGGTAAGTCTGACTCAGTGGTGCTGTCGGGTTGTGCTAAGTGATATAGGGCGCGAGTCATCAGATCTTTCATGTGTTGGTTGCGTTGGGGCAGATTGTGCATCTGTCTGGGTTGAGGAGGGTGCTTGGGCGCGTTCATAGCGGTGCTTGTGCTGTGTAGATGGTGGCTGTATTTCATGACTATACTGAATGGGATGTTTCACAGTCATGGGAGTGACTGGGCTCGTGGATCTGGTTCTATAGTAGGTGTGTGGATGTTACATGGGTTTGTCCTGCTACCTTGAGCATACTGCTATAATTGATGGTTTCTACAACGGCGTAGGAATTAAGCGCCCTCTTAACAAGTGATAGATACTCAGTGATTGGAGAGAAATGAGTCAATGTCTTGCGTGATACTAACCCAGAATATTATATCTGGACACGACATAAGCTCCCTAGCCCAAGGCAGAGCCTAACATACAATTCAAACAGGAAGATGGTGCTCAATCCTTCCCACCGTCCGCAATCACCACCCTCTGCGCCTCCAAACTACTACTATCCGTCTCCGTCTCCGTCTCCTCCAACGGCTCAGACGACACATTCCAATCCCCAAACACCGCCAGCAGCGTAAACGGAATCGTCCATGCCCACAACGCAAACCCCAAAATTATCTGATTCCGATTCGGCCAGTGCGTAGCACCGACTGCATAAGCGATCGTGCTCCCAATCGATTCCCACGATCGCAGGATACCCGTGGTGCGCGCGATATCGCCGTCCCGCTGTGCGCCCTTGATCTCGGCCATCAGCCAATAGATGTAGGTTTGGAGGATCTCGTAGAAGAATTTGAATAGCATGTAGACAGTGAAAGCTGAGTTGAAGAAGGGTCCGTCGCCGAGGTCGAAGGTTGGGGGATCGGCCATGCGGGAGAGTTTGGTTTGGACGACCGCGTTCCAGATCCATGATCCGGTGAGGAAGATGAGGATGAAGATGTACACGCTCTTGGATCGGGTTTCGCGAGATACGGACTTGATGTCGAGGATTATGCCCGTGGATATGTTGGCTATGGCGCCGACGACTGCGGTGAGAAAGGATGCGAGGGCGCGGGAGCGGACGGTGAAGTATGCTTTTTTCTGTTAGTCCCTTCCGAGTGGTTGCTCTACTGAAATAACGATAATGGATTCGTACTCGTGAGATAGTTGCCCTGGTAAGTGGTGCCGAACTGTCCTGCGAGAAAAACCGGGATAAGGAGCAACATGTACTTGTTGTGCAGTTGCTTCCAAATCGCGCGAGCCTCGATCGCAAAACTCGTTCTCCTCATATAAGGAATCGCGGTGCCATCGCTTCGAATGACCTTTTGTGGTTGGGAGAGCAGCAAGGCAAAGGGAGCCCCTAGGGAGGAAATAGCCACGAGCCCTAAGTATGTGGTGTAGGTGACCTTGCCCGTATGCGCGGTGTTGATGTTGAGAGCGAGGGAGATGGCACCACCCACCAGAGGACCCATCTGTCGGATGCCCATCCAGATCCCGACATATCTGGGAGAAATCTTGATTAATGAAATGAAAGGGGGTTTTGTGGCTCAGCTTACCGGCCTCTTTTCGCTTCTTCGGGATACCCGACCGCAATGGCAGCCTCACTCGCCCAGAGGAGCGATGCTCCTATTCCGCACAGCGCGGCTCCGAGTAACAGGAACCATTCGTTGCCGTAACGGTTGTTGCAGTATAATGCTGCCGCGTAGGGAGTGTAGAAGGCGGCGCCGATGAATAAGGTCCATTTGGCCGTGATTTTGTTGGTGACACCCCCGGCAAGGAAGCAGCCCACGGACATGAGTCCATAGGTTAAAGCATTGGCCGCGTTGTTGAGAAAGGGCTGCACATGCAATGTTAACGGTCATGTATCACAGCTTGATATGCCTGGCTTCTTACACTGGCATTTCCCCCCGCGCCAAGATTATTCAGGGCCGTCCAGATGCCGGGCTCACAAAAGGCCACCAGCCCGACAATAATAATCTGGAAAAGACATGATCGATATATCGGGATCAAGCGATCGAGGGCCATGGTGTACGAATGTCAATTGCAGCGCATCATTCTGGTCACTGCATGTTGCAGGGTATTTATTCTCTCTGGTGAGGGCATTGGGCAACCAGAGCACGTCAGGACCCATTTTAATCGCGATGTCTTGGTTGATCTATCTGCCAAGGGGCACGGGAGGTCTAGTGCATCGTTAGAGTTATTTGATGAGCTAAAATGCAAGTCAACTCTTATCCCAGTCGGCCGATAGATGCAGGCGCTCACAGATCGCGGCGGCAGCAGGCGAACTTATCCTATTTTAGATTAAATCCAGAAGCACGCCATGCTGCCCGCATATGATGTCTGCCAATGCCACCAACATCACGTCGGAATATATCCGGGATGATAGCTACAGTTCAGAATAACCCCTCACCTTCGCTGGATCCGCCTCTTTTGGATGTTGCATCATCCCCCCACTGCCAAACCTGAACCACATATTTATCTGCCACATCAGCACGTGGAACTATGACTGCTTGAGCCTCCAATCATTCTGTATTCTGGACTATCAAGTCAAGCAATATTCCACGCAGCATGAAGGATCTGGACTCTATATTGTGGGCTTTGGAGGACGATAAACTTAGAGATGACAATAGTGGTGAATATATATCTTTTGCACCAACCATGTTCCCCACATTGCTTGCAAAGGCGGCCACAGATGGCTTTTAACAGTGACCTATGATGAACTGACATAGCCTTATTTCAAGCGAATGTAGGATTCTAAACCGGAATTTACAATGTCCACCCCAAGTGCTAAGCGCGGTAGTTGGCTAGCGATTCAATCCAAAGTAGACATGCCAGTTGCAATTGACACATTCCAGCAGTGTATTATGATGCTTTCCATGCAAATCACGGGCATGTCAAGTCCTTGGAAACAGATATTGCCGGGACACACTATGTTTGTTACCACTACTCCGCGGTTCGCTCATACTTTCTACCTACAATATTAGAGACTTGTTATAATTATCAGCAGGATACTTTAGACGGTATATATAGAGATTTGGATAATCCAATCCCATAGAAGCAGGCGGTCTAGCCACACGTGATCTATGTAGCATCTCGTCGCCCTCATTACAGTCCCTAGTCTTTTTTAACCCCTCTTCAAGCAGACGCTGGTAACATCCTGAGTATTCCTGGTATCCCGGACTCAGTTACTTTCTGGCATGGACCGGCTGATTGACTATATACCTGCAATCTAAATAACATGTACAAGATCATAACCCTCCTACTCCAGCAAGAGAATATAGCAAATGGAGAGATATTCTCCAGATTCTAACAGTATTAATGAAGAACCACATCCAAATAACAATAAGAAAAGAAAAAAAAACGGGATCTAACACTTTAAAGAATGTGCCTTCCGACACATCGGGACTTACCTCCCTACACCTTATCTAATCGGGGTAGAATCCCCATTAGTTAGTTATCTCCAATCATTACGTGATCCGGTGTAAATAAAGTGATCGATCATCTTCCCCCCTCTTCTCCCTTACATCACACATAAAAGTCCTTCTTTCAACACTCAGTCTTCCAAAGTGTCAATTATCATAGAAAGCCACATTATCTAGCTCATTCAAGATGCCTTTTTCGACGCTACCAGAAGAAAAGAAGCCCCCGGACTCGTCGGGTAAGTATGAGCCCCTGATATCTATTCTCTAAGCCCCAGATTCCTCTAAGCCACCCACCTATGAATAAGGAATTGCGCCAGATTATACTAACATCTACAACCAGTCTACCACCGACTCCTACGACACAGAGGAAGCACACAGTAACTGCGGCAGTACTGTATTCAGTAGCGTAGCCGACAATTCCTCTACCTCATCCGGACCAGAACCCCCACAAGTCAAACCGACAGTTGACCGCCGATTCCACCCCGAAAGGATGTATCCTAGCCACTTCACGCCGGACGACATTCAAGTTCGACGGGGTGAATGCGTTCTTCTCGCATGTCCAGGCTCAAAGAGAAAGTGCCCCCATTGCAATTGCCATGTGTGTCACACTGGTTGCATCGTGATCGCGGTGGATGGAGCGTGTCATCGAAATGGACAGCCTGGGGCCCGGGCCTCGGTCGGGGTGTACCACGGGTTCGAAAGCAACTGGAATGCTAGTTATCTTCTTTCCTCGGAAGAGAATCAGACGAATCAGGTTGCTGAACTTGTGGCCTGCGAGACGGCTTTGATTGATGCGCGTCTCATGCATGAGTATGGTGAGAAATATGGGATTGAAGACCGGAAGCTTTCTATCGTGGTTATCAAGTCCGATTCGGAGTATGTAGTGCGTGGTATGACTGAATGGATCGAAAAATGGAAGACCAACGGCTGGTTGAATGCGAAGGGTCAGCCAGTCGCGAATAGGGAATATTTCTTCAGGATTGATGGAATTGTTGAGTCCCTTGAGAAGAAGTACGTGTCGGTTAAGTTCTGGCATGTTCCTCGTGAGTTGAATAAGGAGGCTGATAAGCTGGCCAAAGCTGCTCTGTGTGAGGTTTGAGTGGGAGTTATCACTTGAGTGGGGTGGTAATTGAGGAGGATTTGATGATGTATGGTTGGCTTCGTGTGGTTCAATATTATTGAGGTCGAGCTGGTATCAAAAACACTGAGATACATGGATTTCCACTGTAATGTAAGTTTCCGTTTGCAGACAATACAGTAGAGTAAAGCGACGTCAAATGATTCCACAAACGACAAAACCAGTCTATCCAATCATAGGTCCCAGTTGAATGTTATTTTCTTGTGGATTACTGTTGGAATGATGTCTCGCTACAGTGAGGTCGAACCGCAATTTTAGGGAGGTTATTCGGATGAAAGGTATTCTATATGCATGGTCTGTGGAGTCTGAAACATATTATCCTTGGTAATGCACAGAAAAATGCTTGTGATATGAATTATATATTCATGCATTGTGCGTGTAATGAATCCCCCGATAGCCGAGGAGTTAGGCTGGGTTGGCCATGCTGAAGACATCGAGGTAATGATAAAAATCAAATACTCGATTCGTTATAGAGGACGCGTAACACAACTAAGCTAAGTTGATTTGTGAATCTGCCAGCCAAGATGTGTTATATTCTGAATTTGTTGGACTCCTGCACACCGTATCTGGCTAGCTCTTCCCCGGGGTTCATCGGTCGCAATCCCAAGGAAGGTTCCGGATAGTTAGCCTATGAGCAGGCCAAATGAGAGAACCTCCTATCTCTGGCGATAGGATAGAGAGAAAAGCGTTCGGGTGTGAGGCATCTGGAGTTCCATGCTTTGCTTATTTGGGCTGGTTGACGTCCGTCAGATCGAAGGTGAGGATGCATCTGCCCTGTGGTTAACGCAAGCATCAACAAGACCTGATCCACGAGACTTTATTCATTCATAGTTTGTTCATAAAGCGGGATCCTTAACGTCTGACTTGTTTACACTTCATCTTGGAATGATTAGGGGATCATTGTATTTGACCAATCATGATGGAGTTTTGGCCTGTTATCAGTGCCAAGACTTCCTGGAAATGGCAAGAAGTGCGCTGGGTCCACTGAAACTTCCAATTGGCAGGACACATGACTCGTACTCGGTGGATTTCAGGTGGGGTGACTACTAGTAGAATTGTCCAATCCCCCATACGCTGGGGAAGGCAACCGATAGCACAGAGTCACAAGTGGCAGTGGAGGTCGGCGATTACTCCACGTACCTTATGAAATTGGATCCCCGGATGATCAACCCCACCACTACTGTGTAGGGCACACGCCTGCGTGGCCGCCTCACGGTCGGCGATTAAGCTAGCCAGGGTCAACGCACGGTCTCGGCTTATTCACCAGCGCTTCGGAGCCCTGTCCTCCTTCAGAATTCTCCTAGCCAGGGGTAAGCTAATATGGTTACATGCGCAGTATTCTGTAGAGCAGTATGATTGTTTCGTCACTTGGTAGCTACAAATGTCTAGCATTCTCTACCAGCGAGGGTTGCAGACGCATGATTTGGAATTGATGCATCTCTCTAATCAGAATGTCTAAGCAAGCTGGGTTTCCTCTTGGGAACTGGCAGACTGTGACTAGGCCATTCCTGGGACGTTCCCCAGTTCATCTACCGCGCCATGCATAGATAGGCTCTGCGTGTGTGGTATAGTTTGATTTCCGACCCACTCATTGGTTAGCCTTATGCATGGAGCTGGAAGGAGAATAAGACCGAGCTGCGAAATAGGGAGGTAGTAGGATGTCCGACATTTTCGACATATGCAAGTACAGTGTGCGGAAATTAAGTAGATTCGGAATCCAAAGAAATTACTTGATCTGTTGAATAATCCCCACCGTGAGAGTGTACAAAGATAGCTAGGGCGAGGTGTTATCTTGAGGGCTTCTGAAGCCGCACAGAAGGCTGTGATGATGATGATCATGGGGTGTTCGCCTGTTCAACGCCTTGCCAGGTTTCTACCCAAGGCTTTAAGTCCAACGCATACGTCTTGTGGGGAGCCATTGTTTGTCGATCAAGTCATTGTGCACAAGCGACTGGTTCTGGAGCGCGGGTGGTTGAGGTGGGGACAATTGACGTGTCTCATGCATAAGGTTCTGGCCCGACCCATTCGCGGATCAGCTTGGTGGTTCTTGCATTGCTGATCAGCTGAAAAGAGACTCTGACATTTACCCTACTCCGCATGAGGCCTTATCGGCTGCAAAAGTACCAAGGGTTCGTCTGCATCGAGCTTCGTGTTCTCTGGCCGGGATATAAACCCACGTAGTAATCGGCCATGGTCGCGAGTCCATGACCAGAAGCCCATTGTCAGGATGTTTCCTTCCATTGTTATCCTCTTCCTAGCATCGAACGTCCACGCATTCAACACCATCCACACCAACTGCACGCTTCCACCCCCGGGCACCAATTTCGCCACAGCCCCTAACACCCGCGGCACATTGCAAATCCTCTGGTCTTCCCTTTTTACCATCATCGCCTGCACCTGGACGGTTCTTCATCTCAATGTCCCAAAATATGCGCGAGAACCGGAAAAGAAACACTTCAAGAAGTGGCTGAACTGGGCGTTGGAGAACTATCGGCATCCAATCAAATGGTTCCTTCTTACTGTCATTGCCCCGGAAATTTCTTTCACCAAGTACTGGGATGATCAGTTCCGGGGACGTTGCCTGTTTTATCATTATGAAGATGAATTCAAGGAGATTGGGTGGACGAAGACTCACCTTTTATTTGCTAATATGGGAGGGTTTGCGCTGCGCCTGCATCCCCCCACTGTTGAGGCAGGTGGTTCGGATGCGAATAGAGGCTCGGAGGTTCCAAGCGACAGCCAACTTGTTACAGTTGATAATGGGCCACTTGGTCAGAGGGACATGTCCCCAGCCCGATCGACTAACGAGGTGGATGACTTGACGACAGTCATGCCTGCAGAGAATGACATCGCCCCTCAGGAACGCTCAGGCAGATGGAAACGATTCACCTCGATGCTCTGCTGTGCGAAAAGGAAACCAGAAAAAGAACAGGCCATCGCCAATGACCAGGCTGTCATCGAGGATCCTACAAAAAAGTTCGAAAACGCCTTCTTTCTCACAGGAATCGAGGTTGTGAAACTTCTTCTCAGTACGAAGGATATTAAAAGTCAGTCTGTACCAGAACTACGCAATATATCAGTGCAGGAGATCAACGACCGGTCCAAAACGGACATTCTCATGCGATATCTCGCCGTGGGTCAGATTGTCTGGGTGGTTGTCCAAATCCTTTCGCGATGGGTATATGGACTGGCTGTAAGTCAATTGGAGGTCACCGTGGTCGCCTTCGCGTTCTGTGCAGTGGGGATGTATATCGTGAACAGAGGGAAGCCTACAGGAGTCACTCTTCCAATTCTCTTTGAGTACCCGGGGGCCAGAGAGGACCTGGAGGAAGAGCTCAAGAACACAGATTTGCCAACACCAAGAAAAGGACACAAGAAGTGGCCATTTGTCAAATGCAGGCATTGTATTACGGGCAAAACCAGCACAAGCAGCAAGAGGGGCACCGCCAATAACAACACTGGCCCCAACACCGACACCACCAGGAGACGGGAGGATGAAGTGAGCCTCGAGGAACTTCTTGGCTTCATCAAATCGATGATGCGGCTTACTTCAATGATCGGAGTAGTACGAGGCATGGTCAGTTCTGAACGGCAGCTAGGAGCTCCATTGGGCAATGGATTCATTGAGGACGATACCCGAGATGACTTCACCGACATGTCCATGTTCATCGGCAGCATGGTCTTTGGAGGCATTCATCTGGCAGCCTGGGACTTTCAATTCCCAACCCCGGTGGAGAAATATCTCTGGTGGGCGGCGGCTTTGTGGTGTACCGTTTGTGTACTGGCGTGGACATTGATTTATTGTGTACTGATCGGGTTCCTTTTGGCCTTCATGAAAATGGGTACATCCATGGTCGATATAGACGACACGCACCGTTCACCGACACCCCAGGATTCTGAACACAACAGCCAGATCCCCGTGAAATCGGGTACCAACTGCCTTCAAGACCCACTCACACCCAAGACCGAGTTCAATGTCGAAACCAGTCCCAGCTCCACAGACAGAAACCCTAATCAGGGGCCGGAGATGCTGGAGCCTTCACCCGAAAATCCACCCAGAGATGAGGAATCGCAACATTCACGACCAAAACACGACATGTCCTTCAGTAAAAAGATAATTAAAATAGGCGTTGGGTCATTATGTGCCGTTCTTCTCTTTCTCATGGTTTTACTTGGGATTCTGCTGTTAGCGTTCATGATTGCTTATGTTGTGGCGAGACTGTTCATCGTTGTGGAGATGTTTAGGACGTTGGCGTTTCTTCCACAAGGGGCTTATGTTGCTACTTGGGCATCGGATATTCCTAATGTTGGTTGAGAGAGATTTGTCGGTCTGTCTCTACTTGTTTCCCTTGATGATGTGGTCTTTGATGATGACAATCATTGCATACTCTTAATATCGATACCACGTTATGGTTTGGCCTCTCTATAGGATTGTAATATTCGTAATTCCAACACAAATTGGCAAGCAATATTTCATTCATTATAAGTTGCACGCACTGTGGGTTGCTACTAAGCATTAACAAGCACAATAAAAGCATATCCTGTCAGTGGGTCACTCGTAGGCATATGTTATTTGACTCGTTATATGATTTTTCATGTTTTGCTAATATATAGATATAACCTTGGAGCATTAGGCGCATTTACCTGTAATTTCCAATTATACTGCGAGTCAGTATCTACTGTTACCTTCCGAGTGAATCCTCTATAGACGTTGGAGAATTTATTTTCGAAGAATCGACGGTTTCTGATAAGGGTATACCTCCAAGGATCTAAAAACATCGTATGATCCGATGATGCTGATGCCATTTTCACTTTTACTGGCTATGGAATGACTATCAGCTCGACTGGGTTTCTGATGGAATAAAGCTAGTATACCAACGCCCCATTTGAATTCAGCAATATGTGCTTGTCTGATGTTATGGAAATAAATTACATGACTATTGCCCTAACATCGCACTTTGCCGAAAAGGCGAAGTCGTATTCGACACTCAATTAATACTAGTATCGTATTTCACGAAACCATATAGCGAGCTAGCAGGCATTTTCCTATATCAAATGATTCGACGGCAGTCGAAAAAGCACTTCAATATAACAGAATAATAGGACCACAATCAGAGAAGCCATATGCATTCATTGGAGAGTTTTTACCCAGCGAAAAGCCCTATTTCTTACCACCAAGGCCGAGTCCCTGCGTAATGGTGCCTAACCCCAACCCTTCAAGGAGCTTGTCTACCCCTAAGCCACCGAGCAAGCCCCGGAGGAGCCCACCCAGTCCCAAGCCATCCAGAAGATTGCTCACCAGACCAAGAACGCCACTGAGCAAGAGACCTACGGCTGCGATGATTTGGAACAGGGGCTCGGACAACAACGCCCACAAAGGATTCAGTTCCTTCTTCGCATGCGGCATGTCGGCGATCAGGCTCTTTCCACGTTCAATCGTTTCGGTCACCAGCTTGGTCAAGTTCTTCAGCAGCTCGGCAAGATGATGCTCCTGCGGAGTTGCTTCTTGAGATGCACTGTGTGCTTTGGCGTTGGCAGTAATGTGGCCATCCGGGTCCAGCGCTCGAAGGGCTCCCTTGCACTCCTGCAGAGCATATCCGGCCTCCTCAATCAACGGTTTGACCTGTTTCACCAGCTCCTCCTCATCCAAGTCCTCTTTAGGGGCTCCATTGGCGCGCTCGATATGCTATTGGGGTTAAGGTCAGCATAGTCAATATCAAATGTGTGTATAACATCACCTACCTGGGTAATCAGTCTACAAATGGGCTCTACCGAGTCCAGGGTCTGCTGCACAATGGAGCACATCTTCTTGGCCAGCTCATTTTCTTCCGCTTGCCGGGCTTGCTGCTCGAGTTCCTCGGGAGAGATCTCAGGCTCAAGTTCTGGCTCGGGCTCCGGCTCCGGCTCTGACATGGGCTCCGGGGGCAGATTGTCCAACAAAGTGCACTGGCCGATTTTGTTGCCGGCACTATCCATGACATAGCCGTCTTTATCGACAGTTCGACCGACCAGGTTCGACAAGTCTCCCTCGGTGACCTTGCCAATGAGATTGCCGCCCTCATCTCGGACCTCACCCTCGCGGTTGACCTTATGGCCAGTCATCGGACTAGCCGGCTCCTCAGGGGAAGCCCAAGGCTCAGCCCGGCCGATGACGTTCCCAGAGCCGTCGAGAACTTCCCCATCCTCATCAACGGCACGCCCAGCAAGGCGTTGGACATCACCTTGCACTAGACGGCCCACTGGCGTGCCACTCGGATTGACCACCATGCCCTCTTTATCCAGGGTCAGCCCATCGAGGCCGCAAAACGGACCCTCCGGACGGTCTCGTTCAGCATCAGGGAGGACCTCGGCTTGACCAACGACATGCCCACTGGAATCCCAGACTTGGCCCTGGTCATCCACCGACTTTCCGGCCAGCTTGCGCGGATTTCCCGTGACCAGCCGGCCAATGACCACTCCATCCGCATCCACAACATTGCCCATCTTGTTGACGAGCTTGCCCCCTAACACAGACAGATCGGGCTCCTCTACTGTCTCGGCTGGAGGCTCGCAGCGTTCAGCCCGGCCAAGGACAGTACCATGCTGATCCACGATCTCTCCATCTTCGTCGACCTCGTAGCCCTGGAGAGCCTTGGGATCCCCTTCCACCACACGACCCACCACCTTGCCTTCATCATCCTCCACCCATCCCGACCCATTCACCATCAGGTCCATTTCTCCCTGGAATGGTCGCATGAGGTCTTTTCGTTCGTTCTCCGGGATCAGCTCTACCCGGCCAATGACCTCCCCTTGGTCGCCCCAGATCTGACCATCTGGGGCAACGGTCTTACCAGCGAGGTGCCTTGGGTCTCCCTCGATAACCTTGCCCATCGGCACTTGGTCCGGTCCTATGACAAGGCCCAGTTTGGTTGCCTTGAGCCCAGACAGGCAGCTGAGATTAGGCTTCTCTTCTACTTCCTCTACCTTCTCTGGCTCGTCAGGTTCCTGCCATGGTTCTGCACGACCCAGTCGGTTACCACGACGATCCAAGATATCGCCATCCTCGTCGACTGCGCGACCTTCTAGCTTTTTGGCCTCGCCTTTGACCACCTGCCCAACCCGTCGGCCGTCCTCATCCAGGACCCATCCGTCCTGGCCTACATGCAGGTCTTTTACCCCCTCGAAGGGACTGATTTCATCCACGTCTGGTGGGACTGGCCATGCCTTGCCTATGATATTTCCGCGATGATCCCAAAACTGTCCCTTATCATCCATCTCGAACCCTCCACGGAAGAGTCTCTTCGCATCTCCTTCGACAAGCTCACCGACAAGAGTACCCTGGGCATTCAGAATACTGCCGAACTTGGTGCACTGAAGGCCTTCGAGGGTGGAAATGTCCGGCAACAGCGGCTGGCTGGGGATTCCGTCTTCCATGACGGGCTCCAGTTCATCATCCGCCAGGACGTCAACTCGTCCGATTAAGTCTCCATCCTCGTCCAGAATCTCACCACCCTCGCCCACAATCTGTCCAATTAGATCTTTCGGATCTCCTTCAATCACCTTGCCAACTGGCTGTCCAGTTGAAGTCACAATCTTGCCCGTTTCATCAACTGAGAGCCCTTTCAAATCCCCCACGGTCTTTGCGATATTCTTAATGTCCGAGCTATTTGGCTTCGGTACGGTATCATCGAGACCTACTCCTCCCCGGGATTCCCCCAATCCATCGGCTCGATCCCCTACCTCCTGATCCCCAATTTCGTGGGAGGTCTGTTCTGTGATTCCCTGTGGAATATGATCCTTGACCGATTGGGCACCTTTGGCGAACCGGCCCAGTCGACCGGCTGCGGCTTTGCTTCTGTCAACAAACGACTGCTTATGGCTAGATGCAGAACCCGTGGCTGTTTCCGGAGGCATGGCCTGTCTTTGTTCTGGGACTTGGCGTTGTTGATCAAGGTTTTCAACTTCCCACATATCGACCCCTTCAAATTGTCCGCTCTGTCCTTCGTCGACTGTTTTCGTCTGCAGTTTTGCGCCGCCTTCATCTATGAATAATTAGATATGAATTCGGGTATATGAACGCATTGCTCCACCTACCTAACGCAGGTTGACCAGCTTGACCTTTCTGTCCGACTGTTTTGGGGAGTTCAGGAGGGGCCTGCTTGCGAACAGGAGCCTCCTTCGTAACCTCTCCTCTCCCCAGCGAGCTCGGTTGCTTCACGGGTTGATTCGTAGTCGCCATTATTCCTGCAAACGCTCTGCTATTCCAATCCTCAATTATGTACCCCTGTTCCTTCTGCGTATACTCCCTTTCGCTTTGATATGGTTCACGACCCCCACTGTTTCAAAGAAATATGGATAGATGATGTGCCTCGAAGGTAAGGTAATCCATACTCACTCCCTCTTTAGCGCTTTCACTCCATTTAGGAACCTTATATCAAGGTAATAACTACGGCTACATCGTCATCAGCTCCATCACATCTACGTCACTCTATCAAACCACAGGTCACAAAGCGATACGAGACGCGGAAGGGCACGGACAGCCTCCTTGAACTATCCAGACGCAATGACCCCTTGCCCTAACCCTTTATTTGGGATAGCAGGGCTGAAACCACGGTGTCTTCTCCTTGGAACCACAGACCTGGGAAAAGATATTAGGAAGTAGATCATTTGGTCAAGCTTGCGGGATCGATCCCGGCCAGTGTCAACCATTGCGATACGTCCAGTTCGACTGTACCAAGCGTGGTCAGCATTATCCACGCAACCAGCAGTTTAGGCTTTGGTTCGGTTCTACATCCCGTCGAGCTGTGCGATGGCATGGCAGGGGACGTGCGCCTTGGAGATCGGTATCCATGATGGAATGAGGGGTCAATAATTCGGAATATGCGGTCTATTGACTCTATCAAACAACTGCCAGGGATACGTTCTAGGATTGATTCATTGCCGAGGTGATTACTGACTTGGGAGGCAATTTTATCAATGACGCTTCTCGTCGAGGTTCCGTTTTAGGCCATGTGGCAAATACCAATGCATATCCTCATTGTCTAACTTGATATCAGAATCAAAGACATGGATGAATATATGTACAACATGTATTCATGGCACTCCAAAAAGATAGCTGACCGTCCATAGACTCTACGACCATATGCCAGATAGACCGACAATCACAACACCCAAGCTCCATATATTTATCATCTAATCAAGCACTAAGATCTAAACCAAATTAGTCCTCTCCATCCCCCTCAACCACCTCAAAAATCCAGAAAAGAGACACTCACAACAAAGCCAACGTTATATCCCCATGAATCTTCGCTTTCAACTCGACCTCCACATCCAAGTTCAACTCCAACTTCAACTTAAGCCCCGTCTCCTCCTGCTCCGGCATCTGATCCATATCCTGTGCAGCAGGTTGACTCGCCAGCTTTCCTCGAGTTCGTCCCCCTCTATCTAGTACTTCCTCTTCCTCATCTGAAGGTAAGGGTGAAAGCCCGCGTCTGACTGGTTGCAACGCGGTCGATGTATCGGGAGGAGCATATCCTCCGAGCGGGTATTGCTTATTCCTTCGGGATGGTCTCCGGGCAGAAGGGAACGGTTGCGGTTGGTGTTGTTGCTGTGCTTGTGTAACTACCGGGGCGGATTGGGGTTGATGATGCGTGGATGATTGGGCCATGGTTGCTGTGGCGTTCTGTACACTCCTCTCACTGCGGGGGTATTTTCCTGAAGTTAGGATGAGGGCTCCGCTGTTATTGGAATGCAGGATAGACTGCTGTTGACGATTCCAAAATCAAAGATATATTCCACCGAAAACTGACTGCAAGAGAAAAGCCAAGGAGATATACTCAGGAGTAAGGAACCGCAACGTGGGTGGCAAAGAACAGTCAGTCGGGATGTCATGAACCTTAATAAGAAGCCCATTATGATTATTGCCCGAGAACAAAGCGACCCAGTTTAATTCCACAGTAATCAACATCCCTGAACCCTGGAACAATGCAATGGTTTTTCGTATTCTGTCGTCACTGCCCGATGAAATGACATCAGGCAATATTTGCCCCCGCCGCGTTTAAGTTTGATTTGAATGAGAGGATCTGGATATTCCTCTTTTTACCATGTCTGTGCTTGTAAAGCAGTATTCATAAGAAACGGATATATTATTCTATTTTATTTGACTGGCTACAGTCGAATACTTACCAAATGACCGAGGCAATTCCCTCAAGTTCGACTCCTACTCAGAAACGACGCCCACCGAAACTCCAACAACGAGCTCGTCCACCAGCTATACCATCTCCATCTCCAGTGGATCCTCCCATGGACTCTAAACAACAGCTACCAGTTGAACCTGCACCAGCAGAAGAAACAGTAGCCGTTCGAACCGAAACAACGAAATCCTCCCCGGAGACCGAAGAAATGCAAGTATATCAAGAGAGCCGATCAACCTCGTGGAGCGAAGGAGAGCCACAACCCCAACCCCAACCCCAACCCCAACCCGAACCCGAACCTCAACCTCAACCTCAACCTCAACCTCAACCCCAGCAACTCCAACACCACCGACCTCACCCCCCACCCCGAGAACCCACATCCTCCTCCTCGCACTCCAACGCATCCGCATCCGCATCCTACCGCCAACTCCGCCGCCGCAACCAACGCTCCCGACCCAGTCGACAACCCCAGCCGACGACGCTCCCCGCACTAGGCAGCATAGCCGACGTACCTTCGAATCTCACACAAGGCGTGGGTGACTTGGCCGAGAATACCGCCGGAAAGGCGGTTAGTACACTTGGCAACACGGCTGGGAAGGCGCTGGGAAGGAGTATTGTTGGGTCCAGACAGCGGGATGAGACGCAGTTGCAGCCGCAGGAAGGTGGTGGGAAGAAGAAGGATGAGCAGTTGCGGTTACGTCTGGATTTGAATCTGGATGTTGAGGTGCAGCTTAAGGCGAAGATTCATGGGGATTTGACGTTGCAGTTATTGTGAGTTTCCTTTGTTTGGTTTCGTTGGGTGGGATTGGGGTGGTGCTGACGGAGCCGTTTGTAGGAATTAGGGATTAGGGTATGGAGGGGTTGGTAGGATTGTATGATATAGAGATTGGGGATGGGGGTGGGGGTGGGGGTGGGGACTATTGGTTTAATCCTTGTTCTTATTTTAGTTCTTGTGGTATGAGAAATTTAATGACCTGGTAAATGCCCCACTTAGCATGTAAATTATGATATACATTTGGTATGGGACTTTTGGATTGATGATAGTCTGGTCACAGTCGCTACTCGTCCTCATTATGGTCATCAAACGGCCAATGTCGATTCGTCATTTCGCGCTCGTGGTCTGTGTCGAGTGAAGCAAGATGTTGGAGTGGCTACTAAGGCGATTCAACCGTGTAGAATGAGATGGATGATGATCTAGCTAGGGGCCTCGTAGGCCATCTATATGGACTAACTAGCGGTGTAGGGAGGAGCGTCACGTGACCCTACGTTGCCTACCGGCCTGGGAGCCCATCGGGGATCCCAACACAAGACCATCGACTTTCATCTGACGAGCACGGGCACAGGCAGCTTCATATTCTTCTGAAGAGACCCAACCGTCCACACCAATGCCAATAACATTGCGAATGTGTTTGAGTTGGAGATCAGCCTCTCCCTGCATACCTTGTAATTGCATGATGGAATCAGCCTTGATCGTGGAGAATGATATCGGACACCGGTCAGTTGAATATTTGTCCCAGGATTTAGCAACGAGAACGAGGTCGGCCTGAAGTGGGATATTATTCCCCTCCCAGGGCTCGCCCGCATGGTTAAAAGTGCGATGTGTAATCATATTTTTAGCCTGATCCATGGCGCGGAAATGAGGTTCATTGAACCGCTGCGTGAAGGCCAAGTAGAAAAAGTGGGTATGGCGGCGCTGAAAGTCCTGAAAAGCGTCGGCCTTTTCTTCCTCGTCCATGTCTTCGAAATCTGGACGCTGAGGTGGGCGAAAATGAAGCGATTCAGAGTCGTCGTAGTTCTGGAAGAACTTCTGAATCCCGCTGGCGAGGAATAGTGGTAGCACAGATGCGTGTTGCCAGTCAATTAATCCGACAATGTCCAGATCATCAGAGACAAAAATGTTGTTCGGTTGAAGGTCAGGGTGGCGAAGAACAGGCCGTAACAATTCATTCGATGGGAGCAGTGCAGGGGCAATTTTGAGGTAGGATTCTAGCGAAGCAATATGCTCACTGGGGTCGGACAATTGGTAATCCATAGATTCGCGATATGCACGCTCGAATGGGAAGCGTGGCTGGCCGTATGCACGCAGCCAGACCAGTTCTTTTAACGCAGGGTTTCGGAGAACATCGATCGGGTCCTTACCTAGTATATGGTCAGGAGGGGACAAGCTGGCATAGGAGGCACTTACAAGGACCGCGATCAATATGGAGCGAGGCACGCCCTGCAAACCACCATTTAAGAGCTGCATCAGGACCGATGCAGAGATCTGAGTCCGGGATGTCAATGCGTGTTGAGTCCGATGGCAGGTCGCTGGCATAGTATATGCTTCCGCTCGCAGGAAGCTGAATAGCATGAAGCTTTGCTTCTAGCTGTACAAGCTGCAGAAGCACCTTTAGACGTTCTCGATCAGAAAGCTCGAACCACCGATCACCAAGTGGTCTTCCCGGTAGCTTCTCCATGATGATATACCCCGAGCCAACAGGATTTCCAGCATCTGTGGAGTATGCATACACGGGGCACAGGAAGACCATGGGCCCGAAGAAGAGCCAAGGTAGCCACCTCGCTAGCGACTGCCAACTGCTTGGTCCGGTGGAGGGATATGGCAGTCGGACAAGGACCTGAGTATCATCAAGCATAGTGATCTGTAGGACACGATTGAAACCTCCTTCCGCTAGTTTCGACAGACCTTTGATCTGTGTATCGCATCTCCCCAGCGACTGAGCAGCGGCGCGTTTCAATGCATCTAGATTAAACTCCCCCTGGCGCTCGGCGAGACGAACTTTCTCGTTATATCTATCGGTATAATTTATCAAAGCTGGAAGCAGAGGGCGTTGGGCAACTTACATCCATCGACCAGATGTGTATTCGAAGAGTTCACGACTGCCATTCGTCGTTGAAACCTTCCGGGAGGTAAACGTCGAGAAGGACATAGCACATACCCAAAGGGAAAGGGATGTATTGACCGGACATGGACGCCATTTCCATGGTGCCACTTTCGGGGTGGACATGCCGAAGACAGTCTGTTAACAGAAGAGTTGAATGTTGGTCGTTACGGAAGGGGTGAAGCGCGTTTAGTCATCAATCAGGATGTGAGCTAAGTTATAAATATCCCTGGAGGAGGATTAGGGATATCTTCGAGTTACTGCCATGTCGCTGGCCTGTGAGTTATAAATTTATCCTTTCTTTATACTATTGGTTCATCATAGACCTCTCTCAGCAGTGTGATTGGGTGATGAGTTCTCCAGAATGCCTCACTAATTCCGGCCTGACAGCATCTCTATAGCCACGCACTGATTACACTGCCCAGAGACAGCCCGATTCAAATGCCACGCACTACGGAGTAAATCAACTCGGAAATAAAGAATAGCGTACTCCGTATGATAGCCCCTGTCAGATCATCAGGTGACCATCATTCACTCGCTCTGTCATCAATTATCTCATCCGGCCTATCCGAGTTCATTCCATGCTCCCACACAACAATCCATGCCGACCATGTCGTTGGAGCTGGATACGCTGGATGTCGTGAACGCGACACTACTAGCGGGCGCAATTAGCAGCCCTAACCAAGCCACCACTGACACCAATAATGCGGCGCACAAAACCCCCTCAACTCCTGAGCAGCGGGCAGGGCATCAACCCTCCAAGTCTACGATCGCATGGACCATGTTATCCCTCTGCCTGTCTGTCATGTTATCCGCTCTTGACCTAACGATCGTCACCACCGCAGTGCCAGCCATTGTGAGCACTTTCAAGTCCGCTGCCGGATACACCTGGGTGGGAAGCGCTTATACGCTGGCCTATGCATCGATCACCCCTGTGTGGGGATCTGTCGCCGATATATGGGGCCGAAAGCCCATAATGTTGATTAGCGTTGCTATATTCCTCGTTGGTAGTCTCCTCTGTGCACTCGCTCCCCACATGAATGCGTTGCTTGTCGGGCGTGCAGTTCAGGGATTGGGGGCCTCTGGTATGGGAATCATGGTGAATATCATTGTCAGTGATATGTTCTCGTTGCGTGATCGAGGGCTATACCTTGCTATCACGTCGCTTGTGTGGGCAGTGGGAAGTACCGTCGGTCCGGTATTGGGAGGGGTTTTTGTGACGAAATTGAGGTACGTTTGATAACGTTTAATGAGAGCTGCGTATAACTGACCTATTGTAGTTGGAGGTGGTGCTTTTGGATCAATTGTGAGTTATCTAGCCAAAGTTTTGCTCAATATGATTCGTGCACTAACAAGTGGAGCAGTGCCAGTCGGAGCAATTTCCTTTACCGTCTTATTAATCTGCTTGAAAGTCCCAAACCCCAAGACCCCCATCGCAGCCGGGTTAAAAGTCATCCACTGGACAGGAAGTCTACTCATCATCGGCGGAGCATTAATGATCCTCCTGGCGTTAGACTTCAGCGACGTAGTCTACTCCTGGTCATCTGCCACCGTGATCTGTCTCCTCGTTTTCGGAACAGTAGTAATGGGCCTCTTCATCGTGAACGAGTGGAAGCTCGCCACGAACCCCATAATCCCCTTCTGGCTATTTGCATCACCATCCAGGGCAGCCCCCTACGTCGTGTTCGCCTGCAACTCCTATGTCTTTATCGGACTAGCTTACTACCTCCCCCTCTACGCACAATCTGTATTAGGAGCAACAGCCCTAACTTCAGGACTCTATCTCCTCCCCCTAATCGTCTCCTGCTCCCTCGCAGCCGCAGCCGCAGGGATCTTCATGCAACAAACCGGCAAATACCTCCCAGTGATGTACATAGCCCAGGTTCTACTAGTCCTCGGCTCTGGACTCCTGATCGGTCTACACTTCGAGACCAACATCACCAGACTCATCATCTTCCAAGCTCTGGCAGGGGTCGGAGTAGGAATGAATATCGAAGCCCCGATACTTGCTGCTCAAGCTGCCACCACCGTCCGGGATACAGCGGCAGTGACTGCGACGATGGGGTTTGTTCGGTCGCTGGCTACGGCCGTGTCGGTGGTGATTGGGGGTGTTGTATTTCAGAATCAGATGAATGCGGTTAATGGGGATTTGGCTGAGCAGATTGGTGTCCAGCTGGCGGGGAAATTTAATGGCGATTTGGCATCGTCGAATGTGGAGCTCATTGGGAGTCTGGAGGGGGATCAACAGGTCTTGGTTCGGAAGACGTACTTTGGGGCTCTGAGAACGGTGTGGATTATGGTGAGTTCACATTGCTTTGATTGGTAATTATGGGCACTGATATGCTGGTTTATAGTATGTTGCGTTTGCTGGGCTGGCATCTCTCCTTAGTCTGTTTGTTCGGGCTCATGATCTTAGGAGTGAGAGTGAGGGTGCGGTGTTGGGGGCAGAACGTGGACAGACTGTCCGTCAGTCAGGCAACGATGGGACTGGAAGTGTCGGGATAGTTGAAGCTGATTGATGATAGTCGAGTATTTTGATGAGTCTAGCCGGGGAGATTAGAGGAGTGGCAAGATATATTTCGAGTCTAGAGTTTCAATCAACCGACAACAGCGGTTGTTGCAAGCCACAACTAGGTTGAATTCGAGCACCTAGTAGTCTTCTTACACCAGGATCGGGTCACAATTAAATCCGACAACACTCCAGAGAGACTCCGTTAGGGCACTGCGAAACATTGGCAGTTAGAGCCTGAGGCAGCAAAGGTATGTGCCGGGGACCCCACTTCTTTCCTCATCAGGACATAGGGCTGTGTCGTTCTTCCCTGGGAAGATTCAAGGTATGTCGACCATGTCCTAGGAGAATCCCGCTGATTTCCTTCACTTTGTTGGTGAAATTCCGTATTGTCAAATCACAGTGTGTTTAAGGCAGGGCTAGATCCCGTGTAATGTCGTCTCACCCCGCAAATATCCGTGAATGAAGAAGAAAGCACCGGAAGAATGAGAAACATAACAAAGCTACCTGCAAGAGCAAGGAAGGACGGCAAATTATCAAGTGTAAACCTTATTAGCCTAATTGCTGTCCATTCATTATTTAGTGGCCCTCTTCCCACTCGCAAAGATTCTGCTACCTAGACATCGTGAGGTCCTTGTTTTTCATCATGGTGTCAACTAATATCACCTCGCTCCCTGTCGAAATACCGAACCGCATCTGCCAGGACATAGACATCTTAGATCTCTTTGCCCTGCGATTGAGCTCCTTCTCTCTTGCTTTGAAAACACAGCATCACTTCGCCTTTCGCGCCTTCGAGAAAATCCTTTTGGTCCTCACCAGTGATGGTCTACAAGTTCTCAAACATATAGCAAGCCATGAGGTATTCCGCAAGCACGTTAAAGTAAGTGAATTAAAGCTACCATACCATCGGTGAGTGTGACGGAGACTAGAATGTAACCGGTGACCAGGGGCTGTGGATCGTGACGACACATTTCTTAGGAAATCACGAGTGGTCCGCAGAAGACATGGATCATCTGCAGCAGGGGTATGCGACACATGCGACAGATTCAGAGAAACGCAACTTCAGGGAGGAAACTGTTTCACTACCTGAAAGATCAAGGGAGGAGCGTCACGCCCTCTATCAGGATGCCGTGGCAGATCACCTTAAAGTGAGAGATGGCCAGGTTATCCAAGCCGCACTCGAACACTGCTTACCCTCTTTCACCAACCTTCACATAGCTGCCCATTTGAATGTTGGAAGACCTCCAGATGCACCTGGAAGATTTAAGGGAATTAGGGGGTTAAGAAAACAGCTGCGGTTCGACCCCCTTCATGTCGTGGGAGGGGAGAGCAAGCATTCCCATACTACTAACGCGAAAATCCTTTCTATTCTTTTAGCTGCAATTGCATCCACAAAGACCAAAATCAAATATCTCGACACGAGTACTGGGGACCTGGTCTGTCCGGTTGCTCACAATGGACTACATTTTACATCTGCGGAAAAGGTCTTACTGCTTCCAATCATACAGACTTTAGTAGGGCTGGGGCTGTACTGCTCGTCATCACATAAAGATTTACTAGCACAAGAAGCTCTTGAGCCTAACTCAGATGGAAAGAGCAAGGATACCTTAGAGTTTTTGGCGAAGGCTGCACCGAATCTCAAGACTCTCCAGGTTCGCTTCGACAATCGCCACAAGGCTGAGGATGATAGAGAGCCCTTGGTCGATCAGCACTTTGTCTGGATGTCCCAGAAGTTCCATTTCTCGCGCCTTTCAAGGCTGCATTTATTTAACATCAGAACAACAACGTCGTCATTGATGCAGCTACTACGATCGGCCATGCCAACCTTGCGAATCTTCGTGTTTGGGTCAATTACCTTGAGACACTATGGGAACTTCCCTTCTCCTATGGAACGCGACGACGAATTTTTCGACAACGGGGTGAGGGTCTGGCGGGAAGTGCTCAACCTTGTGCGGGATCAAGGGTCACTCCGACAGCTGGGTGTCGATAAACTGATGTATCAAAATCAACGGATTGGTATAGCAGACCCAATCCATGGTCCAAAGGGATCTAAGCCACTAACCAAGGTAGACATCATTGCACATTATGCTGAACGCACCGCGCATGTCTCAATTCAAGACTGGATTGACGAACTCAAGCTCTTCGCGATGGACGAGATACTCCACGAGCCAAGACCTGCTGACATACAAGCACCGGTTAGCACCTAGCTATGGCTCTTAGTCCACTTGATAAGTCGTGAGATGCTGAGAATACTTTGAATGTTCATTTATTCTTCACTCTCCTTAGCAAACATTGTGGTATCAGCTGTCGTGTTCCATATCTTTGCAACTTTACCGTGTTTCAACGTTTGTCCTTTGAGTATCTAGTCAGAATCGATTTGATACAATTCACTTTTCATTATGATGAGCAATGTAAACCTCGCTTTACCAACCTGAACGCCATCTACATTATCGAGTACCGTAGGCGATTATCTTCCCAGCAATTCCCGGCTTGATTTCGATCTTTTAAGCTCATATTTCTGAGCAGATCGACGCAATACTAGGCCCATTAAACCCTAGATTGATATTAACTCACCAGATATCCACCCCTAGAGTTCAAGTATATATCCTAATCAAATAACCTAGCGCATCCTCCTAATCCTGACCACAACCGTTTATTTCCGATGCTTTCAAACCTGTAGTAACATAACACAAGCCATCTTAATTGTAGCTATAAGATTTCCGTCCACCGCTTACCGAGTTCATTGTTGTTGATACAATACACACAATATCATCATACGACCAATCCAAAAGAGCTATCCTCACCCACACGCGACTGCAAACCCTGAGATTAAGTTTCTCCGTCCCTTTGAGAAAGAATCATGGTACAAGACCATGTCAAATTCTACAAAAGGGCCTATCATTGTGTGGACTTAATCCATTTCCTCTTCGTTTCATCAAGCCAAGAGATGAAATATCAGTGAATACCCTATGAGAGTCGAAAAACATGCAAGTAACACCCCAACAAGACAGGCTGTTGACTAGATGGCGCAAGGATTTAATGTGTCATGTGCTGCTGTGGCTGCTGCGCTTCAAATTTACTTAGACCGGCAGTGTCCGCGATCAGGTAGCGTCTCTTGGGTCGACCACTTCCGCCACAACCCGATGTACCTGCGTTTTCGAACTAGGGTATGTAACCAGTATATAAGTCGAAGAGAAAAAGAGGATAGTACATACGACCACAGGGTGTGGAGAACAGGGCTTCCCGTCCGCTCAGCCGTACTTAAGCCACACGCCGGGAGGTTAGTAGTTGGGTGGGTGACCACCAGCGAATCCCTTCTGTTGTATGTTTTAAACCTCTTCTTTTTTATTCATTCGTGTTTCTTTTCATTTTTGAGAAGCCTCTATTCTATCTCGCTGGAGAGGGTGAGGACAGGACCCTCCATGTAACATTCCGCAGATTTCCACATCTATAGGGACCTAAAGCCCCGTCGATACATTTTGCCATGGACAAGATCAATCATTTGTCCTTTTTCTTTATTTCCTACGCATTAATTCTAGGGTGCTATAATTCCTAAGCATCGCACGACTTGTCAAGTCGACTAAGAACCATATCAAGGGGATAGTTACTGCATGTATGTCCACCAAAATATATGACCTGAAGACAGAACAGAGATTAGGATATATATAAGTATATATATATTTTAGGCAGATTGAGCTTCACACATTGTGTCAAAACCGAATATTCACAGGGAGAGGTTCCATCTGAAGATGAAGCATCGTCTATGTAGTCAATTGGCTAGTTCAACGACGCGATTAGCATTCCAACACGGCCCTCCTGCGACCGTCTGTCAAGCTATGTATCTATCCAACCAGTGTATCTTACATAAATTCATGTCAATCGAATGGCGGATCAACCCAGATCGGTACCGGGGGAGGGGGCCAAGTTGATTTCCAGCGCATTTATGAGATGGTTCATGCCGGTGATCTTAGGGCTTTGCGTCAGCCATCATAACGCATCCACGCGCACTCTGTTCCACAGTCCCAGCTGTCACCGCTGGTCTGCTGACCATCTTGAACCCACTGTCCTGTGCCCGGAGGAAGTGCGAATCTGATAACGCATCTTGATCGTCTAGGGTGAGATCTAGGAGGACTAGTTCAGACAGCTCCCGGCACTGGACAATGTTCTTCAACCTCATAATCAGTAAGAAGGTTCGACGGAACCGTTCTTCTGCATTGAAAAGCGGGTGACCTGCGACCCATCCGTCAGGTCTTTGGTCACTGGATGGAGACTATAGCCGAACAGCCACGGCAGAACCACAAAGCGTAGAAGGTAGTAGATCACACCGAGTCCCAAGATCCCTAGGGCCACCACTGGACTTAGCCAGTACGGGATACTTGATTTGCTCGTATTAGGAGGAACAAACGGCATGACCAAAAGGAACTGCAAAGATCGGTACTGTTAGAAAGCGATGCTGGAGGGGGAAGCCAGAGTGACATACGATGTTGGCGGCCAGGTAAAAGGCAATGACTGCCCATGGCGCGGTGTAGGACGATGACCACCCCTCGGACGGTGAGAGCCGCATCTTCACCAGACCCACCGTGATGGCCGTCAGCATCACGCACATGGGATAGGAGGAGAGTCCGACGACGAAAGAAAAAGCGTCGCCCGCGGGTGGAGCGCAGATGAACAAAATCGTAACGCCCAGGTGCACGACCAGCGCTGCGATCGGGGTCTTGAATGGTCGGTTCTGCATCATAAGGTCCGGGAACGGGGTGATGCCATCCTTCGCGAGCTCTTGTAGCAGGCGTGCTGAATTGCAGATTGTTAAGTTAAACTGTGATATGCGACCCCGGGGTGGAACAGACTTACGGACGACAAATGCGACCCCCAATAAATGGCCGATAGCGGACAGAGCCACGAGGGCAGGTAGGGCTCGGGTTGCGGCAGTCTCGCCAAACACATTACGGAATAGGCTGGCCGCAATGGTGACACTGGCAGTTCGGAATTCCTCCTTGGACACACCAGCAAACTATGGGGAGAAGGGATAAGCTACTGTATCCCGAGCATGACTTGGTAGGAGGGCAGGACTCACATAAGCCACATTGGCTAGAACGTACAGGACCGTGATGATACCCATGGCGCATGGGAGAGCGATGCGCAGGGTCTGTTCCGGGTTCTTCACCTCGGAGAGGACGGCATTGACATTGTCGTAGCCTTGATACGAGAAGATGGCGTCCAGAAGAGCCGTGCCAATATCATATCCGTTATTGGAGGTGCCGGAAAAAGATGTCTTCACGTCGAAGTTATGGGGATTGGGGATGCGTCGATGACCCGCCAGAGCGGCAAACCCTGTACATACGATGAACAGTAGAGTAAAGAGCTTAACCATACTCAGGAGATCCTGCAACCCCCGCCCAACTCGGGGAGCGACCGTGTGGACGCCGACTGCAAAAGATACAGCCGCAATGGCCAGCCCTCGTTCCTTCCAGGTCGTCGACTCGACTCCAGCAGCGGACAGGAGATACTCTGAGGCAGTGATGGCGTTGCTGGCGGAGACCTGCAGGAACAAGCAGAAGAAGAGGTAGATGCACGTTTGCATCCGCTTGGGGGCAAACGATCGCTCCAGATAGACCTTGATACCCCCCGAGCGAGGAATCGCACTGCCGAATTCCAGCATCACCAGGGCACCGCACGCCGAGATGATTCCGGCCACCACCCAGAGGAGCAGCGACAATCCCACACTGCCGGAGAGCTTGAAGATGGTCGACGGGGTAGAGAAGATACTATCCATCTGTTAGTGAATCCAGCGAGGTGAGGGTGAATGGACCAACCCGGCGCCAATAATCTTGTTGACAATCAGGGAGATGGCTCCCAGCACTCCAATCTTACGATCCTGAAGCACATGATTCTCATTGACGGTGAGTCTCTCCCCGCCCTTTAGACTGTCATCGTCGGGGTGAGACGCCTCGGTCTGAATTGTTGCGTGGGAAATCGTGTCGCTACCCATTTCGACTGCCAGCCCCAAACACGCAGCCTGCGAATGCCAGGTCGTCCCAGAGTGGGTTATATACTTATCCGATTGGATTGCGTGATAGAGGCCAGAACATGATGAGATCTGGAACTCCCTCGGGTTTAGTCCGAAATCGCTGGAGCTGCCAAGATGGCTGAGTACTAGTGGATGAGTTCAGCTGCAGGTGGGATGGCGTTATCCCCGCGGCCCACCCCATCCGCTGCCATATGAAATGGTCGATAGGGGAGGAGGCCACTGTCATTGGAAAAAACACCGATGATTGTTCGAAGATGACTCTTACTTTTCAACCGTTCGACGTGCCAGGCGCCCAGCTAGTGTATGGGCATGCTTTTCCCTATGGACTTGAGGTCCACAGGCCCGATGGAGTCAGCAGTGATGTGACGACGGTTGATGATGCCGTCACTACCCTTACTGCCTTGGCTGAGTCTGGACGCTTGTCCGAGCTGTTACAGCAACATGGCGCTGTGCTCGTCCACGGGGTCGGCCACCCATCCGCGGAGACCTTTGCGCGACTCATCAACGCAGCCGAGCGAGGCCGTGGCTCCCATCCTTTCGTGCAGATTGGACTGGCAGGCAAACGAACCCTGGTGGCCGAGAATATTTGGACGGCCAACGAAGGACCGTCTGATCGCCGATTCTACCAGCATAATGAGGTAGGTTGCCGTTAATCCATTGAAACAAGTCCGCTGGCTGATGTATGTCTCTAGTATTCTCGTTACACGCGCTTCCCCGCCAACATCCACTTCTATTGTCAAAATAAAGCCCCGCATGGTGGTGAAACCCCAATCGCGCACAGCGCGTTGGTCTACGAGAGGTTACAGGAAGCAGTGCCTGCCCTCGTGCGCGATGTCCATCAACGGGGTCTGGCCATGAAGATGATTTTCCGGGCCCCGGGGCATGAGGGCCAGGGAAACGAGTTCAACTGGGCTGGCGAGCACAGCTTTGGACAGGAATTCGAACCAGACGATGATCGTGAGACGCAGAAAGCCAAGGTAGAGGTTCAGGTGCGAAAGCTCACGCCTACCTTTCGGTGGCTACCAGATGATGCGCTGGAGTTGACCCAGCACATCCCGGGTATGTTTTCCTGTTCTCCCGAGAAGTATCTGCATCACCACTGACTCTGCAGAAGGTATCCGACGATCTCCTGCCAGCGGACGACCCGTGTGGTTCAACGGGCTAGTCGGTCGGTATGGTATGACGCGTGATCTGGGAGCTTTGGAGCCACCGTACCTGGGTCGAGATGGAATGACATGTAAGTGCTCATGAGAATGACAAAGAGCCATGGAATGGCACTGACCGGTCATAGATCTGCCGTGTGACTACGGCGACGGAACCGTCATTCCTTCGGAGTATTTGCAGCAGTTGGAGGAGGTAGTGGATGGCCTGGAGATCAATCTGTGTCTGGAAGAAGGGGATCTGCTGCTGGTGGATAATCATCAGGTGTCACACGGGCGCAAACCATGGGTGGGGGATCGTAGAATCCTGGTGAGCATGTGGGACGGAGGACAGGCACCGATTGATGTCGTCTGAGTGGATGCATGCGATGACGTGCTGCCCCGCACTCAATGCCCCATCGCAGTTGGGAATGTCGCCATTAGACAAGATAAGAGCTCATCGGAACCGATAAGAACCCCCCACCATCCAGCGTCGCTGAGATAGATCAACATACTCCCTTACACACACACACACACACACACACACACACACACACACACACACACATCCACTCACCATGGCTGCCGTTCAGACTCTCGTCCAGCCGGATATTCAATATCATCCTGACTGGGATAAATACCAGGCTCGGACTGCTCGTCGCACCGCCACCGAGACTCTCCCTAAAACCGTTCCCCATGGCTTTCCCACAGAACTAGTCTCCAACCTCGTCTGGGAAGGTTGTGATGTCGAAGGCCGCGATGACTGGGTGGTGCGTTTGACCGAAACCGAGTTGGATGAAATCGACGCCGCCTTGCAGAGCTTTAAAGGTAGGTCGGCGCACCACCAAGCCCTAACCCCAACCCTCATGCATCAAGTCTAATCGATTGCTTCCCCAACTTTGCAGCACGCAATATCCCCTGGGGAGCAATCGACCAATCCACCTTCCCACTGCCGACTTTGCATGATCGCCTCCGACAGCAATCGAAGGAGTTGCACTTGGGCCGGGGTTTCTTCGTGCTGCGAGGACTCCGCATCGACCAGTATTCGCGCGAAGATAACATCATCATCTACGCCGGTGTCTCTGCCCATGTCGGCAACGTGCGCGGACGCCAGGAGGACCAACGTTTTTCCAATGGTACTTCTCTGGTTCTCTCGCATATCAAGGATATCTCCGGGATTGCTGCCTCCGGCACCATTGGCGCGCCATCCAACACAGCCGACAAACAGGTCTTCCATACAGATGCCGGGGATATCGTCTCCTTGCTTTGTCTCCATCCGGCTGCGTCCGGCGGCGAAAGCAAGATTGCCAGCAGTTGGAATGTCTACAATATCCTCGCGCGCGAGCGACCGGATCTGATTCACACCTTGTCGCAGGACTGGGTAGTTGATGGGTTCGTATGACCTACAATTTTAGGTAGAGTCGCAAAGTGAAAACTGACAGAACGACACAGTTTTAACAACCCCGCCGCTTCCTATACCAAGCGACCCCTGCTATACTTCCAGCCCGGCACCGAATCAACCCCGGAGCGCGTCCTCATTCAGTACGCCCGACGCTATTTCACGGGTTTCCAAGCCCAGCCCCGTTCCGCAAGCATCCCACCTATTACCGAAGCGCAAGCCGAAGCCCTGGACGCATTGCATTTCTTGGCTGAGAAGCACAGTGCTGCGCTGGATTTCCAAAAGGGAGATGTTCAATACATCAACAACCTTAGCATTTTTCACGCACGGAATGGTTTCCAAGATGAGCCTCGCAAGGAGTGGGTGGCCATTTCCCATTGTGGTACTGGAGAGAAGAATTTGCTAATTCATGAAATTATAGGCGTCATTTGTTGAGACTGTGGCTGCGCGATCCCGAATACGCGTGGGAAACTCCCGAGCCGCTGCGCAAACGGTGGGATATCGTCTACAAGGATGTCCGTGTCGATGAACAGGTTTTTCCTCTCGAACCGAGATTGCGGAAGACGGTTGGGGCTTGAGGAATGCAGTAATTATACCATAACCTGAAATTAAATAGATTTACTCTTTTTTGCCTAGAAAGCGCAAGTCAATGGTATATATTGTGCTGTTGTGGCCAATGTAACCACTACCTTATCAGGTGAACTCTTATAGCTGTGTAAAGGTGATATGAAAAGGGCGGAATTGGCTATGCAGAGCAAAAACTAAAACGAAAAAAGCATAAAAACATACAACAGAAGGGATTCGCTGGTGGTCACCCACCCAACTACTAACCTCCCGGCGTGTGGCTTAAGTACGGCTGAGCGGACGGGAAGCCCTGTTCTCCACACCCTGTGGTCGTATGTATCTACCACTAAAATCAATCGATAGACATGGAGTTGATTATCGGGAAGAATAAATGCAATCAGGATTCGTTGACGTAGACGTTACACCTCTAGGACTGATTACATTCCCTACCAGCCTGGTGTTTATGTGATCGTCAAGGTTCGGTTTCTCTGGACCAAATTCCCTATCTCGTATCTAGAAGGTGTTAAAACCATTGAACTCGAAAGTGGTCCGGATCTAGACTTGGCATGGAGTCATCCCCAAGTAAGGGCAGCCAGATTCCCGCTGGTGCCTCGGTTGGAAGCGGGGACACCAATCATGGCGCCCGTTTTGGAAGCTTAATCTATAGCTGAGAATCTTCTTTATTGGGACAATGAGGCTGAGAGCATTTTCTCTTGGTCGAGTGGTCTTGATATATTAAGGTTACGAGATCTTCCCGTGGAATATCAACCTTGTGTTGGCTTGGCGTGGACCAACCATGGTACGAGTACGACGGCCAAGATGAGGGGTGCGAGATTCCAGTTGACTTGATATCACGGTAATGGGCAGGTAGTCCTCCTGATGACATGCTAAATATTCAATTTTCTTTCTTTTCCAGTCATGCGATCCGGGTCGAATCTAGATGAGACAAAGGACACGAGGATCTATCCATGGTGGTTTGAGGAGGCTTAAATGTTAATAGGTCATGTGCGCGGAGAGCTTACTGGCCCAGGACATTGCAGGAGCTTGATAAAACAACTTGATCCAGATCGCAACGTCATATGATAAACCCTGTCGGAGTTTCAAGCTCTTCATGATGGGTTTGCGCCAAGAATATGCCACCAACCCTTGAAAAGTATAAAGGGGGCGAAAACAACACTACTATACGTTGAAGCTGATGCTAGCTATTAGCTATCAAACATTTTATTCAGACCAATACCTTCCAAGAAAAATAGAAGTATCTCACCACCAATAATGCCAGGGCGCATTCATCTAGTCCGCCATGCAGAAGGTCTTCACAACCTGCGACAGGATGTCAGCATTCGCGACGCTCCTCTCAGCGAACGAGGTTTTGACAACGCCGACGCGATGGGCCGGGACTTCATTTCCAGCCACTCTGATAGCGTCGGCGCAGTCATATCCAGCCCACTTCGCAGGTCGATGCAGACATCCTTGATCGCATTCCGGCGCATCTTAGACTCTAAACAGTATCCCGCCAATACCGGCGTGAGCGTTCAGTCCGGAGTGAGGTTGGTCCTAGATCCAGTGCTGCAGGAACTTGGCGACTTGCCCTGCAACACCGGCTCCCCGGTGAATGACCTCATTTCCGAGTTCCCTGCACTACCTCAGCTCCGGCAGCTTGATCCGAATTGGTATGACAAGTCCCGACCTATATTGCCGTCCGCATCGCAGAAAAAACAAGACATCTTGAGAAAGCTGGAGAGAGCCCAATCAAATTTGCTCGAGCATACTCAGAGAAACGATATCGTGGTAGTCACTCATGAAGGGATTATTCGTATCACTGCACCCGGCATAACAATTTCCCCTGGACAGTGGAGAAGCTTCGAATTGGTTAGAGACGATAACGGGACGCTGTCATTGCGCATACTGGCAGATGGTAATCTTGTGGAAGAATCACTCTGCGAATGGGAGGGACCTGACGGACTGCTTAATGGTTAGTGTCTGGCTCTGGCTAGTGAAGGCCTTTCGAATGGAGGCCGCGTTAACTCTCGAAGTCGTCAAATTCTAGCTCACTTGTGTATTATTGAGATTGATGGAGCCCTACTGGGATGAGATTACCTGTAAATGCTGGGGCACATTGAATTAACGTGCTGAATGCCGCCAAATTATCGGCCTAGGCCTGGAACGAATTGAGCGTCACTTCGATTGTCAGTTGTGGGGCATGCTTCAACTCCAGGTCTGCAAGGATACCATTCAAAGCCATGTACTTTAGGCAAAGCCCCTTCTGGTTATATAAATTACCTTCTGACATGTTCGGATGGTGGTCATCTTGTCAACTAGTACCCGAGCTCTAAGAAAATGCCAAGTCGTCCACCGTCTGCACCTGCCTCAGAGGACCAGTCTAGAACGGGACTGACGTTTCTCACGCTCATTCCTAGATTGTGAAGAGCCAATTCCTCGATAGAAGCGAATCCAGATTCACTTCTGTTTGCAGCGGGAGAGTTGCTGAGCAAGTACGGAGACTCGTATTTTATGCTGGCCTCCGACTGGATAAACAGACATTGGCTCGTATAGCTGCTGACCATTCCAGGAATAAAGACTTTGTCTACATGGCAAGCTTTCACAATATGATGTTGGCAGGTGAGATGTAGTCCAAGGGGCCTTCTACATTACTCTGCCCGTCTGACGTGAACATGACCTTGACATATCAAGTGCCCACTGACTTGCCATTTAGGTAGCTATAAGTCTACAGGGTAATCCCGCTTCATTCTCATTTACGATCCTCTGGATAGTCTCACTGCTCAAAAACACTAATTGCCTGCAAGAAGACTCTACTCATCATGCTATTTGACAAAATTCCCGAGGTTGAGGTTGTGCGTACTCAAAATGGAGCACTTCGAAGCTTAGACCATGCGCAGCAACCATGGCCTCCTACCTCTAGAGACCAGATTGTTGAGGGACCCTCTAACCCGCGGAGTGCGGCCGAGCAGTATCTCCAACAGGTGGCTGGAAACTATAAAGTAACCCCTGGCCTGAACAGCCTGACGGACTCTGGCTTCGATCTTCAGTTCGAGCAAGAAAAGACCCGCTTCAAGAGCACGGCAGTAATCTATCGGAAAACCTTCAACCAATGGCCGCTGTGGGATGCTCAGCTTAGCGTCACTGTGCGTGAAGGAGACAACCGGGTGACCAACTCAAGCAGTACCCTTCATACCGATGCCTCTGGGCCAGAGTTGCCTGGGGATGATGCCAAGTTCCTGAACCGGGCTGTGAAAGAGGAGGATATTTCTCTATCACTGGGTGTACCTGTATGTAAGGATTGCATAGGCTTCACAGAGGAACATGAGAAAAATGAACAGCGCATTCTTGTTTATCGCTATAGCGCAAAGGGTAGGCAAGAGCAGGCTGGTGATTCTCCACCAATCCTAGCCTTTCCCGAAGTGCCTAAAAAGATCCAGGACGGCCACTACTATGTGGTCAGGGAAGCCCTATTCTCGTTTCCTATCTCTGGATATGGGAGTCTCAACTGGAGGGCATTTTTCGAAGTGGAGACGGGCTCCATGATCTACCTGCAAGCGCTCACAGCCGGACTAACAGGCTGGGTGTTTTCCAGGGACCCCGTTACGAAGCTTGGCCACAGAGCTCCCATGCCAGCTGGTAGTGTTGCCGACTTGAACATGCTACGCGACAGAGTGTTGCTTCCCGAGACTGTGACGTCGTCTCCTCAAGTTCTGAAAGGTCGTTTCGCAGTGGTCAAAGATACCAGCTTGTCCATCAGACTTCCACCAACCACAACCACCGGGGATTTCAATGGCAGTGTTGACAGCGACATCTTTGCCGCTGCCAATGCATACTATCATATCACCAAGCTTTTTCGGCTCCTAGGAGAGCTGGGCTTCTCAGTGAAAGACTTTTTCAACGAAACCCAGTTCCCCGTGCCGGTCGATCACCGTGGCTTTGACGATCAAGTCAATGCGCAGGCCCCAAGAAACGCAACTGGCACCGGTTCAGGAGGGTTCATCTTTGGCCGAGCCGATTCCAATTCACAAGTTGGCATGGCTGCAGACTTCCGCATTGCGGGTCACGAATTTGGCCATGGACTTCTCTGGGATGCGATCCATTGGCCGGGCTTTGGTTTCGCCCACAGTCCGGGCGACTCGCTGGCTGCCATATACTCGGACCCTGGAAGTGATGCACAGGATCGCTTCGACACATTCCCATGGAACACGCTCGTTCGTCGCCGGCATGACCGCAGGGTCACTGATGGGTGGGCATGGGATGGACCCCAGTATAGACAAGACAACCTGGCATACTATCGACGCGAGCAGGTCTTGTCAACGGCTCTCTTCCGGATTTACCGAGCCATCGGGGGTGACGCAATCGGTGATATTCACCGACAGAACTGGGCGTCAAGGTACACTTTGTATCTCATTCTAGGTGGCATCGCAACCATCACGACCCGGATGCCCATGCCCTACCAGTATGTCTCAGCCATGATAGCTGCAGATGATGGGGTTGTTCTTGGCCATCCGGGTGACGAAAGATCATCCGCTGGGCTTTTGAGAAATAGGGCTTGTATCATCCTCCGAACATCCCCGACCCGGGCGTCATGACAGAAGGGCCTCCGCCAGCAGTAGACGTGTACATTGATGACGGCAGGGACGGGGAGTATGACTATACTCTACTGTCCGACAATACTCCTGGCATCTGGAATTGGCAGAGGGCTGACAATGGATTGGTCAACCAGATCTCTATCCCGGGGGCGACGAATTACTGTTATGTCGCAGTGAGGAATCACGGAACCAGACCTGCACACAACGTTAAAGTAACCCTGTATCAATCGAACAGACCCGCGCCAACCCTTTGGAAAGCTCACTTTGACGAGCTGAGCACCGCGCAACTCGACAATCCTCTCACTGGGAACAAGCAACAACAACACATCTTCGGGCCTTTCCCCTGGGTCCCCACCAAGAATCCATTCTTCGACAGACATTATATATTGGCCGCTGTCCGTGCCGATGGTGATCTTCCAAACACAGACCCAAACACTGGGTTGGACTGCGCGACTGGACCTACCGAGATTGATAACCTCGTTCCATTTGATAACAATTGGCAATTCGTTACTTTGACCACGTTTAAATAGCTTCTACTGAGGCAGATGACGACGAAATCCGCCCCGTTCAATGCAGTGGCAAAAGGTCTTTGGATTCAGATGACTCTCTGAGCTCAAAATTCAAAAATGATTCCAACTTCTTCAATGTTTATTTATTCTGTTATCGTTGTCAACATGCTGTGGAACTAACAGACTGATACTGACATCTTATCGTATGGTATATATAGCTATCCGGTAACAATGGAAAAGCCTTTGGTTGTAAAGAACATATTTGGAAAGTAGTCCTTTAGTATTTCTACGCTTTCTACACTCTCTATACATTTCCATATCTTTCCTCTACTATACGATTTTTTCTGCCGTTCGAATAGTTCTTAATCTCTCATATAACGTACTTTTCTAGACAAGGACCATAGCTAGGTGCTAGTCAGTCCTTATATGCCAACACCTATTATAAATACTAGTCTACGAACAAGGAGCTATGGAAGCGCACTCCCCACGAGTATTCCTCATGGGAAGAATTAATATGTGGACATTCCTGTTCACAAAGAATCACACCAAACCTGTATTCTGTTTCACCTATCCTATAATCGATTGACACCGCTCAAAGAAATTAGAACCTAACTTATGAGGAGAGTGAATTACCAGCACCCTCCACCTCCTCCAGTTCCACCTCCACCTCCACCTCACCCAACACCCACAACGTGTCGCCATCGGCACTCCGCTGAGACCACAGTTTATACTCTTGTTCCTTCCCCTCATCACGCAGCTCACTCATCCGCGTCAACCGTTGCAACCCCTTTACACCCCCAACCCACGGCATCAACGAGCCAATCGCTTTCGGGATCCGTGGCGCATCGTACCGGCCATAGTAGAGCGCGAACACGGTCACCAGCGCGAGGACGTCCAGCGACATGATGACGATGATGATGAGGATCGAGGTCCTGGAAGGCAGGAAGCCCCACAGGGTGTAGGTGGTTGTGCCGGGGATATCAACGAGCGGGCCGTGCGGGAAGAGGGTGTCGTGGTGTAGGGTTAGGTAGTTGGTGAAGGTTTGTTGGTAGAGACATTGGATTGCGGTGATGAGGGCGTGTGTGGTGTTCGCGGGGTGGGCTTGATGGAGAGCCCGATATAGGGTAGCGGTGTGGGCGTTAGGAAAGGAGGAGAGGTAGTGGGGTAGTGGATGGGGGTGGGTTGTTAGGTTGTAGACGAAGGTGCTCAGATGTTGGTTGAAGCTTGCGAGGGCGATTGACAGATTCTGGTGGAGTAGGTTGGTGGGGGTCGGGGGGTTGTTGGGGATGATGGTATGTTTCTGGATGCGACCGGCAAAGTCGACCTGGATTTCGGAGAGTTGCAGGTTCAGGTAAGGAGTGCAATAAAGAGGGGTGTGAGTCTGGTTATCTTGTAGTGGGATTGAGGAGGAGACGAAGAATCCTAGTCTCTGGCAGTCGGAGTCGTCGGGCCAGGCGTATTGCATTGTTGGCTGTATGGAGTTGATGGGCTCGATAGGCAGCTGGACCGTGCAGTGTAGGGCTGGATTGGTTGAAGGGCTGTATGTCCAGTTCATCATGCTATCAGAGTTGATGGTTGTATTATTTGGAGCCACCACGTCGCAGGTAAGCGAGCTGCCAATCCCATGGGTGACAGTAGTATATCGTACAGCGGTAGCATCAGTGTCCTCGATTGTGAAAGGAAGAAAGAAGGTATCCCTTGTAGCCCATGGTAAACTCAGCTGATTCGACATCAGATAATATACACTGCGGTCATAAGTCCGGAAATCAGGGTCCAGCTCATGGCCGATAAACGTAGCGTCAGCATATGACGTGGACAGATTAGACGAGGCAAGGTATGTATGGACCTGCGGCTCGAAGAGTCCCCCACTGATAAAGACCAGGATCAGATTGAACAGGCAGATCAATGAGAGACCGAGGACAGTGATAGAGGGTCGCGGACCTGAGCGCACGTATGCAAAGACAGTAGTCAGAGGTCTATAAATTGGCACCGATAATTGTTCTGACGAAGCGATGCTCTTTCGTAATTGGAACCAGGGCTCTGCGACGCTCAGGTGCCGGTGGAGGGAATTCGAGAGGGTGTGCACAATGGATGCCAGCATAGTCGGGCCGTAGACCAAGAAGATGGCAGAAAATAGCACTCGGGGAGACTCGAATGAGTCTAACGCATAGAAGTGCATCCAATTGTATGTCAGACCAAATGCAGTAACTATGCCTATGAGCAAGACACATTCCATCACAAACCATGGAAGGGTTAAGAAATGCGGCATCGGATCCCAGCGTGTGGCTAGGGCTGGAGGGGGACACGTCTTGACCGGAGAAGCGATTCTCGAACATAGTTCGATCCGTCGACCGTTCGGGCCACTTGACCACCTGCACCAGAGCCCTTTGGCCCATTTTTGGAGGGTTCGAGTTCTTGCTACATGATAGGCAGGCAGAGATAGCGTTTGAAGCGTTTCAGGGCCAATCAGACGATTAATCAGCTCGCACTGCGCGGCAATCGAGCTAGGGTCCTTATGCAAGAGACTTAGGCGACGAGGATAGATGTAGTTTAGTGTAAAGACCAGCATGAATCCCAGGATCATAATCATTTCCACAATGGCAGCTGTGCGGGATACCACTACAATGCCTATTGGATTCTTTAAGAATTTCCCCTCGGAGGCCACTGCCTGCTGGTTGAAAAGCCTGGTGATTGTATCCATGAACTGATAGTTCCACAGCTGCTCGACTGTCTCCTGATATTGGACAGGGAGGAGAGCACCCGAGTCGCCCACAACTACACTGGATTTAAAGTCCTCGGAGAGCCCTGTAAGGCCATAGTCTGAGGACATAAACTTTTGAAACCCGAGCATGCTGAAGTCCGTGTCGTTCATCTCCCGGATAGTGGATGGGACCAGTTCGATACTCGTGGGAGATGAAACCCTGGCATACGAGACATTAGCGGTCGCCTGTCTGTAAGCTGGCTGACATGCAAATAAAGTGATGTTTGAACTCGGTACTGTCGCCGCGGTCGTCTCTACATCGATCAGCACGCCAAAGAGTCCAGTTGAGAGGCAGCCATTGGCATTGAACATGGATCGGAAGGTTGAAGCTAAATCGGCCTGCACGGGCTCCCAGTAGCGTGCTTGGAATTGTCCATTGCGGGATGGAAGGACCGTGCTTATGGTTAAGCTAAGATTACAAGGCGAGCGTGACCCTATTCCTGGTGTTGTGATGCTGGAGAGGTTCCACGAGAGATCACGTCCTGTTGATTCTTCGGTGGTGATATTGAGTTCTCTGCTGGGTATTGCGCCCATCACCATCGTATGCGCACAGTTCATCTCAGACCAATAGACTGATTGATTCAAACTCAAGGTCAAGAAATCGTCATGCCCGTCCTCTGGGGATGAAAGGGGAGCAATGGCATACGTCACGTTATTATTGGACCATGGGTAAGAACCATGACGAGCATTCTGTGGCGTTCTGTAAGTAGCTTGAAGGGAGAACCAGTTATTTTGGGTGTCCACATCAACCAAATGTGGCCATGTATCCAGAGTTTTCGTTTCCACGGCAATGTCGGAGTACAGAATCACGAGGCCTGAGAGCAGGGCAGGCACGAGAAGGTGCATTGCTAGAGACATTGAGGAAACACATAGCACAATCCAGTGCCGGTTGCGGGTGGAACGGATTGGCGCGAGAACCCCGACGTCAAAGCTATAATTGGTGAAGAGTGCACTGGCAGAGACCATGCTGTCAGGACAGGCCAGTTGGAAGTATGGCTCTAGGCGCAAGACATCTTGGGCAAAGACGTCCCAAAACACCACGATGATGAGAGCCAAAAAGGTGGGTGTATCTGTCCAGGCTCGCCATTTGAGTACCGACAGATCTTCCTCCCGTGCGAACTTGACAAGTCCATTATGGCGATTGGAATACTGACGGAGGATCTCCACAGCAATTGCGATCAATAACATGCAAATAGAGAGGGTAAGCAGGTAGGGTCTGCGCAGAGAACGTGGAAGCCAGCCATTGGGGACGGGATTGGCAGTTGCGGCCGGGACGTCATGCGTCGACTCCCTGCGGCGAACGCACTGCATAGGAGGGGAAAGGCAGGCGCAACAAGGCGTCCGAGGGTCTGCTCATTGCAGCTGTTCGTTTTCTCTTTTCTCTTAGGTGGTAGGTTGCATGATAGCGATTAGGAGCGTGGAAGGTAGACTAACATCTCTGTTGAAGAGGCTGCATGGAGATGTTGATCAAGTGGAAAGGAATTTTCCGAGTGGGGAATATAAAAAAGGGAGGACACCTTGCTGCCTAAACCCTTGGCATTTGCCCCATTGAGCAGCCCAGCCCTGCCATTTCAGGGTCCATTTAGTCTTAGCGCTAGCCTTATAAGGCAAGTGGGGTCATTAAGACACGATCGCTAATCCTATTCTGTCTCGACTTAGTCTTGCCTAGATCTCTACTAGGAAACTTGACCATGGACGTAGCGCACAAAACTTCATACTATATCTCAAGATTATTTCAAACCGGTGCTTAGATAATATACCCTCATCAGGCCCCGCGGAATCCATCTCCTTTATTACTTTATTATTCCGTGATTCCTGTTACAAGATTATATAATACAGCAGTCTCATTGAAATATACTGTGTCGTTCTCAGCACCAAGAAAACCGACCATCAGGTATGAAACCCTAGCTTTCAGTACGGATACTTTGCCTGCTCTCTTTGGTATGCTTGTTTAACAAATTCAATGTCCTTCAATAAGTTATAATTTGAAGTTCTCATAGTAGAAGATGTTCCTCTGGAAGTTCTCCTAATTGAAAAGTAACTTTGCCAATGTTAGTAATCCTTTTTGGATTATTCAGTCTCCCTCCAGACAGCAATACACCCCTGAGATTTACATTCACGGAGACAAGTCTATAGCAGTGACCTTCAGCCACGCAAGTCTGCTATCTCTTAGGGCAGCTCTCACAAATCAGGAGGCAGATTAATACGCAATATATAAGGTACGGAGACTACATATTATCTGATATCCATCAAAACTGCAGCTGTAGATCGCTAACCACGACCACTCCCATTGAATATTCGATGATGAACTGGCAGGACCAGGATCCTGCCGGCTGCTACCACGTGAAATGTCACATTGCCTAGAAACAGTGTCCCCCTTCCCCCTCCTTTGTTCAACATTGATCATACATCCTCAGATCAGGCCTATCCCTTTCATCTACCATGGCTCAAGCATCATTCGAGCTCGACTCCCTCGCTACAAGCACATCAAACCACATCACCAGGCAGCCCTCCATCCAGAGCATCTCCTATCAACCTCCCAACGCCGAATTCTCCCTCCCACCCGTCGACACAGGAAAGCAAGCATGGCTACTCCTAGCTGCCTGCTGGGCCGTTGAAGCCTTAGTCTTCGGTAATACCCCCGACACCCCATCGCCATCCAGCTAACTCATTCTTTCCAGGATTCGGCTTCTCCTTCGGTGTCTTCCAAGACTTCTACACCACCCACCCACCATTCTCGAGCTCAAACAACATTGCCATCATCGGAACCACCACAATGGTCAGCCCCTCTCCCCTCCCCTCTTCGCAACTTACTGTACTAACACCCCCCAGGGAGTCATGTACATTGGAATCCCCTTCGGCCTCACCCCCTGCCGCCTCTACCCCCGCTGGGCCCGCTGGTTCACACTGCTGGGACTCTCCATCGCGTCCCTGGCCCTAGCAACCAGCTCCTTCTGCACCAACACAACCCAACTGATCGGCACCCAGGGAATCCTTCTCGGCCTCGGCGGCTTTCTCGCCTCCTGTCCTAGCACAATCTACATCGACGAATGGTTTATCCACCGAAAGGGCATGGCGTATGGAATCGTCTGGAGTGCAGCCGGGCTAGGCGGCGCTTTTCTCCCTCTCCTATTGCAATCCCTCCTCGATAAATATGGCTTCCAAACCGCAACCAGAGTCTGGGCTTGTATTCTCTTCGTCTCTTCCGCCCCGTTAACCTTCTTCATCAAACCTCGTCTTCCATACGCAGCAACAACCCATCCACGACCGATAAACACCCGCTCCGCCACATCAACCTTCTTCCTCCCTGGAATCTACCTCTCTATATATGCTCGAACAATACTGAACATCTCTGTTTCAACAGGCTATATTCTAGTAAGCCCTCTAACCGATTATCTAGACATCTCCACCTGCATCCTCGTTTCCGCGATAGGAGCCGCAGCATCTGCCCTATTAATCTGGGGCTTCGCATCCTTTCTCCCCGTGCTGTATCTCTTCTGCATCCTGTATGGATTATTCGCAGGATGTTGGACCTCCCTATGGCCCGGGATCATGAGAAGTTTCTCTGCGTAGTGAGCGGCAGGGGCATGGATACGTCGATCCGATGATGGTGTATGCGGGGTTGACTGTGGGACGAGGCGTGGGGAATATACTTACCGGGCCGGTGAGTAATATGCTTATGAAGGGGGGATGTGGAGGGGATTGGAGGGGGTGGGGTTTGGGAGTGGATATGGTCCGTTGATTGTTTTTACGGGGGTGACGGCGGTGGTGAGTGGGGTGGGGTTTGGGGGGAGGTTTTGTTGACGTAGAAGGACTGACTAGCACCTAGCTATGGTGTTTAGTTGGCTTGGTAAGTCGTGAGATGTGTGAAGGCTTTTGGGGTGGGAGTCAAATATGGTGGGTGTGGTGGAGAGTGGTTGTTATTGCCATGATCAGTGTTTCTTAGGCTTTTTCCTAGGAATCTCGTCTCTAGAATTCCAGAGCATCTTGTACAAGGTAGAGGGACCTTAATTGGTAAGGTTATTAATATAGCCTGTAAGATATCTGTTATAGTATTAGTCAGTCAGAATTCACTGCTATTTTTATTAGTAAGACTTTAAGCTTATTGCCCTATGATGGCGCCTTAATAGTCTTCAGCACCTAACATCAAAATATTCACGATCGCTATATATTAATGAGCTCTCCGGTTCCAAGGAATACGTCACTTCTATTGCCATCTTCATCAAAGTTATATTACGCGAAATATAAGGACTTAATCATGGTGGTCTAATGTTGACGTATTGAGGATGTACAACCGGAGGAATATCACTCCGAGCGCTACCAAAGTCTCCGAATTGGTAATACATCTTCTCGTCTCCGATCCTCCGGATCCGGTATTATGTATGTAGTGCCAGAGACAGCAGCAAACATAAAGCTACTTGAGACCTCCAATTCCCTCCCATATATATCAATTCTTCTCTCTACAACTAATCTCATTTCTATTATCCACCAATCCAGCCCCCTTAGACCAACAACACCCAAAATGCCACCACCCACCCCCTCTAACCTTATAGTCATCACCGGCGCCACCGGCAACCAAGGCAGCGGCGTGATCCGCGCCCTCCTCCACCCCAGCACCCCAGACCCAGCCACAACCCCCCTCTGGCACATCCGAGCCCTCACCCGCGACGCCACCTCCCCCAAGGCCCAGAAATTCCTCACCGACCATCAAACCCCCGACAACCGCCTCTCCCTCATCACAGGGGACGTATACGACCCATCCTCCCTCCATACGGCGTTCGCCGGCGCCCATGGCGTCTTCGCCGTGACATCCGAGACCCAAACGGGACGGATTCTCTACAATGAAGACGAAATGAACCATGAGATTGACGCCGGCCGAAATATGGTTCTGGCGGCGGAGGCTTGTGGGGTTCGGCATTTTGTCTTTAGCAGTTTGCCGGATATGGTTGAGGTGACTGGGGGGAGGTATCGGGATATTTATCATATGAATAATAAGTTTGAGGTGGAGAGGATTGCGAGGGAGAGGTTGGGTGGGGGGGTGACTTGTCTTATTCCGGGTTTGTGATTCTGTAGTAGAGTACAGAGGTGGTAGTGTTTTACTGATGGTGAGGTTTGTTTGCACAGGCTTCTTTTATACGAATTTGAGATGGCCGCAGTATTGTAATCGTCGAGGTAGGTTTATTTGAGTTGACGTCATAGGTGCAGGCTAATGTGTATAGCGGATGGGGTTGTTCGGTTCCGGATTCCCATTCCAGGCGGCCAGGTTGCACAGTGGACTGATCCGGTCCATGATATGGGGGTTTTTGCAGCGAGTACGTCCATCTCATCCGAACTGGGTAACAGAGTTATCCATAGATTATTGGAAACGCAACTGACATGATTCCTCATTTGTAAAGAAGTATTCAACATGGGCGTCGAAAAAACCCATGGAAAGACTTACCTTGTGCTAAGCTCTCGTGTCACACCAGAGGACATGGTAGCGACATTCACCAAAGTCACTGGCCAGCCGGCGATTCACGAACCCATATCTGCCGAGGAATTCGGGGAGATGGCGGCTCTCGCTGTCGGACCGGCTTTCAGGCAAGATGCCCAGGATATGATGGAATGGGCTGCGGTGGCGCCGGCCGATAGGATTTGTTACGGGGCCTATCCTGAGGATCGCGATTGCTCGTTCGAGGAGTTAGGGCTGAAGGCTTCGTCTTTTGAGGAGTGGCTTCGCAGGAGTGGTTGGATGGGACCTGCGTGATGGGGGATGGAGTATAGCTCAGTGTAAGAGATGGTAATGATTGGAGTTTGAATTTCGTGAGCTTTAATGAACGTTCATAACTTTCTGTTGCACCCTCCAATATTTCTTGGATATAGTTCCTAGCTGTACACCCGGCGTGCGGTTGAGCGGGCGGGAAGCCCTGTTCTTCACACCCTGGTCGTACGTATTGAACAACACTTGAAAAGGATAATGTCTAATAAGCTGACAGTCTGCTGGGAGATAGATAAGGCAGTGAGCATATTATATCGTAGGTACAAGAAACAGCAACGCTAGTCTGAAACGGGTAAATTGTGCGACTGGCCCGTGCACAGGACCAGTTGTCCAATCAGGATGCGCAGATCCAACCGTAGCATTGCTCATGTCTGCCAGCAGTGCAATACTATCCCCTGTTGGTGCTGATCTCAATTCCATCCTGCAGCACCTCGGGTAACAGCAAGGTAGAGCCCATTGACTGGCTCCCAGCGGCATTCCAGTACTTCCACTCCACTTGACTCATGCGAAGAGCGATGCCAAACCCACTCGCCTCAATGAGGGGATAGATCGCTTGGCACCACAGGAACCTGGCCTTGTCCCCGCAGTCGATATAGCATTTGGAGGCCTGAGATAGCCCCATGAGAACGGCTTGTCCGGCCGACATCCGGGTCGTGGGTTGCATGCAGTAGGCGACAGTGCGGCAGATTTCCCTGGCATAATACAGCATGTAGCTAGGGTCGGGGTTGCGGAAGAGTAGTTTTTCGGTTTGATAGATCATGCGATGGATCACTATCGAGGCTACACAGAACAAAATGTATGTTTTGGCCGTTTCGAGGCTTTCGAATTCGTACGGAGCAAGATCAGGGTCGAGGGGTAGCAAGCTGGGGTCGGGCGTTAGCTTCTCCCTGTGGCAAGGAGAAGGTTTACCGCCCAGCTTGTGGGTGGACTCAAGTATCCAGTCAACATGCAGTCGCTTTTTGAGCTTATAGCAACCCTGCAGCAGTGCTTGGCATGCATGTTCCCGATCCCTGTGCTGTAGCTTGATGATCTTACCCAGATCTCTGCGTAGAAAGATGCATTCGGCAATTACCCCGAAGAGCTGATCGTTCGGGCTCTCTTCCCGTCCCAGGATAAGGCACTCTCCATTCACCTCCGTGCTATATGGCGTATTAAGAATGAACATTGACTGACTCGTAGTTAGTAGTCAGTCTCAAATCGGGGTCTTGACTTACTGCTGCCCACTTCTGTCTTGACACGATCGCTTTGATGAGGGCTTTGTCGGTATGGTGGTTATAGCCATGATGATTTAACATTGCCGTGGCACCTTGTATATGGGTGAGACAGTTGCGTAATACCGTATCACTGTTCTGCATGGTCTAGCTTCCGTCAGTAATTATATCTCCCGGCTTTGATCGACCCACCTCGTAGGTCTGAAAGACAATGGCCGAGTACAAGACAGCCAGCGAGGGTGAATCATCGAACTTCAGCACACGTGCCATCGCATTGAGGGCGCTATTGTATATCTCCAAACCATGATACGCCAACTGGCTATCCCTCATCGTCTTTCCCAGGAAGACCGATGCCAACCCGATGACCGATCGATCCAGCAGCTCGGATTGGCCCGCCATGGTCGGGAACCGGGCCATCAACAAGTACCAGCTATCGTCCTTCCCTTTCAGACAAGCGGATGCGAAGAAAGTGTCCATGAAAGTCGCAAATAGCTGCGTGCGAGCTTCGGCGCTCATATCAAACTGTTCGGGTAAAGCCAGAGGCTTGAGCTGTCCGACCAGCTGGGGTACAGGCCTTTTGGTCTCACCGTTTCGCGCCCGTCGGGACACGACGGTGTGGTGGAGAAAGTTTCGATCGTCATACCCGGGGCAGGGCGTGCCTTTTTTGATGCACTTGGCGCATTCGGGCTTTCCTAGATCACACTGCGTCTGTTAGTCTGACATGGTAATTTAATCAATCATGTGTTTGACTGACTTTGATTTTGCGCTTCCTGCAGGTAGCGCAGCCTGATGAGGTGTAGGGGATGCCGCCCATCTTGCGGGTGTTGGGTCGATCGTTGACACATCGCCGGGGTGTCGGTAGACGGGGTCGATGCAGGGAGATGAAGAAGGATCGGGGGGCCTAATGCAACGAACCCGACCGTCGACAGCAGAGCCTCAAGGGAGCCTCGTCATTGGATCCATCACGTGTTCCCCTTGCTTACGATGCCACGGAGAGTCGGAGACAGCTTCAGGATTCGATACCCGTCTGTCCCGAAAGTATATCTTGTCGTACTTCAGATTGTCATTTGGGCAAGAAGTTCCCAATACGACAGTATTGAACAGATATTTTCTGGCGGCAAGATGCATCCCGCATGCTGGATTCCACATTCTGGATCAATAACCCCTGCACTACTGTATATCGTAGGAAATACCCTGGGGACCCTGCATATCGAAGACTTTAAGTACATGTGGTGCACGGACCTCCGGAGGAGTCTGCGGAGCTATGCCGCTTTCAGCATAGCGGGAGGAGCTCATCTCGGCCTCGGCCTAGGCCCCGGACATCGGAGGAGCTCCGTGCTTGTGTTCCCACCCCTCATTGCATGCACATACTGCCATCACGCCGTGAATTCATTCCTTCTTGAATACCAATCTCCTATCTTCATCTCCCCTCAATACCACCACAAACTCTCCATTCAACCCACCTCCACAAAATGTCCCTCAACGACATTCAAGGCCGCCTAGCCCTAATCACCGGTGCCTCAGGCGGGTGTGTCCCCCTTCCCTCCCCCACCCACCACAGCAGCACCCCAATACTAATAGAACAACTCCAGCATCGGCGCCGCCTGCACCCACCAACTCGCCGCCCAAGGCACCCACCTAGCCCTCACCTACTCCAGCAACCTGCAATCCATCGAATCGCTCCGCACCGACCTCCACACCCAACACCCATCCCTCCGCATCTCCATCCACAAAGTGGAACTTAGCTCCGCCGCGCAAATCACCTCTCTATTCGAGGAAATCGACGCCCAGCACGGCCAACGCCCCGACATCCTCATTTCCAACGCGGGCTACGGAAAACGAATCACGAATGTCTGGGACATTTCTCTCGAGGATTTCGACGAGATGATTACTATTAACCTCCGGGCGTCGTTTATTTTGGTGAAAGGTGTGGTGGAACATATGAAGGAGCAGCGGTGGGGGAGAATTGTTTTCATGTCGTCGATTGCGGCCATCGGTGGGGGGATCAATGGGTGTCGTGAGTTTTATACCCTTTTTTCTTATGTATCTCTTATGGGATGGGTTTGAAGGGCTGACAGGATGGATTAGATTATGCGGCATCGAAAGGTGGTCTTACCGGCATGATGAAGAACCTGTCTACGAGACTTGCGCCATACAATATCAGTGTTAATGATGTTGCTCCCGCGATGATTGGAGATACGGGGATGATTCCTAATGCGGGGGCTGTGCCGGAGGTAGTCAGGGATATTCCGCTCCAACGGCTGGGAACCCCCGAGGAGACGGCCAATGTGGTGACTATGTTGGTGAAGACGGGGTATATGACGGGGCAGAGTTTGTTGTTGGCGGGGGGGTTGAAATGATTGTTTTCGTTGGTTGGTTGGTTGCTTGGGGTTTGGTATGTGATTGTGGAATCAATCAAGCGCATATCCTGAGGCTTGAAGGAATGTATCATTTTCACGGGCCAGTCTGCTGGCTTAGAATTGAGAACCCGGCAGAGAGCACTGAGTGAGATTGTAGACGTGTGTATTGAGAAACGAATTGGCTACAGCTTAGCAAACTCCCCCCCAATCTGGTCGAGCATGGCTGCATGATCCTGGCTATATGTATCTCCCTCTCTCGCAATCACATCACGCACCCACGGCCCACGAGGACTGAACCTCGCCCTGAAAGGTAGAGCTCGCATCACCAAGCCGTACGTACACGCAATTGGATCCACAGGGATAGGCTCTCCCGTCTCCGACAGACCGGCCTCGATATCAAAAGACCAGAGCAGCCTAGCGACGACAATCCAGATAACATTACGGGCGAAATGCCGCCCCGGGCACGTCCGTCTTCCGTAGCCAAACGCAGCAGCAGGGAAGGATTGCAGGGTTTTACAGTCCTCATGGAGCCAGCGATCCGGGACGAAATCATCAGGGTTGGGACCGAACAAAGCCTCTTCCCTGGAAATCGTCCACACGTTGGGCACAATGACAGATCCCTTGGGAATGGTATATCCGTTGTAGGTGGTCTCTTCCCGGTTCATGTGAGGGACGCCCTCCGGGCCAGCGGGCCGCCATCGAAAGATCTCTTCGACGATCGCGCTGATGTAAGGTAGGTTGGGCTTGTCTTCTGGAATGGGCAGTCGGTTGCGTCCAACAACAGCGTCCAGCTCCTTGCGGGCCTTGGCAATAAAGCCCTGGTCCTGGGTTATGCACGCCACGATAAACCAGATCAAGCTATCGGTCGTGCCATCCAGCGCGGCATCAATCATGGTACCTAGCTCAAATGCCAGCTCGTCCAAGGGCATGTTCTGGCCATCCTTTTCAACTGTTTTCTTGAGCTGCTTGGAAATATTCCAGGCATTTGACTCCAAGCCCCGCCGGAAGTTGTCGGCGCGTAGATCATACTTGGTGTTGTAGTGATTCTCCGCCTTGGCCTTCCATGGGGCCAAGAAGCTGGGGAGATGGTTAAGCACCGGAAACTGGTCGACAATATGCGCACCCACCTGGATAAACTCGGAGAATTCATCGTTGAGTTTCACTACGGCGCGAAGGATCCGGTCATTGGGGTCCATGATGCGGAAGCCATACAGCAATATATGGATGATGCTGGCGGTGGTGCGCTGAAAGGGTGCTTGGACATCTGTACCAGCACCACCTGCAGTTTCCAGGAGATCGTGTAGCAATTGCTGGGATTCGAGTGCCTGGACGGGAAGATAGGCGGCTGCCGGTGTTGCATTCAATACGGAGACTTGTAGCCGCTGGTGGTGTCTGAATTGCTCGGTGTAATTCATCATGAGGATGTTGAGGCCTTTCAGGGCTAGTTCCGTCGCCAGCTGGTTTGAATTAGGTCATATTAGGGGAAGATGATGAGAGCTGCGTACAAAAAGACGAGGTCGGTCTGAAAAGGTGGCTCCCCGCTTGGCGAGAAGTTCATGGGCCACTTCCGACGTCGACAAGATGATAAGGGGCTGGCCAAGCATGTTGACGTGAATGATCGGTCCGTATTGCTGGCTCCATTCGTGATACGCTCTCCAGCCGTAGGATTTGGGAGCTTGGTGGACATTGCCAATGATTGGTAATGGCTTAGGGCCCGGCGGTAGTGGCAAAGGCGATGTTGTTTTTGGCCGCTTGAAAAAATATATGCCGATGAGAAGAGAGACAATGGCGAAAATTGTTGCGGACAACATGGTGATGGGATAGAAGGATACAAAGATGGGGTGTGGACAAAGAGTAGATATTAATAACCCCAGTGGGTGGAGGCATGGGGGACACAATCATAGCCATCTGGGGCTGATTCCTGAGCTTATAAAAGGCGGATCCTCAACAGTCGCGCATGAGGCTCATATAGGAGCGCAGCCACTTAGGGGCCCACAGTTGAAAATGAGATTTGGAGTGAAATTGGGCGCCATGTCATCTCGTAGCGTGGCAGCCTTGCCCTAGTTCCATATTTCGTTCGCTCCGTCGGGCCCGCCTGTGGGGGCCAAATAGGATATGGCCACGTCCTGATCTTTATATCCACGATGAATTTACACCTTTAAGGCATCTGATTGGATGACTCATGCGCTAGCGCGTCGGCTGCCCGGGATTTGTGTTTCATTTTTCTTTCCACCTTATTGTCAGATGTCACAAGATCATAACAAATCCTTGTCTACAAGCCCCATATCAACTAGTAGCCAATGGCAAATGTTGATTCCCCTCGTCAGTTAAGAACACGTGGAGGATCCTAGAAGATTGTTGGTCCCACTGTGGTAAATTGATGCACTGGGCATCATTCTCAGATAAAGATGACCGATCACAATCTAACACAAACGCTGGACCCAAAATTATACTCATCTTTCCCCAGCAAGTTATTCCAGTTTAGTTGCACCCCCCGGACATGTTGTATCGATTTTCAAGACTAAAAGTTAATATCGGTGGTGCCTCCCATTGCTTAGCGGCTCCTTATACTTGGTGCCTCCCCCGTGTAAAACGATTTTACATGGGATAATGACGATCTGGAAGAAGCCCACATGCGATGGCTATACCAAACCAATCTACTGAAATACATGCGACGGTACATGGCAGGACTACACTGGGAAGGAAAGACTCCGGCCGCTAGGAGATGCCCCAGGTAAGACAAATGTGACAGTTGAACGGTCTGGGTTGGTGAGTTGGTTCCGTCGATAACTGACGTGAGATGACTTACCCTGTCTTCTATCCATCGACTGGGCAGTTGCCCGTTTCCAGAACTTCTTTTCACGATTCGAGTTGAGGAGTCCCTCCTCATAATCCACGCTGCCTGGAAAGAACACCGGGAGCAAAGCAACACCGGCCTTCGAAATCCATCTCTCCAATTCCATGAGTGCGTCCATCACATCTCGGACGCCGTCTTCCATGACCTTCTCACCTAGATCCGTGTCCGGTTTCGAGTCTACTGGATCCTCTCTTCTCAATCTTTCTTTGGCCTCCCAGGTCCGTTGGTAACCGGTGATTGTTGACCGTGGCTCGTATGCAGCCAGGGCCAGGTTGGCAGCTTCAGGACTGATTTGCACTGCCGAGACCCAGACATTCTGCAGCATGCCTATTCCACCTACGCCGACAAGATACCACGTATGGCTTCCTAAACCCGACACCGTGATGAGCAAGAGGGACCACAATACGGCCAGCGTCAATAGCACCCAAGGTGTCTCAGGCCGCCTATTTAGACGAGCAGACGCCATTGCTTCAGGGTCCCAAGCGCCTTCGTGCCCCTTGATCACCATCACGTATTGGTGACCATTGCCCCGTGTGAGAGCAACAGTTTTCTCCTTCCACAGCTTAGGGGCCGGCCACTTCTCTGCAGCCCATTGCGGCAGCGATCCGGTGATGAGCGCAAAAAGCGTGCCGGATGCCGTCACGAGGAAAATACCCCAATCGCCATGCAGAATCCAAGGTATAGCTGCGATGACTTGCTGAACAAGAATTACTAGCCAGTATACAAACCACCACTTGCCGATTTCAGGGCCGTTATCGTTGGCAGCCCCAGCAACAAAGATATCAATCTTTAACGATACCTTGCCAGTGGAGTCAGATGGCGCCATCGGGGGATTAGACGAGCGGTCTGCTTTTGCGACCCTACCTTCGTAGTCGCGTAGTAGGCGTCCCAGAACCCAGGAGTTATTCTCTCGAACATAGCCATTGCTGAGGTTGATGACTTGTATGTCTGTGTCGGGACCAGGCATGAGCCGGCGATCGCTGAAGATAGTAGATAGCGAAGAAAAGGCGTAGGCGACCCAGCCAAAGGAGAATGCGACTGGGGTAGTATAAATGCCTCCGAGCAAACGTGGAAGGCGCACGCCGACAAGCTGCGCTAAAGCCTTTTGCACGATATCACCACCCACCAGCATCAGCAGGGACATCACGTCTCCTGGGTTGGTCCACTGCGAGCGGAGCTCGCTTGTGACCGAGGTTGAGGCCATACTGCCGGGAAGTCACGATATGCAGGATCGATGGAGATAGGAGTGGAGTAAGATGGCCTTTGCGGTAGTGATGTTGTCTGTTGGTCCTAGTGATGACAGTCTCACAACGTCCGATCCTTTAAACCTGCCTTTAGGCTTCCGATATACAATGTAGTAGAGATCACGGGCTTGGGTTTCAATGATTCACATACAATGTCTTCAACATAGAAGTAATGAAGATCTACGTCAACCAAAGATACACCTCTGAGGTCACAGTTCTCAGGCCTTTAGACCTACAGCTGTCCCAGATGTGTATAGTATCCAGAGGATGTCCAGACGACAATCTCAGGGGGGTATCAACCGTGGGAACATCTCTCTGAGACAGGCTAATGTGCAAGACACGAGGGCTACTATGGCCCAGCCCTCACTGTAAGCTTTTAATGAGCTAAAACTGGTGTCGACGCTCTCACAGGATAGTATCACTGAAAGTGGGTCTCGACCTGGACCGCTCGAGAATAGACTAGCCATGGGTGGAAGCTTCAGACTATGCGAGCGCAGGATTCGTATTCGCATTTGCTCCCATGGATATACCGCGGGAAACTTTGAGCAAGTCTGATCCAGTAGCTTAATGATATGACGATCCATGGTTATTCTAAACCTAGCTTGCACCACCTTATATGCTTAAGTTGACTATAGTACGCTCACACTCTAGAGAACTTACCTCTGGCTCGAATTTTAATTGCAAGTGTTAATCTGAATTGTGGCACAGAATGTAGCTCGTCAGATGGACAGCATAATACGAGCGACTTCATTCGTCTTCCACGGTGCTAAGCAGCAGACATATCCTAGACGGTGTATATTCATCTTTCTCTTCCCTTTCATGGTACATCACAGACGAATATTTGGTCTCCGAGACTGGGGATTCTGCTATCATTGAGCTTCGCATAGCAAGACCCCGAACCGACCGCAGCGTCAATCAAAATGGGACCTGCACCATCCCTGACTGCTATGAACGAGAGGCTCGAAGAACCAGATCAAGAAAATGCAGCTTTCGCTAACGCAGAAGCGGAACTGAATCACCACATAGGACTCCTAATTTGCTACCGGATGATCCGCCTCTCTGCAATCAGACACTGGACTCGATGGAAGAAATACCAGGACCTAGCACCGCACGAGTATGTGGAATACTACCCCATTCGTCAAGAACTGGACCTTGGTGAAGCCTTCATAGATCCCGAGACAGGTGCAGGGCTTTCTACAACCGACCAGGATAACGAGCAACTTGAACCGAAGAGAAAGCTATATTTCATCTCACACCGCTGGCTGGACCCTGTGCATCCAGACCCAGAAGGGTCGCAATTAACTCGAATCCAGCAACTGCCTCCTCGCCGACCCCTTGCTTATAATGCATCATCTGCAAGTAATTCCGGCAGTTCCTCTAGCATGACAAACGATGACCCTGCATCCGAAGTTCTGCTATTCTACGACTTCTCCTCCCTTCCCCAAGAGCCTCGCACACAAGACGAGAGCGAGACCTTCAAACTAGGAATCATGGGCCTCAACGATATCCTCTCGTACATGCGGGTCGTCATTCTAGACGATCAAGAATACATGTCTCGAAGCTGGTGTTTGATGGAATACTTTATCAGCTCTTTCAAAGGAAGTTTGATCCTAGACGAGAACCGCAATGAGGGATTGCACCAGTTACAGCAGCTTGCTGTAGTTCCGAACCAGGGAGTTGGTCTGGCCAAGTCAGCTATAGCCGAAGCTGAAGCTATCAGGGGATCAAAAATGGGAGAAATTGCAATGACGTTCTTTGCTGAGAGCTTCAAAAGCAGTTCTGTCACCAAGGGGACAGATCGTCAGGCAATTGAGGATGTTTTTCGGAGTTTTATTCGGGATAATATTCGGGTCTGGAGACATGAGCCGCACGTGGGATGGAAGCCCGCCTGGTTGCAGGATGACCAGGTCGATCAGATCTTGAGAGGTGAACGCATGCGTTTGATTGATTTACCGGATACAGGAATGCCGGTGTTCAGGATGCCGAGGGAGATTGATAGCGTTGTTCCGTATGTTTTGAATAGCTTGTGTGTGATGCTTGGCTAACCCTTTGCAGTCAATGTGCGTATGATGATGAGCGCGAGGCATTGGAGCCATTTTGGGGGCGGGTTCTCAGTCTCAGGGGAAGTAATGCATTAGCCCGGTACTTTTTATTAAATGACCCGGTGGCCCAAAAGGAATGGGATATGGTGAAGAAAGTGAACATTTAGGGAAATGGTAGTGTGTTCTTTCCTCTGTTTGTTGGGTACGGTATCATTTCTGCCATGCTACATGATTTACTTAATATTAGCCCAATGGAATGGTGCTTATGTTCTGGCACTATCAAAGACAGAATAACATCACCCAGATGTCAGTGTCCGAGTTCATCTTATATTGAGGGTACCATCATGAGTACTCACGGCAGCATTGGAACAGGTCAATATTAGGCTTGCTGGATCAATAACAGAATATACACAGCATTGCAACCTTGCATGAATTAGCAAGCATATTGCAAGTAATGTCGATCCTCCACTTATTCCTCAAATGAGCACGTTTCTGGCTAAATCAGATTAATCCCAAAAACCTTTGCATCCTCACCAACAGCCTTCCCTTGCATCACTCCGTGCAGATAGCAATATCCAACCACAGAAAGGTACTCCTTATCTTTGACCTGCTGACTCTCACCTATAGTGGCTGGAATTGGCATCTGTCGAAGAATAAAAGGCATTCTGCTTCCCAGAATGACAGCCACCGTGTCACCCTGCTTCATGTCCGGTGACCCAAATCCCATATACCCTCGTTTCGTGGTAAATAACGCTCTGTTGTCATTCGGGAGCCAAAATGATCGGGCAATAATTCTCGAGTGTGCTTGCAAGGGATGATAGATTTGTCCGGTACCCGTCATTCTGTTCCTCAAATTATTCCACCACCAAACGAAAACAGTTCCATCTTGTGCTGTGAGCGTCCTATGTTTGTTTGGCTCAGTCTCTAGAGCATTATTCAGCATTGTGCGCCAGAACGCTTCTCTCACGATGCCCCCTCCAACGTAGTGCACATCAGCCTCGGGGTCGTAACCAACTATCCGAGCAAACCTGTCCAGGCGTGCTGCAAGTTGCTCGTCCTGCGAGAGAGGCAAGGTCGTCTCAGCAATGACGTCGACATAAACACCGCGTACAGCCAACACTCGATCATGATAAAGGTCAGCCACGATCCCATTTGCCGGACCAGCATCGAACTTCCAAGAGCGGGAATGCACCCAAAGATCATTCTCCTCGCCATCCTCATTCTTACTCCAGTCAGGACACCATGTGGGAATTTCCGACTCCGTGTCTTTCTTCTCAGCCGTCAATAAGATCTCCCGGGAGTTTTGATTGCGTATAACTTTAAACGCCGTATCAACATACACCTGCCATACATCCAGTGAGTAATCAGGCAAGATGGCAAGTCGATTGGAACAATCCCTCGTCAGGCCCAGAAGGGAGTATATCTTGTCCCGAGCGTTATATGCCCCCCTTGCACGGGTCATCTCCAGAAATATCTGGAGTCGATTGGCCTCGCTATCTGCATAAATGAACCGTTCGTGCCGAAGTACTTCTAGAGCTGCAGTATGCTGTGCAATGGCCAGTAAATGCGCCTGATGATCCTCTGGCAAACTCCGATAGAATTCTCGGCAGCATCTCTCAATGTGTGGGTTGATCATCGAACCGCCTCTTTCGATGATGTCCAATGGCGCCACTACCTCGCCATAGATTGTGGTTGCTTTTTCAGGTAGGATGACTTCCTCGACAACCCAGACCCGCGTCCACCATGGACTGCTTGCGACGTGATGGAGTACTGAAAGGGCCTCTGCCCAGACCTGAGGATTGGCGTTATGTAGAACAAAGTTCCTGACACATCGTCCTGCAGCAAGCAATTCGAGGATAGTGTACGCGCTTGAGATAGCCTGTCTTAGACGGGTGGTCTGGCTGAGCTGTGAGAGCTGGTCGTCCGTCAAGGTCTGCCAAGTACCATGATCGTTGAGAATAGGCACGTCTCCGTTGTCTCCAAGCCAGTATGATCGTGGAGGGTCGGCCCAAGTGTCCTGCTCTTCTTCAGGAATGGTTTCCAATATGCGACTCTCGCCAAGATAAATTGGACCTCGCAGGCGCCTGAATATATTTCCTTCATCAACTGGATTTGTGCTGACTTTTCGGGTTCTATGGGCGTTAGAACAGAGGTGACGCTTCATACTAGAGGTACATTTTTATGACACATAGTGACCGGTACATTGCTGTCAGTAAGGATAACTTTACTATCCGACTGATTAATGCAGAAAGCGTCTACCCAGATGCGCCGTGTGCTTTCAGCATGTCGAAGCCGCCGAAGTGCCATGTGCAGGTTCTTGGTGACACTGAAATCCACGCCTTCTAAGGTGATAGCAACCTTGTCTGACGGATCTCCCCAGGTGTATGATAATGCCTCGTAAATAGGTTTGTCATCAAGGGACACGGACTCGAGCTTGCAGGAGACCTCATCGGACCATCGCCCAGGGAGTATGGAAGCCAGGCGGATCTCGTGCTCGGTGGGGTCGAGTGGAGTGTACATATTTCTCGTAGATCAGATACGCTGAGTTGAAGAAGCCTTCTAATGGATTGGTAGAATGTGATTACTTACCTGATTTTGTCCACAATGGGGTTAAGGGGTCTGTTTGCGCTGGCTCTGAGGATCATAACAGACCGGTCTCTGAGTTCTTGCAATGGTAAGCATATGAAAGGGCCAATGGCTGTTATGATAGTTGGTAGGATCTTCCGCCCAAGGCACAGCACAGCCTGTCTAGACTGTGACCCGATCCATGGGTCGTTTATCTGTGTTGATCGTAACCCACCCATGGATGGATTTTACTTCTTCAAGTTCAAATGACCAAGTGTCGATTATCAGCCTATGCTATCATTGGTTCAAATTTCGTGTTTAATGTTATTCATCAAGGTGATCGATCTGGGACGCTGTTTCTTGGTGAGATGGATCCATCAGCTCGGGGACTCAAAGCAAAGAATCAGCTCAGGTGACTGAGCATGACTTAAGAAAAACATCAACTCAATCAGCTCAATCAAGACTGTCTTGTAATGCAACTGCTGACAATGGCTCCGATCGTCGATATCATATGCCGACTAGGATGTCTATACCCACTGCATCATAGTGAGGCACAGGGTCCGGGTCAGCTAAGCCTCTTTAGCACTGGCTCTGGTCACTGGGCCAAACCTTATTTCTCCAGGAGATTTTCCAAGGTTGAATTACGAAGCGCGCTAGTGCTGAGCAAAACTAATTCCCAAAGCTCTAGGTTCTGATTGGCTCTTTTAGTATGCTGTCAGGTGATCTCCACTATATTGCCGATCATTACCGCTTCTGTCCCATCCAGGGAGGGATGACCGAAAACAGAAAACAGACCGCCCCAATACATATTTGAGGCAGGTAGTGGAGCGCAGCCAAGTCTTCATGTACTATGCTATATCCTGGCGGTGGGTCCAATTCATTATAGAGGCGTTTCGTGCATAGTGGTGCCCTTTAGGAAGCCACTGAAGTCGCTCAGCAGGCCTCTTTACGTCCTTGACGAAACGATTTAGGTGGCGTTTCAGCGCTCCTTAGCCGATTAGAATGTGTTCAACTCGATGCTTTTGGAATCCGCCGCATGACGCTTACTAAGATGCTTTGCAACGCCTTGGACAGGAGCTTCCGGGGTCTGGACCTTGCTTGATCACTTCTTTGTCTCCCGGAATCACTCTCACCCACCCCTTGATCCCTTCACTTCCACTCTTTACCTTCAAGTCCTATTCTCACTGCGGCCCTCAGGCCAGCTTTTCAGCCCGCGAATGGCAAACCTGCGCCTCGGTCTCTCATCCCTTCATCCAACTGGTCTACTCCTTGGCGCATTCTGTATCCTATATCTACTCTCGGTCGGCTATTACCGGTCAACCAGCTACCGCGATCCCACATCCTACTTCGTCGACCCCAATCGCGCCTACGAAAAGCAATATTCCGCGCACCGAATCCAAGAAGCAAAGGACTTTCTAAGCCATGCTGGCGATCTTCCCTCTCCAAGGCCGCCTAGTCCCGAGCCAACGCTGTGCGTGGGGATAGTGACAGTCCGTCGAAGAAGAGAACAATATGTCGGATTAACTGTCGCCTCGCTTCTCGAGGGTCTTACGGATTCAGAACGAAGCACTATCTTCCTTGATCTGCTCATCGCACATACAGATCCTTCTTCTCACCCTATCTTCTCGGAAAAGTGGGTGGAGACACTACCCGACCGCATCTTACTCTATGTGCAAGATGATCCTGATTTCGAGCAAATCCGCGAATGGGAAGAAGGAGGGTGGTATCGGAATAAGACAATCTATGATTTTACACATCTCATGAGGGATTGTTACGATACTGGCGCCGAGTATATTGCTATGATCGAGGATGATACCCTAGCTGCAAAGGGCTGGCTTGCATCGACGGTACAGGCGCTGGAGGTGGTTGAACAGCGGGCTAACGCAGGTCGAGACTGGGTTTATCTGCGTCTATTCTATGTGGATGACCTGCTTGGGTGGAACTCGGAGGAGTGGCCGAGATACTTCGCCTTAGCTTTCCTGTTCTGGGCTGCGTTAACGGGAATCATGGTATCGGTAAAGAGAAGAGTCAAGTCGATCCCTGCTAGTACCATCTGGATTACATCCTGTGTGTTTATTCCCGCGGTCATCGCGCTTCACTTCCTCGCTGGACGACAGACAATGTGGCCCATTCGGCCCGGTGTTCACGAGATGAATCGATACGGGTGCTGCTCGCAGGGCCTTATCTTTCCACGGGCGATTGTACCCTCCTTTCTGGATCAAACTGATCTGACGACCGATTGGCTGGTGGATATGATGATCGAGAAGATTGCCGATCAACAGGAATGGACGCGTTGGGTGGTCGTCCCGCCACTTTTGCAACATATAGGTGCCACCAGCTCGAAAGGCCATGGATTTGATAATTCGGCCAAGACAATTTGGAATTTTAGATATGAAGAGTATCCATATTAATGTACATGACATTGTGATAGTTTCTCTGTGCGTACATCCTTTGCATGAGCTGAAGCCCGACACTCATATCCCTCTGATTAATACTCAACAGGCATAGGTGACCACGGACTTTCCCTAAGGAATATGAAGCTTTTGCCAGCAGCCTGCATAAGTCATTTTCATTAGTAAAACGCCTCAAGCAAAGCAATCCCCACATACCGAAATATTTGTAAGGCAATTCTAAACGATCATACGGTTGGTCACGATGGTTGGGTCGGAGCAGAAAAAGACTAGCAAGTCAAATTGAGGGTTTTAATATAGTCGAATCCCTCGGGTACGTGAGATGGCTACAACCCATTTACCCAGGCTGTCCGGGTAAAACTCTCCTAATGTTACTTCTTCCTGATAGCATAGTCCCTCGCAAAAGGCACACACATTGCTGCCGGGCATATAAAAAGGCTAACCCCAAATGCATTGAAATCCCTGTGTAGCCTGTACAGTCTAGTCCCCGCAGCTATCTCCTGATGCGGCCATGATGGCCTCCAATGATGCATGAGACAATGTAGACAACCGTGTCCCGTTTGTTGCACAAACATAGCAAACCGAATATTTACTCTCCGAAGTAGGGTACATGCTCAGAAGATTGTATGAGGCCCTCCAACTCTGCACATAGGGCTAGCATGCACTGAACTAAGCAATCATTGATATGGAGATGTCTGAGCGAGGAGGGTAATAATTCCGACAGTGATGTGATTGGGTGATAGGCAGCTTGACCCCGAAAAGGTAACAAGTCACTCCATCGCATGTGCACGCTGTCGAGGTTGGAAAAGTCAGAAAGGGTCCCTAGAAAGGTGGGTCTGGGCATCTCTGCGTCCTGCCAGGCTCGTATGCCGTTGAAGGTCAGATTCAGGTGACGGATCGACGATCTGGAGACTCGCAGGGGTTGGTACAACCGTGATAGATCTAGGAGACTGTGAGTTGTCTCGTCATGCCAGTAATCTTGTTCCAAAGTAAATGATTCCAGCTCAGGGCACCTTTCTACCAGCCGTGGTAGATTTCGTAGTGGCTCTTGTGGCCATGCAATATCCAGATGTTTGACTGGAAACATCACATCCTTAGGTAACTTCAGTGGAACCCGATCACCTGGGTTTATCACATAAAGCTCTCTCATCGAAGGGATGCGAAGAAAGGGAATCAATCGATGCAGGGCAACCCCTTTTCCAACTGTTCCAATAGTCCAAGGGGCCGGACCATGAATCAACGACACGTGGGACAGCTTGGGTAAAATGCCCAACCTAGGCATACTCGCCCAGTGGATCACCCATTCAAAGTGGACAGAACTCGTACGTGTTTTGTTGAGTCCATACTCAATCTTCTCTTCGCCTAATGCGATTTTGAGGATCTCGAGATTCCTGACCTGGACTAGGAGCAAGGCCAACCAGGCATCTTCGTCTTTGTGGGGCTCTCTATGCTAGCTTTGCCTTTCAGAAAGCTGTTTCAGAGCTTGGCGCCATGCATGATACCTGCGACGGTGTTTGCTCTTGGTCTCCCCGTGGGGTAGCATAGAAGCGCGATACTTTGACTCAGCCAGTGGTAGGAGCGGCGGTCGATTACGCCACCCCCTTCGCAGACACTGAAACAAATCTCTAGAGAGTGTATCAACCGCGCAAGCGCTGGCTTCTCAATAACGGCGTGGGTTAACCGTCGTACTGGAAGGTCGGTTCCACCACAAACTTGGCCGTATGAAGCGGCAGAAAAGTCGTTCAGGGGGAGCATGACACGGTGGTAGATATGAGGGATGAATAAGTCGTACCAAGATTTGCAAACAAGAACTAATTGAAAGTAGTCATGTGGAGTAAGATATGGAAGAAGTTCAAGAATCATTTCCATGGGGAGCTGGCCGAGTGCCATCTTGATATTGGGGAAGGAGAGAACGAGGTTTGATAACAATGTCCTAGTATATATTTGTAAAGAATGACAATGCTTCAATTCAATAATCAAAGCAATAGCTACATAATACTTACCGAGGAAGGGTTATCACCTGATGGAGGAAGATGCATGAGAGGCGTGAGATGGGAAAGGGCCATGGCCGGGTCACTCCCACGGCAACTGCAATTGCAGTCCAGCAGATCAACAAATATATTTATACCCATCATATTCTAACGATCAACATCCCTCAAACCGGCAACACCACCTTGACCCCCATGTACTCCCTCTGATGCATCACCTTCCCATCAATGAGCACCTGGTCAGCCCCCACCCGATTCCGGACTGTATCTGTGGGATCCGTACACGTCGCAATCTGAATCTCACGCCATTGACGATTCGTGGGAACCAGTTTCCCTTGTGAGGTCAGATTCCGAAACCCCTTATACACACCCTGCTCCTCCACACACCCTTCCCTTTGAATGAGAGGTGATTCTAAACCATCCCAGTCAGCACACAACCCCTCCACATATCCATAATATCAGTCACGTACCATAAGCCGGCTGCATCCTCAACTCCCCAACCGAGGAATTAAACAACACCAACGACAACCTCTCCTCACTCAACTGATCCACAGGGGGCTTGAAAACCCTATGTCTGGTTGCCTTGAAATGTCCCCCGGAGACAATCTCCAACGTGTCCCCAATATTAATCACCAGCGCGCCGGGCCTATAGGGCACATAGTACCATTGTTCGTCGCGGCCCCAGATCTGTAAGCAGCTGATGGGGACAGAGAAGAGCAACGTGGTGAGACCGAAGTCGGTGTGGCCGTGCATGCGAAGTCCCTTGGATGCCTCTTCGGTTTGTTTCTGGACGGGGCGGAAGAGGGCGTGCCGGAAGTAGCCCTCGCCGGTGGGACTTCCGTGGGATTGCACGTTGTTCCAGAGGTAGTCGTCGGGGAGTTCGAGGACGCGGGAGAAGAGGGTCAGGAGTCGTCGGTTGACGGATTGGGTGAGGTAGTTGCAGAAGGATTCGATCTCGTCCATGAAGGGATGCAGGCAGCTGGGGACTCGATTGGGGATGTCTTGCCAGTCGGGCTTGTACCAGTTGAATTGCTCGATGCCGTCGGGGGGGCCACGGTGGCGCTATGGCTGTCATTAATGAGGTGCTAGATGAGGGGAAGGCGTGTGTACCTTGAAGCCGTAGGGGTGTTTGTAGCCTGACCAGACGCCCGTGTCGGGGTCAAATAGGAGACGCTCCTTGTCTTCCTCGCTGATGTTGTTGTAGAGGTATTGAGCTAGGGAGAATTGACGGTGCAGCTGCAAATTCGTCAGCGACTTGTCTTTCTGGAAATATTTATATGTTACTGACCTGCTCCAAAGAAACACCATAGTTCTCAAGGAACAGAAATCCATCATCGCGAATAGCCACCTTGGCCTGCTGAATCAGATTGTCTACTACAGCTGGATCCTCGGAATCCAGCAACGACAGATCAATGGATTTCAGCTGGGCAAAGTTGTGCTTTTCCTGGGTCACCGGGGGAGGAACCCATTCTGGGACGAAGGGCTTGCCGGCGAGGTCAGCGGAGGGGGGGTTGAATGAGGCAGTGGGTGCCATGATGCTCGAAGTATAGATCAATGTTGATTTCTTGGGTTGTTGTGTTAGTTGATGTCCTCTTACTTCACGGTTGTAGTCTTCTTATATCTACGTCAAGATGACATTGACTCTACATCTCCCGATATCAAACCATATAATCGTAGGGAGCTCCTCCGTAGGGAGCTCCTCGATAGAGGAGCCCAATACCCGAGCAGTACCATCGACTGGCGAGTGCTTATCGCCTTGTATCTACTCCATCAAGACACTCCTCCCAGCGAGGGCTCAGTCTTGGCATAGTCGATAAGATGTTATCAGATATAGCCCCAGACCCACCCGACCAGTTGATAAGCAGCGATAAGGGAGGAGCTCCTCCCAGGCTTGGCATGCCAATCATCTCCTCTCCACATACATACCATCAAGGCATTTAAATAACGCCCTCCAATATATCCATCTGCTATCCATCCTTCCACAACCCAACCCCAACCACCCATCCCACACATCCACAGCATCAACAAAATCACCACCAAAATGTCCCGCCAACTCATCTCCAGCGAAAAATTCCCCCCCAAACCTCACAACTGTACCTCCCCTCCCCTTCCCCTTCCCATCCCCAATTCACCTCAATCCAATCCAATCCAACCCTAACCCATAATCCTCAGGCCCCGCCGTCAAAGTCCCCGGCCTAGTCTTCCTCGCAGGCCAAACCGCCACCGGAGAAATTAAACAAGCTACTGTACATCCCCCCCACACCCTCCCCCATCAACACCCACTAATATTATATCCTATAGAGAACCGTCCTCCAAAACCTCAAAGAAGTCCTCGAACTCTCCGGCTCATCCCTCGAACAAGTCGTCAAATACAATGTCTATCTGGCAGACATGAAAGATTTCGCGGCCATGAATGAAGTATACATTGAGTTCTTGCCGAAGCCCATGCCTTCACGGTCGTGTTTACAGGCTGTGCCGCCGGGGGAGGGCACGGTTATTGAGATTGAGTGTATTGCGCAGGTTTAATTACTCTTATGGTTCTGGGGGGGGGGATACATTATATTAGATTAGATTAGATTGTGAAGTGAATGGTTGATGTGTTTTTCTATTTTATTCTATGTTATTTTTTTGAGGAATTGTTGATGTTAGGGTTGGGTGGTGGTTGTGGAGTGTAGTTATGTTGGATATAAGGTTGAGGAAGGGTGGTGGTGGGTGCAGGATGGTGGTAGGCGGATATAGTAGTGTCGGAAATACCCAACTCTAGAGTAAAGAAGCCACTTTGTGTCCCGATAATAGAAGATAGGAGTGACTGTCAACTCCATGAATCCCAATATATGCTCATTGCCAACAAGATCTACGATGTAAGTTTAAGATTAGGACTACGCAGGGCATGTTATTAATTCAAGAGTAAACATTAATGATAGACTGTATAAGATACACTTCTCAACAGAGTATCTCACCCACATCATGGTTCTCTGCCCAGCGACTCGTTCGATAGGTCTACTCTCAAACAAAAGACCACTCCACCAGGAACTAATCAATACATCTCATACCTCCACCCCATCTGCACCATCTCCTGTGTCACACCCCCCCTCATAGCCCTAGCCACCAACTCCGGCTCCCCCGAATCCAACCATCGATTCTCTCGCAACACCCACCACCGATACACCGTCACCGTAGCAGCCAACAGCACCGCCGCGGCCAACAACGTCCCGAACGCGGCATAGAAGTGCGGACTGGAGTAATACAAATACGAGGCCCAGATGTTACTCGTTCCGCCAATGGCATTCACCAACGCTGAAGCAGCGGCGCGTTTTGCCACCGGCCGAGCGAGGTGGAGGTTAATCGTCTTATAAAGCAGGAGTTGAGGACCCACGGATGCAAAAGGCAGGATCATCATGGCGAAGTAGCGGGCACCAATGTTTAAGGTGCTCAGGAGGATGATGTACATGGCGATGGAGATGGAAAGGAGGATGAGGATGATGGGGTAGATGGTGTTGTGGCGATCAGACCAGAACATCACGGCGTAGTAGACGATTCCGGCGAGGATGTAGGGAGGCGCGGTGAGGAGGAGGCTGATGGTGGAGGAGAAATTAAGGGAGTCGACGAGGGTAGGGAAGTAGTTGGCGATGGAGCCTTGGACTTGCGAGAGCATGTTGGAGAGGATGAGGAGGAGGAGTTTAGGGTCGGATAGAGCGGATAGGAAGCTTTGCAACAGGGGCGTGGTTTCGTTGGATTCGGCGGCGCCAGCTTCGGATTCAATCCGCCAGACGGCTAGATCGCGCTCAATTGGGGAGAGAATGCGGCTGTTGTGTGGGAATTCGGGCATGATGCAGGCGCAGATGATCCCGATGCCTACGGTGGCCGAGCCCTCGATGATGAAGAGCCATTGCCAGCCGGCGATGTTGTGGACGCCGTCGAGTTGGAGGATGGCGGCGGCGAAGAGACCCCCGAAGGCGTTGCCAATTTGTTGGGCGATGTATAGACCGGCAATGCGTTTGCCTAGCTCGGCTTTGGTGTACCATGCCGACAGGTAGTAGATGGCCCCTGGGAAGAAGACGGCCTCGGCGATGCCCAGGACGGCGCGCACGGCGAGTAGCTGGCTGTAGTTGTGGACGGCGGCGGTGGCGGCGGAGATGCATCCCCAGATGGACACGGCCAGGCAGATGTACATGCCGGGGCGGGAGATCTTGGTAATCAGGAGGTTGCTAGGGATCTGGAAGGGGAGGTAGCCGACGAAGAGGATGGAGACAGCCGTGGCGAACTGGTCGGTGGTCATGTTGAGGTCTTCGGTGATGCCTTGCAGTTTGGCTGCAGCGAGGTTCTGACGGTCGATGTAGTTCAGGATGTACAGGATACCGATGGTGGGGAGAACCATGAGGTCGACCTTGCGGACGATCTTTTGATTGAGACGATCAATTTCATCTTGCCCCAGACTGCGCAGAGACTCTGGCATGCGTTGATATGCAGCAGTAGGGATGTCATCGACTTGTCCTTCTGCGGAGACATTGCCCTCCGACTTGATGGACGAGGGGCGTTTCTTGTCCAGTTCCATGGTCTTGATGGATGCTTGGCGAGAATGGATGAGGCCTGGGAAGAGACTTGATATTAAGGTACATCAAAAGACAGCCAATTTATCGAGCTTGGCAAAGGATTGGGATCGAACATCTGGAATGCCGACCGGCTATTGAGGTGGGTCAGGCTGTTACGAAACACTGTGAGTCATTGGTTGAAGCAACAGATAAGACGGGAGGAGTGCACTAGCGTTATCTGTCAGATGGCCGTCGAGATGGAGGAGTGGAGGAGGGGAGGAGGGGAGGAGTGCAACACAACAAGGAAGATGAGGGCGGAGCTCCTCCGGGCCCTAACCGCCTCCACTCGCCATCCGCAGATCACATCCCATACTTAATTGACCGTGTTAACGACTTCATCCATCTCAAGCACACACACAACCACACAACCACACATCCATCACACCCACCACATGAATACCACAACCACCAAAATGACCAAAACCTACCCCACCCCCCACACCACCACAATCGCCAACCCGCGCCTCCGCCTCCTCAACAAACTCAAAACCCATGACTACCCCCTCATGACATTCATGGCACTCCCGTCGGTGCGCATGGCCCAAATCATCGCCTTAACCGGCGTCGACGGAATTATCATCGACTGCGAACACGGCCACATCTCCGACGACGCGATGCACAACTCCGTAGCCGCCATCTCCTCACTCGGAGTTTCCCCCATCATCCGGATCCGAGGACCCAGCCACGACATTCTCAAGCGCGCCCTAGACACAGGCGCCCACGGGATCATGGTGCCCCAGATAAACACCGCCGAAGAAGCAGCCCAAGTAGTCGCGTCATCGAAATTCCCGCCGCAGGGCGTACGGGGCCAGGGCTCCGCGTTCCCCGCTATCGGCCATGCGTTGACAACGCCCGAGTATATGGTCTCTGCGAATGAAACGATCATTACGATGGTGCAGATTGAGACGCGCGCGGGAGTCGAAAATGTCGAGGCCATTTGTGCCGTTCCGGGAGTGGATTTGGTGTTTATTGGGCCGAATGATCTGGCGCAGTCGTTGTTGGGGTATGTGCCGGCCAGAGGCGATGAGCCGGAGTTTGTGGCGGCGGTGGAGAAGATTGTGGCTGCGGCGAGGAGGCATGGCAAGTGGGCGGGCAGAATGGTGAATAATGGGACGTTGGCGAAGGAGGCGAGGGGGATGTATGATACGGTGGCGATTACGGGGGATACTAAGGCGATTCAGAATTGGTATATGGCGGAGTTTGAGACGGCCAGGTCGTGAGTGTACTGAAAAGATACCATTGAGTTGAATGATAGATTTGATTGTTTTGTGGGCTTGCTTGGTAGTGGTGAGTTTATTGGGTATGGTGAAGGACAAGAAAGAGAAGAAAGAGAGGGAGATATGGATAATCATACATGATCATATGATCAACAATGTAGTCTGTCCAAACAACCCCCAATCACCCTGCCCACTCCCCATTTTTCCCTTCGACTGAATACCCTCCTCGCCCATTTCACTGCCCCAGCTGCATCTCCATCTCTCACTCCCACTGCCTGCATCGCCCCCGGCACTCCGCCCCGAACCAGCTGCCATGCCACCAGAAACGCCTTGTACGCGTACAGCGCCACCCACGGTGCCTCCCCCGCCACATCCACCGTCGTATCCAGATACACCAGGAACCAATCCACATGCGACTGGAAGGACTTAGCTGTCTCCGCCTCACACAGGATATCCCCCGCTGAAGGGGCAAGATCGGTGGCTTGTTGGAGCATGGTGTCGATGCTGGATTTGATAATTCCTCCCGTGTGAGATGGGGACCAGATTTGCAGTTCGAGCATGGCCGTTTCCCACGTGGCGGGAGCGGTTGCTGTGATAGCTGTGGTTCTGGGTGTATCTTGTGGATGGAGGAACATGCCAAGAGCGACGAGGGACGAGCGGAGTGCGCTGAACCGCTCCATGCTCAACATCCCCGTCATGGTCGACCAGCCGGAGATCTCACGCGCGCTGGAGATGAGAAAGTGCGCGATGTTGATCGCACCGTAGGGGTCAAAGGCGGGAACTATGCTGGTAGGTGGGTCGGTGAGGGCACTAGAGAGGAAGTGGCGCACGGCGTCGGCATATTGCATGTTGGTGGCAGGATGAGGAGCCAGCAGTCGGCGATGGGCCCAGTCGGCGGCAGAAGAAGCCAACCAGAGAGATTCGGGACAGGGGAGATCGTGTTTAACTTCGAGGTGGGAGATGGCGCGCGGGATGGAGAGGAGTTGGTACCACAGGGCGTCGATTTGGTGGACAGCAAAGAGGGTTCGTTTGTGGGATTCGGCTTTGATGAATTCCTCCCACAGGGAGGCGAGACAGGATGTCTGAGCAGATTCTGTGGGAATTGGCTGCATGAGCCCGGAAGAGCGCGCCAGGGAAATCATATTGCTATGCATCTGGAGTCCTTGGGCGGAGTAGTCGCCGCAGAGGTACAGCATGGCGCAGATTTGTAGGAGCAGGAGGGTCTGGATCAGGGCCAGCTGATCGGTAGGGTTGGTAGATATGGCATTGGTAGAAGGAAGAACAGTACGGGCTTGGAGAAAGCACCGAGTAGACAGGCTCGCCCCGGTGCCTTTAAGAGCATCACATTCCGGATCATCACCATATTGGTAGGCGAGGGAGAGCATGGCAAGAAGTAGGTGCGAGGGCAGAGTGGTGGAGTCAAAGGTTGACTGATGCAGGAAGGGGATAAAGTGTGCGACATTGGTGAAGAACAGGTCGCAGCCGCGTGTGATTTGCACTGCAGTTGGGAACCGATCGGTCTGAGGTTGGGTGAGGTCGTCTTTACTTGGGCTCGGAGAGATATCTGGACCAAAGTCGAAGCCGCTGAGGTCAATGTCCAGCGAGGGAGACTGCGAGATGGTCATTGCAGGCGATTGGGGACCCAATTGGTCCGTTGGCTTGAGAATCGACCGCAAAGTCTGTTCCATCCCCGTGGCATCTGGTACAATGGACGTCAATTGCGTCAGAGTATCTGTGTCAAGCTGAGTCTGGTCGCCTTTGTCTCTCGTGGTGGTTCTAGGCAGATCGGCACTTTGTGCATGGTGTCGATGGCTGCGCTGATGCTGCATCGGCGTTTCCGTCTCGCTGTCAACCGCGAGATCCTCGGGTTGTATACTGTGGCTATCGATAGCCCGTACAAAAGACTCGTCCCGTCTGGGCCTCTTGATCGCCCGTCGGTGCTCATGCTCTGCATGCTTTCTCTTCATATGACGATGGCGTAGATCCGGTCGTGAGAAGGTTGCCTGGCACAAATCACATGGCAGAGACACATCATTTCGAGAACGAGAATGCAGCGCTGAATGTCGTTTGAGGTTCTCATGTCGGGTGAAGCGACGGAGACAGACCAGGCACTGGAATGGCTGATAAGACGACATGGTTGGAAGGGCGTGAGATTCAGCCATGAAGGGAATTGAGCAGGAGGAAGGAGAAGTGAAAGGCGAGAGAAGCGCTGCGCGGCCAGGTGGACCAAATCCGGGGGGCATGCTTGGCTACCCCACCCCCGCAATGTGTCCAGTCGATCCGATCCTGAACGGCTGATTTCGGCTGGTGCACGCTCCGACTCACGGCTAGTCTAAACTGTCAATGTTCGTGTCGCCAATGTGGCACTGACTAGAAGAGGGCGAACGCGGAAGAAAAGAGCTGGCGAGGCGGACCTTATCAATCGTGGATCGGCTATTGCTTTCCACCTTATCTGATATCGCTCCCGATTCCCCAGATAACTATCTCTCCCCCGGTGTTGATTGGTCCAGCGATTCCCTATCTCCCAGGCACCGCCTCCATGTGGCATGTCGGGCGGATTCTTGGGCCGGTAGATCGACACCTCCACTAGTTACACATGGGAAAGCCAATATGGGTTCTCGGCTTGGTTGACTGGTTTCACTCCGATGCAGAGAAACGCATACAGTCACGTGAGGAGTCACTGGGCGGTCCGGGACCGGTCCGGACGGCGGTTGACAGTCACGTGATGTTGACGATGTTGACCCTCATCCTCCTGTTCCTCTTTTCAACCAACGTATTGAAGGTTGCCAAAATGTCTTATAGATGACATTCTCATTGATTCAATCCCCAGCGGAACCCTTACTCCAGACTTCACCAAGTCCGGCCAGCCTTCCACCACTCCAACAATATATATATGGTCCCTACAGCGGGCTCATGGAAAGTTTGCATACATCTTGACAGGATCATAGTCCAAGGCCCGACCTTCGGCCTCCAGGGCAAGATATCCCGGAGCCCATCTGTCAATCTTCTCAGGAAATTGGCTGGGATTTTCAGGCCGGAAACGCCGCATCAGACCGTCGTCCCACGCCTTCTGCAGAATCTCCAGCACCGGAGCGTCCATGTTCATTCTAACCCAATCATCAGACCATGGCTCATATCATCTGCAAACAACGAAAACTTACGGGGGATTGTCTTCATCAGTTCCCCAAATATAGTGCGCCTGGAGACTGGACAGAGGCCATCCAAGGCCCTCGATCATACACTCCACCTCGGGCACATGATATGCTCGCCAACCCCGTTCCTGGAAGACCTGCCCATTTACCCCGAAATAGACATATGACAGAATCCCCGTCTCGAGGCCCTTTTGATCAACGATCCAGTAGAAATCCCTTTGGCTCAAGAAGATGACGGTGCCCCACCTCGTCATGGACATGCGTGCAAAGTCGGCGGGTTCGATGTACTTCCATGCGAGGAAATCTCCTTTGGCGAAGTCGCCATGGGCCCCACTCAATACAGTGTAAGGATTTGGCTCAAGGACTACTGAGGGCAGGGAGACCCCCCCGACGCCCTCCCCCTTGAAATCCTGTAACAGGATGAGAAACTTGATCTAACGAAGACGGTTCACCGGGTTCTGCTGGTCGACTGGAGCTAGGCACATAAACACCGAGGAGGGCTGGCTGGTCCGGGTGACTCGTTCCCGGGCCTCCAGGCAGTAGTCCCGAGGGGTTTCGGGGAGAGGCGCGCGTTCATGAAAGCCCTGCCGTTATACCGTGGTGTTAGGGGTAAATCGGACGTGGGTTTGGAGGCAGACTTACATCGCGTATGGTCTGGTCTGCTGTCGCCCACCGTTCGACTAGGGACCGGCGCTGCCGAAGTTCATAGTCGGGGTCTTCATCCTCGGAGATACCGGCAGCTTGGCGCGAGACCCAGTGCACCTAAGTTGACGCAGAATAAGCCAAGAACCCATTGGATGGGCAGCACGGTGGTGTACCGAAACAAACAACAGCCATCCCTTGACAGCTTCTCTCATCTCGTCATTCGACAGGCTGTCCGGATGGACACGGACCGAGACAGGGATGCCACCGGGCCAATGTCGGACGGTCTTTGGGCTTGGGGAAGGGGGCCGAAACCTAGGCGAACGGCGCCGAGGTCGAATAGCGGTCATGATGGCGTGGTGGCAGTGATAGTCAGAAAGAATAGTTGTGGGGAAGTTGAATAAGAAAGGAGAAAACATTAGAACCAGGTGCGCTTTGGGTGGCCAGAGGTGGAGGCTGAGCGGAGGAAGATTTAGCAGGCGATGACCCACAGGGCTGAGAGTCTATGCTCATCGCCCGGAAGAAACCGCGGGATGGATCAACCCTGTCAAGTCATTATTGTGGCTGACACCGATTGATAGGTGCTATTGATTGGATAGACCGCCATTATTCGTAGTGTTTTGTAGTGCTAGTTGACGCTGGTACTGATGGTCTGGGGATGCCCTCCTAGCCGGGCACCCCGTAGATTGCTGATGAATCCGTAAGGTCATTTATACCGAGTGCTTTGCCAGAACATGGAAGCGGCCATGTAGATATGATGCATGTCCCATTATATGTGCAAACAAATTATCCTCGAATACATGATTTGTACAAGACAACCCCAGTAATGCTGAAACATGGCTCAAGACAGTCGCTTGGTGAATCAGAAGCAAGATGCCGATATGTGCGCCGAAAGACTTTGTAGATTCCTTACTTCCAACATGTTGTTTATGGTGTGAAATGTATTGATATGTTGTAATATGTGCGGCATCATCGCATGGTGATCGTAGATATACGAGGTTTAGAATATGCGAAACCGCTTCGTTTTGCCTTCTAGATGGGGTTAGATGGGTATCACCGAGCCATTCGGTATACGTACCTGGTTTCTGGTTCTCTGCATCTGCAATAGCCTTTTCAGGTCTAACTCCGTCTGCAGCGGCTCGTATGGCGGCAATCCGGTGTTTCGCCCGCATGTCGCCTTGCTCCGCTGCCTTGACGTACCACGCGTTGGCAGCCAGGTGGTCTCGCCGGCAGCCAATCCCGGTTTCCGTAAAATACCCGACTGCATATTGTGCCTTTGTAAGACCTATATACCACCGTGTTAGCAATCCGATCGTATAAATATTGAGTTGTGCTTACCAGTCTCCGCTGCACGCTTGGCCCATTCATACGCTTCATCCTCGTCCTTGTCCAGTACTGGCTCTGCACCAATGAGGTACCACGCACACAGTGCCATCATGGCCAGAGGATGCCCACCTTGCGCAGCATTCGTGTAGAAATGGATCGACAAGGCCGGGTCCCGAGGGCAGTTGAGTTTTCCATGCTCGTATGCATCACCTAAGCGATAGCTCGCCTCTACGTGGCCTAAGTCCGCTGACTTGGTAAATAGCTGGGCCGCGTAGGAAGGATCGGGAAACACGTCATCGCCATATCCCGATTCGTGCATGAGTCCCAACTCATATGGCGCGGAATTGTACTGAGTATCGGATGAATCGGTGGCGCGTTTCATCCACTTGATTCCTTCCCGATATCGCTTCCCGAGGCCCATGTCGCCGGCCAAACAGGCTTTGGCCATCCGTAACATTGCACCCGGATGGTTTCTGGACGCTGCTTGGCGGTAGAACTGTTGGGCCCGGGTGGCTTCGACTCGGGTACCCCATCCGAACTCGTAGCACAGCGCCGTCCGATAGCATGCCTCAACATGTCCATGTTTGCTCGCAGCCAGAAACAGCGAGAACGCCCGATCATAATCCTCTTTTCCCTTGCTGAACAATCCCGATGCGTATCCATCAGCTAGGTAGTACTGTGCAAAGGGATAGCTGCGATCCGACAGACGCTGGAGGATTGACTTGGACTCTCGCAACAGGCTTGCACGGGTGATTTCAGCAGCCGTCCGGACATATACTGCGGATTCGCCTGCATCAACCCCGTCTGGGGGCATTTCCAGCATCGCGTTGATCATGAAAATTGCAAACTCATATTGAATTGCGGGATCATCGGTTTTCTTGACGTTGGCCAGATACATATCAAAAGTCTGCTTATGACTCAACAACGATGCATTATTGCCGACAGCGGATTGCAGTTGGGAGTTGCCGAATTGGACAGGCGCCGGGCCTGGTTGGGGATAGAAGCTGTTGAGCTGTTCGACAAAGGACACTGGCCGGACGTCCGGGGATGTGCTATGGTCCCTCGTCTGGAGATATGGGGAGAGCTGGGAAGATTTCCGCCTTTCACCCAGGTCCGAACCGGCCGAGTACGTCGATTGGGAGCGACGCTTGGCAGATGGACGACCATTCGACGTAGGAAGATGTTCAGCCGATCCACCTGTAGATGACGATTGTGTTGCAGGTTGAGGTGCTTCATAAGGGCGGTGATGGTAATGCAGGGGCTCACAAAAGTCCGACGCTTGTTCTGCACTGTCGAGACTGCCACGCGAGGAGCTGGTTTGACTCTCTTTGGCGGCACCATGGTCCAAAGATGACGTGCTGGTATTCGGCAGACTATCCTCTTGAACCTGTGGATCTACAACCGACCACGAGGCGCTGCTGGTGGGTGTATGCCCATATGTCGAATGTTCTGGTCTCCGCGAAGCTCCATAGATATCCGCCTGAGGTGGAGACGACCCGTCGATGCTTTTATTGTACGCCTGAGGCTCATCCGAAAGTGACATGTTGGCAAACGAATTTGTGGGCAGGTCGGACGGAGGATCTTCGTCGTGAACGTGCACCACTGGCTGATCAGTCTCGCCGTGGATCCTCACTCTTGGAACCGAATATGGTTGGCTTTGTCTTTCATTTTGTGCCGCGGATGAGGGGACTGGCAGCGACTTCCGGGGGGATGCCATGCTCAATGGGCGACTGGAGCTGTCGCGCCGGGGTAATTCACGATGCGCGGGGGGGATGGGAGGAGAAGAACGGAGATATACCGGGGGAGGGGAAGAGGGTGGCTGGGGATAGCCGCCAGCTACCGAGGACGCCATGATCAAGTCCCGAGCCCGGTATTTGATCGATATCTCCTAAAATATACCGATGTGGGATGGGACTAATATGCGAAACCGACGTCGTAGACCTAACCCCAGGTTATGCGAGAAGTTGGGGGCTATGCATTGGACATGAAGCTGGCAGATCGCGATGCTGCAAACGAACGGAGGGCGCGAGGCAACGAGGGTTTGCGACCCTCGGTGGTGATCAGGGATCGGACAAGGGACTGAGGAATGTGGAGAAGCTGGAGAAGGATGATGGGTCAGCGCAGGGAAAATCGGATCCACCGGAGGCAAATTTGCCTACCTTGCAGAAAACGCTAAACGATGGGTCCTGGGAGAATGCAGCTGGCAGGGTCCATCCCGCAGAGCGATCTCGCCGGGGGGGGGGGGGGAAGGGACAAACGAAGGTGTAATGGGGATGAACAGGAAGCGAGAGACGGATGAAAGAGAAAGAAAAAGACAGAAAGTGGGAATGGGCAAGGGAGGAGGAAAGACGACTCCAGAGCAGCTGGGGTCCAGAGTTGCGCCTCGAAGTCAATTGCGGCTAGCGGTGCCCCCCGGGTATGGCACTAGTAACGGTACTGCCCCTCCCGCCTCAGCAACCTTGGGACTACCGAGGCCCTACTGCCAGTAGTCGGCGGTCGCAAAGTCACCGTCATGTCACCATCAAGTCACTATCAGGTCACTTAGCAGTTCGTCCGTCATGGGGCCAAAAAGGTCCCCACGATTTGTCGGCCCGCCTCGCCCGATTGATCAGGGAGGCCACCAAAAATAGGCTGGTCGGCTGCTGCTGACGCTGGCCGTCCCATGCGTGTCTCACCCGCAAGGCCACTAACTCTCCCGCCAAGCCCGCGACAACCACCGTTCAAGGCAACCCATTGATTCTAATTACTGCCCCAGTGACTTGTCCTCGTTCTCAACTGGCGCTGGTCAGAAGTTTGCGCTATCCCCCACTCCATGGGTCGGATGGGGTTCGTAATTTGTATCCGTATTCTACAAGGGCCGTTCCTTTAGTTCTACTAGTACAGACTAGTTAGTACGGTCTTAGTTCGAGTGGTGGCTGGCTAGATCCAAACTAGTCAACGGTTACCCCTCTATATCCTCCTGTCAGACTGTCACTAACATGGCCAGTCCGAGCAGGGTGTTCTAGCCAGATAGACCGGGGGCAGATGGTCTCATTGATGACCGCCACCCTCTCTAGCTGTACGCATTGAAACATACATACGTCTGACGCCATCTCGATGGTTCTCACCTCAGCCTTGAACCCCTCAGAACTCAAGACAGGGCCTTATATTAGTGTTTTCACCTTGAATCGGATATTCGTATAGAAGAACAATGGAATCTCTGGCCAGCTCAGCATCTTCTTCTTCATACCACAATAGCGACACATTGTAGCCTTGGCCAAAGTGACATCCACCGCAAGACCACTACCACACACAAGATGACGTGACCGCGGTCAAAGCTCGCCTCTACCCACATTCAGTCTTTGGGCATGAAGTCAGCCACCAGCCCGGTCAAGACCGTCCACGGCGGAGAAATCGGAGCCCCGACGGAATCGGCGGTGATTGGTGCGCACGAAGGTCGGAGCGGCCTCGGCATTTCCCCAAACAGTGGCTCCCATTGGTCTATCCCACGTTGGATTCGGGGCCTCTTGGCCGCTCCGTTTCTCATTCTGCTGACTGTTACTATCATTGCTGATTCTGCGTACGTATTGATAATGCTTTCTGCTGTTAAGCAGGCTCTGTCCTATTAAGAAGGTTCTCCTTCGCTGCTTTGCATCTCATTTGCGTCTGTGTTAGTCAATTTGTGTATTCTTACAGTATGCCCTGACAGTCTCGAGGTAGAGGAAGGGATTGTGGTAGTGCGAGTTACACCATATCCGATATCCCACTGTCCGGGAGGACAGCCGGCCGTTGTTGTTCACACTGTCACAGAATAGGTGCATCGGATCCCGCATCCTGTAAGCATCCCTGGTCAAGCATGGTCAAAATTAGAATGATGACAAATATGGGATCCAAAGGCATAGAGCGGCCACTCATAAGAAGTGTTTCATCATGTATCGTTACCGAAACATGAGTTGAACGCCCGTAAAATACATCGTAGGTTCAATGATGTTGGGCGAAACCTGACCGTCCACATGGATATCGAAATGGTCTCTTAAATGGAGGACATCGTGGCTTTCGTCATATTATACGCTTGGCACATAGAGCGACATTGAAGCAAGTGCTGTGACCTTCCACTCGCTGCCTTTCCTCTGACAATTGCACTACACAACAAACAGTGTTCTTGGGCTAAGTGTCCGCAAACATGACGGAAACCAAAGGAAAGGTTGACTTCCCAATATTGCGTAAAGTGAGGGTCTCTGTAACAAGCGATATGCAGCTTCCCGGATATGAGAGCCACAACCCGATGTTAGATTGGGGACATAATGCAAAGCCTATGAATCTAGAGCACATCCTCAAGGGCCCGGGATGTCACAGTGTTGACGAGATTCCATATGGCAATGATGACGTCATGAGGCACGGCGCTCACGATATGGTCAATATAACGAAGTTAAGGTCGCCTGCTTGTACGGGCAACACCACAGGACGCGTCACTGAGGTACTGTGAGTTCCATTTGCGGTAAGGTATTAACATATCGAAGCGCTCCATCTCTCAATCCTGCCATCATCGAAATGGCGATTGCTCGATCCCGCTGGCCGTCTTGGATATGGTCCATCATCCACATACGCTCGCACTGATCGATATACAGGTTGATATTCTCTCCAGCTCGACCGGTAAATACGGGTTGGGCGAATGGCATAGTGAAGACTGGCAGCCGCGAATCGCTATCGACTTGAGATCGTGAAGGAAAAGCATATAAATAGGGTACAGGTACTCAAGATACAGGTGAAGTAGAATTAAAGAAATAAGTCTGGTCAGTTGAATGATCCGCAGAGGTCAACGTCCTTGATGATACAAGCCAAGCCTCGCTCTGACCCTTCGGCGTCCACGGAGGTAGTGTTAGTAGATGTAGTCACCCAACCGCTTGACTGCAACCGATATAAGTCTTCAAGCACGTCTGTTTGTAACTTCCAACCGATGATATTATCTCCGAGAGTATCCAGTTCTCACTACCGCTGCAAGTCCACGAGTCAGCTCCCTAGCCTCTGCCAGCGACCCGTTAACTTCCTCGGTAGCCAGGTAGTTATCTTGATGAGTTCTGAAGTCCCGAGGTTGAGCACTAATGCGAGTTCTCTTTGCGGTAACGATTTGACGGTTTGGATGTCTTCGATTAAAATAGACAACTCCGCTTGATTATATGAAGGAAGTGTAAGATGATTCCGGAGGAAGAGACCAAGCGCCTTCCTAGACCAGGAAACTGCCCGTAAAGGGCAACCGCTCCCACAGTACCTGGGTCCGTTGATATAGAACCGAAGGATCTCGCGAGAAGGATTGATTGAGCAGTGGCATTTCGGAGGATCATACACACGCGCAGGTTATAGTACAACACAGGGATTATCAGCGCATTAACTTTCGGGCAGGTTTAGCAGTATGTCGTGGTCGGGCTGTAATGAGTCCAGTTCAACAGGCTTAGGAGGCCGCCAACAATGTCCATAAGAGAGAACTCGAATCGCATAGCTGAGACAGATCAATGTCCTATTTGTGAGATTAGAATCACCTCCACGAGATCCAGGGTCCATAATTAGGTGTGATATGTACTAGGGGATATTGACAGTTGGCTGTGGGATTCAACAGCCACGTTCAGACTGTTACACTGTGTTTGCTTCATGTTCTAGGCGTTGCGACTATGATGCTTCCCAAACTTCGCGATCCTGGATGCAACAGCAGATGAGTGACAGACCGGCCACTTTGCTGTCTTGATGGTTGTTCATGCGAAGATAACGGCCCGCAGTGCAGGGCCACGGGCTTGTTTCTATTTATACATCAGAAATACGGGGACTGCCAATCAGCCGGTTCACGTCGGATCAGGTGATATCCCTTTCACCTACTGCTGTACTGCGTATCACTGGTTCCGTCACTTCACAGCGCTGGCAGCAAGGAACTGCAGGAGGGTGGTTCGTTACAAGAATTCGCCGAAAGCCATTCTTGCAGGGGACATGATACACCGCACTGGCTTCGAGACATCCCCTTTCTCCTTGGCAGGGTGCCAGCATGTATGATTGTACGTAGGGGGCAGGAAGAGCCACAACGTGTACTTCACGTGTGAGTTGTGCTGGGTGTTTCAAGTTTCAGCCTGGGACCTGTCGCTTGTCTTGATGTTGGATGTTGGGTCACACTGCAACCCAGTCGTGTCACCAACATGAGGTGCGGCGGACTACAATAATTTCCGAGGTTAAATTCCCAGGGGTCGACCGATCCCCGTCCGTGACCAGGTAAGGACGGAACGTCTCAAGATTGGGCTGGGGATGATAAAGGGGCCGCCTTATCTTATCGGGAATGATAAGCCTAATCAGTAGTAAATTAGTATTATAGCCGACCAATATATTTGGCAAATGGAGCGACCACGACTGCTCTCTATGAATACTCAGTAGAGCCAAGAAAGCATTATAGCAAGTCACTGCTGGCCGGAATGAAATCCCCGAGCAAAACCAGTGCAGCCGATGTGTCCAACGCCAAGGGACCGCCCTGGCGCCAACGGGCGACGTGGGCGACTATTGGCCGCCGGGGGGCCGATCGCGCCGGTGAGAGGCGGGGCGCTGGAGCCGGAGACGAAGTGTCACTCGCCGAGGGAAAGCAACCAGCGACTCAAGCGAGGGGCCTGGCGATCTCTCCCCCAGTTACCCCCCAGGGTCCCGCGCCGATCCCTTCGATTGCTGTTTCGTGCCTGCATCGTGCAGTCACTTTTTCCCTCAGCTTGATTATGACGCCGGTCGGAAGCAGCATCGATCGCCGCCGCGTCCTCCCTACCTAAACCTGCTAACCCAGCCTAACCTGCCTAAGAAAACGGGCACCCGCCCTCTTCGTCATCCCTGCCTGACCGGTCTTTTTCTACCTCTTCTTCTCCCTCCCAATTCTCCCTCTCCACGTTCCCTTCTTCATTCTTCTCCCTCGTGCAGCTCTGGTATGTGCCACCACCTTCAACTCCATGATGCCATGCCACAACTAACCGTTCTGAAGCTAAATCTGCAGAAATCCCAGTCCATCATCCACCTCTTGCCAGTTCTCACCTCTCGAAACTTTGAAATCACCTTCACACTCAAAATGCGTTTCTTCGCCGTTGTCGCTCTCCTCGCCTCTGTCGCCGTCGCTAGACCCGCTGAGAATGGCATGCTTAACACTCAGCTGTCCTGCATTGGAGTGAGCTTGCCACTTCCCCTCGTGTCGGATAACAAAGGTTCTAACAGCCCCAGTTGAACGACAGAATGTGCGTTGGCAACCTCACCAGTGGAATGGGCTGCTGCCCTCCCCTCGTTTGCGGAAGTGACCATGTAAGTCGATCTTTACAAGACCTACGGGCCCCAGCTAACAGCCTCTTCCCAGCGCTGCCACTCGACTTACCACTAAGCGATGTTTACCATGTGACATAATGACAAAAGTTGGTCAATAAGGATACCTAATGTGCAGGATGGGCGAAACGATACGGAGACGGTGGGGTGACCAAGGCATAGGCAACGGCTGTTTACCAATTGTACTTGTCGAATACGACTAATATGTGTCAATAAGACGATGCGATGCTAAGAAGCACGCGCAAACTAGATTAATCATGAATACAAACACTATCCAGTATGCTTCTGCAACATGCTATTTCTGTAGGCGTTGCTCGGTTGGAAGCCATTGGTTCGGAACTGCAGCTCCAGCGGCGGACAGTTCTGACAGTCAAATGACGCTTGCTTGCCGTCTTTCCATCTCGCGTTCCCCTCATGTTTCCCTCCACAACCTTCTCACTAACAATCAGATCAATCATGTAGGGCCTTCGATCCCTCCTTTGGAAGAAACCTCACCAAATCCGACTCACATGGCTCTTCCCTTCGAGATCCTCCTCCACATTGCCACATTTCTCGACCCAAATGACCTGGCTTGTTTAGCCCTCTGCAGCCATGTCCTGCATGATGCACTGGGGAGGTCATCCTGGATCCAGCTAGTGAACGGACCCTGCAGGAACCGAATTCAATTCCTCCAACAACTTTCTCAGGATCTTCCACACATGTTACCCTGCCGTCATTGTCATCGACTCCATCCGACAATCGAAACCTCGCTTGGAAGAGCAAAGAGGGCTCTGTGCTTATATCCGGGCGATGGCCAAATGTGGTCGATCAGCCAAGATCCCAATGCACCGTCGTATGGGATCTTAATATATGGACAACCAGAGAACACCGATCGTCACATTCGACACTGCTTCTCCAGGATGTCAGCAGTTGCCCACCTCCACTATGACGCTCCCCACACATCCGCAAACAGTTCTGAGGGGTACTCACTCTCGATCAACATTCATTCAACGACAAGTGATTACAAGCCACCATTTGTGACCACACAAATTTGGCCTGCTGCCGACAACAACGACACTCTACGCTTTCTTCATGTTCAAGCCGCCGCTGTTCTGCAGTACTCTCCCAAGGAAATCGAGCGCGACGTGCTTGAAAGTATCCATATCTGTCCCCACATATTAATTGCAGATCTCCTTTTCGACCCGTCTTACCATAGCACCCATTGCTCATATTGCCATATTGACATTACCAGCGAGAGTGACGATTTCGAGCACGAACCTTGTATTACTGTCTTCACACTCAGCCGAGACCTTGAGCTTATGGGTCGGTTGGAACTTTTCGAACAAAAGGCTAGGGCTTTTATTATCGATTTTCTGCGCGGGTTGCCTTGGTTCGATATTTCGGCTTCGTCGAGATGGGAGAATTATAGTCAGCCCGTCACAAACGCTATAATACTTTCCGCTTGGGAAAACAGTAAGCCTCGCTTGAATGAATTGTGTCAAGTGGCAATGCCATTTGTACAATTGCGTCTATCGAGGACTAGTTGTACGATGCTATGATCAAGCTGCCGTCCCTGCACTTGCAATACCTGTTTCTTCCTTAACCACATATTCATGACATGAATTCATCCTTTATCATGATATCTACAGCACAACCTGACCAGGTTGAATAAAAGTCAACAATGATACCAGACATGTTCTGGCTATACCCACATTCACACGCCATCATTCAATTTTGCATCTCCAGTTTCCGACAGCAATTCTTGTACAATTACGATTGACCAATGGGGTCATACTTATTACCTACTCTACTTTTTCGTTTTTTGGAATCAATTCGTGTTGCCTCTACGAAACATCTACAATCTGGATATCCTCATGACATCTTCGCTCATCAAAACCTTATGTTTCTGAACTTGTATATCCTTCAATGACCATCAAGCTACGACTCTTCTTTATATATCACCACTCCCTCCCCACCCCACTCCACCCCAACCTTTCCCCTTATAACCCACTACGCAAACCCAAACCAAATCATATCCCTATCCCCCAAAATCGGCACCGTATGTCCCACCCCCGTAGCATAAATCCCCTGCAACTTATCCCCCCAAATCGTAGTCTCATAATTCGTCTCGGGAGTATTCGCCTCCGTCTCCGCCGGATCATCATACTCATACCCAAACACCCCAGCCCACTGCTTACACGTCTCATAATAATTCTGCGGATACAGGGTCGTATCCACACTCCCATGGTAAATCTGCATCTTGGGTCTGGATCCAGTATACCCGGAGTACATGGCCTCGGCAATACTAGCCCAGTGCTCGGGGGTGGTGATGACTTCGCCTTGGGCGCAGGTGGAGTTCCATGCGTCGACTTGGTCCGTGGAGGAGTAGAAACAGCCCGCTGAGACGCCGGAGTAGACTGTTGCGGCGGTGAAGAGTTCGGGGTAGGTTGCTGCCATTACATTCTGTATCCCACCACCTCATTAGTATCTCATGTACTCGTGTTCCTAGCTGAGAAAAGAAAGGAGAGGAGAGGGGATAGGTACGGTCATCATCCCCCCCGAACTACTCCCCGTCACAAACACCTTTGAACTATCAGCTCCGTATTTCTCAATCGTCCAGGTGACCATATTCGCAATGGAGTTGCTGTTGCCCCCGCCGTTGTGGGTAAGTGTTGCCTGGGAGCTCACGTCCCAGCAGGTTCCGCTGTAGGGGCTCGATGGGTAGATGACGATGAAGCCGTAGGTTTCGGAGAGGGTGGCGTAGGGGGTGGAACTGTAGTAGCTGGGTCCGGTGCCGGTGCCTATATTTTTTTTTTTTTCTTTTTAGTTTTCTTTGGCTAGAATGTAGGGTATGAGGGGGGAGGGGGAAGGGGAAGGGGGACATACACCAGTGAATAGCAACCACAATACCGGGGTTACTGGCCAGGTTTGTAGGCACGTAAATGTACATGCCTACATCGGTAGGGTTGTCACCGAAATCGGTGACTTGGGTGAGGGAACCGGCTCGGGGAGTGATGGCATGGGCGCTGGTGAGGGCGTAGAGGAGGTAGGTGAGGAGGAGATAGAGGAGCATTTTGGCTGCTGTTGTGGGGGCTTAGCTTAGTGAATGTGAGTGTTGTGTGTAGCTGGTTAGGGTGCGTGGGTGGGTGTTTATATGCCATGTGAGAGCGGGTAAATTGAAACATGGTGGATGCCAATTAACGAGGGAGCTATAGCTAGAGATGTGGACAAGAGCAGGGTCTATTCAATCCATTATGGAAATTACACAGGCTGGTTGGCAGCTGCAGAACAGCTCCGGCATGAAAGGTCTGGGATAAATAGCACGGGGTTGAAGAAGGATCGTCAGCGGGCCGAGCTCCGTCACAGATCTCGTTAGAGCTGCTTCTCCACCTCTCGGGTTTCAGAATGGCTCCGGGGTTAAATAGCCGGATTCAGCCAGAATGGGAATCTGGGGTAGCTATATAGGCATTAAGCATTGGTTGTATGTCTTGGTAGGTCTGGTGGGGGGTGGATTCACGGGTTGAGGGTATGGCTGTAGTGACAGGGGTGTTAGTCACTACTGTCTGGCATTTAAAATGATATTACTTAGCATTATTCATATACGTGCTATATTCAATGTCTCGATTCTTATGTTGAGAGTATGGAACTGTGAAACAGTATGAATGGTGTAGAATTAACTGGGGTTTATCACTGTTCTAGGGCTATATTGCACTATTTAAACTGGCCACCCCCCTCCCCCACCCATCCTCCCTACTTATACCTTCAGATCCAGTCCAAGTCCTTGTGGCCTGAAATCCAGCTATAAATCCTCCGAGACTGGCTGAAACCAAAAGCCAACATTAGCGATCATATCCCTCTGGCTACTCTGCCTCTTCGCTGCTCCATAGTCAAAAACCAACAGACTATCCACTATTTTCCCTGACACATGTAGAGTAGTATATACGATGTGAGGAAGAATCAGCCAAGCTTTTTGACATGCGAACAAAGTCAAAAATACAACCTAGAGACATGATTATTCTCTGCACTACCGGTATACATAGACAACTGCTCCTATGGAACTTCAGATGTCGAGATAGACTGACCTTTCCACTGGATTCTTACCCTGAGTGGTGCAGCTAATGCTAACGATGACAATGATGACATAGGAATAGGTCATGGGTCAGCACACTTGGGATTAAAGAAAGGGGCGAAGAAAACCTCGATAATAACCAAAGCAAGCAGACCGGTGGGATGATCGATGATTTAATCCTTTAAATCCTCACCCTGGAGACAACCAACCTACTATCTAATTGTTTGATAGCATCGAGTCCAATACTCAGCGGAGTCATCTTCCTCCTGAAGGTATCGATTGTCGACCCTGAGGGTAAAACACAGACCCATTCATTGACGGTGAGTCGATTCGTATTCGAAAAATTCGACCAGGTGCTCTTTTATGCACCCCCTCTGCATCGGTCTCTACAATTACATCATCTATAAACCATCAGATAAGAAGGGCACACCTCAAACATCAAGAGATCCGAACATCATCTCTCACAACTCTTAACAAATTCATTCCGATATACATGAGGCCCCACCGGTTCAAGTTCCGGCCAGAGGGTCACGACAACTGCGAATGGAATGGAATTGCTCGTCTTGAATCAATCGGAGAGGAAGGCGGTTGGAGTCCATCACTCTGTCTCGATTGATTGAAGGTGTTGCGATAGTTATGAGCTATCTCAAGAGCGAGAATGTCCATATATAAACCTTCATGTAAGTACTGATGTACGATTATCTATACAGAATGCCCATAGCATGGAATCGAGAGATTCGGGGGATCAGGTGTCGGTCATCGATGAAGATCCTAGAGGTGAGACGTTGGAAGAGACGGCGGGCAGGATCCTAGAATCGGGGGACAGACTGAAGCGCGATTTCAAAGAGAACCCTACCGTGTTTCTGCACAGCAAAAGCCGGTCTAGTTTCGTGGCCGGCCATTGCATATGCTGAAACTGTCAGGCGAGGAGCAACTGCTGGGACGAGCTGGGACTGTGTCCTGCTACGGCCGAGAACATTCCTTTGGGGTGGTGATTAGAGGGAAACTGAAGGATGGTTCCGGGTAAATTAGCATTATAATATAGCTTGACCATATCATGGCTCTATCAATACATCAGGTACTTGGTCGTGAACGTGTCAATTTGTATACTCAATATATAGAACATGTGGCTCCCCGTGGCATGGCCTGAGCATAAGTGATATATTCAGGCGAAACAATCCACTCGAAACTAAGTAGAAGACTCGTGTAGAATTCTCTCATCTAGTCGACGAGGTACTACACCAATAAGCGGTCTGATGACGCCATCCTGGGCCACATTTGCGACAAGGATGCGGTCATGGCAGACCAATGGAAGCTCGCCATGGTGCGAGATGTCAAAGAATCGCGAAAACCCACTTTGCCTCTCTCGCCAATGGGGACGCGCCGGAGAAAGTGTGGGACGCGACGAGCAGGGGGTCCTGCCTAATCGGGTCTCCGCCCCAACAGTGCCTGAGGCTACATTTAGGCTTCTGTTTGTCTTGTATTCGGTTCTTTCTGTTTACTCCACAAACAACACCGGCCATCGACAATGCTTCAAGCTCTCATCAAACACCACACAGACTGAACTTTTCTCACAAGCTAAGCCAGCTAAAGCCGTGCAGCCTCTTCAGAAGGTCCCAGTGGACTCTTAAACCCAGCAAATCCCTTTGCTTGGGAATCTTCCAACAAGCCTCGGAACGTTGCCACTCCCCCAAGATACATCAGACTAGTCGCTGCTTTGCCAGGTACATTCTTTCCCATCAACCACGAGTTCCCTTTGCCAAATACAGTCTTGTGCGCTATGCCGTTACAGATCTCGGTCCAACTCCGTTCCCCATGCTCGGTGGCTTCGATCTCACATTGCTGCCCGCTTTGTGCGGAGATCTCCTCAGCCCGTCGGATCAGATCTCTAAAGAAGCTGCCTTGTATCTCCACGACAGGAGGAATGTTGCCAAAGGCCGACCGGGGCCCAACCAGTGTCAGCAGGTTGGGATATCCTGCAACTGAGGACCCCAGATAACATCCAAGGCCTGCACGCTTCCACCGATCGCTCAATGCCTCGTCCTTGTTGCGCCCTTGAATGTCAATCCCATCATACGATCCATCCAGAGCGTCGAAGCCGGTTGCATTAATGAGGATGTCTAGCTCGTGCAGTCTTCCGTCCGCGGTGCGCAAACCCTCCGGCGTTGCTTCGGTGATAGGATACTTCTTTATATCGATTGCATATACATTCTCCCGGTTGAACTGCTCATAGTACCCAGCATCGGACAGCGGTCGTCGATTCCAAAGCCCCCAGGGAGTCAACACAGCCCGCTTCTGGGGATCTTTCACGGTTTCTGCAATCTTCTTGCGAATGAAACGACATACTTCCTCATTCGCGGCTTCGTTAGTAGTGACATCTGAAAATGCCCCAAACATCAGCTGGATGCCGTTTCCAGCCCTCCAGACGTGCTCTAGAATCTCTTCGCGCTCTTGCGGAGGCACGGACATGAGTGGTCTGGTAGACTCCTGAAAACCCATGCCAAGAGCGGACGATATCACATTTGACCAGATCTGCGGGTACTGCTCATTGATCGACTGACGTTCCTTGGAGGTCACTGGTCGATCGTTCGCAGGGATACTGTACTGTGGCGTGCGGATGAACACATGGAGCGATTTGACCCTGCTTGCAATAGCGGTCACCGTCTGCACTCCGCTAGACCCAACGCCTATTACCCCAACGCGTTTGTTTTCCACTCGAATACTTGGGTCCCAGGTGGACGTGTGCACTATCTGCCCCTTGAAAGCATCGATTCCAGGAATCTCGGGCATGCTGGGCTTGACAAGGGGTCCCAGAGCTGTGATCAGGTACCTCACCCGAAAGATGTCGCCTGTCTGACATTGGACTCTCCACACCTTGGCTTCATCATCCCACTTGGCGGCGACCATCTTCGTGCTAAAATGCATGTGTTTGCGGAGGTCATGTTTTTCGACGACATGCTGGAGGTATTCCAGGATTTCCGGTTGAGTTGAATATGATCTCGCAGCGGGGTAGGTCTGCAGCAGCTCTTTGTCGAAGGAGAACCGATACACATGGCTCCAACTGTCGCTGAGAGCACCAGGATATTGATTCACAAACCAGGTCCCGCCAACTTCGCTTTCCTTTTCGATAGCCTCGACTTTCAACCCCTCATTGAGAAGGGTATAGAGGGTATAAATGCCCGAGAAGCCAGCGCCCACAACGAGGGCATCGAGATGGTGTTCCTGGGGCATTGCGTTGAGGTCGAGGTACGATGATTGCGATCTTGCAATCTATTGCAAATTACTTGCGGGGTATTGCAGGCTTATAAGTTAGCGCTCGGCATACTATGGCCAACCCCTCTTTCCGCAACCATCCCTGTCATCCCATCCCAGGAGGCCTTACCTTGGCGGTGGCGAGTTGCTCACAAAGGTGCGCAAGGGTTGCAGCACATCTGGTGAAACATACGGGTTGTCGCCATGAGGATGTACTCCGGGGATGGCAGTCCAGTCGAACCCATGTCCTCAGCTCTGCATATTGTCAGCCACCTCCAGGGATCGGCCAACCCGGAGCAAGTCCGGAATCCTCATATCTCGGTCGAGACCAATTAGATCCCCGGGAGGTTCTTTCTTCTATTTGTAATCAGCGCCGAATGTGATGACAGCCCGCATCTCAGCTCATCCCCGAACCAAACCTTGGTTTGATAGCTGCTACCCCGCTCGTGTTCGGCCCCGCCGATCTTCCGCAGAACATTCTGACGAGTCACTGTCACAATCACTGTGGATCATCCAATCCAGGTGGAAGTCCTTGCCGACACTTCAGGTCTCCCTCAGCTCGTATCTGACTTCGCATACGTGTGACAGACACATCAGACTTGCCTCCTCTTCTGAGTATCTCATACTACAGTGAAAGTTTGAGTATCACTTCAGTGCCTACATAGACCAATACTGACTCATCTCGGCAGATATCAACCTCTATCACCGCTGCATTCGAAGACATTCTATAGACAGGCATCTAGCATCCAATCACAATTATATGACCCCACTCACAACAACACATTGACCCCTCGTCCAGATTAGCCAGAGAAATCTCCCATTCTATTCCGAGCACCAGGCAACGAACGACACCATTCAGCTCCCCAATTACCCAACATTCTCCCCTCCCTCAAACCCAAGACCGACCAAGCCTTCGCATCTCACACGCCCACCCCTTATCTACGTACCCTCCTAACTACACCCATCTTACTAAACAAACCTTCCACTATCCGACCCCCAAAGCACCAACTTCACCCCTCCCGTAGACCCTAACCATAACCTCTTGAATGTGCAAGATGCAGGGTATTCTAGAAATAAAGATCGAGTCCACAAGAGGATATAATCTAGCGTTCATATATCTAGCCAAGTTCGGAATAACTTTGGCCCTTCTGGTTCTGAATCATGCAAGGGCGGATATGGCTGTCCTGGGTACTACGTGCTCTGTCTATATATCTGGCATTATGTACAGCGGGCCGGGGGTGTTCTTGTGCTGAGGTTGTCGGTTGGTCGATCTTTATTCTGATCATCCGGATCATGGAATGGAGGTTGTTGGAGAAATGCCGGGTATTGACTGTGAGAACGAGATGGGGAGCATACTTTATCGAAAATAGATGAACTAACGCTAAATTGCATTCGGTTTGTCTGGGATCGGCTCATGCATATCTACATAAATCAAACATACCTCCCCCCATCTACGACGACCACCTGACCCGTCATGAAACTCGACTCTCCCCCCAGCAAGAATCCCACCGCATTCGCGATCTCCTCCGGTCTTGCCAACCTCCCCATCGGCACTCGACTGATATAACTTTCCTTTCCCTTCTCATCCAGAATACCGCTCACTAGCGGTGTATCCGTACCCCCAGGGGCCACGCAATTAACTCGTACCCCCCGGTGGGCGAAGTTCGCTGCCCATGCCCTCGTCATTCCCAGCACGGCATGTTTACTCACCGTGTATGACACGAATCCAATAGATGCTTGAATCGCTGCTGTAGAGGCAATATTCACAATCACACCTTTGCCCTCGGTTGGTCCTGTATCGTCTGTATCCGGGCTGCTTGGGTCAGGGGTGGGTAGGATGCGAGAAAGATATTCGGTGCCCGTGTTCCACACGCCACGGACATTGACTTCCATGGTTCGGTCGAATGATTCGTCGGATTCCATGCCTGATACAGGAGGCAGACTGGCAATTCCGGCGTTGTTGATGAGGCCGTCGATGGTAGGGGTGATGGTGAGGATCTTCGTAAAGGCGTTGTGAACTGAGGGGCGGGAGGAGACGTCGGTATTGGGGTAGAAGTGGACGTTCTTCTGGGGGAGGTGTGCGGATATTTGTGGTGGGGTGGATGAGATGTCGAGGACGTGGACGGTGGCGGACTGAGACAGGAGAATATTGAGGATCGCGAGGCCAATTCCTGAACAGCCACCGGTCAAGATGTAAGTTTTGCCTGCGTGAGAGGTAGTAAGGGAAGACATTTTCTTATTTCTGAATTGTGCATATGAGATAGGGGATAAAGGTGGGGAAAATCTGGAAACGAGGTATCTATTTTGATTTATATGATCTGAGACCTGTTCACATGAGCATTTGAATTTGGCAGCTGGCGGGGTAGGCGTTGGTTTTGCAGTCGCTGGTGAACTATCGGGTGACTGTGCTGCGCAATCGAGGGGTCATGCTCGATACAGCAATCAACTGGGATACGGATGCAATAGCCGGTTATCAGCATAGTCAGGACATGGTTCGCATTGGTGGGGATTGACCCGGCCGTCACAGCATTCTGGTATGGCCTTCCAGCTCCGATTTTGCCGCTTCCCATGCACCAGCACTAGCGCCGTAGCTCTTCTTGTGGAGTCCTTGCTCGAAGGTCCCAGCAAGTTAGCGTGTTACTGCCTTATCTGCAGTATACCATGGCAGAACGATCGTCTTGTGTAAGTAGCACTTTATTTAGCGCCTGTGTTGGAGTTCCTGTTCCCAGAGGTCAAGCATCATGCATATGCAGGTGATCGCTTTCGTCACATTCAGCTTTGCAGAACTCGTCGTACTGACAGACATTGGCTTCTCATTCGACGAGGACTTGATACTCCTTTTGTACAGCCAGTCAAGGAGGGTCCTTCGGCCCATACTGACCCGAGGATGTATGTATGTTTTCTTGTGTCTGCACTCCTAGCACTTCGTAAATGTCGGTGACTGTGTAGTCCGGCATCGTCAGCCCAGCCCAGACTCAGGACTCCGCACGATGCGCCCGCTATTGGTGTAGACAATCCTGCTGCACCGGTATCGCTTTCATATAGAGATGGTGCTTGGATAATAGCCCTGAGTTTAGTCTGTGGCGTCTATCCTCTGTGTCTCACCAACTGCAGTGGCTTGCACAACCACCATTTACCCTTCTTCTAACAGCGCTCGACCTATCTAACTGCAAGGTCTAGCTTGCGTAGACCATTTTGATCACAGTCACGAAGTGTATCCTTGAGTCTATACTGCTTGGATTGTATTTGGATGTTTTGAACTGTTCTTTCGCTCGAGGTGATCTGCTTGTTGATCTCCGATAGCCGCGTACCCCTTGGGGCTCACGAGGGCGCTAAGTGATAACTCGAAATTCCTGTCATCTGAGAATAGAGATTCGATAGGAGTAGACTAATTCAATTGAAATCAGCAGTTAACTTGGCCAAAAGTTAATGACAGGGTGCATATTGGTCCTGGTTCTAGCGGAGAGTGCGGGATATGTGCGCAATCCTGTGGTCTCTTTGAGGTTCTGCTCGACACAAACACGTAAAGTGAAGGATGCCCATTGGCCCATTTGCCAAGTAAACTAGACCTCAGGGAGACGAAAAGGGTCACACCGGTTAGCCATTTGAACAAGGGTTGTGAGGACGGACAAAGCCTCTTTAGGATGAAACCTCCGTACCAGGCCATTCTTTCTCCACCACCAAGCTCTCAGCAATCAGCACAAGTGCTGAAACCATGTTCAGGAACGGACTAGTAGTGCTCCGATGGCGAGTCGGATTAGAGAATTCCGCGGACAAAGACATTACCCTAGCCCAGATTCATATATCGGCAAATTAGGTCTCATCGTATCCAAGGATCGCGCTGCGGATCTCGCCTTAGCTTCCCGCAATTGAACGATATTGGTCCCGTCTTTCATTCTCTAAGAGTTTTCTGTACCACGGTACTGCCGTCCCAGAGAGAGGTCCATTAGACTTGACGACGGGACCAACCTCATAACAACGCTCATGTCCGAGATAGCAGAAGTGGAAGTGTTACCCAAAAGAGAGGAAGAATTTTCCGGTGATTCCGACCTTGACAAACCAGTATCCACAAAGGTGAAATCGCGAGATTGGGCTTTATCTGGGATTGTGCGCGGGATCTAGATAGCGCCTCGGGGCGTTCGTTAGTTTGTGCGAGACATCCGTGCCGTGGGGAAGGGGTATCATGAGTAGTCTGTTCTTGGGCAGGAATAAGCGAGGATCACGGTGGTTGTCTATTGCAGATTGAGTCAATGCTGGGGGTATTCTGCGGTTCCCTCTGATTAGCCTCCATTGTATTCAGGTCTCATAGAGAAAGACAAAGAGGTGGCTAGACTTGGATTCTACAGGAAACCGAGGTTGATAACACTGAGACAGCTCTACCGTAATTGTGCTCTGGTCGCAGTCGTCTACTTACGGAGCTCTCTCGATGCACCTGAAGGACTTATCGATGACGGGAAATGAGGCAGTTTAACGGCTATACCGCTGTCGGAGTCACACTCCTGATCCTTCAGTCATTGAGAATAACCCTGTCGTCCCATATGAAGACGGCAGGTAGCAGGAATCAGACGATGGTAGGCCTTGAATTAGGACGGGGAAAGGTGGGAAATAGCAGTTGAGGGGAAGGACAATGGGAAGAAAGGCGTACAACCCGTGGGCCGGATCACGAGACCGTCCAGGGTGCCTGAGGTCTACAACTGGCAACACGAGAATCGTTAATCCTCCTTTGGGCTGCCTCTACAAGAATCTACACATACGGCTCAAACTCAGGCGTAGGCTCAACCCGAACAGGAAAGATGCCCAGGTGACTGACTATAGGTAAGCCATGTTCCGTATATCCTTGACCAGGCAAGTCCGACCCAATCCCCCTCCTCCTTTCATCCTCAGCGTCTAAAGTGTCTGCCTTGCAGGATGAGGTCTTTTCCGTGTTGTCTACGCTCTTGGCGCATACGTCACAACGATAAAACCGTTGAACCCGGGTTCAACCTCCACCCGCATATCGAACTATTGGGAATGATGGGCAGGGGGGATGGGGCACATAATGGGAATGGGGATACATGGACAAACCAATCAAGCATCCTGCCTCCTTGGGGATGCCCCCCGAGGCTCTTGGGCCACGTGTGGAATGGAACTGGAACTGGAACTATCTCGGCCGGATCCTCCAGGAGACATCATACGGTGTGCCAGCCCAGGGTCGAACAAGTCCAGTTACTTCGTCGACTAAAGCGCCCGACCCCACGCCAGTCACCCAGACCCTGGCTGTACGGCACTGCATTGCACCACTAGCGAGGTCAGGATGGCCGCTACCATTCTGGCATCCGTGCACATCCCTAATCTTCCGGCCTGGCAGCCACAACATCCCTCCCACACCAATCCCAGGACCAACATAGGCTGTCTGAGCAGAGCTCCGGCCGCTCTGGATCCGAACCCCTGTTCGAAATTGTATGATCTTTCACTCTGCCGCCATCGCGGATGGTGAGCTGACACCTCATGCGACAACTGCTGGGAGTATGTACATCGGGGTTGCGGATGGGACGAATCCCGGCCAAACCAAGGTGGGAGTGTAGCCTAAAGCCCGGACACCAACATCCACCAGCGATCGTCATTCCCGGTGTAATAGTTTCCATGCATTCGTCCTAGTGCCACGGATAGTATGGTCGCCGTCTCGCGGCCATGCACGGCAGAATGCTGGGACGTGTCGATCGGGTCCGAAGTGTCGTGTCGCTGAGCGCAGTCACAGCCGTCAGTCCGGACAGGTCAAGTTCAAGGATTGAGTTCGAACTGAGCCCTCGGAGCCGAAGCGTGGTTCGACCGAACAAATCCTGGGCTCAACGGTCAACCGATTGACCCCGCATACTCGTCACGAGCGATCTCTGTATCTACCTAGTGGCTGGTTAGTGAGTGACACACAACTTTGCAGTGGCGGGCGTGGTCTTGGGCGCCCACAATGGCGCCGCGGTCTTTTTCTGGCCCCTTTCCTCTGCTCGGAGTTTCCGGGTCTCCCCGTTCGGCTCATGGATCGGTCCTATCCGGCCGACAGACAGAGCACATGAAACGAGGTGGATTCGAGACAGGCTGGCCTTAAGCATCGCAGCCTTGCCTTGCATCCTCAATTATTTTTTCCCTCCCTTGCATCCCCGGGGGTGAGTGACGATCTTGCCAGTTGCCTCTGCTGAGGGCTGAGGGCTGCACTGATCGGCCGTGGATCCGCATGGATGGATGGATGGCCTCAGGCTGGCAGGGAGGCGTTCTGGCTGCAGCGGCCCTAAAGGTCAGCCAACGTGCGGAAGGAGATAATATCCGGGGCGCCTGGCTCCGTCCAGCGCCCGGCAGAGGGAAGGAGAGAGCAGAGGGAAGAGTATGACGAGAGGTGCCCGGGGGATCGAGAACGACGACATCTTCTAATCAAACTAAAGGTAGCGAGCGGCCTTCTGGCTCGCCGGTTACTATTATTATTACAGAATCTCGAACCGGACTGGACGGTTCTCCGTGACCGAAAGTCCTTCTGTTCTGGGAGCAGAGTTTGGGCGATCGTTTCTTCGGCCGAAGCGGTCATTCTTCGGCCGGGCAGGGGCTGCCTGATCCGTCGCTCGACGCCGTCAACCAGAGAACCATCCATGATCCATCGCCATCCCCATCCATCCACTCCCACGGAACAACGGCGAGGGGCACCCGCCCTGGCTAGGCCCCTCCGCTACAAATACCCGCCCACAGCCAGACCTCGCCTCTCCCCCCGGCTATCTAAAGCCTCCATGATCCCCTCCCCGGGGTTCGAACCCCCCTCCTTTCTCACCCAAGAGTCGGCGTCAAGGTCGATTCTTCACTTGTCCCCCCTCCCGACACCACTGGTTTCCAGAGGGGCGTGCTCAGCATATCTCATCCCTCGACGCTCAGAGGGCACACATTGTATCATGGGCGGCATGATTGATACCGTCATTGCATCGAGCAGTCAGCTGCTGTGACCTCTGTATGTGTACATCTCTACGGGTCGGGGCGCTTCCGGTGCCCAAACAACGGCAGGCAGAATGGATGGGACGACTGAGCCCGTGCGCCCGCATCGGTCGGAGTGTCGCACCAATTCACTAACTATCATGCCCGGGCAGCCACTGGGTCAAACATTCCCCGTACTCATGCTTGGGAATAGCATTACATCCGAAACTCGGTTGAGAATGTTGTCAATGTGCCCCTCCTCTGACGAAACGCTATAGCCAGAGGGGTAGGCCGGGGCTGTCGACCCCAGGGCAGTCGAGGCCGGCGACGTGAACACGGTGGCGGGCGACAGGCCCGGGGTGCTAGGTGCAATCTCCGGGACCAGCCGGTTACGCTTTTTGCGCGCGCGGAAGGCGGCACTGACTTCGCGAAGAGCGCGAAGGGATGATGTGAGATGTCTGGCCGAGTCCGTCTTGTTGTTACTGTTGGATTCCCCATCCGCATGCACATGGTCGGACAAGACCGCTTCGAGTTTCTGGATCAGGTCCCATGTCTGAGGATGCAACTGATCATTGTTATTCGCCACTAACAGGAAAGCTGATGCGATTGTCCGTTGCAAGCTGATCCAGGTACGCGAAGCATGCGAATTAATCGAGTGCAGCTCAATGAACGCCTCAATCGTGTTAATAAGATTCGTCAAGCAATCCTCCCGAACGACTTCGCGCCGCTGCTCATCCATCTGAACATCCGGGTCCAAGGAAACTCGGCACATCAGCGAAATAAAATACGACGAGTGGAGTCGAAGTTCCGTCCGCTCGATATGCTCCGCTAATGTGCCACAGCGGTCGCGAAATCGCAAGTGCGGTGCAGCCTCGGCAATGATCCGTTCGATGCGCTGCTTATAATCCCGGATTTCGTGGTATCGCAGGTGGGAATGATGCGTGAACATCAGCCCTCGCAGCATCTCGAGTATAACGGAAATGAGGCGGCAGAGCGTTTCGAAATATCCCCGATGACCAGGCATAGATTTTGGATCATACGGAATCTCTGGCTGGTTGATCATCGTAATGGATGGTCGGTCATACGCTAAAGAGAAATGGCTGTTCTGAAAAGCCATCGCCCACCTGGTCACAGTAAGTTTAGCATCGCACTAGGGTCCGGTCACAAGGATATTCTCAGGGGATGGCTCTTACCACACTCTCCTCCGCGCCGCCTGTGCGGCTCGCGAAAACCCAGACGTTTCGACGTGAAGACCCAGAACCATACACATCCGCTCCGTCATTCCTTGGACAAACGGCATGCATTAGCTTCCACTGTTCACCTCATGCGCATCTTCCAATACTCACCGAGCAACGTGTAGGAGGCGCCTGCATTCATGTTATACGACAAGACACTGCCAATGACCAACAGAGTCTGGATCACCTCCAGAGATGGCTGGGACACATAGTTCAACATGCGCAGGCAATGGTAAGAGCAAGACACTGAAGCTGGTCAGTCGGAATATGAAAATGCTAGTATGGAGGTCTACCAACCGTATACCCATGAGGTCAACTCCCGTTCTTTCCCAGACAGGTCGGATAGTTGAGAACCGGAGGCTAAAACGGCAAATAGAAGGCTAAGAAAAGAAACACTCATGCCAAACGGCTTCACTAAACCATTGGCATCCGGCTGATATACGCCACCAGCTGCTCGTCGGCCTTCCAGAAGCTTGTTCATGTTTTCTTCGAGCCTAGCAAGATCTGGCAGGACGGGATACAACACTGTGCCAATATTCCGATAGAATGCTAGAAGTCTGGGGGGGGGAAATGAATACGTCAGCTACGCAAAACAATGTGACGCCAGCGTATGTGTTCAGGGGTCGACTCACTTTCGGCACTGTTCATCATCGGGCAGCACGTTGCAGACACCTGCGATATTGAACGTGTATGGATCTGAAGACCAGAGATCCACAAAGGGGTAGGCGGCGGATTCGTTCCCCAACGCCAGCTCTGTGAGAAGGTCGTCTTTTGGAAGCGCCTGCGCCGTATCCTCCGAGACCTTCGACTTGTCCAGAATATCAACCAGGGCGGATCTAGAACCTATGTGAACCGAGCCCGTCTTCAGTGTAGTTGATCCATAAATGCCTTCGGAGGCGGGAGAAACGTCTTCCTCCGTTTGAGAAGGTTCCGATCGAGGTTCGGCGGCTTTCCGCGCACCGTGGGTGTGGAAAAGAGAACCCAGGCTCGCCAAGATCTGCTCCATCGTTTGCATTTTGTTGTTGATCTCATCCCACTCCTCTTGCGACAGCGTCACGATATCAGGTAGACCATCCTGGGTGGCTGAGCTGGCCGATTCTGGATCGGCCCCGTAGGGAGGTTCACGGTTGGCAGGATGATACGACGGCGGCGGGAAGAATTGAGGCGTAGTTGTCGCCGGGGTCGTGGCGGAAGAGGCAAACTGGTCTGGAACGAAGGAGGATGGACGGGAGCCCGTCGGGGGAGGACGACCGTAAGAGCAGGTGAAGTTGCGCTTGACGCAGTTCCCACACGGCACATTGCGATCACAGCGGACCTTGCTGGCACGGCATGGAAGGCAAGTTTTACACTCACGCGGCCTGCGGCGGATGGGATACGTAGGCATTGCGGTAGTTTGCAGACGTTCGCTGGCCCCGCTATTGGGGTTCGGTTGGCGTGCGTGACGGATGAAGGGATAGGCAAATCGTATGTCTGTGCAACGGGACGGTCGATCATACACGCGCGCTTAAAATCCGAGTCGGGCCAGTATTATTGCGGGTGTGAGTAGAGATCCGAGACATCGGGATATTCATACACAGTGGTAGACGACAAAGGCACGATTCGAGCAGGCTGGATCGAGGCCCGAGAGGTCAGCAACTCAGCGCGACGGAGATAGCGTTAGGACTGGGCAGAGGAGCAGGGCACGCAAAATTCATCAGAGCCCCGGGGGAGAGGGGGCAAGACACACCGATCAATGGGACAATCCCCGACACATCGGACGCTGAATCACCATGATAGAAGAGTCTCAAGCGGGAAAAACAAAAATTGGATGAGCGGCTGATCGGAAGGGACGATACTGATGGGGGAGGGGAGGGCGACAATGCTCAGATCAATCGATGCATGAGCCGATCTTTTGCCCGGGGGAGCACCAGCTTTGGGACTGGAGGGGAAAGCGCCATCTCCCCGTCGTCGCCGCTGGTTAGTCAGGCGTACTAATCGGCACCTGGCCGCTGGTCTTCCGTGCCTGGGAAACAGGAAGGAACCTGCCACTCCCGAGATGGCGTGTTCGGTCCAGCTGTCTCGCCAGATGAATCATAATTAGCAGTAGTAAGTATGTAAGTATGTAAGTATGTAGATGGTCCGTAGTAGCAAGCAGGAATTTTCTCCGCAGAGCTGGCCCCTCATTCCACCGATTGCCCTTTGTTTGTTTGACCGCCGTCACTGGACGCTGTCGATTGCCATTGTCATTCCCGCTCCTCCCTCGGCAATGCCACCCAATCCCCGTCCAGCCATTCCTCAACCCAGTTCAACCCAGTCTCCCGGGTCCGGTGAGGTCATCGATAGGTCCTCTCTTCCTATCTACCTACCCCCCGCCAGTTGCAATCGTTGCTGTGTAAGGAGGCATCTCGACTGACATCCATTGATCCCCGTTCGCTGCCACTGATCAGCGGTCGAGAGCTCTGGCTGCCTTCGTTCGGAGTCGTTCCGAACACACCGGGTCGATCTAGGTATGGGTTGGGGAGAGAGGGGGGGGGGGGGGGGAACCGAGAGGATCAACGAGTTAGTCGTGATGCGCACGGTCAGCTGACTGGCCCTGGATGGATGGCCTGATGTTGACCTCCCGGGGCGAGCTGATGGACTTCCTCGTCCGTAGTTCCGTCGTCCGGTTCCTCGCAGATTGTGTATTCTGCACATGAACTAGGTATGGTGGGTGCAGTGGGCAGGCTCTCTAATTGTCTCTTTCGCTCCATGGCGGGCGCTGGTCTCCATTCCCTCTTTCGCTCTCCGGAGTATACGCTACCCTCGGCAAGCACGCGAGTCCGAATCCCACCGGTTCGTGCCATATGTCTATTACTATGCGTGACTTATATACATGACTTCATGGTGCATCGGGTACTCCACATGGGCCGTTGGGGGCACACTTAGGACTGTCGGCTCGGGTGGACACGAGGTGCTCGGTCGTTGAGGTTCTACACAGTATCGATATCGTCCTTGCTATTCTCACCCATCCGGTTCGGGCCTCGTGGCCGGAGATTCAACCTACTACGTGGGAACCTCGCGACACCTTGGTCCGCAACGGCTGGGTCGATCCGCCCCGTGGTCGCGGCTGAAGAGTAGGGGTCGGTTGCTAATCAAGACCATAGATGGTTGATGCAATTCATGTCTTAGAGCCTACTGTTACTGGTGAGACCTGCGGGACAACCCACCAGTCATGCCAACGAGCCTTGGAGCCAGTCTCCGGGATAGTCACCCGCAGATTTACAGATGGGCTCTCTGCACCCTCCTTGGCTTCAACCACGTTCGCGTGAGCTTTCAGCGCTTTCTTGACCGTCTCGATCGCGATGCTTGCCCCTATGCAAGCACGCATCGTGTCCTTCACGTCGCGTTTCCAGTCTTCTTCAATGGCCGGCGCGGAGTTCTCTTCGCCGTCAGATTCCTGGACGAAGGCACCGTTCGCCAGTGTAGCTTCCCAGGCTTTTCGTGCCTCCGAGATGGCTTTAGTAGCACGTTCCAGTACGGTTTCATCGCTATCCCCTTCAAGCACGGCTTCCCGACGGTATTCATCGTACGGGACTAGTTCCGGTAAGGTTATTTGAAGGAAGGGTTTCATGCGGATTTCGTAGCGCAATCGGTCGCTGGAGTATGCCTGGGCAGAAGAGGCCGTCGGTAGGACGCCATGGCGGGCAAGGAGCACATACAGAGCGTGCAGGGAAATGGCAAATGCGTCAATAGCAACTATCTGCGTTGTTAGCCGTTCGAGGAGTCGGAGTGATTTCTGAAGTGCAGTATGCCGCTCAAGAGCATCACTTTTTTTCGCGGCCATTTCTGTGAGGTTTCGTTTGGCGGCGGCGACAGTGAACGTGCGGATCCGATCAATGTGACCGAGGTGGGTAGAGCAGATGTGGGACAGGTACCAGTACATCCCAGGCAGTTCTTCGGGAGAGTAGATGGAAAGCTCAAATCCGAGCTGAAGGATGAGACGGAATTGTATCAATTTGTGATGATAAGCCCAGCTGCTAAGGGGATACGAATAAGTAGCGTCGCCGTTGGCGAGCATCAATGGAGGTTCTTTGCTCAAGGTGCGGAGTTGCTCATCGAGATCTTCAGCCTAGAGAGAAGTTTAGATCACACTCCCAATGCACACGCGTGAAGTACTCACCTCCATTTGCAAGTTGTCCCAATCGACAATGGTATGGCAGACAGTGCGCCGAATGCGGCAGCGGTTTAAGCAGGCACTTCGGAATGTATCCGCGAAAGGCTGCACGTGGAATCAGCCTGCGATCAACATCTCCAGGGAAAAGTGTACACGAGGGGCGGGTATTAGAATAATGTAGACATACTTGGGAGAAACGCTTGACAAAAGCATCCATTTGTCTTGCAATTTGGAAGCGAGGGTCGGAAGGAACCTCGATTTCATCCATGTTGGCTTCCAAAAGTATGCTTGACGGTAAAACAAGCTCTGCTAGTTCATCGTATAGAAATTGCTTAACGGGAACGGCTCCGAGTATCGTCATGTTGTTGACGATCAGGGTTTGGACGAGTGACCGGATATATACTGATGGCTGGGGCTTCCGTGACAGCAAAGTCCATATAGTAACCTAAAAGTTGTAAGCACGGCCCCAATAACCAAGTATAAGCCTCCTTACCTTGAAGTTGTAAGGTCCTCGGTAATCGATGATTTCTTCCAGGTCAATTGCGTCCTGGCATAGCCGCTTTAGATGCGCCAGCGCATCTTCGATATTAATCTTCACCATTGGCCGTGGAGGAACAGTGCTCGCCAACTTTCGTTGGATCTTCCAACTAAATGAGTCGGGTACTTCTGTTCCCAAGGAAGTTGACTTGGCCAAATCATCCAACCGGGACAGGCAATTCAAAAAGTGCTCCCTTGACCTTGTCTCAATCACTTCGACATCTTGCTCCAAGCCCTGTAAAAAGTCGCGTCGGAAGAGCAGTCTGGTCCATATAGCTTCACGTACGTTCTCATCCAACTTTCCCTTTTGCTCGTCAATCCAAGAGATCGCTCGATTTAAAAGGTCGTAGAATGGCTCTGGTTCAAACTGTGACAATAGCGTACGGTTATAGAGCTGGGTGACGAAATCCTCTTCCTAAGACGAGAGGGAAGTATTAGTGGTGCTCAAGCTGATAGAATACAGTGTGTTGATACTAACCTCAAAATAGTATTCAGTAGCCACCCGCGCATGCACAAAATCACAGCATTTGATCAGTGCAAGGCAATATGCACGCAGCACGAGATGTACGATTGCCGATTCCTCGTTATTATTTGCGAGGTATCCACGAAAGAAATGAGCTTCTTCAAGAGACTTCGGTACCGGCCATAGGAGCTTGTCCAGGTAGAGGGATGTAAAGAGGGTCTGAGAAAGAGGGTGACCCATATGCCACGCCATCTGTCACGAGAATGATTGTTCAGCATAGCTCAGATGTAGCGCCAAATATCCGGATATCATTATCTCGACTTACCTCATGACAGAGCAACCCATCCATGATACCAAGTACCTCTTCCGGAGCAAGCTCCCGCCTCAAATCGTAGTCATCCTCCAAGGCCTGCGCATGGTTCTCACCGGGGCCCAGGTATCCACTGTCCATTTTGGAATCCATGATCTATAACGTCCAGAAATTGTCAGCTTCTGGTTCGGTATCGGTCGCGGGGCGTGTGCCATCAACAACTATCGGGTCGCAACCAACCTCCAGCGCACCAACTGCTTCAAAAAGTGTGAAGTATTCATCTTTGACAAGCTGTCCGGTTCTCAACTCTGGAATTCGAAGACGCAAGCAGTTAGCGAGCAATTCGATCAATACGTGTCCGCAACGAAGACGGGTGGAAGCAAAGAGAAACATGCTCACTTGAGGCAGCTGTTGTAAATTCATCGGTGATGTCGCGCGGGACCACCGACTGCGAAACCACCCGCATGGTTGGAACTTGGGTGTCGTCGTTTGGCAGCATATGAGAACACTATCATCCGCAGCCAGCTGCCAGATTGCCGGGGTCAAGCTAGAATGAGTGTCGATCTGGCGGAGAAGAGGGAGGGAGGGAGGGAAGAGAGCGGGCGAGGGGAGGCGGGGAGTCGGGCGGACAGGGCAAAACTTGCGGGAGCACCAGCCGCGCGGTGAGGCAGGGCCGTCGAGCTCAGGAACCCGCGCCCTTGAGGGGACATGGCCTACATCGCAAACAAGCGGGCTTACTAGCCAGCTAGAAGAATGGCAGGAGGAAATAGTCTTTTCTATTTATACCTGATCAAGGGGCCAGTATTGCTACAGAGATCCAGTCCTTTCCTGCGTAAGGCTTCCACCCGAGGTCTCGACATCTTCACCCAGAATACATCCTATGTCTCGTGTTCACACATCGGCGGGAGTTATTTATTTCGACTCGGCCTGGGCAGCAAGGGCCTCGTTGTTGGCCTGGGCGAGGGACTTGACTTCACCCTGCTTGCCGTTCTAAATCCGGGACACACTTGGTCAGCCAAAACTGGCCCATTGAACTCAGTGATAGGTAAGCTAGGCATCTAGATACGAACCTCCCACTTGGCGAAACGCAAGTCCATGTTTCCACGGCGCTCAGCAGCAGCACGAGGACCGTCCTTGAGAGACCTGCGGACCGCGCGAGCGGCAACGGTCAGGTAGCGGTTGTAGCTGTAAAAGTCAACCATAGAGTCAGTCAGGATTCCAAGGCAAGCGGAACGTTTATTTGCATGGGACAATCGTACGTGAGACCAGCGGCTTTCCAGGCGAATGCCATTTTGACGGTATGATGTGGATGGGGATATTGGGTTCAGGAGAAAGATCGCTCGCTCTGGGATGCTTTGCAAACCGTCGAGTTCGGAGGTTCGGGAAGGTCGGGTCATGTGACACACGTGATTCAGTCGCAGCCGCAACCAATCGGAAACAATTGGGGACTATTGCATTTTATACTACGGAGTAGATGGGTTAGATTGTCCAGGTTTTCCTACTACCTTGGTCCCCATACTTCTTACCTGTTTTAATGAGCAAGAATTCGACCAAGAGTAACTTGGAGCTCCAGGAATGGGCCGGACTTAATCAGTTCACACCATAAAAGGCGGAGGTAGTAGCATGTGCGAAAGCGGATATATATTTGAACTGCTACCTAGTCATAGCTCTTTGGCATATTGAAGGGATTCGAAGTTTGGACATAGATTTTACTTGTACAGCATTCGATGTAGAAGCTCTCCATAGTAATCAACTGATGGAATTGGAAGGTACTCGACCAAGAATTGTCTCCGCCCTAGTATATAAGGACCAAGGACAGATGGTATTTAAGTTCTATCCGCCCCGGATAGGTAGACTACTTAGTTTCTCGAGCAAAATTACGCCTATCCCCGGTGTCTTTCTGTATACTGTACCGAGAAGCCATTCTGGCCCTATATACTGGGTAAGCAAGCTAATCTGTAATGTTGCACTACAATCCAAAAAAGATTACTGAGGGCATCACTCTTCTGTCTGTAATCTATGACGTGGGGCAAAGATCTACTATGCCCGAGAACTGCATGGCTTTGTTTGCATGAAGAGGCCCAGTACTTATGTTTGACATGTTTGGATCACCATGGCGATGTTATATTGCAAGAAAAAGCACACAAGGCGAACAATTCCTCACATATCTCCGGAAGAAAGTGAACCTCCTGGCTGTCCACATCACCACGTCTTCTCATCTCACCTTGACCTCTACTTGCATCTCCCGATAGGAAGGCTTTGAATGCCATCAAAAGTAAGTTAAGAAGGGCTCACTCTCACAAGCAAGAGTGTACAAAGCAACCCACTGTCCGCTGGAGGGAGGCGGGGGGCGTCACGGATCTGCTGCGCATCTGAGCGAGGGAGCCGAAGGCTTCACCTTATCCTTACCTCACCTCCAACTAACTGGCAACTCTTGTACAGAGACCTTTCCGCATCAAGATCACCACGCTTCTCCTAGTCCCAGAATCTAAACAGTACATACTCCAGGAATGGTCAAAAGTTCAGAATCCAGCCAGTGCAGAATGGGTTCCTCTAGAAAGTCCTCCAATAGGCCGAAAAAGCGAACTCTAGTTCGCTGGGACGGTACATTCCCTGCCCCTATTCAGTCTTTGTCACTGTGGCATCTCTACAAGCCAAGGCTAACAGATGTAGAAAACTTGAACGAGCTTCTTCTGCTGACCGTACAGTCTGTTTGCAATACCAACTCCATCAAGATTCCTTGGGCGGACGTCGCTAGGACCATGGGACATAACGTGACGGAGGGAGCGATAGTACAGCACCTTGCCAAACTTCGCAGTCGTCGAGTTGCCGCAGAGAAAGCTGTTCCTCCCCCCCTTCGACGTGGTGGTATCGGTGCCTTATGCAAGTCGACCGCAGAATCGCCCACAGGAAGCGTGCAAGGAGAAAGACCGAAACGTAAAAGTGCCCAGACCAAGCTCGGTAGTGGCGAGTCACGGAGCAAAGCTCAACACCAAGACACGTCCTCGGATGAAGACTGGGTCGAGGGAAGAGCTTCTAGGATTCGGAGGAAGTTCCCAAACAAGAAGAAGTCAATATCTCAAGCTGCGGAAAGCACTCCAGAACAGCTCAAGTACGAGAGTGACGAAGATGACATAGACAGCAGCGTGAATAGCTCTAATGATCTGTTGGCTCCCGGTGCGAAGTTCCTCGAATACCCGAATGACACGGGGCAGCCTGAGACGTCTCCATCTGCTTCCGGCTCCGAACCTAAGCGAAGTAAGCTGGTGGTACTCAAATATCGACGACACGCTAGCAATGACGGTGATACAGTTTCTCACTCTGTGGGTTTAGCCGTTGATCCGGGCAACCTCCATGATGCCGCATCCTTCCCTCAGTACTACCAACAGTCTTCTGGCGATAACGCTTATTCGGTCGATAGCAATGCCAACTTCATGGATTTACTGAGCCAGGATTCGCCAATGGGCTTTGCGCCTGTAGGTAGCTCCTCCATGGAAGTGCTTTCACATGAGCCTGGAGTTGCTGCTCATGGCGATCTGTGGCAGAGTGGACTCGGTCAGCCGTTTTCGAGCGCCATGTATCCGGCATACCACAACACTGTTGATGTCGATACTGCGAATGATCCATTGGATTTCTCTCAGGAGATGTTCAACCGTCTTGCTTCGTTTGAGCCTGAAACCTATCAGCACATGTCAGGCAATTATATGCAGATGGATGAAGCGATCCACCCCTATCAAGTCTCCAATGACATGAAATGAACCTCCGAATGGAATGAGGCCTGATCCAAACCAAGGCCCGTGAAAATTAGTATTGACATATCTTTGCCATTTTGCATTTCTGGCTTCGGTCTCAGTTTCTCACACTCCTTCCATCTTTAAGATCACTGTCTTCTACCCTTATTGATAATGTCTTCTATTTTCCAGTAATTTAGTCATTTGAATAATGAAATGCTACCATGCTGAAGCCTTCGGTAAAATCTATGAGGAAAGGGATCGGAAGAATCGGTTGCGGATTACAGCAGACGACTCTTGGACTAGTATTACTTGCGTGGTCCCATAAATGGCAGCATTCAATCGGCAATTGGTGCTATTAACTGGCTCTCTCAATCAGTAGACTTCATTGTAGGCAGTCGGTGTACGCGGGTTGCCCTTTCCGACGACCCGAGGCGAATCCCTCGGATACGCGGCTGCACGTGACCTTCTAGGAGCTTCTGCCGCCAAGACAATCCGGGGATCGAGAATCGCCTGGAAAATTTTCGAGACTTTGGCTTCATCTCCATCCCCATCTCCATCTCTTCCCCCATCCTCTCTTCTTCTCCTTCTTCTCCCTCCGCACCTGTTCTTGCTCTGGGAGTTCCGGTCGGGCCTACCTGATCTAATTGTGTCCTATTGCCCTTGTCTGTCTTCGTTTTTGTCTCCTCTTTCACAAATCCCCTTCAAGATGCAGCGCGCTCTCTCTTCCAGGACCTCCGTCCTGTCCGCCGCCTCCAAGCGTGCTTCCTTCCAGAGACCCTCCGTCAGTCTGCAGCAGCAGCGTTTTGCCCACAAGGTACGGCTCGCCTCAGCATCGAAATGAGCTGCTCTCCGTAGCTCCCGACAGCCCAGCTGGGAAGCTTGCTTACACCTTCTAGGAGCTCAAGTTTGGCGTTGAGGCTCGTGCCTCGCTCCTTAAGGGTGTCGACACTCTTGCCAAGGCTGTCACCTCTACCCTCGGTCCCAAGGGTCGCAATGTCCTCATTGAGTCCTCCTACGGCTCCCCTAAGATCACCAAGGGTATGTGTCTATTCTCAATGCGGAGCTTCCGACATCGCATTTACTGACTACATTAGATGGTGTGAGCGTTGCCAAGGCCATTCAGCTCCAGGACAAGTTCGAAAACCTCGGTGCTCGTCTCCTCCAGGATGTCGCTTCCAAGACCAACGAACTCGCCGGTGATGGTACCACCACTGCTACCGTCCTTGCCCGTGCCATCTTCTCCGAGACTGTCAAGAACGTTGCTGCTGGATGCAACCCCATGGATCTCCGCCGCGGTATCCAGGCTGCTGTTGACGCTGTTGTCGACTATCTCCAGCAAAACAAGCGTGATATCACCACTGGTGAGGAGATTGCCCAGGTCGCCACCATCTCCGCCAACGGCGACACCCACGTCGGTAAGCTCATCTCCACCGCCATGGAGAGAGTTGGCAAGGAGGGTGTCATCACCGTGAAGGAGGGCAAGACCCTTGAGGACGAGCTTGAGGTCACCGAGGGTATGCGTTTCGACCGTGGTTACACCTCCCCCTACTTCATCACCGATGCCAAGTCCCAGAAGGTCGAGTTCGAGAAGCCCTTGATCCTGCTTTCTGAGAAGAAGATCTCCGCCGTCCAGGACATCATCCCCGCTCTCGAGGCCTCCACTACCCTCCGCCGTCCTCTCGTCATCATTGCCGAGGACATTGAGGGTGAGGCCCTTGCTGTCTGCATCTTGAACAAGCTCCGTGGTCAGCTCCAGGTTGCTGCTGTCAAGGCCCCTGGCTTCGGTGACAACCGCAAGAGCATCCTCGGTGACCTTGCCGTTCTCACCAACGGTACTGTCTTCACTGATGAGCTTGACATCAAGCTCGAGAAGCTTACCCCCGACATGCTCGGCTCCACCGGTGCCATCACCATCACCAAGGAAGACACCATCATCCTGAACGGTGAGGGCAGCAAGGACAGCATTGCCCAGCGCTGCGAGCAGATCCGTGGTGTCATGGCTGACCCCACTACCTCCGAGTACGAGAAGGAGAAGCTCCAGGAGCGCCTGGCCAAGCTCTCTGGCGGTGTTGCCGTCATCAAGGTCGGTGGTGCCTCCGAGGTTGAGGTCGGTGAGAAGAAGGACCGCGTTGTCGATGCTCTCAACGCCACTCGCGCTGCTGTTGAGGAGGGTATCCTCCCCGGTGGTGGTACTGCCCTCCTGAAGGCCTCCGCCAACGGCCTCGACAACATCAAGGTCGCCAACTTCGACCAGCAGCTCGGTGTCAGCATCATCAAGAGCGCCATCACCCGCCCCGCCCGCACCATTGTTGAGAACGCTGGTCTTGAGGGCAGCGTCATCGTTGGCAAGCTCACCGACGAGTTCGCTAAGGACTTCAACCGCGGTTTCGACAGCTCCAAGGGCGAGTACACCGACATGATCTCTACCGGTATTGTCGACCCTCTCAAGGTCGTCCGTACCTCCCTGGTTGATGCCAGCGGTGTTGCCTCCCTCCTCGGTACCACCGAGGTCGCCATTGTTGAGGCCCCTGAGGAGAAGGGACCTGCTCCTGCCGGTGGCATGCCTGGCATGGGCGGTATGGGCGGCATGGGCGGTGGCATGTTCTAAGCTAGTCGCCGCCTCGTGTAGCCTTCCGTTCCTTGTTTCTGAAAGGTTTCCCTTCAAGCGTCTTGTTGCATAGTACGGGCATGTCCTGATATGTTTTTGTTGATTTCCAAATATCTCCTTTGTTTCTAATGTGTTACACGTCTTTGGCCACCTAACCACCTCTTTTCCGACTTCTCCTATTTCCTCTATATCCTCTTCTTCGGCCACCAGGTCGTGTTTTCTCCCCCATCATCTCCACTCCGTTATATTGGGCACAAAAAGTCTCAGGGAGTCCTGTGTATCATACCATGTACTTTATGTATTCCGCAGCAATTTAGTCGGCTGTGGTGTTTGCGATTTCATTACATTAATTGTTCAAGCATTGTGATGTGTCGTAGTCTCGTAAGAATACTGCCGAACCAATAAACGGGGCTGCTTAAGGTAGAACATTCAACAACCACCATAAGCAACAATTTAGCTCTCCCAACCAAGAAAATAGCAATACCTTCGATCTATAACCAATCGCGCAAGTCTTGAAATCACTGAAAGCCTGTTTAGATCTACGACATGCTCCCCTCACCCCCATCTATTACTTCCCCCTCTCCCTCACTTTCTCCAAATACCGCTCAACCTCCAAATCCCCCTCCCTCACCCCCGGCAGCGCCACAACCATCTTATCCTCATGTTCCGTCCAGATATCCTCCTGTGACTCTCTCTGCGGATTCCGTCTATATCTATTCAAACGGCCCTTCGTGCGCTCAGGTTTCGCTGCCGCCATCTTCCTCCACTGGAATACTAATGTGACCGGTGCGAGGAGGAAATCACCTAGTATGTCTAGGATGAGTTTCTGGGCGCGCCAGAGAGTCTCACGGAGACGCTCATTGAAGGCGATTAGAAGGGCGATTATGATTATTGCGAAAGAGGCGGGGCCTAAGATGGGGGAGGTGGGGTGTTAGTGTATGTATGGGTGTGGAGATGGGGAGATGGAGAGTATGTGTAGTACCTGCTATGTAGAGCATTTCGCCCAGGGTGGGGTTTTCGGGGGTGCCGCTCCATTCGCGGGCGTTGATGCCGAAGAGGGAGGTGAAGAAGGAGAGGGGGAGGAAGCTGTTGGGTTTGGTTGTAAGTCTCATATGACTTGTGTGGGGTTTGTATGCGTGTGGTGTTTGGGGTAAGGGGAACTGACATGATGGTGAATACTGTGAAGACCATGACGGATCGCGATTGGTCTTGGGTTACTTCTGCTTCCCAGCGGGCGAGACGGGATTCGTCGACGCTAGCTTGTTTTTGTTTCAGGTCGAGGAGGTTTTCGACCTAGGGGAGAGTGTAGGAGTTAGTTGGTGTTGGCGTTGTGGATATGGATGGGAGGGTCATGAGGAACGTACGGCCTTTTGGGCAAGAGTTGCGTTTTCGCGCATGTCGAGAACCTGGTTGCGATATTCGTCGAGTCTGGAGAGGGCTGATTTCATGAATGCTTTCCCGCAGCCTTTGTGTTCGAAGTAGCTGGTCATGGTTGTCACGGTGGTCGTTTGTTGCTCGAGGAGTTTGAGAATGGTTCCTAGCTCGTCTACAATATCTCGTAGCTCCAACAACGTAGAGAGATCCTCCCGGTTTCGTCTAGCTACTTTATTGTCTCTTTCATCGCGTTCTGCAGCGGACATTGGTCTCCCTTCGGCGTTTTTGTTATAGTCTGCAGGACGGGTGTTGAAGCCGCGGTTTCGAAAGCGTTTGAAAGATTTGGTGACGATTTCGGTCTGCCATGGTCAGTATTACTTTCACAGTGGTGGAAAGGATGATCTTACTAGAATGCTGATGGATTCTTCGAATATCCGGAGTATCTGCAGGTCACGGTGAAGTGTCCGGTCGAGTAGAACTGTGACTGCATGCAACACTATGAGGGAAGCAAGATCACCAGCTGTTTCGAAACGTCTAGCTAGATCTCCATTTAACTCGTTGTATATGCTGTTGTACAGATTGGACTGCTCATACAGCTTGCCCTCTGCCGTGGTAGCCTCCTGGTTGGGAAAGAATGTGACGACGGTCTTCTCGTCAACAATCCACAGCCAAAGTTGGTCGACCATGAGGACCTTTCCGTCCATGAATGTATTCTTTGCCTCGGGTCCATCCTCCGGTTGGACAGTAACCTTTATCTCATCATTCAGATTAACCACCTTCCTTGTCCTCTTCCAGAGCATCTGATCATCATCTCTTGCGACTGTCGATCGTAGGTTCGGATATCCGAATTGGTCCAACGTCCTCCGTATGTGAATGGGTGGCTCATTGCCGAGGTATTTCCAGATCAACTTTGACTCGAGACTAGATTCTGAGATGTTGCTTGGCACTGGTCTGAATCGTCCTTGTCGCAATCTCTCATCAACAACTTTACGCCGTTGAACTAGGTTCCAGTAAGTATCCCAGTGGAGCTATACTGTCTGTCAGTACTGCAACTATATAGACATCTGTAACAGGACGTACGTATGGAATCTAGTAAAAATAGGAAGAATTAGTATTTTGCATATCTCAAAAAGTCGTCGACTTACGTATAGAGCCAATGTCGGGTCCTTATATCCCTCGATTGCCCCGGGGGTGGAAGCCTTGTTTGGCTTGAAGTGAATGCAGCTAGATCGTACGTAGCGCGCATGGGGTTCAAGATGGCGAGCTCTGATGAGATTCGAGTACCAGTTTTCCTCATTGATAAATTTCTCCAAGCTAATGTGACACGATTGTACGTCAGTAAGGAACTATAGATAATGGGAGTTGGCCGACTACCCACAAGGCCTGTCTTTCTTGACCCCCACATGCTTTGGCAAGTATGGACGGTACCCAACCAGTGTGGGTGTAAGGAACATGGATCCAAAGAAGCTTCTCGCTGCCCGGCTCTGGTTGATCGAATCGAGGCGCTTTTCGAGGCATCTCAACCCTCTGTTCATCGACGTTATCTCGGGATGGCAGTGGAATCGGCAGGAAACTCCTATACCTGGGAGGAAAGTTCGCACTTTAATTGATTTTCGTCAGTAATAAGTATTGAAGCTAGCGATTCTTCTTTCGATACTCACACCATGCTGTTTGCGCCTGTCTCCTTTGCATTTGTATCTTCTTCCTTTTTGTCTTCTTGCGATTGGACGGACCTCTGCGCTTCTTCGCCCGAGTCTGGCTGCACGTCAAAGTAGCCTTGACTGGCCGGCTCAGTGATATGAATTCTAGGGGATGATTGGCCCAGGAATCTGCGGTTCTCCTTGAGTGAAGGTCTTTGGGGGATTGTTTTATGCTTTGTAGGTTCAGTCGCATGGGATGCTGTTGGATTTATTATGCCATCCATTGACGACCGAACTTGAGCAGATGTCGGCCTGCTGTCGAAACTGCTTATGGAAGAGTCGTCATATATGCTAGATGGTATTCCAGCTGTCTTCTTTAGCCTGTTGCTGAGACATGATGAGGGACCACTTGTCAAGTACTCCTTGAGCGATGCTTTTGTTGACCAGAGCTTCAAGGGTGTTTCATCGCTGATACCTCGCGCGGTGTCTTCAAAGAAACCATTAACCTGGACCATAACCTCCAAGTCGACGTCCAAGGGGGCATCAGCCATTCTAGATAGATCGATGGCCATGGAGACAGATGCTTGAAGCTCATTAATAAAACTTGTCCTTGTAGTAAGCTCCTGGCCCTTGAAACATGCAGTGCCAACGTGGTCGGCAGCCAAGGGAAGTTCTTTCTCATGCTCAAGGTCTAGAATGCCTGATCGAATAGACGTAATGGGGACATGCATATCGACCGAGTCCCCGGTTTCCGAGTCGGTAATGCTGAGTGTCGAATCGACTGTCTCCAAAAAGGTCCAAATTCTAATATCTGCCGATATCGATCTAAATTGGTTCGAGAGTCGTAAAAGGTAGGGATGTCTTGGTCTAAAGAGCTCTTGAAGGCCAGGTGGAATGCGATGCTTGAGTTTCATCAATCGCTGGATACTCCTGGTAAATTCGGGCGCCGACAGATAACTCGAGCCGTGATGGGGAGTCGCGAGGAAAGCAATACCATAGCAGCTTGACAGTATCGAACCAAGCCTGGATGTCAACTGACTAGCTATTATGAGAGCGGCTTTTGCAACGAGACCACCAGTACTATGACAGATGAAGAAGATGGGGCGTCTAAGGCTCTGAAAAGCGTTATTAACGTCATCGATCGGTCATGGAAAGGTCGGTGCAAGAGCTCACCGTCGCCTGCCTTTCCTCTAGAAGCCATTTCAACAGCCTATGGGCCAAAGAGTCCAGGTCATCTCGAGAGCCTATGTGCCCATGGTCTGCAAGCAACACGCGGGCATTGGGGACGCATTTTGTTAAGTCGGAAAGAAGCCAGGGCGTTTGTGAATTCTCATCGAGCCAGGTCCTCCTGGGGTCTGCACCTATTGCCGGGACAGCCACAACACTGCGATTCTCAGTTAATCAGATTCTGTATGAAGGAAGCGCAGAGGAAACGATGGGATTCTTACTCAACTGCGGTTTCGATGCGCGGCGGTTGTCCGGTGTTGACCTCATTGTCGGCCGCCATTTTTCACATTTGCTCCCCAAAACACGGGGTCTGGGGACACGGTGTCGAGAAATGTAGAGGATGGGAGAAAAGTGACTGGGGTATCTCTTTGACTGCGAGGGACAGGCGAAGCCCATCATCTGACACACACTCCACCCACGGCGGCAGGTGACTCCGTCGGGGAAGGCCATGGCAGCCTTAGCCTGCTGCTCAGCCTTACCTGGCAGGCCTTGCCAAGCGGGGTTTGACTTCTCAAGGAAAATAGGTAGCATTCATTAGGGAAAGCACCAGTAATTAGCCCAGTTTGAGGAAGGTCAAATTGAACTCGGATAACCGCAAAGCAAAGCAAACCCAAGCCATACTATCGGCCGTGTCCAATCACAGGGCTATCCACCAACCCCCCCGGCATACAGACCACTCAAGCTCTCACCGAATACTCAAATATCTCATAAGTCCAGTAAAGCACATATGTACTAGAAAGCTTTGTCAGAATAATCTGGAGTGAAGATTTTGTTTTCTCTAAGAAGACAGTAAAGATGTACATGGGTTAGAGGACTTTTGCACGCGGAAAAAGACAAAACCTCCCTCCCATTTTGGTCTCAAACAAGACATAATATACAGAAAAGCGCTGAAGACCAGAGAAAAAAGAACAGAATAGATAGTTCTATAAATGCGGTATCATCATACATCAACAAAACACCAGGGACAGTAAGCATTGCACGCCGACTGTATCGCAATCAAACAGAGAATTAATGGTAGAAAGTGGAGAATGCACGTTGCTTAGATCAAGCTTCGGGTATTTTGGATCTGCCTCTAAACAAGAACGCCGGTATATGTCGAGCCATTTCCAAGGAGATATGGATTTTTGTTCGGGCTTGAGAATGTGTTTGCTCACTCATCTGCAGAGTGACTTCTCTCGTTGACGTCTCGTGCCATCTTCTTTCCGAACTCGTAAGTTGAGATCATGATGGCGCAAGCTGGTGCTACCTTGAGGCACCGTGCAACATATCCGCGGAAAAGTCCTGCCAAACCTTCCTCGCGGAAAATGTGCATCAAGAATTTTGGTAAGGGCAACTGTTCGGGATGAAGAGTTGCCTGCGCAGCGTTGCCTGCAGAGGAACCCGGCGCATCGCCCATGTGTCGGAAGACCTGTTGGCGAGTCTTGCCCACATCAAACGGAGTGGTGACAAACGCTGCCAGAGATCCAGAGCTGGCACCTGCGATGAAGCTGTCCAAGAACGTCGGGGTATCAAGGTCGTGTAGCTGCCGTTGACTGGCAGATGACACTCCATGTGGCAAGGAATGTAAGTAGGCCGCCTTCCGATTCTCGATCAAGTATTTCTTGACTTCTTCGTAGCACCACCAATAAAGCCCGGAGAAAGGCACATCGCGCCACATGGTGAGGGTCAATCCTCGCCACAGCGAACTGTAACCGTTTGTCTGGGCCATCTGGTGTAGGTCTTCTAGAGTGGCCTTGAAATGTCCCGCACCGGTGCCAGGAGTGGCTTGCAGGCGTGTTCGGAACATCTCAATTGGACTGATAACAGATGCTGCTGCAGTTCTGGCAACCGAGCCTGCTATCAATGGGGCGTAGGCGTCGGGAAAGAACCGCTTTACTAGACTCCTGTCATCGGTTCTCAACCAATCGTACCCAGCGAAATAGATGATGTTTCCCGGAATACTCATCATCAAAGTAGGACTAAGCCCACGCCAAAGGGTGAGCACGCCCTCGTTTCGAGCAATCTTCCGCAATCCATCCAAGGTTGACGTAAACGTCCTGCGCTGGGTTTCTTCCACTGCACAATCCACCGATGTAGCCCCCAAGGCCCCCACATCCGGTCCAACCATGCATATCTGAGAATTCTGACCAATCCAGAAGACTTCTCGACAACAAGCGGTTACTCCAAGGTTTGGGGGTGCGTTCTTCAAGGTATGGGTTGTATGCGAGGTGAAAGGCGAGGTATTCTTGACCAACGACTGGGACTGCAGGCGAACCCGAACAACATCAAGAGGAGTGACTATATATCGCCGTCAGTACCTTCTGCTTGGGATTCACTCGCAGCTTCACGTACCTAGGATGTTGGTGAAGAAACTACCGATAGTGGCAGAAACCATTCTTTGAGCGATCGAGACATTCTCCGTTTTCTGTGTGGCGCCCGGAGCTGGGACTGATCCCGTTCCAGAAGTAGCCGCCATGGTTGTGGTGTCTTTAATCAAAGGCCATGACTCTCCTAGGTTCCTTTCCTGTACAACGCTGCTCAAACCGTCGGAGCGATATCGGTCACCAGGCGCAAGATCAGTGCGGATCGCGGACATTCATTCAGCGGCGGCGGATAGGCAGGAGCGGATGATGAGGATGTTGTAGGATTGCTCGTGTGCCGTTGCTGTCAGATATCCCTGTCGTTGGTGATTGCGTAGTCGTGGGATCTACAGCAGACGTCAGAGGGAGGGAAGCAAATGCGTCAGAGAAAAAGAACGATCGGGACTCGGTGGTTGGCGGTGGCGCGCGGAGCCGAGCACCTTCGATGGAAGGCCGGAGATAAGCATTCCTCCCCTCTCAACCATCTTACTCACACCCCTGTTGCACCGTCATCGCCTCATTGCTTGTTGATTGTGGGAAAGTTACAATGGAGCACTGAAGTCGTGCTTTCATTCCTATTTTTCTTTTCTTTCGACGGCCTTCTCCGTCGTCAGGCCAATCCACCGCCCAGCTGTCACTCCGGTCGCTGAGGTGCAGGTCCCGTCCGAGATAATTGCTTATCAATCAGTGGCCCCGATCGCCGCCGCGCCCACTGCAACACCCTAGCCACCATGGAAGACAACGCCGAACTCGAGTCTTTTCGGCGCCAGTGGCGCGAGGAGGTCTCGCGCAAGTCAAGGCCATCGAGACCTGAACCAGCTCACCCCAAGCCATCCAGATCCTCCGCAGCCCCGTCGAGCCATTTACCTCCTACCCGCCACGAGGCATCGGAGCGCAAAGAGGAAGAGGAAGGAGGCGCGACATCTGTTGACCACGGAGAGATCGTTCATGGAGTCGGGCATTTGAGCTTAGGAGTATCTGATGAAGATGCGTTCCACTCGCGAGCACCTCGAAGCGAGCCCAAGTCGGCTTTGGAGCACTTTGAAAGAGCGGTCGAGAAGGAAGCCGAGGGAAATCTGGGAGACAGTCTACATCACTACCGCAAAGCATACCGGGTAAGGCGCCCTAAGCTTCTGCTGTAGAACTCATTCCTGACATGTGTGCGTGTAGTTAGATGCAGCTGTCGATAAAACATACCGAAACAAGCATTTTGCCTGGGCATGGAAGAAGCCTGCGCAGACCGCAGCTCCCAGTGCTTCAGCCGGCAGTGCCGCGACAACGCAACAACCCACCGATGAACCAACGACTGTGCCAACGCCTGAGCTCATCGATTCTTTTGCCCATCTTCCTATCCCACAAGCCGAGCCTCTCATTGAGAATACACCGCCTCCCCCATGTCCCATTGCGAAGGTCCCATCTGAGGTTCTGGTCGAGATCTTGAGGCATGTGGCCTTGATAGACCCGGCAGCATTCTGTCGGACGGCGTTGGTCTGCAAACGTCTGGCGTATCATTTTGCGAACGAGCAGCACATCTGGAAACGCCTTTGCCAGGGCTCTGATTTCGGATTTAAAGCTATGCATTATTCGTTCGCTTGTGATATCCATGGCATACCGGAGTACACTTTGGCGCCTCGTTACACCCCCTTCCCTCGGTCGATGCCCATACAAATTCCTGAACCGTTGTCCTCTTGGGGTGAGGTCTTTCAGATGTTCCCTCGGATTCGGTTCACGGGTATCTACATTAGCACTGTCAATTACACCCGCCCAGGTGCCGCCTCGGTGTACCAGAACACTTCATGGAACAGTCCCATTCATATAGTGACCTACTATCGCTATCTACGCTTCTATCCGGATGGGACGGTCATTTACTTACTTAGCACGGTGGAGCCCTTGGATGTGGTCCCCTATATCAGCCAAGAAAACCTCAAGGCTGCGCGGGCAATCTCCCAGAAGCAGCATCGTCAAGCGCCAGACGCAGGCTCGACGGCTACTGATACTATTCCTCCCGTTGCAATGGGAGCGCTGAAGCAGGCTCACCGGGGTCGCTGGCGCTTGGCCAAACCGGCACCCGCCTCCGATTCGCCTGAGGAGGCTACACAGGATGATATCATTTCCGAATATGACTCGTTGCCAGCCAAGGCTCAATCGACGGGCGCACCCGACCCTCGTGATCTGATCATTGAAACCGAGGGGGTGGGACCGAAGTACATGTACCTCCTGCAGCTCTCTCTTCGGTCAGTGTCAGCATCCAAACCCAGTAACGCTAACATGACGCCACCCAACCCGTCCAAGAACACCAAGCTGGCTTGGAAGGGCTACTGGAGTTACAACAAGCTCACGGACGACTGGGCAGAATTTGGACTCAAGAACGACCGGGCCTTTGTATTTCGACGTGTACGTGGCTGGGGTATGCACTGAACATAGAATCGGTAGACACGGCTATAGTAACTGTAGAATGGCATCATTGCCAATGCGGATGAAGGCATAGATCTAAAAGAATGATAAGGTCATATAGCAAGATTAGCTGATTAAAGAAGTATAATCCACACACCTCGCAAACCTAATCGCTATAGAAGAATACATGGTCTCTACACCAGTAATCGAACAATTGGTCTAGCCAGCCAACCGCCGCCAACCAACCCGCCAAGCATCTTATCGATAAGCATCTCAAAAAATTTCGGGGATCTGCAACTCCGCAACACCACTTGCCGACATGACGTTACGATCACAATCCCCCTCTCCCTAATTCCCTCCACACACACATCAAAATGCCCGAGAGGGTCCGCACCGTCTTCGACGAGGCCGGTGACACCGTCCCCACCACCAAAACACCCCAATCCGACCAAGTCGAGGTTCCCGCCCCCACGAAACGAAAGACCCAAGGCAAAGAGGACGACCACAAACGGAAGAACAAGAAGCGCAAACATGACAATGGCATAGCGAAGTCTGAGAAGCCAGCGAAAGATGACACAGAGGTATCTTCTGCACCGGAGGGAGAGCAAAATGGAACGATCTCGGACGACAAGCCCGCGGTCAAGAAACAGAAGCACCAACAACAACACAACAAGCTAGCGAAAGACGGGAAACGGAAGGACAAACAGACCTCGAAGACGAATTTCGCCCCCTTGCGAGAAAAGGCGCAAGCGTTGTACCAGCTCCGCAAGAACCTTCCGATTTTCGCCCATGGCGATGAGATACGTGGAAATTTGCGCAAGAATGATGTGATGTTGTTGGTTGGTGAGACGGGTAGCGGAAAGAGTACGCAGATTCCGCAGTTCTTGGTGAATGAGAAGTGGTGTCGATCGGTGAAGACGGTTGTGCGGGGGAGTGATGGGGTGGAGAAGGAGATTCCGGTGGGAGGGTGTATTGCGATCACCCAGCCTAGAAGGGTGGCGGCGATTTCTCTGGCTCGACGTGTGGCGGAGGAAATGGGCACTCCATTGGGGAATTCATCGCCGGCGAGTAAAGTCGGTTACTCGGTTCGATTTGATACGTCGACGTCGCCGAGTACACAGGTCAAGTTCTTGACGGAGGGAATGCTGCTGCAAGAGATGCTGCATGACCCGTGGTTGACCAAGTACAGCGCCATTGTGGTTGATGAAGTGCACGAGCGTGGTATCAATGTTGATCAGGTGCTCGGGTTCTTGAGGAATATGTTATCGGGGAAGAAGGAAGGGCGCGGTGGAGTGCCCTTGAAGGTCGTGGTCATGAGTGCTACGGCGGATATGGAGAGTTTGATGGGATTCTTCAAGGAAGGATTCCAAGTTCGACGCGCTATCAAGGAGGGTGTGGAGAAGAAGGACTCCAAGGATACAAACGGGGATGTTGCAGGCCAGAAGAGTGAGGATGATATCGCGGTGTGCCATATTAAGGGACGTCAGTTCCCGGTCAAAACGATATACGCTCCAGAGCCAGTTCATGACTTTGTTGATGCGGCTCTCAAGGTGATTTTCCAGATCCATTACAAAGAGCCTTGTCCGGGAGATATTTTAGTCTTCCTGACCGGTCAAGAGACCGTCGAGGCCTTGGAGAAACTGATCAACGAGTATGCTACTGGAATGGACCCTGCGCTGCCGAAGATCCAAGTGCTTCCTCTCTTCGCAGCCCTCCCTCAGGCAGCTCAACAGCGAGTGTTCGTCCCAGCTCCGCCTCGGACCCGCAAGATCATTCTGGCCACAAACATTGCAGAAACATCCGTCACAGTCTCCGGTGTGCGGTTTGTGGTGGACTGCGGAAAAGCAAAAGTCAAGCAGTTCCGTTCTCGTCTCGGTCTGGATTCGTTGCTGGTCAAGCCCATCTCCAAATCGGCCGCGATCCAGCGTAAGGGTCGTGCTGGTCGTGAAGCACCCGGTCAGTGCTACCGCCTCTACACAGAGAAAGATTACTTGGAGTTGGACGAGGTCAACACACCAGAGATCCTGAGATGTGACATCAGTCAAGCTCTACTCAACATGAAAGCCCGCGGAGTTGATGACATCATGGGCTTTCCCTTCCTGACAAGACCCCCGCGGGAGGCCCTGGAAAAGGCATTGCTCCAACTCTTGAGCATCGAAGCCCTAGAAGAGACTGGAAAGATCAGCCCAATCGGATTACACATCGCCAAGCTACCTCTCACCCCGACACTCGGTCGTGTGCTCCTAGCAGCATCCGAATACGGATCCAATTGCCTATTGGACGTAATCGACATCATCTCCTGTCTCAGTGTCGAGAACATCTTCCTAAACACCACCTCCGAAGAAAAGAAAGAGGAAGCCGAAATCGCCCGACGGGATCTCTACCGCAGAGAAGGCGACCACCTCACCATGCTTTCTACCGTGCAAGCCTACGCAGCCGAGAACTCAGACCGAAAGGCCTGGGCCGAGCGACATCTCGTCTCCCACCGAGCCATGCAATCAGTAATGGTAAGTCAATGCCCCATCATCCACGAGCTATCATTCCCCTAACCACAACCACGAACCCCATCCAGGACGTCCGCAAACAACTCACAACCCAATGCCGCCAAGCCAAGCTCCTCCCCAACGACACAAGAGGCAATTCCTCCGTCCGAGACCCATCCCCCATCCACATCCTGAAGAGTTTCCTCCGCGGCTTTTCCACCAACACGGCACGTCTAGTCCCAGACGGCAGTTATCGCACCGTGGTCGGCAACCAAACGGTAGCAATCCACCCGTCCAGCGTCCTATTCGGCAAGAAGGTCGAAGCCATCATGTACAACGAATTCGTCTTTACGAATCGCAGTTACGCCCGGGGAGTGAGTGCCGTGCAGATGGATTGGGTGGGGGAGGCACTGGCCGGATAGACTAGATAGACTTGGCTTATCTTCCCCCCTCCCCTCTTCTGTCTCTCTCTCTTTCGATGAATCGTTTCTCAGCGCACCCGCTGTATAGATACGCAGTTAGACTACTACTACTACTACTACTACTACTACTATACCCATACGCATACCCATACCGGACAATCAAATGAAATTCCGTAACAAGTACAGTACTCTCCACATAATCACCTTCCCATCCCAACAATAATTAGCATTTCAGACAAACAATCCCCAACACAGATAAGCATTGTTCAAAGCGTCTTGTAGATAGGTAGATAGGCTCCAGGCTCCAGGATCCACTGGGTAAACCCACAGCAGACCCACATGCTAACTTACATTTAACCGTTTATCTATGCTTACCCACAATCTGAGGATATCATCCGGGTAAGTATTCAAGCGGTGATGATAAATCGTAAAAAGCTCCGAACTAGACCTATACCAAAAGAGATATCCTCCGACCAGAGGAGTGATTAGAAAGGTGGATAGATAGGTAGATCCCATCGGAGTTCAAAATGACGTGCTTTGCCACTTCCGTGGGTAGGATAGGTTATATAGATAGCATTTTTCATCAACAAAAGCCGAGGTATTGTGGTCTACGACCAACCTGCATCCATTTCATCGAGTCGGGAATAAGTGTGTACAAACCCGTTCAGCAGTAATCAAGTTCATACCAGAACATGTACTCCTGAAAACCCGAAATTTGCGCTTGAAGGGCCTCCTCTCTCTCTTTATCCGACCTTCTTTTGTACTGCAAGGCCTCGGAAAGATGCATTGGCCAGGATCCTGTTTCTTTCATTATCATATCCAGTAGCTCTATTGGGAGTGATGTTAACCTGGTGGGATTCGCCAACACAGCATTGCGCCACCAATCATGCTGCTGAGGGGGGACATTTCGGGTCGAGCAAATCCGATAATGAGGATCAACCAGCCACAAGACGACACACCGCTGATGTCCCAGGCGACTTGGGTCTCGCAGGGAGAACGGATGTTTTTTGTATCGCAATGTATTCGACCAAGTGAGAAAGCGACCGGTAGTGATGGCGACTGATCCTAGTGTTTGAAGCTGGAGAGCACCGGGTTCCTCGCCCAAGCTTGGGGAAGGGGGCAGACCGTAAAGTTTGTACATGCAGAAGGGGTCCTTTTGGTGGCCAGAAAGAGTGAGGTCGTCATCCTGTTGGTATGAAATGCGTGATTCGGTTATATTCTCCGAGCTATAACAGAAGTGAGCGGTGGCGACAATATGTTCGTTGAGCATGCCATCAACGTGAAAATCCGGATCCCCGGAATAATGGGGCTCATCGCTTGTCAGATCGATGCTAAAGACTCGGACAATCACCTGCAGGCCCTGTTGCCGGAACTGATCTTCTAGCGACACAGAGTAGTATTCGTGCTCTCGAGGCAGTTCATACTCACTTCGAGACTTCCACGGACCGAGAATTGGGTCCGCGGTCTTGCCCAGCTTCCAGTCTTCGTATGAATAGGAAACCCCCGGTTCGGGGTATGAAAATCGGTGAAGGCGCCTCCATTTAGCCCATATGATCTCCTCGACGCTTTTGGGAGACGCCCACATTTCCGGCGTCATCAAACCCAGAAGGTCTTCAGTCTGTGGTGGATCTTCGGGCTCGGGTGGAAATACTCGATATTTCGGATCCACATCCAGCAACTGCAGATAGTCTTTCACCTTGGCACAATGGTCTGCCCATTCTTCATGGGTCCAGGAGCGTCGAGTTATGTCCTTATTCCACTGACGTGGGAGCACGTCCTCCGGGGGGCATTCATTCATTGGAGCTTTGTCCCTGTCCGTGACACCATATGTATAGATGCGCCGAGGCATGCGACCTCGAACGCCTTTTACTAGGACATCATTCCAAGGTCCTATAGCCAGGGAGATTAGCTTCTCAATAGTAGCATACGCTTGAGTGTTGCTTGGGTGGAGGTTATTAATATACGATGTGATCCGTACTGCCGTCCCCGAAGACTCAGCAAACTCAACCTCGCAAGGTAGCCACTGAGAGGAAGATGAAACCTGTTTATATTTCAATTCTTCGTCAGGATAGCGTAATCCTATGGGAAATGGAGCGATTATGCTCAAAGGGTGATCGTGCCGAGGTGCCGTCTGTCCAGGATTGATGGAAGGGGGGTACAAGCTCGAGCCCTCTGCAAGAGAAACCCGACCACTCTGACTGAGAACCGTAGTTCGGCCATAGATAAGCATGTAGAGTGACGGGTCCACCAGATCGTGAGTCGCACTCTTTGGCAGGTGATCAAATGCGTCTTGGAGCTGATATCTCACGGCTTCAGACACGGCCCGATCGGCTTTGCATACGCCGGAGTCTGCATTGAGGACCACAACATGGCCAGTGTCACGGAAGGCTTTGGCTTTATCTTGGAGCTCGGCAACGCACCAGAGCCATGCTCGGGTAGTAACCAGGTCCATGTCGACATCTTGGTCCGTATGCGAATCAAGATCCGCGTAAGAAGATGCCTCTGCACGCCATTGCGCAAGAGAATCCTCATCGAAGACATGGTACTCCCAGCCCTTGATATCCGTAATTCGCTCCATGAGACGTATCATCTGAATCTCGGGTGCGGTGAGCCTGATCGATTTTCTTCCAAAATCCTCCTGTGCCGCATGAGCAAAGCGATGGTCGATATCGAGTTCATACTCCAGGGGAATACCATCGAACCCCGGAACTAGAAGTGGACCTGAGCCACTGTTATCAAACAGTAAGGGTGGTTCCATTTTGCAGTTCAGGTTGGTAGTAGATCGATGAATTGGATTTTGGTGCCTTTCCTGGGTGCCGATAGTGAAAGGAAGAAGAAATGCGCCCCTTTCCAAGTGCCGGTGACCTCAACGGGCTAGCCGGGCGCCGGCAACGACCGGCGGCCTGACAGTCCAGTTTATTAAGGCACCGCTTGACTCATGTCTCGGAGATTCCTACGGAGGTCCTATTGTGGCCGTGAGCTATCTATAAAGCGCTAAGCTGGACTGGAGCTGAGGCACACACACTACTATGTTCTCTATGCCATTGTAGTTTTTTACCTCGGCACCTTGATACCTTATCTGGAAGCTTGGCATATATCTTGATAGGCTGGATGATATTCGGGCAAACAGTCAAGACACTCTAAGCTTTCTTAGTATAGTGGGTGGTGTAGTCAAGCTATATGTAACCCTGCTGCCTAGAGTCTGAAGTCTAGAGTCTACCTAAAGCCTACATGCAGAAGATAGGTAGTTTAGCTGGGAGGTAGTCGTGTGAGGACCTTCCTTACTGAGATAGATAGTATTTCCTAGTCGAGAAATTGTCTACTACTAATGTACCTAGGATCTAGATGCAGGCGCTAAACACTCCCTAGTCAAGATAGGTGTACAGCGTATGCACGGTGCAGATTAAACCAATATAAACACATCTGCTGCCAGTAATACAGCCTAGACAGCATCTACCTAAGACAAAAAGTCGGCTCGACCCAGCCGAACGCCCCATCCAGAGTATGATTACTAATGTATCGCCATCTCCTTGATATACCTATCACAGGGTCTAGTTTGTAAAGGTGAGACAAGTCTAGCTTAGTCTTGTCGAAATGTTTTGAATTGTGTGAATAATAATAATAAGGTAGTATAGTCAAGGTGGCTACTAGCTATAATTTACTAAGTAGATGTCTCAGTTAGGTAGTATCAATGCGTCTCTACTACTATAGAGAATAAGAATACGAGTTCCGTCTTCTCCATATCCTTCATAAGTCCCAATTTATACAATTATCCATCCCAAAGTGTTGAGTGTGATTCAACCACTAAGTCAGTCCCGCCACTGGTCCAAGCGGCAAGCGCACCCACCAACACCAAATACTACTAAAATGCCTAATCGGCTAAAGTCACCAGCCCCGTAACGGGTTCCTGTCATCGCTGAAACGTCGGTTAGGCTACTCAATAATACTATCTAGTGGGTATTCGACCTTGTTATTTGCAATACCGAAATTACGGACTTCCTAGGTACCGTGTATAGAGGACTGGTATGGACTAAAGAAACTAAGCCGCCCACCCCTGTAAGACTAAAGACGGTGGCATGGGGTGGCAGTCCATTCCGTGGAGCACGTGCCTAGTTACCACTTTCGTAGAGGGTGAGCAGAGATCGTTAGCGTGGCCGCAGCCCCACTGACTCTGGGATTGGCAGCCATGGGGAACACTCGAGTTTGTCACCAAGGTTCTAGACTGAGGGGGGGTGGCTTATGTACCCTGTCGCTGCCCAGCAAACGTTGATTTCTTGTTTGTTTGCCAGGGTGGGGACATGAATTGAGATTGCAACGTGAACGACTCAAAAAGATGAGCATACTGGCAGCTATCTACAACTCCCACAGCACGGAGGATTTAGTACATCATGCATTGAACTAAGTGAGGATGGAGGAGGGTTGGTTGGGTGGGAAATGGAATTCCGAGGAGATAAAACGTGCTCCACTTACAATGTGATAAGTGCTTAGCCTCGCGCCGAACACTGGGATTTTCATCTAGGAACTAGGACCACCGCAGGAATACCGGAGGTTGAGAGCACCACCCAAACAAACCCCCGGACGATTTATGCACGCTAATCAGAGGAACAAACAAAACAAGATGGGTCTATTCATTATTATTCGTAACTACCAGTATTACTACTAACATTGTTCGCCATCCGGTGGCTAAAAACTCCTGCCACTCCCACTACTGCTACTACTAGCAGCGAAACTACAGTCTCGAAAAAACCCCTCAATGCGCTTCAACATCTTTGCCGAATTGGAATACATCGGGAAGTGTCCACTCATTGGGATGCGCGCTAACTCCACCCCGTTCTTCTCCAGTTGGTCCAGGAATGTCGCCTCGCGGTTTTGGTCCCCAAACATGTACATCAGCGGGCAGGATAATCGTACGAACCGGCCCAGAAGGTTCTTCCATGAGAGCTGCACCGTGGAGGTGACGATGGGTTGGACGGCCTCGGGACGGACGCGTGAACGCAGTAATGAGGCGTAGAGGGTGTGTGAGTAGCCCGGCGTGGAGTTGACGTAGGTGATGAGTTTCTCGAGGTCGTCTTCGGGAGAGGTGGATTTGAGGAGGTCGTTGTAGAGGGTCCGTGAAAAGAAACAGTTCTCAGGGGAGAGGGTGCCTTCGACGTTGATGAAAGCAAGGGGTTGTTGGGTGGGGGGAAGCGTGGCGGCCAGCATGAGGCCCGTCAGCGCACCGGTGGAGTGCCCGATAAGGTAGAAGCTGTAGGTGTGGTAGTGCGCCAGCACGGCTTGAGCAGTAGCCACCAGGAAGGGGATGGTTAGGTCGCTGCTAGGACCATGGTGCTCCGAGGCGCCACAGCCCGGGGCGTCATAGGCAATCACGGTGTGGTCTCGCAGGGAGGGGAGGTAGATGAGATCGTGGAGGTCTTCTTTGCAGGAGCCAAACCCGTGCAGGAAGAGGATGGCGGGTTTCGGGCCGGGACGGTAAAGGGTAGAGAGCTGGAGGGGGTGGTTGTTGACCGTCAAAGAGAGGGTCGAGAAGATCGGGGGTAAGCTGTCGGTGGCCATGGTGTTGGAGAAGAATGTGAATCGGATCGGTGCTGCTCAGAGGGGTGGGCAGGCCGCCGACTTATAAGTACATATCGGCTGGACTTGGGCACCCCTGCTATGATGCATCTCAGAGGCGATGAGTGGATCTTTCAGCCCTCGATTTAGCGCATCGACTAACTGCAACCTCGGCTGTGACTCATCGAAGCCGTTGCCGATAGATCTGTCAACTTGCAGGGGCAAGATGGGATGTGCGGCTACGGAGCAGGCCGATGGATGTCATGGTAATAGATGACCAAGTGGGAACCGTATAGCTTCAACAAGGTTCAGATGGCGGAGCACGCGGCAAGTGGGGGGCGTGCAATGGCCCGTGGCAAAGGATGCCCGGCAGATGTGCCCAATGGTTCGCTTGAACCCAGCACGGGTCGTCGTCTCGTGCTAACATTTATCCCTGGGAAAGTGGGAAGGCTACCTAGTGGTCGACTGAGGTTATGTACATCCATCCCATCTAGGTATTCCAAAAAAAAAAGAATTGTGTAGTTCAAAACCCCTGTTCAATGCAGGTTTGCCCCTCTACAGACGCCGTCGCATGCACCTTTCCCCGAGCCAATGCAGTTTATCGCCCTGCGCCCCAAAGTTGCCCCAAGAAGAAAATTCCATAGCATGGCGAGGCACGAGTTCTCCAATATATATGCTTGACAGTCGTAATAGAAACACGTGGAAAATGCATAATACAGCCGAATATAACCAAAAAGGAATAGATAGCTCAGTATTCTTCAATATATGATGCGAAATGTTCGCAAGCCAGAAACACCAGGACTCCTTGTCAAAATGGCAGATTGACTATGCACAATGGAAATCACCCGCATGCAATATGTATCGTGGTGGAGAGGATCATTAACGATATTCAATAGAACTGGCTGCTCTCAGACCTCGCCCCAGCCCCCCAGGCCAGCTGCAACGGGTGCGACTGCGCTCCCACTGTCAACACTACCCCCAATGTCCCAGTAGTTGCGACTGGAGCCCGTGAGTGTGCGACGGCTGGATATGGCAGACATCTTCGCGCTTTGGCTGGCACAGCTGGAGCTGGAGCGACGGAAATTTTGACGCAGAATGGGCGACGAAACACCGGTGGGCCCCGAATGGTGAGAGGAATACTGCGATTGACGGCGAATCTGAGCTTGAGAGCGCGAATGCGCTCGAGCAACGAGTGGGTGGTGCTGGCGGATGATTGCCGCGCGACGAGATGCATCTTGTGGAGTTCTGCGCGGGGAGCTGTGATGAGAATCGTTATTGCTGCCTCGGTGACTGAAGCGATTCCGCAAGTAACGGAAGACCATGCTAACATCAAGGTCCCGTTCCCAATACTCCTTCTCCTGCTGGGTGCGAGCGGATTCGGCGAGCGGTTCAGCCGCTGAAGTGTTGGCTGGACGACTCATATAGTCGTCATCCTCGATACCCCATTGGGCCGCGTGCTCTCGACTGCTGGGGTCGCCAAGAGTTGGAGAGAAATGTGGAGAGAGAACCGACTCGGTATTCATACTCGACTCTAGAGCGGTGGGGCCCACCGAAGCTGAAGGTGCATCACCCTCTTCCGGTACGCGGTCGAGAGGTATGCCAGCATATTGATTCGGAATGTCGTTGGGCATGTTCAGATATGTTGTGAAAGCACCAGGGTGCTCGCAGAGCTGACTGACAAGGATTCCCAGCTCGTGGGCGATGCGTTGGAGCACTCGGGTCTGCCAGATAGGTTGATCTTCTGACACGGAGTCCAGCTCTTGATTAAGTGCCTCTACGCTGGGGACAAAATCCCTCGCTGACGGTTGTTGTTCATCATCGTCAGTGCATGGTAATGATTCTCCAAAGAGAACGGACAGCAAAGAGTCATCGATTCCGATGAGATCTCGAATAACCTTACGGGTAATGCGCTGCCACAAGGACTCATCCCCATCCGCTTCTTGTTTTGTCAGTGGATAAGTCTCCGGCTCCTTGGGGGTCTCGAGGACACCATCTGGAACATCTGACACCGCGGGGTATGACGCAACTGGATCTATCACGCCACTGGCGCGACTATCACGTCGTCTGCGCGTCGCTTTCTCGATCTCCTGCAAGAGAACCCGACTTTGTTCCATTCTCCATTTCTCAATGCGCTGCCACCGTTCCCTCTCCACATCGGCCTCTTCCTCGTTTGTGACCAAATCCAACTGATGCTGTACACTTGAGCGACGCCGGGGCTGGAGCCCAGGCCTCCGATGGGGATTGTACTGTTCATGCTGCCACAACTGGTTTTGCACGGTCTGGCTAGATGCTTGGAAACTGCCCAGCCCATCGTGGGCTGGAAGAACAGCTGGAGCCCCTTGGTCCTCCTGGACCAAAGACGGAGCCCGGAAGGCGTGTAGCCCATCATCCAGGCTGTCTAGTTCTGTTCCATCGTCGTCCAAAGGATCATCAAGAGCGTCATCGACAGTCTCACTTTCTAAGCCAATACCGGATCGAGTCGCGGTGCCAAATGAACCGAAATCGCTGAGACGGGAGACACCTTGTGTCCGTGGGGTACGATCAGTCGAGGTCGTATGGGTGCGGGCAACGGTGGAGGGTTGTTGGGTGGGCGAAAAGAGCACCCATTCTGTCGCTTCGTTCTCTGGTAGTTGTGATAGCGGGGAAGAGAGATCGGGGGCTGGAGGTGGTAGAGAGTTCGAATAAGAGGGGCGACGACGGGGAACTTGGGGAGGTAGACGAAAAGCCATGAGTTGACTGGGGAAGCCGAAGGGGCGGTGGTACTCGGAGTTGAGGTGGGCGTTGTTGGGGAGGACAAGATAGCGAGATAAGAAGGCCAGTTATCGATCGCGGTGGATCTTCCCCGCGTGACCGTGTCGATGGGGCGAGGGGAGGGCAAAGTAGACGAAGACCGAGGCAAATAATACGCTATACACTGTACAGAGTAGGTATAGCAACGAAGAAACCTCAAGAGAAAGTGAAATGTCGACTCCAATAGGAAAAAGAAAACAAGACCAGACAGGTCCGATCGCGGTGGTGCTGGCGCGAGGTCTCCGCTCGCTGATGATTCGGAGATGACGTGGGAGGGACAAGATAAGACGAGAGTTTAAACCAGGGAGAAATGCTCCATGGTCGAGGGGGCGTTCAGGAAGTGGTTCCCCTCTTCAATCGGAGGGAGGCAGATGAAGTACTTAGTATCCAGCACGAAGAAAAAGTCAACGGGACGAAGTGAACCCGGATGATGCCAGTCACCAGACCGAGTTGGTGGGTGGTTTGTTTGGATCGGTTTTGAAACAAATGGTTCCCGCGATGGGAGAAGAAAAAAAAAAATTTTTGTTTCCTGATGAAAAGATGTCCACTGCTGGAAACAACGAGGTTATGTCTCTGTCTCTTTGTCTACTAAGCGCTACCCATAATAGTCTTGTCAATAGCGTCCTGACCAGGCCCAGGCAGCCTCAAACAAAGACATCTGAGGATGAGGGGTGGATTTACTATCGAATCCGATCAACTGCATCGCGACGATCGGCTGATCGACGCCCGTCTGTCGATATCGCCATTTACCACCGCTGGGGGGGCTCCGTAGGAATTCCGGACCGCTGCCAACTCACCACCGCTTCGGAGCGCTGAGGCACTTGCGCTGCTTTCTTCTTCCGGTCTCTTCCCTGATTCGATTTTGCTCTCCACCGGAGTCAAGCCATCCTGGGATCATCCAGTGTTGATCACCCCATCCCACTCCACTGGCTCTGATCTCAATGACATGTCATATCCCGCCTTCCCTGCATGGCCCAAAGCGAGGCTGACGGTCAGGGGTTCCGTCCAGTCTTCAACTCCCCTCTCTCTTCTCAGCTGTTGTGGCTGTCCTCGACTTTGAAGCCCCTCCCTTGGGCACACCGTATACGTTCTACCATAGATCACGTCAACGAATCTGCGTTCCTTCTTCGTAGTTGGCTTGGCATAAACACCTTACGATCACATAGGTAGGCGGAAAGTAGAGATGATGCTATCAAGTATATTTTTCTAGGATGTAGAGATACAAGAGTCGTACGCTGTACGCTGTGGAAATCAGCATTGTAGATCTTATAAATAGTAGCTAGTAAATATATTATTGTACTTATTAAGGAGAACCCTGCTAGTGATATAGTTCGTGAGCCACCGGACAAGCGTCAGGTCTGTTCGCCGGAAATGTCGAAGAAACAACAAGATCTCTTATCAAGGTGAAAATGATTGGCCTTTTCGGTTGACATGACAGCACTTCATGCCAGTACAGAATAGGTCAGACCCGTAGCCGTTTAAGTCTTGTCGATAAGAACATGTGCACGCGACAGAGGTTAATCTCGCCTACAGTCTACGACTGGCAGTTACAGTAAAACAAGCCGAGGAATCCGCGTTCAATAACTCCGCCCCATACGTTGAGACACTAAATGACATCAAGGGTAACAAAACAGGACGTGAAAATTGGGAATAGTTCAATACGTCTCATTTTTTTCGTCCTAAAGCGATTTAACATCCATCTAAGCCTGAGAAAGGTTCTCGTAGGCGTCGGGGAAACGCTTCATGTTCTCCTCAACGAGACCGTGGCCACGCAGGAACTGGACGTAAGCACCGTCCTGCTTGAGCTTGCCCTCCTGGCGGAGCTGGATGTAGTCCTCACGGCGGACGGGGGTGAAACCCCAGTTCTTGGAGACGATGATCTTTTGGCGACCGGGGAACTTGTACATGGAGCGGCGGAGGGCCTCGATGGCAGCAGCGCGGTTGGCGTCACGGGTGCGGACGGACAGGATGATCTGGCCGATGTTCACACGGGCAACGGTACCCTGGGGCTTACCGAAGGCACCACGCATACCGGTCTGGAGACGATCGGCTCCGGCGCAAGACAACATCTTGTTGATACGGATGACGTGGAAGGGGTGCACACGGACACGAAGGTGGAAACCTTCCTTACCGGCGATCTTGACGAGGTACCTGAAGGTTTGGGTTAGTGAACGGTCGGGCGGGTTGGAAGCGGTAGGTCGACATACTTGTTGGCACAGATACGGGCGGCTTCGAGGGCCTCGGAGGACAGCTGCTCGTACTCGTTGGAGACCAGGTGCACGCAGAGAGGGAAGTCATCGACGTTGGCCTTCTTACGTCCCAGATCGAAGATACGAATCTTGGGGTCGGGAACACCACGGTTGAACCGGGACTTAGGGTAGGGCTATCATTCAAACATCATGTTAGTATTCATCTCCATCGTCGCATGCTTCATCTCGTTTTCCTCATCGGGAAAAAACATGATATCCCATCCAAAACACATCTGCGTAGCGCATCTCCTCGTCCCAAGTGGGTGGCACTTTGCTCCCCCCACAAGCGAAATCCCGACCGAAAATCCACAAACACACAAAAATCCATCAAGCGATCGAACGCACCTTGTTCTTGCAGTAGCGGTAACATCTCGCGGGACGACGGGCCATTGTGACTGCTGGAAATGGGGCGGCTGCACTTCCTGCGAACGGTGAGGTTGTCGAAAAGGTGGTGTCGGGGGGCGAAAGGGAAGGGGATTATAGGCGCAGGCACTTTCGACGTTGATTTCCAAGCAAGCGTCCGCTACCGAGTGGCACAGCCCTAAACCCTACCCTCTCCACCAATCACCGCCCGCAGCCGCTATGACGCATTTGTCAGACGGGCGGCAATATCCATTGTACTCATTCTTGATCCTGCTGGGATATCAACTCGAGAAGTGAGTCAACAGGATCCAAGTGATGGGATACCGGTCTTTTAACTAGTGCTTACAAAATGGACTATGTGACTCATGTGGAGCGCATCTACCGGATCTCCGGATCGCGATGATGCGACCGCGCTATCGTCCAGTCACTCCTACAGTCTTATCTACAGCGTCAAAAGAGGAAACCCAATATAGATGTAAAGTTCATTCTGTCATTATCTAAATCGTGCCGTGACGGTGTACATCATGGCATTCCGCCGTTCAGACATAACATGAAATCATTGACAAAGCTTTACACCTACTGGCTAGAGAGGATGTCGGAGTCACCGGCATCGAGGATAGCCATGGTGGAGGTGCGGAAGAGCTTACCGCAGGCGGTACCGAGCTCAATCTGTACGCCAACTAGTTAGTCTAGTGTTCCCACTGAAGGATGGTGGTATCCGTGTTGACAGAGGCTTCTTCAAGGCCCAGACCTGGAACCTCTGCTCCACACAGATCCCACCAGACAAATAGGTCGTATGGCACTCACGTTGTTTCCGGAGAAGTGGTGGACGGGAGCCTTGGCAAGCATGGCGTAGTACTCAAGCTCACTCTTGCGGAGAGGAGGAGTGTTGGCAGCGATGATGACCAGCTTGGCCTTGCCGGACTGTTGGTTATATTATTAGTCGACCGTTCATCCGTGTTGTAATTCCTGTTGACCCAGGAAGCTGCTGGTGTACTTACGCGGAGGGTCTTGATGGTGGACTTGTAGCCGAGGGTGACTGGACGAATAATTAGAGACTGTCGAAGATGTCTGAGGTTGCAAATTCTAATATAAACGTACCCTTTCCGGACTTCATCACAAGCGCCAGGCGCGAGTTGATGGTGTCACCGGTCTTCTTGCTCTTGGGGGCCATCGTTACGCTGAAGTTGAACTAAACTTCTGCATGATCAATTTCAATCAGCATTGGTTCACTCCGCCAATACCAAACCCAGCTAATAATGCAACCGCCTATCTCGACCATGACAGAAAATCTGACAATGATCAAGTGAAGCGGGCAATCAGCCGTAGCTTGCGGGGGAATACCACATACCTAAAGGTTTAATGTGGTTGTCGAGAGAAGTGCGCTCCGGCCTCGTCTTTTCAGATTGGGATGAGTAGAGAAAACCTATCACCCGCCCTTTTTTGTGGGTTTGACGAATGTCGGACGGCAATTCCTCCGTTCCGCCGCGGCTGACTCATCACCGGATTCCAGAAGATGGTCTTGCACGTGACTTATCCCGCCGTCGAAATGGTGGATTGGATGTGCTGAGATGTTTCTCTCGTTTTATATCCACCTGTCTCGATCATAGTGTACACGGGGTGGTGTTAAACTTTGGTTCCAACGGAATTCGGTTTCATTCTCGTACATCTCGTCATGTCATTAATCCAAGAGTCGATATTTCCGCCTTTCATGGAGCGGACTGTCAAGCAAAAGTATACTATCGTGCCCGAAGTGGTTTTACGACTCTGTCTCTTGATAAACATCAACAGCAGAGGGATACTCTGATGCGGAACAATAACATTGCTTGCTCATGACCTCAAGTTTGCGGTTGCGATCCTTCATATGTAATCAAACAGAATCGCAGATCTGATTACTCTAAAAAGATTGGAATATGTACCATTCCCCAAATTCACACCATGACTCGAGATTGCCCCTCACTTCGCCTCCACTTTACTGGCATGGTGCAGGAATGCCTTGTTCTCATCGATCCATCGACGCCGGGATAACTGACTCATAATACTGGATAGCCTGGGTTGAGTGCGTTGCTAGGACTCCTGCCCTTGACATAAGTAAGGGGACTGATTCCCGCGTGGTGGTAGTGAAATTCCGATCTCTGCTGTGCCCTAGATAGACAAAGGCTTGCTTGCACTTTGCGGTAGATACTTCCGGGATATGATGGTACGGTTAAACAAACTACCCGATCGACTTCGCCCATATACTATTATGGATTGTAAGTAAGTCCGGTAACATCGCTCACTCTGTCGAAACCTTGCCGCAGCTGAGAAGACATCCTGGGAAGTATAGCTTTGCTTAGATTTGCAAGACTAGAGTCGGACCATGGAATAGTCAGCACTAGATATAAGAACTCTTTTGATTGTCTTTTGCTTTTAAGTGGAATAGGTGATGAGGCAGACAACCCAAGTATGGTTGGCAGTCTACTTGCATTTAACAAGTAATAGCCAAGCTACCTAGTCGGTGCCAGTCACATCCTTGACGAGCTTTCTAGATACCGTGAAAGCCCTCTCAACTAGGTCACTAGTATAATCGCGATGCTTCTGCCTGATCAAATTTGGCTAATGTCCAACATGCCACCTTGCCTACCAGTGATATTCACTCGTTGTGTTTCAAGTCAAGCAGAGACTCTATTCTTATACTTTCGAAGAGTTTCTTGAGGAATGATACCCAATTCATTCTTTATGTCTAAGGTTAGCTGAAGTGGAGTCCGGCACCTGCATTCCGCGGTGCTAAACGTAGGGTAGAAAGCCATAGAATAATAGCACATGAGAATATTAGTCTTGTTAATGAGGTTTAATATTCGGAAATAGGGGTAGACCAAGGGAGTATTTCCACAAACGACTGATCAGGCGATATGTGTAGATATAGGAGGCTTCAGGGGCTGCGGAATAACACATAACATTCAATATATAGATATGGCACAGGCCCGTCACTTGACGGGGCATGTCCCTTAAAGGAGAAATTGCCAGCAATACTCCGGAAGAAACTCTGACACCTCCCAAATTAAATAGTCTTGGTTTTCTCTGCTGTCACACGGCCTGTCTGCCACATCTGTACCTACGGGTAACATCTACTAAGAATCCGATACTCGCCCCCTACGCTGGCTTGTACTCAACGTACAACACATGGATGCTATCTGGCTCTCCGGAAGGCCCTGTTAAACACGGATGACTGCACTTCGTAGTCCTGGTAACTGGAACTGTACATCTGTTGGAGAGAACCTTACATAAGTGGCCCGAAGTCAGCCCTGGATGCATGGCCGGAAACCGTCACAACGGACGCGGCGCAGGATGTAAGTTTTGTCCGCCCCCCCTGAGGGCGAAAATACATGATTGGATGGCAGGGATAATTGCGCTGATGGATACGATGGGGACTCGGCTTAGACTGACAGATGGCTGGACCCTGTACGCCGCAAGGAACTCAAGGCGCATTGCTATCTTTATCGTTGCCATGTGTTGGCTGTGTTGTCGCCTAGGTGAGGGCCCCGGGTTGGTGTGTTTGGTACGGAGTATTGATGTTGGCTTTTCGCCGCAAGTGAGGGCCATTGCATCCGCCTGGGATGGAGGAATACCGTGGATTCAGGATTGAAGTACATACATACTAGATACTAGATGACCGTGAGTGTAGGTATTCAACGGAGGGAAATGTAACAGTCATTCTATGTGGTCATTACTGTTCGAGAATCCGAGAAAAGGGGAGGCCTTGTGTAACGTTGGTAATAATACCTCACGACGGCGGAGTCTGGAGTTAGCCCCGGCTGAGAAGTCCCCAGGCCAACAAGGCCCCAACCGGTCACGTACGGTAAAACCCCGGGCTAAGCCTGGCAAATACGGCCGTTCCCATCGACAGCCCGGCAGTGGACATCGTGCCCATCAACCCAATCGAATGAAATGCGCCCACCGGTTCCCATTAATCTTCTTTTCTCCCCCCTCTAAAGTTTTTCTCCTTCCCTCATGTTGGTCGGATCCATCCCTAACTTGCGATCCATCCGCCAGGCCTTGTCTGCGTATTTATTCTTCCCCTTGTCCTTGCTTGGTGCCTTCGAGTTCATCTTCCTCGACGGAGGCTAGCCGGGCCAGCCATTCTGAACCCATCCTCCTTCCCCCCCACCGAGATAGTCACCTTAGTGCCCACTGTGTTTTGACCGCTACAACTGCTCCTCGGCCTCCGTTCCTTAAATTTATCGACTTAATTTCCCGGCTGTTTCATACCAGTTTTAAACCCCAGAGGCCTTTCTTCCCGTTCCCCTTTCTGGGTCGCTTTGCGTCTCTTGGAATCAACTTACGTTTCTGGTGTGACCATCATTGTCGGTGAACATGTCTGCGACACCTCGCAAGCCCAGTACTTCGGGCAATTCCACCAAATCCTCGACTGCAGACAGTCATACGGTCAACGGCGCTTCATCGCGAACACACACCAGAACTCCCAGTACATCGACAAATGGCGTTCCTCGTTCCCCCTCCCTTCGGGCTTCGACTCCGGTCTCTGCGCGTGCTGCGGCTCGGAAACCTGCTCGCTCCAATCTAAGCACATCGAGTGCCCCGAAAGTTACGCCCAGCCAGTCCGATGAAGAGGCTCGGGCTCAGAATGCAGCGCTCATCGACGACCTTAAGGAGCAGCTGCAGAAAGCCGAAACGGCATCGGAGCAATACCGCAAGCAGTTGGGTGTCCTTCAGATGCGGCTTGATGAGGCGGTCAGCGAGCAAGGCAAGTTGGAGGACCAGAGCCATGAGAGAGATAGCAAGATTGAGGCCCTGAATGGTGAGATCCGTGAACATGTCCGCCAGATTCGCGACCTTGAGCAGGCACATGACCTGGAACGCAATGCAATGCTGCAGGAGAAGGAACAGCAGGCTAGTCGAGAAGAGGAGATGCAAGCCACCATCCAGCGCCTGAAGGAGTCGCTGGCTCAGAAGGAGCGGGCCAATGCCGTCGATGCGGATAAAAGTGTGTCTCGCTCTTGTAAGAAGATTCCTTTCTTCTTATCCCCCTTCCTCTCTCCTATAGTGAATTTTTCTAACACGTTTCTTTAGCAAGTTTCCGCAACCGAGGGTCACCGGACGTCGATGGACAATTCGCGCCCTCTTCCCAGATCGAGCGAAGCCCTTCGCGCAACAACTCTAAGCTTCTTTTGCAGAAGGATAAGTTGATTGAGTCTCTCCGACTCGAGCTGGCTGAGTCCCAAATCAAGCTCGTCGAGATGGAAAATAAGGGTGGTGGCAGACAGCGGGAGTTGGAGAAGGAGCTTCTGGAAGCCCGTATGGCTAATGCCCGCTTGATGGAGGATAACGAAAGCTACCAATTGCTCCTCAGTGAGAGAACCCTGAACGGTGACTTCACCAAGGGTGACTTCATGCAGCAAGCCCATCCAGACACTGCGGAAGACATCAAGGAGTCTGGCAGCGGCTTGGGTTCCTTGGCTGATGAGCTTGAGTCTGTCGATGCTAGAGCGGAAACAGATAACAACCGCAAGCTTGAGACGGAGATCAAGGCACTCAAGGATCAGAACAAGGCTCTCACGCTTTATATCGAGCGCATCATCAGCCGCCTCCTGCAGCACGATGGTTTCGAGACCATCCTTGACAAGAATGAGAATGACCCCCCAGCCAAGCCGATGCTGGCGCACAGCAACAAAGAGCTTCCGCCAACCCCCCCTGAGAAGGATGATGCTCAGTCGTTCCTCCAGAGAGCCAAGTCAGTCGTCCACGCTCCGAATAGTCGGCCTATCACTCAGCCGCGGTCGCGTCCCACCAGTTATATGCCGCCCCCGACCAGCGTGCCAACCGCCCATGAGAACCCGGAGACGGCTCCTAGCATTCCCCTTCGTGCTCAGTCGATTCGGGGCCACCGCCGCACGAGGTCGGAACAAACAGACGTCGGTGCCGCATCTGTCGTTGGTCAGATGTATCGGGGACGTAACTCGGGTGGTCCGATTAGCCCTACCCTCATGGGGCCTGGGTCTCGCCAAAGCGCATTCTCTGGGGCGAGTATCATGTCGAGTATGAGTGCTGGTGGTCGTGCCCCGTCTCTCTCTAGTCAGCCGGAGCACAGCCGTTTAAGTAGCTCGGATAGTATCACGAGCGACCCTGCTGGTGACACGGCATCCACAGGTGCAACCTCAAGCTCCCCACGTTCAAGCACCGGCATGACCAACTATACCGGGGCAGTGATGACTCAGAACAGATTGCGCCCCCTGCGACTTGTCAGCGAGACCAAATTGGCTGAGGAAGAGGAAGCTGCACGCAAGAAGGCTAACCGAGGAAGTTGGATCTCGTGGTTCAACCGTCCCAATCCCGGTGAAACCACCCAGCCTTCAACCTGAGCGTGCTAGGCTCCTGAGAAATGTGGGGTAATTTCCTGCCTGCAGCTAGGGGGAATTCCTGCTCTTTGTGTTATTCACATCTAATTTGCATGATCTTCTCGGTCCTTGATGGCGGGTTCTTGACCGCTACGGTTGAACGCTAACATTCTTCTTCGGTGTTGATCATCATCCTGGTGTTGAGCCGATATGGCCCAGTTTGCCCTTCCGAGCAGCTGGCACTTTTCGCGTCCATTTTATTGCTATTTATTTATATTGGAAATGTGATAGACGACCACATTGAAACGTTGTGATGATGCCAGACATGGGTATTGCTTGGACACTCCTTTTACCCCCCACAGTGACTACTCTCGGACGCGACGAATCTGCTTGCTTGTTGATGCCCCTCCTTCTTTGATGAACATATGGTCTATACTCCATTCTGCGAGTGAAATTGTCTTGTGCTATTTGTCGTTAATGATGCTGTCTAGAACTTGTATTATAGAGATAGTGAGTAAATACGAATACATATCGAATACCGGATTCTACCTGTAAAGCCACTTTGAAGTACTTCATTTGCGAAGCGCGCAGCAACTTAGGTATACTAGGTCCGGTCCTGCTAGAGAAGTTTCCAGCTCCGTGGCTTCTTATTAGTCCAATGACTTGCATAAATTCTGCTTTCCTATTGGCTTATTTGACCACTTGTGATGTCTTACTATATATTGCTTCTACTCACCGCTTCAGCCTGGGGTACCTAATTCATGGCTTCCGAGGACCCCTTGTGATGTATGCTCAAACTGTAGGTCTAAATCAAGTACCGTATTTTAGGATGCTTAGCAAAGCCCTTTCAAAGTGCTTGGTTGAGTCCTTTGAAAGTACTTGGTTGGACCCTCTAGAAGTGTTTGGTGTTTGATAGAGGCCTTTACATAGGCCTGACAGAGACCTTTAAGATGTGCTTGATGGAGTTCTTTGGCTATACAGAATGTCATTACCTACGTGCTTTTAGAGATGCGTTATGTGATGCTTACTGAGGCGCTTTGCAACCGCGGCCGTCTGCAGGCCAGGACCTAGTACTGCACCCACTGTTGATCGAAGTAAGTCGAGGGGCTGATCTCCTGTATACCCCGGAACAACGTTCGGGCGGCATCCGGATTGCGGCTAGCTTGACGGTAAATAGTTGGACTCCGATTACAACCCCGGAGCTGTCACCACATTGCCAGTCTGATATCTCATTGCCCACCATGCCCGGCTCTCTTTCGCTTTTCTCCGTCAATGCTGTCCTTTTGATGTCGGCCGACGATGGCTCTCGCATCTTCGCCAAATACTACTCTCCTCCTCACCCCCCGGCCGGTGCTGCTCCGAACTCGACTGACTACCCCGGAGCAAACCCCTATCCTACCCTGAAAGAGCAGAAGGCATTCGAGCAAGGCCTTCTTGATAAGACCAACAAGCAGACCAGTGATGTGATTCTGTACGATAACCGGATAGTTGTCTTCAAGATGGAGAGCGACGTTATGCTCTACGTGGTGGGAAGTGCCGATGAGAACGAGGTGCTACTCTACAATGTAGTCTTGTCACTAAGAGATGCCCTGGGAATTCTTTTCAAGTATGGTTTTTTTTTACCTGATGAGGCTGGGGCAATTGCTAACTATTCTGGCCTTCAGGGGCGCAACCGACAAGCGCACAATCGTCGAGAACTACGACCTGGTCGCCCTGGCCATCGACGAGATCATCGACGACGGAATCATTTTGGAAACCGACCCTGTGCTGATCGCCTCGCGCGTAAGCCGCGCCCCTGCCCCCGATGCGCCGAACCTGAAGAGCATCGATCTGTCCGAACAAGGTCTGCTCAATGCCTGGGAGCTTGGAAAGCGGCGTCTTGCGGAGGGATTGCGACAGATGTAAATGGCGTATCTGATTATTGACGTTGACGGTCTTGCCCTTCTATTGATGCATTCTGATGTGCCTTTTCCTTTCTGTCCCACTATATCTTTTGCTGTCTTATCCGGCTGGTCCTGGCGTGGTATTGTGCGCATTGCTCATTGTTTAATCATGTCCATTTATAACATTATTATCCCCGCATTTCTTCGCTGCGGGGGCTGAGGTACCGATAGAGATACTCCTTCATGTTTTGCTGCGAGAATACTGTACTTCTTATCTAGTATTGAGGGGCTACCCATGAGCGTATGCACCAGCAGATGGCAACCTGGGGTCATAGGAAGATGTATAGCACGCGTGTAATCGGCAGGGCCAGATGCAGTGCACCATGCATAGAAAGATGCGATAAACCCATGTGGTGGAGGGAGTGAAGGTGATGGACCGTCATGGAAAGCCATGCCTCGATAGGCGAAAAGCGCCCCGCATACGTCACGCCCGCCTGTCCGAACGGGTGCAAAACTCTTGACCACCGCATCAGCTCAGCGCAACAGCTTCGTTCTCTGGGGAACAGGACAAAGGACACTCGAAGATGAAGCAGAGATTTTCGTCCTTGGATGTCAAGGTCTGCAGCCCGAGCAGCTCCCCTTTGTCGACAGCCGCAAGGACTCACACAACACCAGGTCATCTCCCAGGAACTTGCATCGGAGTTAGTCAACCTGCGAGTTTCGAACATCTACGACCTTTCCTCGGTAGGTGAATATTCCCTCGCAGCGTGTACTCTACCTAAACATTCCTCCTCTCTATGTAGCGAATTTTCCTTCTTAAACTCGCCAAACCCGACCATCGCAAACAGCTCGTTGTCGACTCCGGATTCCGCTGCCATGTCACCCAATACTCCCGAGCGACCGCGTCAGCGCCCACTCCGTTCGTGACGCGCATGCGCAAATTCCTCAAGTCGCGAAGAGTCACCTCTATTCAGCAGATAGGTACGGATCGGATCATCGACTTCTCCTTCAGCGATGGCATGTACCACATGTTCCTGGAGTTCTTTGCCGGCGGCAACATCATCATCACGGATCGCGAGTACAATATCCTTGCGCTGTTCCGGCAGGTTCCTGCCGGCGATGGACAGGAGGAGACTCGCGTCGGACTTAAGTACACAATTACTAACAAACAGAATTATCACGGTGTTCCCGATATCACGCTAGAGAGGGTCAAGGAGACCGTGGAGAAGGCAAAGGCCCTGTTTGCGCAAGAGGGCAATGCGCCGAAGAAGGTCAAGAAGAAGAATGTGGATATGTTGCGCAAGGCTTTGTCCCAGGGATTTCCGGAATACCCTCCCCTACTGCTGGACCATGCGTTTGCCGTGAAGGCGGTTAACCCCGCTACCCCGCTCGACGAGGTTCTCCAGAATGAGGCTCTTTTGCAGAAGGTCGTGGATGTTTTGGAGGAGGCGAGAGGCGAAACGGCGAAATTGGCTACTGAGCAAAATCATCCGGGGTATATCGTGGCGAAGGAGGATACCAGACCAGTTCCTGAATCGACGTCTCAGGATGAGGCTTCCTCTAAGAAGCCGGCGCTTCTCTATGAAGACTTCCATCCTTTTAAGCCCCGCCAGTTTGAAGGAAAGCCAGGTGTTACCATCTTGGAGTTCCCTTCCTTCAATGCTACAGTCGACGAGTACTTTTCATCAATTGAAACGCAGAAGTTGGAGTCGCGGCTCACGGAGCGTGAAGAGGCCGCGAAGAAGAAGCTTGATGCCGTCAGACAAGAGCATGCGAAGCGCATTGGTGCCCTTAAGGAGGTCCAGGAATTGCATATTCGCAAGGCGGCTGCCATTGAAGACAATGTCTACCGGGTTCAAGAAGCTATGGATGCGGTAAATGGCCTTATTGCTCAGGGCATGGACTGGGTTGAAATTGCTCGCCTCATTGAGATGGAGCATGGCAGGGGAAACCCAGTGGCGGGTATCATCAAACTGCCATTAAAGCTTCATGAGAACACAATCACATTGCTACTTGGAGAGGCGGGCGAAGAACAGGACGAAGGCGAGGAGCTATTTTCCGACGATGAGTCTGCCTCAGAAGATGAACAGGAGGCAGCGGGCAAGGCACAGCAACAGTCGAATATGCTGACAATTGACATTGATCTTGGACTTTCTCCTTGGGCTAACGCAACCCAGTACTATGAGCAAAAGAAAATGGCTGCCGTGAAGGAGCAAAGGACAACGCAATCTTCAACTAAGGCACTCAAGAGTCACGAGAAGAAAGTGACGGATGATTTGAAGCGGAACTTGAAGCAGGAGAAGCAAATCCTTCGGCCTGCTAGAAAGCCTTTCTGGTTTGAGAAATTCCTCTTTTTCATCTCGTCGGAGGGATACCTGGTCTTGGGGTATGTGTGATTTATACCGATCTGTGGTTTATGACCTGATCTAATGATGACAGTGGCCGCGATGCGATGCAGAGTGAAATGCTCTACCGCCGTTACCTCAAGAAAGGTGATGTCTTCGTTCATGCCGATCTACAAGGTGCTACGCCGATGATCGTCAAGAACAGAGCTAACTCGCCCAATGCACCTATTCCTCCGAGCACCCTCTCGCAAGCTGGTAATCTCTGCGTTGCTACGTCCAGTGCTTGGGACTCCAAAGCAGTTATGGCAGCTTTTTGGGTCAACGCGAGCCAAGTCACTAAGACTGCCGATGTGGGAGGCATCCTCCCTACCGGCGAGTTCCTCATCAAGGGCGAGAAGAACTTCTTGGCTCCTTCGCAGCTCGTCTTAGGATTTGCGGTCATGTTCCAGGTCAGCAAGGAGAGTCTCCGGAACCATAAGATGCACCGATTTGACGATCCTGCGGCCACAGATGTGCCCGTGGGAGATCTTGAAACGGAAAAGAAAGTAGAGGGCAAGCCCACTGTCGAGCAAGAAGCGCAGGTTACTAAGCCTGATGAGCCGGTCGAAGCCGAGCAGGTGCAGAGCGCCGAGTCTGACGATGAGCAAGAGGATGATAATGCGATTCCGGCTAGAAATCCGTTGCAACGCGGGTCGTCCGAGCCCGTTCAAACAGCGTCGGGTGCATCGACCGAAACTCAAAATGCCCAACCCAATGAAGAAGAGGACGAAGAGAAGGAGGAAGAGGTTGAGGAGCGGAATGGTAACCCTGAAGACGAGAGTGTGGCCTCGCCACAAACCCACAACATGCGGCAACTTTCAGCAAGAGAAAGGCGGCAGGTCCGAAAAGGGAATTCCCCAGAGGTGCTGGATGGGGATACCAAGGGGAACCCAGCATCTAACGGGACGTCGGCAAAATCAGCGAATACCAAACAAGCTTCTGGTCCAAGCCGGGGCAAAAAGGCCAAAGCAAAGAAGGCTGCGGCCAAGTACGCTGATCAGGATGAAGAGGATCGTGAATTGGCTCTTCGCTTGCTAGGCGCCAAGAGTGCCAAAGCTGAAAAGGCTGCCGCAGAAGCCGAGGCCAAGGCCAAGCGTGAAAGAGAAGCAGAGGAAGCGAAGAAACGACGCAGAGCGCAGCATGAGCGTGCTGCCGAAGCGGAGCGTAAACGACAGGCTCTCTTTGAGGGCAGTGTTGATGACTACGACGAAGAAACCGCGGCTACAGAGGCGGCAGACCTGGAATGGATCCCCGCGTTGATTGGCACTCCTCATCCGGAGGATGAGATTCTCGCCGCCATCCCCGTGTGTGCTCCCTGGGCCGCACTGGGTCGGTATAAGTACCGGACCAAGTTACAGCCCGGTGCAGTGAAGAAGGGCAAGGCTGTCAAGGAGATCATCGGGCGGTGGGTAGCCGAAACGACAACTGGAAAGGTCAAGAAGGAACACGCTGAAGACGCTGGCATCGACCGAGCTACAGCCGAGAAGCTTCGTGCGCGGGAAGGAGACCTGATCAAGGGGTGGAAGGATACTGAGGTCATCAACAGCGTTCCCGTTGGCAAGGTGCGCATCATGGCAGGACCATCTCCCAGTGGAGGCGACAAGGGTAAGGGCAAAGGGGGCGGTGGCGGTGGGAACAAGGGAGGAAAAGGGGGCAAGAAGACATAGATGCCTGGACTTGGTCGATTGGGTATCTCCCGATATACATCCCACTATGGTCTACGAAGTACATAGTAGTACTGCATTGATTGGGTGTGGACTAATTCGATCAGGCCACTGGTGACGATGAGGGTTCAAGGAACAAGTAAATGTGTACAGGCACATACTTACATTTCACACATCCATTCTCTGCATTTTATTGGCCGTGTTCTGTATGTAGATGATGTCGCGTTGGGCCCAAACAAGAAACAACCGGAAAAAGGCTGGAATCTGGGCTGGTCTGCTTAGTCACAGGCACGACGTCATCGCGAAGATTTTCGAGTTGATCTTCGCCGACATCCAGAAGCGCCCCCCAACCCCCCAAAGTCGCAATTGTCTGGCAGCAATCGCTCGGGCCGGACAAGACAGTGGAGCAGACTGCCAGCAGAACCCCCGAATCAGAACTCGCGCCAGACCAGATCGCTTCTTCCCTTCCCCCCCACCACCGCGAATTTTGTCGCCTATACTAGTTTCTATACGAGCCGTGACTCACCCCCGCGATCACCTTGTTCCTCTGCTCTGTCCGGGGAACGAATACCACCAGTCAATCTGGTTCTGCTCCTGTCTCGCCTCATTGCTGGCGGTCTCCCGCGCAGCTTTGCGAGGTTCGCTTCCACCACAGCCACCATGACGCCCACAGCTTCCACCCGAATCGTGTCGGTCCGCCGACTCAACAAAGAAGGCCCCGGAGATCGATCTCTCGCCGAGTGGTGGGTCAACGAGCGCGATAATCATACCCCAGAAGCAGTTGCCATCGAGGAAGCGGCGCAACTCCTCCGAACCAGCGATATCCCGGTGGCTTTCCCTACGGAGACGGTGTATGGACTAGGCGCAGACGCAACACGGAGTGCTGCCGTGCAAGGGATCTACAAGGCGAAGCAAAGGCCGTCGGACAACCCATTAATCATACACATCGACTCGCTTGGTATGCTGGAGCGAATACTCAACCCCGAGCAGGAGAGCCCCACGCGCATCACGACGACCGCGAAGAACGCCATTCCCGCCATCTACGACTCCGTCATTTCTCGCTTCTGGCCCGGCCCTCTTACTATCCTCCTCAACAACCCCTCCGGTTCCCCTCTCGCGCGCGAAGTCACTTCCAAGCTCACTACATTTGGTGTGCGCATGCCCTCATCCCCGCTCGCGCGCTTGCTGATCCATGTGACGGATCGGCCTCTGGCGGCTCCCTCGGCCAACGCATCGACCAAGCCCTCCCCGACGGCGGCAGAACACGTATACCATGATCTGGAGGGTCGCATTGAGCTTATCCTCGATGGCGGCTCCTGTGGTGTCGGAGTTGAGAGTACGGTAATCGACGGGCTGTCCGATCCTCCGGCTATTCTTCGACCGGGCGGTATTGGTATCGAGGAGCTACGGGAATGCCCTGGGTGGGAGAATGTACAGGTAGGATACCATGACGGCACGCTTGATGTAAAAGAGGTTCCTCGCGCACCGGGCATGAAGTACCGACACTACTCACCCAAGGCGCGGGTGGTGCTTTTCGAGGCCGGTTCGGATGAGCAATGCGTCGCAAAACATATCCGCAAGGACCTGGAAGATTCGGCGATCGGGGCGCATATGATCGGAGTGGTGCGCACACGAAACTGGAAGCGGGGCATGGGGTTGCTATCCGAGGATGAAATGCAGAAGACTCTGAAGCAAATCCCGTCCCTCGTGGATGAGCTGGTAGGGTTCTCTGTTCCGGTGAGCAACAAGGTCAACGGCTGCACCGCTACCAAAGAGACCTTCGACTGCCACCTGGGCACGGACATCAAGTCCATTGCGCAGGGCTTGTTCTCCGCGCTGCGAGCAATGGATGAAATGGAGGTAGACGTCATTTATGTCGAGGGGGTGCCCGACCAGCAGGGCGATCTGGCAGCTGCCGTCATGAACCGGCTGCGCAAAGCCGCTGGAGCGGAACTTCGGGTATAATAATCATCAAGGAGGGAGGTTATAGATTGCATCTTGGCTACATATCTTGGGCTTTACTGCGTTGGCTAGATGTTATAAAATATAGGTTACGAATTAGCATGAATGACAGCAACTAGAGCATGGTTTCACAGTTTGATATGAGCATTAGTAGAAATTATTCCCCGGTATGGACCGAGATAAAAAGGATCAATATAGATTTTAGGGCTGAACAACCGACCCGAAAACGCAAATCTTCTAGAAGCATTCATTTTATTACTCTTTCGATGGACTACTAAATACCATACCATCTATCACGATCGTCCTTATCGGGGCCTTCTTGTCCCCAAGCAAGCAAGTCTCCGTTCTCCGGCGCCGCATCGGCCGTCTCCGACTCGGCGCGCTTCCGGGCCACGAGCAGAAATCGGCGCATGGGAAACAAGCTTATCGTCGCAGCCTGACGAACCCGCTGCAAGTGGGTCGTCAGGAACCCGGCCGAGCCATTGAGCGTTGAGGGCATCGCAGATGCAATCCACCGCTGGGCCGTTGAAGTTTGACCAGCCCTGACTGAGTCAATCGTCATCTCCACTCCTCCGAGGCAACATTTTCTGGATGGCTGTGATACCATCGCCTCCTTCTCTCTTTCTAGTTCCTATATCTACCTCTTGATCCGCCGCTCTTTTCTTTCCCATTCTTTACTAAAAAAAAATTTCCTACTCTTTCTCTAATCTTGCCCCCTCTATACCCATCAAGCTATACCCCTCCAACCACCAAAATGTGTCAATCCACCTGGCACGACTTCCTCCGGGGCCTCCCCAAATGCGAACACCACGTGCATCTGGAAGGCTGCCTCACCCCGGAACTAATCTTCCAACTGGCCTCGAAAAACGCCGTCCAACTGCCCGCTACCCCCGAATACACCTCCATCGAGACCCTCACCCAGCGGTACGGAAACTTCACCTCCCTCGACGACTTCCTCCACTTCTACTTCATCGGGATGTCTGTCCTCCAGCACGAATCCGACTTCTCCGACCTAGCTTGGGCCTATTTCCAAAAGGCGCACGCCGACGGCGTCCACCACGCCGAAGTCTTCTTCGACCCGCAAGTGCACCAAGACCGGGGCATCGCGTACGAGACCATCATCTCCGGGTTCGTGGCGGGGTGTCAACGCGCGGAAAAAGAACTCGGACTTTCAACTCGCCTCATTCTTTGCTTTGTGAGGCACTTGTCGGTTGATTCGGCGAAGGAGACGTATGCGAAGATTCTGGACAATGGGCATTTTGAGTCTGATACGGTGCATGGGCTGGGGTGGAGTTCGTCGGAGGTGGGTCCGCCGAAGGATATGTTTAGGGAGATTTATGCGTCTGCGAGGGAGAGGGGGGTGAGGTTGACGGCTCATGCTGGGGAGGAGGGCGATCCGACGTATATTAGTACGGCGTTGGAGTTGGGGGCGAGGAGGATTGATCATGGGATTCGGTTGGTGGAGGATCCGGTGTTGATGGAACGGATTGCGCGGGAGGGCATTCTGCTCACGGTTTGTCCGTTGTCGAACGTGCAGTTGAAGTGTGTGAAGGAGGTTGGGGAGGTGCCGATTCGGAAGTTCTTGGATGCTGGGGTCAAGTTCTCGATTAATAGTGATGATCCGGCGTATTTTGGGGGGTATATTTTGGATAATTATTGTGCGGTGCAGGAGGCGTTTGGGTTGTCGGTTGAGGAGTGGAAGGTTATTGCGGTGAATAGTGTGAGTGAGAGTTGGATTGAGGAGGAGAGGAAGATGGAGTTGTTGGGTAGGATTGAGGATCATGTGGTGAGGTTTGCGGAGTTGGTGGTTTAGATGGGAGATGGGGAGGGATAATGTTATATGCAACTTATGAGTAGATGATAGATACTATATATCCAGGAGAGAGGGTAATGATTGCATTTGATGTCTGATTTTATTGAAGGAGTGGAAGGACTGTAGAAGGGAGGAAGAGAGTAGTATGTAGCAGTTTAGCTATTGTTTATTTGATAGTTATATGAAGTCCTTATAGATAACCAGATACTAGATAGTAGACTGATAGTTATGATATCCACGTCAACATGACTAAGATCCACGAGTTGTGGCACCGTGGCGCGTCAACCACAAGATAAGCCAAGTCCATAGAAGCGCATCGTATCGACCTTGGAAGAATAAGAACGCCGCCAACCATGTCCGCGCTGGCTTGTTGCATCCCCCGCATGCGCACCTCGCAGTCTTTCCGCAACTGCCACTCCTACAGATTGTTTCGGACATTATCGTTATCCAGATCCCCGCGCTCACTCGGGTTGTCTTTGCCAACATCTTCTACACGCCTTACTTCTACAAGCATCAGTAACACCACCCCTCAATCCATAAATATCTCCTCTCTGCATATCCACCAAACTCGGACCATGTCCTCAGCCGCCATCCCCGACCGCTACAAGCTGGTCTACTTCGTCCCACATTCCCATCACGAGGCCTGCAAAGAAGCCATCTTCGCGACCGGTGCTGGAACCTTCCCTGGAGGCAAGTATAAAAGGGTCTGTTTCCAAGTGCCAGGACTGGGTCAATTTCTGCCGTCGGAGGGTGCGAACCCCGCCATTGGCGAGGTCGGAAAGGTCGAGACGGTCGAGGAGATGAAGGTGGAAGTGATGTGTCTGGGGCGGGAAATTATGCTGCAGGCCGTGGAGGCTTTGGTCAAGGCCCATCCGTATGAAGAGGTCGTGTATGAGGTGTATAAGATGGAGAATGTGTAATGGAACTCATGGAGGATGAGCTGGGTTATGAAGCTAGATTATGTGTCACGATGGCGTTTTGGAGGGGTTGAGTCGGAGAGGTGCCTGTTGTTAGTCTCGAATACTCCATAATCCCAAATTAATCCATCGAAATGATCGTCTCGATGAATCGAAGCGCATGGTGAGGTCGGTGTTGTTGATAATGAGGTTGCGAGGAATCGTTCATTGGCACAAGGCGGGAGTAATCTGTCGGCGCTGATTGGTCAGCCGCAGCTTCCGCAAAACGCCTCTTCGACTCCAAGTCGGTTGTTCACCTTCAATCCATCAGATCGACCCTCCAGCCCTCCTCCCATACCCCCATTCCCTCCCCTCTGCCAGCAATGGCCTCCAAATTCTTCCCCGCCGTCCCGCGGACTGGCCGCCAGCTCTTCCAGCAGATCCCCAAGACCCAATTCAGACCCTTCTCGGCTGGTCCGCAACGCTACAGCGACTCCCTTGCCGTGGTATGTTCAGAGACATCATGATCACCTTTTCGGCTTCCGCGGCATGCCCGGATAGTGCTCCGCTTTGCAATTGAGCGGAAGGAAGGGAAATGTTTTGCAGAAATGTCAATGCTGACCAGTTGACTTTTCCAGCACCGCAACAAAGGCGACAACAACCCGTCCGTTCCGTTCAAGTTCTCCGACCAGAGCCTCAAACTCATCGATGAGATCCTCAAGCGCTATCCCCCCCAGTACAAGAAGGCCGCCGTCATGCCGGTGCTGGACGTTGGCCAGCGCCAGCACGGCTACACCAGCATCAGCGTCATGAACGAGGTCGCCCGTCTCCTCGAGATGCCCCCCATGCGTGTCTACGAAGTCGCAACCTTCTATACCATGTACAACCGTGAGCCTGTCGGCAAGTACTTTGTCCAGCTTTGCACAACGGTATGAATTGGACCCTATCTTGCCTGAATTATAATCCACTTGGTGCCATCGCTGACAGTCATCCCAGACACCCTGCCAGCTCGGTGGTTGCGGTAGCGACAAGATTGTCCAGGCGATCACAGAACACCTGGGTATCACCCCCGGACACACCACCAAGGACGGACTCTTCACCTTCATCGAGGTTGAGTGCTTGGGTGCTTGTGTCAACGCCCCCATGGTCCAGATCAACGACGACTACTACGAGGACCTCACCCCCGAATCGATCAAGACCCTCCTCACCGCACTCAAGGAGTCGTCGACTGCCCTCGAGGCTGGCCAGTCCGTCAAGGTGCCCGCTCCGGGTCCCCTGAGTGGAAGAGATACTTGCGAGAACAGCGCGGGATTGACCAACCTGGTCGAGCCCGTGTGGGACCCCGCCACGATGATGAGAAAGGACGGCGCTTTGGATGAGCAAACACAATAATTTAAGATAAACCTATAATTCGAGCAGAGAATATAGTTTTCGATACCGTGCGCTGGATGGTTGCAATCTGTCATGTTCCCTTTTTCCTTTTCTGCCCTGGTTGGTGAACTGGACGGGCCACCAGGCAACGCTTATGTACAGTACGTTGTTTCTGATATTTCTCTTTTGCGTAGGGGAATGTCGGGAGATGGTGGGATTGATTTCAACACCCATAGAGGGTCTCGTTAGCAGTAACCAATGCAGTTTTTCAATGTTCCATGAGGGTCTTCCTGCTCTTCACCCTGACTCTTGCCTGCATGTCCGTGCACCTGCCAGGCCATGGATTGCCACTGCTTAGCGTGCCTTCCTTTGTTGTCCGTGAATACAAGAACCAGACGCGTACACACAGTCTCACGTGGTTCACATCTCTATTTAAGGGGAGGAAGTCCCTGTCAGAGACTAAACTTCTTGTTCTTCCTCATCGACCTCTACTATTGCCCTGGGGTTGCACTGCATGCAAGTAGTGCGACCCCGAGGACTGCCATCAGGATCAGTTACCACATAAGGGTTGGAGCTGCTCTTTCAAATCAACATACTGAAATGGAAGCTCACTATTTATTAGGTACTCGTATATCGAGACAAGAAATGTGTTACAGACAACCAACCAAACTGCATATCTCACAACATCTTCACCGAAATCACCAGAATGCGTTGTCCACTGCCAACGAAGGCCCCTCACAGCTAATGGCTTCAGTATCTGAGGCTTCGTCACGATTCACCAACATCGCCTCGCCATCCCGCTCTACCAAAACCTTGCCACGGCGGTCCTGGAAGATGTTTACGTCTATTGTATTTTTGACCAATAGATGGTAGATGTGGACGTGCCGGGTCTGTCCGTACCGCCGGCTGCGTCCGATGGCTTGGGTCATTGCAGCCTCGTAATCATACTGTGTGTTTGTGAGCATCGGCGACAGAAAGATAATATGGTTCGCACCCTGGAGATTTCTGTGCACAGCATCAACATTAGCCACCTGCCACAGAAAGAACGGGCGGTCAACTTACAATCCAGCTGCCATTTCTCCACCGAGGTTCAAGATCAAGACCTTTTTGTCTTTGAAGTTAGAGTTTTGAATTTCCTCCACCTTTTTTCCCGACTGGCGATCAGTGGCCGAGATCAATGTATGCTTGATACCCGCGAGATCCAGCGCCTTGGACGCTACTTCCATCAACTCGGGGTACTGAATAAAGAGCAAGACTCGTTCGTTCGCAGGTACGCTGCGGACAATTTCGATCATCCTATCGAGCTTGCTTCCCCCGTATTCAGTCCCCCGGTCCACTTCACCCCGTTCAAGCGTGGAAGCCTTGATAATGTTAAATCGCTTGCCAGAGCCCCGACATCCATCGACGGTGCACTCTTCCATCTGCATTGTTTCCGAAGAACAGTCGGTGCAGAGCGCATGACCGCAAGAGCCCAGGATGTCCATGTTCTGGATTGTTTCCAGCTCGCTCAAGCAGCTGTCGCATTGGCCAATATTAGCGTTTGTTTGCACAAGAAGCATTATTCTCAGAAACCGGAGGGCCCTTTCGCGAAGAATCCACTCTACGATGAGGTTTCGGATGATAGTGGTGACTTCTCCCAACCACGGCTCAAATTCGTGCAGTTCAGTAGGCCTCTTGGGAAGTGGAACATCGCCCCTACTATCACCTTTTTCAGAACGCTTGCTTCCACTGCCTTTCTTGCCTTGGGCTGTCTGACGTTTGCCCATGGCCAACCTCGTCCTTTTTGCAGCAGGAGGAGCGGGGTTCTCGTCTTCTACCGACTCGACCGCGTCCTCGTTTTCTGTTTCCGAGGTAGCTTGGGCTCCTGCATCAGAATCGTCCTCGGCATCCGACAGTTGCTCTTCAGGGGCGGCAAAGAAAAACTTCCAGTCATCGGCTTCCGACGTGAGGACTGCTTTCTTGATAAGAGGATATACTTCTTGCGTCACAGTCTTGTCACCGAAATCGTCACTTATGACGCTCTCGACGAATTTGTGAAACTTTTTGTAACTCAAATCAAGACTGCAGTAAACCCATGCTGCCAATATCAATTTCACAATGAGATCGCTTCTGAGATCGTCTAGCTGCTTCTCCCGGACCGCGATCAGAGATGTGCATGTCGTGATTTCCGGCTTACCGTCATCATCCCAACGACCCTGGAAGGCAAGGGACGAGCAGCGTTTGAGCAACGCCTCTTCAGCCGTTGCGCTGCTATGAATGATCTCGTCAAGCCTTTCGGCCTGGTCACTGCTGAATCTCCCCCGACAGCTACGACGGACTTCGCGGTTGTATGTCATCAGCTGCTTGTAGAGTTTAAGGTAGATGGAACGTTCCGCTGGCGACGAGTGTACCAGAATGATGTGTTCGGAGAAAGGAATCTCATCGATCTCGGCCACATTCTTCCGTGCAAACCGGTCCAGGAAATTCTGGGCGATCTCATGTCGACGTCCATGCCACGCCTCACTACGGGGGGTTCGGAACGACTGAAACGTTTCCGCAGCAGATCGATGCTTCCGCAGTATATGCAGACGCTTGTTCTGTGATTGAAGATCGTCCTTGTCCACCCCGAGATGGACACCTAGGAACGGTGCGATGGAGTTGACGTCGGCGAAATCATTCAAAGGTGGAGTTCCCGAGAGAACCCATTTCGACCGAGCCCTGAGGGCAAGAAGGGGACTGAGTCTCTCAGAATTTGCATACGAGAACTCGTCAATGATGAGACGGTTGAAAAAGAAGACATGCAACAGAGGGTTTCGGACTGTCTCCCAACTTTGATCTCTGCTCTTGCTTATGTTGAACTCTTTGCGATCATTCCAGACCTTCCTAGCTTTCAAACCAGCTTTCGAGTTGCTCGCCTTCCTCTTCTGGCCACGTACTGGTGCTGGGCGAATTTGGCTTGCTTCATTTGAAGAATCCTCATTTTGGGTTCCATCACCGTCTGATCCAAGCTCGGGATCATTGCCTTGCCCAGTTTCCATGTCTCCCGAAGCCATTGCTGGTCGAAGTTTGAGGTACTGGTCTGTTCTCGCCCTTAGCCTTTCGACATCGGGTTCGGATTCGGGATCAGATGCCTCGTCGCTAGATATGTCGGCGTAATGGGCGGTGCCACTTTTGGCGACAGACTCCCAATCGCAGTTGCCGTCGACGTAATCCTTGCTTTTCAGACGCTTCGATGGGACGTAAGTGCAAATGGCCCGGGAGCCCTTGACATTCTGCCGCCTGCGACGAATTGAATCGAGCAGCGCATTAGGACCATGGGCCTTCATGATTTGAACCTGGTCCTGTAATGCGGCCTGTGCCTCAGTGAACCAAGCATCAAAATTCCGGCCCGCGTCATGGGGAACCCGGGGCGTGCCCGTGAACCTCTGCAGCTTGTCATAATAGGCTTGGCCATTAAACAACCTCCAAGATACCAAGACAATATCGCTCTGCAGAACATCCCTTATCGATAACTTCTTGACTGAAGCCGATGCTGAAAATACCAAGACTTTGAGTTTGGCGCCCAAAAACTTTTTGATCTCTGCTTGCCATTGCTGGAGCATGATCTCAGGTACGACAATGAGGGTTGCCTTGGTGGGTATAAATCCTTGGATGTCCGTTGGAATTGATCGTTGATCTCTCTCGTGCATCGCGTCAATCAAGCCCAATGTGATGGCTGTCTTGCCATATCCGACATCGTCGGCCAGAATCCCTCCTCGGACAGTTTTTTGAACGGTGACCCGTTCCTCAGCGCGCCACATCAACGACGGAAGAAGTGCCTCCTCGGTCTCTTCTTCCATGAAGAGTGGAATGTCGTCACCCTCCTGCTGGATCATCCATGACAAGGACCGCAACTGCTCTGGCCGCAGTTTAAAAAGGAAATTGGGTGGGTGACAAGATGGGGAGTCATGCCTATTGCTTCCTAGCTCGAATTTGGGGAAGGAAATATTCCTCGCATCAAATGCGTTAGGCACAAGACACCACTCCAACGTACGTTCCCTCGCAACATTGTCCTGAACCAATCGGTCGTAGGCCTGGTGGAGCAGGGTCTGGATATTAAGGGTGACGTGCAAGTCACAAAGTCCTTGCTCATCGGTTCGACGAAATATCAAAAATGCAGACGGTTTTGACTTGACCTGGTTTGCATAGAGAGCTGCGTCATAGGGATCCTCGTATGCTTTGATACGATTTCTTCCATCACGAGCCCACAGAAGCCGTGGCTTCAGTGGTGCGCAGACACATGCCGAACCGGCACTTTCATTGAGGCCCTGGCAGTCGACGACTGGATTCCAGCTTTGGAATTCGGACAGATCAGTCGCCTTTTGTAGCAGCCAGGACAGGCTGTTCAGGGAGGAAGGCGATTCTGTCGGGTTTATGACTTCCCACGAACCTTCTTCGCCTGGGGTTTCAATAGCAGGGATTGAACCCTTGAACATGAGCAGGATGATATTGGCATCCCGGCAAACTGGCCGACCAACTGAGATGTCCTTCTCCGCCAGCTGATAGCATGCGATAGGAGCCTCGGGGGCGTAGGGGCTCAAAGCCATGGCTGGGACTCGACTCCATGGGCGAAAATAGACGTCCACGGGGGTGGGGTGCTCGGTGACTTTGGCAGAGCGCCATGTATGCGACACTTCGGCGATGGTTGGCCTTGTAGTGTACCCCAGGACACGCCGATGTTCCCAGGCAAACACAAACGAGTCGTTCTTCGGACCCCCGAGCTTGGTTGGATCGAGAAACAGATAGACGGCCGCCTCATGTTTGCCGGCCGCCCGCTGGTGCAAACAAGCCCCCGCCGTTCCGCAATCCGGCAGGAGCTCATAACTCCCTCGAACGTCGCTTTCCAAGCCCGCCACGGCCTCGTCCGACCCCTGCACCTCAATCTGCGTCCAGAATTTGGATCCAAGCGCTTTCTTGGCCTGAAGTCCACATCTCGCTTCGTACGAGTCGACCTGTTGTCCAGCCCCGGACACTTCCAGCGTCTGCTTGGAAGTCAGCGGCGCACAAACCTCCCAATCACCTTCCAAAAGAGACCCAGACTGAGGGCGCATTCGAGCAATCGGTTTGGAGCAGATCTCGGATCATACACAAGGCAGGAGCAGAGCCAGGCGGTTTTGCAAAAAAGAACCAAGTAAGGTCGGCTTCGCTGATGACCAAGTGCAGACTGGAATGCACGCCCTCATAAAAGACGGTTCAGACTTCACTCCGCTTGATATCCAAGAGGCGCATTTCGATTCCAACGGCTAAAGCAACTGCTTCCAAAAATTCTTGCGCGTTCTGGGATGAGAAATTACCGGATATGCCCTCAATCAAGCCTGTATAATCATCGCGAGAAAGGCCAGATACCACCAGCCTAGCGGGCAGACCACGCCTGAGCCTACTGACAAACTCCAATGGTTTGGTTCGTTTGAGGCCATTCCAACGCTCATATGCATGTGCTGGGTTACCGCCACACTCGGAGCAGGCAGTATGCTGACACAAGGTGCATCTCAAGATACTCGCTCTTATGGCGGTCTGTCGCTCGCATACGCAATACCTTGTGCTACTCGCGGCCTGAACTTGAAGTTCCATTGCATCAAGGTGAGCGGCATCGCTGAGATGTATGTCCCGTGCTATCATCTTATGCTCGCATTTACCTCGGATGCTGTTGCTCCTAGGGACCTGGTCATTCTGAACCGGCTGCCGATCTCCTTTCTCAAGGACCCTGCACCCGGTAATCAATGCAGCAAGGACAGCTGCGCCAACGACCGTCGAGCTCATAGCATTACCCGCAAGATCTTGCAATTCGCGCTGTGATTCACGAGTCAGAAGAAGCCTGTCAAGTGGCAAGCCCTGCAGTGCAAGTGATTCGAGGCCACACAGTGGTCCTCCCCTCGTGGTGAGATATGGCATCCCACAAGGTGTGATGCAACCAGCGATTCCAGGGGCACGTATGTCGATCTCTCGATCTATATCCTGTGAAAGCTCGATACACCGTCTAAAACTCGTCAGTTTTAACCATGTTGAAGGCACCAACGATTCTAACTTACTCCTTGAAGTTCATATCATAGCCTTCGATCAGCTTGCGTAAGAAGTTCATATCGAGAGTGTCCCAGACTCGTTCCGGCAAGGACTTGGCCCAAGTTTGCCAGGCAAAATCGGGCATTTGGCACGTCCCGTCGTCTTGAGACCTGCTCACTGGGCGTTTGTGTCCAAGGGCATTGCTCAGACGGTAGCCTTGATGACGGACCTGATACTTATCCCAAGTGACTGGCCCCCGAGACGGTTTTATCCGCGTCGCCATATCTTTCTCGATCTGGTCTAGCCTTATATCATCGCTATCTAGGAGGAACATGCCGGCAGGCGAACTTGCAGGGCGCTTGAAATCGTTAAGAAGTTGCGCCCAACCTTCCATATTAGCATCGGACAGGTTTTGTCTTTTCATGGCGTCTCTGTCCACGCAGAACATAAACCCTCGCTCACGGGTCTGAGGGAGATAAAACGCCTTTGTGTCAAGGTCGACCCAGGTGGCGAAGTAGTTGATCTCCTCCCAGTATTCCTTGATCTTCGCCCACGGGGCGTTCTTAACGTTCTCCATCATCACTAAACGGGGCCTATAGACCGCCGCATAATGCAGAATTCCCCAGAAAGTGCGTCCGGATTCACCTTTTTGGGTTATTGTCTTGCGCTTGTTGTTTAGATTTGAGAAATCAACACAGGCGAAACCGGCAATCAGAATGTCGGCCTTCTTAGGGATCTTCTCCAGGGACCCATAAGCCGTTTTGCTGGTAATGTCAGATGCAGAACAGAAGAATATGAAGAGAACAAGGAAGATACTCACGCCACACGATCTTTGAGCTCTTGCACATCACAAAAAATGAAACGCGGATGGAAGTTACGTTCGATGTATGCCTGTTTGAAGGCAACAATCTCGGCGCTGAAGAGGTGCTTGAACTCAAAATTTCTATCAAACTGTTCGCGAAGGTCTATACCAACAATCAGTTCACATCTACCAAACCAGTACCGGACAACTTACTTTTTTGCACCATCTCAAGTGCCAAAAGCGGACTCTAGTCCCGGAGCAAACAGTAACAACACGAAGAGCTCTTGAGCCCAAATGGGACAAGACACGATCGAACCCGAGCTTCAGGGCTACATCCGTGATGGATCTGTCAATGTCGTCCAAGTTGTGCATTGGTGGCAGGTGCAGAGCCAGTTGGGTCTTAGGCGCCCGTGGTCCCATCGGCAGCTGAGACCTGACTATCTCGGGAATGTGAGGGTCAAGAGCACTTGTTACAGACACATCCTCTTCATTTGCGTTGGTTCGACGGGCCCGCGCCACCCGTTTCGATGGACGCGTTGAGGAGTGGGAGGGCATGGATCTCTTGGAAGACATGCTGGCAACAATGACAGGTTTTCTTTCAAGAAAAGAAACTGAAATAAGAGGTTGTGAGTTGGAACACGATATGCTGAGCACAACGTGCGGAAGTGATAATAGGGTAGAGGAATATCACGTGGAAAGAGATGTAAACGGTGAAGGGAGGAACAGCAGAGATGGATGGAGAGAGAACGATGATATGAGAGAAACATAGGGAATGGGAAGAGGGGAAGAAAAGAAAGAAAGAAAAAGAGTGTGGGAGAGGCTAAAATAGTGAGTGACTGTTGCCATGGCGTGCTGTGTTGCTGTGAATATCACCATGGTTATTTGTGTGTATAGGCCGCTGGGTGACCAGGCTTGCTGGAAGAGGTGATTATCATCAGGCAGCTGAATGCACCTGTGAGACAGCCATGCATGTCTGAATCGATGGATTCGAAACGAGAATAGTCATAGTCATGGAATATCTAACCCTATGCTATTGATATAAGACCCTTGCACATCAAAAGTAGAGTAACAACACCAACATAAGTCCCTGGCACCATGAACATGCACCCCCATCAAGTACCTCTTGTGCATCTAATCTAGCACAACACCCACCCACTAAGCACATCATATACACAACATCTCCCAGATACATTACCAAGCAACCAAGCAACCGACCCAGCATAGCCTGTTAGCAACAACCCCAAAGCCGCAAAACCACAACCATACAACCACCCTCCAACCAAAGAGACATATTCCCAGTATCCACGACCTGGTCGTTAGATGCGCTGCAGGGCGGGTGGGTATATAGCTATTAGATCGTGAGTGGCAACTCGGACTACCTTGAGTAGAAGTACAAGCTACTAGCGCTGCACGTTACTTACATCGATAGATGGATTAATGGATAGTCATTGTTTAGGTATGTTCTCAAGGATGTGATTACGAGGACGATGATGACTATTCGTCTAAGAAGTGGCGAGGAGGTTGGTCAGTAGACTAAGAGGATGGGTTCTGTTCATTCATTTGGAGTTGGTGGGAGGGGGGAAGGGGGGTGTTAGATACATGGTAAGTGCCACATACCGACTATATTTTCTGCTTCATACAAATACGGTGTGAAATGATAAGACAGGGCAGAAACAGCTCTCGCAGCCGAAAATAATCAATTGCTGGGGGATATCCGCGACAGCTGCTATCAATCCGTGCTAACTGTACATTTCGAAATTCCAAGGGAGGAAGAAAAACAGGTCAAAGGAAAGAAGTAAGGTGTGATGTACCCACAACGAAACCAACCAACAACCCCATTGCGCCAACACACCCCGGTTCCGGTATTGATTAATGAACGCGAAATCGTTGCTCACATCAAAGATAGAGTCAAAATCTGTACCTGCTACCTGCGCTGCTATCATCTTGCGCCCAGTCCTTTTGTTCTCGCTAAAGAGGGTAATAAACAGATTGGGAGGGATAGACAGGGTGATCATCGCATCGCACCCTGCATCAACTGCTGCCGGAGGAGCATGATCTGACTGCGCTCCATAGGGGGGAGCGCATCGATCGCTGACTGTGGCATGCTGAGCACCTGCTGCAGGAGCTCCTCTTGTCCCGGCATAGCTTGCGGCTGTTGTTGCTGCGGTGCCGCTGCAGCGGCACCGAAGGGGCTGTTCACCATCGGCGGCGTGGAGACTTGTCCCGGCACCGCAGAGAAAGCCTGGAACGCTTGCGCCGCCGCAGAAGGAGGTGCCGGTGCAGAAGGCTGGGATGCTTGTTCCACCACCGAACCGAGAGTGCTGTAATCGACCAGGTTCATAAGCAGCAGCGCCTGGAAGATCGCATAGGCGAGCTGGGGTGCTTGGCGCAAAAGTTCCGTAGCTCTAGCCGGGTCTGCCATGACAAGCGACTTCATCTGGGAAAGGACTTCGAGGAGCTGGTTGGGGGGCAGGGAGGCGAGGGTCTGTGAGATGGCGTTGGGACAGTCCAAGTGCGGAGGCACTTCGACGCCCGGGGGCAGGGGAGGGAGAGGCGCAGACGATTGTTGTTGCTGTTGTTGCTGCGCGCCATCTTGGTTGGCGGGGGCGTTTATTTGGGAATAGTCTGGAGGTATGGAGTCTTTCTCGTTGTTGTGAGGCCAGTCAACTCGGATCTTGCGGCCCATGATCTCGTAGTCGTTCAGATTGCGGACAGCGGAGGCGGCCGCATCGGCATCAGCGAAGTCGGCGAAACCGTAACCTTTAGGTTTACCGGTCTCCGGGTTCATCATCAGGCGAAACTTGGTCACTGTGCCGGCGGAGCTGAGAATGTCTTTGACTTGCTCCTCCGTAAGGTCTGCGTGGTGATAGGTTAGTGGTGGTTGCCATTGAGGATACAGGTGGCAGAAAGAATAAATGAAGACGTACTGTAGGGGATGTTCCCCAGGAAGACGCTCTTTCCGGCTCCGGGAGCCATGGTGATGGCGGAAGAGAAACGGGGGAGAATATAGATAGCTGGTTTGGTAGTTGAGGTGGTGAGGGCGGAGATGGAGGCCGATGGGCGAGGAGGGGAGACGGTCTCTGAGGATGTCGAGAGACACAGCGCAGAAGAATGGAGGAGTGCTTTAAAGCTCAGCGCCGGGGATTGATTGCGTGGAAGATTGTTTGAAGGCCGCAGCCGTTGAATGGCAAGAAAGAAGAAGAAGAAGAAGGAGAATGAGGGCGGGACTGATTGATTGATTGATTATTGAATGGGAGGAAAAGCGGCAGCATCTGCCAAGGCGGTGAGAGGCAGCAGCTCGAAAGTGACGGTCCTCCGCCGGCCGCTCTCTTGCAAGTTGCAATCCTCTCCCCGTCTACCCTTCTCAACCCCCCTCATATCCCCCCATCATCATGTCCGGGAATCCCAGCGATCAGCTTCGAAGGCTCCAAATGGCCCTCCAGAACCGCGGCGGCGGCGGGTTCCCTGGTGGAGGTCGTGGCGGCATGGGATTGCCGGGAGCTGTGCTGCTCGTCTTTGTTGGAGGATGGGCTCTCTCCAACTCCATGTTCAACGGTGACTTGATTCGCTGGTCGAAATGTCTTAAGAGGTTTTGCTGACTGGGATTTATAGTTGATGGTGGTCACCGTGCCATCAAATACTCCAGAGTTGGTGGTGTCAAGAAGGAAATCTACAGTGAAGGTAAGCCGGCTCATCCATCGCTCGTGGCCCCCGTATTTCATCTGACGGTGTCTCATCTTAGGAACTCACCTTCGCATTCCCTGGTTCGAGACCCCGGTCATCTACGATGTCCGTGCCAAGCCGCGCAACATTGCCTCCCTTACCGGTACCAAGGATCTGCAGATGGTGAACATCACTTGCCGTGTGCTGTCCAGACCCCGCGTCGACGCTCTCCCCCAAATATACCGTACTCTTGGACAGGACTTCGACGAGCGTGTGCTTCCATCGATTGTGAACGAGGTCTTGAAGAGCGTGGTAGCGCAGTTCAACGCCAGCCAGCTGATCACCCAGCGTGAGAACGTTGCCAGACTTGTCCGGGAGAACCTTGCTCGTCGGGCTGCCCGATTCAACATTGCTCTGGATGATGTGTCGCTTACGGTATGTTATCCTAACCTCGTAGCAACATCCATCGCTAACTTTTCTGGTCGATAGCACTTGACCTTCTCTCCCGAGTTCACCGCCGCCGTCGAGGCCAAGCAGGTCGCCCAGCAGGAGGCTCAGCGGGCCGCTTTCTTGGTCGACAAGGCTCGCCAGGAGAAGCAGGCTTTCATTGTCCGCGCCCAGGGTGAGGCTCGTTCGGCCGAGCTGATTGGTGATGCGATCAAGAAGAGCAAGAGTTACATCGAGCTGCGTAAGATCGAGAACGCGCGCCAGATCGCCCAGATCCTGCAGGAAAACGGCGGCAAGAACAAGCTGTACCTGGACTCCCAGGGTCTGGGCTTGAACGTCAACGCCGGAGCGGACGACACAAAATAAACAGGCGGAAAAGTGTAGGAGTCTGTCAGGGGACGGTGGCAGGAATGGGTCTTCTTAATGATGTAGCAGTCATGGCGCTAAGAGTCGTCCGGGAGGGCGACAGGTGTGGCATCAGGTACTTGTACAAATAGTTTCCAGGTTCTCGAGCAACAGGCGAACAGTTTCTCTTCTCTTACATGTTACGCGAAAGATAGTCGGAGTGTCTACATGACGTACTGCGCGGGTTGCGTAGGTCGATCTGCAGCTGCTGTTCGGTTCCTCTGCGGCGGAGAGCGGGGACGAATGCGGCCGCGCAAATTTCTATCGGCGCGGAGATTCTCATCACTTATCTCTCCAGCTCCCACCAGAGGCTTCTAATTAAGCAAGCCATTGAGAATCCTCCTGAACAGCCTGGAACTCAATCTATAACTCAGTCCACTTTGCAGAACGTAAGTCCTCCGCGCCACACCCTCCAGCCCAATCCCCAATCCAGTATCCAACCCTCCCCCACTTCCGCGCATATCAATCACCACCGCATCTCCAAAAATTATCTCCCCCACCATCACCACAACCACAACCATAACCCATCTAACAACCCCCAGCAAACTCCCACCACCATGACCACCATAACCCCAACCTCCGACATGGAAATAAACGTCGACATCTACACCCAAGAGCTCCTCCTCGCCGCCTCCAACCACTCCATCCCAACCCTCCGTCGCCTGATCCGCGAGAACCAACTCCCCGGCAACCCCGTCAATGTCAAAGACCCCGAAACCGGCTTCTCGCCTCTCCACACCGCCATCGCAGCCTACGAGCCGGAAGAACAACAAGCCAACGGCGTCGACCCCAATGCCTCGGAAGCAGAGCAAAGCGGCAGTAGCGCAGCAGAGACAGTCAAGTTCTTACTCCAGGAAGGCGCAATCTGGAACGATCTGGACCTGAACAACGAGACACCAGGATGTATTGCGAAGAGAATCGGAGCGGGGGAATTGTACGAGATGATGGTTGATGCGGGCGTTAGGGCCGAGTTATTGTTGGGACGGTTGGACGGGTATGAGGCTTTGTCTGATGACGAGGATGACGAAGAAGAACAAGAACAAGAGGGCGAGCAGGCCGAGACCGAAAACGAGCAGCAAGAGGAATCAACCACCACCGAACCCACCGAACCCACAACCGAAGAGGAACCCTCCACCGACCCCTCAGTAACCAACCCACGCTACCTAGACTCAACCCTAACCTTCACCAACGACCGACTCCTCGACGCGGACCAAAACGGCGTCATGATGTCCTGGGAATCGACCATCATGGAGAAATCCGCGCAGAAGCTTCTCCCCACGCCCGGGCTCCGCGTTCTCAACATCGGTCATGGAATGGGTATCGTGGATACATTCATTCAATCCCATCAGCCTAGCGAACATCATATCATTGAGGCGCATCCGTCCGTGGTGGCGGAGATGAAGCGTAAGGGGTGGGATCAGAAGCCCGGGGTGCGGATTCATGAGGGTCGGTGGCAGGAGGTTCTCCCTGCGTTGGTGGGTGAGGGGGTGGAGGTGGATGCGATTTACTATGATACGTTTGCGGAGTCGTATGCGGATTTCCGGGAGTTTTTCAGTGAGCAAGTGATTGGGATTTTGGAGCAGGATGGGGGTCGTTGGGGATTCTTCAATGGGATGGGGGCCGATAGGCAGATTAGTTATGATGTTTATCAGAAGGTGGTGGAGATTGATTTGTTTGAGGCTGGGTTTGAGGTTGAGTGGGAGGAGATTGAGGTACCTAAGTTGGAGGGTGAATGGGAGGGCGTGAGGAGGCCGTACTGGATGATTGAGAAGTATAGGCTGCCTGTGTGTAAGTTTATGATGTGATGGATGGGTGGGGTTGGATTTATGTGATGATGGTATAGAATTTGACCTGCAATCTATTGCATCTTTATTAACTATGTACACCCTTCTAATACATGCCGCTCTGGTGACTACACCCAACGCCAATAAATGCATGCCGGTAACAAGAAAAAGAAAGAAAGAAAAAGACAGGATATCTAATCGAAAGAATCGTCAATCATACAAGCTGCCAGCTTATAATTGGATCAGGTCCACTTCTGAAAAATCTGGTGGACTGCGGCTGAAGATGGTGTGGCATTTCCCGTCCAGCGCCTGGTACTCGTTGCTGACCCAGATGTGCTTGCTGAACCGTTGCGTCCGGTACACCTCGTCATCACTGATTCCTAGATCGTCTCGCGGAATCCAGATGACTGGACGCTTGGCACGCAATGCGTCGTGCTGGAACGCCCGTTGGGTGAGTTGATCACGCTCGTCCGGTGTCAGGTCCTCCAACTCGTCATGAATGCCAGCAAAAAGGGTCGGTCCCAGGTTGCGGGAAGGAGGGCCTTGGGCCTCAGCATCTTGTGCAATTTTGTCACGCAACCGTTGGACACTGGGCACTTGCGTGTCCGAGTGAGTTTTGTAGTATGGGGACCGCCGGTTCGGAGACCGATCAGCCCAGGATGTACGATGCGGTCCGAGGTGTGGCCGTTGCATGTGATGGTGGGACTGGCGATCCGAAGAAGACTCCAGCGTCTTCATCTCAATGTCGCGCGACATCCGGTCTACTTCATGTTGCTGATGCTCGTGTTCCGCGAGCTGGTGCTCGATTGTTTCCGCCGGGTCCTCCTCCTCGTTCGGCAGTCCCAGTCGCGCTCTCTGAGCCCGCGCAAACTCCTCATCCCGGCGCACCGCGTCGTCTTCCAGGGTGATAGGCAGGTAGCGGAATAGAGGTCCGAACGCGTCGTTCAAAAGGAACTGATAGCCAGCCGTGAGGAACAGGACGATGATCATAATAATCGCCTGCCCTTCGCATGCAACTTCGCCCTGTGTGTCTCGGACCAAAAAGAACAGTCCAATCAGACTAAGTTCCATGACATACAGGCCAGTGAACAGCTGGTTGATGGCGCGAGGAAAAAGCAGCCCACCGGTATCGAAACGGAATTTGGTCACGTAAAGTGTGTTGTACCGGTAAACAAACCAAAATAGACCGAATGTAATCACGTTGAAGATCAAGATGAGAGGCGCAATGACGCAGTATATCAGCCCTGCATCGGTGGTCAGTCAGGAAAGCATGTGGCAAAGGAGAGTCTGGCTTACCGATGGAGGCCAGGGTGGTATACACCGGAAAGAATGTGCCCCATTGCATTTGATTCAAGTTGGTGGTTCGGCCCCATTTCTTGCGCGCCGTCTTGTCCAGGATCGGGGCGAGGATGAACCAGCTTACTAGGTTGACGATCTGAACCAACGCTCCAGCACTCACCGACATTGCCTGAAGAATCATGTACGAGAAGAAATAATTACTTGACGACGGAATATTCTGGGCCAGCAGCTCCGGCCAGCTTGTGACATCGGTCACATTGCTGATAATGGTCGAGAAACTGGACGAAATGGTGACCACCAGGAACAGCTGCACGAACAGGAACGCAAAATAGTAATTCTGAACCGCAAGCTCAACAGCCATACCCGTCGAAAGACCCTGGGTTCGGCTAAGAAAACGAAGGATCAGGGGCAGAAGCGCCATTAAGATGGCCAGACAGATTGCAGGCAACACACCCTGAATGGCGGAGAGAAACCATGCGGGCAGTTTGGAAAGCCAGGACAACCAAGTGAATGCAGCTTCCAGGTATGAAAGTTGAGACAGCAAGCCGGTGAACGCCACCGGAAAAGCCCAGCCGATCACCATCCCACAGACGACAGCGATGATGCCGAATGTGCGCAGATAGCGTTCCCACCACTTGATGGACATGTTGTCCCAGATGACATCGTCCGGTGAGATTTCGACAATGCGAGGAGCCATCTGCTTGGGCACATGGTGGCTAACTGCCTGACAAGCCATATGAGCAGCGACTTGATGATTGAATTGTATGAAGGCTGAATTCATGAGGGGAAACTTCTCTGGGTGCTGTTGGTCGATTTCGATCTCGAGGTTCAGGCGAGCCAGCTCTTTACGGCAATAGTCGATGGTGTCGACTTTCTTACCAATGAGCCACAGTGACGGCATCCAACTAATGCCGAAGATGGGCAGCCGCATTGTATCGCGATCCTTTGGCTTGATATACTTCTGCCACAGTGGTTCTCCAAATTCCTCGTTCTCAAATCCCTCGTTGTAAGCAATGGGATATTCCTCACCCTTCACTCGGTCACCCTCTTTGAAGTTCACGCTCTTGCTCTTTTCCTTTACCGGAGAGTTACTGCTTTCAGAGTCAAAAGCCTCCTCCGGCTCAACAGGAGACTCTGGAGCGGTCAAGGGGAGTTCATCGGGCTCGCTGTTGTGGCTCGTCTTGGAGTCCTTGGATAACTGACTCTTCCAGAAGGGTCGCTTTGGCCTTGACACCGGTCGAGCCTCTGATGCGCCAGCTTCCACGATAGGTTCTGTATTATCACGGGGATCCTCCAACCAAACCCGAGGCTCGTCAGGGCTAGCTTCATTGATTTCCTCATGCTCAGCATGATGTTCAGGGATAGAAATGCCGTCCTCGGGCACATAGCCTCCTGATCGGGTCAACGTTCCGTCCAGTCCGTGCTCGACTTTTCTGATGCCTCCCATCATGGATTTGCCTAGCTTGCCCACACCTTGTCCAACCGCCCCTGCTGCTTCCATGGCAGGGTCGAACGGATTGAGACGTTTGCGGTGCCCTGGCTCTACAGGCTTCTTTTTCGATTTTGTCCGATGCAAGATCTGGTCCAGAGTGCGGGCTTGATGTGGGTTTCCGGAGCTGACACCCCCATCCAGAGCCATTTCGGAAGCCATCCTATCGGCATCCTTCTTCTCCTGGGTCTCGACTGCGTTTGGGTTTTTTCCGGTCTTTTTCGCTGCAGCTCTAGCTTGTTTCAGCTGGGCCTTTTTGCACTTGATGATCAGATCCGTCTCCGCAGCCTCCAGTTTGAGAGCCAGCTCATCTCGCTGTTTCACCTTTTCATTGAGATCGTCGAAGTTGCGGTTGATCCAAATATTTCTGATTCCTCCCGGGAAGACGTCGTAGAGTGTTTCGAGGGCGTCCACGGAGAGCCAGCTTTCCGGAATGGCTGTCACTAAGACCGTTGTCGCCGACGCTCGTAGTCGATGTTGGGGCGATGTTAGGTAAGCCTGTCGGAGACGGATGTAGCCTCTGAGCTCGTCAAAGAACACGCCGCATACGTAGAAGATTGCGATGACCGCCATGATTAAGTGGCCCCAGTACCGTGAAGTGTTTTCTGGTCTGACATTGCCCCAGGCAAGTTGATCAAGCCCAGTAACATTCCATTGGCCGTCACTTATTGTGTTGTTTTTGTAGCTTGTGTCTTTGCCACCCACTTTGTTTAAGGGTAGAAGGACTGGCAGCAACAAGCACCCCAAGGGGACAAAAATCTTAAGAAGCATCCGCAGGTATCGTAAGAAAAAGTACGCATCCAGGCCACATTTTTGAATAAACTCGGTACTAGAAGTGCGAAACACGGGAGCGATCCATCGAAAGAGACCAGGCGGCGATGGCTGAGTACGTTCTCTGTCAGAGACCAGATAGGTCCTTGGTTGGCTAGAAATTGACCAGGCATCAGTGATACACTCTCCCACGGTATCGCGCGCACTTACTAGATGCGAGTGAGTTTCCCCTTGAGCAGCAAAAAGCACAGAAATTCAACGGCAAAGACGATGATGGCAGTGGCCAGGGAGGCAAGGAAGGTCCCGATCGAGATGCCCTCCTTATTCTTCCCACTGCCGCCAGCGTGTTCCAGCGCCGACCCAAGGTCTGTCATGGTAAAAGTGAATGCGCACCACTCAGTAGCTTGGTGCAGGTGGCTTGTAGGCCTAAGAAGCCACGAAAGTGATGAAGCGAAGGTGTTGAAAGAGTTGTAGATAAAGCGTAGAAGAAAGGGGAAACAAAACTGTGGACATCACGAAGATCAAATGTTATACAATTGAGGAAACGGTACGTCAGGCAGAACGATTAGAAGCCCATGTCGCAACTCGCAAGCGGAGGTGGAGAGAGCCAATCAGTGAGTGTAAGGGGAACTGAGGAACCGCCGGGGGGAGAGCGCAGCGCTAAGGGAGCAAAGACCAAAGGGCTAAATAAAGAGGCGACGACCAAGGGGATCCTCAATGGAGTGAGTTCAAGGGACGAAAGGGAAAAACGTGTTACAGATAAAGGCATGACAACAGTGGCACCCACTGCAGGAGCATCGGCCATTCAGAGGGCCGCCCGGGGCCAAGCCAGCAGGGCAGAAGCGCTATTCGGGATGGAGGGCCACTGGGGTTGGCAGATCAGCCATGGATGACATCAAGCGCCTGCTGAAACCGAACCGCGCTTCCTCCCGACTCCTACGCTGCCTCTTCAGCTCGGGCCAGAGGAAAGCGGTTTTAAGGACCGATGAGGTGGTATACAGTCTATGACAGATAACATAGAATGCCTCGAATACCCACAATGATGATAATGAAAGACCCCCAGACCCCCGATCAGGGGCTTTGTCCAGGGAGATTCCTTTTGTTCGGTTCTTTGCTTTCCAAGTTGCCGCAGATGATTGCCTAAGATAGGAAGGTGTGACCCTGAGGTGGCCCTGGCGACCCACTACCTTGCGCAGGTCCCTGATTGGATACCATATTGGAGGAGGTGGCGGTGCCGCCAGCCCTAAAAAATGCCCATTTCACCAGCCACCTTGCTCACCTGACCCTGTGGCTGTCTTGTCACGCTGGCCCAAAAAGAAAAGCTCTTTACGCGGTGGACGCGCCGGAGCGCGTCGGGTCGACAAGAAGAGAATTTGTTTTCCCTGGTAGGCCCACTTCCAAAATGTGCCTCTCTCCATCGCAACCACGACAACTGACCCCAACCCAATCCCCATCCCCATATCAACACAACCATCGTCACCTGCCCATCCCCCCTCTCTGTCGGTCCTCCCTCCACTAGTCCATCCGCCCGTGGACTGTCCCTTCATAGGACCAACTCGTCATGTCTTCTCCAGCAAACACTCGTCGTAGGGGTCGCCCTACCAGAGACTCGGCTGTTCCCTCCCCTGCACGCTCAACTCGCTCCCAACAGCAACGCCAGACCAGCAGTCCCACCCCACTGGGTGATGAACAATCACAAACAACTCCTCGGGCCTCCCGGCGGCTTAGGAGGGAGGCGCCAGTTCCGTCCTCCTCACCCATGTTCTTCCAATCTTCCCCGATGAAAGGGAACAGCAGCAGCGCAGAGACCCCCGATGTTCGAATGGATGAGCCGAGCTCGCCCATGAGAGCTTCGTCCACAATGGATGATGGCGAAACAACCCCACGAGGAAATGCTGCAGCTGCCATGCGAGGTAGGACCCGCTCGCTCAATATGCTTGACCTCGCCCCTATGTGCTCACACATAAACAGACTCGTCCCCAATCCGATACGTCTCCAGCTCAAGTCCCACCCGTTCTCATGGTCGCCAAGCGGGGCGCTCAGACATCCCCAGCAGCAGCAGTGGTCTTTTTGTCTCCTCCCGATCAAATGTCGACGGTCACCGTGGCGCCTCTCGCCGCAATGACCTTCACTCGGGCGGATTTGGATCGACCCCGAGCCGTCGACGCAGGATATTCGTGGACGCCAACGGTATGCCTACTGCCGACGGGGAACCGCGGTCTGATGCCACCTTCTCGAACATCCACCCAGATACCTCAGAGGCCGAGGCCTTGGGTGGCAGCTCGACCCGCGTGATCTGGGGTACCAATATCTCCATCCAAGATTCCATGTCAGCCTTCAAGAACTTCCTCTACAACTTCGCAACGAAATATCGACTCTGGGCGGAGGGAGCAACGGAAGATGAGACCCGTGTTATGGGAGCTACCGCAGAAGACCGAGAGTATATCAACATGTTGAACACGATGCGTCAGCTCGGTGTATCCAATCTGAATCTGGATGCAAAGAACTTGAAAGCCTACCCATCGACTCTGAAGCTATGGCACCAGCTCCACGCATATCCCCAGGAGATCATTCCTCTAATGGATCAGACCGTCAAAGATGTCATGGTTGAGCTTGCAATCAAGGAAATGGAGCGCCAACGGAACCATTCTCGTCGAAACCACACCCGCTCCCGGGATCTCAGCTCAGCACCTGCAGTTCCTAGCTCCGATGCGATGATGAGCGATGCCGCCCCAACTGCCCCTGCGGAGATTCAGGATCTCGTCCAGGAGGTCGAGTCCAAATCTTACAAAGTTATGCCATTTGGCCTTGACAAGACAGTCAACATGAGAGACCTGGACCCTGCTGGTAGGTCGCTTAGCCCTTTAAGATATGCTTCAGTGCTAATGTATGTTAGACATGGACAAGTTGGTAAGCATCAAGGGGCTGGTGATTCGGGCCACCCCCATTATACCAGACATGAAAGAAGGTAAGCCATCGTGTCCGTATCGCTGATGCCCCGTGCCTAATATGAGTTGCTAGCCTTCTTCCGCTGCCAAATTTGCAACCATAGTGTTCAGGTTGATATTGACCGTGGACGTATCGCTGAGCCCACCATCTGTCCTCGTCAGGTCTGCCAGGCCAGAAACTCAATGCAGATCATCCACAACCGCTGTGCATTTGCCGACAAGCAGGTTATCAAGCTCCAGGAAACTCCCGACAACATTCCCGATGGCCAGACTCCTCATTCAGTTTCTCTCTGCGTCTACGATGAGTTGGTTGATGTCTGCAAAGCTGGTGACCGCGTAGAGGTAACTGGTATTTTCCGATGCAATCCTGTCCGTGTCAACCCCCGCCAGCGCACACAGAAGACGCTTTTCAAGACATACGTGGATGTCTTGCACGTACAGAAGATCGATCGCAAGAAGATGGGTATCGATGTGTCAACCGTTGAGCAGGAGCTGTCTGAGCAGGCTGCTGGAGATGCCGAACAGACGCGCAAGATCACCGCCGAGGAAGAAGAGAGAATCAAGCGAACTGCTACCCGACCCGATGTGTACCAGCTTCTATCTCGATCGCTGGCGCCTAGCATCTACGAGGCGGACGATGTCAAGAAGGGTATCCTGCTGCAAATGTTTGGAGGCACGAACAAAACGTTCCAGAAGGGAGGAAACCCACGTTACCGTGGTGACATTAACGTGCTTCTGTGCGGTGACCCATCCACCGCGAAGTCCCAACTTCTCCGATATGTCCACAAGATCGCGCCTCGCGGTGTTTACACCAGCGGCAAAGGTTCATCGGCCGTCGGTCTTACGGCTTATGTGACTCGCGACCCTGACACCAAGCAGATGGTCCTCGAGTCAGGTGCTCTGGTTCTCTCCGATGGTGGCATTTGTTGTATTGACGAGTTCGACAAGATGAACGAATCGACGCGGTCCGTTTTACACGAAGTGATGGAGCAGCAAACTGTGTCCGTTGCTAAGGCGGGTATCATCACCACCCTGAACGCTCGAACCAGCATCCTTGCTTCAGCCAACCCTATCGGTAGCAAGTACAACCCTAACCTCCCGGTTCCGCAAAACATCGACTTGCCTCCCACTCTGCTGTCCCGATTTGACTTGGTCTATCTGGTTCTAGACCGTACGGATGAGCAGGAGGACCGTCGGTTGGCCAAGCACCTTGTCAACATGTACCTGGAAGACAAGCCCGAAAACGCGAGCAGCGAGGAGATCTTGGTAAGTCCGAAATAATGCCAACTGTGTAACACTAGCTAACCGTCACCCCGCCCAGCCCATTGAATTTCTCACAGCCTACATCACCTACGCTAAAACCAAGGTGCACCCTGTGCTTACCCCCACTGCTGGAAAAGCCCTCTCCGATGCCTATGTCAACATGCGCAAACTCGGAGACGACATTCGGTCGACGGATCGCCGTATTACTGCGACTACCCGTCAGCTGGAATCGATGATTCGACTCTCGGAAGCCCACGCGCGCATGCGCCTTTCCTCAGAGGTGACCGCAGATGATGTGGAAGAAGCTGTGCGCCTCATCCGGTCGGCTATCAAGCAGTCCGCTACGGACTCTCGCACTGGTCTCATTGATATGGGTCTGCTCACCGAGGGTACTAGTGCAAGTGAGAGGCGCAACCGGGAGGCGATCAAGCGCGGCGTGCTTTCCGTGGTGGACGAACTGGCCGGCTCAGGCGGTACAGCTCGCTGGGCCGAAGTCTTCCGAGTTCTGAACGATCAGAGCAGCACCAACCTGGATAGCAATCAGTTTAACGAGGCGGTTTACTCATTGCAAAACGAAGGCATCGTGAATATCCTGGGCGAGGGTGCTCGACGGGGCATCCGGCGCAGTGGAGGGACGCTTCCTTGATCCCCCCCCCTCCCTGCCTCAGGGGACTAGATGATGAGACTACGATGCCATGGACTACATAATTTTCGGATGGGTGCGATTTCTCTTCGGCCCTTGCTATGTCGGGAGGACGGTGTCTGGTGTTGGTTCAATACGTATGCAGCAGAACAATGTATTTAATGGGCATCAACGCAACGAGTCTTGTGGGTTTTTGAAATCAAGCCAATATGACCGAGGAAAGTTAGTCCCGCGGAATATTGCTAGCTCAATAGTAGTCACCGTAGTGCATGCAGGATTCACCCTTAGTATTATACGGCTCCTCCAGCCACCGGTCGAAAACTCTTCTGCGCCTGGCTATTCCGTATCAGTGGCAAGCCCCTGTTCTAATTGCTAAGAGGATTGCCATCGTGGGATCCAGATTCATGGCATCATAAGCATGGTAGGATTACCACGGTTGTTCTAAAATTACAGCTGCACCAGATTGGTAGTAATTATTCACTAGGCATTCCACCATTCTAACTTGATCCGGCTAAAGAGGTGATGATTTCACCGTGGAATTTCCCTGATCTGCAATCAGGGTCTTTCTGTCGGACAGGCAGGCATGCAGTGTTCCGGGGTCCATCACCACTCATTTTGTACATGATGCACGTCTATCAGATCCCATAAGATCTTGCATATACACCCAGAAGCCATGGTCGATGGAATTCCATGACAAATCAAGACTGGTCACTTTGCAATTCGATATATATATCCTGGGTACGGAGTAGTGTTGCCGGCGATACCCGTAAGAATATATTCTCTCACATCAAGCAAATAAGATCCGCTGACGGGTTGACACGCTAAAACATACAGCTGCTGCATCGCATTACAAGAACTGACACGTGAGTTGACATCCTTTCATGCTGGGTCATAGTATCAATTTGGATGGCAGGAGGGCATCCGAGGTTTATCAAATGCGTGATTGGTGAACTAACCAACACCTGTATGAGGCACTAGGACTACAGTCTTGAACCGAACGGGGCCAGACGCAAGGTCGAGATTTTTCTCAACAATTATGGGCTAACAGGCCTCGAAAAGCGCAGTGATCTAAGCACAGTGATCCAGACGCAGTCTGACCGGATCGTCTTACCACAGCCGTACAAGGGTCCCATGTCACTGCAGGTCTCCGCTTGCACGTATCTAGGATGAACAAATTTCCGGAGTCAAGCTTCGAACAGCTTGAAAAGCTGGCTGGCAAAAGGATTATTGTGCTACACCGAAGAATGACACACTGGCTTGGCGAGTCCTCTTCCAGCCGCCTTCTTCGCCCTAGGCGAGCAAGTACGTGTGCGTAACAGCATGCACCACATCAAGACACCGAGGTACTTGCTGAATGCTGCTAATCCAACTAGCGCCCCGAACACTGGTTTCACATTAACCTCACTTCCCTGGCCATTGCGTTGAAGCCGATTGGTTGTAAGACAGGCCCCAGCGCTGGGAAGGGCGCTCCATGGCCGTGGACTAAATCGAGGCCTTGATGTTCCTGCACGTTTAGCTAAGGGTGGCGTTGGACTGGACCGGGTGTGACCTTGTGGTGCAGCCTGTGAAACTAGTTCTTGTGCTGGGCTGGATCGGAACCGGGGAGCCTTTTCCGAGTTTCAGCCAGACGGATTGGACGGGCGAATTGAGGTTGGATTGGGGCTAGACGGATCAAGGATAGCATCTGTTAGCCTGTTAGCCAGTACCTACTAGGCCAGTCATCCGGGTGATTAGCACTTTTGGGGAGGGTTGGGAGGGGGCCTGGGTGATACCGGTGATATGCAAGCATTGCAACTATACAGACTTGACCTGCCTACTTTAGCCAGCCGGTACGTCGAGGCCGAAATTGCATATGGGCGGTATTACCAATTACCAGGCCGTACAGGGCCGGCAGAACGCCTCGTATCGATCAAACGGGCTAGTCCAGAAGCGGGAAGGCGGCGTTGGGGAGAGCAGCACCTGCTTAATCGAGTGGCTGAGAATGCATCAAGCAACGGCCCCTCCTGGCGGGCTAGTCAGAGCTGCTATCATTTTCATTTAGCTTAGCCTGGAGTAGGTGGCCATTCTCCCCGACTCCCCCGTTGCTTTGACAGTCTCGCCGTCGTCAATTGACATGCTCATTTTGCGCGGTGGAACGGCTGGTTATCCCCCGAGCCTTTACACAAACGGTAGCAGCACGGGGCTGGATTCGCAGGCCCGTATTACCGGTACAAGCAAGGGCCATGGACTCCCGATAGCAGCGTTATCGAGAATCGGCACGAGTCACGGGTTGACGTCGACCGTCCCAGTCTCCGCCGTCCTGGGAACGGCCCTTAGCATCATGAGCTACCACCGGCTCTTGTACATACGGTCTCTCTCCCCCCCCCCCCCACTGCTGCTCCCTGCGCCGTTCGCCTGGTAATTAGCATCATTTCGACCAGATTAGGTCCTTTGCTCAGCTCTCTTTTAATTTTTTCTGCCCCCTTCTCTCTTGTCCTTCTTTTCTTCCCAGCTTTGCCTCAACCATGATCTTTCCCTCCGCCCTCTAACAACCCCCCCGTTCTCCCCCAAGTTGTCGTCATCCCTCGCACTCCTCCTTGCTTACCCTGCCTTTCTATCGCTAGAATCCAGAGTCAATTGACTGATTCACCATGAGGTTCGTAACATTTCATACCCGGTCTGGGCTGGATCATTCGGCTGACCTGCTCGTCTCTCTCCCAGATTCGGGGAACACCTCCGATCTTCAATGATCAAGGAGTACTACTGGTACTACATTGCCTATGAGGATCTGAAAAAGGCCCTCAAAACCGGATACGTCACCGAGCCTACACCCGAAAACGCAAGGCCCGACCGCCAGCCGTGGTCAGAGGATGACGAAAAGCATTTCGTGACCCTGCTGGAAAGCGAATTGGACAAGGTCTTCAACTTCCAGAGAATTAAGAGCGCGGAGATTGCCCGTCGTATCCAAGCCAGCGAGACAGAAGTTGAAGATGTGGTTTCCCGCTTGGACAGCTCCAGCGCTCGTTCAGACAATGCCTCGAATTCGCGTTCCAGCCGGAGGCCCCCTTCCGACGAAGACTTCTTGATGCTCGAGCAGGTCTTGAGTGACATCATTGCCGACGTCCACGACCTGGCAAAGTTCACACAACTCAACTACACAGGCTTCCAGAAAATCATTAAAAAACACGATGTACGCTCCGACTCCCACCTTGCGCTCCCCCCAATCAGAAAATTGGACGAGTGTGGTGCTGACAATTGGGTCTAGAAACAAACTGGATGGCACCTCAGGCCAGTTTTTGCTGCGCGACTCAATGCGAAGCCGTTTTTCAACGACAACTATGATGCACTTGTGGTCAAGCTGTCTAAGCTCTACGATCTTGTTCGTACTAAGGGTAATCCAGTCAAGGGTGATTCTGCCGCCGGAGGCACTCAACAGAACTTCGTCCGTCAGACGACCAAATATTGGGTCCACCCGGACAACATCACCGAGCTTAAGCTGATCATCCTCAAGGTATGCATATAAGCCCCAGGTTATTCTTCAAAATCCATACTGATAAGGGCAGCATCTTCCTGTACTGGTCTTTAACCCTAGAAAAGAGTTCGAAGAAAAGGATGCTGCCATCTCGTCCATCTATTACGATAACACCGATACCTGGGAATTGTACCAGGGTCGCCTGAAGAAAACCGAGGGAGCTGAAGCTATCCGACTGCGTTGGTATGGAGGCATGGAAAGTGACCAGATTTTCGTCGAGAGGAAGACTCATCGCGAGGATTGGACCGGAGAGAAGTCGGTCAAGGCGCGTTTCTCTCTCAAGGAAAAGCACGTTAATGCCTATCTGTCCGGTCGCATGACGGTAGAAAGCATTTTCGAGAAGATGCGCCGGGAAGGCAAGAAGAGCAAGGAGGAAATCGACAGCTTAGAGCAGCTGGCACGGGAGATCCAGTACCGAGTCATCACACGACGACTGGTACCCGTCACTCGATCTTTCTACCACCGCACTGCTTTCCAGCTTCCCGGAGACGCCCGGGTGCGTATTTCACTCGACACGGAATTAACAATGACTCGCGAAGACAACCTCGACGGTCGTCAGCGGACTGGAGACAATTGGCGACGCATGGACATTGGCGTGGATTATCCTTTCTCCCAGCTGCCCCCCGAGGACGTGGAGCGCTTTCCTTACGCCGTCTTGGAGGTGAAGCTTCAAACCCAAGCGGGTCAGGAGCCGCCCCAATGGATCAGAGACCTGACTGCGAGCCACCTGGTTGAAGCGGTGCCGAAGTACAGTAAATTCATCCACGGCACTGCCACTCTCTTCCCCGATCGCATTAATCTCCTTCCGTTCTGGATGCCCCAGATGGACGTTGACATTCGGAAGCCGGCAACACGCAAGTTCGGTATCCAGCGGCCTCCGGTTAGCGCATCACTGTCCACCACCGAAACACCCGAGGATGATGAGTCGGATGAGGAAGACTCGAACGAAGCACAGTGGGTTGAGAATACAAACAGGGCCCAGGCTAGCGATGCCGACCAAGAAGCTTTATTCGCGGACACCGATGGAAACGCTTTGGACATTGAGGAGCGCATCGCTGCTCAACCGCTCCCGGGAGATGAGGATTACCCATTATATGATTCGGATGCAGAGTCCGTTGATTCTGACGAGCTGGAGGAGGCGCGCCGTGTCGGTGGGACATACTACTACAAGAAGCTGGCTAAGTATTACGTCCACCAGGCCGGGGACGCCATGGTCAACGGCCTCACGGCTCTCATTCCGCGGCCCCGGCCAACAAGTCTACCGCCCCCTGAACAGAACGGAATCGCCGTGATGGGCAACAAGCGCACAGTGAAGCGATTCCAAGCCCCCAAGGGCAAGCGTAAGTCACTACCACATTATAACCATGCAAAATCATACCTTTTAACCGGTCACAGGCATCCACGTCCCCGTCCGTGTCGAGCCGAAGGTCTACTTTGCCGCAGAACGAACCTTCCTCTCGTGGTTGGAATTCTCCATTCTCCTTGGTACTATCGCTGCTACACTTCTCAACTTCGGGGACGACTACATCACCTTCGCATCATCCTGGGCCTTCACAGTACTGGCCGCGATCGCCCTCCTATACAGTCTCATGCTATACGTCTGGCGTGTCGACAAGATCCGCAAGCGCCGTGACGTCAAGCGTGTCTATTACGAGAAATGGGGACCAACTGTCGTCGGTCTCGGATTAGTGGTTATTGTCATGGTCAACTTTGGCCTCCGGGCTCGCCAAGCGGGCTTTTGGGATAAGGGTGGCCTCGACTCGGATGTTCCGCACGGAGGTGAGCTATAATTGCCTTCTTTAAACCCCATCAATCAAATTGCGTTGGAATGAACTATTTGGGTAAACAAATTCTCTTCTGGAGTACTTTCACCATACTCTGCCGATCTTGCTCGGTCGAAATGAAAGAGAAAGCTGTATTGATTATTATGGGTTGATTGTACAAAAGCATGTGTATTAATTGTCCTTGTCTTCCTGCCTTGTTCTGTTCAGATACCAGATCCTGTCCTATGATGAATTGATCACTCAGTTGCGAGGCTAAGAAAGAGAGCGCGAGAGATTGGTATAGTTAGTATGCTATAGCGGTTGACTACTTGTCACTACAGAATAAATTATGATTATACAAACAGGTCTGAAACAGAGTGCTCGTCTCATTCATCATCTAGAAGAAGTATCACACAGACAAGACAGACATAACATCAGGCGTTGATGTTCACAACAGGGTTGATCGTATCATCTAGGCTGACGGCATCGGGATTCGCTTCCTCGACTCCGGAGTACCGGTTCAACCAGCCCAGAACCTGCTGGTGCCATACAAGACTGTTCTCTTGCTTGGTAACCCTAGACGCAGATACCAGTCAGTTTCTGATAAGACTCTACGATAATCAAGAATACTAATCAAGACGGAAACATACCAGTGGTCCTCGTCAGGGAAATTCAGGAACCGACTAGGCACGCCTCGCTCCTGGAGGACATTGAAGAGTCCGATGCCCGCGGATACGGGGATGCGGAAGTCGTTGTCGCTGTGGATGACGAGCTGGGGCGTGCTGAATTGGAGGACTCGTTCAGGGCCAGAAGGGTCTGTGTTGTGGTAGGCGTCGCGGGTTTCCCAGAAGGTGCCGTTGAACTGATTATTTGAATTGTTCGTTAGTATATATAGGTATAAGAAAGGGAATGTTGTATCTCTAGTTTCGGAGAAGAGAAGGAAACCCACGTCATGTTCGATGAACCATAGTTCGTCCGTCTCGATCATGGCATCTCCGACAAACGGACCATCGTGGCTGACGAGAGCCTTGAATTTCCGGCCAAACTCGCTGCCTTGAATCCAGGTGATCATGAAGGCACCGTAGCTAGCTCCTGCGGCGACGCTGTTGTCCGTGTCGACGAAGTCGAAGTTGTCGTGGACGTATTGCCAGGCTTTGACTAGGTCGTCGTAGGGAGCACCACCTGTTGGTTGTGTCAGTAAGAGTCTGTCTTATATAGTGATGGTTGTAATACCCCAGTCAGCTTGGATCGCATCAGTGAGTTCATCGCCAAAACCAGTACTTCCTGTGGGGTTTGGTGCAATGACTACGTATCCCTGGTCGGCGAAGACCTTGGGGTTCCATCGTGTGCTCCAAGAATCGGTCCAGGCACCTTGAGGTCCACCGTGGATGTAGAGGACCATCGGGTATGTCTTGGACTTGTCAAAGCCTTCCGGATAGATGATCCAGGAATGGAGCTGATCCCGTTATTAGACCCCATCTTATGAGAACGGAGTGGAGACTTACTGTCGTCCAGTTGCCATCGTAGTAGAACTCGTCAATGTCAGCCGGACCGAGTCCGCTGAGCTCAGGATCAATCTCGTTGGCTGATGCCAATGTCTTGATAATGCTCTCGTCTGGACTCGCAGTGTAAACATTCCAGCTTGACCAGATAGCGCTGGCAGTGACAAGAAGGGTGGAGTCGGGTAGAACGTAATAAGCTGACACGACGCCGCCGTTGGTGAAGTTTGTGGGTTTGAAGTCATCCCCAGCATCTACCGGAAGAGAAAATAGCCTAGACCGCGCTAGGTCTTCACTTGTCACAACCAGGTTGTCTTGATCGACCCATTTGACAGTGTCTGGAGAACGGTCCCAGTCTTTTGCAAGGCTCGGAATAGTCTCGTCGGAGCCGATCGTATACACATACAGCGTGCGGCGGTCGGACTCATATTCCCTATCCGCCATCTGGAAATATGCCAATTTGTCGCTGTTGGGAGAGAAAACTGGGTTGCTGGAATCACCTTCAATCCCCTCCGGAGTGGCAGGGCTGTCTGGTCCGTTGATTGCGAAAGCCTTTGCAGAACCATCATGTGGGACGAGGTAGATGTAAGAAGCCGTGTTATTGGCAAGAGGGAGTTCTGGAGCCTTGCTCTTGAAGGCAACCCAGTTTCCGTCCGGCGAGAGGTCATAGTCTGAGTTGCCCCCAAAGGGAGGGAACGGGCTTTCAGCACCCTTGACTGGGTTAACCAGGTTCTCCAAGGCCCCTGTGGAACTATACTGGACTTTGCCGTCATCATTAGTCGAGCTTTGCAGTGTGCCCGAAAACACAGCGTGCGAAATGGGGGTAAGATATGTGTCCCAGTGCCTGACGAAGATGCTGTCGTAGATGCGAGCTGAACTCGGCAAAGCTGTTACAATCTGATCATTGTAAACAGTTCCATTGGGATACGATTTTCCACGCAGAACGTATCGCACGTCACCGGAGTCAGTAACGACTGATTTGATGCCGAGTAAGTTGGCCGAGAGAGAGGCTGCTTTGTACCTGCACGATGCACAATTAGCGACAGCCCTGCAGACTTGAACATTCAAGTACAACGAACTAACCCATTTTCAAAGTCGGAGGTATCCGCAATCCACAACTCCACGCCACCGGGAATTTGTGCATTGGTGCTGTTGATGTAGAGGACCGTAGAGCCATCAGAACCCAGCCAGATCATCTCAGAAACATTGCTATCATCGGTAAGGGTCTTTGTTTCCCCCGAGTCGAGGTCAATCAAGCTCCACCAGGTCTCACTTGAATGCGTGTCAAATGAGTATTGTGAAGTTGAGAATAGCCCAGTGTCCTGGCCATGTCAGTAAAGAACCAGTCCTCCTTGTTTAGCTCATAACCACCAAGTGCACGTACCCCCGAGGGATTTGGGACGACTTCGGATCTCCGTGGAGCACTAATCAGCTGTCTATGTGGGTATGCATGTTAGAGGGGTACAGATACAGAGTGAGACGGCCATGGGATGCTTGGAATTCAGATTGGGACTCACTCTGGAGTCAAGGCTGATACTGCGGATGCCGCAGCAGTCGTGACGGCGAGCCATTTCAAAACCCCCATGGTGAGGACTAATGTGGTTCAAAGAAAAAAGGAACGACTGACCCACGAGTCCAGAAGCGGGTGAAACAGCGGACAGGGCCAATTTATGGCCGGGGTGGGACGCAGGAGATTCACGGCGGAGGGGGAGGAGGACTCAGGAAGAGGGACCGCTTCCCGGATGGATGCATGGCCGGCTTCACGACCTACCAAATCGGGGCGCAAGCCAAGAGGGCAGCCAGCCCAGTATCTATCCTCAACGAGTCCACCCACCCCCCTGGCCGGCAAAGGCTCAAGCAAGGGCGGGACAGCCAAAGCGCTGGTCTGGGCTTGCAGTGCCAAGCGGGGCGGTCGCTTTGCTTCCCTCCATTCATTCATCTATTCGTGCATCCTCCAAGACGTCCCCCAGAAGCTCGGCTAGCTTGAAGCGGGGAACCCTTCCTAATACCTTATTCTATGCCCGGCCTGGCGGAGAAACAGGTGAGATGATAGCAGGGCTCATCGAAATCGTCCTGGAATGAGAGGAGCTGTCGGAAAAGGGATGTTCATTGAAAGCAAGGGAGGCGATTCCAAACCGGACTTCATCTTAAAGAAAGCTTGGTATGTACTGCTGTCCTCTGTCGCAGGTGGAATTCAAGACAGGGGAACGGCATGAAACATCGGCTATCTAGAGGGCAGATCTTGACCTACTCGATGAAAAGGGCCCTTACAGAGAGGGACGTCGAACTCTAAAAATGCAAGAAAAGCAGACACATCAATGTGGGTATCCAGAACCCAAACGGCATTACATGTACAGGTACCTCCCACGCCATCAAAGACATGCAGGAACTCGGGAACCTTAGTATTCAAAATCATCGTCCACTCCTCCCTTGCCAGCATTCTCTTTTTGAACCGCCTCCTGTTTGCGGTACATCTCCGCCACGGCCCGCGTGGTTGTTGCCTGCTCGGGCTTTTTGTCGCCTCGGGATTTGATGAATCGGGGGAAGCGAAGAGACACTCCCTTTCCACCTCCAGTCGTCCCTACGAATTCATCCGCTGCGGCCTTATATCGTGGACTGAGGGTCAGATCCGCAGTTTTGACCTCCCACACAAGTCGCGGCTCAAACCAGACGTCCGGCTGGTCCTTGGGGACTGTCGAATGGGAGTAGAAAGGCTTGGGCCGGTCAATGGTTAGTGGGGAGAGTTCATTGTAGAACTCTTCCAGAATTGCTTCGGAGAATCCTGTGCCAATGTTGCAGATCGTCTCATACGTCTGGGTACTTGAATTGTACGCGGCCAGGAGGAATGCACCGTATACTGAAGTACGCTTGCCTCGGCCATGGTAGGCACCTAAAACCACGAGGTCGAGTGAGTCACCGACCCCGCTGAGATAATCCTTCTTAACCTATCTCATCGTTAGCAGTTGGACTGTGCAGGCTTCTTCTCCATAGACTCACCTTTAACCAATTCCGACTCCGTTTGCTTGGTTCGTAACCACTTTCTTCAGTGTCCAGCATTTTGACCATCAAACCTTCACATGATGCCTTGACACTCTCATCGAGCAGGGTCTGGATCTCATCTACGACATTCGTATTGCCGTACTGAGCAAACTGAAACTCGCCTTCAGTGACTTGGAAAGACTCATGCATCAGTTCACGGCGTTCTCGTAGGCTTTTCTTAACCGTAGGCTACCGTACCAGTCAGCAGTCTATAATTCAGATAGAAGAGGGCATAGTTACCTCTCCGTTCAAGAACAAAAGGTCGAAGGCGAAGATGCAGACTTTGACCTTGACATCTTCCGCTTTGACATCCTTCCTCTTGCGAGTCATGAGTTGCTGGAATGGCAGGACCTTCTTGGTCTCTGTGTCCCAAGCAACCGTCTCACAGTCTAGTACAAAACTCTTCACACCATCCTTGATCCACCCATCGAGCTTGGCTAGAACATCAGGGTATTTCTTCGATAGGTCTTCGGAATTCCGAGAGAAGATGGCGCTCAGGCCTTTACTGTCCTTCTTCAAGGTGGCCGTCGCACCCGGATATTGGTGGATCGAGTCAGGGGCGACGTAATGGATCTGTGCTCTTTCGCCATCGTACTTGTACTCGCAGGTGAACTCTTTCCCTTCAAACCGGTCAAGCACTTCCGTAATAGACTTGGTCGGCTTGGCAAGCATGGGCTTGAGGGGAATACCCGGCTGCAGCTTGCAGACCTTGGGCAGGTTGGGCAGACCATGCTCAAGGATGGCCGGAATAATCTTTTCATACGCCGGTAGTTCGCTGTAAACGGTCTTCAAGATCGCCTCGCCTTCTGTCAACTTCTCGGCAGACGGAGTCTTTTGACCTTCCAAAGCGGCCTCATGTGCGACTACAGCTTGAGCAAGGGCAACGAGCACAGTCTTTTCCGCCAGCCCAAGTCTCAACTTTCCTTCCAGAAATCGAACAATGTATTTGGCTTCGCTGGGACCACCCTTGTCCTTGGTAATATCAATGCCTTTGCTGCCTTTACCCGCGGTTGCTGCGTCAGCAGCTGAGAGGAGCTTTTTGATTCCCGAGATCTTCTTGTCCTGAGAACCATGACCCTGGACCTTAGCAATGGCGAGAAGGCCTTCATGCACTCCTCGAACAGTCAGAGGTTTTGGCTTGAACATAGTAGGCTGGTCGCCCCGACTCTTAGCAGCCACCAAGCCAAGGTCACCGATCTCGTGTTGATCCGTCTTGATCACAGCCAGACTACGTCCGGTACTCTCACCAATTGCCTTCATGATGAGCGACTCGCCGATTCCAAGCTCAATTCCAGCGTAATCTGCAGCCAACTTATTGATCATGAGCTGAACAGTGGGGAGCAAATCTTGAGGAGTCAAGCGCAGTACTTGGCGAAGGAAAAGCGAACAATGGGCCAGGATCACTAGTCGCTTCGTAGTCATCTCGATGAGGGAGAAGGTGGTGCAGAGTGCGGCGTAAGGAACCGGATCGCCTGCTTTCCAGTCGGGATAAGGCTCGGTTCCGCTGGCCTTCAATGTTGCTTGAGCCTTCTCGATCTTTTTCTTCTTCACCTCGGGCTTCTCATCTTCTTCATCCTCACTAGCAGATTGCGCCTCTTCTTCTCCTTCTTCCTTTTCCGAGGCATCCTTCTCCGGCGTTTTCTCTCCCGATGCCTTCGCAATGGCGGCCGGTGGTGGTGACGGCTCCTTAGGTTGTGATCTCTTCTTGGGACTCTTAGGTGTCGCGGGTTTTCTCTTCGGGGCGGCAACTGCTTCGTCCCCTCGTGAGGCCTTTCGGCGGCGCTTATTCGCTGGCTGAACATCGCTGTCCTCATCTTCACTGCTATTCTCTCTCTTCAAGTTGTTTAGATCGCCCGTCTTGTCTGCCTTGACAGCCCCTGACTTTGGCTCGGCGGCAGAGTCCACAGTGTCAACGCCACCGTTAGCGCTTCCATTAGCTCCACGTTCATTGGCAGGTGTAGAATCTTGCGCCGTTTCTGATTCAGTCGTATCTTTCGTAGCTTTGCTCTTCTTGTTTGAGAAAGACAGCGTAGTTTGCTTCTTGGGGGACTTCGAGGAGTCTGAATTTGAACCAAAGAACCTCCTATGGATTGAAAGCCAGCTATTAGCATAATTGTACAATTAGGATAATTTGAATGCATCCGAGGTCCGGTCACATTCAGACGCACCCAAGTTTCAACTGGGAATCTCGAACATACCCCAGGGTAGCTTGCTTCCTGCCTTTTGAGTCCGCCATCGTGGGAGCTGGTCGCGCTGTAATCGTACAATTATCGGCAGAAACCCTTCTCAGCTGCTGATAGACCCCAAATAGCCTTGTTTGCGGAAGCAGATAATGCGATTCGACTCGGCGCAGGGTAAATTGTGCACCGTAGAAGGTCGGACGAAGCTGTTTTGGCGCTGGAGCAGGTCGCCTGCAAGGGTAGCGCAATATAGGCGTAAGAAACGCGGAAGAGTGAATGGTGGGCATAGACGTTATGCTAAACGTCCTTCATCCTAAATTTGGCGGTTTGGCGGGGTTATATGTAGTGAGTCTCGAGTTCTACAGATCAGGCACCCGAGCTGGACATTGTTGCCTCAGCTTCCACCTTCGGTTGCTTGAACGGGAACGCGACGTGACGTGACGCGAATTCCATTAAAGTCACGTGATATTGATGACCGCCACGTTATTAAGGCCATTTTGAGCTATGATGATGGAAAAGAACACAGAAAAAGGGCAGGACACATATATAGATATCTGATATTTCTTTAGGTAATCGAGTCAACATTAGCGGAACGTATGAAAAGACCATGCAAGCAAAAAAAGCCTAGAAGACATATCAAACAGTGCAAACACCGGATATCACCGCCTTAAACTTACGGCAGAAAGCGGGGATCCAAGGCGGCGAGGGACTATCGATAATGGCTTGGTCTCTCTTTGTGCATCCGGATCTAAGCAGTGCCGCGGAATCGTTGATATTCGATGTCTGCGTTGCATGCTCGATGGCTATAAACTATCTTAATGTCCTTCTCCCACAATAGCGCTCACCCGTGTAAACTAAATGGAGGTTTCTCGCCAAGAAGCTTTCTCTAAGGTGCGAACTATACTCAGCAGCTCATGGTTTATTTGTGCTAATGGGAGGCGAAGCTCAAACCACCATGCGTGGAACTCAGCTCAGTGGGCTTGCGATTCCGTGGGCATCAAGCCACCTCAAACGATGTCTTTCGAGCCCTCAATCCAATGTACAATGTACTGGACGAGCTAGCCCGTAGAGATGCGCTGGACGAGAAGTTAGCGGAATATGCATTCTTCCCTCTATGCCATATCTTCAATGAAACCCAACGAACCCCTGTCAACTCTTTGGAACTTTCCGTCAAGTGCTTGCGGATTCTTGTTGAAAAAGGATGGCGAAGGCGCTTGTCCCCTCAGATGGGCAAACAGCTCATTATTCTGCTCACCTTGATCGTGGGCGGGACACCGAATAAGTCAGGTGGGACGCAAACTAAACAGGTTCGGTCACCCGAGCTCTCTATCGCGGGATTCGAATGTCTTCTAGCCATATTCAATGTCCTGGATGGCCCCGTGGCCAAACAGACCGTTTATCATGAAATCGGCACCGCGACTGTCGTTGATCAGATGGTCTATCTTATGCTCGAAGGCGTTGTGGATGAAGGATCAGATGAACTCTGCATATCTGCGGCAAAGGCGCTCCAGGCACTCTTTCAGCGCATTACAGACCGGGTAGTGTTAGCCAGTATCATGCCGCGCACAGTGTCGACTTTGACCAGGATTATAAAACCGACGACCCAGGTCCGGCGATCCTTTAAACTTCTGTCGATCTGTCTACAGATTTTTAAGTATCTGATCAAGACCGTGCTGAACGATCAGGTGGCTGGGATCCCTGAGAAGTCAGCTTCATCCCAGAAGGAAGATGATCAACTCATCCTCGACGGGTCTTGGCTGAAAGCTACAGCCACACAAATAAAACTTGCACTTGCGAACGCTATCCAGATAAGGCGACATGACCGACCCGAGGTCCAGGCAGCGCTCCTGGAACTTTGTTTAATGGTGGTAGAAGATTGCCAGAACACACTACAAGAGGCACTGCCCATCATCATCGAGACCGTCGTTGTGTTGTCGGATGTGGATGAAAATCAAGTACCCAATGAGGCATTCCTTGCGCTTAAGCACCATGCAACTACCTATCCAGTCGTCGTTGACACTTTGAAGAACTCTCTCCACACATGGGCTACTGCCTTCCCAAGGACTATGCAAAGCAACGACGAAACAGCAAAACAGTGGGCGGTCAAAAAGATATCAACTGCGTTCCAGGTGTTGTCACAGGTACAATCCGAATCCGATATCCTGGCAAGTAGCTTGGCATCAGGAATATGCGACAGTGTTGCTGCCTCTGTGAACAATACGACGAATGCTCTCCAGCCTCTGGGTTCTGATGTTGCAAACAGCCAAAGCCTGCAAGTATTACATCAAGGAGTTAAATCAGTCTCATTCCCTCCCGTCATTCTGGAGCACAGGAGCCAGCAACAAACACTAAATGACTTGCATTCCATGATCGTTAAGCTTAATACGTCTGAATCGGGCCATGGAATTACACGTCTGATCATCAACCGAGTTCACCAGGAACACGGAAATGCTCTCATTGCACCTCTCTGGTTGGGATTGACATTCCTTAAGAGCAACACGCAACTTACGTCAGTATTCGATGATTTTATATCGGCGGATGAGCTGGAACCTTCAAGTCAACACATATCAAGGTCTGGCATGATTGAGGAATTGTACTACGTTTCATTGCCTATACTAAACGACCCTTTGGCCTACGAGTCTAGGGACTGGCGAGTTCAGGCCCTTGCTCTGGAGGTTGTCGCCCTCCAGGCACAACAGCTCGGAGAGGCCTTCCGCCCAGAGCTGATGGACGCACTATACCCTGTTCTTCAATTACTAGCATCCAACAATTCGAGTCTTCAGAAGCATGCCATGACATGCCTTAATATTCTCACCGCAGCTTGCAATTACGGAGACGCCAGCACAATGATCATTGAAAATGTCGACTATCTCGTGAATTCAGTGGCATTGAAGCTCAATACCTTTGATGTGTCACCATATCCACCGCAGGTTCTATTGATGATGGTAAAGATGTCTGGGATGCGGCTTATTCCTTACTTAGATGACCTGGTGGACTCAATATTTGGTATATTAGATATGTACCATGGTTATCCGAAGCTTGTTGAGATGATGTTCCGAACGCTGGCTGCTATTGTCGAAGAAGGCACGAAAAGTCCATCCTTCCTAGCGATCGGTGATGGAAAGCAGAACGGACATATTAACCACCGCAAGAAGCAGTACGAAAGGCTACAGATCTCAGCTTTGGTAGAGGAGCTTGCGCATCGCAAGGCAAAACGTGCAAAACTAATCGAAGACCTTGGGGATGCGGATGAGATGATCCCACACCCGAAAAAGCCTTGGAAAAAAGAGCCCGAAAAGGTCGAACAGCAAGACACCGATATCAACTCCTTTGCCGATATACTTAAGGAAGAAGAATCGGACGAACCGCTTCCTCCACCCCGCGAACCCGAAGACAGCGATAAGCCCTTGAGTAAATCGCACAATCTTCTACTCCACATCATCAAATCCGTCCCATCCCATCTATCCTCTCCCTCGCCATATCTCCGCCGATCTCTACTCTCTATCCTTATCGACGTCTTTCCAACCCTTGCCGCCCACGAGAACAGCTTCCTACCGCTCATCAACGATCTATGGCCCCCAGTAGCCGCAAGAATCAGCTTCCCAGCCTCATTCAGCGAACCCTCCTCATCAACATCTCTCATGACAAACCGCACCTCCGCAATTGCAGACACCCGCCTCAAACAAGGCCCCGACGAATTCGATTTCCAAGAAGAGACCTTCGTCACCACAACAGCCTGCAAAGCCATCGAAACCATATGCAAGACAGCCGGCGATTTCATGGCCTCACGGGTAGAAACTGAATTCCCCCGCTGGGAGCGCCTCTATACTCGCGCATGGGACAAAGTCCGACAAGACGCAGAAAAAGCCCTCGAACGTCGAGCCCAGCAACAAGCCACCAGATCCCCCGAAGATAACGCAGATACATCACTCTCCATCGCCTTCTCCCAATCACTATCCCTCACCACGACCGGATCCCACGGCACCCGCGCCTTCACACCACACCACATCCTTTGGCGCGCAATGGTCCCCTTATTCATTACCCTCCTCACGCACGTCCGACTCCCCTTATCCGTCGGTGACAGGATCTGCGGGTTTCTCGCAGCCTGGATAGCCCGATACGCAGGACCGGAGTATTATTTCTCTCGACTGCAGATGCAGACGGAGTCTAGCCAAGCAGCACTTCAAACTGGAGGAGCCTCTTCCCTAAACGTGGAGATCGAATCCGTCGAAAGTGTGATTCAAGCTATGGAGACGTGGAATGCGGACTTGACGTGGTTTATTTTCCGGGAGCAGAAAGAACAACTACTCAAGATGTTGGTGAAAACCAGGAGAACGACGACTGCCGCTCCGAAGATATGTGAGGTGGACGAGGATCCATTGAGATCGTGGTCGGTACCGGGAAGTTCATTGAGGTTTGCGGCATTGGCATTTTGAACATAGATACTTCTTGGAGTGGGTGGCACAAACATTCTGATTACATGTCATCTTTGAGTTTCAATATATCAGCTCGATCTGCTGTTGGCTTCTATACTTCACACATTGCAGAGCACCGACATAGATTCACCGTCTGAAAGGCAATAACCAGATTATGATCGTAGTCTACACTTAATGGCTATGGCGGAGGGCACAAATACAACTCATTACGATAGATGCAATAGTTGGGTAGAGTGAGCGATGATTGATTGGCAGCTAGCTAAAAACCCCATGTGATTTTGTCAAGTCTTTTCGATCTTATACTTCAAAACCCAAACACAAGCAACAGCAGGCAAACCGAAACTGTCAAACCGGAAAGAGCGGAGATCAGTTGGAACAGACGACACAATCACGCGACAATCAATTGAGTCCCGAAAACATTTGTTTACAAGCAGACAGGCAATCACGGCAGGCCGGGCCCCTAATCTACTCGTCATCCTCCTCGCTCTCTTCCTCGCTCTCGGCATTCTCGAGCCACTCAAGGAAGGGCTCAGCGGCCTTGCGGACCTTCTTGCTAGTCTGGATGTCGACGTACTTCTTGCTAGCCTTAGAGCCCCACGCCTTGAGGGTTTCCTCAGAAACGAGGTCATGCTCGTAGTACTTGAGCAGGATAGCAGGAACCTGAGCGACGAGCTCAGGGCGGTCCTTGCCAACAAAGCGCTCAGTTCCACCGAGGAAGGCCTTTTCGTGGCGCTCGGAGGTGATCATCTTCTTGAGCAGGCCGGCACGGGAAGGGATCTGCTTGGTAATCTTCTCGTCGAAGATGGTCTGGGCAAGGACAGCCACGGTCTTGTGCTTGTTCTCAATTCCATATTCCTTGGCCTTCATGTAGATGTCAACGTCGCTGACGCCAGTGACGCCGCCCTTCTCAGTAGCAGCGTTGAGGATCCAGCTACCAAGCTCGTCATAGGCGGAGGGGCCGTCAGCACCCTCATCATCACCTTCCTCGAGGACAAGGGAGCGCTTGAGATCATCGGGAAGCTCCTTAGCACGGGCCTTGACGGCCTCCTCGGACACATCGACAGCCCAGTTATCGTCATCAATGTCCTCTTCGGCATCGATGCCCTTGGCATCAGCCTTGATGCGGCGAGTCAGTTCGTCATCGCTGCCTGCTTCCAGGGCGACATCGCCGTTGTCGTCGTCACCATTTTCGGAGTTGTTGCTGTCTCCAGGGCTGCCATCCTTGTCGCCATTCGCAGTGCCGTTCTTCTCCTTGTTGCGACGGGCCTTCTTCGAAGCCTTGTCCTTCTTCCCTCCCTTGGTGTGGGTGCCGTTGCGGAGGATGAAAGTACTCAGCTTCAGGCGGGAATCAACCTCGGAGCGCTGTCCACAGGCCTTGCAGTCCAAGGAAATCTTTTCATCCTTGACTACGACGTCCGTTTCCGGATTCTTGCACTTCTTGCACAGCACGAACTTGGAGATAAAGCCGTCCAGATAGTCCTGAAGCTTGGGGGCATCATGGGCACCGTTGATGATCCAGCGATCATCGGTGGGCTTGGCGTTGGCCTGAGCACCGAGCTCGAAGCCAAAGTACTTGATCACGTAAGCCGGAGGCCGACTGAGAGACTGGGCGACAGAGTTCAGGTTGACGACGACGGTCTTGATACCGTTGCCCTTGCCTTCAATCTTGGACTGGAGGCGCTCCATCTTGTAGCGGTAGAAGGGATCGGAGACATCCCGACGAATGTTGACAGTGGCCATGATGACGGTTGAGTGAGTGAAAACTCTTCAAGAGACTAAGCGAGATGGTTATATGAAAATGAGGCGGGAGGGATTCTGGACCAGGAATATCTTGACAAAACAAGACATGCGTGGGAGATTCCTAGGGTTGGTGGAATGGTGGCGGTTGGGATCGTTTCAGAGGAACGATGGACACAGCGAATACGGCAGCCCAAAGCTTTCAGCCACAGGACTTCGAGTGTATACTACAAGGTTTCGACGTGAAGCGAAACGATTGCAGCTTGAGCGGCAGGTGGTGATCGAGATCTCTGACGCAGGACGAATACATAGACAAGTTCTCGACCGACTCTGTTTTCAGTGGCTTTCTCTGGCAGGTAGAGAGAGAAACCAGCGGGTGGTTCTTCTGTGGGAGGACCGCAAGACGACACGGTTAGCTTCGTAATACTGATGGCGGATTGACAGCAGGCCGGGGCGACTCACCAGAGTGGCTAAAGCGTGAACAAAACGTGTGGGAAACCAGTAGGCAGAAGTGAAAGCCTGACAGAAGATGTTTGGCGGACGCAACAGCGTGTCCAAGTTGATGAAATGGAGATGAAAAAGTCTGAAAGGTGGATGAGTTGGAAAGTGGGTGGAAAAGGAAAGAGGAGAAGAAAGAGGGAAAGAGCGAAGAAAAAGCCCAAACAAAAAAAAGTCCGAGCCGATTCACGCCAAGCCGAGCCTTTGGCCGGAAGGCACCAAAGCGGGCAAATTGAGTGAAAATTGAGAAAGAAAGAGAAAAAAAAAAAAAAAAAAAAAAAAAAGGGCAGGTCTGAGTCAGCCGAGGCTCCTGAGGCCACTGCCTGGATGGAGAAGGCCGACTTTGCCGGTCTTCCTCTCTCGCTCTGCTGGCAATTTCCCACCATCCGGTGTCGCACTTCTGACTCTACATCAAAATTGGCTCACTTGGTAACTCCAGGTTGTACCAACTCCCACCCTCGCCTTCTGGTAACCAGCCTGCCTACTGCCTAGAAGTATTCACCTACAGTACGGATGGCTGTATCTACCTACTTTGACTCCAGTGGATCCCATTATTGACCGTTTCAGGCCCAGTGCTTCGGGTCCGACTAGCGTGCACGGCGAGTCGCCAGTGACCATCTGTCTACCTACCTAGATAGTGTTTATCAGTCTCTGCCTCCTGCTCATGCTTCCCGCAGGGGTTCCTACAGGATTATCGTTGCCTGTCTCAATCAAGAATGTGCCCCTGCATTGACCTCTTTAGGGCCTTGTAGAGCGAATCTCGGGGTAACTTTCGGCTAGTCAGTGTCTGTATCTGGGTCTCTCTTGTGCGACCGTGTGAGCCTGTGCAACCAGTTTATTGGTCAGGATGTCAGATGAGCAGCAGCCAGCAAGAGCAGATGCCGTGCACAGCCGGAGCACTGTCGCCATCCGAGGTGGAGCCCGACACTGAAGTACCTCTGCTCCATCCACCGTTAGACGGGCCATGCTTGCAAGCTCAACGGCGTACGTTAGTGCGTTACTCAATAATAGCTTTAATATGTTTTTCAGATAGAACCAGTAAAGGATTTCTCTTACTGCACCATTATAAGGACAGCAACGGATATTCTCGATGGACATGGAGGTGGTAGAAGGACGGCGAGCTGGGCGAGGATGATGTCGTTGGTCGAAATGACTAACTTCGGCGGTCCCCCCACTCCCTCTTCCCAACAACACAAGTCGGGCTGGTTCGTTGCTCGTATCCCCTCAGATACTGTCGCAGCCATCGTAGAAGACCTGTTGGCCAATTGAGCATCTCAGGTAGGTATCTACCCATCTGATCTGCCCTGGAATACTGGCAGGAGGCCATTCCGATGCTTTGCGTCACAGTAATCTAACTAGACCCGCTTAGTTCACACAAAATGACCCTGGATCTCTCCGTATACCTGGTCACGGACTCGACTCCCGCCATCCTCAAGGGCCGGGACCTGTACGCGGTCGTCGAGGCAGCCCTGAAAGGAGGTGAGTCGCGCTTTTCTCGCGGCACTTTCCCTACTGACGATGGTATAGGTGTGACGATTGTCCAATATAGAGACAAGAAAAGTGACACAGGCGCCCAAATCGAGACGGCCAAGAGGCTGCACCAGATCACCCAGGCATATGGTGTTCCTCTGCTGATCAATGACCGTGTTGATGTCGCTCTTGCTGTTGGCGCAGAGGGAGTTCACCTGGGGCAGGATGACATGGGTATGCTTGGGCTTGGTCTATCTGCTCTGCCAAATCTGACTGCTCGCAGCTATCGAGGTTGCCAAGAAGCTTCTCCCCGAGAATGCGATAATCGGCATCAGTGCCTCGTCTATCGAGGAGGCCCAAAAGGCAGTCGCAGCAGGTGCCGACTACCTCGGGATTGGCACTATGTTCGCCACTCCGACGTAGGTTACTAAGTAGACTTGATGAAACGAACATCGCTGACGACGGGTAGAAAAACCAACACCAAGTCCATCATTGGTACTGTCGGGACCCAGACCATTCTCGAGGCTATCGCAGACTCGGGTCGCTCGGTTGGAACCGTCTCCATCGGTGGTATTAACGCATCCAATGTCCAGCGAGTCATCTACCAGTCCCGTGCCCCGAGAAAGGCCTTGGATGGCGTCGCGATCGTTAGTGCTATCATGGCTGCAGACGACCCGACGGCAGCGGCCGCAGAGTTTGCAAAACTCGTATCCAGCCCCCCGCCATTTGTGCGGAGCGAGGCGACTACATCCGTCCGTGATACCACAGCGTTGCTCGAGCAAGTGCCCCAGGTTGTCCAGGAGGTTGTTAAGGGTCATCCGCTGGTGCACAACATGATCAACTACGTTGTAGCGAACTTTGTCGCTAATGTTGCTCTTTCCATGTGATTCTCCCCCTACACAAGTATCGCTTTTTCTGACAATATCCAGGGGCGCGTCACCGATTATGTCACCGTACGGAGATGAAGCCGTCGATCTCTGCCAGTTCGACGGTGCCCTAGTCATCAACATGGGCACTCTCACGAGCGAGAGCATCCCCAACTATCTGAAAGCCTTGAAGGCCTACAATGTGCGCGGGAACCCCGTGGTGTACGACCCGGTTGGCGCCGCAGCAACCGGTATTCGCCGTGGCGCTGTCACTCAGCTCATGGCGAGCGGTTACTTTGATCTCATTAAGGGCAATGAAGGAGAGATCCGTCAGGTATTCGGCAGCAGCGGCGTAACCCAGCGCGGTGTCGACAGCGGGCCCAGCAGCCTCGATAGCCAGGGCAAGGCCAGACTGGCGCGTGATCTTGCCAAGAGAGAGCGTGAGTATTTGCCGCCGAGCTGATTGATCATGGCTGACCAAGTAGACAATATCGTCCTCCTTACCGGCGCCACCGACTATCTCAGCGACGGAGAGCGCGTCATTGCGATCGAGAACGGCCATGAGTTTCTGGGCCAAGTTACAGGCGTAGGTTCTCCACAAGTTTTGAAAACAGAGTCCACTGACAATGATCAGACCGGTTGTGCCGTGGGCACCGTCTCCGGGGCCTTCCTGACCGCACACCCGAAGGATAAGTTTGTTGCTGTCCTGGCCGGTCTCTTAATGTACGAGATTGCCGCAGAGAATGCGGCTTCGAAGGAGGACGTGCGGGGACCGGGCAGCTTTGTGCCTGCGTTCTTGGACGAGGTGTATGCCATCCAGCAGGCGGCTTTGAAAGGCGACCGCAGCTGGTTTACGGGACGGGCGAAAGTGCAGGAGATTCTTGTATAGTATGTAGATAGACTTGGTACGATGAAAAGCAGTTTTTTGGTTATTCACAATGTATAACTCTGCCATAAACCTACAAGAATAATATCCATCATACCTACCACAATATATCTGCCTGACAAACAAGGCACAACTATTTCCCCGCACACCTGACCTCGACTCCCCTCGCTTCCCCGCTCCATCCATCCGAGTCACCACCACCACCACCATCACTATCACCATCGCTACCTCACCACCAACCTCACCACCAACCTCACCACCAACCTCACCACCAACCTCAACAATCCACCCAATTCATCAAAATGGCCACCCTCTCCCGCGTAACCCGCATCTGTACGCCTACCCCTCCCACAAAACAAACCCCCACAAACTAACACCAACATCCCAGGCAACCCAGCACTCTTGTACACCTTCCTCCCCCCCCTACCAAACCACCCCAAACTAAACCCCAAAACCTGTCTAACAACCCAAAACCCAGTATCTGCGACCTGCAAGAAAAATTCCGCCATGCCATTTACGAATTCTCCAAAGTGTCCGTCCCCATCCCCTCCCCCGACCCCAAAACTAACAACATACAGAATAACCACAACCACCAAACTCCTCCACGCAACCACCCCCTCAACATCCCAATCTACATAACCACCCAATCGCGAAACAAACTCGGCCCTACCGTCCCCGAACTAACCGCCCTCCTTTCCCCCCCAACACCAAACATAATCGCCGACATTGACAAAACCCTCTTCTCAATGATAACGCCCGAGATCGACGCCCTGCTACCAGCCCAACCGCTCGATGTTCTTCTCGTGGGAATAGAAACCCACATTTGCGTGACTCAAACCACACTTGATCTATTGGCCAGAGGGCATAGGGTCTATGTGATTGTGGATGGGGTGAGTAGTGTGAATAAGGATGAGAGGGGGGTTGCGATTGCGCGGTTGCGGGATGCGGGGGCGATAGTGACGACGAGTGAGAGTGTGTTGTTTGAGATTTTGGGGGATGCGAAGCATCAGGCGTTTCGGGCGGTGAGTGGGGTGGTTAAGGAGATGAAGGAGGAAACGAGGGGGCGGTGGAGAGTTTGGCGAAGTTTTGAGAGTTGTGTATGGATAGATAGATGTCTTTGAGTGGGTTTGAGTAGATGGGGGGAATGGATTCTATATGTGGATTATATGGGATGGAATCAGCTATTTCTTATGCTATCTGTGTTATTGTTCACCAACTAGACAAGCGTGGCCAGCTACAAACAAAATCGCTTCGCCCTAATCTATTTCATTTAGGGGTCATCGCTGCACGCCCGGCTGGCTGGGTCGTATTGAGCCATCCAAATGCAGACGCTCCTCCAACCGGATTGCTAGGCCACTGCTTGCTCGTCCGTGTCCCGTCGGGCGATGCACGCGTCGAAGCCGGCTGCGACACCGAAGTTCCTGCGTAGTCGGCTCCGGAGCTGCTGGACACGGTCGTGGCCGGTGCGGCGCGAGTAGAGGTCTTCGTGGGCCGTAGTACTTTCATAGTACGGCCACGAGACGCCTTGCCTGCCGTGGAAGCGTTCAGGTCTGACTTGGAATCGCGTTTCCACGAACCCCAGACGCCAGCTGCCTCCACCCGTGCCGGGCCATTAGCATAAGCGTCGGTTTCTACGCCAGACTTCGGCTCCTTCTGGGTGTCGGTGTCCGTGGACGACTCTTGGGTATCTGGGCGGGCCTTTCGACTCTCCTCAGATTCCGCAAGAGATTCCCTCGCAGACGCAGACGTGGAGGTAGCCCGGCGAGAAAGACTGACAGGACGTCCAATCACTCCGAACGTCGCATGGCCGTTCGTGTCCGCCTGAATGTCCTCTTGAACAGAGCGCGTCTTCCGTCCGATGCGGGTGGCATCCGACATCGTGGACAGAGACTTAAAGACCGAATCATCCTCGGGGCGAACCAGGGGAATAGAGACCTTGTTCCTTTCATCGTCAACCATGATGATCTTGTCCTGTGAAAACAGGACGTCAGCATTGTGGGAGCGGAGCACATCGCTGCCCAGGACAATCTGGATCGAATTGTCGCTGGGGTCGATCTCGCGAACCAAAAAACGGATGGTCAAAGTAGGGACCTGAGGCTCAGGGCTACTAGACCGGGAAGAGGCCTGGTGCACACTAGCTTCGGGAAGGTAGATGGAGAGTTTGATGTACTGCAGATCCCCTTCGTCCAGAACCTGATCCGCCAGACCGAGCGTCTGGACCATCCGGTATCCCAAAGATGAGGCATAAGAGCCCGAGCAGACAGCAGCGTAGAGCAGAGAGTCGTTCGAAAAGTTGGTTGTCAGCCAGCACCGGATGATGCACGGCACTGGGCCAAGAAGGAACAGTCCGGGCGGAGGAATTAGAGGAGATCCGACCGAGCTCATCATCCTGCTAGTTGTTTCAAAACCCAGACTGTTGGTACGAGCCGAGTGGTGCGAATGTCCGGAGGAGCTTTGTCTGCCATCAGACCGATGGGACAAAGACCGCTCCGTCAGGGGATGGCTCCCGAACCCACTCCCTGTCCGCAGCGGCAGCTCACTGTTGGATCGACTGGCCTGCCCGTAGTACCCGTGAATAGCGCTCTCATCGAACCGAACGCTATTCGCCCGAGAAGCGCCCCGTCGCGGCTCATCTTCATTGTCGAGACCCATTGTAGTGACAACCCCGTGATGGTGTCCCTGATCGAATCCTTTGAAAGCGTCCGTGGGGGTATGGAAGACCGGCTCTGCAGAAGACAGCATATCAGCCATGCTCTAACCAAGTGCTTGCTAAGACCCAAGAAACTATCACACACCTGTGGGTACTGTGCCCCCAACGGAGCTAGGAAAAGGCGACAAAGGACCCCAAACACTTCTCAACCTTGCATCCTCGTCCCTTCGCCGCTCTAGTCTCGCGATCCGCTCCGCCTGTTCAAATTGCGTGGCGTGAAGCTCCTTGAGCTCTTCAAAAACGCGCCAGATATCGTCGCGGGAGGCAAAAGGATACTGGGCATCCATATCCAGACGATCAAAACGAGAGACAGCGGATGGTGGCGAAACACAAGAACGTCAGAAAGAAAGAGACCTGCAAGCTGACCGCTCCCGATAAACACGGGCTAAATTCTGTACCAACAACGTTCACTTTTCCTTCACAATAGATGGTCTTTGATTAACTGCTTCCGTAGCCCGCTTTATCCTCAATATCCTCCTCCCTCGTGCTGTGTGACGGCCAAACGGCCGTCCCCCCAATCTGCTAAAAACGAGTATCCGCGAATCTCTTCAAGAACATATAAAAAGGTGGCGGCAGAATACTGCAAAGTAACTTGCTGAACGATCGTGTTACGGATAGACCGGCGGTGGAGGCGGTTGTGGTGTACGCAGACGGAAAGTTGTCGGGTCAAAAGGTAGCGTGAATGCACGGTAAACTTAAGCAACACTTCACTTGGTCAAGGTTCGCGGATTCGACTAAAAAGAGCCGTAAAGAAAGCTATCCGATGTAAAGCGCTCTGTTCAAGGGAATGTAATGAAGTGCGCCCTGGTCAGCCGTGGTAAAGGGGATCGAGGGAGGCGAGGAATGGACGGGAGGTTTCTCGAGGATGCCTTTGCAAAGGAAGGAGGGAGTCGAAAGGGGAGGTCGCTAAAAGAGAGGCACAAGCACTTTTAAGTCGGGAGAATATGGAGTGGAGAAGATCGTTGAAAATAGCGGGGAGTCGAGGAGACAGAAAGGAAAGGTGGAAGGGTGGAAGGGCGAAAGGGCGAAAGGTGGAATGGGGGAGAGTGAGAGAGTGGGAGAGAGTCGAGAAGAGCCGTCGGACCGGAAATCATGAGGGGATCCAAACCACCGCCGGCCAACCAACCAGCGGCCTCCGTGCGCTGGATCTAGACCGCTTTCATCCCACGAGCCATTGACTGTCTGTTATTATTCACTGGCAGCAATAACACAGACCGTACAAGGTTGCATGGGTCTTCCATCACTAACTCGTATTCACTCCGGTGCCTGCATCCAATAGCGCCCGCCACCCATCGATCTGAAACCACTATATATTCATTCACCTCTAGTATGTACACTTCATCACCATCTACAACCGTCTATTTCGGGGCCAACGACCACGCCGGAAACACATAAGGGAGATTCTCCGGCAGCTGATCAGGCCAGTTCTCCCTAATCGTCTTGATGACCTCTTCGAAGACAATGCGATACCCATTTGCCGCCAAATGCAGTCCATCTGTGAACAAGGTCGCGAACTTATCATCATAAGGCAGATCCCTCGATCCAACAAGCGGCTGGCCCTCCTTCCACCCTACACTCGACATAAACGCACTCCAGACATCCGCAACAGGCAGCCCAAACTCAGCAGCAACTTCCCGTGCAGCCTCCACATATTGCTTGGTGTGAGCAGCAGTGCGAGTCGGATGCGGGTTTCCCTTCATGGCATCGAACCCAGCCAATTGGTACTCGTTGATGGGGGGTGGGGTGATGATCATGATACGGGGTTTCTGAGCAACCGTCAAGGGGTGTTGAATAATACGCTTCAGGTTGGCCTTGTAAGTTTCGATGGGGACGTGCTGCTCGAAGCTTGGGAGACTGGCGTCATTGGCGCCGAACCAGATAGTCTGGTGCTGCTGTCAGTGGTGCTGGAGTTGTTTTGCAGGTTGAAGTTCGTTGGAGCGACTCACCATGAGCCGGACATTAGCTTGCTCCGTAGGAGGGAAGCACCTGGGGAAGACTTTGATGGCATGGAGGGAGTTGTATCCGCTGTTGAAGAGTCAGTGGTTGTTGCTTCAGTTCTAGAGGCAATGGACGCACGCCAATCCACGGTTCACGACATCCAAACGGCGGCTGTAGGCTAGAAGGAGTCAGAATGTGCAAGCCTGAATAGGTATGAACTTTGTTGCTCACCATTCTGCAAAGCTGGGTGGAACCCGAAGCCCATGTCCTGGCCACTGGAGTATTCCGTGATCGAGTCGCCGAAGAGCAGGAATTGGTCGTATGGCTTGTAGACGGCCTCATCGTCGGCCGGAGGGGCGGTGTTGGACATCTTGAGGTATACGGATGGTACAGTTCCCTGAGGCAATAAACAATCCAGGGGAAATTGGGAGTAAGAGAGTGGTAAGAGCGGAGGTTCTGGTGGGCGGAGGGGTTCGCAGGAAGCTCCGATAATCGATAAACGGAGGGGCGGCTGTTGATCAGTTGGCGGCGGTGGCAGGTTTCAGCCGAATTTCTCCACCAACGAGACTCAGACTTTAGTAATTCCTGAACATTGATGCTGGGTTGCTTTCAAGGTTATGTATGTACATTTATCTCTTCGCCAACCGAGCCTGAACAGATTCCCAAAAGAGTATTCATCTACGAAGCGCCCTAGCGCTGAGCAATGATAGGTCCGGTCCTGTTAGGGAAGTTTCTAGCTCTGTAACTTCTCATCAATCTAATAAGCTGCACAGATTCTGCTTTACCATTAGCTTAATTGACTACTCTAAGTCTGAACCACATCTCTACACTTATAAATTCAGGCTGTAGGTCTGAATCAAGTAATAGTCTATTTTAGAACACTTTGTAGCGAGCTTGATTAAACATTTTAAAAGTACTTGATCAAGTCCTTTGGAAGTGCTTGGTTAGATCTTCTAGACGTACTTCACAAAATTCTGTTGCAGTGCTTGATAGATTAAACTCTTTAGACGGCTGTCCGCAGGCCAGGACCGAGGCACCATCATTACAGCTGCCTGCACTCCCAACTGTCCGCTGCATCAATATCCCCCGAGCCTTTGTACTGAGCCTGCGCCGGATAGACACACAATGGCCGTTGGCGATACACTCCCTCGTGTGGATTCTTATCATTCACGAACTTTGTCGCAACCAGCTCGGCCGGGCTGGTCCCGTTCTCAACCCAGTTCATCATGGCAAGGACGACGTCGTGACGCACATCCTCATGCCCGGGCACACTGTGGATATTTCCATCTCTTCCAAGACTAGAGGATTGGCCATCTCCTGCAATGACCCAAGGCGCTTCCATCAGATCCGACGTGCCCCCGCAATGACTGGGCTATGTTAGCAGGTGTTGCAAGAATCAAAGTACAGCGGTAAGCTTACCCCATTCCTGGGACCAAATAAAAGCGGTAGAAATCTTCCAGATTTACCCCCTTCGGCCGTAAAGCGTTCGTGACTTGGTCATAAAAGTAAATGCTCGATCCTGCAGCAATAGACCAGTCTGACCATCCATGATAATGGATGATTTTGCCACCCTTGTTGTGGAAAGGAGAGATATCATAGTCATCTGTCGTGGCATTTCCAGGGTTAAGCTCGTCCGACAGCTTGATCAGATCGGTATTCCAATCTTCCCACTTCCAGTCTTCGCCCAACTGAAGCATCCATTTGACGTAGTCAGTTCCCAGCCTCGAGGGTGAGGCAACCAAACCGCTCCACTTCCACTCGCTGCTTAGAGTGAGGTGCGGGAATACAAACGTGTCGTCTGCCTCCACCCAGTCATTGTGAAGCTTATATACCGTCTTGACCTGCTCTGTGTTTAGGCAGGTCGAAGTGTCCGTGGCGTCATCGGCACACAGGAGAGCCTCCGGCCGAAAGGTGCATGCATCTGGGTTCATGACTATGTTATCCACCACTCCGTCCTGCGGATCACACTGGCGAATGACTTCATTGGCCAAGATATCAATCTGTTCATTTGATAGATGGTGCGGGGAGTCGGCTGGGGAGTTCCAGATACCGACAATCATATTCCACAGTTGCAGATGAGTTGTCCACCAGGCGGGAGCTCCGACAATCACTCCATCGAAATCATCAGGGAACATTTCGACCTCCTTGAGACCCTGCTTTCCACCTGCAGAACATCCGCGATAGTAGCTATAGGAGATTTCCTTTCCGTAGTATTTCTCTGTCACGGACTTTCCGTTGACAACAGCATCGTGCATAGCCCGGTAGCCCCAATTGGCGAGAGCGTCCTGATTATGGTATGCCCACTCAGCGCCTGAGCTTTCATGGCCTGTATTTGTCGAGATGGCGGCAAATCCATACCAAGAGGCATCAATCTATCCATAGTAGCTTTTATCAGCGTCTATGCATGAATTGCGTAAGCGACGAGAATGAACATACAATGGAGCCCCAGCTAACGCTTCCAGAAAACCCCCCGTTTCCCGCTGTCCTAGACGCAACTTAGCAAATGACGCATACTAGAATGTAACCAGGTCATCACATACAAGAACCTCCCATTCCAATCATCTGGCAGAACCACACCCACACTGTGCTGGGTGTCTCCAGGAAGCGTCAAGTTGGCCTGGAAGATACAGGCACTCTTCGGGAGGACGTATGACGATTGTCTAAAAGCTCCGGCGTTGTGCTCAAGCGGAGGCGTAAAGCTAACGTCGGCCTCATAGTGAGAAGCATATAGAACCTTCGAGCCAACTGGGAGTAATGACTTGATTGAGCCCACCGAGCAATCGGATGACCCGCCAGAAGGGGGAGTATTGGGTGGCGCAAAGTGGCTCAGCAACTCTGCTTTAAATATGAGGATAGTTTGCAAGAGATCGAGGAGAAACATCTTGCTCGAAGAGAGACCCGCTCCGGAGTCCGTAATCTCTTCTTGCAAGGCTACGCTGCTCACCAGAAACAGCTATACTGTCATAGCTCCCAGTGGTTGTTGCCTGCTGCCTGTTGCTTGCTGCTGGTCCTTTTTCGCGCCTAACCGTTCTTGTCGGTTTCGTCCGGTATCCCCGACTCCACTCTCGGAGATAACGGACCACTCGAGAGAGTGCATAGTTGCCTCATTGTTGTTTGGACTTCCATCTGATGGACGGAAGAAGTATGAGATATTTTGTCCTTGTCCGTGTGTTGTGGGTAGGCTGAATGCTGCCCGGGCGCGGAGTAACTCTTGCGGACAACACTTGCGTCAGTTGTTCGGTCAATACGGGGCAACAAATGCGGGGAAGCGATTTCTGGAGACATGGACCCGGGATTATTGGAAGAATCCATCGATCTCCGCAATTTTCCACCCCCCCGAAGGTTGAAGGGAGTGACGATGGGCCTTGGCAATCCTAATACGAGTGTGGAGAGGCGTGGGGTGTGGAGAGAGCGGAGGAAGATCATCCCTTCCATTGTTTGGGGAATGATCCTCGGTTCAGGGTTGGGTTGACATGCGCAGATTCTCAACCCAGCTACTACAGTCAGCATTCAGCCTTGTGTCTTAGCAGTTGCGATGAGTTGAGGTAATATGGCGTAAGCAGAGGAAGGGATATTCAAACATGCAGCAAAACACGCAGCCAATACAAGGGATTCACTGATGCCAAGTTAGATCCACTGGAGATGGTAGCAAAGAAAATTGACGACCAACAGTTGTAAATGGCCACAGATAGAGGCATCTCGCGTGAGAGATAACATACACAGTCATGTAACAAGTGACTTTTGTCCTAATCGAATTGAGATAACCCATATTCTCCACACTGTACAAGGCAAGATACCCACCCACATCTAGACCAGATAAGAGCTGTATACTCTTCACTCGACATAGTTGAAGCAAGTAAGTAGAGTCCCCAATATTTACCCACATCTAACCCACAATCCCATCAACAAAATAGAAAATATATTAAGTATACAAACTGTGGAGAACACGCCAAGACGTAGTCAAGTGTGTAGTGAGAAGTATGCCATCACAACAACTCCCTCTCCCCCACAAAACCTCAACTCAAGATGAGGCATTAGCAAGCAAGTACTATTGTGGGAAGGCTTTATTTAGTCTCCCCACAGTGCTACAAAATTTGAGTTTGGACTGTGGAAGCGTGGCGCCAACTAGACAGCTCTGGACGGTCAAGCGAGTGGGAGCACATTGCTGTGAGAGACGCCACACCAGTGTGGGTTGGTTGGCAAGTCGGTGGGAACGGCTAAAAAACTTCTTTCGTGCGTCTGCTTCTGAGTTAGGACGTTTATTGGGCTTTTATATTGTCTTTAGTAGTTAACGTTGACGGAGTCTGGTTCTGTCAGTGTTGGTCATCATAATTTTTCTTTTGATATGAGCTGCATAGGCAACTTTTCTTCTCTATGTGGGTATTCTCGTCTATTCTAGTCTAGCCAGGGCCGTTATCGGTTTCTCTGGGGGAGTAGTCATCAATTCTGGGTATGTGTGTGGAACTGTTTCAGGGGCCCTTAATATGTCAGCTGGCAAAGCCTGCAAAGACATCATAACTGCCATCAACTCTACACCCTTTTGCGGGTGTGGTATTATGATAGCTTTCTACCAACAGTTGGAGATTCAGTGAATTGTTGTGCTCTGTTTCTAGTATCAAGCTTACCGTCCAATGGTCGCAGGACATGCTAGTTAAAATCGTAATAAATTGTCATAAATACACGTTATTCTAAGTGTGATTACGCCATTTCCTCCCAAACATATGAACAGCAATGATGGGCAAGAAGCTGACAGCAAACATCATCGCACTCGCAACGCCCGAGCTAGTCGCAACACCAACATTATCAAACATGTCAGGGAACCTAGTCACTGTTAGTATCATTGTCAAGAATTGCCAAGAAGAACGGCATGACGTACCAGAAAGGACCAATGAAACCCCACATCTGACGAGCAAAGGTGATGAAAACACCAACACTGCCGGAGTCCTCAGGGTAACAATCCACCGCATACGTTACCATAACAGTCGTCACAAGCTGGTTACCAAAGGCACCAATGGCGGTGCCCACAATTGGTGACACAACCCAGTGGTCGACAGAGGCCTGTTGGGTGCAGACCAGGAAGACAATGACACCAACAATAGTAAGAATCACACCAGGATAACTTAGCCAAAGGCGAAACTCGGGATCCGGTTTGTGTTGTGTTTTGCGTGCACGTCGAGTCATCCAGTAGTCGGACATGGATCCTCCAATCTGCTCGCCCAGAATAGTACCGATGATCACTCCGATGAACTGGAGACCGAGCTGTTCGGCATTGAGACCGAACTTTGCTTGCAAAAGTTGGGGCACCTCTACTGTGATCATCACGCTGCCGAATAAGAAAACCATGGCATAAGCACATGCCGGAATCATCACACTGGGGCGCGCGGCCATGGTCAAAGGGTGGAAAAATTCGGAGATTGTGAGTGGCGTTGGATCAATACGGCGGAAAGAGAGGTACTGAGCCTTGAAATCGGACATGCCCTCCGTACTGCCACCGATGTAGCGGGTTTCGGGTCCCAGAAACAGATACAGGATAAACTGGACACCATTGGTGATAGCCAGGACCCAGAAAATCCAACGATATCCTACCCGGTACGTAATAAAACCATAGATCAGGGGGCCTTGAAGAAAGGGTGAGGTCAGTATGAAAGGATATCACTGCTTAGGAGACACAACGAACCAACTGGAACACCCAAGGTGACCATTAATGTCCAGACACCCAGATAACGACCCCTCTCCTTCTTGAAGAAGGTTTCTGTAACCACTGCACTGCCAATGGCCGCTGCCGGTGAGATGAAAAAAGCCGTTAGGGCTCGACATGCAGCCAAGGAAGCGTAGGTCGTACTCTTCGCGCAGCCCACATTGCATACTAAGCTGAGGATGGTTGATAGAAGGAATATGGGTCGACGTCCATACCGGTTGGCCAAAGGCTTCCAGAACAGAGGTGCACCTCCTAAAATTGCAATTTGAAGTGAAGTTAGGTAGCTTGCCCTCTGCATAGATACCCCAAGGTCCTCTGCAATGCTTTCATAGGCAGGAATGATTGAGGCTGTGAATGTTCCCATACAGGCGTGGAAGGCGACGAGGATAAGGTTGGTCAATTTCTATATTCAAGGTAATGCAGTCAGCGACCGGACTAATGATATTGGGAAGGGTTTCCATACCTTCCAAGTGGGCCAGTTGTACGGGTCTGCGCCCGACTGACTTGGTATGGGATCCAGCTCCAATGTTCCATGGCGTTGAAGGAGGTACTCTCGATGAGAGGGTGAAAGAGAGGCAGCAGCAATCTCGGCATACGAAGAGGGGCCCTCTTCTACCTTCTCAAAATATTCGCTGCTGTTCTTCTCGATGTGAGTCTCATCCTGGGCCTTGGTGGAGGGTGATGGTCGGACGTTCTCGGACATTTCGATAGAGGGCATAACGCCTGCGAACAAACAAAGGATACGAATGCCCGGCAATAGAGATAAGAACCCAGTGGGAGAAAAAGCCTTTGGCGTCTAAGGGTTGAAAGGGGGAGGGCAGAGACACAACCCGGGAACCTGACATTGAAAAGCCAAAGGCCCAGATAAGAGATGCAAAGGTATATATGGTGCAGGCTTTGCTCTTCTGCCTCCTCCGCAGTATCCGGAGCTAGGGCCAAGCCCAGGAAGCACTAGCTCAGCGCCAACGGCAGTTCTAGGCTTATTCATGATGGAGGACTGGGGATGCGTACGTATCATCTCCGGGGTAGTGACCATTGAAAGGCAAGGAGGTTGTGGAGAGAACGTGGGGATCTCACGGTCCCCACAAACCGGGACGCCACGTCTTGGAGGAAGGGACAGTAGTCTCTGCTGGCTGTCAGGGCGGTTGGGTGGCAAAGACCACGAGCACTGGCTTACCTACCAGGACTAAGGACTAGTCGGGGTAACAGCGAGATTGTTGTGAAATGGGATCGGACGCGGTCAGTTCCACGAGCTGTGGGGATCCCTGCGTTCGATGCGGTTAGCGTCCCCCGGACGGACCGGCATTTTGCGATCGACTAGCATTTTAGCATTTTTAGGGGGTTTCCTCCGGGGTAAAGCAGGGACGCCCGCATTCGTGGGGATGGCGTCAACCCCAGTCCAGGGACAGGGGGCACATCTCATCTCAACAATGCCCCCTCTATCGACCTGGGAGAGCCTGTTCTGTCGATGCCCCAAGAAACTGCCCCCGGCACATTGTACACCCCGCCAAGCTTGTGTTTACGATCCCCACAAAGCTTGTTGTCGGAATGACTCATGGCTGCGGAAATTCTCCGTCAGGTGGATGGAGGATGGACGTTGACAGGACCATGCCTTTCCCCATCGAGGTATCCGGTCAGGCAGGTGACCTGGGCGACGGACGCAAAGCCTCCGTGGCGGCGGTTAGACCGCTTTCTGACCCTCATGCTGGATGCTGATAGATAGATTCTATCTAGTACTAGTCCACGGGTTGCGGAGTCCGGTGCCGCAGGTTCGCTTACGTGCTGCTTAGGGATCAATCAATTCCCTCCCGTCCTTTTAGCTATTGGCAGGAACTGTGGGTTTCTGGCATATTGTTAAGCCATTTGAAACTGCATCAAAGAAAGGCCGATTTCATCATTCCATGATAGTAATCCTACGGGGACTTGTTCCGAAAATCTTTCTCCATCCAACGAATGTTCCAAATTGGAGGTACAAACGGCTCTCTCTCTCCCTGAAAAAAGCAAAAGAGTGAACAAGGATACAGCCAGCCTCGGATACCAACCTGAGAAAAACGAACGTTTAAGCAGCAACTTGCCCCAACCAAGCAATCAGACAGAGCTAAACCAACCACCCGTTGCCGCTTAGATCATGACAGTCCAATCAAGGAACGCTTCCTTTCAGCTAATCTCCTAATCGAAGCCCAGTCGCCGAAGAGATCGAAGCACTATGTCGCAGTTGATGTAGCGGTCCCAGTTACTGGCGTACCTGACGCTGTAATCGTCGAGCTCGACTGAACAACAGACACTGCCTCGGGGATCAATGTGGGGCCAGGAATCTCATAAGACAGGGACTGATAAATATTGACGAGAATTCCGGCGTCCGTGGGAGTATACAGCTCGGTGCCTAGTACACCGGAGGGCTCGGCAGTCCCTGACCCCGTAATCTGCAGATTGAAACACTGTGGATAGTTCTGGGCTCCATTCTCACTGGCAGCTCCATGCAAGGCAATCAGTTCGTGACGAAGAACATAATATCCGGGTGCAACGTCTGGAATCTCCACCAGCCAGGTGTTGTTGTCTGCAATCAACTCATCATCTCCCCAAATGCCGGGGACTTCGGAATCATCAACGAGGCCAACCCCGTCAATCTTGAAAAACTCAAGAGTTGTCTTGTCCACAGACTCACAACTTGAGCCACAGTTTGCGAGGTAGCTGATGACTGGACCATGGTGGCTGTCAGGCCAGGTGGTCCATTGGAGGCTGATCTTGTCTCCTGCAGCAACGACGGCGTGGCCTCTGGCATTAGTGGCATCCAAGTGGCAGATTATGTCGTCAGTATCGTATGCGTCGGGCGTAATGAAGCCGTTCGCAGTGTTTGGTGTTTGCCATGCGACCACCACAGGGGGATCCGAATTATAGGGGTCGGAGTTGATGTCCCAGCCACGGTAGGAGACGCCATTGATGACAATATTGCTCACATGGCCGTGAGCAGCTACCTGAGTAGCTGCTGAGAGGAGGGTCGTCAGATGAACGATGGACTTGATCTGATTCATCATGGGGTTATGCAAAGGAAGTCAAATATGAATTTCGAGTGCGTGAAATGTTTGAGTGCCGTTGAGATAGTGTTGCTGGTATATTGGGATTCAGGGCTGACTTTATACCTTTCGCATATGTCCAGGGGTCGATTATGGCCGTTTCAACATCGGACTTCAATATTGCCTGATCTCTTCGACAGATCATTCTTGGTTGCGACATCGATCCACGAAGAAGGCGTGACACCGACCGATTCAAGCAGACATCCTCCATCTTCTTGTGCCCTCCGGTTGAAATGAGTCTTGGACAACATCTTCAGCGAATGAGGCTTGCGCTCCGTTCCACAGGTTGCAGGCCAAGACAACTGGATACGACCTTTAGTCATGATCGGTATGTGATGGCAGGACCGTGGACAACGGAATGACAAGACTTTGATATGACGCGCATATATCAGCAGCGGCTTGGCTTCATGATGCCATTCCAATAACATCGCAACAGCTATGCTCATGCCCAGTAGGCTGCTACTTAGCATATTTATCCTGCAGATCTACTCCACATTCCCCACGGAAGTTTGTGCCGAGGCGCATTGTCTGGGGATAAGGGTGCATCGAGTCCGCGTCAAGAAAGGAAGGTACCTGCATTCCGAGATATTATCAGTCGGCTGGAATACATGGGGTATCAGGATGAAGCTGATTAATTAGACAAACCAATGATATACAATGATGTTGGTAACAGTGCCTCGACTTTATCCTACGGACTAACAACGACAGTCAGGACGATATAAGGCTGCCCAAAAACATCAGCTAGGTCATTTCAGGGATCTAGTGTGATGAAGATCACTTACTCTATTACAGGATAAATCAGTCCGCGGATATTCATGATGCAGAACGTACTTTGACAAAGGTTGAAGGAGGATCGGATGTGCGGGGATGTCTTCCGATTTCATGCCAGGTGCGATTTCTTGGCCCCGAAGGTCATCTGATGCCACGGAAAGAGCCTATACTGCAATGCTGCGTTCAACCGTCAACAACACCCGGAATACGAAGCATGAGAAGATGAATGTGTTTGATAAGGAAATCGAGTGGCCTGTGCATTCCAACTCAGTTTCATTTCCTAGACCACAAGCGACGGGCCTTCGAAGTCTGCAGTTCCAAGCAATCAATAGGTCGGGTCAAACTTCCCTCCGCAACATACTCTTATTTAGCCACAAGACCAAATCTCAGATTTGAACTTGTCTATGGATCTGGAAATCGCTATTGATTCATGTCTTCTACTCCAGGTGACCACTTACTAACACTCTAGTTTCACCCTTTTTAGCCAAATCGCAGCAACCTCAACCAAGATATATGGTCAAGACTTACATCCGTTTCTGAGTATTTCTGTATAATGCTATGCTTTCAGGGTACGTTGCATATGTGTCTGAGTAGTGTCGGCAGTTGGCGACATTGATTAGTTCAACCATGTCTTCGTCTAGTGTGCTCTCCAACGAAAAGATCCCTAGTTGGCCTCACGGGTTCCCCTCAAACATATGGACGCCTATTCATGCAGCTTTCCTAACAACTACAACTTCCAAGATAACCGAGAGCGATCAGGTGAAGTAAGTGCCATGGCCAGATCGACTCTTATACACAGCCATCCGGTACCGGCCCTGAGCCGGCTTTGACGGCGCCTCGTATGTGGGGTCTTCGGTATTTCTCCCTACAACAATGTGAGCAGCATAGTTAATCACTCACCTATCTATTCCATTTCCCTTATATTCAAAACAGAATACCATGGTTCGAGACTTTCCAAGGAAGCAACCTCCCATTGCAACTAAAGCACCAAAAGTAACATACGAATTTGGTTGGGTGAGATTGTGGGAGAGGAAAGGTTGATTCCGTTTTATCCCGGGGTTGGGTTCCATGGTCAGGGTTCAGAATGCCCTTGGTTTCATGGATGGGGCGCGTGTTTCAGGACATTTCTTTTGGGTTGAGAGATTGGCATGAGATGGTTGGAATGGAACTAAAATGGTGGGTAAAGTCCTTCATCAGATCTTTGGAAGATTCTTTGGTGTTCAGAAGTCAAGTAATTTAGCCTCAAGGTAAGCCGAGATTTGGAAGTGGATTCCAAGCTTTCGATAGTTAACAGAAGGAGTGAGAAGCCTTCATAAGCTGCTTAGACATCTTACGCAGACTGTGTAGATCCCAAACGGTGTTCTGCAGCGGATACGTCATGTGCTTTGGACTCCGACCTATATATTCGACCGTATCATGGTGATTTGTTACCATCTCCGCACTTGGCCCAACCATCACTGTCGTCGTGTAGCGGAAGCTAATCCTTCACTCTGTTTAGGCTCATCAGTAACATTTGGGCTGAAGCACATGTTGCCCTTCTTGAAAACCAAGCAATATTCGATGATTGATGTGATGTGGCCATGGGAAGCAAGATACTGCATCCTGAAATATGTTAAAAAAACATATTAGCCAGTTACTGAGCTTGTCGACCAAAACACCTCTCCAAAGCATCTGGCGTCTTGAAGAACTTGAGTTGTACAGAATGCGAAAGTGGCAAAATATACATGACTTCAATCTATGTATGAAAGTGGAGCCATGGCAATATGCATGTACCTTTCAGGTAGTAGCTCTGCTACTCCATGCGGGGATGTGGCAAATGTCGGGCAATGTTGTCTGTCTCCGGATCTGAAGAAATGATGTAATTTTGGGCGATAAAGACATTGCCTTTATATGAGTGGCCATGGGATCCTGAGCCGTTTCTAGGAAGGAATGTCCATTCTATCAGTGCTCATATATTTTTGAATGTTAGAACTCGGAGGTCTTCTAAGTTCAATGACTTACTGCAAAGTCACATTATGAGGACTTAGTACCGATAAGAGGGGGTAGCCAGCCAATATTGGCTCTTGTTGGCCAAAGTTGATCATCCTTGACCCCAAGATCGTCTAACCAATTGCAGTATCAAGCGCCCGTCCCAGCGCCTTCCGCATTGTCGATCCGGTGTCAAAGGCCGCCCATCTCTAGAATGGGTGCCTCATGGAGGGGTCATGCATCGCATCCCAGTTTCCCAGGGGTATAATTGAGAAAGCATTAAGGACGGGCATCTGGGGTGCAGCGACTAGCCAGCGAGTGGGGACGGTCGGAGAATGGCAGATTGGAGGTTACACCGGGCTGACCAGGCACGTGCCAAGGATCTCTCCCCGGGATTCTTTATTTATCTGACGGTTGTTGTGCCCCCCCTCCTTGCCACGGCGATGCAGGGAAACGGTAAAAGCATGGAATCCAAATCACCTGGGGGCCTTGGGGCTGGTGGTGACCAACGATGTCAAGGGACCACTCGGTGACCGATCGTCAGATGATGCGCCTTAGCCCCGTCCAAGTGGCCCATTATTTCCTAGCCTCTGTGGCCATGACCACCTCGGATGTCGTGCCCATCATCGCTGCCTCCTGCATCACACCCCCCCTTCCTTCTGCACCCGATCTTTCTCCCGATCTTGTCGTTCTGTCATTTTTCTTATCTCAGCCGCTCAAAATCAAACCCTCATTCTTCCCTGCGTGATCCCCTCGAGTTGCTCGTTGCTCGCCCCCTGAATTGCGACTGCCGGGAATTGTTTGGCTCCGGGTCCCCATTTCGGGCAACTTCACCGCCATCCGTCGCGTTGGAGAACCACCAAACTAGTCGGAGTCCCCACTGTTTGATTCCTTGGACTTTAAAAGTCGTTGGATATGTCCGTTGCTGAGGGTGGTTCTTATCTCCCCCTCTTCTTCTGCTGGTTTGTGTTTAGGTCCTCAGGATTCCCTGGGCTGACCTGACATCCAGGCAAACAACATTCAGCCCGAAGCAGCTCCTGCTTCAATAGTCTCCGAAATGCCTCGTTCAATACCCCCTAATCTCCACGGCGCTCTCCCCGAAGCCGAACTTGCAACCGGCGGGCCCGACAGTCGACGGACTGTCTCGCGAACGGCGCCCCCCTCCCCGTCCGCCGTCAGACGAACCCACAGCCTTCTTTCCGAAGTGCAAATCGCCCATGAATCATCGGGACCGGCTGTGGAGGTTAGTGAAACGACAAGTCTTCTAGCGAAACCTCATGACGATCGACGAGGGGTACCACGGCGCTCATATACCAATCTCTCTGGAAATTCGGGGTCGGATTTCAACTTCAAACCCACGTTAATGACCGGAAGCATCCGTCGGTCTCGACATCATAGCCGTGCTAATTCTCAGGCGATACGCTTTAGTCGACGTGGCAGCATCGATACGGAGCAGGTGGAGAGCCTCGCTGCATCTGTCAAAGATGGCATAACCGCTTCGTTTATGGATGAGCGAAGCTGGTATGATCAGTTCACTTCCACTGACTGGGTCCATGACAGCATCGCCGATGGGGCTCGTCTTCGGGAATTGCGCAAGCGGAAGGATATTCGCGGTCGCCTACTGTCATGGTTGGATGGCTCCCAGGGCTGGGTTCTGGTTGCATTGATTGGCTGCATTACTGCTGCTATAGCTTATTCGGTAGATGTGACCGAAGGATTCATCTATGACGTGAAGGAAGGCTTTTGCACTACGCATTGGTTCCACAACCGTCAGAGCTGCTGCACCAGTGGTTCGAATTGCCCTGCGTGGTGGTCGTGGTCTGAGATCTTCAACTCAGAGTCGGACAACCACTGGGTGAACTACGGCATGTTTATCTTCTGGGTGGTACTTCTTGCCGTCATCTCGTGCTACCTGACACTGCTCACGAAGACAGTCGTTCCGTCTTCAGTGTCGTTGACGACATTGGATGAAAACCTCGGTGCTGCTTCGTCGCGGGGTACTAAAGGGAACAATGCGACCAGTAACTCTCCTGGATCTGCCTCCAGCCAGCAAGCGCTCAGCTCATCAATCCCCACGCGTCCCGCCATGGTTTACTATCCTGCAGCCGGAAGTGGAGTGGCCGAAGTCAAGGTCATTAACAGTGGCTTTGTTCTGCATGGATACCTGGGCTTCAAGACTCTGCTGATCAAGACCATTGCTCTAGTTTTTAGCGTCTCGTCGGGCCTAAGTCTGGGGAAAGAAGGCCCCTACGTGCACATTGCGACATGCGTGGGGAATATTTGCTGTCGAATCTTCTCCAAGTATAACCACAACGATGGCAAAAGACGTGAAGTGCTGAGTGCAAGTGCTGCGGGTGGTGTGGCGGTAGCATTTGGTGCACCTATCGGTGGCGTCCTCTTTAGTTTGGAGGAAGTTAGCTACTATTTCCCCTCCAAAACCTTGTTCCGCACGTTCTTCTGCTGTATTGCAGCAGCTTTATCTTTGAAATTTCTCAACCCTTACGGTACGGGCAAGATTGTCTTGTTCCAGGTCCGATACCTGGGTGACTGGGAAATGTTCGAGATGGCTATTTTTATTCTCCTAGGTGTTCTTGGCGGAGCGCTTGGCGCTCTTTTCATCAAAGCCTCGAACCTTTGGGCGCGTTCGTTCCGACGAATTGGGGTCATTAAACGCTGGCCAATGCTCGAGGTTGTTCTCGTTGCTCTTTTGACCGGGTTGGTTAGTTTTTGGAACCGGTACACTAAGCTGCCCGTCTCCGAGCTCATGTTTGAGTTGGCTAGCCCTTGCGATCACGAGTCGTCTTCGCCGACTGGTTTGTGTCCAGGTGAAGATGGAATCGGGGAGATCATCCGTTACCTACTGGTGGCCTTTGTCATCAAGAGTCTTCTGACGGTGGTTACCTTCGGTATCAAGGTGCCATGTGGTATCTATGTTCCGTCCATGGTGGTCGGTGGTCTCCTGGGCCGGATTGTTGGGCATGCGGCGCAGTATTTGGTGTTGAAGTATCCCACCTCTTTTCTTTTTGGATCATCCTGTCCCGCTACCGCCGGCATGGAATCGTGCGTGACTCCCGGAGTATATGCCATGGTCGCGGCGGGCGCGACCATGTGTGGTGTGACACGCTTGTCGGTTACACTGGCTGTCATTCTGTTTGAGCTGACCGGCAGTCTGGATCATGTGCTGCCGTTCTCCGTGGCCGTCTTATGTGCCAAGTGGACTGCTGACGCCATCGAACCTCGTAGCATCTATGTAAGTATCACCAGACTGGTCTGGTGCACCATCAAAAGGCTAACTTGCACAGGATATGTTGACCGATATGAACTCCTACCCGTTCCTGGACAGCAAACTCCAGCCGGTGTCAGATGCCCAGCTTGGAGATCTTGTTCGGCCCGTTCGATCCAGTCGCATCATTGATATTTCGGGCTCATCCTTTGTGCCCGCAAGAGAGCTACGTTCGAAGCTCCAGAACCTGCTCATGGCGGGCGAACTTGACGGTGGTCTTCCGATCCTCCGGCACGGCATTCTTACCGGGCTGATTCCCGCACCTGAGCTCGAGTATGCATTGGACAACCTGGCGGATGAGGAGAATACGCTCTGTCTGATGACTCTGGACACCTCTTCGGCTGTCTCTGATAGCGAGGATGAAGGCCAAACTGGCCGCGCCGACTTTGGTCGATACATTGATCCGGTAAGTGACTAAGCCCTTTTCTGCGCATATCAAGCTGACTTGGCCTGCAGTCGCCTATTGCCCTCGACATCCATTCACCTATCGACCTTGTATATCAATGCTTTGCCAAGTTGGGGCTGCGCTACTTGTGTGTTTCTCACGATGGCCAATATGCGGGCTTAGTACATAAGAAAGCTTTCGTGAAGTATATGAAGGAGCTTGAGTGATGACATGCATTGTGGAGTGTTTGCTTCTTACGACATGTGTTCCGAAATTGTTTAGTACCTGTGTTATTCTTCTGTTCTTCTGACCAGTTGAACCAGTCTGCATCCGATGCCAAGTGCACGATACTCCATGAGCTTGTATATTAGCGAGTTGGTTTGCAGTTTTGATATTGTTTTTGATTGTTATTTCAGCGAGCATACTGATTTGACCAGCATTGCTAGGGAGGCTAGTTGATTTATCTAGACTGCACATATGCCTGTCTTGGACCTACATGTGATAGATAGATAGACTTACTGAACTTGTACATTCCTTTTCTTCCTGCTCCGTATAATCAGAACCGTTCAATCACGAGATGTACGCCCGCGGACATCCCTCCAACACCCCTCCTCACTCCAAACGCTCATACCCAACCATCTGAATCCTCACGTCACCCTCCTCCCTCCACTCCCCTGTCACCGTCTCCCCCACCCACTCCGTCACCTCCTCCGCACTCGCCCTCCTCCACCCCTTCTTCTCCTCCAACAAATCCTCATCCACCGGAAAAAACGTATCACATTCAAACACCTCCCCCTTCTCCCTATACCCCAACTTCTCCACATTCGTCATCACAATCCTCACCACCCCCTTAACCCCCAACGCAGCCCCATATATCTCCGCCCCACCAATCACAAACACCTTCCCCAATCTCTCCGCATACGTGCCCTCCAACTCCTTCATCGCCTCATCTAATCCCCCACATACGATCGCGTCCGTGTCTGGCTGACCTTCCCCTGCACCAGTAGAAGCAGCTGCAGCCAATTTCTTCTTCCGTTCCTCCAATTCCCTCTTAACTCGATCCCTAACCCCATCCACATCCCTCGTAATCACGGTGTTGATTCTCTTGGCGAGTGGGCGGAGGTGTGCGGGGACCGAATCGTAGGTCTTCCGGCCCATGATCATCGCGTTCGTGGTTCCGGGGGTTGGGGGTGGGAGGTGACGCGCGCGAAAAATGACATATCGGCTTTGATCCGTGGCCAGGGGAGGGTTCCGTGGAGGCCGATTCCGAGGGTGATTTTGGATGTGTTGGGCGTGGAAATTGGGATTGGGGTGGTGGCCACGATTAGGGTGAGGGGGTGGTGGGAGGGGGGCATTTTGGTGGTGTTCTTTGACCTGATGTAAAGGTTGGTTTGAATGTGGTGGGTGGGAGGGAGGGGGGGAAGAGACTCGGTGGTGGTTGTGGTTGTGGTGAGGAGTGGTGAGGGGAGGGAGAAATTGTTGATAGCGATAATCTACCTACCTAGGTAGCTAGAGGGAAGGGAAGGGCAGCTTTTATCCGCGGAGGGGAGGGGAGGGGAGGGGAGAGTGTAGAATCCCCGCGTTCACCACGTGCTTTGCTCCTCACAAATAATACAATGGAGATATCAAGCCGAATTGTCCTCACAATACAATTGATTTATAGGGTATCTCTCCGATAACTAATCAGCTAAATAATCTACATCCTTTATAATATATCTCAATTCACACCCATTTAAACGCCCGCCAAACTCCGATAGCCCGTACGCCATTCCATGCCACATCCCCAAATTAATCCCCCTCTCCTAGTATACTACTTCGCTGCCTTCAACAACCCCCCCTCCTCAATCGCCTTTTGAATCGCAGTCGCATTCACCTCTAGCTCCTCGCGACGCTTCACATCCGCTTCGTCTTCGCCCAATGTATCGAGTTTCCCGAACAGCCATGTTTCTTTCATTGTACGGGTGAGTGCGAGGATGTCTTCTGCGGCGCGGACCTAGATTCCACCATAGATGTGTTTGTTAGTAGGTGGTTTTGTGTGGTGGTATTGTAGATGGAGATGTAGCGTACCAGGGCTGTGGATTCCACGTCTAATTGGTAGGTTTCGACGGCGGTGGAGGTGTGGCTGGTGCTTTCCGTCTAGACGAATAAGAATTGGGTTAGTTTGAGGTATGGAGGCATGGATGGGGGAGGAGGGTTGACGAACGGTTGCTGTAGCCATGATGTTCTCGAAGCGTTGGAGGAGTTGGGAGACATTAGTGGTGATGCGATCTGCGGATGGGCGGTTAGCTGCGGTGGCAGGGGGAGAGGGGAATTTGGGGGCGTACAGTGGAGGGCTTTTGATGACGGTTGGGATTCCATTTTGAAGATGGTATGATGGGATTGTATGTACTATTCGTGGTTTTTGGTTGTGGTGAAGATTGATGGTGATAGAGGCTGGTGATTGCGGTGGAGGGAGTGAGCGGTGTGCGGTATTGCCGGCAGTATGGTTGATATGGTTTTAGATAATGATAGGAGACTACTAGTTTGGGATATTGAATATCTAAATGTGATGCGGGTATACATTCTCTGGAATAAGACTGATAGCACCTGATGTTAAGCCAACCCAATCCAGTGTCTCAGATGCGTTTGTCTGGCTCATTCCTGTGCATATGCTCCCTGGCTTGTGCTGCATCTGTTCGATAGCCATGTATGAGCCCTGAATCCACCAGCGCATGTGGCTACTTCATCCGGCTTGAAGTTTGAGCCGTACGGGTCTATAGTTTGACACTCTGCGACAGTGGCCACATTGATAGCCGCAAAGAAAGGTGTGCGTGTGAGGCGAAATTGTAGATCGACGAGCTTAGCGAACATACTTCCCCTATCGGCGAATTAGCACGCAGTAAGTAGGCTAACAATCATCCACTCACCATGAATCTCTTGTGAAAGTCCGACCGCAACAGATCCTGTAAACCTAGTTAGCATCATATGCAGAACGCAATGCGAGACCTTACGTTGACAAACTCCTTGCCCTTCCTGTCTTCCGTGCCACGGGCCTGGTTCTTGAACACAACATCATCGTCCCACCTCCGCTTCACGTTGAAATCCTGGGGGTTGAGCAACGGGTTGCCTCGAGCAATATCGATCTCCCGCTGCTCCTCCTCTTCCGCAGCGCGCTCGCGTTCCTATAACCATGAGTACCTATCCAAAAACAACTGGTTATTGTAAATACCTCTTTCTCTTTCTGTTCGAGTCTCTCTCGCTTGATCTTTTCCAGCTCGCGCATCAACTCAGCAGCCTCATCCTCTTCGTCACTATATCTTGTCAGCATTATCGCGCATCTCATCGCGCGAGGTCTGACCTTTCATCCTCGCTGCTGTCCTCCTCCGACTCATCAGAATCTGCATCTATTTCTCGGGTCTCCTCTAGTATTCGTCGTCGCTTCGCTTCTGGGTCCTCTTCCTCTGTCTTTGCATCACCATCGGGCGAGGCACCTTCCAATTGGCGCTTCGGTGCGGCGGTCTCGACTGTGGGCTCGTCCACGGGGACCCCGTTCTTCTTCGCAAAATGAGCTGCCTCCGCCTGAAGCAGCTCGGCGCGCAGATCGCGTTGCTGAGTTTCGAATTCGCTTCCCTGACCGAGTTGACTTGGACACGTCAGAGGATACCACGTGCAGGATTTGGCAATTCACTTACCGTGTTTTCAGGTGCATGTGAGCCGGAAGAAGACGTTGGTGGTATGCTGGTCCGCGGAGGGCCTCTTTCCCTTGTGCCTGTTCCAATGAGCTTCCATGTCGAACGGGTGATCGGTGGTACATACAGGATCGAACGTGGGTCTGTGAGCTGTTCAATCGTTAGCGCAATCTCCGTTTATTTCAGAAATGAGAGCACTTACCGGTAGTCATGGTGGCTGCTGTGAAATCGTTTGTTGCTGGTAGTTGGCCCTTCGAACGAGGATGAGGATCTGATAATGATCGCCGATACTGCAGCCTCAGGCTCTGTTCTGAGTCAGCCACCTTTCACCGCCTTCTATCAACGCACACCATTGGCTAAATGAGGAACAATGTTCGCCCGCCGTTTCGATGACGATGCGGCATGCGAAATTTCCTAGAAAGTCGCAGTGACCCCCGCCGGGGCCAAATCCGCCTCCGCAATCATGAACAAAGAAGCACCGCTCTCCATCACTGAGCGCGACTTCATCCTCAATGCGCTGCGCGAGGATGTGCGCCTGGACGGTCGAGAGGCCGATCAGCTGCGTCCGCTGAAAGTGTCATTCGGGGAGGAGTACGGGCATGTGAAGGTGCAGCTTGGCCAGACCAGGTAGGTAGACTTGTTGCGGTCTTGCCCACAACTGTACTGATCGATTATCTTACTATAGCCTTATCGTCCGAATCTCAGCTGAAGTTACGAAACCTCACGATGATCGTCCGTTTGACGGTCTTTTCACAATCGCCATGGAGCTGACTGCGATGGGTTCTCCCGCTTGGGACAATGGCCGGTATGATTTCTGTCACAGCACAGACAGTGTTACTTACTAATGCTGCTTCTTTCAGACAAGGAGACCTTGAAACATACGTCACCAATGTTCTGGACCGGCTCGTTCGTCATTCCAACGCCCTGGACACCGAGTCTCTCTGTATCCTCAAGGGTGTTAGCTGCTGGAGCGTCCGTGCGGACGTCCATGTTACCGACTACGATGGCAATCTAATCGATGCGGCTTGTATCGGTATCATGGCAGGACTGCAGCATTTCCGTCGCCAAGATGCCGTGGTTAAGGATGGCCAGGTGATTGTCTACGGACTCGACGAACGCGTTCCTGTCGCATTGAACATCACGCATAAGCCGCTCTCCGTTACCTTCCACACCTTCGACGAAGGGAAACGGGTGATTATCGATGCGACTCGGAAGGAAGAGCAAGCGTCTGAAGCAGATGTCGTGATAGGCATCAACAATGCGGGGGATGTGTGCTTTGTCTCCAAGTTCTCCGGATCCCCGGTGGACGCAATGGTTTTTGTGGACAAGACCTCTGTTGCGCTGGAAAAGGTTAAGGAGATCAATGGAATCATCGACAAGGCACTGCAAGCTGATCTTGCGAAGCGGGCGAAGAACGGCATGGCCGAGCAGTCACGAGCAGAAAACGATCGGTAATCGGACTTGAGGTGTAGAAAGCAACCTTATTTAATGGGCTAAGACAATACATGAGATCGATGTATGATAGGAGCTACTGGCATAGACTGACTGAGCTACAAGCTTGGCCAAAAGAAACTTTAATCCAAAACCTGGTTCACCTTTCTATGACTCTTGACCCTCCTAGTACACCAGTGGAGGATTCACTACGCAGCTTTGAACAACTTTCGAACACGCTGTTTATCATTCAACAAACTTTCTAGACTGCTGCATTGCGTTATTTCTTTTCCAATCCACCTCAACTGCAACTAAGCGGCAGATGTGTCGCTTAAAGGGCCGATAAATCAAGCCTTGTTAACAACCACGCTGTTCTAGCCATATATTATAGGTTGCGGACCATAATGATTGCACTTATAGATCATTGACACGTCACTAACGAAAGATTCTTTCTGCTGTAGCAGTTCCATGAAAATGTCTGGGTCAAAATATTGGCCTGTCTTGTGGAGTCAAGCATATGAATTGAATATAAAGAGCAGGCCCGTGCAGGATCTTAATGCGACGTTCTGAGAATCCGAAACAAGCCCAAACGCTTTCACCGATGCAAGAACCCACATTTAATTTCGGACACTATGCCAAGACATGGTTCTCAAAATAAAGCTAGAATAGTGTCCTTTAGCTCCTCAAACTAAGAAGCCCGGGGATAACGATTTGGCGCGTGGTCTAGATATATACCTTGCGGATTAAAGGATTCGACCGTGATAGGCCATTGCATTGGTGTATAATCATTTCATCTTGTGGTCCTTGCTTGGTGAACGCCAACCTCCCACAGTTACCCCGACACTGCTAATATCCGTTTTCCATACAATCGCGACGTCAATGTCTATCATGTCTGCTTGTCAAAGTTGCACTAAATTCAACTCGGTTCGGCCCGCGAACCAGTCGACGGCTTGAAGGCTACTTCCACCATTCCTCCACTTATGTCAGTCTTCCCCCGAAAGTCATATAAACCAATTGGACGGTGAAAAGAAAAGTACTCAGCAACGCTTTATGTCTCTGGAAACACCTTGGCAGTCCCTTACACTTCATCCCATGCGAGGATGAATACGTGTTTCAAATGACTAATTGTATTCAACCTACGATTGCAATGTGGCAGTCTACATATGTGGAGAAATCTTCTTTATCACATGCAAGACTGCTGTGGCCACTTCGATGAAATTAGGCCTGAATATATTCGTTTCAAATCGTATTCATGTCCCCATACTGAGTTTTTCTGATCACTCATTCTTGGCATAAAAGAGCTTCATCTCGGGACCCAAACGGAAGTCAACAATCACCGCTGACATGCGGCTCTAATAGGATCTCTTCTGATAGACTATGATACAGGTCATGTTACATTCCATGATACGTCCACAGCACCTTCGTGTACTGGAAGCTTACTTCAACGGTAAGAATATCATTATTGGGCAAACCACGTTGTGCGACATGAGACAGGCAAGTAAGGCAACTATAGACGTACTTACCAAATGGTGGTTGAATTTTCCCAAGGGCGAAACCCATTCAATCACCAGGATACAGGTTCCATAACTTTTTAGCATCTTTCATTAGGCAATACCCGCAGTGTATGTTCTCCAGAGCGACCTGATTCACCTACTATATGATACAGGTCGCTAAAGGGCTTTCTTAGTGGGTACATTCTTCTAGGCTATTCGGGCTTTCACATCGTGCAACAGTGTCGCACTTATACACACACGTTACATTGTGGTTCTCAATTTGAAAGGGAAGCCTGGTTCGGGAATATGTGTACAACCATGGAATGACTGGACACAATGATGAAATTAAGGCCCCCCGCCGGTATACTGCATATAGATCAGCTGACACAGATCATCGGATTCTAACCAAGGTAAGGAAACTCTCAAGGTGGAGAAAGTTTCGGGATCAGATGGCTTGTTCTTTAGCTATCTACGGAGCCATCCCCCATCACGCTTGCACATTCCATCATGATCTGGTCCATTTTTGTGCACATAGCTAGCTCAGAGAAAGCGACCACAATGGAGGTTCCATCATCAATCCTCTCACCAGCAGGGCTCCGGGCTGGTTTGGAGTCGGATCTGGGTAGCCTGGCGGCCTCTGCTGCGGGGTTGGGACTTCTTTCCCACCTGAGCATCTTCCGCACAAGCTTCCCGGTCGAAGATTATCTCCTTGGAATGCTTGCACTCTATGCTCTGGCCGTGCTATCAATGGCCTCGGCATACTTGGCATTGACGCAATTCTCCATCGCCCAAACTTTGTTCAGAGTGGCCTTGATCTCATCGGCGTTCAATATCGGTCTGATTTCCAGCATCGGCGCCTATCGATTCTTCTTCCATCGGCTCCATCCATTCCCAGGTCCTCGGTGGTCCAAGTTGACCTCTTTTTATAGTGCTTACTTGGCGGCCAAGAATGTGCAATACCATGTGGAAGTCAAGAAGCTTCACCAGGAATATGGCGACTTTATCCGAACCGGTAACCTTGCACATGCGTTTTGACCTTGCCTCTGATTGCACATTTAACATATTTTGTTCTTGTAGGACCACGAGAGCTTTGCGTCGTTCGAAAGTCCGCCATACCTTTGGTCTTCGGCCCACAATCCAAATGTCGCAAGTCGACTTTCTATGCGCATGCGTCAACAAACCCCAAGCAGTGTAATATACACCACACTCGCGACTTTGAGGACCATCGCAGACGGAGAAAGGCATGGGACCGGGGCTTCAATTTGAAATGTTTGTAGACCAGCATGGCCCCTTTCTTTACTATGAGTTTATTATAGTTCATTTACTGACATTACAAACTATCTTTCTAGCTCTCGGGATGTATGAGCCTCGAGTCAAGGTAAAAGTGGATCAGCTCGCTTCCCACATTGGAAATACTCTGGGCCAGTCTATCGATGCGACCGCTTGGTCCATGTTTTTGAGTTTTGATGTCATGGGAGATGTTGGGTTTGGCAAAGAATTCAAGAACCTTACTACGGAGGTGGAACATCCGGCGATCAAAGGAGTCCATGATCATATGGTGATCCTCGGTGTCGCAACTCACGTCCCGTGGCTTCTGTATCTTCTCAGCCGTGTTCCAGGAGCCGTATCTGGTTACTCGAGCTTCTTTAAGTGGTGTGCTGATGAGATTGAGCGGAAGCAGGAGGTATGTCAAGCCTCAGTGTGATTGTCTCATAATAAACCACTAATCATTATATCGTGTCATGCTTTCGCAGATTTGGGATGCCACTGCATATCCCGAAGATGTCGTTTCGTGGCTCCTAAAAGCATATGTGGAGCAAGATATATCGGCTCCTCCTTCTAAGGCAGCACTCCATGATGACTCGCGTGCTATTATAATCGCGGGCAGTGAGACCACGGCTACCACTTTGGTCAGCATTCTCTACTATTTGGCTAAGCATCCATCTGTGCTATCCAAGCTTCAACGAAAACTGGATGAGGCTATGCCGGGCGGAGCAAAGGACTGGAGTTATGAGAGGGTCAAAGAAATCCCATTTATTGACGACATAATCAACGAGACTCTTCGACTCCGACCCGTTTTGATGACAGGGGGTTCTCGTGTTACCCCAATGGAAGGGCTACAGGTTGACGAAGTCTATATTCCAGGAGACATTAACGTCTTTGTGCCGTTACAGCTAATTCAGAACGACAAAAGATACTACAGGGATGCTGAGAAGTTCATTCCGGAGCGATGGGGCGAGAAGAAAGACGAGATGGGCACCGATGGTGCTCCCTTCATACCGTTCCTGTCGGGTAGGTGATGCCTGTTCTTTTCCACAGCGAAAGACCCTTTTGCCAGATTTCGAGCTCTGACACTAGGTATTAGGTCCTTATATCTGTCCCGGAAGGAGCTTGGCTATGCTCAGTCTTCGGACCAGCGTATCCACCATAGCGCAGCAATACAACTTCTCGTTTGCCCCTGGTGAGACTGGTGAGACATTTGAAACGGGGGCCCTGGATACTTTTACAACGAGCCTGCCTCCTTTGCAGCTTGAGTTCCAACGACGCTGAGATGGCGCATGATGTGTATTTGGATTGGTATGATAACGATGGCATGATCACAGGGTTTTGTTCTCCCTCTTATGGCACGTTCTTTGAACCGCTTCCAGTCAGCAATTTCTGGTGCCCAGCTATCAAGTTACTTTGCACTTTGGATCTTTGAATGCTATCCAGGGGATCTATTGGTGATTCTGATGATAAACGACCAGAACGCCGGGTCTATTAATAGGAGTGAAGCCTACTAGAATCGTGGCGCAGCTTGTCTTTCGGTTCGTTGTGGGTACACTGCAATTTTTCCATATGGATCACAGATGAGCCAAGCCACGAAGAGCAATTGGGTTGTGTGCCAAGACCTTGATTCCAACTAGTAGCCATGATACTATCCCTAGTCTTACAGGGCTTAAGTAGACAGTAAGTAGATAGTAGATAGATAGTACCAACAGAATGGTTCCGAGAGATCTGCCTCAGGTGTCCAGTGGTGTAACGGTATTACCACGATACATCATGCGACCATTCCCGGTCCGGCATCGCTAACCCGATCTGGCCGTTTCCATCCTTCGCCTGAACGGCCAACAACTCAAGCCTCCCTCTCATCAGGCGGATTGGATTGCTCTCGTGGGGACGTCCCTACTGCTATATTAATCTGAAACGGTTCCAGAGGGTCGGGGCCAGGGAGCTCTCCTCCCGTCATTCTGGCGGGCAAACCCAAGGAGCAACTGACCTGACAAAGAACCGTGTCGGCCCAGCCACTGGCGGTGATCCAACGCTAACTCTGATTAGCCTCGACGCCTTTGCGCGGCATCTGGCTTAACCTCCAGGCAGTCAGAATTTCTCCCCCATTCTAATCTCTCCACCCTCCTCGTCGCTGACTATCGCTTTTCGGTGATCTCGTCGACTCCTCGTGTGCTCCGATCGCGTTACAAGTCCAGCATCCTCTGTGTCCCCCTCTCTCCCGTTTCGGCCCGGCCAATCAATGCTCCAGGGGCACCTGTTTGTCCGCCCCAAGCGTCATGGCCAGCGGTAGGCCTCCCGGTCCTCATCCAGCCGCTGGCCACAATGATGAACTGCTGCTGGATGAGTCGGCTCCCATGTACAACACGGGGCAACGCCCACCCGTCAACGATGACCATTTGTTGCGACAATACGACATTGACGACTCCGACCATCCCCAACCGCGACCTTCGGTTTCCTACGACCATTTCGTCGGCGGACAGGCGCCGCCGCAGTCCGGCGCTCATGCGATGCCCGCGCATCCCCCCACCCAGTCGGGGGTATACGTGACCGATCCTTACTCGGGGGCCGGCAGGTCCCGCACCTATTCGCAGACCTCCGGGTTAAGCAACTACCACCGCTACTCGCTGGACGAATTTGACGATGACCGGTCAATGCACGGATACTATGATTTGGACTACCAAGATGATAATCATTTACAGCCCGACAGCCGCGTCCGGCAAGCAAAGGACAGGAATAGCATACTGGGTCTGGGAGGCGGGTTGATGGGCCGAGCAAAGCACATGCTGGGCATGGGCGCTGAATACTCGGAGATGGATCTGCCCCTGACGGAGGCTGGAGCTCGAGCTGCACGGGTGGACAGTGCAGATCCGGATGAAGGCGCCGCCGCCGGTGCCCCGAAGGCACCCAAAAAGTCGGAATTCAAGTTTGGATTCGGGCGCAGAAAGGCCGACCCGTCGACTCTGGGACCTCGCATGATCGTTTTGAACAATCCACCTGCCAATGCCGTGCACAAATTCGTTGACAACCATGTCTCCACCGCGAAATACAATGTTATCACTTTCATCCCGAAGTTCCTCTACGAACAATTCTCGAAATACGCCAATCTGTTCTTCCTCTTCACCGCCGTTCTCCAGCAGATTCCGAACGTGTCTCCGACAAACAAGTATACTACTATCGCCCCGCTGTGTATTGTGTTGCTGGTATCGGCCATCAAGGAACTCGTCGAGGACTACAAGCGGAGGTTATCGGATAAAGGATTGAACAATTCAAAAACGCAGGTTTTGAAGGGATCCGGATTCCATGAGACCAAATGGATCGATGTCGCTGTCGGAGATATTGTCCGGGTCGAATCCGAACAACCGTTCCCAGCTGATTTGGTCCTGCTGGCATCGTCGGAACCGGAGGGCCTGTGTTATATTGAAACCGCTAATCTGGACGGGGAAACCAATTTGAAGATCAAGCAAGCCATCCCGGAAACCGCGCATTTGGTCAGCCCCGCAGATCTCAGTCGTTTGAGTGGACGCGTCCGATCAGAGCAGCCAAACAGCAGCCTGTACACTTACGAAGCGACGTTGACTATGCACGCTGGCGGTGGTGAAAAGGAACTGCCCCTCGCACCGGATCAGCTTCTCCTTCGAGGTGCAACTCTCAGAAACACACCATGGATCCATGGTATCGTCGTCTTCACCGGTCACGAATCGAAGCTGATGCGTAACGCGACGGCAACCCCGATCAAACGAACTGCAGTGGAGCGCATGGTGAATGTTCAGATTCTCATGTTGGTTGGTATTCTGATCGCACTCAGTGTGGTCAGTTCCGTTGGTGACCTGATTATTCGGCAAACCGAGGCCAACAAGCTCACATACCTCGACTACGGCACTACGAACCCGGTCAAGCAGTTTGTCCTCGACATCTTTACTTATTGGGTCCTCTATTCAAATCTTGTCCCGATCTCGCTTTTCGTGACGATTGAGATTGTCAAGTATGCGCAGGCGTTCTTGATCAATTCCGATCTGGACATCTATTACGATAAGACCGATACCCCGGCGACGTGCAGAACGTCCTCGTTGGTTGAAGAGTTGGGCCAGATTGAGTACATCTTTTCCGACAAGACTGGGACTCTGACGTGCAACATGATGGAGTTCAAGCAATGTACAATTTCTGGTATTCAGTATGGCGAGGAGGTCCCCGAAGACCGGCAAGCCACCGTTGAGGACGGAGTGGAAGTCGGAATCCATACTTTCAAGAAGCTGAGGGAGAACCTGCACTCTCACCCAACAGGGGGTGCCATTCATCACTTTCTTACTCTGCTTGCCACCTGTCACACGGTCATTCCGGAGAGGTCGGAAAAGGAGCCGGGGAAGATCAAATACCAAGCGGCATCTCCTGACGAAGGTGCTCTTGTCGAAGGTGCTGCAACCCTGGGATATTGTTTCTCCAATCGGAAACCCCGGTCTGTGATCTTCACAGTAGGTGACCAAGACTACGAATATGAACTCTTGGCGGTCTGTGAATTCAACTCGACCAGGAAGCGCATGTCCACGATTTTCCGCTGTCCAGATGGAAAGATTCGCATCTATACCAAGGGTGCAGATACTGTGATTCTTGAACGCCTGCACCCCGACAATCCTACCGTTGAAGCGACCTTGCAGCATCTGGAGGAGTATGCATCTGATGGTCTTCGGACGCTGTGTTTGGCTATGCGTGAAGTTCCCGATGACGAATTCAAACAGTGGTATCAGATCTACGACAAGGCCGCAACAACAGTCGGTGGAAACCGTGCCGACGAGCTTGACAAGGCCTCGGAGTTGATCGAGAAAGATTTCTATCTCTTGGGTGCCACAGCTATTGAGGATCGTCTGCAGGATGGTGTTCCAGACACCATTCATACCCTTCAGACAGCCGGAATCAAGATCTGGGTTTTGACTGGTGACAGACAAGAGACTGCCATCAACATCGGGATGTCATGCAAGCTTATTTCCGAGGACATGACCTTGTTGATTGTCAACGAGGATAACGCCCTGGCCACTCGAGATAATTTGACAAAGAAACTCCAAGCGGTTCAAAGTCAGGGTACTTCCGGGGAAATCGAAGCGCTGGCTCTTGTTATTGATGGGCGGTCTTTGACTTTTGCCCTCGAGAAGGATATGGAGAAGTTGTTTCTGGACCTAGCTGTCATGTGTAAGGCCGTGGTCTGCTGGTAAGTGACCTTTGTGCGTCTTGTAGACATCTAGAACTAATACTCGTCTCAGTCGTGTTTCTCCCCTTCAAAAGGCTCTCGTTGTCAAGCTTGTGAAGCGCCATCTCAAGTCGCTACTTCTCGCCATTGGAGACGGTGCAAACGACGTTTCCATGATTCAGGCTGCACACGTTGGTGTCGGTATTAGCGGTGTTGAGGGTCTACAGGCTGCTCGGTCTGCAGATGTTTCGATCGCGCAATTTCGTTATCTGCGCAAGCTCCTCCTTGTCCATGGAGCCTGGAACTACCACCGGATAAGTCGCGTGATTCTGTACTCGTTCTACAAGAATATCGCGCTCTACATGACGCAATTCTGGGTAAGTTGGTCGTCCTCGCTTGGCTTGCACTATAACTGACAATCCACATAGTACTCCTTCCAAAACGCTTTCTCTGGCGAGGTCATCTATGAATCTTGGACTCTGTCTTTCTACAACGTATTCTTCACCGTGTTTCCCCCGTTCGCAATGGGTATTTGTGATCAATTCATCTCCGCTCGACTGCTAGACCGCTATCCCCAGCTGTACCAGCTTGGACAGAAGGGCGTATTCTTCAAGAGACACAGTTTCTGGTCGTGGGTTGCGAACGGGTTCTACCACTCTCTTTTGCTGTACGTCGTTTCAGAGCTCTTCTTCCTCTGGGACGGCCCACAAGGAGACGGCAAAACGTCCGGCCACTGGGTTTGGGCCGAAGCGACATACACCGCTGCACTGGCCACTGTGCTTGGCAAAGCGGCCTTGATCACCAACATCTGGACCAAGTACACCTTCATCGCCATCCCCGGATCGATGGTGCTGTGGCTCATCTTCCTCCCGGCCTACGGTTACGCCGCCCCCGCCATCGGCTTCTCCCAAGAGTACTACGGCACGATCCCCCGTGTCTTCAAAGCCCCCGTCTTCTACCTGATGGCCATTATCCTCCCCTGCATCTGCCTCCTCCGCGACTACGCCTGGAAGTACGCCAAACGCATGTACTACCCACAACACTACCACCACGTGCAAGAAATCCAGAAATACAACGTCCAGGACTACCGTCCACGCATGGAACAATTCCAGAAAGCGATCCGCAAAGTCCGTCAAGTCCAGCGCATGCGGAAACAGCGCGGCTACGCATTCAGTCAAGCCGACGAAGGTGGTGGCCAAATGAGAGTGCTAAATGCTTACGATACTACCAGGGGCAGAGGACGCTATGGTGAAATGACCAGCTCCCGGGCTCTGGTATAATGACTGACTGACTGATTGATTAACTGACCCCCTCCCCCCGCCACCCTTTTTGTCTGTATCTCACTTCCCCTTTCATTTCGCTTCTCTGTAATTCTTTTACTTGTCCATCTCGAGTCCCATTGCATCCTCATCACCCTCATCCAAGTATACATGTATTGCATTTTCTGGCGATGAAAGATGAAATTGAAGTTCATTATTCCTCTTTTGCTCTTGGACTGGATGAATGGATTGGTGTGTCTCTTTTCGCTGCTTTTCTCTTACATAGCCATAACTACTTCCTCGATGAGACAATGTGAAATCAATGTTGAATTTCTTTTTTCATGTTTTTCTTTTTCTTCTTTTCTTTCTGTGCAGATAGTAGGCAGGAAGGATTCCGCTACGTAAGTAATGAATCTATGATCAGAACGGAATCTCAATTATAGTACTACATAGTATTTACTTTTGTCGGTTCCTGTTGTAAGTAGCTATCCATATTGACCATCTCATCTGATCCCACGAATAGAAAGAATAAGGCTACTATATATACCCCACCCCTCCCCTTTCCACCCCATCCACAAAAGAAATGAAAATAATGAGATCAACGAGTACATCTCTCCCCAGCCCCCCTCCACCCAATCCCCAACCCCTCCATAACCAACCTTTCCCTCTCCTCCCAAGTAGCCCCCTCACTCTCCAAGTCTACCACCCTCCCCCCAGAACTCCTCTCCCTAACACCACTCGAATCGAACTTCCATCCACGAGTCTTCTTCACATATCGTCTCAGATCCCGCTCGAAGGTCTTATCGCCTGACCAACCGAGCACAGCACATCCGATGGTTCGCCAGGGGGAGATTATGATGTCGACGCGGCGATGGGGATTGGGGTTTCGTTTGGTTCTTTGGTGGGGGGATTCTGTTGGTGATGTTGGGGTAGGGTCGTTGAAGTTTGGGTCTTGCCAGACGACGAGGGCTTTGTCTAGTGTGTCGAAGCTTTTCATCGTGGAGGAGGAGGATGGGGAGGAGTCGGTGGTGCTGTGACTTGCTCTGTAGGGGAGGGTTTGTTGATCACGCTGGGAATTCATGAGATGGAGGGCGAGGGTGTGGGTGATCCAGCCGGTGGATTCGAGGGCTGCGACTACGTCGATGATGAGGTTTTTGGTAACCTTTTCGTCCGGGTGGGTGAGGATGAGGTCGACGTCGCCGCAGAGGGTCTTGCCTCGACGGTAGCCGCCGGTGATTATGCATTGGATGTCCTGTTTGGGGGTTGGGCGGGCGAGGTTGGCGTGGTGGGTTACGATGTGTGCGATTTGTTGGACTTCTGGGCGAGGGATCCCGGATAGGAATTCGTCGTAGTATTTGACCCCGATTTGTTGCACGCGGGTGAGGCTCGACCAGCCGTGTTCGATGATGTCGTCCAGGGTGGTCCAGTGGCGGGAGTAGTGGAATTCCCGGGCCGTTTTGGCGCCTACTCCCCAGATGTTGTAGAAGGTGTGGAGGATTTGAAGGGTGGGGTCGGTGGAGAGGGGAGTGGCGGCGGAGAGGGTGCCTGTTGGGCTGTGTTGGTATTCGTGGAAGAGGTTGGCGATTTTGGTGTCGCAGCCGGGGAGGGAGAGGATTTCGGATGGGCGCCGGAATTCGTAGGGGTAGGCGGCGATGGAGGCGATGGAGGTACTGTACGCGCGGACGCCGATCTCGTCAAGGGTAAGTTCGCGGATTTGCCGGATTTTGAGGAGTTGGTTGATGAAGGGTTCGTTGGGGGGGTGGAGGGGGGTGGAGCGGAGGCAGGCGTAGAGGACGTGGTTTTTTACCCAGTCTGGGGCTGGAGGGAGAGGGACGGTTTCGTCGTTCTCCGAGGTGGTGGTTCGGTAGAGTTTCGGGGGGTTGCGAGCAGAGTCGTGAGTACGGGGGTGATGGTGTCGGATTGGAGGAGTGGGTGGTCGTGATGCGGCATCTTGCTTTGCTCGTTGGAGGATGTCGCTTGATATGGTGGTTGGTTTGGGGGTTTCTGCAGGAAGTGTGACTCGGCGGGCGAGATATACTGTATATGGGTCGATGGGGAGGAGTTCCTGGGCCTTGAGGCATTGGTCCAGCCAGTCTAGTTTGACGACGCTGATTGTGTCTGGTTGTGCCACGGAAGAAGAGATGGATGATGCGTTCGATGGGTTGATAGTGGTGGATCCTGGTTGAGTGAGATGTCGCGAGAGTTCATGTCGACTTCTCATGCCGTCTTCTTCATCTTCAGTCTCTGTACTGAGGTCGATAATGTCTGCCTGTCCTACAGGCTCTGATTTATGCGCATTGACACGACGTCGCTTCCTTGGGGGTTCAGGCTTGCTGATCGGTTCAGTCCAGATTCCACGAGATCGCAGTTCCAAAGCTGCTCGTCTGTCTTGTCCGATTTTCCCGAGGACTAGCCTGGCTTCAGATATATCGTAGGTTAGACGTGCGTCTCGTTTGATCAGACTCTCTTCTATCTCGTGTAGCGATTCCAGGTTGAGGTGAGTCGGGAGGACGAAGACAGGTGGGCATGATGAAAAACTGGGATTGGATACCCCTGCATCATCATGTATTGGAGAGCTTTCTGGACCTTCAGACATGCCAGGCTATATATCCATTCTTGGCCACCTTTGGCGAATCTTGGTTTATAGATGGACTGGATCAAGGCCAGGTGTTAAATGGCAGAAAGCGTTCCTTCGTAACGTCAGGTTTGAATTATGTCAATATATAGGTGTAGGTATATACAACGCTGGCCTCTTGGGAAACATTAAAGTGTTGAGCTTCCCGGTGCTGGTTATGACGTGGTTGAAGACTGGCTGAATCGTTGCGTAGGTTGAAGGGTTGAAAGGCACCGGATACAGCAATCCTGAATGGAAAGACGCACTGATATCAAGCTCTCGTCATTGCAATGGAAGCATTGTTCTTTGCCGAGGATTGATGCGTGGATGTCGTACGAAGAAAAGAAAGGATCTCGGATCGCGATGAATGACGTCAGTCGCGGTCCTGTTTCTGCCTGAGGCATGAACAGACTGCGGGGCACGTGATTTGGATCACATCCACTTCCTTCTTTACGATCTCATCAACGCCATGATAAAGGCCATTTTCTCGGTCTCAGAGCCCACATAAATATCTATCCTCAATTCCGCACCCATAAGCTGTCCAAGGCAACTCCTAGCAAAGAGAAATGCGAAGCAAGTAGATTCAACTTGGCTTGAATTGTCCATTCCCCCGACGACCATCTGATGAAAACGGCCATGACATCAAGAAAAAGGGCCAGAAACATAATCTTTTCGTTGGACAATACTCGGCCAGCCATAATGGGGTAGTGAGAATTGATTCGCAAAATAGAGCTCGAAGATTGGGTCGATGTTGGAGTGGGATACTGCGTTTTCAGATAGAAGGACGGGGTATGACAGGTTCTGACGCTTGACCCGGGAGGAATTCTGATGTTATATCAATATTAAGACTGTTGAGAGATATGGGGCTCTTATACATGTATAGTGTAGAGGCAGTGCACCGTTGTCAGCAACTTAGCCCGTTGATTAGTGTGTGCACCAGTTCCGAACAGTAGGATGAGGATCCACCAGTACACGTAAACCATCAATCCTTCAATCAAAGCGTCAGTGTGGCTGGCTATGTGCAGACAATCTGATATGCAGGTCAGAGTTTGGTCCGATATAAATTGTTTCAGTAAATCTTTATTTGGGTGATTATTGGGGCTGAACCTGAAGGCTTATGCTTTGGGAAAAGGTTTATCGGAAAAACAATAACTTTTTCTATGTCATCAGATATAGCTCGAAAGGACCATCCGGTCTAGCATCATCAATGCATGTCAGTTGCATAGTCGTATACCATCAGCTCTTCCCACAGCTAGTGTATGTGCAGTGCCATTACCGGGCGGGTCCATCCACCGGTTCCACTGTAAGAGATGCGGCCCCCTTGCCGGCAGCACCATAGCTGATCGAAGGTGTGTCGTCTCTTTCTTCGTCGAGAATAGGCGTGTCAGGTGTTGTAGTGGCTGGTTCATCCCGATAGCCTTCTACATCAGTAACAATCGTTTTGCCATGTCTCCTGGCAATCCATCTTCTCCAAGGCTTGTACACAACCACACTAAGACCACCAATGATGATAAAGCAGCCACAGATGCCGCCACCAATGGCGTCGTAGTAGTCTCCTGCCACCTGTACGCCATCCCAGAATTTCCCCGTAGGGTTAGCAACGTTCAGAACGAGGGTGAGCAGCTGGATCACGCCAATGACGATTGCCACCATGACCGTTAAGCACGTCAAGACAATGGAGTAGTACAAGAATGCCACCGGGTCCCGGTGGTTCTTGGATGGCTCGACCTCTTGGTCTTCATCAATCAGTGGTGCCGTAGAGGAGTTATCACTCTTTGGTGGGAGGAAGTTGGCCGATGGCTGTACGTAAAGAGAGAGCATCAGGGCTCCGTCAGTGGTATCGAGGAGACACATTCCAGCTGCGTAGTACTTAGCAAATGGAAAACACTTCGGGCTCTGTGATGGCTGTCTTACCGGTGAATAGTGCCGGGAAAATCAAGATGACCCAAAAGTTAGTGCCTTTGGCAGCCTCGACAGACGAGATACCAAGAAGAGCAATTTCAGAGGATGTGTCAAATCCAAGGCCAAACAATATGCCAAGGGGATACATTTTCCAAGGGCTGGCAAAACCTTCGGTTAGCTACTCGCTGACATCGGTGTGGGTGATGCTTACCGATCAATGAGTTTGAACATGCGCTTCAGCACCGAAAATAGCAAGCCGCCGCCTTCGATCTTCCAAATTTCATCTTCTTGTCCTTCTGGGAGGTCTATGACCTTCTGTAGCTGTTTGTACAGTTTGTATAGGATGTATGCATTCATAAGGCCCAGCAAGATCAAGAAAGCAGCGCTGACTGAGGTGCCGATGATGCCACCAATAGTACTAAAACTGTCAAACCGTGAGGATATAGCTGCAGCAGTAGCTGCTACCACAATGGACGTGATAATAACAATGCTGTAAATCATTAGCAGAAGCATGGTGTGTTATATTCCAGGGACTCACGTTGAATGACCAAGAGAGAAGAAAGTTCCTACAGTGACGGGCTTTTGGCCCGTTGCCAATAATCTTCTGGTCATCAAATCGATGGCCTGCATACAGCGATTAGACTAACCCTCAAAGTGGATATCGCATGCTTACCGAGATGTGATCCGCATCAAAAGCATGTCTTAACCCCAGAGTATAGGACAGCACAGCATTGGACACCAAGGCTCTGGAAGAGGTTAGCTTGCCTTACAGCATCGCTAACTGCATAGTTTACGAAATGACATACGGGTGATAACGCTGTTTACCTGTTAGCTCATGGCCCGAGATGAATTATGTTGGATTGAAATGACTAGCAATGGAAAATGCATACCAAGACAATTGCAGCAGCAACCCACACGACAACATTGATCAACGCAATGAATAGAATAATGACGATCGCAGGCAAAGGGACCTTTCTGATTCCCGGCAATCGACGATGCGATCTTTCGGCCTGCCTCACAAGCGACTTGACTTTCCACTTGCTACCAGGCGCATGGTTCTGGTTGTTGCCCTCGGATGCATGGTCCGGGTCAGGAGTGGGAGAGGTCGAGTCCCGCATGGTTGAGAATGACAGCCACAGGGACTCTGGATTTGTCTTCGGTTCTAATTATTGGGTTGATGATGAAGTGGCTGAAGTAGCGGATTTATCATCGGTCGGGGATGTGCCGTGGGGAACGTCAACTTTTTTGGGCCGTGGAGGGGAAGCCCGTGATAAGGCACGCCGGCGATAACTATAAGAAATTTAGACGGGCGAATTATCAATGCCAACCGAGCGGTGGATCCGAATTGGCGAACTGGCGACCACTGCAAAGACATTGACTATCCAAGGCTGGTTTCTCGAGGCCTGCAGTGGATCTCAATCGGTCGTCGTCCCCCACAGGGTCCCCTTGCTAGTTGGTCAACGCTGGATTATCGGAGAGACCCGGGGTGAGTACTGAGTAGGAGGCAAGTTATGTCGCCTAGCATCTTGAGCAACCAACGAAGATAAATGCAACCGATGCTTTGCTCTGCCTTGGAAGACGACCGCCACGTGACCCGCCCGCATCTGGAGGCGGAGGTCGCCGACTCTCCCCGCTTCTTCTTCTTCTGCTTTATCATCTATCTACCCCTCATGGTCTAGTGGTCTAATCACAGCATGGGTAGCAGTCATTCATTTCATGCAGAACTATCGTACACATCAGGTTCCATCCCTTCCATCGTTCCCTCCAGAGTTACTCCCTGGACCTGATCAGACATCGGTCTGAAACACAGATCCGTATGCGGGTAATATTCGATCTTGCGAAGTTTTCCAATCCCACGGGCGGTTTCCCATAGACAGATAGTACCTACTACCCGTGAACCACTGCAATGCGAGTGGTCCCTGCACCTCGTTGGCCGGTTTGCCGACATCGCTCGGATAGCTCCACTTGGCAGGCATCGATGATGGCTGGCAGTGGGCGGGTTCCGACCCAGGGTGGAGTGGAACGGGTCCTGCGCTGGTGGGTTAGCATGTTCTGCAGGACCACACTCGGTTTCTAGACATCCTTACCCTGTGGATTGCAGGTTTCCTCTTGAGGAAATGCCCTAATGTGCATGTGTAGGCCTAGAGGCCGTGGTGAGGATATGTCAAGTCGGCCTGGCATGATGCCAAGCGATCAAGATGCTGATTCACGCGGCAGCCATAACCGTTGGCGACGGGGTCCACTTGGTAACGGTCGCCTTGCCACAAGGAAAGTCTGTTACGACCAGCATATTCCATTCGTTCCGAGTAATCGGAGTCACATCGGATGCAGACAGCGGGGTCTTGGGCCCTCGTTTGGTGGGCAGGTTGTATCTCGTCGGTGGGGGGTTCTGTCGACGGGCTGCTCGGATCGCGCGGAGTGGTGATTTGCGAGCAAGCTCGGCCTTTGGCCGAGGAGGCATAATAATCCCCTCCTGCTTGTATTGCTTTCTGAAGGAAGTCGCCACCTGGGTGAGGAGCTCGTCGGGTACATCCAGCTGCTCATAGACGCGATGGAAGAAGCCCCTGCTGAAGGGACGGCCATGGAAGTCTTTGATAGTACGCTGGAGGAGTTGTGCGCACGAGGTGATGTAGGTGTCTTCGGGCGGGGTGCTCCGATGGGAAAGAATGCACAGTCGGCGCTTGAGGGTATAGATGCGGTCCACGTTGAGCAGCGTCAGGCCCTCCCGACTGAAAATCACTTCATTCTGCATGATCGACTGCTGAATCAGGTAGTCGTGGGCCTGGCGCTCGTGCTGGCTCCGGTTCAGGGCATCGGTCCAACTGGGGCCGAGGGAGAATTTGCTGGCTCCCTTGGCCACCGTGCGGTACACGATCCGCCAGGCAGTCTCATCCAGCGGGGTGATGGGGATGACGATGAGATCGGATGGTTGGCCTGTTGGGTAGGGCTTCCCACGGCCGACCAGGAGAGTGACGTGCATCATCCGCTGCTCCAGTTTGGAGGAGACGTACTCGAGAGCGGGAATAATGGAAGGGGTGAGGGTCTCCGAGTCAAAGTTGAACTCTGGAGATAATGGGGAGGAGATCATCTCGCTTGTGAGACCCCGGGTGGGAGAGTTTGGCACATACACGCCGGCTGGGCGAGGCAAACGCATGACACCCATGGTGGAAGGTTGAACAGTAATATTCGACAACAACAAAAAAGGAGACAAATAGTGGTAGTCGAGAATACTTCAACTCCAGTTACGGAAGTTGTGGTTGAGGAAAGAAAGAGGACAAAGGGGTGGTAATAAATCTTCCATCAGCCCTCCGCTGTCAGATGCCAAAGAGGGGAAGGGAAGCCCGGCGGAGGTGACAAGGCGACGACCTTTCGATCCACACTCCACAAATTAGTGCTGCTTCACCCCCTCTTTGCTCTATTTTGGGATTTCCAAGGATAGTAAATCTCCCGGGCCCGCAGCACACGAGAACCAGTCATTGCCAATTCACCTGGATCCGGGGGAATGGAACCCAATAGCAGGGCCGATATAAATAACCTTAAGCGCCCGCGGTGTGCTGTGTGACGGACTCGTGCAGCCCTTATGCAGGTTGGGCACAGCTGATGGCAGCTGACTGGCGGGCCACCTCATCTTAGCGTCGATTCTCTGCCAGTGCCGGATCACTTTTTCTCGCCGGGTCAGGCCAGAGTCTCCCAGACGGTGCAGTAACGGCTGAGATAGCCCTACCAACCTCAATACCTGCCTTTCCAACAGAGCCAGTGCCAACAGTCGTGCTGTATCAACATTTCTTTCAAGATCAGGCTTACCTCATGCCACCTTCTGGTCTATCCTACCGCCCATCTGTCCACCTCCATCCCCCGCTCGAAAATCACGCACCACTGAACCCCGAGGCCCGTTGCGGTTCAGCTGGCCCCCACCGATAAGACCTTGCAGGAACTATTGATTTCCTGCAGACGCACGGCGGTTGATTCCCCCTCCTGAGAGGCGGCTTCCAGAATGGCGTGGTAATAGTTCCATTACCCCGCCTAAGGCAGCCGTGTGTGTGATAAGCTCCTCGGCTGGATTGGACGGGAGGCTGCCATGTGTGCGTGCTGTTGTGGAAGGATGGGTGTCCCTCTGATCATCCCATAGCCGATGGATGTGACATAATTCCGTAGCCTTGCATCGGGGGACTCGGGTCCTTTATCCCTTCCACATGGCCGGTGGATTAACCGCCGAACGGGATGAGGGAGTTGTCTGGTGCATTAGCCGGCAATAGTTCCATTTCACCTGCATGGTGATAGCGATTATGATCTGGATATTGTAAGGCTGTCATTCTTGATGTAGTATGTGATTGTGACCAACGTGATATCGATTATACCTTGGGTTCAAGTGTCTTTGTCTCCCATTACTCCTGTGGATCTGAAGTGCCAATCAACCAATCTTAGCAGCGAAAAGCACGCTTTCATGTTGGGTAGAGTAAACACTTCTTTTGACATGGCCAATGGCCTGGCGATGTACAGCAACAGAGTTGGGGTAACTCCAGCTTCTATTGGATCAATGATTCCTTCGTGTTGGAACCAACTGTTATTCCGCATCTGGCAGAGGGAGACAGACGTGTTGGTGATAAGGTTAATTCAGAGAGGTGATCAATTCCACAAATTGCCGACCTCCACCGTTCCACATTATTTCGGATGGATCGGTCCATCTTATCTATGACCAAAAAGCCCATGCCGCAGGTCAAGAGACACCCTTGAGCCATCCTCTGGGTAATTTATGTAAAATACTGGACCTTATCGACTCTAGCGCCCAATGCATTCTAACAGTTTCCAGTGTCTTTGTATGCTATTATGTATTCATCCCACGCCTTCTCTTGTTATAAAGGTCATAAAACCTCATGTCATGATTTAAACGATGGTCTACATTTATGTTCTTCTGATATCCTGTCTTCAATTATCCTCATTGTCTTTCTGATTTATGATATTTACCCAACATCCACACGTTTCCTACTTTAAGTACCTCCGCCTTCGGGTTACACTATAGAATAAAAGTCCCAATGTCCTCAATCTCCAGATAGGGCCTATATGGCTGACAGTGTAGAACGACTGGGTAATATTAAATATGTGAAGTCATACGGGACTTCAATACCAGGTAGATATTTTCAATGAACAACAATCACTACCTAGAGATGACTAGGTTCAACATCTCTATCTATAATTTCATGTACTTAATCACCTGGACCGCTGAAAGCTATCACCATTCATCTCACACTTTCCGTCAGTAATACCATACCCATTCAGCGATACAAGACACCCAACCCTTGTTTACATAACATCTTTCCACATAAATACAGCTTCTCCCTCTACCACCCCCTAATCCCAACCTACACTCTACACCCCCTTTCAAAAAAATCAAAAAATCAAAACTCAGTCCCTCAAGGTTCAAAACGCAACAGAATTGCGTCATACAATCGCCCGGATGGTCTAGTGGTAAGAAACCCCCACCATAAACATGTCATCCCGTTCCGACACTAACTCCTCAAAAAGGTATGATTCTCGCTTTGGGATAAAAATGCGAGAGGTCCCCGGTTCAAACCCGGGTTCGGGCCCTCATCTTTTCTTTTTTTCTTTTCCCTTTCATCTTTTCCCCTTTCTTTTCTATCTTTCTCTCTTCATCTAGGGGTTTTAGGGATCGATCCTATCAACAAAAAGCAGAGAATGAGCAATGAAGGGCATGGTATGATATCATTAGCTAGAGATATGGTATTTGGGTGTTCACTCACTCCGTTGCGTTAACTTTAGGGCAGTGAATATTAATTACTACTAGCTTAGCCAGTAATAGCACCAAAGCAGGAAATTATACCCAGATAATGAGTATTTATGCCACGAGTGCACGTACCCAGATCGATATCCTAACACTCAATAAATAAAAAATTTAACATTACAATACTAAGTAACTAACTCCTAATTACATTTCAGAATATAACTCTTATTGGCAGATTCTTAATTACCAATGACCTTGCCCTGTGCTGATAGACATCTTTCCTTTTTATTGGTATTTCTCTTGATCCTCGTTCATACCATATTCTGGAAGTTAGTCTTACATTATATTGTCCCGGACATAGTGTGAAGAGTTATAGGTTATACGGAATAGGTGTAGTGTGTGTGTGTGCTCAGCAGCAAGGTTTTATCTCGTAAGGTTTCTGGTAATGCAGATGGTTGTTTTTAGCTGGGATCTCGTCTTTCTTTTCTGTTGGTAGGTTTCTAGGTTTTGATGTGCTGTTATGTTTCTTTTGGACCGGGGGGTGGGGATGGGGTTAGCCACGAAGGCAAGTGTCCGGGACTGCATTTTTGTAGTCTCGTTTTCGACTATGTTCAAGTATTAAGCACCGGGAGTATCAGAGATTGATTACAAAGAGGTAATTGAATTCAAGAATGACATCTAATGTCCAAGTACCTGTCGACCAAGACCAAGATGTATGTCAGGGGTAAGTTGAAATGATAACATAGTTATTAAACAATTTGATCCTGAATTGTGATATCGCAGGGCCATGCCAAGCAACATAAAAGAGAAATGAAAAACACCTATCTGTCATACGTGTGAATCAAACCTGTACCCAACAGCTGTCTAAAATGGACTATGCACCACCTGCAGTGGCAGTAATATTGGCGCGTTTGTGCTGGATTTTGTGAATCATTAGCGTTGGCACTGTGCGATATTGGTTTCGGGATTGATACTTACCGACATAAACACAGCACATACTAAGCTCACTGCCGCACCAACAAAAACACAGATGAACCTGTTGTAGTAATCAGACCTAGGATCCGGGGAGGCATAGGACAGAGGAAAGAAAAGTACAACGTACGTGTTATGCCATGCCGACACAATAATATCCAAGGCTTGCACGCGCAGCGTGTCCGACAAAGAAGCAAGCACATGGCTGCTGGTGCCTGATACGATCTGGCCGACATAGGCGCGAGGAAGGTCTGGGAGAAGAGCATATAGATGGGTCTGGGCTTCATTGACGAAAATCGCTCCGCTGATTGAAAGACCTAGCGTCATACCGCTTAGTTGAGCTAGACGCAGCACGGTTTCGTTAGTGAACTGTTAGGGTCAGAAGATGGAATACATACCCAGGATCATGAGTGTCAGGCCATTGGATGCCTCAGCCGAGGGCACGACAGCTTGGATGACAGCGAATGAGGCTTGGGCGTAGGCTCCAGCCCCGAGACCTAGGACCACCTCTAGTCCGTAGATGACTCCAACCGAGGTATGTGTGTTGACGATGGTGGCTGGGATAGAATATACGTTAGGTGACTATGGAAATTATAGGAGGACGACCCTTACCCATGAGAATGGCGGGGATCAACGCAATGATACTCCCTCCAACATACCAGGGCTTGTAGTACCCGATCCAAGACATGGCAGCTCCGCTGGCGGGAATGGTGGTAATCAAGAGGCAAATGAACGGCAGCAGCCGAACAGCCGACTTGATCGCACTATCGCCCTGGGTGAACTGGAAGTAGATGGGGATGTAGTAGACACTGACACAAGCGACGGCTCCCACGGCCGCACAGGAGATGAAGAGCAGAACTGGTTCCTTCTGACGAAGTAAATGCATGGGAAACATTCGGTTCGGAACGGAAGTGAGAATATTGAAGGCTTGTTGCAGACCAAAGACAACCCACAGGGTAGCCGACACCACAAAGAGGGCGATGATCTGACCGCTGTTCCATGCATACAGTGTGCCACCAAAGTTGATCCCCATCACCAGTGTGGTGAACGCGCCCACACTGAGCACGGCTCCCACCCAGTCGAAGCTCGCCAACTTCTGCCACACAGACACTCCGGGGAGCGGGTCGTTGGATGGAATGACGAAGAGGTATGCAGGGAGTAGGATGGCACCAAGGAGCAGATTGATATAGAAAGCCCAGCGCCAGGTGTACAATTCAAACCCTCCGCCCACCACCGGACCCAGCACCGTGCCTAGACCCCATACCAGGCCTCTGTTTGTTGTCAGTCGTTGCGGAAGCAGACAAGGTCTATGCACTCACGTCAAGCCGAGATACTTTGGCCGTTCCTGACTGGTGGTGTTCGTCGACAGCAGGGCCAGCAGGCCAAAGTACATGCCATTGCCCCCAGCCCCAGCGAAAACACGTCCCACAATCTCTGCGTTCATGGTAGGGGCTGCACCGCATAAGGCCGAGGCAGCCATGAAGACGACCATGGACACAATATATACCCATTTGGCATCGAACATGGCGTATATCTTGCCGAAAGGAAGCATCATTGCCATTCCCCCAATCATAAACCTGTAGCGAGGGTCCGTTAGTTCACGAAACTGGGTTCGTTGACTTGAGCACATACCCGACCGACAACCATGGTAGATCCTCCACCGCATTGAAATGATTGACAATCGTCTAGTACAACATGAGTCAGATTCACAAATGGGTAGAAGAAGAATTTGGATGTACCGGTGCAATGTTGGCCACGATGGTATTGTCGAGTGCATAGACGAAGATGGCGGTCAGGGCACTGACAACAAAGATGAACCACTGGAATTCCCACCGACATGAGTGAGTGAGTGAGTGAGTAAACAAGTAAACGGGTAAATCAAGAAACATCTCGAGCACATACCTTCACACCGACGATATGTCGCTTCTCCTCTTCGCTAAATGAGGCGCCACTCTCGACAGCACTCTTCTTGGAATCTTGCAAAAAGTCAGCCATGACTCTAGGGGATGAGAGAAGCTTGCGGACTGGAATGGCATGAATCAATCTTCCAGTCGATTAGTTTCATATATGTACCAAGCCTGTCTCCCGTGATTACAAATAGGAAAGGCATTCGGAGACATCTGCCAGGATATTTGGGATGTGAATACTGGCCAAGTGATGGTTCTCGGACGAACATTCGCCCGCTGTTGGTTGCACTGCGTGTACGCCGGTCCGCACGGGGATTCGCCTGCCTGACAGGGGTGGAAGGCCTGGGCCTTCGGAGACATCCGCAGCCATATAAGTATCGCATAGGGAATATCTCCCCATTTCCAACTCCCCATTCCCAACTCCCTAGGAACAACACGACACGGAACAACATGATCACCGGATTTTGTCTGTGCGGGAAAGTTCTATTTAATGACAGTTATCGGAAATCGACCGGCTCTGTGGGAATGATTAACAGCTGGTACCCCTCCGAGGCATGTTCCCCAGTGTCCCTCCCTCAACTTGCGTTCGACTAACAAAACCTGATCCAGGCTTTGATTCTAACAAGCATGGTTGGACCGGCGTGCATGCAATGTGCTCTGGGCCGGAGTACAAGCACCTAGTCATATAAAGACCTAGATATATAGCTCCGGATTTGAGGAAAGACTGCTTTTTGAATCACCTCAGTTCATCCTTTCCGTGTCATCTCTGTCAAAACGAACCTGTCGACCATCAAAATACAAACAAACCTCCTCCTCTCCACCTGCAACATGCCATACCCAGACCGCAAGTATATCTACGACGTCTTTCGTCTCTTCTCAGACCCCCCGGAGGGCACGAAGAAATTCTTCGATTATGTCGACGACAATGTGCACTGGCATGTGACCGGCCAGCATCGATACGCCGGCACCTGGACCACCAAGAAAGACTACTACGATGCCACCTGGGCCAACATCGGCCTTCTCCTCGCGGCTCCTGGTCACAATCTCGAGGTTCCCGGGGGTGAGGCTGGCGTCATCGTGGGCCAGGATGGATGGTCGGCGATTGAGATGAAGACAGTGAACACCCGAACCAAAAGTGGCGTCCCCTACACCCAGCACTACTCCTGGCATTGTCGCTGGAACGAAGAAGGGAAAATTGTTGAGGTCAAGGCGTTTCTGGATGCGGACCACCTGGAGAAGGTACTGGGAGGCGAAAAGCGCCGATTGGGCCTTCCGACCTCTTAGCCATTATGCCTTTGCAATCGGGAAGATGCAATCGATGGGGTTCCTGAGTTGCGATTATCTTACCTGTATTTAAAACCAGAAATTAGGAGATATTCTCACATCTGGAATGTCAAGTCAAGTATCGATGGCATTCTGGCGACAAACCCCTCGTAAAATCTAGATAGCTAGGCACCTCGTGGCCGCAGATCGAGAACGTTATCCGAAACAGCATAAAAGGGAAAGCATCCAGTTGAAAAATTACTCTAATTGAGACGCAAATTCCTGCCTTATAACCCTCCCCCTTCCCTACCAGTCCTGGACCTTGCCGTCTCCCTTCCCCGCGACCGAGTCATTTGCCCAGTAACGCCCACTAATATTTCCAATCTTCCCAAACCCGAGTCGAAGGGGAATCCTTGCCCCTTCCTCTGTGAGAAGACAATTGGGTCAGATCCGAAGCACATATCATCAGCGTGAGGAGAATCATACGTACCCACCGTCTTCGGGGGCATCCCCGCCTGTCCCCCCAGCGGCGTATCCACCCACCCAGGACAGCAGCAGTTGATGAGGAGATGAGGGTTGTCTCGGGCCAGGATTCGCGTCGCAGCATTTAAGGCGGCCTTGCTTGTAAAATAGGTGAGCGCAGGCCAGCCAGCCGCGATAGCTGCCGCTGTACCATTGGAGACTGTACTCTACAGGAGGTTGGTTAGCGACGGGTGAATGGGTTAGCAGAAGACCGTCATACGCTATACTCCTCAATCAGAGCCGCTAGTTGCTCCAAAGTCAGGTCGGGGTGCAAGAATCGTTCCTGGAGGCGTGGATGGAAATATTTGAGTTGGCCCGATTGAGAGGACAGGTTGACGATGCGTCCATTGGGGCGCATAATGCGCAGGAAGGCTTGACAGACTCTCAAAGTTCCCCGATAATTGACGGCAAGGGTTTCTCGGCGTTGCGCAGCGGTCAGATTCTCCTTGTAGTAGTAGATTCCCGCATTATTGATTAGGACATCACAACCTTGGTAGTGCTGGCCGATGGAGGTGCTTAGAGTGGATATGCTGGCCGGGCCAGTTAGGGAGAGTCTCGCTGGGTGCACTTGCACTGTCGGTCGGATGTCTCCTAAGTCGATTGCAGCCCCAGCTCGAGAGACGGTGTAGAGGACCAGAGGGCTGGCGCACTGTTGTGCCAGGATGGTGCAGATCGCCCGTCCAATGCCGCGATTCTAGTGATGGTGTGTGGTTTGATCAGACACTCAAATCATAGTGGCCGAGGCGTGGTGGGGGGATGGGGACTCACAGCACCGGTCACGACAGCAACCAAGGGGGTTTCCATTGGACTTGGGTTGAGAGAGAAAAATGGCGAGGGGATTCTTGGTGGTTGGAACAACAATGGAAGTACTAGGCTGCCGAGCGAATAAATGCTGGTCTTTGTGCCTAGTGACTCGTGACTAATGAGAGACAACACTAGTAATGCAATCCCCCGGCATCCTACCCACCTCTCCCTCCACCTCTCCACCTCCACAATCTACGATAAAGGCACACTTCCTTCCGTTCGTTTCATCCCAACCAGACTCAACACCCATTTGATCCCCTCTACCACAGTCTGATGAAAGACCTCTGAGCTCGAAAGCTGTGGGAAAAGCCAAAAGTAATGTGGCATTCCTGGGTAGGTATCCGACTTGTTGGGGATCCTGGATCAGGTCAGATGATGCGAGCAACGACTGCCACAAAAAAAGGGAGACACACCCGGCTTGGTCCAGTTGAAATTTCAGTACCATGGAATCATCGCGAACCGGATCCGCCTCACAGGTGGCCTGGTAAGTCGGAGGCAAGCGTCTGATGCCTGGGTGCAAGCATGGGAATGCATAGGGATTCATGCACTGGATGGTGTCATTGTTGTGCCCTGCGAGGTCGGTTAATAGAGGTTTAGGTCGTGTGAATAAACCCACTTGCCCCCAGAAACGCATCATACTCTCTCCGTCCTGCAACGGAGCCCCCTTCCAGTTCTGCTTATAGGCCTGGAACATGGACCGATATTCGGAAGGGACAAAGTCGGGATGAAGAAGAGCGGGGCAGAGGATGACCACACCACACACCATATATCCCAGGTTCTCGTCAACGAGTTTAGTGTGAGCCCCACGGCGACCATTTCTTCAAGGGATGAGCCAATAGAAAAAATCCGGCGGGGATCGGCTCCCAGTATGGACACGTTCTGGTAGCATTATAGAGTCTGTGGTACTCTCAACCGGTCTCTTACCCATATAAAAGCATCAAAGCAGTCATTGACCTGCGTGGGGATCGGGTATTCCGGCGCCAGGCGGAAGTCAACCTGGGCGATAATGACATTACTATGGTGGGCGATGTATCGACACATGCCTGCGGGCAATAAGCATCGGCAGTGCAGAGATATCATGTGTGGTCCATACGATCTTCGAATGAGGATTTCAAGCACCTCCCGCAGCATGCCCACCCCCATGAGCACTTCTCGTGTTAGGATTGATGCTGAAGCAAACAGATACAGGTCACAACACGTACAAAACTCCTAAAGGTAACGTGCTACCGAGGAGAACATTGGTTGGAACATAGACACGAATGGCAATGCCCGAATCGGTCATGGCTTTGTCTGGTGTTTCTATCATAAAGTCAGGGTCATAGGACACAATGTTAGGGGAAGAAGTATGTACATGGCTGTTAGGGGGACCGACGTACTTGTGCAGATACCTTTAGGCAGTCCCGAGCGGCCCCGCGTACAGTATCATATTCTGGTGTCACTTGTTCTCAGAGTGCAAAAGTCGGTGCTTACGGTCCATGTCTACGAGATCGTTGGAGAAACTCAGCCAAGGCCTTCAGGTGTGCAGGTTAGAAATATGAATGCTGTTCTACATTGGAACATAGGACAGGGAAACTATGCACGTGCGCTCTGATTGGATCCCGTTCCGTGCAGACTTGTAAATTTCAGGACGGACCTGAATATGAACACGACGTACTCATAGAGCCTGAATCATCTACTGTCTTTCAAAGTGAAATCGCGAATTACTTGCCACTGCAACCTGTAATAACGAGTTGACTGTCATCGTATCTGGCTCTTCTATTGTTAGGACCACTTTTGAGGCATCCGACGCCGACCGAGCCGTATAATGAGCACTCTCTACCCTCTGGTAACTTTGATTTGTCGAGATAGGTACCTCGGCTCGCCCAGATGGATGAAGAGAGGGGAGATTATTAGTTTCGCCCATCATTTCATCCTGCTGAGGGTCTGGAAGCCCCTCTATCATAGGCATCGAGGTGCATATCTCGAAGTCTGAATCGCCAAGGGCAATCCCACGAAGATCAAAGTCAGGTCCTGCCCGGAGTGCTGCATACAATGCGTCCTGGGAGATCTCGGTGAAAATATCCCACGGCGGTTCGTACATGAGATCTGGACTCCCTATATTTGGTGTGATTTGGGCCAAGTCGAAAGAAGGTGATGCAACTACCTCAGCGGAGCTGCTGTGTGGGCCTTGCGCTTCCCAATAACTCACGTCCTCTTCGCTCTTCTCATAACCGCCCTGATTATCTTGTTCCTGAACCTCATCCTCATCATCATCACCACCATCATCGTCATCAATCTCCATCTCGTCTTCAGCCTGGTGCTTCAGCTGTATCGCGCCAGAATCGGGACCTAGCGCGCCGTCCTTGGGCGCGATCTCATCATTCTTGTTCTGCGACTTCATACGTCGACGTGTCACAATTGTAAACCTAATGACCCATGTCAGTCTGATCCCTATCGAATATATGTCTGAACATCAAAGCCTACTGGTTCTTGATCGAATTCCGTGATCGGGCTGGAAAATATTCCACCTGGATCTGCTTCCACCTTCGTCCCTTTGCGCAGACTGCCTCCAGCAAGCGGCAACTCTAGGCAAACCACCAGTTAGATCATGGTATGTGATTGAGTCAACTTTAGAGCGCTTACCTCGGCCTCGGTCCATTCACTATGATCTAGCTGAGGGTCGAGACATTGCTTCCACCGCTTGGCACACTCTGCGTACAATTGAGCAAATGGCGTCATAGGGATTACAAAGAAGCGACTTACGGTCAGCCGTCCGTGTGGAGACGATGGCTGCAACTTCCGTCCAGCTGCAGTCGAGGTTAGCTGGGATCATGGCATAATGTAAGTCTTGAGAAGAAGTCGAAGGATCAAGCTTACGTCTCTCCATGTAGTCGAACCCCACGCTCCAATAGACAGTCCTCCTCTGGTGTCCAATAACCTTTATTTCGCCCAGCCGCCAAGGCATTGTGCCATCGTTTTCGACAGTCCTTGTTCGTTCGTCCGGGAATTTCACTCGCCACTGCCGTCCAGTCTTTCACCGTGCCATGGGCCACTGAGAAATGGAGCCTGGTTAGCAAACAGGAGAACTAGGAGTAGTAGCCAGGGGATATAGCTAGGGGACCCAGGATGCATACGTTGCGCATGTACTGCCTTGGACAAAATCCTGTCTTCCTCCAAGGTCCACCTATGTGGAGGCCGAGGCATCTTCGTTTCTTTTTTTTGTGAAATGATGTTGGGAGATCTTGCCACAAGAGGCTCAGACCCTAACGGGAGGGCGATTTAGAATTCTTATGACACAGTGAGCCTGGACCGTGGAAAATACTACAGGTTGTATCTGACGTGAGACTATACAGCCTCTGACCGTTGCTGTACGAAATCCCCGAAATGTAACCGGATCCTGGGTTTCACTACTGAACACCAATGGTCTGTTTTCGAATTACTAGTGTCTGTGGACTCATATCTTTATTGGCTTTAGCACTCATGTTTGATGCATTGGGGTGAAACATAAACTGTTAGATACAGTTTTGCTTCCTAGCCCTGGGGAGATTTGGCATCAGGCTGTTCATGTATGACATGGAAGACTGCAGGTAGGTAGTACGAGAGTAGACGAGACAGCCAACCTGGTTGGTGCCAAGATCACCGCCGGTCTCCACTGCGAGGCTTCGGGGATGCGGGCAACTCGCCTTGAAACTCCTGGACTGTACCTCTCTAGTTTTGTACTACCTGTGTAGGGCAATTGAGATATATCATGGATTCAACATACCTAGCTAGGTACGGGCCGAAGAATCCTTTCGACCCACTGTGGAGTGAATGCACTAACTGGTCAGAACGCGCATGTAGTGATAGATACATACTCGCACGATTGCTATGTAACCTCCCGGAGTCTCCATTGTCACCAGGGGCCAAAGCAACCCGAGCCAGCGTTTCAAAATTATGCTAAACTCATCTAGGCAATCCTAACCCATGTCACACACAATATTGGTTGCATGCCTCACAGCAAGGTGGCAGGTTGGCCCTGACCAACCACCATGCCCAGGTATTGTAGGTTGGGAACTAGCTTTATTTAACCTCTGTACAAGCTATAAAACAGTATCTGCTCCAGACTCGATAATTCATTTATTAACCTGATGACGCGTGGCTTTGTATGGCCTGTGTAGCTTGTGTAGCGTGTATGGCTTTGTATGGCTTGTGTAGCCTGTGTAGTCTGCATGGTTTGATATGGTTTTTGTATGTTTTGCGTCGCTTGCATGGGTTTGTATGACCTGCACCTGCGCGTGTATGACAATAATGATTCCCAAGCGGAGGATTCTCCAGGGAAATAGAATATTCTTATTTTTGTTATTTTTTGAGCGATGTTTATCTGAGAAATCCAAGAAATGTGGTCTTAATACGTAGGAAAAAAAAACCTCAAAGTCCTTGATCTAAAATAATACCTATAGCTGGTCAAAACGTACTGCAGTATCGTAGAAACCACGTTATATTGACAACAGCGAAAGGGTCATTACTATCCTAAGAGGCTAGAACACCTTTCTCCCTCCACGACTGCAGGTATCGGTCTATCAGCTCCACACTGACCCCGTTGCATTGCCGTAACGATCGGGAAACACTGCGGGAGCGACGAGTGTCAAGCACGACTCCCCGCTCGCAAGGGTAGCGAAGTCCCGTCGTAAAAAGGAAGTCACGTGGAGGAACGGCTCAACCTCGCGGGTTCTCCCTGCTAGCGATCGACCCTGTTCCAGCCAGCTGTCAAATGGGATGACTGCCGTGGCTTCCAATCCCAGCCTCAAAGCCAGGACCGCCAACAGGGGCTTCCATGGCTGACGGATAGGGTTTTCGATGTGATATACGATCGTGGATGGATCAGATGGTGCGGAGAGCAGAATCTCCACGGTGGCTTTGGCGGCTACATCGATCGGAATCCATGAAAACGTCTATGGGAAAAGCAGGGGGCAAGGAGTCAGCAGCTGCCAAGATAACTAACTGTCGATCAAAGGGGCACATGGCTTACCCCGTCCAGAACTGGCAAAGCACCCACGAGCTGTGACACTCGTAGCATAAGCGGAACATGCTCATGTGGGTTCCAACTCCCGGCGATGGTCGATCCTGACAGTTGTCCTAGGCGGACGATCATCGGTAAAAAGGACGGATGGGGACTGGTTCGAACGGCCTCGGTCAGAATTTGCTCGCAGACCCATTTTGCCCGAGCATAGCCGATATCAGCGGTGGACAGCGGATCGGCAATGGGCGCCTCAGGAAGGATTCGACCCCCAGCATACTGCGACCCCACGGCGATAGACGAGGTGAAGAGGAGTCGTGGCAGAGTTGAAGCTCCCTGTTGTCGGTGGCTATCGACCGCAAGTTCTACCAGTCGCTGCACGGCCTGCACCTGAGGCTCCAGCGACTCGAGCGTTCGTTGGAAGTCCATTGGCCAAGCATTGTGGATGATATGAGTGACGGCCCCGCGCAGGGCCTCATACTCCTCTCTCCTCAGCCCCAGAAACGGCTGGTCGAGGTGGTCGGAAGACAGGAACTGGACTTTGGTCCAAGCCTGGTCGGAAAGATGGATGCCATGTGCTCCGTTGGATTCTTCCTGGCGCTTTCTCAAATCCTTTCCTTGATAGCTTCGACTGACGCATATGACACGAGAGACCCCGGAATTTCCCACCAAGCATTTCAACAAATGCGCGCCAAGATGTCCTCTGGCGCCAGTAAGCATGACGATTTGTCCGCCGGTCACATTGACAGCATATCTCGAGACAAGATCCAGCATCTGTTTCGAGTCTGCAGTTGCGGACCTTTTGGTCGATGATAACAATGCCCGACTGAGGGCATCAAAACTCGGATTTCGATAAATGAACGCCGGCAGAACAGGATTGCTGGTCAACGGAAGGAAGACCTTTTTATTGGGAATGGCATTAAGACAGCGAGCTAGACGGGTTGCCTCTAGTGAGTCCATACCCATCTCGAACCAGTCCACCGAGTTGCTCCAATCCTTGACCGACAGCTGGCGGTCCTCGAGGCACTTCTCGACAAGCTTGCGGAGGCCACTCAGCAACTGTTCAAGTTCTGTCTCGAGAGGCGGTAAACTGTGTGCCAAGACGTTGTCAGGGACGTAGGCGAGATTGATCTCGTCTGCTAACAGTCCGTATGCTTCTTGGCGCATGACCGACCCTTTATCCGACCTCGGTAAACTCTTGTTGCATGGAATCACGAGAATCATGTTCCTGGACGCGACCCGCGCATGGCGGTCCAGCTTCATATTCTCGGCCTGAATCATGTCCCAAACACGACTTACTAAATCCTCAACCGCCTCGTTGTGGAGAGACGACTCTGGCTCGATCAACAATCCCACTTCCTCCCGATCCTGCCCAAACATTAAAGCCGACTTTATGCCATTCTGCTCGGAGATGGTAGCTTCCAAGCGGTTGGGTAAAACCTTCTCTCCCGTGGACAAGACAAGCAGATCATCATTACGGCCCACGATGGCTACCTCAATGTGTTTAGATCCAGGCCGCAGGCGGAGCATATCTCGAATGACAAAGGGGCAGCCCCAGCCAAAGGGATAGCCTGTCAGTTGGCACAGCACCGATCCATTGTCGTCTTGGCCTACCTCGTTAATTTCCAAGCCCATATCGGTGCGGATCCGCAGATAATGCCAGTCATAGTCCTCCTCGGGTACGAAAATAGGTGCTATGGCTCCTATCTCAGTGGCACCGTAGTGGTTGAGAAGGTTAACCCGGGCAGAAATTAAGAGATCGCCCAGGGAAGATTTGATCGCACCCCCGCCTACGGCCACAAAGTCCAAACCAGCCATGGATTGCAAGAAGCGTGGGTCAGTCTTCACCTCTTCCAGGATACTGGGCACGGTTATCAACGATTTTGCTTGTGCCTGTTCGATCAGCATGGGGATTGAGAGTGACGATGGAATAAGGGATGCTGATGGAAAGCAGGACGGCTTCCCCGTGGCAAGGCTGATGCAGGGGCTGAGGAGGCCAAGGCCCTTATTATCGTTAGGGTCTGAGTCGGTCACAGTTACGACTGGGGCGAGCACCTACATGATACATAGGGAGTGTGGATACATTAGGCCGTCCGATACACTGATCGGAAAGCAGGCGATGACAGGCAGCGTATCCGAGCAGGTATCGGTGCGCCAACCGAATCGGCTTTGGTAGGCCCGTGGTCCCTGATGAGTGAAGAATCACTGCCGTCTCAGTATCACACGAGGGCTTCTTTTCGATTGTCAATCCACCGTTGGCGGACTCCGCGTTTAAAAGTTCCAGAAAGGGGACACTGTGCAGGATCTGCAATTCCGTTCGACACTTGATTGGTAATTCCCCTAGAGCTTGAGCGACGATGGGCTCGGTTCGAGACGAGACGACAACAGCGCGTGCTGATGTCGACTTAATCAAGTGTGAAATCGCAGTCGGGCTCAGGCGAATGGACAGAACCAGAACCTGATCGCTTGATTATGGGATGTACTTCTATTAGGATGACAGACACAGCTTACCGGAGAATGCATGAGCATCGATCCGGCCAGGTGGATAAATAGGTTGATATCGCTTTCCAGGAATAATGCAACTGGCCGTCTGCTAGTGCTCGACGACAGACAGGGAAGAGAGCCTTGTATCCGATGGGCCCACGACATGGCAGCTTGTTTGAGCTTTTGAAAAGTCACTGAGACCAGTTCAATATGTTTTCCGTTTTGGCACACTTCCTGCATTGCGAAAACATGATGAGGATTGCTTTGGGCATTGAAGTCGATCAGATCCGTGAGAGTGTGTATCGCCGCGGGGTCTGTAGATGCAACCCTGGAGACATTGAAGACAGGTCTCACGAAGTCCATAACGAAACTTTTCTGTACGGTGATCATCAAGGCAGACGATGCACGGATGAAAATATTGACAGTTGGGGGTAACATCGGAACACCCACGGATCGGGCATCGTTTTTTTGTACTCGAGGAGGCAGAGGGCTTGCGGGAACCGCGTACGGATTGACTGAGGTCCAATATTCCAGTTCCAAACCCAGCCTCTCTTGTTATCGCTACCACGATGCAGAGCATCCGGTACGCCGGTCCTCGCCAGAAAGTCCGCCTCTGCGCCGGGTCAGACCGACCCCCCTGTCCTCCAGGAAGGATGGGATGGACCTTAAAGTTTCTGCTCCCAATGAGCACCAACCCATCGATGCGAAGGTTTCAACAACCCAGGACTTGGTCGAGCAAATCTCTAGAGATATCTCAATGGATGCGAGAAGAATCATATTCTTTGGGGGGCAAGGAAGTCGCGCCTTCTCCGGGTCACCATTTCACCCGAGTGAAGACGACAAGACGTGCGATAGTTCCATCTCGCTTCTTCTTTCGGTCTGTCACAGTGCAATTTTGCAAGAGGCTCTACAACATCGACGCAGGGGGCCACTTCCTGCATGGGCCGACTTTGATCTTCCAGCCAATGCCGAATTGTTGGTATCCGGCAATGTCATTGCCTCCGATAACGCGATTTTGCAGGGTGTCGGTCTCTGCGTGCATCAATTAGTCGCCTATCTCCGCTTTGACTCAACTCTGCAAAAGAGAGCAACAAGCATCCTGCTTGGCTTCTGTTCAGGCATCGTCCCCGCCGTTGTCCTCGCCTGCAGCAGCACGGTCCAGGACTACATCCAATACAGCAAAGATGCAGTCCGTCTTGCCTACTGGATAGGGTATCGGGCTGCAGAGTTAACTGCCCACTTGATGCCCGAACAGAATCCGCCCGGGTCGTGGGCGCTATCGGTCTTTGGGAAGGGCAGGGAAAACCTCAAGACCGATCTCGAGAGATTCAATGTCGCTCACGGCGCAACATTCAGCCTTCGGTTAGCGATATGCTTCGGGAAAGAGTCATTCACGATTGTCGGCCCTCCTTCGAGCTTGAACCGCTTTCGATCACAGTGCTTGGGGGAGCAACATCCATCAGAGGCCATTCATATTCACGCGCTTTACCATGCTGGTGAGACTGGATGTGAGGGCTTGCTGAAAGTGCTTGAAGATGCTCGTCGCGAAGGTATTCAGTTCCCATCCCTTGCCGATATCAAAACCGCACTTTGGACATGTCACGGGAACTCGTCCTTAGATCGAAACTCGTTCTCCGGCAGCGGTTCTCTCTTGGAGTATGCGGTTCGTTTGATCCTCGTCGATGCCGCTGACCTCTACAACACCTGGAAATTGATTACGGACACCATAAATCACTTGCCATGGGATGGGGAGATCATCACCGTAGGCCCCGGGTCAAGTGCTCTTCTTGTCTCTACGACCCGGGATACCCGAACGCCCGATGAGCCCACGTGGATTAATTTGTCTGGGGTTGGTGCAACGGTGGGATCTGCACAGGACGGATTCGCTATTGTCGGCATGTCTGTCAACTACCCTGGCGCGTCAGGAAAGGATGAATTCTGGACCTTGCTAGAGAATGGCCTGAGCGCGATGCAAGAAGTACAGCAATTCCACATTCCTTCGATAGAAGCAACACTGACCTTTTCTTAGATTCCCAGCTCGAGATTTGAGGTTCAGAACTACAGTTCTGATAGTCCAGAGTGTCGGCCACCACGGACAATGGAGGCTCGTCATGGTAACTTTCTCGCGGATCCGTTTTCATTCGACCATGAGTGCTTTGGCATCTCACCGAGGGAAGCCAAGTCCATGGATCCACAGCAGAAACTTCTTCTTCAGGGCGCAGTACATGCTCTTGATGATGCTGGCTATGTACCTAACGGTGCACCTTCCTTCAACCCGGACACCATGGGATGCTATATTGGGGCAGCGACGGAAGACTACGTTATCAACTCCATGCCACACATAGACGTCTACTACTCAACTGGTAAGCAAAGATACAACGCTGCTGGAGAAATGTCCGGTAACGATTCGCAGGCACCCTCCGAGCATTTTTGAGTGGAAAAATCTCTTATGCTAATGGATGGAGCGGGCCTTCTATTACAACCGACACAGCATGCTCTTCCTCCCTAGTTTCCATTGTGCTGGCCTGTCGGGCCTTGATGCAGGGAGATTGTACGGCGGCGTTAGCCGGTGGGGTGAATGCCATCACAAGCCCTGATGTAAGGCTGCTCCTCAGCGAGCTATCTGGAACCTCGCTTATACAGTGCAGATGTACCTTGGGCTCTCTCGGGCCCACTTTCTTAGCGCTACCGGGCAGTGTAAGCCATTCTCGGTCGCTGCTGATGGTTATTGTCGCGCAGAGGGGTGTGGATTGTTCGTCATCAAGCGCCTTCAGGACGCGATTCAGGAGGGAGATCGCATCCATGGTATCATTCGTGGGGCGGAAATGAATCAAAGTGGCCGGGCGTCCTCCATCACCCATCCGCACGCCCTGACCCAACAGGAGCTATTTCAGAAGCTTCTCGCCCGAACAAAGGTTGATCCTAAGACCATAGGGGTCATCGAAGCTCACGGTACAGGGACTCAGGTTTGTTGCCCTCTGGCCTAGTAGGCAATGTCTTACACCCAAACGCGATCCAGCTAACCCCCTTGTAGGCCGGTGATGCGGTCGAGACATCGAGTATTCATTGCGTTTTTGGTAATCGTGCTAACCCTCTATATCTTACATCGGTCAAAGGGAACATTGGACACGCAGAAGCAGCCTCTGGATCGGCAGGTCTTGCGAAGATTCTGATGATGTTGAGATACTCAAAGATTCCACCACAGGTTGGGTTGGGAGTGTTGAATCCGCGCTTGGACAAATTAGAGTCGTCAAACATTCGAATCCCCACTACAATCTGCGACTGGGACCGAGCGATCCCTAGTATGCCCAAACGCGCATTGCTCAATAACTTTGGTGCTGCGGGATCCAATGCGGCCCTGGTGGTAGAGGAATATCGCCCGTCATTCCGAGCCAAGGGCTCACAATATGCCAGACGAGCAGCATACAATCTGATCTTGTGCGCCACAAGTCCAGGCGCTCTTCAGAAACTGATAAGTCTTTATGTGGCGATGCTAGAGAAGCATGACCCTGGCTTTGAGCTACAGGACATCTGCTTTACTGCAACTGCTCGGCGGCAGCGGCACAAATATGCTCTATCGATCGTGGGAGGCACACTGGAGGATCTCATGCAGCAACTCCAACAGGCTCGACAATGCAACAATCAGATATTGGAATCCAATCGAAAACGCCCCATCGTGTTTGTTTTCTCGGGGCAAGGCGGCGCTTACCCCGGTATGGGCCGCGAACTGCTCCATACCGCTCCAGTCTTTCGCCAGAAGGTAACTGAATGCGAGGGTGTATTGCAAGAAATAGGTCTGTCTAATATTTGCCCAACCCGTATTCTGGACGGAGCTTTCATTCCAAGTGAAACCGAGGACGGGGGTGCAGAATGGCTAGTCAACTCTCAAGTTGCTTGCTTTGTCCTGGAATATGCGCTGGCATCGCTGCTGATTTCCTGGAACATACAACCCGATATTGTGATTGGCCATAGGTTAGTGTAGCTCCTTACCCAACTTCCACTGATGAACCCATACTCAATATATCCATAGCCTAGGAGAATATGCAGCTTTGGTGGTGGCTAGGGCGCTCTCACTTGAGGATGCGTTACGGGTGGTGGCACATCGGGCTAAGCTCATGGCTTCGAAGTGCGAAGTTGGCAAATCAACCATGCTGGCTTGTTGTCAATCGGCATTCGTTACGCAAGTAATAATCCAAAGGTCTGGCCTTTCGCACCTCTCCATTGCATGTGACAATGATATGATGAGCTGTGTCGTTGCTGGGCCCATCCACGAAATCGAGCGGTTGCAGGAGATCATGGGTGCAGAGCAGATCCGTTGCAAAAGACTACCGGTCTCCCTGGGATTTCACTCGCCTGCACTCGACCCGATCATAGATGAATTGAACCAAGTTACCCGAGACATACGGTTCTTTGAGCCCCAAATTCCAATTGGCTCGGGATTGTACGGGGAACTACATAAGAGCCCAATTGATGGCTCATACGTTGGACGCCAAACGAGAGAGCCGGTAAACTTCACCGGTCTCGTTGGCTTTCTTGCTGGGATTGAAGACTTGCAAAGAGCGACGTTTATTGAAGTGGGCCCGACCCCGATAACATTACCCATGGTTCGATCTCAAGTAAGCGGACCGGGCACAGCTTTCTTCAACACCTTAGTCAAAGGGCAAGACGCTTGGTCAAGCCTCTGTCATAGCCTTCGAGATTTCAATGCCCGACATGAGTCCGTTCAATGGCGACATGTGTTTCACGGCTCCTCCGCCAAGGTGGTGGATCTGCCGGACTATCCATTCCAAACCCAATCTCTGTTCTTCCCTTTCCATGAGAGAGTATCCCAGGTACAGGCGGATGCCAACAGCGGTCACGGTGTGGGTCAACCACGACCCAGTGTCTTTCGCCTGTTGCAAGAAGTGATCAGCCTGCCGGCCGGTCCCGACAAGTCATTATCTGTGTTCGGTACCACGTCACGCGATCTTGTCGAGTATATCACTGGGCATGAGGTAGCTGGACTGTCACTTTGTCCGGCCTCGATTTATTACGGCATGGTTCTCGAGGGCCTGTATTGCAACCGGGAGGTTGATGCACAGAGACTAGCTGTCTTCCGGGACATCTCGTTCGACCATCCTCTTATTCATGCATCGAATAGCGATATTAGTTCCATCCATCTGACGCTCAAAGATAAGAAGTCAGACGCCGGCACGACATCTTCCCACACCCAGTTTACTTTCAGCTCAGCAACCTCATCCGAATCTGCGGCTGAAAGAGTCTTGTGCTCCGGTCAAACGGCCTGGATGTCATTGTCAGCGATCAGTTCCATTCTTGGCCGCAGGGCTGCCTATGCCCGGAAGCAAATTGCTCTTTTACGCGGGAGCCAGAGCCGGTCAAACGTTCTACACCGCAAAGTCATCTACGATATTATTTTCGCGCGAGTGGTGAGATATTCCGATCCATATCAGTCAATCCAAGACTTCCATGTGTCGGAAGCAGGTCTTGATGGGTACGGCACATTCCAAGTGCCCCAAAGCACTCTCGTTGGAGGGATCATATCGCCGGTATTCCTCGACACCTTGCTGCACGCAGCAGGGTTCATCGCCAATGCCCAAGGCAGCCCTTCAGATGCCTATATCTGCCATTCAGTTGATTCGGTCATCGTGGCTTATTCCGACATCAAGCCTACGGATACCTACAGATTCTACTGCGGCCTACTAGATTGCGGTGGTGGGGAACTGCTTGGAGAGACGGTAGCTATGAGTTCTGACGGCAAAGCAGTAGCCAGTGTGGAAGGTATGCACTTCAAACGCCTGAACCTCAAGGCCTTCACAGCCCATCTATCCCGTCAGTCTGGTCAGAAAGCGCAGATAGTCCTGCCCGGCAACGCATCGTCGTCGTCCGCCAACCCGAAGGCCGGCCATACATCCAGTTCCATGGACAAGACACCTGACACGACGAAAATCGTTCTGGATGCCGTTTCTACAGTCTGCGCAGTTCCTCCTAGCCAGGTGGGTCTGGCAACAAGGTTGGTGGATCTGGGATTTGACTCGCTAATGCAGGTTGAGCTGTGGGATTTGGTGGGGAAACCCTTCCCCTCTCGCCGGATAAGGCTATCGTTCGAGATGGGAACAGTGGAGGATATTGTCTCTCAGGTCCTGGGCGCCAGGAACACCTCTTCAGTCGCATCTTCCCCTCGGTCAGAGAGTGATGAGTGCAGCCCCAGCAATAGCATCTGCGCATCCATCACGGATAGATGTGGAAAGCTCATACCGGATGGCGATGCGGTTACTGACCGGGTGCTCGGGCTTGTAGCAGAAATATGTGGCCGGAGGGGTTCGGATCTGGATGCAGCTATTACCATGGACTCCTTGGGACTGGACTCCCTATTGACAATTGAATTACAGGCTAGTGTGAGGGATGTTTTTGGAATCTCCCTGCCACTTGAAATGCTGTCTCCAAGGACAACAATCGGTATGCTCGCAACCCGCATTGCAGTGGAAACTCGCCCAGTCACGCCCGTGGCTTCGTCAGTTGCCTCCGACAGGCAGGCCTGGATGCCAGAGCACGATTGGATTGTGCTTCTCCAACAAGGCGCGGACACACTGCCACCCCTGATCCTGGTTCACGACGGTAGTGGTACGGTGGAACAGTACCGACGACTCTCTGTTGTGGGCTGCACCGTCTTTGGCATTCGTAATCCTATGCCAACTGGATCAGTCCATTGGGCCTCGGGATTGATGGACATGGCATGTCGATATGCAGCTGCCATTCCAAACGTCATCAAGAGTCGTCGTGTGGTCCTCGGTGGTTCGTTACCTTGCCTGCTTTTTTCATATTTTTTACATATAGGTTCCTCCGCGATACTGACTTCTTTGGCTGTGATGACAGGCTGGTCCTTCGGCGGGGTGTTAGCCCACGAGATTGCACAACGTCTAGATCAATGCGGGTACGATACATTGGGCGTCCTTCTCATCGACTCACCTTGTCCTCTGGACCATGAGCCCCTTCCCAGCGCCGTGGTCGATCACATCTTGAGTGCGGAAACACTCTCTCCGTCTACAAAGATCGCCCTCGCCGCCCAGTTCAAGTGTCATGCGCAATTCCTGGCCGATTACAGTATCACTGGTTCTCCCCCTCCCCCTCATCGGCGGTATATAATGCTGTACAGCGAGCAAAACTTTGACACTTGGAGTGTCTGTGGTCAACGGTACTTGTGGCTTGAAAGTCAGGAAGAACGTCTGGCTTCGCTACGAAAGTGGGAAGCCCTTCTTGGACGGCAGCTGACCACCTACAACATTCCCGGGAATCATTTTGAGCCTTTTAGTCATGATAATGTAGGTTCTTACTCTCCAACGTTATCCTTGGGCTGGGATGCTAATCTTTTCTTCAGGTTGGAACTATGACTAAGGCATTGCGCACTGCATACAGGGAGACCGCAGGAGTGGCGGCTACTTAGCAACCGGCGCAAACTGTTGACATACAAGGATGGATTATCGCCCAGCTGTGGGTTTCGGTCTAGTTGGCAAGTCGGTGGGCTACTTTGACAAAGTAGGTGACGGGGTGCAAGATGTCTCTCGACATATGAATGTGTATGTTGATAGTCTTATGGAGGAGTCGGTGGAACCCAAGTCCTTACTAGTTGGAACTTGGCGTTAGAGACCAGTACCAATAAATTACGCCTTTTACAGTGAATTAGTGATGACCAGGCCCCGAGTAGACATTGAGGGGTACCAAAGCAGCGGGACCGGCGTACAGCTGATTCCTCGACTATTTATGTCTCCCTCACACATGGTACAATTTTTCTATTGCCACACACTACATGCTGGAGTAAATCGGTTCTATTGCATCAATTTTTTTCCATCTCCATGGCGCACTCCATCCACTCCTACACCCATATCAACGGCTTTCGGCAGCCTGCCGCAGAACCCCACTGGGAAGCTGTGAATTACTTCCCCGTCCATCACCTCATGACCATGTTGCTGTGGGTTCATCCAAGCTGACCAGTTTTCCTTTCCTCCAGGCCAACTCCAAGGATGACAATCAGCTGGATTCTGATGCCCCAACCTACGAACTCCCGCCCTCGGTGGAGGTCATTACTTCACCTCATCATAATTCCCTAGGATTCAATGTCCTCCGAACCTGGCCGACTTTGTTCAATGGGACCGCATCCCCGCACGGTGTTCCAGACTGGTGGAAGCCCTCGGGAACCGTGGATGTGTTGATTTGTGGAGGTGGGTCGATCCCAACGTGATAATTGACATTGACTATGAAGGGACTGACGAATGCCGACTCACTCAGCCGGACCCAGTGGGCTGGAAATGGCCATGAGCTGTCTTCGACAGGGTTTGACTTTTCGGATCATCGGTAGGTGTTGCTTGGATCATTCCCCCCTCCCACCGGCGAGCATTTTCTCTAAGATGAGATCCATCTTTAGATCAGAATGCCCTGCCCTTAACTGCCGGTCGAGCAGATGGAGTGCAACCGCGATACCTGGAAACCCTTTCCACCTGGGGACTGGCCAGTGAGGTCCATGAAGAAGGTCCCTTGATTGAGCGGACTGCCATCTACCACGATGGACATCCGGTTCACCATGGACGTTCCCATCAGTCCGACTCGCGCTATCGGGGCTTGCACATCATTACCCAGGGCCAGCTTGAACGAATCTTTGTCCGGGACTTGATGCGGCATGGCGTGCTGGTGGAGCGAGAGACCACATTGGAAGAGTATTCGGTTCGGGAGGAGGACGACCAGGCCCCCGTCCGGTGTACGCTCGTGCATCCAGACCGGAAGGGGAATAGTAGCAGGGAGATTGTGATGGCCAAGTTTCTGGTGGGGAGTGACGGCGCATCCAGCGCCATTCGTCGACAGCTGAAGATCCCCTTTGATGGTATCAGTACGGATCTCTACTGGGGAATCATGGACTGTGTCTTCGATACGGATTATCCCCATGCCTGGATCTTTGGGTATGACAATGCCGACGAACATGCTCCCCCATCATTCATTTATTCACACACTGACCCTTCGCTAGATCCGTTATCAGTTCGCAACACGGAGGCTGTGTGATCATCCCCCGCGAGAACGGATACATTAGGTGAGGACAACCCTTCAACACCGAGCCATCCTATCCACCGACCTGTGACTGAGTCTGGTAGGCTCTACACCCAGCTCAATCTTTCGCAGACCGGCCCCATCGCGGCATCTCGACAGGCGCGCGATCCGATCTTTGCCGAGTCGGGCGGCCAGATTGATGTCCATTCCATCACCCCCGAGGAGGTCCTGGAGCAGGCAAATCGCATCTTTGCGCCCTTCACGTTGCGCTTTGCGGCACCCTTGAGTTGGTTTGCAGTCTGGAAGAGTGCGTCCCGAGATCTCTTGCTGATAAGCTGAACTAATTTAAGTTCGTCTTCATGTTGGCAGTCAGTGAACGAGTGGCTCGCTCCTTCTCTTCGGAGGACCTGCGAGTGCATTTGGTCGGCGATGCAGCGTACGTGATTGACCATCCCTTCCGATCATCCTCTGACCGACGACTCAATAGACACGTTCACAGCGTCATGGGCGCTTTTGGTCTCAACGCCTCCATCCTTGATGCGGCCAATCTGGGCTGGAAGATTGGCTTGTGCGTCAAGGGCAAGGCCAGGATCGACCGTCTGCTGCCGACCTACGACCGCGAAAGACGTCTGCATGCGGCCAATATCATCGAGGTCTCGGGCAAATACCTCCGCTTCGTGTGCAGCTCCCATGTGCCGACCGTCCGATTGCACCATGTCGGAGCGGATTTGGGACTAGATGAGGATGAATCGTCGGGCACACCGAGGATGCCTGTGCCCTCGACTGAAGCGATATCAATCACCCCGGCCGATGTTGATCGGGGCGGACACGACCACCATGCCATGGAGACGAAAGAAGTCCAGGCCTTCCTGCGAGACTTTTTTACGCAGCACGGGCAGTTTCTCCTCGGCGTCGATGCGCCCTACGGCCGAACCTGCCTGAACCCCCTTACGAAACACGACCGCCGAGCGCCTGTTCGGGTGCGAAATGGAGTCCGAGCCCCCAATCCGCGAGTCTGTCTAGATGCTGATCACACGGGCTATCTCTACGATCGACTGCCCGGAGATGGGCGGTTTCATCTGGTGGTCTTCGGATCCAACCTACGGGGCCCAGTGCGAGAACAACTTGCAGCCTTTTCGCGGGCGTTGTTATCGGACGACGGGTTTTATCAGAAGCTGGGAGGCCACGGAACATTTAATCTGGTCTTGGTAATCAAGGGGGTTCCCTGGGAAGTGGAGAGTCGCTTGTCCCAAGATCATGCCCTGCACGCCTTGTCCCAGAAAGCGACGATGCTGTTTGATGACCGGGCCCCCGACGACGATGCCCACAGCACCTGGGGCGTTGACCACCAAACAGGAGCAGTCGTGGTTGTACGTCCAGATCTGTGGGTGGGGACCAGTATCTTTCCCCAGGATGTTGACCACCTTCGGGAATACTTCGAGCAGTTCTGGACTCCCTGTAGTGAGGCGTAGGGGGGGGGGCTGGCAGACCGGAGTAGGTCCATAGTCCACTGCTGTACGCGGGTCCAGACGACCTTTCTATATAATCCCCATATTCTGTCCAAGTACATTCCCTACCACTCCTGTCAATAATCCAAGGAGAACTCCCAGCCACAATGCCCACTCTCTCCGATGCCCACGCGCTGCTTCAGCTGCTAGACTTGACCAAACAAAGCATTCATCAGATCATCGCCGAGTGGGCCAAAGTCTCCAAGCCCGGTGACGCCAGGGAGAATGGGGATGAATTAGTCTCCCGCGAGCTCTTTGAAGCTCAGCGAACCCTCATAGCCGCCACGGGGAAGTTGGTGGAGCTCGTTTCCAGCCCCAGTGACCGTTTACTCGAGGTCTCATCGCAGTACAACGAGTCTCGGTGTCTGCATATCGCTGCAACGTTGCGCATCCCCGACCTTCTGGCCAAGAGCCAACCCCAGGAAGGAGTGACAATCGAGGAGTTGGCGACTATAGTCGGCGTGGAAAAGAAGAAGCTTGGTGGGTATCCCTCCTCCTCTTCCTCTTCCTCCTCCTCCACCACCATCGCTAGTCATATATCCAGGCTGACAACCCCAGGCCGCATCATGCGATGTTTGTGCTCCATTCACATCTTCCAGGAGATCCGAGATGGGGTCTTCGCTAATAACACCATCTCGGCGAGCTTAGTCGACAACGACCCCTTGCGTGCATACATCGTCATGTTGTACGTGCCTCCTCCTTCTCATTCGACGTTGTTCAACCCGACCTGGCTAATCCGATATATAGTGGATGGGATCTCTACAGTGCATCCGAGGCACTTCCCCAGTCCCTACTCGACCCCGACCTCGGCCCATTATACTCGGTCAACGAGACAGCATGGCAGAGAGCCATAGGCACAACCAAGGCCCGGTGGACCTGGCTGGAGGAAGAAGTCGAACAACCACCACCACCGCCGACAGGAAGCAGTGGCTACTCGGGACCATTTGGCCCCGATCTCGCTCACCCAACGACTTTTCCCCCCCGTCGTCGATCAGAGCTAGAGATCTTCGGCTTGGCCATGCTAGGTGGAGGCCGTGTCTTCGGTCGCGCGCATTTATTCGATTATCCCTGGGGCGCGCTCGGCCCCGACAGCGCCACGGTGGTCGACGTCGGCGGCGGTGTGGGAGGCTTCTGCCTCCAACTGTCACATCTCTACTCGCACCTACGCTTCGTGATCCAGGACCGTAGCCCGGTCCTATCCCAAGCCGAGCACGAGGTTTGGCCGCAAGAAAACCCTGACGCGCTAGCCCGCGGATCGGTCCAGTTCATCGTACATGACTTCTTTGACCCCAACCCCGTCATCGGCGCAGACGTCTACTGGCTACGCTATATCCTACATGACTGGTCGGATGACTATTGTGTTCGGATTCTCACCAACATTAAATCCGCCATGCGTAGCCACTCTCGCCTTCTTATCTGTGAGCAGGTCATGTATACCACGGCGGAGACGGAGAGAGAGGGCACCGCCCCATCACCCCTCCCAGCCAACTATGGGTATTGGACCCGGTACAGCCACCAGCGCGACATCACCATGATGAGTATCATTAATGGGATTGAACGGACCCCGGCGGAGTTTGCTGGGTTGATTGAACGGGCGGGACTGCGCTTGCGGAAGATCTGGGATTGTCGTAGTCAGGTTTCGCTGGTGGAATGTATCTTGCCTTGATTCGAGCATGTTTATATCTCAGTATCATACAATAGTAGGGCAGGAAGTTATCTCCACGGTGTTGTCACACTCACTTCTTATCTCGAGCTGATAGAAATGGATAGACATTTTTCATTGGAGGCTTCAGGGGCAATAAGGAGAGAAAAAAAAAAAAAAAAAAAGGAAAGAAATAAACAGTAATCCAATCTTATGTAGAGGTGACAGACAGTACCTGTAATCGTTGGATATAGGGGCGGAGGAGGGATTCCCATAAAGAACGTGATGATTGAGCAAATCTCTAAATTAAAAGGATATTAATTGACAATCCAAACTTACCCGGGTGAATTCACCCTTTTGGAAATAGGGAAATAGGGAAATAGGGGAAAGGGTAGCCCGTCTTTCAACTCCCGGAGACATTCCGGAGACTTTAGGGCCAATACCCATGCTGCGAGATGATGCTATGAGCATATTTGCGTGAGTGTTGAGTACCACCTGGGCTAGCTATAATTTATAATAATTAAAAAAAAAGAGGGTTTATCTCCTGCGGGATAATCCATCTAGTCAACAAACTGAAGCCTGGCCCTGCTGACAAGTGGTGTAGGTCTAGAAGGCTTTTCTTAGCTCATAGCCAGAGGACGCTGTATCCCCGTCGAAAGTCTCCATAAATGAAGATGTACAATTCAGCAGCGGATTATGGGACACATGGGTGTAATAGGAGTCCTTGGTAGTGCCTTGACGGTATTGATCTCGAAGGTGGAGAATTCAGCTAGATGCGATTGGAAATATCAAGAATGAAGAGAACACCTCAAATAACCTTCCGATATCATTTTCACAATACCTCCATCGTAGTGACTTGGAAGACTGGCAAGTTCAGCGTTGGCAGAAACGTTCGTAGACTCGGTAAAACAAGGAACTCTCAATAGGCCTGCGACTGCAGTTCTATGATCAATGACTCGGTATAATTGGCCTGGGGAAAAGTAATCCGATGACACCATCGCTTCAAATGAGATCGTCTGGTCTATGAAGTCATATGGGAATTATCTGAATGACTAGACCCTGTCCAATACTCTCGTATATATTAATTGCGTGATGACTGGTCTTAACCCGCGGACACTTTTCTCGGTGGCTGAGAAAAGCCTCCGAGCTGAGTAGTAGTATCAGGGCTAATGCCAATCCTCCCCCATAAATAGGAGAGCAGATTCTTTTGACATCTCCTTTTTGATTTTTCTTCCACAGGTGATCTCTCTATTTGCAAAGTGATCACTGCTCATCTAAGGTCCTAGTCAAACGACCCAACCCTCATCACAATGTCAATCGGCAAACTTCTCTCCAATGGAGCACTCCTCTTCGACGTGCTCATCATCGGAGCAGGTCCATCTGGTCTATCAACCGCCACCGGTCTCGCTCGTCAACTCCATACAGCGATAGTCTTCGACTCCGGAATCTACCGCAACTCCAAAACCCAGCTCATGCACAACGTGCTAGGCTGGGACCACCGCAACCCAGCGGAGTTCCGAGCCGCAGGTCGTGCAGATCTGACGGACCGATACGCCACGATCCAATTCCAAAACAGCACAATCGAAACGATCAAACAAGTCGAGGCCCAGCAGCTGTTCGAAGCACGAGATGCCGACGGTCACCGGTGGTATGGCCGGAAGGTCGTGCTGGCGAGTGGAGTTCGTGACCTGCCCTTAGGCATCGAGGGATATGATGAGTGCTGGGCAAATGGCATCTATCACTGCTTGTTCTGCGATGGGTATGAAGAGCGCGGGCAGGAGTCCGTCGGGGTCCTTGCCCTGGCGCCACTCAATGATCCTCCGCGAGCTGTGCATATGGCTCGGATGGCACGGCGGCTGGCTGATTCTGTTACAGTGTATACTCATGGGGATGTGCAGTTGGCGAAGGATATCCAGAATGCCGCGGATGGACCCTCCTGGCTGAAATTAGATGCGCGACCCATCATGCGATTCCAGAAGGGGGAGATCGGCAAGACAGTCATTGTTCATTTGGGGTTGGCGGAGACTAGCGAGTCTAGAACAGAAGGGTTCTTGGTAAGTGTCTGGATGGAATGGAGAGGAGAGGAGACGACGTAGCTAACCCGCGTTTGTATGCAGGTCTATAGCCCTCTAACGGAGCTGAATGGTCCGTTTGCCAAACAACTGGCGTTGACCTTGACTGAAGGAGGTGAAATTCAGACATCGGCCCCTTTCCATGAGACTTCGGTCCCCGGGGTATTTGCTGTGGGAGATTGTGCCACGCCCTACAAGGCGGTTACTCCGGCGCTGATGATGGGATCGTTGGCTGCGGCGGGACTGGTGGCGCAGTTGCAGGCTCAGCCTCATGCTGGAGGTTCGCTGTGATGGGGAGGTGTAGATGTGAGATGGAAGGAGAGGTCGACCTGTTGAGAGTCACATACTCGAGACAAAACCAGTGCTGCGTTCAGTCATTCAAGCTTATAAGGAAGACAACTCCATGATATAGCAGAGCCTCGTGATCCCCATGAACTATCTGCTAATCAACTTACCTCTAGTAACTCCCTCATCATGATATTACACAGCCCAGGAAAGAATAGAAACAACAGTCCATGGCATTCTAAATATTCCTATTAGCAGACTCTAACCCTATTTCATCACCATTCTTCCCCGACTCCAGTCCAATCTTCGCCACCTTGGTACTCTGAAACTTCCGCACCGGTACGCCATCATGAAACATGATATCGATTTCCTCCAGCATCTTACCCTTGCACTCCGGCACGCAAAAGTATGTGAAAACAAAGGACAAAACAGCCACACCACCAAAGATGAAGCCGACGCGACCGCCCAGTTCGGCGGGAGCATAGAGCATGTATGGGAGAGAGAAGTTGACGGCGAAACTAGATCAATGGGGTTAGTTCCAGGGTTCGAATGATTCGGTTGTTCGGGATACATACGCAGTGACGACATTGGCCACCGATGCAGTTCTGAGATGCATCACGGAGACGAAGTGACGTGACTTCGGTAGTGACAACATAAGTTAAAGGCGCCCAGGCGAAACAGAACCCTCCCGAGAAGATCGGGAGCATCGCCACCGTGGCTTTCTTAATGGCCATGGTTTGATTAGCGGCGGTGCCGAGTCCTCCCATGGTGAAGATGGCAGCGGCTTGCCATAAGGCGCCGATGAGCAGAAGGGGCCTGGAGGAGTTGGGTAAGGATTATATGCACGGATAATCAACTTGCAGGGGAGACATACCTTCTACCGGCCCAATCATTCAAGCACAAATTGACCCCAAGCATCAACACATTGACAACCGAATTGATAATGGTCATGTCGAAGGGGTTGACGGAGCCGATACTCTTGACAAACACGGCCCCATAGGACGACACAAAGGACTGGCCGGTGGCTTGCTGTAGGAAATTCATGATTACAATGATCGCCGTGCGCTTTCTATTAGCTCCCTGGAATATCTCATGGGACTTGCCCTGCTCGGGCTCGATAGCCAGGGCGAATTGTAGGGCACGGAATTCTTCGGCGATTTCTTCGTCGCTGAATGCTCCGCTGCGGAGTTTGTAGAGTGCTTCGCGAGCCTCTTCCACTCGGCCTTTAGTCAGGAGCCAGCGAGGCGACTGTCCAGTTGTTGTTTATTAGCATGGAATGAGGGAAAATCAGTTCATGTTGGGGGTTCACCTCGGGAATCAACCATATCAGAGACATAACAAGAGTGGGCACCACGCTGAAAATACCAAAGGGAATCCTCCATGCCGCATTAGTTGCCAGGGCACTGGTGCTTCGACAGATGCAGTTCATCGTGAAGCCCCCAAACTGTCGATTGATATCAGCTGGTGTCGGATGCAGTGTGGGGGTTGGGCGTGTGACTGACCACCAAAGCAAATTGGTATGATCCGACGGCAAACCCACGGACAGGGCTAGGCACAATCTCGGATTGATATACTGGAATTACTGCAAGCTCCATCCCAACATAAATATCTGGGACTGATTTAGTACAGACAGGCTATCAAGGGTGGCAAGCTGGCAGAACGTACAGTTAAGAATACGAGCAGCCATGATTTGCACCTTGCTCTTGGATGTGACGGCAATGATGGTGCACACCACAGCATGCCCGCTCATGGAGAACATGCACCATCGGCGACCCCAGCGATTGCTGACAAGACTTCCAAAAACCACACCTATGGTTTCATCATTTCATGAATAATCGTGCACGAGCAGCGGGTGGCAAAGGACGCGTACCAAAAGCATAGCCGATGTAGTTCAAGGAATTGAACAATGAAAGCCAACTCGGGGAGAGTATGTAATTACCAGTCGCTTGATCATACTCTCCGAACTGATTGATGAAAGGGTCCATGGCCTGAATGACCGTGTAGCCATTTTGGTCAAAGCCATAATTGAGGGTAGAAATGGCAATAACCAAGAAGGAGAGGGTCAAATGGCGGTTGAAATGCCTGGATATGGCTGCCAATGGCGATGGAACCATTTTGGCGATTATGGCACAGGTCCACTGGGATCGAGATAGAGCAAGATATTGACAATTAAAGTGGATGTAAGCCGAGAGGGGAAAGAATTGGCCCAACTTATAGAGAGACTCCCATCCTTCGATCCGGACGTTTCGAGGGAAGTGCATAGATAAGAAGATACTCTCGCCAGCCTGGTCCAATCGTCTGCCAGGCCTACTTGTCAGTAGCAGTAGAGTTTATCTCTTTATCTGGGGTTTGTGGGGTAGATTGCATTAGTGGAACGAAGTGTCTCCACGACTCTGAACTCTAAAGTCTGATAGTCCATGCGGAACACGAGGCTTTGGGCGATATGAGTTAACTAGACGCGTATACCTCACGGGACCTTCGCTTTGTGGATCATTATAGGTGGTAGCAAGTGCAAGAGGGTTAGCATTGAACTCAAATTGGGCGGCTGTCGGGGATGTCGGGGGGGCCGGGCAATCTGGCATTCTCCGAGAAAAGATAGCAGCCCTCAATGCCCCGAGTGCCGTGAAATCCTGTGTCCAAGTGGCATTTGGAGGAAAGATGGCGGCGAGAGCGGCCCCGTCGGGGGCTTTGTAGGTCACGGACCAATCTCCAATTTCTGGAGATCGAGAGGAGAATATCTCGGGGGTTTGGACACAGCCCATCATGTCCGATCCCTTGAATTTATTCCTCCCTTAGATTTCCTCATCGTCAATATTCCTTTCACTTTGACCACTGTCTCGTTCCATTGCTTCAGCTATCCACTGCAACCATGACAACCCTTGGTGATGGCACCAATGCTCTGCTATACCAACTCACCCTGGAGGAGAAGATTTCCCTATTATCGGGAAAGAACATGTGGGAAACCCACAACATCGACCGGCTAAACATTCCCTCACTGAAAACAACCGACGGACCAGCTGGCGTGCGCGGCGCCAAATGGATCGATGGCTCCGCATCCACCTGTATTCCCTGTGGAATCTCCCTGGCAGCATCGTTCGACCCGGCCTTGGTGGAGAGAACCGCCTTTATTCTCGGAGCAGAAGCCAAAGCCAAGGGGAGCTCGGTTCTGCTTGCTCCGACAATGAACATGAGCCGATCGCCCTTGGGCGGGCGAAACTTTGAGAATTTCGGCGAGGACCCGTTTCTGACCGGGTCGATTGCATCGGCCGTGGTCAAAGGAATCCAGAGTGAAGGGGTTGGAGCTTGTGTTAAACATTTTGTCGCCAATGATCTCGAAACCCGCAGGTACAACCTGGACGAGGATATTGATGAGAGAACTCTTCGCGAAGTATATCTTCGCCCTTTCGAGATGGCTCTGAAGAGCGACCCCTGGACCCTCATGACAAGTTACCAAAAGGTTAATGGTGAACATGTGGACACGAGCGAGTTCCTCCTACGACATATTCTCCGCAGTGAATGGGGCTTTGACGGCCTTGTGATGAGCGACTGGGGTGGCTGCAACGACACTGTCAAGAGCTTGACGGCTTCCATGGATCTGGAGATGCCCGGCCCGAGCAAGCGAAGAGGCCATGCGCTGCTTGAAGCGGTTAAGGCTGGCCATGTCAGTGAGAAGGAGTATGTTGATCCATCCGTTAGAAGGGTTTTACAGCTTCTGAACAGAGCCGGCCTTCTATCACTGGAAACGGGGTCCCCATCGATCAAAGAATCAGTTCCACAGGCTCCCCAAACCCGCGAAGCCGACAATCGTCACGATGCGACTCTTCAAAGACTGACCAGAGATGCTGCCATCGCAGGTCTAGTTCTATTGAAAAATGACTCTTGCCTGCCCCTTGAGGCGAAAGCCCTCAAATCCCTAGCCATAGTTGGTCATCATGCAAAGAAACCCACCGTCGGTGGTGCCGGAAGCGCAAGTGTCCATCCATACTACATCTCGACGCCGTATGACAGCCTGGTTGAACAGGTCCGCAGCTCGAACCCCAGCATCGACATCCAATATGCACCTGGACTACCAGGATCCAAGATGCCGCCGTTGCTGGGCGACCGGATCACTTCATCGGGTGGCCTGCGCGTGGAGTTTTTCGCGGGCCATCAGTTCGAAGGGCCGGTGGTAGGAACAACCTACTGGAAGGATTCCCGACTCTACCTCATCAGCGAGGGCGATGTGCCCGAACCCCTGGTTGGAAAGCCCTTCTGCTACCGAGTGCATGGAACCATCACCGCCGATCGCACGGGACTTCACGCCTTTGGAATGATGAACACGGGCAACGCCAAACTGTATGTGGACAACACTCTCGCGATCGACAACGAGAATTGGACCGAGCCATCGGGCCATTTCATGGGCTGTGCCAGTCGCGAAAAGCAGTGCCGGATGCATTTGACCCAAGGTCAATCGTACGAGATCCGCGTCGACAATGTGGTTACCCCTCCGCCCGTCCGGAGCGTCGACAACACGCTCTTCGGCACGGTGTCTGGATTATACGTCGGTCTTTTACCCTTCTACGACGAGGAAGGGCTCATGCACGACGCCGTCCACGTCGCGCAGGCAGCAGACTGCACCATCGTCGTGGTTGGGCTGAATGCCGACGAGGAAAAAGAAGGCGGGGATCGAACATCACTCCATCTCCCATCAGGAACCGACGAACTGATCACCGCTGTGTCGGCCATATCCCCCCACGTGGTCGTTTGTGTGCAATCGGCCTGTGCGATCGCCATGCCTTGGGCGGACCAGGTGGGAGCCATCGTTCAAGCATGGTATCAGGGCCAGGAAAACGGCAACGCGTTAGCTGATGCGCTGCTGGGCAAAGTCAACTTCTCTGGAAAGCTTCCCGTGACGTTTCCCCGACGCATCGAAGACCATCCATCCTATGCCTTTCCTCCAGATGCCTTGGCCGATCGGGTCCAGTACGGCGAAGGGGTTCTCATCGGATATCGACACTTTGACAAATTCGACATTGACCCTCGGTGGCCGTTTGGATTCGGCTTATCGTACTCGACGTTTCGAGTTTCGGAGATCCAGCTCGATGGATGTATCAGTCTGAGTGACGACAGGTCGGCCGTAGTCAGTGCGGTTGTGACGAATACCGGTGGCTGTGATGGACAGGAAGTCGTGCAGGTGTACACTGCGCCGTCAGCACACATTGCCTCGTCGGGACTCTCTTCATATGTCAAAGCCCTGGCGGGGTTTCAAAAGGTCTTTGTTCCGACGGGGGGAAGTAGAAAGGTGTCTATCCGTCTGTCGCAAGACGCAGTGCGCTGGTTTGACGTCCAGGGGGGTGAAGGTGGGAGGTGGAGAGTGGACTTGGGCTCATACCAATGCTTTGTGGGGACGAGTTCGAGACATATTGCGGGCGAAGTCATACTCGAGGTCACCAGGTAGAGAAAAGAACTCATCGCCAGGTGCTAGTCAGTTCTTGTATGTCAACAAAGTCTGATGAGACTAGAACAAAGAAATGGAATCCATGGTATCGGGGAAGATGATTCAGCCGTACACATGGCTCGGATTACCAATCCTCCATCTTCCCACGAATGTTGTACTGGGAGGCTATCCCACGGAGCATTACCCACAAGAAACAGCCACATTGCTGAATTAATACCACTTGATAGGGGCAGGCAGGTAGCTGGAGTAAGTCCCAATTGACAAGATTAACAATATTATGCGATTCTCCAAGCTCTTAAAATGAAGCAAATGACCCTTGGATTTTGATGAGGTATGGATACCATTATATTACGGTACTGTATCTCATCATCAACCCATTACGTCTTCGATACAACATGTCCCACTGCCTATATGAGAGCTACACTGCACAAAATCCCCAAACCTCAACCTCCTGATCTAGATTCACCCGATGTCAACGAGAACGGGTATCTCGATGCCATGGGCCTTTCCATACTGCGTGGGGAGAGCTGGAAGACTCTTATGAGGACGGTTCCTGGGTTTAAGCCTTTGAGTTACGATGATGGAAATTTTCTGTATGTTGGGTTGCGGGATCAAAACGATGTGCAACGGCAACGGGTGATTGATGCGGGGATGGATGTTGTGTGGGGTGGTGGTACTAGTCGGAAAGTGGATTTTGCGGGTGAGTCGACGATGAAGCTGGAGGCGAAATGTTATGGTTCGGTTTTGGTGCATCTGGACTTGGATGTATCCTTCTCCCCGGGGGGGTGTTTGAGGAGGATTTGGTGGAGTGTATGAATCTAGTGCCTAAGATGAGTATACCTAGGTCTCTTACTGTGTGTTCGTTTGATCCTGATGCGGGGGATGGTGATAGGATTGCTGGGATTGCGGTTCGGGCGATTAGGACTTTTGTGAGGTCTCTTTTAGAAAGGGATGTTTCGGAGAGGGCTTGATTGGGGACAAATGGGTTATTGGATATTATTGTGTACTATTCTGCCGTTCATAAAAACATACAATAGTATCTCTGTTGGGAAACCCAATATTGTTTCCCTTCAAGTAGGCAGACCAAAGAAATTAAAAACCTCTGAATTGTAAATTTGCCATCATGATGAGAATTTTCAATACTTGTATACTCATAATGAAGCCCTGACAGGTGCTCCTTCCGATGAAACAGGAGTGATGTATGTGGATATAACCTATGGTGTAAGTAATGATTGTCGCATTACTGAACCCCAAGCTGATGTACTACAGAGTGAAATTGGATGGATGTTTTCCTTTAGATCTAGCATCGTTTTCCACTATTCCGAATAGTCTGCTATAACTACCATCAAGGGTATCGATAGAGCCAGATTGGTCTGTGGCCACGCGCCTTTCATCTCTCTAGCTTCAGGCGGCGTAGTGGATGCAGAATAAGTCCTTTCTGAATAAATACAGAGTGTTAGAACTCAAACAAGATGCAAGCCGTACCTAAGCGAAAGATGTTCTATCATACCTATTAAACTATAATTTCCGGAGATACTTCTGTGGGAGGAAGACGCGGATGAGGTAGATAACATCCCCGGTGCTGTATACAGCAAGCACACTCGACCGTACAATGACCCCGAACCTCCACAATCACTCCTTCCGGAGTATCCGCTTTCTCAGAAGGCCGAGTATATTGACGAAGCACCCTCTCGCAGCAGCCACAAGAACGACCGCAGTATCCTCCCAGATCCGTACACGCCTGGCGACCCTTCACCCAAGCAAAAGACCGATTATATCTGTCGGCGGAGCTCCGCAGCAAGTATATCTCATCCACGCTCGGGGAATCGGGGCTTTGATCGGCCACCTCTCCAAGGCGAATCTGATGTTTCCAGTATTCCTCATCGAGTTTCTTCAGTTCTCTTTCCAGCTCCGATGGATTTCCGTCGTATGTTGGTCGGCCTTCGAGGCCATCGTGATCCTTTGTCTCGTTCAAGATTGAGACGAGACGATGTTGACGTTGGAGGATGGCGAAGCCCACTTTTTCTTCAGTCAAGTATTGGGATCTCCAAGGCTGTGGTAATTGTGGAAACATCCTTGTACGCAGCGCTTTTCTATCTTCAATCCGACGGTGTTTCGATCCGAATTCCCATTCACGCCGCATGTTTTCATCCTTTGGACCCATGAAAAATTCCATCTTGGAGAGTCTGAGTTGTTGGGAGTTATGAAATGTAGGTTTTCGGCTGTAGGTGGTTGTAGCTGGTTTCAGGTGATGGTGGATGTTGTAGATGGAGCGAGTCAGGATCTGAACCTGTAGTAAATATGACAGCATGGGCTGATATAATGGTTAGCACAATATTATATCATAGTCGTCTATGACCTCAGTCGGTCCGGCGAGATTGCACTGATATCAAGATGAGAAAATACAGTGACGAATATCATTATCACTTACATGACATCTTACAGCGTCATTTGATTCTGATTTGCTATTAACGAAGCTGTCTACTACCCAGACGTTTTGTTGTTTAGATAAGCGACTATAAGTAAATTCTAGTAGACCTTTATCGGGCAGATATTTTTTTTAAAAAAAAATGAGCACCTCTCAAGGTACATGTTACGAGATTTCACGCAGATGGAGTCTCTGACAATGAAGACACTTCATCCGATACCGTCCGATACCGTGAGAACATACGCCACTCGGCCAGCCCGGGATGATTCAAAATCGCTCTTATTACGGCAGTTAACTTGCCACCAGCCATCAAGCAGAGTAAACTCCAAGTAATGAAATTATTGCACATTCCTCCCTAACTGGCATTTACTTCAAGACAAAACCCTAGCCAAAATACTCAAGGTCGGCGCCAACCAAAGAACAACCAGGGCGATATAAAGACGAGCCCGGTAGTACTGAACCCCCACGTATAGGCCAGCCAAAGCACTGACTGAGAGGATGGCATCATCAATTCCTCCATCAGGACCGCCGTTTTGGGCCCATTTGAAATTCATCAGGGCTGGAGAGAAAATCAGTTCAGGTCCGATCAATAACTAGGAGAGGGGTCAACCTACACATGATCACGAGCAGACCGTTGACATAGTCCCATGTGGGAGGAATGATGGCTTTGGCCAGAAGAAAGGGCTCCGTGTGAGGCACCTTGGCTATTGTCTTCCGGATCAAAGTGGCGCCCACCTTGACATGTTTGGGGAGGATGGCCAGATGAATGAATGAGGAGAAATAGTACAGCAGAGTCGAGGTGGATGGCATGTTGACAAAGATGCGAGAATTGGAGTGAGTGGATGGTGAAGGTGTGGCAATGCTAGAAGATAAATAACTGAAATGAATAACTCCCCCCGACAGCCGATCATATGCATCATTATTAATCCAGTGCAGAAATTGATAAGCAATTACAATGATTGGTTTGGTATAGGGGCAAGCACGGGGATATAAATATGGTGGTGCAATGTGAGCCAGTACACAATCAGATTTCTATTCCTATTCCTATTCATATTCATATTCATATTCATCAAGATCTCATTGTCAAAACATCATGCCTCCCTCTACCTTCAAGAGCTCCGTGTCCGTGACACATATCACCACCGCCACCGTGCTTCTGGAAATCAATGGCGTGGCATTCCTGACCGATCCTGTTTTCGGGGAAGCCAATGTTCCACATGAAATCACGCGTCTGTTTCCTCACGCCACTGAGCCAGTTTTCACCAGCAGCACTGAGGGGCCTGCCCTGGGATTGGACCAGCTCCCTCCCATCGACGCCGTCCTTCTGAGCCACGAAGATCACTGCGACAATCTGGACCCCCAGGGTCGACAGCTGCTCGATGGCCGCCGGGTGATCACCACGCCCGACGGGGCCAAGAATCTCGCGCCGCGCCCCGGAGTCTTCGCCATCGAATCGTGGGAGACGCAGACACATCATTTCGGAGGGGTCAAATATGCAGTGACCGGAACCCCGTGCATTCATCTCCCTGGCGGAGAGACAACCGGGTTCGTTCTGCACACCGAGGCATTTGGCATCAACGGGGATGGCCGCCCGAATGTCATCTGGATTCCTGGTGACACCATCTACTTGGAGGAGTTTACTCAGGTCAAGGATCGGTTTAATGTTGTGCTGGCCATCTTGAACTTGGGGGCGGCCAAGGTCATGTGGCCGGGACAGGAGGAACCGCTGCAGATCACCATGGGGGGCAGCGACGCGGCGCGCTTGATGCAGGCGGCAGGGGTCGAGACAATCATTCCAGTCCACTACGAGTCGTGGCACCACTTCACCGAGCTGGGTGATGAGCTTCGAAAGGTTCTGGACAAGGCCGGGCTTCTTGATAAGGTGGTGTGGGTGGAGCCCGGAGTGAAAAGGACCATTTTTTAACCATCCAGAATGGATAGAAATTAGCCAATTGCATCTTCCAGAGGACCGCGTATCGCGCTCTTGTTTTGTAATCCACTTCGAACCACGGCGGCCACTAATCGGAACCTTCTACGGTTGAACTTGGCGGAGGCTAGTCTGTATGTAGAATCAAGGATGACCGGGTTTAAGGGTTTTCCCGCTGGCCCCATTATTCCCCACATGGTCGTCCAATAGTATCTTGAAGCGCGCTTGTCAATGAGGCCTCAGGCTCACTTCCTGGCTAACTAACCTAATTGGGATTTGCAATCCCTCCAATCAAACAGTTTCGATGGACAGAGAAAACAGATCCCCGGTCATGAAAAGGTTGACGAGCATCACTCCATTCTTCAATTTTTATGTATGTCTCTTTTCTAATAGTGCTCTCCACTACTAACCCCTTTATTCCTCTTATTCTCCATTGAGAGTTTCAAATGCCCGAGAGCCCTGCGAGACCGGCAAAGCGAAAGGCCAGGCCGAGGGAGATTTGCTTTCAATGCCGAAATCGGAAGGTTTGCCCGCACGCTCCATCCCTCTGCTACACCATCCAATTCATGACTGTCCCTACAGGTTCGATGTGATGGGGAGCAGGGCGGTTGTGAGAACTGTCAACGTCTGGGGTTCAGATGCTCCCTCGCTGAGGTTGTCAGCGCCACCGGACATTGGCAGGGCGACCAGCAGACGCAAGATAATGAGGGTTTGCCAGTGCTGGAGCAACGCCGACCCCAAGGCGCGTGTATCCTATGCTACCAGAAGAAGACCAAGTGCTCCATGGATTTTCCCTCCTGCACACGGTGTTTGAGTCATGGTGTGGTTTGTCAATATCGGGCTCGAAGACGACGGGCCACAAGCAGACTAGGTCAATCTCAGGATTTGGATTCAACAACGCCTCTAGCATCATCCTCGCCAGATTCCTGCCTTCTCATCACGGAGGGAATTGATGGGAACCGGACTGGGGCGGGAAAATCCACTACCCCGTCGCTTGGCAATAGTCCGTTATGCGCTAATGAAACCATTTGCGATGAGTGAGTGCTTGACCCATATGCGGAGTGTACCTCTAATGCTGCGAGCTCGAAACAGAGATTTTCTTCGAGATAAATCAGCAGTCCGCCAGCTGATTGAGGTGTTTTTTGAGCATATCTCGCCCCTTCCATGCTGCAACTTCCTCCACAAAGCTAGGCTTCTACAAAGCTGGTCTAGTGAGGCCGAGCCATCGTCATTGATGCTCCTGGTGTGTGGGCTCTCACTGCGCTACCTCGCGCAACACGACATTGATACCCAGCAGAGGGCCACTCAATGGATCCAAACGGCAGAGTCCCGATTGAAAGATTGTCTGGGCAACCCTACGTTGGCTGATATCCAAGCCATCGCCCTGTTGGCGTTTGATCACTTACAATCGCGGCGGTTTGTGAGTTTGATGGCCTGGTTATCTTTGGCAGTCCGATTTGCATATTTGTTACAGCTCAACTACGAGAATGCTTCCCTGTCATTCTTGGAGAGAGAGTCACGAAGACGGTTGATGTGGGCGCTGTGGGTTCTAGACACGTGGACATCGGATGGGAGGAACGAGTTGATTCTCTGTCCGGCGAATTCGATCAGAATCATGCTTCCCTGTGATGAGCGGAGCTTTGCTCTGGACATTCCAGTGGAGACCGAGCCCATCGTACCCGTCGAGCTGGGCAACAAAACCTCCGTACCAGGGCTAATGGGGTATCTACTCCGAGCGATGAGAACTCGGCATGAAATCCAACGGTTCGTCGCCAATTATCAGTAGGACTGTTCTGCAGGAACATACTCATCATTTACCAGATTTATGCGTTCAATGATCCCATACCCGGTGAAGCCCGCCATGGAGTCTATATCCAGGATCAAGGCATTCGACACCGAATTAATCTTATTTGGTCGGGCTCTTCCGGCTAGTTGTATGTTCACGATACAAAATCTTGGCCTGCGCATCTATAGCCCATCCCGCAACACTTTTGTGTCTCTGCATCTGCTGTGGCACCAGTGCTTTTGTGATCTGTACCGATTCGCCGTCCCGGGACTTCGCGAATCCCTTCCGGATGCAGAGATCAAAGGCTTCCCGGAAGACTTCATCAGATACAGCCAAGAGAAATGCCTGCAGCATGCCATCCAAATCACGTATATCATCTCTGCTAGTTTGGACATGGACCGGGAAGTCTTTCTCTCTGATCCGATGCTAGTGTCCTGCTGCTTCCAGGCCAGCAACATCATCGCCCATCAAGTGCGGACCCAATTTGTTGCTACCACGAAGCTTGATCTACTGTCCAAACTCAGAGGATGTTATGATATCTTGCGACGCTCCTCATTGTTGAATCTGACTGCTCGCATCGTCCATCAAGACATAGGATGTCTGTTGGGCATTTCAGATACAAACGACACGACCTCGCCGGGGCTGCTGTATGCCCCCCTCACATCCCTGATCCCTCACACGAAACATCTGCGCTAACTTCCTCTCTTCCAGACCACCCGATAATGCATCCGGAATGAGGACAATCGACTCGAAATATAGCCCCGGGGCAGCATTAGCCAACGGTGAAATGATCACAGACGATCACTGTAAACAATCGAGCAATCCAGCCCCGGCTGCTCCGAGGTCCCCCACGGAGGATTTGGCTGCCCCCACTGGCTTTATGGAATCGGATACTTATAATGCCGGAGACTATTTCACGAGAGATGGGTTTCTATTGTCGAACATGTTGGCCTTGGGTTATGGTCTGGTGGAATCGAATCCGGCTGTGCTGTCTGATGCCATGTTTACTCACCATCCCCCTCATTATTAACCAACAACAACATCACCACCACCACAAGCTTCACCCCCGCCGACAAAAACAACGCCCCGCCGACCCCACCGCCACATACAGCCCCGCCCCCGTCCCCGCCCCGCCACCAAACATCCCAAAAACCCCACGCGCCGATTCCTCGCTCGATTCTCGCGGTTCCAAATCCGCCCATCCACCAACAAATCCACCCACGCAGCCGTCGCCATGGCAGTGCTTATCTCCGTGATCCGCAACGCCCGTGACATCACAACCTGCGACCCCGCCGAGAAGGCCAAAAGCGCAATTACCGCTAAGGTGATATTTGGATTTGGGGGTTGCGTACTGCTGGGATTGTCTTCCAGTTGCAAGACCGCTGCGGCAAACACCATGGATGTTTGAAGGAGGTTGATAGCGAAGAGCCAGGCGCGGGTGCGTGGGCCGAAGATGTGAACGCCTAGTTGGCCCGTGAGAAAGGCCCCGGTTAGGAAGAGGGCGAGGCTGGTGCCGATGTTGGAGGCGATGGCGAGGTCTGGGGAGGAGGTGATGCCCACCACGATCAGCATGATCGTGTTGCCGGTTTGGTTGGATGTGAAGCATTGGTAGTCGGGGAAGGTGGTGGCATCTTGGATGCCGATGGAGAAGGTGAGAAGGAGGAGTTGGAGTTCGGCGTAGAGGTTGGGGGTGATTGGAGAGGTGGCGTAGGATTTCCAGTGATGGTATTTGTTGGAGGGTGATGAGGAGGATTGGGGTTTGGATTGTGGGAGTGTATTTCTCCGGGTTGTGGTGGTGGTTGGATTATCGTCTCGTGAGAGTACATTGTCTGTATGGTGAGGTAGATGACTAGTTTGGGCTTGCATTTTTTTTTTTTTTTTTGGATTTGCGTTGTATAAATTAGGTATACATCATGATAATGATAACTAGGGTCTGAACTGTATTCAAATTGTAGCCTTCTCGGATATCCTTCTTGCCTTACTACTAAGGTAAGTACTCTTGGAATTCCCCCCGAGTGCCGCCGGTACCGCTCCGCCAGAACTAATGATTAGCATTAGACAGCACATGACATTTAGTACGAGTATTTACCCATATCCGGAGGTCGGGCGGAGTGCATGCTTACAAATATACATCGCGGAGGAAAATAAGGGTAAATACCTCTACTTTCCAAAAGAGGCAATATTTGGAGAACTATGATAAGCGCGCTTAGTTGCTATTCTACCCTTGTAATAGTAGTAAGTAGTATGATTTGTAGTAACAAGAAATCAAGATAAGAACAATTGAGCACAATAAAGATAATCCAAAACTACTTTCCCTCTCTCTCCTATATAAAGCCCAAGAATCTCTCTCTCCCCAGAATCAATCCCACCAACATCAAACCATCACCACCAACCAACCACTCAACCAACCAAAAACCATGTACGAATTCTACCCCCAAACCGCCAACCCAGACGACGTCATCCACGCACTAATCCAAACCGGAGGCGCCATATTCCGCAACTTCGTCCCACCGTGCACACTCGAGCAAATCGAAACCGACGTGCGCCCATTCCTCCACGCCGACAAACCCTGGACCGGGGACTTCTTCCCGCCCGAAACCCGGCGTGTGTGTGGGCTAGCGGGCAAATCACGCACCTTCACCAACAAGGTCGTCGGCAACGCACTATACCAGGAAGTGTGTCAACGACTCCTCACGTCGACCTACCACTCGTACTACGGGCAGAAACTCGAGGAATCAATTTCCCACCCACAACTCAACAACACGATTGTGTTTTCCATCGGGCCTGGCGCACGCAACCAGGAACTGCACCGGGATGATATGATTCATCATAATCGGTTGGAGGCTATCACGGCGGAGGAGTACAAGGTTGGTCGGGATTTGGGGATTGGGTTGTTTGTGGCGGGGAAGAAAACTACGAGGATGAATGGCGCGACGAGGTACATTCCAGGGAGTCATCTTTGGGCGACGGAGACGCCTCCCGATGAGGACTTGGTGGTGTATGCTGAGATGAACCCGGGAGATGCGTTTGTTATGTTGAGTAGTTGTTATCATGGGGGGAGTGCGAATCGTACTGAGAATGAGGAGAGGTTGGTGTATAGTTGTTTTATGACGAAGGGGTTTTTGCGTCAGGTTTGTGCGCCCCTCTCCCTCTCCCCTCTCTCTCCCCTTCCCCCCCCCTTTTTTTTGGTGGGGGAGGGGGAGGGATAACCTTGGATATTATGGGATGCTGATATGTTGTTGTTGTTGTTGTTGCGCAGGAAGAAAATCAGTATTTGGCTGTCCCGTTGGATAAAGTCCGGGAATATCCCTTGGATATGCAGCGGTTGATTGGGTATCGCGTCAGTCAGCCGTTTTTGGGTTGGGTGGATTTGGATGATCCCCGGAAAGCTTTGATGGGGGATGAATGGGTGGAGACCCGGGGGGATTTGTATTAGATGATTTTAGAGTTATCACGTTGCTGTTGTTTAGATTGTGGTTTATCTTTGAGGGTTGTGTCACTACTAGGTTCACAATTACAACTGGTTTCCGTATAGATGATACTTGAACTTGGTCGGGGTTAGAAGTCAAAGGCGGATTTACTGATGTAGTACTGGGGAGCCAGAGTTTGGTATCTATAAGTAGCTCGGATATCACTTAATTAGTTATACGGATCAAGGCATCAAACATGAACGCTTGTTCTAGGTACAACAATTGGTCTCTATAGAAATTCAGACGGTACATCAAATTACATTAAGGCAATTGCTATTTGGACTGCACGTACTCTAAACGGACTGCACATACGGCTCTTTTAGGAATAGCCTTTGTCCCAAAGAGGAAATAAAATCGACATCTATTTTCAATTTTTATTGCATTTTTGGACGAATCAGGCCTTTCTGAGGCCGCGAGCCCGGCAGGATGTCTGGCTGGCCACCTCGCTGACTGACCCTCACTGACTTGACCTATCTGACTGACCCTCGCTGACCGACCCCTACTGACTGACCTCTACTGACCGACGCCCCCCCCCTGCCTTGTCTAGCTGAATTCAACGCTGATTTTGATGATTTTGAAGATGGAGGGCTCTGGCTTTGGTAGGTGAAGGTCAGGGTGCTGGGATCCTAGTCAGAATCATACTCTGAATCAATTCCTGATTAGTTGAATGCTAGATTAGCAAGCTGAAGCAGTAGATTGTCTGGCTTTAAAAGATGCAATTCAGTGTTGTTTTCTGTGAGAGGTGGCCGGCAAGGTAGGTGGACTAAGCGAGATTACTAAGAAAATAATAGATCATGTGATTATACTTACTATTCATCGCCTAGTGTGAGCGGGTGGGGCCGGCGCTAGTCCAATACAGGCAGTTTGTGCAGTCCAAATAGCAATTGCCTACATTAATACCACCATACCGTGTGGACCCAAAGAGTGGATCCTGGCGCGTATCGCGCTCAATTATCCGCAAATGATTGGCCCGGTGTTTTGGGAGTTTACCGCGGTCGCTGTTCTGTCCGAAAGCATACACTCAACCGCACCCCCAAAGGTATCAACTTCAACCATTCAGCACATCCCTTATCTGACAGGGCGCTCTCGTCAGAACTATGCCTGGCTGAAGAATTCCTCGTACCGTCAAGCTGAAATGAAGACATGTGTGTCAAGCAAATGTGATCCATAACTGATTAGCATCCATAACACAAGGAGTTTTCCACGGCCCCCTTTCGTCTTCCGAGCACGTCCAGATGTGTTCCAAGATGGACGCCGTCGATGCTATATTTCGAAAGCCGAGCAGATTTCGATTCGAGATGAGCCGATTTCGAATGATGTCTTGCTGGTGAGGATCGTCTAAACAGGACCCAAGGACCGTGATCGGCCAGCAGAGGTTGGTATTTAAGCGTGCAGATAGCGGCAACTTGGCCAGGTATTCCAGCCCCTGGGATATGTGCTTCTCCAACGTCATGTCCAGAGGACCCGAAAGAAATCGATTTTTCCCATTCGTCACAGCACTGAGAAGAAATACGATAACAGCTTGGTGATAGATGTTCCCTGCGAGGGCCACATCTGGCGTTGCCGCCGGGTCGGGGGTCCATTGAACCAGCTCGGCGTGCAGCTCGGCGAACATCACCATGAGATCGACGCTCGGCTCACCCTTGGATGCTATGCATGTGATATACTGACGCCGGAAATCGACGACTCGTGGAATGAGCAGTAGCAGAGCAAGCCAGCAGCCGCTCAGATTGCCGATGTATCGGATATTTATGAGTTCCTGTCCCGCCTCTGCGACCTCCTTGGATATCCAGGCCTGGGATTTATGTCTACCGCTGCTAAGGAGCGAGCTCGATGCTGCGACATAAATGTAGCACTCGAGAAGAAAATATTTTAGAGATGAAGGAATCCGGATGTCACGACGAGAAAGGAGATCGTGGATCAGAGATCGTGCGGCCAGGACGTGATCGAAGCAAGTGCCTTGGGTGTCACCACGGGTCGCCTGCACAGAGTCAATATTGACGGTGGTCTGGTTTGGAAAATAGGGAATACCTCAATCATACACATTGCCAGCACTCCGGCAGTGAGCTCAAGCAGATTGTTAGTGTCCCCCGCAACATACTGCCCGATATACCTCTGCAATGAGTTGAGCGATTTCACATAGTGGTAATGATAAGAGGATGAAACAGTCGTATCTCCTTTTTCTTTACCATGGGCCACGCCCTGGGCAACAATGAGGGACAACATCAGCTCGCTGGAGAATGCGAGGGGGATCATTTGGTAGAGAAAAGGGTTATCTGGGGTGGACCCATTTGCGAGATCAACGGCAGTATTTTGCAAGTAGTAATTTATTATATGGAACGAATCGGCGTCCTGACATGGCCATGTTGATGGCAGCGGTGCCATTGGAAAATACACTGTTGAGCTAGACACTGGATCATTGCTTGGAAGAGCTCGAACGGTTTTATTGAGCGCAGGATGGAGCGCACTTGACATGATCTCGTCGGATTCCGAGGCACAGGCGGGCTCGGCACCCACCGTCTCTTGTGCTGGACCTCGTTCATCCTGAATTTCATTTGTGGTTCGCATCCCATCAGCATCCTGATCACGAGAGTACTCGGTAAAATCATATATTGGTACGGGTTCCTTATCGCCTGCTACAGATCCAGGAACGAATGTTGTCGAAGGGTCCGTAGCAGTAAATCCCAACCCATCCACAAATCCCGGGGTCCATGGGTCCGATGTCGATTCCGATGCACACAACCCAATACTTGCTGATCGGTCGCCAGGAATTTCAGAAAATTGACCAGGGGATCTATCCAAGGGGAGAGATTCGTCAATATTCCGGGGCGTGGGGGCCATGCTAGGTTCAATTTGCCTCGGTGGTGTATACGATCTTGGCGGATTTTCAGCCAGCTGCGATGGGGATACTGTGGTGGGTACAGTATCGTGCTGAATCGGGAGTAGAACGCTAGCATGAGAGATGGTCTTCTCACGAGCCGTAGGCAATGACACTGGTGGCGAGGGCCTTGAAACTTCGTCCAAAGCACCCTGACAAGGCGATTCGGGGTGTTGTAGCGGTGTTTGTGTCTGTGTATGTGCCCGTTGGCATTGAACCCATCTTGTCCCCTCTCCGGTCTCTAGCGGCCATTGACAGCCGAATCCATTGCGAAGACAGCCATGACACGATGGCTTGTTTTCGTCACACTTCTTCCTCCGGCGTCTACAGATCAGACAGCCAGTTTTCACCCGAAGATTGCGGCTAGCCTTGGACTTGCTTTTCGGCTGACGAGGCATTCTCGGCTGTATACTGTGGGAGGATTGTGTCGGAGAGGAGATGCTCCCACTCAAGGCTTGTTGCATACAAAGAGATATGTGGAGGCAAATTGGTCGTTATCGATGATTCACCGATACCGACTGATACCACCACGAGCAAGGCACGTGCACAATGGCTGACTCATCTGTATCTACAACGAACCAATCAATAACCCTTTTGGGGATACAGCTGCGAGATGGGATCAAAAAACCAAAAGCAAAAAGTAATGACCAGACTGGGGCTCGATCCCAGGACCTTATCGGTGTTAACGATACGTGATAACCAACTACACCATCCGGCCAACTTGTTGAACAGCGTCTCTAAATTTTGTTATATAATCCTAGCGCTTTACGGGCTGATCACCTCCAGCAATCTTTCTTTGCTCAACCCCTTGCTCTTCGACAGCCATCTCTTCAAGAGCAATGGCCAGTATCTTGAACTTGAGTCAGAAGCTAAAGGGTAAAACAGGGCTGTACACGATCACAAAGCAAATTCAAGATACCGTTTGGCTAGCAACGTATTTAGCCCGTGCTCCTCCCATAAATGCATCACTGTCTAACAGACGAACGCGACAGGGCGCAGAACAAAGACGTGACCATCGTCAAAAGCGTCGGACACTTTCGTCTCCAAAATGAACGAGACATTCTTCTTCAGTTCCAATCCCAATCCCCATATATACGGCCCCTTCTGGATGAGATTGAGGATCGTCAGGGTCCACCTGCCCTGATCCTTAGACACCTGGATGATGATCTTTTATGCGCGTCTAACAGTCGACGGCTTTCGCGTCTCGAGGTCGAATACGTCGCGAAAAGTGTGCTAAATGCGTTGGCTGTTCTACATCGGGAGGGCTTTGTCCATACTGGTATGTTATTGACTCGTGCTTCTTCTTTCTTCTCTCGTCAGCTCTCTTGGAAATAACTCAGTGGGCTATAGACATCAAACCTAGTAACATACTGGTGAACTACCAGCAGAGTGAAGTTCGATTCAGCGATGTCCAGCTGGCAGATTTCGGAAGTACCGTCCATATCGACTCTCCCTACGCTCGGGATGGGGATGAAATCGGAACGCCGATTTTCAGGAGCCCAGAGGCGCAATTACAAATGCGGTGGGGGACTGCGACCGACATTTGGTCTTTTGGAGCAACAGTGGGTTTCCATCACCGTTCAATCCTCTGTATTCAGATCTAACGACACGGAATTACAGCTTATTAGCCTCTTGTACGGGGATGGGTTTCATATTTTTAAGCCCGATGTTCCAGTTGACCACGATGAGTATGATATCAAGATTCTGCGGAAGCACCATGCCTGCTTTGGGCCGTATCCTACATCATATCAGGAGATTGCGGATCAGGAGCGGCTCGCGGCCCTAGGGTGGATAATGCAGAGTACTCCTCCGGGGGCGCTCAAACCGTTCCATCTAACAACCTCCCGGGAGATCTGTCAGGAGGATAAGGAGTTTGTGCTTGAAATTATGAAGTTGGATCCACGAGATAGGCCTACTGCTGATGCACTCATGAGGGATACATGGTTTGGTCAGGATGAGGGCGGTCCCTAGTCGGGATTATATGGTGGTTCCACTCTTCGGGTGTGATCAGACTCTGTATACTAGGCGTATTGCTTTATGGTAGTGGTTCTATACATGACTGCATGTGGACCAAACTTGGCAGTTACTGGGGTGGGCTACTTTTTTTATCTATATGGGCTGCAGTGGCTTTACTGGGCAATGGCACCCATAAATATATCGGTTTTAGTAACTTACCTACCTCCCTTTCTACCAACTATGGGTGAAGTAAATTGTTATGGTACTCGAATGTCTGCTAATCTTTCTGTTTTATGTTCACGTTTCCACTGCATACATCCATCGTTCCTGGCGTGGGTGTGGCGAATTTTACTACCAACCTCCTAGATTCAGTGAATATTTATATCAACCGGAGACCGCACCCAACAACAAAAAACAGGAAAACTATGAACAACCACAGCAGATCTTTGATCTAGCATCTAGACGACTGCATATGAAATACGAACGAGTGAGATTCCAAACCATTAAAAACACCATACACAGAAAGAATTAATACCACCAGAAAGATCCCAACAGCAGAGGGCACAGGCTATATAAATTACCATTTGTTTATGTAACAAAAAACAAAGGCAGTTTCCAACAAGCTGGCCGGATGGTGTAGTTGGTTATCACGTATCGTTAACACCGATAAGGTCCTGGGATCGAGCCCCAGTCTGGTCATCTTTTTGTGTTTTTTTGCTCCACGGCCATGTGGCTCCCGTCGTAGCACAATGGATCCACTCATGAGCAACAAGAAGACGAGAAGAAATCAAATCATCATTATTTTTGCCCAATGATGGACTGCACTATAACCGGTGGTAGTCGCTGGAGACATCAACATTGTCCCGCCAACTGCCTACCAACTCAAAGAATTGATTACCCCACCCCAGTGGGATTACATTGAGCTGCTGTACATAGGAAAATAGAACCGATGCTTGCAAAACATGTCATAGCGGCGACATAACAAAGGCTATTACTGGGGCGATTCAACACAGTAGCAGGTGGGAAACATCAAGCAGCCAGCATGCTAGATATTATTAATGTTAGGAAGTGACTGCATATCTTCAAGGCACGAGAAAACCCAACTAGCCACGCCAAAGCCCCAAGATATAGTCCAATTAGTCTGCATTGAAGTCCATGTCCCGCTAGTCAGATGACAGGCCGTACCCCCATCACTGGGGCTCTCTAAATGATATATTCTCGTTCAGACCACTCTCTGGCCCATCCATTACCTTGAGCAGTACTGTTCGTGTCACCCAAGATACCCCAATAGAAAAGTCATAGTGCATTCCTTACGAACAGATTGGTGACTGTTCAGGGAAACATGATCCTCAAAGTGACATTGGAGCCGCCCATTGGAACAGCATTGATGTTTAACGTCAGTGGAATACATTATTAAGTGTATTAAAAAGGTAGAGAGCATCCCATGCCAGTTAATCTAGCCAAGCACTCGGCTTATCTCTGTTTCCTGTGCTTGTGATTTCTGAATATGTACATCCGTCATCCTTGTAGAATTAAGAGAGATGGAACTAGACTGTAGAGCCCAAGCATATGCATAGTCCCCCTAATAGCGACAACCTTATCACACACACAAAAAAGCAAGTAGGAAAAAGAACTTAGGCAATTCACCAACGCCATAGACAGTGGGCGCACAAACAAAACATTGATAGCATTTAAGGAAGCCGAATATTCCAGACACGAGATATTGATTTGAACTCTTTACATGTACTCTTTCAACTTTACTCACTCAATTGTCTGTAGAGTATTCTGCGTCCCAGTCAACATCTCCAAACAGCATCCACACCAATCCTTCCAATATATCACCCAGTTTTATCACATCATTCATATAGCAAAAATACAACCACCATTTCAACAAGTTGGCCGGATGGTGTAGTTGGTTATCACGTATCGTTAACACCGATAAGGTCCTGGGATCGAGCCCCAGTCTGGTCATTACATTTTGCTTTTGATCGAATCTCCAGTATTTTTCTTGACTGCTCAAGCTGGAGCTGTACCTAATAGGTAGACACGTAGTGCCAATGACCTTTTCAGGGCTGAACGGTTCACCCAATGCCACTTTTTTATGACTTAAATTGTGAGAGTCAAATTGTTATGGCATGAACTTGTGCTACGACATATACGCATTAGAGAGGATGCAGCTAGCTCAGAATAACTAACTATGGACCTGCACTTGTCTGAGCTGAGCAGAGCAGAGGTGATATTGCATGTTGTCTATGTGTTGAAAGCGAGCGTGTCTGTGTTACGCTATGCATAGGGAACAGTTGTGAGTAACATGTTCCGATGTCGTACATAGTACATGGGGAAAGATAGCACTCCAACAATTGCAGGATACACAATTTTCTCTCATTATATGCCAACAAAAAATCCAATACACTGGAAAGAATAAACTAGTACCTCATGCCTGTGAGCTGGGATGGGATGGGATGGGATGGGTTGGGTTAAACTCCAACCCGCGGGTTATTGGGTAACCCGCACTGGGTTCAACTCAACCATGTCTTTTGGGTCTGGGTACTGCGGGTAGGGGTTGAACCACCCAAAAAACCCGCCGCGGGTTGGACTTTCCCGCAATAACCCTACCCGACCCGACCCACTACAAAAGTAGCCAAAAAATTCGGGGTTTTAGCTTGAAGAACAAGCAAACATTGACAAAAAGTATGACCAGACTGGGGCTCGATCCCAGGACCTTATCGGTGTTAACGATACGTGATAACCAACTACACCATCCGGCCAACTTGTTGAAAGATGCATGTATAATTGGCACTATCAGAGAATGTTAAAAATGGCGTTGTGTTGTGGTTGTGTGTGAGTCTTGAAGCATCACTGCGAGGAAAGATGGCATGTGGACTTATGGAGGTGCATTTCATGATTGCTTGTGGTGGTGTAGCCCTGCATCTACAGTGTACGTGAACTAGGATTTCCCCGGAGAAGCGGGTCAGCGATGGGATATGTTGAGGCAGTAGTACTAGTAGGCTTGGTCACGTGGTTAGCTAGCGCCACACCAGGCACCTCTTCTACGCGCCTCTCGCTGCGCAACCTCTAGATAGCAATACAACACTCATATTTCTCTGTGTTCTTGCTTCCTACTAGTAGAACGCTCCCGACAGGATATCAGTAGTAGACAAATTTTTCTGTACCACGGCCAGGTGCCTATGGATCATGGATGTTGTTGGTTAGGGTCACTTTCATCAAGTACTCAGTTGGCGAACTTTGCTTGGGAATATCACATGGTACCGCTATCTTGACAGGTCTCAAGTAAAGACCTGGAAAACGGATGGCCGATATAATTACTTCGAAATTCAAGGTCTGAATACTGAGTTTCCCTGAGCGGGTGAAGAAAAAGCCCTAACCGGTGCGCTGTATCCTATTATTATGCCAGTGGAGTGTAGTCTGGTACTTTTTTCTATTTGTTTGATTTCCTTACCTTGTCCCCACAACTTCCATTCTAAATTTCTCAATTTCCATATGTTTTATCTTTCGATTGTTGTTCACACTCCACAGCCACTGGGATGAAGCACCTGGCAACCAGTCCCGGCATATCAAAACTGACCGACAAGGCGGGCCGACCTGGCCACAGCTGCCCGACCTCTTCGACAACTGGAGCAAGCTGCCGGGGCCCTCAGATATGCCATTGAGATGCTGGGGAAACGGCCATCTGATATCGTGATTCTGGGGGATTCCGCAGGGGGACATCTCGCCCTGTCTGTTCTTTCTCATCTGTCTCATCCGCATCCCAACATTCCGGTGTTGCCTTTGAGTGAGGATCTGACGGGCGCTCTGCTGCTCTCCCCCTGGATGATCGACCCCTGGACCGACTATGAGAGTCACCGGAAGAACGCGGATCGGGATTCTCTTCCGCTGAGAGCTTTGAATTCATGGGCTGAGATGCATCTTGGTGATACTATACTAGATAATTATAGCTAGCCTGTAGGCGCACCTAACGCTGGTAGCGGGGACTGCTAGTGGAGAAGATCTTCATCGGGGTGGGAGGAGATGAGGTGATGCTTGATTCGAGTGTGAAGGTTGCCAGGAAAAAAATTGAGGTAAATTATGCTGATCTTGTATTTGACAAGGTAACTTACAGTTATTGGCGGAACATTCGGGAGTCACCTTGAGTGTTGCGTATCGGGAGTATCACTGTCAAGCTCTTATTTCCTCTGGGCTAGGGATTGCTCTGGGGAGCAGTATAAAGTTTTGTTAGCTTGGTTGGAGAGTTGTTTGTCCAAGTGATAAGTCCTCGCAGTTATAGGGTTGCTGGTGTGTCGATAGATTCTCTGGTGGACTGATCCTTAGACCTCCATGATAGAAACAAAATGCCTGGATCCAGGATTAATAGGGGTCTCTGTAATACTGTTAGACCGATGTAGATGAAAAAGCAAAACAACCAATCTAGCAGAAGCACAAGCATGCCAACATACACACCATCGACGATGTCCAACAGCTCGTCTTTCCCACTTTCCACTACCTCCCATCTCAAAAAGTAAAAGTAAATGGAGTTGAAGGGGATCGAACCCTTGACCTCTCGCATTTCCCATGAGAATGCGAAGCGAGCGCTCTACCACTGAGCTACAACCCCTGCTCGATGGAAATAGTAGCCGCTATTTGTTCAGTCAGCGAGAATTATCTTCCAGTAGACATGCTACGTATCCATACCAGTTTCATATTTTGGATGGAGTGCTGAAGCGTACCTGTATCCGTAATACTAGCGATGAATTCTCTGGAGCTTCTTAACTGGAGCTAGTGCAGTATCTTGTGACCATGGATGGATATTTGCACTGCGATTAACAATGCATGTGTCTGGTGGTGGACACATGTTCGGTCCGGCCCGTTTCCGTCAAAGCTTAAGAGACGGATGTGATTATGAACCGGTAATGGCCATCGGGCAAGTAATGGAAGCACCTGACAAGTTACCTTATTGGATGTCACTGCACGGTGGATAAGTTTTTGAGCTGACCATTGATCCAGGATCCATTTGTGGTGCACACACGTAAGCCAGCCGTGGCAACCCTGAATGCATTCTGTCCAATGACAGTTATGGTTTGCCGTAACCGAGACGATTCCGGGGAAACCCGATCGACTCCATCTGACGGGTGGAGATGCCAGATGGCGGACTGGGTCCACAATCCACATTTAATGTAACACGGTCACCGCAGTAGGATGTCACATCTGTAAGAGCATCCAGATCTTATTCCAGACCGATCGTAAATAGACCAAGAACGAGACCGACGCATCATTTGGCAACCCCTGAACCGACATCCGTCCATCCGATTGATCAGGCAACAAAGAGCCATGTCCGCGGTTGGTAATAGCTTACTGCTTACTGGTGGTATCATGCATAGCCCCACGCTAGTCATAGAGTTCATGTCTTATAGTGAGGGGTTTCACGGTGAGTGGGATTCGACGTCCATAGATCATGTATATGAAGGGCTTGAAGATAGTTCAACCTACCGGAATTATTATACGTTTGTAAAATGCGCGCAAATCTATTCGCTAGAATCGAAAAGACACAGAGTGCTCAGGCCCTGTTTGTAACCCCTCGAGCTAAATACCGGGATCGGGACTAGTCCAAGTAGCCGCCAGCCGGGTAGCCTTTATGCCGCCTGTCGCACCTTTTATTTCTCACACCACCCCTACTTTCGAATCCATTCTTGCTGTGAGCCGGTGACATCGAACAAAATGGCGTCCTTAACTCGTCCAATCCTTTCTATACCCCAGAAGCGTATACCATCACATTACCCCCTTTTCTATAAATCAAATCAACTAACATAATCCTTACCAGGACCCGCCCTGCTCCCCGCCATCGCCAGGCACCACCAACAACCACATCAACTGAGGTACTACCCAACCCACCACCACCACTACCACATCACACCCACTCACTCACCCACCTTACCAGATGGACTACCACCCAAAACCCAACCCCTAAATACCAAATTGAACCCCAAACCCCCCAACAAGGCCAATCGCTCCTCGCCCAACAACGTCTCCGCCGTCCCGTCGCCCCCCACCTCGGGATCTACAAATGGCAAGTCCACTCCGTCTCGTCCGCCATGCAGCGCAACACCGGAATTCTCTTCTCGGGTAGTCTCTACCTCTTTGCGACATCTTACCTCGCGGCTCCGTATCTGGGCTGGGATCTCTCATCGACGAGTTTGGTTGCTGCCGCGGCGACACTTCCCGTGGCGGTCAAGTTCGCGTTGAAGTTTGTGGTGGCGTGGCCGTTCACGTTTCATATTATTGCGGGTGTGAGGTATTTGGCTACCTCGGGGGCGAAGACGTTGGAGAATAGGGAGAAGTTTGTGAGGATTGCGTGGGGGGTGGTGGGGGCGAGTTTGGTGAGTGCGGTGGGGGTGGTGGTGTTTTATTGATTACTTAGTTATATTTTATGGTTTATGCTTTGATTTGAAGGTTAATAAAATAAGCTAAACCAGTCCACCATCACCCAGCTAAACCTAAGCCCTCCCCTTCTTCACCTCCCCCACCACCTCCCTATACGACCCCATCTTAATCTCCTCCAAAATCCCCCTCCCCCTACTCACCCACCCCAACTCCCTCCTCGCCTTCCCCCCGACGCCCTATTCTCCACACTCAAAAATCTCGCCACCACCATCCCCATCTTCCCCTCCGCCTCTTCCACCCCTATATCCCCCACCGCCACATCCATAATCTCCGCCACAGCCCCAAACATCTCCCTGGCCGTAACCCCCGTCTCCCCACTCGCATTATACACCTCCCCCCTCCCCCCTCTCTCCGCAGCAAGTAAATACAACTCCGCCGCATCCTCCACATGCACCGTCGTGATCCGATTCCCGCCCCCACCCACACACATCACCCGTCCCATCGCAGCAGCCATCTCCATCCATCGTCGGACTCCACTCCCCCCGTGCCCGTAGACGTACGGTGCAAGCCGGATGCTTATCGCCCTCACACCCTGTTCTTCAGCCCCCTTCTCAAGCACATATCTCTCCAATTCACCACGCGAATTAATCGGGTTCGGATCCAACGGCGACGTCTCATCCGTTTCGTTCCCCGTCGGGTCAGGAACAACGATTAATGTTCCGCTGGTGATGACGAAGGGTTTCTCCGCTGGTGTGGAGTCATGTAGACCTTGGAAGATGGCGTCCACGGCTGCCATATCAATGTCCTTGACTTCGTCGTAGGACGCGTGCACCCCGAATTGATAAGCCGTCGCCAGGTGGATTATGGCGTCTGCGGTGCGGGTTTCCTCGCGGAGGAGGGCGTGGCTGGTTAGGTCGCCGCGGATGGGGATTGCGCCCAGGGAGGTGAGCTTGGTGTCGCTGGAGGGTGTGCGGGAGAGGGCTCGCACGGTGTAGTTGTGGTCGGTGATGGCGAGGGGGATGAGCGCGGTGCCGATGAAGCCGCTGCCGCCGGTTAGGAAGAGGGTTTTTGTTTGTTTGGGTGGTTGGGTTTGGGGGGTCATTTTGGTGGGAAAGATCTGGGGTTTGCGTTGGATTGGAAGGGGGTTGGTGGGATGGGTTTGGTTGATGGGATGAGTTGGGATTGAGGGAGGGATGGGTCGTTTATATAGGTTTGTGGTGATGGTAATGGGGGACTGGATGGAATTAGGGTTCGGAGTTAGAATGTGGGTTAAGTCCGCCGGGGAAAAATATCCCGGCGGGGTTCGGGATTGGGTGACTTCCATCGGGGATGTTGCCTTCGGGTTTTTTCTCTGGGAGGAAGGGAATACGGTTGTTGATTGTATTGTGAATATCCCGCTTGGATTTAGCCAGGAGAATATAAGGGGGAGAGTATGAAGTGATGATGAATTGGTATTCAATGGTATGAGCAAGCTATGACCGGTCTACTGGTCTACACCGTAATCTATCACTCTACTATCCCATGTAACTATTAGCACCATATCGCAAACCTGACAGCCTCGATGATAGTCTATTCTGAACTGTAACGGAGGGATACAACAACAGAAAAGGCCAGCTTGATCAATTACCTGGGCACTAACCGACTCTTACCTGCCTATGATGGTGTTATGCAATCCGGAGCTGAGAGTTCACCCTGCGTCTCACTCAGTGCGTGTTCAATAGCAATGCAGATGCTTGCAGATGCTTGCAGCCGCCAGCGTCGGCTCCAGGATGTGTAAGCCTGCATTAGCCATAGGCGGGTGTGAAGCTGGTGAGGCGAGGCAATAAAGTCTCGCCGACTAACAAGGTAAAATGCAGCACCGTGGGAGATTGATGGCGAACGCAAGGTAGGCAAAGTGAGAGTAACCGCTGCAACGCTATTCCGCATTGGGCATGTCGATGTCTACAGGTTTTGCAAAGTCTACTGATGTGTAATAAAGAGGTACTTTGGACAATTCCATCTAATTCTAAACCTCATTGCTGACTACATTTTCTCATCAAGTCTCCACCAACCGTCTCTCGCCACAATTACCAGAAGGTATCCAGGCATTGACAGCAACACCGTCAGGTACGATACTCGTACAAATGCTCTCTTGTATTCGCCCCAGTATTCAATTGCTGCAGCCTCTCTCTTGCCCACTCAAGAGCATTTCAAAAGCCGTCGCACCTTGTCGAAATGTGGCCGCATCGTGGATCATTGACCAGGCCCCCAGCTGTGTCATAATATAGTCGGATTGACGGCAGCTGCTGACACCAGGAACATGAGGAATAGCATGATGGGCATACAAGGTAAGCATGCCACTAGCATAAGTCCCTGTAATAGTATATGCTTCGTGGTCATAGAAGGTCCGGTCTCGCCGGTATGACTGAAGAGCCTGCATCGCCCGGCACCCGACAGCGCCAGCATAGCAAGCCTTTCGAAAGCACACAGTGGTGGGCTCAGAAGGATCGCCCAACTCGACAAAGAAGTTTGGGGCTAGTGGCACCTGATCCTTGTCGCCTAGCCAAGGGATAATTTTGTCGTGGAGTTTCTCACGAACCTTCAGCTCGATGTCATCCTGACGTGCACCATTGTAGTAATCCAGCCTAACAACAGGCAGAGGCCAATCCGAGCTAAAAGGAGCAATATTTTTGAATGTTCCCCCGCGGCCAAGAAAAAAAGGAGGTTCTCTGTCCCTCTTGCCCCATATGATGGGGAGAATATCTACGTGGATATCTGCCTTGCACCAAGCGTTGACTGCGATATGCCTAAAGCTCGTGAAGTCAGCCTCGGAGAAGCTTGACTCGGTTAGAGACGCTCGTCGGCGAGAGAGCATTCGATTGAGGGCATCCCAGTTTCGAGGTGGTGCTGGTACCAGCCCATCAGGATCCGACCATTCGTTTGGATAAATGCCCCTGTCTGTTAGCTGCTGCGCAAACTCATTGCTATAGATTTCGATGTCGGGTATAGAACTTTCATCATTGGATAGAGACATTGTCAGTCCGTGTCAAGTGTTATCAATTGATCTCTGCTAGGCGGTACTCTCAAGGGCTAGAAAGTGTGCTTGCTTAGCATGGGATGTTGAGGGTGAATGATGGGTAAATACCTGTAGTTTAATCCTCGGACTGGTGTGCAATTTCCAAGGGCTGAAACATTGGCGTTGCGAGGGATTATATACAGGGTTGAGGCGGGCAATCGTTCGGGGAATGGTAGTGGTTTGACGGTGTTTTCCTTGGGCGGTTTGGTCATACCCAAAGAATCAACTGGAACAACTTGTATTCAGAGAACAGATCCTTTCGACGCCGTTGACTTCGATCGTTTGACTTTCAATCTTCCGAATAAAGCCCCACCTTGTGTTACTTGAGACATTCTAGCCTCGCCCTTGGATTGGCTCCTCGAAGACCATCGGATTGTTCCTCTTCTAGAGCGGGGATGATGACGAATAGAAAGATATTCCCCTTGAATGACTCAAACACTTCATCAAAGTTGATAGATTTAGCCGAGCCAATCATTCTCATGCTTGAATACAATGATACAGATGAACAGGGAAATGCATTGAGCCCACTTACAGATCAATTATGTTAGGGCGATAGTTAATTGGATTAAGTTGATTGAACACGACACCTCCGTGCGGACATTATATCTCATCCAACTCTTCATACACCAACCACGCATATCTGTATCTTCTCTAAGCAATCACACAATTTGCTAACTAGACGAAAAACCACAGCTGGGTGCTGGCCAGTCCTTGCCTCCGACCACGCCGGGGGAACAACATCAAGGAATCAAGGTGCTGCTAGGTAAGTGAGTTAAAGTGGACAATGAGCTTACTGGGCTTCGACGAACGCCCGACTATAGCTCAGACGCAAGAGTGCCCCAAAAATATCTGCCATAGGTTGAGATATGCCGTAGGGGGGAGATTATTGAATTGTTCGCCATTAGGATCATGAATGCTGAAAATAGTTACATTCGACCGTCTATATCACAGTTTCGGAGACGACCTTTGGCTTTTCGCTATCCTAACCGATTCAGGAAATTTATCGAAGTTTTCCCTGGTAGTGCTAATTAACTACCAGGAAGATAAGCCCCTTCTATAAACGGCGCCATCAAACAGGATCTGCAAGAAAAATCACAGCTATATCCCGTCACTGGCTAATCAGCACATCCCTTCACCTCGCTCGACTCTCTCTTAAACCCAGACTTGACTGGGGTATGAGAGTAGGCATTAAAACCTTTAGGTGGAAGATGCTATAATTAAGTTATTCTCGATCTGTAGATGGACTTGATCAATTAGCATACATTTCGAATATCGGATAGATCGGGTCCTCCCTGTCGGAAAAATTTCTTAATATGTTTTATAGAGCTTGGTGTACAGCTACGAAGGAAGTCTGGAGCGTGTTGAAACGGCCAGCGATGTCTAATCTCATCAGAATCGTATTGTTGAAGTTGAGATATGGGGATGATGATACCTGGAACTGGACCGTCGACGAAGAATTCTTTTGCACAATTTCTGTAATGCGCTCTTCGTTAGGTCAATCCTCTCTAGTCTTTTCCAAGATTCGGGAAGTAGGTGGAAAGTCGTGCATTCTCTCAATGAGCTGCATGGATGTTGAATGGTAAGCTGAGGAGGGATAGAGGGGGGAGGAGTCAATGGTGGTTTGACGGAAACCGTCGACATGTCGAGAATAATGTATCCTAGGCTATAATCCGGTACAGTATTTCTTCTTCTCCAGAAGTGGCTGTTCGCTATTAATTGAGAAGAGGCATAGGCCTTATATAGCTTTCTCTCACACCAAGTAAATCGGACACTATTCATTCAGTAAGAACGATATATCTTGTTGGGATCCCCGATGGGCTCCCACGCCGGTAGGCAACGTAGGGTCACGTGACCCTCCTCCCTACACCGCTAGTTAGTCCATATAGATGGCCTACGAGGCCCCTAGCTAGATCATCATCCATCTCATTCTACACGGTTGAATCGCCTTAGTAGCCACTCCAACACATAACAAACTGCAAGAAGCACACAGAGAATACTCACAACCCGGATTTATGCCCACCACGCGCACATAGAAACGCTGAAACTTTGCCGTCAACAGCTTCACCAGATGATCCGTCGCCGCTTTGCTCGTCGTATAACTTGTCAAATCCACATTTGTTGCATTGTGCATACTCGCACAGGAGCTCGTAATAACCACCACGCCTCTCCCATCATCCCGACCCCGATGACCACCACTCAGCGGCTGATCGGCCGCAGCAGCCAGCAGAGGAAGAAACGCAACGCTTAGGAAGTAATGGGCCGTCGAGTTGATTCGGAAAGTATCCGTCCAATCTGTCTCTCTGCTCGACCACATCGACTCTTGTAGCTCCGTTAGCGTCGCGGTGAGCACGTTGCATGCGATAGGTGGGTCGCGTCGAATTCCCGCGTTGGATATGAGCATATCGAGCTTGGGCTCTTTCGCGGAGATTTCTTGGGCAAGCTGGGCGATGGAGCCTTTGGAAGAGAGGTCGCAGGCGTAGCTTGATTGTGGACTGAGTGTCTGATAAATTCTAGCGACAGGGGAGGCGATGCGTACCCTTCTGCACTTCCGCCTGATTCGGATCCTACTTGGTTGAGTTCTGATACCGTTTGGTCAATGGCGTCGCTGGATAGAGCGACAATGTAGACTTTGGCTCCGTTGGTGACGAGTCCCTTGTGCTGTAAGTTAGTATGTAGTGTGTCACATGGGGCTCGTTTTCGAGATACCTGGGCGATCATTCGTCCTATCCCGCTGCTTCCCCCGGTAACGAGGGCGACACGGCCCTTGACGCTCATCATATCTTGTGCTAATAGGGAGTTCATTGTGGGCAAAAAATGGTCCTGGACACGGGGAGGGGTGCGGAGGAAGGACGTGGAGGAATGGGACTTCCCCGCTTTATGTCTCGTCCGGTCGGATTGCCCGACACCCTGGGACGGCATTACCTACAAGATAACGAGAAAGGGGAGAGAAAAGTCGCTGAGTTCACGCTATCTCAACTACTCAACTGCCAAGTTCATCTAGTCTTCACTCTTTATAGTGCTCCTTGGTTCTCAGTTCGGCAGCAGCCAAGCACTCTCTGGTCATCGCATCATCTCGCGGAATCAACCGGACCTTGAAATCTCTCGGAATCGCGACAAGGGCCGTCTTGAACTGGTTGTACTCGACATAGTCCGTATCAGGCGGCTGATTCTCACTAGCCACAATCTTGTACGACGAGAGAATACGTATCAGCGCTGAATACAGCAGTCTGATTGCGATGACCTGTCCCGAGCAAGCACGAGATCCGGCCCCAAAGCTGAGATGTGGGAGGCCTTGAATCTCTCGTTCGCTCGGAGGATCGGCCGATTTAAGCCACCGCTCAGGATCAAACTTGCCTCCGTTGGGCCCGAAGTGGTCGACATCTATCAAGGAGTTAGTAGATTGTTCCAGGCGACCGTAGCGGTTCGACGACGCCTACCGTGGTTGCCTGCTTGTGCATTGATTAACATCATTGTCTTAGGAGGGATGATAACGCCGTTCCAGTTCACTTCTGTCGCGGTTTTTCGGGGCAGACTCATGGAACTGACAGTGTAGTACCGGCCTGCCTCTTTCACGATGGCGTTGACATAGGGCACCTTTTCCTCGTGGATACAACCCAGCCAGGCATCTTGCACATCAGGATAGTATCTTTTGATATCCTCGTATGCTCTGTCCTGCCAGATCTGTCCTTCTGGAGTGGACAACGAACCAATCACTGAGGTTAGAGTGCCGGGAATGGTTTCAAAGCCACCGGAGACCAGGGAGAGACAGATAGAGGAAACCTCTACCCCGCTCAGCTTGGTTTCTTCATCCTTGAGTATGGCGGCCGAGATGCAAGGCTTATCGGTTCCTTTCTTGATCATGTCTCGGACCTTGTCCAAGAGCAGATTGAGGTAGGCGTCCCGACGCCCCCTGAGTTCCTTGGACCGGGCGTTCTTCTCATTATTTGGCGTATAGCGCAAGATGGGAATATAGTCTTGCAAATTTTCCGACGCGCTTCGGAGTAAGGAAATCGCAGATCCCACATGAAGAATCTCCCGAAGAAGGTCATCGTAGACTTCATTCATGCGAATGCCATAGCACAGGGTCAAGGTCGTGTTGAGAGCGTATCGCTGGATATACGGGCGGACATTGAGTTCGACCTGGCCATTCTTGCTATCGCGAAAGAGATCTCGGACAGTGCAATAGCTTTCCAAATCGAACATGGGATGGTAATTCCGCAAGGCCGGTCTGCCCAATGCTGTCCCAGCTGCCTTGCGCTTTCTCTTGCAGGAGTCGTCCCAGGGTGATGAGCCTATGGTAAATCCCTGGGTACTGCTGATGACTCCATGAAACGTATACAGCTTCGGCCGATCAATGATAGCATTCTGATGGCCTAGTAGCACGGCGCGGCAGTCTTCAAAGGAGTTGAAGACCACCGCCCGCGTATTACCCAGCTTGATCTGGAAGACCGAATGACCGTACTGTCGCCACCAGCGCTCACACACGCTTGCATGGTCGTCGCCTAGTTTTCGAAGATGACCGAACATTGGAATGGCGCCTGGAATCTCGGGAAGCCCCTTGATGTGCGGGATGTCTGTCACCATCGTTGCCTGTGATGGGGTAAAAGTCAGCAGAGCGGCGACTTCAGAACAATCACGGCCATACCTGGTAGATGAAGTAAATACCTATAGCGACCAGACCTACGACGACGTAACTGCTGGGGATCGCATACAGCAGCGCTGTCGCGCCTCTGTTATCCTCTACTTTGTCGAGCATTCTTCCCAGATGACAGATCTCGAGCCTCTGCGATCGACGCGATGTATAACTGATGGGAGTCTGTCGGCCGTCCAGTGGCTCTTTATATTTACCAGTTCCTTGACAGGAAAGACGACACTGCGTGCCCGATGGACCGTCTCGGCTGTCGGACGATCCGACGGGGAAGATCGAGAGATACGTCAAAAGGCGCGCGGGCCGATATCAGCCCCCCCGCCCAGTCAGACCAATGGCCAGGTCACACCCAGATGCAAGGCGCTGCCATCGATAATCACGGTTTATGCAGATAGGGACCGACGTGTTTATCCATGACAGCTTGGCTGAATCGAGGATTTGCGAAGCAGTGTATTTTTGATCGATCTTGTGGAAGAAGAACAAGTAAATCCGACTTTTCTTGCTGGAAACAGTCGTAGAATAAAAGCGCTCGCTAAATGTGCGATGGACAGTGCCCGGGAATACAGCAGTATTCAGACGTCGTCATTGTGTTCGCACTCTCCTACGAGACCTCTGTTTCGGATAATCCCACATCTGCTGCCTCACCGTACCTCTAATGCCATCAGCTCCCATGACAATGCCTCTTTGAAAAGCCGAGTCGTCCGCAAAATGTACCACGACTTTCTAAGCTGCTCGAGAAATCCGAGCGCCATTTGGGTGGATTCCAAGCGAGGCGCCTTTCTGGCGGGCGATCTCACTACGGGCCTCCAATACAGAACGCCAATCACACTCGAGAATGGTCGAGGAAGTGAGAAAGGGGAAAGTTGGCAAAAAAACCGCCCAGGCAAACATGGCAAACTCCCTGCACCTTTCTACTTCCATGCCGCCGATGCTTCCTATGCTGGTACTCAACAAGCAGAATTCTTCGTACTTCTCTGTCCTCAATTTCTCGGCTTAGACACCGCATTCGATATTCGTTACCACCCCCAACTGTCCACAGATGGTGCAGGCTCTAAGCGAGCACGACGATGTCCGCCCACAGATTCAACGGCTATAGGCCGCCTTATCATTGACATGGAGTGAGTATCATCCGAGAGCATGCAAGTGTGGGGATTACTCTGCCAAGCCACCTGTTCCTACGTCAGTTTATTGAAAAATAGCATTGTGGGTCAGTGATTGCATATCCCTACGGGCTATGCTAGAGAGAACGCTTACCTTAGACAGCAGGATAGATGCGTGAGCCAGATATGGAGGCTTCAATGCTTGCTGCAAAACTTGATGGCAGTCACGATTTCATATTGTCAATCATATTCCGTTTCCGCCTGCAATTAGTGTGGGTGAATCCTTTCAAACGGACTCCCATGACCCGAATAGCAAAGCGTTAACAAAGGTTTCGATAATGGGGCGATGATCACATCTCCGAATCTGGGCGCTATACTTGACCGCTGGCTTGTTGAAGCGGACCCCTTGTTTACTCCCACCGTGATCGGCAGCCATTCGGTCTACCGGTCAGTTTATGTGCCTCTTTAACATCAATGCCTCACTCCTTATGGTAGTACGGAAACTCGACATCAAATTTGGGCGCTTGCATCTGAAAGCACAAGAACAATGTTGGGCTAATAAGGCCTACAAGGTTGCTCTAGGTGAAGTTTATCGACCAAGCATCATAAACCCTCGACGCACGCACAAAGAGCTCCGTCAACGACGAAACTATACTGTCGCATTGTTCTCTGAGATGGCTGGTGGCTCACAATGCGTTTTAATTGGTGGTTCGGAGGATCGCTGGTGCTTATGGGTTAGCCCGACTGGGTAAGAGGCTGATGACACCATCCACCCCGAGAGTTCCCACTGATAAGCCCACGATCATTCGTGAACTTGCCCGTTCCCCTCACCTCGCAGTGATTCGATTTCTTCAATAGCTCAACTACATGGGACATCTTGATAAAGCCACAGCCATTGCCTCCAACCGTACTGTGAGGCGACCGACATGTATTCTGATGAGGATGGCTCTGCCTCAAGGCAAAGCCAGGCAGCCTACAACATCCGGATACGACTGCTTGTATCAGCGACCTCTGTCCTATCGTGGTTGGGGCTGGCAGCAGCAGTTGCAAACGGTGAATATTCTCCAGGAAATCTACAGTTCTCACTGTCGTCGAATCAGCTGAGCCCACTCGGATGGAGCAAGTATTTGTGGGCAAGTATATCTATAGAACATGCATAAACTTTTGATGAAATATTGTGAAGCCTAACAGCAAGATAGCTTCTTCTTCCACTGCATAGTCTGTCTATTCACTGGACCGAAAGTCCCCCAAGCGTCTATAGCGCTGGGCTCAGAGGGTCGCTTTTAGCTATCCTCACCCTCTCTTTACTTTGCTTCCCAAGAGCGCCAACTGATGACAGACCCTTCTTTGCTCTGTCACAGGTGCCTTTGCAGGTCTACGCAGCGGTTAGCTTGGCAATCGTCCAACTTCTATATCCTCGTCGACCAGATCTTTTCACACCGGATGGCAAGCCCGTGGACCTAGAAAACAGCTCTTCGGCGTTCCATAAGTATTCTATGCACTGGTGTGCGAATGCTCTAAGCCTCGCTGGCAATCATGTTGGCCTTGACCAACTTCCTGCTTTGGATTATCGTTCCAGGTCGAAGAGCCAGCCACTTCTTCTTATTATGCCTTCTCGGACCTCTCTGTGGAATCGAATTGCAACCGACCGGTTCGCCGGATTCGTCAAACAATGGACTCTGATGTTTGTACGATCATTTGTTACCTTTGGGTCGCCTTATTGTGTCATGCAGTTGCTGAAAAGCCTCGAAGATAATCGCGGTTCAACATACGACGCTTGGATGTGGCTGATTGGAATTGGCATATCTTCCTTGTGCCAAACGTTAATTCACTATCACCTCCTCTGGATACAGTGGTCAGAGATGGCTATCCCTGTTAGAGCACAGCTAATTATGGCGATGTTCGTCAAAGCCCTAAGGGTGAAAGACTCGAAAGATCCAAAAACCTCAAAAGCGGCTTCAGAAAAGCCCGAGGCCATCAATCTCATCTCATCAGACACTGCAAACTTCTGTAAATTCACTGCTGTTAACCACTATATCCCCGCACTGCTCTCCAAATTTCTTTTTGCTGCGTTGTTTCTCTTGAGGTTACTTGGATGGCAGAGCACCCTAGCTGCAATGGTGGTCACTGCAATAAGCGTACCGGTACATACATTTGTCATTAAGAAGGAACGCGTGGCGCAGAAGAACCTTGCAGCAGCAAGAGACAAAAAGACCAAAGCGATCAACGAAGCTATGCATGCACTCCGACAAATCAAGTTCTCCGCCTTGGAAGCTCAATGGGAAGAACGCCTAGAGACTTTTCGACAAGAAGAGATAAAGCAATTACGCAGGAGTTTCTTTGCCAGAAACGTAAGATCTGTATGGAGCGTTGCCTCTCCATTCATTGTCGCAGCGTCTTCAATTTGCACCTACGCATACACCAAGAGGTCAATATCTCCATCTGTTATCTTTCCGATGATTGAGCTCCTGCCTTACCTCCAAGGAACATTAGGATTCCTTCCTGTTGTATTCCACGATTACTTCGGTGCCAGGGCAAATGGGCGCCGCATGGAGGACTATTTGAGACGGCCGGAGCAGCAAAGGGTCCTTGAGCCCAGTCCATCAGGTCATGTTTCATTCCAGAATGCGTCCGTTTCCTGGCCGTCGGATGAGCTAGACGGAGAGATCAAGCAGGAGAAGGAAACTGTCTTGCAGCATCGATTTTCCCTCTACAATATTAATCTCGAGTTCCCTGTTGGAGAGCTTAGCATTATTCACGGTAAAACAGGATCAGGGAAGAGCTTGTTGCTCGCTTCCATACTCGGAGAGATTGATTTATCAGGTGGCCGTATCAAGGCACCATCGATGGCTGATGAGCAACCGGTCGCATTTGTATCCCAAACGCCGTGGCTCCAGAATGCTACAATCAAAGAGAACATCTTATTCGGAAGCCCTATGGACACCGAAAGATACGAGAAAGTTCTGAGAGCCTGTGCACTTTATCCTGACCTTGCTGCCTTGGCCAAGGGCGATGAGACCCAAATCGGTCTACGAGGCGTCAAGCTCAGTGGAGGCCAACGCGCGAGACTTTCATTCGCAAGGGCAATTTACTCTAGTGCGAAAACTCTAATTCTCGACGATATATTTTCAGCTCTCGATTCTCATGTCTCCAGGGAAATTTTCAATGCACTCACCGGCGAATTGAGCCAAGGCCGGACGCGGATTCTTGCAACACATCGGGTGTCCTTGTGTCTATCAAAGTCCAAGTACATTGTCCATATACAGGACAATACTATAAGGTATGCAGGCAATACCGACTCAATTGAAGAAAATTGGGATGTTGTCGAACCTGAGGCGCCCACCGAAGCCGGCCCACCAGTGCAAGAAAGACCGAAAGAAACTTCCCGCACGAAGACCACAACCAAGGCCCTTGACGCGCGGACAGACCTGAAGGTGTATAAGAGCTACTTCACAGTCGCAGGCGGCCTTGGATTTACTACATTATATGTTTTGGGCCTCGTCATCAAGCAGCTTTTAAGTTCGTTGACAACATGGACCTTGGGGCGTATAAATTCGGTACGCCAAAAGACCGTCATTCAACCAGAGAATGCCTCGCCACATATTGCCCATGTGGAAGGCGGATTGCAGCAGTATCTATACCTGTATCTGCTCATTTCTTTGCTAGCTGTATTCTTGCAATTTCTTTTCAATTTGCATACATATGCAGGGTCATTACGCGCGTCTAAGTCTCTATCTCGCGAGGTTACGTCTAGAGTCCTTCGAATGCCTCTCCTGTGGCTTGATAACACACCCATTGGGGAGATACTGAGACGGTTCACCGTGGACGCAAAGCATGTTGATGATCAGGTTCTCGGTACCATGTCTGATTTTGCCGACAATTTCGTTCAGATGACGGTTATAGCATGCATCGGGTAAGATCTAGCTTAGCAATGAGTCAAGGTAGCCTGCTGATAAATCCCAGGCTATATACATCCATGTACACGAGCTTCTTGACTGTTGCTCTCTTATACTGGTGTGCAGTAGTCAGCAAGCGCTACATCAAAGCTCGAACGACAGTCAAGCGAGCTGATGCAGAGCCAACCGCCGATATTCTCGAACATTTCACATCATCTGCAGCAGGAGTCATGACGATCCGGGCCTTCGGTGCAACAGATCAGCTAGCTGAACAAATGCATCAACGGCTCGATAATTTGTCCACCGCCCGGAGACATTTCTTTATTTTCAATCGCTGGCTGGGCCTCCAGATGTCTCTTGTAGGTGTCCTCTTCAGCACCGGCACGGGCATTATTCTAATGTCGTCGCGCTCTGTGATTGACGCCTCTTTGATTGGATTCTCCCTGAGCTTCTCCATGGGCTTTTCGCAGGCCGTGTTCCAGGCCATCAACAATTTTGGAATGCTGGAAACCTTCATGAACGCAGCGGGAAATGTTATAGCATACTCTGAGATGGAGACCGAACGTCAAGGCGGTCAAGAAGTCCCAGACAGCTGGCCATCAAAGGGAACGGTTGAGGTCAAGTCCCTTAGCGTTTCCTATTCAACTGATCTCCCCCTTGTCCTCAAGAAAGTATCATTCAGTGTTGAGGGCACCACAAGAGTCGGCATTGTAGGCCGCACTGGAGCCGGAAAATCATCACTAACACTGGCCCTTCTGCGCCTAATTGAACCCCAAGCCGGCTCAATCATCGTCGATGGCATCGACATCGCAACCATCAAGCTTCAGATCCTCAGGTCCAGAATTGCATTCATCCCACAAGACCCTGTCTTATTCTCCGGAACTGTGCGATCCAACCTTGACTACTTCCACCAAATCCCAGAAGCCACACTCAAAGACTCCCTAAAACGCGTCAAATTGCTTGCAGAAAGCCCGGAGGACGAAAGCACCGGCCTATTTACCCTTGACACACCTATTAGCGCCGGAGGGGCAAACATGTCCCAGGGCCAGCGGCAGCTTCTCTGCCTTGCACGGATCCTAATCAAGGACCCGAAGATCATCATTCTCGACGAGGCGACGTCAGCCGTGGATCACAAGACGGATTTATGGATTCAGGAGACAATTCGAAACCAGTTTAGTGGGACATTGATTGTTGTTGCGCATCGACTGAGGACAATATCCTCATTTGATAAGATACTAGTCATGAGTGAGGGGGAGATTGTGGAGATGGGGACGCCAGCGGCGCTACTGAAGAATGAGGGGCTGTTCTATGATCTTGTTCAGAGCAGTGAGGACAGGATGTTTCTGATGGATACAATTGGATGAGGGACGTGCGTCTAATATGGGTGTCGGAGATGATACAGGGTCGATTGGGATCCGACTAGGTTATGGGTTGTTAGAAATTCTACACACTAGAACTTAGTGTTGTAGGAGCAAGCTTCACGACTACTGGTCTGCAAATGTTCACCCTAAGGGTAACAGTGACTACCCTGGATGATCAATAATCGATCAGCATCTGCAGGCCCTAAGCCTTCCGTGTTATCAAATGATATGTCTGCTTGAGAAGGGAGCCAGTAAATGCCCCGTCCTCGAGGCCGGTGATTTTGACACGCTGCGCAAGTCTCGGAGACTTCTGAATCCCCGAGACCGGACAACTTCGGGAAGGCTTGGCTCCGAGCTGATAGGAAAACAACGGGCATGATTGGCAGTGGAGGACAGAGGATATCAACGGGGACATCCTTATCGTAGACCCCGCCCGATAGGCGTCTTGGCGCGGAAGTGGGTTAGGTAACAGATACTCCCGGGAGTGTCGCGCCAAGCCTGCCAAGCCATGTGGGTGCCCCGCGGGGTTTGTTGACTCCAGTTGACCCCTCGATCAATCTCGGTCATTCCCGGCCCAACTTACCATGTTTCCCTCTTCGAGGGGGCCGCCTTCCATGGTTCCATGCCAGAAGAGGCGTATCTAGATAGATCCTAGCAACCGAGAGGCTTCGGTGGTGGCCTGCCAAGGCTGCCGCCTCAAATGCGCTTGGCGGACCCGACCAATGGCAGGCTTGTTACAGCGTCATGGCCGCATCAGATCGCGATGCCCGGTCAGTCCTCGACCATCTGATGTTACCTTGATCCCGGTGACCCCGGCGACTGGCGTACAGTACGGCGGCTCAAGTTGGTCTTGGTGGTACTGTACGGATACCGAGTCGGTTTGCTTTCCTTTCTTTTACTACTTCTTCTTCTACTTCTGCCTCTCTTCTGCTCCTTCTTCCTCTCACTCACTTTCACCACTATCCTCAAGAAACAGACCTCTATCCACCATAACCTTCTCTTGCCTCCCTCTGTCTCTATCTCTTCTCCCTCTCTCTCTCTCTCTCTCACCCCCCCCCCAATTGTTGTAGTGGCCGTGCCTCAGAATAAGAGATGGGCCACAAAGGAGATGGCTCCCCCGACACGCCTGTCGAGAAACAATACGCCACGGACTTATTCACGGCCGAGGAGAATGTTGAGCCTATACCGGGTGACAATGAGCTTCATCGTGCCCTCAAAGCCCGGCACATTACCATGATCGGTATGACTTCTGGTGTTCACTGACACTCCCACAAACGACAAGCTAACCAATGCCTAGCCATTGGGGGTGCCATTGGTACGGGCCTCATCATCGGAACAGGATCCGCTCTCGCAAAGTAAGTTGAGCAGCTAGTCCACAAGTTTGTATCACGCTGATTGATTTTCCAGGGCTGGTGTAGGTATCCTGACAACCTTCCTAGAGACCCCGATCTAACACGCACAGCCTGCCTCCATCCTTATATCCTACTCCGTCGTTGGTTTTATCGTCTATCTCGTCATGTGCGGTCTTGGGGAGATGGCTGCCTGGTTGCCTCTGTCCTCTGGTTTTACAGGCTATGCCGTGCGGTTCTGTGACCCGGCGCTCGGCTTTGCCCTTGGTTGGACGTACGGGCCTCCCTCAGCCCCATGCCACCAAGTTTCCCCGCTAATGTCAAGTCACACAGATACTGGTTCAAATACATCATTGTCACGCCCAATCAACTCACTGCTGGCGCTCTCGTCATCTCATACTGGATCCATCCAGACCGAGTGAACGCGGGTGTCTGGATCACTGTATTCCTCGTCCTCATCGTAAGCATCAACTATTTCGGTGTGCGCTTCTTTGGCGAGTTCGAATTCTGGCTGTCCTCGTTCAAGGTCATTGTCATCCTGGGGATCATTCTACTGTCGTTTATCCTAATGCTTGGTGGTGGTCCCGATCACGACCGCAAAGGCTTCCGCTACTGGAAAGATCCTGGCGCATTTAATACCTACATCGACGATGGCGCTGCCGGCCGCTTCTACGCCTTCTGGGCGACTATGGTCTCCGCCACCTTCGCCTATCTAGGCACTGAACTCGTCGGTGTCACCGTTGGCGAGGCCGAGAACCCCCGCAAGACCATCCCCCGCGCCATAAAACTCACCTTCTTTCGCATTGTCGTCTTCTACGTTGTCTCCGTCCTCCTGGTCGGTACCCTTGTGCCATACAACTCCAAAGAGCTCATTTTTGCCACCAATCAGTCCAGCTCCGCCGCTGCCTCTCCTTTTGTCGTTGCTGTTAAGCTTGCGGGAATCCCTGTCCTACCTCACATCCTCAACGCCTGCATCCTCCTTTTCGTCTTCTCGGCCGCTAACTCCGACCTATATATCGCTACCCGAACGATTTACGGCCTCTCCAAAGAAGGAAAAGCACCTTCCTTCCTCTCAAAGACCGACAGCCGCGGTGTCCCCGTCTATGCGCTGATCCTGTGTTCGTCCATCGCCTGCATCGCCTATATGAACGTATCCAGCGACTCCAAAACGGTCTTCCGCTACTTTGTGGACCTAGTCACGATCTTCGGCCTCCTAACCTGGATTTCGCTTCTAGTGACACATATATACTTTGTCCGTGCAAGACAAGCCCAGAATGTCCCACTCTCCGATCTCGCTTACCGTGCTCCGCTGGGATCCCCGGGCTCCTATGTCGCCCTCGCCTTCTGCATTCTCATCTGTCTAACAAAAAGCTATGACTGCTTCACGCACAACAAGAAATGGGGGAACTTTGACTATAAGACCTTCATTACCGCGTACCTGGGCATTCCACTGTATTTGATCCTGATTTTTGGATATAAGCTCGCGACCAAATGCAAGGGCGTGAATCCGTATGAGGCAGATCTGTGGACAGGCAAGGACGTCGTGGATCGAGAGGAAGAGGCGTATGCTCGACGCAGAGCCATGATGGAAGAGAAGCATGAGAGGGCAGGATGGTTCTATCGGAAGTTTGTATCGTGGCTGTTTTAAACCCCTTTGATTGGTTTGCGAAGCGCGCTAGCGCTATGGGAAACTTTACGTTAGGTCCTGCTTTGAGAAGTACTATAATTCAACCGGAAAATATATATATAAGAAATTCTGCCTTCTTTATTACCTCATAGAGGTTCTTTGAACTTACTCTTTGCAAGCTAGATGCTTTTCAAAAAGTGTTATATGGTGCTTACTACGTCACTTCGCAACGCCTTGTACCTCCTGCAGGCCAGGACCTAGTATTAATTCGTTCGCCTGTGGATGGGTAGTCTGCCATTTCTTTGGGACTGGGATTACCTACGTTCTACGTTAGTGGAGTAGGACGGTCAGGTCAAGTCAAGTCAAGCCAAGCCATATTTAATGAACCCAATGGAGCCCGCTAAGTGCGTTACTCGCGATATAGGTGCTTCCCGTTTGAAGCAAGAATATGAAGCCAGAACACACTGTATTCCGGGATCCTAAGGGAGGCGCTGGGCTAGGCTATATCCATACTAGTCAGTAGAGGTAAACGGATTACTATACCACATTGCTCTAGCCTGATCCCGTGCAGTACAGAGGAATGCATTCTCCAGATTTATTCAAGTACAGTGGTACAATGGAATTGGGTTATTATTTATAGAATGTCCCTATGCCACGTACTAGGTAGGCACTTATCTAAACAGTGAGAAAGTCAAAGAACAGTGGAAAAAAGAACCTAACCAGTCCCGTAAACCCGTCATTAGTCATTACTGGTCATCATCAAGGTCCGGTATCAAGGAGAGAAATGGTGTTAGAGTGGGAGAGAGAGTAATTCGTGAGGATGAATAGGTAGGTAACTGTTTGATCATCGTCGGAATTCAAACAAGTGTTCGGCGGTCCGGTACTCCGATTCCACCTCTTCATCCCATTCGTCGTCGTCGAGGTCAGAAAGTGGGTCGTTGGCCTTTTGTGTATCTACTAAGGAGTGTGTACTGAAGCTTGCATGATTGTTGCTGTTGATGAGGATATCGGGATCGGTCTCCGTTTCCAGGTCGTAGAGTTCTGCTTTCAAGTCCGACTCAAACGAGCTTTCCCCCACTAGAAAGGAGCCTACTTTGAGAACAACATTGTAGATCTCCTTGCCGGTGGGGATGATGTACTCGGATGGAAGGAGAAATCCGTAGCTTCCGCGATCGCGAAGCTTAATCTGGTACGAATAGGTCGCATGCAGTTGGTGGTAAAACCAATCCAGGGCACTGCCTCCAGAACTGCCGCCAATGGGGAATAATCTCCCCGGGTTGCCATCCGCTGCTCCGGAGGTGACGGTGCCTTCACAGGCAGAAGATACATCGTAGATCTCGTGGGTCGCGTACCGAATGACCTTGGCTAAGCCAAGACCGAGTTCTTCCAGGCTCTCGAGGGTTGGCGGAACCGAGGAGCAGGAGTAGGAGAATGGGTAGAGGATCTGCTGAGAGTAGGAGTGAAGGTCGAGGAAGCTCACAATATTCGCATTGTTGTTTTGTGTCTCGTTGAGCGCCCAGCGTGCTAGTTGCTGGGCTTCCATGCCCTCGAAGGGTTCGTCTCCCGCATAATTCTCCGAGCACGGGTTCGAGCGGGTCCGATCGCCGTCCCACTCGAAATCCCAGGCGCGGTCGAGGTCAATCCCGGGACAGAAGCGCAGGCTAGTCTGCTGTCGGTTCTTGCGCCATAGCCGGTCGGTGTCCCAGGTATAGACGTAGCCGTCTGGGTTGAGGGTAGGGATCATGATCCAGTCGAAGTCCTGCAGAAGGCGGGTGACGGCCTTTGATTTACCGTACTTAGTAATGAGATTGTACATTACGTAGTTCACGGTGGACGTGCTGATCCATTCGCGCGCGTGGCTGCCCCCGGCTACGATGATCGTTTTACGAGGGCCCGACGTTGCAGTGGAGCTGCCTGCGCCCAGTCGAAGTGCGGGGATCTCGCGACCTTCGTAGGACACTCCTACGCTGATCATGCGCACGTGGGACTGAAACATTGAAGCCAGCAATCGCATCCAGGGAATTATGACGGTAAGAGGTTGATACTCGTGGAAGAAGAGGTCACCGAAATGCGCCGCGGACCGACCCGAGTGGGCGAAACCGGATTGTCCTTCGAGCCCTATCGGCTTTCGCGTTGGGTAGGAAGTGTAGATCATCTCCGCCAGGTTGTCCATGAGGGGGGTATACGCGGTTTGGAGGGAATCTGGTAACAAGCCTAGTAGCGAAGGAATCTGTTGCAAGTATCGAGGTGGATCAGTCATGACTCGAGCATGTGCGATCGGGATTCGGGAGGATGAGGGAGGGACTACGTACGACTTCCTCGGCCAGGCGGATATCCACAAATGCTGGGGTAGATGCCCACACATCCAGGAAGAGAATATCAGCTGCCTGGGCCAATGCCTCCGCCTCATCTTCGTTGCGCAGGTTGAAACGAAGTACGACATCACTGCCGTAGCGCGCCAGGACCCGGGATGGAGGGGCGCGACCGCGCGGGGACTCATTGAGTGGGAATTGACGAGCCGAGGGCTTGTCAATACCCCAGATGGACTCGATGATCCAGTCCCGGAGCCGGATCCAAGGCCGTTTGGGGTCAGATGGTCGCGAGGAGAGAAGGTGGACGGGCTCGACGGGCGGTTGTGGAGTGATAATGGAGCCGGCGGGGACGGCGGAGACCAGAGCGGCCGATGCGACCAAAAGCACGAGCAGTGATAAGAGATGACGCATCATGTAGGACTTATCGAGTCATCTCCTTTAAGGTGTGGAGAAGGAAAGAAGGGAGATTGACACGAGATGGATGAAGAGGGGTAGCAGTGCGCGAGAGTTGAGAATGGAGAGAGGAAGAGAAAAGAAAGAGGAAGAGAGGAAGAGAGAGAGAGAGAGAGAAAGAGTCGTTGACTCGTGAGGTGGAGGCGAGGCGGTTCTTTGTGCCTCAGGCATCAACAGATCAGGCATGGCGGCCTGGGGCATTTCGAGCAGGGCGTCGTGGAACCCTCGAATGCTCTGGACCCTACCGATCATCGGAAATTGTCCCACTATTCAGCTAGCTTGCATTGTGTCTAGGCTTCCCTCCAGTTGGCCTTGTGTAGCAGCTACGATCGAAAGAGACGGGCTCCGACATTTGAAACTTATAGCGCACGGGTGAGTCATGACACCGGAAGAGTGACTGACCGATTAATAAAACTCATCAATGACCAGCACTCGGGGTCTATAAGGCAGACCATGACAGAGAGTGAGGAATTGTGTCCATCACAACCACGAGCTTGAGACGATTCGGCGGGACTAAGTTGGAGGGCGAATGCAGCGATGATCGAGTCGGGCTGATCGAATGGATGCCCGCATTGGATGGCCCGGGAGCTAAACCGGACCCGGCTAGTCCAACGCCGCGGGCAGCCAGTGGGCCTAACCGCTTCGGCACAAGTGTCCTGTCACGCTCCGTTGGGGCCCGCCGTCCAGCTCTTACCGGTCTAGGCAAGGTCGGCCTTGCCGAATACACACTCTCCCAGCATTCTCCCCCAGCATCCTCTCAGCACTTCTAATGGACAGAGTTAGAAGCAAAAAAGTAGGTGTGCCTCTGGAAGAAAGTCCCCTGTCATATGTACAGAGACTTGTGCTGATATTTGTACTTGAGTACGAGAAATTCCCACGGCCCGAGCAGAAGATTCGATATTTCGCCTATACATTCAACGGCGACTATAATGACTGCCTAAACAGAGAAAAGGCCGTATCAACAGAGATGACTATCCTACAGGGATTTTTATATAGGTGAATTCTTCGTGCTCGTCTAGGCTTCGAAGCAAAGCACCTTTGACAAACTCGCTCCTCACTTCTTTCATCATCAAGGGTTTCTTGTCAACGTCTCCCACGAATATCTCAGGATTTGGCCCTTGTAATTCAACTGGAGCCCTGCAACACTGGTTCTAGGGAATTCTGCAATGGCTCACACCTCAACATGCTTTGTAAAGATGCCGGCTGCACGCTGAATCGGCCCCCCACAGAGCCCGATACCCGCCAGCCACGTCAGAAGTCGAACAAGACGCCGGTTCACCTAAGTAGTGCACATAGTAGATTTTATAGAAACTTGGGTTCCACTCTCTTTCCCCCAGTGTCGTAAGCACGCCCGTGTAGATAGCTATTATTGCAGTTTAGTCTCTCATCTTGAAAAAGCAAATCAGCGAAAGCTTGAATACGATTAGAAATCGGGAACATAGCGGGGATATGCCTTCTCAGACTTCTGTCGACATTAAGGGCAGATCCTTGTCTGATATCTAGATCCTTGTGTCTTATCTAGCCCCAGGGATCGACTACTTTGCTTGATGCTACGATCTAGAGGTATCCAATGAATATTTGCGCAACTCCATCTATAACATCGCAGTCTTTCCTTTGAGATACTCGAGATATTAACCACCTGGTTCCTTTGTTACTCTATCAGAAATGATGTATGAGTTTTGCTGGTTTTCCGTCTACAACTCCCCTAGAGATATTCTCCGGGCTATGGTAGAGCAAAGAGCAAATGAATGGCCGTGGCAACATAGCTAAACTGTGGTGCATGCACCGCAATCCATGGAAATCGCTCGAGAAAGATACACAAACGAACATTCTTACCAGCTGCAGAGGAAGTGAAGTTGGCGGGGGGCGGTCAGGTCTCCGGCCATATGCGGTTCGGTTCCTAACCGGAACCTTGGTTCGGAGGGGCCAGAACTTACCATGTACAATATCTGCAGGTAGTCTCCCAGTCCAATTGGAAGGGATCGGTATGTGCATGGGCAGGGAGGTAGACTTGGCCGGTCGGCATCAGACGGTAACTACCTACCTACTACGACGATGCAAATCAAGTTTGTCTGGACGACTGGGCGTTGGCGGATCTGGCGGGCTGAGAGATGCAGCGCGATGACGCCAGCGCTGGTCATGGCCTTGGGGCCTGACGTGGCCAGACCCCGGGCGGTCACGTGGGGGCCCGGCTGGGGAAGCGAGCCCAGCTGCTGCAGTTCCTTCCCAGTGCCAGGCAGCTGTATAGAGGATTACCTACTACCTACTTACTCTGTACTGATGCACATTAATACTCTCCTTTCTCCTTTCCATGGTGGTTCTGCTGCCCGGTTCACTAAAGGGCAAGGGTCCTGCGATCAGCGGCGTCAGGAACACGGAAGGGGAGCTTTTGCGGCCAGGATTTAATTTTCCCCATAGTACTGTTCCTGCTAGTCGGGTCTATCTAGTATCTAGGGGCTGTTTCGTAGTTAAAGATAGAAACAGCCCACTGGGGAAACCTCCCGATCGCAGACATATTTAGATATGAGAGGATAGTAGTGCGAGGGTCTATTTCCATCCATCATGATTGATTGTCCTACTACTATATATGTTATGTGTGATGGGTGTGAATTTGAGTACTACTATCACTAAGTACTAAAGCCAATGACATAACATAACATAACATAACATAACATAACATGACATGACATGACATGACATGACATGACATGGATAATTGTAATTGTATTGACATGCCAATCGAAACATTTCATGCAAAAAAAAAGGAAAAAAAAAAAAAACAGAGAGGCTGACGGGCTGGCCAAAATGGCACGTAAATGGCACGTGTGGTTGGTTCCAGGAAGAGTTCGGCCCGTTCTGCCTGGTGAACTAACTGGAAAGGAAGGGCCCTCTCCACTCTTATTTCTGGAATCTCTCCGTCGTCAGCAAACCACAGACAGCATCATCGCTGTCTCGTCTTGTCTCGGCTTTCTGCTCGGCCTGTCTCTCCTCCCGTTATTCTTAGCCCGCCGCCTCCTCTTCCTCCTCATCCTTCTCCCCCCGTCCCTGGTTGTCTCGGTCTCTCCCTTTCTTTCCCTTTTAAACTACTACTCACTGCATCGCCCACCCTCACCCATCGTCTCTCCCTGCCCCTCCTTGGCTCTCCGGACCGCGTCTCAGTTTCTGGTTTACTTACTTGGTCCCCTCACTTTCCCTGTCATTCTCTCCACGTCTCCAATTTCTCAACGCGCCTCCCCTCCCCTTCCTCCCACCCTATAACCTCTTCATCAGTCTTTGCACCTGGCGATGTAACGGCCCCCAATTGGCGATCTCTACAATTCTTTCGCACCACCAAATTTTCGCGTCGGGAATTGACTACCTCCACCTCCTTTCCCCCCCCCTTTTTACGACCGCGCTCCTCCGCCCAGCGATCTTGCCCCCACCTCCTTGCGCTGCCAACTTGCCCTGCCTTTCCCCTTCGGCTGGTTCGCGATGCAAATTGGCCTGTTCAACGGTGACCTCTTTGCTCAAAATCCCTAGACGTTGCTGTCGCCAAAGCCGTGATCGCAAATCCGACTGAAGCCTTGATATACCTCTCGCAGTGGGACGATCGCCAACTATAATCGCGCAGCATCGGATGGGTTGCTCAAGCACGCTGCGCTGCAGGATTACATAAAGACTATTCCTGGAAACGTCGTCACCATGCATTGGAAAGCACTGCGCCTCGGCACCTCCGATAACGAAGCCAAAAGACGGAGCTATCTGTTTGATCCACCGCAGTCCCGTCATAGCGAACAGCTGCCTCGTCCAACGCTCTCCACGACCGCCCTTGCCCCCAGACACTCCGAGTCCGCTCCACGCTCCCCGTCCCTGGCCGGTCCAGATGATGCCGAACATAATGACTTTAGGGCTGATGATAATGGTCTTACGCAAAGTCGCAGTCGCGGAGACGACTCCACTACCAAGCACAGAAACGCTGGATCCTCGCTGTTGCCAGGGAGTGGCCCAAATTGGCGCATAAACCGTTTCAGCTTCATGAGGCTTCGTCATGCGTCGGACCCGCAATTGTCGAAATCTTACGCTAAGGGGGAGCAGGAGATCCCTCCTGTGCCGTCCCTACCGCGTAAGTACACTCGCTTCCCCAGAATCTCCCGTTTCGCATTTTGTGTTTTCTCGGTGATTGACCATGCCTCTACGCTTTCTAGCTCCTACCATCATAACTACCGCGCCGACAAATCATGAGCTCGAGGAACCGGTTAAGCGAAAGAACAAATTCAAGCTCTTCCCAGAAACGAAAAACGCGACGGTTGAAGAGCTCCCCTTACAGCAGTCCGGCTTGAATGGGAAATCCCGACACGCCGCTCAGGGTTCGACTGGGTCACAGACTGTTTATCCCAGCCGACCGGCATCCCGAGTCAGTGGGGAGGAACCCGGTCGCTTGTCGACTACATCAATACGGAGCAGTGGCCGCGAACAACCTAATGATTCCCATCGCTCCTCTGTGACGGATGCGCGGTTTTCGGAGTCCTCGCGTTCTGACCAGGATCGCGGGGACCATGGAGCTTCCCGTGGAATCGCTTCGGGCGAGGGTTCAGTCTCTAGCACAAAAAGATTCCGTATGCCTCGCTTGAAGAGAAACAAGGGCCCTCTTTTCCCATTGCCCCCCAAGCCGACTGGGTCGCAGTCACTCAATGGGCGTATGCCCAAGTCGGTGCCTGGCCCTTCGGTTCCGACGTCGGACATTTCAGATGACCAAGACCGCGACCACGTCTCTCCGCTGCCATCGCCATCGCGTTCCTCCACCGGTGTTTCCTCTCCCCGACCCCCTCTTCTCAGAAAAGACTCAGCGAATTCCGCCCATTCGAGTCATTCGACCCCTTCCATTCGTCATCGCAACCCTCCTAACACGCGGGCTCGATCATCTACACTGGATTCTTTAGCCAATTTGCGGGATGGTGAGCAACAACCGTCGCCTCATCTCACCTCGTCAGGGCGAACTTCCACTTCAACTAGTGGGCGTAAGAGCTTTGGCGATATCTTCAATATCCCGCAGCGACTTCGGCAGAACTCCGAACCCCCGTTCCCCAGGAGTGGGTCACCTGCTGCCAGAGGCGCGGAGACTCCAGTTTCCAAGTCGCCGTCCTATCCAGAACGACAGGAAAGTGATACTCCGGCCACGTACCTCGAGCGGCTTGAGGCGAGTGTTCCCAAGGGCGTGATTGCCAGCGTGCTCTCGCAGTCAAACGATGAATTCTATAAGACTGCCTTACGCAAGTATATGAGAGGCTTCTCCTTCTTTGGCGACCCTATCGATATGGCCATTAGAAAACTGTTAATGGAGGTGGAACTACCAAAGGAAACACAGCAGATTGACCGTTTTATTCAGAGCTTTGCAGATAGATACCACGAATGCAACCCTGGTATCTTTGCGAGTACAGGTACGCCCCTGTGGCTCCCGACTTTTGGTGAACACACTAACTCTCCATAGATCAGGCATACTTCATTGCGTTCTCGATTCTGATCCTCCACACCGATGTCTTCAACAAGAACAATAAGCGAAAGATGCAGAGGCCGGATTACGTCAAAAACACTCGCGGGGAAGGCATTTATGAAGATATTCTAGAGTGTTTCTACGAGAACATCTCTTACACCCCCTTCATTCACATTGAAGACAACAACCCCAACGGGCGTCAGCTCGCAAAGCCTCGACGCGCTCTATTCAAAACGGCCAGTTCAGATCACCTAGGCCGTACCACTAAAGAACCGGTGGATCCTTACACGCTGATAATGGATGGAAAACTTGACTCGCTCCGACCAAGCCTCAAAGATGTAATGAACTTGGACGACCCGTATCGTTGTGATGGAACGGAGGGACCGCCTGACATTGCAAGCCTCCATCGTGCCTTCTCTAAAGCGGCCATTTTACAAATCGTTTCCCTGCGTTCGCGGCCTGATGCCTTCATGCCGTCCAGCATGGAAAACCCGATCGATTCCAATCCAGGCCTGGTGGACATCAAAATAGCCAAGGTTGGATTGCTCTGGCGCAAAGACCCAAAGAAGAAGAAGGCTCGGTCACCATGGCAAGAGTGGGGAGCCCTACTCACGTTCTCGAAGCTCTATTTCTTCAGGGATGTTAACTGGGTGAAATCGCTCATCCACCAGCATGAGTCACATCTCAAGGAAGGCCGCCGTCGAGCTGTCATATTTAAGCCACCACTGACAGACTTCAAGCCGGACGGCATCGTGCCGACCGATGATGCCGTGGCTCTGATCGACTCCAGTTATAAGAAGCACAAGCATGCGTTTGTCTTTGTCCGCCACAACGCCTTGGAAGAGGTCTTTCTGGCTAATAGTGAATCGGACATGAACGACTGGCTGGCAAAGCTGAATTATGCCGCAGCCTTTCGAACCACTGGCGTCCGAAGCAAGGGCATGATGGCTACGGACTATGAGGCGCAGCGGAATCGGATGAGCCGCAGGGGCTCTAGTGTATCCTTAACGGACAGGGAACCTCCTTCGCCGAATCCCGAGGCGGACATGGGTGAAGACCTTATTGTCGCGCGGGATCATTTGATGCGCCAAAAGATTCGAGAGGCTAACGAAAAGCTTTTTGTCAGCCAACGGCAGCTTGATGATTTACTGAGGAACGCTAGACATCTGCAGGTCCTGACCCCCGTGCACTCTAGGGCACGAGAAAATGTAATCATGGCTGCAGGGCGCATGGCTGCCAAGCTCAAATGGGTGAGGCAGGATATCTGGCGTACCAGATGTTACCGGGAGGTGCTTGTTCGCGACCTGGGTGAGAAAGAAGGAGAAGCGCAGCTTCTAGCTGAACAAAAGCGCTTGAAGCTGCAGATTCCTACGAATGCCGAGATGCCCGAACAGGAACCCCCCGATGAAACGGCGGTCGAGAAAGTAGCATCTCCAGTCAAAGAGACTGTGCCCCCTTCGCCGCACCCTGACTCCATTACGCCGCCATCTGTCACCCAACCACCAGCACCGCAACCCGCTGCAGAAGACATGCGGAGACCGAGCGTCCCAGCGTCTTTCACATCGGTGGAGGTTGCGTCTCGCGCTGGTAGGCGGCTCTCGGTGGACGATCTCAAGGCACGTACGAAATCTAGCTCTCCTGAGCCACTGAATCGGTTGACTCGCGAAGCCTCGGTGCTCAGTGCTGCGAGTAAGATAGACGTCGCCAGTTTGGCCTCCCGTGCCTCTAAGATCACTGCCCCTGGAAGCTTCGATGATGGCGAGGAGCGGATCCTTCGCGAGGCTGGCTTGCTGGAAGTGAATACCTCGCCCCAAACTAAGAGACAATCTCTTGTCATCAAGGACGCTGATGTTGATCAAAAGCCGAACGACTCACAAGAGATGTCTCAGCTGGACCGATCCAGTCGGATTCGCCGTAGTCTCCACCGGACTCTTCGAGATGCGCCCGGTGCGCACCATGGCCATTACCCTCGCAGCAAGAAGTCACGCGAGTCAACCTCTGGCATGGCCGCGCTCGACGATGGTCCAGCAGCTCTTGAAGGTGAAGGATTATCTCGGAAATCTGCCAGCTTCACTGTCCACGGCAAAAAGGCCTCGATTGTCACTTTCGGCAGCGAATGGCAGAACATGCCGCCGGAGGAACGTCTCAAGCTTCGGAAACCGACCCCATCGGAAGAACCCAAAGCGTCCGATACAGTCGTCGCTAGCAGTGCTAATTCCACTACCTCGGAGTCTTTGCATCCTGGTCATCCGCAGTCCTTGCGCAGTATGAGCCCCGGAACCAGGGAGAGCGTCAACTACATTGAAGAATCTGAAGAGATGGAGGAACTTCCCCCACGATTCTACAGTGACGACGCCCTCGATTCGAGCTCCAAAGTCACTGAGAACTCCTTCGTCACAGCGAACCAGGACCCATCACCCGTGCTGGTGACTGACGATAGCAATGCCGTCGACGAGACCACGCCTAAGAAACTCTCTGCCAGCCCGCCCGAACAGGCTGTGAATGCATAGAAAAGGAAAACAAAAAGAACCGAAAAGAAAACCAACTTTATCATCTCACCCTCGTCAACAAGACCTTTCTGTTCTCTCCCTCTTATCTTACGACTGACTTCTTTACCTTATACCCCTCATCATCTTTCATTTCATTCCATTTCATTGCATCCTGTCTTTCTCTACCCACTCGTATTACTATTACCTTTTATATGTTTTAAAGTTGTTACGTTACGTGTCTTCTCCCAGTCAAATCGGATAGAATCTGCGCGCGGACCCCTACTAGATCGGGTCCGCGCTGTCATGACCTTGATACCATTTCCAGTTTCTCTTCTCTTCTCTCTCCTCGTTGGATCTTCCGGGTGGGTCTTTCTCTGGGTGTGCATTGTGTTCAAATAGGGGCTGGGCGGTAAATCTCATCCTCTATTCCTTCGTTTCTGTTTCTGTTGGGTCGCGATACCAGTGCATGAGATCTCTCTGGCGATTATGTTCGGCGTGATATGGTATGGAAATCAAGTGGAATTATGGGGTTGGTATTTATCTACGAGCTGGTTACAAGAAATCCTAGCTGAAGCATATATAAACAAGCATACGATCATCCGATCCCTACATTAATCCCTGCACCCGAACCCCCAAAAGCAGATAGGCAGGTATCCCCATCCCTAACACCTTTTCCCGGCCCAACCCACCTCCATAACCTAGCACTTTCTGGGGCGATTCTGTATTCACTCCCCATGCACCCCAATTCAGTTAATTATCACGTGAGGTTAATTCTCCCGGTACCTTTCCCTGCATCTGTGTAAAATCACCGCCGTGTCTTGAGGCTCCATGCACACCCAGCATGGGAATTACATAGACAAAGATGACGGAATGTACTTGCCTTTGCACGGGCGGCCGGGTGAATGTCTCTCTCATTCTCTTTCTTTTTGCAGTCATGTCAGTGTGTATTCTCTTTCTTTACCCTTTTTGCTTATAAACTTGCTCGGTGTCCACCCTGATTCTTTTATTCTTCCTTTTTTCTCTTTTTCTCTGCTTCGTTCGTTCGCTTTGAACCTGGGGCGTGCGGAACCTGTGCTGTATACGTTCGTTCGATACCGACGCGAATGATCTGCTCTGATCTGGTGTGTTTGTTTGCTTTTGTTCGCTCGTTCGTTGAAGGTGGTTCTTTTTCATGACCTCTTTTGTTTGTTGATTGTTGCTGAGAACGTGGTTTTTAGGTTGGTGGCTTGGGGCTTGCTTCCTAATTTGCTTTTTCTTTTGTTTCTCCTTGGGACCTCGTATTGTGGTGCTTGGCCCGGCGAGGTTCCGGGGAAGGTACCGATTCCGGACCGGTTGACATCATGTTCAAGGGCAAGTTGCTTGTGTGTGCTGTCTTGGGGTACGGCATGAGTATTTGGCTTCTTTGTGTGGTGTCCTATTCCTATCTGTTTAGTAGGACGTGCCTGGGATTGGTAATAGGTAAGTTCTTTTTTTCTATCATTTTTTTGTCTGCTATGTGTATGCAGTTTGGATTTCATGTCGGGTTACGTGCTGATCAGAATGTCGGTTCTTGTAGGTCTCGGAAGATTCCTAGGGATTGATGGGATCAATAGCGCCCTCGAGGTTCTGTTTCAGGTATGCGATAGCGTGCCAGTCACTTGGTTTCTCGGGATCTATCGGTCGGTTGAAGCGCATGTCCATGATGCCTTTGCCTTGAAGGGCTGGGAATACCAACCGTCATTGGGAAAGCGAACAGGTGAGTTTGCTGTTCATTAAGCAATCGGCTGTTTTTTCTGGGTGGATATCAACACCAACGCCATGGAGTGAAAGAGAACATCACTGATTATCCTTAGCTTCGAGGTTGTTTTTTCGGCCTCCAATCCTCACTCTACCATGTCCTTTGCCGACATTACCTGCGTCATGCGCCACGGTTGACAGCGAGGGCAAAAGGCTCGAGGAAGATGCTGCAGATAATCACGATCCTGGACTAACCAGCGATGGAGCCAGAACAACTGAACTGACAGGGAGTGAGACGCCTGATGATGAATTCAGGTCAGAAGCCAACTCCTGTGATGGCGATAGTTTTGCGACGGACACCGACATCTTGAGGCCTGGGGAACAGGCTGGACCAGAAGAGGCGGACGGTAGCCTAAAAGGCGAAGATCTTCTTTATACCGAGGTTGAAAGCCAGGCTGATACTGAAGATGGCGGTGTTCTCCTCCCCGTGAGACTGCTGGCCTTTGCGGAAGACAAGGACGACAATAGTGAGCATTATGATTGCAATGATTATTCGGGAAGAATCCATGAAACCGGAGAACTTGACAGCAGTCCAACACCGTGTAGTCTGGGAGAGAACAAATGTCCCGTGCAGAACAATATCCGAGACGAGACCCCAATAGGGAATAAAGAAGGCCCGGTGTCAGCCAATTGCAGCAGTGAATTGGATCTTCCTGGGAGAGAGAACCCTCCAACTTTCAGAATCCCTAGCCCACGAACGACCAGATTCGCCTCCGTAACTACCGAAACAAACACGATGGATTCCGAAGCGACCAAGAACGCGTTGAAGTTGGAGCGTCTAGCGGGTGGCTGGTGGGACGAGATCCTCGCGATGGTGACCGCCGCCTCCGATGAGGTAGAAGCCTTCGAAAAGGCAGCAATGGCAGCTACCCAGGGAATGCAGGCAATCTTGGAGGAGGCGACCAGGGTCACCCAAGATCTCGAACAAGTCAAAGCAGCCTGGATCCATGCAAGCCAGAACGCTCCGGATGTAGATTCAGTCACGGCGGCTTTGTGGAACGAGACCCTCGCAGCATTTGAAGCTGGCTCTGGAGAAGCTAAAGCGGCGCTCAAAGAAACCGCCAGTGCAGGCAACAATGCCGTCGACGTCCATCATCAGTCCAACGACACGGTCAAGCCTAGGCCGAAGAAGAGACGGCCCAAGACGTCGCCGAAGCCACGGACAGAGCCTGAAGAACGCAATCCCGACTGCATTGACCCCGAGAAGGATTTCTATGATGTCTGCTGGGACATGATCAAGGAGATGGGCCTCACCGGTGTATACGTGAAAGAGAAGATGCTGGTAAGTTTACGACCCCGACAGTGACCTGAGGCAAGCGTGTACTTACGTGCTCATCGCTCCAGCGAGAACATTTGCATATAAAGCATCCCAGGAATCGCCAGGAAAAGAAAAAGAGTGATGAAGGGGAGAAAGAGTCTCAATACAATGTCTGCTGCGAGTGCCACAAGCCCATCAAATGAGGTTCAAGAACAGTCCGGGCATTCCCCACGTTTATGGCTCCACTTGGATCTAATGACTTATGATTATGACTGACGATTGATTTCCTTTGTTATATTTGAGGGCATCATGGATTTCAACAACGTTTAATCTCTCTGTGACTGCACTGCATGCGGCAAGGCCAGGCCATTGGGGAGAGAATGAGATGAAGATGAAGCCGACATCGACGGCCCGCATGACATAATCCGCCGGCCAGCCTCCGTCCTCCGTCTCCATCTCTTTTCTTTTCCTCTCCGGCTTCAACTTATTTCTTTTTTTCCACCAGGGCTCTTTTTGCTTCCTTTGTCCCCATTTGGCATATCCACTCTTTAATATAATTAATCTGCCACCTACATTGGCGTCACCACCATCTTCTCTCTTCTCTCCTCCTCTCCTCCCTCCCCGTTCCGTACTCCGCACTCGATCTCCGCCTTCCGACACCCCCCCCCCCCCCCAACTCCGCAATATCTTCCTCACAGAAGCTCCTCCATCCATGAACACCACCACCCTCATCAATTAACCCCCCTCATAGCAAATCTCCACCATGGCTCATTCCAAACGCAACACCTCTCTTCCCCACTTCACCTCCTACGAGCGCGACCTCCTCCGATCCAACTGGGGCACCAAACGCGGCGTCATCGGCCGCGACTCCTTCCTCCCCTTCGGCTCCTGTCGCCTCTGTCTGCACCCGGCGCGCGCCCCCGTCGTCGCCTGCGCAACCAACGGCGACCTCTTCTGTCGCGAATGCGCCATCAGCGACCTTCTCGCCCAGCGCCAAGAAATCAAAAGACTCGAGAAAGAGCGCGATGAGGCCAAGAAGCGTCTTGCGGAGGAAGAAGAGCGGGCATTAGAAGAAGCGCGAACGCGGGAACTCCATGACTTTGAGCTCGTCAGCATGGGGCTAGAAGCAGCGAAGAAAAACGGCACACAGAATGATGAGACGTCCAGGAAACGGAAGGCAGAGACGACGGAGGCGTTGGCTGCGTTCAAGGCGAGAGAGGTAGAGGTTGATGGGAAGAGGAAGAAGGTGTTTGAGTTGGATGAGAAGGAGATGGCCAAGGTGGCGCGCGAGGAACAGGAACGCTTGAAGGATGAGTTGAAGAGGGAAAAGGTACTATATTCTTTTCTTTTTCTTTTAGGTGCAATGGGATAGAGGGCTTCTCTTGCTGACGGTGTTGCGGTACTAAAGGGCTCGAACAAATCTGCCCTTCCGTCCTTTTGGGTTCCCTCGCTCACACCTACCACCGATCCCAATGAAATCGCCGCCAACAAGACAGTCAAATTGACACCCGTCTGTCCTGCATCCACCGACTCTAACCGTCATAGCTACTCGCTCAAGTCCCTGGTCGAGGTATATTTCACAGAGGAGAAAGGCTCGGATGGTTCTATGGCCCGGGTCTGTCCCAGTTGCAAGAAGAATTTGACGAACGGGCTCAAGGCAATGCGTATGTGCCCACTGTCCACCCAATCCCAGTTTCTGAAGATGATTCTAACCTAATGACCCAACCCAGTAACGAAACCCTGCGGCCATGTTATCTGCCAACCATGCGTCAACAAATTTATGACTCCCCACGACGCGCCGGACCCCCACGCAACTAAAGAAGAACAAGAACAGACCGCCGCCCTGCATGGTCGGATTCTATGCTACGTCTGCGAGACGGATGTCACGCCGTCCAGCGACAGCAAGGACTCGGCGTCAGGAAAGAAGAAAAAGAAAGACAAGGAGGGCATTCGGCCTGGATTGGTAGCGGTCAGTTCGGAGGGGACGGGGTTCGCGGGCCGCGGAGGAAATGTTGCGACTAAGAAGGGGGTGGCGTTTCAATGTTGATAGAGTTTCTTTGGTAAGGTTCTGGCGTGGAGTTAGTATGTGTGATGGGGCGTGATGTGTTGGATGTGTATATTATCTATTGCATTAGGTTCATATAGTTGGTTGGCTGTCGGGACAGCACTAAGACAAGATTCTTAGATGATCGGTGGCCTAAGTCCTTCCGTTCTCCCATATGAAGATAGATAGGAATTCTGTGTTAAGCTATACAGTGCTGTAGTCGAAATAATATTTAATGCTGACGAGGGAATAATGATAAGTCTAGAGTACAATATAATAATAGGTTTTTACCCGTCCCGGCGGAACACCCTCACTGCTCCCCATTTCTCACTCTACACTATACAAGCCTAAGACCGCTTGTTGGCATTGTTGAACTCGCGCACAACAACATCGCACTTGACCTCCTGGCACAGACGCTTACGACGGCCAGCATCCAGCTTATTCGCGAACTCCAATCCACTAGCCCTCTCGACCGCCTCCAACGGCACCTCAAACTCCGCCAACCGCTTATCATTCGCGATACGAGCATTGGGCAGCACGAACGCGCCCAGCGCGACCTTGCCAGCCGTGGACGGGCTCTCCTCCGCATAGATAACCTTGTAGAAGTGGGTCGGGACCGCGACGTTAGGCGGGTTACCGATGACCTCGTACGAGACGCGCCACTTGCCGTCCTGTTCACGGTGAGGCAGGTAAAGAGGACCGGTGACCACGCGAACAGAGGGATACTTCTTGGCCAAGTCGCGGCAGAATTCCTCAAAGTGCGCCCAGTAGTCGCGGTTGAAGCCCTCTCCAACCTGGGGACACATGTTGGTCAAGGCGAAAGTGGCGTTCATGGCGTCTTGAGACCATTTTGCGTCGGCGGCAGGGACCTGGTGGCCGCGGTCGTAGCCAGACCGGAAGTAGTCCGATAGCTTGGCCCGGAAGAGGGGAGGGATGGTGGTGTCTTCGTAGAAGGTGCTGCTCTTGCGGTCGGCGTTCTTCTGGGCGAGCGATTGAGGGGTGATGTGTTCGGCGACCCAGGAGGGGTTCCGCATGCGACGGTCGTAGCCACCGGCCAGAGGCGCGGAAAGGAGTGTATCGGCGACGGGGCCGGGGAAGCCATATTGGTAGATGCCTGCTGGGTCGACGGGGGCGAGGTTGGTGGGTTTGGGAGCGAGGGAGGGAGCAGCGGGCTGGGAGGCGGGGACCTTGGCTGCAGAGGTGGAGGGAGTGGGAGGAGTTGGGAGCTGTTGCTGCTGCTGTTGTGGCTGAGGTCGGGGGGACGAGTAGAAGAGAGCCGTCAGGCCGGCGCCGGTGGCCGCACTGGCGGCGGCAATGGCTGCGACGGTGGCCTTGGACATGGTGGGCGGAGAGGAAGAGAAGGGAGGGTGCGAGGAGGTGGAGAGAGGAATGGGGAGGGGGTTGGGGAGTCGTCGAGGATGAGGACGGAGGAGATGTGAGACGAAAGAAAGGGCGGAGAAGAACTCGAGGATGCCGAAGAGGGTAAAATTGAAGCTCAAGCGGAAAGCCAATCAGCGGGCGGCAATCAGATGATCGGAAGTATACCGCGATCAAAACGGAAATCCCCAAACATCCCTCGTTTTCCCCTCACTTCCAATTTTCTTCCTTTGACAACACAGACAATAGCCAGATTCCACCACGTCTATGATAACCATGAGAGAGGACAGCTGGCACCCTCCGGACGAGGCGTCCGTGGCTACTTTATATGCCGGTCCCAAGTTGGGCTGGTCGGATGACCGTCGCGGGCAGATGACTGTCTAGATGACTGTCTAGATATCTAATGCATGCAGCCATGCTCGACAAAAGACAGGGGAATCCCTCCAATCACAAATGAGAGTGCCTTTTTCTATACCCTCTCAGCGTGATAGCCCTAGAAAATGGAATTATCCGACAAGAAAAGTCCACAATAAAAGTCCATCGCGCCTACATATATCGCTTTGATCATCTATCTTTATGCAGTTAGTACTTTGTCTACATTATACTCCGCCATCATTTCCAGAATGGCGTCACAGCAAACTGAAAGAGCTACGCAGGCAACCGAGTTATTTAGGTCTGGGTTTGGATTGAGCCCTCATGATTATGATGGAATGGCGTTCTCAGCAAAGACTATCTCCGCATTACCACCCAATATCGCCAGGAAATGACCTTGCAGCACTTATTCGACATTTGTGACGACGCTCTTGGTCTTGCTCATTTGCGTTCGACTGCCGGCGGAAATTTGGACCTGGTGCTTAGCATTCGACTGCTGGCTGATATCCTCATTTAGATGGTCTTTGCAGATGACCTCGGTCAAACAATGTAGAAGATAGGTTTCTTGGATTGTTCACCCACTATTAATACCTCGGTAGACCAGGTTCAGGGTCCCCCTGTAGATTGCTATATACCGGTCTGCATAGGATTAAGTGGATTTAGTACGTATTACCTTGACTGATCTGCACAGTCTTTATGGTGATGCACATCTGGCTTGAGCGTTATTGGGTAGGATAAGCATTGTATCCATATACGCTCTGGTATGCACTACGATGCACAAGCAACAGTACAAGGAAGCCAACAACGCATCATGCCATTCTTAGACCAAGCCACAGTAAGAAACACAACTGCGGAAAACCACTTCTGTCCAGCTTCGCCTCCTTCGTTGCCTGTGCACCTGACTATCATCTCATCCCAGACCGTCCCGCTGTCACATCACCCAGCCTAATCCCACCCTAGCGAGTCACCACGCATCAAACCCCGACACCCTCCAAGACAACCAAGTCCAGCCACCCCCGCTCAAATGCAGTGGTTGTGTCGCAAACAAACGTGGCAATCGGTATAGGTCAGGCAGATGGCGGAATTGAAGCATCTAGGATGAGAACAACGTAGGGGACGATTAGCGCCCTGATAATCATTGACGTCTCGTTTGGTTTCACCTTGGTCTCCGGTAGCGCCGGCCAGCTTCATCTCTGCTTGTTTGGCCTCGACTTCGGCGACGGCCTGGTCCAACTCGGGACACAGAGAGTCTGCGGCGACAGCAATTACGGTTCCGTCCTCGTCTTTCAGCATGTAGCCACCATCCTGATCATACAGGACAGTCTGGGGGTTTTCCCTGGCTGCTTGGTTGAGCTGCTCGCGCGTCTCGACCACCTTCGCACCCTCGGGGATGGGCGCAGTGTAGCGAGTGAGAGACATGGCGGAGCTTGTAGAGACGAGGATCAGAACCAGGAGACTACCAAGAGATGTGGTGGGAGACATAATTGATGTTGCTGGTTGCGTACCTGTTTTGGGACAAAAAGATTGGGGAAGAAGAGGATGCAGATAACGAGAATCCTCGAGTCGGTTGGGGGGGATCGTTGGCCTTTTTCAATGCGAGATGGCAAGACTGAGTTTCGTGCAAAGGGAACTCGTGAGCTATCGAGTGTGATGGCTGTGTAGCCCGAGATGGAGCAGGATGTGGTGCTGGTCCGTCGAGTCGCTGCTTTTCTAGTGCTGGTTGGCCTCCATCATGTGACGGGGCTGTACGTCACTTCTCGCCGAGGGCCAGACTCAAGGCGTCCTCAGGTTACTCACTTACATGGCTAGACCAGGCTGTGCTACTCGCCTGGTTGCACCGCTCGGGGCATATTCCACGTCGTATATCACCTTGGTCCCTCGGAAGTGCTCCCATCTCTCCTGACAAGCTGACTTATTTCCAGCGATTGCCCGGTTTCTTCAGTGAAGGCTGGATGCAGTTGCATCCGTATCACCCCTATAACCTCCGGGCGGTAGCAAAGGGTAGCAGCTTATCTGATCCGAGTGGGCAGGGGAATATCAACACGGTGAATTCCGGACTCGATGCCACTACGTCAGTCTACGTCTAGCCAACGCACTGGACGACTATGACGACATGGAATAGATACTATATCTCCCAGGGACTTACCTTCAGCCGTCGGAGGATGAATCACAAGGCCGATTGCGACTGGAATAAGTTCTGCCTTGACAGTCTCCGTCATTCATCGTCATCATCATCATCTGAACAAGTCGTCGGGACCTAATTCGACATCTGAGGTTTGACAAGCGCCAACAAAGAAGTATAAACAGACTCTCGGCTTGGCCGATATGAGTTCCTGGACATTGGCCACTGGCGAGATTAGACTCTAGGTACGTCCATGTCTGCTTGACCCAGAGTGCTACTGGTGACTGATTATCCACTAACGCATCACTAAATTATTAGACTCACTCCGGCCGACCATTCATCGTGTCCTCCCCAAGCCCAATCGTTGCACCGATCCACCCAGCAACCCCGCCGTCCTCTTCGTTCAAAATCTGTGTTTTCACTTCGCAAAGATGAAATGACCTGAGGGAGATTTCACAAGTGCTATAGCATGGACTGGTGCCTACTCTGGGGATATTGTCGCCTGGCTACAACTTTGACAGAGCGCATGCCAGGCCCACATACTTGGCAACCAATGAAGCTACTACTTTATCTCTTGGGTCAGCATCATGCATGCCCACCGTACACAGGACGCGGAAATCTACACCTGAGGCAGATACTCATTTGAGCAGAAGATTCTTCCCAGCATCCCAGTTGCTTCATCCGAGTTGCATCAGCATGAAGAATAAATCCTGAGGTAACGTAATCTACCATTAAAATGGACTCACTTAATTGGTCAAATGGTATCCTCTCTTCCTTACTCCGTACCGGGAACAGGCAAGGAATAGCTTACTGTAGGCCTTCGTCTCTGGCCCGGGTTCAGAGGCAAACCGCACCTCCAACCATGTTGCGTCTCGCGTGCATGAGCTTCAGCTCCATGGCGGATGCAAATCCAACTACGCGCTATCCCCTGCGGATTCCGATCCATTCATATCAGATGCCTCGAAGTAGCGCTGGCGCTTGTTCGGATATCGTACGTTTTGACTGTCATCTGACTTGTCCAGTGGAGTGGCATGCAGCATACGGTCGATGAGAAATTAGCCCGAGGACCTTGGGGCCTGGTGGCAGGGAGACCGGGACAAGGGGCGATGGAGGCATGATGCGTTGTACAAGGGGCACGGAAGTAGGACAGAAAAGCAGCAGCGTTCGGTTGTCATGCCATTAGAAATGCTAGGTTAAACCCCACCCGGCGGGTTCCCTGTCGAGACCTAGGAGAGGTGCATGGCTGCCCATGTACCAATCCCCCACGATGCGAGGAAAGGGGGAGGAGATGCAGACGCATGGCCAGGCTAGACGACACCCGCCGGGTTCCAGGGCCAAGGGCGGCCCGCAAGGTCCTCAACAGGCGCCGGGGTTATCTAATCGGCGCCCCGTGACATGATATCATGAAAGTCCCCCAAACTCTTTCTTTCCTTCAGAAACTCTTTCTTTCACCCACCAGTCTTATTCTTCTGGCCTCGCTCACTGGCATTCCTTCCTTTTCTTCATCATGGCCGCCAGCAATGACCTCCGGGGCTGGGTCATGAGCGCCGTGTCGGGCGTGGGTAAGTCTACTTCCTGCATTCTCGACTTCCTAGCTTATATAGTCCAGCCTGTGTTCTGGGGTCGTCTGTTATTTGTGCCGATCTCATCTTGCGGCGGTTCTCTCGTCGCAAGAGCTTCCAGATCGTCCACAACAATGCCTTCTTGTCTGCCTCGCTGAGCCTGAGTGCAGGCGTAATGGTATCTCTACCAGCTGCTTCCAATGCCTCGGGCGCCTGCTAACTGCGGCAGCTCTTCACCTCCTTATATAGCATGCTCCCCACCTCCCACAGATACCTTATCCGGGCCGGGTTGTCCCCTTCTCTGGCTGCATACATGTTGATCGGGCTGTTTCTGGCTGGCGTGGTCGTCATTCGTCTGGCGTCGGCCCTTCTACATCGGTACATCCCGTCTCATGTTGTCGACTGTGCCCATACCCATGAGCCACATGCCGGCTCCGATCATGAACATGGTGGCAAACCAGACGGGCATCTGCATGCACACGACTCCAACCATATGAGCGAGCGGACTCCTCTTTTAACTCGGTCGTACAAGTCTTCCCCGGCCACTGTCACCCTCCCTACTTCGGAAGACCCCTCCGCATCGATGCGCGAGGAATCGTTGCGCATCCGCCTGACACGCCGCCTGAGCCGTCTGGTTGTTGGAGTTAAACCCCATTGCGACGAAAACGGTCCCTGTTTTGGATTTTCGCAGGCATGTGGTCACGAGTGTACCAAGACGCTCGAGGGCTCGGAAATCTCTGTCGCGGACGATGGCACCGTGCGCCCGCCCCTTCCGCACCCCCACAGCATATCCGGGCAAATCGACTCGGCACGACCGGAGGACTTGGAGGCAGGCCTGCCGTCCTCACAGTGCATCTCCCATGAGGCGAGTTCTTCTTCGTCCCGGACTGGACTTCTTGACGATCATGATGCGGTGTCGGAGGACGGAACCAAGCTGGGAAATCCCCAACACCATCACCATGTGCCACAGAACGCCTTTCTGTCGATTGGTCTGCAGACGTCGATAGCGATCGCCCTGCATAAGTTGCCGGAGGGATTCATCACCTATGCCACCAACCATGCGAGCCCGACTCTGGGTCTCACTGTTTTCCTGGCCCTCTTCATCCACAACATCAGCGAGGGATTTGCCATGGCCTTGCCTCTATATCTCGCCCTTCATTCTCGCGGCTGGGCCATGTTCTGGTCGAGCCTGTTAGGCGGCATCAGCCAACCGGCGGGTGCTGCCCTAGCAGCTCTGTGGATCTGGGGGGCTCGTCGCGCCAATGGCGATGAGGCCACCGGGCCGTCCTGGGGCGTGTACGGTGGCATGTTTGCTGCGACGGCGGGAGTCATGGTCTCCGTTGCTCTGCAACTATTCAGCGAGGGTCTCACGTTGACTCACCACCGGGGGATGTGCACGGGGTTCGCTATTGGGGGGATGGTCCTGATGGGGCTCAGTTTTGCCCTGACCGCATAATCCGACGGCGTTATTGTCTTCAAGATAAACAGATGCAGTGCATTATATTAGACAACTTGAGTCAGAATAGCATTTGCGGCGTTAGGTTTTATGACTGTGAACGAGCAACGACATCGGTTATACACTGGATTGTACTGTTATCAGATTAGTGCAACCAGACTACCTTCTTTGTTATCGGGCTCAGTAGCGTAGCCGGGTCTATCTCGAGCTTCTTTTAAGACTCGCCCACTAGAGCAAATTAACACCCATCTGGGCAATGATCAGCCCGCATATGTCAAGTATCCAATCCATCATTATATCATACAACTGTACAGTAACTATACGAACGCCAACCATGCATGAACGGAATTCCAACTACGCCTTTTTCGCAGCAGCCTCGCGTTCCCTCTTTCTGGCCAAATATCTCTCCTTCGCACTCGACACCTCTCCTTCTGTCTTGCGACTGCGACTCCGCTCCGCAATCTCCTTCTGCCGCGCCGCCTCGGCCTCCTCCTCCTGTCGCGCCTGCTCCTCCAACTGCGACGCAATCATCTCCGTCTGGCGCGCCCGCTGGCCACCCCGCTCCGCCTGCCGCTGGGCCCCGAACCTCGCCTGCACCGCTGCCCGTGCAGCGGCTGCCGCCGCCGCCGTATCCTTCGGCGCAGCTTTCGGCTTCGGCGCGACATTCAACCCCGCCGACAACAACTGCCTCTTATCCACCACTTGACCCTCATCGTTCACCGCAATCTGCGCCCCCTTGGCATTCATCTCCGCCGCCACCTGCGCCTCCGACTTCTCCTTCTTTTCCTCCTCCTCAGCAGCTCCCTCCTCCATCCCATCCTTCACCCGTTTCGCCGCCTCCTCCGCAGCCTTCACAACGGCCTCATGCCTCTCCTCCCCACGCGACAACATATCCCGATAGAACCCCACCATCCCCGACCCCCGTTCTTCCTCCGCCTTTCCTCCTCCTCTTTCTCCCGCGCCTCCTCCTCCGCCTGCACCCGTCGTAGTTCCTCCTGCTGCGCCTTATACGCCGCCGTCACGAACTTCTCCTTATCCGCGAACTCATCTCCCTCCGCTTCACGCTCCTTCGCCAACAACCGATCCCGCGCCCGCATCTGATCCCGTTTCCGCACCTCCGCGCTCCGCAACAACTGCGTCATATATTTCGGCACTTCGCTCCCGGCCGCCTTCTCCTCCGCCGCCGCCTTCTTCTTCGCATCCGGCTTGGCATGTAGACTATCGTACACCGCATCGTAGGAATATATCGATGGATCGAGAGTTTCTGCCTCTGCGGCGTGTTTGCGACTGCTATGAAGGGCGGCGAGATTCGTGTATTCTTTTTTCTTCTCCGCTGCGGAGGTGTTTAACCCGTAGACTGTCGTATCCTTTCCCTCATCTGTATCCTTCTTCTCATCCTCCTCATCGTCATCTGCGAAAATGGATTTCTTGCTCAATGGTTTGAAATTCGATGGCTTCGATGCCCCTGCTGCTGCGCCGGGTGCGAGCAATTTGCGTTTCGGGGGTCGTTGTCCTCCTTCTCCATCGTCCTGGTTGTTTTTCCGAGAGGGAGGGAAGCTGCTGGATTCCTCTAGTCCGCCTATCGTGGAGATCTCGATTTCATTGCTAGCCTGATTGGCATTGGTGGCGTTGGAGGGAGCCTCGGTGTCAGAGTCGGAATCATCGAAGATGGTTTTCTTGCGTTTTTGGCCGCCGCCGCCGAGGGGGTTGAGGCCGGGTTTGGGCTTGGATTTGTTGGAGAGGTTGAGGCCGAGAGATAGAGGTGGGGGCATTATTCTTGATTGTGTGTAGAATTGCCAAAATATATATGATCGAAATGGAATCCCGAGAACAATGAACTAGAAAGATAGAGATGAAGATGAAGATGAAGATGAAGGCAGAGACACAAGAAAGTATGATGCGCCCATCACGTGCCAGAACGAGCTATATCTTATCACCACGTGACAGACACCATCTCCCCGTGTACACAGCGCCTCGTTCCGTAGTGCTCGCAATCACCTCCGCGATCTCCCTCCATGCCAACCAACCCTTAAGCACAACAACCAAAGAAATCGAAAATGTCCTACTACTTCACCATTCTCTCCCCGACCGACGTCCCCCTATTCAATATCGCCTTCGGAACCTCCAAATCAGGCGGCGACGGCATCGCCCGGTTCCGATTCCCAGATACAGCGCAATATATGAACCAATTCATCATTCATTCGAGTTTGGATGTTGTCGAGGAAGCGCAGTGGATGAATGGGAATATGTAATTTTTTTTCCAGTCCTTGTTGGTTCTTGTTTCGTTCGTGTTGCATGTATATTGTATCAATTGGTTATGCACAGGGGGTGGGTGGGTGGTGATGATGTGATGCTCAATGCTAATTTGTTGTTGTATGATGATGACAGGTACTTGAAACACATCGACACATATCCGCCCGCAAGCGCGTACATATCTGCTTTCTTAACGCCTTCGGGGGCCCGATTCCTTCTTCTTCATCAACCCCCACAATTACCGTCGAACAGCACCGGTGCGGGAAGCTCGGTGTCGGGGTCGTTGTTGCTGGGATCGGCGGGGGGTCGTCGCGGGCGTCGGCCAGTTCAGTGGCGGCGAATCCGACGTCGCCGCAGACGGAGGAGGCCGTGCGGCAGTTCATGACGGAGGTGTATGAGAATTATGTCAAGACGGTGATGAGTCCGTTTTATAGACAGGGGATGGAGATTAAGAGTTCGGTGTTTAGGGGGAGGGTTACGGCTGCGGGGAGGAAGTGGTTATAACGTTGTTTTTTTTTTTCCTTTCTTGTTTGCTTCATTTCGTTTTTATGGGATTTGGTTCTTAAGGGCTAATTGAGGCGTTGTTTGGTTAAGTATGATACCAGAGCATGAGGCATAATCCATAAGTCGTATTCAAATGTCGTCATTATCCTGTCCCAATCGACTCCTCTATACGGCTCATTCGCAACCGCTAATGCGCAAGCCAATTTCACCAAGTCACCGCTGCGAGGGAAGTGAGAAAGAAACAAAAAAGATCATAAATCGGGCAATCATACTCCCATCTGTGGAGCCAGCTTCTTCACGGTCACCGCTTTGAAGTTCTCGACCGCGTGGATCACATCCTCCAACTTGGCTGCCGCCCCAAAGATCCCGCCCTCCATCTTGACGGACTCTATCGTGCTCATATGGAGGGATGGCTCACTGGCCGCCGTGCCGTCTTCAAGCACCACGCAGTCGAACCCCCGGTCGTTGGCCTCGCGCATCGTCGTTGAAACGCATACATCTGTCGTCACCCCCGTCAGCACCAGGTTCTTGATGCCCCGGTTGCGGAGGATGAGTTCGAATTCCGTATGAGCAAATGCCCCCCGGCCTGGCTTATCAATCACTGGCTCGCCGTGGATCGGGTACAGTTCGTCGACGGTGTCATGACCCACTTCGCCACGTATTAGCAAGCGACCCAGAGGCCCCGGAGACCCGATCCCCATGCCCGCAGCATTGTTCCGTGACCGGTATGCCTCTCTGCTCGACAGCGTCGACAGATCGGGTCGATGGCCTAAACAGCGTCAGTCATGTGCAGAGAAAGACCAGTGTCGCTCTCGTACCTTCACGAGTGTGGTAGATGGGAAACCCGGCAGAACGGAATGTGCTGAGCAAGTGCTGCAGTTTCGGAATTAGTGCCTGATTAGCGGATATGTCGTAGCCCTGAATATCCATGTATCCACCCGGCACGCAGACTGTGTTGGCATCCCATTAGTAAAACTCGGCCACGGACCCACACAATACCCTGGGATGATACGCACAGTCCTTCTGCATGTCTATAATTACTAACGCCGTCGTATAGGGGGTCAGCGTCGCATCGTGCGGCCAATCGTAGGGCACCGCTGCGATCTGGCCCTTCCGGACCTTATGATGAGGGACCTGCCGAGGCTTCTCGACAATCGGGCCATGGTTGTGTGTGGCGTTCAGGACCGTCAGCGTCCAAATGCCAGGAGTTCCAGCTGCAACTAGCATAAACGGACAATCCATCAACCGGGACGTTCGCCGCCGCTTCCTGGTCTCCTCAGTGAGACCGTTCCGCGGGCGATAGTGGCCACCGCGATCACACCGTAGCCAGACCTTGGCCGTCCGCCCCGGTTTCTTCTCCGTGGGGGTGCTGGACGACTTGACTACAACGTTGTACCCATGAGCCTTCCCGTGCGCCTGCACTGCAGCGAGAAGCGTCGCTCTTAAAGATCACCATAATGTGAGCCATCAGATCCACTATGGAGCCACAGCGGACCGGTCCGCTACCCGACAGGTGGCAAGGAGGGGAGGAAGGGAACGAGCCATACTCACTTATCAGGATAGGTACCTTCCGGGGGGGGAAGCAATTGCATGGACATGTCCGGAATGTCCTGAAGATCACTGGGGGCATCCAGGTTCAGATCGGTGGGGTCCGCCATGGTGACAGGTGGTGGGGGGGAGAGGGTCTGGTAGGGCGCATCAGCGTCATCGGGAAGGGATTCACGACTCTCATTGGGAAAAGGATGCCCGAGCGAGGAAAATCAAGGACAGGAGAGCATGGAGAGCATGAGGAAACGGGGAGGGGGGGTCCCAGGGAGTGCGTGGAAGCACCTCCCCAGTGGAGGAAGGGAACCCGGGATAAATTCGTGCGTGGATATAGCGTCAGGCCTCCAGCTGGGGTATAGCTGGAGCCCGGGCTGTGGCGGGATCTCCAGCAGCACGCCGGAGCACGGGGCACCAAGGGGGGAGGAAGACGTACTGGAGGGGGGCGTGTTGCACGCGGGAGTTAGTATCCCGACAGCAGGTGTTTGGAGGAGTCGGGAGAACAAGTTGAGAATTAGCACCAGAGCACTGGCTCCGGGAGAACAGACGGCATGGCGGAAGGAAGTGAGAGGGACTGGCGACGGATGGTGAGTGTCTGAGAGCCTCGCGTGTGGTTCTATCCGCCCACGTGACTCCTGGCCCGTGCCCCCATCCCGCCCGGCTGTAGGCTTAACAACAACACTTTCCCATCATCGCCTTCACTTTCACTCTACATCCATCTCCCCGCATCTACGTTCATCTCCCATGCATCCTATTTCTAAATTTTGTATCATTATCTGCACGGCATCTCTTGCCAGTGCTGGTCTCTCGTTAATTCCAGTCACATAATCACAACAAATAAAGGAAAAAAAGATTGAAAAGGCATGAAAAAAAAGAGACAACAACCTACTCCGTGTTCCACAGTTCACCGCCACTATCCACAATGACGTGGGAGAGTATCAACACCTCAGACCAGGAAATAGATCAACAACAAAGCCGTCTTATGCCTTCACCACAGAAGTCAAAAACTCAAGCTCCACGGTGTCCCCGGTAGGGATGCCAGCGTTCTCTGCCTGGGCGATGACCCGGTTCCTGGTCCTCACAAAGTGTTTCAGGGGTCAATCGAAACAGCCAGTAATCGTCGTTGACAGGATAGGCGCACAAGGAGAACGGGTCTGACTGCATTGTGGGCATCTGATATTGTTGAATCGGCTCCGGGGCACCTGGAGGTGACGGCATGTGATTAGCCTGGATCTCCTTTCTGGATGCCTGAGGCTGTGGAGTCCATCCAAAGTCAGGATCAACTTGCTCTTGGGTATACTCACCAAACTCATTGAAGTTAGCCAAGTCCATTTCGAAGCCTTCAGGCAACATGTATCGTCTCGCTTCTGCCTCATATTCCTCGTGCTGCGTCTTCTCGGGCTGGTCGTTGTCGGGGTCGGTCTTGTTGAGCTCGGGCTTGTTGGTCCTAGCCTTCTTAGACTGTGCCATCATAGGCTGGGCCACTGCGGGTTGAGGCATTGCGGGCTGCTCGTCTGTTGGTTGAGCGATTGCGGGCTGAGCGTCCTCTGGCTGAGCGTCTTCTGGCTGGGCGTCCTCTGGCTGGGCGTCTGCTGGCTGGGCGTCTGCTGGCTGGGCGTCTGCTGGCTGGGCGCTGAGGAACTCCACTCCGGTCTGACCGGCTGCTTGCAGGGCAGCTCTTAGGCCACCTGCTGCCAAAACGTGTCTAGAACATCCAATGTTAGCTGGTGTTAGTTGGTGATTCACGCTACCAGGACACGGCTTACTCCGTGTCCTCAGCATTCCAGTCCTTCTTCGTCGTCACCTGGAATTTCTCCCTGTGAGAACAGTATGTTCCATGATGATAAAAGATGCAGTTAGAACAAGCTGCGCGATGGATGGATTTTTCCCGATACACAGGGGCAATAATGCAACGGGCGAACGGGCCGAGTCTTTCGCAGCGGGTACAAGGTGGAACTTCGACCCCCCGATGATACAGCACTGATGCCGATGTCGCTTCCCTCGACTTAATTTTCCGCATCATAGGCACGCCGTTCTCTTCCCACCATTCTATCAAACGCACGGCTTCCAGTACCATGGCTACAGCTTTGTCGGCGGCGCTGAGATGTGGTCTGACGAACGGTTGATTCTGAGCGGCCTCCTGCTCTTGGTTGTCTGTTCCTTGATAAGCAGGCTGTAAATGGAACATGGGAGCATCAAACCTGTCCGAGGATTTTGATCCTCATATGTCTGCAATACTGCAGCCTCAATTCTGTTGCGTGCTTCTTCTCGATTAATCGCCGCCATCTTCTAAGCTGGCACTATACTGGATTCAATGAAGCTCAGCACTTAATATGGTGAAAGAGGGGCGATCCACGGCCACAAACCGATTCGAAGATATTCAGCACTGAAAACGACACTGATAACGATGGCAGCCGGTATACAGCCACAACTCAGGATTTGAGAAGCTCAGCACTGGAGCGGGAGTTGATCAACACGCAAATGGGATATGGTCACTAGACAGGATTCAGAAAAGCTTGGTATTAGCAGGTGGTTGACAACTAGACGCATAAACAGCACTAGGGGTGGTGCAAATACACTTGTTGCCCAATACCTACTCAGCTTTGAGAATTTGACCAAGCAACATTAACATGAGATCTGAAATCCAAGGTCACAGCTGTCCACGTGTTGTTGGGAGTCATAACAGGAACAGTGAATACTCACATTGAGTCCGGCCATGGTTAGTCCAGCCACGGTTGTCCCGGCGAGCACTAGACAACAGACTGCCCATAACAGCTGGTCCGCAAGCTACAACCTTTCCAGTGCATTCTGCTCTTATCAATGCTAGTCAATCAAACAAAAGACAAAGTCAGATCACATTTCATCACGACCTTGCACCACTGAGCCATGTCCAATTTTATGTAATGGAAGGTGGAGCAGTCACGCAGCCAGTTCCCACCGTCAAGAGGCAGCTCTATGAGTTCTAGGGTTTGAAATGGAATCTGGGATGGACCTGGAACATAGACTGTTGATAATACTTGAACTACTCTCCACTCAACCAATTTCATGACATGATGCAATTTACCTTATCTTGTAGTTCACCATCTCCGTGGCTCCTATATTATTTAAGACCACCTAAATCAAAGTATCTACATCCCACCAGCAAATCAATGACATAGTCCAAGCCCTACCTTGTTCAAAATCAACAACCCATCTATACTTAGTTATGTACACTGTATGTCCCTCTGTTGCTAGTCCAAGTGCTTATGCAGCAGTTCAGTGCTACTCTATTCATCCACTAGAACAACGGAACCTCCCTATGAATGTACGGTATCTTCCCCACGTCTTTCCACCCGCTTTCCTCCTCCGTCTATACTGTCTTCGCTTCTTCAACATCCCTCTGTTTGTCTCTTCTTCCTTTATTTGATATTCAATTGGCTTCATTTTAAATCTGACTTGTGTCATCCCCTTTATGTGAGGGATTCATGTAAGCAGGTGGAGTTTGTGCACATTTCCCTCGTCCTGGATTTTGAACCTCATCTAACTTTACTCACAAGAGTAGGTAGTGCAGTCTGTATTTCCTGAATGGGTTCTTACACTGATCTTGGTACTATGGATCAGGATTGAATGGATATACTGTATATTGATGTATGGTACGGTTTTCAGTGAGTGTCTGCTATCTTAAGAAGAGATACGAGGCAATCTTTGACCATACTAATCTTCCCAGTCATGCTCAGCTCGACTACATCTTAAGGCATATCCTCCAAACCAGAGCCCCTTAGTCCATATAACCTAGCGCCATCTTCTCTCCTCGCCTCTACGCATTTCTATTTCCTCACAAGAAACAAGCCCGTCGGCCCACGGTATTGTGATCCTTCTCGAGCAAACCGAGTACCGATCTCTCTACCCGCTCAGTTATCTACAGTCTTGGTCATTTGAGGTCGGGTGAGGGATATCCTTGAACGTATAGCAGAATTGTGCTTGTTGAGCTGTCATACGCGTATTTTGGGTGCGACAGTCGGCTAGAGTCCGCTTTTAACGGACTTGCTTTGGCTCCGTTGGGGCGCTGGATGAGGCAGGAAATTATGTTTTGCGCAATGGATGGGGATTGATCGAGTTGGCGGGTCAGGGTTTTAGTTGATTGCATGTCAGAGATATAATATGTGGTAGGCATTTAGAAGACGGTATAATCGTGGTCGTTACATATATCGGGGGCTAGTCTACTTTATGTGAGGGCAGTAAGATCGAGATCGAGATCGGAAGACACGTATACGAACACGAGCCAGATAACCTGGGAAAATCATCGTCGGCAGTTGCTAAGATTCTACCTTGTCTCGGGCAACTTCGTGGTAAGACTGCAGGACAACGTCCTAGTAGCTGCAACCCCATCGCCATTGAAGATTCGATCCGAGACATTCTTGACCAAATCGGTGAGCTCACCGTGAGTCCTGGACAATTCTCTAGACCAGCTCATCATATAAACAGTGCACCGCGGTCAATATCTTGAACAGACTTATGTACCCATCCTTGGTCTTGTTGAGGCAGTCCAGGGCATATCCTCGATACACACGGTCGGATGTTTTATAACACTCTCGAAGTACGACAAGGGCAGATTTACATTCTCCGCCGTCTCGGTCTGCTTGTCTTCTCGCGCAGACAGTCGAGACGGTTCTATGGTCATCCAGCTCACTCAGCTTATGCATGCCCTCCGGTGGAAGAGTCGAGTGTCGCTCGGGGAAATACTCGAACGTGTCAATGATATTCTCCGTGATATAGCTCTTATCGCTCTCTACATTGGCATGTCTCCGTTTAAGATTTTGAAATGCGTGCTAGTGTTTCGCATTATGCCCCCCTGCTCGAGTGGGGGTTGTGCTGATGCATACGCGGCGATCATTTGCATCAAAGAGAACAAAGCACAGCTTCATGCCCTTCTTGGACAATAACAGGTAGCTGAGATCTTAGGCCGATCAACGCAAGGGGTGATACTCGATGACTACGTTGATATACTGTTCATGACTACTCCGTAAGTGCTCTCCTGATCGGACAGTCTTGCAGCGTCGAACGCGACTAGCGCGAACAGGCCATATAGAAGAAAGGTATGCTGGACGGTCAATGTCGGTACCGTTCTCTGCTAGATTCCATCGTCGGTAGGGACAGCCCTCCGGTACGCCGCCGTCGGCCATCGATCCATGGTTTGGAGCTCCAGCCGGCGGCGGTCGGCTTAAACAGTGGGGTGTCTACCTTTTCCTCCGCAATGATAATAGAATAGGCTTGGTCTGAGGTTGAACATGACGCTTGAGGACGAGAACCGGGACTCGCGTATTCGCACGGTCTTCGGGCTTGCAGCGTCCGCCTGGCAAACCTTCGTCATGTTTGACAAGGCGAGACTTGCAGGTTACACAACCATGAAGCGACTTTTGATGGGAGCGGCAGGGTTTCATGATGCAGATCCAAGGTCAAAACAGAGGGTTTATCAGTGTTGATTTGTAGAGAGGTGAGATTACGCTCATGATCACGAGCCAGATCCTATCAGAACTGAGAGTGGCTTGGGGCGACTGATAGCCATCTGATTGGTGTTCAGGCTTCTCCTGCAGCCGACCAGCAGCAGGCCAATCGTGGCGCTAGACCGAGGAGATACTTGCTGGCTGAGGTGGTCATCTGGATGGACATGCACTAGTCGATGGGTGGGTTGGAAGAGGGATGGAAAACCCCACTGGACAGATACTCAAATTTGGGGGGAAATATATAGTTAGTACAGTTACGTGGTGCTGATAGGCAGTGACGGAGGGGAACCCCCACAAGAAGAGGAACAGAGGATACACCGGTACTTTGTGCGAAGTGAGGAGACAACTAGTAGTAAGTCCAAGCGTCGATGCAGGAACAGTTGGAGTGGTTGCCGTGTTGCCCAGGCAGGCCGATGTTGATGTTTGGTTTGGTTTGATTGCTGGCGGCTGATTCCACAACCTCAGGCCGCAACCGGCAAGGGCGTAAGTTACCCGTCACGACCGGTAAAAGCGCTTGTTGACCCCGTGCCGCTGCTGCCATTGGCTGATTGGATCTTGCGCCCGTCCCGTCCGCTCTGGATAGCATCACCATCCATCTACCCAACTACCCTCCCCTCAAAACATCTCCCTCCCCCTCCCTCCCCCTCTCCCCTACCCCTTCCCTCTGTGAGGGAGTCCCATAAGGTAAGTCAATCTACGGAGGCCACTTTGGTCTCACTTCTGGCTAGCGATCTGGGTTTTCACCGTCGCTTCGTCGCCTCTCCTGCCCTCCGTTCACGACCTCTCGTCGTCGCAATCGTTCCCGGCTGCCTGCGACACCGCCTCGGCCCCTCCGCCATCACCACCAGCTCACGCACGGTTGTTGTGGCTGCCCGCGTGTACATGCCCTCGATCCTGGCCTCCCCTTCTCGTATTCCGACCACTCCATAAACCCCCGTTGGGTGTCTCCCCCCTTCTCCCGGGGTCTTTCTGACGTGGTCCCCTGGAGCGTGCGTTCCGAACGCCGGTTTCGTCTACTGGTGCGGGAATCATGCCGTCCGCCGACGATTCTTCGTCCGCCCGCCCCAACGGGACCAGTTCGCGGTCCGACCAGCTGGCTTACTACAAAGCGCAATATGAACAGCTGGAAGCCGAATTGGCGGAATTCCAGGCTTCCAGCCGCGAACTCGAGGCGGAGCTGGAAAAGGACATCGAGGCGTCAGAGAAGCGGGAACGGGTCTTGAAGGAGAAACTGGAAAACCTGAGATACGAGGTCGATGAATGGAAGGTGAGCCTTACGAGTTCCTGGTCCCTCGGGCTCCCTCGTGGGAGGCTTGGAGATCTCCAAGGTTAACGGACCCCCTTGCAGTCCAAGTTTAAGCAGTCCAAGTCGGAGGCCAACACGGCTCAGAATGCGCTGCAAAAGGAGATCACAACATTGCGAGACACCAGCAGAACCCTGCAGTTGAAACTACGTGACACTGAGGTGGCGAACGATGATTATGAACGCCAGGCCCGCCACACCACTTCGTCCCTGGAGGATATGGAGCAGAAATACAACATGGCCATTGAGCGCAGCGTCCTGCTGGAGGAGGAGGTCAAGGCCGGCGAGAAAGAGAGAGAGGCCCTCCGGATCCAGAACCAGCGTCTCCGGGATGAGTTATCGGAGCAGAAGCTGGACAACGAGATTCTTCAGGAGAAGCTTCGCCACGAACAATACGGTGGTCGACGCAAGAAGCCGACGCCTTTGTACCGCACCCAGTCGTCAACACAGTCGTCAGCACCGCCGGCTCCTGAGATCTTTGATCGCTCCCCCGGCACGTCCACGGTGTCCTCCCCCTTGTTTGTCACCACCCCGATGAAATCCTCCCTGATGGCGGTCACTGTGCCTCCCCCGTCGCCACCGATGTCTGAGACGTCGAGCAGTCTGATGACCAACATGATGACGAACATGCGCAAGTCCGTCCATACCAGTTCTGGGTTCCCACACAAGAAAGCCGCGGGTTCCGAGTCCATGATGGGTTCCCGGTCGATGTATGACTCGAGGCCGTCGAAGTCTTCCCGGTCTCGTGTCACGGCCAATGCGCACAGTAGCGCCCGATCGGTGTCCACGGTCGCGTCCCGCACGACCTTGCCCACGAGCATGCCCATGACCTTGCCCTCGTTCAGCAATTCCCCCACTTTCAACAATGATACCCCGCAAAGCAAACTGCCCAAGTCGGGCTCGTTGTACCAGATCCGGGGCCTCATCGGCAAGATGCAGAAGCTGGAAGAAAGGGTCCAGTCAGCGAAATCCAAGCTGCCACCACCGTCCGACTCGCCTTCCCGGACCTCTTCGCGCTCCGGATCGATCTCCGTGAACGGTGGAAGCCCTGTCCCTTCTACCATCACCATGCGCCGAAACTCGCGCAAGCGGTTGAGTGGCAGTAGCTTTAGTTCGTCGGTCCGTGATAATGATGGCACCTCGTCGTCAGTCTCCAACAACCGACCGTCCTTTGGCACCCGCAATGGAGGTGACAGCCGGCCCAGTAGCCGCACTAGTTACTCCAGCTCCTTCAGCCAAAGCACGCACCCCAGCATTGCGCCCTCGACGCGCCCAGAGAGTCGCCAGAGCCGGACCAAGACGCCCTTGGGACATTATTCGACGAACCCCACGACGGAAAGTCGGCGGCCGCGGTCATCGCTGAGCAACCCTTCTGGGCAGAATGGTCCCCTGAACGGCATGTCCAACATCGATGAAGATGAGGACCAGGACCTAGCGTTTCGCATGTCGGTTCGAGCCAAGATCAGCGAGGCCCGCGAGACCCGCTTCCCCTCGTTCTCGACGCCTACTACCGGGCTGAAGAAACGCACTCCCAGCGGTATCTCCGCCATCCCCGCGCCACGAACCCTGCGGACCAGCACTGGCGGCACCAAGGCCACCCCCGACGCGAAGTCCAACCATGGTGACTTGGGCGAGACCTTTTAAACCTTCTTCCTTCTGCTTTCGTCTTCTCTTCTTTCCAATACCCCTCTTTCTTCCCCGAATGACAATCTCAAGGGGCTTTACGATGTTCACGGCCGGTACGCAGGTGTTGATTCGCTTCTTTTATTCCCCTTTACCCCTTCATCCCCTCTTTTGCATCCATTTTTCCTATTGATTTGTTCCATTCGACATTGTTCCATTTACATCGACTACCCCTGGCAAGTTATTTATTGAAGAGTCCCCCCTGAGGGGGTCAGTTCATTTGGCGGACTTGTTTAGACAGGTTCATAGACATCTGCTTTTTGCAATCTCCCCCGGTGGTTGCTCCCTGCGAGGGAGGCCCACGGGGCCTGTACAGTCAGTGGCGGCGGAATTGGAATTGTGACCGGTTGACTGGCGCATGGAATGTTTCGAGCCGGGAGGTTTCCCTCCACGGCGTCCAAGCTGTAACTCAGCACCCGTTTCTTTGATGTATGCTGTCTCTGTGTATTCAGTGAGCTGCCTAGGCGTTAGGTAATACCCAGTGACTTGATGGATTGTTCCGCGTAGGCCTATAGATAGTAGATTCTAGTAGAATGCTCGGAGGGCGACTGTGTTGGGATTTATCTGGCATCTAGGCGCCACATTGTATGACCTGGACAAGCAGGGAAGGGTACTAGGGAACGTGTCACAACCTGGTCATCCGCCACCCAGCCCCCAATACTTATTACGATTCCCGCCTATCATCAACTTGACATCTTCTACGGAATACACTCCATCAAGACCTACGACTCGCTCCCACTTCTCACCAGAATAAACAAAATGAAGCAATATACAGTCTCTATTTTCGAATAGTATATAACTACTAACCACCCATAGCCCAGAAACTACCCCTCCTCCCTTCTCGGTACATTCGGGCTTTATAATCCCTCCCTCCCCCCGAAACCAAAATCCACCCCCGAATCCCAGCGATCATTCCGGGCCGAACCCGCGCGAGTCCCATCTAAAATCTGACCGGTGGTGGCATGGCACGCAGATCGATTAGGGTTTTGCTCGGGGGTCGGGGGCCGGGGCGTTGGACCACTGAACTCCGAACCACCGACTCGCGTGGTTGCGCCGCATTCCTGCAGGATTCGTATCGGGGTATATGCAGGTCAGCAACATGGAGGGATCAATGTGTGGTTTCAGCTTTGGTTCCGGGGCGGGTTGGTATTTGCGCTTGGGGCCAGTGGTGGAGGGTTGGGTACGGGGGTTGGGTTTGGGAAGGTGGTAAAGATTATGGGTGTGTGGGTGTGTGAGTGTGTGGGTAGTGTTGTTTGGTTTTGTTTTGTTTCGAATTTTTCTTTTTCTTGTTTTGCACATCTGGGGAGGGATGATGGAGGAGGCGGTGATGGTGGCTTAGTGCTGGTTGATGTTGGCGGTGCTGGAGGGAGTTGGTGGTGGTGGTGGTACACTACACCTTAGATAGTAGAGATGAATCTGCTGAGGTGAGGTATAAGTATTTGACCAAGGGAGGTGAGGAAATATATATGTCATGAATGGTTGTATTTGCTATTTTTATGGTATTGTGTTGCTCATCTTGACATCAAGCCGTAAGTCATTGGTAGACATATACTTTGTAGGCAGAATAGATCATCGACTATACAGCATCTCCAATGCATTCACAAACATCACTGGTTAATACATTGCTTGAGTGAACAACGCTGATTTTCATCACGTTTTTCACTTTTTTGATGAGATAAAACGATTTCTCCTACTAAATACTGCATAATGGATGCCACCGGACATGCATCCCAACCTAGAATCAAGACCAGATTCCTCATCCTGTCTGATACCCATGGTATGGACATCCCCACCGAATACATCGACCAACCCGACATCGACGTAGCCATACACTGTGGCGACCTGACTGCAGAGCTACACGAATACCACTCCGCCATTCAACTGCTGCAGACGATCCACGCCCCCCTCAAACTAGTTATTGCCGGGAACCACGACATCAGCCTGGACGAGCCCTGCTTCCGGCAGAAAGTAGCGGATGCAAGATCGCTGGACATTGACCCACGCCAGATCCGAGCAGAATTCGGCGACTACGGGCAAGCCAGAGCCCTATTCGACGAAACAGCCGGCATCAGCTTCCTGGACGAGGGAACCCACCGATTTGCCCTAGCGAACGGGGCCTCTCTAACCGTCTACGCCAGTCCCTGAACCCCCTCCCTTGGTGATTGGGCCTACCAATACCCCCAGTCCCAGGGCCATGAGTTCGCCATCCCGAACTCATCAGTGGACGTGGTCCTCACCCATGGCCCGCCCAGAGGCATCCTGGACATTGCGTCCTCGGGTTCCCGGACCGGCTGTCATTGTCTGTTCGAGGCCATCGCTTGGTCTCGGCCTCGCTTGCATTGCTTTGGCCATATCCATGAGGCTTGGGGCGCCAAATTGGTGACCTGGCGGAAGACGCTCAGTGAGACGCCCAACCATTTTGCGGATATTGATCATGGGAAGTCGTCGGTGGTTGCGACACTGGCTACGATGGCTTGGGCACAGGCTGACCAAGATGTGCATGATGCCGGGTCCTTTTGCTGTCACACGAGTCATTGCGCCGGTGATCCGAACCCACTTCGACGTGGCTTGCAGACGCTGTTTGTGAATGCTGCGGTGGAAGGCTTGGGGGAGGTTCCGATCCAGTTGCCGTGGTTGGTTGATATTGAGCTGGATCCTGTGTGAGCCTCGAGGTGATGTGGATATTCTACTGGTACTATTGACACTGTATATACGAGTGGGACTGAAGCTGAGATAGTGTGGATGGGTGGATGGGGAGAGAGGGGAATAGGGATGGGTCGTTTTTGTTGATATCTCTTGATCTACTGGAGTACGGAGTAGACCGCTACTGACAGATGAACGAATGGGACTGATTGTGATATATAAATGTGATGTGTTGTCGAGACACGAGGTTGAAGTTCGTAGAATTCCGCACGAGCGTCTTGTCCCAAAAAGGGTTAGCGGAAGGCAGATTGATGAGAGCGGAGGTCCCGTGATTTCCCACGATCCCAACGGGATGACAACTCCGCGGGCCCTGATTGGGTCCGGGCGGTGGGCCGTCAACACAGGCCCGAAGAGGTTAGTGTAGGGATGGCCGAGCAGTGGAGGAGTGGACACCTCAGGAGTCCAGGACACGCCTGTCGGGCACCGCGGTGGACCTTCAGCAACAGGAACCGGGATATGCTTCAAGCCTTTATGGTCTGGAAGGATGCAAGTCTGGTACAGACAACGAATTAGGATGGATCGAGGTCCCATACCACCGCCATACCAATTAGATACCTACTATGTACGGAGTACCAGAATACCATACCCTCGGATGAGCGGGTCTGTGAAGAAACCATCCTCATGGTTATCTACATCAAAATTAAATTAAATCTACTCCTCTATCAGTATCACCCTGTTATCGAGTGATATCTACCACCCATGGAAGATCGGACCGGACTGGCGGATGTCTTGAGACCTAAATAGATTACCGGCTCCCATATAAGCTTGTATTATGCCGCTCTGATCTGTTTCGCATTCCGAGCCCCGGAGTATCTTTTCAGCCCGGACTATACGCCCCGACCATGCCAAAAGGCACCTTTTGCCTTTCACGGTAGGGACGGCCATTGACAGCTCATGACGGCCCGACTAAGCGGATCACGCAGGGAACTAGATGTTAGGGAGGGTCACTCGGTGTTTACTGTTCACGGTCACGGTGAAGATCGTCCTGGCTTTTCTGTTGGCAGTCGGGGAATTCCCCAACTAGTAGCGAGCTGGGTTCAACTAGATAGTAGATACGGAGTTACTATCTTCATCATCTTCAAGGCGCCTGTGCACATTACTCCGTGCCTTGCTTGGGTCTGTCTAGTGTCTACACTGTGCACACTGTCCATCCTCGGTACTTGCATCTAGGCTGACATGGCTCTGCAGTGAGACCGCCAATGACCGCGTGCTCGTTTCATCCCTTTCCCAAGTATCCCGAGTGAGAACCCGCATGGAAGGGGGTTGATAGTACTCATCCAGACATCCAGAGGCTGGAACCATGGACCGGGTCGGAAAGTGATTGGCCTGGAGCGGATTGTTGACCCGACAAATGCTGGGGACCGGCCAGCCAAAAGTGGTGGGAAGCCCGACGTCATGGGCCCAACAAGCCGTACCGCTAGTTGGGGTTGCTGGTGCCCTCCCGGCAGTAGTCACCGTAGTTGCGATCCCCTCGCGCTGGTTGACTGGGCGCGGACCATCCGGGCCCATTATTATTATTGTTCTTTTCTATAGTATTCGGTAGTCTTACGGCTACCGGAGCAGAAATGTAGTTCCTCTTTTTTTTTTTTTTTTTTTTTTTTTTTTTTTTTTTAATTTTAATTTTAATTTTTTTTTCTTAGGGAGGGTGAACATCCTCCGCGTATTTTTCCGTTCTGTACATTTACCGGTTCGAGACATTATACGCCTCGTCCATTAAAGTAGACCAGCTCCAATTTTCTCCTCATCCTCCCTTTAATTCTCTCCTCTTCCCTTCCCTTCTCCTCGCTCGGCCTCTTTTCTCTTCCCTCTCCCCTTCCCCATTACTCTCCTCCAGTGCCATTGTTTGCCTGCCTGGCTGCTCCCAAGGTTGTCCCAGTAAGTCCCCGGCCCTCCCCCCCCGCCTTCGAGCAATGCCATAAATTCCCTCGCGCTGGATCTTGCCGTCCGCCTCAATCTAATCCTAGACCTGCTGCTTGCTGCTTGCTGCCCGCCTTGCTTGAGCTGACTCTTGTCTCCCTCACTCTTACTCAGCCTGAGGAATCGAATCCTTCGTGTCTCATCTGCCCTCCCCCTCATTCTCCTACGATCGCCATTCCTACTTAGATCTTGGAGGGCTTAATCCTGTCTCATCCATCTCCATTCCGCCACTTTTTCTCTGACACCTTACGGACAACCATTGCGCCCTCCCTCTCATTCTCCCTCTTCGCCGCTTCTTCTACACCTAGTCTCATTCGTCTCGAACATTCCGGCTTCATCTTTCGCATGGGAATCATATAATACATAATATCCAATCCTGCATCATGAGCGCCCCCAACGGAACCGCCAGCTCGCGAGCTGCGAACCTCCCTTCACATTTCATCGGCGGTAACCACCTCGATGCCGCACCACCCAGCAGCGTCAAGGACTTTGTGGCCAACCACGAGGGTCACTCCGTCATCAGTTCGGTGAGTTTGGCGGGGATCGAATGAGTTGGCCGGGCCAAGCGCAGGGGCGATCTAACGGGCTGTCAGGTTCTGATCGCCAACAACGGTATTGCGGCCGTCAAGGAGATCCGCTCCGTCCGAAAATGGGCTTACGAAACCTTTGGCAACGAGCGTGCCATTCAGTTCACAGTGATGGCCACGCCAGAAGATCTGCAGGCCAATGCAGACTACATTCGTATGGCGGATCAATATGTTGAGGTACGTGGTCATGCTGTGCAACCAATGACCCCCCGGAATCATGTCCGCTGACAAAAGTTGTAGGTCCCGGGAGGCACGAATAACAACAACTACGCCAACGTTGATCTGATCGTCGATGTCGCCGAACGTATGGACGTTCACGCCGTGTGGGCCGGTTGGGGTCACGCCTCTGAAAACCCCCGGTTACCCGAATCCCTGGCCGCGTCTCCCAAGAAGATTATCTTCATTGGTCCCCCCGCCTCTGCGATGCGCTCGCTCGGTGACAAGATCTCCTCGACGATTGTCGCTCAGCATGCCGGTGTCCCTTGTATCCCCTGGTCTGGAACGGGTGTGGATGCTGTGAAGGTCGACGACAATGGCATCGTCACCGTCGAGGACGAGATCTACAACCAGGGTTGCACCTTCTCGCCCCAGGAGGGTCTGGAGAAGGCCAAGGAGATCGGCTTCCCCGTCATGATCAAGGCCTCCGAGGGTGGTGGTGGTAAGGGTATTCGTAAGGTTGACCGGGAGGAGGACTTTGTCAACCTGTACAACGCCGCTGCCAACGAAATCCCCGGTTCCCCGATCTTCATCATGAAGCTCGCCGGTAACGCCCGTCACTTGGAAGTCCAGCTGTTGGCAGATCAGTACGGTAACAACATCTCCCTCTTCGGTCGTGATTGTTCCGTCCAGCGTCGTCACCAGAAGATCATTGAAGAGGCTCCTGTCACGATCGCCAAGCCGGTGACCTTCCAAGCCATGGAGCGCGCCGCCGTGAGCCTGGGTCGCCTGGTCGGCTACGTGTCTGCGGGTACTGTCGAGTACCTGTACTCTCACGCTGACGACAAGTTCTACTTCCTGGAACTGAACCCTCGTCTTCAGGTCGAGCACCCCACCACGGAGATGGTTTCCGGAGTCAACCTGCCTGCCGCTCAGCTTCAGATTGCCATGGGTATTCCCCTTCACCGCATCCGTGACATCCGTCTGCTCTACGGCGTTGATCCCAACACCTCCTCGGATATCGACTTTGACTTCTCCAGCGAGGAGAGCTTCCAGACCCAGCGCCGCCCTCAACCCAAGGGTCACACCACTGCGTGCCGTATCACTTCCGAGGACCCTGGCGAGGGTTTCAAGCCTTCCAGCGGTACCATGCACGAACTGAACTTCCGCAGTTCCTCCAACGTTTGGGGTTACTTCTCTGTCGGTACGTCCGGTGGTATTCACAGTTTCTCGGACAGTCAGTTCGGTCACATCTTCGCCTACGGTGAGAACCGTTCGGCCTCCCGGAAGCACATGGTCATTGCCTTGAAGGAACTGAGCATTCGTGGTGATTTCCGGACGACTGTCGAGTACCTGATCAAGCTTTTGGAGACCCCGGCGTTCGAAGACAACACGATTACCACTGGATGGCTGGACCAGCTGATCTCCAACAAGCTTACCGCCGAGCGTCCTGACACGATTGTGGCGGTTCTGTGTGGAGCAGTTACCAAGGCCCACCAGGCCAGCGAGGCCGGCGTGGAAGAATACCGCAAGGGACTGGAGAAGGGTCAGGTACCCTCCAAGGATGTCCTGAAAACGGTCTTCCCCGTGGACTTCATCTACGAAGGCCAGCGGTACAAGTTCACTGCCACGCGTGCCAGCCTTGACAGCTACCACCTCTTCATCAACGGCTCCAAGTGCTCCGTTGGTGTGCGTGCCCTGGCCGATGGTGGTCTGTTGGTTCTTCTGAACGGCCGCAGTCACAACGTCTACTGGAAGGAGGAGCCTGCCGCGACTCGTCTCAGCGTGGATGGCAAGACCTGCCTGCTCGAGCAGGAGAACGACCCGACCCAGCTGCGTACGCCCTCCCCTGGTAAGCTGGTGAAGTTCACCGTTGAGAACGGTGAGCACGTCAAGGCGGGCCAGCCCTTCGCTGAAGTCGAGGTGATGAAGATGTACATGCCCCTGATCGCCCAGGAAGATGGTATTGTCCAGCTCATCAAGCAGCCCGGTGCTACCCTGGAGGCTGGTGACATCCTCGGTATCCTTGCCCTGGATGACCCCTCTCGCGTGAAGCACGCTCAGCCGTTCACCGGCCAGCTTCCGGAGCTCGGCCCCCCCCAGGTTGTGGGTAACAAGCCTCCTCAGAGATTCTTCCTCCTGCACAGCATTCTGGAGAACATCCTGAAGGGATACGACAACCAGGTTATCATGAATGCCACCCTCAAGGAGCTGGTCGATGTCCTGCGTGACCCCGATCTCCCCTACGGCGAGTGGAACGCCCAGTCTTCCGCTCTGCACTCTCGTATGCCCCAGAAGCTCGACAGTCAACTCCAGAACGTTGTCGACCGTGCCCGCGCTCGCAAAGCTGAATTCCCCGCCAAGCAGCTGCAGAAGACCGTCCAGCGTTTCATCGAAGAGAATGTCAACCCCGCCGATGCCGAGATTCTCAAGACCACTCTTCTTCCTCTGACTGAAGTCATCAACAAGTACCTTGATGGTTTGAAGGCCCACGAGTTCAATGTCTTCATTGGTCTCCTGGAACAGTACTACGAGGTGGAGAAGCTCTTTGGCGGCCGCGATGAAGATGCCATTCTGAAGCTCCGTGAGGAGAACAAGGAGGACATCGGCAGTGTCGTTCAGACCGTGCTTTCCCACAGCCGCATTGGCGCGAAGAACAACCTCATTCTCGCCATTCTGGCCATGTACCGCCCCAATCAGCCCGCCGTTGGCAATGTCGCGAAGTACTTCAAGCCCATCCTGAAGAAGCTGACGGAGTTCGAGTCTCGCGCTGCTGCCAAGGTCACCCTCAAGGCCCGTGAGCTTCTCATTCAGTGTGCTCTCCCGTCCCTGGAGGAGCGTCTGTCCCAGATGGAACTCATCCTGCGTTCGTCTGTTGTGGAGTCTCGCTACGGTGAGACGGGTTGGGACCACCGTGAGCCCGATTTCTCGGTGCTCAAGGAGGTGGTCGACTCCAAGTACACTGTCTTTGATGTGCTGCCGCGTTTCTTCGTTCACCAGGACGTCTGGGTTACCCTCGCTGCTCTGGAGGTTTACGTGCGCCGCGCCTACCGTGCCTACACTCTGAAGGGTATTCAGTACACCCAGGCTGGAGAGACCCCTCTCCTTTCTTGGGACTTCACCCTCGACAAGCTCGGACAGCCTGAGTTCGGCCCTATTACCACCACTGACCCGTCGACCCCCAGCACGCCTACCGCTGAGTCGAACCCCTTCAAGCGGATTAACTCCATCAGTGACATGTCTTACTTTGTTGGCGACGGCACCGAGCAGATGAGAAAGGGTGTCATCATTCCTGTGCAGTACCTGGAAGACGCCGAGGAGTACCTGCCTAGAGCCTTGGAGGCGTTCCCCAGGGCCGGCTCTAAGAAGAAGCCCAGCGACAACGGCCTCCTTGCTAACCTGGAGGGCAAGCGTCGCCCTGCTCCTCGGGTTGAGAACGAGAGCGAGCTGACTGGCGTCCTCAACATCGCCATCCGCGATGTGGAGGATCTCGATGATAACCAGATTGTCACTCAGATCAACGGCATGCTTGCTGACCTCAAGGAAGAGCTGCTTGCTCGTCGCATCCGTAGGGTCACCTTCATCTGTGGTAAGAATGGTATCTACCCCGGCTACTTCACTTTTAGGGGCCCCAACTACGATGAGGATGAGAGTATCCGTCACAACGAGCCTGCTCTTGCCTTCCAGCTGGAACTTGGACGCCTGTCCAAATTCAAGATCAAGCCCGTCTTCACTGAGAACCGAAACATCCACGTCTACTCGGCCATTGGAAAGGGTCCCGAGAACGACAAGGCTGTGGACAAGCGTTACTTCGTCCGTGCGGTCGTCCGTCCGGGCCGTCTCCGCGATGATATCCCCACCGCTGAGTACCTGATCTCGGAGGCTGATCGTCTCATGAACGACATTCTGGATGCTCTGGAGATTATCGGAAACAACAACTCCGATTTGAACCACATCTTCATCAACTTCTCGCCCGTGTTCAACCTGCAGCCCAAGGACGTTGAGGAGGCCCTGAACGGCTTCCTGGAGCGCTTCGGTCGTCGCCTCTGGAGACTGCGTGTCACTGGTGCCGAAATTCGTATCTTGTGCACAGACCCCGTGACCGGCCTTCCTTACCCTCTGCGTGTGATCATTACCAACACCTACGGATTCATCATCCAGGTGGAGCTGTACATTGAGAAGAAGACGGAGAAGGGTGAGTGGATCTTCCACAGCATCGACGGTGGCAGCAACAAGCTTGGCTCCATGCACTTGCGCCCGGTGTCCACGCCTTACCCTACCAAGGAATGGCTGCAGCCCAAGCGCTACAAGGCCCACCTGATGGGTACCCAGTACGTGTATGATTTCCCCGAGCTGTTCAGACAGGCCTTCCAGAACAGCTGGACCAAGGCGATTGCCAAGATCCCCTCCCTGGGCGAGCAGCGCCCCCCAGTTGGCGAATGTATCGACTACAGCGAGCTTGTGCTGGACGATACCGACAACTTGGTCGAGATCTCTCGTGGCCCCGGCACCAACACCCATGGTATGGTGGGTTGGATCGTCACTGCTCGCACCCCTGAGTACCCCCGTGGCAGACGGTTCATCATTGTCGCCAACGATATCACCTTTCAGATCGGTTCCTTCGGACCTGCGGAAGACAAGTTCTTCCACAAGTGCACTGAGCTGGCCAGGAAGCTGGGCATTCCCCGCATCTATCTTTCTGCCAACTCCGGTGCTCGTATCGGCATGGCCGATGAGCTGATCCCTTACTTCTCCGTCGCCTGGAACGATGCCGAGAAGCCCGAGGCCGGTTTCAAGTACCTGTACTTCACTCCCGAGGTCAAGCAGAAGCTCGATGCCAGCAAGAAGAAGGATGTCATTACCGAGCTGATCCATGACGAGGGTGAGGAACGCCACAAGATCACCACCGTTATCGGTGCCAAGGATGGCTTGGGTGTCGAGTGTCTGAAGGGCTCTGGTCTCATTGCCGGTGCTACCTCCAAGGCTTACGAAGACATCTTCACCATCACCCTGGTTACTTGCCGTTCCGTCGGTATCGGTGCCTACCTTGTCCGTCTCGGACAGAGAGCCATCCAGGTCGAGGGCCAGCCCATCATTCTCACTGGTGCCCCGGCTATCAACAAGCTGCTGGGCAGAGAGGTCTACACCTCCAACCTGCAGCTTGGTGGCACCCAGATCATGTACAGAAACGGTGTGTCTCACATGACTGCCACTGATGACTTCGAAGGTGTGCAGAAGATCGTGGAATGGATGTCCTTTGTCCCTGACAGGAAGGGAGCCCCCATCCCCATCCGCCCCTGGTCGGACACCTGGGACCGCGATGTGGCCTACTACCCGCCCAACAAGCAGCCCTACGATCCCCGCTGGCTCATTGCCGGTAAGGAAGACGAGGATGGCTTCCTGCCTGGTTTGTTCGACTCGGGCTCTTTCGAGGAGGCTCTCGGTGGATGGGCTCGCACCGTGGTTGTCGGTCGTGCCAGACTTGGCGGCATCCCCATGGGTGTGATTGCTGTTGAGACACGCTCGGTCGAGAACGTCACCCCTGCTGACCCCGCTAACCCCGACTCCATGGAGATGGTCAGCACTGAGGCTGGTGGTGTCTGGTACCCCAACTCTGCGTTCAAGACCGCCCAGGCCCTCCGTGACTTCAACAACGGTGAGCAGCTGCCTGTGATGATCCTGGCCAACTGGAGAGGTTTCTCTGGTGGACAGCGTGACATGTACAACGAGGTTCTCAAGTACGGTTCCTACATCGTCGATGCTCTCGTCAAGTACGAGCAGCCCATCTTCATTTACATCCCGCCTTACGGTGAACTCCGTGGTGGATCCTGGGTCGTCGTCGATCCCACTATCAACCCCGACCAGATGGAGATGTACGCCGATGAGGAGTCCCGCGGTGGTGTCCTCGAGCCCGAGGGTATCGTTAACATCAAGTACCGCCGCGACAAGCAGCTGGACACCATGGCTCGTCTGGACGCCACCTATGGCGAGCTCCGCCGCTCTCTCGAGGACACTTCCCTCTCCAAGGACCAGCTGTCTGACATCAAGGCCAAGATGGCTGCCCGTGAGGAGCAGCTCCTGCCCGTCTACCTGCAGATTGCCCTGCAGTTTGCTGATCTCCACGACCGCGCTGGCCGCATGCAGGCCAAGAACACCATCCGCCAGCCGCTCACCTGGAAGAACGCCCGTCGCTTCTTCTACTGGCGTCTGCGCCGCCGTCTCAGCGAGGAGCTCATCGTCAAGCGCATGGTTACTGCGGCTCCTAACCCTGCTGCTCGCGACGGCACGGTTGCTATTCCTGCTGCTTCCAGCGCCCCTACTGCCACCGAAACCCCTCGCGCTGTGCACCTCCGCACTCTGCACGGCTGGACCGGATTCCTCGACGAGGAACTGGAGCACGACGACCGCCGTGTCGCCACCTGGTACGAGGAGAACAAGAAGGCCATCCAGGCCAAGGTGGACTCGCTCAAGGTCGAGAGCGTGGCCACGGAGGTCGCCCAGTTGCTCGTCAACAACCGCGATGGTGCCCTGAAGGGTGTGCAGCAGGTTCTCAGCGTCCTCCCTGTGGAAGAGAAGGAGGCCGTTCTCAAGTTCCTGTCTTCTAACTAGACGGTGCTATTTTCCCTTCTATTCCCTTTTTCGTCTGTTCCCTTCTCACAAGACCCTTTTATATAACCTTTGGCATTTCCATTGGACGCGGAAGCTATTATCCTTCGGTGATTTTTTGGTTCTGTTATCTCCTTTCTGTGTTAGGGTCAATGCGTACACGGAATGATTGGCTTGGCCGGTATTGTTGATTGAGTCATGCGATGCGATGCATATAACGTCGGTTATGTTACGTCTGGGTTGTGTTGTTGTCCTCGTTAAGCATGGTTTGTGTTTTTTTCTCATTACTGTATCTTGATATCTTTTCTTACAATGCAAATTATTCCAAGAACATATCGTATTGCTTCTGGTATTCAATACCGTATGACAAGTAAATGGCTGAATTATGTAAAAGAGCTAAGAGATTCATAGAGGACAAAAGTAATGAATGCTAAGTATCCACTGAGATAGAAGGTTAGTTGGTATATAGCAGTAGGGCTAGCTAGGGATATAGAGCCACATAGTTGCATCCAAAATTCCCAAGAGATAGGAAACACGAACCGTGTGTATAAATAAGATAGAAATAACTAGTCAACACCTATGGCGGCCTTGGGAATCAGAGCAAAACACCGAAAACAGATACAAAAGGGGGTATTATGTCTTATCCACTCATTCAAAAAAATAAGAGAAATCATCATAGGAAACATGCCAAAGGGACGGAGTGGGTATATGGGGATAAATGGCCATTAAGGAATGTCGGGGGAAAGATAGTGATGTATGTGGAGAGACGGAAAGACATGCGACCCTTCCACGCAAGCGGATCAAGCAAGTTGTCTTTCCAGACTTCTCGGGTGTGTCAGGATAGGCGGCATGCCTCGGTATGGGGTCGACACCTCTCGCAGACCGCGACTGGTGTTGACTGGGCCCATGTTTGAGTCATCGATACGGAGGTGGTTGATGTCCACGGGAAGTTGGCCGCGGAGAGGACGAGGGGTGTGGTATGATGGGTTTTGGTAGTGGGGGTCCATCATTGATGGGGCCGGACGAGGGTGCATGGAGTAGGCGCGAGAGGACGATTCGTCAGGACTGCCGGGGAGACCGATGTAGTTGGCATTCAGGGAGCGAGCGATATCTTCGAGGAGGATTTCCATGGGGGCAATGTAGGCTGTGCGGGTCTTGTCGGACCAGGCGAGGACGTGGCCGCACACACGACCGCTTGACTTCTCGAAGACCCATGCTCCTGAGTCGCCGGGGACTAGAAAACAAGCAAAACTTTAGCGAGGGATATTCTTCGATTGAAGGTATACCTATAGCAGACCAGTCAGACTCACTTACCTCCGAAGTTTCCGTCAACACAGAAGCTGGTCGAGAAGGTTTGTCGACCATGCAGTTTGACTAATGTCATGGCCTTGGATATCTGGCCGGTTTGCAGGCCACTGGTTCGACCACAGCAATGAACCTGAAGGCCACCCAGGTCTTCCAACCGGCAGATATTGGTAAGATAGATTGTCTCTGGCTGCGGCATGCGCGCCTGCTCGCCGCGTCTTTGTCTGTAAGGGTCCCGTCTAGTTACAGCCGTTCTGTCGTAGACAATGTTGCGCCCATCGATGCGCTCGTCGTTGATCTTGATCAGTGCCCAGTCAATCTCGTGTCTTATCCCCTTTCGTGTCCAGCGCCGAACGCCAGAAGATGCGTGCACGTATCCAAATGAGTGAGATGCAAGATGCTCGTCATCGCGATCTTCAGGGCACGGAAAGAAGTTCTCATCGACGTCATCGATAGCTGGCTGTGTTACGTACAGCAAGGGATCGTCTCCGGGGTCAATCCCGGGGGTATCGCCTATTGATGCTGCATCCTCGTCCTCGTATGCTGCGTCAGCATTGGGACCGTCTTCATCGGAGGAGTAGCCATCTGAAAGATAGGAGTCCTCGAAAGTCCCGTCTAGACTTGGCGATAGGGATATATCGTCCCCATCTTCGTCTTCTGAAACCTCGAATTCAAGATCCGATGCAGGGTCCAACGGGCCCTCGTCCGACCAGGAGTACATGTACTCTAGGTTTTGAGGTGCTGGTGTATCCTGGGGCCAATTCGCAGCAGACCGTAAAGGGCCACTAGTATCTTGGTCGTCTGCATCTTCCTGGTCACTCGGTGACTCCAGCATATGATGCACGGTCATGCCATACGGCATACCGTCAACTAGGATAGCTCCGCCATAAGACACAGGAGGTAAGTGCTCTTCATTCATAAAGGCGCCTATCGATGCGCCGCAGATAGGCCGTTCCTGATAGCAAGGATTCGGATCGTGCTGGACGAACGCCGGCGCTCCTGCATTGTCTGGTCCCGTCATCGCCGGCCTGCGGCGTTTCTTTCGTGGAACTTTAGATCTCTGTACATCTCCGCGAAGGACAAGAAGATCCCAGTCCTCGCTTTCGAGAGGAAAGTACTTTTTCAGGGCTGCCCGGACCTTCTTTGCACTCGCACAGGTGACACAGACTGTTGTCCGGGCATTGTCAACAGTGTCGCCAGTCATCATTAGTGTAACGCTGCACGATTCAGAGGAGTCCTTCAAGATCTTCTGTAGGAGCTTTCTCAAACGCGGTAGCATCTGAAAGTTCCATTTATTGAGATGGTCGTTGGGTATCTCCAGGCCCGACAGCTTTTTGCAGGTTCGCTTTCGCACCCTGCGCTCCTCCACGATAATTTTGTCCCGCAGCATCTTCATTTCAGGAGTGGGCAACGTCGCAATTGGCTCCTGGAAAGGTACGATAGGCTCCATGGCAGGCTTGTACTCACGCGGAGCTTCTTTCATAGGCGCGGGTTCCAGACCAGGGACGAGAGCAAGGGGAAGACAGTCATCCAGCTCTTCAGCGCCGGGGGCAGAGAACATGTCTATCCTGCAGCAGGACCAAACGATCTTGCACATTGTGTAGAGGAAATTCATCGAGAATGAAAAGATACTGTCGGGCGCTGAGAGGTCTAGGACTGGATAATGAAAAGCCTGGGGGACACGAAGGTTGAGGTCGTCGAACGGCTGCGTCGAGAGATGAAAGTTTGGCGCATCCAAGCACAGCTGCACCACATGGAGATACGCGCTGCCACACTTGGGGCCTAGCTTCTGCAAGTAGACATTCTCGATCCTTTGCTTGAACATCGAATTGTTGTACTTCATCTTCCATATACGGCTGATGGGATTCCAAAGCCCAATCTCAAGTAGCACTAGGCCAAGTGAGTAGAGGTCATACGCCCAGGCAGCATCGTCATCCATCGATCGTTTATCATCCGGATGGCGGTACATGCTGGAAGACAGTGGCTCGGGTGACGGTCCATTTCCCGAGAACTGAGCAAACGATGTCAAGTATGGGCGGCGCAGGTTCTCTGTCAGTCCAACTTCATCGCTATTCGAGTTCGTTAATCCGGGGAAGATCAGGACGTTGCTGCTGTTTATGTTGCCATGCACCAGGTTTTGGCTTCTTAGCTGCAGAACCGCCATCAAAAGGTCATAAGCCAGGCGAAAGCGAGTCTCTAGATTAGGAATATGATAGTCGTCCCCGGCCTGGAAGAGAGAGACGAGGGGCTTAGGTTTCAACCCATTCAGAAGGTCTGAGGGGTTACGAAGGAACGGAAAGTAATCCACCGGCATTTGGTAGACGAAGGCATATCGCGAATTGGGCATGTCGATATAATAGCCCAAGAGTTTCAACAGCCCCAGATGAGACACGCGCGCATTCTGGACGAGCTGCTCGAGCGTCTGCTGCACGTGATCGAGTCGTTTCTTCTCCGGCGTGGTGGCAGCCCCCGATGCTTCCAGCACCATTGGAGTGTAGTCGACTAGAATGGTTGCCACCGAGTCTTTAGAGCCGTGGAGGAAAGGGGACGCCGAGGTCCTCATGCGACCAATGGCCCGAGAGTTGATGGAAGCAGCCACCTGCTCATAGGGAGGCGGGTTGTTGTCATGAGATGAGCCGGACAGCTGTAGTGCCGAGCGATCAATGGCATAATTGTCGACGGTTAAGGAGATCTTGCCAAATGGCATCTTCTCGGACCTGGCCTGGCTAAATGCCGCAGCATTGCGCGTGGGAGACGGCGCCAGCGGACTGTCGAACGATGCAGCATGATAGGCTTTGGAGTCCAGGATGGAATAATCGGTGGTTGCGCCAGGCTGGGATCGGCCCTTGGTGGCCGACTGGCCCCCAGCTGTCATGCTGGCACTCATATTGCGTCGAGAGCGAGACAGGTCGTACAGCGTGTCGATGCAGGACTCAAGATCGGAAAGCAGAGTCTTGGAGCGACTGATCTCCTCACTGGTCCAGTGCGACTTGACTGGAAGGTTGCTGAGGCCGCCCTTGGGAGAGTCGGCACCAGCGCCCTTCGGAGGCAGATCGGAGCCGCCGTGCTGGATACGTTCCGCCTCGTTGAGGAGCACTTGGATCGAGGACATGACACTCGCCACCACATCGCTGTAGCCGGCTTGCGTGATCGATTCGTCGATATCATTGGGCTGGGCGGCACTGGCATCGCTCCAGTCGAGGCCCCAGGCTAACAGGCGGTCCCTTTGCGTCTTGAAACTTCGATGCAGCGTTACCAATTCGGGATCATCGACTGCAATGGAAGCCGTGGTGACACTCTCACAGGAGGTCTTCGTGTCGGTGTACATTTTGGTGAGACGCCGTTGGAGGTAGGCACTCCCATGATGGCGGAGGACGGACATCTTGGCGCGCAGAGTCCGGAGAAATCAAGTGGCGTGGGCGGCGGAGAAGGGGAGGTACACTAGGGTCCTAGCAGGGACGAGACATGGTCCGGGGGTTGGAGAGGCGGGGGAGGGGGGGAGGGGAGGTGAGAAGGGGGATTGCGACCTCTAGTGCAATATGGGAGAGAGATGGATGGTAAGTAGGGAGTAGATAGTAAGTAGCGAGAGGAGGCCGTCGTCGGGCAGATGAGAGTGAGAAACACTAAGAATAAGAATAAGAATAAGTGCAGGTGGGAATCCTGTTGCCTAACCAATAGGGAGTGGCGAGTGCGCGCAAAGCCTCACCCGCGCCAAGCCACAGTTCGCAAGCATCTGGTCTGCCGCTAGCCCCTTGGGATTTGGCACCTTCCCCGGCAGGCAGCCGCCATTTGGCCGATCCACCCCGGCGGGTCCTGATTGGCCCGCGCGCTCATGGCCGGCACGTGCACGAGGGGTATCGTGCAGGATGACTAACCACGGGGCGGGTGCGCCCGCCAATTTCCTGCAGAGACGTCAGTATCATTGGAATGGTCGGCTTCTTACTAAGTCGTAGGCACTAGGCAGGCATCATGTCTATCTACCAATGGCCACCGAAAGGCGGTGCCTAACTCCGATCGACAGGACCCTCCGCTCCTGATGGGTCGCACTCGGGATATCCATCAATCATCTTCTTCACGAGACCCACTTCTAGAACTACTACTACTAGTAGATAGATACACAGTAGGGTTACACCTCATCTCAACCCTTCCTTCTAGATGAGTACAAATGTTACATCCATCCATACGGAGTTGGACTACCAGGCAGTCATCATACAGACAGGGTTACCTAAATTGGCACAAAAAAAAGGTCTATTGAAAACTCGCAACTGTTTACATAGAATCAAATAAAAAACAAGGTACCCACCCCTCCTTCATCAGGCATCTGCAGTCAATCAACCGGTGATGACCCGCCGAGGCACACCGACATCTCGCGCCCGTTTCTCACGGAAGTTATGTAGGCGTTCCCCAATCAAGTAGACATCGTCGCGGATATTGACTCGCCAGATCTCCACCTGACGCCGTACCAAATAGACGAGCCACCCTATCAGGCTTATCATCAAGGTTGCTGGATATGCATAGCGGTACACCTTGGACTGAACATCAGGAGTGGAGTAGAATACTGTGGCGTTCACGGTGAACCCAAGGGATAGTGGCAGCACTACCGCAAGCGTGGCCAGGAGGGTCACCGGTAACAGGACAGCCCGGGTGGTAAGTTTCGCATTAGGCTTCAACCAGCCGTCCTGGAAGATAGCATTCAGTGCTGCCGCCGGACGGGATGCAGAATTCCATAAAACAAACTTGACGGCCATTTGGACATAAAGCACGCCAAGCGTCCAGTCCTGGATGAAATGGATGACATGCGCCTGAGGTCCTCCAACGTACGTGTGCACAGGAACCAAGATATACAGTTCCATGATGAGGGCGAACAAAGACGGCAGGAGGACGGAGAAGGAGGCGAGAACATAGAGAAGTCGAGCAACATCGAGAAGAACGTTGATGGCTCCAACACACGCCTCCCGAGGGGACTGCAGGTAAGGACGCAGCCGGTCTTGCGCCGCGGCGACGAACGGACGACAATGGTACAGAATATAGGCAGCAGTGCCAACGATGGACATGCCAGTGGAGAAGGCATACACGTCGTTTAGCGGCCGGTGAGGGAAGGTTGACAACATAACCTTCCGGCCAATAACAAGAGGAACAACTGTGATGCCTACACCGGTCGCAGCAGCAAACACCCAGATCAACAGGATGAAGGCTGCAATGCGGGCCCTAAAGCTTGGAGGGACGTAGACCTTAGTGAACATGTCATTGGCCCGACCATGGAGGCCTTGGTCCAGATCTGGAGCCCCATCGACCCGCTGGTTGGACTCGGTTACCTCGAGGAACACATGATTGCCCTTAGGAATGCGGACCTGGTCTGAAGCGGGAGCCCGGACGAATCGCCCATCACGAGTGAAGTAAACGTCGGACTGCTTCTCACTTGCGTGATTTTGCTGCTGTCCATCGACCACTGGGTGTTCTGGATCCCCTTTAGCGGCTGACAAGACGTCCCACCAGGTCCAACGGACATGGTATCCCTCTTCATCAGGCTGCCTGTCGCCGAAGAAAAAGTTGGTCAGGCGAAGGAGTCGAGCGCACTTGTGGAACCACCAATCATAGAGATTGTGTAGACCGTCCGATGGCTTGATTGACTGGAGTGCAAGCGGCATGACGAAGTTGTAGAATAATAAATCCACGGGAAATTCCAATACAGGAATAGTAGCGGACCAATGGACGGGAAGCACATCATCGAAAGCGTAGTATAATCCCCATACAACGCCTCCAAGGCAAACGATAACCAGAGCACCATACACAAGGGCACTGAATGCAATCTTCCGCAGCTGAGTGGTGATGTTGCGCTCCAAGACATCGCGGACTGGATGGAATGTTGGATCGTCTGGGTCCCGAATAAAGTCTGACGATGAAAGTTAGCAAAGGATCGGGGAAAAGAACGGGTGGGATTTGACATACAGAGAACACCGCTCCTCATTATCTTCCGGCACATGGACACGAAAAGCGCAAAGTGGAACATATAACACGTGCCAATGAACCAATGCACAAAGAGAGATGTTAGAGGAGACGAGGATGTGAACTCAAGGCGCGAGGCAACCGTGGCATTCTCGAAGAGGGGCAACAGTGCAATGTCAAGTAAAGAGCCGCAATACAGCGGGAACACTATCATTTCAATGCCGATGATGAGGATGACCTTCATGACTCCACCTGCTTGGTGAAGGACGTCGGCAATGATGCCTTCAACCCTCTGTCCACGCTCGCCACCAGAAAGTAGGGTGGTGAAACGCAAGTACAGAAGCCCGAGTGCCGACGCGAGGAGGTACCCCATTAGAATGGCAATGATACGATCCTTCGTATCCCACACAGCTAGGTCATAACTGACAGTGATGTCCGCTGAAGACGGACCGCTCATGTTGGTGTTAAACCAGCTCGTGCCGTTAGAGGAGTAGAGTATCTGATGACCGAGATCGTAGATTTGATCGCGCGCCTGCACTAGCACCTTAATTATATCACCAATTCCACCCTCTAGAGAAAAGGTGCCAGCGATCCCTTCGGACATAAGTCGAAGAGGAAAGTCACGTAGGATGAATCTCACCACTGTACAGGTCGAGTGAGCCAAGGCCGCAATGCGCGCTTGATGAATCTTAAGAGCTTGATGGGATAGGACCGAGAACATGGGGACGTCGGACTCATGAAAGACGAAGAAGGGCTGAAGAGCATTCCGTAATCGATGACCGCTGGCATCGATAAGGGACAACGAGGCACTGGTTACAGACTTGGTTTGCGGGATCCAGTCTCCCAAAGGAATAAAGGCACCGAAAGGACTCAGCACCACTTTGCAGATGAGACTGATCCAGTACATGACATAGCCCAAACTACCAATGAGGGTGTCCAGCGCAACATCTGCAAAGATAGATATAGCAGTCATGGGAACACCAAAGACCAATTGTACCGGATTTGCTAGGAGCACAAGGGCAATTTTGCCCCAGAGATAGGGAAGCCAAATCCCAATAGCCACGGTGAACGAGATCAGGAGTGCGCTGAACACCCCGTTCTGCAATAGACCAAAGATTGGACCCTGCATGCCAATAAGCTCGAGGATTCCCTCCAAGTCATCTCCATCCTCTACGGCATCAACATCATTTGGATCAACACCGAAATCCGGGGCAATTGCTTGATCGTTCTGTCCGTCGTCGTTGGCAAGGCGTCTGTTGTTCTGGATGGGGACGAACGGCGCTTCCAGAGCTGGATCTTCAACCAGATGCTCGTCATCATCCTGTGCACGATCTTGGCCTTGATCGGTAGGGTTGATATCAGCCCAAAACCAATCGAACAGTCTAGCAATCGGATTCTTCGGGGGAGGAGCTTGATCGTGCCGCACTGTTGGCGTGGCATTTTGTAAAGGCTCTTCGGTATTTGGTGTAGTGACATTGGAGAGAGCAGAAGCACCGTGGGTTTGGTGCGACTGAATACCATCCTCGGCAAAAGGTATCGAGTCAGATACCTGTTGAGAATCGCTCGTAGTACGTAGTGTGGAGTCAAAATTATCATGGGCAGATTCGCGCTGTTGCCGATCAAATCCCACGTCAGCTCCAAACGGATGGGACACAGTCGCTATATCCCAGGGCTGGCGAACTGCCGCAGATGATGAGGGTTCCAAAAATGCCGATTGAGTTGGACCCGGTACACTCTCCATCTCTGTATGATCAAGAGAGTCGGAACTAGCGGCCTCTTGGAGGGGCGACTCACGCCTCCAAGAAGGGCGTAAGTTATCATTTCGTTGAAGCTTCGTCATTGCCGTAACGATCCAGCCTAGCTCATCCTGGCGGCCTTCCTCTCGCACTAGTCTCAAGACCTGCTCAGGATCACCATTCCCACGCGCCCAGAGGTCCCTAAACGTCTCTACGCCAGGCCAAACCTGACTGCCGTGAGAAGTTGACTGCTCCAGCGACAGGGGGTTCACTTCATCTTCACTCTCACTGTTGCGCCGGAAAAAGTGCGACGTACTAGGTCCTTGGGTATCCGAGTCACTGAAACTTCCCGAGCTCCCATCGCGGAACGACGACTCTAGGCGGGATGGGTCGGATTCAGCTGAGGAGCCAAGTTGCACTTCGCCCGCGCGACGGGCGATATCTTCAACATGTTCATGGGTACCTTCGTCGCGAGGTACATCTGCTGGCTGGGGCGCAGGTGGCTCTGGCTGGACATCCTCAGGCTGCTGGATTGGACGGTTATTAGCAATCAATTGGACCGCTGCCTCCCGCTCGCCCTCGGCGATGTTGGCCATCGGCTGCTGTTGGACAACCCATTCCCGGATGAGGAAGATCAAGATGAAAGAGATGACCACCAAGAGGGTTATCAACTGTCCTTCCAACGTGTCAATGAGGATGTTGTTTATTGTGGGTGACGGTGTTAAAGAATTGAGAAACTCCACGTCCGAGAGCCATGATGGGCGTCGGGGCTTGTATGATGCTGCCGTCACGTTTGAAGTGCTGGGGCCCATGGCGCTGGTACCTGACATTGCCGGAAAGAACAAGGCAGAAAAGGATTTTTTAATGACCGTAAGAAGTAGCGGCTCGCCGGACGAGAAACTAAACATGGATGATACTGGTGACTGCACTGCAGATATATCAGATGCTCCTGTTAATGCAGTGTTAGCTGCACCCACGTTCACAGAAGCACTTCCATTTGCTACAGCCTGGGCTAAATTGTCAGAAACCTGTTGCTGGGGCCCATCCGCTCCAGACCAACGGCCATCTGCAAGCCAGAAGAGCGCTCTCCAAATGGCTCTCATGGACCACGGTAACCACCCAAGCCAGACGAATGCGACGAGAACGAACCGCAGCCATGTGACGATAGTACGAAAGCTATGAATTAGAAGTTGCCGGAGGAAAAGTGGAACTGGAAGGCTTTGGGGCATATTGGGATCGTATAACTTGGTAAAGCGGAAAGGCGTTTTGCAGAGTTCGCAATGCTTCTTTTGGGAATGGGACAACCATTCCACCAAGCATGCTTGGTGAACGAACTTAATACTTCCGCTACATTTGCACGGGTAGAAGAGCTGCTCTTCTTCGGTGCCCTCTCCGCGACATATGCGACAAGTATCCGGTTCTTCAAACTCCCTCTCCTTCCCTTTGTGGTTCGTTTGATAGGCCGGGTCATTCATCAGGTCCGGAAAGGATGTTGAGTCGGCATAGTCGTGATATCTGCCCTCTGGGAACTCCATGTTGTACAACCAGCGTCGTGTCGACGAGCTTATCGTCTTCAATGATGGCAATCAGGTATCATGTTCGGAGGCGTCTAGAATCGCGAACAGGTGCGTGAACCAACAAACTAAACGGAAGGTGGGTGGAAGGGATCCGTTGAGTCGGTACAATCTCCCAACACGTCGTTGGGATAACGCTGCTAGGAGAAGGATACACGTCAGTGTCCAACCATAAGCCGACTACTGCAAGAGGCGTATGTGGCAAGTTGTTCAGCAGGCCGGTGAGAGGGCGAAAAGAACAAGCCGAAGCTGTGGTTGATTCCCCCCAAGAGGCGCTGAGTCAGCTCACGGCCCTCCGTGGCTGGGTCACGTGAGCGTACGATACGGGTACGTACCAATAGGGGCGGTGGGGGGGCCGGTCAGGGGCGGCGAGATTGTCGATCACGGCGTCACGTCTTGTAAGGCTGTAAGAGGGCCAGACGGATGAGGTGCCACCGAGGGACCGATGACCTCACTGCTTTAGGGTGCCTTGAATCCAACATGCAGCCTGTGGTTGATCGACAAGAGACCGAGCACACCCAACAGTTATCATTTACATTCTATTTACATACTAGGAAGATCGAGTGTTCAAGGAAGAAGATACCGGGAGTTGGCGTCATATCGCCCCGCTTCTCTTCGATTCGAATATATTCTCGCCTCTTTCCTCCTGGTAGGTTACAGATTGCCAACTACACCCACCAAGCCATTAACCCCTCTAAAGGTCGGCCACGCCAAGACGGGCCCGGGACTTTCTCGTCGCGTGCGCTTCGAGGATTCAGCTTGTGATCCCGGAAAAACGTTGCTGGGGTCTTCCATTCCCGAATTATCTAGCTGGGCGCTTTGGTTTTTCCGGCTGTCGGAATGTGCAGGCGATGATCTAGACCCCTTATCTTCGACTTATTTATCTACCATCTTGGTCGAATTGGACACGCGACGCGAGTGACAGTTTTCTGCCCGCCGGACTTAAAAGCGAGCGGTACGCCCCGTTCACAACGGGGAAGGATTGATGATGGCCATTCCGGATAATAGCAATGCCCCGGAGGGAAGCGACCGGGCGGTTGAATCCAGAAGCAGTGGGCTCAAGTCAAGCAGGCGAGGCACTTTTCGGTGGACAGTTGGGTTGCTGGTGCGGTAAGTCTTCTCAAAAGTCTAGGCCGAGATCTCCGGTTTAGAGCGCTTCGGTTTTTGGAGTGTCCTAACCTGGCGACCAAACCAACAGTCTATGCATCTGGTATGCACTTATCACACCGTTCCTGCGCTGCCCCTCTCAACTGTCCGACTTGACGGATACCTCACCGCGAGTTTGCAAACCGTATTTGGTTGCTCGCTCTTACATCGAACCTCATGTGACTCCTTATTACAATGCGTACGGCGCGCCGTACGTCGAGACAGCGCGCCCGTACGTGCTGGTCCTCAATGAGAAGGTCTATGCGCCCACTTCGCGCGTTTTCAAGCGTGGATACGAGAGATATGGAGCGCCTGCTTTGGATAGAGCGCATCTCTATGGTCAGCAGCAGTGGGAGATAAATGTTGTCCCGCACCTGCAATCCGCTACAGACAGTGTGAACGGCCTGTATCAGTCTCAAATACAACCTCATGTCAAACGCGTCGAGGCGGCTTTGTCGCCATCCCTCCAAAGAGTCAACGGCGCAGTGAAGTCTGCGTACGGAGACTACCTTCTCCCTTTCGGCGCGAAGTACAGGCCATTCATTGGCAAGATTTACACATCGGGGCAAGACATGCTTACAACCACTGTCTTACCTTACGCGCAAAACTCTTGGTCTACGGCCATCTATTTCATCCATAGCTCACTTTGGCCCAGAGTCACTGGGCTTTACTGGGAGAACGTGGAACCGCAGCTAATCAAAATCGGTGAGAGACTGGCCAGTTACCGCGAAGTGAAGAGACTTCGACAGGCTGTGGAGGAAGTTGAGACGTAAGTTTCAGCACCGTGAGAAACGCGCCTCATTTGTTGACCTTCTATCTACAGTGTATCGGAGCAACCATCTTCTTCCCCCTCCTCACCAAAGGCCACTGAGGCAAAAGATTTGACGTCATCTTCTACAACGGAAGAAATAATTATGCAGCAGACACTGTCACCTACAGAACAGGCTGCGAAAGCGCGCGATAGCATTGAGTCGGATCTGCGCACTTGGCAACAGAAGTTTGCTGTTGCTGCAGAGAAGGGACTTGAGGACCTTGAAGAGCGATTGCAAGAGATCGTCGACATGTTCATGGCAAGCGAAACAAGAACGCAGGGAGAAAGCTTGACGACCGCATTGGAGGCTGTTGTTGACAATGAGATGATAGCCCTCAAGCATCATATCAACAATCTGGCAGAGTCCTTGCCAGTCGAAGATGCGCCTCAGGAGGAGGAAGCCGCGAAGGACGAGCTTTTGGGAAACGTCAAAGAAGCCGCCGTGTCCATTCGAGACCGTGCCCACGCCCTTCGGGAGTGGCGCGGTTCATTTGAACGGGAGTTAACCTACCGTGTTTCCCGCGCAATTAACTCTACTCTCGATGTGTTGGATAGTGTCCGTGATCTCGGACTTCAAGAGGTAGGCATGCGTTGGGCTTGGATGGATGGCGTCACGTACAAGGATTGGGCGAGGTACCATGCATTGAAAGCACAGTTCGAGGACTGGAAAGATGAATTCCTCGATTTCGGTCTGCAACATGTAAAGCTTGAGGAGGCGAGAGCCGCAGCGGATGAAATTCTGTCGCATGGAATGGAGATTGCTGAGGCTGCCGCCAAGGAGCTTGGCAGACTAAGGAACGTTGGAAATTGGAAGATCACTGCCAGAGAAGTGAGCGATAACTTCGACACCAGATCTGACCTTCCGCCTCCACGACCTAAGCCTATCCCCGCACCCGAGGAAACCGTGGGTGGGGACGCAGCAACAGATGGTGTAGCAGACAATGAGCTTCCAGAGAACGAGCCTACCTTTGTATTTGACTCCACCTCCCAGATTGAGAACAACGGGGTTGATGGTGACGATGAAAGTATGGCAGGAGATGAGGAACATGCTTCGCCCCAGCCCGGCGGTGAGAGGTCTCCAGGTTACACCCCGACAACCCTCGGAAGCGATAGTGAGAACGATATTGCTGTGACACATAACACCGATGACACCAGTGACTTGAAGAAGACGCCATGGGGAGTAGCTGCAGCAGATGTCACTGATCAGAACATGCCCGATACTCATCGAACTCCTGGTCATGTGCCTTCAGAGAGCGACAATCTCGGGGTTTCCGGCCACGACTTATCTTCCGAGCAAGAAGCTGTCGCGAGTCTCATCTCGGGGCTTCTTGTCGGTAAAGATGCCGCCTATGCCGAAGACATTATGAACAAGCTGCACTCAATCTACGGAATACCCCGCCCGACTCCCGAAGCTTCTGTAGTATCTGACCGCGTCCCTAGGGAAGATAGTATTGATGCAGATGCTTCGAGTGCATCCATTCCAGTTTCCGAGGACCAATTTTCGCCTTCTCTGCACGAAACTGATGGCGCCGATGATGCGTTAGGAACTGCAGGCTTTGTGCCTAGTGTTGCTGACGACGAGCAGTCACCAAATTCCGGGATCGATGTCGAAGTCGACTCTGCCATGGACAGTGCCGAGTCGCACTCGGCAACTCTAGGTTCTACTACCAGCAGCCTTGTTTCTGAGGCTGCTGAAACCGTTTTTCCTGAATCGACTCAACCCGTTGAAGACAACGCCGAGTTGTAAATGCAAACCAAAGGAGAGAAGCAGGTTAGCTGTTGCTGTTGCTTGGCAATTCCTATTATGATTGATATCCCAATTTTCTTGTTATTCGCTTGATTGCTATCTCAGATCGATCATGACCTTGATTATTCCCCACATAGTTCCTACGATTGTACGTCACGACATAGCATTTTCATTTGATGACACTTTTGCCCCTGTCCTGGTGATCGTTCCACCGTTTCCGTTTCCTACCTTGCTCTGTACTATCTGCCCTTTCTGGAACGGCTGGCCGAGATTAATCGTCTTGGGTCCCCAGCGCCGACCTTCTTCGTATTAGAGGCGTTGATTTTGTGTCCAAACTACACCCTGAGAATGCTTTTCCCTCGACGTTGGAGGCGGTTTCCTAAATCGCGCTATGCGCGGACCCTGTACATATGTGTTCTCCGACAGCCCTTCAACACGTAGCCCACTCAACGCCATGAGTGGAGCTCAGCGATACTGAGCACGCTGCCCACCCCTCTTTTCCATTTTCTTCTGCCTCTTGCTCTCGGTCGCGACTTGCTCCTGGCCGCCACCACCGCCTCCCATTCCTGCAAGACCATTCTTCATCCCAGTAAATGTGGAGTATGCCAACCATACCGAATACACGGGCACCACGGTCCACAGCCACCATGCGCGGTCTCCAAACACGCAAACGGCACCGATACAGCCCCACGTCCAGTACAGAACGTCCCACATGTACTCTGTCAATCCCGCGGCTCCAAGATCCTCACCGGGTGAACGTAGGGAGCCATCGGGTGTGGCGTAGCTTGGACGACCTAGGCGGTCGAGGTAGAATTCAATGAGTAGAGTGGGACAGGCCAGAACCAAGTAGGGGGTCAGGGAGCGCGGCCGGTTGAAGAGCCAGTGCAGGACGAGGAAGAGCGCATGGAGGGCGGCACTGATGACGTGGGTACGGAGGAGGAGGGAGGCATTACGCGCTGCGAGGGTTTTGGCTGCTTTCTAGCAGAGATCATGAGCGATAGAGAGAGTGTAGAGGGGCTGGAATGGACTAACCTGGGCCATGATGATCGGTGATCTTGGGGGTTGGTTAGGTATGTCGGATGATGCAGGTCGGTCGCGTGGTGATGCAGACAATGTGGAGGGTACCGCGGGGAAAGGGAGATGATAGCAAGAGCGATCCGCGCTCTGATTGTATTGACGATTAGCGATAAGCCCTGAGCATTATCGTGGGGGAGGGGGGAATTGAGGGGAGGAGAAGTAAAGACGTGGAAGAGGGACAAGTATCTACTACTACCAAGTACAAGTCGACGAGTACTTGGTGGTGCCGAAGAGGGAATGGCGTTGCCCACCACAACGGGCCAAGCGGCCGCGCCTCGCCTCCACCAGCCACTCTTCGGCCATGAACCCGCGGCTCCAAAACATCGCATGGCCAGACCAAAAGGCGTCGTGACGACACTGTCGGACTTCACCGCATCGCCCCCTCCCTCCGGCCACCTAGGCCTTCCTTCGCGTCTCTGTCTTCTGCCGCGTCTGCTGTCCGTCCATCACGATATGCGTTTTGACTCCCTTTGACCCCTTTCCTGCGCCTCACGGGCGTCACGAGTCGTCCGGACGTCATCCACGAGTACTCTGCCACGGCTTCGCATCCACCCCTCAACTCGTCAGGAGTCAGAACTGTATCGGAGATAAAGGAAAGACCGTTCGGAACAAAGCGGCGGGGATTGGCCCTGCACTATACTGTGCCTCTCATTGTTTTGGCTGCTGTTGGCTATCGACAGTCTTTTTTTACCCTATCTATACAGTCAAAGAAACACCACGTCGTTGTTGCCTTAACCCGGTTGTCGCGGCGCCCCCAGAATTCTTAGTGTTACTAAATACGACTTGACTACTTATTCCCACCCCCCCGATGCTCCTTCGGGGTTGAAAGACCTCTTCAACTACCGCTCACCTATTCCTCTAACCAACGCCGCCTCCTATCCTCATCGCCCCCCCGATCTCCTCATCTACCCCCCTCCTTGAATGACTAGCGCACCTCACCATGTCGCCTTCCACCGCACATGTATCCAGCCAACTAAGGCAGCTGATATATTACCACCTTGATAACAACCTCGTCCGCAATGCGCTTTTTCTTGCCGGCCGGCTACACGCATACGAGCCCCGGGCGTCGGAATCTTCATACTTACTCGCCTTATGTCACCTTCAAAACGGTCAGGTGAAAGCAGCCTATGACTATAGCAAGAACTTTGGATCTAGAGGCACACATCTTGGCTGCGCATATGTCTTCGCTCAGGCGTGCTTGGACCTGGGGAAATATCTCGACGGCATCAAGGCGCTGGATCGAAGCAAAGGGCTTTGGGCTTCCAAGAATCATTGGGGTAAGCACTGTGAAGTTTCAAAGATGTTGTCGCGCTTGCTGTACATTGCCCGCGACCGTTGCTGCTTGGTTGAGTTGTAACTGACATGTTTTTTGTTCGCGGATGTGTAGGCAAACACAGCGAAACACGCAGGCAACATCTACCCGATGCGGCAGCAGTGTTATGTCTGCAGGGTAAATTATGGCATGCCCATAATCAGCTCAACACGGCTGTAGAATGCTATGCCGAGGCGCTCAAGTTGAACCCGTTCATGTGGGATGCCTTCCTGGGCCTATGTGAAACTGGTGAGTATCGGTGTTGGGTAGGAAGAGTACCGTCGCTAATTGTCTGAAGGGGTCAATATTCGCGTCCCTAATATCTTCAAAATGACACCGGATCTCAACGCTTTAGTATCGTCTGCTTCACAGGAGGACTCGGATTTCTCCTCGGACAAGCCAGTGTCTACAAGTGGGCCGTTGCAAACGCAAGCGAAATTGAACTCAAGTGTTGACCCCTTTACTACGGCAACGTCTCGGAGTGAGGCAATCACCACCCATGGAAGCTCGGCTTTGTGGGAGAAACTCAACGGAAGCACCGTCAGCGTGGCATCTACAGGAGCACCAACCGCGCCTGCAGTTCGGGAAGGCACCGAAACCCCGGGGGCACAAAGCAGCGAGTCGGACGACGTTCGTGGCGCGCATCGGAGCGATCCATCTTGGGAGCCACCTTTGGCTCCTGCACGGAAAAATAGGACCATACAGACCATCAACGCCGATCACACAATGGACTCCCCACCCAAAATGAAGCCCACGGGTATTCGGCCCAGAACAAGGACCAAAGCTGAGGTCGAGGAGCAGGCTGCAACCCATGCGGAGCGAGAAGTCACTCACGGATCCCGGGTGGGCGATCGCAAGCGGACGGTCTCGGGATCGGTGGCTCATTCTGCGTCGCAACCCACCGAACCAGGGGCGCCGCAACGGCGGAGCGTCCGGCTTTTCAATCAGATAAAGCCTACCACAAGCAAGCTTTCCAGCACGACGCTCGGAGCGAAAGATGTCAGGGAGCTGAAGAAAGTAAGGTCTACTGGCGCGAAAGGTCGGACCACCGCCACTACAAGTGTGGGCCGTGTCGTAAGCGGCAATCGAAAACACCTCAATGACGCGCATGATGGCGAAAGCAAGGAGCACCGGCCAGCGACACTGGTGCCGAACGGAGTTCACCATACTTCTTCCAGGGGAGCTTCACTTGATCGGTCTAAAGCAGTTGAGGCGTTGATTTGGTTGTTAGAGCTATTTTCCAAACTGGCATCGGGATACTTTGCGCTCTCTCGTTATCGTTGCGCTGAAGCCACGCAGATCTTTGCGGCCTTGTCTCAGGGCCAGCGGGAGACCCCTTGGGTCCTTTCGCAGATTGGGCGAGCATATTACGAGCAAGCGATGTATTCGGAGGCCGAGAAGTATTTTGTCCGGGTGAAGACGATGGCTCCATCACGGTTAGAGGATATGGAAATCTACTCGACCGTGCTCTGGCATCTCAAGAATGATGTCGAGCTAGCCTATTTAGCACACGAATTGATGGAGATTGATCGTCTATCCCCTCAGGCGTGGTGTGCCGTTGGCAATTCTTTTTCTCACCAGCGTGACCATGACCAGGCCCTCAAGTGTTTCAAGCGAGCAACGCAGCTCGACCCTCACTTCGCGTATGGGTTCACGTTGCAAGGGCATGAGTTTGTGGCCAACGAAGAATACGACAAGGCACTCGATGCATACCGGCATGGCATTAGTGCTGACAGTCGCCATTATAATGCCTGGTATGGATTGGGTACAGTATACGAGAAGATGGGTAAGCTCGATTTTGCCGAACAACATTTCCGCAATGCAGCCAACATTAACCCGACAAACGCGGTGCTCATCTGCTGCATTGGGCTTGTTCAGGAGAAAATGGATAACCCCCGAGCCGCTTTAGCCCAGTATGGGCGCGCTTGCCAACTGGCCCCTCATTCCGTGCTTGCTCGGTTCCGCAAGGCGCGGATGCTGATGAAGCTTTCGGAGCTCAAGTTGGCTCTAACGGAATTGAAGGCTTTGAAGGACATGGCACCTGATGAGGCCAACGTGCATTATCTCCTGGGTAAACTCTACAAGATGTTGCATGAAAAGGCCAACGCGATCAAGCACTTTACGACTGCGTTGAACTTGGATCCCAAGGTAAGTCTGATCCTGGAGGACCCCATCTGGAAGGGCCGGGCTAATTGGATCTGCAGGCGGCCCAATACATCAAGGACGCCATGGAGTCGCTGGATGACGACGAAGAAGATGACGAAGATATGGCCTGATTGTTTCTTCCTTGTTGTTACTATTCTTCTCCGTTTACCTGTGAACTGTGGTCTGGTTCCTCTGTACCCTGTTCAGTATTGGCGGGGGGGCGGCGTTTTTCCCGGATTGAATTTGTGCAAGCATCAGCATTATGAGGGCGTTAGCCGGCGGGTTGGTTAGCGAGGGCATTTTCGAGTCGAGGCTCCTGGGTTGGATTCTGTATCTTAGCGAGGGAGGAGGGCTGGGAACGAGCGACGACGAGGCCGGACGACAGGACCTGAACATACTCTCTTGGATGTCGGTCGTCCGAGCCGGCTGCATAATCGAGGCTATTGTTAGCATAATGATTGCACTGCCATTGGAACCATTGTTGGATTCATTCCTGTAACCATTCTTATAAGTACTCCTTAAGACGGGGTCAAACAAACCCACCAGTTGGTCGAGACCAAGGCGGTGAGCGGGGCCGAAACCACGTCCGAACGGCGGCCGGCTGGCTTTTGGTTGACCATCGAACAGTTTGGATTCCTCCGGATCGTTGGAAGATCTTCCTCTCGGTGTCCTCCACCCCCCTAATTGCCTCGGTGTGTCCTCTGTCTGAGTCCATCCTCATCCTCTCCCCAATCTCCCTCTTTTCATTCCTCCTTCTTCTCCTCCGCTTCCTCCCCTCTCCTCCCCTCCACCCCTGCCGCCGGGTCATGCTCCATCTCCGCAAGTCTCTCGCCTGACCTCATCATCCCCAACCGCTTTTCCCCCAGACATTCTCCCGTACGGATGCCCCTCGCCCGCCTGGCTGGCTATAAAGTCTCCATCTAACCCATTCTCCACGCAGATCAGCCGGCGCACATCCCCTCCCCTCGCCTTCCCCCCACTTCCTCAGCACCCTCTTCTCCGCCATGTCCGTCTTCTCCTACATCGCATCGGGCATCAGCTCCTTCGTCGTTGTCACGCTCTCGCTCTTCGCCCTCGGCCAGAAAGTCCCCCGCGCCGCCTTTGTCGCCCGCTGTCTTGCCGCCTATGGCTCGCTCCTCCTCTGCGCCACCTACGGCGTTGTAGCCTCCATTGTGCTCCGTCTCGCCGGCTACGGCCGCATTTCCCAATGGGCCACCGCGCGCAGCTTTAAATGGGTCATGCGCTATACCACCGGCGTGCGCTTCAACATTATCGAGGGCTCCGAACACCTGACCACCCGGCCCGCCGTGTTCATCGGTAACCACCAGTCCGAACTCGACGTCCTCATGCTTGGCACCATCTTTCCTCCCTACTGCAGCGTCACGGCAAAGAAATCCCTCCGCCACATCCCCTTCCTCGGCTGGTTCATGGCCCTCTCCCGCACTGTCTTCATTGACCGTGCCAACCGCGAAACCGCCGTCAAGGCGTTCGACAGCGCCGCCGAAGAGATGCGCAATCATCGCCAGAGCGTCTTCATCTTCGCCGAGGGTACCAGGAGTTACTCCGATAGCCCGGAGTTGCTGCCCTTCAAGAAGGGCGCATTCCATCTTGCCGTGAAGGCCGGTGTGCCGATTGTTCCCGTTGTCACAGAGAACTACTCGCATGTTCTGTCTCCCCGGAACCTGAGATTTGAAGCTGGCACCATCAAGATCAAGGGTATCTTCCCTCTTCCGTTTCCCCGTCATCTTTCAAGAACTTATCTCATACTAATCGCACCTAGTCCTCCCCCCAATCAGCACCGAGGGTCTCACCTCCGCCGACGTTGACGCTCTAACCAAGTCCACGCGCGAGTCCATGCTCAAGACTCTTCTTGAATTATCCGAGAAAGACGAGACCGATACCGTCGCGGCCAACGGCAAGTCCACTTCCGTGGAGCTGTAAGCAAATAAATGAGGATATTGTCTCGCCATCATTGTTATTCCCATTCCTCATCTCTACGATTTGCACGTCGACACGAAGTAACGGCTTGACACGCGGGTGATGGGTATATATAGTATCAGTATGCCTTCCATCTGTCGTAGAGGAGGGATTGTGTCTTGCGCCCTGATACTGGGTCTTTCTCTTTGCTCACCTGGTTACCGTGAGTAGAAGGTACCAGATGGGAGGCAACAGTCAGACATCAGAATCGGGGCGAGAAGACCCGTCTAGAAGTGGAAGTAGGGGCGGTTGGTTGGTTGCCTGGTGAAGGAGGAATGGGGCGTAGAAGAGGAAGATTCCGTCGAGCGAGAAGAGCATAAGATAATACGTCCCTTGGAGAATTCGTTTGTCTCGACTCTCGACGGACTAGACTGGGCCGGGTCATTCTGTTCCTAGAGTGTACATAGAAGCATTATTCCTATTACTAGTCATAGTACTTTCCTAGACACGCTTCTTGCTTTGATATCGGCATGCATAGTTGAGAAAGCTTTGATCGATATGTGGTAGTATTCGCCCTCCAAATATATGGACACTCGATCATTGGAGATGTTAGACCAAACACTGACACTCCACCATCGCACAAGGTCTCACATCCTTCTCAATATCAATACTCACCAACCCTTCCCACGCACCACTCCGCGACCCAATCTCCCCGCCCCTGGCCGCCGTAGCAATCAGAAAGTCTTCCTCAAACGCCATTACCTCCAACCTTACATCCCGCACCTCCTTCCCATATAATGATGTCTTAACATATTGATACGCCTCGCCCGCATCTGGCGCAATGACATTCGTGAATTCTAGCTCTCGTAACCACGGGGCTAATAACGCCTCCCCTGTCATCTTGATATAAGCTTCCTTCAAGGCCCAATATGTGAAGAAGACGCGGTAGCTGTATTCAATGCCCTCGGGAGAGGTGAGCGAGTATTTGCCGCTTGGATGAGTGAGAGATTTGATGAGGGAGAGTTCACGTGCGGAGAATACTTCCGTGAAGATGGTGGCGTATTCAAGGAAGGAGGAGCGGGTGCGTGGCTCCGGGCCGCGTTTGCCGTGGCGTTCGTTGACGCAGGTGATGTCAATGCCCACTTGCGCGATGTTGGGGTGGGAATAGGTGGTGCCAGCTAGGGCTACGAGGGAGTTCTGGTGGCTGACATTGAAATCGATTGTCGGGATGGGTGTGGAGAGAGTTGAGAGGGTCGGGGAGGGGATAAAGCACGGCCGTTTGTGCGGGGCAGGCGTCCGGCTGATGGTGATTTGGTTCCAGGGGATGCGGCAGGTGCGGTGGATGAAGAGATATTTGAGGAGATTGGAGGCTAGGGACATGTGCTTGTCTTTGAGGTGATAGAATTTCTGAATGGCTTCTTGTTCGGTGGGCTGGAGGGTTGAGAGGAGGGGAAGCGTGGTGATATGCGCAGTGAGGGGGCGCGTGTCTATATACCACCGCACCAGGACGGGAGGCTTGTTGTCTGGAGTAGAGGCCATTGTGAAGTTCAGTTGGTTTGTATAGGGTGATGTGGTGGTTCAATTGAGCATGAGATACTCGGTATAGCTGTCGGCGATGTAGATCGGGCGTAAGCAAAGAGATGATGATATGGAAGGTGTAAGTAGCCCCACAAAGGTCATAAAGCCATGCTGGTGCCAGATGTTTGCCAGCGATTTCTCAAAAAGGTCACACAAGGCCGACCATCGATCTGTCTGAGGATTCGAGGGAGAGTAACAGCAAAGCGCGTCGTTGAAAGCCAAAAGGTGTTGTTCAGCTGCCCTGAAGGACTGCCGCATTGGGATAATCGGGCCGCGGGGCAGCACGTGGCGATAAGCCGGCCCGACGTTGATGCGCTGACATAAGGCGGCGTTTATACTTTAATTATTTAAGTATTATAGATGGCGTGGGTCCTCGAGCCACTGACTCAGTGGCCATCCTACAACTGCAATGGGCAGCACCACCGTCGGCGTTCTCGCCTTGCAAGGCGCTTTTTACGAGCATGTTCAGTTGCTGAAGAAGGCGGCTGCCACTTTGTCCGCAGACAACGTTGACTCCCCGTCGCAATGGGAGTTCATCGAAGTGCGCACCCCGCAGGAACTGGAGAGATGCGATGCCCTCGTGCTGCCCGGAGGCGAGAGTACCACCATCTCCCTCGTTGCGGCCAGGTCTAACCTCCTGGAGCCTTTGAGAGACTTTGTCAAGTATGTCTGCTGTCTCCCGTCCTGTCTGCATCACTTTATGTGGCCTTACTGACATTCGCCTCCAGGGTCCACCGAAAGCCGACTTGGGGCACTTGCGCCGGTCTGATCCTTCTCGCCGAGTCGGCCAACCGGACGAAGAAAGGTGGCCAGGAGTTGATCGGTGGGCTTGACGTGCGCGTCAACCGGAACCATTTCGGCCGACAGACGGAGAGTTTCGAGGCGCCCCTCGACTTGCCGTTATTGGGCGCGGAGCAACCGTCCTTCCCCGCCGTCTTTATCCGGGCCCCCATTGTGGAGAAAATCCTCCCCCACCAAGAGGGCGAACAAGTCGATGAGGCCCAGAGAGACGAGACGGTCATCGCGCCCTCGCGCCAGGCTGAAGACGAGACTGCACGACAGGCAATGGCAGACAGTGTGGAGGTGCTCGCCACCCTACCCGGAAGAGCGGCGAAATTGGCCAGCCAGGGGACACACATTGATGCGGATAAGGAGACCGGCGATATCATCGCCGTCCGCCAAGGGAACGTCTTCGGAACGAGCTTCCACCCGGAGCTGACCGACGACGCCCGCATCCACTCGTGGTGGCTGCGCCAAGTGGAGGAGTCTGTCCGGAGAAGACATGCCAAGCAACAGGCATGACTTGCAGCGCAGTGGTAATAGAGCCCTCATGTCCAAGTGTGGGTATCGGGTGTAAATTTTTCTTCTTGGGATGCCTTCTAGCAGGTGATAGAAATAGATTGTACATAAACGCCGCTTTTGCGCCAACCTGAATGATTTCCCTCTGTTTACCTACCTTTGCCGTACTCCTCTTCCTCCCGACGTCGCTGGTCGTCGGCATATGCGCGACCATAACCACCCCGACCGGGGTCGTACTCCTCTCTATACTCATCACGAACCTGGCCACCCGATTTACCACGCCTGCCAGAGTCAGAACCCTGCACTTAAAGGGGAAAACTCCAATCACATACCCGTATTGCCGTCCCTCCTCGAAACCAGGATCCAGATCCGTCCGGATGATTCGCTCGTCCAGCTTGGTACCTCCGATGTATTTCAGGCAGTCCAGAGCATCCTGGTGGGTGTAGTACTCGACGAAGCAAAAACCGCAAGGGGTTTTGTTGTACCGATCAAGACCCATGACAAGCCGCTTAATCTCGCCGCACCTGCAACATCCATCAGCCTTGGGGTCATTCTGGTTCATTTCGGGTTGCTGACTTGGCAAAAAGCTCGTGAATCTGCTCCTCCGTGGTGTAGAAAGAACTGCGACGGTTAGCAGCAGCATCGACAGGATTGCCAGCATGGAGTATTAAACAAGGGACGTACAGGTTGCCGACATATAGGGTGGTAGCGTTTTTCAGATTATCAGCAGGTTCTTCTGCCCTCTCGGTGTCATCCTGACTGTACTTGCGTCTCTTGTTCTGTTGCAAGGGTCGTCAATAACCAACCTCCAAGCTCCGGGTAGCCTTTTGGGGTGGAAGAAGCTCTACCTTTCCCACATAGTAGGCACTAGGCCGGTCCAGACGGTCAACGGTGTTGTGCAGGAGGGTGCTCATGATGCCGGTAAATTGGCCAAAGCACTATGGAAGTGTAAGATGGCAAGCGACAGCGAGCGACGGCGTGCCAGGAGGAAAGTCAATGGAGCGGAAATGAATGGTGAGAAGATCGGGAGCTGACTTCTTGGCGCCCGGCCAGCGACTGAACTGACCGACGTGACTGCTTTCCTTCTCCGCCAAAATTTCCCCGACCCTCTCCATCTTCACAAACACCCCCCCACCTTCAATTTAGCAATTCCCTCATTCCCTCCTCTTCACCAGCCTATCTCCAGCGCAAGATGATATTTTAAGCTTGATCAAAAACTGCCACCATCCCAACCGCCTTGAACATGCCAAAAGTCATCAGCTACACTCCTCCCTGGCTTTCGCGCCCTTCGCCCGGTGCCTCCATCTTCGCCAGCTCCAGCGCAAAGGCCCCCGAATATCCCAAGGGCCCCAAGGATATCCCCTACTCAGGACCTACGCGCATTCAGGCCAAGCGCGGGAATGAGTTGTTCACAGTAGTCGACAACCAAATCCGCTGGTCCATCCTCACGAGACTGAAAGACGATTGGCAACAAACCGCAAGATCGAATGGTGCCACGGAGAAGCAGCAGCCTGAGAATCGCACTGTGCACTACAGGGTATGACGGACCGTGCAGTGCAACATGACTTGGTGTGGAGCTATAGCTGATGACGTCCAGGTTTTAGTGGTGCCGGTTTTCCAGACCATTCGTCAACTGATTCCCTCGCCAAATGGCGCATTCTTGGCCATCATCGCTGATCACACCGTCTTCATCGCCGTGCTCCCCGATCCATCTCACCTGTCCGGAACAGATAGCTCTCCCATCCGGGTGAAATCGTACCAACTAGGCCCGACGACGCACGTTATCCCCGAATCGCCGGTGGTGTCGGCGCTATGGCATCCTTTGGGCGTCCACAGCAATCTCGGAGGTTGTTTTGTGACGGTCACTGCCGACGCCGCGGTTCGGGTGTGGGAGCTGGATCGCAACAACCACTGGTCATTTGACCGTCCAACATTGGCCGTGGACCTGAGGAAGCTGGTGGACGGGAGCTCATCCGACCAGGACTTTGCGCCTTCGGGATTTGGGAAGAACAAGGGCTTCTCAGCTGATTTTATCGACATGGAGGTGGCATCCGCTTCATTCGGGGGCAGTGGAAATGAAAAGGAGGACGCCTGGGCACCCATGACTCTGTGGGTTGCAATGCGACCCGGCGACCTCTACGCTTTGTGTCCGCTGTTGCCCTCCAAGTGGCGCGCGCCGTCGACGACAGTCCCCTCGCTAACTGCGGCTATTGTCCCGAAGCTGGCTGCTCTGGAAGAAGACCAGGCGGACTCTCAGGATGAATTGACTGCCTGCCGGCAACAGTACGACTGGTTAGCTGAGATCGACAACCAGGAGCCTTTGCACACGGAGTTTGATTCGGAGACGGGCTCTGGCTCGGAGGTCCTTACTCGTCCAGCAAACCCAAGCGCCATCCCGAGATTGCAGGGTCCGTTCCGGTTCGATACCAGCGATGAGATCGATGACTTGGACCTTTGCGATATCCTTGTCATGAGTGCCAAAGTCGACCTCGACGCCCTCATGATGGGCGAGGAGGAGCTCGCACTGGAAGAGAGCGGTGACGACCGGCTGTCTGCTACCGTCATCTGTCTTTCGACCGGAAGTGGCAGGATCCATATCTGTCTCGAGCTTGAGGGCATTGAAGGACAGTGGCTTCCCAAGCCCAAGAATAACGTGTTTAGCGATCCTGTCTCCGAACCATCGGATCTGCTCCTCGTGGAGTCCTTGGACACAATGAAGGGGGAACGTACATCGGCCAACAATTGGCCCACTTTTACGAAGGACGCCTACTCTCGGTACAGCTTTTTTGTTACAAACACCAACAACGTGACATTTTTCTCTCTCACTTCCTGGGTTCAGAGGCTCGAGGCGGAACTGCAATCGGAGGACACCACTGGCAGCGCATTCCGCTTGCAGATCCTCTGTGAGGGCGCTGCAGCCTTGAGAGAACGAATTCTTGAGGTGGAAGGAAACGCCGGCACAAAGAATCTGACCGGCCACCTGCCGGCTGCTTTGGTGTATTATGATTATGACCTCGGTTACTTACTGTTGACTTCCCACTCATCTACTCCTCATGCCGCCATCTTGGATGCTCCCGAGGTGCCTCTTCCCTCGATTGCTGATTTGCGACTGTTCGACTCGGAGGATCAAGCGCCTGGCTCACCCGTCTTGCCCCCTCGTCGGCCCCCGTACCAGGTTCCGGCCATTTTCTATGCGGAGCCTCCGTTGGAGTTCTTCGTCGACAAGCATGTCCCCCATCGCCAACGTCAAGCTCTGAAAGAACAGGTGCGGCTGTCTCCGGCGACCCTGGACCTGGTTGCCGCTGCGCACCGGATCTTGTCTGCCCACACCAACGCTCTTGAGCGAGCGGCATCGGACCTCTTCCGTCGTTGCGAGCGGTTGCAGGGCGAGATGCGGGATCAACTGAAGCAACTGGCCGATGTGGCGGACCGTGTCAAGGGGGTTTCCAGTGAGATCGCGGAGGACAGCACGCGGATTGAGGGTTCGCGGAGCGGGGAGGCGTTGGATAAGAGGCTGCAGACTGCCAAGGACAAGCACACACAGCTGGTGCAGCGGTACGAGGGGTTGCGGAGTAAACTCCTCAAGTCCGGTGGACGGCCGCTGAGCGACAAGGAGAAGTCGTGGGTTGCCGAAGTGGAGACGGTGTCGGCATCGGTTGGAGATTCCAGGCAGGAGGACCAGCAGGACGGGGTCTTGACGCAACGACTAGAAGCTGTAAGTTGTGTCTTACATTGGGCAAAACCACGAGACTAACCTCGCAACAGGTCAAGGAGATTGCAGGCGATCTACTCACGGAGGTGAAGACTCTTGCGGCCAAGTCGCCCATCAGCGCGGACCCAGGGAGCCCGGCATCGTCGCCGGGGGCGCATCCCCGGGTTCCCCAGCGATTGCAGCGGGCGAAGATTGCCGACGCCATGCAGATGGTGGAGCGCGAGTCTGCTATCATCGAGAATATCACATCGCGTCTGGAACGACTCAACACGGCGTTATGAGCAGTGGGTGGAATGGAATCACTTGTGATACAGTAATAGTATAGGATTAAGACATGATGCCGTTGAGCCCCCACCTCCGTAGCACTTCCAGCCTGTAACCGGATCTAGATCACTTGCCCTTTTTCGCTTTCTCCTTGTCCCCATCCACCACCCTCCTCGTACTCTTGGGCCCTCGAACCTTTCTCCTCGTCCTTTCCCCCGCCTTCCCCTTCCCTACCCCCAACCCAGACCTACCACCGCCACCACTCCCAGCAACAATCCCACTCAAAAGAGAAACAGGATCACAAACCCTCGACAAATCACACCTCGTAGTCATCACCTCCTTCTCCGCATCCCCACCTTCGTCCCCTTCACATTCCAACCTCAAATCCACCATTTCAAACTCAAAATCCACATCAAAATAACTCCCCTCCAACCACCCAATTAACCCCATCACTCTCTCCCTCTTCTCCTCCATCCCGATACACATCCCACATACCCCGTTGTTGTCCTTTGCGTTGAGGAACACCATCTCCCGACGGGTGCATTTTCCTCGCAAGCGGAGACGACACGCGGAGAAGTATTTTGTGGTGAGGCAGCCGCAGCGAGGGTGGGTGGTTGTTAGGGTTTGGCACATTTTGGTTTGGATCTTTTGTTTTTTGGGGGTTGGGTTGATTTTTTGGTGGTGGGGTCTAGATGGGTTGGTGTTAGTGGGAGTAGGAGTGGTGGTAATGGTTGAGAGGGGTTATGTAGCTACTAGAGGTTGGAAATAGAACTGGGGAATATATGTATGTGTATGTGTATAGAATGTGATTTTGTTAGATGGGAAGGTGGAAAGGTGGAAAGGTGGAGGTGGAGGTGGAGGTAGTTAATAGTAAGAAGGTGGGGGATATAAATGAGTGGATGAAAGTATATTATGTTATGAGTGGTTGAATGTGGTACAGAAGTATAGTGGTAAGCTGACAAGGAAAATTCAGTTGCGAAGAATGAAGAAGTGTTATTTAAACTGCAGTGTGGCTTTCTTTGAGAGAAATGGATTGGTTTAACTTGCCTCTGCTTCGTTGTGATGGAGATGATATTTCTTTGTTGTAAAGTAGGGTTCAGTGTTCACGTGAGCTGCGAGGAATGAGTACTTAGTTACTACTAGGTGTGAGGAGAATCACATTGGATCACACGCAGGATGGACAGATACTAGCGTGGGAGAGAGGAAGGATCAGATAAATTGTAAAGACAGGATGTGAGAGATGAGAGATGGCTCTCGTGTATTATCAAGGAGGGATGTTCCTTCCTCCTGCTACATCGGGGCCTACCACATTACGGTATTCTGTTTTTCATTCATTGACAATAAAACAGAATCGCATTCTAGTATCTTTCAGTTTGCTTAACCCAACCCCAAGTCAACCAAAGAAAAATGCTAAAGCCCTTCCCATCCATGACCCATTCCTACCCATATGACCTGTGATCATGCCTCATCGTTCAATATCGCCATCTAGTATGCACCAGCCTCCCTCTCAAATCTTTCAGCCACTTGGTCCCCATCCTCGACTCTCTCCCTGATCAACTCGCAGAATTCCTTGACAGTGGCCTCCTGCGTCGGCATATACATGCGCTCTCTCCCATGGATCAACTTTCGCATTTCTCCAAGGAAGACCGACCTCCACCAGGAAAGCGATGCCATGCACGCGTCCCCGACAAGCTCGTCTTTCATGATTGCTTCCACTCGGTCAACAGCATCGTTGTATTTTGGCAATTTTCCCAGCTCCACATACTTCAGAGCCATATTTTCCCGATATACGAATACCCCATAATCGTGTCCGAACGGGGTCAAGTGGACCATGTTTTTGGGGATCTTCCTGGGCGGGACACAGTGCTGAATCGCTCGCACGGACTCCATGTGCTGCTTGTATATCTCACCACCTGCTGAGCACAAATGATCGAAGCGCTCAGCGTACTTCTGCTCGAATCGCGGCCTGTAGAGTTCCCGTGCTTGCAGAACTGCGATCGCCTCGTGCAGGCACTTCATCATTTCATCCTGTATTCCAGCTGGCATGATGGGTTTGAGGTTCTCGGGGATAACGAGGGCTCTCTCATCTACGCCGTAGTCAGCGAAGAGGGCTCTGTTTTGCCTGGTCAAAGGCATTGTTGCAAGGGTCGACATTGATCGTTGGTTATGGAGAGATACTAGAAACAAACAGATGGTCAATGAAGGTGATGATGAGTGTGTCCAAGCAGGTGCATACTGACCCGTATATTTATAAGTCTAGGTTCTGATGAAATTTCATGAAAGTTACGATATTGATATCACTCAAACTTTGGGCGACATGCTTCCCCAACCTGACTTTGCCGCAATATTGAGAAGAACGGCGATTCACACTTGATAGAAGTCCCATTATCAACGGGGAAATCCTAAAGTAAAATGGAATCTCCCTCCTTTTTTATCCAGAGCCGATGATATATCAGTCGGAATGTCGGAGATACGAACCCACGGCTGTATATTCTGTGTTTTTGATCCGACGGAAGATTCCAGGTAAAGGCCGAACGAGTTCCTATTCTTTTAGGGCTCGTCTGGTATTTGGGCTAAGCACATTCTCTACTGACGTATTGCAGCGGAGAGGGGGGGGGGGAAGCACCCCAATATAATCGCACGAGAAGGTCGTCAAGTCCTGAGACCACCTCGTCAGGATGGCTACTGAAGTGGGGGCAGTTTCCGAGAAACTTCCAACTCGAGTGCTGACGATTTTGTTCCACGGAGTTGAGCTTGTTATCGAGGTGATATTTCAGAATATTGCCGAGTGTATTCAGAAGTGAGTAGACTGACCGGAGAAGGATTCCGGGATGAAGAGTTTCGGACCTGAACTACACTTCCTCCAGTCGATCATCCCAAGTAAGCCAATTCTTATTCGGGAGATGAGGGCAGTCAACCCAATTTGTATTTGTGCCCGAGGCTGCTACCACAAGAGGAAATGGAGGGGGAAAGAAAAGTGGCTGGCTGAAATACAGCTTCTCAAGCATGTAGGGCTTGTAGGTACCGAGCTGAATGCAGAGATCCCATCGATCACCGGCAGATACAACCTCAAGACGGAAAGCCAGATCGGGCGTCATTGAAGTTTCGATCGGGTCCAGAAGTAAGCACGGACTGTCTACACCCTGACTGCAGGGAGGGGGGAGCTCGTACTGATCACTCGCATAGAATCATCAAGGAGGGTAATAGCACTACCTCCTACTTATATCCCAAACAAGTAAGCCCTTTTATTCCTCTGCCTGAGATGGAATAGATCCAGGAAATTAATGGAAGTTAGGAAACTGAACGATTCTGTGATTGAGAAGTTGGAGGCTTTAGATGGAATCAACGTCGTTATAGAGCTATAGCTGGGGGATTCCCCTCCATAGATAGCTGCAGTTGATCTGTTTTCTTTCTCCTATTTCAATAAGGATTGGTGGATCCCGCTGTAGGTAGCCGAGGGCGTATTCTGTCTACCACTTGGTGAATCTGAGATGTGCACATCTTGCCCTAGAGAGACGAATCCGATGAGCTGTCAGTGGGGCGGATCTGGAAGCGGGATCTGGAACAGAGCCCGAGCACCGGAAATGGTTTCCATTGACGCGTTGTGCTCGTCTAAAGAAGAAGGCGAAGGAAGTCTCGTAGTGTAGGTAGATGGTTAGAGCCTGGAGTATTCCCTAGTATCTAGTATCGAGCCCCCACGCAATCCAGTCTGAACGTTTTCGTGTTCAGGGATAATATTTCACTGTCTTCAGTCAAGCCACGCATGGAAGTTCCCATGGATTTCGGCTGGTCGTGGATCAAATTGAGGAACCCGCCTTCCTCCTCATTCAAGCCCTAATCCTGATCTAGGGACAACAGGTAACCTAGATCATATACTCCAGGCATATTCGTAACACTCATATTGTATCTTTAAATCTAGTGTGGTCGGGTGGTATCTAGTAAGTAGACTTCAGCGCGCATTTCGTTGGGTTGTATCGACAAAGGCTAGTGCATACAGGTCGCAGTCCTCACAGGCCTGGAACACGCTACCTACTGTGTTAGAACCTACGTCAGTGTATTGAAACCTGAATGAGAGCATGAGAATGCAATTCCTCATGTAGCAAAGGTATGTAGCTATTCCTTCCAACTAGATACACTTATAACAAATAGGTGGTTCTGAAATTCTACTGGACACTACATCCACCGCGTCAGTACGTACTAATCACCAAACCAATGGGCACATACCGTTCGATCAGATGAACGCCAGAGGCAGTCTCAACGATGCTGCTGACCTGGCCAGGCTGCAGTGCAAATGCCGCATCCTCAAACTCCTTTTGCATCTCACCCCGTCCAAAAAAGCCCCTAAACATTGGTTAGCCCCGGTGAAACAAGATATCCGCGAATTTGGCTGTGGAACATACAAATCTCCTCGTTTCCTAGCACTGCTGCAGTCAGATTCTGACATAGCAATATCCCCCAAGCTCGCTTCCCCCGCATTGATTCGCTCCTCGTGGCCCCGGAGAATCTCAATGGCCTCCTCTTTCGACCGGGTGATCTCCGCTTCCCTCCAGCTGCTAGGCCGTCTGCTATCCCGGTGCTTGACGAGAAGGTGGCTGCAGCGAATTTTGCCGTCATTCTGACCATTTCCATCGGGGCGTCCGGCCGGGCCACTGTGGTAGTTCGCCATATAGTGCTTGAGCTTCTCGGTGTCGGTGTCTGCCGGCGGCTCCCAACGAGACTCCTTCGTCATGGGGTTGAAGTAATAAGGGAGGTTCTTGGAGTTGGAGTGGCGAACCTCCCACCCTGCCGGAAGACCTGTCTCTACCTAACGCATCATGGTCAGCACCAATTGCGAGCTTGGTAAACAATAGCTTCTTGGACGGCGGTGGCGGGGTGGGCTTACCATTTTGCTGAGGGGGATGTCTGTCTATCTATGATATGTATAGTTGTCTATAGCTTCTGGGGGGAAGACCGGGGTCAACGAGCGAACGGGGGGGGTCACTTAGAAGGGTATATAAAGCTGCAGGAATGGGAGTGGTTTTGTGCTGCAGCTGCTGCGGGACAAACTGCGGGGGAGAAGAGGCCCGCCCGCAAACCACGCAAAGCCCACAAACAGGACAAACACCTCCGGGCGGTGAGGACTTAGTGGTGGACTAACCGTCGTTAGCCTCGAACCTCCCAGCCCGCCTCGACGCTTCTTCCGACTTCCATCTCAGCCATCTCTCGCTCATCTCCAATAACTTCGAACGTCCTTCTTTTTTACCTGCTTTTAAGCGGAACAAGCTCGAATAAATACTGAACACTCGCTGTATACGCTGCACGCAAATCTCGTTGTCTTCAGTACGAGTCAATAACACAACACCTGAAAATGTCTGCAAGCCCGTCCCCGTCCGCCGGTGGCGATAGCAAGCCCAGTGATCAGATCCATTTCCGCTTCTGTCGCGAATGGTAGGTTTCCCTCGATAGACATCCGACTGAACATGTGCTAACAATCGGTAGCTCCAACTTGCTTTATCCGAAAGAAGACCGCATCAACAACCGGTTGATGTTCACCTGCCGAACCTGCCACGTCGGCGAGCCCGCGACCTCCTACTGCGTCTACCAAAACAAGCTGAACACCCAAGTCGGAGACACAGCTGGTGTGACTCAGGATGTGGGATCTGATCCTACGGTTTGTCTCCCGGGTTTCTGTACTCATTGTGGGGAGGAGATCACCTGCTTCGTCTGTGACTCGTCATCCGAGGACTCCTTGTCCGAAGAGGACTATGACGGGTTCTCGTTGGCATAAGACCCAGCAGGTCTCGTGTCATGGATACATTCTAAGATGTCTTGAAATTTCCGTGGCTAATACACACTCTCATTAGCTTCCACGATCCAACAAGCTCTGCCCGAGCTGCGGCGAAGCCGAAGCAGTCTTCTTCCAGTCCCAACAGCGATCCGCCGAAACGGGAATGGTGAGCCTCGTTGCCTGTCTTCGCAGCGTACATGAGGGTGTTGGCTGACTTTTGATCCCCAGAAACTTTACTACGTCTGCTGCGCGTGCGGCAATGTCTTCGTCTGATTCTCGATTTTTATCATATATTTGTCATGTACCTGATACCCAATCTTGGCTCTTTGCAGCAGCATCTTTGTGGAGTTCTGGCGATGTTTGAATAGGAAAGGGGTGTTTGAAAAGAGAAAGAAACTTCTATTGCTACAAACTAGATAGGGAAAAGAACAATTCGCTTCCAAAAGGTATATCCTACACATGCATGGGGGCCAACGACAGAATCTTGGACCACTGTCTTCCTCGTAGTTCCGTAGCCACGACACCTAGATTGGAGTCAGTCAAGTGCGCCATCTCCAAACTGTGTCCGGGTGTGGACTGACCGTTCATTCTCGTTCCGATAGGGTCTCCGGACTTGTTGACCAGGACACAGGCGTTGTCGTCGAACTTGACAATCGACCCATCCGGCCTTTGCATCTCCTTTCTCGCGCGGACGACAACGGCGTGGCGGATATCTCCTCGACGGACCTTGTTCGCGATACCGACGTTGTTGGTGCTGTCGGGACCGAAGTTTCGTTGCTTCTGGACGACGACCACAATACGGTCACCTATTGGCCCACGATGACCGACATCAGTAAATAGTCCGCTTTCATATTGAATAGGAAGGGATGAATTGCGTACCCACGGTGGCCGGGCGCTGCTTCTTCAGGACATTCACGCACTCGACAACGGCGGCGCCGGAGTTGTCGATGCAGTTGAGCATCGTCTGGTCAAGACCGTCAGCCTGAAAATTCTCCCCCATCGACGGTTTCAACGTAATCGCCAACGTACCTTTAACTGAATCATCTTGGACCGGATGCCCTGACGGAGGGGAGGCGTAGAGGGAGGGGTGGATGTCGAGGAGGTGATCGGGTCACCCGAAAGAAAAGCAGCCCAGCAGCAGTCGCGGGCCGGCAGGTTTCGCCGACGACCGACCCCGGACGGGGCCCTGCAGCCTTCTTCACATCGCATGGGCAACGCCGGGTGTGTCTGTGTGTGCCTGTGTGTGTGCCTGTGTGTGTCTGGTCTTTTCCTTTCATGCGCGCTAGCTTTCACTGCCTCTCCTTCGTTTCCTTTGTTCGCCATGATAGTCACCTCACTTCGTATTCACGTCGTTCCCTAATTTTTCTACCCATCCCCTCCTTTTCCCCCAAATTGGCGCCCTTGTCTTAGATCTCCTTTGGCCCCCTCTCCCGACCTTCCGCTGCTTCTTCCCCTTGACGCTTGATCGCATCATTCCACCCAACAATCCACCCTCCACACTCCACACAGCCTCAAAATTTCTTGCATGGGATCCCTTGGTCTTGGACTTCAACATGCCGGTCTCCAAGGCAAAATCCAGTCCGTCCGTCAAACGTCGTGATCGGCTTACGCTTGCGAAACTGGCCAGCTATGACGATGTCGCAACGGATGCGCTGGTTGACCGCGTATGTTTGCAAGTCCCCATTGGCAGTCATTCAGCTGGCCACTGACTTTACTCTGCTCACAGGCGTATTTCTGGACCAACACCCGCAAGAACCGCACCAAGTACAACCCCGCCCGCGGCATCAAGGACGATGAAGTTGCCAGCATTCTCCTCCACGATGTCATTGTCGGCAAAGATGCGGCCAGAGCGGAGACGAAGCTGCTGAATATGCCTGGCCTGAAGAAATACTTGGCCAAGCTTCCCACCGACCGGGAGAAGGACTGGTTCCGTCGACACCTCCGCAAGTACATCCAGATGTATCTGCCCGACTCGCCCTTCGAGGTGACTACGACCAATCGCTACATGGTGACCGAACACGAGGCTGCCATCTGCGCCCGCAAATTCATCAAACAAGGCCAGGAGATCAAGTACCTCAGCGGGACGCTGGTGCCCATGACGCGGGAAGAGGAGCAGGATCTAGATTTGAAGAGAAAGGATTTCAGCATTGTCATGTCGAGTCGGAGAAAAACGCCATCTTTTTTCCTTGGGCCCGCTCGATTCGCCAACCACGACTGCAATGCCAACGGGCGGCTCGTGACGCGCGGCATGGAAGGTATGCAGGTCGTGGCCATCCGAAATATCCATATTGGGGAGGAAATTACGGTCTCTTATGGAGACGATTATTTTGGCATTGACAATTGCGAGTGCCTTTGTTTGACATGCGAGCGGGCAGTCCGCAATGGGTGGGCGCCTCAGCTCGATTCCGACGAGGAGAGTCCGGCCTCAACGCCAGCCTTGACCGACGAGGCCGCCCTCTCCCCCCAAAAACGCAAATATGCCCCGGACTCGGACTCGGAAAGCTCCCCGGCATCAACCCCTCGCAAGCGTACCAAGTTCACCCGTCAGAACTCCAAGTTGAGGTCCGAGGTCGTATTTTCCGACATCACACCCTCGATTGAGTCCGTAACGGAGCAGCCGGCCGCCGCCGAGTTTTGCCCCCCAGCCTTATCCGTGCCACATGCCACCGTTGCTGAAACCGTCAACGACCACGTCATCGACAATAAGAGCGACATTAATGCCGACTCTACTGTCCAGAGTACCACCGCCACAGATCCCGAATCGCCCGGCTCGCTCGAGGCCGATGATTCACACCGCTCGTCGACATCGACAGCCGCAACGTCCGTCTGTGACAATACGGTGCAGATCAAGGTTGAGGAAGCCCCCGAGGCGTCTGTCCGAGCATCTACCCTGGCTGTGGAGGGACACCTGGATCTCTCAGTCACCGGTCCGGCAGAAAGAGAAAGACGCATCTTAGGTGCTGACAACGATGCATTGTCGGATCTGTCGGACTCGCTGGAGCTCGACGAGAAGCTGGGAACCGTTGTGAAAAAATCCAGAAAGTCCCGGAGCAAGGAAGTGGTCCCCTCGGTCGAGGTCGAGCCACCCCGTGCTCGGGTCCCTGGTGATTACACCAAGACTTCCAGACTGCTTGCCCAGGCCTACGACCGCTGGGTAGATTGCCGAACTTGTACCGTTTGGTTCGTTCAACAAGACTCCTACCTGACCCGAAGAGAGTGTCCCCGATGCGAACGGCACTCCAAGTTGTACGGTTTCCAATGGCCCAAAACCGACCGAGAAGGCCCCATGGACGATGAAGAGCGCGTAATGGATCACCGAATGGTGCATCGGTTTCTCTACCCGGAGGAGGAGGCACTCGTCTCGCGCAAGGACCGCGGTGTCAGTTTTGGAATCACCCCCACCCCGGAGCTGTCCGAACCTCGCGCTGAGACTGAGGAAACTGATGCGGGCGAGGACCGACGCAACACGCGCGCCAGTCGGCGGCGAACCCGGTCTCTTCGGATGACTATGTAATGATTGATATGCTTAATCTTGGGACATTTGGAACCTGGAGTTTGGCGGTCATTTGGAGTTCGGTTTCGGAGTACCAGACGTTCGAATACTATGAACCGCAGCGTTCGACAAGTTGGGCGATTTTGACAGACTTTACCATGAAAGATCTTGCATCTTGTTTGTCTTCTATGGCTCCGGCCCTTTTTTTTTTTTTTTTTTTTTTTTTTGCACATTTCTCGGACATTTGGTTACCTTGTATAGAATATTGGTCTTCTCTCCCCCCCTGGCCCTCGGTCTTCTTCTGTACTTACGCGACTTGTTCCGCCGCCCCGGGCCTTGGGAATGGATTTGGTTCATGTCTGCTGACAGACATCTTGGAGAATCCTGTCGTCCTTCGTCCTCCCCCGCAGTTTGTTGGTCCTGCACCTCCGCATCTCCGCATCTCCGCCGTGCCTGCGTCGTGAAGGAGAAACATATTGCACCAATGACAGCCGCTCGCTCGACCCCCGTCAGGTGCTTGTGCAGGTATTCAAGCTTCGCCGAGATTGAGTCTTCATGAACCTCGGGCTGCATCATGCCGACGCGGATTGCACAATCGAATCCATCATGCTTTATAAGACCGAGCTCGTCTCTAGGCAGCCCTCCCCCAGCCCAGGTCATCGGGGTAAAATCGACATTTGCAGCTATGGACTTCTCACGCGTCCTCCTGGCCTTGTGCTTTCTTCTGACTGTATCCATTTCTAGCGCCTACGATAGCCCCCTCGTCACCCTTGACTATGGAACATTCCAAGGTGCCTACGACGCGACATACAACCTCTCCTACTTTCGCAAAATCCCCTTCGCAGCACCTGCAACCGGCGAGAACCGCTTTCGAGCCCCCCAACCCCCGCTAAAAATCACCAATGGCACCTATGACACCGACCAATCCTTCGACATGTGCCCTCAACGGACTGTCAACGGCTCCGAGGACTGCCTGTACCTAGGCCTCTACTCCCGGCCCTGGGACACCACCTCCTCTACCACCACCAACCGCCCCGTCCTCGTCGTCTTCTACGGCGGTGGTTTCATCGAAGGCAGCGCTCTCTTCGGCATGCCCCCCAACTCATACCCCGTCCTCAACGCCAGCACTCTCAACGATTACGTCGTCGTCTACCCCAACTACCGCGTCAACGCCTTCGGCTTCCTACCCGGCCAAGCCATCAAAGACTCGTCCACCTCCGACCTGAACCCGGGCCTCCTTGACCAGCAATACGCCCTGAAATGGGTACAATCCCACATCCACAAATTCGGTGGCAATCCCAACAACGTCACCATCTGGGGTCAATCCGCTGGCGGCGGATCCGTCGTCGCCCAAGTCCTCGCCAACGGCCGCGGCTCTAACCCCAAACTCTTCTCCAAAGCCCTCGCCAGCTCGCCCTTCTGGCCCAAAACATACGCCTACAACGCCCCGCAAGCTGAAGCAATCTACACCCAGCTCGTCGATCTCACCGGCTGCGCCAACGCATCGGACACGCTCACCTGTCTGAAAACCGTCGACGTCCAATCCATCCGTGACGCAAGCCTCATCATCGACGACAGCCACACCTACACCACGAGCTCCTACACCTGGGCCCCCGTCATTGACGATGTCTTCCTCATCGAGCCCCTCACCACCGCCATCGACTCCGACTCCCTCGACACAGACCTCATCTGGGGCATGTACAACGCCCACGAAGGCCAGAACTTCATCCCTTCCGGCCTCGACTCCACCTCCTCCGATGGGTTCAACTCCTCCCTTGCCAGCTTCCACGATTGGCTAACAGGGTTCGTGCCCGGCCTCTCCTCAACGGATATCGATCTCATCGAATCAACCTACTACCCCGTCTCCGGGAGCGCCGAAACCCTCACATACAACACCACTTATGTCCGCGCCGGCCTCGTATTCCGAGATCTTGTCCTCGCCTGTCCAGCCTACTGGGTTGCCTCGGCAGCCAACAAACGGGGCTATGTAGGCGAATACATCATTCCTCCGGCCACACATGGGAGTGATACTGTCTGGGTTAGTCCCGTCTCCTTTTTTCTTCTCCTTCATTTACCAACTCATGGATTCTTCGATGTCATCCCTTTTGACATCCGGGCCCTTTGTACTGTGTTTGGCATACCCCCACAACTCATATACCATATATTATTTACTAACAAATAAATTACATCAACAGTGGGACACCGTGAACTCAGACCAGGAAACCGATCCCCTCATCTACAAAGGCTACGCGGGAGCATTCGGGAGTTTCTTCCAAACGGGTGACCCGAACGCACACAAATTAACGAATGCGTCCGAGCCCGGCGTCCCCGAACTACAGGACACCGGGGCCGAGTTTGTGATTGCGACTGATGGGTTCGAGAATGTCGATCTGACACAGTTGAAGAAGAGATGTGCGTTTTGGAAATCGGTTGGGAAGGATATTCCGATTTGATTGTATCTAACTATCTATCTGTCCGTCTGTCTATCTATCTAGGTAAGGATGAATGAGGATGAAGGGGAATGGGTGATATGTGGGTGAAGTGAGGTGATACTATACAATTATAATACAAAGTACATCCGTATGTCCTGATTCTCGAGTCATGCGCGTTTAGGTATTATTCTCCTTTGTCGCCGTTTCCGAACGCCGGTTCGTCAAAGGCCAGTTAGACTGGCCGGGGGGTAGTACAGGTAATTGTTTGCTTTTTGCTTGGTTTCTTTTAAATCAAGGCCTGTCCGCGGAACATGCCCTCGCGCACTTCCTTCACCACGTCCTTGCGGTCTTTCTTGCCGACAAGCACCACGGCACGGCCGCGCTTGCCCATCCGACCGAGACGGCCCAGTCGGTGGATGAAGTCAATTGTGTTGTGCGGGACATGGTAGAGGATGACCGTCTTGACGGCCAGGGTGTCAATACCACGAGATGCGATATCGGTCGTCACCAGAACCTTGGTGTTGGGCAGTGCGCGCTCCACGCCCGCCCTAGGCTGCTCGGGGAAGATGAAGGGGATGGCATTTTCCTGTCGACGCTTGTTCTTGGCTAACATGATTTCCTCCGCCGTGGGAGGGATGGGTGACTCGGTGAATTCCTCAAGCAACTCTTCTTGCTTGCGGGTGCTGGAGTCGCGGGAGAGCGATTGGGCATCGATGCCTTTCGAGCGCAGGAACTGGGCCACCTCGTCGGCTTCTTCGCGCTCGTTGACGAACACCAAAATCTTCTTGACCTTTGGCCCAGCGTGAGCCAAGAAGGGGTGCGAAGGTTCCGAGTCACCCGCTTTGCCGATGGACCAGATCACGTCGGCGCAGGCCAAGTTGCGGTTGCCACGGTAGGGGTCTCGTTGAATGTCCACCACACCCAACTGGACGCGTCGGGGGATAGCATGCAGGTTCGGCGTTGTCAGTCGCCTAATGTCGGGATAGCGCTTTCGGAGGAGGTTGTCGAGACTGCGAGGGATAGTAGCGGAGCAGAGGATGAGCTTGCGGAGGGATGGGGCCGTCTTGTCGATGATTTCGGTCGTGGTGGGCAAAAAGGACCGATCCATGAGCGAATCGGCTTCATCGAGGACCAGATAGCTGACGCGACTCAGCACGTATGGCTCCGTCTTCGCGATCGACGCGAGCAGGTGGGGCGTGGCGACGAGGATATCAATCCCGCTCGGGTGGAAGAGTGTACTCTTGATGCGACGGGGTGTCAGATTGGAGGAGATCATTCCTGACCGGTATTTGACCGTGTGCGAGAATGCCTTGACCTTGGCGCTGACCTGGGCAACCAACTCAGATGTCGGGACGAGGATGACCACCCGGGGTCGACCCGCATTCGTCAGCGGGGCTTCCTCCGGTTCGATCTCGAAAGCCCGGTTCTTTAGCCTTTCCTCCCGCTCCCTGGCCTTTTCTTCCGTTTCCCTTTTCTCAATTTCCTTGTCCTCTACTTCCAGGCGCTTCAAGGAGTCGATCAATGGAATCATGTAGGCCAGCGTTTTCCCCGAGCCGGTCTCGGCAGCCAGAAGAAATTGTTCATAATTCGGAACGCCGTCCTCAACGTCTCTGGAGGTTCTTCTCTGTGTTGAATCTTGTAAGAGTTGCGGGATAGCCAGACGTTGGATCGGAGTCGGTACGACGTCCGCGAGACCGGGGAGAGCCTGGGAAAAGATCGAGTGGCGCACGACTGGCAGTAGAGGGAACTGGTCGAAACTTGAGATTTCCGCGATCTTCGACTTAATGGCGGTTCTGCGGCCGTAGGATACAGGTGCCAATGTCGTCTGCATCTTGAGTGCCTTGTAGAGAGGACTTTCATTGTTCTGCTTGCTGCTGTCTTCTGAGTCGCCAGAGCGCTTCAACGCCGCCTGAGACCGTGACCGTGGCCGTGGCGCATCAAGGCGTGCTTCGGTCTGATTCATACCCGCGAAAGGACCCCCACGTTCCCTTTTCGAGCGGCCCTGCTTCACCGATGATTTGGCAACATTGGAGGACAGAGTCATTCGGGCAGCCTGGCGGCGCTGTCGGAGGGTGCCCATGGAGCGGACGGCCTGCCATCCGGACAGCGGCGAGGAAACCGTAGCGTGGCTCTGACAGAGCAGACATACTTGAGGCCGAAGCGGCAGCGAAAGTCTGCCTAGCCGATTCATGGTGCCGATAAGGAAGGGGGGGAAGGAAAGGAGGAGGATGAGGAGGAGGGCCAAGGTCTCTCAAGAAGTCAAGAACTTCTTGTCGCCTCCCGGAGCTCATTCTTTTCGATCGGCGGGCGGAAAGAATCAGCAGTTGATCCCGTGCCAGGCCCAGAACGGAAGGCGCTCGGGCCTCCGGGGCGATCCTGCGCTAAGGCTGGATGAGGGCTAGCGCGATCGGGGCAGCCCGCCAGGCGACCAGGTGTCGAGGCCATCAGGCCAAGCTGAGGGCGCGCTGAGGCCTTGTTCCGGCCCAGGGATTCAGGCTGGCGGACCGTTGTTGCTATGGAGACTCCCGCCGCCAAAATGTCAACAGCTGCCAGCGGCGGGCGTCCATCCAGCGATCCCAGCATCGGCCGGTTTGCGAACGGCTTCGACTACTTATTAGTCAACAAAGGCTGTCCGGTCTGTTTCTCCCTCTTCCAATCCCCTTCCCGACTTCTCGTTCTTCCCCCCTTCTCCTCGTTGGTTCGGTGGTGGATGGTGTGTTGGGTTCTCTTCCAATTCCGTCATTGTCCTTGTCATTGTTGCACATCTCCTCGCGATCTCGATTTCGATCACTACCTACCTACCACTTCCTTCGTTTGATCTATCGGCTCCGTCCGGCAGGCTGAAAAATAAAGAATCTCGGACCTGACGAATCGGCTATCATTTGCATGATCTCCCTTTTGTGACGCGTCTTATCCCCCCCGTTACGATTCCCATGAGCTGCTTAACGTCCAAGTGAAATTCAAGCGACTCATTTCTTGTCCTCATTCTGTCATTCAACGCTTGTGATTTGTTCCGATCTCTTTTGCTTATCGACTTCATTTCATTACGTCCGACTCGGATCCTTGCCCCCATTCGACTCGACCAGGTATGCGCGCATTCTTGTTCAGCAAGGGATGGCCATGTTTGCATAGGCCTTGCATTGCTGAATTATGACGAAAGAACCATTGCTGATTCAGCTTGTCTAGCTGTGTTTTTTTTCTCAGGCACTGGTGTCGACTTGATCCTTTCCGCTTTGATTCTGCGATTCTTGCTGAGCATTATTCCAGCAAGATGGGCAGCAGTACCGGCCAACGGCCACTGTCGGAGGTGAGCCCAATGGCCCAACGGCGGAACTCTCCGAGCTGGAGCCAGAGTACTAAAGTAGGTGGCTCCACGTGTTGTTAATCTTCCGACGCCGGACCTGACCATATTCCCCCAGACGACGAAGACCCACGAATCATCGTCACCGCATGAGATGCCATCATCGCCGCGTCTCTTCTGGAAGGGCCGTGAGTCGGGTTCTCCTTTCCCAAGAAGCTCAGAGAACCAGACCCCCTACGACCCCGAAGCCTCATTTTCTCCTTCCAAGCGCCCCTCCCTTGAAAACCTCAAGCGCGCTTCGAGGGTCAAAAACAACAACATGTTCCGCGGTTACAACCAGGAGTACGACCCCGCAAATGTATATGTTCCACAGAGACCCTTGGCCACCAGTCGCTCGCCGCAGAAGCAGGGATTGAGTGCGCCCCCAGCCCGACAGTCTGACATCCAAGACGGCAGCCAAATCGGGCCCAGACCCCCATCCCCGAGCAAGGACCAGGTCCCCCCAGCGAAGTCATCCCTGTCTCGAGCGAGCCGCTTTGGTGCTAGAGATGCATTCGACCCCGAGAGCGAAATCTGGTCCGATATCGATGGGAGTCGGCATGCCAAGAGCGTGACCTTCGACGCCGCGCCGCCACAGGTGAACGAGTACGAAATGACTACGCCTGACCCGTCCTCCATCGCCTCCGGGTCCCGTGAAGGAAGCTATGATTCGGAGGAAGACGAAGGCGACATCAGTTTTGACCGTGAATCCTCCCTCGATCGGGACGACAGCTTTGATGCCTCCTTAGAGGACCTCGAGAAGACCCCAGTGGTTTTGCCGGAAGAATGGCGCTACATGAGCCCCGCCAGTGCCAACGACGATCTAGTGAAAGAGGACGAAGATCCTTTCAGGGAGGACGACGAAAGCCACAGCCCCGACCCGCGACCGTCCTCCCACCAAGGCCCGCCTGTCCAGCATTCCCGTGTCGAGTCGCTAGATTCAAATGGCGAGCGCCGCCCTCTCCCCCCTCTTCCCCCTACAAACCGTCCATCGTTTGCCCAGCACGGTTCGTCCCCGGGGAAGTTGGCTGCAGCTTTCGAGCTGGGAAGCGGTGGTCAACGAGTTCTGCCATCCCCTCCTGGCCCAGCCACGTACAGCAAGTCCGACATTACTGACCGTGCTCGTGCGTCCATGTCATTGGAGGACAGGCTGCGTCTGATGATGATCCAAGAAAACGAAAGAAAAATCAAGGATAAAGACGATGCGGATCCGCAAATACCCAAGCCGGACGACGAGCACGAAGAAGAGGAGGAGGACTGCGAAACCCAGGACAATGATTCAACCCCGGGAGAGGCCACAGAAAGCTCAGATGACGAGACGACCGAGGTATTCTCACCTCCACGGATTTCCAGGGATTCCATTCTCCGAGACCTCCGGAAGAGCGAGAGTTTCCTCGACGACTCTTTCGAGGACGTGTCTCAGATTGAATCGAGCCCTCACCATTACATGCATTATGACCCTGACGTCCCAATCCCATCCCTTGAGGATGATGATGACGAGTACCACGATGAAGATGATGATGACCAGAGCAGCGTGGTGATCAAGCCAGAAGAGCACGATGACGATCTTTATGACATACCGGATTATTATGAAACGATAAAATCACAGAGCTCCTCCTCGAAAAGCCTGAAAGACCATCTGGCCGGTGAAGATGAGTCCCACCAACCAAGCCTACCTCTAGACGAAGATATGGCGCCGCAGAGCGGGTCGCAGGAGTCGGAAGATAGGCAGCCAACACCCGTGCCCGAGGTGCGAGAGGAAGCTCCTGTCAAAGCGTCGAAAAAAGAACCAGAACCAGAACCCCAGGAGAACGAACTGTCTGCTCCAAAGATGGCAGCTATGAGGGAAGCACTGCAGCGACCAGCGACGCCAGAGAACCATGACCAACTATCAGAGCCCTCAACTCCCGAGTCCGTCATTCGACATCCTGTTGATGAAGAGGTCAGCGAAGATGAAGTTTCTGCAGACGAGGATGTACCGGATCCCATTGCCACCGTCAAGGCTCCCGGAACAGGTTTGAAAACCCGTCCATCACTGACGCCTGCCGATCTGGAACAAATGGCTGCCACCCGTCGCAAGGTCAGCGGGCAACTGCCTCCATCCATGCCACACCTAACCAAGCAGAATTCAAATGACTCGCAGGGCTCGCAAGCCTCGGAGGGCTCTGCCCCTGACGAACCTACCCCAGCCCAGCCCGCAAAGGAACCTACCCACAGGCAACCGAGTCTCATGAAATTGGATATTCCATTCAGCATCCAGGAAGAAGAGAGCCTTGGATTCGGATTGGACAAGGAGTTTGATCGAGTCATTGAGTCCCAAAAGGTGGCGTTTGAGCAATCCCTAACCCAACTCCGAAACACTCCGTCCATCACCTCCCCCCCGGAGCCCCCACACCATGGACCAGGAGCCTATCTTTTGAATTCGGGAAAGTCGACTAACAAGCACATCCATAAACAGAGAGGCTATCTCATGCGACATAACACGAAAGTCATCATCGCAAGCAGCCGCAACGAGGACGAAACTGCCCCAACCGCAGGGACACGCCCACCGCAGCCCGACCCGCACCAACGCCGCGCAAGCCTAGTCAACAGACATGGACGACGGTGCCTTGGAATGGCCAAACTCGCCGTGCGAGTATGAGGACTTCCAGCGGTATGGTCCGCAAGAAGCCCGTGACGGGGCCTGTGCCGCCGCTTCCAGGCCAGCAGAGCAGCGTTCAGGAGCCCCCAGCGACCATTGAGGAATCCGAGCCTGCGTTGAACGGTGCCCTAGAAGAGGGCGAGGAGCGTGGCCGCCTCTTCGTCAAGGTAGTTGGAATGAAATATCTCGACCTGCCTTTGCCTCGTGGTAAGTGCATCATCGATCTACTGGCTCATGCCAGATAATTACTACCAAGTCCATCGAAAATTACTGACTGAACATCGTCTCAGGCGAGAGATCATACTTTGCCCTAACATTGGACAACGGTCTTCACTGCGTTACCACTGCTTGGCTGGAATTGGGAAAGACCGCCCCCATCGGCCAGGAATTTGAGCTCATCGTCCAGAATGACCTTGAATTCCAACTGACTCTTCAAATGAAGGTGGATGAGGAAAAGTTCCGCACACAGGAGCCTGCCCCTCCGGTATCCTCCACGAAACAGAAAGCCTCGACCTTTAGTAAAATGTTTGCTTCTCCCCGCAAACGCAAGGAGCTCGATATGAAGCAGCAACTTGTGTCGCAGCAAAACAAGGCTCGAGACGTCAACGCACCTGTGTGGGAGCGGCTCCGAACCCTCATCGCTCGCGATGGAAGCTTTGCCCGCGCCTATGTTTCCCTCAGCGATCACGAGAAGTATGCCTTTGGTCGGCCCTACACGGTGGATGTGGCATGCTTCAACGAGTGGGCTGTGGAAGAGCAGCCAAGTAGTGTGAAGAGCAAGAAAAGTACCACAAGCACATCATCCCAGCGGCGGCCTCCCTACAAGATCGGCAAGCTGGAGCTCCAGCTCCTGTTCGTGCCGAAACCTAAGGGCGCCAAGGACGATGACATGCCCAAGAGCATGAATGCATGCATTCGGGAGATGCGTGAAGCTGAAAGTGTGTCCGCGCGCAGTTGGGAAGGATTCCTGTCTCAACAAGGTGGTGATTGTCCGGTAAGCATCCATGGGGCTGATAATTTCAAACCGAAACTAATCCCTCTCTCATAGTTCTGGCGTCGTCGCTACTTCAAGCTTCAAGGATCCAAGTTGACTGCGTATCACGAGACCACCCGCCAACCTCGCGCGACCATCAACCTGTCCAAGGCCGTCAAACTGATTGACGATCGATCTTCTCTGGTTCAGAAGGAAACCACAACACGGGGTGGTGGTCGTCGCAAGTCTGCGTTCGCCGAAGAGGAGGAAGGCTACATGTTTGTCGAGGAAGGCTTCCGGATCCGCTTCGGCAACGGCGAAGTGATTGACTTCTACGCCGACAGCGCGGCCGACAAAGATGGCTGGATGAAGGTGCTGGCGGACGCCGTCGGCAAGGGCTCCTCTGGAAGCAGCCAAGTCAAGGCCTGGACCGAGGCGGTTCTCAAGCGGGAACGCAGCATGAAGGTGAAGAGGGAGGCGACCGACCGGCCACTCAATCCAGGCGCGCCTCCGCCGCCGCCGCCTGCCAAAGATACCGCCATTCCGATGACCCCGACGGCGCCGGCGCCGCCTGTGGGTCGTCCTCGACACAAGCACACGCAGTCGCAGCCCGAAGTTCGCGGGGCGGACGCTCGCCGGCAGAAGACGCGCTCCCTGATGTTCTAGATATGACTTTGTATTCCACCATGTCACCTCGTATCTCTTCTTGTGATTTGGCCCCATTGACCTATGGATTCGTTCTTTTCTTTTTCTCTTGTGTGTCATTTCTGCTTTTTGTCTATGGTGTTGGAGTCCAGCCTTCTTGCTGCATCTTCCTTTTGTCCCCTCGCCCGAATTGAGAATTTCAGCATCCAGCACTGTCCATTCTGCCAGCGTTGTCTTTTTGTTTTTCTTTGCTTTGACCTTCGTCCCGTCTTTGCTTCTTCTTGCACCGCCCTTTAATGATACATAGCGCCTTTCCTTCATGAGTCCATAATTGAGTTCTCGTTTCTCTGTGTATCAAAAGATCTCGGTCCGATTTGTTACCTACCTGATTTAGCAATTGTAACTTTGCACTGCTGCTCAAATCAGTTGGATTTAGTAGGTATCTACATATTCAAAATCCCGTCACACTATGGATTTTCTCCTGCGGTCATGTGACCACCTTACCTCTGTGTTGAAGTCCTCTTTCTTTCTGTTTTCTACATACGCGTATCGAGTTCATCAAGAACTGACTTTTCATGGCACTCCATATACGGAAGATTATATTTCTGCCAGACTATTGCGTTATAGTACTTGCTGCTAGATCACCTGACCTGACGCTACTTGGTATACTAGTAGTCCGTTCGGATATATATTCCTTCCCTCAAACCAATAAAACCCATGGAGGACTTGAGCAAACCATGGATAAGTAACCTGGCAATGAGAGTCGGAAATGATCAAGCAAAAGCTTTAATGTAATGCATATTAGTATTTACGTAGAGGAATGTTTTTTCAGGCCCCCTAATTTGAATGGTCCAAGGGAAAACAAGGTAAAAGACAAAAGAAAAGAAAAAAAAAAGTAAAACGCATTTTGTTCTATTCTTTTGGGGGAGTACTTAGATAGAGTGGTAATGGATGGCTTATATATATACATATCCCACACATCGGCCACGTCTAACTCGAGAGGAATATCTATAGATCATAAATCTGACTAACCACCTTCCTCTCCGCCGTTCGGGGCAGCACTCTCGTCATCGGATCCGCCCTCGATCTCTGCCAGCGCCTCGCGCTGCGACTTCCGCTCGGGACCGGTCGTAGGCACCGTGGCCTGTTTGGCGGCGGGGATGCCACCAGACGTGACGTAGAGGAATTCCTCTTGGGAGTAGTGGTCGAGATGGCCGAAGAAGGCGGAGAAGCTGGGGAGAAGGAAGGGATGGTTAGTTGGGTTATTGATGACTAGGATGGGGAAAGGGAGGATGAAACGTACGCATTAGATTCCTCTTCCTCGCGGAAGATGCGGTCGTAGATCTCGCGCTGTTTGAACTCGTTGATCGTGTCGGCGTGCTTGTCGAAGTTGATGGGATCCTTGCCGGTTTCCAGGGTCTTGCGGTTGTAAGAGTTGAAGACGGGCCGTTCGAGAAGCAGACCCAGACCCGGGGCCTTGGGGATGGCGATCTTGTTGGCGCCGTAGGTTTCGACGATGCGCTGGGGATCGCAGCCGCAGCGCACAACCATAGCGGCCATGGCGACCATTTTGCGGATCTGGTGCATCATGAAGCTCTGGCCGTGGACTTTGAGGCTGAGCCACTCGGTGCCGTTGATGAGGATGGGTTCGGCGGCATTGAAAGACTTGATGTGACGTTTCGAGGACGGATCGGCGTGCACCTTCTGGATTGTGTAGTTGAAGAAGTTATTCGTGCCGACGTACTTGTCGAGAGTTTCTTGGACGCGAGCAAGACGGGTGGCCGGGATCCGGTAGGCCTTCTTGGCCCTGAGGTACGCAGCTTTGATGGCCTTGACGGTCTCGAAGATTTGGCGGCGACGGGCCTCTTCGGCCTCGTCAGCTTCGGCGGTGGGCTTCTCTTCTGATGATTGCTGTTCGGTGGCTGTGGTTTCCTCGTCTACAGGCTTCTCTTGCTTTTCGAAGAGCTCGTCCTGCGCGGATTGATCCTCATCATTAAGGTGGAGCACCTTCTCGACGAGCTTGCGCACGTCTTCGGGCGTGTTCTCGAGGATAGGCCGAATGTACTGGTCATCAATCTCATCCCAGTAACCAGCTACTTCCTCCTGTCGCGCCTTGTAAGCCTCCAGGTCGCCCTCCTTCTCAGCATACTCGACGAGCTTCTTGCCCAGGTAAGTGCTGGGATGGGGCGGCAGGAAGCAGTACGTCGGGATGAGGTATTCGTAGATGCGCGAGTCGCACAACTGGTAGCTGCTGAACGACTTGTTCGTGACGAGGATATCCCACACGCGAATCTGAGGGCTGAGCTTCTCGTTGATCTTCTGAATGATGTCATCGTCCTCGACGATCAGCTTCAAGGAGACAATGTTTCCGGCGGCATGGACACCCTTATCGGTACGCGCGCACCGCACCAGCGACGACTTCTTCGGATCGGTTGCGTTGGCCTTGGAGATTGCGCCGGCCGCGACAAAGGCCGCGAAGAGCTCTCCTTCGATGGTCTTCTCCGTTTCACTCCTATAGACAATCAGCATCGGCCCACACATGCCTTGGCGATCAACCGGACGGGCTCCAGATCATACAATTGCATGCCCTTGTACCCCGTTCCCGAATAACCCAGCAGCACAGCGACCTTCTTCTTCGGGCGGCGCTGCTCGCTCTCGATATCCTCCTTGGAGAACTCGGTAGCGTAAACGGGGGCCTTGACTTCCTCTCCGTTCTCGATCTTCCGGCGTTTCGTCTCCTGCTGAGCATCGTGACGGGCTCTCTTATCTACCATTTGCCGACTTGCTAGGTTAGCTGGATGTCAGACAATTCATCGCGCAAAACATATCCAGGACGGGACCTGCACAACATACCTCCATTCGGATCTTCCCAGATTCCGTTTCTTACGACCTCGATCAGCTCCGCCTCCGGCTTGCGGAGATCTTCCCTCGTTATTGTCCATGGTATGCGACGAGACCTGAGCGAGCGCAGGTAGTCGAAAGAAAAGAACCGGACTTGAGAGGTACGAAGGGGAAAACGCGCACCGTGGGAAGACAGGTGGGGGGGCAGAGAGCGTCGCAGGAAAATGTGGACGGGCATGGGAAAAGCTGCTGGAGATGCTCTTCTCCATCTCGGGTTTTTGCCGCATTGCCTTCGTCCGGCCCCCGGGGCTAGGCCCGATGCGGACTGTAATGCCTCAGGTGTCAAGGTGTCAAGGTGTCAAGGTGTCAAGGTGTCAAGGTGTCAAGGTGTCAAGGTGTCAAGGTTTCAAGATGTTCAGGTATTAAGGTATCAAGGTGTTCAGGTGTCTAAAACAAATTGCCTCAGGTGTCCAGATCGGCCTCATCTTCATCTTCATCTTCGTCTTCGTCTTCCACCTTTATTCCTCCATCGCAGCGCCATCCTTTCACTACCCACCCTCACTCGCTTTATAGTCAACCCTAGTCATCTTGCGCAACATCAATCAACCAATTCCGGTCATCTACCAGTCCGCATCGCCTCCGACACCCCGCCGTCATCCAACAAAGCATATGGACTTTGCGGCGCCGAGCTTAACATCGAAAAGACCTCGACATTTGCGCCGCTTGCGCCCACACATCTCAGCTTCTTGACGACTACCCCACGATACCCTTTGTATTTTACCTCACCAACACCAACCATGGACCTCGCCAACACCCTCATCCGCAGCGTTGTCCGCGCCTTCTACGAGACCCGCCACATCCTCGTAGTTGATGCGCTCTTCATCCACTCCGTGTACGTCCCGCACTCCGATGTCATCGCAACCCTACAAACCTTGCATACTAACCATCACTCTCACCAGTCTCCACGCCGAAGATCTCGCCTTTCTGCTTGGCATGCAACAAAAAGACCTCCGCAAGCTATGCGCCAAGTTGCGCGAAGACCGTTTAATCTCCGTGTATGCAACACCCTCTCACCTCACCTCACCAGCACCCTCAAAGCCCAGCTAACCGCCCTCCCACCCATAGTAACACCCGCGCAGAGATTCGCGATGGATCAACCCGCCCCGTCAATCGCGAATACTATTACATTCCACTGCACCCGGTGATTGACGCCATCAAGTACAAAGTATCCAAGTTAACCTCGACCATCAAGGCGCAGTACACGCCGAGCCAAGAACGAAAAGAATACATCTGTCTCCGATGCAGCGCGGAATGGACCGAGCTGGACGTCCTCAGTCTCTACTCCGAGGAAGGCTTTGAGTGCCAAAATTGCGGGGCCATCCTCGAACGCACCGAGGACGTTAAAGGCGCCGAGGGGATCGACCGGACCGGCCACGAGAAGAACAGCAAACTTATGAACCAATTAGATACGATGCTTAAACTACTCAAGCAAATCGACACCGTCGAGATTCCCCCCAATGATTTCGACACCGCCTGGGACCACAAAGTCGACGTGATTCGAAACCAGCAAACTCACCCGACCCGCGCAGCTGTGATCGTCCCCTCCAAGCAACAAGAAGCCGTCCGTGGCAACACCAAGACCGATGCCGCCGCATTGGAAATTTCCCTGACTTCTAGCGCCGAGAAAAGTGCCGCTGAACAAGCCGCCGAAGCGGCGCGCAAAGCCGCAGTTGAGAAGCAGAACGCCCTACCAGTCTGGCACACGCATTCGACCGTGTCCACCTCCGCCGGGAACGTTTCTCGCGTCAAGTCCGAGACAGACCTCGACATCAAACCAGAGATCAAGTCAGAAGACAAAGACCGCAAACCGGAGATGGATGCCTTGGACGACAAAGTCGCCGCGTACTATGCCGAGATGGAGCGCGAAAAGGCTCTCCAGGCCCAGGAGGATGCCAGCAGCGCCGAGGAAGACTCCGACGATTTTGACGAGGAATTCGAGGACGTCGGAGGTGTGTCTGCCAGCGATGCCGCCTCTCCAGCGGTTAATACTGCTCCTACGGCTGGTGGTGCTAGTGGGCCAACCAGTGCGCCAATGCCCACAACGGGCTCCTCGATGGGAATCAAGCGGGAGCTGGACACAGATTATTCGAGTGTCAGCGCTTCCCAGACGGCGGTGGCCACCCCATCCACGGGCGGGGATGAAGGGCCGGCGTCGAAAAAACTCAAGGTCGAGCCTGAGGTCAAGAAAGAGGAAGAGTCGGACGAGGATGACGAGGAGGATGACGACGAGGAGTTTGAAGATGTATAAACTCTGCCCCATCTCAATCCTTAATTGTCGCGTTGATATGGGCGCTGGCGCCTGTTTTACTCCATACAAGACGTCTACACTGGGCACTCAATATGTGTTTATCCGTGACCCGGTTCCGGGGCAGCCAAGACGTATGATAGACGAATGTAAAATTAGAATAGTCCTTTTGGAATGGATAAAAAGTCCTCAGAAGTCATATCAGATTTGGAGCCAACACGTGTGCAGTATCACATTCCGAAGCATGGCGTGTCTAATCAAACTACCCGCCTATCAATGGCACTCCATCGGGTGTATGAAACCATGACGGCAAGGTTGCAGAAACCAGCATTCTCCCAGAAAACTCACAATAGGCCTTGTAAAACAACTACACAGTCCTCGCAAGATTAACACATGGTATGAAAACAAAAGGGCATCGCGAGAAAAGCAACCGACACGCAAAGCAACAGTAGCCGGAACGGAAGTAAAGGCCCAATTCTATTAGAGCCGAGGGAAGGAAACGCCGATAGATGCAGGCCATAAGCACACAAAAAGCGTTTTATCATAAATTCGTCTCTCATATGTGATACAAGTGAAACACTTCAGCGCATTGCCGGACGCAGGGTTACGGAGAACCCGCTAGTCCCATCTCCGAATCGCTGGCCATAACGGAGTTATCCTCCCAGTCTTCTATACAAGGTAATTAGAGCCTGGACACCTAGAATCTAGATGGAGACAAAATGCTATACTTACCAGACGCCAGCTCTTCTGGCACATCAACAACCAAGTCTTCAACGGCTCCGATCGTTTCTAAAAGCCTTCTGTCAGTGGCAATCAACTAACCTCTGCTTCCTGAAGTACGTACCGTGAGCCTGTAAAACAGCCTCCTGGTCTTCCTCGCTGTCTCCAAAGTACGTGCTCAGGCAATGCTCAATCACGGTGCGGATGGACTCCACAGATCTTGATTCCACATTACACCCGGGGACATTGACGTATGTTTTCCGCAACCTGTCAACGCTGGCATGGACCAACTTTCTGGCAACTTCAGTTTGATGCGTCTGCCAATCGTCGCCCATTTCTTCCGTTTCGCCGCTGAACAGAATCTGCCTCAGGACTTCCAGAGTCATGTTTCGGACCGCTCTCTCTGGAAAAATGAGCAGAGTGGGAGCCCAGTCGGGCACGGTGTCGATGAGACGAGTCAAGAACCAGGCTTCGTTGAGTCCAAGCCGGTCATTGCGGCTGCCCATAATGCTCGTGAAGAACGAGAGATGCTCACGGCCACCGCTGTTGTTGATGGTTTCGACTCCTTTAGAGACGAAGTCGATCAAGTCGGCGATTTTAGTCTCGTCAGGACCTCGGCGACAGAATATCAATGTTGCCTCCAGAAATGGAGCGCAGAGATTAGCAGGTGCCACTCTAAGGCCCTCTTCCAGAGCTTTACAGATCGGATTCGTGAGGCCAGCGTCGGGCTCTGCATCCGCAAAGTGACTGACAATGTTCCTGCACGCCGCTGGACTACTGTTATGGGTAAGAATTATCTTAAGGAACGAAAGCTCCTTGTTCTTCCCCTGTGGACGGATTAGGGCAGTTTCTATCGTGGTGAGAGTGTACCTGCCATCTGGCAAAGTACGTCGTTTGTCATCCGGACTGGGTGGTACGGTGAGGTCGATATGCGCCAATAGCAAAGCCAAGAGATCCATCAGCTTCTTGTATGAAAATCTTCGGCCTTTCTCCATCAACTTGATAAAGACAGCGTACTGGCGCCTCAGCCGCTTCGAATCTTCATGCTCAAGCCACACGATTTCAAGGCACTTGAGAAGGAACCCGTTGTTGAGCACTATGCCGGCCTCGTGTTGCCCGAAGCTTGCAAGTAATAACAAGAACTCGAAATAATCGTCCCATGAGCGGCTGGCAGTATAGAGGGTCGACCACAGGCCATCCAATGTGCCTACCACATTCTCGAAGCCGTCCAGGTATCGCATTTGCCATTTCTCTTTGTCGGTACTCCCGTCATCCGCCTTCTGGTGGAGATCTTGCAGTTTTGAAAGAGCACACATAATAATCCTCATCGAACTGTTGCGGACAGCGGCGTGGGGACTCCTGAGGATCAAGTTGCGGATCGCTGCCGGCTTGCGTTCGAACCACTGCAGGACTCTATAAGCGGCCTTCGGTACGTCGGTAATGACCCCCAGGATCTCAGTCACAAATGTCTCAAGACCTAATAGTTCCCGGGCCCTCGAAAGCAACTGCTCGAGTGTGTCTAAGGCGATAAAAATCATAGACTTGTCTAGCTTGGACCGTTTTTCACTCCTGGGTTCCTTGGTCTCATGAAGCATGGAAAGGAGATACCGAATGAAGAGCGCATGGTATGGGTCCATCAGACAGTAAGTCCGTATGAAGATCTCATTCTCCATGACGATATGATTCGCAAGAGCCACGGGCAAGGGCACGCGTACAGGGTGATGCGGTTTCGTGGGGTTGTAGATCGTCTTCGCTGCCTCCATGCTGGAAACACGTTGATAGAACAACATGTACGCGTTCCAGACCTTGTTGAACCGGACCTGGCCCATGGCAGAGGACTGCAGGGAGTCGTTGTATCCACCGAAACACTGATCTGCAAGCTTTCCTTGCTCAAATCGGCTAACATCGGAGTCATTGAACTCGACCCATGAGCCTCTGGCATCAGTGGTAGGTCTCTCGCGGATGTACGAGTAGTAATGGCCGGATTCAGCCGTACCGCTGTGGACTAAGACACCGACGAGCTCGAAGACGTCCTCCTGGACTTCAGCAGTCTGGTCCGAGAGATATTCAACCTTGAAAGGGCTCATGTCAATGAATTCCGGGAACTGAAATTCGTCATTGATCTTGCTTCGCAACATTGTCACCATGTCAAAATCGAAGCGTTTCAGATGAAATATGAGATTGTCGGGCACATCTTTCAGGCAAGCTCGTTTAACGGCATCGACATGGCGCCCGCATGATGTGCAAGAGTACTTGTTGTCTGCGAGTAGAGTAGTCGTTAATAAGAAAGCCCCGTATACACTCTGCACGACTGTACAACTTACCTCCTTGCATGATCTCTCCTTCGACATAAGCTTGTAGGCTTTCTTCGAGACTCGCTTTGTCCTTGATTTCACACTGAATGGCAGAGAACGGTTCAAGGCGCTCGGAGATATGGGGGCATTCTTTGGACTTGATTTGCTGGACCAACTGACCGCCGTAGAACGACCGAAACTTTTTCTTACATTCTGGATCCAAGATCAGGGCCTCCCATCTGTCAAAGAGGAGATTGTAGAACTCGTCGACATCCATCTGGATGGTAACATCAATCGGCTCATTATCATACGTGCGTATCGTGTCAACAAATGCCTGCGAGTCGACACTCTTGGTCCACGTCTCCTGCATGTACCCGAACAATTTTTTCGTCTCAAAGAGCAGCCTTTGGGTGCCCTCTGGATCATCAAGATGAAGCTGCAGCATGAAGTCACGAAACCCGACGTTCATGAAAAGCTGGGTCAGAAGAGAATTTAAGTAGCAGGTGTTGGAAAGATTCTTCAGCCCGGCATAGCCTTCTGGTGATCGGATCATTTTGTAACGGTCAAACCCCCAAGAGGGCGAATAAGTGTAGTCCTCTGAGTGGGTATCAGCAAGAAAAGCTGAATAAGGGCGGGGTGACGATTGGGAGTCCAAACCTAGCGGAATGATCTCTTCAAGACGCTCCACAATTTTCGAGTAGTCCTCGTCGACCCTGCAGAGCTGACACAGGATACTGTACAGCTCCTGGCGGGTTTGCCCGTGCATGACAGGAATTTGGGGTGCGACAACAGCGGTGGAGGATAGTGAAAGGTCGGGAAAGAGGTACTGGTCGAACAGGCTCTCGGCGAGGTCGCTGCGAAGTCAGTCTATGAAAAGAAGGTATACAAGGTCTCGCCTTGAGCCAGCTGAACTTACGAGGTATCCACTGTGGTGTCATTGGAACTTGCCAGGTCCAGACACAATCTCAGAAGACGAGAAAAGCCCAAGATAAGATGGTCCACGGGCTCGCGGCCAACAAACTGTAAGAGATTGTTAGAGCTTCGATAAAGCATATCTCAGATGGGGCCTACCTCTTCTGTCCGATGGCGTAGCATGGTGGCACTCCACTGTTTCAAGTATTCGCTGAATGCAAGATCATGTGGTGACCTCTCCGCAACCGAGCGAAAAACCAGATTGGCAATTTCGAAAAATTCCTGACACTGGCGCGCATGATCTAGTGTGACCGGAAAAGTCTTGACAAAAGCGTCCCAGATTGTCGCAAGAATCTCAATCCGGATAGGATTATCAGACGCTGATGCGCCTCGTGTCTCTTGTGTGTCTGACCCAACAGACTTTGATGGTTTTCTAAGCAATTTGGAGGGACTGCAAGTGACAGCAACATTCTCCGCGATGCCTTTCCGAATTGGTTGACGATGTTCCTCCAGAAGAAGTGAGCGAAGGAGTTCGTCGAACTGTGCCTGCTGCTTGATGGCTTCCCAGAAACTAAGGTCCCGCACCGAGCCCTCAGTCAGCACGGCGAATGAGTTGCAGATCAACTTGGCAATTCCAGTTTCTGGAAGATAGGACCCTGGTAGACGTCGCGCCACTTCCATGAAGTGAAAGAGTTGCTGGGCCAATGCCGCTGGATTTGGTACTGTAGAGGCTTCACCTGGGAGAGCCGGTCGTACCAGAAGAGCATAGAGAAGGCACTCGACCATATGAGTTGCGAACAGAAGCTTCGCGGGGCTGCTACCCAAAGCATCTGACATCGCGGGGCGCGTCAAGGCAGAAACCAGGACGCTGACGCTATGAGACACACATTCTTGATTTGGTGACGCCTAGTAACGAGTCTTAGTCAAAATTACACCAAAGGGGCACCGTGCCCTTACCTCGAGAGACTCTTCCCGTAGGGTTACAGAAAGCGCATTTACTGAGTAAAGAAGGCTATACGGTTTGTCCATCGGGAACATGTCGTCCTCAGTCTTGTCGACGGACTTCACCAATTGCAGAACCCTGTCTTGCGGCGGGAAAACGACCAGAAAATCATATATCTATTACAGGAGTGGTCAGAACAGAGGAAGAGCTCGAGGTCTGGATAACTCACCTCTCGTGCTAAGTGGTCCTCGAGTACGAGAAGATCGTAGAGATCGTCAAAGTGTTTGAGTACCTCAGAATCGACCAGGGTCAGAGACTGACGTCTACCGGCAAGCGCCAGTTCGCGGCTGTCTGAATCTCGCCTGATGAGAAGTAATCCGGAGCCGAGCTTCAAGTCCCGAATGGTCATATCAGGCTTCTCAAGAAGGTCAGTCCTTTGACCACCAGATATCGTGCTGAATTTAGTGAAGCCAGTCACACGCACGAGTGTTTCAACAAGCTCCGCTGCAGTTGACAGATCTCCGATGGGCAATGTGCGAACTTTTGACTGGGTGCCGCCATTGAAAGTTTGATAGCGGATATCGATTACCTCCCCTTGAACAGGCTTGCCAGGTAAGTCGGGCGGCAAATTTTGGGGCGGGCTGTACTGGGGACGACTCCGCAAGCCTTGTAGGAACTGGCGAAGAAAAAGTAATGAGCGGCTGAATCTCAGCTCCTCTGCTTGGACCATGTCAGGATTGGAGGCCACTTCCTGCATTGGTTCGTCCTGAGTTGTGCTAATATCCCCGCGATATGCCTTCAACCTCGACGCGGCAGACTTGAGCTGGTCGACACAACGATCCACCAGCGCGATATGAGTAGCCTCAACAGCAGAACGTGGAGACCGGTTGATCACGCCCTGGTCGAGGTAAACCTCAATTGCGAAAGCGGTCGCATCCGTCTCAATCGTACCAGGCGGAGCAGTCAGAATAAAGCTCCAGATCCGATCCATACCCGGGATTGTCACAACTTCATTCTCGCCGGCCATTGGTGGAGGATTAAAACGGACCTCGTAGTTAATGGTTTGCTTTGCAAACAGAAGCACCTCGGGGAGGTAGTCTTCAGAAGGCGAGAGCTCGGGTAAGTAGACCTGGATACAGCGTTCAATAAACGAGTTCGCTTGGGCGCTATACCGGGTAGTTCCGCATAGCATATCCCAAAGAGCTCTTCTACCCTGCTGTGCAAGAGTCTTGCACATGAAGACCTTGCGCCAAAGCAAATCACCAAGTTCCGGGGTGATCGAGTCAGGCACCATATCAATAATCCGGGCTAGCATTTGAATCCTCGCAGAGAATCCGGTTAGAGAAAAAGGATCTGTAAAGTCCGTCTGGTCCATGCCCACCATCTGGGCCAACTCAGTGATCACCAAGCGGGTCAGATCAAATTCCTCGGCAAGCTTTCGAAGCTCAAGGATGTCATGGTTGGTAAGAAGGGCATTCAAGGCCTGGATGCTGCCAACAGTGAACTGATTCATTTCAGCGATGTCTTGAAGACATTGCTCATAAGTCTCCATCTTGTCCACCTCACTCAGGCCGATTTCCATGAATGAACTAAGCTGAGCACCCGCAAACTTTTGGAGAAGGGCCTTGTGTTCGACAGGCAAATCATCGGCGCCAGCACTCTCACGAATCAAACGCACGCACAAGCGCAACGGAATGGCATCGACATGAATCTGATCTTGTAGGTCACGACGAGTTCTGTCGCTATATTTCTCTCGCACTTGGTGAAGAAGCTGCTCACAGAAGTCTATCATCCGTGCATCGAAGCGAGACAATGGAAGATCCAGCAGCTTGGAACACAGATATAGCAAGGCAGGCGAAGTTGGCAGATGCATATGGAAAGTCTTGCCCAGCATTCCTAGCACTTCGGACACTGTTCGCGGATCTGGGCTCTCTGTTACCGTCTTCCATATCGTGTCAGTGTCAGCATCGGTATATGTGGACGTGACCACCAGGAATCCGACAATGTTCCCACTTCTGCTAATCAGCTGAGGGTGAGAATCAATCCCCACAATGTATTCGACAATCCGGTTTTGTCGTAAAAAGCCCACAAGGTACTGGACCACAGGGTGCTCAACGCCATCGGGATTGTTCTGAATGTGTTGCCTCCATACGTTGACCAGATCCGTCTGCATTGCTTCCATACCATGAACACGTAGCTCCATTCGTCCATCCATGATGTGTTTCTTCAGGACGGCAAATTTCCAGCCGTAGTGAATGATGTACGAACGATCATCGGGCGTGAGGCCTTCTAGAAGTTGTATCGCGAGATCGTTAGCGATCTGCGAAGAGAAGTCTGGATCACGGCGACATAACGTGAGGTATGAATGGGCTATGAGGCGAAGCATGGATTCGCTCGTATCACTAGACACCCAAGGCGACTTCTTGGTAATGTGGGTCTGGTACTTATCATCCGCAGCGCGGATCAAAGTGTAAGCCCGTTTCATGGTGCGAGAGTAGACCGAAGAGTTCATTAGAGCATCGTCCGCGCGGTACCTCCGCCGCTCGTTCCCTGACTCTAGTAGGTTGTGTACGATAGTCACAATCGAGACCAAGGAAGTAGATAGCTGAGGCCACCGGGTGATGAGAGTGAGTATACAAACGGCATGTTCGGACAACCGCTGGACAATATCTAAGGGGGAAGAGGCGACCTGATCATTGGTACGAGCAAGAAGATTCGAAACTTCAGACCCATGCATCTTCTCCATGGCACGGAAGAACGGGATGTTGTTCAGCTGCAGAACCCAACCCAGTGACGGCAGGTAAGCTTTCGACAATGGATCTGACATCTGTGCATCTGCATCTTCCATGACTTGGGTTAATAAAAAGGTATCCAAGCCCACGATCTGAAGCGCTAATTGAGCATAGTCGAGGAAAAACTCCTGTAAGCAAGTCCATGGCCCTCGACCTTCATCCGGTAGGAACTCTGAGCTAAAGACTTGTCAGTGCTGGGGCCAACTCTATGGCGATCTTAAAAAACAGCAGGTAGAGATCACTTACGTTCTGCGTAACAAGCTATCCACGACCGTGGGAAGCTCCTCCCAAAAGTCCCGGTCCTCCGCCAGTACTTCATATGTCAACTGATCCAAATTATTTGCAACGTCATCTAGCCAACATTTCACAGCAATAAAGACTGGGATATCGTGCTGCGACCCTACAAAGAGAATCAGTCTGAATACCGCAACAGCTGACCTGGCATAACAGATGGACAACTTCCTTACCTTTCTCAATTATCGCACAAATCTCCTCCAGGTTCTCCCGCAACTCGTTTCCCATGTGAATCCTTGGGAATGTATCCGTCAGAGGCGCTTGTAGCTGCACCACGTCTGGTGTTTCTGGTTCCCGCATCGCCTCACCCAGCGATTTCCAACTGGAGGTATTGGGGTCCTGATCCATATCCTCCAGGTCGGCCACTTCAATTTCCGGGCTCTGTGCAGGTGATGATGACAGCGATATGGCGGTAGAAATGTCAACGCCGGCCTCGCCCGCGGATGGAGCGGGGAGATCGCCGCTGGAATGTTCGGCCGGTGAGTCTTCAGGAGCAGACGCCATTTTATCACCAGAAGTGGGAGGCTTCAGCTTGATGGCCACTCGGCTGGCGGGGCGAGAAGATGGAGAAGCTTCCTGGGCTGTTGTGGCAGGAGCATCCGGGATATGGTTGGAGAGTCGAGAAGCGGCAGTTTCGTTGGAAGCGGACCACGACTCACAGGCGCGGCTTCCACTGTCGAGACGAGGACGTTTCCGGGTGGATTGGGGGTCGGACTCTTCCATGGGATGGCCGAGCGGACGCGTCGAGTCAGTCGAGATAGCGTCAGGCGGGGTGCTAGAGCTGTCTAGCGGGGCAGCTGCCATGACATTTTCTTAGCCCGTTCGATGGGGACCTAGAAACACGGCAACGAAGTGAATGGGGGAGCGGGGGGAAGAAGGATTGGGAGTGATTTAACCGGGGGGATTTGATAGAAATAGGAGCGTAGGAGATTGAGCGCCCGCGGACAAGGAAAGGGAGCGAAGTAGTAGTGAGGGAGGGAGAGCAAAGCAACCAGCAGAGGAGAAAGAGAAGCAAGCCGTGTTGCTGCGGATAAGAACAATGCGGGAAAGGATGGAATCCAGCTGGGGGGGAGAGAGAGAATGTTTGTAAAAGACAACGATGGGTCAAGAAGTAGCTGTCTAGGCCCCAGGGGAAATGCAGGTCTTGAACGAGCAAAGCTGAACAAACAGCTAGCTAGAGGACGGGCGTGAGGGAAACTGGCAGGTAAGTGAAGAAATGAATGGAGGACGGACGAGGCCCAGCTCTGACGTTGCGGTGGAGCAGCGGATTGGCGGCTTTCAGGGCGAATCGGGGGAAGCCTGGAAAAGAACGCTTTCTTTCAGCTAAACTCTCGCGATTGGTCTCCCCTCAATTCTAGGCTCCTTTTTTTTTTAGAAAGAGACAAAAAAAGAGGTGTCTTTTTTTTTTTTTTCTTACTTTGGATCTTTGACCTCCTTCTGGGTGATTACACCACTGTCATTTGCAGCGCTGGAAGAAAGCGGTGGTCAGTGGTGGGCTGCGTATCTTTACGAGAAGCTCCCCTAGGATGCTTGATCATTACCTATTAATTACTACCTACAGTACCAGCTGAATCACTTTTAGAAAATAGTGGACACCGTCTAGACTGTAAAGTAGGCTGTGATTGATGGGGCATGGTTCTGAACATATGATTAGAAATTAAAGGATAAATAAATAATAACTGTGTCATTGGGCCCGGAGCAAATAAAGACGCATGAAAAGCAGCCCCCCCCTCTTCTCCGAATGCTATCATCATTATTTCACCTGGTCGCTTGTGTTACTCTCCAGTACCCATGGTTGGTACATCCGTTTGTCTCTCGGACATTTCTTTCGTTGGGGGGTCCTGTTTCATGCATTCCTCTGGCCATCACTTTTCAGTTCTTCCCCACCAGCCAGCCCTAGGAGAAATTCTCCCGGAGGCCATCGCGAAGCCAACTGGATGCGCATCGCCAAACATGTATCTAGTCCGTACATACTATGTACCATTATGTACCTGGGCAGGGGAGCTGCAGGGGCACATCGCATTCCCCCCCGCCTCATCCATCTACTCCAAACCTAGCTAGAGCCCCCTCCCCTGGAGCTTAATCGACCCCCAACTCCACTTGAAGCTTTCAAGCTGACAAGCTCTCTACCTAGCGTGGGGTACGCCCATTGGCGCATCCGATTAGTGTCCCGTCACCGGCACAGTTGGCAACCTCCTCCAGTCCGTGCCTGTTTCCAAGGGTCCTTTTGCGTCCCCACTGCGTTGTCGATCATGGTGATTAACACCCAACCATGCTTGGGAGAAGCAGAAAAGAATGCTTGTGTTACTGCTCGTGCTTAGTGGGTACTGGGTAGATCCTCGTGGCTCTAGAATTATCTCCATCGCTATTTCTAGTGTCACACTCACGGCTCTAGAAATATCAACGACTGAAAGGATCTAAGGATCTAGAACCACACCCGCTACAGGTTTACGCACAAATAGTAAATTATTCTGTCATCGACGTCTCAATCTTGCGGATCACCCTGGCTGGATTTCCCACCGCCAAATGAAATGCTGGCACATCCTACATGGTGATAGTACTCGTCAGTAACCATATTTCTTCCCAAATCAAATAATTCCTACCTTGGTCACCACACTCCCAGCGCCAATGACGGCGCCTTTCCCGATCGTCACCCCCGGCAGCACGGTCACATTCCCTGCCAACCAGCAATCCTCGCCGATATGGATCTCTTTGCCCGACTCGGGTCCCTCCAGCCCCTTGCGCACGGCCGGATCGAGAGGATGCGTACCACTATATAGACTGACCTTGGGGCCGAACAAGGTACGCGCCCCAATCGTCACCAAACAGGTGTCGATAATGACACAGTCGAAATTGATAAACGCGCCTTCTCCTACTTTCACGTTGTATCCGTAGTCCATACGGATCGGAGGCTCGACCCACGGGTATTTCTGCAAGAGCTTATCATCCTCGGCGGGGTCCTCGTTGGGCGGCGGGAGGGGCGTGGCATCGCCCACGATGCTATTCCTGTCAGCAGGGTCTCATTCGCGGAGCCATAGTCCATTGATTTCGTCGGAAAATCATAGGCGTGGATTAGATAGATACCCATCTGCTTACTTACTCCTTCCACAGCTCGAGTGATTGCCGACGAGATACTTCGCCTGCATTGTTGAAACGGCGACAGGCACTGGCGCAACGGATCCGATCGGCCGTGAGGTCAGGGACGAATGCATGGTAGAGCTCCCCGCGGCGCATACGATCCTTGTTGTCTTGGAGATCCATGGTTGTGGTTGAACTGAGCAAGCTGGATAGTAGTAATCGATCCCTTTCTTTGTTGGATAGTTGGTTTGTCTCGGCGGGGTAACCGAGGCCTTCCGCTAGTCTTCGGGGTCGCACTAGGTATCTAGATTGATGGGGGGGTGGTTCAACTTGGAGGATGATCAGCTACCAAGTTCCTCCAATTGTCGACTCAGTGATGCACTCAAATAAAAACTGGATGACCGTAAGTTGTCCTGTAGTCGACGATCATGATATCTACGTCTCAAGACTACTGTTATGGGGGATCGAAGGAACCCAACTCTCCACTCTTTTCCTTCCAAAATTGCCACAACATAAGAAACATAATCATATTCTGTAGCATCCGTGACCAAAATTGCTCTCCTAGTCGTCAACAATAATGATCCTCTGCTGCGTCTACTGTCTCGAATCATGCCCAAGCGCGGCCGACCACCACGCGACACTCTGACCAATCAGGGGCCATCCCGGCGGAGCTCCTCCGCATGGCTCGATGTGTCGTATTGTTCTCCAACTCCCGCCATTGTTCCAAAATTTCCATATAAACACCACCACCACCACCACTTCTCACCACCTCCCCAGCATGCCAATTCCCTAATCCACCAAATTTACCCACTACTATCAACCTCGCGACAGCCACAATGGCCCAACCAGAACCCGCACCCGCACCCGTACCAGCATCAGCGCCATCCCCCCCCTCTTCCCCCTCTCCCTCCCCCGAACCCCAACCTGGCGACCCTACCGGCCACCACCACCAGCACAACCCACCAACAACGGCAACAATATCAACCATGACCCTCCCATCGACGCCTCCATCCTCCCCGACGGCAGCAAGTCCCTCTCCGGAATCTCCCTCCGAGCCTTCCTCATCGGCACCACTTTCGGCCTAACCACCACCCTAACCCTCATCACCACCACCTACACTCCCCTATATACCCCCCTCTGGCGCATCCCCTTCTTCCTCTCCAGCCTCTCCCTCTTCCACTTCCTCGAATACTACATCACCGCAACCTACAACACCCGCTTCGCCACCACCTCCGCCTACCTCCTCTCCTCCAATGGCTGGACCTACCACATCGCCCACGCCTCCGCCATCACAGAATGTCTCCTGACACACTACTTCATCCCCACACCTCTCATTCTCACCCCCCGGCTCATCGTTGCCCAAGTCGCTCTGGGCCTGGTCCTAATGACCGTCGGCCAAACCGTCCGGAGTGTGGCCATGGCCCAGGCGGGAAGTAATTTCAACCACACGGTGCAGGTCAAACGGCGCGAGGGTCATCGCCTCGTCACGGAGGGAGTGTATGCTGTGTTCAGACATCCGAGCTATTTTGGGTTCTTTTGGTGGGGGTTAGGCACCCAGTTGGTTTTGGGGAATGTGTTTTGTTTGGGGGCGTATGCGCTCGTGCTGTGGAGGTTTTTCTCGAGTAGAATTGATCGTGAGTCTCACTTTTCCCCTGGTATATCTTTGTTGGGATTTAGAGTTGGGCTTGGGCTAACGTGGACTTGGATAGGGGAGGAGAGGTTTCTAGTTGCCTTCTTTGGAGAGGAGTATCAGGAGTATAGGAAGAGGAGTTGGGTTGGAATTCCTGGGATTCATTGATCGATTTATTTCTCATCTATGTTCCTTTATATCCCCTCTTTGGGAGGTTGGGATTGGATTGTATATGGAGGTCATAATGGCATATAATACTGTACAATACTGCGTACAGCAAGGTGGATTGTCATCGCTAAATGGTATCAGAGCCCCAAACGCCGTGCTATCATGGCTCATGCTCGGAAGATCCATATATACAAACACAAAATAGAATAATTACAGTTTGCTCTCCCGCGCGACACTGCCAATGGCACCACTCATGTAAGCGCCCTGGTCTTCATCGGGTTCGGGAGTTTCGCCGGGGTCAGCCCCATACAGGGTGAGCTCTCGACCCCCTAGGGTGCTCCACCAGGTGACGCAGTAATGAGCCCGTTCGACATCCATCTCGCCGCTGCTCAGCGCCTCCCAGAACCGCTCCACGCAGATTTTGTTCATGTCCGGCCCGGTGACCGCGTTGAGCAGATGCCCCGTTAGAGGAAGCCATTCCGCGAGGTCTTCGACACGTAGGAAGCAGAGGCTGTCGATAAGAGCGAGCGTAAGGGCGGCTTGTTCCGAGACAGGCGCGGATTTGCCCAGATCAGGGCCCTCGCCTTGAGATGGTTGGGGCAGCAATTGGTCAGATGAATGTAGTGCCCAGTCATAGAGAACTTCGAGTAGGATAGACGGTAGAAGGCGTTGTGTGTTCGCGATGGGTGACGGGGGCGCAGTGACTTGAATTACGGTCTTGAAAGCCAGACGGAATTGTCGGGCCGACAGGTTGTCCGGAAATACCTGAACGGATAATTAGACCGAGACAAAACTAGTGAGAAGATCACTTACGGCAAAGAGGTTATCGATGTAAAACGGAAGATGCTTGGCCGCCACAGCCGCATTTTCCGGGATAGCGAAAACGGCAAGGACCGCGCTGTGGGCAGCTTCGAAAATCTCGAGAAGATGGTTGTTCCCCCCGGCAGGGAGATAGGGAACAGCAGCTGCGATGAGCAGTTCTTCGCTGCATGCCGGTGATAGCACGGGAGTGAAAAGCTCGGAAGTGTTGAGGAAAAATAGATCCAGACACCTCTCAATAGGATGGTCGGGGATCTGGCCGAGCTCACTGGGCTTGATGCTCCTCAGGAAATTCTCGGCTAGGTCTGGATAGTGTGCGAGGATATCCACAGCCGCGAGAGTTACAAACATGTGCTGCGAAGACGCATTCTGACCCATGCGAGAGGATATGAAGTAAAGATTCCGCAGGATATGGAGAGCCTGCATCGATAGGAAAGGCGCGCCTGGAACAGTTAGTGTACAATTCAGCTCGACCGTCCTTGGATTAGCACCTACTTCGATGGGCAGCCAGCACCCGGTCGTTTATCACCCTTCCCAGAACAGCCCGTAAAATGATGACGATAGAATATAGGCAGTTACGGAGTAACTTCCAAAGGCTCGGGATGGTGGTCTTCAAGGACTCGGGGTCAAGATATTCTGCTTCTTCAGCTCGGTCGACCTCCGACAACTTGTTTAACCGCCACTGTACCATCAGCGTACGCACAAAATCTGTGATGTGATCCAAGGTTTGAGCGATTAAACCTGGATCTTTGACGTTTTCTATTCCATGTGCCATGAGTCGGGAGAGGGGGCCTAGCGCAGACACAAGAGGGCTGGAGCTGATCGCCGATATACGGGCGAATGTGTCGGATTGTGCTGACCACTGGAATTTCTTTCCGGGGGCTTCCACGACGTCCTTATCAACAGTGCCTAAGAAGTAACCTCCCTCCAAACCTTCGGGTGATGCGTAGGTCGAATTGATCATGACGGGTAGCCAGAGGTCAAAGTCCAGCCTGCTCTTCTCGGAATCCGAGAGAAGTTCAAAACAGTAGTTCAGGACCATTGTGACACAACGACCATCCATCTCGTTCCGAGGATCCAGCTCCTCAAGCGCAAGCTGTGCCGCCGTCACGAGGGCCCTCTCCAGCTTTCTGCGAACATGCCACGGCAATCCCTGCCTATTTTGACCTTCGAACCCTAGCAGGACTCCCCCGATCAGAATTGTGTGCCTCCATCGTGGCGACTTCTCATCCGCTCCACTGACAACAGCTTTGACCCAGTCCTCGCGCTCAATCTTCCTGGGCTTGGTGTAGGGTATCCTCGGATCATCCGAAGCTTCACTCTGTACTATAGCAATGGCGGCAGTATTAAAGACGCTGAGAATCTTTCGGCACGCGAGGAGATCGACGGAATAGTCCCATATGGCTGGAGCTGCCAGCAGCCGCGATGCAAGAAGGGTGATGTTCAAAGGGTTGCCGAGCACGGACAAGAGACTCGTCGCCGTGGGAAGCAGGCTAGGCGAGAACGGTCAGTTGCGTCCGCGCAGCCGAAAGGCGGAGGAGATGCTATCTTACGTGAAAACATCCTGGAGGTCGGATGAAGACTGAAGCGATCGTAGGAGGGCACCCAAGGAGCGCCCGGTCGCCATGTTATCAGAGGAGCGGCAATGTTGTAGCTGATGAAGGGGATATGGAATACAAGCTGAAGGGACGGTATGGAAGATAACGGTAGAGAGCAGCCCATCCAGAGAGATACCGCGGAGAACCCCAGATCACCTGCCGAGGTTAGTTGCGCGGAAAGCAAACCGTGCAAACCACAGCTCGGATCTTATCGCGACCCTTTCTGGACTCCCGTGGTGTATACCCACCAGTCCCCCCCCCTGCAGATGACCATGGTGGTCCTCACCCTATTACGATCAGCTGTGTTGATAGGCGTGGTAGCCTTGTCGCAGTCAAATGGCCAACAACCGAGTTCCGATCAACTACCAGACCCCTCCCTTCCCGTCTCTTTATGAGCTCTTCCCGACGCGCAGCACCGGGGCTTATTACCTTTACTACAACGAGGACATTTGGCGTTTTACCCTATACTGGACGTTGATTTTCTATGGCGCAAGTCATTTGTTGGTGGCGGCATGGGCTGTGGCCATGCAGTGCCGAAGCTGGAAGGCCTGCCTTGCCGTTCCTTTGGTTTACATGGTCATTGGGGGGCTTGAGGCGCTTTTAGCGGGGAGCATCATTGGCCTCGTGTGAGTACCGTTGATGCTACGCAATAAGATCTTGGAAGTCAAACTGAGTGGCAAATAGCTTAGGTGCGGTCTACGAAGCAGGCAATTTCAGAATGTCAACCTGGATCCCCCTTGTATGGGGTGGTATCAATGTGTTGGTCCTTATCCTCTCCAGTTTTCCGATGCAAGGTGGACTATGAACGAAGGCGGGAATCATCAGTTACCACCCAGACATGCCGTCTTGACAACTGGTCCCACGCATATCACCATCATATTACGCTCGACGGCGCAGTTTCCTTTAGGAGCCGACTATGATACATTCGAGAAAGACTGGGGCTTGAAGGATGTAAATGCCATGCCAGAAGCCTGCCATTACGCCAGCTATCCAGGCCTACCAAGTATGAACATCAGAGACCTCAAGTGGGATTATCTTCCATATCCATGATCGGGCGTACCGCTCCCTTGCAGGCCGGGAAGACCCCCGGGCATGCCAGGAAAGTTCGGCGGGGCAAAATTGTGCGGCAAAGATATTCCTTGGGACATAAGCTGCTTCTGTAGCTCCGCAAGGTCAACGTTCACTGGAGGGGTCCCTGACATGGCAGGGTGCATGGGAAACCCAGGCAAGCCACCCGGCGGAGGAAAATTGTTCTGTTGAGGGGGTGGTTGGGTAGACAACAGGGCTGCCAGACGCCCGGGATCCATCTGGGGCATGGAATTGGAAAACCCAGGCTGAGGTGGAGGCTGTGGAGCGCCAATTCCTGGCAATAACGAACCCATTCCGTCTTGCTGAGGTGCAGCGCCAGGTGGTGCGAATTGAATTCCAGGAAGAGACATCCCAGTAGGTTTCCTCTGGTCGACCAAGCTCTCGGCCTCGTCCTGAAGCTCCTGTTCCTCTTCTTCTCGCATCTGTCGCCTTCCAAAGCCCCGACTCCAGGTTCCCTGGGCCTCCGCGGCCTCCTCTCCGATGTGGAACCTATCTTTCATGTAACTAGTCTCCCCAGGTCTAGCCCGGGACCAGAACCGTGTGAAATTATCCTTAGATCCGGACGCAAGAATATGGCCCAAAGGATGCCAGTCAAGGGACCAGATAGTGGCACCATGTGCGTATTGTATCTTGTGGGCAGGATAGATGACCTGAGCTGGCGTGTTAGCCGGGTCAGGACTGTCATATGGCGCGATCGTAGGGATCTGTCCCGAGGGCAAATTTGGTTCGTCAAGTAAGTAATGGTGGAGTGAGCCATCCTCGCTACCAGTAGAAATGAGTGAGCTGTGGATAGGATGCCATGTTAAAGATGATACGGGCTTCTCATGGCCTCGAAGGATACAGATATCCCGCATCATGCGCAGGTCAAAGACTCTCGCTGTTTGATCCCGAGAGGATGTTGCTAGAAGGTTATTGTTAACCCGAGAGAACCTCGTTGCAGTGACGGTATTCTTGTGGCTGTGGAGGGTTGTTAAGCATCTTGCAGTGCGTGGATCCCAAAATTTGACCTGGTGATCCTTAGATCCAGAGACAAGAAGGCCTTTTGTGGGGTGCCAATCGCAGGATTTCACGTCCCAGTTGTGACCAGTAAGAACGGTATCGCAAGTCCTCGCGGTGAAGTCGAAGATCTTCAGGGTGGTGTCATCAGATGCCGAAAGGAATTTGGTATCACTGGGAGACCATGCTAGATCGCGAACAGCGTCATGGTGCGCATCGTCGATCGTCTCGACATTGTTAAAGTTGGGTCGCCAGTATTTCACATCACCTTTCTGTCCTCCGGATATCAACCAATCGTGGCTGTGAGACCATGCTAAAGAAGTTACTCCAGCTTGCAGCTGATCGTAATGTGCCTATTCAACCATCAGCGAAACCCCGGTCGCCAGCCATAATGTTATTGTAGTCCAGGCGACACGTACATCCATGACCGTTTCGAAGTTGAAGGCGGTTCCATTCCATAACATGAATTCGCCGGTATGGCCACCCGTCAGAAGACGCCTTCCTTCCGGCGTCCATCTTACGACAGTAATCGGCTTTTTCGACTTTCCGATCGACTGGTGTAAATGTCGCACTGGGATGGTGTCCGCGGGAGAGTGAACTCGTGCGAGTGGGGGTAGCATCTAACAAAGGGAAACATCGCTCATGTTAGTCGACGAGCTGTGTGAGGAATGCGCGAGAGCATGTCGCACTTACATCCACCACATAGCTGGCACTAGGCCTTTCCACCTCGAGCTGATGACCTCCTTGGTATCGGGGTTTCCGGTTGCGCATCCATTGTACCAGCGATGAGCCGTAGTCGGTCACAAGTCCTACAAACGGTTGTTAACTTCACCGCTTGGGAAATGAGGCCGGAGGGTAAAACAAAGATGGACGCAACGAGACTGTAGACAGGAGAGCACGTACTTGGTCGTCGCGGTCCGGCAATTCCCCCCTCGTAGGATTTTGGGGGTCTTCCAAATGGCTGGGAATCACTCCCAGGATCGTCATAGAAGGCCATTGCGACAAAGCGTACTACCTAACCCAGGTGGGTTGCAGGAAAGAGAGAAAGGATGGCGGAGAGATCGGAGAGACAGTCGCCAGCATGACAGGGGAGGCAAACGGGGAGCAATGACAGCTAGCCGACGCTCAACCTGGTGGTAAGATCCCCAGCTAGAACCAACCGCCCATGTCGCGCATGCAGCAGGAGCAGGAGCAGCGCTTGATTGCTTGTCTTCTGGTGTTGGCGTTGGCGTCGGAGCGTCGAATAATGAGCAGCCGACCTTGGCCCGGCGATCGTCATTGGCCGGGGCAAAGCCAGCCGCCGCAGCCATAAATTTTAGGCCCGCAACGGCCTGGATCGGCCTGAGGCCAGGCCGTTGCAACGCCGCAATTATGCGTTCCTCCCCTGCAACCCCCGCCGCGCTGCTACTCCTTCTCCTCTTCTCTGTTGCCGTTCCATAATTACTCCTTCATCCCCCCCCTCCCGAGCTCATCCTGTCATGTTTGTCTTGAAGGCTGAACCCTGGTGGGATTTCGTGTCCTGTGTTCGAAACTATATCCCGCAATTGGATTGAACCGAGGCCAGACAGACTAGTCTCCCTATACTTCGGGCCTGTGACGCGACTCGCCTGTAAGAACCTGCTTCGTTCGTTTCATTTGGTTTGCACAGCCAGACCAAAATGCCTGCTGTCGAAGAGGCACTACGAAACTCCGAGGCTGTCAGCACTGGCAGCGACCTCCCAGCCCCTCCGTTAAAGACAATGAACGGAAAGACATTCAACGGCCAACCCCCAAAAGGGACGAATGGCGCCACCAACACCAACTGGAGAAGGAGGAGCAAGTACCGTCATGTAGAAGCCTATCATTCAAGAGTGCGGCATTCAAGCCTCAGTCGCGAACCCAACGTCACGGCGAGTTTCCTGGGCTTCCGGAATCTCATGGTTATTGTCCTGGGTTAGGCTCTCATCCTCCACAGGCGTGTTTCCGTGTGTGGCTAATGTGTCGTTCCCGGAACTAGTCGCGATGAACCTCCGGCTGATCATCGAAAACTTCATGAAAGTAAGCCCCAGGTGGGATACAAGATTCATCGATACAAGCCAAGCTAACCACTTGGGATAGTATGGTGTTTTAATCTGCATCAGGTGCCACGACTATCGGAAACAGGATGTCGTGCTCGGGTCAGCTCTCTTTGCACTTGTGCCATTCCATCTTTACGTCTCCTATATTATTGAGCTGGCCGCGGCGAAGCAGGCCAAGCAGATGGTTGGTCGGAAGAAGAAGGACAGCCCAACCGAGGTAAATGAGCGCGAACAACGAATTTTCAAGAACACTTGGTGGATCTCTGCGCTCTTCCACTGTTTAAACACCCTTCTTAGTTTGGGAATTACGAGCTTCGTCGTGTTTTTCTACGTCCACCACCCAGGAATTGGCACTCTTTGCGAGCTTCAGGCTCTTATTGTGTCGTTCAAGATTTGTTCCTATGCGTTCACCAACCGCGACCTCCGAGAGGCATTGCTCAACCCATCTGTCGAGTCCGCCCTCCCGGAAATCTATGCATCCTGCCCATATCCCAATAACATTACCCTTGGGAACTTGGTATACTTCTGGTTCGCACCCACGCTAGTCTACCAGCCGGTGTACCCCAGATCATCGCACATCCGGTGGTCGTTTGTGGCCAAGCGTCTGTTTGAGTTCTTTTGCCTAGCCGTGTTTATCTGGCTTTTGTCGGCTCAGTATGCGGCTCCTGTCCTGCGAAATTCCATCGACAAGATTGCCGTTATGGACATCGCATCTATTCTGGAGCGGGTGATGAAACTCTCGACAATCTCTCTCGTCATTTGGTTGGCAGGGTTCTTTGCGCTCTTCCAAGCACTGCTGAATGCCCTGGCTGAGGTGATGCGGTTTGGGGACCGTGAGTTCTACACTGATTGGTGGAATAGTTCCAGTCTCGGGGTGTACTGGCGGTCTTGGAATCGGCCTGTATACCTCTTCATGAAGAGGCATGTATATTCGCCGCTCGTTGGCCGAGGATGGAGTCCTCTTGCGGCGAGCACAGTTGTCTTCACGCTGTCTGCTGTTCTGCACGAGGTCCTCGTGGGTATTCCGACGCATAATCTGATCGGTATGAGATTCATTCCTGCTGTGGTTTTGGATGAGAACTAACCGAGGCCAGGCGTGGCGTTTGCGGGTATGATGTTTCAACTACCGCTGATCATCATGACCGCCCCCTTGGACAAAGTCCAAGACCCTTTGGGGAGAGTGATTGGCAATTCCATATTCTGGATTAGTTTTTGTCTTGTTGGCCAGCCTCTGGGGGCGTTGCTGTACTTCTTTGCCTGGCAGGCGAAATATGGTACTGTGAGCCGGATGTGAGAGTAGAGAGAGGCACCTTTCACTGTTGACCATAGATGTAAATCAACCACTTCCTTCTGCACGGTAAGCAGAGGGATCGTAACCGTACTCTCCGTGAAAGAACATTCCATGAGGATCCATTGAATTCATCCTGCTGATCTGGCCCTTGCGTCACTGACTAATTCTTCAGTGCTGAATGGCAAGGCAGCAACAATGAGCCACCCGGAGTCGGGTCTGCGAGGATCCGCCAGGATGCTTTAGATCCCGCATCCGGCCGTTCCTATCTCACTTTGGAATCTTCTGAACACACTTTATAATTTATAAGAAGCCACCCCCCACCGAGTCCATTAGTGTCATCTATCCAAGTCCACCCCAGCCATCCTCCACCATGCTTACATTGACTGTTCCCGAGAACTACGGGTATGCGCTAATCCTGCAACCCCTACAACCATCTCAATTTTTGCCGAATACTGACCGCTCTACAGCGCCGTCATCGCCGTCGCCCTGGGCGCAATTCCCGTCCTGGGTTTTATTCATGGCAGCATTGTGACGCGTCTCCGTAAGGGGGCCGAAGTCCCATACCCTCACTGCTATGCGACCGTGGAGCAATGCAAGGCCAATGTACGCCACCCGCTCATGAGCAAGCTGCATCGCGTCGACTGACTAACATTGACTTTCATCTAGCCCAAAGCCGAGCAGTTCAACTGCGCCCAGCGCGCTCACGCCAACTTCCTTGAAAACTCGAGCCAAACTATGCTCTTCATCCTGGCGGCTGGACTGAAGTACCCTCAGCTGGCGACTGGACTGGGAAGCCTGTGGGTTCTGGGCCGTTCCCTGTTCCTCTACGGATACGTATACTCCGGCAAGCCGCGGGGTCGCGGACGAATCTATGGCGGGTTCTACTTGCTTGTGCAGGGGGCTCTTTGGGGATTGACATCATTTGGGGTTGCGAGGGAGCTGATTTCCTACTGAGTCGGGGATTACTCGGTCCTTGCTAGCTGATTGGCAGCGTTGGCCATACATACACATAATCGCCTCTTCTGTAAATTACTACTTAGATCATCTAATATTTGCGGCCGCTATGGTCTGAGGAAAGACAAATGACTTCTTATGGTGGACGTGGTATCTCTTCGGCAAACACTAAAACAGAAAATCTTATTGGAGCTCCGATGGACCTCGGCCGGCAGGGTCACGGTGGCTGACCCCACGGGCCGGAGACGGAACAACCCCTCGCCGGTGTGGCTGGTGCGTGGAGGGGCCCGGTTATGATTTTATTGACTTTCCAGGCCGTGTCGGTAGAGATTCTCAATATCTTTGGTCTTCACCTGATTGTTGAGATCAATCGCAGTCGCTTTATCTGGTAGACTGCCTTTGCTGCTTCCGGACCAATCGATCAGACTTCCTCAGTGAAACCTCCAGATTTACACCCAAACTTGGCCGTCTGCACCCCGCATTCACCCCTCCATCGAAACCATGTCCTCCAAGTCGCAATTGTCTTACAGCGCTCGCGCTAGCAAGCACCCCAATGCTCTGGCCAAGAGGCTGTTTGAGATTGCTGAGGCCAAGAAGACTAACGTCACCGTCTCGGCCGACGTGACCACCACTAAGGACCTTCTAGACCTCGCTGACCGTAGGCCGACCCGATACTCTGCCTCAATATCCTCCATGCAAACTTATTAACGGTGGCTCCGGACTGCAGGTCTCGGTCCCTATATCGCCGTAATCAAAACTCACATCGACATCCTCTCCGATTTCAGTAACGAGACCATCAAGGGACTCAAGGCCCTTGCGGAGAAGCACAACTTTCTTATCTTCGAAGACCGGAAATTCATTGACATCGGCAACACTGTCCAGAAGCAATACCACAGTGGTACTCTTCGGATCTCGGAATGGGCCCACATCATCAACTGCAGCATCCTGCCTGGTGAGGGCATTGTCGAGGCTCTCGCCCAGACTGCGTCTGCGCCGGACTTCCCCTACGGCCCCGAACGCGGCCTCTTGATCTTGGCGGAGATGACCTCCAAGGGTTCTTTGGCCACAGGTCAGTATACTACGTCCTCGGTCGACTATGCCCGGAAATACAAGAACTTCGTCATGGGATTTGTGTCAACTCGCGCTTTGGGCGAGGTGCAATCGGAAGTCAGCTCCCCCTCGGATGAGGAGGACTTTGTGGTCTTTACCACTGGCGTGAACATTTCGTCCAAGGGAGATAAGCTTGGTCAGCAGTATCAGACGCCCGGGTCGGCTATCGGTCGGGGAGCTGATTTCATTATCGCGGGGCGCGGCATCTACGCCGCACCGGACCCGGTGCAGGCGGTGCAACAGTACCGGAAGGAGGGATGGGAGGCGTACCTGGCCCGGACCGGTGCAAACTAAAGATGAAAAGAGGGCAATCATGACGCTTATGGATGATATAGAAATGCAGACTGCCGCGATGAACGTGGACGACTGTCGAGTACAGGTAGCGGTGCATCTTCTGATAGTGAAGTCCTGCCGACTGCGGCATCGGATGTCGAAAGGATATTGATCCTGCAGGTTATGATGGCCGGACAGTCGCTGTGTTGCGTCCATTTGGTGCAGATAAGCTCCGGCATAACTCTTGCGTAGGCCATAGAACAGCCAGCCCGAGCCGAGTGGTGGCTGGCTGATAAGAGTTGGGGATGATAAGCTTAATCGTTGTTGGGAGATAAGCCGTGATGACAGTGGTCCTAGGTACCACTGGATGTGATAACATGGGCCTTCCAGGATCATCAGGATGATGCCTGTATCTGGCCGAGCGCGAAGGATTCGTCGGTATGATTCCGCCTCGATCAATGCCTGATACCCCAATAGCGCGGCCTGTTGTCGCCAGGCATGCATGATATTCATATGCCGGCATCGCTCTATGTGGGCTTGTGGACTCCATGCCATCGCGTGATAAGACGGGTTGGTTCATCCAGCTTCCCACTACTCCGTAATTTCCATCCTGGCCGTATTGCGTATCCTAACTAGTTGAGTTCTCAAGCATCGTTGATGGCTGATGCACGTTGCTCTCGGCTATTCCACCCAATGGATAAGCCCGGGTCCTTGGCCTCCAACAGGGTTCCCCCAACCTTCGCTCGACCGCCTCTCTCCTTCCCCTCATCTCCCTCCCATTCAGGATCCCTCGGCTGAAAGACGTGGCCGCATTGGCTTCCTCGATAAGCTCCTCGTCCGCTACCCCGGACTGATACCAGATAGCATTGCACAGCTGCTTATCGCCGAGGTATGCACACGAAACCCCATTCGGCCGTGCAGATAAAGGGCACGCTTTACTGTGCTTCCGATGGGGTCGGATGACGAGCTGCCAAAGGACATGACCTAAGGGGACCGTGTCTCCTGTGCATGGTTCTTCCCCAGAGGTACTATAACCACTACTTGCCTCCTCACCACCGCATACTGCGACACCCCCTTCCCCCAGGTCTACTCCCCTTCCCCAAGCCAAGGTTCAATATGGCGGAAGAGAAATCTGAGAAAGCTCCACCACAGATGGAGGTGGATGAGGAGAATGGAACCACGAGAGAACTTGATCCGACGCTCGTGAAGCATGCGCAGGATGCTGACGAAGCGCTGGCGGTTTTCCAAGATCTCCATGGTGAAGTCATCACGCTGGATGAGTCGACAAACAAAAGGATTCTTCGAGCGATCGACTGGCACATCATGCCAGTTATGTGCCTTGTCTATGGGATGAACTTCCTGGACAGTTCGTGGTTCCCTCACCAGCTTTCTAAAGCTTTACCCTAACGGTTCGCAGAGACAACTCTGTCCTATGCCAGTATTATGGGGATCAAAAAGGACTTGAACCTCGTAGGCGATGATTACCAATGGTTGGGTAGTCTGTTCTATTTCGGTCGGCACACCTGAACACGTCCAACCCGTCAACGATTATAGTGCGCTGACTGAATGAAGGCTACCTGGCATGGGAGTACCCGACCAACCGACTTCTTCAGAGACTCCCTCTGGGAAAATATTCTGCCACTTGTATTATCATCTGGGGTGCGATCCTGTGCTGCTTTGCTGCCGTCAGTAACTACTCTGGGGCAATTGTCATCCGGTAGATCACCCATCCTCAACCGCATTCATAAGACAATACTAATCAGAGTTCAGCTTTTTCCTCGGTGTCTTTGAAGCCTCTGTCACCCCTGGTTTTGCTCTGATCACCTCGCAGGCGAGTCTTCCCATCATACCCCTCAGACAGCTCTCAACACTACTAACACGTACTAGTGGTACACTAAAGCCGAACAAGGAAGTCGAGTCAACATCTGGTTCAGCTTCAACGGCTGGGGCCAGATTTTCGGTGGTCTGGTAGCCTACGGGATTGCCGTTGGGACGGACCGCCACGGCTCTGCCATCGAGCCCTGGAAGATCATCTTCCTTGTCACAGGGCTTTTAACCGTTTGCCTGGGTGTGCTCTTCCTCTGGATTGTCCCGGACAGCCAGCTCAACGCCCGATGGCTCAAGCATGAAGACCGCGTTCTTGCGCTTGCTCGTGTGCGTGTCAACCAACAGGGAATCGGAAATAAGCACTTTAAGATACACCAGGTGAAGGAGGCCCTTGTGGACCCCATGACTTGGGCTTTCTTTTTCTACGCCCTTATTGCTGACATTCCCAACGGTGGCATTACCAACTTTTTCAGCCAGCTGGTTCGTCCGTCCTCTCAAGTCTCAGCAACAGCATAGCATATCTTTTGCTGACTTAATTCATGTTTTTATAGATCACCAGCTTCGGTTACACAGAAGAACAGAGTCTGCTCTACGGTGTCCCCGGCGGTGCCATCGAAGTCATTTCCCTGGTCGTGAGCGGCTTTCTCGGACAATACACCAACCAGCGACTCCTATGCTGCACAGGTGGTATCATCTTCGGCATTGTGGGCATGATACTCATCGTTGCACTGCCTCTCTCGAATAATGTCGGTCGGTTGATCGGCTTCTACATGACACAAGGGAGCGCCACGCCGTTTGTGGCGCTGCTCGCCATGATCTCGTCGAACGTAGCTGGCTACACGAAGAAGACGACTGTTGCAGCAATTTACTTGATCGGCTATTGTGCAGGAAATATTATCGGTATGTATCTATTCTACTTGTTCCTTCTTTTGGGACTTGGCAACTGACAGGTTTTTGATCCAGGCCCTCAAGTCTTCCGTCCCAAAGATGCACCACGCTATGTTCCCGCGGAGATCACAATTATCGTCTGCTGGGGTGTCTGTCTGTTTATTCTTGCATTCATCTGGTGGTGGTACCGCAAACAAAACGAGAAGAAGGCCCTGGTCCGTGCCAGCCCGGAGTACACACGTATGGAGAACCAAGAGTATGTTGATGCACTTGATTTGGTCGAATCTGCTAATCTAACGGTTGACTTAGGTGGATGGATCTTACTGATTGGGAGAATCACGAACTCGTATATGTTTTGTGATGGCTGTGGCCTCCTAATTTTCTCTCTTGGGCCTGGCGCCTGTAAATGATCATTATGACGACCATGGTGTTGTTGCGTTGCTACTTTTCTGGGAATTTCATGCATAGGGATTATTTCTAGCTTGAGTCTTGTTCTACTCAATGTACTCTGATGTAGAGCATGTCCCACTGTTTACCGCTTGGTGCAGACTTTATCTTCCACCAGCTATATGCGATACAAGTACATAGTAGCAGTAATAGGATGCTTGAATCCAGAACGTCAATCGGTAGCTTTGCCTTGGAGTCAAACTCGACACTCGGAGTAACAAACACATTGCAGCGTGTGTACTGTCACTACTGTGTAGCTGTCAGGCGGGACTGCGGGGTGGGGGCGGTGGGGCCAGCTCCACAGGCACGATACACGGTAGGACAGTAGGTATTGTGTAGCTCCTGCTTCTCTTCATGCTCTTTACCATCAGAGCTGATCCTTGCCCATGACGATCATTGATTGAGACACTTGAGACATCACATCTCCCTATTATTACCTCAGCCCCCCCCCCCCCCCCCCGAGAAAATCAGATTACCAGCACCATGGTTTGAACTGGCGATCCCAACAGTCGTGGGCAGCCGGTTCGTTGGTCCGCCGACCCACTCACTACAGCATGGAAGCAGGAGTCCTGTGGCAATCGATATCAGAACCATCTGCTTGGACAGAGAAATCACAAGCACTGACGTATGTGGTTGCTGATGGTGTATACCATCGACTGTATGTGTCCTTTGCTGATGAGGTAACAAGACAGCCACTGACGCGGGATGGAAAAGTGAAATATCACCCGGGATACGATGCGGTATAGCCAGGGAACCACGCCCAAGCGGTACAGACGGGAAATACTCATGACATTTAGATGCTATAAAAACGCCGAAGGTAGTCCTGGGACAGGACATACGATGAGTATTATCAAGGATGATTTCATGCGTTTCTACCTTTTTCTCTTGATTTGGCCTACGATCAACACCGTTGATAAAGTGACATGGCTCCAGGAACGAGACCCCGAAATGGAGAAGGAGCGAGACAGGAGAATCAACCGAAGATCGGACGCCCCCGCAAGTACCATACCAAGGAGGAGGCGGACTCAGCTCGTCGGCGTCTCGCACGGGATCTCTATCATCGTCGGAAGAGCAAGGCTGATAATCCAACCGCCAGAAGGATCCGCTTTGATACGGTCTTGAGGCCGCAAGATTTTGAAGGTGCTGTTCCATCTTCACCTCCTAGTACTCCAATGAAGCGTTGGAACGACAAGAAGGTAAGCCGCACATTAAATGTCCCGGTTGATGCGCAGTAACAAGTCTGTTCCAAGCCACACGATGCGAGCCGGAATGGCCTCGACTCTTCCGCACATCCTTCCGCTCAACCCGGAACCAACAGCCGCAATGTCAACCCACCACCACCATCAGTACGAAACTGCCAGTGCCGAGTCAACATGATGCTCCAAGTATCTAGGCTCGAATGCGCGATACGGGAAATGGCCATACTGCAACTCGATAAGATGGTCAAGGCGACGGGGGATGTGATTCGGAGCTGTCAACAGTCAACTCGCTGTGGGTGTTATGTGGGCCCGGTGGACTTGGTCTGCATCATGAGCGTCTTTGAGCAGACGGCTTCTTGCTTTGACTATATTGCAAAATCTGGCTTCGATGGGAATGGCAAGGTGGGAACCAAAAACTTGTGCTTTTCGGTTGCTAACAGCGTTTCTCTGTAACAGATGCTAGTTTTAGATCTCATCAGACAGTCCAATACACTGATGGACTCGGTGGACGCTCTTGCACAGAAGATGATGGCGCCATCGAGACAGAAGGATCCGGGGATCAAAGCTATGGACCGATCCCCAGTGTGTTTAAATCAACTCAACCTAACTTATGTACGAGAGGCTATTGCAACATTTAAAGAACTTTTTGGATTTATTACCAAAGTCCATGGGGAGATTTGATACCGGGATATCAAAGTATCGTCCTCTCTCTGTCGCTATCGAGCCCTCGTTGGCACCAGGATATAATCTCTGATGAGATGAGGTAGCTTTATGCCTCGATTCTTGCACAATCGATGCCATCCAAGTAAATAACACGTGTGGATGCGTATCAGAGAAAACCTACACAATTCGAGGTTGGAAGGTACTGGAAATGCCAGCCTTCAGGATGGGGAGGAGTTTCGCGATCAGAGTAAATTGAGCGAAATGGTCGATATGGAAATAATTCTCGACTGTGTCATTTGTAAGGTCCTTTGGGACCTCGCATACTCCTGGGATAATTAGTGAATGGCGTGCTGGTAAGATGCGGTATACTAACCAGCGTAACTCATTAGTATGTTAAGTGCCACCCAATTGTTGAACCTCCCCCAAGACTTTCCAGCCACTCTACGAGCACTAGACGCTTCTTCTAAATCTGGCTCGTAGTGCTCACAGTGGGTTTTCAGATCCACTACGTATCCCCATAGGATCATTCTCCGACGTTGCTGGTGATCTCACGGCCTGACTTTCGACTAGGCTCTCCCGGTCCCGGTCCCAGGAACAAACAAGCACCCCTCTCACAAAGAGCCCGGCGAATTTATACTTTCCCCCGATATATCTTGCCGTTCAAGAGGGGGTAGGAGAGAGGGAAACATCCTCAGATAGAGTAGATTGCTGCTCAACAGGTCGACGTGATTTCAACTCTTCCCGTCTCCTCGCTCTCCTCGCTCTATCTCGTTGCTTAAATTCTTCCTCCTGGGCTATTGGCTCTCGAGCAAGTAGTGTTCGAACCCGCACATACTGCTTCTTGAATTCCTCCCAATCATTCCCTGCTTCATCAATGGGTCGTTCGGGGTCCTCCATCCGCTGCTTATAACGCAAGAGTCTCTGCGTCAGCTGTGGATTGATCTAGATCCAACCAATTAGCCACTTACTTTATTTTTTTTTCTATACCGTCAAACAAAATACCCACTTACCGGAGTACACGTATTCCGTTGCCTCGAACAATATTCGCATTTCTTTCTTTTCGCTCTATCAAAGACACAGTCTGGGATGTCATCCTGGGTTCGAATTCGTTTCATCCACATATTGAAACAACGGGTGCAGACCGTCGTTATTTCCATATCCCCAGCTATGCTCTTGGGTCTGTCTTCAATTGGAGTAAACCACTCCGCTGTCGGTGTCTGGGACCAGGGATCCCGAGGCGCGGGGGTTGATGTCCGTGGCGGTGGATGGTTTTCTTGTCCTGCGACTCCCTCGCTCTGCTGTCCGTGGTCGTATCCCTCCTGTGGCTGCTGGGTTTCGGGAATGGTGCTTGAGATCTGCGCGGGTTCTTGTCTAGCAGTCCTAGAAGCCAGACGGTCCATCGCTTGCACCACCTTTCCTATAGTGCCTATGAAAGACGCATCTCCCGCAGGTGCTATCTCGGTTGCTACTGGTGGTACTGCTGCCTGTGAAATCATCTCCCTGATCCCGGGCATTGAGGGCGGAGGCCCTCCTTCAGTGTACAAGATTAGTCGGAGCATCCGATGCATGGCCTGTTGCATGTGCTGCATGGCTTGGTTGGAGCTTTTCATGGCCTGCTGGGTGTGTTGCATGGCTTGGTTGGAGAGTTGCATAGCTTGGTTGGAGAGTTGCATGGCCTGCTGGGTGTCCTCCATGATCCGTTGCACTATTCCACGTCGTGGGTCCCGGTTCTCCATTTTGTTATAGTGGTACAGTCTTCCTGGCTCGGCTTGCGATTGTCCGTGGCTTGGGGGGTAGAGGCTAGAGAGCTACTTAGCCACTCCATACGCCGCCGGGACATACAGCCATCTGCCATACAGCCATGCGTACTGCGCTTTCTCTCACCGCCGTACTACACCGCCTTTGATTTTGCCCTCCTACTCCGTACAATTACATACTGTGTACTACTTAAGATAATCATGTCCATTCAGATATAACAGACGTCCATCATCTTCCCTTCTAATATCCACCCGCAGCATGTCCTGCAATTTCCGTCCTCCCCTTGTCTTCTCTCATCCTTTCCCAATCTCAGTCTCCGGCGTGCATGGTCATCGTTAAATGATGTGAAAGGAAATACTAAATATAACGCCCGACTAATGTCAGTATCATGTATCTAATCTGATTCGAAGGCTGCAAGAAACGTACCAACAAACGGCACACAACCGTCTATGTCCCAGGCCCGTCCCTACCACCCAACCGGGGCCTGTGTCGTGTTTGGGGATACTGGTCAAATGTCAGCATCACTACTGACAATTGCATCGAATAGATATAGCTTACCCGAAGGTGGAAGGCGCGTGGGAAGTTGTCTACAGTGAGTATCCCAGGCTGGGTCCCTACCATCCAGTCGAGGCTTGTGTCGCGTGTGGAAAAACTTGCCTCAACGAGCGCGTGTCCTGTGTCTAGCCTTGACTCAAACTTATCAGTATCTCTACCAATATTGTGTGGAGCGATATCACTTACCGCAAAAGAAAGTGGCGTGTAAAGTGTCTATAGTCTATGTCCTAGGCCTGCTGCGTATGGGAAGTTTGTCGTAATGAGCACGTGTCGAATGTCGAGTATCTTTTTTTTTTTTTTTCCAATATGAGAACGTCAGCATAGCTATCAAAGTATTGCATAGAGCAGATGCTACTCACCTACCGGGGAATGGGCACTATGGGGGATATGGCGTAATGGCGAATGGATCGTGCAAAGTCGCCCCAGGCCCGCCCTACCACCCTTCCGAGGCCTGGTGTCGGTATGATGCTCGCCTCAATGAGCCGCGTGTCGAATGTATAATGAACAAGTCAGAGTGTACAGCAGAGTATAGAGCAAATATTACCTACCGAGAGGAGAATGGGGCGGTTAAAATGGAGCGTGCAAAGTTGTGTACTTTCCATGTCCCGACCCGTGTTGGTATGGGACGACTTACCTTCACGGCTTGTGTTAGGTCTTTAGTATCAGACTGTGAGCATATCGACCAAGTCATATGAGGCTTATACAGCACTTACCAAGCTAGAAAGGCAGTCTATGTGCCAAACCCGTCCCTTCACCCATGCGAGACCTGGTTGATATGGCCTCAACAAACCGTGTCTTGGGTATCTGATAGTACATAGAGAAAGTATCGTAGCAGAACCTTCCCACTGCGAGAAGGAGTGACAAAAACAGGGTGCGAAGCTTGCAGAATCTTTTGTCCATCTATATGTATCCCAGGCCCATCCTATCGCCCCTTTGAGGCCTGTGGCTTCGGTGTGGACGGGTTTGCCTCAATCGATTATGTATTGTAGACCTATTCACAACAGGCAATAAGTATTTCAATCAAGTAGTCTCGACACTTGGATGTACTTACCTACAGGAGAATGGCGCGTTCAGAGTCGTCTATATCCCAAGCCCGCCCTACCTCCCAACCGGGGCTTGGTCGAAGTTGGCGTGTTGTTGGCCCCTATTCTGTTAGTAGTTACACAACAACCACCTATTTATTTTCTGGGATGATATATTTACTTGAAAGGTTCGAAGACGATTCCGAAGCTGGTCGTGGTCGTAGGTTGTCGTGAGTCGCCAGACAGTGTCCTCCTTTATCGATCACTAGCCGTGTCGTCTTCCGTAACCGTTGTAGTCGTTGCCCTATATGCCGAAGTCGAACTATCCAAATCTCACGGTGTCGTCGAGGTCGTTAAGTCGTGAGGTGGTGTCCCAGAACCAGGTCAACTATAGGCCTTTCGGAAAGCGTGTCGGTACAACTAAGCCCAAATGTTAGTATAGTCACAATATGATACGTCTTGTCGTGTCCTAGTCGATTGTGTCGAGCCTCGAGTCGGTTGTTGATCCCAAAACAATCCCAACCAATTGTCGTTTCCACTGTTGAGTTTCGAACCGGCTGTTGAACCCTCGTCTGTCAATCTGTCCCAAGTCGAGTTTCCCTTTCCACAGTCGAGTCCCCGTTCCCAAGTCGAGTTTGCCTTCCCCCAAGTCGAGTTTCCCTTTCCCAGTCGAGTCCCCGTTCCCAAGTCGAGTTTCCCTTTCTATAGTCGAGCCCCCTCCCCCCCCCCCCCCCCAAGTCGTAAGCGTAGTCGTGTCCAGGCCCGCCCTACCACCCACCATGAGCTTGTTCAAAAAACATAGCTAATTTTCCATTAGCATACCTAAAACAAGAAAGACAATAAGAGAACAGCTTGTATGAAGCTTTAGCCAAAAGGGTAATCAAGAAAAGCACGTAGCAGAAGAGGGTGTGAAAATGCGGTAAGCAAAAGTGATCGAATGTCTGTTGTCATAAGCTAAGCCAACAAGTCAGTCGCTATTTTTATAAGTCAACATCGAGCCACTTGCCTGTCTTCGATAAGTGGCCGACTCGGACCAGCCACTCATCCAAGAGAATAAGCAGCTCGATGCCACGGCGTATACCAAAGAAGAAAAACAAAACACCTTCAAAAGTCATGGTCGGGTATATCAAACAATTAGCCACAGCTCCCATACATCAATCAACTAATGCACTTACCATGTTTTGGAAGTTATAAATCCAACACTGCAGCTCAACTAATATCTGCTTGGTGGAAGCTACGCAAAGAAGTCAGCCAAGTTCTCAAGGAAGGAGTCTATATTAGCCCACTTGTAAGATTGTGAATCGAAAGACTGGCGTGTGTCCGATGTCCCAGGCCCGTCCCTACCACCCTCCAAAACCTGTCGTTGTTTGATATCCTAATAAACGTCAGCTATGCCCAAACAGTCAGTTCATAGACTCTGAGTCCACAGTGTCCGACCAACCAATCACGAACCAGCCTGTCAACCAAAGCGCCAACCACCCAACCAACATTATACATCGAAAGTCTGGCGCGTGTCCGATGTCCCAGATCCGTCCCTGCCACCCTCCAAAGCCTGGTGAAATAACCCTGTAGTTGTCAGCATGCGTTCATAATCACCAGGTCAGATCAAACCACTTTCCATTTACACAATGTTGAATGCAACCACACACGCATGTGAGGTTGAAACCCACCCTCCAACCACAGTCTGTTCCGTTCAATGTCCTAAAACAGGTCAGCCATAATCAAACGGTCAGTTCAAAGATACACTACATTTTCCAACCAACCACCAAAAAGACCAGCCCAGGCCCGTCCCTACCACCCTCCGAGGCCTGTCGTCGTTTGATATCCTACTACAAGTCAGCCATGCTCAAACAGTCAGTTCGAAGATACTCTACATCATCCAACCAACCACCAAACAGACCAGCCAGCCACCATGTCCCAGGCCCGTCCCTACCACCCTCCAAGGCCTGTTGTTGTTCGATATCCTAATACAATGTTAGCCATGCTCAGTCAGTCAGTTGAATGGGTACTTCGCATTATCTGACCAACCAACCCACTATCCAACCAGGCAGCCAAGAACCAACCAGCTAACCAAAGTACCAACCAACTAACCAAAAGTACCAACCAACTAACCAAAAGTACCAACCACCCAACCGCATCCTCCTGCTTAGATTATAAACGTTAGCTATCTACCAGAACGCAAGTCGATATCAAGCTACCCACTTGTTTGATTGTTAAGTTGCTCCAACACAGACAGCACACAACCGTCTGATCCAATCGAAGAAAGGCACGCCACTATAAAAGACAACCTCGTCAGTAAGCTGTTACTCGACAACAAGTCGATATCTAGCACTCACACACATGATTGTTCCACCGCACCAACACAGCTCGTACGTAGGTACCGTCACTATAAGGACCACAAACACATTGACAAGTTAGCCATTTGCCCATACAACGAGTTCATGTCAAGCCACTCACACTTTGAATCACTGTCTGTCACGCCGTCGTTGTCAGTATCGACTCGCCTGTTGTCGCTAGAAGCACTCCCTGCAAGCCGATTAACGTAAAACCAATGAGGAGAGAAGCTAACCTTGTCAGGTCAAACGGCAATCATACGATGTCTGATGCCCCTGGCCCAACCCTGCCACCCGACCGTCGAATGTTTGTCTTTTGTAGTGCCTCTTGTTCTTTTGTTTTTGCAGGCTCTTTTTCTTCACATGACCTCGTGTTCCCCTTTTTTTGCAGGTCTCTTTTTTTTCTTCTGTGGGTATGTTTTTCCTCCGTGTCTTGCCTCTCCCACGTAGGCACTCTGTCCTCCGCCGACACCTGTGACGATGAAGTAGGCTAGCTAGCTATCTAATGGGCAAGAGGGTAGATGGGGATAAATGGGGATAGATGGCAAGAGATGGCAAGAGATGGCAAGAGATGGCAAAAGCTACAAGAAGATAAACGAAGATAGGAAGGCAAGGAAAGGTGTCGACGAGTGGCCACAGGCGCGCTTGGGAGGAAAGAGAAGAAGAGTTTCTCCCGGGCGCGAGAAAAAGGAAGGGGTATTTATACCTGTGGGAATTGGCCCGGTCACGCCTGCGACTAGCGGGGGTGCAATGAACGATGAGTGAATAATGACAGAGATTGGGGGGGGAAGTCAGCGGAAGAAACCAGGGAAAACACGGAGGGGTGACTCAGTAACACTCAGAGAGGTGAAGCTGTTAATGCGACGGGCGAATGGCGGCGGGCGAGCAACACGGCAGGTGTGGCCGTTGACCTTAGGAAGGTGCAATGGGCAACGGTCCAGAATTGGAAGGAGTCATCGGATGCTTCGAAGGGCTGTCGACTCCGTATATGACTACGACCCCTCTGAGTCAAGGCTGGGAGTATGTACAGGAGTCATAGACTGCGAGGCCATGTCATATCATCTCACCCTATTGACTCACTTCCAGACACAGCTACCAACGACGCCTGTCATCGAGTGCGTTCTTGACTCACCAAAGGCGAGCTGGCCTGCCTTACGTACTGGGCAGGTCATTATAGGGTCATGTATGGTCTGGGTTAGACTAGATACCTTACACAGGCAATGTAGCTCCTCCAAGCACGACCGTATGGCTGTTAGAAGTATCCATATCCGTAACAGAGTAAGTCGCTATAGTTCCTGTTGATACGGTTCCATGGTACACCACCCGACGCCCAGACTTTGTTCCAGGCACGAAGTATACAGCAACCCAGCTAGGCAGATAGTATTACGCAGTAATCGTCATTGGGTAGCAGGGGGGGTCTCGCATCCTGAACGGCTCGAAAGAGCCAGGCCTAGGCCCAGTGCTACCTACCTGAAGTCCTCATTGGTACCTCGGGTGGCATTGGACAACCCTACAAGCACGAACATCGGATGCCAAGGATGGGCCTGCTATTATTAGGTGGTATTATGTGGTGGTAGGGCTCCTACCAAATTGTGCACATCCTAGTTACATATACATATCGTCTATGAAAAGAAAGTCGGGCGTGACGGTGTAGACATTACGGGGTGCTCACAACCAGGAATAGAATCAACTTCATGATCTGGTAATTCTGACGACCAGTTAAACACGTAGTCTCAAACAGTACATGTGGGCAAAGACGTGAGACTAACTAGTCTCAAGTATTTATCCTACGAAATATCGACATCTTCCATTTTCACAGATGAGCCACCCCAGCCACCCCAGCCACATCATCGACGGTTATCGAGCAGAAAGGTTGTCCTGGATAAGGAATGTCACCTCACACACAGACAGCACCTGCTATGCTGGCAACCACGTGCCATGCCTTATCAGCGCCCTGGAGGGCGACAGGGCCGATGCATCGAGTCGTCGACTGTCCTACAAACAGCCAGCGGGAGCGGAGGGCATGCCAAGACGTCACTAGTGGCTGACGTTGGCCGTGCAGATTCGGGGATTATTTGGTGGGGGATTTGTGGAAGATCCCTAGTCTATTGGATTTGGGGTTGGTTGGATACGGATGATTGGTATGGGCCCGGTGTAGCTACGGCGTCTCTTCTGGTCAAGACTAGTCGGTATGCTGTAGCTTATTATTGGAACACTGGCGGTAAGTGAAACAGCTCGGTCTGGCACACCAGAAAGCGCCGACACATTCTGGACATGATTGGAAGAAACTAACTTTGGTTATAAGCGCCTGGTACTTGGTAGGCCACCAGAGTATCACGAGCCACGAGTGTGTGCCCAATTTTGCGACTGTCGGTCCTGCATGCGGGAAGATTGTTGGCTGAGCGCTATCAGTAATCTGCAGGCATCGCATCGTCGGAGGAGTTCCACCGCAGCGCTTCAGAGTTCAAACACAATGGAAATACCAGGTTCGGTACCTCCATTCACGGCAGGCTAGTAAGTATCTGGCCGATCTTTTCCAGTATCTAACCTTCACAGTTCACACCATGGACCGGGGGGGGAGGGTACCAAATTTCGACGATCTGCCTGGCCGATTGCGCTCCGCGATAACTGGCGGTGAATCGGGAAGGCCAATGACAGGTCCTCGAGGTGGGGTGCGGAACCGGAGATTGGCTGGCAGGGAACATTGGCAGGTGGGGGCGATGGGGGGCCAATGGGACGGCGCGAGGGGGACGAATGGACAGTCTGGATCGCCAATGGCCAGCAAGGAGGTACACCATCGACTAAAGGATTTAGGTAGAGACTAATGGCGACTAGAAATGGCCCAGTGGACGCCGTCGCAGGGAACCCTGTCCCCTGAGCTGGGATTGGTGCTGACTGAGTTTCATGCAGGGACGTCGAATCCGAGGAAAAATTGGGGGAGCGACGGGATTGGCGCATGCAGGGGATCTCAGCAACAGCAGCAGCGGGTGACATGCCCCGCTGCAAAACGAGCAAAGCAAAGGAAGGTCGGTCCTTTGGACCTATCGCACTCTATAATGAATTTTAACTTTCGGGCGAATGCGATTGCGGGGGTCTTTTGACTCTTTTGAGTCGGACTCTCAGTGGGAGGTTCCAGTTTCCACCAGATTGGGCCCCAACTGGTTTCTTTCAGTCATTCATTCAATGATCTTTCCTTTCTTTCTTTCTTAGTAGTATTGTTTGGGTCATTATTGTAAGATGCGATCTCCCAGTGTCCACTACAACTACGACTAGTTCCCGTTTAACCGGTTTGGTCTGCCGCCAGAGAGGGTCGCAGGCGCTTGGAATGCCGGCGGGTTATTTATTATAAGACCTGTCTCGAACACCCTCTCCTGACCTCCGTCGACCTCCCTCATCCCTTCCTTGGAGAGCATTCTCCTGCAGCCTTCTCGTTCTCTTCTGTTGATCATCATTGTCGATCTTCCACGTCTTTCATTTACCGCTCCTACCTAGCTCCTCAGCGTGACTAGTGTTCTCGGTAAGTCATCATCCATCCTGTTCCTCGTCGTCATCCCCTCTCAGAACCCTAATCTTATCGGCCGGTCCTCCTGACATCCCTCCAGGGTCATCGCAGACTCTCTCATTCATCAAATACTAGCTAGCATTCTTTCATCATTTCTTGATTTATCGTCCTTCCGACCCTTTTGCCTAAACATAACACACACCCACACACTACTCGTCCCGAGCCATGACCAGCTGCTGATCCGCATTCTTCTGTCTCCTGACTGGTGCCATTTGGCAGAGCATGTGAATCGGCTGGACCGCGTCATTCTTCAGTCAACGCAGTTCTCGGCCCTGGAGGCGCAGGCACGATGGCTGCCACGTTCACATGCCCCCGCTTCGATCTTCCGGGTGGCTATTCCAACCAGCTCTCCCCACCCCCATCGCCGCTCAGCCTAGTGCCAGAGCATCCGACAAAAGTCCCTTCTCTCATCACTTCTCAGATCGTCTCACCCGGTGTGAACGACTACGCCGACGAGGTCACTGGAATCACCGTGGGTGCAGGTACCCCGCCCACCGTGTCGGACCAATCTATCGATGAGCCTTCAGACAGCATGGAGAGCACAACCTCCAAGAACACCTCCCCATCGTCTTCCCCGTCATCCCCGTCATCCCCGTCATCCCCATCGGACAGCCGCCGGACCTCTAAACGCAAACGAACCGTCTCACCCCCTTCGCCGTCTAAATATCCAGAACAACTTCGCTCGTCTCGCAATCCGCGACGCTCTACTCCCAATAGCCGACATAGCTCGCACCATCGCTCCGCTACCACCCCCTCTATCACACCGCTAGCTGACCAGACAACCCGACGTGAGGACCTGATCGCTCTGCATCGCGAGTCCTGCCGTCTGTTCCAGGAGGATGGGTTGTCAAAGCCCAGCGCACGCGTATCTCGACCTCCGTCCTCCAGCAATCCTCGCACTCCACCGCGACCTCTTCGCTCCTCTTCCAGCGCCAGCTCTCCACCTACACTGCGAACCCAGCTCTCCATCTCCACCTACCAGGGGCAGAACCGCCAGGATGAGTCTCTACGACCCCCATTGCGCGCGTCTACCTTTTCTGCGTACGAGCCTACCTGCCACTCACCAATCACACCCACAATGACGGTGATTGACTGGACGTCGCCATCCACACGGAGACGCGAGTACGAAAAGATCGATCGCGCCAGCAGTGGTGTGCGAGGGTTCTGGCGACGGGTGGCGCCTCGATGGTGTCAATTCGGAGACAACCGCACGCCATTCTTCGAAGAAGGCAAAGACGGCAAGGGAAACTATGGGGGAAGTGTGCGACGGTTCCGCATGGACATTCCAGAGGAGACGGGCGAGAACAAAAGCAGCACATTGCCGCGCAGCTTCAAACTAACCCGGAAGTTGACCGTGTCTCGAACGAGCAACCGTCTGAAGACGTAATTTCACCTAGCGTGCTTTCACAATAGCCGGCGATTTGCATTTGATACCCCAGCAATAGAATGCAGCAGCAACTCTTTACATAATAACATTGCCATTGCCATAGTATGCCACAATAATCCGGAGTACAATTCATCTAGTAGTAAAAAACTTTTCCACAACGCCAGAACAACCCAAAAAACAACAGCAGCAGCAACAGTAAAATGATATGGGTATCCTCGATTCCTCACAACATATCAAAATCATCCAAGTTATCCCGATAGCGCATAATACTCCGCTTAATCTTGCTATTATCCGCCCACGTCACGAAATCCTCCATATTGCGAGTAACCAGGTAGGCGGGATCAGTCACGACTTCGGTACCCACGCGCACCTGACCTTGTTCGATGAACGTGACAGCCTATCACACATATATTAGCATGACCATCCCATCACATAATCCCCTCCCCCAGAAGAGAGAAAAGAGGACACGAAGGAACAAATAGAAAAAGAGTCAGGGACTAGTAAACCCCTCAACCCCCCCAAGACCAACCAACCAACCAACCAAACAAACATACCGTCTTAACATTCTCCACCATTCCACTCCTGGCCATAAATACCGCCAACCTCCTTCTACAAAACGCACTAACGGTAACCTCCCTCTCGACTCTCGACAACCCCGCCCCCTGTTCGCGACTCTGCTTCAACACCCCCATGCGAAACAACTTATCCAGCACCTCGCTTTCCAACTTCTTCCGAACGGGATCGCTCTCCGGGTCCAGCTCGGAGAGTTTATGGGCCAGGTGGCGCAGAGATCCGCATAATTGGTTGTATTTGCGGTAGTCGGCGGGGTCTTGCAGGTGGTAGCGGGTGCGGATTTGGGATTCGCGATGGTTGTTGTCGGATTTGTAGGTGTGGAAGTCGACTTTGCGGAGAAGTTTCTTTTCGTGGTGTTTTAGTTGACGGACCATTTTGGTGGGGGGTGGGGTTTGGGTAGGGTGTGGGTTTGGAGGTGTTGTTGTGGTGAATGTGGTTTGGTGGTTGGCTTGTAGTTGGGGTGATCTTCAAGTTGATAAGACCGGAGAAAATTTTGGATAGGACCTTTACTTTATTGCTGGTATTATGGATGGGTTGGGGTGGTTGGTGGGTGCTGGTTGGTTGGATTCCGGGCGGTGAGGAGGGCGGTGGTGGTCGTTTTGACTCGGCTGCTGTCATGAGGTGGCTGGCCAATTATCCTTATTCGAGTCTGTTGTCAGAACTTACATTCAACGTGGGTGGTTGGTTCTATGGTCGGAGATCACTCTGCAGTAGTGGCTTTTGTATACTCAATAAGGTTACCATTATGAGTTTCTACTGCAAGGGCTGCTTCTTTGATACTTATGGAACCTCACATGATCCTGAGAGATCGCTGGTAATTGTTCCTGTCCACTACCCTGACTGAAGAAGTAGAACATGTATGATGATATTGACCCGATTGAGGATCATCCGTAGATTCTATATTCTCGATCAAATTGCAGAAAAAAGCCACCCATATTATACACAATATCCACGACACATCTGCTACACTCCAGGAAGAAAAGTCTTCAGTCCCATAGCAAATCGCCGGATTTGTTTCGCATAATAGCTCTACATCATTAGTATCCACATGCCACGAAGAATATAAACAACTTACCGATTCCAATCCCGCACCCACGCCCTTCAGCGCTAGCAGCCGTGCCAGGAACGGCATAGGAACCCGGTTCAGGACTAACTGGGCCTCATCGTCCGGTACACTCTCATCCAAGAGGACTAGAGGTAGCTTAGGATCAATCGCAGCCGGACGGCCAATCCCAACCACATCGCATGCATTCTGTTGCAGTGCGGACTCGGCTCCAGCACGCGTCCGGAAACCACCCGTCAGCATAAGCACGAGGTCCGGGAATCGCTTGCGGGTTTCCGTTGCAAACTCGATAAAGAACGCTTCACGGGCAACAGTGCGTTGGCTTTTCTCGGGTCCCATCATCTGATTGATAAGTCAATCTCTGCAGATATGCATCGGTGTTAGGATCACTGACCGTTGGGTTCTCGTAGCTTCCTCCGCTGACTTCGAGAAAATCAATTCCCGCTTCGATGAGAAGCTTGATCTGAGTCATGGTGTCTTCGAATGTGGACGAGCTGTGGTCGGCGGAATTAAGCTTGATGCCGATGGCAAACGTCTGAGGCACGACCTGGCGAATCGCGTGAATCATATCCACGACGAACTTGGCTCTGTTCTCCGCCGATCCACCATATGTATCGGTTCGTTGGTTGGACTACTCAATTTAGCTTGGCCCTATCTGAAATCTGACTCGTCCTACCTTGGAGTTCAAGAATTGATCTGCCTCATTAGCGTGAACTGATAATAGGACAGGCTAACATACCGATCAAGTAACCGTGCGCACCGTGCAGCTCAATTCCAGAGAAGCCACTGTCGGCCATCAAACGGGCCGCGTCAACAAACTGACGGGTGACCCGGTCGATATCACCCTGAGTCATCTCGCGAGGTGGAGGGAAAACAAGCCAGCTAAGCAGTCGCTGCACCAAGCTGTCTCCCATCTGCAGAGGAATAGCACTCGGTGCAATTGGTGGCGCAAAGAGACCTCGACGACCCGCAAACCGCAGCGACTGTCGACCAGGATGACAGACCTGTACGATGGTCGGGGTTCCATGTTGCTGACAGGACTTGGCATATTGACTCCAGTTGTCAACTAGTGCTTCGTTGCCTTCTTTACCGGTGTATTCAGCGTGCAAGGCAGGATCACGAGGGGTACCGAGGTGATCCACGTCCACTTGGACATTTCCTGATCTTGATAAGCATCCTCCCGTCTGTATTCTGTAGATCCAAGGTACCTGTGAGAAGAGCACCCCAACCGCCCTGGCCCCATTGGTTATATGCCTCAAGTAACGTAGGTGTTGGGACATTCCCTGATCCAGCCAGCGACTCGGCCATTGCAGCCTGTAGCTAGTCAGATCGGATCATGGTCAATGAATGAACCAACCTACCTTGGCTAGGCGGTTGGGAAAGACCAGCCCGCAGGGAAGCCGAACGGACTCATGTAGGGACGCCATTGTGTGAGAAGACAGAAGAGAAAAGGCTGATTGCGATGGGGAAAAAAGGAATTTGTTCGTGATAAGTCCCTGGCGGCCCGAAAAATTCAGCCGAGGCCTCAAACCACGTGGAGAGTATACATGGTGCACGGTGGAGAAGCCGTTAGCTCGTTTAGCATCAAAGCCAAGATCTCTGCAGATGCTTATCAATTATCGCCACCCCAGATGTCGCCTGCTGTATTGCAGCACAACAGTACGCAGAGATCTCCTTATGATACTATCAATAAGCAGCAAAGACACGGAACCTGAATGTCCAGATTCCTGCTCACCAGTTTGGACCACCCATACGACTTGAGAAGCCATGCTGTGTCCGATCCAGGCCTACAGTATACACCGGTCAGGAATTCTAATCCAACCACTAAAGACCTCCTTTTTAGGCAATAAGGGGTTGTCTAAGCAGACTTTTCTGTTCCATGGTCAGTCGTTCGGGTGGAAAAAGGCGTCCGGGTATCCAACCTCGGGCAACCGGATATCCGCGGTCGAGATAGCCGGACACCGGGATGCAGCCTCCGACCACTCGGCCTGTGCAGGACAATCCGCCCGTGGAACGGATCGTCTGACAGCTGTCCAGGGCCCAGGCCAGTTCAAGTACAGCATCGTCTGCCGGCTATTTACCCGCTTCGTCTAGGTGGAACCGATCGGACCCTGAGATGAGCGGATTCCATCGCCGATCTGGCCGTCCCGGCGCGAGCTGCAACTCTTCCTTAGCCTGCATAAGCTTATTTGAACGGATTCCGACGGAGGACCCTGCGTCTGGAGTCAGCCTGTCTCATCTCCACTTCACATGCAAGTCGCTGACGTGGTACCTACTACCTGGGTATGAGTCTACTACTGTATCACGTTCAGGCAATCCCTCGGCCTGATTCTCGTCTTGGCTGTGGCTGAGAACATGGATCTTTTGAAGAGTTCGAATGTGAGTGTCGGGTAAGAATAAGCAAGTGTAAGACTCGATCGACTCCCCGGAGTTGGAGTTCCCCGCTGGAGATGGCCTCATCACATGACCCCGACTGCAGGCGCTAGCCAGGCGCTGCTGGGAAAGACAGCCGTGCGGGGGACTTTAAGTCTTCAAGAAAGTTCAAGCATAACGGTCAAATCTATGAACATTGAACAGAGAACTACGACAACAACTAAACATCTAAGCGAGGAGCTACGGAAGGAAACGAGCCCGAAGAAAATATGGATCATTGAATCATCCGGTTTACCCAACACGAGACCAGTTCTAAGCTAACCAAAACCTAGTCCAACATCGCTGGTATCCGACAACAGAATCGTCATTAAGAGGTGTCAGAATCCGTGAAAGAATGGGGGTATACAAGAAGCACATCCTTCCAAGCGGGATTCGGGAAACAAGAAACGCGCTCGAAAACAAAACCAAGCCAAGCTGGACAAGCCAGTATTTTAGGAAAGAAAGGGAGGTGCTCAAGCTTACAGCTTGGCATTCTTGTCCTCCTCATTCAGGCCCTCCAAAGCGAAGGCGCTGGTTCCCAGGCTAGCCAGGATGGAGCCAACCTCGCGCTCCAAAGCCAAGACTTCGGTGTGGGGGTTGTACATGCGGGCCTTGATCCAGGCGTCCAGAGCCTCGTCGTTCATCGTACGCAGGGTGGTCTCACGGTCGACCTTGGCTTCTTGGGCCGCGCGGATGACGTTGCGGGCCACGACGACGCTGACCTCACGGATGCGGGTCAGGTCGGGGTAGAGAAGGGCACGGTCGATCTCTTCAGCAGTGAGGGCCTTGGAGAGGGCCTCACCCGAGGCGTAGATCATGCTGTCGGTGACCTTGACGGCCTTGGAGAGGATGGTACCCAGTCCGATACCGGGGAAGACATACATGTTGTTGCCCTGACCGGGGTAGTAGGTGCGAGTCTCGCCAGCAGAGTTGGTGAACGACATGGGCTGGAAGGGAGAGCCGGAAGCGAAGAGCGCCCGGCCATCAGTGTTGGTGACAGCGCTCTCGTAGTCACACTCGGACTTGGACGAGGGGTTGGACAGAGGGAAGATGATGGGGTGGGTGTTCCACTCGGCCATCTTGCGCAGAAGCTCGGGGGTGAAGACACCACCGATGGTGGAGAGACCCATGAGGATGGTCGGCTTCACATGGTCAACAACTTCCTCGAGGCTCTTCAGCTGGAGGCCGGCGTTGTCCGTGCGGGCGAAGTAGACCTTGTGATCGGCGAGCTTGTCACCACGGTCAGCAGTGACAAGACCCTTGGTGTCAACCAGGTAGAAGCAGGCGCGAGCCTCATCCTCGGTCATGCCCTCGCGGACAAAGAAGTCAACGATCTGCTTGGCAACACCGACACCGGCACTGCCGGCGCCGAAGAAGACGGCACGGTGCTCCTTGCAGGGGAGGCCAGAGCGCTTCACAGCGTTTATCACACCACCGAGGATGACGGCGCCAGTACCCTGGATGTCATCGTTGAAGCATGTGTAGACATCACGGTAACGCTCCAGAGCAGGGAAGGGGTTCTTGAAATCCTCGAACTGGATGACAATACCGGGCCAGCGCTCGGTCAGAGCAGCCATCAGCTCATCCAAGAATTCACGCTCCTCCTCGGGGGTAACCTTGTCACGGCGGCTACCCATGTACAGCGGGTCTTCCCGGAAGGCCTTGTTGCTGGTTCCCAGATCAAGGGTCAGGGGCAGGGTAGCCTCGGGGCGAATACCGGCACAGGCAGTGTACAGAGCCAGCTTGCCAATGGGGATACCCATGCCGTTGATGCCAAGGTCACCAAGACCGAGAATGCGGGAACCATCGGTGATGCATGTGATCTCAACGTTCTGCTGGGGCCAGTTGGCAATGACAGCAGCCAGGTTGCCACGGTCTTCCCAGCTCAGGTACATACCTAATCATGCATGGTTAGCGGCCGGTTTAGTCCGGGACAGTGACGCTAGACAGGGATGTGAACGTACCTTCGGGCTGCTGGTAGATCTCGGACCATCTCTGGCAGGCTTCTCCAACGACGGGAGTGTAGATAAGGGGAGTCAATTCCTACTTGCTGGTTAGCTGGTGGGGTTACGGAAAAAAAAGAAAAAAAGGGTCTGGCATCGCTGGCTTACCTTCAGGTGGTCCGTGACCAGACGGTAGAACAGGTGGACATTGTTCTTACGGAGAGTGCTGAGGTAGAGGAACTTGTCGATGGCGGTTTGCTTGAGAGCCAATTGAGCGAGGCCTGCACGTCCATTAGCATCCAGACCACCGCCTCGATCTACGATTGTATGTACGCACAGCGAGTCTTCTGGGTCTCGTACGACTCCGCACGCGGGGGAGTCAGGCCGTAGGTGCGGAGATACTTGCGGATGTAGGCAGGGTTGGCGGTGTCATAGTTGGCATCGCTAAAGGGAGAGGGCGACATGGTCAGTAACTAGTGCAGAAGAGAATGCGTGGCCAGGATCCGCCGTGTCACCAGATTGAGACTTGAGAGAGATGTTGAAGGAGAAAAAACCGGCTGGAGCACTTACGCGGGAGCAGCATGGTTCACGGCCGAGGTCGCGTGAACGGGCCGGCTTTGGTGAGCGGGAAATCGAGCCATTGTGGAAGGCTGAGTCACGGCCAGGATACTCTTGGAACGAAGACCGAGGGTATCAGAGGGAGAAGTGAGGGAGGAGGACGAGATGGAAAGGGTCAATTGAGTCGAGGAGGCGACTGGTGGCAGTCCGATTTTATGTCTGCTGGCTCTGTGGGCTAGTCGCATTGAACCCCCCTGAGCAGGAATCCACCGCATGCCGAAGTTCAACCAAGCAATTGTCTCAACAGTGGTCGTGATCTTCTAACGAGGTGGTCGTCAGGACTATGAACCAGGTGTGTGGATTGATTAGGGATGACAGCAATCGGGAGAAATCGGGATGCAAGGGGCCACTCAGGGCGACCGGGACCGGTCCAGTGGGGATCGGGGTACAATGGTTGCATGGCAGCGAACCGTTTCAACTGGAAAGAGTGGACAGAGTGGGCAAAGTGGGAATGGGAAACGAAGCTTGGGGGGGATGAAATTGAACGGGATTGGATTGGGTCAGCCTCTGGGACGGATGTGGAGTAGCTCAACGGGAGCTCGCTCCGAATCCGACAAATAATGCGGAGAAAAAGAAAACACACTGAGACGCACATTTTCTCTCCTCACTCCTGCTACTAGTAGTTCAGGTCCTATTCGGCCGGATTATGCGATTTAGGCAAGTCAGATTGACAATCGGCAACAATCCTGAAGGAGGAGTCTCAACTTGAAGTTGGGGGATGTGAGGTATTTCTTCCTCCAGGACGAAGACTACGTTGTAGTACAGAGTACACCCAGGCTAATCGACCTGTTCAATTTGAGGTGTTTTCTGGTTCTGTTTTTGGTTCTTGTTTTCAATGTTGTCCTTATTTTTACCTTTTATTTTGACACCTCACCTCTCTTTGTTAAAAAATAAAAAAAAAAAAAAAAAAAAAAAAAAGTACGAGTGGGGGAATGTTTTTCTTATTTTTTATTTCTCTAATTTTCTATTTTTATTCAGTTGGGAATACTAGATAATTTGATAGGTGGCAGCTGACATACTTCGCTTTGCCCCCTCCCCCCTTGATTAGGTACTTTTCTTTTTGAGAATAGTTACAGTATCATATACCTGATGATTATCAATCCGTATTGTTGGGGGGAGAAAGAAAACTGGAAGAGGGGGTGCCCTACGTACCGCCGGAAGCGAGTCGGAAAGGGTTTGCTGGAGAGTCATTATCATCACCAGTCTGGATTGTACGGGGTACTTGTCAGTCCTCTGGCTCATCCAACCTCAAATCGGGTGATCCGACCTCACCACTGGCTCAGAGATATACTCCGGACTCCGTCCCGGAGTCTGGGTTCCTTCGACCAGTGTTGAACCTGTCATGGTGTGCGCAAGTCATGATATCAACGGTGTGTGCCACCAGGTCGGGTTGCTGAAGCTATCGCCGTCGCCCTACGGAGGACCATCCTGGCGACGGGCCCCGATTTCCGAGATGGCCACCCGATTGCATCTTTTTTACTCGTCCGTCGGTGGAGCCGATTTAGTCAGGATTCATCGTGGGCTTCGGAATCACGCAGGCCACGCTAACCTACAGCAGCAAAGGGTCCAGCGCGGCGGCGGTCGAGGTGGATCGAGTCTCATGTGGCAGAGAAACAGACTAAAAGCGCACCCACTCGGTCAGCTAGTTGCCTAAGCTAATGGATCTAACTGAAGGAGGAAGGATTCTGGACCGGATGTTATTCACGCGCTTTGCCAATTGCCATGGCTGGTTCCGCCCAGGATTCCCCGCAGCAACGCGGCCCGGACAATGCCCGAGTTCGGGTCTTGTCAATCAGCGGCTGCAACAGCCTGGAGGGCTTCATCTCATACTTCCTGTGTTGTGTGTTGTGTACTAGTAGATAGGTCCTCTCTAGTCTCTACAACAATTCTCCATCTCCAAAGTCTCTCAATTGCAGAGTCGCAAAAATCGCTCACCTGCCACACCACACACCTGTCCGCCACCCGAGATCGATTCGTATTCCAATTCCCGCTGCTGATCCAGCCATGACGGAGGGCTCCTCGTTCCCGGAATACTCCGTGGCGCAGACGCAATGCAAAAAAGAACCCCCTCGCCCCCATCCCCATCCCCCCCTCCAATCGCAGGTTTTCTTCCAAACACTGCCCATTTTGTGACCGCGGCGATCAGAATGCGTGAATAAAAATTTCTTTATCGCCGCGTCTCCAATTTCGACTCCAAATCCACCGTCCTGCTGCCCAATGACAACCGCCTGAAACTTCAAACGGCTTTGTGCCTCGCCGATCGGTCCCGACCGATGGAGCCCCCGATGGAGCCAGCTGCGAAAATCTTCCGTAGCATGGTCCAAATCCAGCCAATATCCAGTGAATATTTGAAGTAGCAAATCTTTCTTCCTGATTGGCCCTGTTTGGTTCAACTGCAGTGGAGCGTTGTATAATTAGCAGTATATTCTTGCACCGTGCTGTTTCCGTCGGAAGCACGCAAAAATCCGTGTGCCTCAGCACGACCTTTTTTCGAGGTCGAGGCTCGTCTCATTATTAATGCGAAACGAGCAATTATCGTGGGAACTAGGCCTATCTAGATAATTGGAGCTAGTAGTAGCGCGTGGCCATTATGATCGTTGTGCAATGCTACCTAGATAGTGCTAAGAATATACTTCGTAGTTCAACTCTTGAATCTCGGTTCTAGACTCCACCCCATTGGCGCCTTTGCCGATGCTGTCGCGTGAGAACTATTCCTACGTACTTACCCCCGACTCATCAGAATATCAAGGTGCGGACTGCATTGAGCCATTTCTCGGGCCATTGAACCCTGATGGCATGAGCTGTTTATTATGCTCACCTGTCCCTCGCTTCGACGCGGTGGCTGAAGTTTGTACTTCATCCCGCGCATCCTTCCACCACGCAATCATGCAAGCCTTGACCGGTTACCCACTTCAGCAGTTCCCTTCGCAGCCCCAGATTCGAGATGCATCGATCACAAAGCTTGACTGGCGCTGATCATCCCTGCCCTGAATTCAGCGGGTCCGCCACTGGCCCTATATCAACAATGCTAGGCACCAGAAAGGAGACAACTTGTCTTTTTTTCGACCCTGATGGGGTACGGGCTCATCCATCTGGACCTTGAGGCTACCTACTACTGAACCATCAGAGGACGTTGGGACGTGCGACAGTATTTTGCAGTGGACTGATCATAATCCAGACGGTACAATTGTTTGACATAGAGTCAGCATGGCGGCGCTATGACCATGAGGGTCACTCGGGATAGGACGAAATACTCCGCGGGCATCATGCCAACCCTACAGTGCAGGCAACAGTCATACCACGATGTCGTCGGTTCTTGTACAGGCTGTTAGTCGATAGGGGCTCTGTTTGCCCTTGCGTTGTTGAAGGAGAAGTGGCCCTTGGACTGCGAAGCCATCGTTTCATTGCATGTCGCCTTCTTCCACGGTTTGGGGATAAGAGAAGCCTTGCATAGTCTACAACAACACATCAGTCTGACTGAGACGAGAATCAAAAATGAAGCTATCTATCAGCGCACGATACATCGATTCGAAAAGCCGGATCTTCCACCCATGGAAGTTGTACAAGTGCAGGCGGTGTCTATAGATGTGCTGCCGTTGTAATGAACAAGCCATGGGTTTTTGACTAACCATTGCGACGAGGAAGATACTACTACTACTCCTACTACTACTAGAAGTAGTACTACTATAGTAACTGCAAGTATTTGCTATGGATTTGAGACCCTGGGCTGATAGGACAATGCTGGCCGGTCACCTGACTGGGACAAGGGCGGCAGCAGCAGCGGTGACGCAATGGTGATTGGGCGCAGGCCCGTGATCGAGACTGACATGCAACAACAACCGGGAACCTGCTCTCAAATCAGCTAACCAGCTGTCGCCTCCCCCTCTTTCCTGCTCATCACCCGGTCGGTCGGACCTGTGGATTCTTTCTCTCTCTTCTCTTCTGCCCATCGTGTACCTTTCCCATCAACCGGTCGACTGCGTTCTCAAGACATCTAAGCAAGTACGCCAGGCATCCTCCACCATGCCGCAAGGAGAGACGGAGCCCCTCCTCCCTCGCTATCAGGAGGACACGACCCTCCAGCGTCGCCTGCATCAGAAATTACACAGCTATCAGATGATCCGTGCCCTCTCGGATGGGTACATGCCGTCTACAGATCAGACCATCATCAATCTCCGCACCTTGTTGGCTTCTGATATCCTGTCTCCTCACACTCATGATGTCGGCTCCGTCGGTCGCCAGATCGTTCGCGACTGTCGACTTTGGATCCAACTCTTCATCGAGCTCCTACAGGAAAAGAATGGAGACGATAAACTGCAGGAGTTCTTGTGGCACCTCTCACGTTCCAATGCATCCATCGACCCCAACAAGATCCAGCAACGAGCCAACCAGACGAAGGCAAGGGCGGATACGAAAGCGGGTACCGACTTCCATTCCCTTTCTCTTCGTGTATCTATCGGGACGTGGATTTCACAGGGCATGGAGTAGTCAGCTAACGAATGTGGTCTAGCTTATGATAGCCTGCGCACCGTGGGAAGTCTGCTCTTAACCAATGCAGACTTCCGTCTTTTCGTCGATGATCTAACCACCGTCGGCCGTCAGATCTTCTCCGACACGGCCTTCTCGCTGTCCAGTACTTCGCAGAAAATAGGCAACGAGCTCCAGCCGTCACAGGAAGACGTCGACGCCATCCAAGGAGCAGGTGCTGATGAGGGTCGTGCTGCAGGGAACGAAGATTTACGCGAAGAGGCAGCCCACGTGGCAAAGGTCGCAGGAAACGGAGTTTCCCGCACGGGTAAAGATGCGATCCACAGTGCTAAAGAACACCTAGCGGGGCAAGAAAAGGAAGCCTTGCTCTATCGGCTGAAGAAGACTATTGTGAATCTTCGGGACCGTTCTGACTACACAGACTCAGTCGCCACTCTGGGCCAGCTGCTGGGGCGATATGCCACAGCCTACGCGAACGCAGCGTCAGATGTTGTGGCGACAGCGGAGGAAGAAGTCGACGTCAATGTGGACCTCAAACAGGCAATGGAGCAATTTTGGTTGTTGCTCCAATCTTTTGGCGACGCTCAGGAATGGAAAACTCTGGAACAGCGCTTTGAAAAGGTGCTGCGGCACGCAAATAAAGACCCGGAGTTTGAAAAATTTCTCTCTGAAACAGGTGCCTTGGTCGAGGAAATGTTGACTGACCCCAAGTTCTTTGACTCGGCCGAAGAGAAAATCGATGAGCTCAAAGGAAAATCGAAGCATTTGGAGACGGAGTCCAACTTGCGCCAGGACGTGGACGCATTTCTGGTACAGGCAAAACGGGCTCTGCGAACGGTCCCTCAGGACAAAGCTGTGTCGAAATTAGTCGATGCGACCAACAAGCTGTACCAGGATGCGTGGGACGGCTACCATAGCCGTGAGGGCCAATTCCCCGCAGACCTGGTGGAGGTCTTCTTTCCTCTGATTCTCCGCACCATCCAATATATCCCAATCCCGCGCCTTGAGATCTCTGCACCTGAGGTCGATCTGTTGTTGGAAAGCCTGATACTGGAACCAGGCCATACCGTCAATTACTCCTCGTTTCTTCCATACCGCATGCATGTTACCACGCGCAATGACATCGATATTGTGAAGAAGCATTCGAAGAAAACCGCAACCGATATCAAAACGACATTTACGGCAACCGTATGTGGGCTTAATATCAGTGCTTCGGAATTCGGATACTGGCTCCGCGCCCATTCCGGCCTTCTGTTCCACCTACGAGATGAAGGCATCGCCAGCTTCTACCTGGACAAGCGCGGTATCGATATTTCCTTAGACATAGAGGTGGGGAGGGAACGACTGGACCAAATCTTCACCCTCCGTGGGGTGCGGGTGCGAATCCATAAGTTGGAGTACAAAGTCCATCGCAGCAAGTGGAAGTGGCTTCTCTGGCTGACGAAGCCTTTCCTCAAGCATCTGATCCGCCGAGTTTTAGAAAAGAAGATCGCGGAGAAGATCGTCCAGGCCGCTTTCGCGCTGAACCGAGAGCTGGTATTTGCTCGAGAGCGCCTGCGGGCGGCACGCATAGCCAATCCTCAGGATCTGGCCAGTTTCGTGCGGGCCGTGCTGGCACGGCTGAAGGCCCTCCCAGACACGGACGTCGAGGCCCGTATTGGCATTGAGCCACCTGGTAGCGGTGTCTTCAAGGGCGTCTTCGCCCCAGGCAGTCTTGTCAAAGTCTGGCATGACGAGGCACTGCGGGCTCACGAAGCCATTGAAGAGGGCGACGAGAGCCAGGGGCTGGGCAGAACATGGCGAAATGATATATTCGACGTTCCCCGGCGTCGAGCCTAGGATCTGGATCTCGTATCTTCACGACTCATGATTGCCCTTTGGATTTGGATCAACCCGGGTCTCCGCACTATAAGTTTGTATATCCCGTAGTTATTGGACGATCGACACCGGTTGGCTTGGATTCACCGTGCGGAGAGTGTCCCATCTGATTTTCTCCTTTTCAGAGTAGTAATAAGCGCTGTACCAGCTAGCGACTACGTACTTGTATGGCGTTTGGAATTCAAGCTCTTATCTTATTGAACCATACCACGTGACTCGGGCCGGACGAACAGTAATGCCGGCGTTGCGGCCACCTAACCGGGACCAACCACTTTAAGGACAACCACTGCTCTCCGCGATAACAGCCAGCCTGGCCCAAACGCAACAACGCCTTGCTTCAGCTGCTTCTTGAGATCTTGACTGATCTTGAGCATTTGACCGGGTGTAAGAATATACACCCTGTCCCAATTTCTTTCTTCTTCTTCTTCTTCTTCTTCTTCTTCTTCTTCTTCTTCTTCTTCTTCTTTCCCGATTAACATCTATCCATCCCTCCTCCCTTTTCTGTTTCGCAACTCTATACTTCTACTACCTACCTACCTACCTACCTACCGCAACCAACCCCGAGATCAACCACCACCACCACTTGCTACTACCACTACAGCCATTACACACAAAATCCTACACGAGCTGCGACCCATTCGCAGCTCACAAAGCTAAACTAATAAACAATGTTCTCCACCATGCGAACCATCTGTTTCTTCTTTGTCCTCACCCTATGTCTCGTCCAATTGGTCCTGGCCGCAGAAGACTACTACAAGATCCTGGAAGTGGATAAGTCGGCTTCGGAGAAGGATATCAAACGCGCGTATAGGAATCTGAGCAAGAAGTACCATCCGGATAAGAATCCGTGAGTTTTATTCCCTTTCTTTTCCTCTAGGTGGGATGGGATGGTTGGTGAGGGAATGTGGATTGGTGTTGGATTGTGGGATATATGCTAATATATACATGATGTGCAGGGGCGATGAATCCGCGCAAAAGAAATTCGTCGAAATCGCCGAAGCATATGATGTTCTTTCGACTCCGTCGACGAGGAAGATCTACGATCAGTATGGACATGAGGGTGTGGAACAGCATCGCCAGGGTGGGTCGGCGGGCCGACAGGCGCATGACCCGTTTGATTTGTTTTCGAGGTTTTTCGGTGGCGGAGGCCATTTTGGACATGCGCCGGGACATCGCAGGGGTCCTGATATGGAGCTCCGGGTTGGGTTGCCGTTGAAGGATTTCTACACTGGACGGGAGTTCTCGTTTACGGTGGAGAAGCAGCAGATTTGTGATGCATGTGAGGGGACGGGATCTGCGGATCGCGAGGTCGTGACGTGTGATAAGTGTGCTGGACGGGGAATGGTCATTCAGAAGCATCAGTTGGCGCCGGGGATGTTCCAGCAGGTGCAGATGCATTGTGATAAGTGTGGTGGGCAGGGCAAGATGATTAAGAAGCCCTGTCCGATTTGTCATGGGCATCGGGTGGTGCGGAATGAGGTGGAGACCTCGGCGACGGTGGAGCCGGGTATGGATAAGGGCATGCGCATTGTGTTTGAGAACGAGGCCGATGAGAGTCCCGATTACATTGCTGGTGATTTGGTGCTGATTCTGGAGGAGAAGGAGCCTGAGATGGGCACCACGGATGAATACCGCAACGATGGGGCGTTCTTCCGCCGGAAGGGCAAGGATCTGTTCTGGAAGGAGGCGCTGTCGCTGCGGGAGGCCTGGATGGGCGAGTGGACGCGCAATATCACGCATTTGGACGGCCATGTTGTTCATCTCGGCCGGAAGCGCGGCGAGGTCGTGCAGCCGTTGTCGGTGGAGACAGTCCAGGGCGAGGGGATGCCATATTACTCGGACGGCCATCTCCATGACCATGAGGAGGACGAGGAGCCCGGCAATCTGTATGTCGAATATACGGTCATTCTGCCTGACCAGATGGAGAGCGGTATGGAGAAGGACTTCTTGGGGCTGTGGGAGAAGTGGCGCAAGAAGAACGGGGTCGATTTGGCACACGACAGTGGGCGACCTATGCCCGCTCCGGTGAAGGACGAGTTATGATATGATAATTCCTCTTCGAGTCACAGACGTGATGTTGTACATTTAGTGAATTAGATAGCTATCTTAGACGTCTCAATAGAGAGTATTCAAATGGCAATCCTGACGTCCCGATGGGAACGACAACCCCGGGTGTAGAGAGAGGCATAGCAACGTAACCAGGACCCTACACTGGCCGCTTGAGAATCAATCCCCTTGCGTAGGTCACGCGAGTCCACAGTGTCAGATGGTTGATCCAACCCCGCGCCTAGTCTGAATGTCAATGACAGACAGCTCTTGTGTTACCAGTGTTGGGGTAGCCGCGTAATCCATCGATTGGCTTTAAGGGTCAGAGTGACACGTCAGTCAGGGACTGTCCGTGATTCACGCGCTAATCCCGGGATTGTAAGGGAATTGCAGCGTGCATGTAAGGTTGGCACATCCCAGATATAGAAATGCGTGTCATAGATAGAGCAATTCCATCTGTTCGGAATGCCCGGGGAACTCTTTGACCTGGCCATCAGAGGGGTCCAAACGGAGCTAGATCGCCACTATCCCACAAACTTCCTGAAAGAGTTTCCAGGGTCTCGAAGTCAGGCATCCAAAACGGACTGTCTTCTTCGAGATCAATCCAAGGGGCGATCTGTAAGGCCATTCGCACGCCATGGTCCTGACTGGTTGGGTCCGCTTGTGCTGCTTGGTTCAGATCGGGCACCACGCCAGCGGAGCTTGGATTAGATCTGGGATGACGGTCCCTGAACATTCCTGCATTGGTACCCCCGCGGTGTTGGGCCGTCATTAGCTCTGCCATACCCACCTTTCTGGACGCATCGTTCCCCTCTAGCTTTTCCATGGCTGCATTGACTAGCAGCTCGAATGCATCGCGGTATTTCTTGACCCATTCGGCTCGCTCGCCCATGACAAATAAGACGGTCGAGCAGGCACGGATGTCGTTGCTCATCTGGACCGACCAGACTTCGTTCGTGTGCGTCCAGAGGGCATACAACAGAGTGATCCCGGCCATGAAGACGGTCTGGACAGCAAGGAAGGAGTGCCCGTACTCTAGCGTCTGGTGTAACCTCTTGTGGGTCTGGCATGTATTTCCGGCCGCACGGAGACAGATGTGATAGTATGGATCCGAAAGAGGAAGCGAGGGGAGGAATGGCTGGATCAGGAGTCGTAAAGCTCGGTTATAGTGCAGCATTGGATAGTCCAAGTCGGATCCGCTGAAACGCCGCAGGGCCGATTCCCTCCACTCGTCGAGCTTGAGGAAAAGACGGTCCATCTTAGAGCGTAGAGTGTGCAGGGGTCGATCAGCCCGGTAAATCTTATGCTGGATCTCCGAGTCAATGCGGCGCAGTCGCATGAGGAATATGGCAAAGGTCAAGGTTGTAATCCTAGTGGGAGTAGGCGCGGCTAGCAAGGCTGGATCGTGGACATCGTCGTCAACATCGGCTGGCAAAGGAAGGTCGATGTGTCTGTCGGCGATGCTGAACGGCCGGCCCAGGGACATCGAAACGACACGTTCCAGGTAATAGACGGTCCAGAACAGACGACGCCGCATCTGCGCAGTAAAGGGATCCATGTTGCTCTCATTTGCCTTTCGATGGAGCCCCAGGTCGATAGCAGTGCGCATGGCGAGGCCCACCATGTACCACATACCCTGGCTGGATGCAGAGCGGAGGTGATACACAATTAACAACGCCATAGCTACAATGTTCTCGACAGATCGCATTTCACACATATTCGGTACATGCTGCAGCCCGGTCACGTAGAAACGCTGACGAGTTGATTAGAATAGACGGTTTCCAGGCAATGTGGGCAACATACCTCTGGGGAAATATATGTGTAGGTCTCGCTGATCTGAATGGTTGTAGCTCCGATCGCATACACGAGATACAACTGGAAAATTCCAAACCGTTCCTCCTTGGTAAGTTCCTCTCGCTTCTTCTGCGCCAGACGCCAGCGGGCCTCATGCAGGCGCCATAACTCCGTGCGGTCGAGAAACGGATAGCGGACATGGATCCGTGTTAGATAGGCGTGGAGAATCTGCGTTCCCATCTCATCGTTAGGAGGTTCGCTGCCCTGAACAAACCCTTCCTCAGCTCGTGGCGGTCGAGTCCGGTCACTGCTAGTACCTTTCCTCTCTACACCAGAAGGCTGAGGGGGCAGGCCCGTGGTTCCTTGCCTCGCTGCAGGCCCAGATCTACCAGCTGCAGCTGTTCGTGTAGAGGACAGAGCCTGGTTCCACACCGTAGCTTGAACCATTTCCCCCAGACTTGTAGCCAGGGAGAGGCCTGAGCTGGAGCCCACGTACGCAGGCGCCTCCGAAGAGTTGAGCGCAAGGAACCCCACCAACTCCCCCACAGCATTTTGATCAAGACCGGTTGCCGAATTCGTCGGCGTGTCCGAATTCTGGGGGGAAAGGAGTGCAGCAACTGGATGGGCGACATGGCTACTGGCCCGGCTACTCAGGGGTCTGGATTCCAACTGGGACTCAAGGTAGGCGATGCGGTCCTGCAACGCACGGGTGTATCTACCAGCGTCAGTACACCGGTTCAGCCAAGGTGGGTGGGGGGGGAGGGGGGAAGAAATGAGGAATCCCACTCGGTTTGGACTCCGTTTTCCTGTCGCACGGTGGATTTGTCACAGATCGCCCCGGCCTTTTGGCAGTTGGAGCAGACAGGGTACTCATTGTCACACTAACGCGCGGCCATTAGCATGAATTGGTGTCCTGACACGACATACTGGAAACAATTACAAGACGACTCGGTCTCTGTCGATAGGTGGATCCGTCTACTGACTTTCTGCTTCCTGGTCTTACAGCGCGTGCATGCCGTCCGGCCACGCTTCCGGGGGTTGTAGTCCCGCGAAGGAGAAGAGGTTCGGGTAGGTGTAGAAGAGCCCGCAAGATCCATTCTAACTATCTCATGATCATCTGCGAGTATGAGGGGGAAAGAAGCTAGAAATGGGCGATCCACGCACGAGGACGTCGGTGGCTCGCGTGGGTGAGTGACAGCTGGAGTTCAAGAATGAAGGCGCCGCCGCCAAGACCGGTCGGTTCGCCCCGCCAGTTAGCGCCTCTGCCTAAACTTACAGTACTAGGTACTATACGGAGTAAGTACTCCGTACCGAGTATCGACTAGAAGAGATGGTCACTTGAATGTTTGGGACTGATTCGCTACTACACACAACGCATCCTTCTAACCTCATGGCTCAGGCTCCGCTTTTGCATCCCAGCGCATTGCCGTCGGCGTCTCACTACTCGCTTCGCATTCAACCACCGGCTCGGCTTGGGCTGCTTCAGAATCCTGCGCGGTAGCCTGCTTCTCGGTCTGTTCTCGTGCCTGCTCTTCCTGTCGCTTCTCTTCCTCTTGCCTCTTCTCTTCTTCGATCTCATGCGCATCCTTGGGTCTCTCCAAACCTCGGTCCCGGAGGAAAACACATGCAATCAAACATATTCCAATCAGCGGGACCTGCAGGATAAACACCGAGTGGGAGGCTTTGGCATATGCGCTAAGGATCTGATCCCAGTCGGCGTCGGAGATACCGGACCTTGATGGGAGCGAGTAGGACGACTGAGCAATATCTTTGTATCCTGCGGGAAGGTTGGATCGCAGCGTTGCCTGCAAGAGTGCGGCCGACACGGCCAGGCCGCATGCACCTCCTAAGCAGCGGAAGAAGTTCCGGTCCGAGATGACGACGGCTCGCTGCGCCTTGGTACAGTGCGCTTGAAAGGCGACCAAGGTCGGTTGGAAGACGCCACCGACGCCTATCCCAGCGATGGCAACGATGACAGCAATAGCCGCGGGGCTGGTGTGCCGGTCAAATAACAGCATCAACCCGGCCCCCCTTAGGTACGGTCAATAGATGCACATAGAAGAAAGTTCGCCAAGGTTGCTTACAGTGTCCAGAGAAAAAAGCCAACCCAAATCACTTCTCCGTAACGTTTACGCCGCGAAATGTACTGGCCAGAGCAGATGGAGGACAGCGATTGACAGGCTACCATCGGGGCTGTCAGTGCAGCCGAGACAATCGGAGACCAATCGCGAGCATTCTGGTAGTACAATGGCAGGTAGTAGAGATAGGACTGGTAGACAGCTCCTAGAAGGAAACTCTGCAAGAACAGAGCACAGATCACGTTGTTCTGGAAAAACACCACTGGCCATAGATTAGTCACTTCTTCCGGCATTGCAACTCTCTTGGTGACATACCTGGAAGCATAGGCAAAACGGCTACTTTCCATTCGATCAAGATAAACGCAATCAATGCGCAAGCACCAATCGTGAGCATGCTTATGACCATCGCGGAGTCCCAATTAAAGTAAGAACCGCCTCCCGAGATAGGGATGAGTAAGAAAATGATCCCAACGGACGACGCCAGGATACCGTAAAAGTCGATGCGGCGGACATTCTTCCGGAAGCTCCCTTTTTGCGCATTGTTTGGGATCAGGAGATAGCCCACGATGATAGAGCATGCAGAGAGCGGTGATATGAGCCAAAAAAACCCTCGCCAGGTCGAGTCCATTACGAACGCTGCAGCTATGAACGGACCAATAACGTTACCGAGCCCTAAGGCCGCACCCAAAATCCCCTGATACTTGCCCCGATCCTTGAGAGTGACGATGTCAGATACGATAATCATCGTCAGAGAGGTGACACCACCGCCAGCTACACCCGCCAAGCCTCGAAAGACATAGAACATGGGAGCATTCTGAGATAGGCCGCACAACAAGTCGGCAATGCAAAGGAGGCCCAACGCGCATAGATAGACTATCTTTCGGCCAAAGATATCGGAGAGTCGACCATATAGCACGGTGAACATGGTATTGGCGATGAGGGACGAGGTGCCTGCCCACGAGATGGTGTCCTGCGCATTGAGATCGCGAGCAATCGTGGGGAGAGTAACACTAATGCCATTTTGATCGACGAAAGTAATAAGGAGAGAGACTGCCAGACCCGCAAAGACAATCAGTAATTGCCCGATGGGCAAGATGTTGGTCTGATCGTGCAGGGCCTTCTCCGCAGCCTGTTGCCGATTCATCTTTTGTACAGTTTATGCCGATAACGACTTTGACAAAGCGGCGATTCCAGGCATAGTCTTATAGATAAGATGGATAAAAGACTGTTGAATCCGGGGAACCAATTTTGGTCACGATTATGCTCAGCGGCAACCAGGGCCGGTAAGGGTACAACTTCACCGCGGTTTCAGGATATGCGCAAAGCCAATAAATATATGTAGCCACCGACGAGAAAAGGGCGGTTTTGACCCAACCAGCTGCCTTATACGATCTGTGTGAGATTGCCCGCATGCGTCCGAGTCTTTATCACTTGAAATCCATAGGGTATCGGAGGCACCGCCGAGGAGGATTTGACCGAGACTCAGGACGATTGTCAAAAGGCCCACTCGTCCCAGTTCATGATCGTTATTGGCTCTGTTATCAACCCGGCCAGGGCCACGGCATCATTCCGCGCCGTCATCGCCAGTCCGTTGGCGGGTCGAAGGCCAAAGTGGATCTCGCCCGTCGGAGGTGGCCATCCCGGCTGGTCGGACATCCGACAAAAAGCTGGTCGGCCCAGTTGCCGAACCCGCGATAACATCATCCCCAACCAGGGAGGCCGGTTTGATCTCTCTCGGAAACCTGGTTGGGGCTATGTAATGATGTCGAACTCAACTGCCCAGAGTCAATCAGGTATCATGGCATCAACCCCTGCAAGCTGCAGCCCATTCCCCTGACCCACGCTCGGCCAATCCTAAGCACCAATGTTGACAACCCATCCGTTGTGTTCGTAACTAGACCGGCTAATCGTTGGGATCAAGGGGTATGAGGGGCATTCAACTGCAGTCGATCCTTGGTACTTCAAATAATATACACGCTTGATGACGAACAGCTGCGACTTTGCATGCAAGGAGTCTCCAACCGAAGACGAACTGTCCATAATAAGGGCCAACGTCGAGTAATCTGCGCTCCAACTATCATCCTGCGGAGCATTTTGTTCTGCGCCAAAGTGTTGAAAAACTTACTCTACTTCGTACCTGTCCCTAGAGAGGCACGTCATTGCGGCCATTGGCAGGGGTGTTCGCCGGGGATCCAGTCAGGCTTGCAGCGAGGGTTGGGATATTGCAGGCAATTCCAGGGTTGGCCATAAACTGCATTAGGGAAACGCTGATCAGAGCATTGGAGACAATACTCTTTCAGCCACCTTAAGCCGGAAAAGATCTCCTGGGATCATCCCCAACTCTACGCAGAACTATGGGTGTGCATGTGCAAGTGGAACTTCCAGGGTCCCTGCTGTCCAAGGCTGTTGTACGCCACGTGTACTTGCTGCCGAGGTACCTTCAAAACCTGGGCCACCCCCAGCGCGGTTATTACCATCACTGCCTTGGACGGATTGTATCGAGGGACCTGTGCTGGTTGAAGTTGCGCTTTGGCTAGGGCCCGTGTGCTGTGGCAGGTAGTGCCCACCTGTGATGTTCCCATGGTTAGGGAAGAAGCTCTGGTTCAAGGCCCCGCAGGTGGTACAGGTAAATTCGATTTTGAAGTTTGTTAGGACTAATTGCGGGGTAGCAAGCGGTCCATCGTTTGCCGGCTGGGTCTGATTCTTTGGGCGCCCAGCCTCCGGAGAGGGTGTCGGGTTCGAAGCAGGCACAGAATATGATGATTGCTGGGGATTGGCAGGGTGGTGAAGACTATGGCTTAGGGGTGTTGAGTCCGGTGGCGGGACTTCAGAGGGTGGTACTGGGCACGTAGGCTGTCTTTGATGATGTGCTGGAGGCGGTGGCTGCACAGCTTGACTGTTAAGTTGCGAAGCCGAGATAGCAGAGTTCCGATGGACCTCATCCTGAGGAATGTTGTCCATCATAGTCGACTGTAGGGTGTCCGTAATCCATCTTTGACCAGGAAGACCGCTGAAGGTCGAGTTATCCGCCGGGCTCTCTAACGGAGGCGGCTGGCTATCCTGTCGGTCATCGCCGCTGGAGTCATGAGTGTTAGTCCCCTCACTCGGATTGTGTGTTTCTCGTTGCTGCAGCCGAATGAGAGCTCGTTGCGCTTGTCGCATGGAGATGTCGTAGCCATGGTATCGCTTTACAGCGTCCACGACATCTTGCGCCTTGATCTTGTTCTTCATATCGAAGAGCTTCGGGATTTCGGTCAGAAGAAACCGCACATGCGAAGCCTCTGATCGAGCCGGTGTTTTCGAAGTTGAGGTCGCATTGCGTCGACAACTGTGGCTGTCCTGAAGGCTGCTGATGTAGGTCGAGTTCTTGTTCGCGCGGCAAACGACGCGGAAGTAGCAATTGTTGGATGACCGACAGCCTATCACCACACTCTTTTTGTTGCTTCTTGTCACTCGGAGCTCCCAGTGCTGTCTCACTGAGATACTCCGAACCAATCCTTTGAAATCCTCCAAGGAGTTGAACCGTTGGCCCACATGGAGCCCCGAGTACATCTCTGCCATCACAATGAAGGGTAGTACATATCAGTGAGACATGCGTTCCATGTGACTCTGAAGACAGCAACGGATTCCTTGAACTGGTCGATTCGGCATCGTTCGCGTGTAATGCAAGTGTGCTTAGTATCTTCTGACGCAGAGACCCCAACTAGGTCCGACAGCCAGATGAACCAATCAATCAGGCAAGTATAGATTAAGGCGGCCAATCTGGATCCTCGGCCAATAGAAGGGAAGCAGCCAGCAGCCTGGGTGGTGGTAGTAGTGGTGGTGGTGGTGGTGGTGGGGGAGAGGGAGTCGTAATTGAGTAGGGGCCCTGGGAGGGCCTTGAACCACGCAGCAGCGATGAAGTCGAGGGGGGCCCAGAGTGACGAGGAGAAGGAAGCGCAATGGTATCCAGTCGGAAATAGGAGAGTGGACGATGCCCGCATTATTAAATCGCGGGTGGAGGGAGCAGCTGAAGTCGGCGCCCGCCTAGCGCGGATCCCCCGACCGCTCGCATCGGCCGTCGGCCTTTTCCCATTGAAGCTTGCACTATCTTCCCTCGCCCACCGAGGGATCGATCGCGATCAACTTTGACACTCCCGACGTGGGCTTCCTTGACAAATACTTGGTTTTCCTTTTACGATCATCATGGCATCCTATGGCCTTCTGGATCAACCGGACGAAGGTCGAGTGGTTCTAGAGCGAATCCCCGTCCCTTTCATCGTACTAATGCCCTCCCAGATGGACTCCACAAGTCGCGCCTCTTGAACGTCGAGGAAAAGCCATTCAAGCGGATCTCAAAACGCCTCCTAAACAATGATTCGATTGTGGTGTCCAACGCGACCCTCCCTCCCACTCCTCCCCCGGATGGAACGGACGACGATGCGACAGCAGCGGCCGAGGCGGAGAAACAGAAACGGCTCGAGGACTGGCGCCATTTTCGTGAAGATGTTGCCTTGGACTTTGCCGCATTTGAAGGCAGTATTGCGCGCATCCAATTCCTCCTGACAAGTAATGAGAAGGAGCGCGAGCGATATGCGGCTGAGAAACTTCGAATCCTTTCTACAATGCAATCGGTACGCGACAACACAGCAGACCTGCGGGTACAGCTAGAAGAAGCACAACGTCTGCTATCCTTGCGCAAGAGCTACGATGAATTGGCGGAAAAGATAACCAGTAACCGACTTTTGAAGCCGAGGGAGGATCAACAAGCCAATCTACAAAAACTTCAGGCGGAAATTAACGATCTGGAGAAAGAAAGCAAAGAGTATGCACAAACATGGGGGGAACGACGGGAACAGTTCGGCCGTATTGTTGAAGAAGGAATGCAGCTTCGTCGTCTCATCCGTGACGAGAAAGAAGAGGTCGAACGCAGAGAAGGCATGCAAGAGGGAGAAGACGGAGATGACGGGGATGTCCCCTCGAAAGGAAAATCCAGTGGGGCTAATACTCCCCGTCATGATTCCGAGAGTCTGACTCCTTCTCAACATGGCCATGACGATCCCAGCCGATCGCCAGGTGGATTGCAAGTGGACAGGACGAGTACAGCCGGCGCAGTGTCGCCTTTACGACAAGTGACTGCAGTAGGCGACGAGAAGAAGAGCCCGCCCGATCAGGACACTACGATGGAAGATGAGGGTGAGGTGGCTGAAGAGCTGGAAGAAGGAGAGGAGGTCCAGGATGACCGTGCAGATAAAATGGACACTACCTGATTATCGGAGAATTTTTCTACCACTCATTGAGCAAGGAGTCCGGTCGGTGGCGTTCGCATTAGGTGACTATCAAATCGCGTCAATTTTTTGCTTTTATTCAGGGGCGATTTATTAAATATTCCCTCATGATGGGGCTAAGTACATGTGCCCAAGAATTGGTTATAAGCCATCTCAGGCGATCTCCCGCTCCGCTGTCCTGGCTTTGGCAATGGCGTCCTTCGCAGCATTAATATGCTCGACATTGCTCTCGGAACCTTTCTTGCCCTCCTCGACCTACAATAGAAGTTTAAAGTTTAGTATTTTTCCTGACAATAATAGCATTGTAGGGCCTGTCAAAATTTGTCACTCACCAGCAGACTATTGAGCTTAGCTATGGCGTCTTCAATCTTCTGCTTCAATGTCGGAAGGACATTTTTAGTTTCTTCGAGAGCCAGACACTATCACGACGCTTGTTAGCGATCTCTTTCACGGATCATCGCCCATACACAGCGATGCTTACCTCCTGCTTCAGTGTGTATTCCCTGTTTTCATCTTCGTCGCCCTCCTGGGATTCCAGCTTCTTGATCCTCTCTGTCTGCTGTTGCAGCTCGCGGTGATACGACGCCTCTTCTTTGACCAGGCGCTGGACAGATGCCGTGGCGATTTCCAATTGAGAACGAGGAGCCATGATGATCGACGCTATTGATTCTGAATTAGAGATTATGGTAATTTTGCTCAATATTCTGCGGAGAATTAAGAGGAGAATGGCAAGGAATTTTTCTCGTGACAATCATAGGTAGGTAGGCATTTGACAACTGGGACCGGCCCAACTCCATAATGACCCAAGGCGGGGAGCTCTATCGGTCCGCTACTGTCGAAGCAGCTCTGATGGGTGCAACATATAATGAATAGGACGTACCTGTCTGAAATTGAAGGTGGATTAACTTTCAACCCAGGTTATTTGATTGGTGTGCGGATTATGAGTTTCACGAGTTTGACGATGCTCTGGGCCCGGTTCGAGGGAGTTTACTGTGTATTGCTGCCCTCGCTCTGCTGCCCCTCGGCGATGATGCTATAGAGGAGCAGTTTGCAGTGTTTGTCTGGGTGGGGGGACGCAGCACGTGACCAGTTAAGGAAATGTAAACAATGAAAACAACCCAACATGAGAATTAATTCATCACTTTCATTCAAATTGGGAACAACAGTAATTTCAATAGCTATGTGTCTCATTACACAATAGATTGTTTGGTCCGACTTCTGGCGCTAGATCTCCGAAAATTCCCATCATCAAGCAAAGTGTATAACCTAGCAACTATGCGCGACACATCGTGCGTCTTGACACACGCTGAAAGGAGCTACTTAGCATAACACAGAGAGATATGGACCGGCTTCAGCCATTATGCAGATCTTCCCAGTGTTCAATCATACCCCCACACCTTCATGCAGGCACCCATCTAGTTGCTCAAAAGCATATCATTTGTCGGGCGCGGCTCTTTGGGTGGCAGACTGTTGTCCATGCCATTGGACTTTGGCATCTCCGCAAACCAGGATGGAGGAGAGATCCCTGTCTGCTCATGGATTGTGCTTAGGATGGGAGGCAGACCCTGCATGATGTTTCGAATCGCTGCCATCGAATCCCGAGAGCCGTTACCAGTGTCTGATTTCGGTGTCAGAATACGTTATACAATGTCCATCAGAATATGGAGAAGAACTGAATTCAATGCTTACCCCCAGTGTTCCACGTGGTGATCTTAGGCTGAAGGCCATTGATAGCACAGCCATTGGCTTCGGCCAACCTCTCATAAGTCCCAGTCTCGATCATTCTGTACTGCAAGAACGCTTGAGGGCCACCAAGGACGTCAACAAGGGCTCCATATGCCTTTGCCATCTCAAGGGTTCCTTCGGCTTCCCGCTTCTGAGTATAGAAAGCTGCATCGGCTTCTTTGCTTTGACGGTAATCTGAAATGAAGTCAGCAACGGCCAGTCCGAAGACCATCGGCAAATTACTTACAAGCTGCATGAGCTTCCATCTTTTGCTTATACAGCTGTGCGTCTGCCGCCTTCTGCTCCGTGTAGTAGGCAGCATCGGCCGCTTCCTGGGCTGATTCACGTTCAACCTTGCTTTTTGTGACCTGCTCGGCCCTGAGACGTTCCAGCTCTGTCTCTGCGCGCTTGGTTTCAACCTGTTTCTGCAACTTGGCATCTCTCATTTCCTTCTGGCGCTGAGTGGTGATCTTGTTGAGCTGGATATTATAGTCTAGTTCAGTTTCGCGGTTCGTAAGTTCCGAGTCAGCCTTGGCCTTCTCAGCTTTACGTTGTGTTTCTAGAACAGCAGTGTCGGCGTCGATCTTTGAGATCTCCTGCTTTGTCCTGCCCTGCTTTTCTACCTCTCCAATTTCACCTTTCATGCGGGCCTCGGCGACATCGACCTTAGCCTGGTTAAGGGCTCCTTCATGAGCCTTACGACTCAAAAAGGCAAAGTATTCACTTCCAGGAGTGTCTTGAAGCTCCTTGACGTTGGCATTGTAACTACAGTTTGTCAGCTAAAGTCGTCTTTCCTGACGAAGGTCTTGGGCTCACATTCTCAACCCAAAGTGCTGAAGCTCATTCTGGACGTTTTCGATCACTGTCCAACTGTCAGTATACAATGACCCAACCAGTCTGCCAGTCGCCGCTTACCCTTTGTCTTAAAGACTTGTCTCTCCTTGAATATTTCCTCCATGGACATGCTGGAAACGATCACGCGTGTCTCGCCTTCGATGATTCCTCGAACGATGTCCTGGACATGGTTATGCCTTGTCTGATTGGTTAAGTCCGTTGGTTGAGCAGAGGAAGCCTCTTCTGCGCAGCCAGAAAGAAGCAGCGCATATTTCCTAAGCGCTACTTGCTCATTGTCAGGGCCGATTGTGAACACTGCCGGCAGGGAAAACTGCAACTTCTCAATGGTCATAGCCTGAAGGCTAAGTGAAAGTCATATGGTGCGACTGAGATTCTTGCAAACTGTTGAAAGGAGTGATTAGCATTGCTTCTCGCGATACTTGATTTCAATCATACCCGCTGCCATGGCATCACCAGAGCCTTCTTGCAGATCTTGATGTCGTCAATCCCAGCTCCAGTGAGCACGAGATATTCACTTGGTCGAGCAATCGCGTACCTATGGCATACATTATTTAGAGACCATGTTGCTGGACTTGCAACGATCTCAAGACTTACCACATCGTTATGATCTGCGGTATATGAAGCCGTATTTTTGTGCTAAAAACTGACTAGGGGCCGGAGTTGATGATACTAACGATGTCAACTGACTTGTTCGATTCAAGGAAATGGAGGAGATTGAGGGATAGATATATAGTCAAAACCTGAAAGAAGAAGGCAGTATTTCGGATGCTTCCACTGGAAATCTGAATAGTTGCACCAACGCCTTTATATGATGTCGCTCGATTACAAAATGACTACAACAACCGCTCGAGGCTTTGTCTATCCAATGACACCACGGGGCGCAGCGCCTATGGCCATATGACATCCATTGTAAAGTTCCGTGTTCGCTCTATCACCAACCTCATCAGCCACATATATACTTTTTTTTCATGGCTACAGCCGGGCTGGTGACTCAACCTTATATTTGATCACAACATGTTACCGTGTATACACTGCCTTGGCAGCGAGGCTATGCACAACGCCCGAGGGTCAAGCCTGGGGCAAGGCTGTAGAAACGCATTCCGTAGAAAACCCCTTGTGACATAAGACAAGGCTAGGCTTCTCCCAGCATATGATGATGCAAGCCATGTTGAACGGATTATAGGCATGGATGTCAGTTACTATCTTGCTCCCGTTCCTACTTTCTTCGTATGTATTCGAGATATTGCCTCGCAGTCATTGTGTCCAAGAATGCGTCCCTGATCACACCGATATTGTATTACCTACTCCTATTTGCCATAGTTCTTCCTCTGACTCACCAGCGGAGACTTTGCTGTCTTGCGTAGTGTACTAGTAGGAACTCGATGATCGCCGCATTTCCGTACTGTGCAGCCTCACCGAGACTGCCGTTGGGGATCCATGGATTCGGCTTTCGTCTGGAGATTGTCTTGACGGCATTGATCATGATTTCCTGCATTACATACACGATGGACCAAGTCATTAAGCTTCTCACGCATCCCTGTGTCCAGTAAGGTCTCGATGGATTTGACATCTGCGCTGTTGGTGGCTATGATAGGGTGATCAACATATAGGTTATAACCCCTAGGTTTCCGTGATTGTATTGGCTCGTACCATGAATATAAATCATAGAGATCAGCGCCCAAGTTGAGAAGCCTTTCTGGGAGCTCCGAGTCAAGGCACCATCGAGCACCACCAAGATCGCGAAACCGCGATATTGTTCCTGGAGGAGTGTCTTATCGGACCAGCAGATCATCCCCCGGGCGGTGTCGCCGGCCGCCGGCAGTAAACCACGCCTCCGCCTGACTGGGAGAGCATGGGCCAATGAGATCCGGTGACGCCATCCGGCCGCCTTGGGCCTGACGCAGGCGCATTCACCACGTACAAAGGGCTCAATGGCCTCACGCTCATGGCTTCCTAATCGCCGGTGGCCATCTCACATGCCTCTATCAGCAGCCTCTCACTTCTCCCTTATTTTTGATAATCCTTCCATGCCAGTTTTTTGGTTATTTTTTGGTGCCCATCCAGATTCACGACCATGCCGCCGCCATCACTCCTGCAGCTCTGCACGGCGATTGCGATTAGGAACGTGAAACGTAGGCAAAGCCCAATCCACTCATCAGTCCCTATTCAGACAATATTCTGACCCCTAATTTTATTCAGATTTGGACGATATCGGAAACATGCCCTATACACTTGCTCGTCCATTTCTATTAAAGGTGGAGAGCCCCGAGAAGCTGGTGAGTCCGCGGGAGCCCCCGTCCAGCGTCAGTGAATGGCCCCTGGCTAACTATCGATCTCCCCCACATGACAGAGATCTCTGGAACTGAATTCCCCACACATTATGCGAGATGACGAGGAGCTCTGGCTCGAGTTTATAAAGCGGGATATCCCACGATGGGAGGAATACGATCTACCTGAGAAACCCGATTGTTGGTATGACGTATATTGTGATCTTCGGGAACAAGTTCAAAGGGCAGTGGATGAAGATGCCGAAAAGCTGAAGCTGGCTCTAGATGGAATCAGCTCGGAGCGCGAAAAGCACAGTGCCAAGTTGGTCACGGATCGACGAATCATCGGTCTTCCCCGAGAGAGGCCGACCGCGAAGCAGCGATATGCTTCCTTCGATCGAAGGATGGGCGGAATTGCCCCAGTCTTCTCCTCGTCCAAGCCCGGCGTTGGATCCTCAGATCCCATGGGACCGCCCGCCTGGACATTTGGTAGACCACAGGCTCCACGGGAGACAAAAAAGAAAAATAGCATATTCACGGCAACAAGGAGAAATACCGTTCTGGCTGTGCCAACAAAGCATCTCAATAACAGAGCGACCCAGGTCAGGCAGGCTCCACGCTCTTTGATCGAAGAGCATAGGCGTCCTGCTGAGCCCGCTGTCCCTCGGCGACAGGCCCCCCAAGCTTTGAGAGCGCCCGGTCGGTCGCTATCGCAGGTTAGTATTGGCTCTGCAAGCCAGAACAACCCGACGGTCAATCCTACCTTGCGGGAGAGGGAAGCCCGTTTACGAGCAATAACCTCAGGACGGTCCACTAACCCGCAGTCGCATCCGCCGGGTGCGAGCAGTAGGGCTGTGAGAAATGTACCGACATCACCGCCTACAAGCGATCCGTCCGAGTCTGTATCAAAAGGAGCGAGATCCCAACCCAACATGCAGGCGTCAAATTCGCACGATAGCAGTGCGACTAACCCCCAGCTGAAGTCTGGTGTAGCGGACATGCCAGCATCCCCGCCGCAACCACCCCGTCCTGCAGCCGTCCGGAAAAGGCCTGCTCCAAGCCTCTTCATTCAACCCAAGAAGAAGAAAGTAAATTAACGGGACATATATTGTCTTTTACGAAGTCCCCTTGCATCGTTAGATATACAGGATCACCCATTATCCATAGGATTGACGTTCAGCACAGGTTGAGTTGATGGCGTTTGGCAAATGATACCACTGAAGGCTTTCTTTCGTTTATTCTCCCTCTCCTTTTGGACACACCCGGGCTCGAGTCAGGCATTTCCCGATAAGGAATTCTCCATATAGAGGGGCCATATCGAGAACTGGTACGCAGCAGTGTCTGGACGAGATCTATGCAGGCGATGTTTGGTTCTCGATTGCCCCATCCTTATATCTTCCTCGTCCGTGCCTATATTTCCCCTTCTACATAAATCTACAGGTTACAGACCTTAGCCTATACGGCTATTTAGGTATATAATCCCATCCCTTGTCCAAACAATGTTTACTAGATATCCTCCTCAGAAAAGAAAACTGTCATTACTGCATTGGGTGTAGCTCATTATAAACCGGCCCAGTTGGAAAGCGACATGCGCATAACAACGCTCAGAAGCGTTCAAGATGCTGGCTCGAAAGATAATACAGATCTCTCTCCCTTCCACACCCGATCACGATCACAAGCATCCACCACGGAGAGCAAGCACCAAGTGTAGCGTGGCACCACCTTCCAGGTTATACTCCGAGGCAGTCTTATCATCAGCCCTATTTAACCACCCTCGCGTCAGCATACCCATACCTATACCCATATTATACTAACAGAGACACATACATCTGCTTTCCTCCGAAAATCAACCGCTGCTGAACAGGCGGAATACCCTCTTTCTCCTCAACGCGCTCCTTTATCCGGGACACCTGCGGATTCCGTCAGCCATGTTCGAACAAACCGATCCAAGTAGATCCCTCTCCGCCCGATAAGACAGCCGTGATGAGCCCAGCCTTGCAAGCAGCAGCTCAGCTAGGTAGGTAGCTGAGCCACAGCAGATCACACGCAGCGGGACGAAAGAACCCACGAGATGAACGTACCTTGTAGTCGGGCTCGATGTCCAACTCGATCTCCTTTCCGGTGAGGGTACGGACTCTGTGTTTGGGGAAAAGACACGGGTTAGCTGGTATTGCGCGACGGGGTGCGTCATGGGTGGATTGGATTGCCTCTGCGGGAGGGACACGACACTCACTTGATCAACATGTTGGGTAGATAGCGACTGTAGTAAGGATTTGTTTACGGGGGTAGGAAAAAGAAAATGAGGTGCAAGCACGGGACGCGACGCTCTAATATAGGTAGGTAGTAAGTGAGGAGCAACAATGTAAGGGAATGACGGTGGTGGATGTTGACTGGACTGGTGACGGAAAGCTTCGGCGGGGTTTTTGGTGGGGCATCAAAATAACGGAGGTCGGCGATAGTAAGCAGTCACTGAGCGCCCCGGACTGAGGCCTTGGGGGTGGGATGCTACGTTTGATTTTGGTGGTGGCGGTGTAGTTTAGGACTAATTGGAGTGGATTTTATTCTGGCTTTTTTGATTGTCTTTTATGGGGGGGAGGATGCCATTGTATGGGTGGTTTGTTGCCGGTTTACATTCAGGCGGGCAACGGGCTTGTGTCGGTGCCCCTCAAGCTGATGAGATATATATAGCACCGGGCCTTGGCATTTTGTCGCTATCAACAACCACCCAGAACATTGTTCTAGATTTCTCCTTCTACAAATTACCGAACAGCTACCAGACTAGATAAAATGGAAAAAAGCGCACAAGAGCCTAATCCCTTCGACCAGTTGATCATAGAATGTCACGATGACCCTGTATAATCCCAAGGCTCCAACCGCTTCTTCAAGAACAATCCTCCTTACTCATCCGGGGCACAGAAACAGATCCAAACTCGATATGAGACCCATCGATCCAACCGCAATGCGCAATTCAAGGATAAAATCCTCGGTCCCGACTTCAAGGGCTGGCAGACTGATGAGATCCTGAGGAAGTTGCATACACATGCTGAAGCTGACGGCCAGACACGGCCATTTGTCGATCCTCGGCACAACCTGACGCTCTACGCTCGACCACCGCAGCATATCCGGAACCTGGTGGCTGAGATCCAGCAGGATATTTGCGATGTAGCTCCAAGTCAGTAATATTATGCCCACTGCCGGGAACTTCCCCTATCCGCTGATCACTTTACTGGCTATGGTATTGCTAGGCGTTTGGTTCACGCCCCTGGAGCAATTGCACATGACTACACTGGAGATTGCCAGCTGTCGACCTGAGCCGGAGATTGAAGGGTTGGTCTCTCGTCTTCAGGGCCATGGCGTTGTGATGGATCTGGTGGATTATCTATTCCACCATCGGACGCGCCTGGTTAAACCCATGGTCAGTTACGATGCAACTGCGATGGCGCTGACTTTTGTCCCGGCCGCCGGAGAGGGGACAACCACTACCCACAACGTGAAAGATGATGGGTACACATATCATCATCTGCGACGTGATGTTTCTGGTAAGGTGACAGCGACGGGGTTACAAATGAAGCCGAGGTACATTGCCCTCTCAGCACATATTACGATTGCACGTTTCATCACGCAGGATGGGTTTGTGCTAGAGAACCCTAATCAAGGGGGAGGAGAGGTAGTGGACCATGCGCGAGTGGCTGCATTGGTAGATAGGGTGGAGAAGATTAATGAGAAGCTCCGGGAGAAGTATTGGTTTCGAGAAGACGGGGTCATCTCCATGAAGGGGGAATGGCTTGTCGGGCAAGAAAGAGGGCTGGAGTTCTGTAGAGGGACGTCATTTTATGGCGGAGGAGAAGCTGTTCTTGTCGGCAAAGGGTTCCACTCAGGGTCTCCAAACTCTTAGAATAAGCACCGATATAGCGTCATTGATATTATTATTCAAGAGCGAGAAATGGAATGTGGTATGGGGGATGATATGGGTCCTTGCCTGAGGCATCAGGTCGTTACGGCCTGGGTCTTGGCGGATGGCACACAAACGCGGTTAGGCCGCGCCCTAAGCGAACGAAATCCCACAACACACGGCCAGCCCGACTCGATCCTCCCGACAAGAGACTATCAACGACCACCAAGTTCGCGATCCGGCCAAATCAGTCAAAATGGTAAGGACACTGTTCTGATCGTTAACCAGTCTTGTTTCCGTGTTCCTGGGTGTCGGAGAAGTGTGTTCGATAAATCGGTATATTGCGAAGTGGGACGACACGGCACTCTTTTTTTGACGACGAATCGAATTGGAAAACGGCACCTTTTACGAATCGCAACAACTGAAACTGCAAACGAAAATTTTGGACCTCCAAAAGAAACGCACAAAAATGGTTAGAAGCGATGGAGATTTCGACGTGGGGAGTTTCCCCGCGAATATTGTGGGATGAAGCGAATGAAGATGTTGTGTGCGACCGGAACGATGAATCGAAATACTCTGCCATAGCAACCAAGTCATCGCCAGATCTCAGTCTGCTCTACTCGCATTCTCGAACCGTGATGCCGTCCCCATCGCGAATCACTATCTCCGCCGGCGAGGAACCCGGGAACAAGCTGCGGACGTTTATGATACCATTCCACAGCAGCAGTGGCTGATCAATCTTCTCGCATTCAGGTCAACGTTCCGAAAACCCGCCGGACGTACTGCAAGTCCAAGGAGTGCCACAAGCACACCCAGCACAAGGTCACCCAGTACAAGGCTGGAAAGGTGAACACTTCCCAAGCATCCGAGCCAACCACGCGCGACCAATGCTGATGCAATCATGATCTATAGGCCTCTCTGTTCGCCCAGGGTAAGCGTCGTTACGACCGGAAGCAGAGCGGTTATGGTGGTCAGACCAAGCCCGTCTTCCACAAGAAGGCCAAGACCACCAAGAAGATCGTCCTTCGTCTTGAGTGCACTGCCTGCAAGACCAAGAAGCAGCTCTCCCTGAAGCGCTGCAAGCACTTCGAGCTTGGGTACGTTTCCACACTTGTCATGCGACCGGTGGATGATGCTAACCATGCTTTCACAACAGTGGTGACAAGAAGACCAAGGGTGCTGCTCTTGTCTTCTAGATTTGCGGTTTCCTTGTTCGGCTCTGGGTTTCATGCATTGCACAGACCGCTATGCGGCGGCGGCTATGACATCGGCAATGGAAGATGGAATAGGGTCTCATATTCAAAAAAAGAAAGAATATACGACTCCTAGTTGATGAGTCTCTTGACGAACTATCCTTGTGCTGGCATGCATGCTGTAGACTGCGTAGGTCGACGTAGAAATCTCGCTTGTTCTGATGGATGTGTCTTATCTGGCATCGTCAGCTCTTTCTACGGCCACTGTTGTTTGTCGTAGCGTCCCCAGAGTACAATGGAGACCGCAAGCATAGACCTTCACAGTTCACGCTAGTTCTAACTTCTAAGGCTTGATAGTGTTACTATCTTTGCAAAGACTCTACATGGCAATAGCCACTAGTGATTGTTCTACAGATACACGACTACCGCTTTTGCACAAGTGAACGATACTAGCCACAAGACCATCCATCCATCACAACACTTGATCCCACAACACCAAGCACATCGCAATTCCTTTATACTACGTAATAGTATCCTTCTTCTCCAACCAGTCGAACAAGCCGACCAAATTGATGAAAAAGGGTTCGCGTCGATCGGAGGTAGTGTAAGCCCGATGACACTGTGTGGTAAGGCATGCGCAAGCACAGAGGCCCTGCCACGGGGTACAAAAATAAGATTAATCAATGTTGTGTTCCTTAGAACACTTTCAGAGATTAAACTGAAAAGAACAGATACTACACTTGATCTAAGCCAAAAGGCAAAGAGAGCTGAAGAAGAAAAGAAAAAAATTTCAAAGATGCGCGGGCGCAGCGAGCTTTTATAGCTGGCGGGAAGGGTCGTTTGGCGCTAGTAAACCTAGTGTCGATTTAGCGAGAGGCTAGCCGGAATGGGAGATGGAAGCGAGATCGACGCTTTGGGAATAGTGGTTGGCCGGCTTGTTAGGGTGCTGCCGACTCGTACAGAGTAAGTATACGGAGATTTATAATCTATCTACACTTCGTCCTTCGCTCAACTGGTTGCCTTGGTTTTACGGATGCTTGGCCCGCGAGAATTCTTTCTCATATAGCTTTTGTGTGTACTACGTACAGAGTACTTGGAATTGGAAGCACGGGGTTAGCCTACTCTCACAACTGCAGGTGCACCAAGCAGTGCGTCGTCATCTTGCCTACGTAGATCTTCTACCTTGACCAACTCGATATGAGTGGTACCAGGCAACGAAACGTACCTTATTCTTTGCCTTAGTAGAAGATTCCAAACTCCCTGCGGTCAAAGGGCGGGAGGTCACGAGGAGGCTGTTGGACCCCCCGGAAGTGATCGTCCACTGCCACCCCGCATCTAGTAGTCTTTCCCCAGAACGTTTCTTTGGCTTGACACGAGTCTCTGCCGTCGGTTGCTGGAAATTGCGCCAGTATGAACAAAGCTACCCCTTCCATCTCTCTGAATAAACGAAGAGACAGGTAGATGCCATCGGGCCTGCCTTGCGAGTTCTCACGATTCCTTCGGCCACGCTCCCCAGGCCTGCAGCTCTTGGTTTGCGGGGAAATCACTATTCTCTCCAGTGCTTGAACTTTCCACCCCGCAGAATATGGAATTCCCATAATGTTTCCCGCCTCCCCAGGTCTTCTTACCCCATGGCCCCTTCGATCGGCCATACTCCGAGTGGCTGCCACCGTCGCAGACCCTCGGCTGAGCGGTCATTTACACCCCCGGCTTGACGTATGACAGCGATATGTTAACACGGCCCTTTTAGCCTGCATAGCTGCTATTCAGGTGAGTTCTCATCTCCACTTTCCCATCGGTGCCGTTCGAATGTCAAGATGGCTGTTTGGTACGCCTTTGGAGTCGCAATTTTCTCTGCAATCGGAACCTTCCTTTTTGTGAGTTGGTTTTCATTCTTTACACATCTGTGGGAGACCGCTTCTGATGTGATTATACGCAGGGGTTCGATACGGGAATTGCTACAACAAGTAAGGACAGCAAAGGGAGTATTCCGCCACCGTTGTGCTGACCCTGTTAGCAATCGCTCATCAAAGCTGGATAAATTACATGAAAAACCCATCCAATGGCCTCACAGGTGCTGTAGGTTCAAGGTACAGACCGACAGTAAAGCCTTTGCTGAACTGACTTAGGTTGTTTCCGTTTACATTGCCGGCGAAGCAGTCGGCGCGCTCACCCAAACTGCCCTCGGAGACAAACTAGGACGTCTGCGGTTCATGGAGTTGCTGTGTGTAATGGTTACAATTGGAACGATCATCCAGACGGCGGCAGTCAATATTGGGATGTTTCTTGCAGGCCGTGCGCTCGCTGGTTATGCGGTTGGGTGAGTGCTGTTGACTTTATTTTGGATTAAAGGCGTCTTCAACGCATAGCTAACTATACCATATCGATTTAGGGGGTTGGTTGCCACGGTCCCTATCTATCTGAGCGAAATCTCCGACCCGCGCTATCGCGGTCTAATCGGTGGAATCTCTGGTTGCGGTATTGCCTTCGGAACAATGGCTTCAAACTGGGTAGGGTATGCTTGCAGCTTCGCTCCTTACGGCCCAGTACAATGGAGGCTCCCTCTTGGGCTACAAATCCCTTGGGGTATCGTGATGTTCTTCGGACTAATCACATTTATGCCCGACTCACCCCGTCATTTGATCCGGAAGGGAAATGTTGAGCAGGCCCGAGCCGAATCCAAAAAAATCCGCCGGGATCTGCGCGCAGATGAGTTCCAAGAGGAGTTTGCCGCGATGGTTGCGCAAATTCAGTATGAGAAGGAGCGGGAGATAAGTTCTTACAAAGACATATTTAGGCTGTTTAGACGTCGTGCATTGGTGTAAGTCATCTTTTCTGTCGAGTCTCAACCAAACGGTCACCTCTAATGCACCGGAACAGATCGATTGCTGTACAGACCATGACAAGTCTCACCGGTGTAAATGTCATACAGGTAAGAAATATATATTATTCGTATTAAAGACTTTGATGAAGTCTAACGATTTTCTAGTACTATCAAAGTCAGTGTCCCAAAACCCTCATCCATTCCTCACTTACATACTCATAACAAATAGCAACATTGTACAAATCCCTTGGCATCGACTCGCACACCATCCTCGCACTAGCTGCCGTCTATGGCACTGTAGCCTTTATCTTCAACTGCCTCACAACCAAATACCTAACCGACCAATGGGGTCGACGAAAGTACATCATCTTCCAGACCGACCAGCAATACACTAGGATTATCTACTAACAAAGAACAGAATGCTTCTTTCCGGCTTAGCCGGAATCATCATTATTGAGATCTACGCTGCCGTCATGCAACGGGAATTCCAAAACACCAATAACCGAGTCGGCAAAGGATTTGCTATTCTGGGAATATATCTCTTCGTTGTGGCATACTGTAAGTCACCACCATCATCAAACCACTAAGCTCCGCCGAAAATTTGACACATTTATACCATAGATGGCATGCTCAACAGCACAACCTGGCTCTACGGCGCGGAAGTCCTCCCCATAGCCATTCGAAGCAAAGTAATGGGACTAGCAGCAGCATCGCACTTTATAGTCAACGTCGCCAGTTAGTCAACATGTCCCCCTGTCATCTGCCCTCTACCCCCTACCCCAACTCCCTTCCTCTCTCCGTACCATATAAACCACACTCGAAATACCTCAATTCCCTAACACTGCTTCACCCAGTAACCGAAGCCGGTCCCAGTGCATTCGCCAACATCGGCGAGAATTACTATTATGTCTTCGTAGCATGCACAATTTTCTTCCTCGTCGTTGCCTATCTCTACTTCCCGTAAGTGATGATCTACTTCCAACGGTGGCTGTGACAACGCTCATACATATATCTAGCGAAACGAAGCAGCGGACACTCGAGGAGATCGCTGCGTCCTTTGGTGATAAAGTGATTGTGACTGGAGAGCGAGGTGATAGTGAGGATCCGGATGCGAAATGTGATTCCCAGCGTATTGAGGTGGTGCATCAAGAGTGAGAGAGGTATGTGTCTGTCTACATAAGCTAAGGAAGATAGGATGGTTTGTTTCATTGTGATCATGAATGGATAGCACACCGTTAGTGATTTCTATTATGAACGACTTCACTGACGGGGGGTATGCCACAATTGCTACTGCTTCCTGGAATGATATGGAATCCTTCAGCACCTTAGACAAATAGAATGACGTTTGATGGACTGGCATTCAAGGGAACCCGCTTGAACAGACTAACGATATCCACGAGCTCGTTCAAAGTAACTACAAATTGGAAAAATAGATTAGCTTAGATTACTGATAATCGCTACTCATGTTGTTGATCATTGGTGGAACAATAATCTCCGAATTCCGCTTGCCGATGTCGATCTGGTGACTGTACTTCAAAACCGGTAGGATGAAGGTCGGTGGTTTTTTTTTTTTTTTCTCCCGCGGCACGGTTATGTTGAGTTGTCATCCTCGTCCTATCGTCGATGGTACACTCATCATTCGACGATCTCCTCTCGACAAAAAGTCTGCAAGGGCAGAGGAGCAGTGAAATTATGTCCTCCAAAGCTGACGTTACTCATATCGATACTTGTGTGCCTGGGGGATGGCAGGCAGACAGTGTGGCTCTTTCGACTTGAGCGAGGACCAAATTAAGACGCTTAGTGTCGCACAACGCCCGAGTCCGATGCTGTCTTGGAAGGTCCCTAGAGCAATGGACAAAGCCGAAGAGTAACAGATACTGTGTCACTCTAAACAGCCATTTAGTCGTATATCTGTTCCTGCCATATTCGCTATCCTTGTTCGGAGAGAAACTTCCAACCATCCCATGGAATTGAAGTCGGACTGACCCAGTTCTGGGGCTGGAGCTGAGCAAAGAGTGGCTCCATAATGTACTCCGATGCTATGGGCGATAAGCCCTGCGCGTACTCAGCGGAGGGGCTTACGATACCGGTGTTTGGGTCGACGGCCAAGACGGCCTGTTGGCCTCTAGTGCAGGCTATGTCGCTAAAGATTGCAGTTGGTTAATTCATTTCGAGATAGGAAGGGAACTGGCTCTTTTGGCGCTGATGGAGACTCACATGATTTGGCGGAGGACGGGGACGGCTTTGCTGCAGAAATTGCTGCGATTTGATGAAGCAGCAAAAACATCCAAAGATTTCCAGAGGGTTTCTTTGATCTCAACAAACTCAAATTGGCTCTCTGGGTACATTAAAGTCACTGATAAAATCACAGCCGCGTGAAAGGCATGAAAACTTCCCAAGCCACTGTTGAACCATTTGTATGATGCGAACTGAGGTGATTCATGAAGTGCTTGATATATCGAAAGCGATGCCTTGGCGGAGGCGACGCATTTAGTTCTCGATGCGTATGTCTCCGGAGTGAAATCACCCTGGAGGTAGCAGCAAAGACTTGGACGGAGTAGAAGTAAGAGTAGCTGGTGGATATAGCTGTAGAGGATGTTTAGATTGGCCACGTGGTGTATCGGTAAAGGCTCAAGATTTGTGTTAATCTGGTATCGCCTATCACACATATCGTGAACGGACAAGATCTGGGCTTCGATCTGAGAGAGGCTGAACTTGGGGTAGAAGCTGAAAAGAGTTCGGCAGACCATGGAGAATATCTTGTCCAGACGAAACTCTAGCAGAAGATATGTCATTTGGGTTGGGCCTGTTGATTGTTCGGAAAAAGACCCTGTGAGCAGGTCCACGTCGTTGATCTCCAAAGGGAGCTTCACGCTTTCGGAGGCTACCTGGTGGTCAAGATGTCCAAATACTGTATTCTGAACAATATAGAGCATCGTTACTCCGGTCCAAGCACGTCTGCGTTCTTCCCGCTCGATAGGCCCAAGCGGAAATCGATCTGGATCAACGTGACAGCCCATCGATATCGCGACATGGTGTGTGAAGCCCAACAAAGTCCACGTCGGCAGTCCCCTGTGAATTCGTGCATAGTTGGTGAGGATAAGGGACTGGAGAGAGTTAATGGAGTGGCGAGAGAGAACATCGTCTGCTGCCAGACAGCGCAGTGAGGCAGATCGATAACGTGAGGATAGAATCTTGAGATTACGGGTGACCGTTTTTTCACGGCCTAGATCGGAAAGTAAGGGCTCATCGTCCTCGAGTGCGGTGACGGCAATTGCCAAAATGGCAAATAATAGCGCAATCCATGCTGTTGTCACACTACTAGGATCATGGCAGAATTGCTGGTACTCGGCCTCGAATGTCAGATCGTGGAGAATGTGAAACAGCTGACCTCCTGGTTAGCTCGGATAACTGGGTGGAGACCTCATTGGAAGAGATAAGAGCAAAGCAAACATTTCGACATACAGGTGAAAAGACTCGGAAGTAGACATCCTTCAAAGCGTCACAGTACCGACGAGGTGGGAGAATGGCAAGTAGCTCATCCCTGGTAACACAGTTCTTAGCCAACGGAATTTGTAGGTCATCGCTCTCATCCGGTATCTCGGTATCCACGTTCGGCAAAGAATAGGTGCCTGTGACTGTAGGGCTTAGTTGGCTAGAGTGAGTTGCTAGTGGTAGGTAGCGAACGTATCCAGAAGCAAAGGTTTGAAGAGTGCCGACATTAGTTAGCAACGGACTTCTCATATCTCTGGATCCCGGATCAACAGCACTATCGGTCTCAAGGAGGCTGCCTGTCGCACTAGGTGAGTTTTGCGGGGACAGGGAATCGCCTGACTGCGATTGCGCTTGTCTCTGGAGGAGTTCCTCAAGATTGCGGATTCGTGCAAGTAACTCGTTCTGCCCTGCTGTTTCTACCGTCAAGGCATGCTCGGATGACAGTCTGGGTTGACCCAGGTATATGCAGTCCTCAGCGCCTAATCCGCGGCGGACACAGGTTTGGCATGGACGCCCATCACGAGAGCAGCGTATCTTTCTAGTTCGACATGCTTGGCAACTGATGGGTAATCTCTTGCTGGTCGAGCGATTCGATGTAGTCATGGTGGTTGAGACCGCTGCGTGAAGGAACAATGAGGGCTGAATTGGGGCTTGAAAGCTGAGGCAATCTCCACTATGTGGATAAGAATGACAGGAACGGTAAGAAGGCAACGGAAAGTGGCTGTAGATCTAACCACAGTAGGTCAGGGTTCAGGGAGCTGGCTTGGGATGACTGGAAAGTATCAGGGGATCCCAGGTACCGTGGCCTTTGAGGGCACAGGGCCGTCTTTTTAAACGAACAACTCCTATCGCTGATCTGCAAATAGGAAAACATTGGGGTAAACAGAGGAACAGGGACATTATGTCGGAGGCATTGTGTCAGGCAGGGCCCCTTCGCACAAATTTTTTTTTTCTTTTTTCTTTTTCTTTCCCTTTCCCTTCTTCTCATTCCAGAGGCTAGAAAAGGGGCCTAGGTAGCTACTGCGGAATATTTCTTTTGTGTTGGAATGGCCTCGTAGCATCTGAGATCTTTTGCCGATTCGGTTAGGGCGCATTCTGCAATTGATTTGCATCTGCATCTCCCTTTTCTTTGGCCAGGACTGCATTGATAGGAGGACCGGGGGAAATTGGACGCATGGAAATCTTCCAGAATCATACCAGATGCGAGCCAAGCCTCGAGTACTAAGTGGATTTTACGGGGCTCCCTGTGCCATCCTGGGCTCGGCGCAAAGGGGGAGAAAGTGGTGCTAGGGCGAACTAGCAGTCGGTTCGCAGGCGGCCGCGATGGATCTAGGTAGGATCGCAATGACGTTCCCCGGTACTCGGGTCTGCGGTGCAGTGGGTCTCTAACCGAAGGCTGAGTCTTTCTGCTAGCAACTGCTTTGTGAACCGCGTCTAGTAGCAGAATGGCCGAGGCCAATGAAGATAGCCAATGTCACCGCCACCAAAAGCACTGAAAGCGAACTTCCTTTGTGAGGCAATGTCGCTTTCCACGTACGCCGTACCAAAAAACCCAGTTGCGCCGCTCGGTCCTCGAAACACCTTGTTCGCTGCAGCCCTTGTTGCATTTTAACCATTATCTGGCAGACTGTGGGTGTCCCCTCACGCATCCTATATTAAACTCGTAATCCTAGACGATCATCCCGTGCGCACTGACGACAGCACAGCTGATAAAGGGCCCTTGCCTGGATTTCCGAAGGCCATTTGCTGGTCTAGTCTGTCTATCGAACCGGGACAGGCTCACTGGCGAATTGAACAGTATGATTATGAGATAGCGCCGCGTATTCGACCTCATGGGTTGTATGGACCACAGGTATTAGACGCTAGGGGTCAAAGCGCAAGAAGGCCACATACCGAGCTGGACCGTCAGGTCATTTCGTTCCCATGAAGGTCTTAGGGCACGGAGGTTTATGGAATCAAATGGATGCAGGGATCATCATTGAGACCCTCTTTCCTGAGAAGGAGAATAGAGGAGTCACATTGCCCCGGCTGCCAAAACAACCCGCCTATCTAGATGGGAAGGCAAAATCCCAACGGGCGAGCATGGCCGACCAGCAGAAATCGAGCATTATGCGGCAGGACACAACGTCGCATCTGGCAGCCGAGACAGGCTAGCGATGCGCAGTAGGTAAAGCGGAAAGCATGTTCATCATATACCGTGGATGTAGGTAATAGCGTAATTTTCATAGCATCCAATAGTTTGACGCATATGAGCTTTGGACTCACGCGAACCTAAGGCACACTAAAGACCGTAGCTGGTTTTAGCCGTCCGCGTGGCGAATAATGACCGCGGGTCGGGCAATCGCCTAGCGTTAGTGAGAGGTCATCGGTATGGAGATCATAGTACGTGAAAGATGCAGATCTAACAGACCACATCGGTCTAGAGCTGGAACATTTGCCTTGGCTGCAACAGATGCAATGATCAGTGTTCAGTGCTCGGTCTTCTGGCCGTAGCGAAAGGGAGACCTCGCATCATTGAACGGGAAGCATGACAGGGAGCCGAGAATGAGGTGAGAGGCAAAGCAAAGAAGATTTGTAATCGAAGCAATCGCATCAGGAAGAAGAAAAGAGGCGTATCTGAACTCTAACAAAAGAACGCCACTGCGGCTGCTCGGAATCCACTTCCGCTCTTCCTCCCAATCCTTTTCGTCTACCCAGTCGAACTATCCCCTGCATTATAGTGTGCTAGATAAGTAAGTAGATGTCAACTCTCAACACCCAACCGGCAGGTGGAAAGATGCTGCTTCGGTCCACTGGTAGCAAGCGGCTAAATCCCATGGTTTATTCCCAGCCCAACCCACCGAGACCCGTGGAACCGGCTTATCTGGAAAAGCATCTATCTACCTACCTCCTAGTCTTAAGTATCAAGGACAAGATAGCCATGGGTATTCGCCCCGGATAGCTGTCGTAGTACAGACTAGAGGGAAGAGGGTACTCTGTACGGAGTACCTAGATAGTATCGGGCGCAATGTCAGCCTCATTCATTCTTTGTGCGTCTGGGGCTCGAAGAGAACCTCATGACTGTTATGGTCGGGCAAAAGGGCACCCTGAGTCAGTTACGGAGGAATTCTTCTCTATTCGGATTATCTAGTAAGTAGAGAAGAAGTTTGGCCCTTGGAAGATCCAGACTCGGAGATGAAGTGAAGCCGTGAGATTGTTTGGATGGAAAGAAGGAAGGTGGGGGAAGGCGGCGGCCGTCATCTGCTCATCACGAGGCAGGCTCGCTTTCACGTGGCCGATCGCTTGCCTGTTTCGACCATTGCCTCATCGCCTTTTTCTTTCTTCTGCTTCTTCCTGCTCTTCACTTTTATTCTTCAGTTCAGTTCCTATCGCATCTCCATCCACACCCGTCCATCTCATCATTGGCACCGTCTTTCCCCTCTCAAATAGTGCGGTAGTAGAAGGCGATCATCCCCACTCAGACCCTGCGAGAGAACAGACCGTCTGACTAGTACCTACACAGTAGGTACGTAGGTATATACTATACCTACGATGCAATTGTTTACCCCTCCTCCCACCAACCAATCTATCTTGCCACTCATCTCTCAGCCACCTTTCTTTCCATCCTTGCCCCGTGTTTTGCTGTTCCACCCATTTTTTCTGTCTCTGGTTTCACTCTGTGCTACCGGGCAATCTTGCTCCTGCGTCACTGGCCCAACATTTCGTCAGCCTTGCCCTTACCCCACTTCCCTGCAGCCTCGTCTCCCGTCTTCGAATCCTCCATCTTCCATCTCCCATTCTCCTCCTAACGCCCCTCTTCATCTCAACAATTCTTTCGTCGTTACCCTACCAGACACTTCACCCTGCTGACATCTGGAAGCCTGTGTAAGCCACCTTCTTCATGTCGACGTACATCTACAGAGAAAGAGACCGCGAACGGGATTGGGACGAGCCCCGTTCTTCCTCCGTGTCTATCAAGCGTTACGTCATTCCTTCCGAGGACGATCGTGAGCGCGATTTTTTCTACCGCCGCGATGACCCTGGGGATCGAGAGCTGGTTATCCGGCGCTCAGTCGACCGCGAAGATCCTGTAATGGTTCAACGCTACGAACGCGATATTGACTACGACTCGCGTTCTTATGACTATCGCTCCGAAAGGGACCTCTACGAACGTGAGTACTACGCGCCCGAGCGTATCCGTACCTATCCCGCCCCCGTTGTCATCCGTGAAGCTCAGCCGGTAATCATTCTTGAAGCTCGAGGCCCGATCTACCTCAACCCACGAGAGTCCGACTATGATATTGTCCGTCGGTCTGAAGTGGACAGGGAGCCTGGGGGTTATTACTACCATCGCCGTGTTCGAGAATACGATGACGAACGTCGCAGTCGACGTGAACTGAGTCCCAATGATTCCGTCTCTCAGACCACCCGCCACCGGGACGACCAAGAAGCCTACAGCAGTGACGACAGCATGGTTTACATTCGCAAAGAAGTCCGGGAGTATGATGACTCCCCTCATCATCGACGACATCTGGCCGAGGGTGCTCTAGCGGGCGTTGGTGCCGCAGAACTGCTCCGCAATCACCACAAGAAAGAAGGGGAAGAGGTATCAGGAGGCATGGGCCGTTTGGGTAGAGACATAGGTGCGGGTGCCCTGGGAGCTGTTGCGGCCGAGGCAGTCTCGCGCGCTAGGGATCACTACCGCAGCAAAAGCCGGCATCGCTCCCATTCATTTGATGATGATGACAGGAGGTCTCACTCACGTCATCATCATCATCACCACCACCGTCATAGCCGCAGCCGTCGCAGCCGCAGCCGTTCCCATTCCCACTCACGTGCTAGAACACTTGCAGAGCTCGGCTTAGGTGCTGCTGCCATTGCTGGTGCCGTGGCGTTGGCGCGGAGTAAATCGAATTCGAACAAGGACCGACGGAGTCGCTCACGTCATCGCCGTGCCTCCAGCTCACGCAGATCTGTAAGGGGCACAGATGAGGAGGGACGCAGCCAGTCTCAACGCAGGAAGCACATGGCAGAGGCTGGCTTAGCTGGAGCAGCTGTAGCAGGTCTTGTGGAGAAAGCTCGCAGCCGTTCCCGCTCTCGCAGACATGAGTCTCGCTCGCACAGTGCAATCAGGAAGGCCCTCCCTGTGGTAGCAGCTGGGCTTGGGACGGCTGCTGCAACGGGGCTTTACGAGAAAAACAAGGAAAAGAAAGAGGAGGAGTCGCAGCGCCGAGAACGTCGGCGGTCGAGGTCTCGAAGCAGAGCACCATCCGAGGCGTTCCCTGATCCGACGAGGGACTCGCCGGGTTTGATTGAATACGGCGATCGTCCGGTCCAGGGGAGCATCCCTGCTGCCAACTACTATGGTCGACCCATGAGCCCGCACGGGTATTACTCTGATGCTTCCGATCCTGTGGCAAGCGGCGCTGCAGGTTTTGGCTCTTCTAGGCATCGAGCCCACAGTCGCAGTCGTAGTCGCAGCCGGGGTGTACGATACAGTAGCGAGTCATCTGATTCCGACAGAGGCAGCCGTACGAGACGCCACAGCCATCATGGCAGGCACCGCAGCCGCTCTCGCGATATTGCCGAGGCCGCTTTAGCCGCCACGGGGGTAGGATATGCGGCTCACAAGCTTTCACAACGAAACGAACGTAAGAAGGCCGAGAAAGAGAGAGACAGACCTGGTAAGCCAAGATGAGCTGGATGGAGCCCACGGCGTATTCCCAAGCTGACGGCCTTATCCTAGAATCCGATGAGGATAGACGCCGAGAGCGAGAACCATATGACGGCTCGTATAATCACCTGCCCTATGCGCCGTCTCCTGCAGCAGTGCCCCAGCGGATCGATGACCACCAGTATTATCCGAACAGCAACTATTTCCCACCACCTCCTGGGTCAGCCCCTCGGCCAGACCCGGCACCCTACAGCCCAGCCGACTATCCACCCCCACCTGGCGCTGTGCCACCCCAGTCATACGATTACCCTGCTCGCCCAGGCCCAGGCCCTGACACGTACGCTCCTCGGCCCCGGAGGGCAGATGAAATGGTGAGTGCATCGACCTGTCCCCGCCCCACTGCCCAAGATCGTGCATTTGATGGTGGGTTTAAGACGACCGCCGCTAGCTGGATGCCTGCTAACATTGTCGCTCAGGTGTAGAAGCCCAGTCGCCGTTGAGGACCCCCCGTGCAAGGAGGCGACGGATGCGCGCTACCAGCCAACCGGCCGGGCCAAAGTCGGTGGTCTTTGATCTGAACTTAGAACATGAACAGCAAAAGGATCTCGGATATGAAACCGATGACAGTGACTCGACCATTGAGTCGATACATGGGAATCGTCGCAGCCGCCCTCGGCCTCGCCGGCACTCATCGTCCGAGCCCTATTCCTTATACCAACGTAGCGATCCGCAGTCTAGTCCACAGGACCGCCATCATGCAGGCGAGTCTGATTCTGATTCGACAATTGACTTGCCTGATCGGTTTGACTCGCAGGGCCGGCTGCTGCCCCAGTCCCGCGATGATCCGTTGGCAGGTCGGCTCGAGCAGCTTCTCAGGGGATTTGACCGAGTCTTTGCGTAAACTCTATCGTTGTTGCTTGCTTTTTCTGCTTTTCTTCCGGGTAGCATGCTGCTTTGATGACGAGATAATGATGAATGATGCGAGATGATTGGACATGTCTGCTTTACGAAATTTCACGCTTTTTAACGGCCTCATGCAGCTCCCGAGTGCTTTGTTTTCATGTTTCTCAATCGTGCAGTCAAGCTGAAGATTGTCGGGCCTCGGCCGGGAGATCTTGCAGGATGCGATAGATCTCTCCGTCCACGTAAATCACAAGCCCAACCGCCGATCTCTACGTGCGCTTTACATCCTTGTTCCGGGAAAGGAAAATGCCAATGGTCCTCCTGCAGGCCAGGTGGTACATAAACCAACGGAGCCATGCATCCAGACGGGTCATTTCCCTTGGATATACGTAGTATCTGAGTATCTACATCGTACATAGATAGAGACAGCCCGACTGGAATTCCTCCGGGATCGGACTGGCCACAATGTGACGGATCGTCCGCCACCCCCCGGCAGGCAGCCAAAAGCAGGCAACGCCCACCCCTGCGCCTCCCAGCAAAGCACAGAAATAAATATACCACGTAGCCACAATTGATCCCACTCCTTGTTTCTAGCCATTCCCACGGAATTTACTTCCTTGGAATTGACTGCTTTTTCTTCCTTTCCTCCTGTCTGTCTACTCTATGTAGATACTTAGCCCCCCTCACCGTAAAGTAACCCAGAGTCAGTAGTCAAAAACCAACTAGGCAAATCAGCGGTGAAAGGCAACCCCGACCCAGCCCGAGCCCCAGTTTCAAAACAAACATCAACACCTATCTAGGTATCTACCTACCCACCCACCTGCACTAAACCCCCCCAACCAACACCTCCGAGACTAAAGAGTGAAGACTAAAGCGTAGTATGTATTGACATGGCATGATGCTCAAGCACAACACAAATCAAAAAAATTATTATAAAAAGTTAAATAACTTAGTCTAGCACATGTCATGTCATTCATTCATTATTAGCCAATTTACTTTCGCTCTCTCTCCCCCTCTCTTTTTGTGTGGGGGAGAGAGAGAGAGAGAGAGAGAACCATGTGTATGTATGTAATCGTCTTCATAACTTATGCATACATAGCGAGGAATAATATATAACTCACTGAGTATGGATACGCAGATAGATAAGTAAGTGGGTAAGTAAGTGGGTAAGTAAGTAAATACCAGGGTCTACCCACCCACACTGCTCCGTGCCCTGTGCACATCCCTCGGGGACATCAATCACTTTACGTCTCATCTTTGGGTGCAGGGCTTGCTCGGGGTTAGTTACTACTACTTCTAGCGCTGCGGGTTTATTCGGAGGGAGGGAGAGAGTAGTGTGACTTGGGACTATGGATACACAATGCATAGTGCACAGTACAGTAGTAGGTACTTGTTGTAGGTAGGAGGGAGGACACAGTAGATGAGTACGTTCCGGGGGGGGGGGGGGTAGTAAAATGAATGAATGAATGAATGAATGTACTGCATGGCACAAATGCTCCTTTCCTTGAGGGGAAGGAAGGACCTACTTAGTAGTGTGTGTGTGTGTGTGTTATGGTGGCCAGCTGATTGGAGGGCGGGTAAATTACAGAGGGCCAGTTTGTTTTTGTTGGGCCGAGGGGGAGGATGTACTAGTACTAGGTAGCTAGCAGGGAGGGGCTACCTAGGCGTTGTGGTTGCTGGGTTGGAGTGCTCAAACAGGTTACTGTCTATGTATACATCATTTGGAAGGATGGGTATGACCTAAGTTCGAAGCAAGTGCTAGTAAAAAGAATGCCGGTTCGTCTTGTATACAGTCAATTATATTAACTGCCAAATGGCATAGCAAAATAAGTACTAGAATGCGACACAATTCACGCACCTGATAATGGGATATTATGTACACACATACATAGATACAAAGCATGGAGCAAGAGCCAGCCATGCAGAAGCTAGAGAACGACGCGTGCACCACCATCGGCACCCTCTAATCAAACAAGCTCCCATCCAGAACGACGCATTTCAAGCAACAGAAAACAAATCCCCAAAAGTGTATAGTGCGCCGTGCTGATGCATACATAACGTCTTTTAAACTGTGCCGTTCTCCATGCTTTTGCTGCCGTTTCATGATGAAATATCAGGTCGTCACACATCAGTTGGGAAATAGACCAATCGCTAGGTTTCGAAAAATAAAAATTCCAAACAAAGGAAAGACGTTAAAGCAAAAGCTTACTGTCATACGCAGTGTCCATTGACACCAGGGCGGCCTTGCGTCCGTTGAGGGCTACTGTAGGAGCAACAATCCAACAAAGCAACGGCCACCCGGTCATTCAGTCCCGACGTAGGATCGAATCACATTCGGCCAGACGCCAGGGACGATGACAAGAGGCCCACAGACCGCCCAAACGGAAGCCAACACGATGAGGTATTGGAGAAAGACACAACCGAGAAGCCAGAGGCCATGCAGTCACGATCCGCTGTCGCGAGCCACTACAGCATCACGCCGTGAATGCTCGCTTGACGAAACCAAGGGCTTTCCGCACCGTCTCGAGGGATCGGTGCTCGGACTGGTCGGATCGACCACCGAGTGTTTGGTGGAAGTACCTAGGCCCAGAGATCTCGACAGTGTCATTGTTCCCCGGGGCACGCTTGCGATCCCCGTCCCCCGTATCGTTGTCCCCATCAGGGACCACCTTGACGCTCGAACTGACAGATGCTGAGTGGAGACGGGAACTCAGAGGCAATTGATACTTGACCACGCCACGGACGATCAAGTCAAATTCATGCTGAAGCACCCGCTCCCACCGTTCCGTCCCGCCTTCTTCCGTCTTGTTACCGGGACGGGCCAGCCGGATCTGCCCTTTCGACGTTGAAGAGATGTAGTTCCATGGAGACGGCTCGAACGACAGAGGAGAGTCGAACCGGAAGACACGACCGAGCAGCATCGTCTGCGGATCGCCCGCGGGATCACTCGGGATGGGATCAGTGCCCTTGTCGACGCCCCCCTTGGCGTTCTTGGTGCGCACAGACAGCGTTGCATTATTCGACTGACAACTCGCATCGCCCGCACAGCGAGCCAGGCGAGCCATCTCGGCGCGTCGCCGGCTTTCCTCCACCCGGGGAAACGGGCTCGAGTCGGTGTCGCGCCACAACTGGTCTGTGCCAACAAACCGACTTTTTGCGAAGATATTCATATCCATATCATCGATGGTCACAGGGAAGAGGTTCGGATTGATGGCCTGCACGTTCAGATCCAACATGATCTCCTGCTCGGACGCCAGAACATTCTCAATGTTCAGGATTTCCACGTCCACAAGGGCCTTGGTGGAAGCCACCACAAACGATGTCACGCCACCGACGAGCAGGAAGAGCAGAAGACTGATGAGTACACAGGCACCGTAGCGAGCAAAGTACCCGCGCTGCCGCTGTTGCATGTATTCCATTTGGCGGAGACTGGCACTGTTGGGGCGCCGGCCACCGTGACGGCTCCGGGTCACCCGTGGGGACCCGACCAGCGGCGTCCGCTCGTCATCTGCCCCCTCGGCGTCGAAATCGTATCCGTAACTATCGTTCGACTTCTTGGTCCCGCTGATCGTGCGGTAATTGGGACCCGCGCGAGACCCCGGGTGTCGGGATTGCCGGTACCCACCGCCAATGAAATGGCGCGGGGACTTGAGGTGTGTCTGAGACTGAGGGAATGGCGATTCGCTATCGAACAGGGACGGATATAGGTTGTTGTTGCGGCCGAAGCGTCCGATATGATGGTGACGAGGAGTGTGGGTGCTGCCGCCATCGACGCGGGAGTGGCTGCGGGCACTCTCTTCACCGGGATCGTCCGCCGCACTGGTGAAGGTATTGTTGGTGAACTTCATGCTGCGCTTGCCGGTCACGCTGTGATTGCCATCTCGGATACCCGGGCGACTGCGCACTGCCGCCAGCTGCTCCACCTGACTGGCCATCGAGGTGGCACTGGGTGTCCGGGAATGGTACCGATTCTGCCGAACCGGGTAGGGGTCGGGGGGGTTGGATTCGTACACAAACGTTTCGTCCGAGTCGGAGACATCGGCTTCGTCCACCGCGCTGGCTACCTTGGCTTCGAAGATATCCGCTTTGGAGGAGGCCGCACCGCTGGCCAAAGTCGCCGGTTTGCGCGTCCGCTTCTTTTCCTTTTTGGGGCGGATCGTCTCCGTGCTGGGCTTCATGCGCAGGGTGCCCGAATCCACGCGGCCGGTGTTGCCTCGGTCTCCGGTGGCCACAGCCAGAGACACCTGAGGAATAGAGCTGACAGTCTCCGTCTCGACAATCATGTTCCGCACCGACCCATCCGCCGGTTTGGCACGGGGACCACCACTCAACGACGTCGAGGATCGCTTGGGGAGGAGGGCGTTGGTCCCGCGGGGACCTGACGCAGCATGACGGCGATAGCCCTCCATTGGCTCGGAGCTCTTGTTCCCCCCACTATCGCTACCACTCTCATTATTGATCCGCGAAGCCTTGGGCGTGGCGTCTTCATCGATCTTTTGTAACTGAGATTCCTCGCTCAGGGGGCGGTTCAGGACGGTATCGGTCGAGGGGGTGGACTGATCACTGGCCATCTCCTGGACGGTTTCCAGAGCCGACCCCTGACCGTTGACTCCCCGATTCACGGGACGGGGGGCACTCCGGTCTGGCTTCGCCGCATGGTCATCGGGCAGAGGCCCCGACCGTTTGATGGAGGTATTCGGAAGGGTAGGTTCCTGGTCCGACCGCCGTGTTGTGGCCCATAATGGCATGGTGGACTTGTCCGGACTGGGAACATCGGAGAACGATTCGGCATTGGGGGGTGGGCTGAGGACGGGAGGTCTGCTGTTCTGGGACAGCACTCGTTGCACGACGGTGGCGGAGGGGAGCGTGCCCGAACCAGTATTGGCAGTCGCGATGGAACGATTCGGGCTGCGGTCGAGGCTGCCTTTGCGGGATCGCGAGGAGAGACGAGGGTTGGCACCAGAATTGCGCGGACGACGAGAGGACCGGACGGGGGAGGACTCGCGGGAGGATATAGCCGAGTTGGTGGTCGAGGTTGAGGCGGCGCCAGGAACCGCATGCGAGAATTTAGGCAGCTGTGACGCGGCGGAGCCCTGTGCTTGGGATCTAAAGGTTGAACGTGGCACTTCCATCATGTCACTTTCACTGGCAGATCGGCGTGGTGCAGACAAGGCAGCCTCATCACCGTGGGCTATACGAGATCCACCAGCGGTCCCATTGGGATAAGGTGACCTCCCGGACTCCGCCGCCATGATCTCTGCCGAGTCAGAGCTCGCTGACTAGACTTTCAGAAACCACGAAGTCCGAGAGGGAACCAGGGACAAGGGTCCGTACAGGGGGAAAACGGGAAGAAAAAAAGAAGAAAAAGAAATTCAAATAATGAAGTATCGGTGAGCCACCAACCGGCGGGAAACCCGGGACCAAAGGGGAAAATGAAGAGAAAACAAAAACACACAGGGTGTCAGGAGATTCGGGGCTCGAAAAACGGCGAGAGCTAAGTGGCTGCCGTGTCGGAGGGAGGACGGTGGGCGTCTGTTTGTCGTACCAAACCACGTTACACAGTCAACAGAGGGCGAGGGCGAATGGACGATAGCCACATGCTGCTGCTGGCCTTAAGATTACCGGATGGGGGAGGAGATATCGAATATCGACACTGCGAGGAGAGGGAGGGAGGGGAGGGAGGGGAGGGAGGGGTGGCGGTGGTGGTGGTGGTGATGAGGACGAGGGGAAGAGATGCAGCGCAGCAGCCACGGCGCGGAGGGAAAATGGGAAAGTTGTTGTTTGGCCAGGACTTCAGGAAACCAAGTAATAATCCAGGCAGACCGAAGCCGTCAACGCGGGCGCAGCCGTGCACATAACTCGATCAGAAGACGGTGAGATGGAACGTCTAGAACAAGCACTGAGCGCGTTAGCTCACGGGGAGGAACGGTGTCGATCCAGAGAGAGCCAATGTCGGGTTGGCTGGAGCGAGGCGTGCGGGAGGCGGACGGTTGTGGATGGCGGATGCGATTGGGTAGCTGGCGGGAGGAATGGCGGACGACAGGCAGGTTTTCGACAGGCTGTCAGACGCAAGGAATCGCAAGGTCGGACAGAATCTTTTGGCTGTTCGCTCGCAATTGGAATTGAGGCCGACCGAAGGCGGAATCCGTCAAGCCATGGATGCGCAGTCTCCAGCCATCAAGCGAGCTAGTTGTTTGTTTGGTGAGAACTAAGACCGTACCGAGACCCGGTCGCCAGTAACCGGGGCATCCAGCAGAGTCCAGCAGGGCCCGGCAATCGACGGTCAGGCAGGACTAAGGCCGTAGTGGACGGGCTAAGGCAGAAGAAAGAAGTCGGAATCGAATCGTCGAGGGGGACCCGATCGGCCAGTCAGGGGAGGGCCCGGGTGAGGCCCAATGATAGCTGCCCACGTCAAGGAACGGGAAGTTCAGTTCAGTCCAGGCAGCCTGCGTGTGGACCGCTGCTGCACTGACCAGAGAAGGGTGGGTGGGTTGATGCGAGAAGAGGGGGAGAGAGAGGGGAGAGGGGAGAGGGGAGAGAGGAGAGAGAAAGAGAAGAGACGAGAAAGAATGGAGAACAGAAGAAGATGGATGGAGCGAGGAAGGAAAAAAATACCCCCCAGACAGAAACCGGAAACCCAGAAGGAAGCCCCGAGGGGGATTGTGGATAAGCAGAGACTCGAGAGAGATGTTGGTGAAGTCAAGTAAGTGAAGCCGAGCTGAAACTGGCGCCGAACCCCGGGAGCTGCTCGTAAGGTAGCCTCCCTCGTACGGGCGGTGACCTCCGCCGCGGTAATCTTACGGGCAACTGGGCGGGTGGTGACCATACGGGGCCGTCACAACAGAACCCATCTTTACCATCATGATGACTTCATCCGGGCGGGCGTTCCTTCTTCCCGGGCATTTCCCTCATCGCGCGGAGGCACCCACGTGCTATAGTACATAAGTAGTACTGTGTAGTATTATTCCCTCCCTCCGTGGCAAAAACACCGCCACAGACCCTCCCAACTCCCCAAGACACGCAAGGACCAACAAGCAGAAAGACCAACCCAATGTGTTTGCCAAACCAGGCACCCAAATCAGAGCAGCGAAACAGGCACCCGGCCAGCCATGTTTCAGACGTTTGGGGCTGGCCATGTGGCAGCACTGACGGTCATACACGCTGGAGCCGAGATGACGTCGACTTTATTAGCTAAAGGTTTCAGCCGTAGCATACACAAGAGAGAGAGAGAGAGAGAAAAGAGACGACAGGCTGCCAACATATGGGCCTGGGATCTTCACGAAGTTCACATGCAGGCCCCCTGACTTTGTAGACATTGTTAGAAGAACCAGGAACCCCCTAGGCCGTTACATATCACCTAAATAAAGTTAAATTTCTCCAGCCTTCCCAACTTATACTACAGCATACCGCCGGCCATTTGATCACCTGTGGTACTGGGGGACTCGCGAGGGCTGGGAGTGGTCTGATGCAGCTGCATTGTGCACCGTGATCAATACATGCAATGCACGAAGATCAAACCGCGAATCAGAAACTCGTCATCCTTCATTCAGTGGGAGGTTGGTAAACCGGCTGCGAGGGGCGAGCGTGGGGGAATAGCAGGCAAGGGCTTAGCTCCAGATGAGGTTGGTAAAGCCTAGAGGACTACGCGCAGGTTCCTGGGGACCTGCAATACAGGGTAGACGAACACTTCATGGTCTCATCATGTACATCCATACAATCACAATTATACAACAACATGAGAAGAAGAAGGAAAAAGAGAAACCACGGCCGTCAGATCGTCAGCTCTAAGGTGGATATTGGGCATCATCATAGGCATCATTAATGTAGCACAAAGAGAAAAAAATGGATAAGGAAACAAAAACAGAGATATCAAACAGGGGATATAATTGAACAGAAATAACACGCTCCAAGCAATTTTCCAAACATTATTCATTACCATTTTGAAATCCGGCTTCCATCCATCCGGCCGGATTCTGGACCCTGACGCCTCCCGTGTTGTAGCCAATGAAACAGAAAAAGAAATCGTGGTAACCCTCGCAGTTGGTTGGATCGGATTCCCACCAAACGGTTCAGTCACCATCCTCCATAGACCATGAGCTAACGGACCTGAGTGTGACGCCTCAAATCACATTGCTCATGTCCATGGTCGAGGACGGGGCGATGCTGTGAACCGATCTCGACGTATCCAGGGACATGCGATCACCACTGAGCATCTTGACCACCTTCTTGTCCTTGTTGGGCCGGGCAATGAGCACTTGCGCCGGGCAGACTACCACCTCGTCGTCGCCTTCGCCCCGGTCATTGCCCTTCTTTACCACCAGCGGGAACAGAACAACCCGTACCACCGCCTGCTGCGATTCCAGCACGTCATTCGAGATCGTTTCACCGCTGCGCTCATTCATCAAGGAGGCGTTGAAGTAGACCTGCCGGGCAAGATCCCCGTTAGTGTCATATTCGGGCTGCAGTGGCGGCAGCATAATGTATTCCGCTAGCTGCGTACGCATCTCGATAGACAGGTGGACCGCGACCCGGAGCACCTTGCGGAGGGAGTCTAGAAGCTGGGCCTCGACATTGGTCGGTGGCGGGAGGAGACGCGACAGGGTGTCGAAGATCTCCAGAGCCACAGCTTCGGTGTCGCTCTCACGCTGCTTCAAGAAAGTGGGCCGCTTCGAGAGCAGAGTCAGGGTAGTGGCTCGCCACCGATGGATAGCGCTGCGCGGGCCAATGTCGGCCAGTTGTTTCTCCAGAGACTTGAGCTTCTGTCGTTGCTCGCGATCCATGCCGAACAGATATCGGGTGAAGATAAATTCCCACACCATTGTCATGACAACAGACATGAACACATCCCGGCGACGAACCCGGTCGGCGAGGTAGGTATCTGCATCGGAACCATCCAGGATGGCATTGTCGAACCGGTCGGCGATCTTTTCATCTTGTAGGTCGCCGAGCTTGCGGCAGCGACGATGATCGGAATGCTTGGAGAAACGGAGGACCCATTGCTGCACATGACCACATAATTTCTGGCACGCAGCGTCAAAGTAGTCCTCGTCGCGGAAGACAAGGACGTCGTCTTGCATGGCCGCTGCGATCTGTTGTTGTAGCTGTTTCACCTTGTCGCGGGCAGTCTCCAGGTCCTCCCGCAGCCGTCGTAGTTCCATATCCTTTTGTGCCAACGCCGTATCCACCTCTTGTCGCACTCGATCGTGCATTTCCGCCGACAGCTGTTGGTTCTCCGAGCGCATTTCGTCGACTTGACGACTGAACGTGTCCTGCATCACCTGAACCTCCTGCGCGTGGGTGGCAGTGAGGTGAGAGCTTGTGTTTGCCAACCCCTCGTTCTCTTCCGTCAGCCGGGCCACTTCTTTCTGGAACCACTCCAGCGAGCTCTTCAATTGTTCAACCTCGGCGGCTCTGTCACGCAAATCGGCGTCGCGGTTGTTAAGTGCATGGTCGCTCTTGCGTCGAGCGACGCTGACGTTCCGGAGTTTATCTTCCGCTTCATCTCGGGCCGCTACCAGAAGGCGATTTTCGGAGATGAGTCGGTCGAGACGATTCTCGAGTTCTTGTAGATGTTGCATGCTTCGACGGTGGCGGATGCTGGGCGGTCGGCTAGGCGACCGGGGCGAGCTGGGCGTCTCACCCCAACCCTCCTACATACCGGAAACACACGACGGTCAGCGACGACGGAATGACGAACGGACGAGAGGGGCACTTACGTAGACATCCGTCATGGTTCGAAGGGGGCGCTTGCCCTTGTCCGTGACGGGGTCGTAGGAGGAAGAAGAGGCGATGCGCTCGAGGTTGAGGTCCGACGCCGACGCCGACGCAGAAGAAGCGGGAGGCTGGGCCTTGCGCTCTGATTGGTCGTCGCCCGACTGCCCTTGACTGGCCGCCGCCCGCAAATCGCCGCTGGCGCTGCGAGAACTGCGCCGCAGCGACCGTGTGAGCTCCTGGATGCTCTGCACGCTCTGCACGCTCTGCACACTTCGCACGCTGCTCGGCCGCAGAATCGGCATGCCCTGTTCCGGCGTCCGGAGCACCTCGGCCGCCCAAGCGCTGTCTACCACTCGACTCTCGGGTCTACTACGCTTCTTGACATCCACGTCCGCCGTCTCATCCAACAACAGCGTGTCCTTGTCCGGGGTTGGCCAGGTCTGACGTGCCAACGCGTTGTCGGTAAACTTCCGGACCGGGGTTTCGGGACGAGGAAGCACATGCTCGGGCTTCATCTCCAGACGGGGCGTGCCGCGTCCGTGACCCACGGTTCTTGCGCCAGTGGATCGCTCTGCTCGACCTCTTGGCTCATCCTCGTCAATCGTTTGCAATGGCGTCCGCGGAGGTGACACTGTCTCCCGATCCACCCCGGGTGATCCTTTGAGGAGTGGCGGCTGTGGCGAGGGCGTCCGTGCTTGAGTGCTTGGCTCAACCTCCAACGACCACGGCCGCGGTGGATGGTTATGTCGTCCATGGATGGACGGGCTGCGCCGTAGCTCACACGTCGGGCTAGACCGTGATGGTTGTTGCTCGATTTCCGTATCGATACGGGGTGAAGATCGAACAAGTACCGATTGTCGCTCATGCATGGGCAACGGAGCATACAGAGGAGCCTCGTCGTGAGGGGAGAGTTTGGGTCCCGATGCTTCAGCCTCAATGTCTTCGGGAGTCTCTTTATTCTTGTCTTCCCCCCACCGTATGTCAATTTGCCTGGGTTCCTCATTTGGCCCGTCCGAAAGAACAGACACGTTATATGAGGGGTCTGCTTCAACCTCAAGCACAGGCTCGATAGGTGTAGGATGCAGCTCAGGCTCTGTTGATGTAGACTCTTCTGAATGATCCTGTTCCGTAGGTTTAACATCACCCTGCGCCGACGAAGGGTAGTCGGCCGTGGTAGCGATGGGCGCTTCCAAGACTTTCTCGCTGTCGCGATTCGCTTCCCTGTCAATAGTCTCTTCCTCAGCCCCATCTTTTGCTGACCCGGACGCCTCAACTAGCGCAGGTCGACGGAAAAATCCTCGCTCCAGTTCAGGAAAGATGCTAGCAACCTTGCTTTGCTGATGTGCTTCTGCACCAAGGGATTCGGTGCTTGGCTTCGCCAAACCAGAGCTTCCCATTTCGCGTACGGTATGCTCTGACGCTGGCTCAATAGTAGTGGCACCTTCCTCAAGCATGCTCCGCGTCTCCATTTCTTGCCCAGGGCTGCCATCGGTTGTTTCAGAGGGAGCTTGTCCCTTTTCGCCTGGTTTATGTTGGGATGCCCTGGCTTGTCTTGCTTTTTTGGCTGCAGCTGATACACTTAGACGCCGGGTCACACCTTCGGGTGTAGCAGACTCATCAAACTCTGCAATGCCTGGCTCGAATGGAATTGGACGAGCCTCGGGAGACGAATCGGGTGATTGTTCTGTAGAATCAACCTGGCTCTTCTCCCAGTCTATTGTAGGCCAAGAGTCGTCATCTTGTGTGCGTTGCTCCCAAGCCGGAGTCCCGGTCATCTGTGCTGAAGGACTGCCGTCCTGCTTGTAGGATGGCCTGGATTCTGAAACTTTGTCGTCAAGACTTTGGTTCCCCTTACGCTTCTTCTTTTTTTCTTTCCGAGAGAGCGATTTTGAAGGGACTCCATCTTCCTTCGGCTGTGCAGCAGCCAGTGTATCTGATGATTCAGTGACTTGCTCCTGGACTAAGTTCAGGTCCTCAGCAGCACTAGCTTCGACTTCTGGTTGCGGTTGTTGTGCTGACTCAACAAACTCCTCCTCGGCCTTCTGCTTAGCCTTCCTCCGTTCTTTCTTCGACAGCTTCTTTGCCAAGGGGAGTGTGACATCTGCCTGTTCCGGAAGTATGTCTGGCAACTCTTCAACAGTCTCAGGGCCACCCTTTTCTTCCAGCGTTTCAGTGGCTGACCCTGCACTGGCCTTTCCTTCATGTTCGTGCTGGAACATCATATGTTGACTTTCTACACCCGGCAACTCTTTGAGTTGGTTAGATCCCTCTGCTGTAAGCTCTGCTACCTCCTCAACCTGCGGTGTCTCAAATCGTTCCTCGTTTTCACCATCTTGCATAGTGCGACCTTCCCATTCCTTCTCCCGCATTTCTTCGACGATATTGCTCGGCTCTTCAACAGGAATATGAGCGGAAGTAGGAATGTCTGTCCACTCGTCTACACCTTTCTCCGTGGCAGCTGTCCCTTCAGTTGGAGTAAGTGTCAAGGCATCCTGCTCTTCCTTTGTCTGTTTCTTTGCCTTCTTCTTTTTCTTCTTGGATTCTTTGCGAGTAGTGGACGTCTCCGGAGGTGTGTCCCCTTCAACATTTTCCCTCGAAACCTCAGCTGTTGCTTCGGCAGCAGATGGGATGATATTGTTGTCACCCATGAGCTCGTTGTCCTGAGACGCTTGCTCTGACAGCATAGCTGGTGGTTCCAGAGCGTCTGGTGTCTGCTCGAGAGTCTCGTCATACGAAGTGGCGGGCTCAGTCTCTGCAGCTGGCTCACTAGGCTTTTCTTCTAGGACAGCATCATTTCGCATGGCATGCAATTCGTCTTTGCACTCTCCGGGTTTGTAAGCCTGTTCAGAAGGTGTTTCTGTCATTTCCCGTGAGGCGGAAACCTGATTTTCTGGGGCTGCTTCGCTCCGAACAGGGACTTCAACTACCTCCTGTGGATCATATTTCTCTTCTGCTTGAACGGAACCCTTCTTTTTCTTTTTCTTGTTTTTCTTCTTGGCAATGGGATCGATTGGCATTTTCCAAGTATCGGTTGAGGCTTCTGCCCCAGCAAACTCCGGAATAACAGCCTCGAGAATAGCAGATTCCTCGGGTGTGTTTCCCTTGGGAGATTCCATAGTAGTTGCAGGATATGGTGGTTGCACGTTATCATCGAGATTAGACTCAACTGGGGGCCCGTTCAGGACGTCCATCTCGTCTCCCTGACCCTCAGCAGTGGCAATTGCCTCGGAATCGTATGATGCTGCCTCATTCTCATTCGTTTGCGACACGGCCCGCTCAAGTGGTGCATCTAGAACCAGAACAGGCTCTGTGCTTGATGTTGTGGGCTTTGGCAAGTCGTCAGGAGGGACTGTATCCGTCGCCAGCTCATTGTCCTGTGTTGCGGCACTCTGCTCAGATTCCTGTATGTTGGCTGCCTGTTGTGCCTGGCGCTGTTTCTTTTTCTCTTTTTTGCTTCTCTTCTTTGATGGCGCATCAGTTGTGGGAGATGCCATCTCAGGTGCCTTTTCAGTTGACACTGCTTCCTGCATAGTTTCCGATGTTTGTATGAATGCTTCTGCACCCATACCCGGAGTGTCGCTCACTGACCCCTTTCTCCCTTCCGTACCAAGTGACTGTTCGTCATTGGCAGTTATTTCGTCTTTCTCCCCAACCTCCTCGATCGGTGGCTGCTCCGTATCCCCTATTGTCTCCTGATCGATAGCTTCAGGCTCAATTCTCTCGCTACTGATTTTTCCTTCCGCCTGCATTGATGGTGCCCCAGTCCCGTTATTGGCCTTCTCCATACTTTCAGCAGGCTTTTTGACGAAGACCTCGTGTACATCACCCGATTCCTTCAGTTCGTTGATTATTGACGGCCCACTTTGATTTGGCACATTGGCGTCCAGCTCAGCGGGTATGTGACCTTCGTCGGAGGGAAAGGAAACCGGGTCGCCTTCGCTTTTCTCAGGCTCGAGTTGGGGTGGATAAGCGAATGAAGTCGCTCGTTCTTGCTCTACCTGCGGAGATACCATGTCATCAGTCCAAATCATATCTTCATCGGTTTTGCCGTGGTTTTCGGTGCCGTGGGACTGATTGTCTTTACCGTCATCTTCAGCAGGTATATGCGCCGTTTCGAGCGATGGTTCCGCGGACTTGGTTTCGCTGGGAAGTTGAACCTCGCTCGAATTACGAGTCTCTTCCGCAGCAGCTGTTTGAGACAGCTCCGCGGCAGATTCCACAGCATCGGCTAGAATTTTGGACTGGCGTCTCTTTTCTTTCTTTGCCTTCTTCCTCGCTTTGGCTGACATGGGAGGGGGATCATCCTCGAGCTTCTCTGGTGGTTGGGCAATGTCCTCGGATACATTTGATTCCTTCACGTCAAGGGCGGTAGTGTCGATAGGCGTCTCAGGCTCAACTGCAGTTTCAGGTTCGACAGGAATCTCGGATTCAGCAGGAGCATTGGTTTCAGCAGAAGCACTGGGTTCAGCAGGAGTATCAGGCTCAGCAGGAGTATCGGGTTCGACGGAAGTGACTGGTTCGCTCGGGGCATTGTTGATGCCAGAATCGGCGACCGCTGCATCAGCGTCTTCAATCGCCTCTCCGGTCGTGCTCTTCTTCTTCTTCTTCTTTTTCTTCTTAGACTTGGTGGTTCCAGCCTCTTGTTCAGCATTACCAGTGACAGTTTGAGGATCATTTTCCGCGATAGGAGACTGCGCAATATCGGCGTCTGGACTAGCTTCGGTCTGTAATGTTTCAACCGCCTCAGCAACTCCTGCATCCTGTTCCAGTTCGTGGCTTTCCCCAGCGTCCTTAATAGTAATAGAAGCATCTGCATTTGAGTCAGAGCTCGGGGCTTCTTGGGTGGGGTCGGCCTCTGTTGACGACAGGTGTTCTTCATGGGGGCCTAGTTGACCTTCTGACTTGTCGACTTGGTCTTCAGCTGTAAATTCAATTGACTGTTGCGTATCATCCTGAGGACCGACCGCAGAAGTCACTATGGCTTGACTCTCTTCGGACAAAGCAGGCAGTTTTTCGAGCGGCTCCATGGAAGCTGGCGTGGTTTCCTGAAGCTCTGCAAGTCCGGCATCGATGGTGTCTTGATTCAGCTCAGTGAGAGCACTATCTCCAGGCTTTCCCACATCTCCCTGTTCGGGGGTTTCGCTAGCGTCCACCGCAGTATCACTGGGCTCGGTTGGTTGTAACGTCGATTCTTCAGCCGCGAAGGAGACAGACTTCCGCTTTTTCTTATCTTTCTTCGCCTTCTTCTTGGACGTTGGTGCCGGAGCTTCTTGAACAATTTCTGTCGGTTGACTCTCAAGCTCCTTGACTTCCCCTACAGGTAGCTCCAGAAGGGCGTCATCGAATTTGCCAATGTCATCGGCCACAGCAGAGGTGTCCACATTCTCGGAAGTATCGATTGGCTTTGATTCTGCCTCAGGGAGCGGTTCAACGCTGTCGTCTTCTTGTGCGGGAACAGGCTGGACCTCATCGGTAGTAATTGATTGACGCTTCTTCTTCTTCTTCTCCTCCTCCTTCTTCGACTTCGTAGTTGATGAAGTTTGAACGTCTTCTTGAATGGGGCCAACATCCGCACTAGAAGCCTCATCCCCTCTGTCCTTGCTGGCCATGTCTGCTGGAACTTCTTCCTGAGTGGTTTCCATACCAGTAGCAACGCTGTTCTGTGGTTCGGCAAGTCCAATGGCTGCTGTGTCTACTCCAGACACGCGCTCACTCTGGGAGCCACCTTCAGAAGCAATTCCCTCTTTTCGAGGCTCTTCTCGAACTTGTTCAATTTTACGACTAGGCTTATCACTCGAAAGTTCAGGCATCTCTTCTGCTGGAACAATTGACCCAGCAATTTCCTGTGAGGGCTCGTCGCTTGGAAGAGTAGTTCCCACCACATCTTGGGTTTCAGATGCCAGAGTGTCCGCCTCCGCCGCACCCAACTCTTCAGCTGCAGAGCTTCCTTCAGTGGCATAAAAATGTTGGTCCTGAGCTGTAGCAACATCGGGTTCGGATAACTTATTAGTTGAAGGCTGTGGCTCAGTCTCAGTGAGTGCCAGGTCGCTGATATGCTCCCCTGCGGGGTGTACAAACTCTGTGTTCTCCGTTGCCACCTCCTCAACTGCTGTGGAGTCTACAGTTGCACCTTCAGGCAAATCGCTTGGCGGCTGGGCAATTGGGGTCGCAGAAGCGGTGTCTTCAGTACCGGCATCCCTGGGTTGCTCTCTAGAGAGCTCTTTGGCTATTCCTGGCTCGTCGTCTGTAGCAAGTTCAACCATCTCGGGCTCTAGAGGAGCACTCGGCTCCTCGGACGGTGACTCAGATGTTGGATCATCCTCGGAGACCGCCACAAATTCAGTAGTCGGCGTGCTGACAGTTGACTCGGCGTGCTGCTTCTGTTGTTTTTTCTTTTCCTTCTTTGCCTTCTTCCTCTGAGCCGCAGTCATGGGGACAGGAGCTTCAATTGTTTGCTCTTCCAGAGCCCCAGTTGTATTGACAGTTTCTGGGGCTTGGATTGGCTCTTCCTGCTGTTGGTCCTGATCGGCAGGGGCAGAGGACTCTTCGGCAGCGGCGAGAGGAGCTTCCGCAATTGCAATTGTAGGATCGGTATTGTCTAAAGCAGGCTCGACCGGTGCCAGGCTCTCATCGGGCGTCGCTGGTTGGCTTTGTCTCTTCTTCTGCTTGTTTTTCTTGTTCTTCTTGCCAGTCGGTGTAGAGCTTCCCGCTTCTGATTCAGGGTCGGGTCCAGGCGCCGGCTCGACCGCTGATTGATCAGGCACATGTGGTGCGTCGTCATTGGCCTCGAGCTTCTCCACCGGCAGGCTTGAGTCAGGACTAGTACTATCTATAGTAGTAGTAACGGTGGCATCCGCGAGGGGCTCCGCTAGAGATTCCTCGGCGACCTCCTCCGGTTGGGGCTCCTCGAGCTCGCCCTGGGCGGCGGATGACACTTCACCGCTTGTTTGGAGGAGCGGGGACTCGGCGGACTCTTCTTGAGTGGCCTCGGGCTGTTCAGGCTGAGGGTCGGTCAGGGCAGAAGATTTACGATTCTTCTTATTCTTCTTGCTCTTCTTCTTCGATTGATTTCCCACAGTCTCTTCTGGCTTGTCTTCCCGGACGTCTTCAACCAAGTCGCCTGTTTGAGTGTCCTCTGCTGAGCCCCCAACTAGCAGTGTTCCCTCTGCTTCAGGCCCATGGCTTGGCTCTTCGTTGTTCTTGTCACAAGCCTCCTCTGACAGCTTTAGCTCTAGCGCTTCGTCACGAGCTGTGGCTGGTTCAGCTCCAGTCTCAGGTACAGCTTCAGTCTCCGGCACAACTTTAGCTTCGGTTTCTGGTACAGCTTCAGTCTCCAATGCAGCTTCGGTTTCTGGCATAGCTTCATTTTCCGGCACAGCTTCAATTTCAGGCGCAGCTTGAGCCTCGACGACTACCTCGACTTCAGCCGAAGTTGGCTGCGGAATATCCGCTTGTTCTGTTCCTGGAGAGGCCTCGGCGGTGCCCTTGCGCCTGTTCTTCTTCTTCTTTTTGCTGCTCTTGCGTGACAAGGAAGCCTCTGGTTCTACAGGGGCCGACCGAGAATCCTCTCCGGTTACAGTAGGCTCAGGTGCCGGTTGCGCTGGGTCAGTTGAAACAGATAAGTCCGCGAGTACTATGTTGTCCTTCGGAGACTCGCCTTGGGCAGCTGCGACGTCTTGTTCTACCGTATCCTTAGCCATGTGCTGTTCCACCGCCTGAATATCTGTTTCCTTGCCTTCGTCTTGGCGCAGCTGCTCTGGTGCTCTCTCGAGTTCAATCGGCTTAGATTGAACGGCTTCGTTGCCAGCGGAAACTTCCTGTGGACATTCTCCTGACGTTCCGTTTTCCACATCAGCACTCGGAGATGTTTCTTCGGCCTCGCGCTCTGGAAATAAAGCGTCAGGCTCGTTCGGCTCTGCGACATTTTCAATGGCGCCCTGGATCTCTGTTTGAGTGGATTCGACTTCCGTGCTACTAGCTGTAATCTCCTCGGGCGATTGTAAATCCTTGGTTTCTTCTGCAGCTTCTGTAACATGGCTGGTGGTATTATTAGCCAGCGACATTTCTGGCACACGAACCACTACAGGTTCGTCCGGATGCTCTAGAGTAGTAGCCTGGGCCGAATCGGCATTCTCGAGGTCAACCTCTTCCTCAGAGGGCTTGAACTCCTCCTCTATAGCCGTAGGATTCTCCATTGTTGTTTCAACGGGCTCTTCGCTTGGCTTGGCCTCCTCTGCCGTAGCAGCTTCGTCAAGGGGTACCCTAATCTCAACATCATTGGACTCTTCACGCTTGTCTGCCCTTTTCTCAATGCTAGTCTCCTCAGCCAGTTTGGCTGCTTCGAGATCCCCAGAAGCTTCCGTAATCTCGGTCGGATCTTCCGTAACCGCAGGTTCTTCAGACGACTTAGCAGTCTCAGTTTCAGAGGGTCCTTCGATGCCTAAGTCTGGAGCGGCACTCTTGCTCTTCTTCTTCTTCTTTTTCTTGGCTTTCTTGGAAGAGGATGTTGCATCTAAAGGTGTCTCTAAGACGTCAACAGCAGGTGCGGCTTCAGACGCCGGTGCGTTTTGCTGTGGTTCAGGGGCCTGAAGGTTTTCTTGCGTCTTGGACTCCTCCGGCACCGGTTCCTCTTCTAGGATTGTAGGCTGTTCCATTGCAGGCGTTTCTTGATATATAGATTCCTTTGATTGTTTGGCTTCTGTAGGCTGTTCGGTTGCCGATGTGTCCGGGTCTGCAGAATGTCGCAATTGTTCTGTTTCTGCAAGAAGCTCTTCCGGCACTGGGACTTGTTCAGCCAGTTGTGCCGCTTGAATTTCCGGCTCGGTTCGCTTCTCAGTCTCGATAGCAGTCTCACGAGGGTCTGAGGCTTGTTCTAGAGGCGATGCTCCCTGAAGTTCGAACTCGATTGGCTTCTCGGATTCCGTAATGGGCTCTTCGGTCAAGGTAGTTTGTTCAGCCAGCGCTGACAACTGAGGCTCAGAGTCTGCTACCTTCTCAGCTTCCACAGATCCAGGGGCGGTTTCTGTACTGGCCTCTTCAGTAGCGTCAGCTATCTCCTTCCGTACTGGAGAATCTTCCAACTTCTCGGCTTCTGTAGGTCCAATGGCAATTTCGGCAGTAAGCTCTTCGGTTGAAGGAATTGGCTCAGCCAGTTTTGACACTTGAGGCTCAGGCTCTACCGTTCTGTCAAAACTCGCAGACTCGGGGGCAGTTTCTGCAGCCAGTTCTTCAGCAACAGCAGCTTGCTCCACTAGTGTTGCCTCCTGAGGGCCAGACTCTGCTATATGTTCGGCCTCCACAGATTCATAGGCAGTTTCTGCAGTCAGCTCCTCAGCCACGGGGGTTATTTCAGCTACCGCTGGCTCCTGGGGCCCAGGCTCTGCAGCGCCTGCTCTTTCCGCGGATTCGGGAGCAGTTACCACAGCGGGGTCTTCAGTCACAGCAGCCACCTGGGGCTCAGGTTCTGCTCCCTTCTTAGCTTCTGCATTTTCAGGGGCGGTTTCTGCGCTCAGCTCTTCAGTTACAACCGTTGGCTCCTCCGCTGGTGTTGACCTCTGGGCCTCAGAACCTGCGACCCCCTCGGCGTCTGTAGATTCAGGAATATTTTCCACAGTGGGCTCTCCAGCGACGGCAGACACTTGAGGTTCAGTGGCATTTTCAGCGTCAGGGCCTTCGGTTACAGCAGCTTGCTGCACTGGTGCTGGTTCTTGGGTTTCAGACTCTGCAGCCTTCTCAGCTTCTGTACTGGGCTCTTGAATTATAGTAGCTTGCTCTTCCGCCGATACTGGTCTCTGAGTTTCAGACTCTGCAGTGCCCTCGGTGTTCACGGTAGGTTCGGACACAACAGCTTGCTGTACTGGTTCTGGCTCACGAGTTGTTAATTCTGCAACCCGCTCAATCTCTGCAGGTTCAGGAGCGGTTTCTACCATTTGATCTTCAGGACATGCCGTGGGTTCCTTAGGTGGTGATGTAGCCTCGTCAGTGCCTAGGTCAACGCTCTTGCCCTTCTTCTTCTTCTTATTTTTCTTTTTCTTAGACGATGCTGATGGTGTAGTTGCGTCGACACTAGGTTCATCAGGCTGTCCGGTCGCAGGATCGTGAACAACACCAGCTGTGGTTTCGACTTTGGGCTCCGTGCTGCTGGGAGCATCTTCTGTCTTGATTGACACCGGCTCCTGTTGCTCAGCTTCGGGCATTTTCTCGAACAACGCTGATGCAATCTGGGCCTCAATTGATTCTGTAGACTTATTCATTGGCACTTCCGGTGTAGGCACTGTCTCCGCGATGGCCTTTTCTGCCTCCGATTCTTTGATTCCGCCAGAGGTGTCTTCGACCGGTGTCTCTTCTGTCACACTAGTGCCTAGTTCTTCGGAAACTGTCTCAATAAATCGTTCGGCAGCCTTCTTAGTGTCATCTGAGTTAGGCCCAGTAGTGTCCATAGTAATGGTTTCCATAACTGCCCCCAACCCCTCCTGTCCAGCCCCACATGTGACATCTTCAGACAAGACTTGCGTCGATTCATCAACTTGCGGTTCTTCGGATTGCGTTGCGGTTTCTTGGTCAGCACTCCTTATCTCGTCTGATACTACCGTCTCTGAGCTCCGTGTAACAACATCATTAAAGATTTCCGGCTTCTGTTGCTCCTTTGACTCAATGTCTGGTTCTGCTGGCGTTTCAACGATTTCGTCCAGGGATTTGCTAGCTTGTTCGGTTACCGAGTCACTGGCATTGGACACCACCTGAGGACTGCTTTGTTCTGGCCACTGCTCCTGAGACTCGCCAGATGCCTCTTCCGCGTTCTCTGCGATGGAAGGCATCTCGACATCTGTCTTTCCTTGATCAAGCTCATACACCACTGGATCGGGAACAGCATTATCGGGAACATCTTCAGATTTCCTTTCATCAGTGAACGCTGAAGACCCTTGTTCGTCGGGTTGCATTTCGGAATGCAAGTTTTCCGGCTTCTTCGCCAGATCCACGGCGAGAACAGAATCATCCTTGGGCAGATCGATCGAAGCGGTATGCAGTTCCTCAGAGGCGTCTATCTTTGTTGTTGCAGACCCGACTGCGGCTGTCACAACAGCTCCGACAATAGCTGCAAGCCCCGTGGGTGCATTATCTTGAATTGGAGAAGCCGACCGATCTTTCTCGGAGGTTAACGAGTCCGGGGCATCGTCCTCAACACCTAGGATGTTTGCATTCACAGTGGTCCGGGCAGTATCCTTGCCGTCTTCGAGACCTTGTTCCTTGTCTGCGGGTGCTCCTTTTTCGGAGTCCAGGGTGTCGAGTCGGACGCTGTCATCTGCACGTACAGCATCCGCAACCTCAACAAAGCTAGAGTCCATACCAGACTTGAATGCGTGCATTGCGGAATCTGTCTTTGCCTGTGTTGGCGTAGTATCTGTAGTATCATCGGCATGGGGCGGCTTGTCTTCTGGTGTAGATGGCCGCATTTCAGGAAGCGACGGCATAGCTTCCACCACACGCTCCCTATCAGCATCGTCTTTCACTCCGACCGCAGAGCCCTCGGCCGAGGGAAGAGTGGCCATCGTTGGAGATGGTGGCAATTCCGGATAGCTGGGCGGGTCTTGCAAAAGCTCGGAGGGCGAATGGAACTCATAATTTAATTTCTCTTTCCGGGTAGGGGGGTGGTGATAGGTCTGGCCGAAGGTAGCAGCAGTGGGGGTGCCTTGTTCAGAACCGAGAACATCATTGGGAGACTCGTCCCCTAACTGATTCTGTGTAAGGGACATCTCCGTATCACTAGGCTGAGATGGTCCCTGAACGTGATGGCTTAGGTCAACCATTTCCCACCTCATGGCATCGGGCAGAGCCCTGAGGTCTTCCAAAGACGCGTTCGCCGAGGAGGTCTTGCTCGATGGCAGGGAAGGCAAGGGCTCATCGGGCTGGGGATCCACCTTGCCAGTACCGAAACGCTCCACCAGCCACAAGGGCCTGATCTCGCGGGAATTCTTGAACTCGGTGGAGGCAGGGCGGCGGCGGCCCTGGGTTGGAGAGCCGGGGGAAGGGGCCGCGGCTGAAGAGAGGGAAGGGGACCGGTTCACTCGGGGGGAAGTTGGTGGCCGGCGGAAGTGCAGAGGCACGGCTGTAGGGGACTCGGTGGCCCGGAACACCGACGACCGCCGGGATGGCAGGCCTGGGTCCTCTTCCTGATACCGGGCCATCTCCGGGGAGGTTGGTCTACTGCGAGACGTCGGGCCCGGATCGACGGCTCTCTCTGCCGCCGGAAGCGATGCAGAGCGGCTCCTTGGCCGGGAATCCAGCACATCGACGAGTCCCAGCCCTGTAATCTCAGACTCCAGCCGCCCCGAAGCACCCTGTTCATCACCCTCCTCGTCTACCTTGCCTGGCATTTCGGGGCCCTCCACTAAAAAAGACCGTTGCTCGTCGTCCGGCAATTGCTCCCGTTCCTATACATGGGAAAGAAAAAGATACCCTTTAGTATATGCACGGTACGGAACCTCTCAAACGGATATGGGAATAGCCTGGGCAGAGCCAGAAAAGATTTACAGGTAATGGGAAAGACAGCCAAGCACTATACCTTCTCAAACTCCGACGATTTACCACTCTCCATCATGTCCTCGTATCTTTGTCGCCGTCTTTCTTCCCTTCGTTGCCGGCTAGACTTGTAATGCTCAACGTTAATGTTCTCCTTGTCCTCAACTGCGCTGTTCTCGTCATCCAGTGCGTCTCCTCGGCTGGAGCTCCGACGCCTGGAAGACTTCTCCCTCCGTCGAGAGTCAGTCTCCGATTGAACTTCACGGGAAGAGCGCCTATCAGCAGAGGATGCCCTTTTGCTTTCCACTGGTTCAGAAATTCTTGACCCAAAAAGATTGCTCAAGAAACCGCCGGGTTTCATCTCCTTCACCTTCTCATCCGTGCTTCTGCGTTTGTCACTGGTCTCTCCAAATGCGGGGGGCGAAGAGGTGGTGGAAACCGCGTCTTCGGAGTGATCACTTTTACGCTTGGAGCGCCTCTTCCGTCGCTTCTTCTTTCCTTCAACTGCTTCGCCGCCGACTGCGGATGGATTGATGTCGTCATTTGTTTCGAGGTCACTACTGCTCTGGTCTGACTTGTCTTGCGTTTTTGAAGCCGTATCAGTTCTCGCTTCGGGTGCTGGTACGATCGAGGAAGAATCATCCCCTTGCATTGTGGACGGATCACCCAGCTCCTTTGGTTTTTCGGATGGCTGTTCGGGCTCAAAGCCACCGGGCATAGAAAGGACTTCCTCGGGGAATTCGATATCTTGACCTTTGTTGACGGACTCCAAGCCTCGCTGGCTGTCAAAGCTGTCGCTGGTATCGCGCTCGTTCCTGCGACTAAGATGCTCGATAACCTCTTGCGCAATTGACTGTTGGGCTGGTGCTATGATCTCGCCACCAGACAGAGGCTCAGGCTCAGCAAAGAGGGGACTATCCTCAATGAGGTGATCCGGCCCCACCGGTGCCTTTTCATCACCCGGCGTTTCAACTTCGCCTTCAACAAATCCATGAGGCACCGTGCGCGATACAGACATTTCATCCCAAGGCGGGACAAACTTCACCTTAGGCTCCGGCATGGAAGGGGAGCTCCTTGTATGGAAGGTGGGGTTATCTGTCACAAGCGAGGGGTCAAAGCCTGCAGCTGCAGTTGCAGCTGCAAGTGCAGCCGCGAACTCGATATCTGCTCCCACAATGCTTGGTATGACCTTAGGCGAGGGGTCAGTAGAGGAGCTAGTCGGGTACTCTTGGACATTCCCTGCGGTAGGACGCTCAAGCTCTCTGTGCTCAGGGTCTCTAGTATCTTGGTCCACTGATTCAAGTTCAGAAGATGTCGATAGTACTTCATATTCATGCATCTCATGCTTGCCCCAGGACACGCGTGAGCCGGTCGTTTGTCGTTCAAACCTGCTATCTTCTTTGGGCCGCTCTGGTATCAAAACGATCGGCGACGCCCTGGCGGAGCCAATCAAACTTTGTGGGGGGGTGGGCTCAGTAAGGGTCAATCCAGGCACAGGCCATGGCAAGCCACTGAAGTCCGGGTGCGGTTCTTCCGTCACAACTGAAGCTTCATTCGCAGGCTCTACTTCAACGATCGTTGGCATCGAAGCAGGCTCTCGGCGTGCGTAAGTATCAGGGCTGTAACGCAATTCTTCGGGCGCGAAGAACTGCGCATAGTCCTCGTAAACGGGCTTAGCGGGCTTTTTACGAGGCTGACGAGATGGCGGGGGCCTTACAACCTCTGGCTGGCGGCTCATCTGCGAGCGCTCCTCGGTCATTGTTTTCCCAGCTTCAGACATCGGAAGGCTTGATGAAATAGACTCGGACTCGGAAACACGACGCCTCTCCGCTCGGCGCTTTTCTCGGCGCACCTCGTGTCGCCGTTGACTGGCGGTCTCCGAGAAATCATCATTTGAGGATTTCCCGGACAGCCCGGTAGCAGCAGCAGCAGCAGCAGCAACACCCACAGCACCTGCTGCTGCTGCAGCACCAATCCAGGATGAGGAATCTCTTTCTCTCCGAGAATATTCTTCCTCGGTCCTTGACTTCTCGTATTCGCGTTCTCTCTGGCGACTTGCTTGGCGCTCAGCGTCCCGAAGTGCCATCTCCTGCTCTCTATCTACAAGTTGCACTCCTTCTCTGCGCTCACCATCTCGTCTCAAGCTTTCCCGGCGACTGGTACGTCGCTCCTTGTCAACCTGCTCCTCTGTCAAGTCGAACTGGACTGAAGCTTGATCTTTCAACGTTGAGCGACGTCTGATGCTTGATGTTGACATGCTCTCAAGGGGCTCGGTGTGAAGGACGGGAGAGGAGTCACTACGTCGGTGTGAACGGTTGATTCTTGAAGAAATGTCGCTTCGCTCAACGTAGTCCTCAGACCTCTGGTTCCACCGGTCGCTTCTCATATGTGGCAACTGAGTTTCATAGGGCATGAAAGCGCTTCCGGGGGTAGGTGGCTCGTCCGGTGCACTGTAAGCTTGGATGGATTCTCCTTGAGTAGTGTACACCGACTGTGAGACCCGTGTCACCGGTTGAGGTTGCTGGAGGGGAATAGGTCCTGGCCGGACGAGTGTCGGCTGAGCAGGGGGCAGAGATGAGACATTGATGGCGTCGAAACGCGAAGGGTCACTGGTGGGCACTGGGGCCACATGTTGAAGACTTCCCGACTCGCTTGTGGCATCCTGGCTAGACGCCTTTGTACTCCGGTTGTACGCCGAAGCTAAGGCGGCTGTACCGAGACCAGCTGCGACTGTAGCCTCCGCGGGGAAGCGCTTATCCGATGAGCGAGACCTTCTCTTCTTCTTCTTGGTCTTCTTACTTCCCCATCCCCAAGTCCACCTCGACGTTCCAGAATCGGACGAATGTGAATCAGTGCTGGGGAAAAGTCCACTACCCCCAAACGCAAGACCCGAGCTGACGCTCGATGAGGACTGGTCTCCAGAGTCTAGGTCTTCCCAGCCCTCGTCGTTGGCAGCCGATGACTCGTAATCTGACCGAGCGGACCGCGATTCCTTGCCGGCAAGGATCTCCCCGGTTCGCCGACGACTCCGCTCGGACGAGGCCACCAATGCTGTTGCGGTTGCGCCTAGTCCCAGTAACGCAGCATCCACATCTTCATCGGCCTTCTTTTTGCTTCGCCTATTAGACTTACCTGGCTGGCGTTTCGCGTATCCAGTCCCAAACGCCAAATCCGCATCGAGCGATGATGACGAAGAATTGTGGAACGAAAAGATGCTCCTGCGCCTTTTAGTCCGTCGCTTCCGGCGATTTTCCGATGACGCGGTAAAAAACGAACTAAAGCCACCACCAACAGACTTTCGAGCCGGTCTTGAGATGTCGACAAAGGAATTATCAGAGGAAGACGTCTTTCTACCCCTGGTCTTTCTAGGGGATGGGCTGCGGCTTCTGCTTCGGTGACGGGATTCATATTCTGACATGACCGCTGTTCCTACTGCAGCGCCCAGAGCCGCATCCCTGAGCGCAGCATGCCGACGGGCTCTGGATGATGACCGGGAGCGTGAGCGGGAGCGTACGCGGGATTCCTCATACCTACTCAGCTTCGAGTCCGAATGGTAAGAGCTGTGGTCGGTACGTTCCCGAGAATGGCTTTGATAGGATCGTCTGTATACGCCACGCGAGGTTTGGCTTCGTCGACCAGATGTGGATGCGCCCTCACTTTCATGCAGGGAATGCCGAGAGCTTGCCACCCGACCTGATCGGATACTGTAAGTCTCATCAAAATCCTTGTTACTGAATATAGATTTAACCGCAATTCCACCAAGTAACCCAGGCAGCCATGAGTTACTTGGCGATCTTTTGCGACGCCTTCCCTCGTCCTCCGACGACGTGTAACGGCTCGCCTTGTCAACGCGCGAGCCATTACTGTGCCGATCAGCAGAGCGGCGTCGGGGTTTATGGTTGTGCCTGCGAGGTGCGTCGCGCGATGTCGAACTGGGGTCAAAGCAGTGTTGGCAAATCCCGATGGTTTCTGTGTAGTCCTCGAACATGCCGACCCCCTCTGTATCCCGCCAAAAATCAATAAATTTATCCAAGGGACCGCGTCGGCGTTGCTGGAAAGCCAAGCCTCCCGACTGGAAAGGAGCACCATGGTAAACGGCAGCATGATGAGGGTGTAGAGGACTCGCCGCGTACCCTGCCGCTGCTGCTGCTGCCGCCGCAGGTCCTGCTGCAAAAGATGTCGGATTTTGCTGAGGTGGGTACATCGGGGGATCCGGGTAAGCTGGACTGTTCTGGGAGACCTCTTCGTAGTTTTGCACGGTGTATTGAGAAGAATGGTCCACGCTAACGGAGGACTGATGGTGGTGACTCATCATATAACCTGCTGCTGCACCTGCTGCTGCAGCGCCGACTGCGGCATCCACTCCCTGAGATTGAGAAGGTTCCTGGGGATTCGATACGCTGGGCGGCACATAAGTTGAAGGGGACTCTGAGGTGGTGTGCTCTGAAAGCTCCGTGGCTGCTGCCGCCGGCGCCATTGTTGCTACCCCAGTGGGTAGTCCAGATATCCCACTCGTCTGTACGGATGGTTTCGACGGTTTCGCTGGCTTTGGCGGCTTGGGAGCAGAGGTAGAAGATGGCTGTTCAATTTGTTCGATCCCCAAATCAGCATCGTCCGTGTAGTAGGCTGCTGCGGCGCCGACCTGCCCCATGCTACTAGGTTCGGGTGGCGGGTTTGCTACCGGAGAAGCTGACATCAAATGCGCTTGGTCGCTGGGGGTCACCAATGGAGGTTTAGGCCGGACGCCTGGCTGGTCTTGAACAGACTGTCCCTGGTCACCATAGTATTCGGCTGCTTCACCTGCAGGATGCGGCGGTCGGTAAGGTTCAGCAACATATGTAGGGAATTGGCCGGGAAACTGTTGGGGTACATGAGGATCGTAAAACGCGGTCGCATGTGGTGGGCTGGGCATTGAGGTGGTTGGCGTTGCATCAGCACCTGGAGGGTATGTATGAGAACCCGCAATGGCAAAGCTACCCTCAGGCCCAGAGGCAGGTATGCCCATAGGCACTGGTGAGGAGTACATATCGCCCGACTGAGTACGTCGCCGTTCAGGCCGCTCACCATCACGGTCGCGAGCGATGGCCTCGCCGACGCGATCTGTCCTGGTCCGCTCACGCTCCCGGCTCGGCGATCGTACTCGCTCGCGCCGGCGGGAGCTCTTCCCCTCTTCATCGCCAATGTCTCGGTATCGATCGCGACGGATGGTGTCGTCAGAGTCCTGACGTCTGGGCGCGCGTTCCGTCACGAAGCGATCAGGCTCGACGGGAGTGCCCTGGTCTGCCGTCGCGTAGCTCGAAGCTACCGACTCACCCGCCAGGCTCGGCGCATAACGCTTGGTCCGACTGCTCGAGGATCGGTAGTTTGACAGGTCACCCAAGCCACGGTCACGGTCGTCACCCCGTGAGGACTTGCGGCTCACTGTAGAAGACTTCGAGTCGGTTCTGCGCCGGCTACTACTACTTTTGGAGCTTGAGGAGCTGCGGACATCGGAGGATGAGCGGCCCCCGCCCAGAAGGGCTTTGAACATGGTGGGCAGAGAGCGATCAAAGCTCTAGCGACTCAGGCAACCATGTGGAATGGAGGATCGACACGGTCGCCTAATGAATCCGTCGAAGCGAAAGAGGTTAAAGAAAGATTGATAATAGAATTGGAAGAGAAATCGTGCAATCGTAATCAATGTTCGTCAGGGGGGGGAAAGGAAGGACCATGGGGAAGAGAGGGAGGGGGTGGTTGGTGGTTGGTGGTTGGTGGTTGGTTGGTTGGTTGGTGAAAGGGAAGATAGAGCGGGAGAAAGATAGTAATAATAATAATAATAAGAGGGTTGGCGGTGGTACTAGTATAGATCGGCGGGCGTTGTTTTTGCGATGGGCGGAGGAAACAGTAAACAAGTGAACCGTGGTTCTTTTTTTCTCGGGAGTCGGAGGGTCCCAACTGGAGCGAGCGGAGACAAGGTCAGCCTCCAGAGTTCAGAGACTGTGAGCAGTGAGCACTGAGCAGCGTCGGTTGCTCCAGACAATCCGCCACTAACTGGGCCTAGCGTGCTGGACAAGGATGGGGCGCGATGAACGAGGCCGGAGCGAGTCCTTGTTCATATTATGATTATTATTGATGAGCTGAACACTGACCTGATTACTGACGGGCAAAGGAATGTGGGGTAGGTAGATATCGATCGGTCAGATGCGGGAGGGCATGATGGCAGCAGCATTCATCAGATCTGAGATGTATACGGAGTTGATGTACGGAGTAGAGGAATGTATGCAATTTACTACCGCGAGAGGGAAGAATGGGAAGGAATCGGAAGAAAGAGAGGAAAACTCGCGGTGAGGCTGGGGGCCGCCGGGGGGCACGTGCCGAGCCCCAGCAAAGAGGCTGGCTGGCTGGACGCGGCTGGGCCTGTTCAGTGGCTGTCACCCACTCATTCAACTCGTGCTGATACGTCATATTATTGTTTCCTCCAGATGGGTACTGTGTAGTATAGGTAGGTCTAGTAGATTGTCCACACTCTTCAGAGAATTCTAACTATCCAGAAGCATTTTTGGTCTCTCCCATATACCCCCGTGATTTACTACTAAACAGTCGATTGGAGTGGTTCCAGCAACATGTACCGACAAGACACCAGCGGCATGCAGGACATAACTAGTACTAGTCACCGGAGGTGTGCAGATAGGACGGGTTCCTACTAACAACAGCAGCATCAACAGTCCTTATCTCCATCTACATCCACATCATCTGTCCAAGTCATCACCCCCATCGTAACAACCGCGACATCACAACATGGCGCAAGTACCTCCGTTGGATTGGAGTCCAGTAACGAGATATGCCGGTCTTCGTGAGAAAAGGATCCTGGGCAAGCGATGTTGTGTGATCCCCCATCCCCATGGCTGGAAGCAACTACAGACGCGAACAGCATGATGATATCTTGGATATAGCCTTCTTTAACTGATCCCGGGTCGAAATATTGCTCTTGAAGTAAGTAAACCTAACAGCGCACTTCGAGCCAGCACCACCGCCGCCACCACCTGGCTCCAGTCGTACGGGTCGGCAATGTCACCATCTCTCGCCCGACAATCGACTCGATTTTCAACACGGCGGATGACAGCGACACAAATGTGGGTACATCGAGCACCCGATGTCTAATCCGTATGCATTCCCGACCGACTCCACTTGCTTTCGGCGTGTAGGTATGTCGTGCAGGGCTCAAATGTCGCCTCCCCCAAGTGGGAAGTCCTTACGGGGTATTTTATGCATTCGGGAGTACCACTAGCCGTTGGGCGTCGGTAGGAGGGGATCAATCATTCCCTTCTCCGCTGGCCAATGACAATACCTACCTACCTACCTAGGTGTAAATCATATGCTCGGGGTAAATCAAACATTGGTCCCAATCGGGCCGCCAGTGCATTGGACGCTCTGGGCGAACACCACTCATGGCCGGCCCCTCATGCATGGTGGATGTCCGCCAGGGTGTCGCAAACAAGCCATGGAGAACAGCTGGAGCAAAGAGGTAGCACCTAACCTATCTAGTCCCCCTCCCCAATGAAAATACCCAGAATACGAAAAGTCAACCTGAAAGAAACCATGCATGCACTGTACGGCCGTCCATTGGGATCCTCGGGTGTAATAATGTAATGTATGCGGGGTTCATCCTTGATCCGCTGAAATGCAATCAGATATCCCTCCCAATCCATGTCCTACCCCCCCAAAGGGCTGGATGCAGTCAGTCGACGCCACGGAAAACTCCAAAAGCAAAAATAGGCCCCACCGCAAGCCCAAAAGGTTGGAAGCAATGATTGCCAACATATGATGACCATGATGTAAATCTCAGATATCCGCCCTTCCCTTCACATGCAGGAGACAATGAACAAAGATGCATATCACAGACGCTGCGAAAAACCACCAATTATCAACAAGGGGAACAGAACCAATAAGCCACCACACCCATCCCCCCGTATATAACACGTTGTATAAAAATCCGGATCAGGGGGGGTGTGCTCTAGTATTATGGGGAGAAAGACGCCAGGACGACCTTGTCCCAGCGGTATGTATGGACCTGCAATTCCACGCGAAGAATAACAGAAACCAATCTCATGATTATCAGGCAGAATTCGTGCCCCGATGACAGCCCGGGCACGCTGATGTCCCTAATCGTAATGAGCAAGAATGCCCGCGGGCTCTCCAAATATTTTCTCATAGATCTCGCTGAGAATTTTCGCGTCGGCACGTAAACTGGGTGAGATCTCGCGGCTTTGGAGGAGGAAGCGGATGGTCCGCTTGAGCAATCGCTCGAGGTCATTCCGATCAACCAGCTCGGAGAGACTAGACATGTAAGTAGCCGATAAGACCAGCATATTACCGAATTGCCTAGTAAAACAGCATCATTGTCAGTAACAGTCGCCACCATAGAGGAGTCTGCCAGGTTTCCACTTACGCGTGGGCTGTTCCAAAGATGTTAGTCACCACCGGTCGACCATCAATGCCATCAAAAGCCTCGGTGCTCAAGATGGCGGAGTCTATGCATACTTTGCACGCTCTTCGCAGCTTTGGGTTGAGATCGCGATATGCGAAGGGGGCCCATGTTGCGCCTCCCGGAGTCGGGGTTGGGGTGGGAGCGCTTCGAGCCATTGGACCAGCATCACTTGACAATCGCCCCATAGCAATGGCCCGTTGGCTGTGCGGTAGTGAAGGGGAAACTTGTTGTGATCTCGGGCCCGACATCGCAGATTCCGTAGGTGAGTCTACCGACGCCGATCGACCACTTTCGCCGCTAATGTTCAAATGCAGCGCATGGTAAAGGAGCGGTCGATGGATGATATACCGCGCGCCATAGTATTTAGCTCGCATCCGAGCCACGTTAATGTCATCATGTGGAGGATCCGTGTCCTTCCACTTCATCACCTCAGGCAAACTACTTCTCCATAGCTCGAGATTCATGCTCAGAATCTCTTGCACGCTTGGAGACCATTTGTCGTTGTTACCTTGTTCTGCAGTGGAGGGTTAGTAAGGCCCAGAGTTCCAGCCAATTGAGATCAACTCACTTTCAACTTTGTACAAGTCAGTATGGACACGGTTGAGAACCTTTCTCAGGTGGATCTGAGCGGAATAGAAGAACATCATCATGGTAGTTGGAGCCATAACATCGTTTGGCAAAGAAAGAGTCCGACCCTTAGGCAAGGCAATGCGCGCTTCCGAGCGAGATATACCGCTGGCCGGGAGATCAAGTTCGGCAAGAATATCGCTGTATTACCAACCCATTAGTCTCATGTAAGGTGCAGAGAGAAATTCAAAGTGGGCATGCGTACCTCTCTAATTGGAGGCAGGTCCAATATGCGAAATCATACAGGTCTTTGAGAGGGCCATCGTTCATCTGTTCGTACCGTTTCCTGGATCTGGTCAGAAGACAACTCCACATGTAGTTTCTGACATGGAGACACAACATACGATCGAACAAGCACTTGGCACGATCTGGCCGCTTGATAAATCCATCCATGACTCTGAAAAGGATGCGCTAATTGTCCTGCGTAAAGGCCTGCTAGCAAGGATGCCTGAACATGATACAGCCCATTTGCGCCTTGTAGACTCCCGAGAATCTGTGCAGCATACGCATAATATGCCAAACCAGGAATGACATCTACATTTCTTAAATGGCGATTGTCCGGAAATGAGGACCGATCAAAACCAGTATTCTGACCGTCTGCTGATGAGAAAGAATGAGGGTTTCCTTGAGAAAACATGCTCCCCTGCGACTGAAGAAGCGATTCAGTATCCGCCGGTGAAAGCATACTGCGTGTGGAGGGTCCAGGGATCCGCTCCTTCCGGAAGTCCACCGGTATGTCAGTAACTGGGCCCGGGATAGCACCCCGGATGTCGCAGATACTACCAAGTGCGAGCACCAAGAGAATAATGGCATTTTCGAGCGATTTCTCAACACGCGGAGTGGGGCTGAGGCGGTCGGGTTTGGCACCAGGAGGGTATTGCATGTCGCATCCTGCACCTTGTAGCACTTCGCAGGAACGCTTCCTTTTCGCACCCCGTGGCAGGTCCGCGGGGTTGGTGTTATTCGAGGCGGTTGGCTGTGGGCAATATTTCTGGATGAATGCTTCGATCCTTCCGATCAGTTCGGTTTGGTTGAGAAATGGATGAAGCTTATGCATGTGATTCAAATAGCTCTTGTGGTAGTGACGAACGGTCTCTGGGTCTGTGCTGAACATGCCAAAATCATCGATGCTAGGTCGCAGCACTTTGAGATGGGTGCCGTTTTGGTTTGCGCTGGAATTCCATTGGCCGCTAGGAGAGGCATCGTTGGGGTAAGACTGGTCCCAGTGGGGGTGAGATGAAGCATGGAATGCCATGGCTGGGCTCTCGCTAGTGTCATGGCCTTCGCCGCGGCCGTAGACAAGGATCAATCCCCGCTCCTCTTCCAGCTTCATAACGTAATCATCGTCATACTCTCTCGGTTCAAGAAGGGTCTTGATAGACCCCCACGAGAGCAGCTTGTGCGCCGCAGTGGTATGCTCCACTGGTATCGAAAGGTCACCGTCTTCACCTTGCGGAAGCCCTTCCCCCTCGACCCTTTCCAACTCCTCGCCCACGATCGCGTTCATGTCTTCTTCCTTGGTTTCCGTCTTTTGTAAAATATCGGAGATGTCCGCCTTTTGTGACCGGGGAAGCGCTTGCTTCTCTGGCTCTTTGCTGTTTACGACCTTGGACTCTTTCAGCCGAGGATATGTAGACATCTGAGAGATTCGGTTGGAGTGCTCCACCTGAAGAGTAGAGATTCGCTCAAGTTTCTCGTTCAGCCCATCTTCTAATTGGGAAATGCGGTCCAAGAGAAGCTGGGTTGCCTTTTCTTGCCTGTGTCTGTCGTCAGCGCATGCCCACTGGCCCATGATGAAACATGGGGAACAGATGCTGGTTCACGGACTTGTGAGGGGGAACTTCTTTGTAAACACATATCAAATTGTTTTCCTTGCAATGGCTACAAGCGGGCCGGCCTTCATCGCATTTGGCCTTCCTCGTTCGACATTGATCACAGGCCTTCCAAAGTAGCAAGATCCGACCAGTCAGCCAGGGTCTTCCTCAAAAGGGCTCGGTCCTTTTGTTTCCAGTGGATGGGGATTTACCTGTTGCGCTCGAGCGGCCTTCCGTTGACGGATCCCAAAGTTCTGATTTCCGTAATAGCTTGAATCGTACGGCGTAGGAGTATGCGACATAGGCGGAACGGGAGTGGAGTACTGGGACGGGGGTAATGAGTGCGGGGGGGGTAGAGGGTCCCCATTGCTGTGGGACTCTTGGGGTGGAAAAGACATCCGCGGTCGGTAGTCGGGAGGCGCCGAGTGGGCAACTGCTTCATGAGGGGTTCCGTTCATGGGGCGAAAGTTTGGATGGGGGGTTGGAGCCTCCGGGGGGGTATGCGCCGGGCCAGGCAGACTGCCTTGTCGGCTATAAGGGCCATCTGGTGGAAGCTGCGGTAGCTCTCGATTGGGAATCACCGGATACCCGTGAGGAGGTAATGTGGATGGAGGAGCGTTGGTTGTGCGACGCGGTTCCGCGGGGTGGGCGTCATAAGAGGGAGGAAACGGAGGAGGGCGCCATGGCTGCTCGTAGACTGCCGGCGCACTGGGCGGACCATGCGATCCGTCGAGAGTTGGTACGCGATGCATTGGAGATGGAGGACCAGCACTGGCCGGGAGGAATCTCTGCTTATCGTCGATGGGGATGACCTCGGCGGCCAAGGGTCCGTGACTACGGCCAATAACTCCAGGCTGCCGCAGATCCACGGTGGACGGTCGACTGAGTGTGATAGTCATACAGTCAGGAGGACATGACGTCCCAGACAAGCCTCTATTAATACCGTGTTGTGCGACCGGAGCGGCCGTGGGTGGGACGTGGGAACGCACAAAGTTTCCGGTTCGGGGAATGGACGGGACTATGATGGTGTTTCGTGGTTCTTTGTTCGGAGGCCCGCCAGGTTCTGGCTCCCGTTCGGCATAAAAGGCCGCCGCGATTCACCCCTCAATAGGCCCGCGCAAGGATGGAGGGGTAGAGGAGGGATGAGCGAGAGAGAGGCTGTCGCACGAAACAAGCCGGTAGCTTTCCGATAGTTAGCGGGTGTGGGATTAAAAACGATCAAGCGATCAGCGAACCAAGACACACCAATACCAAGAGGGGAGAGGAGGAGAGGAGGACAGGAGAGAGGAGAGAGGAGAGGGAAGAGGGGAGGGGAGGAGGGGAGGAGGGGGAGGGTAAGTAGGGGAAGGCGGAGCGGAGTAGGTGACAGCAGATAGATGGTTAGATAGTAATAACAGAAAGACAGTGGAAGCAATGATGGCAGCAGCAGGAGCAGCGGATGAGGGGAGAAAGGCAAAGCAAAGGCGGTGTTTCGTAATAACAACAATAATGCGATGAAGAAATATAAGAGGATGATCATATAAGAACGACGCCGCGGTAATAGTGCCCGAGTACTAAGGCGTATACCGACTGGCCAGGGGAGCAAGAGGGAGGGGAGGGGAGGGGGCGCGAAAGAGAAGGGATCCGCGCCGCGACTAAGCACGGTAAGGTAATCAATCAATGCCTCGAGTGGACACGCCGACCCTGGCACTGTGCAAGCTGCCGAATCAAGTAGGGTCAATCACCACCGTCGACCCCAGTAGGTAAATGGATAGTAGGCACCTTAGTGTAGGTAGGTGCTGGTGCCCGGAGTATACAATGGGGATTCATGGAACCCGACATGGCCTCGCCACGCACATCAACAGAGCCATTGGGGGTTCTGAAGGGCAGTACTGAACGGATGACAGCCAGGAACATGATTCTCATATCGGTACCAAAAAAAATAACAAGGGTTTTAGAACGACCGGCCGAGTCAAAAGGGGGGGAAACATCAAAGACCAAAAAAAAAAAAAAAATACAACAAATTAAGATGGAATATTATCAGTAGAGTAAACGAAAATAAAAATAAAAAGATAGAAAGAAACAAAACAAAAAAAGTGATACATACTTACAAGCGTCGTCTCCAGTGGCCCAAAGGATGAATGAAATGGAAATAAAATACCACGGGCGGGTTTGGCACTTGTCTTGCGCTCTCCGATCAAGCGGGAGGATAGGTAAAAGGGATTAGTGGTAGCTAAGGTAGCTAAGCCAAGCTGTCGGGTCGCCCGGTGCAAAAAGGTCGATCGAACGGTGGGAAGGGCAGCGCAGCAGCGCTCTGCCGGGCGTCTTTTTCCTTAATAAGAAAGGAAAAAGGAAAAAGGGTCGAGGGATTCGGAGGGAGTTCCAAAAGACGGCCGGGTGTCTAGGAACTTAGGAAGTCGATGGAACCCTTGTCGGAATTAAACTCGAAAGAGCAGGTTGAACAAGGACGAAATGGAAGCGTTCCCGTCCGGTCACTGGGAGGAACCAAAGTTAACCTGTTCAGTGTTCGTTCACAGGGCCACAGGCAGAGTCAGACTACTGGGAGTAGTAAGTGGATTGACGGATCGGATGGGGTAGAGAGGCGGGATCGAAACTCGGAAGAACGATGACGATGACGAGGGATGGGTGATAGAAGGATAAAATAACTGAGGGCTCGTCAATAATAATAATAATGAGCGCGCTGTGACAAAGAAAGTGAACTATCAAGCAAACGGCCAAACAAGCGGAGGCTGATATGGCTTGAAGAGAGTGTGGCAGATGAAGAGTGTGTCTGCTTGCCCCTCTTTTTTTTTCCTTGCCCTGGTGGAGGGGGAATTGGGCCCATAGGACTGAGGGAGAGCGAGAGAGAGAGCGCGCGGGAGAAAGAGAGAAGTAGGCGGACCGACAATATGGGCGACTGTGCTCCTGCGATCCTTACAGACGATGGCAGCAATGATGATAATCGCACGGGCAGAGGCGACAGTCCAGGTGAGCTGCTTGTCCTCCGCTCCTCCGCTCTTCTTGCTGGGCGTGGTTCCCCTCCTCTCTTCGGTTTCTTCTACCCTTAGGTAGTCCTCTGCTTTTCTCCCTTCTTTTTCCTTTGGACGCACGCCTCCTTCTGATGGGACTGGGTCTGGCAACCCTGAACCAGGATCCTGGTTTGCATGAATTAACACAAGCCACCAGAATTGACAGATCGCCTTTCTAATTCGTCTGGGCGGTCCTGCTTTTTTTATTTTTTTAGTTTTTGTTATTTTATGTTTTTATTATTTTTTTCCCTTTCTTTCTTTCTTTTCAATTTTTTTTTTCGATCCTTTTTTTTAAATTATTATGATTTTTTTTGGGGGGGTTGTTATTCACTAGGTATCTCTCGGTTTCGGCTCTGGCTTCTGGTGACAGACCAGAAAACAAAAAAGGCAGAAAGTGGAGCCGCAACTGGAGCTGGAGCTGAACCAGGACGGGCTAAAATGAAGTTCGCAAAATAAAGAAGAAATGAAAACCCACTCACAGGCGTGTGCAGTCTTGGAAACTCAAGGTACTGGCTGGGTACCGTCGGTTTTTTGATCGGTTGGGGGCCCGCAATCAGCTCCGGTCTTCCTCAGTGCCACATGGACGGTGGGCTGGAGAAATCGTACGGAGTACAGTAAATAGTAATAATCAAGGGAGGCGCTCAAACAGACCCAACGTCAATCACCCCCCATTGGCAGTTGGTTAATCGACGGTGGTCGGGTCCGATTAGGAACGGCTTTCTCCTCGGGAGGGGGTGGTGGCAGGCCAGGAGGAAACTGGTCCTGAAATGATCGATGCCCAATATCTCGAGGGGAGGAGGAGATCAATCGGCGGTGGTGGTGGCCGATAGTGACGGTGGCCGGTGCAAACTGAGGGGAACACGATTACCTATATGTCTCCGCCCAAGGGAAGCCTGGGAGACAACCAAGAAGAGTACGTACTCGGTGCTATCGGCCTGATCAAATCAATGGGCCACTCCGGGCGATTCGTAGAACACTGGAACGACAAAACTGAAACTCAGAGGGACCAGCCACAGCAGATGGGAAAGGATTCTTCAGTTCTCCCTCCCAAGGGCTGCTTAACTAGGCGGTAGCACGGAAGTTTACACCCTCAAGACATGCTTGCTGTCAACCCCGACAGCCTCTCAGCTTCATTCTTTCCGTCTGTTGGTGCCCATCCTTTTCTACTCTTGTGATCCAGCTTAATTCAGTTGATTATTGGCAAGGGGTAGGGGGGAGGGGGGGATAATGGAGGGCTTTCCCCTGTCTTCACCAAACGGATTCAGATCTGAAAGTCAATTTGTTGCTTCGCTGGGGTCTGACAGGAGGCCTTAGGAAGGTAGGTTACAGCGATTCAAAGCCAAGCATTGTCTACTTGATGGCAGCAAAAACATCAGGAAGGGAGACCGACCTAGGTAAATGAGCCTGACTCGGGTAGGTATGAAGCGAAACAGAGGGTGCGGTATGCATGATGCGACCCAGGGGGGGGGAAGAGGAGTCCTGAACGACTGGATGGTGCCCCACGCAGGAGCAGAAGACGGTGAGCAGTGAGCGCCCTCCACCTTGCTACCTTGCTCGGGTGTCACTTGGTCACTGGAATCAAGGGTTTGGACCGGGTACGCCAATACCGTGCGTCCAGATATGCACCAGGCAGATTCAAGTAGAGTTAGTTCTGCATGGATTAAGGAGCTGATGGGCGCTTCGTTCGAAAAGGCGGAGAAGCGAAGATCCTCATCCATTATGCTTCATGTTTTCTCCTCCGTACCGAGGTATCATTCTATGGATCTAGTTCTGCTACATAGTAAATAAAGTATTATTCAAGACATCACTACTACTATAACTACTACTAGATAGATACTACCGAGACTGTGTCTGAACTCTGAAGGACGACCCGCCCGCCCGCTAGATACTACTAGATATAGTAAGAACCCGGCGCACCTGAGCGATTAGGTCATCCAGGGAGGCCCCTGTCACTCACTTGCATACATACATACATACTTGGTCGTGCGCACCCACGGCCTTATTATTAACCATTCACCACGGAGTAGCACGGAGTACAGATAGATACCTACGTGTTATCATGTTGATTGTTTACTCTCCTCCCATTTACCCAACACGACCCCACAGCCAAAAGCAAAACAGCAGTTGTTCCCTGGTTGCCATCTGCGCCTAGTCATGGTTCTGCTCAGGGACAACCGCTGACTTCTCCGCGGTGGTCCGAAGGACGGTAACTTACGGAAGAGAACCTTGGGACGAGCTCCCAACTGTCTAATATTCTTTGTCGCTGGTTAGGTACGGATTACGGATTACGGAATACGGATCACGGATTACATTCGGCAAACAATGTCAACAGACCAACCCGAAATCGATCATAGTACCCATCATTATGAGCGCATCTTGGAGCCTGAATAATGTTAGTCTGTAGTCACCTAGCACAAGGAGTTTCTTTCTACATAGAGAGTATACTCCATACATACCGTGTACAAAGGACTCGGGAGCTATCTACCTATGGGGGGAAATTTCATGGCCATTTTGCCACCCTCGGTCGCATCGTGTACCTGCTTGAGCCTCTGGTGGTAAGACCTGAGAAGACATCCGGTCTGTAAGGGAAGGGGGGAAATGAGGATGAAAGAGGGAACAGAATGGAAAGACTTGAATTGACGGCTTAGGCTAAATGTCCAGCCAGTATTATTATCATCTACCTGCTGCTAGATACTCCTGCTGCTGCCAGCCTGCCACAAGGTAAGACGACTGGTGAGTGGTGAGCGGGCAAATGCAGCAGCCCGATCATTCTCGTTAGTGGGGTAAAGTAAAGAAGCGCTCACCGTCCTGGCCTTAACAAGTTAACCGTCTCCAAAATTTCGGCTGGAATAATCTCGGTCTCGGGGAAATGGAGGGGCAGTGGACGGCATGATCGCGATGAATCTCGACCATTATTAAGTGTCCGCCACTCCGACCTGATGATTGATTATTACTAGTATCTACTATCTACTAGTACTTCTACTACTACTCCTACCTATCTACAGAGTATGGGGTTCTGACTCGCCACCGTTGCCAGCCCTCCTCTCTTCTTTGTTCTCATCCAAGCCCCGTGATTGTCAGGGGCATATCTAGTACCCCCAACCGTCGCCATGGACCAACAGCCATTTGATCATTTCCTATGGATACGGAGGATTCCGTAGATTGCCCCAAATCCGATTCCACCATGCCTGATCCATTACCGCCAATTGCGTGCCCCCTCCACAGTGGCCCATTGGAACTTGCCAGAGCCAACGGATTCTCCAGGTTCCCCCCCATTTCGGTCGATCCGCCATTTTAGTGACTTTCCATGATCCCGTCTCCTGGAACCCGCCATCGGCTGGCGGCATGTTTGCTGGGTCTTGGGTCTTTCAAAGTTCAGCAGAGTCAAAGACGACGGGTTTATGCTACCACCGAAAAAGTCTATCGTCCCCGACGATGCGTTCCGACTTGCCGTCTGTACGGCGAAGTCAGGCTTTTCTCTGAATGAAGATCCTGCAAGGCTAGGCCGACTGGCAAAGTTTACGGTAGTTGCGGATGATGTGCATCCTGTGCCCCGTACTACTTCATAGTACTCCGTACACAGTAGCAGTATGATCAAGCGCGGAAGCAAGGGATAGCCCTGTCCTGTCTGGACAGATCGCCCGACATTTTGTACCGGAGTTACACGGGTAGACACCGGGTGGCTATTGGAAGTGGCTTTGGATGGGATACACCAGGGTTGAAGAATAACCCTGGCGATGGCTGATGCTGTTGTCCGACCTGATATGAATCCCGGCAATTTGCTCTGCGAACGGCCACAGATCAAGCAGGTAAGCGACCAGGTGGTTCGGCTTGGATGTCTTTGCTACCGACAGCACCACTAAAGCCAGAGTTTCGATACAAAGCCACTCGCTGCAACACCCAAATCCTTGCCGGCAGAAACCTCCGGTCCAAGCACCATGGGCATGAAGAGTAAATTAACTGCCGAACTCCGGTTTCCCTTCATGCATAACAGTACACATGCGAGGACGGGGTTCTCCGTGCCGTACACGGTGGTCGGCAACTTACCTGAAGAGTCCACTGCAACCTCTGCCCACTGAAGAGGTGGAATGGATGCAGTCATCACGAGGTCCGGGCGCCATTCTTAGGCCGATACAGGTAAATCTTCGCTGGACCCAATTGCAGATCAATTCCATGTCTCAGGGCTATGATTTGCCCAGCAAGGACCCCCTACCCCTCAGTAGACCCGGTAGGTATCCTGACTCTGAGGTCATGAGGTGTGCCAGGCGGCCAGCCAATACACAGTACCTCCCGGGCTGGTCCGACATTTGGTCAGATATGGCCCGTATCGGGACTTCTGGAGGACCAATGGTCAGGATCGACTGCCCCCATCTGAAGTTCTGATGCTCTGGTGCTGAGGAGGTGACAGCGGGACTGCCCGCCTTGTGACTCCGAGAGGATGGTTCGGAGCGGATCATAATTCTACTGGGCGGTAGGATCGCTCCAAAAGTGAGGCTGGGGATTCATTGGCGTTTTATTGGCAGTTAGAGTTCAGCATCGCCAGAGGAGGAGGGAGCATACCTACCTACCTACCTAGTAGTACCTTCCTCCAGATATCAAGTCGATCAACATGCTACGATCGCCGAGAATCAAGTCAGCAGGATGGATCATGACTAAATGGGAGGCAGTGATCCATCCCCGCGACTTACGGAATGGGGACGGAGATGACTACTGGATGGGGCAGTCCCTGTCCTTTGAAGGACTGGATGGAGGGCAGCCTTTGAGATGGATATCATGCCGATCTGAGGGGGGGGATATTTGAGATTCTTTGAACTACGGAGAGCTAAAGCCTCGTTATTGTGCTGATCCCTATCCTTTGTCCAGCACGCGTCGCAGTGAGGCTGCTTATCATATCAATCTCATCGATAGCCTCAGGGAGAGAAGAGCTCGACGGAAGTCGATGGAGAAAAAGATGTCGGACCTGAGCCAAATGCAGGCGAAATCCTCTGTCGTATCGTCATCCCTACTATTCCGTATGTACTTGATCAATGATCATATCTCCTGTACACCACGACCACGTGGGTCGCGCTCTGAGAACTCCCGTACTATGAGGATACCCATCGAGTGGCAAAAACTGACCTGTCCTATATCACTTGCCCCCATGATGCGATTCGTCTCCTGCGACTCCAGACTCCAACCCCAGGCTGTCGGCTAACCTCTTACACACCAACCTTATCGAGGGGATCGGTTGAGCGACCAGACTAAGCGATCGCCCAAATCAAGTAAGCGAGGGGTTATCTAGAGGTTGGAAGAGATCCAGGAACGATCTCCCAATCTTACTGCGTGCATGCGCAGTGCACCCATTTTGTGCAGTCTGGAGGGAATCCGTCCTACGAGTTCGGTGGCACAGGGAGGGAGTGAATAATGTGCCTTGCCCGCTAGTAATTCGGATTGAGGATTCATTGTCGCCTGGCTTACATATTCCGTAGGAGATGACGTGAGGCGGAGGGGAGGCACTTCCCACTATCTACTATGTAATCCAAGTGGTGTACTGTGTAGCGTCGAACCTCCACATTAACACTGATTGGAAGAAGAAAGAGAATTATAATACTAGAAGGGTGGTGGTGCCCAGCTCCACTATCAAACCTATGGACTAGATAGGTAGTAGTATGTAGATATATCTGCACGTAAGAAGATTGGGAGCGGCTGTGAGTGACGGACAGCCGGTGCAAACTCCCGCTAACCCGATGTGCATCGATCGCTCCTTCCATTTCATTTCCCAGGTTCTGGAGGTCCCCGACGTATTTGGTATTTATCGGTTTATCTACCACACAGTATGCAGTATACTCCGTACGGAATACTACTAGCACTTAGTATGATATTGACTGGCAGCCCTACTAATAGGTACTACATAGTTGGTACTCCTTCCCCTGCCGCCTCAGTCAGCAGCAACTCAGGAGACTAACTAACTCCTTCTAATCCCTAATCCCAGACCCAAAACAAAGACCGTCGCTGCTCTCAAAGGAAGCGATGCGTAATCTCCATTTTCGAGGAAAACTGACATAGTATTTCCTTGGTTTCTGCCACCACCACTAGGTTCCTAGTCCTTAACATGCCCCCAACCCATGCACAGACACCGGCCGAGCGCCCATTCGGGCACCAATAGTGGCAATCATGGTCTGTGTGTCCAATGTGTCAACGGTAAGACAGTTTCGTCCAGCCTTTCCTGGTGACTATTCTCCAGTCAGCCTCACGAATAATACGAACCGCCATCTTGCTGCTGGCCGGGCCGCCTGGACGGGTTCGGGAAGCGGTTTGACATGTTTCTATGCCCCGGTGGAAGAAGGTATGACAGCAGCAGCGCGTTGCGGGGGGTGCCCGGTCTCATCCCTTTGGATTGCATGGCCAGCCGAGTCGATCGCGACAGGTGTCAAGTCGTCGCACGCGACGACAGCCTACCAATGCGAGCCAGCCGAAGCGCGCGCGCGGTTTTTCCTCGACGCCACTGGACTCATCACATTTCCACCGGTCTGGAACCCTCCGCAACCTCCTTTTTGTGATCAGAGCCCTCGCGCCGTGCCGGAGATGCTCGGCGCAAAGACAACTAACAGGGATCCAAGTGGAGATGATCGTACCTACAGCTTATGTAGGTGGACGGAGGAGTCCGTTCTGACGTACATGCGCATATACATGCAATTGTTGGAGACAATGATGAAGATTTCTGTCATATGCAATTCATCTTTGCAGACATCCCCATGCTGCTGCTATCTACGGAGTATGTTTCGGTGCGATCGCTTTGAGGTATGTGACCTTGGGGTGGAAGTTGGAGACGGACTTACTTTTCGCTTTTCTTTTTCCTGATTATTCTTTCAAACGGGATATCCGGAATCCACTGCCACGGCAGTCAACCACCGTGCCCACTGCCCATGGCGGAGCTGTCAATTGCAGATCAGCATCTAAACAAAGCGCCCCGTTTCTAGATCCTTTTTATTCTTCTTCTTCTTCTTTTTTTTTTTTTTTTTTTTTCTTTTCTTTCTTTTTTTGAAACCGCCAGTACTAGACAGATACATACTATACCTGCTCGCTCGATAATGAGACCTGACCATTCGCCTGGCTCGGTCATTTCACCCGCCCCGGCTAGCTCGCACGACGGGATTAATATAGATAGATTACGGGTTGTCCAGGAGATTAATTCAGGGGACAGGAAGTACTTGTCCAGCCTTCTGCCTAACCAGAATCCCGGCCACCATTTACTATCTTGGGTAGGGGTCGGCGCAAAAGTACGACTGGTCTGGTGTGCGATCCGCTTCCCCTGATCAGCAGCCATGTGTTGCTACGACTTGTCTCGCTACTTGGTATACTTGGTATACTTTGTACGGAGCAAGCAGGTCGGTACGACTATACTAATAGTAATGGTGAGGTAGTAATCGAATCCTCGCGTCTGTCACCATCACCACGCCCATGATCCGCCTAAAGGTGCTTACCCCATACTATTCACCTAGTATCTACCAGGATATTGGATGTTATACACATCCACGTATACAGCCATTTCCACAGGCCACAAAGAAAAGCAAGCCCAATACGACCACGGTAATTAATCCCTCAAGAAAACACAACCTCAGAACCCAAGAAAACAATCTCGAAAAATAACTAAGAACCGATGATAACGACGGTGATCTCGGAGAAGAAATCCGACCCCAGGTCCAAGCACACACTCAGAAAGACAGTAGTATTTGTATATCCCACATTAGTCGCTACACTTCACATAAACTTTCCGACTTACATACATATACGCATCCATACATACACGGACCAAACTAGCTCAGGTCCGTCCTGGACTAGCCTTTCTAACCGAGACAGGAAATATATTGAGTGAGCCGAGATGAGAGCCTCACTGTACGAGGGCGTGTGACTGGCTACGTAGATGATGGACTTGATAACGTTCGTTTAGTTGGAGTTGGGTGGTTGCCTTTCTGCCTGCTAGATTATGGGGTATTGGTATCGCTTTGGGGGTTTAATGCTGGTGGTGATATAATAATGATTTGATTGACTAATGTAGAGGTATGTATGTATGTATGTATGTAGGGGGTGGTGGAGCTACTAATGTCATGGAAGTTATTTCCTGGGTAGGTTACTTGCTAGGAGGGGTGTTTTTTTTTCTGCTTCGTTTATGTGGGTTGGGACTATTTCATGATAATAACTTAGTTTTTGTACGGAGTATAGAGTATGGGGTACTCTGTATGTATGTATCTTTCTGCCACCTATGTGGTTACTTGAATATGTAGGGATTATGTGCGATGCTCGATGTAGTACTACTACATCCACCTGCCTACCCACCTACACACACTTATTGTATGTAACTCCATGCAGTAGGTACATACATAGGTGTAGGTAGCTACTATATTCTACATACATAGGTAAGGAAGGTGGAGCAAGCAAGGTAACTAACTTACCCCTACAATATCCCACAGTAGATACTAGCTACGAAGCAAAGTAGTAGCAGTAGCCTCCTACCAAGTACAGTACCACCCATGTACCCTCCATATTATCACCTACTACTACTTAATACTACCTAGTACTCTTACCCCCTCCTCCCCCAATCCAACCCAAATCCATATAAATATGACCCAGTAAGCAAATCGACTCATCAAATCTATATATACACCCGACACACCACAACGGAACCATCTATCACCTCACACAAAAACACACATCAAGAGACCCTCAGACGACCTATGTAGGTAGGCCTATGTACCTCGCAAACAAATACAAAGGCTACATGAAGATACTCAACAGATAAGCCAATCACGGGCTCCCGATCAGATGATCGTGCGGGGCCTGAGCACGCACACATCCCTCCCCGTTCCCGACTTGGTATCTAGTAGAGGTAAGGTCTCCCGATATCTACATACTAGTATAATCAAAAAATTATATTTTGGTATACGGATTACAGACATAGAAAAATAATTAGGGAAATGATATCTATATATATTGTCATGGGTGAGAAATAGACGGATTCATAGACACAACTTACCTAGTGTATTTAACTATGCTGTTACTAAATCCTTCGAGATGCAGGAAGAGGGGGGCAGGGAAACACACTGTCCACGTCTACAGTGCAGTGCAGTTTGATTTGTTTTTGTAAATCAGTCGAGCCATGTACCTATGTCTGGGGTTATTCGGATTTATGTGTGCGTGTAGTATGTACGTGTCAGATTTGGTTGATTTGATTTGTTGTTGGTGGTGGTGGTGTGGGTGGATTGGCCGGTCTGGATTGGAATTTGGATTTGGATGACATGCGTAGGTAGGTAGGTATCCAGGGGGGGGGAGGTAAGTGGATGGGTGGGTAGATAGGGGCATGCTGTCTGTATGGATGGATATGTGTGCATCAAGGTGTTATTTTAATTGTTATCTTTCTTTACCAGGCATCGCATGCAGCGGTTGTCGACGGTGACAGGCAGTCTTCCTAGAATAGACAGCATCGGCATCTCTCGTGTGCATTAATATGCAACAAGTGCAGTGCATGCAAATATACAACAAATTCCATGCCATTCTATACTATGCATACTATGCACTGGATATCTTCCGTATGATCCATCTAGATGTCAAGTAAATGCCACACACCCTTTATCTCATAATACATTGATCATGCCATGAAAATAGACGCTCTGTCCAAAGACCAACTAATTGGTATAAACAAATTGGTATATCAAAGTCAAATGCAATGTCAAAGCACGGTAAATCAGCTAGTTCAGAAACTGAGTCTCGGGCTGCTGCCGCAGGAGATAGTGGAAGATCCGCCAAATCCCCTTCAGCACCTCGACCCGGTCTCCCCCGTCGAAGAGGTCGTACCACCGGGTGCGCCGCAGCTGTAACACATACCATGGCTGATCCGGGGTGTCTGTTACCGGCGGGAAGTTGCTCGACCCGTTTGTAATGACCTCGAGATATCGTCGGTGCACGCGCAGATGGAGAATAGACACGTGATGGTTGATGGAGGACAAGAGGTAGATCTGTTTCTGTTAGTATTTGATACAACACAACCGACTTGAGCACACTTACGTCGTCATACGCGCTGTCCAGCGGCTTCCCAATCTGTATGTACCGCATCCGTCTATCCCAAAGACCGGGCCCTGGCTGGATGATCTTCCACCGTTCGCTGTTGCTCAATTTCCGCGTAGCACTCGGTCGCCGTGATGCGAGGAATGGGTGCTCGTACTTGGAGCGCTTGCGCGCATATCCACTCATGGACGACAGCTTGTCCTCCCCATGGGTCTCCTTCTCGTAGTCGCTCACGGAATCGTTCAAAGCACCACCCCATCGGGGCACGGTCGTCCACCATTTGCCTTCGCCTGGCCTCACCTCGGCTTCCCCCTGCCTCGCCCGTTCCTGAGCTGTCAAGAGCATGGCACCCACCTCACGGAGCAGATCACACACCTCGCCCATGCCAGAGCCTGGGGCCTCCTGGGGCCCACGGAATGAGGTCTCGGGGCGGCACTGGGCTGCAAAGATAGGCCCTTCTATGACCCCGCTTCGCGCCAGCTGACGGTCCTTGGGAGATCGGGCAGTTTGGAACGTGTGTCGAACAGGGAAGAGCAAGTTCTTGACGGCCAACCTAGGGGGGGAAATAGGCGGGGCAGCCTGACAGCCAAACGGCCATGCGGCCATTTCGGTCAATGCTCGAATGGTTTCCTCGCGCACATCTTCTGGCATCTCGTTCCCCGATCCTATACGCCGACCCTTGTACATTGGTACCATTTCCGGGGTGGCCTCTGGCTGCGCTTTTGGACCGGCATCCGATGCTTGTGCTGGCGGCGCTGGGTCAATATCCATGGTTGTCTCCGGTTGGTCTTGGCCCTCTGATCGTTGTGTCTCCCCATCAATTTGCATCTTCTCTGCTCCTGCTTGCTCTGGGGTTTTCGGGCGTTCATAGTAGTCGTCTAAGCTGCTATCCCAGTACTGGGCCATCCGCTCCAGGCCCGTCCAGAACTTCCTCGTTTGAGCCACGCGAACCCTTTCCCGGCCTTCGCGGGGAGGCAGTCTGCCTACCTCTCGGAAAGCATCATCATTGTCTAGAAGCAGTTCGCTCTGGAGCAATTCGAATCGGTCCCGAGAGGGAAATGAATTTCCATTGTCCATCAGAATCGGGCAGCCATCTTCATCGACCGGGGATGAGCGCGCTGACATGTTCTCCCAGGGGAGCGGAGGGTCTGTCTTTGGCCCATTGTGACGAACAATATCTGCAGCCGACACGTTTTCTTGCAGTCTTAGGTTAAGCGCCTCAAACTTCTGGGGGTTGATGTCCTGTGGCCGTCGAATTGAGGCCAACACTTCATTCAGCCTTGACAGGGATGCATCTTGGTCCTTATCCGAGAGTTCCGGTAGCTGATAGACGGGGAAATCGAGTGGTGTGGGGGCGGGAGGGGGGCGGCGCTCTTTCTCAGGCTCTGAGCTCGCGGAGGGTAGGCCTACGTCAAGTGTCAGTATCGAAAAGGGCTGTTTTATGAGCGCACTGGAGTAAAATAGGCTGACAGGCTTGGAGGCTGAGTGATGTTGGACAAAATGGGTAGCTGACGCAAGTGCTTGAGAAGCTGTAGACGTTCGGACATGGAGCGACCGGTTCAGGGCCTGTCGGTCCGTCACACCATCATCGTGCAGATGGATCCATGACCTTTTTGCACGGTTGATTGGGGGCAGAAGGAAGTATACGAGAGGAGAGAGACGAGTGAAAGGGAAGCAAGGGAAAAGCAGTTGGCAGTGCGGGGGAAGCCTTACCCAGGGTGCTACACCAGCCAAACATGACGGATCAAGTCGATCGCAACAGCGGGAAATGGGGATATAGCAAATGAAGAAAGGACTGTGAACTGGTTGCGATGCGAAAGCTCAGCACTAGAAGGAGGCGGAGTCGGGCATCACATGCAATTGGGATGGGATGAGGCGCGGTCGGTGGGGGTGGAAAGAAAGTCGCACAAGAGTTGAGTGGATGATGGCCAGTCAGCGGGGGAAGAAAGTGAGATTGAATGTTGGGGAGTTGAGTGGTTAAATGGTGGATGGTATAAAAGGTGGATGATGGAGGGTGGATGGTGAGATTGTGAAGAATGGATAAATTGATGATGGATGAATGAAGAATAATAAATGGAGAATAAATAATTTGTTGTTTGGGGGGGGGGGGAGGAACAAAAGCATTGAAATAACAGGAAACGGTGGAGGAACTAAGGCGACTAGTCAGTCCGTGAGTGCTATGTAAGTACAAGTACTAGTACTGCTACCTATGTATGGCTGGCTGGCTGCTGAGGGTCGACTGACGGCCTTCAGTCCCCCGGCCGGTGGAGTTGGACCCATCCTCGCCTTCGTCGCTTCATCGTACTATCTACTACACAGTAAAGAAAAGGTAATAGTAGATGACCTCCTGCCGATTTGCCTCTTCCAGTTCCAGGTGCCTGTCTGTTCCCCGGCCCATTTTGCGGGGAAATACTCTGGGGACAAACCATGGCTACCCAGCATTCTCTCCCATTCTTGGGCGCCTCGGAACCAAATCCTACGCAAGTGATATGCAATTGACTCTGCTCCACCGTCTCATGATCCATGCGACCATACCATTCGGCTGATCCCTGGCAGTGGTTCAAATTCCCGCAGTGGCAATTCACCCCAATATTATCTCCTTTGCCAAGGGGTGTGTATTGGAATTCAAAGACCTGTACATGCTGGAATTATAGACAGAGGTAGTAGATAGTATAGGATCTCAGTATCCAAGTGGAACTTTTGTTGTTCTACTGGTTTTACCTCGTTGAACCGTCAAATGATGGCAACTGGCAAATCCGCCTGAAAGATGGTTCCTCCCAATCCGGCTAGCGCAAAGTTACTCAGCATGCACATGATTGCACTAGGGTCAAACAGGACTAGCAGTGGCTGACCCAAATGAGTATTGGCCCCACTGTGGTTGCGTCGCCAGCCAATCTCCACCAGCCAATGGAAACCCGGTCCCGTGCCGTGGCTTCCAGTTTCCCCGGCACAGCTTTCCTTCTTCCATCTCCATCCGCCATTGTTCATGGCTGTTCATCTCTGTTCATCTCAGTTCACCTGTCAGATGAGATGTGCCGTTATGTGACAGACTGTAATCCCCATAAGCTTACCCCACCCTTCTTCTTCAAGGCAAAAATGCTGACCATGGCGGTCTCTCCCAAACTCCCCAGGGCCGTTGTTCAACGCGAGGGGTGAGGGGCCTAAACCCCTCCGAGGCCAGCGACTAATGCCGGCCAGCAACCTCATCAGAACTACCTCTGCACCGCGGATTGGATGTTCTGGAGCCCTGCGGTTTCATCCAGTCCCTCCAAGAGTAACAATCTCTTCCGCCCCCTGCTTCCTTTCGTCACAGCCGGTTTGTCGGCCCACCGGGCCCTACACAGTCCTGGCGCCTGGCCAAACACTGTGCTGCTCTTGTTTGTCTCCGGTTATCCTGGTCCTCTTCCTTCTCCCAGATCCCTGCTCCTTCACAGCCTCTTTTCCATAGCTTCATCAATCTATCCGAATCTCTCTGGTCTTCACGTGTCACTGGAATCTCACGCCTTTTTGGCCCTCTGCTTCACCATCCCATCCTGAAACAAGTGGACTCCCTCCGGGCTATAGCCTCTGACATCTGCTGTCATGGCCTGCCTGTCTCCTTCCGGTAGAGAACAACAGCAATGAGACGGCCTTAGCATGTTTGTATCTGCTTTTTTCGATCGTATCCCCGGCTTCCGTTTGTTCACTCTTTCCATTCCTACGTGAGCCTGTCATTCACTACCCACGAGTACTACGACCGCCTCGGCGTCTCCGCTCTTTTACGCGCCTTCGGCCTCAAATCCAGGGATTCCCTCTCTCTTTCATCTTACCTGGTTCTTCATGCAGCACACGTTCTTCTCCGAATCCCTTTTCTGATCCAGCAGAGCTTATCGCGTCATCCAGCCTGCGGGCTTGGCGACATGTCAATGTCGAGCTCTTCGATCCTCTTCCGTCAGAGTTCAAGATGTACTACTAAAATTCCACGACACTCCAACCTAGTCGTGCCTTCAACCTCTTCATTAATCTCCAGCTCTACCTTGACCTCTGCCGTGTCCCAGCCCTCCCTCACGAACTCGGACCCTACATCCTCAACCGAGACCTCATTACCAAGCGAGACTTCTGCGTCAGACACATGGCATTCCACAGCGTTGTTACCTTTCACGGATGCGGTAACTACACAATCACCACAGCCACCTGCTGTTGTTAGCCCGGTGGCCGTTCCTACAACGACTGCATCCACTACAGCTGGAAAGCCCAGCAACTACAATCTAATCCACACAGAAAATGGCCCTCACGCTCACATGCCCGTATCGTCGCGGATTGGTTCTTCAAGTCATGAAACAGACTCTTCTCTTTACCTGCCAAGCTCCGCAACTTCAAAGACATCAGCGATACCGACTCTGCGCAGCACTGAATCTTTCGTTGCACACTCTACGGCGACTAGCCCTATCGCCTCTGCTAATAGCTCCTCGCAAGGCCATATAGATCAGTCTAGCCATAGTGAACATGCCCCACTCGGCGCGATCTTAGGCGGCGTTCTAGGTGGAGTAGCATTTGTTGCTCTTGCACTCGCCATAGGTTACTTTGTGATGCGACATAAGCGGCGCGATCCCCGTGGTGGCCTGAGCACTGGCACGAGCGAAGAGCACTTGCAAGATGAAGGCGGGCCGGTCGCCCCCTCAGCTGACTCGCTTCAAGGATATCAATCCGGAGGGTCCTTCCTCTCCGTCGCTTCGTCTACTCCTTCAAGCCCTCTTCGCGTTGCACTTGCAGCACCAAAACTGGCACCCGGCCACCACCACAGTCGGACCCTGTCTAGTTTGAATCCCGTCTTGGACTCGAACCCTTTCCTAGATTCTGCGGAGGTCAAGTATGTCTCGCGTGGGAGTATGCGCAGCATCGCGGGGGCGCTTCGCAATCCGTTTGCCGATGCTCCATCTCACAGCCATGTCGCTATGCAACAGTCAGAGATGTCCCAACGACCGGCGTCAGCTGCCTGGTATTCTATGCACAGTGATCGCAGCTTGGGAAGCACGCTCCTTCTCCCGGGACGGAGTAGCGCGGGGAGCAGCTTGCAACGACTCAGCTACCCGTTTACTGTCGCCGAACTAGAATCATGCGATCCAAGCGGACCCGTGGCCAGACTCAGCACACGAAGTGATCCCTTTGACCTAGAATGTCCCCCGCACGCGATGCACAGACGTAGTTCTACCGCCATACCACTGGGACAAGTCTGATTGCTAACCACCAGCCATTTGCTGCCACCTTACTCCAACTGGTACCGAAACACGAGACACGTGACATGAGCCACAATGTTTTAACAATGTATTCCTGTTCAGATGATTGAAGAGAGATGGACGACTGTCGCATGGAAGCACATGTATTCTAGATATGAATTCGGTTGGCACGTGTTAAGATATGCCATCATGTTGTATGTGTGTACGATAATGCATTTCCAGTGCTGAACCAAATGATCCTTACCGTATCTCAACCTCCCACCTTGTAATCTATACCGGCACAATAACAAGAAAGAAAGGGGGAAAGACTAAAATGCTAGTTTAAAGTACAAACACAACCAGGATGTAATGATTGTGAATGTGGAAAATGGAAATAATATATATCCAGCTGGATTCCCCACCACCCCGGACTTAGTAACCCAATGCAGACGATAAGTATCTATCCTCTACATTAGCATAATGAGCGACACCAAGAGCCCGTCTGTTTCGTTTGTCTCTCATATTATATAACTTCTACAATTGTAAGTGCATATGAAGCAGCGAATGTCGTATTTGTACACCTGAGGCTTGATGACCACCAGTCCGGGGACGGATGATAGGATGCCAAGAGATATATTGATATACTAATGAGACGGACAGATAGAACATATAGATAAGATAAGAGGAAATGAAGGGCGCAGAGAAAGAAGAAGGCAAGGAGAGAGAAAGAGAACAAAATCAACAACAATAGTAGATATAGATTCCTTTTTTTTTTTTTTTTTTTTTAAGAAAAAGGACGCAGACGCGATACCTATAAAAATGTTCCTTTGATGAACTGGTTGTCGGGGTTGTTAGTTACAGCCTTGGAGCCTTGGGAGGTAACCTATAAAAATACTTCCCCTTTGGAAAGTGGGGATAAATATGATTTGAAGAAAACACGAGACCGGGGAAGAGGGGGTCGTTTCACTTGACGTAATAAGGTGTGACAAGGCCAGCGAAACTACAGATCTAGACCATTACAAGGACCCGACAAACCCTCAAATGATATTCAGGATGCGTTACGACATTAAACTTGCTGAAGGCTTGCTTGGGAGAGCGGAGAGGGAACCGAAGAGAAAGATATCCGGGCGAGATGGGTGGATTGAATGGGCGGAAAGCAGGAGAAAATGCACGTCGAAATGTGAGGAAAAAAGATAAAGAGGTAATAAAATGGAAATTTCGTATCACACAAAGCGCCATGCCATTGTTTTGCTTTAAGAGTAGGTCTTTTTCCTTTTTTGCGTGGTCCTTTCACAAGCCCTCCCCCGAGGGAGAGGGACGGGGATGATGATGATGGTGCATTTCCCTGATCCCGAACCCCGTTCCAGGCTCCCGATACAATCCAAACAACCCGTCCCGGATGAATCGAGCCACCGAGCCAGACCTGCAACGAACACGGAGTGGTCGATCTCAGTCCGTGGGCTGATCGTTTCCCCCCCGTTTCAACCTCCGCACCGCCCAAGTTCTTCAACAGAGGAAGTTTACTCCTGAGCCTCAGCAACAAGGGCGTTCTGCTTGGCCTCCTTGCGCTCCGCGCGTCTCTCACGGAGAGCCTTGTTCTTGGCACGCTTGGCATCCATCTCCTCCTTGAGGACACGCTCACGGTGGCGCTCGGCCTTGGCCTTCTGGATCTGTAGTACGGAAAATATCACGTTAGCCCCTATTCCTAAGCCCAAGGGGGGTGACCCGTCTGGTCCCTAGAGCCGGATGGGCGAGGCGATTCCAAAACCTGACGGGATCCCTTTCAACAACAGCAGTAGGCGGAACTTACGTGCTCGACGAGGGCACGCTTGTGCTTGAAGGTGTTACCCTTGCTCAGGTGGTAGAGCTCGTGGTAGAGGTGCTTGTCGATCTTGCCGGAGGCACGGTAGCGGACGAGCAGGCGACGGAGAACACGCATGCGGCGCATCCAGAGGATCTGGCTTTAATCGAATATCCATCAGCACACATCCCTGGAAGTGGGCCCCGAAACTCCATCTCGATCCTAGGCGTGGTGGTGGCCTTGAGGCGGGCGACCAAGAAAATCCTTGCACAACACTCAGAGGGAAAGACAATGAGCATACCTGGGCATACGAGCCTCCTTGGTACCCTTGCGCTTACCCAGACCACGGTGTCTGCCGATTCTGCGGGCGGCAGCGAGCTCACGGGCACGGGAGCGGGAGTGCATGGTGACGGGCTTGCGGATGATGAGGCCATCGCTGACGAGCTTGCGGATGGTCTGGCGGGAGTTGGCGTTGGAGATTTCATTCATCTCATTGGGGTCGAGCCAAATCTTGCGCTTGCCGCAGCCCACCACGGAGGCGGCGAGGCGCTTCTGGGTGCGAAGGTTGACCCTGTGGTGCAAAAGCAGTCGGTCAGCATGAGGTCCAAACCGATCGGGGGGCTGCTTCGACAGAAAGAAGGGCCCGATGGGCGAATCCGGGGCGTGAACGGGGGAAAACGAGTCCAGCGACGGAAGGGCAGCCCCCTTCGAGTAGCAATATCAAGCGCGGAAGATGAACTCACATCTTGATGTCGGCGTATCGACGGTCGTTGGCGGATGATGTTCGTTGCACTCGTCGACGGGTAGAATTCCCAGGTGAGGAGTTTGAGATACGGCGGCTGATTAGCTAAGCTCGTTGTGCTGCTAAGCGAGCCCAGCAAAACCCTCCTTAGGGTTCGTGCCCCAGACGCTTGTCCCGATCCGGGGAACGCGCCCGGAGAGCCGCAACGCTCGCTGGCTCCCATCGTCTGCATGCCGGACGACGCCTGATAGATGATGATGGCCTGAAATAGATACTTACTAACACTCCCCCAATCACTCCTCTACCACTCCCCTTTGGTGCGTGGTGCTGGTCGGGATGCGCGATCACTGATCCTTCCTTCCCCCCCACGTGATCTTCGGCCGGCTACGGTACTAGATATAGTACTTAGATACGCATCAATGATGACGGAGACCGGATAACCCCGGCCAATCACCGATAAGCTACCGCCCTAAGCATTCAACTATAGAACTTTGGACGACGTCCAAGAACCTCACACAAACAAGAACATCAACAATGCATTGCTCATCTTATATCAACATGCTTTTCGTCTTTCAAAATTGTCCCCACTCAACAGAAGGGTATAGGTAGCAGATAGATCGAACTCACTCATCCGCAAAGGCCCCGTCCCCGAGATCAACCTTTCCAATGCTCCACAATTCCTTCTCGTCTTCAACCTCATCATTGGACAAACCCAACCCTCCTTGTCCACCTTCCGCCTCCTTGCGCTCCCGAGCCTGGGCAGCAAGACGTAGCGCGACACGCTTGAAGTAGTCCGACATGCTCCGCTTGGGTCCCGGGGGAAGCGTAGCTCCGGGTCCAGCCATGTACTTTTCGAACACGGCACCCTCAGTATCCTCCACAGAGAATATCGCCAGGAAGGCAGCCTCGGCCGCCAGCTTGACAGGGATAACCACGTCCCGAACGCTGGCAAAAATTGGGGGCGCCAGGAGAGCCAGATGAGGCCGAGTCAGCTCAGGGTGCAGGCGGCTGACGGTGCGCATGACCACCAGAGTCAACCGCCGCGTGTCAGAGGGCGTGCCGGGCTGGATGCAGGGCGCCAAGGCCTCGAAAATGGCCTTGTTAACTTCAAAGTTGCGATGCTCATCCTCAACCAGAAGATACTTTCCGGCGGCGAGGACGCTGTTGTCGGCGATGAAGGGCTGCCTAGCATTAGTATCACTCATCAACCCAAAACCGGGACCGAAAACTTACATCCTTGTTCGTGACTCCCTGGCAGATGACAGCCTGAGTCTCAGCAGAGAAATGTTCCGTCACGGATGACGGAGACTCCACAAGCAGAGCATTGAGTCCCAGAATCGAGGCATGAGAAGCCGTGGCCGTCAAGACCCGGTTCTTGATAAGCGGACCCGCAGTGGCTGCCGGGAGGACTTTCACCAGTGCACCAAGCAGTTTGGCATTCGTGATAGCGACGGCATCCGTTTGGTCGCTGGCGTCATCGTCAATGAGAGCGAGGAGGGCATTCTTCGATGCCTCGCTCATGTTTGCGCCGGCCTTGCCCACCACCTCTTGCAGAGCCTTCATCATGGCGTTCCTGACACCGATATCGGTGGTCTTAGTGCCTGTGATGAGTTCCGCAATAAGAGGATCGACCCTGGGAGTCAAGGTGATCAGGATACCAAGACCCTTCGCAGCCCTGTTACGAAGAGTCTCACTAGAAGCATCGGCCAGACCACGCGCGAAGGTGCGTTGGAGCTGTGGCAAGAATGGCTTGACAGCGAGCGGTATCTTCTCCAGGAGCTTGTTGAGGGTGAAGAAAATAGCGCCTGGTGTAATGAATTAGCAACACGTAAACTTTGATCGAGTAGGAAGCATCTTACATTTGATGTCCACCGATCGCTCGGACACGACACGGATAAGCGGACCAGTGATCTGGGTCACGAACAGCTTCAGAGAGTCCGCACCAGTGCGATCGATGATGTCGCCAAGCGCGAGAGCGGCCTGCGTACGCTGCTCGACGCTGCCGTTCAGAAGACCTTGCAAGAATATAGGCAGAATGGCTGTAATACCCTTGGGCAGGCTGAAACCGGGAAGGTTGGCACCCGGGACTCCAACACTCCGCAAGACCTGGCGAACGGGGATGGTAAGCACCTCCATTGCTTCTTTGCGCAGATGGGACGTGAGCCCACTCAGCGCCGTCCACGCTGCCTTGACGACATTCTTGTCGCGGTCATCGAAGGAAATGAGCAGGACGCGGATCAGATCTTGATGGTATCTGGAGTAATCGATCTCAGCATTGGCGAAGAATTTGTTGAGATGGATTGCCGCGTTGGTACGACGGTGATGGTCGTCATGCTTCATCATAGTGATCATGACGTTCACCATGGCATTCAAGCCATCGAACTCATCCACCGACACCAGGATCGTGTCGAACGCACTGCTCAATTCTTCACGGTGAACCTCGTCCGTGGTGGACACGATCTCATCCATCAAGGAGTTCAGGATTGTCGGCAGTCTGCGGGTCATAGCAGAACCTGCCACTTCGGCCAGGGAAGCAAGAGCCCTTGCGTTAAAGGTAGAGATAGGAGAGGTGAGAAGTGTCGGGATAAGGTTGGGAAGGATAATGTTCGCTCGGGTTTGCTCGGTGAGGAGTGTCAATAGTGCCGACAACGCTTGCTCCGCGTCCTCGTTGTTTCTCAGAAGAAGCAAGAGATGGGGCAGAACTTGGTCGACTGCCTTCTTGCCCAGGATTTGTTGCAAAGCGTCGAAGGCTTCGGCAGCAGCCTCACGGACGTCCTCGTCGTTGTCAACCAGAGCCACGCGGACAGTCGAGATAAGAATCTTCTCGTAATCTTCAAGGGCCTCGGCGGATGCGGAATTAATGAGCTCTCTCAAAGCAATACAAATACCTTGCTTGACATCCACATCGGGCGAAGTCTGCAGACCTTCCTCGAGAGAAGGCAGCAAAGTCGCGAGAACAGACTCTCCAGCCTTCTTGATGAGATCTCCAAGCGCGTTGCTAGCGATGACCTTGTGCTCCATGTTGGAGGAACCAAGGCGGCGGATGATGAGCTGAGACAGGGTGGGAACCATATCCTTGAGAGTCTTGGGAGAAGCAACAAGCGCCTTCCAGACACCCATAGCAGCGCTCTTGACGAGACCCGAAGTATCGCAGCGGCAGATGAACAGTGCAGACAAGACCTTGTTCCTCCTCTCCTCTCCGAGAACCTCGAGCAGCGACTGCCCAGCTTGGGCAGCCTCCTCCTCTTCCTCCTCCGCATCGGCCTTGGCAGTGATGCCAGTCAGGCTGAAGAGCAGGTCACCAACCAACTCGACGGAGCTCAATCTGATACGGTAACTATCATCCGCAAGGCCGCGCTCAAGCTCCGGCAGAAGGAGATCAATGGCCTTGGAGGAGAAGTTCTTAACCAGCAAGCGACCCGCCTTGAGAGAGGTTTCGCGAATGGACTCGACATCGTCAGCCAAACCGGCAAGGATAGGGGGGATGATTTTGCTGAGATAGGCGGCGAAGCTGTTTCCGAAGCAGGCGGGAAGGAAGATGAAGAGCGTCATGAAACCTTCCCGAACAGCAGGTTTGGAGCTTGACACATTCTGCAAGATGGTAGGCAGCGTCTCCTCGAGTCTGGTTGTACCCAGGCCTGCAAGTACCTCCGAAAGGGCCTGAGCGGATCCCAGTCTGTCGCCGGCTCCGGTATCCGACTTGAGCGTAGACATAAGGTTGGGGATGAGGTCGGGAAGAGCATCCTCTCCGAGCTTCTCGATAAGAGAACCAAGGGCCTTGGAAGCGGTTGCACGAGTGGTGGGCACAGGATCAACGATAGCCAGCTGCAAGCCGGAAACGATGATTGGCAGGTGAGAAATGAGATCCTTGCGTTCAGTAAGGTGGGCCAAGCTGCCAATGATCTGAGCGGATTTACGTTTCGTATTCGACCGATCGCTAAGACCACGCTCAAGGATGCGAACAACAAGCGCCAAGGACGGAGCATCCAGATAATGCACAAAGGAAACCTTGATGAGTGAATCCAGAGCCTCGTCTGTGTACTTTGTCGGGTCGCTCAGCGCCTTCAGGAGCACGCTCACCAGGCTCTTCACTTCGGGGTTGCTGATGACTTCACCGAAACGCTGAAGACTTCGGTTTGCCGCACTGCGCACTTCTTTGTGCGTGTCATTGAGGACCACAGTGAGCGGAGGAATAATGTCCGGAAGGCTTGCCGCTAGTTGCTGAGGGTCAAGGTAGGCCATCGCTCCCAGGAGATCACAGGCGCCCTTCTGACTGCGCCATTGCGTGTCATCAAGACCGTCGAGCAGGGTAGGGAGAATATTCTTAACACCATAAGAGCTGAGGTTCGAGAAGCAAGCCTTTGCGGCATCGAGACAGGCAGCGCGCACGTCTGGGTTAACATCTCCAAACCCGGCAAGGAGCTGGGGAACGATTTGGATAACATAAGGCTCGAAAGTCCGTCCCAGGATGGTGGCAAATAGCTCGTATGCTAACAAGGCACCTTGCCTCTGATGAGGTTCCTTCTTATTCTCTGTGGCATCATGCAGATGTGACATGACCTGGAACTCCCGCAGTGTGATAATACCCCTGCCGCTGACGATACCACCAAGTCCGTAAGCCGCGCCACGCTGTGTAGCATATTTCTTCGACTGCAACAGCTGGTCCAGCATTTCTTGAACGTACTGGCCACTTTGAGGGCGAGAAAGTCGGATCAGAGGCGGTAGACATCCCGACACGGCAGACTGCACAGTTTCCGAAGGAGTAGGGAGCGTGTCAAGTAGTCTCTTGATGACCGTCTGCAAACGCGGATCGTCCGCTTTCAGGTGCTGCGCCAAAGATCCATACAGAACAACCACGGCCTCGTTCAGGAGATCAGACGTCTCACTGCCTTTGTCGGAAGTCTCCAGGGTCGTCTCCAAGAGCACCATCAGTTCCTCAACCTTCTGCTGACCGCGGACAGCGATGACGGATCTGCCACTCTCTGCCATCTGTGCTCGGACGGTGGAACTCTTGTCGATGAGGGGCCCTCTTTCGATCAGGAAGCGGAGGAAGGAGACGGTCTGCTCGCCTTCAAAGAGGTCCGTCATAGCACCAAAAGCGAGGGCAATACCGCTACGTAGCTCCCAATGGTCTGCCATATCCATCTTCTTGGGCATTCCGTAGCTGTCTTTCTCTGGAGCCTTAGGCTGGATCTCGACGGTATATTTCGACTGTAGCTCTGCGAAGATGTCATTAAACACCGATGGATTCGTGGCGACTGCATGCGCCAGCGCGCGAGCGCCAGCACCACGGAGTTGCGAATCCTTCGAGGAGAGATACGGAATAATCTTTCCATACGAGGAGTCATCGACCTCCAGAGCATTTTCCTCCCAGATGTTCTCGGCGATTTCAGCATTTTCCTCCACGTGGTCATGGCGTTCCAGCCAGATGTGTTCCGAGAAGTCAAGGTCAGTCAGGTCAATTTCTGCTTCGATGACCTGCAATACCGAAGTACGAACAGACACATCTGCAACGATCGTGCCTTTAAGAAGAATGTCTAGCTCGTCTTTGTTGATGTTCGCTGAGATGCACCTGCTGAAGTCGAAGAGAGTATCCTTGATGAGCTTGTAGTGTTGAGTATACTTCTGCATCGATGCAAGCAGGTTGTTCAAGACTTCGACTCGAGGAAGGCGCTCGTCGGTAACTAGACGTCCGATAGTTAGTTTTGATGGCGTATATGCTCAAAGCGTGACAAATAAACTCACAGGAGCCCGAATGGAAGGACAAGATTTCGAGGGCAAGGAGAACTTGCTCGCCCTCTTCCTCTCCTCGTTGTTCATCAATTCCGTTTCGGCTGAGCACCAAGAAAAGCAAAGGCAGAACGTAGGCCAGAGACGTGCTGTCAAGAGGGCGTTGCTCGGAGGCGAAGCGCACCCGGTAGAGAATCCTAGTTACAAGCTCTGCAGACTAGTCAGTGCATGTTTCCCGCCCAGCTGAACAGAGAAAAACCTACGTCCGAGTGGCTCTACTTCCATTTCCTGAGGCAAGTAACTCTTGCCAATTGCACGCAGCGTGGCAATGCCCACGAAAGGCCGCAGCGGACCAAGACGCGAGGACAGCTTCTCGGCACACTTGATGTAGGCTTTTGACACGACATCCCCAGCAAACAAGCCTGCACCAGCCTCGGTCAGGGAGAGTAAGGAGCTCACAGCGGGGTTGATCCAGCCATCCGCATCGATGGCGGGTCCGTCCGCGAGACCCTGAATTATTCCACATCCTCGTTCGATCCTTTTAATCTCCTGAAGGACTTCCTCACGGATCTTGGACTCCTTTACAAGCTGGGCCTTGACCTTCGACTGCTCTTCCGCAGTAAGCTTCTTCTGCTTTTGGCCCTTCTTATCACCCAACTGTGCTCGTAGTTCCTCCTCCCATTTGAGAATATCGTAGTCTTTAGTGTTCTTATCAAAGTTGGACTGCTTCGACTTTGTGCTAAGAACGTCAACAAACATGGTTCCCTCAGGGGTTCGAGCAATAGCGACATCGGTAGCCGTGAATTTGGATGACCGTGAAGTGTTCAGGTCGTCTTGGATCTGGCTCACAAGTCGGGGCACCATAGCGTCAGGTGCCACGAATGCCAACTCACCGGCAGCACTCCAAATTGCAGCATCGATTTGGGGTACCTTCGACTGAACCGGGTCCTGGGAAATCATCAGTGGGCGGGTTTCAAGTCTGTAGTGAGTATAGGAACACGACATACCTCATGCAAGCGAGTTAGCTGCTCCACGCACTTCTCGGGAAATTCGCGTACAAGGTCACCGGGGTCTGTGCCAGTTCTCAGGCAAGAGGAGATCCATGATACGTTTGGAATCAACTCAGGACGGCAAAGGACTAGCAACTCAACGAGTTGGTTCCTCAGATCCGTAGCGACGTTGTCTACTCCCCGCAGACTAGAAGCAGGGGGGCAAAGAGCCTTTACAACGAGATGAAGGAACCTTTCACTCTCTGGTCCTGCAGAGACTGGTGCAGATTCTTTTTCACCAGTTCTAAAGGAATGTACCCAGGACCACAGAGCACTTATAACCATCCGACTCACGCTTCCCACATTCTTCAGATGGACCTCTGACAATGCACGGGCAGCTTCATCCCGGAAACTGGTGTGGAGTCCGGGGGCAACGACGTTGTATATAACTGCCTGAGCCCATGCGGTCTTGGCTGCATCGTCGGCCTGTTCGAACTTGGAACCGGCAGTGACGGCAGAAAGTGCTCGCACAGCCCACTGGATCTCCGCCCGAGAGCTCAACTTAGAGTACGCCTTCGGGTTCAGGAGGAAAGACGGTTTCGGGTTTAGCACCATCGACTGTGCCACGGTTTCCTCCCACGCAGACTTGTCAAAGCTCTGCAGTGTGGAAGAGCGCTTTAGAAGGGCCAGATATACATGGGCCGTCGACAGAGAGCCGGCCTGGGCAGATGGCAGAGGGTTGGAGGCAACCTCGTTGTATAGTTCTCTCATCTTGTTGAGGAACTTGTTCACAAGGGGCTCGACGTTGGAACTCGCCAATGTGGAAGGCTCGACTTCCCAGATAACATCGCTGACATTGAGCTGCCAGAGCTTTTTGAATGGCACACGCTTGTCGGAAGATCCTTTCACAATAGCGTTGGCGACGTCGTCGCTGACCTTCACCTGAGACTGAACAAGGAAAGCCAAATGCTTGCAGAATGACTTGATTTCCTGCTCCAAAGCGGCCTCGTTCGATTCCCGTGCGAACAGAGGGACAAAACCCTGGACCACATCCTTTGACACGTCGACCGAAGGGGTTATCGCGGTGACCGCTTGAGCGTACACGGCACGTTGTTCCGGATTGGTGATCTTTTGGGTCTTCAGAGGGCCGACAACCTCGCTTGTAACCTTGATGAGTAAGTTCTGGTCCTTGGACTTCAAGAGCAGGGCCTCAAACGAGCGAAGGGCACCCTGCCTGATAGCTGAGTTGTTCGATTTCATGCTCGAGAGCAGGTGTTTCAACAGCCGCGAGTGCAGAAGTTCCGATATGTCAATTCCATCCGGCAGCGAAGCGCACAGCGAAGGGAGCAAGCCGCTGAAAACGACTTCGGGGGAGCGTAGCATAGCCTTTTCAAAGGGCGGTACCAACTCGGAAGCGAGATCTTCGTAGCTTATGAAGGAGACGAAGAAGTCGCCCAATGCATCCGCAATATGAGCTGGCGGCGCAGATTTTGAGCCAGCCAACTCCTTGACGTAGTACGAAAGAATCAACTTCTTCTCCCCCTCCAAGACTGATTTCTTGGTGGGGAGACGTGCGCAGACGCCGGAGATGACACCCAGGAAAGGTGCGTTCTTCTGTCCAGTCGTCGAGTCGCCGGTCAACCGGCGGACGGACTCCCGAACAGCATCCTCGCCCCAAGCAGCAGCGGAGAATGTAGCCCGCAGGGCACGTCTTGTCACCCGGAGGGCAGAAGCCTTCACTGCCGGCTTGGGGTTAGCGGCCAGGCAGATATCCAGTGCCTTTGCATCGACGGCAATGGTGTCTAACACGGCAGAAAGCGGCGTCTCGGAGTCTTCCGCCAAGATCTGAAGAACGATTGAACACCATTCCAGCAGGACGAGAGCAGGACCAGGCGCTAGGGCGGGTTTAGCGGCTTCCGCCTGCAACTTCTGGGAGAGGTATTTCAGATCGTCGGTCGGGACCGGGGCCTTGAGAAGCGAACGGAGACATTGCTGTACGGCCTGGCGAGAGGGGCGATCGACGTAACGGGGGCAGGTTTTGAAGAGAAGCCCGATAAGAGGCTGATGAGTTTGGGAAGGTAAGCTGGACCCTATGATCGACAGACGGTGAGCATGAAGTTGAGCGCGGTGGGAGTGAGAGAGAGAGAGGGGGGGTCCCTGGACAGGCTAGAATCTCACGTACCGATTCGATCACGGAGGTCCTGGAGAGCGCGGATTCTGCGAGCGGTCGAGCTGTCGAAAAGCACAACCTGCAGACTCCCCAGGTCCCCTGATTCCACCTGATCCCATGGAAAATCGTCCATGTTAGGTGGCCTGAAGCATGCTCGGCGTGAGGAGGAGCAATGGGCACGAATGGGGCCGCGGATGTTGTCATAAAAGTTTTGCGGCGTTGTGGGGGGAGCTCCGCCGCCTTCAGTTTCAAGGGCCCGCCTTGCAATCCGACTGATTTAAGCCTTCCGACCATTTGACTACCTACTCCCCCCCCTCACCCATCCCTTCGGCTTGACTCACACTCGCTCCTCATCTCCGCTCGCTAACCCTCCTAGGCACTGCCTCTACTGACTGGAAACTATGCCCCCGAATAACCGCAAAAAGAAGAAGCCTGCCTCCAATCCGGCCCGCGGATTCGCAACGGTCTCAGTGCCGTCCAAACCCAAGACCACGGAATCTCCAGGTCCAGCCTCGACAGCGGATTCGAAGTCGGTCTCGGTCTCGGAAAGTGATCGACCAACTCCCGTCGAGAGCAAGCCATCTACAGTAGAACCTACGACCGACGCCTCATTACAAAATTATACCCCCGAGGAACTCGAGAGACACTTGGAGGAGGCTGAGCTCCAGCTCCTGGTGGAGAAATATGCTTCCAAATGCAGGAGTGACGCCGCCCGACAAGTCACCAAGCTGGAGACCGAACGGAGAGTCCTCCGGCAACAAGCCGCGTCGATCAATCTTGTTGAGTGGTTTCCCACCGAGGTGTTGACCTCCATTCTGAGCCTGGCCGAGACAGAGGAGCGAGAGCTCAGTCCCCTACCCGGACGGGATGTCGCTGGGCAGAAGAAGCCCGTCTCGGAGGAAGACCTGTATATGAGACTATGGACACTCCAGGAGACCTTGCTTAAACTCGGCTTCCCGGAAGCAAAAGTAAACGAGTCCTTGAAGCATCTGCTGCTTTACTTTTCTGGTAATTTTGCCACAACTAATAGGGAGGTGGTCTGCAATCTGGACGAGGCCCTAGACTGGCTCGCCATGCACTGCGATCCCAAGGAATTACCCTCTTACATGCAGACAAATGCGCAGCAGCGCAACGAGTCGGATAAGCACATTTCCTGGATAAATGGTAATCTTAGGTGCCTGGTACTGCGTAAGGACTGGATGGCTAACCTGACTGACATCAGATCGTGAGCCATCACAATCCTCTTCCCCAAGTGGGGGCCCAGTTAATAGCAAAGTGAAAAAACCCAAAAGCCCTGTAAAGGAGCCGGGCCATGCTCTCCAGTCGAGTCCGTACGATTCTGACAGCTCCCTTGACCCTGACACGCTGGTCCCGAAGTATTTGGACCTGCAAACTCGTCTATATGGCTTGCGACCTGAATTGTTCGATCAACCCAAGAAGGGCAAGAAGGGAGGCCGTAAGCCTACTGGAACTGATGTACCAGATCCCCAAATAGCAAGGCTTCAGCGCAAGATTGCTAGTATTGAAAACGACGTATTGTTTGACCGTCATGAAGCCGAGTACAAGTGGAGCGAGAAACTTGACGATCTTCGGAAAGAGGCAGCTTTTGTTCGGCGCTCGCAACCTGAAGACAAGCCCATTTCAGATGATGCTGACATTGAACAATTGGACGAGAAGAAAGCAGAGCCAGATGGCAGCGTGCCGCTGCTTGACAACGAAGAGAACACTGACTTGCTAGGGGACATGTTCCAGGACGAGGAACCGGTCCTGGAGATCGGCGTGATAACCGAGGAGCTAAACAAGGCGTCCATCAAGATCCGTGACTTCGGAAAATGGACTGGGCTTAGCCCCCGACGAGTGCTGGAAGAAACGTGCAAAGCCAGGTATGTCGCGCTGATGAGCTAGAGGTCAGAGGCAACTAAGTGATCTGGGTAGGGATACGGGATGTAAGATCACATATAAGGACTCATCTGCTTCATCGCATTCGAATCGAGCCGCAGTCGAAGTGCGATGGTCCAAAGCCCAGGAGGTTCCCTTCCCCTTTGTATGGGACACCATCACGCATAACTCGAACGCCTACGCAACTTTCGTCTCAATGGACTCGATGGCAACGCCGACTTCCCAGCAAGCTGAATCCTTTGTCTCAACACTTGCTTTGTTTATCCTATTCGCTCAGAACTCCAAAGAGGGCAAGGCGTACCTGCGCCTCCCAGCAGTGTGGCGGGAACTCTGGACCGAATTTGCCAATGCGAAGAAGGTGCAGGAGTATGAAGCTGATAAGAAGGTCGTCAAGAGCCTGAAGAATCTGGTTCAGGATAACCACGGAGTCTTCGAAGATGATGTTGTCTTGTCGCATAACTTCCGAAGACGAAATGGGGCGTCTAGCAAACCGGAATCCCCGGTACGGGGAGCTAGCGCGAAGGATAACTCTGGCCTTGATGTCGAGTTGACCCGAATCTGGGCAGAAAAGTCGTCCACGGCTTCGTTCCATTACATGGCTCAAGGCAGGATGAACCTACCCATCTGGAATTTCCGGGACGAGATTCTCAGCACCCTCGACACCCATCGTGCGCTTATCGTCTGCAGTGAGACAGGAAGCGGCAAGAGTACTCAGATACCTTCGTTCATCCTGGAACATGAAATGCAACAAGGCCGCTCGTGCAAGATCTACGTGACTGAGCCTCGCAGGATCTCCGCCATCTCTCTTGCTCGGAGAGTGAGCGAAGAACTGGGCGAGAATAAGAACGACGTGGGAACAGCCCGCTCGCTCATTGGCTTCGCTGTCAGGCTGGAGAGCAAAGTCAGCCAATCTACGAGACTGGTTTTCGCGTATGTTTTCGAGGCTGTGAACTTGGGATTCAACTGACTTCAGTAGGACCACCGGAGTGGTGGTGCGAATGCTTGAGCGCCCGGACGACTTCCGCGACATCACTCATGTCGTTCTTGATGAAGTCCACGAACGTTCCATTGATAGTGACTTTCTTCTTATTGTCCTTCGTCGCTTGATGCAGAGGAGGCCTGATCTGAAGCTGATCCTCATGTCGGCTACGCTCGAGGCTCAGCGCTTCTCCACCTATCTTGGAGGTGTCCCTGTGCTGAACATCCCGGGCCGGACTTTCCCGGTGGAGATGAAGTTCCTGGAAGATGCCATCGAAATGACAAACTATCGGCTGTTAGAGAATGATCCCAATGCGATCGAGGATGACTCTGACGAGTTGGCGCTGGAGGCGGCCCAGGGCGACACTGCCGGCGGCCTTTTGGCCACGCTTGATGGGTATTCGAAGCAGACCAGGGAGACCGTGGTGAACTTTGACGAATACCGTTTGGACTACCAGCTGATCAAGAGGCTGGTTGTTCAAATCGCTTGCTCGCCTGATATGACCCAGTATAGCAAAGCCATCCTGATCTTCATGCCTGGTATGGCGGAGATTCGTCGTCTGAATGACGAGATCCTGTCGGACCCGACTTTCCAGAAAGGGTGGATCGTGCATGCCCTTCACTCATCAATCGCAAGCGAAGACCAGGAGAAGGCATTCGTTGTGCCCCCTGAGGGCATGAGGAAGATTGTGATTGCCACCAACATCGCAGAGACAGGTATGGGGTTTCCGTCAAGGACCCACAGTGTTTTAATATGTACCAGGTATTACTATTCCGGATATTACTGCCGTCATTGACGCCGGCAAGGAAAAGAGCATGCGGTCAGTATAGGGTTGCTTGCGTGCGGGCCTCGCTAACAAAGCCCAGGTTCGACGAGCGCCGCCAACTCTCCAGGCTGGTTGAGACGTTTATCTCGCGAGCCAACGCGAAGCAGCGACGTGGACGAGCCGGTCGTGTGCAGAATGGAATTTGCTTCCATCTGTTCACCAAACATAGACACGAGAAACTGGTATGATTGGTGTCCTGACTGTAGTGTCCTGATACTGACCAGCCGCAGCTCGCAGAACAGCAGACGCCAGAGATGCTCCGACTGTCTCTTCAAGACCTCGTGCTGCGTGTCAAGATCTGCAAGCTGGGCGAAGTGGAACCGACTCTGCTGGAGGCTCTCGACCCGCCGTCATCCAAGAACATCCGCCGGGCGATTGACTCCTTGAAGGAGGTGAAAGCCCTGACGAACGCAGAGAATCTGACCCCTCTCGGGCTGCAGCTGGCCAAGTTGCCACTGGACGTCTTTCTCGGAAAGTTGATCATCCACGGGGCCTTCTTCCGCTGCCTGGATGCGGCCGTCAGCATCGCCGCCATTCTCTCCTCCAAGTCACCCTTTGTCAATACCATGGGCTCCAACACGCAGAAGGATCTGGCCCGGCTGTCCTTCCGAAAGGGTCTGCATTTCCTCATCCTCACACGTATGGCCACTAACCCCCACCAGGTGACTCGGATCTTTTAACCGTGTACAATGCCTACTGCGCCTGGAAGCGCGCCCGGAACACCCCGGGCGTGAGTGAATACGCCTTCTGCCGGAAGAATTTCCTCAGTTCGCAGACTCTCCTCAATATCGAGGACGTCAAGATGCAACTGATCGTCTCCATCGCCGACACGGGTCTGTTGACCTTGGATCCAGCCCAGAAAGCCCTACTCAACAGGTGCGCTGTCTTGCCCCTTCCTCCTTCAGGACCCCTGACTGACCAATTCAAGATCCCGCTCCAACAACCGCTCACGCAACTTCTTCACAATCCCTGAAGAATATGACTACAACAGTGTCAACGACACTGTCGTTAACTCGGTCGTCGCCTGGAGCTTCTATCCGAAACTGCTCACCCGCGACGGCAAAGGCTGGCGCAACGTGGCCAACAACCAGTCCGTGACCCTGCACCCGACCTCAGTCAATAAGCAGGCAGACTCCTCCCTGAAATGGCTCTCATACTACCACATCATGCAGGGCCGGAATAAGAACTACAACGCGTTCGAAACCACGGCTGTCGATGACTTTGCCATTGCCTTGTTGTGCGGTGAGGCCGAATTCAAGGTATGCCTTTCTATTTCCATCTACATTCCATCACCCCGTGCCCCCCACCCCATCTTCCCTTCCCTATATATACATCTGCTAACACAGAATAAACCAAACAGATGTACTCTGGCATCATCTCCATCGACTCCAACCGCATCCGTTTCTCCACCCGCGACTGGAAATCCATGCTGGCTCTGAAAACCCTCAGTTCCCACATTCGCGATATCCTGCAGTCGACCTTCCGCGAACCCCACCGCGTCCCGTCCTACAAACAGCAGCAGTGGCTTGATCTCTGGCAGGCGATTTTCGCCCAGGCGCAGGCCGCGAAAAAATAAGTTATAACTTAGCGTTGGTCTGTTGGTCTCAAGGCTTGTTTTGATTTCGTTTGTTGGTCTTGTGCTTAGGATTGATTGGTTGGTTGCGTGGGATTTGACTAACTGGATATCAAATTCTGGATCTGGGTTTCGGGCTGGGTTGGGTTGGATTGGATTCGGTCATTCTTTTGGCTGGTTGGTTTGTGAATGTTGGGATGGGTAGGTTTATCTGCATGTATGAAAGCTGGGTTGGGTGGTTCTCTTCTCTTTACTTTCTTGTCTTTATCACTAGAGTATATGTATGTACTTATACATGGCTGGGGTGCATGGATGCATGGATGCATGGATGTACATGGTATATGATACGGTATATGATAGCTACGGCATTGCTCCATACATGTGTGACATGAGACAATTGACTTAGGTCATGATCATTAAATTCATCACATTTTCGAACTTAAGGATAACAGGTAGACTACCCCCACACATCCTCCTGCCACTTCCCCCGCTTCTTAAATGCTTTACTCCAGTCATTCCATTGACCGTTATTCCAACACTTTGTCTGCTGCATTGCCCTTTTGACTGTCTTCTCTACCTCACGGGCCATCCCTGCCCGCCCGCAAATGTACAGATTGGCGCCCTCGTCGATGAGTCGGATCACATCAACGCTGCATTCGGTGATCCGGTCCTGAACGTACTGCCGTGGCGTGCCTTCCTGTCTGGAGAAGGCGGTCACGATGCGCAGTCGGTCGCCTAGGGCAGCTTGTAGCTGCATGAGCTCGTCCCGATAGATGTAGTCCTCGTCAGGACGGCGACAGCCGAAGAACAGGATCATCTCACCCACCTCCCGGCCAATCTGCTGTAGCTGGCGCCGCTCGGAGATAAAGGCCCGGAAAGGGGCAAGGCCCGTGCCGGCAGCGACCATGATGAGGGGACAGCTGCCCACCCGGGGTAGCTTGAACTTGCTCTTGCGGAGATGAGCGAAGACCTTGCCACCCTGAAGGGCGTCGCTAGGTCCGTTGAGGTGGTAGGCTAGACCATGTGGATGGGTCGCGTCGCGGCGGTTCTCCGAGAGCGCGAGGAGGTAGTTGGAGGTGACACCGTGGACAAGCTCAACCGGGTTCTCGGGCACGGGGGTCGTTGAGACGATGGCGGTGATGGATGGCTTGCGAGGTGCAATGACGCTGCTGGAGGAGATGGAGTAGTAACGGGGTTGGATGGGGGCGAGTGTTTCCACGAGGTAGGAGAGGGGCAGTGCGGACCACGCTGTGTCCGGGGCAGTCAGCTGCAGCAGTCGACCGAGGTTGACGTGCGTGCGGTTGATGAAGTTGGCATAGGCAGCCTTGTCCTGTCCGAGTTGAATCAGGTACGTCTTCGCCGCTGTCGTGGGTGCGAATTGCGCCAACCCCAGCACATTGTCACGGTTGACAGGTGCGCAAATCTCCAGGTAGTAGCGGAACAGCGCAGCAGCGGTTGTTGGGGTGGGAATGCGCACTTTCGTGGCCGCATCCAGCGATTTGATCGAGATGGGTACGTCCCGGCGTGCTGCGAGGCCCAGGACCTGCAGCAAACGTTCCACCTCCGCGTCGGGATTGCTCGGCCAAATAGCCAGATGGTCTCCCGTCTTGTACGTAAACTCGGGCACGCTGGACAGATCCAGATCCATGTGCAGGCAATGACGGTCCGATGCCTCAAAGAGCTCCCGGGCACTGGCGATGGTCACCGGCCGCACCGGGGAGCACTGTGTAGATGCCTTGTTGGTATCGCGGACATCGGGTTCGCCGTGATGCAGATCAATGGGCTCCAAGGACTCGTCTTCTTCGACGGCCATTGTCGGCAAATACTGGACCTCGCCTTCCTCGAAGCCAAGCTGTTCCTTGAACATAGTGAATAAGTCATCCTTCCAGCTGATAAAATCCTCCTGGGTGGCGCCCTCGGCGTCATTGGCCCTGCCCACGGGCAGAAGGGACTGGGCCCCAAGACGATCCAATGACTGGGCGACGACATCCACGACCCGGTTGTAAAACTTGTAGTTACTGTTGCCCAGGCCGAAGGCACAGTATCGCAAATTGGCCAGCGAGACCTCATGGGCCTTGTTGACCCAGTCCCAGAATTCGGCTGTGTTATCGCTGGGGTCTCCCTCGCCATACGTGGACAGAATGAAGATGGCCAGCTTCGACTGGAGAATCTGGCTGATAGTTCCCGGGTCGTAATCGGACAGATCGGCCGTCATGGTTCCCTGACGGAAACGGAGGGATATTTCTCGCGCCAGCCGGCTGGCAAAGCCCTCGGCCGTGCCGGATTGGGAGCCCCAGAAGACGACAATGTTCTTTTCGGCTTCGTCCAGTTTCTGGGCGATGTTGCGCGTCTCCTGATGGGCTTTGGCGCCCGCAGTGCTGCCCATCTTCAGCTGGGGACGCTCATACCACAGATAGTTGTAGGGGTCTGGCTGGTCCCAGAGGATGCCGCGCGACAGGTAAGTCGCGCTAGCCATGGAGAGGAAGGTCAGGGCGAGATAGTCGGCAACCCCGGTGGGAGTCATGACTTTGGCCAGGTCCTGCAGCAGGTCTGGCGACAGAGGCCATGGTGCAAAGAAGGAGGACATGATGATGGACGAGATGGGTTATCCTGGATGGAGGTTCATTGGGGAAGCATGGGGATCTATAAATGGGAGGTCATGATGCCATGCCATGGACCGCATGATCGGAAGCCCAATTCCCTGGTCGGGGATTGAGGACCGGAGGGGGAGGGGAGGTGCCGCAGTGGACACGTTGTGATGAGAGCAAGGAAGGAAGCAGCACACAGAGAGAGTGTGTGTGAGTGAGTGAGTGAGTGTGAGAGTGAGTGTGAGAGTGAGTGTGAGAGTGAGTGTGAGAGTGAGTGTGAGAGTGAGTGTGAGAGTGAGTGAGTGAGTGAGAGTGAGTGGGAGAGTGTGTGAGAGAGAGAAAGTCCAGAGGAGAAAGAAAAAGAGAATGCGAAAGGGAAATGTTCCCCGGGGGAAAAGTGGCCCGTCCTACCTACCTAGGTAGTAGTTGCCGCATTCCGCTGCTCGGGGCAGATTGCCTTCCCCGGCTGCGTTCCCCGGGCCCCTCCGCATCTCCGTCTTTCAGTTTCTTCTCCTTCCCTTCTTTTTCTCCACACTCCAGACTCAAAGCTTCCCCGCATCGGCCAGCACGGCGTGCTGCGTGGCATTGATACAAGTTGATCCCCCACGGGTCTGGCCCTCGGGAAGTATTCCCCCGTACGAGGACAACTCTAGAACAGATGATGCAGGTGACCACGACTGACTATGCGGGCCATGGGTGATGTTGTCTACAGTCCCGAATACAGTACACATAAGATCCATGAATCGAATGTAATCAAAAGTTACAGAAGTGCTTCATCAGTCATCACAAAACTTTAGCCACAACAAAAAGAAATGTAGATGCCTCAATCCGTCGCCTCCAAGGACCGCCGCCACACCTTCACCGGCATATCCCCCAGGATCAGGTTCATCGTCTCCAACCGCTTCAACTCCCACCCCGGATACGCCAGCGCAAACTCGTACCGGTGCACGAGCGTTGCCAGGATCTTTGTTTGCTCCAGGTACGAGATATTCCGCCCAATACACGACCGCGCCCCCGCCGAAAACGCAACAAAGTACGGCTGTAGCGCCTTGCCCTCCTCCCCTAACCACCGTTCGGGGATGTACTGGTCCGCCTTGGGGAATGCCCGCTCGTCACGGTGTGCCACAAATGCTGACATACTGACTGTCGTGTTTCCTGGGACCCATTGGCCCAGGATCTCGATCCCCTCCGCCGGCGTCTCGCGCGGGAGCCCATGCGATGTCGGCGGGAAGATCCGCAGCGATTCATCCAGACATGCCCGGAGATACGGCAGGTGCTTTACCTTATCGTAGGGCGCGATGATCTCGTCCGCATCCAGCACCGCGTCGACCTCCTCCCGGAGCTTGGCCAAGCACCACGGGTTCCGCAGCAGCTGGTACATCACGTTGGCGATCGCAATCGCTGTCGTCACGCTGCCCGCGTTCATCATGATGTTCACCTCCGCCACCACTTCGCCCCATTCCAGGTTATTGGCCCGTCCATTTCTGTCCTCCATCAGTGCCTGGAAGAAGTCATCCAGCTTCTCGCCGGCCTCGTACCGCCGCAGCCGCTCCATGCTGCGCCGCCATACAATGTTGTCCCAGTTGTCCGATGACTTCTGCATCCGGTTGAAGAACGGGATCACGTTGACTAGCTTGTTGAGTACCGGATACCATTCATAGTTCCAGAGGATTAGCGATTGCTTCCGTGCCGTGGGATATAGCGCCTCCCGGAGATGGACCTCGTAGGTCGTCCCATCCTTCCGCTCCGCCACGCAGACATCGCTGCCCGAGTCCAATAACCCCAGCTTCTCCGACAAGCCGATGTCTGCGATGGCGTCTAGAGTGAAGTAGTTGGTCCACGCGCGGAAGTCCACCGTCAGATCTTTGGGATCCGGGGCCACCTTGCCGGTCGCCATGGCCTCGGACGGCGCGGCGGTGCACACCTTGTCAAAGTGCGCCACCACCTTCTCGACCTTGTCGCTGACCTTGTGCTCCCAAGTCTCGAGATTCTTGAGAGCGTACGCGGATGACAGAACCTTGCGCTTCCGCGCGTGATCCGGCTTATCTACCACGTCCGCCAGGTGGTAATGCGTCCCCGCCGTAACCACATAGGACAAATCTTTGATGCACTTGGTGTTGTGGCCGTAGATATCCTTGATGGCACGCACATCCCCGTAGGACAGCGTGTTGGGCCCGGTGCGGATCACGGGCTTCTCCCGATGTAGCTCCATGAGTTCCCTCGACCGGAATCCGCGGGAGGCCATGATCATGAAGGGAATTGCAGACATCCCGGAGAACGGCGTGAGGTTGGGATATTTCCGAAGACCTGGAATCTCGCCAGTCAGCACCCTGCATCAGCGGGTAGAGGCTATACTATCTCGGGGTTACCTTTCGGGTCTCGCATGTATTGCACAAACGGCCAGATCAGGAAGTAGGAGATCCCCAAGAGCCCGGCCACGAAGGCATAGGGGGCGATTGAGAAAAGAGACCACATGGTTGCTCTCCTTGAGGCGCTTCGGTAGAGCCGTGAAAGGCAGGTGTAGGAGACGAATACTTGTAAATAAGCCAGCTATGGTTGAGGTAGGGTGTAAAGGTCCCGTTCGTCCCGCCAGGCTCCCTTTTCTGGTTCTGAGGACAGCTACTTATAACCCCTGGAGGAAGAGGAGGAGGAGGAAGCCCGATTTTTTTGATACGAAGATGGGATTGACCGAGTTTCCTCGTGAACAGCAGACACCGACTTCCAAACCCGCCATACCCATGGCATCATGATTCCCTGGCTGGTGTAACTGCGGCCAGGTCACCCACCAGCATCCATCAAGTATGACGACGGGCAAAACTGCCCTTCGTGGCCAGCAAGCAAGGGCGGAGGGGATTTCCCTATGTAGCCGCCACCAACGAGGTAAAATCCTCGCTGGTTGACCGATACGAATCAGATCGATCGGTTCGAGAAGACAAGCTGGATCTGCAGATCATGCCCTCTTGATCCTGACAGGAGTCCCATGCCCGGCTATTGTCTGAATGGTTCCCCGGCACTTATCATCATTTTGGGACAGGTAACCCTTCGAACGGCATTCGAGGGCAGCCATCTAGGCCGGTGGGTTGGCCAATAAGAATGCATAGAGACCAGGTACCAGGTAAGTCCGGGGTAACCTGGGGATAAGCCCGTCTTCACAAACGGATCCATGGAATCGTGCCGAGCCTTGAAGCATTACCCGAACGCTGCCCCTAGGACTTGGCCGATGATGGGAATGAGGGGGCATATACCCCCCTCGATCACGGATGACGAGCTTGGGGGTATTCCGGCGATCAACTTCCCCTCAGGCATATATGCCCGCTGTTATCATAGATAGCCCAAGCTGTTAGCCACATCATCCTGGCGTCGTGGCCATTGCACTGGTGTAAATTAAACAACACTCCATCCAGACTGTATCTCCTAGTATATTGTTTCATCACTTAAGCTTTGATTGTATAGCCCTGCAGACTATCATGGATCCTGCAGACGACTACTTGCCCAAGACGCCGTCCGTTGACGATCTAAAGCCCAACTCATTCCACGATGAGAATTTTGTTGCCGTGGAGGGCTTGGACGATTCGATCGAAACGACGAACCCAGGCAAGGCAGTATGGCTGATTGCGTGCACGGTATCCATGGGCGGGTTTCTCTTCGGTAGGCTTTGAAATCCAGCAGTCAATGGCCCCAGAGGAAGAGCCATTGTTACCATCTCCCGTTTTTCCCTGATACAGGCTAACTCCCTTGTCTCTTTGCTCATGTAGGATACGACACAGGCGTGATCTCTGCCGTCCTTGTCAGCCTTGGGACTGACCTCGGCCAGGCCCTTTCCTCGAATAATCAGGAACTGATCACTTCTATCACGTCCGGGGGCGCCTTAATCGGCGCCGTCCTGGCTGGCATGACATCGGATAAATATGGGCGAAAGCTGGCCATCTATATCGGCTGTGCGGTCTTCTTTGTGGGAACCGCCCTGCAAGCCACGGCCTTTTCACTGGCCCAGATGGTTGTTGGGCGCATGGTTGTTGGGTTTGGAGTGGGTGAGGCCTCAATGATTGTTCCTCTCTATATTGGCGAGATGGCACCTGCTCGATTCCGTGGCCGGTTAATCGTGTTTGATAACATCTGTGTTACTTTTGGCCAGCTCATTGCATATGCCCTCGGGGCCGCCTTCACTGATGTGCACCAAGGCTGGCGGTACACCATTGCTATCGGTGCAATTCCTGCCATAGCGCTGGCTGCCACGATGCCCTTGTGCCCCGAGACACCCCGTCAGCTAATTGCCCGTAGCCATGATGATGAAGCCAAAAAGGTACTCCGAAAGATCTTCCCGCAGGCCACGGATCAGCAGGTGATTGCAAAAGTCCGAGTGATTCGACATTCTATTGAAGAGACCACTGCCTCCATGTCGGACAACAGCCTCTGGTGGCAGGCCAAACAGCTCTTCACCGTGGGGGCCAACCTGCGAGCCCTGGTCACGGCCTGCTCCATTATGGCTGGTAATCTCTCCCTTTCTTCTCGCTCCCATGCCTTGCCAAGACAAATACACTAACAGCATGCAGTATCCCAGCTAGGGGGGTTCAACACGCTCATGTACTATTCCGCTACACTGTTCTCCCTGGTTGGCTTTAACCAGGCCACAGCCGTTTCGATCGTTGTGGGAGCGACTAACTTTGTCTTTGGATTCCCCAATTTCGCCTTTATTGACCGCTTTGGAAGAAGATCAATGCTTCTGGTCACCGTGCTGGGAATGGTAAGCATAGCCCTTCGGCCTCATGCAGATTATGGCCAGTGACTTAAACCATCACAGTCTCTCTCATTGGTCGTCGTTGCGATCACCTTCCATTGGATCCCCGTCGAGTCGGATTTGAGCGATACTGGACCGCGTGAGATGACCTGGGCTAGCATCCTCCTGCTTATCGCGCTTATCGTCTACATCGCCTTCTACTCTGCCGGCGTGGCCCCAATCTCATGGGTAGGCACCGAGTTTCTCCCCCTAGAGGTGCGCGCACTCGGCACGATGGTGAATACCGTGACCTGCTGGGGCTGTAATATCATCATCTCTTCAACATTTCTGTCCATGATGAAGGCCATGACCCCCAGCGGGGCGTTCGGGTTTTATGCGGGTATCTGCTTTCTCGGGTGGATCTTCGTCATCTTCTGCTATGCGGAGGTCCACAATATGCCTCTGGAGTCGGTGCGGGAGATTTACACGCACGGCTTCGGGGTGAAACACGCTAAGCGACTGCAAAGGGAGCTCCAGGAGGCAAGAAGGAACGAGCAACGCACCCCGTAGACTCACCGCGGCATTCCCGACTCTCCGAGGCTCCGGCCGGTGGTCTGTGTATCCTTGATCTGTGCGCCAGACAGCCCTTCCGGAGCAGACGCTCGGTCCACCACAACTTGAAACACGGGTTGTGTGTGGGATGTTAGTAGATCAGGCAGATCAACGGTTGTATGTATGAATCAGGCTCATGTACTCCGTATTCAGTCGATAGAGAGCATATTCTGGGCACTAGGAAGATGGTCCCAAGTGAACGGACCGGTGAATGGATAGTCCGCGTGAATAGGTTCTTGTCCCAGTCGCTGGCCCAGAGCCGATATCAATACACCACCACCCAACTTCATTTCTTGACCCCACCTCCCTATTCCAATTTCTATTCTCCTCCACAGTTTCCTGGTGCCACTGCAAAATCTTTCCAGGCACCTCACAGGAGCAGGATCGGGCGTACAGATTGGCAGCGGTCCTAACTTAAGTCGTGGCAACTGGGAATTAGGGGGAAAAAAAAAGGTGCACCCAACAACATTGCAGGCTAACACGGATTGATAACCAATGGCCCTTGTAGACTATCCACGCAATAACAATGATACTCTCAACGTTCGACAAAGAGCTTCAAGTGGCCTGTCTCGCCGTGCAGCGAGCCAGCATTGTCACCAAGACCGTGCTGACTGAGGTAGACAAAGGATCCACAGAGAAGGCGGATGCTTCTCCAGTGACAATAGCCGACTTCGCGTCACAGGCGATCCTCATCAGTGCGATTCGCCACAACTTCCCTGCCGACAAATTCGTCGGAGAGGAATCGGCATCAGCCCTGCGGAGTGATCCCGTCCTGGCCGACCGGGTGTGGCAGCTGGTAGCCACGACTAAGTTACATGATACCGAGAGTGAAGAGCTCGTCGCGGCCCCCTCATCGCTGGAAGAGATGCTGAGCATCATTGATATAGGCGGCGACGGCAAAGGGGCCAGTCATGGACGCACGTGGTTCTTGGACCCCATTGACGGGACGGCATCGTTCATTCGTGGGCGTCAGTACGGCGTCTCTGTGGCACTGGTCGAGGGTGGCGAGCAGAAGGTCGGCGTGGTCGGGTATCCCAATTTTCATTTCCAAAGCCCCGTGGTTCACGAAGACATTGTCGATCAGGATGGGTACGGCATCATGTTATCGGCTGTCAGGGGGTTGGGTGCTTATAAGCGGCCGATGAGCAAGGAGCGTCTGCAGCCGGCCGTCAGGGTGTGCAACGTCCTGGCGCGGACTAATGTCGGCCAGCCGGATCTGGTGTTTGCAGAGAGCATGGAAAGCCCCTACATCAACCAGCGGCTACACGACATCGTCCGCAAGAGACTGGACGTCACCAAACCAATCACCGACTTGTGGTCCATGCAGGCCAAGTATGCGGCCCTCGTGGTCGGCGGGTGCAACGTGATGGTTCGTATCCCCCGAAACCCCGAATATCGCGCCTATGCCTGGGACCACGCCGGGGGAATGTTGATCTATGAGGAATCCGGTGGCATGGTCACAGACCTGAATGGTCTGCCTTTCAACTATGGACGAGGCAGGCAACTGGCGGATAACATGGGCCTGGTGGCCACATTCCCGGAGATGCACTCGCGCGTGCTGGAACTTGTGCGCGGGGTCAGTGTGGAGGGAGGAGGGAGGAGGGGAGGGGGGAAAAGGGGGAAGAGAAGTCGAGGTGGAGGAAAGAAAGAAAGCAGGCAGGCAGGCAGGCAGGCAGGCACATGAGCCGCCGAGCCTGATCAGGCCATTAATTCATTCCCTCACCCACCCAAGGCCATCCTTTCTTTCACATGGAATCAATCCATCAGGTTTGGCCTACATAGATGGATGGATAGACGGAGGCTCCTACGAACATACACTATCATACTCTTCTTATGTCTTGAATAGCCCATGGAATTTTTGATGCCCATACAGTCAGAACAGAAACACAAAACCCAGGACCGACAGGCCCAAGATGCATGAATGGAGAAAAGCCACAACAGTATAAAGTGTTCTCATCAAGAAAATTCGTGACTTCATGGTCGTTAAATATAACCGGTCGGAAACAATCGCACACATACCACAAGATGACCAAAAGCACCGTAACGCTGACCATCCCTCGCTTGATCCGTAGAGAAAGTGAGAAAAGCGAAGCGCGCAGTCCCAACGCTGCTCCATGAACAACCCAGATAACACACTCCTTGCGCGCAAGTCCTCCATGGCCGGAGGACCCTCGAGAAGGGGAAGCAACAGAAGATAATAACGATCGAAAGCTTGGCCCAGCCACGGGCCAAGCATGCATGCACCTATCCCCATACACCACAGTGCCGGTGTCCAGGCACTGTTCAACCTTGTCCATCGACAACCCAGGCAACCAACGCAAAAGGCAAAGACACAATAGCGCGCGCTGCTTGGCAAATGCAATGGCTGAGGCACTCAAGTGGTGACGGAAAACTTTCACCAGTCCCGACCCATCTTGCATGCTCTGCCGTGCTGAATGTGTAGTCTATTATAAAAGAGAAACAAAAGCTAGTAACGTGAACGGCCCACAATGCACTCCAAGAAAGAGAAATAACACCATCCGGGTAGTCTACCGACGACGAGCCATGACGCCGCCGGCCTTCATGGGCTGCAGTCCAAGAGGTACACCACCCACTGGACCACCGACGGAGGTTTCGCTCAACGTCTTGCGACGCTTGCTATCGTATTCCGTACCCCGACTGTCGGGACGGGGAATTCGGTCCACGTCGTCGTCTTCCCGCATCCGCTTAGTCGAACCTAGGGAACCGTTCATGCCTGTCGAGTATCCAGGAGCAGAGTTAGATGTGACGGAGTAATTGTCAGCGGCCGTGCCGTTGCCCGAAGTCCCTCTGGTGTCGCTCACGATGTTGTACAAGCTGCTGGCAGCTGCGGGACGCGGAGGCGTGTTGTAACCGGAGGCCCAGGGAGGGGGAGGCCCACCGCTTGTACGGGGCGTCATGCGTCCGGAACCATTCTGCTGCGTGGGGGAGCCCGTGATCTCAGGCGTAAGCTGGGAGTGATCACCGGTCAAACTGCCTACCGAGGTGTTCGTGGTGTAGGTGTACGAGCCTCGGTTGGTGTTGTATCCAGAACTGTCGTGCTGCACGTACTCCGGCTCGTGTTCTGCGACAGACTCGGCGCCGTTGCTGCCAACATGTCCGTTACTGTGGGCGTAACGTTCCTGTTTCACCTCAGGAGCCTCCGTTTCTGGCTGGCCGCCAGGCGTACGACTCGACGGGGGCCCCATTTCGTTCTTAATGTAAGGATGAGATGGGATCGTCTGTCCATATGAAGCCATACCTGCCTGGGTCAATGGCTGCTGGGAAGCATAATGAGGGTGAGATGGTGGAGCAGCTGAGTAGTATTGTTTCGACTCATATCCGGACTGGCCTTGGAATGACTGCATTCCCTGCAGATTGGTGCCCGGGGGTGTAGTGGCGGGCGTCGTGGGCATTGACCGGGCATTGCTCAGGGCCGTATCGATGGAGAGCGGCTGAGAGTTTGGGACTCCAGAGTTCATCCCCTGATTGTTCCAATCATAAGAGTTGCCGGGATTAGTGATGGGGATAAGGCTGGAGGCACTGGCTGGGGGTGTGGGAAACGTGTGAGCTCGATCAAGCCCCGGTCGAGCACCGGCCTGAGAAGCCATCGCGTGGGGTTGGGGCATGTGAGAAGGGACCGTGGTTTGCAAGGAATGATGGTGGTGCAAAGTCTGAGGCTGGGGCCCCTGAGATGCTCGCGCAGCTTGTGGGCCTTCCAATCGCCGTTGTTGCGACTCCTGCACTACCATATTCGTCCGACTCTGGTTGGTTGGGTGGTACAGCAGGCCACCGATGTTGTGAACAAAGAGAGGATACAATAGGTCCGTGATCTTCTCCTTGTTGGCAAATTCGAGGGCACGCTCGAAGGGGATCCTAAATGAACTATTAGCGTCGAGTCATAAACGCAGGCGAAACGGCAGGTCGTACCACACGCCCTTCAGATGCATTGGGCCGATCTTGACAACATGACGGATCTTTTCGCTTTTCAAGATACCATCCCGGCGACCCCTAGTCATTCCTGCGACATTGAGAAGCTTCGTACCGTTGATCATATGATTGTCTGATATTACACGTCAGCAAAGCTAATTCCGTTCATACAAACTCATCGAACTGGCGCAGCAGTAATGACTCACCCTCCCTTCGAGCCACGCAAACACCTTTGGCCTCGACTTGGTAACAGAGACTGCCCTCATCCTCCCACAACGTTGCAGTAACCCGCGGCTTCGCTCCTGGTGGGGCTACCTGGCCGGTCATATCATAAATAAATCCTTGCAAGGGGGTGCCGGTTGTGTTCCCGTAACCCGGAGGGGCTGCAGCGTGGTTCGTGACGGCTATGGCCATGCAATGAGAATCGAGGGATGGAAAGTTTCATATGATGGCCAAAAGTGGACTTACCTGGTAGTGGTAACAGCTGGGCTGGAACGCCACCGCTCATTGACGTCGTGGGAGGTTGTGGGCCTGCCTGGGAGGACGTTACTCCGCTCGGATAGGCATATTGGGAGTAAGAGGTGGTCGGGCCATACGTGGTAGATGCTGGCTGCAAGACGGGTGGCTGCTGGTGGTATTGAGGGTAATGAGCGATTCCCCCGGCAGTTGCGGCGTGAGATGCATACGGCTGGGCGGATGATATATGCGATGAGTGGACATCGATGTAGGGCTGTGTTTGGTTCATGCTGCCAATCGGGGTCTGGCTCTGATAGTAGCTGTCGCTAACTGGGGTTTGTTGGAGGGTGTAGTCTTGGGGAGCTGAAGAATCCAAGGAAAGCCGGCCCTGACCACCTGCTGCGAGGTCTGCAGACGACGGCGGTGGGCTTCTAGCTTCGCTGACCACAGGCGCAGCTCCCGATAAGCTTGTTCGAGCGCTTGTGTTGTTGGAACCAAGGGCCGACGCGTCTTCGTAGCTAGTCCGATAGGACTGGCCCGAGATGGCCTGCGTGGCCGTCGGCAGACTGAGAGCCGGGAGTTTGTCGCCAGACAACAGGGGTCGCTCTGCCGCGTGGTGGTTATACCAAGGGATATCAACAGGACCTCGGGTGTGGACCTGCGAAATCGACGGTAGCTCCAGCTTTTCGGTTGGCGGGGGTAACGGTTTTGAAAAGTGAGACGAACGGGAGCGGTCGGACGACGGACTCAAGAATGTGTCCGGCGTGCCGTGAGATAGAAGGTGTCGCTTCTTGTTTTTTGTTCTTTTATCAATGAGTGGTGGTCAGGTCGCGGAGGCACGATCCGATATAAACATGCAAATAACAAGGCGTCAATTTTTTTGGGCTGGTTTTACTTTTCCTGTCGTAAATATGTCAAGACCGATACTGATTCGGACTCGCGAGGATCAAGAGCCGAACAAAGGGGATGCTTCTAATAGGCAATGCAGAACATGCAAGGATGTGCAATCGTGGCAAGCTCGTGGAAAGTCGTAACCGTAACAGGCTTGGAGATCGCTGGCGCAACTGGACGAGAAAATCGCTATGCAGTAAGTACTGACAGAAATCTAAATCCAGAGACTTTCAAGGATCTTTGTCGTGACAGACAAAACTCTGAAAGCAAGACAACAAGCGCTTTGCGGGTGGTTAATGGAAATCGCTCGGCCAAATTAGAAGCACAGAATCATGGGTCTCGTTTCAAGTCGTAAGAACAGAGCGGGGGAAGGCGACGTGACAATCCAGCATCAAACGTCGAAGGTCTTCCGTGACTTGCAACAAAAGCGGTAGCACCGATGAGACGCGTCAAGCGGACAATCAAGTGGTGCTTCTGCGACGAGATGGGCGAACAGGCTCGTGTGGCGTCGTAACAGGTCGTGGCAGGTCGTCGAGGAAGGCGAGAAAGGAGGCAATATAAGCACTGACAGTTCTACGAACGGGTCAATAACCTCATGCGAGCAACCTGAGAAGAGACAGGCAAAGCAAAGCAACAAAAGAAGTCAAGCAGGTAGGTCGTTCAGGTCGTCCACATAATCTCATAGAGGGGATATAACAAAAAGAAAAGAACAAGAGACGAAGTCGTGATTGATGGATGAAGATGGAGGGGGAAGTAGTGGAGGGAAGCAGAGGCGGAGGTGTATGTATAAGAAGGCGTCAAACGGAAGGGATGGTACACCAACTGAGGCGGCCAAGGGAGACCGGTGGGAACCAGGAAAAAATAGTAATCCGAACCAAGGAAGTCGGTCGATGGAAATTACCGGGGTTAGGGTGGGAATTGGGGGGAAGGAAAGGGCAGTAGATTAAAAAGAAAAGAGGTGAGCAAAAAAGGCAAAACGGGCAGAAAAAGGAAAAAGGAATTAAAGAAAATCAAATGAGGAAAAGGCAGAGGAAAAAAAAAAAGAAAAAGAAAAAGAGAAAAGGAAAAAAAAGATGGATGGCCAAATGTCAGACACTCTCGACGTGGGCGATCATGACCGAGCAGATGGTCCAAGGCGGTGGAGGGCAGACGGGAATGACTGCAGCGCCGCCGCCGCAGCAGGAGCAGCAGCAGCAGATCATGGGCGAAGGTGGAGGCTGGGGCAGGACAGCAAACCGCAGGCGCCCCCGGGCTAAGCCTGAGGTTCTCTGCAGCCGCCGGGGTTTCTGGACCGCGACCGATCGCCTTGGAACCCGTCTACTCGGTGGGCGGGGAGAAGGGGGGGGGGGGGAAGGAACAAGACATCAGAAAATAAAAAAAAGCCAAGGTTGGGGAGGAAAAAAGTTCATGACCAAATTAAGGAACGGAAAATGTACCAACTTGTAGATCCAACGTGGTGTGGTGGTGTTGTTGTTCTGCCTGCTGTCCCCCTGGGATGATAGGTGTAGTCAAGCTGAAGGGGCGGGGAAGGGAAGTAGTTAGAGACAGCTCTCACCCATGGATGGCGAATGAGTGGATTGAAGGAATGGGATGGGCCGAGGAGGGGAACAAGTTGGGTTCGGGGAGGAGAGGAGAGGGAGAGGGAGGGGGAGGAGAAAGATGGGTAAGACCGTCAGAGTAGGTACCCAGTACGGTACAAGGTACAAACAGTGTAGATAGATAGGTAGATGGATAGAAAGCGATACTCTGGTAGTAGAGAGGGAAGGGTAGGGAAGCCAAGGGAAGGGTCAGACTGAATGAAGGAGGGGGGCCAGCCGCTCAGCTTCCGCGTTTTAGTGGGAGGCTGGTGGGTTTGGTTTGGTTTGGGTTGGCGCTGGACCGGCCAGCAGAGAGTCAAGCCAGCCTGAGGATCTCCGGGTGACGGGTGCAACCGAATCCCGCCAAAGACGGCCGAAGCACCAGCCAGCGATCGATTCAGGTGTCAAGGTGGGAGGGGAGGAAGGGGGTGCTGGGTGCTGGGCAAAAGGGCTTTCTAGAAAGGGAGCTGGTTTCTTCTTCGCAGACTTCGAACCACGACACGTCTGAATGTTCTCTATCGCAGGTGGAGAAAAACAATCCAGAGCATCTGCAGTAGCCCAGCATCTTCATCGATCCAAGGGAGCGGCAACGGTCATTGGGGGTTGGTCCTCGGGCGGCTGGGCGCGTACCGCAGCAAGGACAACAGCACCACCACCACTACCAGCAGTAGAACGCTCACGACAGGAGAAATAAAAAAAAAATAAACGAACGATATCAGGTAAGACAACAAGAAACACACCCACGAAGAGAGCGCGCGTGTCAGAAAGAATGGAAAACCAACGAGTGCGAAACAAAAATACACCACATACCAGCACGTGTGTTTGGATCTTTCCTCGATCACCAGTTTCTTTTGAGACCTGCGGCGCGGGAATGTAAGAGAAGCTGCAAGGCAATTGTCTGCCGTAGAATGTCTCTGATGCTTATAGCTTGTCGCACGCTCGTCGGCTGTCCTTTGCGTTTGGCCCTTTTTCTATTATATGTATTATCTAGGCGTCAGCCCCGGCCGGGTCCGTCTGGTCGCGGGCCCGTTTGGAGTCGGTTCTGAAGAACGAGGCAAAGGAACTTGGAGAGGGACCGAGCAGTGGACCACTGGGACCGTCTGTCACTATAGCTATGTACTAAGTAGTCGTCCTGGGTCTTTTTTTCTTTAATGAAACGGGGAGGGAGAAAGAATTAGACGAAATGGAAAAAGAAAAAAAAATAAAGCCGAAGTGGACAAAAATAAAAGGTGTCAGCAGAAACCCCCAACAGCTAGGAGGGGGAGGGATTAACGACGAAATTAAAAAAAGAATAATAATCAAAATGCAGGATTGAAATGACAGAATAGCCAGAAAATAAAAAATAATATAGAAAAAAAAAACGATGAAATTAAATGGGAAAGGGAAAAAAGAGCAGAAAGGGCAATAGTCAGGTGTGGATCCCGCAACTAAAAAAAAGAGCAACAGAAGGGGAGACAACAACCGTGCGTCTTGCGGAAGAGCGGAGAGACTGCTGCACCGTGGAATCTGGTGCTGATGCTGGTGCTCCTCCTGCTCCTGCTAGGCTGCTGCCGGTGCTGCTGCTTGCTCTCTGGCTCTTCCTTCTGGCAGGGTCCAGTCCACAAGCGCAGTGTCAAGCTCAGACAGTGAGGATTCCGCGAATCCGCCACGAAGCAAGGACCATCGGCCGGATAAGCTAAACAAGACGCCGGACAGGAACCACCGTTTGGGCTAGGACTGCGATGATCCAACCGACGCGGTGTCTGCACACTGGCCGCAGATTGGCTCCAGGGGAAGGGGGTGGGAGGGAGAGGGGGAAGACAGTACTACTACTAGTAGCGGCACTGATAGGTACTAGGCACTGGCAACAAGTGGGCAAAGACGAGGTGTAGGAAAATAATAGATCAGGCATGCGCAGGAGATGTCAGAGGGGGAGGGGAAATAAAATCAATGATCACGTACCCGTGGGAATAATAATAATGATGATAATGGTGATGATGGTGATGATGGTAACAATGAGATCGATGGCTAAGACCAGGTCGAAAGAAACAAAGAGACACCCGAGTTCTCGACAGACAGATAAGTGATGGTACAGAAGACCAAAGGACGTCCAATTCTGCAGGGTCGAGCAACCATTAAGAAACAATTCAACGCGGGCAAGGCCAGAGCAGATCAAATCAGAGGCGCCTACTGACCAACTCGGGAGACCAATCTGATTAGGGAAATCTCATCTGAAATAAGATGAGCTCATTCGATGTCTACTCATTACTCTTGCTCCTGGTTACCACTACAGAAAAACGATTAAATTTTAAATCAAATAAAATGGCTATGATAGTAATAGGAATCACACAAGGGAGGAGGGCCCAAGAGACAGGTTGGGGAAGGAGAAAAAAAAATAAGAAAAGGAAAAGAAAAGAGAGCAATGAACTGAGAAAAGAAATTAAAATAGAAAAAGTAATCAGAAAAAAAAAGAAAATGATGAAAAAGGAAAAAGTTGGTGAGTCCTTCACTTCCAATTGACCGCGATAGTCGGGAGCCACTGTGAACTGTTGGGACCGATCGCATTGCTGTAAGTCATTCGATCGTCCTGCGGTGCCGGGATAATGCTGGATCGATTGGAGGACGATCGAGAGCGACATAAACTAAGGGAAAAATGGAATTATTCTCCCATTAATACTGGGACTCCGTCCTCGGAGCTGATTTGGTCGGTCTGAGATTTAGTCCAGCTTCGGTGCAGACTGGCGTTACTTTTTCTTTTGTTCTCCTCAAAGTCTATCTCGGTTTTGAAACGTGATCGGAGGATCAACTGTCCTACTGACCAAGTAGTGATGTCTCCAAGGCACCAGCAGCAGCAGCAGCAGTAGTGCTTAGATCGGGTTGTGAAGAACCACCGAAGCACAGCAACGACCAGATGACGGATGACAGGCGTGTTCCAGTCCAGTTCCAGGTCCGAACAGCTGTCTCCACGATGGAGCACGGGTCCCACACCGCGTCTCAAGGCCCAGCCGTATCTCTCATCCACGGCGCAGCGAACCAATGGGCGGAACCCAATGGGCCAGAATTACTAAGTGCCCTGTCCCTGTACGTCCACGGTCTAGTTCTGAGGAGGTAGTAGTAATAATTACCTATCTAGTATCTACAGGAGGACTGTGTGTAGGTGCACAGGTATCTAGTAGTGTGAGTGGACTGGAGACTGGAGTTCGTTGGGGTTGGTTGAACGATAACCATGCTTGCCGACCGGCCAGCCTACATGCTGTAAGGTATCCTTATTCTGATGTTTAATTCTTTACACGCACGAGTCAGTATGGCGGTCCCATAAGTAGAGTGCTGACAGCAAGCAAATCAGGACGAGCTCGATGCATGAAAGGTACCTGTACCTGCTCCGTACTCCATACATGTGGACTTGGGATCCGCCACCGGCAGCAGGGCTCCTGAATGGTCAAGAACACCCGGCGAACGAATCAAACGGCAGATTACGGGCTAGGGCCGAAAGATGAGATCCTGCCCTAATACGGAGGATGTACTTACATACAGTAGTAGTACCTACTTAGTCGGTGCCTAGGCAGGTCATACGAAACCAACCAGCGCGGCACCCAGAGAGCAAATGCAAGATGCGTGCGCTCTAAACGGTGTGCATCGTGGATGATGTATAACAGCGGGAATGGCTCAACATAGACCAACAAACTATCTAGAAAGAAACCTTGCGGTCCAACACTATCAACTATCAGAATGCCTCCCAACCTCGAAACGAGAGAAGCGCCGAAAAGGACCGCCCTCCGAATGGCGGTGACTTGGCAAGGAGAGGGGAAGAGAGCGAGATAGGATGTAGGAACTAGTAGCAACGAAGAGAGGCAAGAGATGAGATCGGACTCGATGGAAGTGAGGGAAGTGCGTGAGTGGTCGAGCGTTCCTTACAAGGGATGCAATATTACCCAACCCCGATCAATGCCCCTCGAATGAACCGCCACTACTATGTAATTCCATCTAATTAATCTCGCACCCTAATCTTGCCTCCCCCAATTCACGGGCACTCATTTTACTTCCGAGGAATGCCGTAAGACCATTACCTAACCTGGTCGACCCCATCGCGATGGAAGAATATTGAGATTTACGGTCGCGATCCACCGACTAGCCAATTCTCCCCGTCGCTGTCAGTCTGGACGAGCCCGTCAATACGAGATCTTTGCTAGGGGGGCCTCCGCGGCCAGACTAGCAGACGCCAGCCAGGAATAGCCTCGCAACCAAGTGGAGCCTCCTTCAGGTGACGAGGTCTCTATTGGTCGGGGACTTGGTCTTTGGGGCCTGGTGGTGTGTGCGATAAATCATTTAAGGCTTTCGGGACGATCTGGAGGGCGTTAGGGTGTGGGCCCCGCCCAGCGTCACCACCCAGAGACGAGACAAAGACTCAGGGCTGACAAGTCACCAGAATCGGACGAGTCTGGTATGACTGGTCATGGCGGAAGATAAGTAGGTACGTAGTAGATAGATAGAGAGTAAAATTCAATCAAGTCTGCTGAGTTGGGAAGAGGAGGTATCAAGGGATCAGTAATTCAGTAATAGAAGGGGGAGGTACTTACTGTATCCGTACTGAACCTGGCATAGTAATCTGAAATCGGCTGCCCGTCACGATGCCTTCCTCCTTAGTTCCTTTCCTCCCCCCGTCCCAGCCAATGCCCAGAAGTTAATCGCACCAAATTGCTTCCAAGCAAGTAAAATCCATGCAAGCAAGCGCAGCCCACTCCTTCGTTACACAGAGCAGCAGAAGAAACGACCAGGATGAGGCAGCATGGCAGGGATTCCTGCAGATGGCCGTCCAAACCACTGGACGAGAGCGCACCACGCAGGCAGGGTGGCGTGCGAGCAACAGTCGATCAGGTCTGTTCGTCCTTTCCCCTCCCCCCTCCCCCGTCGTCCTTTCGGTCGGTAGGGAAGCCCTGGAGAAGTCATCCTGGTTGCTAACTGATTAGCTCCGGTCTGGTAGTCTGTCAGTTGTCTTCAGATTCCCGACCGGTTACGTCCAGAATACTCTAAACCCGGTCCTGCCTACCTGCCTGCATACAAGCCTACATCCTACTTACATACAGACAGCCTTCAAGTAAGTAGGTACGGACGGACCTACATGGATACCTGGTCCGGAGCAGCCCGCCCACTCATCGCCAGATCAGTCGCTTTTACTACTTTCGGTCAAACCTGACCGATTCATTTCTATCGGCTGGCGATATGGAACCGTCTTCCTGTCCTTCCATCGCCAATAGACCACCCAACCATTCCAATAAAGGGAGGGGGGGAAGAAACCGGCGACCTTTTTTTTTTCCTACCACCCTACTAGGTAGGGGTAGTCCGGTCAAAATGGAAATCTGTCCTCCTCTTGGTCCTGTTCTTCCTCCCGTCGATAGCAGGTGGCGGAAAGGTGCTCGTCTCACCAGATGAGGCGGCTCGTTGGATACATCAGACCAGCCGAGTCGGTCAAGAGTCCAACCCCGGTAATCGACCACGACCCTGGTCACTCTCCCCCGACCTCATTTCCCCTAACTAATTCTCCGCTGAGGATGGAGGGAGGCAGCCCCGCCATTGCATGGACCGGGATGCCATTGGTGGGATGCTGGCGTTTCACGAGCCAGCTTAGCCCGGGCTAGGACTAGCAGTAGATTGGCACCGAGGGCTGCCAGGTAATGGGCTTGTCGTCAATGTGAGGGATCTGGAGTTAATTTCCAAATTAGTCTCGATTTATCCCTCCGGGTCCGGCGGGTTTGCGCCTAATCTACGTCAGTGTCGACAGGTCGGTATGTATCTTAGATCATCACGACCGAGTGACACCACCGAACGGATTGAGCTTCGTTCTGAGCTGTGTCGAAACAGAGCTCCGATGGAGTCGCAAATGGAGTCTCTGCTCAGGTACTAGATGGAGCATCCTGATCCATCGTCGCCCAGAGAGTGGGCTCTCCGCACGATGACTATGGGTACCCTGATGTACATCATCTACCTAGCTTCATGGATGGAGACGGTGAGGCATAGACCAGTTCCCGGTCCTCACCATCTGAGTTGTTCTTGGTATTTTTAATTTTAATTTTTCGTCTCTCCCGTTTGCCCCCGCCGTTTCGAGCTGGAATCGAGAACGATTCGGTGTAAGTCATGGAACAGGATCTCGGGCGCAAGGGCACGAACTCTGAGCAGCCAGAAGGCCACATCTCCAGGCCTCACCGCTGGTTCATCGTTTCTTTTCCAGCGAGAGGAGAGGGCCAGAGGGAGGGGGAAGGGCGATTGTCATTTGACTGACAAGCCCTATCATTCCAGCTGTTCATGCTCGGCTGACGGAGGGGCGCGCAGACGATAGGCCCGGGAACCTTCTTCCTGCGGGACTGCAGCACCTCCTCGCAACCCCTTGCGTGAGGTGGAGGGGACTAGCGATATGGTCCACGACACAATGTCCCACTCTGGGAGGCCCAACCCCACCCGGGCCTGGTCCGGACTGGACCATGGAATACTCAACAGTATCAGGCGTACGGGAAAGCCTCCCATTGTTCGGACAAGGCCTTGTTTGGTCGCGATGCTAGTGATGCTAGTGAGTGCTACGGTGAGAGCTAGAAAGGTGACAGGTTGGGGTCCCGGACGGAGTAGGACGGACAGACGGAGTGCGACGCCGCCCATGGCCACGACCGCGACTCACTAGTCCGGGCCTAGTGACCATGGGCTTCATTTCATTTGACAAGTCGCTTTTTATTTCCGACCGTTAAGCGCGTCTAACCATACGCTGGCCTTGCTCGCCCTCCCTCCCTCCCTCCGTGGCCGTCTGGCTGGTCCGGATCCTGGATTGGACCGCCCATCCGGAGGGCCTGGTCAACTGTGAACTAAAGTAGGTGCCGTAGGTAGGTGTCGGGCAGAACGGACTGCAGCTCGCAGCCCTGAGTACTTCTGCTCTCCTTCTCCTTTCGTTCGGTTGCCAGAGGGGAGGGGGGCGATCGATCTATACGAAGGAGGGCGACGGCTCCCTGGTCCACGCCCGTCATGTCCCTACCACATGTCCAACCGACAGACTCGATGAGCACCACTACAGTGTAGGTGGATATGCATATGTATCGGCACTGAAGGTGAGACCGGATGCATATCTTTTGGCATTGGAGCACCAAGCGGTCCGTGTTGAGCTCGAAACCAGGCTAGCCATCCGGTGTCTGTCAGCGCCCATGACTCTTCCTCGGGCCCATGGGCTCCATGAGACAGTAATTGAGGAAGGACATATGTACTCCAGGCTTGTCCCGGGACACCAATGATCAACCAGGGTGAATGAGTGTCGGAGTTAGTTTGTGTGTAACCCCCCCCCCCCCCCCCCTCCGGGGATCGTTCAGGGCCGTGCAGTCCAAGATGAGGATCTGCCCAGCATGCTTTCTTATTCTTGTGCTTTTATCCCCCTTCTACGGAGTAACGGGTTTCATTTTTGGCCCTCGCGCTACCCGGAAGATACTTGGGGAGTGAGTCCGATCGATCCTTTCTCCATGTGCTCATCCAACCGGGGGCCCCGTGATCCTTAAGCATTAGGCAAAGGCGAGGCCACCCTGCTGGATCTATCTAGTCAGTCTTGGAAGTCCGCTACCGACGGCCCGACACCCGCAGCCGTCGTACATACAGCAGATCTTGCGGGGCTGTAGCTCATCCTGACGGAGTATACCTGGTGGTTGGCCACGACGGAGTTATTCATGGTCACTGGGAATCAGCCAGGGTTTCTGACCCAATCGGGAGACGCGACGAGGGCTTCCAGACTTACCTACAGTTACACCGCAGCCATGGGGGATGGAGGGGGGGGCGCATCCTGGACGAACCTTTACTCCGTGGGACCAAGAACTTAGTGAGTGAGAAGTGAGTGAGTGGGTTTCCGTGTCCGACTCCGTACTTCCGTCCGGTCGATGCTATGGAATACTACTACTAGATTACTACTTACTAAATTACTACTAAATTACTAGCAGGCGACTAACAACCCAACCTAACCGACTAGGTAGCCCCAGTAGAATTCTCACCACTCACCACTCACCAGTCATCACTACTACTTAAGTACTAAGTACTAATTAATCACTGCCTCAAGTTGACGCCGGAGCCAACCGCGGAGGAAGCAGCTCATGGAAAGGCACTAAACCCGACTGCGTAAATGCACGGAGATCAATCGATCAGTCTTGCCTTCCGCTTCCCCTCTCTTAATCTATCGCCCCTCTCTTAGATACTACTAGTCTTCGGAGCAGAGTGAGCCCCTCGACAACTCCTCAGGATGACCCATGAGCCAAAGCCATGATGAAAAGGATAGGAATTACTCCGGGCGCGACGACGACGGGTGGGGCGGCTGGCTCTTCGCACCGCCACCATGCCCTCCCTACTATCTAATTGCTATGTCGTCAATTACGTGGATAACGGTATAACCTCCCGGGTCGCTTATGAAACTGGCTCGGGACTACTTCTGCCCCAAAACTACGGTCGAGTCGACGACTAGACATTGCCTGGGGAACGCCGGCCGACTAGTGACAACTTACTTACCTGTCATGTCCTCGGCTGTACCTGCAGCGGCCATGCAAGCACCAGGGAAGAACCGCTTACAGGTCACCGCGCCCGCGAACTGCTTCAATTCTTCAACAATCGGTCCGAGGCAGCGTGCACTGGGCATGGTGCAGCTGCTAGCCGGGCCTGTTGCCGTTGCCTGTCTTCCTGGGACGGGGTCGACTACCTGGGCCTTAGCAGGGCGCTAGTTTGCTCGGATGGAGGATTAACACAGACACTAAGGTTGTCTCCTCAACAATGCCTGCTCACGATGATCAACCAGTAGGTATCGACTATCGAGGGCATCTCCTCTCCACCGCCCCCTGATGACCCCTGCTCTTAGTATCTATCTAGCTGCTCACGCGGATGCTGAATCTCCGGGCGTGGGCAAGGATTAGATTGCCCCTGCTGTGCAACATTGACCGCGGGAATAACCGGTCGAGGACAAATTCCAGGCTAATGAGTAGCTTGACACCCCAAACAAAGAAAAAGCCCACGGAGGTGGGTGGCGATTCTAGAATGCGATTGCAGAGGACAAATATTTCCGGGACATCGATTTGCTCACCGTCCGGAATGTGATGGCCCCCAAGCCGCGGGTCTCGTGCAACCGTCAGCACGAGCGAATCTCTGCTCTGATTCCTCCAGTCAGGACGCCCATCCGCCCCTCGATTGGCTGTGTTCCCCTCGACCGTCCAGCAGCGCAACAGCCGAGCTCAGACCGAGTCCATCGCTTCGACCCGGACAGACTCGGACGGAATCGATTGGACGCGCGACGCGGCCGGAGGAAATCAGCTCAATCTTCCTGGAATGCGGTCAGAGCCGCCGGTTGGCCCATTCTGGGGCGTTATTGGCCTTAGTAGCGTCGCCGTAAAGAGGGCCAGTTTTTAGAGCATCTCATCTCATGGTTGCGAGGCGGACGGGCAGTCCCCAGTGGCCAGTCCGCTGCACGCAGTAATTAACCTTACATTGCATGTTCCGTCGTTACCCGTGCACGATCGACTGCACAGGTGGATAGGGCCCTCGCACTAAGCTTTGGGACGAATCTCTCTCCCCCTCGACTCCGGACTCCTATGGGTGCGGATTCCTCCTCCTGTTTCTTACGCCCAAGGCGGACACCGGGCGCTGGCGAAGGGATTGGTGCCTACTGCCTCGGTAAATAGGCCATGACCTCACCGGGGGGGGGAGGGCGCTGACGGTGCTGCAACCTTAATCTCCCGGTTGTCTCACTGTCATAATACGACCGGCCAGTGAAGAATCGGATTGTGGTAGTCGATGTCACGTTCGGTCGAGGGCGCGTTTTACTTGGTGTCTGGGGCCTTCCTGAGGGTTTCGGTGCGAGCTGAGCTGAGCTGGGCTACCGGATTGGGCAAGCCGGCTTGGATGTATCTGTCAGTGGCATCTGGACTTCTGGACACTGGACGTGTGGATTGGCAACGCAACTGGATGATCAGCGGCCAAGCGACACGGACCTCGTCGCCCGGTTGTCTGAGGCGATACTGAGGGGGTTGCGCCGGCGGTGATTGGCCGAGCTGCAGGGCCGGTGGGATGGGCTGGCGGCGACTGGCGGTGGAGGCGACCACGTAGGTGGCCCCAGCATCGACGCCAGACTCGCGATTCATCTCGATTCTCCTCCCGATTCCAGATGTGCTGGCATGCGTGCCCCTATCCGTATCATGCCATAACGTCGTGCCCGGAGGCCGTCTGCTGCTGGGTCGCCTGGATCGTTGCAAAGAGGACGACGGTCTGCCGCCAGACCGCTCAGCGCAATCCTTGCGTTAGGATCCCGACGTTGGCTTGGTTTGGTTTCAGCTGCAACAACCCGTGATGCATATGCGCGTGCAGGGTTCGGCCTGGGTAGTAATGGTGGTGGTGGTGGTACGCGGTGTGTGTCCCTTCATGGGCTGGACAGTGTATCCCGCGGGGCGCCAATGGTTCCCCCATGATTGCATACCGGTGCTGTAGAACGGCTCCCCCTACCGCAACTATCACGACCTACATACATACGTGCGTCAGCCATCAGTCGATCGCTATCCCCATTCGATACGCATCCCGTTTCCTATATTTAGTCGGCTGGCGTACAGATTTCCCTACATCAATAACGGATCCGATAGACCCTGCCTGTCCAGGTGATCCCCATGACATAAGATATTGGGATTCTCGACCATCCCTTGATTCACGACGGCCACTTTAACTTTAGTTACTGACTTTGCCTTTGCCTTTTACCTTCCGACACACATCCTACCGGCAACATACTTTGATGATACCTACATACCGGCTGCTGCAGCTCTCTCCAGCTACACAAGCAGGGTCTGCATGCAGCAGTGCTGTGCAATTGCTCCTCAGGGTGTGTCCGTCTGTCAGCCAGCCACGCAGTGATGCCGCGACGCAACTCACCGTCTTTTCTGTGGTTCTTCTGGCGTAGGCGTTATCTTGCGGAATGTAGGTGTTGTGTGACTTGAGTCTTGATTATCTTGATCCATGTCGGTGTGCAGAGGGTCGTCGGTAAAGTTATGCTGGGTAGACAGTGGATAGGTATGTATAAAATAGGATGTCGGACTAGGTAGGAAGACGGCTGCGGTGTGAGGCAACGTCAGGCAAGGTAATATAACTTAAATGAGTGTGTGGTGATGCGTGCTTTTCCATGGTCCGGATATACTATATTTATTTGTATAGCATCATTCTACTAGTAGTACTAGACAAGTACTACTAGTAAATCGTGCACGCCATACCACACCACACCACGGTTACAACTCCCAACCCATCCAAACTAGAGAAAATGAACAATCAACGCCTTCTCATATTTTGGTCCATAGAAGCATCCTATAACCTATTCCCAAATATCCCGGTAAAACACATAGCATAAGAGCAAGCGCGATAAGATAATCCAACAAATCACCTGACTGACCCCAAGCAAACCCATCGCCCCTCCAACCGAGGTATTCCCAAACACCAAACAATAAACCACAAACCATAACCACAACCACAATTCTCCACACAATTGGCACAATTGACACAAAATCCCCAATTAGCACGACCAGCAACAACAGCAACACACGACAAATGCCTCCCCCCCGAATCCCAAACTCAATCCTCCCTCAAAACCACCTCACCTTCGACGTCTGGAATACTTCCTCCACAGGCCACCAAGTCGCCGATTCCGCGCAAGGCACAGCATGGCGGGACACGAGACGAGAAAAACTGACGCGACAGTTTGGAGAGGGGAAGGGGGATTGTACACTTTACCAGTCTGGAGATTCTGGTGATGGAAGGGGTGAGTGGGTTGTTGATTCTTCTGCTTCTTACTCCTCGAGAGAAAAGGCGGTCATCTTAAAGAAAGAGGAGAGAGATAGGAAAGACGCAAGGCAGATGGATATTAGGGGGATGTTTGGGGTGAGTAAACGGGGGTTTCAACACGGGGCTTGGAGGAGGAGAGGATGAGGAAGAAAATGAGAACCGATGCCGAATTCTATCCATCGATTCCTCCTGCAGAGGGAATCTCAACAGCCGCGTCAATGGGGTCAAATAGGCGATCGGCTTCAAGTTCGATGTTTACGTCTACTTCTACACCACGTTCGGATTCGATAATATTATCGCAAAGGCAGTCGCAAAAGCAGTCACGGTCCCAATCGGAGCGAGCTGTGCAGACACATACACATACACATACCCATGCACATGCGCTCATGCCTACATCCACATCCACACCCACATCCACATCTACATCTACATCTACATCTGCATCTACATCATCAGCATCAACACGAACACGAAAACCTACACCTACACCTACATCCGCATCCACATCTACATCGACACCTACACCCACGCCTACATCTCCATCTACCTCCCCACAACCACGTATACCTACCCAACAAACCCCTCTCTTAATCCCCCCAGAACCACCACCATCACCACTACTTCCTCTTCAACAAAGCCGACCCCCCAAGTCCTCACAAATTTAACAATCCACATCAACGGCCAAACAGCCCCCCACATATCCGACCACAAACTCAAACACCTGCTGATCACCCACGGCGCTGACCTCGCTCTTCACCTCCATCGAAAAGTCACACATGTGATAATCTGTCAACCAAATAGTGGTCCCGGGAGAGGTACCGGAAGTGGCAGTGGATTTGCAGCGGGGAAGTTACAAAGGGAGATACAACGAGGTGGGTGGAAGGGAATCAAGATTGTGGGGGTAGAGTGGTATGTTTTTCTCATTTCTACTTCCCTTCGTCTTCTGTTTTTTTTGGGGGTACATTAAGGATGGATGTGGCTAACCTAGGGGATGTATAGGGTTCTTGATAGCATTGAGGCCGGGAAACGACTCTCCGAGACAAGATACGCAGTCAATCTGAGGACGAATCAGAAGAGTGTCTTTGGGTATTTGACTTCCTCCTCTTCTTCCCCCTCGACCTCGAAATCTACATCAATTTAATAATTGTCTCATATACATTATCCTATTGTTCATAGCTCGTATCGTCATATCATACATAGATGGTCATCTATATGAACGCCCCCCGGCGCCCCGGGAGACTCCCCCTGCTACTTGCCGATCCATGCCGTCGCCACCCCGCGCTTCGTGGTCCCGACACAATCGACCCCTCACTGCTGTGTGATTCATGTCGTTGGTGGGGAATCTCCACGGGCGCGTGCGGATCCGCGAGCGGCTCCTCGTCCGGGAGCGGAGGCAGCGGGTTCACGCGAAGCCGGGATGGGTACAGTGACTCGCTAGAATGGAACCGGTCGTGCTCGGGAGAATGGGCCAGCCCCGACGGTAAACTGCCAGGCTCTTCCTCCAGAATATCCTTCTCGTCTACCTCGTCCGGCGCCGTGTCTCCCCGGGAATCGCCTCGCACCAGACCCAGACGTTCCTCTTCTGTAATCGACCGCGACCGGGATCGGTGATGGTGATGGGTTGGCCGGGGGTAGTTGCGCGATGTGGTCGGCTCGTTGCCCGTCTTCATCCGGTGCAACATGGTGTTGAACGAGAACTGGCGCTGGGTGCCGTGCGGCGGCGGGGAAGGGGCTGCGCGGTCATCCTCGGCCCATGGCGTGTTGCTGCGCGATGCATCCGGGAGGACGGGTTGGGGATAGCTGGTGTCCGGGTGCGGCTTGTGCGCCGACATGGATGTCAGCGAGACTGGGTCCTGGTTCGGATGCTCGTCCTCGATGGGCTGCCAGGACGGATGGAAGAAGCTTGAGACGCGGGATTGGAGGTCATCGAGGAAGGAATGGCTGCTCTGCTTCGTACTAGGGCGCTCGGGCTCATCCGGCACCTCCTCCGGTACGCGCGACATGCCCAGCGGCGGGACCGGATACTTGACGGACGGGTTGCGCAGCGTGCGCGCGCGCGCCATGGTCGGGCCGTCGCCGACGACGGTCTTGCGCCGGCGCAGTCCGTCCCACTCGATGATCTCGTTCTCCGCCGGCGGCTTCAGGTCCTCGCTGCGTTCGCGGTAGAAGCGCCGGGCTTCCTCAGCCTCCATCTTGCGCCGCGAAGTCGAGATGCGTCGGATGATGGCGGCGGCACCGCGAATGGAGTCGGCCTTGGGCTCGCTCTCGGGCTCTTCCTGGGTGGCTACCTCGCGGACCTGGTCGAGATCGCCCTTGAAGACGGCGGCATCGGGGACATCCTTGGCGGACTTGGACAGTTGCAGCAGGACGACGCCGGCGCAGATCTGCAGGAAGCCCAAGATGACCGTTACGATGGAGCTGACGGACCCTTTAAAGCCGCGGAACAGTACCGCGGAGGTGACGATGGTCGAGCTGGTGAAGAAGACGTAGTAGGTGGGGGTGACGAGCGCGGCGTTGAAGAGGTTGAGGGCTTTCTGCAGCAGGACAGCTATTAGAACGACACAAATCACCAGGGGATAGACGGGTACGCACATTGAGATAGATGATCTCAGTCAACAGAGTAGCAATGACAAACACCAGCAAGACATACATGAACCACTGGTTAAACTGGGCTTCGCCATCAATTTGGGCCAAGATGGCCGAGCCCAGGCCCTGGGTGGCCACGACGCTCAAGCCGCCAATCAACGAGCAAATGCTGATATACACAAACATGCTCTTCTTGCCATAGCGCGGGCCCAACCAGACGGCGACAACCACGCAGCCCACCACAATGACGCCCGCGTAGACCAAGAACCCCGGCGATAGGACGTATTTCTTCATTTCCTGAATATCACTGACCGACGACTGCTCCGGCGCATTCAACGCAATGACAACACTGCCCAAAATACAGCAAAAACAGCCCACCTTGCCAACAAAACTCAGCCGCTCTTTTAAAAAGATGGCCGACAGGATGGTGGTCACCACGACCGTCAGCGCTCCCAACGGCGTGACCAAAATGGCATCGACAAAGGCATAGGCGACGAAATTGCACAGCTCCCCGATGATCATCAGGGTCATCCCGCCCCACCAGTATAAATTCTTCAGGTAGCCGTATCCTTCGCCGGCTTCCTCGTTGTATTTGACGTTGGCGCGGAGCAGGCCCTTTTTCTTGAGCACGAAGGAGACGCCGATAAAGAAACCCGACGCGACGGCGAGGGAGATGCCGATAGCTTTGTAGGAAGCCGGGCGGGAGGAGCTGTCGGCGCGGCCGACGAGATGGTTGAGGGGGAGGTGGAGAGAAGCCTCGGGGTCCAGCATGGCGGAGGGAACGGTATCCATGGTGGTTATTGGGAGGTATGAGAAGTAGTGGGGGAACTGGACTGCATTGGGACACTGCCAGCAGTGTCTTTGGGGGAGATGAAGCAGGGGCGCGAAGGATAGGGGAGATGGATTTTTGGGGGGGGGGGGCAGATAAGCGAGGGCGAGATATATTTAGTCGGCGCTAGACAGCCATGAGAGCTGCAGCAATCAGCTTTCCAGCAGTTCCAGGAGGGACGAGTGACCGTTGATTTGACAGCTGTGACGGCGGGTAGGAAGAATGCGTGGTCAGGGATCGACAGGCCCGTGGCGGATCGGAATGTGCCAGATGTGCCAGATCCACGTAAAAGGAAGAAGGGAGAGGGGGGTATGAGGGACTCGGAGAAAACAAGGGGAGAAGAAGGGCGTGAGAGTCAGGAAGAAAGAAAAGCGAGGCTGGGACGGGCCAGACAGGTGGTTCGGTGGTTCGGTAGTTCGGGGGTTCCTGTTGGTTGCTGGGGCGCAGTTGGGCGGCGCAGCAGCTACGGGGCCGTTCCACGGTTCCTTGCAATTTATCTTGGGGTTTGACTTTGGACAGGCAACCACCCACCCTCTTCGCTGATTCTTCTCTCGGCTGTCATTTCCACCCCACCAACCCATCCATCCATCTACGACTAGATAGATAGGTACTAGCACTCATTGAACTATCGTGTCATTAGGGTATCCATCAATTCATAAACCGGAAACGCTCTCCCTGTCCTATACGGACCCACGCAGACGCCTCCCTCATACACTGTAGAATCATAGAAAGATACAAGAAGAAACCAGAATCATCATCCTTCAATCAACGCACGTGGTAGCTCGGTTTCCGGTGCTTGTTCACCACCGGCGGCTCGTCCACCGGGTACGGCGGTCGAATTTTCCCATTCCCACTCCCCCCATGGTGCCCCGGGCTGCTTGCCGTCGTCGGCATCGGCATTGGAATCCCTCCCAGTTCGCTGGGATACTCGGACGGATATGGAATGGGCGTTTTGGGTGGCACTGGGGGGGGCATCCCCTCGTGCCCATGCTCCATGCTGGGTCGCGACGACCCGTAAGCCTGTGAGCTCGGCCGACTGACCTCCCCGCTGCCGGGGCTGCCCAGATCTCCCGATAACCGCGGCGACGGTACGAGGCTGTCCTGTGGCGTAGGGTGTGCCGGGAGTGAGTCCTCCGTCGTGATGTAGGGAACAAAGTCGCCTGGCAGTTCCGCCGGCAACTCCACAGCCGTCGGGTGCGACAGCGACGGCACCGACAGCACCGGGCTGTGGAGGATGGATGAGGTGCCATCGTCTACCGCGCCGCCGAGATGTTCGTGTCCCGCGGCCGCATGTTCGGCCAGCCGCCGGTGTTGGCGCTCAATCTTGGCGAACTTGACGCCCGCGTCCAGGATCTGTCGCTTCACCTCCGGTCGGGTCAGATAGCGCCGCGTGTTGGTGCTGATGTCCGCTAGCCGGTTCCACTCGTTCATGCCAAACTCACCCACGCCTACTTCGACGTTCAACCGGTAGTAGTTATCCTTGCTGACGTTGCGCTTGGCCAGGTGATCGCGCAGCATCGCCAAGTGGATATCCTCACACCCCTCGATCTTGGAGATCAGGCGCCGGCGTGCTTCCGCAAATGTGCCCAGCGCATCCCCGAAGAAGTCCTCCCACCATTCATGCTGCCGGTTGTTGGTGCCGGGTGGGCGCTTGCCGGTGCCTACACTGATGAACGCCCCCACTTCACGACCGGGCCACTCGTTCACAGTCGCTTCGTCCAGGACCTGCGGCGAGGGGTTGTAGGTGCCGGCGCCTTCATCGATGAAGACGTGCTGCCCGATTTGAATGGGCTTGAAGGCCAGACCGGTGGCGGAGGTGGCGCGGCCAGCCTGCCACACGGTGCAGTTGAACTCGGGCGGGGGTTCTTTGCGCGAATCGTAGGATCGGAGGAAGACGGATGAGCCGTTGCGGGAAGTGGTGCCTTTGTAGAGGGCGGTCACGGCACTGTTCAGTCAGCATGTAAAGCATATAGACCGAAGTAAGAGAAAGACATACGTTTTGGTGCGATATTCTCGATTATCATACAGCAGCGCGTCCGGATTTCCCCAGCGCAACCCATTCACAAAGGTCGAATTGCGCTGGCTGCCATGTCCCGAGGAATGTGAGGTAGTGGTGCTAAAACTGGCCCGACTGCCCGAGCGCTGAGGAACGGACATCGAATTGGGACTAAAGGGGGTGCTGGCCAGAGAATTGCGCCCCGTCGGGCTCATATCGTTGCCTTCGGCTTCGAAGACAGTATGCTCACGGACGCATTCCCGGATCGCCTCTTCAAGCTTCGAGGCCTTGAACAGGGTTTTGTGGAAAGGAATGCCGGCAAAAGTCTTGTCGGTTTCGAACACGCGGCGGGTCATGCGGACATAAACATCCTTGCAGGTCTCGAGGTCGAGGCGAAGACGACCAAGCATCAGGGCGATCAGCCCGCCGGTGCCGGTTCCAACGATGAGGTCGAAGTGGTCGCATGGCTTGGGAATTTCATCGCGACGGGGGCCTTGCCTTCACATTCGACGTAGATGCGGTACATGAGTTCTTGGAGGATGATAAGCATGGAGTAACCACGCACGCCGCCGCCATCTATATCGAGCCTAAGATCAGTATAGGGATTCAGGGGGACTGAGTCTCGTGACTCTGGAAGTTGAAGAGCAAAACCCACCGAGCGATAGGATCCTCAAGGGCGGACCCTTGGTGGTATCCTTGCGGCGGAGGTTGACGGAATAATCCATGACCCCGCCGGGGGAGGACAGAGACAGACGAGGAAGATCGGAGGAGCGGATTAATCAATGTCGGAAGGGCGAGGGATGATCAGGCTAGGCGCCGGAGGAAGAAGAAGAAGAAGAAGTGACTGGGATGTGAAGACGGAAAAGGCTGAAGAGGTCTGAGTGGTGAAGGTGAAGGAGAGAAGGAGCGCCGAGCAAGCAGATCTTTTCTTTGCGGCAGGCGCCCGCAGATTGATTGATTGATTGATTGGCGCTGGATGCGAGGCCGCGCCGTGACTGCCTGTCTCGGTGACCGTCCGCTGCGCCACGGTCGGGTCCACGATGAGATAATTCTGCCCGCGTAGGGCAGACCTGCCGCCCGCCCATTGGCTGCTGGCCAAATAAGCTGTGGCGGTGCTCCACCGGGGCGGTGCCGTGTTTCCCGTTTTGACGTAATTTCGGCACTTTTTGCAGGTGATCCGTCTCTTCTTCTGCCTTCCAGTCTCGGTGGTATTGGTAACACATACACAGGAAGGAAGCATAGGCATCCCAATACGAGACACATCGACTAACCCTCCGACATACGGAGTCCAGCGGGAGGAACTTGGAAGGCATGTATGTCTACCCAAGTAGGCAACTAGCTACAGCACATCCATAAATAGAAGCAGCCAGCCTGAGTTTCGCATGAACCATGGGTCAATTTATATAGTACCCCATCCACAATTATACCTTTGGTCGAATCTCCCCAACCAGAACATCCCTCAGCAACCTCAATCCCTCCCCGGCAAACAACACCATATTGTTCGCCCGCTCCGCACTGCCCGTCTCAACCTCCCTCGTCACCGTTCCCGATGGCGTCGCCACCGCAAGTGCCACATATCCTCTAGATCACATCAGCATATGCATGAACAACAACTAGACAGCCCCAAGGAGGCCGACTCACGGAGTCCGATTCTGAGTCTCTGCTCCCGTTGGTCCGGCCGTTCCGCTCTCGCAGACCGTATAGGTGGAATGCAGAGTCGAGCGCACGTTCTCGGCGATCTCCGCCACAACACCGGGGGTTGGACCAGCGTAGGCGTCGATGTGTTGGGGAGTCCAGCCGGTGTAGGCGATGCGGGATCCGAGGGTGTAGACCTGCGTTCTTAGTATCTAAGACGGGGGGAGAAGCCGGAATGCATACGGTTAGTCCGCCTTTGTAGATGGAAGATGCGCCGGGAGTGGAGAGGAGACAAGCGGAGATGAGGCCGCCCGAAGCCTGGTCATGGTCAAGGTCTCGGTCTCACACTGGTGGGTGAAGATGGATGAGGGGTCATATCTCGTACGGTCTCGGCAACGGAAATGGTCTCCACGCGGGCGCGAAGAAGTTCGAAAACTTCCTCGATCAGGGGACGGAGACTAGCAGGGGGGAATTCACTCATGGTATCGTTTGGGAGTGTGGCTGTGGTTGATGGCAGAGTCAAGAAATGGGGATGAGGTTACTTGGTGGTCATCCCATAAGTACCAGAGGGGGCTCTGGCCAATCGGGTTCTATAGCGAAGACTACAGCATTCAGGTACTATCCACTACTATGTACACTACATAATACTGCTAGTACGTATAGTAGGTCACTGAGTACATGTCTGCTCACTCATTACTACTTCATTCAGTTGGTCAACCCCGGCCAGTCTACTCATCTTGTCAGTCACGTCCATCCACCAAGATTAATAGCTAGGATCCAGCACTCACCATACACCATGCGCTCCTCGATACGCCTGGCCACCACCACCGCATCGCCCACCCGCACCGTTTGGCCATCGGACTTCCCATCCAGAAACACATATCGTCCAAACACCGGGCTGAACCTGGCCCCTTTATCCACACGACGGTCCTTCATCAGCTTCTTCAATACTGTGCCTGTCTCGCCCGTGCCCATCTTCCCCGTCGCATAGTCCACATTGAGACTTTGACACCGCACGCAGTTGGCCGTGAGCAGCAACCTTGCCAGCCCCTCACCTGCACCCTGATCCTGGCCCACCTTCAACTCCGCCCAAAAGTCCTCCTCAAAGGCCGTCTGCGCCCCCGCCACCACGATATTCGGCCGGAACTTGGTGACATCCATCTCCTCGTCGCCCGTCAACCGCGCTGACACATCAGCCACCGACGTCCGGGACACAAGCAAGTATGGCGCCGTATCTGCAAATGTGATACGTTCCCCCTTGCGCGCCCATCCGCCCCCGTACCGAGTCCAACCCAACAACAGCACTGCTACCACCGTCGCCGCCAGACTCGGTAGCATTTCCCTCACCGATATCTCCCCTGGACCAACAACCCAATTCAACAGAAGCGTCGCAATCGTCAGTCCCCCAACCGCCTTCATGCTAACCCAACTATTGTTCAGCGACATATGTGCAACGCTCTTCTCCGGCGCAAAACTACCCAGCACGCCCCTCGAATGAGGTCCCAAATACGCCAACACAACCTCGTATCCGAAACACTTACTGAACCATCCGTTGTACCGCTCTCCCATGTTATATCCCTTGGTCGGGCTTTGATGCATCACAATGGCCAATTCTTCCAGACCTCGGGTATCCGGCTGCAGCGGGACCTCAAGGGTGCGGCTTTTGGCATGGTCTGGGGGACGGTACGTGACGATAATCCGGCCGCTCTCGGCGCCATCCATGGAGGGATATATGAGGTCGGTGTAGAAGAGGGACATCTCGGGGAAGTGAGGGACGTGCATATTCTTTTTGGTCGAGGTGCCATCGTCATTGTAGACGACTTTCAGGAGCATGAAACGCCGGTCGTAGGGAAAGCCGCGGGCCGTCAATTCAGCGGTAGAGAGGGTGATCCCTTGCAGGGATTTAATAGGGTAGGTGTAGAGCTGAGGGATTCATTGGCATGGTGTCAGAGAGCTCGGTAGGGGAAGGTAGAATCGGCCGTTAGGCACGTACCTCGCCGATTTGCATGCTGACTTCTGTCTGGTACGCAGTGACTGTAGTGAGAAGATACCTACAAGCAGGCCTGCAAGACTCGGAAGAGATGAAGCAGCCAACTTGCACGAGCCTGGCTGATAGGATGACCGTCGGGGAACTGGCCGCTGCATGCGGAGATAAGACGGGGAACCTCGCCTATCGAACGCTGGAGCCCTTATCGGCCCGCCCAACTCCAAGCTCAGGGTCGTCTCTTCCCCGCACGGGGAACCCTTGAGTCTTGACTCCCACCCCAGGAATCTAATTCAGAATACGCACCTTCGGAAGCTCATGGAAAGGGAAAAGAAGAAGAGAAAAAAAAAAATCTACCCTGTGTTGAATCTTTGTACAGACATTATTCGTGAAAATGAAAACCAACCCCGCAAGCATAATCCATGTGAATCATAACGCCTATTCATCCTTGGCCCATGGTAGGCTAAACGTGCCCGCCCAGTCTTCCACCTCCTGCCGTAGCAGTACAATCTCCGGAATCTCCTCGCCTTCGCGCACGTAGTCCAAGAACGCCTTGACGGTGTTCGGGTTCTTCACACCCTTGGCCGTCGCGCTCTCCTTGGCCGCCTTGTCCAGCTTTTGTGTGATGATCACCGCCCGGTCGACAATGTCGGCCACCCGACGGAAGTCCTCGGGCTGAAAGCCCCGCGTCGTCATGGCCGGCGTGCCCAGGCGCAGACCACCGGGCTTCAGCGCCGACTTGTCACCCGGCACAGTGTTCTTGTTACTGGCCACACCGCACAGCTCCAACACGCGCTCTACACGTGCACCGTCCACACCACGGTTCTTCAGGTCAACCAGGACCAGGTGGTTATCGGTACCGCCAGAGACGATGTTGTATCCCAGGCCTCCGTTACTGAGCGGGTTACCCAAGCGCTCCGCCAAGGCCTGCGCGTTGGACAAAACCGTCTCCTGGTAGGATTTGAACTCGGGCGACTGGGCCTGCTTCAGCGCCACAGCCAGGGCGGTGATGGTGTGGTTGTGGGGGCCGCCCTGATGACCTGGGAACACAGACGCGTTGATTGGGCCCTCCAAGTCATACATCTCCGGGTTGCCCTTCTTGTCCGTCCGGCGGACACCCTTGCGGTAGAAGATCATCGCCCCGCGAGGACCGCGGAGGGACTTGTGGGTGGTGGTGGTCACCACGTCTGAGTAGGGGAATGGCGATGGGAGTACACCAGCGGCCACTAGACCTGAAATATGGGCCATGTCGCTCAGCAGATATGCGCCGGCAGCATCGGCAATCTGGCGCATGCGGGGGTAGTCAATTAAGCGGCTATAGGCCGAAGTACCGGCGATGATGAGCTTGGGGCGGTAAAGAAGAGCCTGCTTCTCCAGGCTATCGTAGTCAATGAGGCCCGTAGACTCATCCAGCCGGTAGGGCAGAGTCTCAAAGTATTTCGAGATGAAGGAAATCTTCTTGGTGGGGGTCTGGTAGCCATGGGACAGGTGGCCACCATGGGGCAAGTCTAGGCCCATCAGGCGGTCGTGCGTGTTCAGGATGGCAGAAATGGCATACAGGTTAGCGGGGGAGCCGGACAGGGCTGCGCCAGTCAGTACGTCTGCAAAGAGTCACCTGGATAGGGGAGCTCACGCTGCACGTTCACACCCCATTCCTCGGGGTTGAGGCCGAAGGTCTCGAGCGCACGCTGCTGACATAGCCGCTCAGAAGCGTCAATGTGTTCGTTTCCTCCGTAGTATCTAGCACCGGGGTATCCCTCCGAGTATTTGTCTATAGTCGCATCAGCTTGAGCTGCTTCAGGTCCGATCAATTGCCAATGACTGACTTTGCATTACACTGCCCAGCGCATCGAGGACAGCTTGTGATGTGAAGTTCTCAGAGGGGATGAGGTTAATGAAATGCTGCTGGCGTTTTTTTTCCTATCCCGAATGAGCAGATGTGGGATTTCGTCTAGCAATTGGCAGCCTACCTTCTGAAGAATGTCATAGATGGCGGAGTCGGCCTCCTCGAGGGGTGCGGAGAGCAGCTGGAGACGAGAGTCAAATGATATGGTACGATTGATATGGTATGACATCAGACAACCTGAAAGGTTGCTGCACGGCGCAGATTCAACGAAACTAGAAGGTACATACCGTTTGCTGTCCATCCCGAGCGGAAGAGGAGGAGGATACACTGCGGGCTTGCAGTGACAGTCGGAGGGGCGACGCAGAGGCAGGACGGAGTTGGAGAGGGATGGCGGTGGACCGAATGCCGGAGCTTGCAGTGCGCGGGAGCAGGCGCGAGGCCTGACGTCCACAACGACCCAACATGATGAGGATGGGGTGTTGGAGTGTGATGAATGGAATGAGGGATGAGGAATGAGGAGAGCAAGGTAGCGAGGGGAAGAAGAAGTAAAGATGAGAGAGAAAGAAGGAAGGAGGAATGGGCGGACAAAGAGAGAGGCAGCAAGGAATGCGCGCGGTGATGGTATCAGCTCCCCGGCGCTGATAGCGAGAGCCGCCCGGCGGTTGCCCGTTGGCTGCCAGTTGCCCGCGGGAAGCGGATTCCCCCAACCCGGTTCGGGACTAGCATCTCCGAATGGCCCGTGCGGACGGAAAAAGTAGAAAGTCCGCTTCCGCTCGCTTGGACGGGTTTTTATCTGGCCTTCTTCCTCTTCCTTTCCCTTCTCTTCTTCATCACACAACTAAATCCAAGATGAAGAAGGGCGCTTAACCTTGGCAGTTCTCGTGGATTGCCGGCCTCGGCGGGCTATCCCGGGCGATGCTGACATGTCCCCGCCTCCAACCATCCATAAGGGACAATTTGAACCATCCGATTGGAATTTTATGGTTTGTGTGGTTAGCTCTGGATCTGAGCCCGAGTGCAGAGTGCAAAGTATAGGCTAGGAAGATTGGATTAGCTAAGCAATGCGAGCTGTCTTGATGATCAATGATGATCCCTGATCTGAGTATTCCGTACTAAGGAGAAGTAGAAGTAGACAGACTTCCACTCTGGGAGGATGATCTCCAGTGACCGACTCGACCTATGAATAGCAACCGCCTTGGCTAGATGCTCAACACGGCAAGGATTCTCAGGAGTCGACAAACCTTAACAGGATGGTCCCTGAGGGCCTTGAGGGAGAGGGACTAGGTACTGGGTAGGTAGGTAGAGAGTGAAGAGAGCATCCAGACCGACGGGGAGGAAGGAGGAAGGTTGGGCTCATTAATTGGCGGTGTTTCACCATGGCCAGTTGCCCGGTTGTTCCTGCAGCGCGCGAGATTGAACGTGGGGACTCCTGGGGAGGGCCGAGATTATTGTTGGCTGGTATGGGCGCGGTAATGACGGGTCCAGACCGGCAGACCCTATCTCTTTCCTCAGTTCCTGCTTGATCCCAGCGGGGAAACGAGTACCAGACCCGTAATGCAGTACCGACCTAGGATACTTGCAGCTTAGAGCGACTCCATCACGGCCCTCCACTTCCTCAGTTATATTAATTCTGATCGGCCCGCCCGTTCGCCTCCTTTTCTCCTCTTCCTTCTCTTTCTCTCCCTCTCTCCCTTCCCTCTCTCACCCTCTCTTTTCTTCCCCTCATTCACTCGCTGTTTCAGCTCTTCCGGTTCTTCAAACCGAGTACATTCTTTTCCCGACTCAGTCAGTCCCTCAAAGTCACTCTTTAGACCGCAAATCCAGACAAGAGACATCTCAAACACTCTTCCCGTCAGTCTTTCGACGTCATCCAACTGTCAAACAATCAACCAACCAACCAAACAAACACATCACAATGCGTGTCTCTTCCGCTGCTGTCGTTGCCTCCCTGGCTGCCGGTGCCATTGCCACCGAGTACAAGACCGTCGTCGTCACCGAGTACACCACCTTCTGCCCTAAGGCTACTTCCCTGGCTGCTGGCGGCGGTGCCGGTGCCAGTGCCGAGACCAGCCCTGCTGCTGCTCACGTACGCCTTTTCCCCAGATCCCAGATCTCTCCGCATATAGTACACCTGCTGATCCGGCCATATAGCCTACCACTGTCACCATTTCCGGTACCCCGTACACATACTCCACTCCCCTGGTCACCTCTACCGTGACCCACTGTGACAAGTGGTAAGTCTCATGTCGACCTCAAATCGTCTGTTCAAACATCCTCCAGCTGACATGATATCAGCAGCTCTGCCACCGCCGCCCCTACCGCCTCCGCCTCCTCCCCCAGCGGTGCCGGTGCCATCGGTACCGGTGCCTCTCCTAGCTCCGGCTCCGGTGCCGGCTCCGGTGCTTCCCCCAGTGAAGGTGCTTCTGGCTCCAGCTCTGGCTCCGGTGCTTCCCCTACCGAGGGCGCTGGCGCTGGTTCTAGCTCTGGTGCTTCCCCCAGTGGAGCCGCTGCTGTCGGTACCGGTGCCTCTCCTAGCTCCGGCTCCGGTGCCGGCTCCGGTGCTTCCCCCAGCGAAGGTGCTTCTGGCTCCAGCTCTGGCTCCAGCTCTGGCTCCGGTGCTTCCCCTACCGAGGGCGCTGGCGCTGGTTCTAGCTCTGGTGCTTCCCCCAGTGGAGCCGCTGCTGTCGGTACTGGCCCCTCCCCTAGCGAAGGTGCCTCTGGTTCCGGCTCCGGCTCCGGTGCTTCCCCCAGCGGTACTACCGCTGGTTCCGGTTCCGGCGCTGGTGCTGCTGGTGCCGCCGGTTCGTCTGTCCCCAGCGGAGCCGCTGCCATCGGTTTCGGTGCCACCACCACTCCCATCGTCACTTTCGCCACCCCCGCCCCCAGTGGCTTCCACTCTTCTCGCCCTCTGATCTCCAGCAAGCCTGTCTCTTCCAAGCCGGTTTCCTCCAGCGCCCTCCCTGCCTCTAGCTCTGTCGCTAGCTCTTCCTCCAGCTCCACCAGCTCCGGCTCCAGCTCCAGCACCAGCACTGGTTCTTCCGGCACCTCCCCTGAGGGTGTCTCTGCCGCTGGCACTGGCTCCGCCACTACTCCCTCCGCCCCTGTTTACACTGGCGCTGCTTCCCGCGCCGCGGTCGGCGCTGGTGCTGGTTTGGCCTCGGTCTTCGCTCTCGTCGCTTTCCTCCTGTAAATGATCCAATAGACTTGAGTCGGAAATCATGGAATACCTAGATCAAAGGAAGGACATCTGGAGAAGTTCAATTTCTCTATTTCCTGGGCATTGTATCCCGTGTGAGATTTCGTTGCACTGGTGATGGTGATGGTGATAAGATGATTGTGGATCGGATTGGTGATTTCCTTTGTTTGTGTCGATATTAATTTTTCACGACTGACAAATAACCTACTTTTTACCGTGTGTGCTTTATACCTACCTTCCTGGATCTTCTGACGTCTATGTTTGTTTGTTTCCTTTTTCTTTATCTATATTCGTCTACGGCTTTGCATTGCTTGGCTTCCGGTTGATCGCTTCTTTTTCCCTGTTTATAACTTTAATGTTCGAGTCACGTCTCTGGAGCAATTTCAGATACTAATTCCTCCCTTAAATACTTCATTGCATTACATTGACTTGCGTAAACAGACGTTTGATATCCAACTGGGTAAGAGTGGTAAATGACAATCTTATTATAGCTTCGCCCGTTCCCGTCGCTCAAAGTACTCGCGCACCCGTCGTCGCGCCTCGTCCACTGCCTCCGTGTCTTCGACCGTCGGTGGTACATTCACGGGCGCCTCGTATTCTCCGCGCACAGCTTGCTCGACCAGCTCCCGCAGCACCCGTCGCAACGTCTTTCCACTACGCGTCTTGGGGATCATTCCCCGTCCTTGAATCATACCCCCAAGGGACGCGATCGCCCCAATCTGCTCTCGCACCAGCTGATTCACTTCCTGGAACAGTTCTGCCTCTGGCGTCGCGGGTAGGGGCCCGGTTGCTGTCCGTGGTTGGATGAACGCAAATGGGAGATGTCCCTTCAGCGTGTCAGGTATGCCAACCACGCTGGCCTCTCCTATTTGCGCATGCGAAAGGATCGCTTGCTCAATGGCACCTGGGATACTTAGAACGGTCTTAAAGATATGTTCTGCGACGCAACATTGACAATGCCTACCGGTACTGAAGCGATGTGCAGCGACGTTGATGATGTCATCCGACCGCGCCATGATATGTATATATCCATCAGTATCAACCAAACCTGCATCTCCTGTGTCGATCCACTGTCCTCTGAATCTACGCAGGTAGCCCCGGTAGAATCTCTCATCGTCATTGAAGAGTTTTGTGAATGCTGTAGGTGCCAGTGGCATGCCTAGCACAATGTTGCCCATCGTACCTTGAGGGACCTCCTTTCCCTCGTCGTCCACAACACGTACGTCAAAGCCAGGCATGGCTAGACCCGCCGATCCTGGTCGGATGGCCAACGGCTTCACTTTATCATTGCTGTACGATGATGACGCTATTGCAGCGGCGCTCCTCAGCGCCAGCCCAGAAATGGGGGCCCCAGACTCCGACGACCACCAATTGTCCACTACCACTGCACCGGGTGCGGCATATTGGTTCAAGAGTTCCTGATAGGCCTGGATAATGCTGGGCTCGCTCCGTTCGCCGGCAAGGAACAGTGCGCGAAAGTGTCGGAGACCGCCACGTCGGGCAACTTCTTTAAAGCAGCGATTGTCTGGGTCATCCTTGCGGATGGCCCGCATGGCTGTAGGTGCCGTGAACAGCACGTGGGCCTTATGCTCTTCAATGACCCGCCAGAATGTGCCTGCATCTGGCGTTCCCACTGGTTTCCCTTCGAAGAGGACAGTCGTTGCCCCAACCAAGAGTGGTCCATACAAGATGTATGAATGGCCGACCACCCAGCCAATGTCGGAGGCGCAGAACATGACATCTCCCGGCCCTTGGATGTCAAACAGATACCTAACCGAAAGCTGGAGTCCAACCGCATGACCTCCTGCCTCTCGAAACACTCCTTTGGGCGATCCCGTGGTGCCTAGATTATCCTCGATGTCAGTCGTAGCCAAAGCCACGCTTGAAGGTTGGGACGTACCGCTAGTATAAATTATATATATTCCATCCGTGCTATTCACGGGTACCGGCTCGGCCTTGATGCCACGCATACGCGCGCTCTTCACCAGCCGTTGCCAGTTTCGTTGTCCGCTTAACTTGTCGGGGTTGTTCCATCGTAACTGATCCCTCTGCCAGACGATCACTTTCTCCGGCTTGAAGTGGCTCAGTTCAATAGCCCCCTCGACTAGCGGCCGATAGGCGATAGGGCCTTTCGATCCTTCGATACCACACGACGCCGTCATAATTATGCGTGGCTTGGCTGCTTCGACACGCTGCGCAAGTGACTTGGCTGCAAATCCGCCAAAGACAGCTGCATGTATAGCGCCTAAGCGCGCGATCGCCAAAGCAGCAATGAGCGCCGGAGGAATCATAGGCACTGCTGTTTGTCAGGTTCCCGTCCATTTAACACAAGGGGAGGATGGCTCAAATGCCAGCCTTACTGTAGATAATGACAACGTCCCCCTTTCGTACACCCTCTTCCCTCAACACTCCCGCCAAAACTTCTACCTCGTCCAACAGCCGTCGATAGGTATATTTCTCCTTGGTCCCCGTCACGGGAGACTCCCAGATAATTGCAACATTATCTCCATTCCCGTTCTCAACGTGCCGATCCACACAGTTGTAAGTTGTAGAGATCTCTCCGTCTGGGAACCAAGTCCAATGATCATGGTTGGCACCGCTAGGCACAGTCTTAGACTGGTGGCTGATGACACACGATGGCTTTTTATGCCAGTGCAATTGTTCTGCCTGGTGAGACCAAAAGCCTTCGGGGTCCCGCAGGGACGCCGTGTGTACCAATTGCTGTGGGTGGAGTGACATCCTGGCTTGATAGCGATGCTTGCAAGGTGAGGTATTGGACTCGCGAAGAAACCGGGAGAGGAACCGCAGGTTATTGACCCGAGACTAATAAAAGCACAAGAGCTGAAAAACGGTTCCAAAGTAACCAGTCAACATGGCCAACGGATTAGAGCGGTGTCCGGTGTGAGGGTGAGGGTCCTCCTGCAGATACTCAGCGGTTAGTCCATGTCACATTCCGCGGATAGGCCAAGAATCGGAGGTGCTATCCTGGACCGCGCTGAGTTATGGGGAGACTAAGTGTGTTAGCAGTCACGCCGGTGCCTGACCTGCATGATCGGAGGTTGCGCTGGTTTATACTAGATCGACGCGCCGCCGAGGTCGAGGGGTAGGTAGGTCGTTCAGCAGTCACCTTCGCATGGGTGGCGAGGGGTTGTCCAGGTGTTTGTGGCGACCCGACCGTACGGCGCCAACATTGTACCGACAGGGATCCCCGATGACAGGAGGGGTTGATTGCCGAGGAGGAGAAATGAGGAGAGGGGAGGGGAGGAGAGGAGCTGCGGTGGTGGGGACAGTACGGCAGCCGAGGGATAGATAGGAACCGAGAGGAGAGAGGATGGCCCATAAGTAGGAAAGTAGCTTTCTTTCCCCGCACGCCGAGCCGAGCGGATCTTCTGTCTGCCTGCGTTACTTACGATTATTACTGAATATCGGTTCTTAGGGAATAGGGTGATACATTCAATCGGATACTTAAATATTATACTAGTCGGATCCCTTTTTTTTGGGTCTTTTGTGGGAGTGCAAATGCATCGAAAATCACAACTCAAAAGCTCAGCCGTAGGGTATCATATCGCAATGCCTGCTAAACGGTCGACTGCCATCCTCGCTCTACCGGACGAGTCCCCCGTCCATCACGGCCCCTCCTCGTGCCCTTCGACCATCCACCATCGCCCCGCCTATCGGCCCTGCCTGCCTTCTAGCCGTCACACGCGTTCGTCGCGGCGACCCCCCCCAAAATACCGAAGGGGAACCATGGAAGCGCGATGAAAACCCAGGAGATTGGGGGTTGGGCCAAGGGGCGCCGAACAAACAAAGCCAAATACGAAAAGAACAGAGATTGCCCATCGTTCTATGGTCCCAGCAGCTCCTGAATCCCCAGCCTCGTGAAACGTAAGATCCCCAATGTAGCCGAAACACCCTGCCATGGACGCGAAAAAAATCACCTCCCGCACATATAATACTATTAATAAACAAGCATGGTTCATGCATCAAGCACATCCTGTTGCCCAACCCCGCATCCGTGCGGGTTGGGTGCCGGCGATAAAAGGGAATCGAGAGGGAGAGATGATAACGAAAGAAAAGAATAAGTCGAAAGCTGTACTCTGCGTAGAGAGCTTGATGAGCGGCGAAGCGTCGAACAGCGAATATGAATATAAGAAGGATATTGCTCCTGGGGTGACCCGCATCAGATCATATAAGAAGAGTAAGAGATAGGTAGGTCGGGGCAGACGTGTGAGGGAAAAAATGGTGTGAAGCAACAATTGGACCCCCGACTGATCGAGGAAGAAAGGCATATCCTTGGGCTCCTTGCAGCAGCAGGAGCCAAAATATAGGAACCAGGAATAGAATCAATCAGCCAGCTGAATGGGCCATTCATGACCACCTATTCACAGAATCGTGCACTTGAACGGGCGGCGATGGCTTCCCGTACGGTCGGGCCGGAACGATCTAGGATACTCCGGACCAGGGTCACGCATAGGACCCAAGCCGGTCGTTCGTCTGTCTTGAGACCGCCCCTGCTGTTGCTGGCGCTGTTGTCGGAGCATTCGAACGACGTCGTAAAACGCCTTTTCGACATTGATGCAGTTCTTTGCCGAGGCTTCGACGAATTCACAGCCGAGATCTTTTGCTAGTGCTTGTCCTTCCTGGGCCGAAACAGCGCGCTCGACAGCTTTGTCGCTTTTGTTACCAACCAACATGACTGGCACTGGGAGCGTGGGACCTGAGGGCGCGTGGATCGGAGACCCCAGGTAACTGGCGCCAGAGGGTGACCCAGAATTGGCCGACTCCTTGACCATCTTGATCTGGTTGTAGAATTTCTGTATCCGGGAGAAGGAGGCCCTCGAGGTAATGCTGTAAACAAGAACGAACCCTTCACCGTCACGAATCCATTGGTCCCTCAATGCCGTGTATTCCTCTTGGCCTGCTGTATCCAGCACTTCCAACATGCATGACTGTTGGTCAATCACGACTTGCTTACGATACGAGTCTTCAATGGTCGGGTCGTATGTCTCAACGAAGTGATTTAGACAAAGCTATTGGGTAAGACCAAAGTCCAGAGATCAGTTGCCGGAACATCACCGCGGGCGGGAACGCGAAGAGCAAACCTGAATTGTAAGGGCTGTTTTCCCGACACCACCATCCCCTAGCACCACCAATTTGTACAACGTCATTTTTCCCGACATGGCGATTGATTATCGTATCCCGAAGGTAGGGTGAGAAATTCTGGGGTATTCGGTGTGCACCTGAAAATAACCGGTGCGGGAGGAGACCACAAGGGTAAGGGAGGGAGAGAGGGAAAGAAAAGAAAAGCAAAGAGATCTATGAGGGCTCCACGGTAAGCACGGACGCGGGAACGGAGCGTTGCGATTTGCGAAACGCTGGGGGTCCTAAGAAGTACGGCTATTTGGGTAGTGCGATTAGCCACTGGAATCCATTGCCTTTAGACCACAGTCCAAGCTCACAAATCCACACCGGAAGTGATAGGAGCACCCAGAGGCGAAAAAATCACGTACCTGAAGCGCCGTGGGGGGGAGAAGTCGAAGGGAAAGGTCTGGGAGAAAAGCGATGGAGAAGTCGCCGGATTTGCGTTACTGCGACCTTTAAACCAATAATGTGGAAAAAGCAACCAAAGATGGGAAGAAAAACAAGTTCAACGAGAACCTCTTGATTTGACTCGAAGGATCTCAAATAAGCGGCCACCCACAGCTGCAGAATGGCACAAGCGGGCGGAGTTCAATTAGTGAGCTGGCCCGTAACTCCGCGAGAACGTAAGAAAATAAGATGAACGGGGCTCGCCCGAGCTTCGAGACACACAGAAGGTTTGCCTCAAGGTAATACTGCCACGTGAGGGGCGAGACGCAGACAATGATCGCCAGCAGCGGATGTACTGAAAGTATCCGCAGGCTGCAAAGATGACTTTAGTGATCTGGGTTTGTTTGGCGAGAGGTGGAGGGGGAGGGGAAGAGGCGCAGGTCCAAGGAGGTCAAAAGAGGCTTGGCCGGAAAGAAACAACGGAAGAGGGGCAACCCTCAATCTTTTTGATGGAACGGTCCCGGAAAAGTAAAGTGCCCAGGAATCCGATTGAGATGATTGTGGAAAAATAGGTTGGGAAGTCTTCAGGTTGAAGAAACTTCAAGCAGCAGGGAAAGAGGGGGGGGGGGGGGGGGGAAATGAATTGAGAGAAGGGTTTGAGAAGGACAGGAGAAAGAGGGTGTAAGGGCAAAAAAAAAAAAAAAAAAAAAAAAAAAAGGAAGACTAGGATAGAGAGGATAGATAATGAAGCGGCGGAGACGATGATCCTTGCTGGAGACCAGCAGCCGCGGTTTAGTTTCGTGGTGGAGGGAATCAATCAATGGGCTAGTTTGGGTCAAGGATTCGTTTGGATCGATCTGACTGGACCAACACGATTGGGACTGGAACGAAGGGTCATAGGATGGATCCTAGTAGCTGAGAGTCAGAGAACAAGCAAGCCAGAGGCTATGTACTAGTAGTGAATGAGGAAGAGAAAGAAGGAAGAGGAAGAGGAGCAGGGAGGGAGTCGCAGTAGGAGGAGGGGGTGGAAATAATCCGACCGAAGGAGGGGAAAGGAAGTGTGTAGAGGAGAGAGAGGACTCTGTAGAAGAGCAAGAGTCAAGTCAGTCAGTCAGTCAGTCAGTAGTGGCGGCAGGCAAGTCAACTGAAGGTAATCTGGAGCTGGACAATGCTGCAGAGAGACCCACGGGAGGAGGAAGAGGAAAGGAGGGGGTCCCCCTCTCGGTATGGTACCGTATGGTCATTCTGGTATCGCTGGATGCAAGTCTCCTGGTGGGTACCAGGTACCTTCTGTTCAGGTACACTTCTTCTGCTTCTCCTTCTCCTTCTCATACTATCTACTAAACATGAGAACCTGATGTGCAGGGTCGATTGACTTCCTAAAAAACATAGTGAGCGAGGTGATGGTTCAACCAATGCTCCCGGGATATGCTGCAATTACCAATGGCACTGGGAACGAGAGAAAGTTGGAAGCCATCTGTCGAACCGAGACTAGATCGAAAATCTAGGCCGTTGCGCTCAGAGATCATGACATTATTACCTTCCTTACTACTCCTTCCTTACTACTATTAGCCACCTTCCAAACGGACAACAGGCTCATGTCTTCCACAGCCCTTCGATTGCTGCCTGCGACACCTTGTGCTTTACATCATCGTCTGTCCTTGTCCCACCTCAAATCCTTTGTCCCCCTAGAGGGCATAAGTTCCAATCCGGGTTGAAGTCCAGTCTTGAGATGGTTTCGGGTAGACACGAAGTGGGTGCATGGGAAACACTAAGTTCAAGGCTGCTCTCCACAAACAGAAAAGGCGTGGTAACGAATCGTATTGGCCCGATTGCAGGTTGGATCAGGACTCGTGAACAATATTCTAACTCTTGGTGTTACTACCACTCAGGTACTGCGGTGTTCGCCTCGTGCAGATAGTCCAACCCTCCGGTGGTGCCATTTTTGACCAGCCATGGATGAAAAACAGCCAGACCACGCGCACTTTGTGTAGGTGAGCAGCTGGTTAAGAACCATGCGCCACCTGGTAAGTACCCGAGGTTCTACCAAGGGACCTGGGGGTAGTGTAAGATATGACGCCTTATGGAGCAACGCACTCGTCTGTATGGACCGACAAAGGTCCATGAGGACCCATCCATCCCATGCAGCAGGAGGATTTTCACGGTTGATGATGCCCTAAGAGTCGCCAGTTCCACTCGAGTGCGACGGGGAGAAGGAAAGAACATTCCGCGCCCCCCTGGGGAACCAGACTAAAACCAATCTTTCTGATTAACTTTCCCAGGTCCCATTGTAGTCCTGCCTACGGAATACTGGAGAGGGCAGTCTGGCAGGAGCTGTCGTGCTTGCGAGCTGGAAGAGGAAGACTCAACTATCCCAAGGATACGAATATCCTATTACTTATTATTTGCACGCTATTGGGGGGTGAACCTTGATGTTCGCCAGCACAGGTTCGAGTACACAGCAATATTAGTCCCCGATGTTCTCGAAAACTAAAAAGGGGCCAGGCATAACAAAGGCTCCAGAGGGGGTATATGACGTTTGCGGTTTGACAAATCCTCTTCCGGTCAGGCTTAAGTCGAGGTAGGGAAATCCCTGAACTCCATGGAACTGGAAGACACCCTGGTGGAGACACCCTCCCCCCCTATTGCATCGGCATCACAGCGAGACTTTTTGAAAGCCGAAGTCAGCTCGTAACCCAACGCCAGCAGTGAATATGGCATAATGATGTATGTCCGTCGGCCTTAGTCGTCGCTCATCCCACTATGGTCGAGTCTCCAGCATGGGCAAGGTAGAGATACCCACGGAGCCATTCTCTGTTCACTTCGATGACCTTCTATCATTGGGAGGAACAGATCAGTATCGGGCCGGTCCATAGCGCGAGTTGGACCTCCGGACCTACGGTTGTAGGCCCTGTGATCGAGCTTACCTACTCCCTACAGTACCCTACAGCAACGCACTATACTCCTAATTCTCCTATCCCATCGGGTGAGAAGGTTAGGCGAGGATACCTCAGTTCTCATCACCTCACCACCGCTTGACCGGGCTGGGACCAACCAAACCACTTACCAAGCCACATTATAGGCACGGCGCCTTGGGGAAGAACATCCTATCGGGTTCTTTTTATTTTTTTTATGGTTTTCCTCCGGGCTCTCTTCTCTTTATCCTGTTTGGGGTTACCGAGGGTGACAGGATTGGAGATTCCGACCACGGGTACTCCGTACAAAGTCATCCATCCCCTGGATTATTATTACATCGAGCTCCCTTTCGACCACCATGGACCAGACTTATCAGCACCCAGCACTCAACAGCCTGCTTACATGAGAGGAGCTCCGTTAATCACCTTCCTTGTTGGGGGGACCAGGCCGCCGTTGACACCTGGGTTAATATGAATTAATCAACGTAGAATCCACCAGGAGCGCGAACCCATGCACCCCCCTGGCCTATCTGGTAAGGACATTAATCAATTTAGTATCCGACTCCGTCACTCCCGGCTCCCTTATGTTCGAATAATATCCCGGCCCCGTTTCCTTCCACGTGGGTGGCTAGCTTTCGGGGACTAGATACTAGATAGGACCCAGGTCGGTACTGGACGGCGGTCCGTGGTCCAGAATCGGTCCTCGCAATCGTGGTCAGCGTCATCTTCATCAGAGGTAATCTCGAAGAAAATTCTGACCCCGACGGGATGCCCTTCGCCTCAGCCGACGCTACCGGGCTAGTCTTTGTCCCATCCCAATCAAACTGACTCGCACGCCCTCAGCGGTGGAATCGGGTCCGGATCATGCTCCGGGAAAGGCTCCAGTTGCCAAAATCGTTGAGTAATGGATAATAATAACGGATAATCTCTACAATTCTACTCCGTACATAGGTACGGAACACACAGTGCACATCCCTCCCTGGTTGCATGACTTGCATGCATTTGCAGCGATCGCTACAGAGTACGTGCATCACCCACCGACCATGCAGGCCCTTGATCCAGCGCATGCAGCTCGGTCGCAGTGGTGCTTGATTGATTGCCGGACCATGTTGCCAGAGAAACTGACATCGTTCAGGGCCAAACATGTGAACGGGTCAGGGGGGGTGGGGGAGGGGGCGTCCCACTGCCCTGGGTCACTACTACATAGTATTACCTAGGCTATCTACTAATCGTACCTGGTTAACTGCCCACTTTGCACATGGCTTTGGATCCCCGTGCATCCTGACAGCTTCTTCCTACCTTGTTCCTAGTACCAGCAGGGTTGATCGCACGCCCTGTGGTCGACAGGTGACCTACTCCGTACTTCGGAAACACGTGTCCAGTGTCTGTCTCATTCCACTAAGGCCCCATGGTGAGTGGAATTTGCCATCCACCCACCCTGGCTTCATACCAGTGTGTAATATAGTGGTTCAGACCCCCTGAAACTGGGAGGGCCCTCCGCAGAAGAATGGAATGTCGCCGGCAGTTCTAAGTTCTTCCATCCATCTTCTAGAGAGGTCCGGATCGGTCCACCACCTCAGTCGTCACTCGTCGGTCCTCACCGACTCGTGAAACCGATCATTGAAAAGGAGCATAGTCTCCGAACTTCAACAAATTCGAAGCCAGATTGGGTCTGACCACTGACCAGTGGCCTCGCCAAGGCAATCTAGGAAGTTAACAACAGTCTAGTAGGGCTTGTCCCTCGGGAGATGCGGGTAGTTCTGCGAGGCCTCCTGGCTCGAGGGTCCCCCGGCTTCGATTGCCTCTCCTCGTTAGTCCCTGAGCTGCTACGACTGCCATCGTCCTGACTAGTAAAGTCTAATTACGGTCTTGAAGTCTAACAACTAACAAACCTATCGGTAAACTGTACCGCTTCCTGCCTCCTGGTCATTCCTGGTGAGTAACGTTCTTAGTTTAACGGTCGGGGTTGGTCTGATTATTGTTGCAACAGCCGTGGGTGAGTGGATGATTTTGTGCTCAATCTCCCATACAAAAAGGTGAAAACAAAAATAAAAATAAAAGGATAAGAAGAAGAAGAAGAAGAAGAAGAAGAAGAAGAAAGAAAGAAAGAAAGAAAGAAAGAAAGAAAGAAAGAAAGAAAGAAAGAAAGAAAATGGTTCCCTACCACTTTCCTCGACGATGACGTGGAGACCACATCCCAACCTCAAGTGATACTGAAAAAGATGTCTGATCTCAGTGCACATCTACGCATACGCCACTGGTGATCATTGTTATTCACTACGCCTCCAAGGGCAGGATGTCCGGAGATGGTCCAGCCGGGATGATCGTCTGGATGCTGCGTTTCCCTAGCGCCTTCAGGTAGTTGAATTCGTACTGCCCAAGGCCGTTAGCGATTGCCACCTTCAGAGTCTGCGACTCACTTACGATTTAGAAAAAAAAAAGTTGTCTTTTTGAACGCCCCGCCCCGGGTGCGTTGCGTCTCATCATAGTACAGCCGTCGAAACCAACAGTCGATCAGCGGTTAACCATGCCGGATCATCCTCAGGTTACAGCGGAAAATCAGGTAATAGGCCACATCAAACCGGCAAATCGTTGTGAACAGTCGGATGTCTGCCTCAGTGATGTTCTCTCCAAATAGGTATGGCTGATGTGCCGGCTGTGCCAAGTGCTGCTCAACTCAGTCCAGGGCCGCGAACAGGGTGTACACATTCTCATTATAAGCTTCCTGTGCCGTGGCAAATCCGGTTTTGTATACCCCGTTGTTAATCTTGTGATACACCCACTCGTTCATTGCGTCAATCTTTGACCTCAAGTGTGCAGGGCAAAATCCCCCGCCAGGCCGGTTGACATCACGCAGCTCTTCAGGGAGAAAGAATATATATGGTCGAACCCGGTGTAGAACATCCTGATAAGTTCGCTACTCTCGTTTTTCACGATCGTTGCCCTCTTCTTATCCCAGAGCATCGGGACGGCGTACCGGCCCTTATAATTCAGATCCGCTTTGAGATACATTCGGCTCAACATTCTGAACCCGTACAGGGGATCCTTCTTTGCGGTTCAATATCGACCAGAGAAGAACCAACCCTCGGGGCCCAATTCGGGGTCCAAAACGACCAGCTGGATGTCCTCAAGGCCCTTAAGGGACCGTACCAAGTTGGTCCGGTGCGCCCACGGACATCTGGAATTCAAGTATAGGACATAGCGATCCTTTTCAGCAGGGAATTCTGCATTAGGATCTCCCAAGATGAACGAGCGGAATGCGGAGTCCTTGCGCCGGAAGTGACCGTCTGCATCGGCATGGCGATACACTTGGGATTCCTGTGACCTTAGCTTCCCCTGCTTTGTCGGATCTCGACAGACATGGGCTATACCTGTTCTGCCATCCTATTGACAAACCGATCAGTCGAGATTTACCACAGTGATCGATACCTCCAAGTTTGTCAGAGGAAAAGGAAATTTCTTGCATCGCGCTGTCGAAATCAGATATTTATATTCAAGTCTGGGCTGGACAAGCGTGTTGCGCCATGTCAATGTCGCTGAACGCTGACAAATCGACACGACACTGGGTCTCGACAGGCGGGGCAGAATTTCAAGGATCAGGCAAAAGGACAACGGTGCTCCGTACATCTCCATTAATATTTTGTCTTGGTACGAGGGCAAAATTGCACCAGGGAAGAAGTACAGATGCTGGAGATTATGGCACATCAGCTTTTGCTGGACAAGAAACGTGTAAGAGCGATTTCAGACCCTCCTGTGCAGGGCCCCTACGAGCTCGTTTCTGTCGGAATGCCAAACCGCCTGGCTACTTCAACCAAGCCACCACAGCCAAGACTGAACCACTGGTCGACAAAGCCCTCCAGTCTAGCTTCAGCAATCTGCTCAGAAGTAAGGGTTTCTTCCTGGGGCCGTTCAATATAGATTGTCATGAATCCCAATGCCTTTGCCGCTTTGAGGTCGTATAAGTGCGCAGCCACCATACCACACTCAGTGGGATCTAAGCCGAACCGCTTGGCTGCTCCATGATATACCTGAGGAGCGGGCTTATATGCCCCGAAGTGCTCAGCGCTTGCCACGTCCGTAAAGGGCAGAGACCCATAGTTCCGAAGATCTTCCAGGAGAGCCACATTACCATTTGACAGGATGCAGGTACGGAACTGGCAGTTCAACAGTCTTAGACCTTCCACTGTGTCCGACCAAGGTTCAAGACGATGCTAACAGAGTGCAAGATCCCACCGCTCTTCATCTGTGAGCATGCCATCGAGACCTCTCTGCTGGAGCAATTTCTGGATATAGGTGTAGTGATGCTCATCGACCGAGACAAACGATGATGATGGCTCAAAGCTTGCCGTAAAATGAGCATAGGATGCGCGCCATTCTTCTGCAATCGCCTGCCAGTCTTCAGGGTTCATGGCCCCTGCCTGTACACGGACATCCACCGACAGCTGCTTCCCAGGGTCTAAAAGGGCGCTCTCGGGCGCTCTCATCAGGGTTCTAGTGACACAATAGCGCTATTCCACGACGGTGCCAAAGACGTCAAAAAATAGCGCTTTCGGAAGCGGGCCGATCGACATGACGGTATGTACGATTTGACTCGTGTGGCGTACCTATCCAGCTGACGCAATATTTTGGGGTCACCGTCCGTGTGCCGTATTGCACATCCCTGGCGGAGGTGTCGGGCTGCTGGGACGTAAATAGAGATTGGATGCTGGAAATGTGGTAGTAAGTTATTACTTAGTAGACAAGACATGTAGGTAGGTGCAGGGTAAGTAGATAGCGGATGACTCCGCCAGGAGGCTGACACTGGCGCATACCAAAATAGTGCTGACGGTGTTATCTCTACTGGAATTGCCAGATCTAGTTGCTTTGGCTGGCCTATACTCTGTATGGAATTCTGGATTCGTTCATGACTTGGGAGGGGAAGCTGAGAGGGAGGGGAAGAGTGATGAGTAATGGCGCCTGCGATAAGTTATCCATTCATTCGCCAAGAGCTTTCCCCCTCCTGTCCACTATCTACTCCGTACACACGTCGAATGTACTTCTCTCTCCCCCGCCCGGTTCGAGTACGGGGTTTTCCATGTCCTTTTTGTTGTCCAGGACCCTGGACTTCGTATTAGACTCTGTGATAGGGGAGAGGCAAAGCATAAATGACATCCCCCACAAGCTGTGGTGATCTTTGGGGCCATCACATTATCACACTCGACCGCTGCTTCAGATTAATGGCCAGAAAGAACGGGGTTACGTCGCACTGGAGGCCCGCGCATCGCCGGCCCTGCATTAAATTAACGTCCACCGTTGACTACTGACCTGAGCGTCTTTTAGTTGCCCGGTTCTGGACATTGACAGCTGCAGCCCGATGATCCTCCAACGGCGTGCGTGATCTCGGTCTGTCAGTGTCTGGGACCCGAGACAGCTACAAGACTCTCTTTGTTTGTGCCCAGAGTCCGGATGCACTTTTAGCAATTAGCCCGGCCAAGAAGGCGCTATGCCATGGTCGCCTCATAATAATAGTTGATCCTGGTGCTGGATAGACCGATGGAGCGGCGCGACGGCATCCGAGACACCACCTGGACCAGCCCAGACCAGCCGCGGATATTCTCCGTCCCGGCAGTAGTGAAGAGACAGACAGATCCCTGTTCCTACTAAGGCATTATCACTTGCTATTATTGTTATTTGGTTACTCCGTACGGCGTACCTATTATATACTAAGACGCACGGTGACCTGTCAGTTCAACAGTTGCCCCTGAGGCGAAGGCCGGAAGGCGCAAAATCCAGTCCGTCTTGCCGCGTGGGTCGCCAAGGTTGACGCCGGCACTGACTACGGCCGATTAGCCTGCAAGCCAATTGGCCTTGGTAGTTGGTACGTAACTGCTCACGTTCTTTTAATTGAGTCCGGCCAGAGTGATGCTTTGACTGACACCGCGGGTTGATAGCCAGCGACTACTTTGTTCGTTCCGATCCCTCTAACGCACATCATTGCCTTGCCTCACGGACCGCCTGAAGCTGATCGCAGACCGGCAACCCGCCAAGACCATAGATGTATCAGATATTGACACCCACCTGAAAAGCCGAGAGGTGTGTTAAGTGTGACAGGAGGTGTCAACCGTCTATCCATTCCGTACTTCAACGCGGACGTGCTTAAGGGAGGCCTCTCGCAGTGCCACACTGCCAAGTGCCAACAGCAAGGATGCCTGGGAAGGGTCATTATCCCCGCCTCTAATTTCCGAACTGGGGACACTACCCAAAAGTTGAGCGCCGGGCCGCCTCCCTCTGTGGTCCTGAACCAGGGGACGGTGGAAATGATAAGTGGGGAGGAGCGAGCTATCTAAGCCTGGACGGAAGCATCCAAGGATCCTTCCCGGCTGTTCCTCTCGTGCGCCTGCTTCTGGGTTGAATTGGGTTGCGACCGACCTGGCCAACCCATGGAATGCAATGATGTTAGGGAGTACTTGATAGTTCATAGTACGGAGTACAGAGGGCGGAGATTAAAGCCTCACATGTGATCAAATCATCCAATACCACCCTGAGCCGACCGGCTGCACTTGGCTCGGACTACAATCATTAGGTAGTGGCCTCCGATCATACTCCGTCGAAATCGTCGATGGCAGCAGATCGGGTGTAACATGCTCTCCATAACCCATATGGACTCGACGGGATGCGCAGGCAGCTAAACTGCGAAAGACTAAGGAGGACTTCCTAATTATAAGTTCAATGGGTTCTGAAACACGGACCACGGGCTGAGGTGAAATTCATTGGCAACTCTGGGGCACCCGGGCAGGATGTTTTTGAAGCTTTCCCGCCCGCCCGCCTCTCAATCATACGATCGGAAAACCATGACTTACACTATCTACCTACTTCTATCTCGCCTCTGGGAGATCGAAACCTGCATGTTGGCGTAGGTTTTGTCAGTCGGTGGCTGTTCGGCATACAATAAATCCACTGGGCCAGGATATAACAGGCTGTACCTGGAAAGCCCTCGGAGAAGTCACATCAAGCCATCCATCTCCCCGTCGGGCCCGTCCAACAAACAAGCGCGGAAATCGAAATCTAGAGGCGACGATCCAATTTAGTCAACCAGTGGACCCAACTAGGTAGTTAGTAGATGGTTGACACGAACTGCCGTCAACACAACAGGTGGTGTTTACCTACCTACTGTTTAACGACCGTCCTCCACCGGCCGCCTTTGTCCCACTCATCACTTTGGTTTAGCTATCTACGGAGTACCTATCTGGGATTACTTCGTATCTTGGTTTTAATTGGTTTATTATTTACTCCGTACATTACCATTATTTTTTTTTCTTATTATTACTCTTCTCTTTCTTATTTGATTATTATCATCATTATTATTAGTATCATTATTATTTTACTATCTCGCGTTACTTCGTACGCTGAGCTGGGCTTCCCCTGCCCCTCCTCCCCATTTGATTCGCGTCAGAAGTACGGACGCAGTACTCCGTACTCCGTAGGTACGCAGGGACGATCTTCAGCCTGGCATACGACCTCCTTTTTTTTTTTTTTCCTTTTCCTGTTCCCGCGGTGTGCTGGGGACATTGCCTGTGTCGTCTTGTTTCAGATTCGACTCCCTTTGCCTACCAACACCTCCCCCCCCCCTTGGGCTTTGTTCTTCTATTGGTTACGATCTTCAAGCGACGATGTTTGGCTCTGCTATCTACCTAGTACCCCGTACTACTTACCAGTCCGCCGGTTACCAGCCATTCGTCTGCGCCCTGCGGCTGCAGCCGATCCGTACCTCCTGTCGGACATATCCTTCATCATTTGCCTATTGGATCGGGATCCCCAAGTCAGCTGTGGCAAGCTCTAGTGGAGTAGTTCGGTGATTTCTCCTCACTGGTAATTGGGTGCGTGGAGGTGGACTCGATTCCCCATCCTCCCCCTAACGAACACCCCTGGACGAAGCTAATGCTCTAGCCTGCGTTGCCACTGGCAGACAGTTACTCCGCTGCTGAATTAATGCCCATGCCCATGCCTATCACTAGGTACCTATCTAGGTAGCCGTCTCTCGTCCGATGTATGGACTAGGGCGTATGGACAAGGTTCTTGTGCAAGGCCCAGTTTAGCTCTGGGTCCGGTGTGAGCTAACGGGTGTCCTGGCAAACAATCTCCCCTTTCCCTCAGATCTTTGTCCGAGTGTCTGGGCTTCCGGTGGCACTGGCAGATAATAATATTTGGTGTCCGATTTCGCGACGCCGCTGCCTTCTTGATCGTCATCCGATCCTGTTCCTCCATACCTACATCCTGCCCCCTTCCCGTCCCCGCGTCACCAGCTTGATTCAGTTCATACTTTGCCCCCTCACTGGTCTCTCCTCTGCAAGACTCACGCCCGCATTGATGCGCCCACCGAGATTGAACTAGCCTGTAAGCTCTGGAAGGAGGCAGGCTCTGAACTCTGTTTCGATTGTAGGTGAGCACCCTTGAACCTGCATGTGTTTTCCTGCCCCCAGCCCTATTTCCAGCCGCGTTCCTTGGCACTCCAAGCAAGCATCATGTACTAACCAGCGTCATGATTCTTTGGCAAAAGCCCAGTCGCCGCGAGAATCCCCCATCAATCTCCGCAGCTGCTGGCTGCATAGTCCTCCCTCGATCAGTCGCGCTGATCTTTACTGGGGGCGTTGAAGAGCACAGCATATGTAAAATCCGTGAAAAGCGCATGACGGAACGCTACAACTTCCGATCTCTCTATTGAGACCTAGGGGATGGTCTAAGCCATAGACATCCATCTACTTTGAGCGAGCAAACGATGGCGACTAACACCCTCTATTCAAGCCCTCCAGCGGCGAGAGCATTTCCGACACCTTCTACAACACCCCAGAGACCACCTTCAATACATGTCCGGGCAGATTCCTCCCCTGGTCTATCGTCTTCGTCCAACTCCCTCCCTATACTGAATTTCTCGCCCGATGGGCGCAGTGAGTATGATGACACTGCGGAGGAGGACAATCTATCACCGTTAGACCCGCGACGCTTTACTCCCACACTCCATGCCTCCCTCGTCTCCGAAATTCTCTCTCTGCGGCGGGACGTAGAGAGTAAGTCGAAGGCCATTGATATTCTCGAGCGGAGTCTAGACGAGTCGCGAACGGAGAACGAAGACCTCAGTGAGCGTCTATCCAAGAGTACTAAAGAGACCCGGTCATTCAAGCATCAGTTGCAACTGCTGGAAGGTGGCGCCTCCTCGGCTCTCACCGAGCTAGCAAGGGAGCGTGACGAAGCGTTGGAAAACATCGCAGATGTCCGCAAGAAGCTAGAACAAGCGCAAAAGAAGGCGCGGAGTCGGGAGGAGGATGTAGAGAGAACAGTACAACTTTGGGACCGCGACAAGGACGCCTGGGAGGGCGAGCGCAGGAGCCTAGAACGGAAGGTCCACGTGGTGGAAGGGCGTCTGAAAGTTGTCTTGAAGGAGGTAGTGGCTGCGCAAGCAGTCGGCTCGTTCCAACCACTCCAGGATGTTGATGGCATGGAGATTGAGCTGACCAGAAAATCAGCCGCAGGGAAGGATAGTGACTCTGCGAGTGTTGACTCAAGCAGTCAAGGCCATCGCCGGACTAGTGTCACAAGTGTGAACGCTGACAGCGGTGATGAGGCCGACTATCACAATGTGCGATACTCTATGGCGAGTGTAGCCAACGTCCCCGGTTTGAAGAGCGAAGGCCTGAGTCTAGCACAAGAGCTGGCATTCGACGAGGAAGACGAGTTTGAGTCATTCGATACTGATTTTGTGCCCGAGTCACCCGAGGCACTCCCAGAGGAGCGTCCGGCTTCGGTTCATTCGCAACTTTCTCGTACAATGAGCATGGGCGCAAAGGCGAGAAAGATCCTTGGGCTTTCCCTGGGAAGTGCTGACGGCTATGGATTCAAGACCGAGGGGAACTCGGAGCCTGGGAGCCCTTTGAAGATATCCTCGACCACCTTTGTGTACCGTGACACGGGAATCCAGTATTCGCCTCCTCCTTCACCCTTATCACCATCGAAGTCTGAGCCTCCATCCTGCGACCAGGCCGCAGAGTGCCCTAGTAGCGAAGAGGAAACTAGTTTCTACCAACGCAAAGACAGCAGCACGTCAACACTTACGCCAACACTGACGATAGACATGGTATCGGCGTCTTGCCAAACCATTGAGGATCTTCCCACTCCCCCTTGGACCCCTAAGATCGATGAGATACCACAGCCGGCCCCAGAAGAAACGGCGATGGTTTCAGTGTCTGTACAGACTATACAAGCCCCAGTCGCAGAAACGGATGACAAGAGAGTCAATGCCTCGCCAACCGACATGGAGTCGTCCGAACTTGAGATTCCGATGATTGCGATACACCCGCCCTGTTCGGAACCTCCTTCGCCTCGAGGGAGCGTGGTTCTCCCACCGCAAACCAAGAGCGTTTCCTGCCAGGTCAACTTCAGCCCGAGCATTGACAGCCGAACGGTTGGCATACAAACGGATGAGATTCGGATTGACCAAAGGCCTGTCAAGCTACCGGCCAGCCTACTCCCTTCAGCGATACCAGATCTTCCACTCCGCGAGAGCACTCAGGATGATCCCATTCAGCCTTATCGTATCCCTCCCCCAAGATCGAGAAAAAGGGAGAATAGGGCCTCGTCACATACCAAGCCACCTGAGCCGGTGCAGGCCTACCCGGGTAACAATGACAACGGGCCGCTGTCTGAGGAATCCAAATCCGAACTCAGGCGGCCTCTACGATCGAGCAGCCTCTTTGCTGGATTTGATCAGGCGAGTGATGAAGAGACCTCCGGGCAAACCAAGGACATCTTCACCGATGACGAGCTTCTTAATCGGCCTTTTGCGTCGTACACACTGAAAAGAGGCAAGCTAGTTTCCACACACGATGCTACCCTTCCGGAAATTGATGAGCATCTGCGAGAGTCAGAAGTCCACTCATCCGAAACACCAACCGACCAAGGCCCCAAAGAGGTGGTTGGGACTTCTTCGTGGACTCAGCGGCTGGGCTTTGGGGCCCCCGGGGCACGACAGCAGGACATGTGTAAATCCGCTATGATCTCCAACGGGGCAGCGGCGCATCAGAACATGCGCACCCGGAGCCCCAGCGAGCCTAGTATGGAGAGTGGAGGCGGTGCATCTGGAATTGCACCTCCAATCCCTGTGCCGATGCGGTTCAGTTCAAGAAAGTTCCCCAGTGGGAATGATGGTCGGCAGAGTCCAACGCCATCCAATCCTCGTAACTTCTCTGATCGCGCCCGACCACCGATTATTCGACGCCCGACTTTGCGGCGCGTCCGCTCCGCAGCTGCCATGTCGCACATAGAGCAGCATGACCGCCCCGACAGCCGCTCATCACCCACCATGTCCTCCTCATCCTGTGGGCCGGACAGTCCCCAGCATCCTCCACTTCCATTTGACAAGATCACTGCGCCCTCCGGGAAACGGGCTGTTGAAAGGCGAACATCTGCTCACCCCTTTGCGCATGGACGACATGATTCGACGGCCACAACAGTCCAACCCACCAGTGTTGTCGACGCCATCGCGCAAACAATGGTCGGAGAGTGGATGTACAAGTACATCCGGAGACGGAGGTCGTTTGGTGGTGTCGGCGAGTCGAAGGACAGCTGGGAGGGCCGGAATGCAGACGAGGTGTCTGCCAATATCGCCAACAGCGGTGCGAGACACAAGCGATGGGTCTGGTTGGCCCCGTACGAGCGAGCCGTCATGTGGAGCAGCAAACAACCGACCAGCGGGCCAGCGCTGCTTGGTAAGAGCGGTCGAAAGTGTAGGTCTACCACGTCGCGTTATCTAACCTTATTCACGTCATGCTGACCCTGGCGCAGTGATTATCCAGTCCGTTCTCGATGTCAAAGATGACAACCCGCTTCCCAAAGGCTTCAACCCACAAAATCAGTTCAATCGGTCGATATTGATTTTGACACCGCAGCGCGCCCTCAAATTCACGGCCTCCAGCATTGAGCGGCATTATGTCTGGCTGACTGCATTGTCGTTCCTGAGCCACTCATCCATGGGTCTCCATGACTTGGATACCCTTCCTCCTGTCCCTCAGGAGGAATACACAAACCCGGCACCCACGGCCACCTTGCGCCGTAATCCAATCCGAGACTCGATTCGAATCGCCAAGGGTCGCCCGCGCCCACGACCCAAGGGCAAACGATCCCTTCTCGGCCAACCGGAGCCCGTTCCTGAACTGCCCTCTGGGTTAGAACCTGGCGAGCTGATGGACGCCGCAGACCCCCGACGGTGCCGCGGTTCTCGAACCACGCCCGTAAGCGCAGTAACACTGCTCCCCGGGTACCTATCATCCGGAGTTTCTCCAGCCAGGGTACGATGCCCTCGGTGGCCTCGACACGCGGCTCCTCGGACACGTATGGCCCGGCCCTGTATGGCCAAGGGCTCACCAGCAGCGTGGGAAGCGTTAGTCGCCGCACCTCCGAGGCCAGTGTGGGGACGAGCAATTTTTTCGACGCGATCGGCACTGTTCGCATGGAGGCATTCATTGACCAAACCAACGGATACAAGGGTACACGCTCTGAGCGACACAGCCGGAAGGCGTCGAGCGCATGGAGTTCGAATCAAGAGCTGGACTCCCCGTACGAAGAGGGCGGGTATTTTCACCGTGATGATCCGTTCGGTGAATTTTGAACGGGCCGGCACCGCTTCCCATGACGAAACCACGACTGTGGCATGATGAAGCGACGGGCCTGGATTCAGTTTCTGGAAATGGTGTACATTTGCTTTTTTTTGTTTGTTTGTTTGCGATTTACCTGCGCCGACGCGGATACCACCACTCGCTCGTTATATTTGGCGGATAGTATTGTTTAATGTTATTAGTAATTGGTGAAGGTCTAGCCTCACATCATCATCATCATTATCATCATGCCACATCGGATTTTCGGTCCATGCCGACCACTTGTTCATTGTTCCCTCTATTGAGTATGTATGTATGTATGTATGTATGTCGACAGGCATGCAGGCAGGTAGATACTGCTATCTCTTCTTTAAAAGAAAAGGCATCTCTAAATCCCCCAAACGGCCAAATAGACCCAGGTAGTATATCTGGTAACCAGTAACGGATCACAATTTGGCGGCCTCTTTCACCTCCCCAATCTTCAACTTGGGCGTGTACTTTTTCAGCACCCCTTCATTATGATACTACAAGCAATAAGCATTAGCTTTTGGACCTGTCGCAAACAAGAAATATAGTTGTAACAAAAACAGCACGCAAACAGATGACCCCAGCCCACACCACCGGAAGAGTAAGAAGAAGATAATTAAAGTGGGGAAAACATTCGACTGCATATTAACACAACCCAGTCCAACCAAGCCCCTTGGAACAGCCAACCTCCCCCCCCCCCCTCCCCCCTTTTCCCTCATCCCAAACAAATAACTCAATAAAGAAACGACGGGATGATGGACGGAAGGATGGAAGGGAGGGAGGGAAGCCGACTAACCTTCCAAAACTGCTTCGAGGCATCCTTACCCGCAACTCGTTTCAGGATCTTTGCGCCGCCAGGATGCTCATCCACGAACTTGGTGACGTCGTAGACGCTGTTGTCGATGATGATGTAGAGGCCCTTGTCCGGGGTGTTGTGGGAGGCGACGTCGGCGAGGGTGAAGGATTCGGACATTTGTGTTTTGTGTTCTCGTGTTTTGTGTTCTCGTGTTTTGTGTTCTGGTTGGAGGTTTGAAGGGGGAAAGGATGTGGCGTGATGGTTGTTAGTGGTGGTGGATACGTAAGTAAGTAGATGGCAGACAATGATGGAATCCAGAATCCGGGGTCGGGTTGGTTTAAGTTGGCGGGCGGAGTTGGTTGCGCGACATGCCGAGGTTGGTCGATAAAGAGCGTGTTGCAATCCGGGGGTTGTGATTGGCTACGGCTAGTGTAGTAGAATGTAGGTCCACTCCATCTCCATCTATATGGAACGACTTTATTGCTATCACAGGTATCAACATCTTCAGATCAGTTCCGGCTCTTTTCGCCCGCCGCTCCCTGCCCCTTCGCCATCTTCTTTTCCAGTCCCAGCGTTTCCAGGTCCTTCTTCTTGTAATAATGTGGTGCCACCTCTACCAGCCACTCCGCTTGTAGCGGCATGTTGCTGCGCATGTACTCCTTGCTGGTGAGAACCAGCTCAAAGTAAATCACCCATCGCGGGTTCACCTCAAACAGCGTGCTGGACGGGTGGAGGTACACTGTCTGCCCGTTCTTCACCGTGCGATAGCTGTCACCGCCACGCTGCAGTCGCGCGGCATTCGGGAAGAACCCGGCCGTGATGGCCTTTTGAATTGGCACCAGATTGTTCGATCCGCAAGTGCTGACCGTCACTTCCACCCGATCACACAGCTTCGCCAGCTGGTCGCGAACATCGCGTGCCCGCGTCAAGCTCCGCTGCTGCAGGAAATTCTCCTTGGCCCACACGAAGCTGAAGTCCGAGTCGACCCATTGGTTCCAGATATTGAGCAGTGTAAGGTGGTCACCACCGTCCTTGATGGTGAAGCGATTCCGCGCGCTGTCCGCGTGGATCTTCTTGTCCTTGGGACGGAAGAACAGCGCGCTCGCCTCTCCCAGCATCGACACAATTGATAACACCTCTTCCACGCAACCATACTTATCGGCCGCCAGGATCGCCTTGGCTAGCATGGGGTCCGTCGGGAACTCGGCCATCTGCCGCCCGATCTTGGTCAGCTCGCCTCGATCGTTCAGCGCTCCCAACGCGTAGAGTTGCTCCAATGCACGGATGATCGTCTCGGCCGGTGGAGGGTCCATGAAGTCGAAGTCAAGCAGCTGGTCGATCCCCAGGGACTTGAGCATCAGGATGACACTGTTCAGGTTGGTCCGCTGGATCTCGGGCGTGGTGCTTTCCTCCAGCTCATTGTGGTAAGCCCACTTGGTATACAGTCGGAAACACTTGCCCGGACCAACACGGCCAGCACGTCCGGCTCTTTGATTAGCAGACGCTCGCGAGCAGGGTGTCACCACCAAGCTTTCCATACCCGTCCGCGGGTTGAATACGTTCTCTTTGACAAAACCCGGATCAATCACGTAGACAATGCCGTCAATCGTCAGACTGGTTTCAGCGATGTTTGTCGCCAGCACAACCTTCCGTGCCTTCGGCGGCGTCGGTTCGAAGATCTTGGTTTGAAGCTCGGACGGAAGATTGGCGTAGATTGGACAGATAATCATCTCGGGGATCTTGCTCCCTAGTTTTCGCGCGGTCTCCTGGAGGCTCTGCTCTGCCGCTTCAATTTCTTCTTGACCGGTCAAGAAGACGAGTATATCTCCAGGACCCTGGGTAACATGAATCTGGAAGACGGTCGTGATAGCTGCAGCCAGGTAATTCGCCTCGGGTTGGGACGTGTAATGAATGTCGACAGGGTATCGACGACCCGGGATGTTGAAGATAGGCGCGTCATCGAAATACTGTTGGAACTTCTGAGCATCCATTGTGGCCGAGGAGATCAGCAATTTGAGATCCGGCCGAGCCTTCGCAATATCCTTGAGAAGACCACAAGCAATATCCGTGGGCACCGTCCGCTCGTGGGCCTCGTCGATCATCAAGGCAGAGTACTGGCCGAGGTCGGGCTCCGTCAAAAGCTCACGTAGCAGCATACCATCCGTCATGTACTTGAGCACCGTCTTGTCGCTGGTGTTGTCCTCAAATCGAATGGCGTACCCAACCTCGTTTCCCAACTTCACTCCCATTTCTTCCGCCACTCGAGAGGCCACACTCATGGCAGCGACTCGTCGCGGCTGCGTACATCCAACCTTCAACCCGCCCTTGGTAAATCCGGCCTCGTGAAGGTACTGGGGAATCTGCGTCGTCTTACCCGAACCAGTCTCTCCCACGATAATCAGGACCTGGTGGTCGTGCACCGCCTGGATAATCTGCTCCCGGAACTGATAGATGGGCAGGCTCTTCCGCGTGTCCTCCATCGATTGTGCCTTCTTCTCCGCAGCGTCAATCTGCTCCTGAAGCCTCCGCTGCTCCTGGGTCATGGGCTTTCGAGTGCCTTCCATCTTGGCGTCCATGACGAAGTTGATCTTCTGCGAATCGTCAAACACGTACTCATATTCGCCTTCGTCGACGAATTCCGCCCGATTGATCTGTGCCTTTGCCTTGGCCGTCTGTTCCAACTCCCACTCTTCGTGCTCCGTAACGAACCGCTCCTGGCCACGGTCGTCGCGATCCACATAGCGCTTGTAGAGCGCGTCTTCCTTCTTTTTCCGATCAATCTTGCCCTTCTCAGTAATGTAGTCCTCGGGCATCATATAACCATCGCGATGATCGTCAATCCGTAGTCGCTCCTCCGCAATCCGCAGCACTTCTCGGTTCCGAGCAAACTCCTCCTTCTCCCGGCGAGTCAGATTGGGGTTGTCGCGCAACTCCGCCGCCTCCTCTGCAACCTGTCTGCGCAGGAGGGCCAACCGTTCGGTCTCTCGTTTCTTAAGATACTCCTGTCGAGAACGCAACCGAAGGTCGGGCATGACAGCCGCTCGAGCAGAAGTGTTATCCGCCAACTCCCGTCGCCGCGCGGCCTCGCCAGCCTTGGTCCGGTCCTCAACAATCTTCTTAGATTTGGTATCGTCCTTCTTGGAAAGCCGTTTCGCAAACTCATCTCGTTCCTCGAGGTCTCGTCTCCGCTCCAGCTCCTTCTTTGTCTCTGGATCCAGGTCCGCGGAGGCGTTCGACCGAGGTGATGCAGACCCGTCTTCCAGCCGGGTCCGTTTTGAAGGTGACTCTTCAAAGTCACCCGCCTGCTCATCCTCCTCATATAGCTCGTCCTCGGGGATTTCCTCATCCCCCCAGCGATCGTCAAAGTCATCCATATCTCGCTGACGCAGCTTCTTGGACCGGGGACGGTCGCGCGATTCCTCTTCCCGACTGCGATCGCGTTTGCGGCTCTCATCTTTCACCCAGCGACTGCGACCACTCTCCCCATCTTTGATGTTGCGCCCGCTACTCCGATCTTTATCTCTGCGTCTCCGTCTCTCCCGTTCCGCCTCGATATTCACCGGACCCAACGAACCTCGAGTCTCTGGTACGTCATCCTCCATCTCCAGCAACCGATATTTCTTCTTTGACACGGCATCACTACGCTCCTTGCCTGGCACATTGGCGCTGCTGGCGCTGCTGACACTGGGCCCGGTCTTCGCGCCCGCGCCAACGCGCCTGTAGAGTTCCCCGCAGAATGAGCCAATGTCACCCGAGCTTCCGTCCAGGAAAGGAAGCAGTTTATCTTGCAATGAGGCGGCTGATTTGGCAGAGCTGGCGGTGGCAAGCACGAAGTCGACGACGGTAGGGTCTGACGCGTTCGTCAGGCGGAGGAGAGAATCCGACACGAATACTCTATGGTCCATGATGCAAAGGAAAGCGATCGGCGAGATCTTCTCGGTCGTGGGGTAGTGAACGACAGTAGGATATGCGGCAATAACTGTATTCTAGCGGATTTCAAGGTTCTGATATTCAGTGAGACTCCCAGCCAGTGCACTTGCGTGATAAGGCTTTCAGATCGAATCGCACATCGTCGCCACGTTCCGGAGCAAGAGCTAGCGCCAGCAGGGAGTGGAAGTTGTCGAATGGACGAAGCAGTAAACGCGACCGTAGGCGTGGCTAGAGAGGGAGTTGGCAAGGTTGCGGAGAGGAAGAAGCAGCAGCTTCCGCCAAGACCGACGGCCGGTGGCGGGCCTCTCCTCTCCGTCTTCTAGTCTCATATATCTATCCCCGTCCAGTCTACGGTGTAGTTCACAGAGCAGTACTATTGGCAACGGTCATGGGTCATTGGGTCATTCTTGCCCGTCCAATCCAAATGTACATTTCAAGATCTAATTCACAAGCATTATCCTGTTCTCAAGCCGGCTTGATCACATCGAGGCGGTTTTCGGTCTGCCCAGGACATATAGAGAAGGGTAGGGTGAAACAATAGGAAAAGGCAACAGCACAGGCAGAGAGAATAAATGGAGCACAAGAACACAGGTTTGAAGAGAAAGGCTCACGCCAAGGATATTTAATACATAGACATCTAGAGATAGGGTGGTAGTAGTGGTCATCAAACACCCCCAGGTGCACAAGCAGGAACTACTCCAGTCCCTCGAGGCACCCTCCAACAAAGGAAATCAGACATCAATAAAACAAGGTGGAGATCGTGGCAAACGAAGATGGGAATCACTGGCGAGCAAAGATGGTAGGCATAAACGACGTGTCGCCTCAAGTCATCCCGATTCGCGAGGATACGATCAGGCAGAAGACATAGGTACATTGAGAAAGGAGGGAAACGCGACTGGGACGCAAAAGAAAGCCTATCATCATCGCTAAATCAACGGGTCATGGTAACAAAAGAAATCTTCTGAGGAATGAGTGGACAACCATCCCTCCATGGGACTAGCATCGTCTCATCGGTCGTAGCAACATCGTCCGAGTCATGAAGGATGGTCGGTAAAATCATCCCGATCACATCAAGGTCATCGAGAGTAAAGGAGCATTAATATCAAAAGTTCGGATCTCCGCATAAACGCCGTCATTAGATGGTATTGTAAAGGAAAGCGCCAACTCCGTCCAAATGCACTAGATATGGTAAGTCGTGGTGATTAAACATCGATCATCTCGGCGTCTTCCGCTAGAACCTCATCGGCAGGACCCCAGTTGCCTTCATAGACGGTGGCCCCGGCCCGACGCCGACGGGCAACAAATTGGACCCCGAACGTTTCTAGCACTTGGTCTGCAGTGGGCCGATCGAGCGGTTCGGGGGAGATCATCCATCGCACGACCTTGTCCAAAGCCTGGTCGTGACCAGCGTCGACCATGAAGCTAGGAGGATCGACGAGCTCTCCGATCTGGGCCAGAGAGGTCGGATTCCGCTTGCTGAATGAGCGAACTCCAAGGAAACTATCCGTCCCGAAATCATCATCTCCAAAGTCCGAGGCACATAGCTCTTCGAACGATGGTTCTTCCGAGACGGGGTTACCGGACGCATCGCGGAAAATGCTGGTCTCGAAGCTCCAAGTCAGGCTGGGAATATCGCTCATGTCTCCATTGCGGAGCTTTTGCCATGAAAGACCATTGTCAGGCAGCTCAACATTCCCGGCAATCTCGAACATGATGAGACCTAGCGAGAATATGTCCGCTGGTTTGTCAAAGCGGCCCATCAGGATCTCTGGTCCAATATATTCCCGGTCTCCTTCACCTTCGATTCCGTCTTCTGCTGGCCAGCGTGCAGCCATGCCGAAATCAGCAATCTTAAGTACACCCTCGAAAGTGATCAGAATGTTGGCTGGCTTGAGATCGAGGTGGATGAAGCCCATGTCATGGATATGTTTTAAACCCTGCCATGGCGGTTAGCACAACTCCGCATTTTTCGTGAAAGCCAGCTTCCATCAGGAGTTAGAACCTACCATCGATAGCTCCAACAAAATCTTCCAGATCCGAAAATCGTCTAGCCTTGCCTTGAGCCCAACTTGTGCAAGGAAGACATCCAGGCTACCTTCCTCGCAAAATTCCGTCTGAATGTAGAGGTGGCCATTGTCCTCCCAACTGTTCATGAAAGAAATGACGTGGTCCAAGTTTGTAAGCGACTTGAGTATGTCTACCTCACGAATGCGGCGTTCGCGGTCCTTGAGCCCCGAATATGGCTGCTTTGACTTCTTGACAGCCCAGACCTGTTCCGGTTGCACTTTGGGAGAATACAGTTTGCCAGAGAATAGGGACGGCATTGATGATTCATGGGGCTCAGCAACACGGTAGACTTGCGAAAATTCACCAGTGCCAACAAGCTCGACCCGTTCAAATCGTGAAGTCAAACTGGGATCGACATCTGGCGCATGATATCCGGCCAACGGAAGACTAGGCCGTTTTCCAGATTGGAAAGAGTCACGAGGGCCAGTGGGAGTTGCTGGCAAGTTAGAATTGAAATCGGGCTTAATTGACTGCTGATCGTTGGAGATTGAAAGGCCACTAGGGTCGGGAAAGAAATGGTCTTGAGGCGTGCGTGGAGAGCCACGTTGGAACCTGTCGTGTAAGGGACTTGAAGTGGTGCCCTTGGCCTCCGCCAATCTCTCAAGAGAGGCAATCTGCGAGACCTGCGGCGGATAAGTTCGAGAAGGGAAAAAGGTTTGCTTCGTGGGAGTTGGTGGAAAGTCACATTCGCTCAGTGGTTGACTATTGTGGCGGCCACAGGGCGATTGCGAAGGTAACACTTCATCGCCATCAATACTAGCAAAGCTGCCGCGTCGAGAGACCTCGGGCCGGTTGAAAGAGCTTCCAAAGATGCCCATGCCTCGTGCAAAGGGACCGGATTTGGGGCGCGTGCTAGGAGGATTGAAGGGCGACGGGGGTATCGTGTCCGACTGTCGAACTAAACCTGACATTTCCAAGGGCCGCTCTGGCGGGATTCTTCCGGCCGTGGGGAAGAGGTTAATGGGCCGTTTGCATGGGGTATCGGGCATATTTTTGCTAAATCCTAGCGTATTCTGAGAATCTTCGGCGTTGCGGTTTTTCTTAGATATAAGACCGGTCGACATGAATGCTGCTGGGAGAGGCTTGACTAGTTTGTAGTTCTCTGGAGTGGCGAAGGAGTCGATGGAAGATGTCGAATCCTCGCGGTTGAGATGCCGCACTGGGGCAGGCCGAGCGGTCCCCGCAGGAAGAGATTTGGAGAAGTTGAAGATCCCTCTTGGACGATCACCCTTGTGAATGGGTTCATGGGTAGGGGAGTCGTCTGCAAGGCTTGAACTAGAGGAGGACTGCGTGATTGTTCTGGACAGGGGGTGGGCAGCTGGACGGGAGTGTTCGGCATTGTTCATTGTCGACGCAAACAATGGGCTACCAGGCGATGGGCGTGATACGAATGGGCTGTCCCGGCTTGGCTGGAAAAGACTGTGATCCAGAGGCATGCGAGGTCCAATAGTGAGAGGGGTTCCACTGTCTGTGAACTCGGACGTATCGTCCATGGCCTTCGCCCGGGCAAAAAGGGAGCGGTCACTCTGGCGCTGTTGGAGAGTGGACCTTCGTAGAGAAGAGGATCGTTTGGGAATGGTGGCAAACGGGCTGAACGAGGTGTTTGTGGTAGGGAAGGAGGGCGTGGTAGTCTCTGGGGAGGTCTCGACTGGAGACTCATCGGCAGCGTTCGGTGGGACTTCGTTGTCGAATATGCTGAACTCGCCCGTCAAGTTTGCCGCATGGACGCTTCGCCTCTTCGCCGATGGACTGCCGCGAGACACCCGATCTAGATTCATAATCCCATCGCTTCGTTTCAGCGGGCTAACCGTGGCATATGAGCCGAACGTTCCACTCCGCCGCTTCTCGATTCGAGAGAGGGCGGGGCGGGGCCCTAAGGTAGGTTCCGTGCACGCGGGTGTGTCAGTTGGACAAGTCTCTCCAGCCACGTTGTCGGATTGAATAAGGCCAGGTGTTGTGGGTGTGTTCTCCACGCCTGGTATTGTTGGGGTTGACTGCGCAGGCTTTGCATTGCCTTGATCTGTAGATATGTTTAGAGCACGCTTGACGGGGCTCCTCGGAGACGTCCGCACACGGCGCATCGTTGGCCTCGTAATTTTGCCACTTGGGTGATACGGGACTGCGAATGGAGACTGATGAGAAGAGCTAGGGAAAAGCACGAAGTTGCTCTGAGTGGATCTTCGTGAAGGTGACAAGGGAGACGAGATGTATGGTGTTGTTTTAGACGGCGAGTGGTTCCGAGAAGCAAGCAATGAGAAGTTAGAACTCTTCGACGGCGAGCGGGACAATGACCGACGCAGTTGTCGGATGGCCGAGTTCGCATCCATATGGTGAATGCTCGTGTGCGAGGGTAGGTGTAGTGTGCCACCCGCATCGCGGTGCGGCGAAAATGTCGCAACCATAATCGGAGCCAGTCTGTAGAATGAACACTAAGATGGAAGGTCTCGAGGCTGTTCAGGTGAGGCCGGGCTAACTTGACCAGTCACTGGTGGGTTGTATTGTGATGTGATCAGGTAGACAAGGGGAGAGGCGGTACACAATGACCTCAGCTCTCGATGGTCGTACAAAAAAACAGACTGGCAAAGTGTGTGTGAGAGTGTGGCGGTGTTTTCCTCCTGTCGCTCTAGCCAGAAATGAAGTCGGAAGTTGTTGTTGACCGCAGTGGAATGCTAGGAAAGTAAGGCTCCGCGCCGGTGGTAGGGTCCAGCCAAAACAAGTCAGTAATGCGAAACGAAAGATGGCTGCACATCACCAGCCTATTCCGAGACCGCGGGGGGCTTCGAATGCGCTTAGTGAAGCCTCCATACACCTCAAGAGAGGGTGGGAGAGGGCAAGCACAAGCGGCACTCTTCGCGCTCTGAGGCACGGGGCCACGCGCCTGAAACACGCAATGTCTTTCGGGCCTCCGCAGCGTCGCTCGGCGCCTAAGGCGATACCGATCGATAAGGAAGAATGTTTCAGAGTGACAACACAGGCGTCAAAACAAGCAGGCGCGACGCGCGACAATGCAGCAGCGACAGGAACGAGGACACGGGGCGCGACAAGGGCGACGCGAGAAATTCCAAGACAGCGACTAACTGCAAGTGATGCGCAGAAGGAGGTATCGGGTTGCAGAGAGGGACGCGAGAGGGATGATTTTGATTTGATAGAAGGGCACCGGCAGCAGCAAGATTCGCCTCCCTTCCGTCTCCCTTTCTTCCTTTAAAACCTGAATGACTGGGCTCCTCCGGCAGAGGGACCGGCAGCGCAAGGGGTGACGCGATGGGACCCCAAAAAAAGCACCAGACAGCCACGCGAAGGAGGGGAGTCGAGACGAAGAAAGGGATGGGAGGTGGTGGATAGTGGTGGAGATGGTGGGAGATAGATGGGCGGCGGCCGGACGGAGGGGCTGGCGATGGGACGGAAGTTGCGGTATGCAGAGCCAGCCTTCAATAATGATGGATCAATCGTCCGAGGGATTTCCCTTACGGGAGCAGAGTTTCGACGGTTAAGGTTGGGGGGTGGGTGGATAGTCGATGGCTAGAGGACCGGCGATGGTGGAGAGATACTGGGAGACAGGCAGGTAGGCAGGTAGTAGGCAGGAAAAAAAGAAGCGAGTGAACATAGTGGTCAGTAGGTAGGTAGTCACGACTACTGCTACTAAGGCCTGCTAGTCTACTGGGTTAAGGATTCTATCGCCTGCCCTTGAGTGGTTCAGGTTCAGGTACCCAGCCAGTTGGAAGGCCTTCTCGCCGCCAATCCGCGAGCGTGGGCCTCGATGTTTCTGTCGCACGCGCGACTCTCGCGTCGTTTTGTTGTTGTTTGCCCCGCTCCTTCGGGTTTAGTGCCGGGAGCGTCACGCGTAAGTTGCAAGTTGTAGGTAAGGCCCCCTCTTCCCCCAGGGTTCCCCGTGGATCATACGATACGTACGAAGTACCGCGTTTCCATACACGCCCTACACCCTCTACGCTTACTTTATCAGCGAATTCCCTACATTCAGTTGACATCAGCAGTGGTTGATTTTGACCAACCTGCTCATCAAGGATGATACTTCTCTCCAGGATAGCATGGTTGTCTGTCGTCATGATACCTGAGCTGGTGGTACTATATAAATGATGACTCAAGAATGAACGTGGCGATGATGATGACGATGACTCCGACGGATTAATCGCCTGTAATAAATGCCTTTTCTTCCCATTACCAGATTTCGGTTCCATTTCCCGGCGCCCCTCCCCAATCGCCAACAATATCATATCGATAATGTTGATAAGGACACGCGGGGGAGCCGGATCAACTCATTATCCCACTCCCTTGCATGTGCACCAAAATAATATCTTGGTTCATCCCGGCGACTAGGAGATGCTTAAGTTTAGAGACCAACTTAAACGGCCCTGCTACTGATTCTGGTCTTGTAAATATTTATCGTTTTCATGAAAGCGAAAGTGATGGCGGTGGCAAAGATCTGGGCCAGAGTTTATCGCTCCTTTTTTTTCCCTTTCCTATCCTATTTTCTCTTCTTTCCAATTTCCCCTCCATCTAATGTGACGCTTTGGTCAGGCACCAGGCGGCTCGGGGCCTCGGGCATGTTTTTGGGTTCCCACGCCCCATCTTCTCGTGCTTCCACAATCCTTCTAGTATCCCTTCAAGCGCTTACTGGGTACTCCGTAACCCGTACGTACAGTTACACAGTAGATAGTAGTTAGTCAAAGTGACATAAACATGCCAGCCTTACCTAGATATTAGGGTAGCCAATGTCTCAGGCACTCAATGTCAGCCACGCCGTCCGGCTCTTCTAGTCCCAACGCCAATGCCCGACTTCAACCCTACAAACCCCTCAGCTCCACGTGTCGTCCCTGATTGTCGACGTGTCCAGATCGAGTATCTCTGACGTAGGAGATTCCCCGTCATACATTGTAGATCACAGATAGATTCCCGGATAATCCGTTTTCCTCAGACTGATACATGCCAACAGCCCCCCCCCTTCCTTTAGCACCATACGTCATCAGCTACTCGGTCAATAGCCTTGACGCACCCCGAATATGATGGATAACATCATTCTTCTTGAGACACAGCCTATCCCCCACACGATCTTCCCCTAGATCGCCCGCTTCCGAACTCTAGCGCCTGGAAGGATGAAACGGTCTCGTTGCCTCAGGCGATCTAAGGTCAATGCTCTGATGATCATGTCTGTTTTTTGGGGTAGCAACTGTAAAGCGCTGTTGTCTGAGTCCTTGGTGAGGTGTCTCTGCTTCTTTGGGGGGGGGAGGGAGTATTTCCTCTCTCTAACATCGGAGGGTGCTGGACCATGCAAATAACCAGTGTCAATAGAGGCGCATAGGCTGTAACTCGTTAGACCACCAATATATATAGTCACCTATTCAGCAACAACACAAGGGGCCTTTACCAAAGTCAGGTCCCTGTAACCAGTTCCCAGCAAGCTTCACTTTGTACTTCAGTTGCTGTGAGCTCTTGCAATAATTGAGCCGATCCAAGCTATTGGTTCAACCCTTGATTCGATTTATTGGGACACCATCCATCCCTCGAAACCCAATCGGCATGACTCAGCAAGGCCTGCTGCCCCAACCAACCAGGTAATAATGTTCGGTTCAGAGATAACGCATGTATTGAGCCCACCCCTTACGCCACACCTTTAATCTTGTCTGCAGCCAGCTTGGCCGTTTATTGGAGTGATCCATTCATATCTCTTTCGGTACCTAGTCCAGTTACCCAAATTTAATCTTGTTGCCCTCAATTTGCATCGCCGCGCCTATCGTTGGCAAAATATGACATGTCCCATCAGTATCTGAGGCTGTGCCACTCTCGACTTTGCTGCACGGGATATACACTAGTATTGGTTGCTTACTTGGAAATATCATTCCAGCCACCCTGATTTTCGAAAGACCTCCGTGGCTTGGCCTTTTTGAAAAGCGGGCTGCCAACTTTCCCATTGATGCGTCCACTCAACTCGGACATCTGTGAGACACTGTGGAAATCTGCTCATAGTAGCTGTGAAACAATTCTTTTGGCCTTTTTGAGACTACTGTCACCGCATTGTGCATCATTGTGCATTGTCTATTAACAAGCAATCGATCCAGCTGGGCGGCTATTACAACAATAGTCCGTCCTGCGACCGCCATAAAAGACCATTCATCAAGCTCAACCTGGCTTGGCTTACCTAGGCTATTCCGTAGCCTGCCGGCCACATTGACAAGGGCATAATGATCATTACTGATTTATAAAGGGACAATGTTGAGTATAGGTGCGTGACAGGAGGGTGCTTGGAAAGCAGTCCGATAGCGAGGACAGCTTGACTTCCTCAGGCTGTCACTGTTAGCACTAATTTGAACACCTTATTTGTGTTAACTCATAATAAAGGATTAATACGGTTTTATGGAGGCCGGTATTGCACATCATGGTCCTCGACTGTCGATATGTTATGAACTAAGCCATGGCTGGTGATAAGGCCCAATGGCACCATAGCAAGCAGTAGTCCAACTAACAAATGTCGCATAGCTGCACGTGTTCCAAGAATTACTTCCCAGAAGAGCTTTCTTCCATAGGTAAGGGAATGCATCTTCTCCCTATTTGCCACGGATGTTGGATGTCAACATGACTACCTCCAGAAGTATCACCTGATATATACAAGAAATCATGTATCTCAACCAAGGCAGAAAGATAGATTGCATGATAGATCGTACATCATGTATACAGAGCATCGAAATTGTTCAACCATGACAGATATGCGAAAAGCTGAAAGGCAACCAATGCTCCGCTACCTCCGAAGCATGCATCCACGTACCCTATGTGAAATGATAAATGTACCGATGTCTGCCTTTATGAGCCATCTTTAGAAGAACTTTGTCGCTTAATCATTGGATCTCAGTCTCCAGGGTGGGAGCAGTATACAGCAAGGGGACTGGAATACATGGGCTCGCACAGCGCGTGTATCACCCATCCGGACGTAGATTTGCATCAGAAGAGCAGGAGGACTCAGGTTGAAGGGTGTTCAGATCCTCGGGGATATACCTTGATAAGAATAAGGCTGACTTTGAGTTGCCGAACGTGAACCCTTAACTGATACCGGGTCCATGGTATTCGGCCTGCAGGAAACCTGCAACATGCAGCTAGCTCATTTGAGCGACTGTTTCGGAGGCGATACCGAGGCATCCCATTCCCTCCCCCGCTCATCTGAAGACAGGCAGGATCGGTCACTTGATCCATTACTTTAAGTTGTTCTTTCCAGTTTACTCATGACCCAGATAGCACCGGGGTAGTAAAGCCATTGAAAACCGCACTTCATCAGATACTCAACTAATCTTAAAATAAGCAAGGATAATACTAACATCACTATGAGTAAAAAGCTTTTGGAAGAAATATGTTCACGTAATGGCTTCACGATTGCTTGGCGACCTTGAGAATGCTTCACTGAGTCCTACGAGGTTATCAGCCGGCTGTAATAATTGTACCGGGGGAACATTCTGATCCCTCCGAGGAGTCCCAAGGGCTACTACAAACTATAAAGTGATGAAGCCAACTCTGTATCTGTGACTGAAGGCTCTGGGCCTACTCAGGCGAGCACCGCATACCCATCACTACAGCCACATTCTTCAAATATCAGAGACTACTAGATGTGCCGAGCAGATCCCGGAAGGACTTAGCTTTGGCACCGACATCAGTCGATGATATTTCGAGCGACTTCTTGAATACCATTCGTCTCATTGGTTTCTGTATGCGAGACCTAACAGAAGAACATGCAGAAGCCATTCGAAGGGGAGAGACCGGATACATTTGCTTTGGTGATTCACGATATGCATCACGCAGTGAACACTTGCAAGGCTCTGGATAGCATTGCGCCTCGTATCCGTTGTGACAGAGAGTTGAAAGTCTCCGGTGACAGATCGGCTTTGGTTGACTGCCTGTTACAACGCGAATGATACTCGCCATAAGCAAAAGAGAAAACACAACAATAGAGGCGCTTCAGAAGAGCGATCAGACTGTTATGGAGTCATCAAGCTGCACCCACCTAGAAATCTATGGCTATGGTTATCACTTGGTGAAGGGTGAAAAGATGAGTGAAACAATCTATCGTGCGGGGGCATGACCAGTCAGGGGTCAGGGAATTTAAGTAGGATTGAGGGAGCGTCAGCTAACCTTACGCCATTCGAGCAGGCCAAAGCGGTCAAGGGTCTATGTATTATCTTACAGCTAGATTAGTATGGATTCTTCATTCAAGGTGCAGGAGTAGGAGGTATACTGTCCAACCTACCTAGCAACATGAGGGTACCCAACATGAAATGATTGGTGATTCCATTGCATGAGCCAACCAACGCTTAGACAGTTATAATTCCAAAGTCAAAGCATGGGGGTAAATAGGCGGGTCCTCAGCAGTACCTAGGAGTACCTAGTAGTAGTGCCTAATAGATGGTGAGGGGTCACTGCATCCGGGTGGACAGATGAATAGATCGACCCCGTCCATGGTCACGAAGAATGGCCCAACAAGCAAGAAGCAAGAAAAGGGAAAAGGGACATGCGGAGAGTTAGTCGTACTAGCTGAGACAAGGGCTGGAATAGGTCGACCAGCAAAGGTTTGGGACAGATCAACTGGTAGCGGCGTCGCCTTGGTCCTTTGATGAGACCAGAGCGATGAGTGCGGTATCTAGGTGGGGGAGTAGTGGGCATGATCTCGTCGTCTCGTCGTGTTGTCGTCTCGCTGTCTCGCGGTCTCGCTAAACAATCCTTGCCCATATTTGAGTCCAAAAGGAGGGGTACTTTGCGGCGGGGTAACAAAGCCATCCATTAAGAATGGTCTCGTTTGTAATGCCAGGCCACGCTCAGTCGCATATTAGGTACCTAACAGGAGATGTCTGTACCTAAGGTGGGCAGCACGTGCTTGTGGGGCTAGATGGATAATGATGCGCAAGGACTCCGTGATGTTAGTGAAACTGTGGTTGAAGGTGCTAACCCCGAGGATCAAGCCAGCTCCGGGTCCTAGTTACAAGCACATGGGGTTCTCGCTATGGACGAGATAGAAGATATATCCTACCTTATTCTCCAGCCAACATGTTTTATGCTTCTTTTTGTAGAAACGGGAGGATTTATAGACTAGATATGCTTGCACTTCGTATTCCCTTGGTGTGGGGGCGATGGAGGGGCGGGTTTCTCCTGCGAACTATAAGCCGTTCTAGGGAACACCGGTGCAGAAATCAAGGCAGGCGTAGACCGTCCGAACTTGGGAGGGCATCGAATAGCCAGAGTAGATTAGCAATCCATGCCATTTGGTAGGCCCAAGTAGCACTGGGGGAAAACCAATCAAATCCAGGCTGGACCTGAGATTGACCACCGTCCGGGCATCTAGGACCCAGTAGCAAGGATAGGGCGGAACCATCGGTCACTCTTGCTTCGATGATTAGCCATTGCGACCCCTTGGGGAATCCAGGCGGGAGGCTCTCGAGGGGAAGGATCGCAGTCAATTGTCACAAGAACATGTTGCATCCAGTACAGATTGGGATCTTGCATGCAGAAGTGGGACACTGAGTCTATGCGACAACTCCTGTCGAGGCCGGCTAGTCAGCGAAACTTAGCCATGGATCGCCAACATGGAAGAGCAGCGGGAAATATTTCCACTGCATGGAGTAGTCCCTGGAGGTTCGAACACTCTGGGCCCCTCGTGACCATTGAGGATCGGTGAGGAAGAGTGGTGTGAATGCCTGAGCAGCACTTAGGTATTGTATGTATTGTAAGTATTGCTTGATGCCAGGGAAAGCTTGATTGGTAGGTACCATGGATGTACCTCTGAACACAACTGAAAGGTGGAGGAATGGGGGGGGGGGGGGGGGGGAGGTACAATGTAGTACTGTAAGTTGGGCGTCAATACCATACCAGTACATGGAGGGGTACGAGGGGCGCGCTAGAGCCCTTCAGCCCAGTTAAATTTCCCGACATCGGGCGACTGCGGATCTAATCTAAGCGTCCATCATCCCACTTTCCAGGATAATTACATTGTGCACCGGAACATGCTGCGGGGCTGCTGGTCTGCTCGGCTCTCGGGGGTCGGAGGTTTCACGTAAGTAAGTAACCTGGCCTGGCTTCTGGTTGATGTTGATTGACTTTTCTGTCTGGGCTTGTTGAATGGTTCGTTGGTTCGTTGGTAGGCTATCTATCAGGTACCACCGAGCTGTCTTCCGCCGCCTGGGTGGTTGTGGCGTGATCCTCAATATCCCAAGATGCGTTGACACGCCGGTATTGCTTCGTGCACCGTGGGTCTGATCAGGCACCTTATCTCCGAGGAATCAACCAGACCTGCCTGGGATTTTGGCGCGGCCATCCTATATGTATGAGACATTCTACTCTTAGTCCAAGGTCGACGACGCTCGGGGTGTACCTATCAATCAATTATCCTCGCAGCCACCAGCTGACCCGACCCCGATGTTGTTGATGCTTTGCTTCTCTATTTCGATGATCGGTCCCCAGGCATGGTTAGACTACCTAGACAGTACGTAAAGAGAAGCAACAACCACGTTTCTCATGGATAGGTGGTGGAACCGAGGAGTGCCTATCAAGTACACTCTTACCGGCCCGCTGTCAGAAGAACCACGGCCGGCTGCTTTGCTCGGTGGCCTGGGTAAAAAACCGTCTCTAACGGGATCCGCTGCTTCAGGAAAAAAAAGAGAGAGTGAAAAAAAGAAAAAAAAAAGGGTATCAACGCCGAGCCTTTTTTTTCTTTTTAGGATTATATTTATTCATGATTTTTTTCTTTTTTTTTAAAAAAAAATAACTCTTTTTGGAATTCTAGTTATTTCGATTTTTAACGCCTTTGACTCCAGTGTCTACTAAGTTCGAAGCTACTGCCCCCCCATCGGGTTATCCACCGGGGCATATAACTACGACCATCGCTCCCACCAACTTGCCGCGGTTCTCTCCCACCTTCGTTCAGAATCCCATCATTATTGCGTCTTCCGTCCCGCCTACCCTGCTCTCCGACCTTTGAGCGCGGCACTTCTGTCTCTCCTTTCAATTACACTCCCCTGCATCTTCCCCATATTCATCCATTAGCTTACATCAATGGAACCTGCGGTACGGAAGCCAGAAGTGAGCTTCCACGGCCATCGCAACATGCCTCTCAAGCAACAGCGGGAGCCTTCTCGGCTAAAGTCTACACCCAAAGATGAGCTTCACGATCTTCTCTGTGTTGGATTTGGACCTGCCTCTCTGGCCATTGCAATTGCGTTGCACGATGCTTTGGACCCCTGCCTGAACAAGTCGGCCCTTGGGTTTGGCTCGCAGCCCAAAGTCTGTTTCCTCGAGCGCCAGAAGCAGTTCGCCTGGCATTCGGGTATGCTGGTGCCAGGATCGAGGATGCAGATCTCTTTCATCAAAGACCTGGCGACTCTCCGTGATCCCCGCAGCAGCTTCACCTTCCTCAACTACCTGCATCAGAAGGGTCGTCTCATCCATTTCACAAACCTGGGTACATTCACCCCAGCCCGCTTGGAGTTTGAAGACTATATGCGGTGGTGTGCGCAACAATTTTCAGATGTCGTGTCCTATGGGGAGGAAGTGATCGATGTGATCCCCGGAAAGACCGATCCTACCAGCTCGGTGGTCGACTTCTTCAGTGTTCGCTCCCGGAACGTTGAGACGGGAGAAATCTCCGCAAGAAGAGCGCGTAAGGTTGTGGTCGCTCTTGGGGGCGCAGCCAAAATGCCCCCAGGTCTACCCCAGGACGCTAGGATCATGCACTCGTCGAAGTATTGCACCAACCTGCCCAACCTGCTCCAAAACCCGAGCGACCCCTACAACATTGCTGTCCTTGGAAGTGGCCAAAGTGCGGCAGAGATCTTCCATGACCTGCAGAAGCGATATCCTAACTCGAAGACAACACTGATTATGAGAGACACGGCCATGCGGCCTAGTGACGACTCGCCATTGTGAGTACAGCTCCTCTTGCTCCCGTTCTTTCACAGCTAACCAGATACATAGTGTCAATGAGGTCTTCAACCCCGAGCGCATCGACAAGTTTTACAACCTCTCCTCCTCAGAGCGCCAGCGTTCCCTCAAGGCCGACAAGGCCACCAACTACAGTGTGGTCCGCCTTGAGCTGATCGAGGAGATCTTCCACGATATGTATGTTCAGAGAGTTAAGAACCCCGATGAGCGGCAATGGCAGCATCGCATCCTCCCCGGACGCAAGATCACGCGAGTCGAACATCATGGACCCCAGAGTCGGATGCGGATTCACGTGAGGTCCGCCAAGGATGGGGCGGATAGCCTTGTTGGCGATGGCAAGGAGACATTGGAGGTAGATGCGCTCATGGTGGCGACGGGCTACTTCCGCAACGCACACGAGCAGCTCTTGAGCAACGTGCAGTACCTGCGACCGGCGGGCCAGGAGGAGTGGACGCCGAGTCGGGATTACCGAGTCGAGATGGATGCTAGCAAAGTCAGTGCGCATGCTGGGATCTGGCTCCAGGGCTGCAATGAGAAGACACATGGTCTGAGTGACAGTCTTCTGTCGGTGCTAGCAGCACGAGGTGGAGAGATGGTGGAGTCGATCTTTGGCGAGCAGCTCGCGGGTGCAACGGTGCCGGCCACGAAGTTGCGTGCTATGCTGTAGATATTTCGCTGGATCAGAGACTCGGGGGTCCGCTTCTCAGGCGCGTGTTGATCGATGCTGAGGCGGATCTTTCTTTCTTTTTCTTTTTCTGAGAACAAGGATGGATGGGAAACGAGGATGTCCTCAAACAAAATGGTAGGGACAGTGTTGGTCCTTGGCGATCATCTACTTATTGTATCTGTGCTCATCTTTTTGTCTCATTACCTATACTTTGCTACTACTACCCATCATCATATTTCCTTATTCCCCAAGCATCGAGTCATATAGCCAATTGGAATTGTATAAAGAATAGAGATTGGAATGCAGGAAATGCCTGATGAGTATTTTTCACCCCTGATTGTGTTGGGGAGTCATGTTAATGGCGTAGACTGTGATTGCCATGCTTGTTCATTCTCATTAAACTTTATCCGCCCCCCTGACATGCGCCAGTAGCCGACAGCAAGAAGAGAGAGGGGAAGGAAAAACAAGTGGGCTGGTCGCACAAACGGCCTGACCCAGCACGGACCCGCTGACGTCAAGCGAACAGGCTAATTGGCTCTGATCGAATTCAACGCCGCCAGGAATACGCAATGAATGGATATGGAGCCTCTGCCTCAGAGAGAAAAAAAAAGAGAGGACACTCTCAAAGGAGGATCCATGGCATCCAATTGTCACCAATTGACTGGGCGCCGACAGGATGCGGGTGGGCTTCACTAACTGGAGCTCAACCAAGGTTGAGTGTCGGGGAGGGATCCTAATAATCTAATCAGATAAAAATTTTCGCTCGTTATCTGATGGCGCCATCCCACAACCGCAGCTGCGCCCATCGCCGAGCCAGGCTCGCTCTTTTTCCGTTGCGTTTCCCATTCTTCATGCCCATTCGCTGCCAGGGAACGCCCTCGGTGAAGGAGAGACCCACCCACTGATTGATTACGATGAAGCACGATGCAGGTTGATCTTTGTTGGTCTCTCCCACACGCGCTCGCTTCGGTACACGGGCTACTCTCTTAGTTCCTTTTTTTTTTTTAGCTTCTGCTCTCCTACCAGGCTACCACACCTGCAACCCACCACCTCTGTCTCGGTTTCCCAAGGGGAAGGGGGGGTTTTCGGAGTTAACCCATATATGCAGCATGAGAGATTGAGTCTCCGAAACACATCCAACGAGAAGTCCCGGGCAACGGGTAGGTAACAGCCCGATCAGTGATTGATAATTCTGAGCAGCCCCGCCTCGTCCCTCCGTTCCCACAATACCAAGCCCCTAGATGAGGGAAATACTACCAGAAAGTGAAAAACCCTGTTACCGGTCCGGCTAGATAGGGAGCACTTCGTGCAGTGATCAGACCATGGGGACTTGCTGCCGTAATAATAACCCAACTACTCCGTAGTATCTAGCCACCTTCATTTCCACCTGAGGGTAACTGGAGAAATCCCTGAGTCGCTTCTCTAAGCTTCATCTTAGAATTCGATTGTGTCGCCATTCCCACACGATTCGAGGACGATCTGCTGATGATCCACGTATAGTCGATCATTTTCTTCTGCTATACAAATTCACTAAGAAATTCAAAATATGCAGAATAAGTACTCCGGATGCTCTCAAGCACCTCGATGTGACTAGTCCCTATGGAGTACATGCGGATGGATGCGACCTGAGACTGGGACGTCTGGAACAGTCGGCCGACCCCTTACTAAACACGACAGTAGGCCAGTTGCCCTCGCTGATCCCATAGTAGTCCGGGCCAGTGATATGTTCACCGGCATTATTATTATCATTATTATTTAAATCCCGTCCAATCATAGAAACTCGGCCGCATTCTGTACTAAGTAGTAGGCACCCGGCTAACGGGGATGTCGGCTTATTGGTTCCTTTGGGGGTTCTTTCCGCCCCTGCAGACTCCGAATCTCTCCCCAGTCCCCACGCATCTTGCAGGTTCAAGTAGGTAGGTAGGTACTGTGCGCTTGTGACAACCCCGGTTCACGGGTAATCAACTCTGAACTCCGTAGTATTCTAAGCCCGGGTCCTGGCACAGAGATGTTCACTTCGTAGAGTCTACCATACCTATGTCAGGCACTGATGTTCAGGGACCTTGTGTAGATATCTAATTACTTCTAAATGAACGACCTGCAAGTATCACAGTCTGTCTATAAGTCATGAGATTTCAGGTAGCCCTACAGAAAATGTAAATTCGGACTAACCTAGTTGTCTATGAATGGACCTGCTTGGAACTAGTATACCCCTACTGAAATACTACATCGTTTGCATAAAAGCATAGTACTAGTAGGTAGTAGGTAGCATCTCCCGGACTTGCCCTAATCAATCAGTAACCATCACGATCCCTATCATTATCAGATGAAAAATCCACCCCAAATTAGCGAAACGGTCAGTTGGTCAGTAAATGACATTCATGCCCCGGGTCTATATTAATGAAGGGTGCCTCGTAAGTACCGACCTCCAACTGAAGCAGTCACAAAGGAAAGAGGATGCCACTGGTACCCGCCCATGAGCCAACACCTATCCAATGAAACACCAGGAACCAAGCACCGGGGGTTGAGATCCACCCACAGAACAGGCTTTGTTTTACGAGAGCCTAAATGCCGGGCTGCTTTTGCCTTTCAGGGGATCGCGATGCTCGAAGTACATAGTACATAGGATATAGGCAGGTTTAATCCATAACAAGCACAGATCCCTTGTAAATCTACGTATGGGAAATCAGCTGAGGTAAATGGAGGAGCCTCGCATTCACTACCCCAAGGAGAGAAGGGGGAAGAAAAAGCATGATGAAATGTATCACCATGTCTGCCGAGATAAGATCTTAGCGTGACATTTTGACTTTGGGCTAAATTCAAGACCAGAATGAAATAGAGAGGTGCTCGGTGCTGGATTGCTGAACCACATATATTTGTAGCAACGGTTTCGTATTTCTTGCGACATCGGCTTCGAGAAAGCTTGGTTCGGTGTAGTATGTTTTGTTACGGTATGTATGTATGTATGCTGTGTATGAACAATGTATATACAAGTCTTACGGACAACAAACATGCCTCCACATCACTCTCACTCTTTCTTGCTTGCTCTTTTCTCCATTATTGACTACCATTTATTTCTCCATGGCCGGTAACTTCTTCGTCAATACAATCAGTGCTGTGGTCGAACACTTCGCAGGAGGGGTATATTTGTTACCCTTTTTTGGGGACTCTTTATTTCACTCTTATTCTTAACAACGCAATTGATAGTATTGCCGCTCATCATATCGACTTCATGCTCTACTTCGCACATTCATTGGATACATTGAGCCTTTGAAACTACTGCTACCGGCGACTGCTATTGTAGCAAGGCAGTGCCATCCTCATTTCTCAATCAATCATTAATGTCACGCGGCGTGTCTGCCAAGCTGAAGGTCTATATTACTTTCAGGTTCGTTGATCTAAAGTAACAATATCTACTAATATACCATAATCTTTATATGCAAAAGATAATACACGAAGATAATGTGAGGGAATGAGCAGAAGACACCATCCGTGGCCATCTGATCCAGCCATACATATCATCGCAACAAAAAGTTCATCCGACATTCATGAGATCGCATATCGAAGTTAAAAACATCTTCACAGGGGAAATGGTCGTTTTGGGAACATGGCAAATGCCTTGCTAACCGCTAGGGGAAGGCATCTTTAAGCATTCTGCTCCGGATCGTCGCCGGCCAAGCTTCGATATCTTCCGCCACTGTGCATATGTGACGGCATTTCGTACATCTGGTTATAGTTGACCACTTCACCACCGAGCATGCCAGACCCCGCCTCACGCTGCCCAAAATAAGGAGCTGGGTCGCACCAGAAGTCCCGGCAGTTGGTGACAACACCTCGCGAAAAGGGATTCTTCGCTCGGGTAGCACGTGGACCATCTCGCAGTCCGTCTCGTGCAGTGGCAAAGAATGTGTCAATACCGAGAAGAGAAGTCCACTGTTGCAGACAGCCGCCCCTCTGGTGTCGGTGCGCAGCACCATGCGCAAGAGCTGGATTCGGGCCCTGGCCAGCAGAGGATAGACCAGCACCCTCGAAGGAGGTCGTGCCAGCAGCCAAAGCCGAAGCAAAGGCACGAGAGCTGGGATAGCTTCGATCAATCGAATGCCCCCGCATGTTTTCATAAGTCGTCTGATTCCGCGAAATTTGGACAAGCTGCACAGCACATAGCATAGTTACCCAGACCAGCTGAATGATGACCCACACGTCAAGGACGAGGGTAAATGTATCGCGAAGCACAAAATCACATAGCGTCTCGTTAATAACATTACAAGTCGGATTAACAGGTGCTGGCAAGACAGTGATGTCTAGGGATTTCGTTAGTCCTCCACCCGGGTGAGAATAGGCCTGATACTTACATGAGAATGTCAGCTGCACAAAAAGAATAATGCCCGCTTCCAGGCAGGTGATATATAACACAAAATGACGCAAGTTGTTGGATCCTACGCAGTTATCGATCCAAGGACAATGGCTGTATGAAAGGTCAGTTAGAACTTTTGATCTTTGTCAGTCGAGGCCATACTGGTCATGCTTTGCAACACAGCGCCCACAGCGTTTACAATGCTTGCTTCGCAAGGGCTTCCTGACCATGCAGGAAACGCAAAAGTTCTCTTCGTCGAACTTCCACTGCTCAAAGAGCTCTGCAATGACTGCTCGTTGCTGATTCCTGCTACCAACTTTTGGGACAAAGCCGGGGTCTTCAACCATTGCAGTGAAATAGAAGTAGGTTGTCGATGAGAAGAAGAGAGCGAAACAGATATTCAAGATTGGAGATGAAGTAAATGTCGCTTAGTGAAGTATGTCAGTAGTGGTACCAACCGGTGGTCGACCATATTCATTTATAAGGGCCGGATTCCAACCCACGCACCGGAACAAGGGAAAAAATGTCTTACCTGGTAGCACGTAGAAGGCATATCTCACTCCGACCCAAAATAGAGATCCTGCAAAGACGCCTGATAGGTACGGCTGAGTTGCGGATTAGTGATGAACAGAGAACAGAAGGGGAATTGTTGACGTACCGTCTTTTGAAGTATTCTGTACTCAGAAATGCTTTGGCTAGCGACCTTCTGGGCCAGCCACTGCAGTCCATAGGTCGTCGCAATCGTGATCGGGACGGCAACGAAAACAACCAAGTTGCTGAGAATCCACAGAGCGATGAAGATCATCAAAAAGGGCCACAAGAAGAAGAACTTGGACATGGCATTTTTGCTCAGCACCCACGGCGTCAATCCCAAGGGAAGAACCTTGGTGTTCCCATCAAAGTCATAGCCACATTCGTCCAGAGCACGATACCACACCCGTGTCGTATTCATTTCACCCGCTACGGTCGCTGGAGTTTTGCCGTCTATGGTTTTTGCGAACCGATCGGCGCCATACTCTATGAGTTTCTGAACACAGGGCAATGATCCCTTCACCAAGGCCCAGTGTAGGGGGGTCAGGCCGCTGTCATCAACAGCATTGGCATTAGCACCCCAGCGCAAAAACAGATCCACACATGCAGGGAATCCCTTATACGCCGCCCACATCAAACCTGTATGGCCCTGTTGATCTGCGACGTCCACCGAAATCTCTTGATGCAGAAGGAGCACAAGCAGAAAGGCATTTCCATCGATGGTAGCCAGATGTAGGATATTGTAGCCTTGGATGTCGGTAAGCAGAGGGTCCGCACCGTGCTGAAGCAACAGGTGTACGATATAATAGTGGCAGCGTTGGGCTGCCCACATTGCGGGCGTAGCCACGGACTCTCCTCCTTTTGCATTGACATCGGCACCCGAGTCGAGCAGGAACTTGCACATGGCATACTGATTGTTAATCGCAGCCCACTAGATGGAGAGAGCAACATCATCAGTTTATAGTCCGTGAAAGTGGCCTCCAGTGAGCATGCAAGACGAGATCTCGTTGGTACGCACATGTAATGGGGTAATCCCTTCTTCGTCCTTATGATTGGCGTGGAACTTCTTCTCTTCGAACATTTTTTGCATAACCGCAATCTCTCCTATACGGGCAATCTGCATAATATCCTCCCCGATGGGAATTGAGCCCTTGACGCCACCGCGTTCCGGTTTCATGTTCTTCAGTTCAACGGTAGCATCTTGCTGGGTCAGTTTCGGTGGAGTGGTGGTGCCTTTGCCGCTGGGCACGGAGGGCGGACTTGGCCCCAGGCCAGCGGAGCTGCTACTGCTCTGCAGACCGGTTGAAGGAGTCCCAGAAGACATTTCAGTCTAGGGTCGGCGTGTTCCTGGACCAAGGGGGGAGAAGTAAGTCGTCGCGAAAAGTACGTGGTCGAACCGTTCGGGGGTGACGAGTCAGCTAAGTATTCTTTCCGAGCCCGATCTAAAAAAGCATTGCGAAGTGGGTAGGATATCTTGAAGCCCGGACTGTCCTGTTCAGAAAGGCAACGATGGGCCTCAAGGCTGTGCTAAAGAGAAAAATGACCAAATTGAGATGGGGGCGGAAGAGCAGTTGAGCGCAGTAGTAACTAGTAACTATGGCGCAGCGGACACCAGCCCCGGGGATGGGGCACTACTAGGACGGGCATGAGCCTCTTCCCGAAGGCTGATCGTCCGTCCCCTCGTCTCCGACATTTGCGACGTGGTTCATTCACCACTGGTCCGCTCGACAGTGCTGTCGCCTTTACATATTACAGTCTGAATTTTTTCTTTTTGGGCAGGGGGGAGAGGGGAGGGGAAAGAACACGCTCCAGAATGGCCCTGCCAGTATCTACTCCGTAGAAATGCATCCGTTCGCTCATTCGTGAGCCGCACCCAGACAGGGATTACTCAGCGAACCTGTAGTACTACGTAGGTAGTACCTAAATAACTACTAGTACTTAACTAATGGGGCGGTTAGGCAGCCGCATTGTGATGCGTGCACACGAGTGCTCGCCAAAACCGGATGCACGAAACATTCCCGGTGTTCTTGTGACAAAATAGCATTGGGGAAAAGGTGACACCCAAGTTGAACAGCCTCGATCCAACCTTGTGTCCCGCAATCTGCCCAATAGGCTCGACCATCTTGCTATTCAAGAGCTACAAGGCCATTCCAAGTCGAGCGCAGGCCTCTCAAATTCAGCCGCCAAATGTAGAGTCAGATTATCGAGATCGGCCTGACATGGTAATTCACGTAAAGGCTTCAACGAGGGGTTTTCTCACAAGGATTTATTCCTTGGAGTAGTCTTACTTGGTCGGCTAACATCTTCGCATCGACTCGTAATTCGAAATCCGCCAGGAAACAAAAACTGATCTCGAGCTTCGACAGTTCTTGCTCAGTCACACCGCCAACCTTGGCAACCCGGCTATGGGAATAGCTGAGATCCTCCAATGTTTTCATTGCCACGCGGAGCCCAGCAAGCACCAAACGATGCATGTTTCTTCGGCTAACCACTATCACCCGTTCGACAGTCGCTATCCTCATGATGTACATGCTTGTTGCAAGGTAGACTCCTGTAGACATCGGGCAGAACTGATGCAAACGCAGCAGATATTCTTCAAGTGTGATCGGAGGCTCGCGTCTTGAAAGAAACCTCTTAGAGAGTACACTCTGTTGTTTCAGGTGGCGGCCTACTTCATCATAGCTTGTCGAGGGACAATGTAGACCAGTGACCCTTATCGGTGTAGATTCCCCGCTGGATGTACTATCACCTTGGGTTCGGGGCCCGGGAATAGGAACGGCTGCTACCTGAGGGTGGCTCATCTCTTCTGCGGTCGATTTCAAAAGCGTTCCAATGCCAACACATAGTAGTTCCAGCGCAGAAGTTGGCGGAATCTGAAAGACATCAGTTATGCAATTGGACCTCAGGTCTGGTTCGTCTTTCGGTGAGCAGCTTGGATCAGAGACCTCCGCGAGCCTCGCAATTATCGATGGGCTCTGTCCATTCATTGCGATACCCTGAAAGTCGGAAGATTGAGGACGAGAATGTGGATGACAGCCCTGGACCTACAGGCAATTATTAACTTCCCAGGTAGGTGTCGCATGGTCGGGACGGAGCCCAGCATGTAATTAATATTAATAAGACCGCACCAGATACCAGTCGAACCAGATGCGTAGTCAAGCGCTAAAGGGACGAGGAAAGAAAGGCCTGGCAGATTAAGCGTGGGGATGCTTAATTTGGCCTGCTAGTCAGAAACCATATGTGCAATCTATCAGTGGCTCACATTACCTGTGGTGGAGATCGACTCACTGCCCGGTCAGTAGTGGCAGGGGAAGACTTGGTCGAGCACCAAGAAAGACAAGGCCTCCAGATGACGGTCCATGAATGAGGTGGAAGGAATCTCCAACGTACACATACATTGGCAAAGGTCAAGCAATTGGTAATTGGAAAGTGAAGGTGATGAATGGAGTTGGCCGGATATTAGTGCACCCGGCCATGCCCAGTCCGTCCCCCGTAGTACCTAGTACCTGATCTATTATTATCTGCCCAAAACATACCATCGTCCCACTAGATTAGGGGTACGGAACGCCTGCTTCGTTCAGAAGTACGAGTCTAAACACATAGAGTGCATTGAGTAAATGCTAGCAGTCCACATGTTTTGGCAAATTATTGGGATTGTATAAGACATTATCAAACATGGAGCTTCCTGGTGTTCTGGTGCCTGTCAATCTCTCCGACGCAAACATGCATATACTTCGTCCTAAAATTCACGCATAGCAGGTGTAAGTCAGTGGCCCAGCGCCTCTGAGCCCCATCTTTCTACGAACTTGTTTTGGCCTCTATCTCGCCTGTGAAGCACGCTCAGGTCGAGTCCTGTCAAGCCTCTTTGCATACGGTTCAAGTCGTCCTCGAGATTCGATAGCTTTCTTTGGTGATCCAGGCCCAAAAGTGAGATCTTGAATTCCGAATCGGAGTGCAAGCAAGTGGAAAGAAGTCGGATTGCCTGATATGTCGGAAGCAGATCAGCCATTAGCGGTGAATCTGCAGCGACGCCATGATCGTGCAGGCTTTCAATCAACTGCTGCCGCTTCCCTTGCAAAGTTTTCCAACCTTCGTTGACATCATCTGCATGGAGCATAGATTCTAGAGATAATCCTACTCGGCGCAATACCGTCGCCAGTAAGTGAGGATCACGGGGTGCGGTATTGCGCTTTTGGGCCGAGGTAGAATTTGGAATTGGCTGTGCGGAGACACGTCTTAAGGTCTCTCGTCTTGGATCAGACTGGCCCAAGAGATAATCGCCAACTTCTGATCGATGCGCGGCAGCGATAGCCTCAAGTGTTCCACAGAAAGACTCGCGATCCTGCAGGGACCTGATCAGATCTTCCGTAGACAAGGTCATCTTTGTGACAATATCCACAACCTAGTGCGCGTCAGTAAACGAATCCATGGAAGGCAGATATTCACTTACGTAGTCCAATTTTTTGTGGGAATCCATACGCAATTTGCCGTGGTGATCGCGTAGCTCGCCTATCATTGGTTCAGCGAACTTCTGTCTTGAAGACACTTCCGCCAGTATGTCGATTTCAGGGTATAGAGATTCAAGCTCCTTCCCCAACGCCACCAGAGCTTCATCCTCGACCGGTACTGCCTCGGCCTGCGTTTCCATTGAGCCTGCTTGTAAAGATTCCAGATATAATCGATCAAGTCGACACTGTATTTCATCGGCAACATATCGGGCAAGAGCAGCGCTTCGTTCCGAAGCTTGCTTCGCAGTAGTTTCGTCTTGTTCAGTGATCTCAATTCCCGATGCGAGCCTCTCTAAGCCCGCGATCAACTTATCATCCTCCTTGAATCGAGCTGTCAGAGAGGAGAGTATTCTTTTGGCCTCTGCTGTGGCTTGCTCCGATACACTCCTCATTTCCGATTCCAACGCATGAGCTAGATCACTAGACTGCATAATATACTCAGCAAAGCTCCGTAATTGAACCAGGATGAGGAAGCACTACCGCAGCAGCTAGATTCAGCCTCCCTGACTTATGCTTCTTTTGCAATCGTGCTATATCCCTGTCTTGTCTAAGTCCCAGGTCCTCATCCGACTGATCACATCTATTCAGGCTCTCGTATTGTGCCATTAGTATGTTGGTTTGGTTCTGTATTGCAGCCGTAGAAGCATCTAGTGTATCAATCGCACGTCGAAGGTCGTCATCTAGAAGCGGACGACTTGTATTCGTATCTGTATTGGCGAGAACGCCCTGCAAGGCGCCGGAGCTTTCGAGCCTCGAATACCTAATAAAAAGATAGAGTAATCAGCGATGAGGACCGAGTTACTCTCGATATGGGCTAGGAATACAATATCAGCTCTTCCTGCGACAGCAGAGTGTCGGTAGTGAGATGCTCTGTCAGCCATTTCGCAGCCTTGGGACCATCCGCCTCATTGCTAAGGGCTGACTGGATCTCGTCTCGCCTGAACGGGATTTCGTAATCTTTGAGTGTACAGATAACGGTGGATGATGGGTCCATTGAACGGTTGTTTCGGTTGGGTCGCGGTGATTGTTCTGTCTCTGCCTCCCGGAGCGGAGTCGGGATCTACAGTTTGCTGCTGCTTATCCTCGGCAACTTCCTCGATGCCTCAGGACAACCCCACTGGAGAAAGCACTTCAACATCCAACCCAGTAATAGCATAGCAGTGGTTACGCTAATATATAGTAAAAAAAAGCGGTTTGGCAAGAGGTGATGGAAGTCATAACTTTTACCGATAATTGCCAATGAGACTAAATGAGCAGAACGCTCGTACTAGATCATAACCCTGAATATCTGAGTATAAAATGCTACCTTTTCATGATACGCCGGCAAATATATGAACCTGGCAACTGAAGTGAGCCTGTCATGTTTGGCTCTCACCTTCCGGTACAATCTGTGGATAGTACCATGTACTAACAGCGATAATAACATAGACTAGAACGCATAGGCCTCCTTCTAAATAGTTGGATTTGCCATCGCGAAGGAAGTTCCCAACAACTAAGATGGATAAAACGACCAGAACGATCATAAATATCTCAAAGTTGAGACCCATATCCTTGCCAATGCCCCAGCCCACAAGAACTGCCAGCGGTGCATTTAACAGCGCAGTCTGGATCGACGGACCAAGACAGTGGAAGAGTGCAAAGTTGATTTGGTTGTCCCTGCGTAAGGTCAGTAAAGGCGCGTCTTGCGAACAGGCTCGAGAAGGCCCTAAGGGGTGCACTTACCAAGCTTCATCGATAGCGGTCAAGTGCTCTGCTGCCTTTTCTACCAAGGGCACTAAAATTAGGCCCATGAAGTTGTCCGATACACCTTTTTCGTTCACAATATGCTCTATTTCTTCCACCAGAAAGACAGCCGACATGCAAACACAAGCGAGCGAGATTCCAATGGCAATGAAGCATTCAATGAGCGTAAGCTTAGCCCGCTTCATCTCCTTTTCGCGATCTTCATCCTGATGTTCATCAAACTCAAGCACTTCGTCAAAGATACTGTGATGACTATGAAGGTTGTAAAATAGATACCTGGGGCATGTGGTAAGTATCCAGGTCGATATATTGCCGCAGGAAGTGAAAACCTACATCAAAAAAGCGACTAGCAGGATGATGGCCGTGGCCCTACTGATGATCAGGGTAGACTGATTCAACTCTTCCGTCGACATTTGTACATGCGTATGCGATGCATTGCTTTTCAGTGTTGAATAGAATGCACTCGGTATTAGGAGACCAAATCCTGCGACTAGTAAGAGCCCTGAGCCTACTTCGCTGACGGCCTCATGGAACGACTGATCTGCACGCCCAATGCCTCCGCAGAAGAAGCATAGGCCCAAGCACAATAAGAGATTCGCCAAGATTGAGCCTAGGATGGCGGCCTGGATAACCGGAATCAGATTACCGCCTTTATCGTTGTGAATCAGGACCATGAAGAGGACAATCTCCACAACCGAACTAAGGGTTGTCTCGAGCAGGACACCAAGTACTTTTGGTAACTTTTTTGCGAGCTCTCCACCCGCAAAGCCGAGTAAGTTCGCCGAAGGCACCATTGCTATATAATTGAGGGCAAATACCCAGACATGGAGGTCAGGCCGGGCGAAATGAATGGTAATCGCAGCTGGGATGAAAGGCCAGAGGGCATTTACCAGCATGGATAGAGTACAAGTGCTCCGAAAGCAAACGCCCAGGAAGTGGACCGGATGAATTCCAGTTCGCCCACTCTCTCCAGCGGTATCGATGCGAAACAGCCCAAATTGCCGTCGCTGGTCTTTCTCGGTGTGCGTCGGTAATAGCGTATTAATTTGCAATCTCTCAGCCGATTGAATGGGATCCGGCATCAATAACCCGTCATTTCGCCGGTGATCGCCTTTCTGCGAAGAGTGTAAAGTCTCCATGACGCTGCCCATATTAGAACCCATCGCTTGGGAGGCTGCGTTGTTGATCAAATTGATAATCAATCTGGAGCGAGCTGTAAGTGCTTCCGCAGACCGTAAATACCGAAGTATGCTCTAAGGGGAAAAAGGATGGTTGGATGGAATGAGACCAGAAGCTCAATTAAAGGCCAGAGCAAAACAAGATGCGAGAAATGATGAGAAAGAATACAGGTGAGGCGGACTGTGCGCTCTAATGGATACAGAGCAACATAGACATGGTCAGCTAGTACTGGCTGGAGCCCAACGCCATGGATAGAGGACAAAGAGGGGGGAGAAGATAGAGGGTAAGGAAGATGTACAGGCACCGGAGATTATGCGTGGGAGATAAATGACAGTGAATTTATATCTCAACAAGACCAGAGTTTCAGCTGTCTGTGCTGGCAGATGCTAACCTGTAGTAGAAGCGACAGACACGAGCCTGAAGGTAATTTCTGGGGCTGCAACCATCTGCCTGGGCACATTTGGCAGGCGCTCTTAGTTCTTCATGATCACCGTTAATTCCGATTGGAGTCTCTCGTACGCTGCCGCTATCCCCTCTCATGGTTCGCGTGGAAATGCTGGGTACGGAGGATCTAGAGTTATAGCACTGGCATATGTCATTCAGAACCATCCGGGTAGTCCGTGATCTCAGGAGAATCGACCCCTCCAGCTGATCCCTAGCCATTTTTGACTGTCAAGACTCAAGTCATCGATGCCCACGCCGTGAAGTCTTGGCAAGCCTATGAGCATCGGCCTCTGAATGGGGTGGTGGCGCTCCGGCATCTTGGCTGTAAATGCTCCCGGGAATAGGTCACGGATCATGGATGCCTTAGAGCCTGTTCTTGGGATTTGTCCGGGATGCTGTGATAGGTATGATGCACCCTTTAGCAATAATTGGCGGCAGGTAGACATGATAATAGTTTTATCTATCTTCTACTTTCCCTGCTGGGAACACTGAAGGGGGGGAGAGGAGGGACTGTTTATTTACACATTGAATACACAGCCACGGTTGACTCGCGTCGAATCCCGCAGCTCGTTCGCTTCCAGGTGGATACGGGTGGGTTTGAGGACCTACTATAGGTACTCCGCAGTGCAAGACTGGATACCTAGTAGATACTTTTTGAATTTGAAAAAAATGGGCTATCCTATCTTCGAATTTTCAATGGGTAAATATTAAGCAAATTCGTGGTGGGATGGATTCCAAAGAAAAATCCCAACATCGGTGGACTAAGTAGAATCGGCTAGGTTGCTTCGCGGCCCGTGTGAGAAAAACAAATCACTGGGAATCATGGATTTGGGTTTGGGGGATGAGACGGTCGGGCCCATAGCTGGGTATTTTTGAGGTTCGAGTATCTAGTACCTAGTAGTATCTACAGTGCTACTGTTCTTAGCAGATGGTAACAAATAATAATTAGGTTCTACTAGGATAGACCATCCTAAATGCAAAATCGGAGTTAAGGCTAGCAGCATGCTGCTAGCGTACCATATCCAAGTAGCCCGAATGCAGGGCTCTCAGTCTCCGGAAACGTGGATCACTTGGCTGGAGAACCGATCTTATTGAGGATGCCTTCATCAGCGGAGAGTTTTATATCTTGCACTACCTATCTATTGTACACCATGACTTGTAGTACTAGTAGCTATGCATCCATGCTTCTGATTGGTGGAGAGTGTACATACCCACCAAGGTACATACTAATCTAGGTTGCCTCCACCAAGTCCTGGAAGAAATGGAAGAAGCTACTAATTAAATCTTGGTGAGGTGACTGAGGTGACGCTAGATGGGTAGAATGTAGATATTACTAGATACTACTACATGCATACCTAACACCACCTTCACATGTCAGATCTGCCGGGATCACGTGGTGCTTATGCAAGAATTCCTTAAGTCAAGCAATATGGCGAATGCGGTTGGTGGCCAACGGCTACCGTCGGGAGGGGTATACCAATCTGTTACGAGATTTTTTTGCCTTGCCAATTTTTTCCCCCGTCTTATCCTATTTTCTTTGCATCTTCATTTCTTAAGATAGCCGGATAGGTGCTTCAAATACCTTTTACTATTCAATATTCAAACGACATCCCAATTCAACAAACCGATAACCACAATGTCGACGATAACCTCCCCGGCCGTCCCTCCGGTGGCCCTTGACACGATCACTCAGCATATTGGCAATACTCCCTTGGTCAGGTTAAACAGGCTTCCGCGTAGCTTGGGAATTGAAGCCACCGTCTATGCCAAACTGGAATATTTTAATGCTGGCGGGAGCGTGAAAGATCGGATTGCTTTGCGCATGATCGAGGAAGCGGAGCGAACTGGGCGCATAAAGCCCGGTGATACTCTGATTGAACCTACCAGTGGTAACACGTAGGCCGTCCAGCTATGCGATCTCGAGATTATAAAGGAAATTCCCTAACACTTCTGTTTCTCGCTAGCGGCATTGGTTTGGCTCTTGTTGCGGCCGTTAAAGGTTGGTTGGTGTTTAGTTGATGGTTGGCTTCCAGACTGTCGGTGGCTAACACTCAATGTCGGAGCTTCCAGGCTACAAGACGATCATTACTCTGCCTGAGAAAATGTCTGCCGAGAAAGTGTCAGTTCTGCGAGCGCTGAATGCCACCATTATCCGTACTCCCAACGAAGCAGCATTCGATTCCCCGGAATCCCACATTGGGGTTGCGAAGCGCCTTGAGAAGGAGCTTCCGAACGCGCACATCCTGGATCAGTATGGCAACGAAAACAACCCGCTTGCTCATGAATTCGGTACCGCGGAAGAGATTTGGGCTCAGACGGAAGGTCGGATCAATGCGATTGTCGCCGGTGCGGGCACTGGTGGAACAATTACCGGCCTCTCTCGTGGTCTCAAGAAACACAACCCCGATATCCAAGTCATTGCTGCGGATCCTCATGGATCAATTCTGGCTCTCCCTGCTGCTCTGAATGAGGAGCATGAGAACGAACCTTACAAGGTCGAGGGTATTGGGTATGATTTCATCCCCCAGGTCCTGGACCGTCAGGCAGTCGACAAGTGGTACAAGACTGCCGACAAGGAGTCATTCCAGTACTCCCGGCGGTTAATCGCTGAGGAAGGTCTTCTTGTTGGTGGAAGTAGTGGAAGTGCTATTTCCGCTCTGGCGCAGGCCGCGAAAGACCAGCGATTCAGCAAAGATGACGTGGTTGTCGTCGTTCTGCCCGACAGCATCAGAAGCTACCTTACCAAGGTAACTTGTTCCTCGTTCGGATTTTAATAAACCATCTAACTTGTTCTAGTTTGCTGATGACGATTGGCTGGCTGCCAATGGGCTCCTGTCGTCGACACCTGAGCCCACGTCCTTCCCAACGCTACAGCCGCAGGGGCAGAGCGATGCATTTACTGACTCGCAAGTCAAGGCCCTTCGTTTGAAGCCGATCACCACAGTTCGATCCAACATTCCCTGTGAAATCGCCATTGAGATGATGCGCGACAGGGGATTCGACCAACTTCCCGTACTTGCAGCTTCTGGGAAAAAGCTCGTCGGACTGCTCACCCTCGGCAATGTTCTCAGCCGGCTGACCCATAGACGCGCTACCGGGAAGAGCCCAGTTGCGGAGGTTATGTTTGATTTCAGCAAGATACCCGAAATTGTTACCGATCCTAGAGACATGGGGCTTGCAAGCTCGCAGATCAACCAGAGTGGACGCGATAACGCGAAACCCCATATCAGGGATCGTAAATTCGTGGAGATCACTATGGACACGCCTTTGAGCGTTCTTAACAGATTCCTTGAATGGAACAGTGCAGCAGTTGTCACTGAACGGGATGAGCATGGAGCAATGAAGCCGGTTGCGGTAGCCACGAAGGTCGACCTGCTTACCTGGATGCTCCATAACAACAAGAATGGCGCCCTGGATAATTAGCACCAGAGTCGCTTGCTCAGAGTATATATCTATTCCGCTTAGTTGCTCTTTTTCTTTCGAAGTGACGTCAAATCTTTTGTTGCTCTCTTTGGTGGATGCTCAACGCTCAATACTACCCCATCCATAATATAGATTTGTATGCTATGGTGGCAATGACGCAAATGGCTAGGCGGTATGGATTTTCATCAGAACTATTTTAGATACTTCTGATCAATGAGAAATCAGACATTCCCATACGCTGGGACCTCTTGCGCTGTGTAAGACTGACGTATGTAAATGAGGGCCGTGGTGACACCTCGGGTACGCTGCTCCGCAACTGATCTCGGCATCCCGAGGAATAAAAAAGCGGACCCAGGGAAGATGATGGAATTTTCCTTTCATCTACACAGACCCATTAGACATCCATAATGTCAGGCTTACTCACCTATAGAGAGTTTTGCGGGATACACTGCCGTTGGACGGGAAGGTGGCACCGGGAACAGGATTAGGTCTCTCAAGAACGGTGGCGGGACTAACCCACAAGAGACAAGAGGGTGAGAATAGCATGAGGCCTTAGGGCTTTGTTGTTACAATGACAACCAGAAGGGAGGCCAAAGAGGCATCAGAAGGGGTAAGCATTTGGTAACTCTTCCATACCGTGGTGGCTCGACGTGTGATGAGAGCCGCCATATCACATCACACGTGGATTCTGAAGCAGAATCTACACTGAAAAAGTCTAGGGGTTACTACTAAACTCCTCATATACAACATAGACAAAGGTTTCGTGCTTGCGTGCGACAATGACAAATTCCTAGCAGCAAAAGAGGAACGGCAACGCCATCATATCTCCCATGGGGAAACGGCAAAAGAGTAGTGACTATCCAATGCGATTCGGCTAATTTCTTCGCCGTAGAGAGGGCTTGCGGATCAGGCCAAGCGCTTGACTGAGAGACTGGCTATACTCACCTGTAACGGCAGTATGACATTCATCTCCCACTTCTGTCAGGCAGGCTTTGTTTCTGTCTGCATCGGTCATTAATTGAACCTTTTTCCCAAGCCTTGATATTACATCCAAGTACGGACAGTCGCCCCAGTATTTGGAAATTGTCTTTACAGCAAACTGCCTCGGCCATCAAATTCTAATCCAACTTCTTCTGCCACTTCTGAAATGTACAGCAACCCAGCACATATTAAGTGAGGTCCGGATCGTTGTGACCAACTCTTCGTTGCATTCATGCTGCCGTGAATTGGATCTAGATCAGCTCACTGCGCCCACTCGCTCAAAGTCACAGTCGCTGTGTATCGACGGCATTTAGCATTATCCCCGTTCCAATTTTGGCAACATTCTCTTCACAAAAGGGATCAGTCGTCAACCCCAGCAAGACGACTTCGCGGGTAAAATTATCGTTGTAAATATCTTCTTGCCGGAAAATATCGCCACAGAGCAATGGAAAGCCTGGGATGAGTATGTTGGAAAGGGTTTGTGAGCGGCTTTCGTTATGTCGTTTTCATCCTCGGACAAAGCTCCCAGGACGGCGCGCGACCACCATGTGTTTAGCTGCAAATGACAAGATACGAGTCGACGGCATTCGAGGTCAAACTACATCTCCATTTCCAAGCCATGCGCAACCACAGATTTATTCACCGATTTATGCTGTGGCTGAGTCAGAGTTGAATAAGAGTATGTTATACTCATGGTCCTTAGACCTCCAATTTCGGCCTAGGATGATCGTTTTGCACCAGAGAATATGTACGATCTCGAACCGTGAAAAAGTATTGCATATCCAAGAATTGTTTGGTGTTCGTTTCAATCCGCGACAAGGCCCAGTAGCGCTACCAGTAGCCCGGCTGATAAGTAGGACCATCGCTCACAGGCATTGACCGATCCATTCCTCCCACTTTTTGACACCGGCCCCAAGGTTGCCCTCATCATCACTTTTGACGGCGCCACCGACAATGTCAAGAGTCAGTCCAATCTCATCTTCCAGGCTGCCAAAGGTGAACTTAATGCGCGTGTCGGTGCTGCCCAGAATATCATCCTCGTCCTCATGAACCCCAGAGTCTACACTAGCGTCTATGAGACCTTTGCTCCTAGATTTGCGAATTCTGTCAATCTCAGCCTCTAGCTTTTCACGCACTGAGCCTGGCGGTAAAGCTGTGAAAAGATCTTGCTTGTTGGCGATGACGAGAACAGGAATCTCAGAGGCTGCTTTCATCGAAGATTTGCCTTTCTTAAGGGCCCTCTTCTGAAGGATCAAGAGCACATCATAAAGATAAGAAGCTGTGTCTCGCAGCGCTTCGGCCTCCGAAAGAGCAGCGGTATCGACCATGAAAAGGACACCACGCAGCCTAGACTTCACATCCTTTGATGCCGACATTGATAACAATGTTGCAAGTCCCTGCGATCCTCGCAGTTTTCCATGGCCGGGGGTATCTCTCAGGAGGTACTTGACGGGGTTCTTGGAGATATCCTTGAGGGAGGTGTCATTGACAGAACGGTAACGGTTAGAAGCCGTGGGGATCGAGGCAGGAAGACTGATCGTAGCTACAGTGGACGTTTGTGACGTATGTGTGAGCCGCGAGTCTTTCCGGGCAAGATGTGACGACTTGGTTTCCAGCTATTGCAGACAAAGGAAAGTGACCTGGTCAGTAACGGCTATAATAAGCGAAGCGAGCACAAAGCAACACTAGAGAAATATATTATGAGGAAAGGCGGCAAGACGAAGAGATAAGACGTACCAGAGTTAGAAGCGCGGTCTTGCCAGCCCCACTGGGACCTAGGAGTAAAAAGTTGCTGGAGGGCGGAGATGCAACTGTCTGGTAGAAGATCAGGTGCAGCAGAACAGGGAGGCCAAAAGCAATGAAGAGCGTGACTGCAATCGCAATGGGATTGCCGTCAAGCAAGCTAGTGGCTATTCCCTCAACGGACGTCCAATCTCCGTGATAATGCATGTTTTATAATGCTCACGTGAAACTCCGTGGACGGTATGGTATAACCAAGCTAGAGATCAGACTGATATGAAGGGTATTCACCTAACCGGGGAAAGGCAGAAGGTAATAGGATAATGTATGAGTAGGAAGAGCAATAACAGTCCACGGTATTCATGGATACCAATCCGTCGACGCCGGACTTCTTGTCCCTTTTCTCCCCAAAGCTGGCTAGAACTGCAGCCCGAAGCAGCAGGCAGAGGGATTCAGTATGTGGGTTGTAATCCTTTCCGAAGCCGTGCCGACTGCTGACATTCAGAAGGTTGCTTTGTTGGTTGTTGATTATTGCAGCGGTGACCGCAAAACAAACCGATGGGCCAGGCGGATCATGCCACCTTCGGACGTGCGGGCCTCTAGTACTGAGAGCAGAGAGACAGTGTGTTATTGCCTTGATGCCTGAATCGAAGCACGTGCGCCTTGTTTCCCGATTGGGTAACCCAGGTTTATACTTCCGTGCCGCAGACGGGTTCCAAGCATGCCGTTGCATTGCAGGGGGCGACGGGAGGGCATCAACAGTCTGTTGCCATTCATTCTTATTTTCGGATACCTCCCTTCGCTTCTGACGTGGCCCTTTGTTGACCATATTAATTATCTCTCTACACTCATTGCCTGTAGCGCTGGCCTCCCTTCCCCTGTGCAAGATGAGGCTTGCACGCACAATATCATTTGCGCTATCACTCCTCTCTACTGCCCTTGCGGATGTGGTGTTTATTTACCCAACCACCGGCACAGTTATTAGAGCTGGCGATGTCGTTACCGCTCACTGGAGGGATTCTGGCGCACTACCTCGAATGACTGAACTTGTACAATACGACCTCTATCTCTGTGCAGGCGGAGACACACCGGGATCCTATGTGTGTACCCTGTTAATGTCGCAATATTCATCAAAGCCATATACTAATGCCCCGGCTAAAAAACAGGAGGATGTGTCTCTTCTCCTTACAAATGCTATTTTTTCCAGGGGCAATTCGGTTTCCTTCAGGATTGATCCAGATGTCGGTGGCAATGATGAGAATGCATAGTAAGGCCATTACTCTGCTCCCACGGTACACAACAGAGGGTTCTGTGGAACTGGCAGGTCTTGTCCCATGCTGATAATCGCGCCTTATGCAGCTTTCTAAGGATGGTCGCTTCTGGTCCCGAAGCCTCGGTTGTCAACTACTCAGAGCGCTTCACGCTCACGAACATGACAGGCTCATTCTCACCACTTATTGTACATGGAATTCATTCTGCCATACAATCTCTTAGTTCTCCTGTCAATGAAGGGGAAGAAAATGAGGAATTGCGAAAGAGGCAAATGGTAGGGTCCTATACGATTCCATATCCGTTGCAAACAGGTCCTACGAGATACGCTCCTATGGCTAAGAAGCCTGGAAGTACGATTCCCGCGGGGTCGCCAACCCCCCAATTCTCAGCGAGCCTGTATACCATCGCTACAACTTATTTACCTGCGGCTACCATTCAGGTTACACTCTCTGCCTCTGAGACATACTCCGTGGTTAGCATCGAGAACACCGTAAGTATAGCTTCTGCCGATCTTTGCAAGACCGAGCTAATGGCGCCTGTTTCTTGGAAAGGCATCTCCTGCACCGCATTCTCAAGATGTGCAAATGAAGCGGTTCTTAGAAAGATGGAAGGATTAGGTCTTGTAACAGTTTGGACTTCTGACGCTCCAGGCAGCCAAAACCATTCCATTTGTTCGATTTAGTGCCTTTTATACCCCGTCCACCATATGTCCTGTCTTTTCCCCTCATAATGTTCTCTAATAATGGCCTATTTGCGGCGTTAAAACGCTGGAATATGTGTGCATCTGACCTTTCAAATCTCCGATTTATGTTAGTTTGCATGGAACCGGCTTTTATACTCGACAATACTGGTTATCGCCTGCACCCATCCCCCAGTTGATTTAAAACACAAACTTTGCATACTACATCCTAATGCCGCTTAGAGACGTTCTACTCTATCATATTGTGTTCAATTCTATTCTTCTTTTTATTCCTAAGGCTATTGTCGGATTTCCTTCAACCCTCCGCATCCTCTTTCGTCCATTAGTGACGAAATGGCTGAATAGCATAAGGGAGGGAAGTTAGCTGTCAACCGGGCAGTGGATGGCTTGAAAGGACCAATATTCCGGTGGTGGAATTTTGCTGTTGGAGTTTTCCCGCCGGGTGCCTTTCGGCTGTTTCCCTCGAGGAGCCACAATACCCTGTACGCGCTTGGGGTTCGTTTAATGCCGTGGGCTTTCGTCATTCTGTATGAAAGAGATATTCTCACGGAGAGCAACATATTCACTGTCGGCATAACCAAGCAATGATTGGATTTGCGTGCTCCTGTGGCCCTTGATGCGAATAATCTCACTGCTGCCGTAATTGACTAGGGCACGTCCGACCTCCTTCGGCTCCTGGCCGTGGTGAAGAAAGTCCCCATTCAAAGATTCCGGTGAAACTTTCTCAATGACAACCAGTCGTACCGCTTCCTGTTGGCCAAAATGGCCTTCCACACCCACAATACCTGCTGGAAGCAGGCCGGCCTTTTTCTGAAGAGCACTGTACGCACCGTGATCAATATAAATAGTACCTCGGGGTTTCAGACCATGGAGTAGCCAGAACGATCGGGACTGGATTGGAGTTTCCGACGGAATGAACCGTGTATGTAGCGGAGGCATAGTTTGCAAGTGTGACACGTGGTCATAATCTCCGGTCTCCGGGCCAACTGAAGCTCCTTGTTGGGTTTGCTGAAGGTATTTGACAATTTCATGGACATTGCCCGGTTTGGAGCTTTTGGTGATGATTGTGGTCACACCCGCACTAATTCCCAACTTCGCAGCCACGATTTTGGTACTCATTCCACCCGTTCCTAAGGAGGAGCCGGCAGACGAGACATCAGCTTCCAAAGATGAAATATCCGTGACGACCTCGATAGGCCGTGCATCAGGATTGTTACGTGGGTTAGTAGTATATAGGCAGTCGACATCCGTCATTAAGAAAAGGTAGTCAGCTTTCACCATGGCTGCTGTTATTGCCGACAGTGTGTCGTTGTCGCCGAATTTGATTTCCTTGTAAGAGTAAGCTTGGGATAGTTCAAGAATAACGGCTAAGGCCCAGGAACCTACCGAGACAGCGAGAGTGTCATTCTCATTGACTATCGGGATCACGCCCATGTCAAATAATTGTGCGAAGGTATTCTGGGCATTGATGTATTGCGTCCTCTATACCGGGGTCAGGCGCAGCATACACTTCCAGGGACCGAAGTGGAGGCTTACATCCGCGATGTCGTTTCTAGTCAGCAGTATTTGTGCTACTGGAAGGCGGAGATGCGAGAATAAACCATCCCACAGACTCATTAATCTGCACTGTCCGACCGCAGCCAACGCCTGGAGTCCCTCGGTTAGCCACCATAGTCAGGCGGTCCGTGACGTTATCTATAAGGTACCTGTATACGGGGGAGGTGATTCGGCCTCTGCTCAACATCCATCCTTCGCAAACCCACGCCAACAGCACCGGATGACACGAGCACGACATTGTGGCCGTCGCGATGGAGTTTGGCAGCGGTCTCGACGATCAAGGTAAGATTTGACAAGATCGGCTCATGTGTATTTTCATCTACTATGGAGCTCGTCCCTATTGATAGAATAATTTCAATCAGTACTTCTCTCTCTTTCTAGACCAGGATGAATGTCCAGGCCAATTGGATGTACCCCGCACCTAGTTTGATGACGATTGTGAGGCGTTGAGAAGCCATTGCGAAAGGAAATTAAGAAAGTCAGATATTTAACGCTCGCAACCACCCATTTCACGGCGGCACTGGCAGATCGCAAGATTTGGCCTCCCTCCCAGGCACAGTCGTCTCAGATCGGTTGCGCTAGTCTATATAGCATGATCGGCCCATCTAGATATGGCCGTGTGCAATTTCCTGGGGATTTTCTTTCTGCCGTCCACCATTCACCGCCAATGCGGAGAGCTGACGGCGGAATTGGCCTAGGCAATCTTTCCGCTTCTTCCATGGTCAGTCGTTTGCTGACGTGCCTATTCTTCGAGTTCCGGGCGAAATGTCGACCCCAAAATCTTCTAATACCAGTTCGCAAACTGACAATCGAGACACCGGTTTCATACCGGGTGACGACACCTGGACACAATGGCGCAACATCTTCTCCATCCTAGCAGGCAAAATGACAAATGAAGGGAAAGAACAGTTTCGTGTTGCCCGGGACATTCGAAATGAGGCCACAGATTGTAAACGTTGTGAGGACCAGCGAGACTATCTGTTACAATTCAGTAAGTCGTCCTTGCTCTGTATCTTCTTAGAGAGGGGGGTTTAGTCGGAACCATCGCTAAGAAGACAACCTATAAGGCCCAGTAATCCGCTTTATGCACGACAGCATTCGACAGCTTGGGGGGGATCTTTCTAGCCATAACATGTATTGCCGCCGGTGTACCAATCGAAAAGCGGGAGGCTTCGATCCCGATTATGGTATCTTGCTTTGCGCGAACGAAATGAAGGACCAGGGACACCTGGAGGACACAATGGCCCATGAAATGGTCCATGCCTATGATCATTTGAGATTCAAGGTTGATTGGACTAACGATCTGCGGCATGCAGCTTGTACTGAGGTAATCAGCTTCCCACCTACGATGGCCAGTTAATGCTCAAGACATAGGTTGACCCAAAGACAGATTCGAGCCAGCTCCCTTAGCGGGGAATGTAGATGGGCACGCGAGTTCTTCCGGAGGGGCCAGTGGAAGTTTACACAACAACATCAAGAATGTGTCAGAAGAAGAGCTGTATTGTCCGTACGCGCAAGGCCGGGATGCAAGGATGAAGCTCACGCGCAAAAAGTTGTAAATGAAGTATGGGACAGCTGCTTTAGAGACACCCGCCCCTTTGATGAGATTTACCGATGATACGACAGGCTTTTGAGCATTACAGCCATGCGAGGTAAACTTCTTAAGTGTATTATATTCGATGTGCCACGTGCAAAGATATGCCAATTAATAGACCTAGTGAACCAAACGCCGCGACAGGAAGATGATCGTAAAAGAGAAACCCCGACAGGCTTAACTCCACAAAATGAAAGGGATTGAAAGGACTACTTGCTAAAGCGACGAGAAAAGACCGAAAAGCACCTCTTAACACCAATGCGCCTAGGTTTCATGCACAATACGTTAGGGTTTGGCTTCCCTTGACGAACCAGAACTGCGCTTCATAGTGCGTTCATCCTTAACACAATGTTTAAGGATCCAAGGATGCCGTTGGATTTCATCGAGAGAGATTCTCTTCTCTGGGTCCAGAACGAGGAGCTGCAAGGTGTTAGTAAAAGCTGTATCTCGGATGCCAGACCCTAACATACCCTTTTGATAAGATCCCTAGCCTCAGGACTGACGAAAGAGGGGACTGTCATGTCCGCTCTTGCAATCCGCCTTTGTGTCATAACAGGGGTGTCCTCGAAAGGAGCTTCTCCAACAAGGAACTCATAGGTCAAGACACCTAAACTCCACAAATCTACCTTCTCACTGTAGTAATTATCCTGTGAGCCCGGCTTGAGCATCTCGGGGGGGAGGTAATCCAATGTTCCGCACATCGTTTGCCTCCTGTTATTCGGTGCATGTACGCTCCAACCAAAGTCGCTGATCTTTATTTCCCCGTGAATTCCGACAAGGATATTCTCAGGTTTGATGTCACGATGCATGACATGTTTCTTGTGAAGATATTTCAGGGCGGCGGCCATTTGAGCAATGTACTGGGCAGCCTTCCATTCAGGGAATCGATGTTCCTTTCGAAGATGCTTATACAACTCCCCCCGACCGGCAAATTCTAGAATCAAAAAGATTCGTTTGCTGTCGTGGAAATGACCATAGAGCCTGAGAACGTTCGGATGACGGAGATTGCTCTGGATCTCAATCTCTCGGCGGACTTGCTTTTGCACTCCACCCTGCTGCAATTCGGATTTATGCAAGACCTTGAGCGCGCATACGAAACCCGAAGACCGCTCCTTGGCTAGGTATACTCTGCCAAACTTTCCCTTCCCCAGAGGTTTCCCAATTTCAAACATTCCAAGGTGTAGCTTTTTGGGTGATGCTTGGTCATATAGTGGGTTTGGGTGCCGTTGTTCCCCATTCTCATCCAGGTTACGGCTCGGTAGAGTATTCTGTGAGCTCTTGGTGGGGGATGGGCCAACGTTCATCGCATTGACTTTGTTCTCATTGGTGTTTTGCAGGGCCAACTTTAGCAGATTGGGTCGGCTAGAGGCGTTGTACTGCCCTCCAGGTCCGAGGCCTGAAAGGGACATGGCCGTTGATAGAGAGCTCTGATTGATGGCATTAACAGGCCGGCTTGCCATTGAAGGCATACTCTAGGACTCATACCTTAGGCTTCGGATAGCTGCCGCCATTGTGCCCGGTATCACTCTCATCTTTAACAGAGAGGCGCTCGAGGCGCGCTTCCAGTGTCTTGGAGGCCATATAGGAACGTTGTAGGCGAGTGATGTCGAATGGGAGAGCCAACAGGGGTGGTGGACTATTTAGAGGACTATCGTGCTCTTATAAAAGCATCGTCAGGCTCTGCAGTACTTCTAAAACAAATGATGATCTAGGAGGGAAGCCGGAGGAGGAGGTGAATAAGGTGGAGGAGAACTGGAAGCTCTCCAGCGACGCTCGGATGTTTATCGGGTTTGGTTCCTTGACCCATCACCCCAGCAACGAATCGGACCGCCTCTTTCTCCGGCACCGCGGGGTATGATCTATCATCCGGGCATGGGGAAGAGCGACAATGCATGTCGAAGAGCCAAGAGACCTCCCTCCTTGTCTGCTCTTTCAGTATTTCCCATATCGACGTCTTGTTCGTGTGGCCCCTTTACGTTTGCTTCTTACTTACCCAATAGCATAGCATGACATCACGTAGCAACGCGGCGTCAGCAAGTATGGCGTGTACCGCCACCTCGCCCAGTTTTCAGAAGCCCAAATCTGTCACAGTCAAGGGATTCAAGATCAGCACTCAGAAGCTGCCAATACTCAAAGCGGATCCAATTGAGGGTATGACGAGAGAACTAGGAATCACCCCGCCCGAGATGATCTTCGGCGACAATTTTGTTGCAATCGAACATGAGCAGAGTCAGTGGGGATTAGCTTTCAACGCGTTTGATGCCTTAGACCGCGTGGACAAAACCGGCACATCGATGCTGAGGGTCGCTTACTCCAGGGAGTGGCAGAAGAGCAGGTACTGAACCATCCGTGCTCGCCATCCTGAGACATTTTGACTTGTGCATGTCGTTGACTGACATTTTGTTAGGGAAAAGACTCATGAAGGGATCAAAGAAGTTGTCAAACCCTTCGACTGGTCTTACACTACGGACTACACGGGCACAGTCAAGCCTGGGAGTCGGCCATTCGTAGCTACGACAAAGTCGATTCCTATTGAATTGCTTAAGCGACCAGACCCTATACTATTTTATGACGAGGTTATCCTTTACGAGGACGAACTTGCTGATAACGGCATTACTATGCTATCGTGCAAGATTCGGGTCATGCCATCCAGACTTCTGCTACTTGCGAGGTTCTTTATGAGACTAGATAACGTTCTATTTCGGCTTCGGGACACGAGGATTTATGTCGACTTCGATGAAATGGAGATCATAAGAGAGTACCAATCCAGGCAATGTGAATACGAGGCAGTAAGACAGGTAAGCTTGTGGCGTTCTTATTTTCAGGTACTCGACCCGACTTGAGGAGCCAAAAGAACTGATCATCCGTTGGAAGACCTTAGCAACAACGAGAGATGACGTACCGGCCGTCATGAGAGATCCTAATAGACTTTCGGAAATTCTCCCGTTAGTCGAGAAACGCTTAGAGAGGGTGGTTCTCAAGGAATAATGCATCTATTTTGGTGGTTACTCACTACCCCTAGCCTTAGTCCCACCTCACCTCCCTCTCAAGTGCAACTGGTTGAAGGGAAAGCAACCCGCGGGATTATACCGACAACCATTCTATCTGCCAGGCTGGTATGCGAACTACTTATTCCGGTGCCCCGAGTCGCTTCAATGCCATGCAACTCAGCTTATGCCGGCGCTGTTCCAGATAAGAAAAGTGCCCGTGTCACCACATGCGGTGACTTTGGCGCGATATCCTCTATAAGAGGAGCGGGGTCGTAAAGAAAAACATCGCACACGGTCGCAGCGATTCATTCTTCTTCAATGAAGCATGATGGTACTACCCTTGTAGTGCCCAAAGATAATGGGCAATGTGGTCTAATTATCATTCCATGAATCCATTGAGACAGTCCGTCGCATAGTTGTACCCACCGTTCCTACCTAAATCACGTGTATACCTGGTGCCTTGTGATAGAATACTGCTAATGTACCCAGCTTAGTGTGTAGGTAGTTGTTCATGTGACGAATTACACACATGGTATATGGGTAATGACAAACGGTGCAAACAGTATTGATCCCGGGGGCTTCTAGACTTCTCCGGAGTATGGAGTACTTACAACCTTTTTAAGTAATCATCAATAAAACCTCTACCAAGAGAATACGCGGGAAGAGTTCATCTGACTCAAGCGAGCACCAAAAGCACACACGATTAAGTAGCAGATACACAATCCAGGTTTCTAACGATGCATTCCGCTTGTCCGAAGAATCTGTCGCTCCGGGCGTTCTATAATTTGCAATGCTTGAGACCCCAGGTATGGCTTAGCAGAGGGAACAATGGAAGGACATTCACCTGACTGAACTATTGTCTTTAGGTACATGCAACCAGCCAAATGCTCTTGCCATCAACTTGCTCCCCAGCTCCTTCAGTCCCTCACCAACACACTAGTCGGCAGCAACACTCGCTAGCCTCGTGCTTCGCTCTTCGTTCACAAAGTCGTCGCAATTCTTCGCAGCTGGCTCGAGCGATTGCGCCGCGCCCAGGTACTACGGCAGAGACCTATGTCGCGTACGGAATGACTCAGAAGCTCTTTGAGGCATGTTCCAACCAAGCAGACTACAAAATACCTCAATTGTCTCAGAAGGGGGCACAGGTGCCTAAGACTAGCGCCGGAGAAGACTTGGGAGTAGGCGAAGGGTGGTGGTATGAAGGTTTGTGTTCATCGATATCATCCTGTGGGTGATTCTGTACCTCAAATGCGAGACTGACGAGCGCATTGGCAGAATTGGGCCTCGTTCCTACCTTTTCTACCTGGTCGCAGGTTACCTTTCTGCACATGTACCTATTGACGGTCCGACTGCGCGCATTGCCATCGCATGAGAGCCTTCAAACCTACTCTCGACACCTGATTGATCATTTCTCACATAATGCGGAACACCGCATGGATGTACTTCACGGCTTGTCAAGCCGTGGCATTCGGAATAAGTTCCTTAAGGACCTTTTCATTCAATGGCGCGGTGTTCTAGCGGCATACGATGAAGGCCTCATCAAAGGAGATGCTGTGTTGGGAGCTGCTGTTTGGAGAAACTTATGGAAGGCGAACCACACTGCTCCCGACGGTAATGAATTGGACTGGTCGAAGATAGCTCAGGTCGTCGCATATATGCGAAGAGTGCTCTCTGAACTCTCTCAGGTGCCTGAAGCGGACTTGGTCTTTCAATTAGAGCGCCAGAAGGGTGGAAGCCCGGGGATTTTCTCCTATTCCGATGTTGACCAAAAAGTGGTCATTAGCCAGCGGTGATACTACGATTAAGCGGCTCATTCTCAGTGGTTTTTTACCCGCCCGTTGTTTCGCATTCTATAGTGTATCATATCCTTCTGTCATTAACATACTTGGTTGACCATTTTTGCATACTTCGCTACCACTTCGAGGGCTAATGAGCGTAGACGACCCTGCCCGTTGGATCACATCGAATATGAACAAAAACTAGGATAAACCATTATTTCCGGATGAGCACGTCCGAGGACACAAGTAAGTCGGAAACCTAAGGCCTTGCGTATATCGCTATATGTCCTTCTTCCCGAAGAGGTCCTTCTCAACCATACCTCGGCATATAGGATGATAAAAATCCTTGTACTTCTCGAAAGTTTCGACTGCAACTGGACGGTTGACTTTCTGCAAGCTCCGAAACCTTATTGGTCTAGTCAGCACCACAACTCGACATTTCAGTGACAGAAGTTGCTTACAAAGGTCTCACAAACTTCATCCTTCCAATTCTGCCAAGTAGCTCCGTCGTCGGCCCAACGACACTCTCGTCGCCAGCCTTCAGGCCAACTTGGAAGTACAAGTTGGCGACTTCTATGTTTTCACTCTTGGTGAGTCCGTAAACTTCACCCATAAGCTTTGACAATTCGTGTGTAAGCGGTCGCTCAAAAAGAAGTATCTGTTCCAAGAAGACCACAATCTGGTTTGCGCTCAGTCCTTCAATGTCGCTCGGCTGCGGCTTAAAGGAAGTCTCGGAAAGGAACTTCCATTTGTGAGAAAGCTCATATACAACATCTACAAGCGATGTGTCAAACTGAGGCTTAGGAGGCAGCCCAGGGGCATAGAACCATGTGTCCCAATCAAGAGCATTCAGAAGTTCAGACGTTTCCGCATCAGAACGGAAGAAATCCAGCAAAGTTGATTTGAACTCGTAGGAGTCCAACGACTTCCCCTTGAACGTGGTAAAGTACTAATAAAGCCAATTCAAATCAGCAAGTCAAGTTCGCTCGGGATATATGGGAACGCACATGAGGGATAAACTGGTCAAACTTCTGCTTGCCGACAAGAGTTTCCAAATGGAACAAGAAGTTGAAGCCCTTCTCGTACGGAATACTTGAAAACGCATCATCTGGGTCCTTGCCCTTGAGATCCGTAATCAATTTGGTGAACTCATGGTCATGGCCGAAATGCTCTACGGAGTCTGTGAGCGCTTTCCAACCTATGATGGCCGAGAAATGCCGATACGCTTCGCCATGCCTGTGATTCGATCAGTGATTGATTGAAGCGGCAACAACATATCTAGGACTCACACGGCAGCTAGAATCTGAAACATCGTCAGCACGTGTTAGGGAGTACTCGCCTCAACCGGCGACAAGGGTCAGGGGCAATAAACATACCCGTCTCTCAAGGTACGTAGTCCAGCCTTCATTCAACCAGAAATGCTCCCACGACGCATTAGTCACAAGGTTACCGCTCCAGCTGTGTGCAAGTTCATGGGCAATGACGTCGATGTTCTCCCGATCCTAATCACCTGCATTAGTATCAGGGAAAGTCTACCTGCTCAAGACTGCCTCTTGTATCGTACCTTGGAGATGATACTGGGCGTCGCGAAGGTGAAGATCGGATTCTCCATTCCTCCATAAGGAAAGCTAGGTGGGAGAATCAGGACATTATACTCGCCCCAAGCGTAAGGGTAGACAATTTTCTGTATCTAGGTCAGAAAGGGGACCGTTGCACTTAATGACCTACAGACCTCAATTGCACCGATAAACTTCTCGGTATCTGCTTCGAGTTCCCACTGACACTCTTGGAGTTTGTCAGGGCTAGTTGCCACAACGCTCCGAGGTCCAATTGCAGCTTCCGAGATGTCACTGCCATTGATAAGTCATGTAGCAAATGTGAGGCATTAGGAACAGGCGTATGCAAGCTTACCCACTGGCCAGAGCAAAGAGATAACTAGGGATCGGGACGCGCTGATGGAACCGGTACAAGGATTTGCCTTCAGTTGATGACACACCCAATGCATCACGGACAGGCAAGCCACTGGCAATCACAGGAAGAGGGGAGGAGATATTGAAGTCGATGGTACTCTTGACATCAGGCGTATCTTGACAGGGGAATATGGACCGCGCATGGATCGCCTGACATTGAGAAACTAGAGGTAACTTCCGTCAGCAGCTCCAATTTGTTCCGTGAACCCGTGCTGCCTGGAGGTATATCAACAGGCAATGTGGGCGGAGCAGGAGGAAAAAGGTCACTTACACATGTATGGATGATTCTTATTAGATGTCTGGGCTGGGGTCAGCCATTGAAGTGCGGTACACTTCTCGGTGGTCTGAACAGAGATCTGAAGGTGCGGGGTGTCAGGCCATGCAGCGGCAGCAGCAACAACAACAACAACAACAACAAAGAGAAGGATGGTTTAAGTTCCAGCTATAGAAATACCTCAACATCGATCGTTTCGTTCAGCTTCACGCCTTGGTCGAGCTTGATCTTCAAGGCCGAGCCGTAAGGTCCCAGCGGAGGAAGGAGCTCCCAGTTGGACGACTTTCCATCGATGGTGACACCGCCGATTGCAACATTGTTAGAGTCTAGGATGATCTCCTGCGAGTCCCCGTCGGTGGTCGACTTGAGCTTGTGGATAACACTGCCCACCAGCTTTTTTTGGTCGAAGAGGATGTCAAAGTTTGCGGTGATATGGGTGCATATCCAATTGTTGTAGTTGCTGAGGGTATTAGGGTCCCTAGGGGACCTGATGCTAGTCGCCATGCTACGTCTGTGGATCTGGGGTAATTGAACGGACCACCGAACTTGGATCGCAGAGTTGACGTCGACCTTCAACCCGGTGAAAGTAGGGCCACGAGGAAAGCTAGTCCGCCAGAGTAGGGCCAGAGGAATCTGCAGCATGTGCCCCTCTTATAATGCCGGATGGGCGACTTGAACTGGATGAGTAAAGGGAAAAACTTTTTTTCTCCTCTTATCCTTCGAGTACGTATCGTCTTTTTATTTGTTCATTATTTGTGTATTATTGGGGTGGTTTTTCTAGCCCACCTCAGGACTAAGTCACCATCCTATCAATCCGACTTTTGCGGGCGGAAGACATGGGTCCCCTGCCTAAGTTGGTCTTCTCTTAATTTCTGTTACATTCATGTTCCAAAGCTGCGAGCCCCGCATCTGGTGATATATTCTTCACCAACAGCCTCGGTAAATCATTCCAAAGGGGAAGTAGGTAGGTATGGAGTGTTTCCAACTCGCTTTAGTTTTTCCCAAGCATATCCGCCCTCACTATATAATTTACGCCGGGATTTTTGCATCCAGGACACCTTGAGGGTTGAGATGGCCACTAGTGCGATGGAATCATGGCTCCAGTGTTCAGGAACTCCGTCGATTCTCCGTAGATACTGCTTGATAAGAGAAGGCACTACGGAATACTCATTACTAGTTATCGGTATGTTATACTGTAATGATATGGCGCCATATGACTGTACTTCATATCCTCAGGGTGTGTGCACTATACCATCCCGTAATCCGTCTCTATCTATTATAGCAAGTTAGCTGATATTGTTCTTCGTAGCCAATTTATCGCAACAGCGATCAGCAAGTTTTCTACGCTAACAACTGCCTATAAAGAAACAGTACAATAAATTCCAAGGATTGGAATGCCTTCTAGACATACAGCTTTCTTGTACTAAGTCAGACCGACAGCTCATCCTGTGAGGTGCTGCTTACCCTGACCGTACCATGCAGGTATGCAGGTACGGAGCAGATACGGAGTACTTACTCCTTGTAGATACAACCAATGAAGAGCTCAATTACCTGGCGCTCACACTCTTCAGATACTCGGTATTAAAGGCTGATACACAATACAATTAATAATAGGCTTTCAGTGTTGATTTCCTCTCACAGTTTCAGTCATCGAATATCCATGTGTGAAAGAAAACATCATTGTGAATATATTGTGCTTCGATTCATCATTGTAGTCCTAGTCATGCCTAGCGATCATACGTACCGGCAGGTACTAGGTAAATAGATACACCAATACTGTTGTGGTTCCTGTAAGATTCCATGCCCCAGCTTCGCACCCGCTCTCTCAGTTCGATCCTCATTTGTTTGTTTTGAGGCATTGTGCCTCTGCTGGTTAATTTCAAGTATTCTTCTCTTTTATGAGGCCCGCTGCTTACTATTCAAGCTGCGGTGACTGAATATCGCTGAGCTCAACTCACGTCCTAGTTTGAAGGATTAGCTGCAATCTGAAATCATGGACGCGCCTCAAGTGCAAGTCGGAGCGCCCGAGGGCCCTTCGAACGGTAGCAACGCGGAGAAAGAAAATGTTCAAACTTCACAGAATACGACCAGCTTTGACTTGAACGCGAGCGCGGCTTCTAGCGCGGTAAATGAAGGCCAGGCCGACTCGTCTCATGACATCGTTTTGCCTGACGCGAGCGCAGCTGACCCAGAACCGAAGCCAGCTGCCCCCAAGAGGAATCCTGGCCTCCAATTCCTCGAGTAAGGGCCCGTCTTCCCCGACTCTCTGGGGGGTGTTTTGTCTCTTACAATCTCTGGAAGGTTTTTCTAGCTAACGTTCTTCAGCTACCTGAGATCACCTATTGTGGAACTGGTTGTAGGAACCGGGGAGACGAAAACCACCTTAACAGCACACCAGAGCTTGCTTTTGGCGTCCCCCGTGCTAGCAGAAAAGGTCACGACTTTTGAGGGATCAGACCCTGTAAGTGATCCCAATTCGTCTATCTTGGGCTCCTATAAAACCAAATCCTAACATTCGATAGCGTCGCATTGATCTCCCCGAGGAAAATGTGGAAGCCTTTGGTCATTTTCTCCAATTCCAGTATACCCGCGATTATTCGGCGTCCCAATCCGATTCTCATACCGAACAAGAAGCAGTTGTGGGAGAAATCGACGACAGTGGGGAACAGTTGTTGAAACATGCGCGAGTATACACCTTGGCGGAAAGATTGGGGATCCCATCGCTCAAGACCCTGGCACACTCGAAGATACACCGTATCAATAGCACATCTCATGGTGAAATTGCGTACGCTCGTTATGTCTACATGAATACGCCAGTTGATGACGTTACCATCCGGAAGCCAGTAGCAACATTCTGGGCCCTAAGAAGTCACGTCCTGCGCCATGAAGCTGAAGAGGAGTTCCGCAAGTTGTGTATCGAGGTTCCTCAATTTAGCTTCGATGTACTCAGCCTCGTTCTCGACCAGAAGGAGAAACGTGCCCAGGACAAGGCAGAGTCAGAGTCTGCTGTGAAAGGAAGTGGAAGGAAACGATTGAGGAGTGGTCTGTAGCGAACGGCAACTTTCCCTTAGAATAATTAATCCCATACTGGTCAGAACCAAACAAAATGACGCACCTACCTATACTGTGTGAACAACTACTAAAGCGATATTTTGTGCTACAAAACGTGGAGACACTCCCAAAAATTTTCTGCAGATCCCCGCAAACTGTTGCCACTGATCTCCTGATGTTACTTGTCACTCTATTGGGAAATCTCCAATTACCATTCTATCCCCTTGTTAGAGGGCTGTCGTACAAATACTGTACCATACTACCAGGTTTCAATTCTTGTCTTACCTACTCGTTATGCTGAATCCCATTCAGAGACATATTCTCTCACTTCGAGTAATGGTTTGTGTGGTCTATTCGGCTTTAGCTACCATTTCAGGACGACTACTAGGACAGCAGTAACAACAAAATGCATGTGCCATATTCGTAGTACGTAGTCGAGTGTAACATTACATAGGCCATCATGTACATCTCTCATCTCGGAAAGGTAAGAATGCCTATGACCTCGAGGTTTAAATATCATATAACCTCTTAAGAGGCTAGAGCTTCCACTTCTTCTATGGCCTTCGGTGCAGTAGTCAAGTTTTCATAGCCGTACTGGGTGACGTGAACATTATCTTCGATGCGCACGCCGCCAACGCTCCAATATTTCTCCAGAACATCGGTATTGATAAACTTGTTTGTTTCAGGTGACTCTAGAAAAGGTGCAATAATGAAGCGGCAAAAGTAAATCTAAAGAAATATTTAGCAAGGAGGTCATAGCAGTGATAAATAAAAAGAAAATCTTACACCCGGCTCAACAGTGATAACTGATCCTGCAGGTAAGCGGCCCCTCACGCGTAGATACTTGAACATAGTGTCCTTGTCGGCATAATTTGGGTTACCTCCAGTGTCATGAGTGTCCATTCCCAGATAGTGTCCTAGGCCATGAGGGAAGAAAGCCACGCTAATTCTCTTGTCGAACAACTCATCCTCAAAGCCACGAAGGATACCTAATTTAAGCAAGCCCTTGATTGCAACACGATGGGCATGTGCATGTACATTCTCCCATTGCACACCTTCATTCAACATTGCAATAGTTTCCGTCTGCATCTGCAGAACAATGTCATAGATCTGCTGTGTCTCCAAGGTGAATTTACCACTCAAAGGGAAAACACGAGTGATATCGGCGCAATATGTGTGGTATTCCGCCCCGGCATCGATAAGAATGCTTGATTTCCTCTGCTTGGTGATAGGGTCAGCCAGGTAGTCATCGTTTTTCCCATAGTGGAGGGTGGCCCCGTTCTGACCGCATGCAACGATGGGGTGGTAAGCCTGGTAACGACCGCCATTGGCAATACAAGTTGCGATAAAAGCAGCCTCAATTTCGCGCTCATTCGTGGCGGCCTTCGATGCTTTGATGGCTGCGATATGCGCCTTCGCAGAAATGTCATTCGCCTTCCTCAGAAGCGCGATTTCATAACCGTCCTTGACCACACGAGTGTCTTCAATGACCCCCTTCAATACAGAGGTATTGGTTTCAAAAAACCCATTGAACTTGGTTCTTTCTGAAACTTGGCCCTCGATTGCGAAAGCAACCGATTTACCCTCGTCGTCCGAGGCGATGGAGGCCAAAGTAGCATTCACTTCAGGTGTGTGCAGTACTTGATCAACGTCAAAGAGTCGCAGTGCCTCTGTAACAGACAGAGGAAGACCCGACCAAATCACGTCCTCTGGGTCAATTGGTGGAATAAACAGTGTCAATCTATCGGCACCAATGTTGTAGATCAGGTATGAATCTGGCAGCGGGCATCCTGACAAATAGAAAAAAGGCCGGCGTTGTCTGAACCGTGGAGCTCGGTTAGCCTCTCCAGCATCGAGCGATTGAGTGATGCTGGGGGGGGGGGGGGTATAGACAGTGAGTTTAAGAAAGAGGACATGCCGTACCTGAAGGGCATCGCCTCATCATTATCCTCGATTAGTCGAGTTTTCTGCGCTTCGAGATAGATAATCCCATGCCGGCCATAGCCGCACGCTTGAAGGCGCTCGGCAACCCGGCGGGCATGGGCTTTGGCAGGATATCTGCCTGCCAAGATGGAGTCCAGACTTGTCATAGCTATTCTTATCTCTTTTTTCTTTTTCTTTTTCCTTTTTTTTTTTTCTTTGAGCTTCGAGAAATGGGTTTGAGTCAAGTGGCTATAGAGGAGAATCAGAGACGTTGAAGAAGTTGTGGCGGGTTCAAGTTGCGGGGGATCGATTGGTCGATTTTGTAACCGGTTATCGTCGCCGGGACATACGGACTAGCTGGTCTACTTATCTCCACGGAGGTACGGAGCACAGGATACCTATTATCTGGGTATATTGGGTATCGTACCAAGTACTCCGTACTATCTAGTGCCTATCAGACATATCTGACCATTCGCCAAAATTCCCGGTCGTGTATAAATTGATACGGGAGAGTATCTCGGACTTACTAGGGCCAACTGAGTCATTCTTCCTAGTTTCTCTATGGACCAAACTCATCAGATTCAGAACCACGGGATCAGTGCACCATGTTAACTCGTGGGCATTAAAATCAACTATCTGGAACCACGTCTTCGAAATCTAATTGCCACTTATCAATATCAGCGAATTTCTTCGCCTGCAACCTCAATTCCTCACTAAGAAAATGGCTGTCTAATGTTGACACCGGCGTAGACTCAGTCGCGGACGCCTCTGAGTCTGGAGGCGATGATAGAGGTGATGACAGAGGCGATGTATCAACTGGCTGAACTTCCCTGTCAAGGTTCATGGTTTGCAATGAAGCTGGTCCGGATGTCATCTTCTTTTTATCTCCATTCACATACTGTTGAGGCTGTCGTGCAGTAACAACCGGCTGCATAGGCGAATTCTGACCGTCCATTGTCTGGCCTCCGACACTATCTGCTGTGTCTTGCATGGCCAGCGCGGTCATTGTGCTTTTCGCCGGGTTGTTTTTGTTTGCTTGTTTCCTTTGTGCCCGGGGTGGCCTCTTGAACGGGAGATAGTATAATTCATCATCATCATCATCATCATCGTGCCCAGTAGCGGAACGATCGCCATCACTGAAATCCTTGGGGGCTTCAGAATCGTTCAAGCCAAAGTGTTTACGTTGTGGGCGATTTCTCCGAGGTAGTAGCTTGTCTTGAAGAGTTGCCGTCGGTAAGTTCATCTTTTTACTGGTTGCCAGCTCGGCAGGCTTGTCTTTACGCTTCGGCTGTGCCATTTCGGGCATTGATGCAGTATGTATCGGGCTGAGTGGCGGGCTGCTGCTCATAGGCGGCGCCAGCGTTTGGCTGAAAGCGCTAGGAGAGTTGAGAGCTTGAAGATAATCCACAAACACGTCAGGTCCGTTTTGCCAATGGTGCGAAGTAGGCGAGGTAGCAGGGCAATGCTCCATGACTTCCGGGTCTGACCGGGGCACCTGTAGCTCCTCGGTAGACAGTTTACGCTTGCGCGATGCACCACCGGATGATGTTGGAAGGCTAGGCGACGGCGACGCAGCTTGTCTGACAAGGAGCGGCCTACCCCTTGAGAGATTCAAGGGGGTGGACTCATCTTCGGGACTCAAACTGCCGAGGAAAACATCGTCGTCAAGGTCAGAGGAACCGTCATCTGCCTGCATCATCTGCAAGATGCTAGGCTGCCGAGGCCTTCTTCTAAAATTACTCAACATCGAATTTTCGAAAGCGGGAGTACCTGGAACTTTGGAGGCCGTATCGCCCTTTCGTCCAACAACAGAAATGGTAGACGAGTAACCGCGAGCTCTGGTAAATGGGCGACTACCTGTGGCTCCACGTTCTCCCATGGGCGATGATTCGATAGCATGGTCTTGCGCTCTAGCCATGGGCGTCTGATTCTTCAATTGCCGTCGGATGTCGGAGACCTGAGCGCTAGAGACTCTCTGATAGGAGCCACCGATATCCTGATTTGTGTCTGTTGGGGATTTGGGATTATCCGTCGAAGTTATACCATGTCGCTCTAGGCCCTGTTGGTGGATCTGTTCCACGGCTAGCGGAGCCTTGGATGTCAAGCGATTGCGTTTTGTAGGCGGCCTCGGCATGTTGTGACTTGAGCATCTGAAGCTCCAAAGACTTGTGAGTAGCAGGATCGAGGATGGAAACAAGGGAGTTCTGCGTTGTCCTGCTCGATCGGTGTAGGGAACGCCTACGGATATATTCCTTAGCTTTGAGTCAGACACAATCTCCCACCGGACGGTGTGCAGGGTTATATGAGGGCGTCGAGATAAAAGATCGCAATCCTTAGGTCCAGCTGAGAACGAACAGGCAGATCAGTGAGATTCAACAATATGCATCATGGCATTAGCACTAGGTGAACACGGAGGCCTTCGCGTGTGGCATTGTTTTGATGGGGGTGAAGACGCGCCGAGACCGGTGCCGTGGGTGGGGTGGATCCTTTAGAGGTACGGCGTATCTACCTACCTTAACATAGTAACCATCTACCTGTTTCATCAAAGACAGTAAAGCTTGGGGTTTTGGTCAACAACTACCGAACATGGGTACTTTACACAGTATTGATAGTACTATACATAGTATAGTTTCTTGATTGTATTGCCTGCTCCTTGTTCAAACATATCACTGTACTAAGATGGTTTTCGAGGCGCGCAGCGCTGAGAAACACTATGTTAGGTCCTGGGTAGGGGAAGTTTGCAGCGAGAAGGCATCTGATTGGTCCACAAGGCACCCAGCTTCAGCTTCTTATTGGTTGCTGCGAGTATCCGTAACGTGACTTGCTCTGTATTGCTACTGCTCACCGCTTAGCCCCCCCAGCTAAGGCGTTTCGAATCGCCTTAGCAACGTAACGCAACGCATTTCTAATAGCATGTAATTCAAGACATCCGATGGCCCCTTCAAGCGGTTCTCAAGGGCTTTAATCAAGCGCCCCAAAGGGCTCTGTCAGGCACTTTCAAGGGGCTCAACCAATCATACAAAAACACGCAGTACTTGATTCAGACTTAGGTACGGTCTGAATATGCGTTCTGGGGGGGTCCAAGCCCCATTCCCCTTTGGAGGGACGAAGCGGTGAGCAGTAGTTTGTTGTCTGTCGTACTATGTAGACATCTACCCAATCCCCAGTACTTATCGTTTACTGTCTCGCACATACGTCATTGTCCCTGAAAGGCCAGCGATCATCAACATATGCCGGTGTAGCCGGTCTAGTGTCTACATCTACGTCATCCCCACTCCTCACAGGGTTGGCTGTATACTTAAGCGCTCTTCTTCACGATGATATCGCTAGGCATTCTATAGTCGTCTAGCTTGAGGTTTCTTATTTTCCCGATCTGACTCGGAACGTCCTATACATATAATTGCATTCAGTCAAAACGCAAAGCACAAAGACAATTTTGAATTTAGCTCTTCAAAATGACCAATATCATGGACCCCATCGATGATCCTTCCTACAACGTTGAAGCAACGGAGCATACCTTTGGCACAAGTGCTTCGGACTCCCACCGCAGTATCGACTCCTACAACTCTGAAAACAAAACCGGCAACATCGCCGACACTGTCGATCGTGGCATTGGTGATGATCGGCATGGCCGTACTTCTGATATCTCGTCGACTGCTTCCTGCAGCCAAACCCCTACAAACACGGGGAGGCATGGACAAGCCCCCCGCGACATAGGTGCACAATACTCTCAAAGTTTCTCGCCCTCCTGCGAGTCACAACACGGCATACCGGGCTCTGCCAATTCGTCCCATGGCACCCATGATACAGTGTCTACTACGACCGCCGAATCCCAGCCGAGCCATGCTAAAGACAAAACTGGCGCTCGTATAGGGGGCGGTCGTGACAACAGGCCTGATGCAACCAAGGAGAAAGAGGGGCCAATTGAAGGAACTCAAGATAATGATGTCACGGGAGAGAAGGTCAACGGTATTGCAGGTGTTATCCCTATTTCTGGCAGTGCCGGTCCGACTACTACCAAAACCTTCGACCCCCATGCTGAAATCGGCAACTATGGTAACAACGGCCCCCATTCTTCAGCTACAGCGTCCAAGAACGATGTTAGCGGTGATCAAGACGCTCCCGCTAGCCAATATGATACAGCTAGTAGCAGCTACAACACACTAGGAAGTGATTATGGACAGAGCACCACCGACAAGAAGAACAGTCGCGCAGGCTCAGGCTTAGCTGGGGCCCGAGCTGTTGAATCTCGGCGAGATATGTAGACGTGGGGCCCACATTTTTTGACTTTTATATGTACATTAATTCAGATGGTGAAGTGAGGAGTCAATCGGAAGAAAGTTTCATGTACTATCACGATGAATGTTACAATAGAGGCCTAGCCAGCTCATGGTTTGGCCAACTACTCACTACTACCCCCGGACCGGCTAATAGTGTCCGTGCCGAAGTAGGTAAGGAACTTCTCCCCCGCATTTCTGTGCACATCCTTCTCTCGTTCGTACAACCATAATTATATCTCCACGCACTCAGGTGAGGGATGATACACGATCTCCTCTCCGTCTCTGAAACCTGGTCGGTCCATTCAGGCCATGAGCACGGCGCCTCTTCTTTGGCTCTCTACGAGACTCAATCAGGATTGCTGGCATCGCATTGCCGAGACTATACGCAGTCTAGATAGGCTCTGTTTCCCTGCATGTTCCGGTAGCGGGAACCATGTCTCCTCGGGAGATGGACAGCGATGTCATGTTCGACACAAACTTAGCAAAAAAGCGTACCAACTCGGAAGCAACTGAGTTACCCCGAAGGCGCGCCACCATAGCAGTATGTTGATAGTCCCCGCGCTCCTCTGCTTTTCATCCCATGTCGGCGACTATGCGCTTCTGTTGGCTGAAACAATGAGGACTGTGACAGTGCCAGATCTGTCGTCTACGGAAAACGAGATGTAACGGGGCCCGTCCAAGATGCCAGCTCTGTGTAGACCTGGATGCAGACTGTGTCTATCGGGAGCCGGGTATCAAGCTAGACGCCGGCGACAAGCTGATAATCGAGAAGCTGAACAGAATAGAAGGCTTACTCCAATCGAAAGTTTCGGATCACACCGGCCACTCTCCCCTGTCGTCGGATGCATCGACGTTTGCCAACCATGCTCGTCTCGGTAGCGATGATGCTGTAGCCAATCTGTCCAACCCTGCTGCCCTGCCTGCCAGGACGACCGCGGTGGGGCTTGGTTCATGGGCAAACCCACCAACAAGTATTTCAACTATGCCTAGAGTACACACAACCCCTGCTTTACACCTCCTGCAATGGCCTCTCATCCGAGAGCTGGTCGCTGTACCCTATGATCCTCATACCCTCCTACAGCTGGAAATGGCTCGTGAGCCGCTCAAGATCGAAACCCCAGTGGGTTTAGACCTATCAAACGCATTCACGCACGCTCGATTCTTTTTCGAACGTGTCAACGTGTGGTACGCTTGCGTTAATCCACTGACATGGCCGGGGTACTACAAAACGGCCCTTTCTCTGGATTTTCAGAAAGGACCAGAAAGCTGTGTTGTTCTGTTGGTTCTAGCATTGGGTTGTGCAAGTCAATATGGAAGTATATCCTGCCTTTCTCCAAACAAGGAACCACCAGGGCAGCCATATTTCGCTGCAGCCTGGTGCCTTCTGCCGGCTGTTATGACACGCAACTCTGTGCTTGCAGCGCAATGCGTCATCTTGGCATCTGCATATTTATTCTACATGGTCAGGCCCCTCGAGGCCTGGACATTGCTGTCCAACGCTAGCATGAAGTTGCAGTTGCTTTTTGGGAACCCCTCTCGTGTTCCAGCACAATGGAAGGAACTTGGCACAAGAGTGTATTGGAACACTCTTTTGTTTGAAAGCGATTTGTTAGCGGAATTAGACCTACCACATTCGGGGATTGTGCATTTTGAAGAGCTTGTCGATCTTCCGGGCGGCTTTGAACAGGAGGACGATGAAGAGGACGAAGGCAGCACACAAAGAAGAGACAAAGTCGTAGACATGATGATCGGTCATGATGAGCTCTGGTATTTCTTGGCTGAAATTGCCTTAAGAAGGCTGTTGAACAGGGTCAGTCATATGATCTACCAAAAGGACAATATCCTGACACTGGCATCACTCGGACCTATCGCCGCAGAGCTGGATTTCCAGCTTTCTCAATGGTATGAAGGTCTTCCGCAACCGGTTCGCTTTCCTTTATCTGGGGCCCCAGCTTCATGCCCCATTCAGACTGTACTAAGACTCCGGTACTTCGCCTGCCGTACAATTATTTATCGGCCTTATATTTTGGCGGTCTTTCAAAACGAGTATGCATGTGCTGACCCAACGGTAAAGGATTGTTGCCTGCGGTGTTTGGAAGCGACATTGAACCAACTCGAACATATAAGCAGTCATCGCGAAGGCCACCTACCGTATCTGTGGCAAGGGGCCCTTTCCATGGTCTCACAGACGTTATTGATAATGGGGGCAACTATGTCACCTGCTCTCTCATCACTGTTACCCCCTGCAATTCGATTGGACGGTATCATTTCCAGCGTCATAACAGAAGTTGGCAGGTATGCGCGGCTTGCACCAAGCCTGAAACTATCTGCTGAGATCATTCGTGATGCAGAAAAGAGGCGTCAGATATGCCTTGCGTCTGCAGCCAGGCGAGCCTGAAGGGAACTTGGCTTGAAGGTTTCCAACCCTAAACATTCTTAGTTGATACCACACAAAAAGAGCGTTGTCCGCCGTCTGTTCTTTGCACGTACACAGGACACAGCATGCAGTAGCGCATTGTGGATCCAGATCGACGTGGGATAATGAGGTATGCATATGGCTTACCATTCTCCTAAAATAAGGGTAAGAGTAGAATAGGACTCTGCAACTAAGTCTATTGCAAACATCTATGGAAGATAAGGAGTAAACCAGCAGATACAGGTATAAAGAACTTGCCCCATTTAACTTTATCAAGAAGGGAAATGGAAATTCCAAGTAAAATATATGGCGAAGACTATGTCGTCATATCAGTACCCACTCACTGCCTCGTTTTATGAATTTATCAAGCATCATGCCAATGTCGTTCAGAGCAAACCGGCACACGTAGAGTCCGAAGAACTCTGCAGCATGGCGAGTGCTCAATTCCAGGCCCACTAATGTCGGGGACGAGTGCTTGAGGCCCGGATCTTCAACCTGTTGAGCAATTTGGTCTGGAAAGATGAAATCAGTTCTGCTGAAGTGATTTCAAAGTATGGATCGATTGCACTTACCCAAAACTTGAGCCGCATCGCAAAGCCGTGCTAGAGCTCCCATATAATTATTGGGCCCATTGTATTGCAACTGGGACGCACTACGCCTCAAAGGCTGTGAAGCCGGTATAGACGTCATCGGGATGGTATTGATTGTCAAATTGTCTTTACCGGGATCCTTCGATGTAGGGAAGGAGGCCGTAGCACTAAGCCCAGAATTCTTGGAACGTAGCTTGCGCCAGGAAGTCAGATAAGATTTGCTCGGCCCATTGGAAGGCTTAGATGGCAGTGCATCTAGAGTTGCCGCGTCATCAAAAGCTTGAGCGGATTTGAAGAGCGGCATCGCTCCCTGCACTCCAACCTCGCTACCTATTTTCTTGGACAGCGACATCTGCACCTGGTCAAGAACCCCCTCCAAGGATTGCATCTCCTCCAAAACAGCATCAGCATCGTAAGTGTCAACCTTCGCCAGCTTCAGTAATGCGGCTGTTAGTAAATCGCAATTCGAAACTTTTTCTTCGACTGCCTTGATCTTCACATTCTTAACGCGCCACACGTCTCGTGGGATAAACAGTTTCGTCGACAGATAGCCACCACGGGGGTGGGAAATTGTCTGATAAATACATCGCATTAGCCAAAATGGCCGCAGGAGGAACGATTCGGGACATGGTTCCAATGGAAGAGGAGCATCAGCTGCCATCAGGTTAGGGGATCCAGGACTAGTGGGCGAATGTATATGGCTATCAAATAAGTTGAGTCCTCCACTGGGCAAGCCATTGGCAGATATATTACTAGCGGTTGGTGTAGGCATGACCGGTATCGAAGCAGTCATCGGTCCTTTGTGGGTATCAAAACCAGGGAACGCATTGCTCGACGGAGTATTTGGAGACTCGGCGAACGGTTCCGGACCCGAGACTGATACATTTCTCATCCGGAAAGATGCTTGGCCTGTATTTAACTTGCCCAGGTTGTCCGGTGCTGAAGGCACTTTACCGATGGGTTGGGTCGGAGATGGAAGTTTCGGCAGCCCATGGCCGCTATCGTCGTGATAAAAGACCCGCTCCAGACTCGCGTTACCCAAAGCATCCTCGTTAAACGACCCAATTGAGACATTCCTTTTTTTGGGGTGGCTGGCTGACCGTAGAGCAGAAGCAGAACCCGATGTCCTGCTCGATTGATGGAAACCAGAAGAGCTTGACGCTGTGTCATCTTTCGGGACTGGCGGAGGCCGGAGACTTAGCGGGTCCGCATTTGTTTCGATCTTCAGTTCCGTAGTATATTGACTAGACAACCTTCGTGCTCGTACACTTGGCGTTGATATCGGACCAAGCGCTGGCTTCGTCGAAACCGAGAGAGTGTCACATGTTAAAAAGGGTGACCCGCTAGGCTCGGGGGCTTTTTCATCGGCTAGGCACAGGATCCCATTCTCCGTTAGGGAAGATAAAGTTGCAGAAGCCGTCATGGTGTTGGAGGTACTCAAGCTCTCCCAGATCTTGCCGGGAAGGCTGCTCGAACCTGACTGGCGGGGAAGAGCAGACTTTGACTGTATACCGAATTCAAAGTCATCCATGACATAGCCTCGAGTCATTTCCTCTAGCAAGCGCTCCTCTTCTTCCGCTTCTTCATCAAGATATTCTGTCTCAGGCCGACTGACACTGTCGAGCGCTGTCTGTTCTTGTATACGCCGCATTTCTTGTCCACGTGCCAATGTTAACTGAGCCTCCCGTTCGGCTTCCCTTACTTTCTGCTTCGCCATTTCAACGTTCCTCCGAGCGTTCGCCACAATCTCATTGCTGTCATGGCTATTTCCCAGCTCCATCGCTGGCTCTAGACCTTCATCATACGCAGCCTCCACGGCAGCATCAAGGGCAGCATCAAACTCGGCCTCAGGACCAAAATTAGGATGAAAGTTTCCCCTACGTCGCAAGTATATTGATGAAGCTTCTGAGTGCATAGAGGCCGGGGAAGATGCACCAGACTCATCAATAGTGTCGAGCCAGGACGTTGATTCATTAACATCTCTCTCATGGTTGCTCAATGAGGACAGGTCAGATTGGACAGCACCATATGTGATATCCACTCCTGAAATTAGAGATTCTGGGGATGCAAGAGCACCCATGGACTCACTGCCTGAAATATGACGGAATGATCCAGGCTGAGAGTGACTATTAAAATTGGACGATTCGGCTGCAATCTGGGCACCGTCACCTAGAGGCGAGGACAATAGTGACTGACGTTCTGGGTGATCCCAATCTGGTGCTAGCCTTTCTAATACATCAACTGGTCGAGCATGAGAACTGCGGTGCAAAGAGACAGATTCCTCCCCGGATAATGATTCGGCCTTGTCGTCATGGTTTGAATGAGATAATTCGCCATACGATTCCTGGCTAGGCGGGCGTTCAGGGAGGGCTTTACTGTCCAAATCGCGGAAGGAAAAGTCCATCCGTTGTAGCTCAGTGACTCGTATCATATACGTATCTCGCTAAAAAGACCATTGAGTCTTAGGAATCAAAGAAGCGTGATATTAGTTAGAAGACTCACTATTTCTTGGAGCTTTAGCTTCTCATCTTCTCCTCCATCACTCCGCAGCATTACCAAATGTAGGAGTTGACACGCATCATTATAAGCCTCCATGGCCCCTTCGAAATTTGCCGCGTTATCTAGAAGAACCGCCGTGTTCGCTTTCTGCAGCGCTTTCGAGAGCATTGCTTTTTGTGACTGGCCCCGCTTCCTCTTCTCCTGGCCATTGTCTGGCCCACTTTCTTCGAGAGAAGCCTCAGGGCCCTGTGCGCGTGGACTGTGTGCCTCTAAGATGGGGCGAGTGGTAATACCTCCAGCTGTTTCCCGAGCAGCATCGGTTCTAGAATCGTGCTCTTTCATCCAGGGGTTATTAAATAAATTGTGAGGAATTCTACCGACTCCCGAAGATACCGAATGCGTCCGTGATGTTGTTGCTGCTACGTCGACTGAGAAGGGTGACAAAAGGTCATGGCTTGACGCAATCGATGGTTGAAAAGGGTTATGCCCGCACAATTGGCCATCATTATTCAATGTGGACAGCTCCTGAGGATAATCGAGCATTTCGGATCTCGTCTCTGGGGTCATGCGACTCTTAGAATTTAAGCCCTCATTATCGTTACTGTGATCACCATGACCAGCGGACGGGGAAGGTGATCTAGACGCTCGAGAAACGTCGAGTTGACGATAATAATCTGTCGAACTTTTGCTAGATGCAGTTGATTGCGACCAGCGATTCAAACTGCCAAGTCCCTCCCGGATATGGCTACCATCTGTTCTGCCTGGCGACTTCCCGACTTGCGACAAGGAAGATCTTGTCGGTGTTACTGAACCGAGTCTGGAGATATAATCCGCGGTGTCTGATTCTTTTAACTTGGACATAGCCTGTAGTGCGTTGATGGATAAACGTGAGCTTTGTTTGTCAGGTGTGAGCCAGAATCAGCTTCCCCAGCCGTGTATAATTGCGTGCTGCTTAGACTAGTTTCCCAGGAGACATGCGAGAGCAGAAGACCACGGAATAGGAAGCCTTGCCAAAAGAATCCAGGAAATGGTGGATGCACAGACAAGATACGGCGACGCTGTGACCGCACGAGGATTTAGCAGGTTATAGAATGGCAGAACCAATCATACGAAGCTTCGAGAACAGTCTTGTAACTTTGTCTGTGACCGAGTCGGAGAAAGAGATTCTGTAAAAAAATTGCAATAGCAAAGGGCCTGTTTTGATGTAACAAGCCTTCGTTGTAACTGCGCAGAGCAGCACCGATGAATCGATGAAGGTGGCTAGACTAAGAACAAATCCTCCTTAATCCCTGAGAGTTGCTATGCTCCGGTTGGTTTCGTAGCCTGGAATAGTCCACACAAACTTGTTGTCAGCTCTCTTGCTCTCCTACTCTCCGAATAAAGGTGTTCTCTTTAGCGCATAGTGTATTGTTGATGCAAACAGCAAGCTTAAAATTAAGGAGTGTGCATCCTTCCACGCAGAATCATAAAGATCGTCTCAATCCTGGTGCATGATAGGCAGATGGTATACGCAGGATGGTAATTGACAAGCAAAGTATTTCAATCACCTAGCGGGCTTTCTCCTGGACGGTGTTTGATGATAGGAAACTTGGTAGGTAGGGATTGAGCTCGGACTCGGAACTTGAGGGGACTTTCAATATCCTAAATAGGTTTGTTAGCTGCCAGGTAAGACAGAGCCCACGGTGCAGCTTGTAGATAATTGTAGCTAACAGGCACAACATTTTGGCTCCCTTGAGTATAGCACCTAAGAGTAACCCGAAGATAAATATGTAGAACATACCACCAGCACTCTTTTCAATAAGCAATCAAATCACAGGGAGGATAAGACAGGTCAGACCCCTGATTATCACATTCAGATTGAGAAAGTCATGAAATATAAGCAGTCAGAGTTGCAAGGAAGATTATAACGCACTAAGGTGCCACGCATAATACAATTTAAGATGTAGTGTTATATGAAGAGAAATGGATGAAAAAGGGGGAAGGGGGGTTATTGCATTCCGTGTTCCATTTTCTGGTCTGATATGACAGTCATGGATTTGCTGGACACCAAACTTTCGATAAGACTAGTACTATAGTACCTGATGGTAAGAAACCTGTCATTTTGTAAGGTACCGGACATGATCCTCTCGGGCAATTAACAACGAGTTGAGATGTCTGAGACTAAGTAATTTTCGATCAACAGGACACATGGAAGTGCTGATCTTATATATTTGTCTCAATCATGAGGTGACGCTATGTATGTACGGAGTAACTGTATCCTTGTATATTTGGGTACATGTATTTACAGTAATGCGTCAAGATGAAACTGCGGCTCCACCTTAGCATGACCAAGTACTCAAAGCACCAGCTCGATAACAGCACCGCCAAGTTATGTCAACCAGAAAATAAGGTCTTTAATAGCGTAGATACAATACCTCACCAACTTCAAGCCTACTAAATGATTGATGTACAATCTGTAGTATCTATACCTTCATGGCTAATCAATTACTGACAAGAAAGTTCATATCTTCATTTGCCACGCAATTTACTGAAGAAATTACTGGAACCACTTGACCTTACTCTATACTGTAAAACTCTATACTGTAAACCAATCTGTGTTGTCTTGGTTGAATATAAATTATGGGGAACACTGTCTGTCTGCCCTCAAGCTTTAAGATAGTAGGCACCTGTACTTACTAGTAGAAGTATTGATATGTTTTCTTACAAAACTCGTTGCTGCACGAAACTCACTCATGTATGCTAGCAGCCATAAGGTTGTAGACGTCCAAGGGAAAATTAACAGCAACACGAAGTATCTCGAATAGCACAAGTTATATGGCCAAAATGCGGGCAGGCTAGCTAATTGTATCTTAGGAGGCTTAGAAGGTACAGCAGAATGCAATTTCTACTCACGGATTCCTAGACTTGGGGATAGAAATTCCATTTCGACTTGCATAGTCACTCAATGGCAAGGCGACAGCTTTAGAAAAACAGAACATTTGCGGACGTTTAGAAAGTTCTCTGCTTGCTCTGTTTCAAAACAATCTGGGGCGAACGACACCAGATTCCAAGCCATCAGTTTGGATGGTATGCCTACTCATCGCTATCGTCCTCACTTGTCGCTTCGATGTTTTTGCGAGAGTTCCCTGCGTCTAAAAGGTCACCTGAATCACAATCTTCCCCTTCGTTGTCAACAATCATTCTACTGCCGCTGGCATAGCTTGGACGAGGAATTGACTCTCCGCTTTCTTGAAGAGCAGATTCAATGTCTGGTAGCAAGCTCACGAGGGAGGAAAACTGATCCAGCGGCAGAGCAATTCCCTGCGCAAAGAGTGAGACAGAAAACAGAATTATTAAAGAGGGGAGGCCACCTACCTTCTTCCCTGGAAGCTCTTGGCCATCTTTCTCATAGTATTCCCTTATACTGACCATGGTCTTTCCTCGGAAAGACGAAATGGTCACACGGCGTGCTTTTGAGATTTCCCAATAACGGTCTCCGTTCGAGTCAGTTTTACCCTCACTGACATATGGCTCAACAACGGGTAAATCTTTAGATTCCTTGGGAGCCTTAGTCTTTGTCCTTTTCGATGAATGATTGTTGTCAATCACGAGATCACTCTCAGCGTCAGGGCTGCGCTTTTTGGTCCTGGGCGGCATGATTGGGATGTACGACCAAGGACAGGAGCCAACGATATGGAAGGAAGTGAGTGTAGGTATTTTATTGATCAATCCTCTCCCGGAATAAGTAATAGGAATGCCCCCACTGCAAAGGCATTGACTACGAGGTCAAATTGACTATCGTACGCAATATCACGTGATATATGGTCAGCCGTCACTAACTAGGGATCTTATTTCAACTAGAGCACTTTCTTCACCCTCGGTAGAAATTGAAGATAACAGGGCAAAAAATGATTGGTATGGCAAGAGGAGGGGGGGAAATAGAGATGGCTATGTCAATGTATATGCTGGCTCATGACATCGTGGTTCATAATCAATATCGTCCGATATAGTGTTCAACCGTGTCGACCCGTATTCTCGACACAATACAATATTAGAGAATAGCTGCCTTAAGAGCCTGCAGCATGAGAGAAAATACAAAACCCCGAGCAACAATCCCAACCTGGAGACAATCAAAGACCTTCCCTAGAGCTTCCTTACTGGCATTTGCCCCCATGACGCTTGTAAGTGCCTGCGGTAGGCCTTTTTGGACGAAGACTTTTCGAGCAGTCTCTTTCAGGCGTTCTTTTTCAGCATCATTTGGAGGAGTCGTCCAATTTTCTAATTCAGTCTTTGTCGGAAGAGTATTTTCACGCAATTTATTGAGATATAACCCAATTGCCTCATCCGATATATGAGATTCAATCATTGATTCCTGTAGCAGTCCACGGATCGTTTCCAGATGAGGGTTTCCGGGGCGTAGTATGTACGATTTGGCCGCATTCAGTAGAGTCCGACGTATGTTCCAGGCCGAGGACAAAGTATATAGTTCATTGATTACCGCGAACATGAGCTCCACTGCTATACGTGTCTCTTCCTGCGTGATAGGGCTGCTTTGACTCCTGGGGTTACTTGATCCAGCACCTAGCGCCTGCCCTTTGCCGCCTGTATGAGAAGCATCCTGTTTTTCGGTATAAGCGTGCGGTAGGTCAGTCGGGTTATTGCGCCTAGGAAAAGACCCCTGTATAGAAACCATAGGCTCTGGTTCCACAGTCTGGACTGAGCTTTCAGATATAAACCCTGAAAGATCCCCTGTATCAGTTCCATCTAAACCTGTTTCTTCAGCAGGTAGACCGGGCTTGCCAATCATTTTCGATGAAAAAGGCGGGCCTTGGATAGGTCGTTGCAACTCAATGGAACTCCTATTTCTTGCAGAACTCTCGAACCCTCCCTCAGAGCCGTGGTCGTTCAGCTCATTTTGATGTGAGAGGGGATCCAGAGATGCAGCCTTGTCATCTGCCACCGATGGCCTTTTACTGATGGCTCCGCCAAACACCCCTGTCACACCTTCCAAGACGGCCTTTCCACCTTCTGATACGCCCTTGGGCGCATTAGATAACACACCTAAACCCCCCTTGCCTACATTCCCCAGCGCAACTTGGCTCGGAAAAGGGAATCCAATTTTGCTGAGAGGTTTGGTGGATTCAGATCCGAGATGTTCGTCTTTCCCAAGAAACCGTTTCATCCTTTCACTTTCTGCCAGAGACTCGTGGCAAAGAGCATCTTGGAGATAACGTTCCAGGTTCTTAGCCAAATCCGATTTCGTCTGGCCTTTCCACAGGGGTACAATTTGATGGTTCTCTTTAAATTCTCGGATTTTGTGCAATCTCGAGATAGCCTCCAAGGTTTCGTGAAGGGACTCAAAATCATTGTAGTTCCGAAAAACCATCCACCCAGTAGAACGCGATGATACAGGTTCGATCTGAAGTAGATAACTTGAAGTCGGTTTTGAGCGAAGTAGCCCCTTCCCTGCGACATCAGAATCGGCTTCTACCGTTATGGATGCACGGTAAAGGGTCAATGGCTCCGCTAACGTTTTCGGTGGGACTGAATGCCTGAAATGCCACGATGAAGACAGCTCGAATGTATCTTCCAGATGAGACTCAGACTTATCTCCAACGCGCCTTTCGCCTGTGTCGACATGTCGTGATTGTTCGCCAAACTGAACCTCATCTCCTATGTTGTCTGCGGACAGCCCATTTTCACAAAGATCCCCATCAGCCAACTCCTTTCGCATATTGTCTTGTGTGTCTTTCTCTAGGTATTGCTTCCGCAACTCATGCACCGCAATCATATCACTGAGACGCTTGGCCTCTTTTTTGGCCTCCACGGTTGCCCTGTCGACATCTGTGGAACCTTGTTGACTGTTTTCGCCAGTGATCCTGGATTTCAAAATTGCATCATTCACTGCCTTCGACGAAGGATAGTTTACGTTGCTGGGGTTTCTAGTTGCGGTGTCGACTTGTTTTTGGGCACCTTCAACGCCTGCATCTATTGCAGTCATTACTTCAGACTTGCCTTCGCTGAGGAGGTATATGATCCACCCATTGATAATTTCAGGTCTCGAAAGACTAGAAATAGCCGACTCGAATAGAACACTCGCCAACAGTTCGCGGATGAAGTCTTTCATAAGCGGACATCCATAGACATCTGGGTCCAGAAAGCTAGACAGAATGTCAGCTGCTATAAGATCGAGTTTCTTCTTTTGTTGTTCTTTCGCTAAGATATTCGCCAGACCACTCTCCGGGTAAGTTTCTAGATAACGCAAGACAACCTGTTCTGGCGGATCGGAGGACTCAACGGACCCGAATATCGCAGACAGCTCATTCAGAAGTACAACGATTAGGGAGGATGAATTAGTGAGGAGTTCCAGGAAAGTGTCGGCAGGGCGTTTACGACAAAGGTGCGATGAAAGGGATGAGATAAAGCCGACTAACAGTTTCCGACAGGAGAGAGGGAATGTCGTTTCGGGCGGCAATATAGATCTAGACCAGGAGCTTTCGAGGTCTGGTAAGCTCACGAAATAGCGTAAAAGGCGAGAGCTTACTTCACATAATCCATCATTACTGCATCAGTCATTGATTTTAAGGCGGCTGCTGTCTCGGGCCCAAAGGTAGAATAATCAAGATCCACGGAGGTATCCTGGGGGGAGACATGCTCAAAGCTATCTTGTCCGTCATCAAATCCATGAGCCTTGCGTTCGGGCCAGTTGAGAAGTCTGCCGGCTACATCCAGTGCGAGTTCCCTCCTCTTCGGACCTCTTATTTTTAAAAGACTGTCGATAGATTCGGCATCGGCTCTTTCCCATGATGCGTGCAAGACGACACCACTAGTGATCCCAATCAGGAGCAAGCCAAGTCTACCAAAAAGGACAAATGTGGCGCCTATTAGACATGCGAAGACACACAGAAGAGCCTCATTGCTAGATGTTGACAAAAATTGCAGGGTGTAATCAACAATTTCTTTTGATTGTACAAGACCAGGTCTGTGCGTTGTGGCCTGGTTCTCGCAGCTCACCGGCGAGCTTGTATGAGAAGTTTCAGTGTTCTTAGATTCATTGGGCTGTGATGATTCGGCGACGCAGGCGGAAGCTTCATCCATGGCTGGCTTCATGAGATGGTTGCATTGACCGCAGCGCAATTGCTGGAGGTTATGAATAGTTGCACTGTTTGACGCAATTCTAAGAATTTGGTAGATACTGGTTGTGCTCTTATCTTTGGCTTATGTTAAGGAACCCATTATAGTCACACCCTGTAATCTTAGAGTTACACCCTTTTAGTCGCTCAAACGGGACTAGCGCCGTCACCTGACCCGTTTTACTGAAAAAGGAATAGAGAGTCATGTAATCCACAGAATAATAATTTTTTAATCTCTTACTACGTATTCTACTAGCATGATGGCTATCCCATGATCCAATCTCTATAATCATTAAATCGCTTCTTTGTATCCAAGAACTGGTTGTTCTACAGAGCAAAGAAAGGCTTAAAAATACCAAGAATTGGTCTCTATCAAGCTTCTAGATAGATGACAAGGTAGTTAATGTGACGGGCTCAAGAGCCCAAGAACCACTCAAGGTATGTGAAGGTAAGTAGAAGTTGAATTCTCTAGAGAGCTATCTAACTACAGGTTAAACAATTCTTCTTATAGCTAATCTTTTTTAAAGACTTTCTATACAGTATTAAAAAGTCTCTATATGTTTCAGCTGGTTTCTTTATAATTTTAAAAAGCTTTTTAAATTTCTTTTTTTTATTAAATAATTTCTATATTTTTTTTAGATATTATTAATTTAAAATTATGGGGCGAGACAGGCCAGAATATAGAATATCTCAATTTTAGATAACTAATAAAATCTAACTCTTTTTAATTATCTTTTATTTAATCCTGATATGATAAGACTAATATAAATATTAATAAAGAAGAATAAATAAGTTTATACTAGATATTATAAACTTTTATTTTATTAAGTTCTGTAACCAGTTTCCAGATAGATATAGTATAATCTTTTTAATTAATTAAACATATTTTTTTTATAACTGTACTTTTTTTAAGATATATTTTTTATTTAAAATCTTCTTAACTTTTTATTCTAGTCTTATTTTCAGTGACTATAATATTAAATTATTAGTTAATAATATTTTATATTAGTAAGGAGTCTGTGGCGGCAGACTGAAGTAAATTAATATAAAATATAAAATAAATTTTGATTAATATATTTAATTTATAAGTATATATTCTGATTTATTTAAGTATTATAAATTTTATATTATATCAGTCTAACTTTTTATTAAGATAGTTAGTAATAATATTCTTTAAATTTGATTAAATTTTATTACTAACTTTATAGAAGAGTGCTAAGTTTTATTATTAGTTAATATACTATTTTGGTATTTTTTAAGTAATTATTATTATTAAATTAGTAATATTACAAGCTCCCTGAGGCCTATTGAGAATAATTTTAATCTATTTTTAAAGATTTTTAACTTAATATTTTTTTTAAGATATTAATTTTGATTATTAAATTTAAAAATTTTATAGAAAATTTATATTATAAAAAAAAGTTAATCTCCATGAATGCAGATTTTAGTTATTAAAAACTAGTTAAATTATAAGTAATAATTTTTATTAATTAGTTTATTATTAATTAATAAAATACTGTAAAAATATTTTAATAATTATAATACAGTACTCTATAATATTATTTGTTTTTAAATAATAAGTTATAAAGAACTGTTTTTTAATCTTTAAGATCTTATACAGTATAGTCTAGAGTTTACTTATAAACTGTAAATCTTGATTCAAGATTATAAATTATGTGTTACGGACCCCTGCTAGCTGAACAACTAGTGAAGCGGACTCGTCAGGCAGAAGGCCACGTCCGGAAAGACAAGGACTCTTATCGAGTAGAATCCTGATCCGAGTAACCGACGTCCGGAACGGTTACACAGCACGTGACCACGATGGACATGTCACCGACACGCTACAACATGTCGGTGTTATGACAGGATATGGCAGTGACATGAGATAATATATCAGTGGCATGACATATCATGGCAATGCCATATGGAGGATAGGATATAAGGATACTCTTTCATGTACTTAGCTAGTTCTGTTCTTTGTGCTTGATAACACTGTCTTTAAGTAACCATATGTTTAGAAAGCTTAGTGACAATACTTGTCCGCACTCACTTACGGATAGCTGCATGGCATTATTCAGCCTTACTTCTCTTTCTTGGTTCAAGATTAGTTATCCTTAGATAGTCATCAATCTGATACTACCTTGACCAAGTTTGATGGTACGTATACCAGTGAAGCTAAGCTAACAGGAACAAGGGAAGCGATCCTAGGGTTTGACATTATGATACTTTATAATAACTGTAAGAAAACTCTAATAAAGATATTTATAAAGTCTTTTATATCTATATTGAGTATAGTCTTAATAATAATTTTTTTATTAGCTAATTAATAATAATCATGATATTCTTATAATCTTAAGATTTAGAGAAATCTACTAAATAATTAATTATAATATTTTATCAGGATTAGTCTGGAATTAATAATAATTTAAGTAAGCTTTATTTATAATCTTATTGTCAAACCCTAGGATCGCTTCCCTGTCCCGGTTAGCTTAGCTTCACTGGTATACGTACCGTTGAACTAAATCGAGGAGGTATCAGGCTGATAACTATATAGGAATAACTGGTCTTGGATAAGAGAAGAGAAGTAAGGCTGAATAGTGCCGTGCAGCTATCCATAAATAAGTATAGATAAGTATTATTACTAAGCTTCTAAACTTATGGTTACTTAAAGATAGTAAGATTGAGCACGAAGAACAGAACTAGTTAAGTATATGAAAGAGTGTCTTTATATATCCTATTCTTTATATACCAAGTTATATATCTTTCTATATATTATATACTATATACTATATATCTATTTATATATTATTCTATATGCTCATAGTCACGTGATGCGTAGCTGTTCCAGGTGTCGGTTACTCAGATCAGGATTCTACTTGATAAGAGTTGCTGATCATCCGGACGTTGCCTTCTGCCTGACGAGTCCGCCTTACTAGTAGCTTTAACTAGCAGGGGTCCGTAACACCTTTATTAAGCTTTAAAATAAATAATATAAAAATAATTATTAAAAAGTTATTAATATATATAAACCCCTTTTCTAATAAATTAATCAGGATTTTTTATAATATTAAGTATTTTAATTAATTTATTAAATACAGAGGCTTCCAGAAAATCTCCTTTTTTTTATTCTTTATATTTTCAATTAATTTAATAGTATAATTAATATCTGCATAATAAAATGATAAGATATTTATAATAAGATTTACACAGTTTATACCGAATTTTTACTAAGTCTTTTAATTAATTAAATTTATAAAGAGTCGTATTTATATTTACTAAACTTATTATATACAGTTTTTCAAAATCTTTTTTTATTCTTCTATATATACTACACATTAATAGAGATTTTATAGAATATTAAGATCTAGTTCTACTTTTATTTATACTAAATCTTAATCTCTATATCTTAAATATAAAGAGTTAAGTCCTTGACTCAGAGTACTATATCTTAATATTTTATTTATAGAAATCTTAGTATAATATTATACTTATAAATATATAGCAGGATATATAGATATATATATTTTTATAGATTTTCATTAATATTTAAAAATATTCTTATAAATTTAATTATAAAAACCTTTTCTTTTTTAAATCTTTTAATATTTATAATTTAATTAATATATACTTTAATTTATATTTAGTTATAAAGTTCTGATTAATTATCCTGTATAATATACAGCTAGTATTAATTAAAGTACTTATAAAATAAATTCTATTAATTAATTTTAATATAAAGAAGATATAATAATCTGTAAATCTCTATACTTTATTTTTAAACTTTTTATAATTATAATCTACTGATAAGTACTTCTTTAAATAATAATCTAAAAAATTATATTTTTAAAAAAAAGCTTGTAAAATTATTAAAGTCTTTTAATTAATTTTCTCTATAAAATCTTTTTTAAGCAAGATTTAAAAGATCTTATTCTCTAAGCTTTTCTTATTTAAAAAATATTATAAAAGTAGATAAGAATATCTAGTAAAATAATAACTTAAGATTTTATAATAAAAATATAGTCCTTACTTTCTATATTAATTTAAGATTTTCTTTAATATTTATTAGACTTATCAAATAAATTTAGTATTAGCTATAATTAATTTCCAGTTTATGATACTGTTTAGATTTATTTTCTTAATAGAATTATTTATCCAGATATTGGAATATTTAGACTACTTTAAGAATATTTATATAAGTTTAGTTATAAAGTTTTAGCTGATTATCTTATATAGTATGTGTTACGGACCCCTGCTAGTTAAGCTACTAGTAAGGCGGACTCGTCAGGCAGAAGCACCGACAAGGCAACACCCGGACAATCAGCAACTCTTATCGAGTAGAATCTCGGCTTGAGTAACCGACACCTGGAACAGCTATGTATCACGTGACTACGGGTATATAGGATAATATATAAACAAGTATATGGTATATAATATATAGTATATAGGAAGATATATGACTTAGTATATAAAGGATAGGATATATAAGGACATTCTTTCATGTACTTAGCTAGTTCTGTTCTTCATGCTCAATCCAATTCTTAATACTGTCTTTAAGTAACTATATGCTTGGAAGCTTAGTAATAATACTTGTCTGTACTTACTTACAGATAGCTGCACGGCACTATTTAGCTTTACTTCTCTTCTCTTGTCCAAGACCAGTTGTTTCTAGATAGTTATCAGCCTGATATCTTCTCGATTTAGTTCGACGGTACGTATACCAGTGGAGCTAAGCTAACCGGGACAGGGAAGCGATCCTAGGGTTTGACAGTATGTAATCAGTATTAATCAGGATATTTATGAAATAAATTCTAGTAATTAATTTTAGTATAGAAAAGATATAATGATTTTTAAATCTCTATACTTTGTTTTCAAACTTCTTATAGATATAATTTACTAATAAACATTCTTTTAAATAATGATTTAAAGAAACTATACTTTTTTTTAAAAAGATCTACAGGATTGCTGGAGTCTTTTAACTAGTTTTTTCTATAAGATTTTTCTTAAGTAAGGTCTAGAAAATCTTACTTTCTAGATTTTTCTTATTTAAAGTATATTACAGAGATAAATAAAAATATTTAATAATATAATAACCCGAGACTCTGCAATAGAGATATAATCTTTACTTTTTATATTAATCTAAGATTTTCTTTAATATCTATTAAGTCTATGAAGCAGGTTTAGTACTAACTATAATTAAGTCTTAATTTATAATATTTTTTAAATTTACTTTCTTGATAAAATTATTTATCCAGATATTAAAATATCCAGACTACTTTAAGCATTAATTAATCTCCATTAATTTATCTGCTACTTAATTAACTTATTAATAGAAATCTTTGAAATTAGTTTTTTATTTAATACTTATTATTTATTAATAAATATTATTATTCAGAACTTAATACAAAAGATTTTTCTTATTTATATTTTTTAATTATAATTATTAGTTTTAATTAACAGGCTGTTAATTTCTACAAGAAGATTATTAACTATATAATTTCTTTAATAAAATATAAATAACTTATTAATAACTTTTTTAGGTAGATAAGATTCTTGTAAATCAGCTTAAAATAATTAATTAAGATTATAACTGAGAAAGTAAGTCTTTTCTAGTTAATCTTAATCTATAAGTTAATCTTTATCTTAGCTTCTCTATCTAGAAGTATAAATATATATTAAGCTTATTTAATTAGTGATTTAATAAATTGTTAGTTAATAACAATATTTACCTGTATATTATTAAGCTAATTAAAAATTATTCTTATTTTCTTATTAAAACTAATAAGATTAAGTAACTTAAACTTCTTTATTTCAGCTGGTTTTTGGAAGAATATTAATATTAGTATAAAAATTAATATAGTAAATATTCAAAAAAATAAAAATTAGTTACTAATAAATTACTTGACTTATTAAAGACTAGTTTAAATCTTATTATCCATTGTAAAGTCCCATTAAAAAAGAGTATGCTGTATCTAAGTACTCTAAAAAATTGATTCTTTAATTTATTTGATTAATTATTTTATAATTTTTTCATAAGAAGTACTATCAGATTAGTTTACTAAATTTATTAATATATTATATTTATAATATGTAATTAATACTGGTTTAATAAATAGTTCTTAAAGAAAGAGAATTCAAAACTGTAATAAATTTAAAAATCTAAAAATTACTTAAAATATATAAAAATAAGTAAAAATAAGTAATAATTAAATTTTCTTAAGAGTTATCTAATTACAGGTTAAATAATTCTTCTTATAACTAATCTTTTTTAAAGACTTTCTATGCAGTATTAAAAAATTTGTATATCTTCTAACTAGTTTTTCTATAGCTTTAAAAAGTTTTTTAGATTTTTTCTTTTCTATTAAATAATTTCTATACTTCTTTAAATAATATTGATTTAGAATTATAGGGCCAGACAGGCTGGAACATAGGATATTCCGGTTCCGGATGGCTGACAGGGTCTAACCCTTTTCAGCTAAAAGGGTGTGACTCTAAGATTACAGGGTGTGATTATAATGTGAGCCTATGTTAACTTGCCTGCTTTTGTTATATAATACCTGAGATGGGTACTTCGTACGGATTACCTACTAATTACTGGTAGATGCCACTTCAGTGTTCTGTTCTTAATTGGCTATTTCGGGGTTACTGTATCATGATAATATCTAAATCAAAATGACTGTAAAGTTGCTCTTTCGAAGACCTTGTTGAAGGAAAATCAATTCTAGCAAGGAGGCTTAGGGGGCCTGTGCTTGGTGAGGCAGGAGTTGTAAGTGTAACGTCGGCTCCAAGAAACACTTACTGGAGCACATCATCTTGCTAGGGATGATTCGAGTTCTAAGTCAATTTCGGTCTCCAAATCCATGGCATTTTAGTTCATGAAGCCTAGACGCAATCTACTTCGTTGATACTGAGGCAAAAGACAAGATGAGATATATTGAGCATTAGTAGGGAATAATGTACGGTATATATACACTCCATTCAGCAGTGAACCCTCGTATCACATGAATCTAATTATGTGTCCATCCGTTATTACCTTGCTCCACCACTGAGGAGACTAGGTATCTAAAGCAAAAATGGATGGAATATATTCTCCGCTATCCGAGTGAATCAAGCATTCAAAGTGCGTGCGCTTCATGCCAGACGTAAAGAAGATCGCGGTTTGTATGAATATCTGATGCAGATCCTCTCTTCCCAAATCTAACCTCCATCCATTCATAGCCATATCATTATGATGGGTCATTGTGTTTTGATGTATTTGGAATGGGACCCCTGTGCAACAAGAGTCCTCTCAACAGACCCGGTTATCTTGGAGATTGTCACGGTTGTGAAGGCCAAATTCCGTCCAACTTTGTCAGCGCGACCTTCGATGTCTAGCCAATCTCCTGTCGATGCTGTTGAGAGATAGTTGACATGGATGTTTGTGCTGACTCCTGTGGAATCAAGTCCACATGACGCAATTGCCAAGCCACCTGCCCAGTCAGTGACGCAGGCAGAAAACACTCCATGCAAGGTACCCTTCGAATTAAGGTGATGGGGCGCGACTTGCAGTCTGGCATTGAAAACACCTTTGGTAGCATCGTAAATGTCAATATCATCAAGTAGAAATGCGTAGATTGGACTGTTGGTGCGGATACGCTCCCAAACCTTCTGGACTTGTTGTAATTCGGGGCTCATGTTCAGATCCAATTGCAACTATAGATGAAGTAAAGGAGATCAATAGGGAGAAAAAAATTTGGTTTAAGAAGGCCCATTTTAGGAGGCCCATTTTAGCGTGCTTTATTTTGAGTACGTAATACGGCCCTTAGTAACCTACCTAGATACTGATACCATACTACTAGTAGGTAGCTACTCCGTACTGTTTCGGGTGGGAACGCGCCTGCCTGTTTCGGACACGCGACCGGCGATTCCTTAGGGGATCAGACCACTCCCAACTTTCCCTTCATACTACCATTCCATCACTTCTTCAGTATCTAGAAGCAATACTATCATCGTTTTCATCGAATCCGTCATCAATTACGGACATTAGGATTCACAGTACTTTGGTTGACAATTCTGTAATTACGAAAGAGTACTATCTAGTGGCCGTACCTCAACCAACAACAACGTTACAAAATCCCTGAGTAATGCTGTAATGACCCTACACATTCTATTGGTTACGTATCCGTAGAGACTCTTACACTCCGTCTCACCCACCCTTATGTAGGATCATATGGGTCTGGTATTACTCAATTCTTATGACTTGATGCTAGGTTGGTAGTAGGCTTCACATTATGGAATACTAGATAAAGCCCGATGCTCTATGATTTCTTATCGGTATATTAAATAGAATAGCCCGTCCCCAATTGATTATGATATAAACTGATTATGGGGTGTACTACGAAGTCCATTTATAATATAAATTTGATCATTAGGACTTCTAGCCCTGAATTCTGTACTCCAGGGCCTGATATCGAATAAGATGGTCTTCGTAGTATTTCGCAGTAAGTTAGCTTGCTGTGCCTGTACTGACTCAGATATTATGTAATATGAAAGATATCCCAGTGGTACTTCGCTTGTGGCATACAAACTTAGCTGTAGTTCCTGAATTGTCTCTGCCTCTTACTTCCTTGCATTCTAACCATTCCTTCTTACTTTACTCACACCCACTCCACCATTGTTGTTTTTCTTAATCAGCCTACTCCTCAATTATCCGCCACACACTGGCTAACACACACACACAATGTCTCGTCCTGGCACTACGCTTTATGTCACCGGCTTCGGGCACGGGACCCGAGCTCGCGACCTTGCCTACGAATTCGAACGGTACGTGCCGCTCGTCGATTGCTACACGCTACCATGACTATACAACTCGTGTCCATATTCGCAATTCACCTCGACTGAGTCTCGCAAAATCGACGCCGGAGCCGCTCTCCATATCATGTTATGATATGACGGAGATGTGCTTGTTTCATCAACTTCCCTTGGAGGGAGCCCCTTCAAGGAGCTCCCTCCGAAAGAGTTTTCCTTTCACAATTGCCTTGCACCATACTTACAATAATCGGAATGCATTTGAAGCTCTTCTGACGATGACTTAGATACGGACGTCTTGTCCGGTGTGATATTCCAGCACCGCGTACCCCATCCAGCAGACTGTATGTTCAATTAAGCTTCATACCTAAATGTCACTTGCTCATGACATAAGTTTTGCCTTCGTGGAATATGAGAGTCGCCGTGATGCAGATGATGCATACCATGAAATGCATAACAAGCGAATTGGCCGCGACGATCTGTTGAAAATCGAGGTAAGCAAAGAGCAATATATCGGAGTCCATGGCTTGACTGACCCTCCAAAAAGTGGGCACGGACTCCTCCATCTGCTTCTTGGCGTTTTGACTCTGGCCGTGATCGTCGACGTGACCGTACTCCGCCACGCCGTGGCCGTTCGCCTTCTCCTAGACGTGGTCGTGGCGACTATTCTCCCCGTAGGGACGACAGGTATGACCGGGATTATGACCGACATGAGCGGGATTATGACCGTCGCGACCGGGATTATGACCGCCGTGATCGTGATTATGACCGCCGCGACCGTGACCGTGAACGTTCTCGTGACCGCTCGAGAAGCCCTGATGAGAGAGACCGCGATATCAAGGATGACAGGGAGCGCCGGGATGATGATCGTGAACGACGTGAAGACGAGCGTGAAAATGGACCCAACGGTGAAGATAGGAAAGGTTTGATCACCGGTGCATACAGCTAGTGCAATCTGTCGCTAACTTTCAACACAGTTCCCTTAGAACCCTTGACCTCCGCTCATGATGAGCTTGATACAGCCGAGTAGGTTATTTTGGCTCCATGAACTATCAGACTACGTACTTCACATCCAGTTAAAGCCCTCATATCTGTGCTTGGCCATATCCAGTGCCTGAGCGCTAGGACTTGAAGCTTTAGATGTTATCACATTCACCACCGGTGATCGACCTCGATCTTTATTTCACTCTATCGCTGTTGAATACTGGCGCTCTTTTCCGGACTCCCTTTCCTCCCCTCCCCTATCCCCCTCCCCCTTCGTCCCCCTTGTCCCCCCTTGTGCTTATTTATTACCTCTCCAATGCTCCCTGTCGCCATATCTAATCTTTTATTCTGTGCTTTTCTTTGCCACCATCCTTCCAAGTTACGCTGTTCATTAGCAGGGGGAGGAAGGGAAAAAACGGTCAGCCCTTTGACGCGGTGGCGCAAGGATGCGAGACATTGGGGTATTGGTTTTTTATCGTTTAACATTGGTATTTATCATGGTCAGCAGCTCGAATATATCCGAACGAACGTCGAGCGGGCCTGTTTTTCCTTATCGTACCGCCAGACTGTGTCGTCCTTTCACTCGTCACGATCAACAGCGATCCGTTATCCGTCTTGGCCTCGCATTTTAATATAAGTCGATAATCATTGACCTTTCCCGTCCCACTCGACCGGTCGACTTCATGCGTCTCCTGCGATTTCGCCTCGAGAACGATCCGTAGTTGTAGCTTCTCTGGGTAGACGGATGCTTATGCTAGGTTGTGGGGGGCGTGCAAGGATGAGGTAGGGTAGGCGAGGAGACTGAGTATTGACTGACCTACGCTTTATACCATGACTTTTTATGAGTCTGGGCTACAGGCTACATATGCTGGTTTACATTCTATCTGGTCGACTTGGTGTTTCCAGCAGAGGCTAGTTGGTAATGTCAGCCGTCACCCTAGGTAGAAACGATGCGTAGAAATGCCTACAAACTAACAAATACTATCTCAATCGCACTGTATTTTTGAGTATGGCCCGCCCAAGCTATAAGTGGTGGGGTTCGAGAGCAAACTGTCATTGCGTGCATCAAAGACTACTGCATACAGACACTTCAGGGACAACAAAGACTGCACACGAAAGACTGAACAGGAAAGAGAAAGGTACACTGCTAAGAACCAACATTGCCCAGTATCACTGCATCTTCTCGTATGTGGCCATGAGGGAGCCTATTTGGATAGTGTTAGTACATTCCATCTGGTTCTCAAGAGCTGGAAGTCCCCGAGGCTTACCGATGAACGTTGTTACCAGGCGAGAACGCACCTGGCAGATATCTTCAGGTACCAACCAGATCGTGGCACCCAGCTTCCTAGCTATGCTGATACTCAGCTTAGCGTTTGCGTAAGCCTCCTCGTCATTCCGACCAGGCGTTACAAGATCGTAGTCAACATAGCTGCTCTTCATGCCATTAAGCACATCAAGGAGGAAAAGACCTGAAGCAATCGACTGGTCCTTGAAGTTGCGTATTGACGAAGATCTGCCGCCGCGATGGGACATCTCATTTGCCCACTTGATCATCTCCGAATCTGTTATCTCACGCTTGCCCATACGCTTAGCCAAGCTTGAGAGAGTATTCGTGATATCTCGTCGCATCAGTTGCCAAACCAAGCCCAGAGTGAGAGTACGTTGGCCATCAGTGATGTCGGCACCCTGTACACCTACTAGAGAAAAGCCGATGTGCTTACCGAGCTCGGTGGCGTAATTAGTGTTCTCCACTGCTCTGAAACGCATCATCTCTCCTCCCGAGGCTGGCTGTTTGTTGACATGTCTCCAATTAACACTGCCAGGGATGACCTTGTCATATGCCTGAAGGAGTATCGTCCCGTCCCGAAGGTCATCAAACAATGAATTGACAGCTGGTTGTACATCGAGCGAGTTAAGCCAAAGGGTGAAAACTCTGGCTTCTCTCTCCCCCTCCGCATCGAAATCCTCAACTTCGAGCTTTTCTTCATCGGTAATTGGGTCGAGGCCTGGAATAGTATTGAACAAATTCGCCACAAAAGCCAGATTCAGCTTAGGGTTTCCTGCAACCAGCGAGGAGGGTGTCAGGAACTTCCGACATCCCAATTTGTCCGCATTTGTCAAAACTTCTTCTGCCCGCTGAACTACGTCCTGGGTCTGAAGGGGCTTTCGCGAACAGGTCTCTGGTACCAACTGATTCAAGAGAACGGTATAGTTTTCACCATCCTTGACATCTGAGGAGAAGTTCGATACCCTATGACGGTAGAAAAAATAGTTAGTCCTATGCTTCTCTATAAACGAGAGCCGTCCACTCCACAGCTTCATACTCCATGTCACATGAGCGAGGCATACCTTCTGTCCCACTTCGCATTCTTTAGATGGTAATTAAACCAGCGCAGTAGAATCTGCTCAGGCGGGAGGCGTAGAAATTGTTCTAAAGTTTCATCGTCCTCCAGAAGCCTGTACAATTCAGGGTGAAGTTTGATGTCAATCTTGCCAAGGAGGCCCCGACGAATGATCTGCCAGATCAGACCCAGAATAAGGTGCTCGCGCACTTCTATAATATCGCCGCTTCCTATATTCACAACAGAGCAGCCAATACCTTTAGCTGAGTTGATGACGATATTGTTGTTTTCGGTCATGTGGAATGCGTTGAGCTCCTTGATCTTCTTTCCAGCTTTATTCAAGACACGCTCATCGATCGTATCCGGAACGCTATCGTTGATCAATTTCGCCAACACCAAGCCGTCCTTACATTTATCGAACATCTCAAACGTATCGGTAGGGAAAGGCAGAAAGTGGCCAATGTCTGGATCGCCAGCAAGAACAGCATTGATATGTCTGGTGAATTCTGTCCTTTCATCCTCGTTAATAGTATGTGTTACATTTGCTGAGGAACCCTGGACATGGATTCTGCCTCCTATGCTGCCTTTGGAGACATGCCGAGATGGGCCAGCTCCATTTCCCGGAAGCACTGCCGCAGGAGTTGAAGCAGCGTGGTTCTGCGTCCGTGCAAAGCGAAGTTTGGAGATAAGCTGTTGGATGGTATTAGTAATTGCATCACAATGACCCGTCACATCGACAGTGATATACTGACGTCCACATAATCCTCAAGCTCCACACGGCGAGAGCTGTCAAGCTCAACCTCCTTCAACGCCTGACGCACGACATCATAGGGTTTTCGTTCTGATTGTTGAGTAGCCTTGATCACAGTGGCTTCGTCAAGAGAGCCTTTGTCATCAATGTCCAGCTTCCGAAATGCATCTTGGAGAGAAAATATCTCCGATTGCTCGAACTGAGGGAATCTCCTGCGTGCTGGGGTCAGTGGGATTATTGGCAGGTGGGAAACCCCTATTGACACAGGAGCTCTTTGCGTACCTTTGGAGTTTAATCACATTCATTTCTCAGGGGAGTTACTCGACTCCTTACCAATGCAGTTCACAACTCTAGGGCCTATTGACAAGAACCTGTCAATCAAGTTACAAGAAGTTGACCAAGAGTAAAGATATATAGTTGTGTCGATGGAACAACCGGCTCGATGATGTAATTAGTATCAGAGAAGGGTGTGGGAAGAAGGGGACGGTATTTAGCTACTAGGCACTGTCATAATAAGCACGGTGTACTTAGGCACGTAGGAAGGTAGGTAGTTGCGTTATTTTCCTCTACTAGGTAAGTGGGGAAAACAAGGTGGGGGCTGGCAGTACCTGGTAGCCGTACTACGTACGTACAGAGTTGTAGATAGTACATACTACTATCTACTAGTAGCAGGATAATCAGGCTCAGCCACACCATATACACTACTGGAGAATTGAGCGAGGCGCAATACAGAAGAAAATAAGTGTCTTCAACTGGCATCCTGAGTGCCTCTGTAGATGTGTACTAGGTATCTACGGAGGGACAGGCAACTAATCAGTATCATCAGCTTCGTTGGGCTTTCGTAATTATTTTTCCGATGATAGGTAATGTAACCTATTCGTACATACATACGGTATGATGCCTGCCAAGCCACTATCGGAAGAACGAACATGGGGTAGCCCGTCACCAACCCAGTAAATCTGTCCCGGCCGACTAAGATATTTGATGGCCACCTGCATCGCTGCGTCAGTCGCCTGTTGTAGAAGTGTCCTAAGTGGTACGTCTTCATTCGAAACGAAGATCCTGGGGCTCGATTTTGCCAAGCATCCCCTCAAATTGCCTAGCTAGGCTCGAAGATGCTTTCAACACGCTAACAACAATAAAAGACCGAAAAGAACAAAGGCACAGAATCTCTTCTTCGGAACTCCGGGAAACTAATAGACTTTCACACTCTTATATTGGCCGTTTTGCCATCGTACTATTTGACTGCACAGGCTTCTCCTGCATCGACCGTCTCATCCCATATTTGGTAGTCGTCATATTTGCTTGCCACCCTTCTTCGCAAACACATTGGCTCGTGCTCCGACATTCCGGGCTCTCACGAGCTTAATGTCAAAGGACAGTCAAAAGGGGACCTTCTTCGGGGCCTTCTCTCCGTGGAATACCTCTAGAAGTACATCCCCACAGCCTTTCAACGATACGAAAGATGTCCTCCAACGTTCTCGGGGAGAGGACCACACAGTCACACATAGACATGGGTTGAGTCTACGCCGGTACCCCAAGGACTGTCCTCCATTAAGGGTAAAATGGTTCTATGCAGTGGATTCACCCAAAAGCAAGCCAGGGCTTCGCGATCATAAGGGCGATCCAAAACCCTTGGCGCCTCCCAAAAAGTTTGTTCCGTTCACTTGCACAGACTCCCAGGCTATAGAAGATGCATTTCAGGGACTACTAGAGGCGGATGTCGAGACAGAACATGTGTCGTACAAACGACCGATGAGGGAAGCTTCGCGCGAGCCGACCAAGGTCCCTGTGAATGAGGACTCGCTTTTCGATGTTAATATTGAGCAAAGAGAACTCAGCCCAGCTTATTGGATAGGTCCCATTTACGAAGTCCGTCGTGGAACTTGGTTCTTCCAAGATGGGTCTACAATAAAACCCTGTGAAGAAAATTTAGCTACTCAGCTGGAAGAAGGCTTCCTCAAATCGAAACCATGGCGATACACAAGCCCTAGCTATTCTTCCAAGCGTCCAGTCACAGATAAAGACGGTAAGGTCGAATGTGAACCGATAGCGCGTGCATTTGAAGCTTACCTTGTTGACAGGTTCTAGCTCTACATCTAATAGCACTGAAAATGTTGGGAATGCAACTTTGATTTCTGGCAATGAGCCTGAGCCTTACCGTTTATTCGGTGCCTATATGAATAGTATAGTAACTTATCAGGATTCTTCGACGGCGTTGCTGATGAGCGATGATTTCATGTCCCGTATGAGCACCACTTTCTATCAGAAGCTTGGTGGCGTTCCAGGTACGAAGCTTGTACGTGGGTTTATCGAATCAAAAAAACAGAGGGAATCACCTGACAAGCCCTGTGCTGATACGAAAACATCTGGGGATGACATCCCCGATATACTGTCTGGGGAGCTTCAAGAAAAGCAGGTACCACGGTTATCTAAAACCACCACATCTGATCACCAAATGCCAGGCGATGAGAACGCCTCGGTGAAGGCGACTCCAATATTCGAACAGCACAATCCATTGGCTGGCTCGCGACCAGACATGGTTGAACTTGAAGAACAAGCACGCAAACAAGAACAGAAGGAAATGGAGGATTCCAGGAAGGTCGAAGACAAAGATCGAGAAATCGATCATTTGATTTTAGTTACTCACGGGATCGGTCAGCGGCTTAGCATGCGCCTGGAAAGTGTCAACTTCATACACGACATAAATGTTTTACGCAAAACCCTAAAGAGCGTTTACAGAGCGTCTCCTGATCTTCAAGCTCTCAACTCCGACTTTGAAGACAAGCATGAAAATTGCCGAGTTCAGGTCCTCCCAGTGTAAGTGATTACTTGTATGTTTGGAGGGATCTATAATGTACTTTTCAGCCGTCTCTTATGCCGTTGTTTACTACTCGTTCTTCTCCGCCGCTCCCCCCCCCCCCAATACTATGCATAATCAGATGCAAAGCTAATTTACCCCAGGTGCTGGAGGCATTTACTTGACTTTCCGTATCAGAAAGAGCAGCAATCCCGCATGGAATTTGATCTGGGCGATGCGGAAACCCAGGGTGATATCTCGTATCCTAGCTTGTCCGATATCACACTTGATAATGTGCCTGCAGTTCGGAATCTCATCTCCGATTTAGCTATGGACGTGCTTCTTTACCAGAGCGCATACTGTGAACACATTTCTCGAATAGTCAAACAGGAGTGTAACCGGATTTTGGACCTTTACAAGAGGAGGAATCCTTCTTTTCGTGGCACTGTAAGCCTTTGTGGACATTCGCTTGGTAGCGCCATTCTCTTTGATATTCTCTGCCACGAACAGCAAGGTTCGGAATCTTTTGAAACCGCCAATTTGGACCATGATGACCCGAGTCACGAAGCATTCCAGGGCGATTCTTTAGCCTTTGAATGCGAGGATTTGTTCTGTTTAGGCTCCCCAATAGCACTATTTCAGATGCTCAAAGGGAAGACCATTGCTGGGCGACCACATGGGAGTGGCGGCGGCGAAGATGGCAAGTCTTCAGTCTGTCATAATGGACAGACTGCGACTGTTAAATCGCCACCCACCTCTTCTGTACGCCATGGCGTACAGCCTGTTAAAAAGGACACGCTTTTACAGCACAGTCAAGCTTCTGTGTCTTCTCCAAATTGCCGACAACTGTTCAATATCTTTCATCCCTCCGACCCAGTTAGCTATCGTCTAGAGCCCCTCATATCACCAGCGATGTCATCTCTTAAACCACAGCCATTACCGTCAGTCAAAAGAGGTCTTTGGACGACATCAGGACAGAGCCTTTCAATGATTAGCAGCCGTGTTGGTCAAAGTGTGGGATCATTGTGGACCAATTTTACATCTGGTGTTGCAAGCAGTTTGCTAAACCGCAGTCTTGGTCTCACTTCGGAAACTGCTTCTTCCGAGTCAGCTTTGAATTCTACCCTGCAGGCCCAGCAACCACGGCCGGTGGCTTCGAGATCCAGCTCTCTGACACAAAATGCCAGGAACCCTACCCTTATCGACTCGGACCTGGAAACGCTCTATGAGGGCTACCGTAGGACGGGGGGCGGCAGTAAGCGAAGGGGCTCACAGGCGAATGGAGAGAATCCCCGCGATTCCCTGGGAAACGACCACTATGGGGAGAAGCTCTTGATTGAAGATGCTAAAGTGAGAGCACTGAACTCCAATGGCAGGGTCGACTATAGCATACAAGAGTAAGGCCGTTCCTTGCATTTCTGATGCTTATAACATTCTCTACCAGTTATAGGGTGCTGATTTCGCTTCAGGGGCACATTTGATATATCCATGATTGCTAGTATTGCTAGTCACCTGAGCTACTGGTCTGACGAAGATGTGTGCCATTTTATGATGTCACAGATGCTCTGTAGGAAGGCAACGGGCCAGAACTTATGACCGGGATAAGATATTGTGTGAAATTTGATAGTTTTGGCTAATGGTATCTGTTCATGGTCAACCGTCTTTAGACTCGGCGTTGATTGCGCAAGAATGCATCGAAAGCCCGCGACATAGCGCCCAGTGAACTTCAAAAATAACTCTCATGTAGTTCCAAATAGTCTGCATTGTCTATACATACTACTGACTGGACATTAGGTACTTAGGTTGCCAACTGAGCCTTTGACATGACTTTTCTGGATATTCTTGTACGCACGCGAACATACTGCATATGAAAAGTGTATTCGTACTTATGCCAGTCCGCATGGACATCCTCCTGGTGGAATCATGTCTTGGGATTCTGTCCCATTCAGAGTAATCTATATCTTGTCTCCTTTCCAACTACCACAAGCTGCGTCCAATGACTCAAATGATAAATGTATATGACGCAGAATAGCTTCTGTGCGAGCTGGTCAATGGAGATTCTGGACAACAATCCAGCACAGAAGATCTGCTACACCTTGTATCACTGGCAATGATACCCAATACGCCTTAGCCACAGGTAGAGCTGTATTTGAGAGTTACCGTCGGCACAGGACCACGGTGAATATAATAACTAAGATGATAGATTATATAAATATGTCCATTTGTGGTGGAGAGGCCTGATATATGAAGAAATGAATGAATGAGCTATAAGACGTGTAACTGAATAATATGACACCTGTCCTTGGGCATAGATTTCTACGTAGACGAACCGGCCCAGGGTCTACGAGGAGCATAGAGCCCGGAGACAGGGCAAAGATCCACTCAGATAAATCAAATCGTAGGGTATTATACCCAGCAAACTGCTGATCAAATTCAATCGAAACCGTATGACCGTGACATCACTGTAAAGACTATATTGACTAGGATCAGAATTGAAGTTCTCATTCTGATACGCCCACGATCAAGGATCAAAGTTATCCAGGCTTTAAGTAGCATCCCCCATGATGTCTTCATCAATGTCCAAACCGCCATCTGCTTCTCCAACAAGATCGCTGCCACCCTTACCCGAAGTATCAGGCCACCTCTGGTTTCTTGATAAAAGTTGGAGATTTTCATTGCCCAGCTTCAACTCACAGCTACATTGATCGACATAATCTGTGATAAGCCCTAACGCTCGACCCTCTTTGACCAATCGTGTCCGCATAAAAGTCTCCTTATTGAAGACAAATTTGGTCGGCGCAGAAAATCGAAGCATTGTAGCACTTCCGTGTCCATATAAATGAAGGAGTGTAGCGTTGAGAGACCCAGACATCACAAGCGATGCTACGAATTCTTCGACATTTGCAAGGGATGCTATGGGGGTGAACGTGCGCCGTGCCACATCTGCTGTAGTAAGAGCCGAGAATGTTCTGCCTAGCCTGCGAAGCAGTGATGTGTTGTAGGCACGGAACATCTGGGATACGAGGCCCTCGTTATTGTCCTGGTGGCCTGTTAGTATATGTATATCTCAACAAGGCCCCCCTGATTGCAAACTCACAGCACGCCAAACTGGCCGACCGATATCGATCTCAGCTCTCAACCTCTGAAAATTGCGTCTCTCAAAAGCATCAGCCAATGACGCGTAAGGCCTTGTTATTGTCTGATAGACTTTTAGAATGTGTGAAGAGATCATTTTAGGGGGTGGAAGTAGCTAGAAAAGATGTTTATGTCAGTGTTGAGCATGTTAGGTTCGGTTAACGATTCACAAATGAATTACCTTTCCATGCCCCAGCAAACTAGCTAATACCCACTTCTTGTATGCTTCGACCATAATCTTGGTGACAGAGTCACTGACGGGAGATGAGATCACAACGCTCAACCAATGTAACGCTTTGTCCCAATTTTGGAGGGCCATGTAGATCATTCCGCCATAGAGAAAATATTTTGCATGATCTCTGTATGTCAAATTTGCAGAGAACCCAGACACGTCGGAGATGAATGTGTCACCAAGGGTATTCTCGGAACATAATGGACGCTCGATATGCTTGCGATATGCTTGCCCTGAACTGGTGGGAAACCGGAATATTTGTCTTTCCAGAATCGGCAAAGCATGACTGTATGACCTTGAGAGCAAACAAAGTCTGAGGAAAGCAACATGTACTGATGTGAGGACTCCAGCTGAGTCAAGTCGAAGCAGGGCCTCCTTGATCACTTGAACTGCTAAAAACGGCTGCTGCGGGTTAATGACATGGCCAGGTAACTGTGTGCATTAGCTGGGAGTGCATCCCTACCTTTGCTACAGTTTCAGCAGCTTGTCCTATGAGTTCAATAAGTTGGCGCCACTCATGACCAGCGTAGCGGACCTGGATGGGGTCAAAAGACCTGAGGAAAAAGACAGATTTCGCCCACAGGTCATTTCCGGGTTTGATCTCATCGGGTACTATGTTCTTCGTCTTATTTTGCAAAGCTTCGATTTGAAAAATAAGAATGAATAAATAAGATAGTGTGTGTTGTGACGGGTTGAGGTTCTGTGAGGCAAGTAACCATTTCGTAAGCACGATTTGTATCCCCTTCAATTCATGACGAGTTCCTATATTCTCCGTTGGACAAAGGACTCTGGCTGTGCTTACATCTAGTAGATCTTGGCTGTCAAGATTCCTATCGAACTGCCTGATATATGCAACCAGGTCACAGATTTCAGAATCATATCTTTCGTCAGATGTATTGTTGAGATTATGCAGTTGAGGTGAGACTGAAGTGAGGCGCAATAGAATTTCTGCCATTTTTCTTTTAGGGTGTATGATGAGTACTATCTTGACTGTCACTTGCTGGGCGCAAATAAAGTAGAAAGAAGGAAAGAGTGGCTGAAGATAGGGACAGAGCCCTGCATAATTACCTACATAGGACGTACAAACTAGGTAATAGTAAGATTAGTACATGGTATCGTATTTAGTTCACGCGATAACTTTGTACAGGACTACCATAAATTTATACGTGGTATGCTACTACCCTTTGCATATGATGTCTTCCGGTTGATGAAAATGACAAAGAGAATGAAAATTACGAGTTATGGCATTGGGCTCATTAGGTAAATCGATTATTACATCATTGGGTTCCTGGTTAGCGGGGTATGTAGTATCATATGCTTTGTAGGTACACCGCAGGTATAGTCTATGGTTGATTATGTAATATGTCCTTAAATTTCCAACCCCTCACCTGTCACATTCTTCTCACGTAACCTCCCAATCTCATATATGAACATTTTACAAATGTCACTTACACAATCTTCTGCACTTGATATCGCAAGCACTGCGTCCCTGGCCGCTCGCCGGCTCGCGATCTTATCCAATATTGAGCGCAATGAAGCATTGACTGCGCTTTACCAGGGGCTCTTGACTAATAAAGATGCCATCCTTACGGCCAATGCTAGGGATGTCGCATCGGCGAGTCGGGCTGCAGAAAAGGGTGATCTCAATTCTAGTGTTCTAAAGAGGCTTGACTTATCCAGACCGGGAAAATATGATGATATGTTGCAAGGAATCCTGGGTGTGCGGGAATTAAAAGATCCAAGTAAGCCTATCAAATTGAAATCAAATGTTTAATCTGACCTCCTCAAGTTGGCACCGTGACTCTGAGGACGCTCCTTGACGATGGCCTTACTCTAGAGAGAGTGACTTGCCCAATTGGGGTTCTATTGATAATTTTTGAGGCTCGCCCTGAGGTCATCGCAAACATCGCTGCCTTGTCTATAAAATCTGGTAATGCGGCTATTCTAAAAGGTTCCTCAGGATTCACCCTATAAGTCAGTCATGCACTGCTAACGAGTAGAATAGGAGGGAAAGAATCAACCGAGTCTTTTGTCGCGATATCGACGGTCATCTCCGAAGCCATCTCAAACACTCGAGTTCCCAAGTCATCTATTCAGCTGGTACAGACCAGGGATGCAATCTCGTCCTTGTTGGCTCAAGACTCTTTGATCGATTTGGTCATCCCCCGTGGCTCTAACGATCTTGTTCGCTACGTCAAGGATAATACAAAAATTCCAGTTCTAGGCCACGCTGACGGTATTTGTTCCGCCTATATCCATCATGACGCGGACCTAGAGACGTCTGTGAGAGTTATCGTGGACTCCAAAACAGATTATCCAGCTGCATGCAACTCCTTGGAAACTTTGCTCGTACACGAAACGGTTCTTAGAACTATACTGCCTGCAGTTGGCAATGCTCTGGTGGCAAAGGGAGTTATGTTGAGGTGCGATGAATCTTCTAAGAGTGCACTAAAAGATACTTTGGGCGCTGCCCAGATGGATTCAATCGTAGATGCAGTTGACTCCGACTACAATACAGAGTTCCTGGATCTCATTTTGGCAGTCAAAACGATACCTGCATCTGCCTCGGGTTTGGACGTTGATGCAGCGATTGCTCACATCAACACCCATTCCTCGAAGCATACTGATATCATTTTGACCAAAACAAGGTCAACTGCGGAATATTTCATGAACAGCATCGATAGTGCTGGAGTCTTTTGGAATGCCTCGACGAGATTTGCAGATGGCATGAGGTATGGTTTTGGTACGGAGGTTGGCATCAGCACAAATAAGATTCACTCCAGAGGACCTGTGGGCTTAGATGGCTTGACCATCTACAAGTTTCTCATTCGGGGAGACGGGCATAGAGCAGGCGACTACGTTGAAGGTGAGGGTGGGAAACAATGGAAACACAAAGCTCTACCACTGTGATATAGGTATAGGAAAAAGGAGTATCAGTCAGGCAATCAATAATTTAACTCCATTTTCATTTTCATTCAGCCAAGCTCGTTTGGAACCCTCATGATAGTCAGTCTGGCATCGGGGAAGTCTAGAAAAGGTTCGGGCGAAGTCGCTTCGGCTCATATGGTTCCAGAGGCAACCATAATGAACGCGGTGAACCGCCAGCCGACACAGGAAATGGACATTATTTCGCTAGTCCCTTTAGACCTTGAAACCACGAGACCTTCTGCGTCCACGAGCTCTCTCGAACTTCCGTCCCTTGCTCCGCACGTAGGGCTTCTGTTCTAAGTTAGCATGATGGTTCCTGAATCTCCTCTCAACGGGCGAAACCTGCCTTATGGCTGTGGGGGCCGAATCCGAAATGCTTCACTGCCTCCCTGGCGTTCTTAGGACCGCGGAGAAGAAGGGTATTCGCTCCGGTAGGGGCACGCAGGGCCAGTTGATCCAAAGTCAGAGTCTCACCACCGGCCTTCTCGATTCTGGCTCTGGCAGTAGCCGTAAAACGAAGAGCGGCAACGGACAACTTCGGTACGGTGAGCAGGCGATTGTCGTCGGTGATGGTACCAATCACAACGATGGTCTTGCCCTTGTGAGATTCGGACACATTGGATACAATGCGCGAAAGCGAAACGGGGGGGCGGTTGATCCTGGACATGAAAAGACGGCGCAACACAACCTTGTTGAAGTTGGATTCCGTGCGACCTGTGAAATAACCACCTCCTATCAGTTTCCCGTGGCAAAAAATCGGCCGGACACAGGAAGAAACGGAGACATACGGGCGAGGAATCGATAGAGCTTCACCAATACTTGCAGGTAAACGTTCTCGCTCTTGGGCGCCTTGCGATGGGTGCCGCGCACATGGTGGCGGTCCAAGTCGATACCTATGTTCCAAAATTAGTTTTTGTCGATAATAAGAACAAATTTCGGATGGTATTCGCCATAATCACGCAGGCCGCGAGGTCTTCGTTGGAAAAGAATACCACCACAATGCTTTCAACATACCCATGGCTGCTGATATTGATGGGACACCTGAAAGTTGGCTGGCTATCGCACCCGTAGTCAAGGTGAAGCTGGTGAGGTTTTCGATCTACGATTTTCAGATGCACGGTGTGTGCGGGTTGAGCCCTACCCTAATCCATATCCGGTAATCAAAGGCATGTGAGGCCCAATAACCAAGGCACCAACCATTCATTGAATCACAGATTCCTGTCAAGATACCTGACTAGTACTTTGGACTAGAATGAATTATAGTTTCAGTGGAGCGATCCATTCACCCTGCAGTCACTGCTCATTGGACCCCGATGTCACATACTCTGAGGGTGGTAACAGACCCTCCGCTTCTGCTTGGGGCCGCACCATTCTAATTTCTATCTAAGTACATACCCTGTGTAAGCGGATGATTACATATTGTAGCCTCATGATCCATAATGTGTTGATATGTTTCCCACTTTTACCCCGCCTATTCTTGTAGTATAACCCACTTACACATGGATAGTAGTATATTCACTCCGCACCACAAGTTATACCCTATCTATACAACAATATACAATGATAAATGTTATCAAACACTAGTCAGCATAAGACTTCTGTTGATATAATTCACAAATATTGATTCTAGATTTCATATTGAAATACCGGCCCATTTATCGCTTTATCTGCCACAGAGCCATTGGTAAGTAGGCTGTCGGTTAAGGCCATTGACAATCCATTGATAAGTAATTTCTTGCGTGAGGGTTGGCCGTTATAGACTGCGTAACCTGATTTCTTTGTATTAGGGCATCTTCCGCGTCTCCCTATCCACTATTGATATCCAATTTTGTTTCTTTCAGTGGACCTATTTACCAATAAGAGGAAGAGGAAACACGACGTGGTTTAGATGCGGCTGCCCTCTATCTTGCATTCATGCCCACCAAAAAGTCCCGGGTTAACTCAAAGCTGAGCCAACTACTAGCCATGCTAGGAGCCACTTTGAGAAGATTTGGGACAATGCCTTTGAACAGTCCACGTAACCCCTCTTCCGCCACAATGGCCTTCACGGCATCAATGATTGATGTGTATTTATATCCCATTCCAGACATCGTGTTTATTTGAAAGCGCCGCCGAAGAACATCGCTGAAACAGTGGCCTCTATGTCAGCTAATGACGACACTAACAAAACAATGGCAGTTATAGGAGGCTTACAATGGGTATGTGCATGTTTGTGCTACTGCCCCTGAAATAGCGCCAGCAAGTAATTTACGCAGAGCTCCCGGTGTTGTATCACCTTCAGGGGTCAGGTATTTGCGAACCGATTCATATGTCATGAAGTTGAGACCCACCTAGAGATAATTAGCCACAAATGCTATCGCGGGGAAGACCTAGGATTACTGACATAAGGAGCAACGCCAGCAACGGTGGGTATGATGCCGCGGTATAGGCCTACGATGCCGCCTTCGTTTCTATATATCAGGACCATGGTAGTAAACATACCCGGCAAATGCTCCCCAGCTTCTCTATGACCGAGACCAGCAAATGAAGCGGATTGAATAGAGAGCCGGGTTCTAACAATGTCAAGAGGGTATGTAATTGTCACGGAGGTGATTCCAGCAGCACCTCCACAGAGCAGACGATGCACCGCTGACAACTCCGCATTTGGTGAGGATTCTGCGAACTAAATACAGTATTACGTTAACGATACTTTCAAACTAGCGATTCTTCACTGCTGATATATTATCCAGCCTTGGCTTGGATCATGAAGGTGACCCAAGTCAAACCTAAGGGGTTTTGAACACGACTTGCCTTCTTGTAGAAGTTATAGCTGCCGAATTGGACCGCGGAGTAAGGGATAATGCGAATACAGTTTGTACCGTTACCGCGCATAAAGCCTTTCCAACCCTCTTCTCTTCCTATTTTGCCTAAGGCTTTCCATATCGATAATTTGTACTCCTCCCTGCCAACACTTTGAATCTGAAGGAGAATTTTCAATCGTTCGAGGGGCGATACAATTGTCCTGGATACCGCGCCCGCTACGCCTCCAGCTATGAAAGCAGCAACGATAGGTTCGGCAATTCCAGACTTGGCCTTATTGATAAAGGTTGGGGTATGGACATTATCCTTGATGTCAATGACAGTCGTGAGCTTGGCGGTGTGGGTGATGATTTTCTATAGCCATACCTGAACAGGGCTGGAAGCTGGTGATTGAGGCATATTGTGGAGTGCACTTCGCCCCTTCGAATTCTCACATCGAGCGACCCCCTGGCGATCCAAGCTCATACTCGCACTAAGGGTGGAGTATCAGGATAGCTTTCTCCGATGGCACCCGGAAGCTTGGAATGCGAGGAGCAGCAAACCACTACACAGCTGATTCACTAAGGGGCCCTATCCATCGGTCGGCATTAAGCAACAACGAAAGAGAGGAATAAGAAAAGTAAAGAACGGAGGCGCCTCAGTGGGCTCAAGTACCTATAGCGAAGAACCACTGTAGGGGGTGCTGTAAATGATCTGACGTATAGTCTATTGGCCATATGCTAGATGGTGACTGATATATGTTGGGGCCCGACGCAATGTGCTCCAAATAACGAGATGTTTTGGTGAAAGAGGCATATGAAACGAAGGTTACAGACTGCGGGTGAATATAATTGGAGGCGAGGATTTGGAATGCCTCTGTGAGTGTGGAGGATGAAATGCAATTATGCGACAAATACACCAAAGACAGCTTCAATGCAAAGAAGTGCTGGGTTGAGTTGAAGAACATCTCAGCTCCAATCAAATTGGACCAGTATCCGGCCGTTGTGATTCTTGGCCGCCCCACGGAGTACAGTGACACCTATCAAATTACTCCGTATAGAGAGCTAGTACTTTGCCATGGAAACCGACTATCTTATGAAGTATTTTATGGGAAATCCAAAAATTATAGACTATATAGAGTACTTTCTGGTGTCTGATATGTTATGTGAGAGATAGTATCAGCGGTTGCCGGTTTGTGTGGCCACGTGACCCTACATTAATCTTTGTATGGTCCTGTGAACTGGTTGATGCACAATTACATCTATCTCTGAATCTGAATGAGGCTTCAGTCTTTCGTGTTTTCTGAGATTGAAAAGGGGTCAGACCGTGTCAGCCATCCAGAACCAGGACATATTATGTTTGTGTGATAGGATCTACTTGTCAGGGTAGAAGGTGTTAGAGGTATGTAGCCTGTAGTGATGGAGTAGTGCGGTTTGAAGAGTTATGGTTAACCACAGATGCGGCTTATAGGTGCGGTTTTAGTGAATTTTTTTAAACCGCACCTAGTCTTGGCAGTGCAGTTCAGAGTAGTTAATTAGATATGGTTTAGCTAATTAAAAACTGTACTGCGGGTCTTGGCAGTGTGGTTGAGTGCAGTTAATTAGATACGGTTTTTAATTAGCTAATGAGACGGCCGTTCAACACAAAATGAAGTACTCTAGAACTTTAAGCATGAAGAGGAAAAAAGGAAAATAAAAAGTATTATAGATATTTATTAAAGAAAAATGATACAAGTAATAGTAAAATAAATAAAATAATATAAATATTATATAATACTCAGCAGAGTTATTATTATATTATTGTTTTATTTAAATATAACTATTCTTAGTTAAAAAGATATTATTACTATTATAATTTATAATAAATTCATTCTTTTTAATGACAGTAATTTATAATATTAAGTATCTAAAAAATCCTGAATAATCTAGATAATAAGTATAAAAATTATATAAATAAAATAGTATATTCTTAAAATCTTTTATAAGATATTATTTATAATTATTTTTATTATATTTAATTTATTTAATATAATTATTAACTTTAATAAGAAAGTACTTACTTAAGAATCTGTCTAGATAGTAGTTTTAATATATTATATAAATTAAGCTTATCAGAATAAAAGATTAAATAAATCTTAACATTATTAAATAGTAGAATCTGAAATATATAATTAATTTTTTTAATAATAAGTATTAGACTATACTAGCTTTTTAAAAAAAATTCAAATTAATTATTTTTAGTATTAATTGCAGATATTGATATATATTTTATCTTTAATAATAAAATTTATGAAGTAAGTTTACTAATTAATTATATAAATTTATATTTATTAAGTAATTTTTATACTACTTTTAATTAAAATCTATACTTATTTTATATAATAGATTAAATAAAGTCCATGAGATGGCTGTTCAACACAAAATGAAGTCATATTGATGCTAAATACTCTAGAACTTTAAGCGTGAAGAGGAAAAAAGGAAAATATAAAGTGTTATAAGTTTTTATTAAAAAAATATTAATAACAGTAAAATAAATAGAATATACAGGATAATATAAGTATTATATAATTATATGGGATGAAAGGTTGAGGTAGTGTGAAGAATATGTCTATATCGCGATATACTAAATATATAAGTATATTTTCTTAAGATATTATTACTAGTTATTTAGTTTCTACTCTTTACGGATACATATATCCGTAAGTAAATTATAGATTATATAATTTTTATATCTTACTAAGTGTCAAGGTACAGGCTGGTGGGATGGTAAGATAGAAGACTCGGGTGGGTAGGTTTAATCAAGATAACCTATATTTAGATAGATAGCTAGTTAAGCTATATCTAGATTAATAAACAAAATATAGCTTGAGACTATAAATAAGATTACAGAGATAAAAGACTTTTTACTAATATATCAAATCATGTGTAAAGCTTTAATAAGAATATATTTTAATTATATTATAATAATATATTTTTTTCTTTAAACTAAGCTTTTACAAGAACTTCTATAAATAATAATAATAAAAGTTTTCTATAATTTGACAAGTATTCTCCAAATACTTAATAAGCTTAATAATAAGATTAGTATATTTTATTTATTTTATAAAATATACTAGATAGAGATAATTTTTTTCTTAGTAATTCTAAAAGAAATATAAAATCTTTTTAATCTTCTATTTTTTAAGTCTGTTAACTTTAACATGGGATAAGAAAGATTAATATTAAAAATTAAATAAATCTTTATACTCAGCAAGAGTATCAGTCAGTAAATATAAAAATTCATTATTTCTTTATTTAAATATAAATTAAAAAAATTTCATTTTAGTTTCTTATTAAACTATAATATTTTAATATAATAAATATTAAACCAGATCTTCTAATCTTATTAAATTTTTTAAATAACATAATATTTTTTATTTATTTATTTAAAGTAACAAATTTAATAATAATTATTTTTATCTTTATAAATTTAATAATAAATTATATTCTTATAATAAATTATTTAATATCTCAAGCTACTAGCTAGTTAAAGATAAAAGCTAATTTAAATTTTATATAAGAGTAAAATCTGTAATTAATAAAGAATAAAATTATTTGAATTATATTTAATATAAACTCAATTAATGAACGTTATATATTTTAATTATTTTGGAAATAATTTATATAAATCTAGAAATATTATTTAAATATTATATTAATTTTTTAAGTTTATTTATTAATCATTAATTAATAAGTAGTTAATAACTTACTTATAATATCCAGATATTTGGTTAAGTAATTCTAGAACTTAAGAATAAATTAAGATTTTTTATTTAAAAAAATAAAATAAGGTATATAATTTTTATATATACTAAACATATATCAAGACTACAGTAGTAATTTTCTATTTATTATTTTATATATTAATATTAGTTAGGCTAATAGTATTCTCAGATTAATAATTTATAAGTATAAGATTATATAAACTATTTTAATAATAATTTACTATAGATTAAACAGGTTAATTTAATTTTTAATTTATTTTTATTAAAAATCTAAAGATAATCTTTATAAAATAACAGGCTTTTTTTCTTTTATAAAAAATTAAAAAGATATTTAAATAATGATTCCTACTTATTATTAAGACTTTTAAAACATTATATACTTATTTATCTTTCTTATATATTTTTTACAGGATTATCTAGACTTTTTTTAATAATTGTAATATATCTTTATTATTAAATATTATATTAATTTAAAAATGGATAATTAATATACAAATTCTTTTAAAAAAATCTTTCTCAAGATATAATAGAGATAATTATATTTAATTAATATAAAATTTCTTTTTTAGATTCTAATAAAAATAGATTATATTTAATTAATATAAAATCTTTTGTTTATTTTTATAAGACTGGTATGTAGACTAGATTTAGATTTTCTTATTTTAATATAATCTAGTTCTAATATAATAAGTATTTATTCTTTTTTTAAAAAGAATTCTCAAATTTCATGATTAGAATATTAGATTTAGTATTATAACAGCTAGATTATCATATAATCTTAAAATTAAATTAAAATATAAACCTTAATTACCAGATTTATTATTAATTAAAATTTTTAATTAGTATAAAGTATTCCAGATTATGATAATCTACAATTATCTAAACTAGAAATAATATTTTCTTAAATTTTAAATATTATTTTTTAAAATAATAGATTATTATAATTAACTTTTTATTATAAATGTTATAATTATACTTAATTAATAAGTATTTCTTTGAAAAAAGATAATTAAATAAATCAAGCTATTTTCTCTATATTAAGACAGTATTTTAATAAATATATAATCTGAGATATTAGTCTTTAAAATTCCTTTACAGATTTCATTAAAGAATTAAAATATAAAATCCTTTATAAAGACTTTTTTCAACAAATCTAATATTTCTTGATAAGTAGGGATTTATTTAAACAGAATAACCTTTTTAATTAAATTTATTAACAAAATAGTAAGCTTTAAAAAATTATAAATAAAGTAGTAGTAAAAATTACTAAATCTTAAACAAAACTTACATATTAATTATATTAACTAAAACAGACTACTCTGTGATAGTCTTAATTTTTTTAAATTTATTTAAATCTTATCTTAATTAATAATTAGATTTAGAAACTTTGTCTCAGTAACTAAACCTATATTTTAATAATTTAATAAATAAATTAGTCTTATATAATTTATTAAAAATTAGATAAATATATTCTAAATATTTTAGTCAGATATAATTATAAATCAAAATATTATTAAGACATACTGTGTAGAATATATTTAGATAGTCTTATAATATATTATTAATATATTTTTAAAAGGTAGCTAAAATTTTAATTGAATCAAAGAATATTATTAGAAGCTTATATAAACTCAGATAAATATAGAATATAATTAAA